CATTTGCATGACCACAATCTTATTATCTCGACAATATTAGTCAAAGGCTGGGGTGACGTGGCTACCATGACCATCAAATATCAGAAGTCGGTATTAGCCTACAGCCCGCCGTCGAGTGTTTGGATCAAAGATCTTGGTTAACCACTCAAAGCAGTGATCATCATCAGTCTAACCCTTCTTACTAACTCCAATTGACCAATCGCTCGGCGCACCGCAAGAGTACCACTCAGCTTGATGAACCTTGCCGGGCAGGATAATTTTAGGTGGTAAGGCCCATCCTTTACAATTGACAACCTCGATGACTGTTGCCCACTCCCGATTTCCTGGCTGGGCCACCATTGGCCGACCTTTGCGGTCAGCCCGGGTAAGTACTCTTGCTGTACGGGCTACGCCAAGTTGGAACCCGGTTTCATCGAAATTGCAGATATCCTCGTCTACAATGCCATAGTTTTGTATAGCCTTCCTGACTCGCTCAAACCACTGCCCAAGAAGTACTGGGTCTTCACACTAGGCACGTCGGTAGTCGTAACGGCGAGAATACCGGGGCTTGATCGCATCGTGGCGTTCGATGAATCGTTGGGCCCAGGTCGGGCCTACCGGCTTTCCACCACGGCTTGCTAGCAACAAATTGGCTATACGGCGTGTATAGTCGATTGTCGGGGACATACCACGCTCGTCTATTGACAGGATCCACTGTACTAGAGCAATCTCCTCGGCTACCGATAGCTTTCGGTTATTGACTTGTGTGTTGTACCGAGGTCGTCTACCACGCAGCCGCGCAGACAACGTCTAGTGGGGTACATTGTAGACTGTTGCAGCCTGCCGCATCGACTTGAACTGGCTCTGTTGGTAAGCCTTGACGGCTAATTGAACCCTTTTTGGGGTATTAAGCAATTGGTTGTCTTCGGTCATCGTTGCAGCTGTGGTGGTAGGCACGCGTGCGGGTCGTGTTTTGGTGGAGAATTTTTGGCTCGCTAAGGTGGTGTGGCTCGCTAGGTGGTAGATTACGTTAGTGGGAGCCGACCTGTGCGCCTAACGTAATCTCTGTGAAAGGTGATAACTACTTAAGCTTGGTGGGCGCGGGGCATTTCCAAAAGAAACCCCAGACCCGCCAGTGTTACGTGCCCAACGTGGCCCGTGCGCTAGCGCGAGTCTAACCCGATGCGTCCGGCTAGCGCCAAACGCCATCAGTGGGGCTCCCACCAGCGCTCTACGAACTGAAGCTATCTACACTTTTCGTGCGTCAAGAACCCTCCGATTTGACGGTATAAACGAAACAACAACGTACATTCTAGATACTCCACTTAGCGACGGCGGCTAAAGACGATAGCGTGTCTGGATGCTCTTCGCCAAGCACTCGCCGCTGAGCCTGGGCACAGCCCTTCATTAGTACTAAAGCATCTACGCGTCGACCTTGGCTCTCCCAGGTAAAAGCGAGGTTGTTCATGCTCGTTAGCGTATCTGGATGATCGGCCCCGAGCTTGGTCTTACTCGTCTCCATCACCTGCACCTCTAGCTTCTCGGCCTCCTCCCACCGGCCCTGGTTCCTGTATGTCGACGCTAGATTGGCCATGCTCGTCAGCGTAGAAGGGTGATCGGCCCCGAGCTTGGCCTTGTGAGTCTCCATCACCTGCACATCTAGCTTCTCGACCTCCTCCCACCGGCCCTGGTTCCAAAATGTCGACGCTAGGTTAGCCATGCTTGTCAGCGTATCTGGGTGATCGGCCCCGAGCTTGGTCTTGCGAGTCTCCATCACCTGCACCCCTAGCTTCTCGGCCTCCTCCCACCGGCCCTCATCGTAATATATTCTTCCTAACATAGCCCCGATAAAGCTTTGGTGCCTTAATAGATCCTTGCCCCTATCACCGTAATCCTCATTAATATCTGGGAGGTGTCCAACCAGGTGTCGACGGAACTCAGGCTGTTCCTCCTCTACGCTCCGGGAGCACGCCGCGAGAACAAAAACCATATACCACCACCGCCACGACTGACTTTGGTCGCTCTGAGTTGTCCGCCACCGAACCAGGCCATGCATCGTCACGCCAGTCCAATCTCCCTCCACTCGCTGTAACAGGCTATAGCGGAGTAGTACATCGCGGGCCTGTCGATAGGCAAAACTATCCCAACCGCCATCGCCGGATGAAAAAAAATTCTGGAGCTCGGTAGGTATCTTCTCAACTACCTCCTTACCTAGCCCAACGTTGATCGCTGATATGCCAAGACTAGCTAGACGAAACATCTCGTCCTGAATAATGCTGCTCTTAAAATACGTAAGAAACGTCAGCAGCAAGTCAGGCCGAAGACGTGAGTGCTCCTTCGAGATCTTCTCGAATGTGGTGTCCCATACGGTCCATACTGTCTTTTCCGTCGGTCGCAGCCCCCGAAAATCGTTCGTCTGTAGGAGCTCGTCGCGGTGTCTGTCGTAATCTGCCAGATATTGTCGCAGAGCTTGTTCGGTCGAGGAGTTTTCGGCGATATAGGCTCCTGCAAGATCGATGGCAAGCGCTAGGTATCCGAGCTTTTCCGCCACCCTGTTGCAGCTTTCTTGGATCCCCTCAGAAGCCGACTCTGCGTCGAGCCGCAGATGTTGGAAAAGAAGTCCCGCTGCCTCTAATGAAGACATAGAGCCAACTTGAACCTGTTCGCAACCCCCAGAGACCAGCTTCACACTCCAGCAGTCTTGGCTGGTGGTGATGATACTTCCCCGCCTCCCCTTTGGCATGACCTTTTGGATCCCCCAACTGACATCGTCAGCATTATCGACAATCACCAGGCACTCGTCGTCCGTCTCTGTTCTATCACGAAGCCATCGGAGTACCGCCTGGACCGTTGCGTCCGTATGGACCGATCCCTGTTTCTCAATGTGCTCCACCGGAAGCCCTAGCTCCGCAGCACATCTTTGGAAGCTGGATCTTACCGCTTCTTCGTCCGTTGCCTCAATCCAAAGAATCGGGCTGTATTGATCTCTGTGCTTCTCGGCGTAATCTAGCGCCAGCTGGGACTTGCCGGTACCACCTAGTCCGTAAAGAGCGACCGCGTACGGAACGCTTGCTGTCTCGTGCCGTAGCTTCAGCTTTCGCTCGAGTTCCGTCGACAGCTCGACTCGCTCCGTATATGTATGTGCTGTCTCAAGCGGGACGGCGTAGTAATGCTTCACCGGCCGGGCGGAGGATCTCGTTACTTCAACAAGCTTCGAAAGTATTATCTGATAACTTTCGCTTTTCGACCCAAACTTATTAAGCCCGTAATGGTCGACGGACAGGCCAATGTTTCGGACGTTTTGGCCTTCATATGTGGCGGACTGCTCACGGACGTACTAGATCTATTATTAGCGCGCTCTATCCAGGCTAACGCTGACGTGCTACTTACAAGTCGCTGCCACTGAATAAACCACAACCGGAGAATTCGCGTCGGCCGCTTCTCGAAAAAGTTAAAAACACGTAAGTCATCTCGGGCAATCGCCATAAACTCCTTATGCAGATCATGCAACGAAATAGAATCGTATTCCAAGTTGGCTAGGAGGAACGGGTTCGACCCAAGCGGCTGGAGAGCTTGTGCCGCTAGCCAGCCCCATGGGCCAAAACTGGTCCCACAATGCGGTGTGCCTAGGAACAAGATCGCCTTGGTGTGCTCAGCGATGTGGCCAAAGTCTCGACTCGCGTGGGCTTGAACAAGTGCCTATTACAATTAGTATACGCCGTTATCCAGAGTAGTTTGTCGGCTTACCCGTTTGACAACCAGACCGCCAAAGCTGTATGCCACGAAGATCAAGTTCCGGCTTCGCTCCTAGGGCCGGAGCGCGTCAGCAATACTCTAAAGCCAAGCCCAATCTTCAGTGCTCACCGTCTCGGACACACGGATCCCCCCATTAATATGCTCAAGGAGTTCATTCCCGAGGTTTGTTAACCGTGTGTACACCGCATCCCTCTTCCAGTATGAGTCGTAATTGTAAAAGAACATGCGAAAATCGGTGCTGGCCGCCGGAAGGATATCGCCGGGGAGAAAGTCGCTGACCCAGTTCACGAACCACTCGCCGTCCGTCGTCGCTTCTTCGGGCGTATTGGCCGCCGTCGCATGTTTCGCCGCCCGCCACGTCGTGTCGGGGTTGGACCCTAGGCCGTGGACGAAGACAATACTGTCCTAGTTAGAAATTCATCGTTACAGTGGTAGCCGGGATTGTACCTACTCTAATCCGTCTGCCCGCACCGGTGAACTGTTTTCGCTGCCTCAGGCAGACATGCATGGTGTCACGTAGAATGGGTGCTCCAAAAGACCACACACGGCATGGTTCCGAGATTTAGCCATACCAACGGGCTCACCGCCTAATGCAGGAAAAACCACTGCAAGGCACGCGCATTCTGTGACGTAGAACGGGTGCTCCAAAAAACTACACACGGCATGGTGCTGAGGTTTAGTTATACTGCTGGGCTCACTGCCTGATACAGGAAAAACATTGCAAGGCACGCGCTTTCCGCGCCTGCAACACACACAGAAGGAGCACTATTAACACATTACCTGCATTTTCCATTGACTTCGCTGTACGCAACAGGATGTGGTAGGTGCTAGGAACGGCGGTCGGCTTTGACTGCCTATGGCAGCAGACGAAAGTAAGCATTGCATTTATACCGATGTTTGGGGATGCCTTAGAAACCGTGAGCAGTAGGAGTGGGAGTGGTTGTGCCCTCATAGGCCCGTGATACTGCGACGAGGGAAGGCCAGGCGGACACCGCAATGAGGGGGAAGGCGGTTAGAAGTAGGCCAAGGATGGCGATATGTAGGCCACGCCGGCCGCGTGCATTTGCAGAGTGTCTTATTGGCAGAAGTACGGCCCGGAACCGGGGTGGAGGAGAGGGAAGGAGGAAGTCGAAAATAACCAAGCAGGGGAGGATGCGGTGTATTTATCAAGACATGGTGACTTTAACAGTGAAGTGGCCGGTACCTAGGCTTGTTGGTCGTGGCACAAGATGGTAGCCCGAGCGCGGAACCTGATTGACTGGCCATCAGAAAACGGCAGTCCCAACCACGGCACTCTTTTCGGGAACGACCTGCTCCATAGGCCACCGCATCCAGTTCCTGTGCTCATCTTCGATGAGAAAGTCATCGACCGCCTCAATGATATGCTGCCTCCAACTCTCGACGTACCACGCCCCCGGAATGGTCTCTGCGTTTAGCAGCACAGCATAATGTGCTAGCACCAGTATAGCACACGGCTCCCGCCTCCTCACGCTCGACACGAACGCTCGGTCCATGCGGTAGAGCCACCCGAAAATGAACTGATTCTCGGACGGCCCATCATAAGTTATCTCGCCGTCAGAGCCTTGACGTCCGTACGTCGCCGCATAGATCCCAATGAGGCCGTCAAGCGCGTGGAGAGATATGGACTTCTTGGTAGGTTCTGCCTCCGGTCGCTCCGGAAGGGCAGACGGCGCCCCGACTTGCTGGTCTTCCCCGCGCCAGCCAACCCTCGCAATATACGCCCTCAACCCATCCAGTGCCGCCTCCCAGTCCAGCCGGGGGAAGCCATCACGCACGTATATAGGATCTTCCAACAGTCTCCTCGGTGAGCCCCCGTTCAGTGGCGCCATAGACCCGGTGAAGAGCACGTCCGGGCTGAAAGTTTCGTGCATGAGCCGCACGCCGTAGACGAATGGCATCCACGGGCTATTACTGTCGCTACCGACCGGGTCCCGAGCGTCGTTGGCTGTACCAACCAGTAGGTCTTTGGAACTCGTCGGCCCGGCCGCGAATGTACAGTAGCTTGTCAGCACGGCACCGAGGTACAGGGCCCCGCAGTTTTCGGGACTAGCCCGGGTGAGCTGTGCTGAGAACCCGGACAGCCCGACCGTGAGATGCTGCTGCGCGAGGGACAAGTACTCCCCGCGGCTTCTACGGCGGCACGGTTGGGCGGATGCGCATCCTTCGCCCGGACTGCTCACGTACCTGGCCAGATAGGCGAGGTGGAATGCGGCCAAGGCAAAGATGAGGTGCAGCACAAAGTTGTGGCTCAGACCGATGTGTGGCGCGTTGCGCTTCCAGAACTCGAGCATGTGGGAGCCCGGGCCTGCCAAGGTCTCAGCCGTGGTGGTGAGAAAGTGAAGAAGCAGCTCGACATTGTTGACATCTAGGGGCGGCGCCGGGTCGACCTCTACGGTCTGGGGATTGCGTGTAGGCATGGTAGGCGTGGTACCGGAAAGCGGGGATGCCGTACCTGTTGGGGAGCCTGCGGCTGAGCAGGCGGTTGGAGAGTGCACCGCAGCATGACCTAGACGTCAGGAGCACTCACCTGCCCAGACCTTCCGAGGCCGGCCCCGACCACGGCGAGGGACTGGAGCTGTTCCCTGCACGAGGTGGGAGGTTTCCGGGACGAGATTGCAGGGAAGACTAAAGTTGACGCAGTTGCTGCATGGTTTCTTCTCATCACACTGGAAGCGGTTATGATCGGATCCGTAAAATAAGCAACGCAATGGTACAGAAGGCAAATGGGCATGAACAAGCAAGGGGGACGTAAAACGCCCAGGTGGCTTGTGGAGGATGAGATAGTCCTACCGACCTTGACTTTACGGCGTTTGCAGGTGCTGCAGCCAGTCCGAGATTTGCGGTGCGGTCGGATGGACTGCTTGCTCGCCAATGACGCGGACGCCATTCTCAGTAGGGGAGACAAGTTGAAACGGGGGTGGTTTATTTTTCGCATTCAGATGCGAAAAGAAAAGAAAAAGGAATTGGCGAAGATTGAATTGGCCCGCATGACTCGAGTTTCAGGGCCCCATGGTGGGGACCCGCCCTAGAAGCGAAAAATCGCATTTTTCGGAATTCTAGTCATGTAGTGGGTCGACGCTACTTGCACCGCACTAATTAACACCAAGACGACCTCTATTTGCTTCACTTGTATTTCTAGAATTTGAATTCCCCCATTCCAGCAAATTTCCTACCATATCGACTCCTGCATTACCCCCTTCGACTCGCCACAGCCAGCAACGTCGTTGTACATCGAGACCTAGCACTGAGGGAGGTTAAGCATAGGCCTTCACATCTTGCAGAATCCGTACACACTGACCAATATGGTTCTCAACGATGGCCCGCCGTTCGGTCCCGTGATTGATGGCACCATGGTGGTCGTATTCTGGGAATATCGGCCGAGCAACGTCGCCGCATACCTCTTTCTCGCCTTATTCGCGCTAGCGACGCTCGGACACGTCGTCTACCTCGCCTGGCTCCGGGCATGGACATATATCCCATTTATTCTCGGAGGGATCTGTGAATACCCGGCTTGCATTCTCTCTATCACTCTCACACCAGACACTGACCACCCATCTTTTCTAAACAACAGGTCTAATCTTCGGCTACTTAGAGCGCGCCCGAGCTCACTCTGATCCCACGGACCTCGACCCCTGGCTCCTGCAAAGCATGCTCCTGCTCGTGGCGCCGCCCCTTCTCGCTGCAACCGTATATATGACGCTTGGATGCGTCGCCGCCGCGCTGCTCGAAGGGGTAGAGTTCCGGTCTGGTCGTGGGCGCGACTCCCGCGGCTGTTGTAGCCGGTGCTGCTATGCGTGCTGCTGCACCTGCTCGCCGACCAAGGGCTTCGTGGTCGCCGACGTGGTCGCTATCTTCACTCAGCTGATTGGCACTGTGCTGCCCGCGAGCGGCACGCCCGAGGCCCAGCGCCTGAGCAAAATTATCGTGCTGGTCGGCCTGCTCGTGCAGCTGCTGGCCCTGGTTGTGTTTATCGTCCTCTGCGCACGCCTTCACGCGCGCCTGCGTCACAATCCCTCCAAGTCCAAGGCTATGCTGGCTGACCCTGGTGTTAACTGGCTGGGTCACTTTGTCGTGCTCGAGGTCGCCGCCGTGATGCTCGTTGTCCGGAGTGTGGTGCGCGGGGCGGAGTACTTGGGGGGTACGGACGGTTTCGTGGCGACCCACGAGGTGTTTGTCTATGTTTTTGACGCGGTGCCCATGTTGGTTGTGATGCTTAGCTCTATGTTATTGCACCCGTCACGACTCGTCAGGGAGATCGCGAAGCTGGAACGCAAGGAGATGGGCGAATTTACGGAGCTGAGGGGAGCATCGCTTAGATAATTCAACATCGAACTTGTACAGGACACGGCACGGCGTCACTAGACCTAATTATTCCTTACTGCTTACTGTTATGCCACAAAGATCTCGAGTATCGATCTAGCTGTCTATCATGATTGTAGTGACGAAGGAAGGTCTTGTTAATCTAGGCAGAAGACAGCCGAGGCGATATGTTGAGTTCAGCAACTGTCGCATTTTCGCAGCCGAGCGCACATACCATCCTAAATTCCTAACGGGACGTGAGTGCGAATATTTCCGACAGCAAGATACGGCCCCGAAACACTGGCTCAAGCCTTTGGGCAACAGTGAAAGAGAGCGGGTCCAGAGGTGACACAGAGACATAAAAGGAGCCTGTCGCATGTGAGCTGCTCGACACTGAGGCTATAAGCCTTTGCGGGGCGTGGACGTACTAATCTGTTATGGCCGTGTCTAATAAAATGGACAAAGGGCGCTACTCCTCGAGCCCCTTGGCAGCAACTCGCCCGCGTAGACGTACAGTTGGTCATGCATCGACGATTTAGGGTTAACTAAATGGGGTTTCGGCGACGGTATTCAAAAAGGTGGAGCGGTGGTACAACTGTTGACCCAGGGGCCATCAATCTGTTCGACTCTTTTCACGGGGAAAACGATAATAAAAAACCGCTGAGAGAAGGGAGCCCCCCAAACCCGCGGATGTAGATGCCGACTCCGTTGTCCGTTTGCAGCGGTCACGCATCGTTGGCCGTGTGCAATTTTAGGGGGGGTTCCAGGGGAGAAAAAGAAAATAAAAAAATGAAATAGGAAAGATGAGAAATGAGAAGGAAAGGCAAGGTGGAAGAAGAATATAAAACCAATCCAATCACTAACCAACCACCCACGAATTCAGGTTATCCGGCATAGTACAAACCACTCGACTATTAGGGTCGTCTGTCTATAAGGGAGCACGGGCTCCACAGAATGCTAGGGTTGGTAATTATGAAGATAGAACAAAGGGCAAGCTCCTATCGCACGGGTAATACAGTCAAATCGGAATGCCACTCAAAATGTATGAGTGCAGCGAATGTGTATTGCTTGCTTGAAGAACCCAGCAAGAACTATCTAAGACCGTGGCTACGGTCGTCGTATATATCTATCTAGGGCGGGCCAATCAGGTCGTTGCTCCGTTGCTCCCTGGCGGAGCTACAGAGCAACCCCGTAGAGCCAACCAAACCGTTGCTCCGTACCCCACCGCACAGAGCAAATGCGGGTCCCTGCCCCGCATGCCTGTCTCGTCATCCCTATTGGCCGGCCCCACTTTCAGAGCTATGACTAACCCAGAATAGGCGTAGTTCATCACACGGCATTTCAACGAAGAGGCCTAGAAGGCATTACTCCTTCTAGAAGCCGAATTTACGTATAACAATAGTAACTATACAACTATTAGTATGAGCCCATTAGAGGCCTTATATAGCTACCACTTCTAGATAGCGGATTATATACCCTTAGCGCAACTAAAGATCCAATGGGTCTATGAACTGTTACGATCCTGGTTCAAAGGTGCAGAGGCGTTGCCCGCCCGCTGCGGATTGGCTGGAACGGCACTTAGGGTGGGGCTCTCGCTAAGAGAAGGTGCATCCAATTAGGGAGTTCTCAGTGGGGCCATTGCCAAGGTGCACTGAGCATGTAAGGCAGGAACTCTGATTGGTTGCTCATAGTTCTATATAGGAGCTGGCAGCACGCTCTCTCTGGAGAACGGTTCTGCAGCTATCAATGCATCTGGTTAAGCATACATTGGTTGTGTGTTGAAAGCCTGTCTTTCGCAATTTGTGCACGATACTCCTTGTCTCCTGTCATCTCTTACCTGCCGTCCAGACCCCCACAATCCTAGGCCGGGCCTAGCTCCGTAGACCTGTTGTCCATATTGTAACATGAACGGCTAAGCAAGCTAACCCAAGTATGGGAGAAAATGTACTACTATTGGCAGAAGGCTATAGACTCGTAGAAGAAGTACTAAGACGCTTGGCACTAGTAGATTGAATTCAAACTAGGAGAGACTGTCAGGCTCTCAATGCAGAATTTCCGATTTAAGGCTGGAAGAAAGCTGGCACCGAGATTTATCCTAGTCAAAGTGATGGAAAGGATTAGCAGCTAGGTGTCACACGCGGAACGCCCTGGCACCTGGAACAACACCGCGGCTTATCACCCCGCGGCTCATCACACCGCGGCTCATCAGAATGCCCTCGGCACTCTGAACGGCACCGCGGCTCAGCAAGATGCGCCTCGGCACTCTGAACTGCTCCACGGCTCATCAGATGCGCCCTGGCACCTTGAATGCGCCGCAACCCATTGAACGTCGATGATTCCGGGAAATAGCTTATCAAGGTTCAGACATACAACCTTCACCTATGCCAATTGAGCAGGATCAGGCCACCATGGCAGGGAAGGTTTCGCAGCAAGGTTATCATTCGGAATGACAGGAACATCGATCCTCAAAGGGCCTCTGTATTCAGATAGACACATCTGGCTAACGATTGAGAAGGGTAAGGACCTTCGAAGCCATAGTTAATTATTGTGTTGAGAATAGACTTTTTCAGCACCCACAGGGCCACATCCTGTTCCAAGCCGCACCCACAGCGCCTGTGGTTGCCCCTTGCCACACTAGGCCTACCGAGTCCACTTACTAGCCAAATACACAGTCTTACACGATATCTTCCCCATCTCCCTATTGGAAAAGTAGTCAAAAGCCGAGGGCCAGAAAGTACTGCAACTGCTAGAGCTAGTAGATGGAGAGGAAGAGTGGGAAGTAGAGGATATTGTGGAATATAAGGATATGGGAAAAGAAAGGAGATTTTTGGTCAAATAAGCAGGCCGGCCAGCAGAGTACAGTACCTGGGAACCCAGCGAAGGAAATAGGACGACTAAAAGGGGCAACCGTGCTGTATAGAGAAGGATCGACGGGGACGTCGACCTACGGAGGGGGAGATAGTTGTAAGGAAAGAGCACCCCAACCCACACACTCCCTGTCTTACGCGCACACCTATGCGCGCCTACCACCTGCCACCAGCTGGCAGCGCCGCCTGCACTGTGGCTCCACGCTTCCACAGTATACACGGGACTTGGTCCCCCAACTATATATATAAGCAGCAGCCCTCGCCTACCTTCCTTTACGAGGGCCAGGTTGAAGTCTTACACCATTGCCAGTCATTGCTCACCCTTCTTATTGCTTCCATTGTGACCACCTTGATCCGGCGTACCTGCCCTTCCTTTACATCTACCTATTAGTAATAATACTTATATTTTCCATCGTCTTCAGTATGTAGTTCTTTTTAATGCTCCCTCTTCGGCATATTATTAACGCCTCTTCTAGTGGTAAGCTAATACTTATTAAATACGCTACCTTGGCTCCTATAATATCACTGTCAAAGCTGAGGGGGGGTACGGGTATTTGAAACTTAACTAAATATAACGTTAAGCGTATATAGAAGAGTCTAACGGGCAAATAAAGCAGGGCAAATAAAGTAGGAGATCGCTCTTGAAGTCAGCGCATCGACTACAAGCTTCTCTAAACATTTGCCTGAATTGCCTCTAACTATTGCTGCTGTCAGATGGAATGGCCTATAAGGTGCTGGAATCTGCGATGCCTAATCTTCGCCACTGGACCGTCATGTAATTGCCACATAAGGAAGTATAAGAGAGGGTCTTTTGTGGAAAGACTGGAACAGGAGAATAGAAGCAATTCACTCTGGTGCACATAATCCTAAAAGTGTTGTTGCAGTCTGACAGCTGCTGTGTTGCTGGCGATCTAACAAGCGCCCAGTTGAATCAATTCCTAATTTTCAATTTCTGTCCGGTCTAGTACAAATTGGGATGGGTTTTTTTTTTGGGGGGGGGGGGGGGGGGGGGGGGGGGCCACCCAAATCCCGGACGGGGTGTACTTAGCGAGCCGGATCCTGCCGCGCAAATTTGCGAGAAACTCATAGTTGAGCTGTAATAGCTCGGGTTCATACACAATGTGAATTTTGACGCGGAGATAAGTGGCCCAGGAATAAGGGGTTTTTTTACAGGTGTCCAAAAGATGATATACCCCTAACCTATTGTAACCCAGTGTTAACCCAGTGTCCTCCTTCTTTATTTCTTTACCGACCATCTTATATAAAGTGGCTGGCTTGCCCTATCTGATCTAACGGATGGGCGTTCTTTTTCCCCTTTTCCTAGCTTTTCGGAAAAAATCTCTACTCTTTCGCAATAATCAAAGATTTCAGGCCGTACGCCTTTCCTCGAGATATCGACTACGTGACATGTCTTCTTTGTACCTTCGCGGCGACGGTGTGGACGAGGTTGACGTAGGGCCCCTCGGCTGCCTGCAGGGCCTGGAACTCGGGGTCCTGGTTGACCCGGGTGAGCTCGGCAAAGCTGCGGAAGTAGAACTCGACCGTGATGTCGTGGTCCTGTTGACATAGGGGGTTACTGTCAGCAAGCGCGGACGTGGACGGGTTCGGTTGTGGAAATGGAGACTCCGGAACGCACGTCGATCACCCAGCCGCGCTTGTTGCGCCGGTTCATGCCGTCGAGTGCCTCGCGGAACGGTGCTGGCGTGTAGACCTATGCGTAGCGAGACAATGCTGCTGCGTGAGTAGGACTTCTACGGGGAAGGCTGAGGCTAATACTCGCCACAACCATTTGATATATCTCAATGCCGTTCCTGGCATGGATGCTAGCGACCTTGGAGAGGTACTCGCGCGAGAACTTCTCTCCTTCCTCCAGCGGCGTTTCCTTCTTGGTGTAGATCTGGAGCGTGAGACGCAGCAGGCGGCCGGGCGAGGTTGCGGAGGCTGACATGGTTGGCAAGGGGCGGTTTACATGGAACGGGATTCGAGGCTAGGTCAAGGTTAGTGAATGTCAAAGGGTACTGTGTATCTCCTGTCTTCTTTCCATTAAAGAGATCCCAATATGTAATATAAATAACGTCTCTATGTCAACGTCGAGCCGAGGCTCGCCGGACTTAGCGGCGTTAGCAGCAGTTCATCCGTCGTCGAGACGGGATTGAGACTATAAACACCGATGGCCGCTGCCCTCGGCGTACCTCTCTTCCTCGAATACGGAGCCATTGCTCAGTTGCTGTGTGATTTCATCGGGGTATTGGTCAGCAATATCGGATTCGGTGCGCCATGTTCCCGACCAGCGGCGCGAGACCTAACCGACGTTGCACTGACACTCCAGTCTGGGGTCATCTTGGGCCATAAAGACGTGCCTCTTTGGTCTAGTGTCGAGCAAGGAATACGGCTGGGTGACTGGCATCGGCGAATCGGGGGCCAGCGTGTCCGTCGGGGCAGGACAACCTGCGAGTCAAGGTGTCGAGCTGTGTCTACATGCTTGTAACGACTGCTTAGCCAGTGTCTAGGATGACACAGCCATGTGGAAAGTGATGTCGAGATGTCAAACAGATTTTCATCAAAACGAAGGAAATTCTCCATTCGGTTCTTTATCCTCGCGAGACATGAGCCTGTGGTCATGCGACCACCCGTTTCTGCTCCCGGATTTCTCGCAACATCTATCTAATTCTCGTCTACATGTGCAGTAGCCCGTAGACAAACAATTCTATCGTTGAACTTTGTGGAGGAAAAGTCCAGCATGTTGACCAGCCTGCTTCAACGCAAGGGGAGCGGGGTGCTGCCTTCATCGCTGATGCGTGAAGCGTCCTGTTAGGCTATGGGAATGGGCTTGCTGACTGACCCAGAAGAGATTGACAAATCACAAGACGGACCTAGTCAATTGGGACGGGAGATCTTCATATTGACGTCGAAAGCAGGGGTAGGTCGGCATCATGAATCATTCACTGCAGACAGTCTTCGTGACGCAAGGAATGGGCACTTTGGATACAATGCAACCAAACGGGCACCGAAGGCACAAGCCGAACTGATCACGTTCAAAAATAGCTGGCTGCCGTGAAAAGAAGGTCCAACTTCTTTCCTACGCTTGCATTAGATCCGTCTGCCGCCATCGTATCGTCTTACTGCCCCAGATGGCAATAATGTCTCGCAATATCTGCCTCACGGCGGTTGAAGGCCAGACAGGCTTCCTCGTTGCCGAGCTGCTCATGAAGGAGTCCAAGTTCTCGTCCCAGGTCGACAGCCTGACGGGCCTGACCATGAACCCGTCGGCGCCCAAGATCAAGGAGCTCGAGTCGCTTGGCGTCAACGTCGTCACCCACAAGCCGGGCCGCGAGCGGGCCGTCATCACGACGCTCAAGCAGACGGGCTGCGATACCATCTGCCTGATTCCACCCACACGCCTCGACAAGTGCGAGATCACGCTCGAGCTGGTGCACGCGGCTAAGAAGGCCGGCGTGCCTAGCGTGCTACTCATTAGCTCCGCCGGCTGCGACTACGCGGACCCGGTGCGGCAGCCCCGCCTGCGCCAGTTCATCGACATTGAGACGGCCATGCTGTCGACTAAGGGCGACACGGGCACTGCTACGGGGCACTCGGTCTGCATCATCCGGTGCGCGATTTGCTGTTGCCGAAAAAAGGGAGGCATAAAAAAACAGAGCTAACGAGACCACCTCGGCCAAAGCGCCGGCTTCTACGCCGAGAACCTGCTGCTGTACTCGGAGCAGGCCAAGGTCGAGAGCGTGCTGCCACTACCCATCGGCGAGTCCAACAAGTTTGCGCCCGTCGCCCTCGGTGTGCGTGCCCGCCGCCAATTGTTCTGGCCCTTCGAACAGTCCTGGCTGGACACAGCAACCCATCTGCTAACACGCGTGTCCTGCAAATCTAGAACGTCCCGCACCTTGCGGCTCACGTTCTCGCCGGCAAGGGTAAGCACGGATTCGACGACAGGCACCGCGGCTAGATGATGGTCATGACAGGTAATACGCTTTGAATACCAGACCGAACAAGACGGAAAAGGAAATTCGCTGACCGCAGCTCCGTGCCTGTCTACCTAGGCCCGTTGCTGTACGCAGGCGACGAGCTCCCCGAGGCAGCGAGCAAAGCGATTGGCGCGACGCTCGACTTTGAGAACATCCCCATGTCCGTCTCATTCCATATTTTCAATGCGCGCTTGCCCACAAGAGACGCACCCGTCTGACGGAGCATACGTAACTAGATCCGAGGCGAAGCGCATCCTGTCGGTGCAGTCCGAGAGCGACAAGTTGGAGCAGGAGTACATCCTCGACTATTACAGCCTGGTGCGCGAGGGCAAGACCAACTACGTGGCGACGACGGCTTTCCAGTTCGTCACGGGCGTCCAGGCCACCGAGCCCGACGAATTCTTCAAGCTGTACGCCGCCGAGCTGCGCCCCCGGAAGAAGGTCAAGGCATAGACAAAGAAATGGATGGTGATGTGGTGTGATGGGAGATTTGGAGAGAGAAGGGTTGGTTATCTGCGTGGTTGAGATATAACTATTGCGGAATATTGGAATTCACGCATGCTGACCATGTGAGTCAAGGTGTTCAACGACTTTGTTGTGGGTGTGGGAAAGAATTTGGAGTGACTCAGAGCATAGCTGAACCGGTTTGCTCGTTGACAGCCCCCGGCGTGACTGGTTGCACCGGCAGTTTTTATCGGCAGTCTTACCGGATAGGCAGGGAGCAATCTTCTTGTACCTAGTTGGCTTTGTATGAATTAGACTTGTGCTTGGTGCACTAGAGTTGAGGTTCGACGATATCGCAGTGGTTGCATTTGCCTACAGATGTTGTGGTCTGGACTATCTAGGGCCCAGACTTCCAGTGGCCCAATGACACCAAGGGAAACGCAATTGGCAGGCCTTGAACCAGAAATCATCCAGCCACTCCAACTAGCGCAAGATTCGTGGTGGGAAACAAAGAGACAGACAAGCTCGCCATGGGCGGCCGACTTTGAAACGCAGCCAGATCAACACGAGCAGATGCCTAGTCTGGGAACGAATATCTTGTGACTGTGACGTGTGCCTAATAGCATAGCCTCTAAAGCTTTAATGCGGAGTAGCAGGCAGCAGGATCAACAATCCACCCGCGTGCATTGCAGTAGCTTCTTGGAAGGACAACGCACAAGAGGCACGACATCGATTCTCGAACCGAAACAGGATATAGGCCCATTGGTGGGCAAGGGGAAGAAGAATCAATGGTGGGCCTACAAATCATGCAGATATCTGGCCGCCATGGCTAATTAATTACCTGACGAATGACTGGCCAAGTTCGTCAAAGTATTTAATCAAGAGCCGTTGTTTGCAACTCTGCATCGCAGTAGTCCGCCGCTGCCCGTCATCGGCACCGGGCCGGATGCGGTGCCACAATTGAAATAGTCGTGCAGCGTTGATGGCGCGATGCCCGAGTCAGGTCATGCATCATTCGATTCACTTTGAAGTGGCCACGTTCCTCTACAGCGTCGGTGTCGGCATGGCTGCGTGTCGAATCTCCGCGGTGTGGCAATTGGACCCGGGGAAAGAGATAAAGATGCCGTATTGTTGTTTGTTTCGATGCAAAACTGGCGTCCGATTGTAACCCGGCTAGGTGAAACAGCATTTGGGTTGAGGCTGGTCGCAGACGCCGTCTCACCCTCGGAAGTGTGGTCCGGTGCTTGCGGTGAGACGGGCACAGCTATCACCAAGGCTGCTGCCATGCGTATCCGAGAGCCTTAGGCGTAAATGTGTCTTGGCACGATGTTTGTTGAGTGTGTCTTGCTCGCCCGTGCGACGTGGCGGTTATCAACACTGCACAATGACTGAGCTAGGTGCGTCTGTGTCGCTGTCCGAGTCGCTTGCTAAGCCATGCGACAGCTTCCGGCAGGCTTTGTCCAAAGTTCGTGATCTTGCCTGCCGTGTCCTAGAGTAGAGCCATTCGTGGCGACTTGGGACAGATTCAGGCACCGGTGTCGGATTGTCCAGAGACCACGTCGACGCTTCCCGATATCTAGAACGAATTAAGATGGTTCTGGTCTAGAAGACGTAGACGAGGCTTCTAATCTGGGGCCGGGGTTTCCAACGCCGACGACACAGTGAAACACGCGGTTGGCTCGTATGTGCGACCAGGCACCAAAATAAACTCTGCCTTACCCGACTAGGCAATCTGCGTCGTGTTCTTCTCTGCGATCGGTGTCGAAAACCGACAGCAGTGATTCAATCCAGTAGCCTGGTGTCGCGCGTCTGTTCCTGGGGACATTTTTAGCTACCTGGCCCAAGACCTGGCCGCTCATGTTCCAGCCTGCCCTGGACCTACTGGCGGCTCCGACGAGCTGGGAGAAACAACGGAGTCCACTGTCCGCCCACACGGTGGGCCTATTCAGGCCGGTGCCGTTCTGTCGGATTCCTAAGGCAGGCTAGAGGCCGTTCCTGTGAGGCGCTGGGGCCAATCCCGGAGGCAACGGTAGGGATTTGTGAAGCCGAAAAACACGGGGGCCAATCCGGGAAACATAGCCACCGTGTTATCGGTTTGGAGTTCGTCACCATAGCCGCCAGGCGGCCTCTGTCCATCGGCCAGCGAGGAGGGGGACCCGACCAGAGTCCTGACAGCGGGTAGTTTTAGTGGCTGTGCACTGTTAATGCCTCCGCTCTGTGTCCGTCGCCTCTGCACCCCGAGGCCTCTAATTCCACGCTGCAGCCTGCGCGTCTTATGACGGACAGTGCGCTTAGTGTCCTCATGACCATTCTCACACTGTCCAATCTGGTGCACCTTCCACGTCAAGCTTTGCGGGGTTCGGCCGCACTCGCACAGTGGAGACAATAGTACAAAGTGCGGGCTGTCTCTTGTTCGTCAATCCTTGCAATCCTTGCACGGTGCGCAATGCGCTTAGCCCAGCTTGGTTTCGGTCTATTTCACCTTTCGTTCTGCCTGCCCCGTCCGCGCGTCCTCATTTGTGGGTGAGGCTGCGGAGTGGATCCCCCTCCCCAGATTTGTGCCGCTTGGCCCTGTTGGGGATTTTGGAGCCCTCCCCGATGAGCCATCGCCGGGAGAGGCACCCGGCCGGCGTGTCAAATGAGGCACTGGCGTCCCCGTCGTCCTAGCCCCCAGGCAGATGCAGTGAAACTTTGCTGCGCATCCGACAGACCGCTGCCCATGTGCTCTGGTGGAACTATATAGAGACCTTGGGCACCCACAGACTCAGATGCCTGGACTGTCTGACAGAAGCGACGATCACTTCAAACATCACGTTGCATTCATTGTATTTGTCGCCACCTCGCATCCCAGAGTGACGATCAAGTGGAGTGCCTGCTGCCTGGCTTCCTGCCTTATACATCCATTAGCTTGAGTGTGTATAAGAGCAGACTACACCTTTGCGCATATCACCAGCTTCACATCACCAACTTCGAGTCAACAACCGACACAGCAACACAGTGTCATCACCCAAGACAGACCCAATCTTCAAGGTCCACACTCTTCAACCCCAACTATCACTTACGGTATCATCCGTTCACACTCCACAATGCCTCACAATTACAAGGTCGCCCACGTCCGATTCGACCCCGTTCCGGAGGTCCATAAGATCCACAAGGACCAAGCCCCCCGCCCCCAGCAGCCCAAGGTGCCCGACTTCCGGTTCTGCATCGAGCTGGGGCTGGTAGTCCGCAGCCGCACGTACAAGCACGCGAGCAGCGCGGGCGTCGAGGAGGAGATCAGCGCGCGGCTGGTCAAGTCGGGAATCGCCAACCACGTGGCCGGCACCAAGGCCTAGAGCCAGACAGAGTGGACCGTGGCCAAGGACCTGGCCATCCCATCGCATCCGCGCGACCATAAGTTCGGCGTCAAGCTCGTGTCACCCTTCTGGCGCTTCTCGCGCCACGACACGTGGATGCTGCATTTGCGCGGCGTGCTGCAGACGCTACACCACAGCTTCGAGGTCACGGCCACGCACTAGTGCAGCACTAGCATTCACGTCGTGCCCGCGTGCGGCTTCTGGCGCCTGTCGCAGGCCAAGGCCCTCGCCAAGAGCGCCGTCTACTTTGAGCGCTGCTTCGACGCGCTGGTGCCCCCTTACCGCCGCCGCTCCGTGTGGGCCAAGAGCAACCGCCACAACGCGCACATGGGCCGGCTGTCGACGACCGAGTGCTTCGAGAGCATCGTGGCGCAGAAGTCGTTCGCGCAGCTGGGCGCGTGCATGAACTGGTGCGCGGCGGACTCGGCCACGGGCGCGGCGCTGGGCCGCACGGCCGACTTTGCGCACTCGGGCTTCCGGTGGAACCTAGCGTCACTAGTGAGCGAGGGCGACGGGTTCGGCAGCGTCGAGTTCCGGCAGCCGGGGGCGTCGACGACGGCGTCGGACGCCATCGCGTGGGTCATGATGGTGGTGTGCTTCGCACGGTTGAGCTGCACGTATGGCGACTCGCTCAAGCCGCGCGACCCGGCCCGCCTCGCCAGCCTCGGCGAGTGGCTGCTGTACGAGGCCGACTGCTCGGGCGCGCCCCACAAGACCCTGCTCCGCAACATGTTCGACGTCGCCCAGCCCGTCAAGGGCCGCGAGGCCGGCCTTGATGCCGGCGCCATCACCTTCGACGAGGACCAGCGCCTGCGCTTCAAGGAGAAGGAGCGCAACATTGCCTTGGAGAAGTACCGCAAGCTGGTCAAGCACCTGTGAGGGAACCAACTTGACTTTCCGGCAATACGTTGTTTGTTTTTGTTTGTGTTTGTTCGTTTTTGGGTTTGGGTTTGTTCTTTGCATTATTACTCTCAGGCCCCACGGCAAATACCCAGGACTTCCCGCCGTGGGAAGGCGTAATTGGGCTGGCACATCATGGTTGGCCAAAAAGGATGACACGGTCAGGAGTTTGGGGCTGGATATGCACTGGAAAAGCGCCCGACAAGGGGGCTTGCATGGGTCCGGCTGTTATTGGTTTTGGGCCAAGGAAGGCTTCAGCAATGGTGCTGGCATACGGAATTGGATTTCTGTAGTTAAACATGACAGAATAATACCTCTGGTTTTCTCTGCTTTGGCTTTGCTTTGTTCTTTCACGTGACTTGCAGGTTGGCTTAATCTGTTTTTCCCGATCGTAACTGGCGATTGTCTTACTGGCTAACTTGGGTTTGATCTAGATGGCGCAGTGGTAGTGAACATATGAGCCCTAAGGCTCGGCTACGAGAGACAAATGAGCTACATGACGCACTCCTATTAAAAATATTGGAACAATCACCCTACTGACCACTGGTCTGTTGAGAGGCTTGGTGCAGGTGCAAAATGCACCACAGTCCTCTGGTGCATTCTCATTTCCCCCCTGTTCCATGGTCACGTGTGCAATGGTACAAACTTCAGAAGTAGGATTTAAGGAGCTTCGAGAACTATAGTCTTCAAGGACCCCAACTCGGCGAGGGCCAATCATGTGCGTTATGCTCGATTTGGAAACAGCGACAGTTGTGATTCAACCGTTTTTGTGTGTGTATAGCGATGACTTCCTGTTGGTCACTGGCGGCAAAGAGGGTGGTTCGGGGATAAGGCTGATTATCTGTGAGATGCTATGATGAAGTGGTCGCAGTGCGAACATTCTAGCGCTTATTCCCAGCGGACAAGTCGTGTTCTTGGTTAGCGCGGACGAATGAGGGCGCTTGGGGTGGTTGTTGTGCCGTGATGGCTGCGGCGTCGTGAGCTTCGTTGCTGCTTGGGCGAGGGATGTGGCTGCTGAGGTTCTATGAGGTGTGCCTCGAACTGTGGTGCGAGGTTACACCTGAGAGCGAAGTCAAACTAGAAGCCTCTTGCCAGCTGCGTACGTAAGGTGTATTGACAAATATGAAAGAGCGAACACACCCAATGTTACACACCATGTCGTTGGCGACATCTGTGCCTCTCAACTACAGTGATTGAAGTTTGAACCACTGCCCCAGAGGGACTGGAAGTCAGAAGAAGCTAGCCCAACGAGGCCGCCTAGACAGGCTGTGTTGGTGGTGGGGGGGCCAGAACAGCGTCCTGGGATGCAGATCGGCGGCGGGCCTCGCACGGGTTTCGGTCCCGCTTCAGCTCGGCCGCCCCTTCCTCCGCCCTGGGACCGTCGTTCCCGTCTTGCGAAAAGTCGGATCCGTGCCCAGCGCCCCACGCGTCGCGCACGCACTGCCGTTGCAGCGGATGGAACCTTGGAGCCCTATTTCGCCCTGGTTACCCGGAAATCTCATAGGGCATCACGCGCAGAGGGTGAAGTTGCCCTTCATTTGGTGGCCTCAGGTTCGCCACAGCGAGAAATCCTGCCAAGAATCCTTCGACGTTTATTTCTGGTCGCGAGTCCTCGGGTCCTCCCGCCATCTTCCGCCCCCAGGCAGGAAAAATACGAAAAAGAGAAAAAAAAAACCCTTGCATCGGCGTACGGGCCACCTAGCTTAGTAGCTAGGTTCTAAGCGCCTTTCTCGACTTTAGGCATGTTTAAACGGCGCCCTGTACGGTGCCTGGGCCAAAAGTCTTTACACACTTGCCTGAGCTGCCGTACGTAAGGACAGTGCCTGCGACCGTGGCGTCTTATTGATACTGTCCATCTTGCTCGCTAAAATAATAACGCGATAGGGAGTACATCACTAAGGTTTAGCGATATGACCGCTAAAATATAGCAAGGGGCACCTAAAAGCTTTAGCAGCTAGCCAGTTTTTCAATCACTGTCCTTACATACGAGGGTACGTGCAAGTGTGTAAAGACTTTTAGTCACAGGCTCCGTATGTACAGTACTATGCTTATCTTCCAGGAGCCTTTTTTGTTGCAGCTTTAGGGGCCCTGACACCCTTCGACAAAGAATCAGGTGCAGCTAGCATCACGCACCCGCAGATACCCGCCGCCTAGGGCTAGACGTCGGCCTGCCCACAATGGCGTGCAGTGGCGTGCAGCCGTATATGTATGCCGTACTACCTATCTACGAATACGTACATGGCAACTTTGTTTGAGCAGTCTATTGTCGGACCCTCGTTTGGCACAAGATTCCGAGCCCACCCTCATCCTGCCTCCTCCACGACCAAATGCCATGGTGGTTGCACACAGCTCAAAACAACCATGTCGCGCCGCCAGACCGCAGCATCCCAAGCACTTGCGCTAACCAGGATTTGAAGGATGCGGCGAGTCAAGGAGTCGGTGTTCACGGCGAGAGGGGATGCGAAGGATTTATCTTAACGACCTCTCCCCGGCAATCTCGTCTTGTTTTGCTTTCCCCGGATCCCCTTCTCTGATAAATCAGCACTTAATCAGGCCAAGCGCGACAGCTTCCGTCTTTCGTCCTTTGTCAGACGTTTATGCATCTCAACGGGATCCAAGTACCGTGAACTGATTGTTAGCTTTATTTGCTCCTTGCAGTACAGCATTCCTTGCTCTTGTCTGAACCATCACCTCCACCAACCCGGTCGAATAACTCGGCATTCCCCAGACATGGGCAGCGTATCCAACTCTCTACCCACGCTGGCAAACTTCTCCCTGAATGTTTGTTGGCGTGGTACTTGCGAAAGAAAAGAAAATAATAAATGAACCGGCCAAGAAGGGTCTTTAATAAGGTATCTAGAGAAAGAATAGACCTCTAGGATTACAAACTAGGGATTCAAATAGCTATTACCTCCCTTAACGGAGACCCTCTATGGCGAGTCGTAAGATACCAAGGCCACTTGGGTCTTGGAAAGTACCACGCCAACAAACATTCGGGGATTGGATTGTACAGAACTATACACGTGTAGAGGCTTTATCTATCTATACTTGATTGCTATTATCGCTGATAGCTCAAACCTTGAGAAGAAATGAAGAAAATCGATAATCGCTGACATGCGCTCCATCCCCGTCAAAGCAATCCCAGACAGAGTCCCATCCCACAGAGCATATCAATCTCGCCGGTTCTTGAGCTCTCCCAAAGCTCGCTCCCACGCCTCTCTTGCAAACTCGCTCCCCCCAATTTTCGGATCGACTGCCAGTTTCTCTGCCCTTTTCTTCCCGAACACGAGGATGCTAAGGACTAAACCGCAAACAGACGGCAGGTTCCTCTAGTTACCTTTCATTTCGGAGCCTCGACAATTCCAAATTGGCATCAGCTCTTCCTTCGAACCTTTGAATGGCGCCCTGCGCAAAATTGCGTCCCGAGTCAGCCGCAGAACATCTCTGCGCGGCTTGTCGCTGCCCAACGCAGTATCCAAGCATATCGTAATGAACTCGTGCGTCTTGACGCCTTCTCCAAGGGGGGGCTCGGCATCGTCAGAAGATGGTGCGACACTGATAGTGTCTTCGCTGATAGTCTCTTCACTGATAGAGTCTTCCTGCCCCCTTTCCCTTATTCCCTCATTCCCGCGTGTATCTTCTCCCGCGCGTTCCTTACCACTTTCCACAGATTTGCCCTTGCCTTTTCCGACGACGAGAGGCTCCCGAGCAGCAGGACGAAGTGCGCTAGAACCAGCAACGTTATGTATTCTTCGAGTTCTGGATCCGGTATTGTGGCCAACATTAGGACTGTTCTTGGCTTTGGCTCTAGGGTTTGCACCGGGGGTAGAACTGCCGCCGCCAGCACCATTGGCTCCTAAATTAGGATCAGAACTAGAATTGGTAGCAGCAGGGTCGTCATCATCGCCGGAACCACCTTCGGAGCTAGTCTCATCATCAGCTAGATCAGCTCGATCGCCGGGACCAGCTCCACCAGGATCATCTCCATCGCCGGAACCAGCTCCATCGCCGGCACCACCTCCATCGCCGGGGTCGGCTTCGGAACTAGGAACAGCTCCATCGCTGGGACGAGCTCCATCGCCTGCATCAGCTCTAGAACTAGCCTCATTCTCACAGGGACCGTCTTCGGAACTAGGACCAGCATCGTAACCCACGTCGGCATCAGTTCCAAACTCATCAAGACCACCAACGGCAGCAGAATTGGCACCGGTGGCAAGATGAGCTCCAGAGCTGGTACTTGTTTTGGTCCCGGATTCGACTTCGGTATTATAAATTTCCTTGACAATCGAGCACACTTCGGCGGTATTATCAAGGCCGGATTTAAACCCAAGGCGGAAAACAAGCCAGGTGAGAGCAGTAAAGGAATCATTGACATTCAGTCTCAAACGACAGAAACCAATATCAGGGCTGCAGCCAACTTTCGTCACAGGCACGGTTTCAGTGTCCGAAATGACTGAGCTAACGGAACAGCGTTCCTCAACAGAACAGCGTGTATCACCAGGGCGGCCTTCAGCGCCTGGAGCAATTCCGCCGTTGAGATGAGTTGCGCCGCTCGAACTTACTCCGGTGCTAGAATTAACTTCGGTACCAGAGACATGAGCTGGGCCGGCGCTGGTGTCGGCGCCAATGTCGATGGCAGAATCGCTATCATCGAAATCGACGCCATCGTCGGATTCATCGTCGGCATCGGAGCTAGATCCGACCCCAGCGCCCGTATCAGGACTAGGGTGGAGAGTAGCGCCATCAAGTTCAATTGCCACCGGGTTGTCGGTATTGTCACCGCCAGTGGAATCATCATGACAACTAGGGTTATAGACGAAAGGGTCACCGAGCTGGGAGTCGTTTGGTATTCCACCGAGTATTTGACGTGGCTGGCCAACTTGAATCGATCGATGAAGAGCTTGACTGGCTCTGCGAACATCACCAGCCTGAGTGATTCGAACAACGAAAAACATCCGGCGAGCTGTGTTGTCAGAAATAGGATGACCAGCTATCTGAAAAACCCGACGTATTTCATTTTCTGAGGGGAATCGGGGTAAGCAAAGTCCACGAGCTTGTAAAGCCGTAGCAACTCTACGGGCATCATCAAGTGTGTGAATATGAGAAACTTGACTCAACACGTGACGAAGAAAATTGTGGTAGGTTTGATGAAGTTGCCTTTGCCGATGAATTTGACGAGCTTGAAGCTGTGATCGAGGAGCATTGTCACCTCGAAGAGCTGAAACAGATGGGTGTCGAGGAGCCCCGGAAGATTGGTCAGCTTGGCTAGCTTGACCGGCTTGACCGGCTTGGCTATTCTGGGCTGCTTCAAGACGAGTCCAGAGAGGCTGAAGTGCTTCACCAGATTGATGGGCCGAAGCAACCTGGCCAGCTTGACCAGCCTCACCAGCTTGACCAGCCTCAGGAGCCTCAGGGGCTCCAGGAGCTTCAGGAGTTTGATACGACCCACCAGAGGCCATGGCTGGATCAGAAGGTCGAGAGTGGCTGCTGTGCGGTGGTGGGGGAGTGCTGCGATCGTACATTCTATTAGTTCCGTCTACCTCAACACGCCAGACTTTTTCACCAAAGAAATTGGGCTCCCATTGCTCGGGCGGTCCTTGTATATCGTTGCGAAAGAAATTACGAAAGAGATTGGTGTATTGTCGGAGCCCATTGTTGCGACTGAGACCACCACCACGACTGTTACCAAACAGATCCTCTCGATTGGGATGTCCTTCCGTGTCTCCATAACTGGAATGACGACGGCCCGGATTAGGGGTGTCAAATTCCTTGGGAGGCTGTTGTATATTGTCGGAACGCGAATGGCCTCGACCTCGACCGTCAGGATAAGGGGTGTCGAATTCCTCGGGAGGCCGTTGTATATTGTCGGGACGCCAATGACCTTGACCTCGACCGCGACCCTGAACGGGCTCAGGCTGCTCTCGTGCTTCTTGCCTAGGCCGAGGCTCTCGTTCTCGTGTCGACTTTGACCTCCAGGTGGGAGTTGCAAAGCGAATGACGTTTTCTTGAATTGGACCCCTGTGCTTGATCGCAGACCTGATTTCCTTTCTGGTCATGGCCTGGGTCTCGGCTGGATGCTATCCGAGGTCGTTTCTGTTATTGATGCGGTTAAACTGTATATTGGGCTCCGGGTGCTCCTCGGTCGTCTTGATTTCCAGAATACTCTCGACCAAGTCTTTGCCTGACAGATATGCATTCATGGGCTCTGCGAGGTATGGAGAGACATCCATGACGAGTACGGTATCGGTATCGGCCAGTTCGATAAGCTCCATTGCTAGGGGCCCGGTCCAGCACAGGCGCTGGCCGAGATATGCCAGCATGGCGCGGAAGCTGTGGCGTGCTGGGAGCGACTCCTTCCGGGAGCTGGCGAACTTGGAATCGATTCGGTACGCAGCGTCTGGACGGCGCCAGGAATGCGACTTGATCATCATGCCCCTGTTGAATATGCCCTGCACGTTCTGTAGTTGGCCTTCAACCGCTCCCTGGACGAGCAGCTGGCTGAGAGGACCCTCTCGTCTGAACGCATTTTCGATCCAAGGTGTAGTCAGCCTCTCTAGGTCCGCCTGCGAGTAGACCACCAAGATCTCGTTGCCGCGCGTGCGGAGGGGCTGCCTGACAAAGGCGGGAAATAATTCCGGGCTGTCATGGCTGAAGCTCAGCAGCTCGGCATTGTTCGAGATGACGCGCCAACGTGGTTGATCGAAGTTGGTAAGAGCGCGGATGGTGTTGGCAGCCGTGATCTTGTCCATTATTAGGCTCAGGGATGTGAGGGCGGGGATGGTCATCGAGACACCGATGTCGTGGTAGAGGTAGGACCTCGTGGCTAGAATAGCGACCTCGTCCTGGGTTGGGATCATGACTTGAATGTCTAGTCGTTGTGCGAGGGCGAGGACTTGGATGTGCCAGTGCCTATTTTCCGCATGGGGGGGAAGAGGGTGGATCTTGACACGTTTCATGAAGCGTAAAAGACCCTTCCCCGGGGGGCAGATGGCGTGAACTTTGTGGCCCTTCTTTAGGAGAATAGCAGCGATTTGCCGAGCTGTGGTACTGGTGCCGTCCGTTAACAGGATCCTCAGTCCCGGCCGCGGCTGGTCTTGGTCCTGGTTCTGATTTCTGTGGCCAATTCGGAAAACCTCGCGGCATTTCTCCCAGAAAGCCTTCAGGGAGGCTTTGGCGCGTGCCTCGGCCATGACGAGCGTCGATGAACGAGTGGCTGTTTTCGTATCCAAGGAATGAAGATGCCGATAACATAAGGTAGCGATGCAAAGGTCTAGAATGGATGGATGTAGACGGGCGTGAAGGTTTGGACAGGCTCGAGAAAGACAAGACGGCTAGGTAGCCATCGTGCTCGTGGAGTCAAGCACTCGGAGTCAAGCACGACCTAGACGGACAAGCCGTACCTTCCTCGTCTGTCTCTCTGTCCTCATGTTTGTCTCCCTTCAGTTCGATCCCGTTCCTTGCGCGCCTTCCCCTTCCCGAGGCTGTCACCAAGGCTCCTTCCACCTACCTAGTCATCGGTTGCCTGCAACGGCCTACAGGGTGTAGACCTTGTAAGGCTCATTTACTATGTGGAATCCTGAGCGTACGTGTGGACATTTGGCGCATTTCTGCGATTGGTGTTACTTTACAGTCTAGTCCCTGATGTTTGTTGGTGTGGTACCCTTGGGTACCGTTCTTATGGAGAATAAGTATTATGTATATATAGTAAATAAATCAGCGAGGAAAAGCTTTTGATACATATTTCTCAAGAAGAGATAGGGCTTTGGGATTCTATGGGATTCTGTAATGGGGCTATTACCTCCCTTGGCAAAGAAGCCTTTAGGGCGAGCCGTAAAGACATTGAGGCCTCAGAAGTCTTAGAAAGGCCCCAGCTAATAAATATTTAGGGACTAGAGTGTGAAGCTGGTGGGACACACGTCTTGATTCATGTCTGGGTTGGGAACCCCCCCTCGACTTGACATGGAAGCAATCGATGGCAGAGTTTCAACGGCCCCTGGGGAATGAGAGTTCTGGGAGCTCGGGGTTCCTGGTTCCTGGTTCCTGACTTGGGCTGGTTCTTGGCTTGGATGACTAGGTTGGGGTCGTTAGTACCCGTTAGGGCTCAAAACACCGGATGAAAAAAGGGGTAAACCCTTTATCTATGTAGGTAGTCAATTGGTGTTTTAAGTTTTGACGAGTAGTTTATTTGAGTCCACCTTTTTTTCGCTCCCTGGTTGGTACCACCTACGGAAAGCCTCGTTAGGTTTTGATCGCCGCAGGACGAGAACGAAGAGAGGAAAAGTAGGGGCGGAAAGAGAAGAGAAGAGGGAAAGAGATAAATTTGGAGAAAGCCAGCTGACCAAAAACTTTGTTCCTTCTTGGCGTGAAACTCCCGAATCCAGCCAGATCCCATTATGTGCGAAAAGGAAAAAGGTTTCACGTGATGGGCGGGGCCGCCATCCCCCCTTTTTGGTTCGTGGCGCGCACCGGGTTTTTGCGATGCTGCCCATGTGGCCCTGGCGAACGGACTTGGCCGCTGATGTCACCAGACAGGTGGAAGACGCAAGCAAGGGATGGATGGGATGGGGGGTATTCCCTTAGGGTAGCTAGTTGTAAGCCATCCAATTATGTTCGCGGCTGGCTGAATCTTCATTGCTGGAGAACATGCTTGAAGATTCACGGCGTTTCTTGGTGAGTTCAGTCTCCAACTTTAATGCTTGTCTGCATTCGGGGACAAGACGACGCTCTGGCTTATTCACCGACCGGCTTTTCTTGCGGGTATCATTCCGAATTTTGTCGGGGTTTTGTTGAGGATCGGCTGACGATTCTTTGAGAGAGCGAGATTTAATAGGGAGGGTCGGGACTTTTATCTCTACTTGGACGCTTGATGTCTTAGACCCCGGAATCACCTCCACCTTTTGGTAGTCCGTCGGTTTCGCCGCGGAATGCTGCCACAGCCCAAAACCCTTTTTGCCTCGGCCGTTGCTAGCATATCTGGAACCTACACACGTATCACTTTTTTTTTGTAGCCCGTTTATTCCCAGCCCTACACCTTGGGACTTGACGTATTCCCTTTCGTCTTATTCAATTATTCAGACAAAAAGCCCGAACCTTATTTGCGGCTCTCACAGGGACCGGAGGTTGCAGCTGGTGCAAACTTGGTGGGGTTCCTGTCGCACCGTACTTCTGCAAGTAAGCCGCCCTGGCGGAGGCGAATCTCCATTGTCCGAATTCGCATCCCTCCCGCCTCACCCGGTATTCAACCAACGCCACGCCGCAGCCGCATCCGCCAAAGAGGGTTGGATTATCTGACCCTCTCCGACACCCTTTCTACCTTAATTCTAACCACGTCGCTACACGAGCGGTTGCTGCCTCTTTTTTTTCCATCGCATCGCATTTAATCTGAGCCCTTCCTTCTTTCCGCGTCTCGCAAGAACTTCCAACAACACCGCAACACACCCGTCCCGCATTTCGTTCGTTCCTCCGGCTGTCCGCTTGCAGCGCGTGGGACTCTTCGTCATATATTTTCCCATAGAGGGGTCGCACGCTTTCTCTCGAGAGGGGGGGACCGACGTCGCTCTTGAAGATGGCGTGGTCCAAATCGACGCGCATCAAGGTGATGCTCGTCATCGACGTCATGTTCTTCCTGCTCGAATTGGGCGTCGGCTTCGCCGTCCAGTCGCTCGCCTTGATGGCCGACGCCTTCCACATGGTGAGTGATCCCGCGCATGTTGCATTTCCGCTAGCAAACTTCTCAAGACTGAGGATTACTAACTTAACCCTTCCTTGATCTAGCTCAACGACATCATCTCCCTGCTTGTCGGGCTGTGGGCGGTCTCGGTGGCCAGCAAAGCGACGACTGACAGATTCTCATACGGGGTATTGTTTCCTTGTCGATATGACTTCTAAGAAGGCCGGTATCTGATTACTGACTGTGATTTACCGACTGCAGTGGCTCCGCGCCGAAATACTTGGCGCCTTTTTTAATGCTGTTTTCCTCATCGCCCTCTGCGTGTCGATTGTCCTCGAAGCGCTCACGCGACTTATCGATCCACCGACAATCGGGAACCCCCAGCTGATTCTGATTGTCGGCTGCCTTGGTCTGGCTTCAAACTTGGGCGGCTTTCTGGTGCTGGGCGGACACGGCCACTCGCACGGTCCTGGGGAACACAGTCACGGCGAGCACGAACACGACCACGGCGAGGCCCATGAGCATGCCGACGGATATTACGGCGTTGATGGGGCCGAGGAGGGACATGCCGGTGTTGTGGGTGGTCTGCCGAATATTGCAGACGAAAACGGACGCGTGGCCGACCTATTGCCGGAGGTTGCTGTAGCACGATATCATACCGCTTCTGCAGGCCCCGAAACGCCGCCGCGCCACATAAGATTTGAGCACGAGGGCGCGCGCTCCGAGCCTATTGAGCGATGCGGCAGTCGCGCTTCGGTACGCTCTAGGGGAGTGGACCGGCGCACACCTAGCGGCGTGAGACACGGTCGTCTCACTAGCATTGAGGACATCAGCATCCACCCCGCAAGCTTCCGGCAGGATATCATTGACGCCAGCCGGTCTCGTCACGAGGAGGAGTCCAGCAGTGAGAGCAGCGAGAGCAGTGTTGGTGACGACGAGACTGCCGTTTTGGACGAGACAGGACCCGCCGAAGACACGCCTCTGCTTGGGAAGAACGGCCACGGCCACGGCCACGGCTACAGCCACGGCTCGAGCTACGGAGCGCACGAAGATCCGGGACGCCGACGGAGCTCCGAAGTCCACCATGCGCACAACCACAACAAGCCGAAGAAGTCGGTCAGCAAGAGCCACGGCCACAGCCATGGCGACATGGGTATGAACGCCATGGTACTGCACGTCATTGGGGATGCGCTGGGCAACGTGGGAGTTATTGCCACGGCGCTCGTCATCTGGCTGAGCGACTGGAAGTGGCGCTTCTATGCGGACCCTGCTGTGTCTCTGTTCATCACGCTCATCATCCTCCGCTCCGCCATCCCTCTCACCATTGCTGCATCCAAAATCCTCCTACAGGCGACGCCTGACAACATCGATCTCAAGGAGGTTCGAGAGGACATCCAGAACCTTCCAGGGGTCATCAGCTGTCACCACGTGCACATCTGGCAGCTCTCAGACACGAAGCTCGTAGCGTCGATGCACATTCAAGTCGAGTTCCCTATCTCGGAAGCCGGCGGCGAGCGGTACATGGAGCTTGCCAAGATGGCACGCAAGTGTCTCCACGCGTACGGCATCCACAGCGCTACCATCCAGCCCGAGTTCTGCCTCGATGAGGGACACGACCATGGCGACGACACAAGGCTGCAGATGGACGGCGCATTGACGGCGCCAAAGTGCGGCAAGGCCGAGAACAATCTCTGTCTCCTCGAGTGCGTTGACAACTGCACTGATCAGGGCTGCTGCTTGAGTTCGGGTTCACAAGGGTCGCGGCCGGAGAGCAGCCATTCCGGTCACAGTCACTCGGACCACAGCCATTTGGAGCACAACCATTCGGAGCATAGCCATCATTGATTGCACTTACCAGGCGCCAACTCAGTATTTTTCTCCTTGTTTTTTCCTTCGCCGTATAACATTTACCCATTTTCTCTTTTCACTCCGAGCTACCCGCTTACGAAATCTAAAAGGGTAATAGATTAGGTTGAGTTGGGCTTAGGCATAAGGAGTTGGTGGTCGTTTTGGTATTGGGTTCCTTTTTGTATCAATGTTTACGCTGTCTAAACAAGGAGTTTCTTCCTCATCTTGGTGTCAATGACAGGATCGGGAGGAGTTTCGGCGGAATTTTGTCTTTTCCTTTTCCCATTCCTCGCCTTGATCCGAGGCATTAGGAGAAGGAGTCTAGGTTCAGGTTAGGCCCAGTTTTGGTGGCTCGGGTTAGGAGACCAAGTCATTAATTTCTGTGCTGTCTTGTTTCTTTTGACGGGTGGCGAAATCATTGGCATTAAAGGACGTGGGAAAGCTGTCGTGGTTTGATGCGGATATCCACATGTACCTGTGTCTTTCTCTATACCCAGGGGCGGTCAGCATGGATTCATCCGACCTTGCTTGTTCTATTGTATTGTACGTTACGAGGTATTTGGCCATAGACAGGAATGAAGAAGTGAAGCGTAAGAAGCGGAAAAGAGTGGCTGGACTGTTTCTCGTGTAGCAATTCGAAAGGTGTTCTATATATATATTTAATAGTGAAATTATAAGAGATGATGTCTTGAACCCTATTCGCTACCCCTCTTGCCCAGTTGGCCAGGACGGAAACAGCACTTTATGTGAGTTGATATCCCGATCAGGTACTCAGAGACATTTGCGGGCCGAGCTTGACCAGGCCACGACGTGAACGGTCGGGTGTTTTACAGGGGCTAGACGGGTGGCGCTATCGCTTATCGATAATCTACAGCGGCTGGCACATTCCTTATCAATCCCGCTCGCCGGATGACACAACCGACCAACTCGAGAGCACCGCCAACCAACCAACCAGGACCCGTTTACTAAACATGACTTACAAGCACATCTCAAGCCACTTTGCCTTCATATCTCGCTGCTCCAGGAATATTCCCTAATTTATCCAGGGACCATTTCGTAGCAAATTGATCTCTTATTGATGACGATCATACGAAAGCGCAAGGACGACTTTTCAATCCATCTTGAACTTCAATCTTGAATCATGAACCCCCAGGACGAATCCGTATCCAACCCTGAACTCGAGTCTTTCCGTGAACAGTGGAGGGCCGAAGTTCGGGCCAAGGTTGTTCCCCGTCATGCGCCCGCCAAGGCATCGTCCTCGTCCTCATCCTCTGCCTCTACTAGACCTGTCCGGGCCGCAGTAGCGGTCGAGCCTCCGAGAAAGCCGCCGCCGCCGCGGTCCAGCCAGCCCGCCGCAGCCGGCGAGGACGTTGAGGACGACGATGAAACCCCGGCCTTTGGTGGGCCGAGTGCTGCAGCTTCTTCTCAGGACCACGCGCAGCCGAGCACCAAGCTACCTGTACCTGTCCCAGCGGAGCCCGTCACCGCTCTTGATCACTACGAGAAGGCGGTGGAGCGCGAGGTTGCCGGTAACCTGGGCGACAGCCTGAAACTGTATCGCAAAGCGTATAGGGTGAGTGAGCGAGTACTTAGTCCCTGGCATCTGTTGTGCCGCGTAGCCAAGGTCAAAGAGTGTTTGTTGACTGTGTTCCCAACTCTCCCACCCAGTTGGATGATCGCGTCGACCAGGTATACAGGGATAAACACTTTCCAAAGCCCGTCCCTCCAGCGCCGGGCCAGGCGGCTCCAGTATTGGCTCCAGCTTCAGCTGCCCATCAGCCACAGCCAATGAAGGACCTCATCGCGAGCTTTGCTAGCATAGCCATCGAGCCGGGTGCTCCCGAAATCGAGGGAATGCCCCAGCGTCCCTGCCCCGTCGCTTCGCTGCCCGACGAGATCCTAGTCCACGTTCTACGAGATGTCGCCGTGTTGGATGTCGGACTCTTTGTCCGGCTCGCCCAGGTCTGCAAGCGCTTCGCCTATCTGGTCGCAACCGAGGACAGCATCTGGCGCCGCGTGTGTCTAGGTTCCGAGTTCGGCTTCGGCGGCATGCACTACCACTGGCAGCGACAGATCACCTGGGAGCCGCTGACCGAGGAAGACGTCATCCGCGAAGCCGAGGCCAAGGGCGTCGACGGCGAGGGCGGAAGCAGCGCCGACGTGACCACGCCGCCGCCCTGGTCACTCGAGGAGCGGGCGCAGCGTCACGCCGAAGAGAGCGCGGCCGCAACTATGGCCTTCTTCGGGTCCCTGTACGGGTCGAGCTGGCAGCGCATGTTCCAGCTGCGGCCGCGCGTGCGCTTCAACGGCTGCTACATCAGTACGGTTAACTACATGCGCCCCGGGCAGGCCAGCGCCAACTACGTCACCTGGCACAGCCCTGTGCACATCGTTACCTATTACCGCTACCTGCGCTTCTTCCGCGACGGGTCGGCGCTCAGCCTCCTCACGACGTCCGAGCCCGCCGACGTCGTGCACTACCTGACGCGAGAGGCAGTTGCGCTGCACGCCGGTCCCGGCAGCCGCGGCGGCGGCGCCTCGCACCACCTGCCCAGCGCCGTCGTGCAGTCGGCCCTCCGCGGGCGGTGGCGCCTCACCACGGCGGCCGACCGGCCGACGGCATCGCTTAGCGTGGTCGAAGGCGACCTCATCGTCGAGACCGAGGGCGTCAGCAAGTACATCTACCGCCTCGACCTCGCGCTGCGCAGCAGCTCGGCCGCAAAGTCGTCGGCCGCCGGCGCAAAAAACAACAAGCTCGTCTGGCGCGGCTTCTACAGCTACAACCGCCTCACCGACGATTGGGCCGAGTTCGCGCTCAAGAACGACAAGCCATTCTTCTTCAGCAGGGTCAAGAGCTACGGTGTCAAGGGGGAGTGAGCGGTGTGCTTCTCCTGGGTGAGGGGGGACAGGGGCTGGTTTCTCTTGATGCAAATCTTTTTTCTTTTCTTTCGTTAAACCTAACTGACAAATTTATGGGAGTGTGATCTTAGACTGGCGTGGTGCTTTACAAGCGTATGATATGGCATGAGACAGAGTCTTTGCTCGCTAACAATGCAAGGTCAAGCCAGGCGGTGGCATTGGGTCTAGAAAGGGCGTTTTTTTGTTTTTGAAAGGGATATAGGCGTCATGTGGTTATTATTAAGAGAAGCAAACATGGCGCGATGGTACCTCTCTAACTAGCTGGATGTCCGTAGCTAAATGTTTGTTCATTTCCGTGGGCGATATTGTGCATACTTTGGGTAGGTGGGCAAAGACAATGTAGGTAGGTGGGTAGGTAAGTAAACAAGGCGGTTCCGTGCGGGCGATGCAGTTGGCGGTTCTACAAAACAAATATTGATTTCTTCCAAATCTTGAAATGAAGTCGGGTGACCTGCTACCCACCCCTCTCTCGAGGTGGTGTTTCTTTCTCGTGGGAGCTTTTTTCTCATCTCCTCTGGTTCTATTCCCATTCTCGTGACCAAGCCTCTCGCGTTTTGTTTCTGTTTTTTTCGGCTTCTTCCTATCTGTCCACTCCACCGTCTTGTCACCGTGGGCACAGAGTGCCTCTGCATTCTTACACTCCCTTTTACAGTCTTATGCTCTCGTTGCCTAAAACATTTGTCAATATTTGCACTTGGGGTGAGACGCTGGCTTACACCGACAATTTCTTACGCGGGCTCTCCCGAGCCCAGCCATGTTCAGCTGGCTGGCTGACGGATAGCCAGCCACATCGGGTGGATGGGGAGCTCGTCCCCGAGTCCCAAGCCAATAATTGGCCGCGATCAGCTCGGCAGTCCACAATGACAGACGGGTGTGGCGGAGAAGGGAAGAAGTAAAAGAGGCTGCAGACGCAAAGAAACCTATCATAGGGGCACCAGAATATGCACCATGCGGCTTAAGATGCACGGTAACAGGCTTTTCGGGGCTTGACAGACTATTGAACGGAAAGACAAGGTGAAACTACAGCGGTACTTGCTACACGTGCTGGTTACCAAGTTGCACAATGTTGAGTTGTTGTGCACCAGCCCGCGCAGAAGAAACATACTCCTTCCAGCTCGCCAAGCCTTCTTATCAAGCAACAGAGAACGTCAGCTACGTCCCCCTGTCACTCAATGATTGCCGTCCAGCCACGTTACACAGAATCATCGTCTGATGAATTGGGCGCCAATATTTTTTTCCCCGGACCTAGTGTGTTTTGACGCCCACTGCGCGCCTCCCCAGCGAAGACGAAATTAATAAATGCGCCGCACCGCGCCGTGCCGGAGTGGGTGGCCGCCAACGGCCCAGATCAACGGCCGTGGGGGCCTGCTAAGACGATCGCTATCGGGTGCTAGACTGAAGTAAGCCACGAAGAAACGCCTTCGGGAGATCCGCGCCATCAAAAGAGGGGTGGGGGAGGCATATACGGAGAAAATGATAAAAACTACCTGAGACAACGATAACAAGAGAATGGTAGCTGGGAAACGAGGGCATCCGTGACAGGCGTCTAGAACAGGGACACAAAGGCAGCAGAACCGAATCTACGGATTCCCAAAGGTTGGTATACCTCCACGGTACGGATACAGACATATGAGATGCTGTGTAACACAAGAATCAAGAAAAAGAGGTTGTCCAGCTGAGGTAATGGAAGGTCTGGCCTGTTGCTTATGATGCTAGAAAGTTAATAGTGAGAGAAGAGCCCCACTGACTCCATCGCGACGGACTTCCGCCAGCCAAAAAGGACGGGAAGGCGCGTCTCGATTCTCAAGGCTGTCAACCCCAGTATCGGTCACGTACCTGCATTGCCTCTCTTACTCGGGACCTGATGTTGGGAAGGAGCGAGTGTTGGTGATGCAACTGCTGCTAGTGCCCACCACTGCCACAGACTGACTGACTGCATTCTTATTCCATCTTGGTTGGAGTCCAAGTGTGATACGTAGATGGATGGATGCTGTCATCACCATCCCTCCCAACCCCCCGGGCCCAAAAAGAAAAAGAAGCACTGGGGTCCATAAGTATCCCATCTCATCTTCTTACCCTATACTGTACCTCGCGTGTGCGTATTCCGTATCACTATCATCCGAACTTTTCCCCTGTCATCACCATCCCAAGGCGCGCACTCGGATGCGTACGTGTTTGCCTCGTCGCCAGCGCCTGTTCAGCGTCCCGTCCCGAATACTCGAATATCCCAACTGCCATTGGCGAAAGGGATGAGTGGATGGCGGAGCGATTCATGCAGGTACGGCAATCCATACATGCAGCAGATCCGCAAGTTCCGGGGAGTTAATGAGCGAATGGAATGGGTTGGGATTGTTTGTCGTTGGGCGTGGCTCTCGAAGACGGGGGGAAGATGCTCACTAGTAAGGAACAAAATCCTGCATTTCGCAAATTGAAAGTTTATTCTCTCTCCTCCTTTCCCTGCTTACACGCGCCTCCATGCGGTGACATTGCCGCTTTCCGGCTAGTAACCTGGTGTTTTGCCTTCGGCAAGGCGGGCACGGGGGCACGGGTTCAACTCCTACAACAACGCCGGCCTGTTGGTGTTAGCAGTTGGTTCAAAAAATCGTACCGAGAACCTGCCGAGAAGATGGACTTTGCATAGCGTGCGGGCTATATCGAAATTTTTGGTGCAACCTCTCCTCTCGTCGTGCGGATTATATTGTTGTTATTGCCTCCATTACGAACAGGCTCATCGCCAACGTTGACGGGCCGCATTTGGGACGACTTCCACGGACACCCAAGGCACCGGCGCACTCAAAAGACGTTCAATACGCGGATCGGGTTTATGCTTATTTCGTCCTTCTCCTAGTCTCCTCCAGCAGCTCGGGTCTGGCCCGCCCTGGAAAATGCTTCCATGCACAGAGTATTCAACTAGGGGATCTATCTGGCAACGGGGGTTCTAGATTTGCGGGAGCGTCGACGATCCTAGACCCGACGTGGGACAAGAAACAGACACGATTCCCTTTCGGGCCAACTACTGCTGTCTTCACTCTGCAGCAACCCCCCTGCCGCCTGGTCCCGCCCTATGCCACAGCAGCTTAGCTGAGCTTGCTCGCCCAAGCCACTGGGCGCTTGCTTGCTTTAGACTCTTGGCATTTGGTGCCATTCACGATAGCCGAATCCCTGTCATCCGCTTCCTGCAACCTTTTTCTTCTCTTTTATCAGTCAGGGCTTACGGCACATATGCCATGGTTGTGGTGCGTGGCCTGCAAGGCCGCCACACGAGATTACACCACATACCGGTACCTAGCTAATGGCCAAGGTACGGGGTACTTTGTACCGGAGTTGGCGTCGTGCGTGGGGTGGGGAGGCTCAAAGAGGGAGAGGACGAGAAAAAGGCAAAGAGACGCGGCGCGTCGTCGACGTCAAGAGCAAGCAAGAGAGAGGCGAGCCTCCTCTAGCCTAGCCTGCAGCCTGCAATATACTGTGCAGCACAGTACATACGTTGACCTGGCTCGACTCCCCAAGTGGCCGAGTGAGCCTCTTGGGGTTGTGCCTGTTGCATTCTTGGCCCCCCGTCTTCTCGTCAGATCCAAGGTAATCAACCTTATCACGCCCCCCTTTTCGTCTTCCTTTTCGTCAGACACAGGCCAGCCCTACGGAGTATGTACCTCGTATATCTGCACCTTGCCCGCACGGAGCATTGCCTCCCCTCCTCCGGCTTGCCAAGTCCGTCAACGGAAGACACTCTTGAGACTCCCGGCAAGCCAATGTGCGCGGCTAAGCATACTGCTCTCTACCTCTTTATTTATCTTGTTGATTTGCTTCGCGCCTACACCCTTTCTCGCTAGGTCGTGAAAGTCATCAAGTTGGGGGGTAACTATATCGCCTGTCCTTTCCTTAAACATCTGGATGTCGCTCCTTTGGCTGCTACGGTACCGCACGTCTAGTAGCAGCACACACACCTCGTTCTTTTGTTGACTTGACTTCGCTCCTTTGATGTCTTGACACGGCATTGGTAGTTCATTCTTTCGTTTGAATATCCTAGGTACCACCCGACATCGCTTGCCGTTGTTTTTCTTGAGCAAAAAGTGTACTAGGGTTCGAGTCACTCTTTGCTATCGGGATGAAGGGAATACTTGGCTTGCTGGCTACTGCTCTGTGGCTAGCTCTAGTCAGCTCGTACGCACCGACCGACTCGATTCAAGATGCCGTGAGAGCCCCTGCCCCTATGTCGACTGAAGATGGCGTCCTCTTAACACAAAGTGCCTGTCTAGGACCCCGCTCAATCTGGCTATCTGCCAAACCACAACATGGACCCGAACGTGGTGGGATCCTCGAGCTTCGGCATCCTCTGGACACAGCCAATGACAAACCCACTCGAGACATGGTATGCCAAGCCGCTCGTTTACACCATCGGGGGAATCGAGATGGTGATCACGGCGTCCAATTTGAACAATGTGCGGATCCACAACTCCAAGATTGGCGACTTGATCAACTCGAGACAACTCCAGCCTCCGTTCCTACGAAGCGATATCGATTGTGCCGACGTCCCAGACTACATTGGTGTTACGGGCACTCCCATCATCGACCCTGCCACCGATATCATGTAAGACGGCCGTCCTTGGCTTGTGTTGGTTTTTTTGTGAGTATGCTAACGAGACTTTAGCTACATGTTTGCCAAGGGCTATAAAGGAGGTGGGCAATAGCACCGACATGTTTTTTGGGGGAATTCTTGTTGACGGTTCTATTCAGGAGCTGCTAGCGGTGGTGTGGTCAATGGTATTCCTCCAGAACTTGCTCTGCTCGTGTCATTCAGACTTCTCACTCTTCACTCATAGGCATATACCAGATGTATGCGCTGCAGCTGCCGACTCTAGCCGACGTCTCTAGCTTTCCGGTTTCTATGGAAGGCCACAACGCGGACAACGATCCAGCCAAGTACTTCATCGGAGGCACCGTGCTGCAGAGACCCGCTCTGGCAACCGTAAACGGCGTTATTCTCGTGGCATTTGGCGGCCATTGCGACCTGTTCAACTATACCGGATACGCGGCGGCCGTCAGCAAGACGCCTGGAGTTGGTGTAGTGAGGTATGCTGTATTGCCTGTGGCTCAAGGGAACCCACACTGACACGGCACAGTATGTATGCTATGGAGGCTGCTCCCGGCGCCCCTCCACAACAAGCGCTGGTTCTTATGAACCAGAATGGTGGCAAGGCCGGCATCTGGCAGAGTGGAATGGGCATCGCTGTCGATGGATCGCGATTCTTCGTTGTCACCGGGTGAGTCTGCCTGCCCCGGCCCATTATGTCGCCCCTGGCATGGCGATTCTGACATGACGTGATATATATAGTAACGGCCTGGGGCATGCCAACGGAAACGTTCCCGCCAGTGGCCGGCTCCCGCTCAGTACCTTGGACGAGTGCGTGGTCAATTTCGGCATCTCCTCGACAGGGAAAATCTCTCTCACCGATTACTTCGAGCCTTACGACTACGTGAACATGGATGCTGACGACAAGGATCTTGGCTCGTCTGGCCTGTGTCTGCTTGACCCGTCTACCTTCCAAGCCGGCACCGTGTCTCGTATCGCCGTGACTGTGGGAAAGAACTCAAAGGTCTACGTCATGAATGCAAATAACCTGGGCGGTTTCAAGCAGGGAAGCGGCGGAACAGACAACGTCATCCAAACCATCACTACCACAAACTCCGCCTTTGGTGGAGCGGGGAGTTATCCTCTGGAAGGGGGGTATTTCTACTTCACCCCTGTCGGCGACTATACATATGCGTACAAATTCGGTACCGACGGTTCCGGGGGGCCCTTCTTCACCCAGGCTGGCAAAACTCTATCCGTGTCGGCTGGTCGGGCTGGCAATGGCCAACCTACAGTCACCTCTAACAAGGGGCAGCCGGGCACTGGAATTGTACGTTCGGCCTCGCAGTTATCGAGATGTGCTTTGGAGCATGTTGCGGAATGATTTGGCTAACGTTAGGCTTAGTTGTGGGTTACCGACGTCAACTCCGGTCTGAACGCATACAGGGCGGTGCCAGATTCAGGGGGCATTCTACGAACTCTCCCATTACCCGCGACTCCCGGGATCAACAAATACCAGCGTCCCGCCTTTGGTGACGGCCGGGTTTTTGTCACGGCGGGCAACAAAATCATCGCTCTTGGTGCTCCGGTCAACCGGCCTTTGACGTGCATCGATCCCGTCGATTTCGGCTCGGTTCAAACCGGGTCCACCGGAACGGCGACGGTCTCATGCACGGCAAATATACTGATCACGAAGATCAACGGTTGCACAACTGCGGACCCCCGGTTTCAGTGCAAGAACTCGACGTTGCCGACTGGGCAACTTGCTACTGGAGCAACTTTCAGCTTTCCAGTTACTTGGAATCTCAGTAGCGATGCTCTGGCGACCTTGCAGAACACGAGTTATGGGACTGTGATTCCTGGTATCGACGGCTCTGTGCTCTCCGTCTATACTACCAACGGTGTGGGTGGTTACACTAACATTGTCCCCATTTCCCTCACCGGATCAGTCGTCAGCAGCGCGCCGTTTTTGCTCATCACCCCTGGACAGGTGGATTTTGGGGGTTTGGTGTTGGGAAATGCAAATTCAGCGAATAGCTTGACTGCCTCTGTTTCCATCCAGAACGTTGGCAACAGCACCTTGACCATCACGGGCATGGCATGGCGGGTCGGCAACGACTCTACAACCACTTTCACCAATATTACCTTCTCGGGGACGAGAGCAACATTCGGCCTGGGATTCTTTGCGCCGTCCTTTCCAGCACCCGCAAGCACGCTTGCGGCCAGCCAGTCTCGCGGTGTCCCTCTCTATTTCAACACCACTGCCAGCGGCTCTTATTCCATCTCTCTCACGATTTGGACCAACGGTGGGGTTGGCAAAGTCTTGCTCTCGGCCTCTGCTGGAAACCCTCCCATTGCTTCGATCGCCGTGTCGACTTCGGAAAATGGGTGGGATACCAGCGTGCCGCTGGCAATGAGCTTTGGGGATGTCCTCGCTGGCACGACTGTTACAAAGCGGATCCGTCTCTGCAATACGGGCGGCTCTGTCCTCACAATTACAAAGTCCAAGCCGCCGATTGCGGCCCAGCTAACTTCAACAAACCCTTACGGCGATCTACTTGAAGGCCAAAAGATTGCAGTGGGCGCCTGCGCTTACGGGACCGTGGCTGTCTATGCCGGAACAGTCCAGCCGAATCACCCGGCCCAGAATCTCGCAGACGCATGGGTTCTCAATGCCGATGGCCAGGATGCCCTCAACCCTACCCAGCCATTTGGCGTCCACGATCTCGCGATATCGGCACGGATTGTATCTCGACAGGTAGGCCCGCCTCTATCAAACGGACTCGGACGCTATCAGTGGACCGGATGCTTCCGTGACAGCAACGGTCGTACTCTGGCCACCCAGATCAACAACGCTGCCCAGGAGGCTACCAACACCAACGAGCAATGCCAGACCTTGTGCTTTGCCGCCGGGTACACATTCGCCGCAACTGAATATCACCAAGAGTGTTGGTGCGGCAACACTATCAACAATCCGTCCACTTACACCAGCGATTCTCAAAACTTCTGCACCTTCTCTTGCAATAGCGACGCGAGCGAATCTTGTGGCGGCGATGGGAGCTACGTGAGCCTGTATGCAGACACTACCAAGTTCGATATCCAGGCCTTCCTAAACTCGATAAACGGCGTACCAACGTCAACAAGCTCTATCGCGACCTCATCCACGAGGTTTTCAAGCTCGTCCACGAGGTTATCAAGCTCTTCGTCACTGACTACCATCTCGACAACTTCCAGCACCCCGTCAACAACTCCTTCGGGCTCTCCATTGAACCCCAACGAACCCGCCGTCATTAGCGGGCAGTGGAACTATATTGGCTGCTACAAGGATAATATTAATGGGCTTCGGTCGCTATCTTCGGCGAGCACAGCTTCTGGTACCATGACGCTGGAGGCATGTGCGAGCTTCTGTTCTGCCTACAATTTCTTTGGCACCGAATACTCGAGCGAATGCTATTGTGGCTTCAAGCTCAGCACAGCGACGCTGAAGGCGAGTGAAGATGACTGCATCGCCACGTGCTCCGGCAACCCAGCTCAGATTTGCGGCACTGGCGACCGCCTCTCGGTGTACAACAATACGGTGTACCTTTCGCCGCCGTCGCAGCCATCGCACGTCCCGAGGGCGGGCAACTACGTATGGTCTGGATGCTATACCGAGATCGCGGCTGGCCGTGCTTTGTCTCTGGCTGGTACTGCTGCTGATACCATGACGATCGAGGTGTGCGCTGCGTTCTGCGCCGGCAACAACGCCCAGTTCATGGGCGTCGAGTACGGCCGGGAATGCTACTGCGGAAACACGCTCGACCTCGGCTCGACGCAGGTCGACCCGACGGCCTGCAACATGCTCTGCCAGGCAAATCCTCTGGAATTCTGCGGCGCCGGCGCCAGGATTGAGCTGTATTCGTACTCGGCACTCCCGAGCTCGACGACTTCCAGTACATTGGTGGTCTCAACCACGTCAAAGTCGTCAACAAGCTCGACAAGCTCAACGACATCAAGCTCGACAAGCTCGAGAAGCTCGACAACCTCATCAACTTCATCAACTTCATCGAGCTCGTCCTCGACAAGCAAGTCCAGTTCATCAACATCGTCAAGCTCGACAACATTGTCAAGCATGTCCAGTTCATCAACATCGTCAAGCTCGTCAACTTCGTCGAGCTCGTCAAGCAAGTCCAGCACGTCGGACGCTTCAACCTCTTCATCATCTTCGTCTTCGTCGTCAACGAGCACCGGACCGACTCCTACGGCGACGAACGGCTACTATCACATCGGCTGCTACTCGGACACATCGAACGGCCATGCGCTCCCGAATCTCAATTCGAACAGCAGCATGACACCAGAGCTTTGCATTGCCATCGCTAACAGCATGTACAGTGCGGCGCCGACTCCAACAGCAGCGGCTCGCCTACCATATCTATTCCTCGAGTACCACCATGAATGCTATGGAGGAACGAGCTTCGACTTCAGGGGCAGCGCGGTGACAACACTGGTGGGCCAGAACGCCTGCACCGACTACTGCTCTGGCAGCATCGTGACTTTCACCACCAACGGCGTGGCGTCGACGACGACGGACCTGGCCAATAGGTGCGGCGGCGCCAAACAGTTTGATCTGTACGCGCTGTCCACGGCGGTGGTATTCCCAACGACGGGCGGGCCTGTGGCGACAGTCACGGCGCCGTGATCAGGGAGTCGTGCAGGACGTTGATGAGCTATTGGGACACCTTTTTTCTCTCAAAAAAATAATTATTATATAGAGGCTTTGATGTAGATATATTCCTCCCTAGTTAGGTATTGTTCATTCACTCATAATTTAACCCGAACTAGGCTGCTGTCGTCGGCCTACCCGATGCTTTTCCTCTTCCAGCATGCCCTGCCACAATGCGTATACAAAACCGGAGGATCGAGGATTTAAAGTCGCCATTGACACAACGCGAATGCAACGCTGTGTATCCGAAGAGACCAATACGCTCTACTTCGTATTCAACGACCAAGGGGAATACCTGGCGACTTACTTTACTTAGGTACCGAATGTGTCCACGGGTTTGGTTACTGAATGAGTGGAGGCACCTTGTTTTAATCTGATTTTGTTACCTGATCGAAGCGTACTCGGTATTATTTTTTCGGATTGCTTAGAAGAGGCAAAACAAACTGTTGTTGGGCCACTGTGTCAACCAGCTCGAAAAGGGGCGGATATCCCGACGACCTAGGTAACTGAGGTGGAAAAAAGATTAACCTACCTATGCCCGTCAGTGCCACCAGTTTCACTTTCAGGGGCCGACGATGCGAGACCAAGGGGCCGGACCCATCTCACAGGCTGATTTGCTTTGGGGGGGGCCCTGAAGACGGCCGACGACAGCTGGTGGGACCATGTCTCGGGGTCCGCTGCGGCCTGCTCAGCCGCACCCCGCCGTTGGCAGCGGCCCAATTAGTAGCCGCTCCAGGCCCATGGGCCCCTACAACCTAGTCCAGCTGCAGTTCTAGACCACCTGCTAGCCCGCCCGGCCCGTCAAAACGACACGAGACACCCACTAAGAATAAAACAGATGTGTTGGGATCGAATTGCGCCGGCGCTCCTCCCTCTCGACCGACCTCTGGCAATTGCAAAAGAAAGCGTCGGGTTCGATGCGACAATGTTGATCAGGCATCGCGGAGCCTGTGACACTTTTGATTCAGCGACAACGACGAAATGGCGCTAGGCGGCGTGCTATCGCAGCTAGGGAACATCTACGATGTCGACACGCTGGACACGCGCTTCACCACGCCCCCGGGCCTCTCCTACAAGGCCGTCATCGACGCCCGCTCCGACAAGCGCAGCGACGACGCCCTGATTCCGAATACAAACACAAACCCCAATAAGCTCGAGGGCAACAAGCGGCCCCAGTCGCCCCCGCGATGGCGCACTCCCGAATTCTATCTTTATTACCTCCTCCTCTCCTTCATCATCACCTCCATGTTCTGGGTCGCAGGCGGTGTCTCTCAACGTACGTCCCCCCCCTCGGTGCTTCACAGCGTTGGACATACCATACAGTGCAGCAGGATTCGAGACTTCCCCTCTCAAATTATTACTGGTTCTCGTTTCTGATCTCTGGACCTGTTGTGCGGGTGTCGTCGTTTTAGCTTCCGATGTCAGATATTACAAGTTCGAGCGCTACCTGTCTCCGGGCTGGATTCCCGGCCGCAAGATCGTAAGCCCCTGAACCATAAACAAAAAAAAACGTGTCCCGCTTTTTTGTCTGCTCGTCTTCTAAACGTAGACTCTTTGCCCCTACATGTAGGATATATCCGACGCCCAGTACTTCACCTTCCGCAAGAACCTCCCGTACATGGGCCTCCTCCTCGTCTTCCACCCGCTCCTGCGCCGCGTTTGGGAAGCCGTCTATAGCCCCGCCGCCGCCACCAGCTCCCCCTCGCGCGGCCACGCGCCGTCAAGGCCCGGGACCCCGACCCCCGAGGCTGCCGACGCCCGCCTGTGTCGGCGCACCTCGTTCGACTATGCCTTTGCCATCGCCTACCTCGTCGCCCTGCACGGCTTCTCGGCCGCCAAGATCCTGCTGATCTTGCTCGTCAACTTCAAGATCGCTACAGGCGGCCTGCCGAGGAAGTACATCCCCGCCGCCACGTGGGCGTTCAACATCTGCACCTTGTTTGCCAACGAGGTGTGCCACGGCTACAAGTTCCGCAGCATCGCCCTGTTCTTTAGTGGTGGCGGCGCGGCCGGCGACCTGTTGTCGGACCCCTCGTCCCTAGTGCGCCTGGGCGACTGGCTGGACGGCCACGGCGGGCTCATGCCCCGGTGGCAGATCCTGTTCAATATTACTGTTCTCCGCCTCGTCAGCTTCAACCTCGACTACTACTGGAGTCTGAACTCGCGGGCTGCTAGTCCCATGGAGGTGCGAACACACACACACACCCCGGCCTCTCCACCCCCTTTTTTGTTTTTGTTCCCCTTCTTTTACCTTGCGGAAGACTGGCTAATACCCCAAAGAAGAAGCAGCTGGACCCTGCCAACCTCTCGGAGCGGGACCGTGTCAGCATCCCGGCGGCGCCGGGCGACTTCTGCTTCCGCAACTACATAGGCTACGTCATATACGCGCCGCTGTACCTGACGGGGCCCATCATCACGTTCAACGACTACATCTCGCAGCAGCGGTACCGGCCGGCGAGCATCGAGACGCCGCGCACGGTGCGGTACGGCGTGCGGTTCCTGCTCGTGCTGCTGTGCATGGAGGTGGTGCTGCACTATGTGTGGGTGGGCGCTATCTCTAAGGCCGGCGCCGACTGGAGCTCGTACACGCCAGCGCAGACCAGCATGCTGTCCTTCTTCAACCTGCACATCATCTGGCTCAAGCTGCTGCTGCCGTGGCGCTTCTTCCGCCTGTGGGCCCTCGTCGACGGCATCGACCCGCCCGAGAACATGCTGCGCTGCGTCAGCGACAACTACAGCACGCTGTCCTTCTGGCGCGCCTGGCATCGCTCCTACTACCGCTGGCTGCTGCGCTACATCTACATCCCGCTCGGCGGCGCCGGCTTCCGCTCGTGGCGCGACTCGGCGCGCTCCGTGGTTACCTATCTAATGGTCTTCACCTTCGTCGCCATGTGGCACGACATCAAGCTCAACCTGCTCATCTGGGGCTGGCTCATCGTCTTCTTCTTCCTCCCCGAGATCGCCGCCACCTACCTGTTCCCCCGCCGACAGTGGGAGGCTCGCCCCACCGCCTACCGCATGCTGTGCTGCGCTGGCGCCGTCGCAAACGTCCTCATGATGATCTCGGCCAATCTTGTTGGCTTCGCCGTTGGGATCGACGGCCTGCAGAGCATCCTGCGCGGTATCCTCTACGAGTACTCGGGTGTGTTTCTCCTCTTTTTTCTCCTCCCCAGATAATTATAAATCTAGGAAGATGGGATGAAACATAATAAAATAAAGAGAACAACCGCTAATTTGTTATTATATCTGTCTAGGCCTTTTATTCCTCGTCACGGCCTGCGGCGCCCTCTTCGTCGGCATCCAGGTCATGTTCGAGATCCGCGAGTCTGAGCTGCGCAGGGGCATCGTCATGAAGTGCTGAATTGTTGAATCAATCCAAAAGGGGAAAAAAGAAAGAGAGAAGAATAAAAAGAAAAAGGGGGTTGCATGCCCGCCCGCCTATTATGTTATTATAATAATATTGTTTTATCACATATCATTGGGACGGGGAAAGGGGAATATTGCGTCGACAGACGGTGAGCTGACGATGAGTGAGTGAATAAGCTCTCGCGCTGGGTTGGTTTCGTGTGCTGTACTGTACGAGGGACAGGGCAGAGTATACCTCTATTATATTATATCGTGTAGGACTTTTGTGTAAGTTGTACGAGAAGCATATGGAGATGGAGAGGAAATAACATCGAAAAAGAGATTTGGACATTCATTGGGTGACGTATTGTCTATGTGTCTATGATGACCTAACTGTGGTAGTGAGGGAGTATGTATGTGTGTGCTTATCGGGTATATTCCTGGGCAGGTTAGTAGGTAGGTATGTAGATAGGCATGGCGACGTACTTTGCGAGACTCGATCTTTAAGATGGAGATGCGTTTGTAAAAAGATCACGTCTCCACGTTTGCCTTCTTCCATTACATTTTCCCTCTTTTCTGCCTGCCCCTTTCTGTATCTGGAAGATGGAGAGGGGGGAAGTGAGGAAGGGGGGAAGTGGGGAAGGGGGGAAGTGAGGAGGGGGGGAAGTGAGGGAGAGGGCTTTGGCCTGTTCTCTCCCTTCCACCTTGTTTTGTTACAGTTTTTTTTGCTTCTCGTCTCCTTTCCTGTTGCCATTCCATTCTCTGACTTCCCTTGTTTCCTCTCCTCACCCCCGTGCTATGTCCCTGCCAGACATATCCGTAGTACTTAGGTGTATGTATGTACGTACATACTTGACTAGGATAACGACGCAGCATGCCCGTGAGAGCCGAGCGAAGTCCCAAAATAGCGCAAGGCACCTCCATAGACGGAACTCCCCGGCGAGTCTCTGAGGGTTACCCGTGGCTACTGTGTCCCCCGCCGATGTATGTATGTACATCCCGAAGCACGTTGACGGCGCTTTAAATAGACGGCAAGCAGCGGATCACAACTCTTCCAAATAGAGGAGTTGATGAGGCTGGCGATTAGCAGACGCGTCCCACCACTACTGATCCTCCCGGACAGCGACAGGGCTTGCTCCGGCCGGGCCAGGCGTGCCAGATATCGTCTCACCCGAGCATTCGATAGTGTGTATTCTTTGTCTACAGGACGGACATCCTGGGGCGGACGCACGCAGGCAATCCAGCGGGAAATGTGGCGGCTCCGTCTACCAGCCAAGGCATTTCCAACCTTGCGGTTCGACGAGGTAAAGGGGAAGGAAGGAAGAAAGAAAGAAAGAAGCTCGAGCTGGGATGGTGCGCGTCAAGAAGCTTGCCTTGACTGTTCTAGCTCACATAACTTCCACAAGTTCCTGGGAGCGATCCCCACCACTAACGTGCGGCCTGACGCCATCCCACGGGTGCTTCCCAGAATAGACAGCCCCCCCGACAGCCCTGTTGTGCATCGGGGTAGGGCACCGCGCAACCACGACGCGTTACCCGGGTAGTTACGAGGGAGATTCCAGTGGGCAGGGCACTTGCAGACACAGGAGGACCCGGGCAGATCACTCGAGGATGACGCCCTAGCGGCAACTCTGCTGTTAGGGGGTGGACCCTCTAGAGCCAATATTCCCTCGGGCTTTGCAGCGGCGAAGGGGGGAATCTCTTGCCTACGACCCAACGGCTATGTTGGGCCTAGAGAGAGAAACGGGGATTCGTTGCCATGTCATAGTCCCAGATGACTAAAAATGGGGCGCTGGGAGTTTGCGTTAGGCGTAAGTGTGATATTTCGTCAACTCCAAGGGGTCGATTTGACTTGGAGAGGTGTGGGATAGGATGGTGGTGTCTGTGTAGGCATGTATAGCTTCAACTGGGCCGCAACACGGCCCAGAGATTAGGTGCCACTTGACATCGACAACGACTTCGACCGAGGGGTGTTGAGAATAGAACAGAGCAGTCCCTCTCGAAGCTTTGGCAGCTTCAAGAACTGAAAGACTGACAGCCGTTCATCCGAACGCGTTCCCTTCCATCTTTCGGGATTATCGACAACCGAGAACGCCGGACATCGAAAGGGTGTGAAGTAGCTGGGTTCGACTAGGCCTGCAGTCAAGTGTCAACAAATATTTGCATATCCCTTCCCGTCCCCCGCGATGCACAAGTTCCCTTTCTCACATCGGGGACAGCTTGTCCCGCACATTGCTCTAATTATAGTCGAGCCATCTTACTGTGGGTAGCACAGGACAGCGAGCAACCACTGGGCCGCTAGCTGCCGACTGGACGACACGACGGCAATGGATTCGACAAGGCTTGGTAATCCCTTCTTTGCAATCTCTTTGCACCCTTTTCGGAGTTTTATTTCGTTCGAAACGTGTGCCTGTCGGGGCGGGTCAATGACTTTCTTGCATGAGATGGATATTCGCCATGTTAACTAGGGGGACCTGGTCTATAGGGAGGAAAACAGGGTCAAAATAGAACTTTCTTACTTGGCGCTCACATATCTCCTTGGTTTCGGGACCCAGTCGGTTGGGTCGGCCGTGACGGTTGGCAAGTTCATGGCTTTTTTTTTGCGGGTCAGGGTCCGTCCGCCAAACCCAGCCCGCAACGGCACAGGCGGGCCTTGTTCGACGACCTTGGAGCCAAGGATGGTATTTTTGGCAGCAGTACGGAGTCATCCCGCATCCAGCCCAGTACGCGTGTCTGCTCGGCAGGCTGGCAGGCTTGTGACAGGCCAGCCACATCGCGGCTGTTGGGAGTCTTGAGCGCGACTCCACGGGATGAATCGCCCGCCCATGGGATGCAGGAAATCACATAGGCCATGTGTTTCTACTGCGTAGTTAGCCTTGCGCAGAAGGGCCGGGACCTGGGCCTTCTTTTTCCCATCCCCGCAATCCATACGATTGGGATGGGAACAAGGCTAAAGTTGACAACCGGACCGGGTGTTCGCCCACCTACCGGTATATGATATGACGAAATGGCACGGCCGCCAGCTGCACTCCAGATCCCTCGTCTCTTGTCCGGGCGTCGGTTTCTGTGTCTGTGAACTTGGAGAACCGGGTTTTCATGGCATCCAGGACAGCCAGGACGTGTCCCGGTCCAGGTTGATGATGCCTCCAAAATCTGGATCGCTAGCTGGACTGCTGGGTCCGTGTGCGATGTGTGGTGTTTGGTCAGAAGGAACATTTTCGTCCCAATCACATGGCGTCGATCGCCAATAACCTTGGCCCAACTGCGTACGTAAAATGCACACTTGAGTAAGGTAGGGATGTAGATGGACGCATCTCCGAAACAAATTCATATCAGTCAAGGACTCGATGAAGGTGGCGAACGCAAGCCACGTCGGCGCGACGGGAAGAGGGAGGTGTCATTCATCTACACGCCCACGACGACGACAATTACTGGCGCCCGTCAATGATATTCAACCAAAGACTTCGGTACATGTTTAGGCGCTTCTTTTGCCGCCTTGCAAAGAAAGTCGGAGGAGGGACGGCGGGAGTAACTGTCCTTTGGGCGCCTGAGCTGCCGCCGCGCTGCGTGCCGACGAGGGCCATCACACGAGAAACCGCTCCGTGTACCTCCGAACAGGAGAATTAGCAAAGTCGTGTTCCAGTCTAGCTTTTGGATAGGTAGAGAGCCGCCTAGGCTCATGACGGCTCTAGGTTGGGCTTCTACGCAACTTCCATATTTCTTGACTGGAAGGTATCGTAAACAGCTTGGACTAAAGGAACTTTGAAGCATGCGGTCTGTCTAGTGTCTGCATTGCAAGATGGCGCCACTCCGGTCTAGGCGTCGGGCAATCGCTCTTGCCGATCTATCGCGCAACCCGCGCGTCTCTCTCGCCTATTGCGCACAGTGCCAGGATGCGTCTTTAAGTTGTGGGCGAGCCGGGCCTTTGTATACTTGGTGCTGGACACACAATACGGCACGGAATGCTGTGGGATACTACAACATACAAGAGTGCAGCACAGCTTCTGCCGCCTTGACTGCCAGCCTCGCCGCCTTACTTTGCCTCGGATTGCCTTGCCTTGCGCTGTGCTGTCGATATCTCCGGCTATACTCTGTAGACCACAGAATCGCTTCCACGGCTGCGAGAGTGGGAGGTACTGTGCCAGCGTCAGTAGCCCATCCACTCTCAATGCCCGGCTGCTGTTGGCTAGCTGGCCGCGGGAAAAGGCAATCTCGCAGACGCAGAGAGGAGTAACCCAAGCATCGAATGCGGCCTGCTGGCATTGGGCAAGGATGCTCTCAGTGCGGGAGCTGGCGAGCGTCTAGATGCAGCGTGACTCTGGCTGTGATTGGCTCTGCACGGCCAGGGGGCAAGGGGGATGTCTATTTTGGGCGGCTAATGGCTCCCCTCGTCTCCCGCCATTCTGCCCCTCTTGTCGCGGAGCTGTCCACTCAGGTCGGCGGGGGACAGCAGACAGCCAGCTGCTCACCAGCGCGGCCAATTCTCTCGTCGCCGAGCCCAGCGCTTAAAATCCAGCATCGCACTGCAGCGGAAAGCCCAGCTTCCAGACGTTGCTGCATGAGGCAAGGCGGGCGCGCCATGGAGAGGTTGGGCAGCCGGGGTTGGCTCGCTCTTGCCTGCCCCCAGCCTGGCCTCCAGCTCGCCTTCTTGTCCTAGAAGGCGCGCAGAGGCACACAACGGGAAGGAGCAATAGTTCAAGGTTTGCAAGGCACGGATGTACTATTACTTTGGGTCGGGTACAATGCTTTGTTCAGTGGTCGAGCACAATGGATGTACCCACTCGCACTCTGCTTGGGGGTAGGCGAGCCCACCAAACACCATCGAGAGTCCAAGACCATGCCATGCACCACCCACCCACCACCTACCGCGGGACGGCGAGCCAGGGGCGGCTGGGTGGTGCTGGTGCTTGTGCCCGTGCGTGCGACCATGGAATGGATCTATGTATGTACTGGACTCATCCCACGAGTCCTGGAGCGGGCAGTTGAGATGCGCTTCTGCCGCTCCCACTCCGACCAATTAGTTTTTTGCTTGTGTTTGTTATAACGTATTGGCTCCCAAGTCGTTCGTGCAAGCCGTCTGCTCGGTCCTGGTTCCATCACATCACGCCTCCACCTCGACCACCTTGACCTGTCCAACAGCATCGCCATCGTCAGATGTTGGGAGGAAAACAAAGAGAGGCCGTGCCACTTTGCCGTCACCGTCTCTCAGAACCGGAATCAGAACCAGAGCTCCTTCTCCGTCTCATGGTCTGTGAAGTCATGTCTCGGTAGCACAACCTTTGGCCTCCTGCTTATGACGCGTCCTGCTCGATCCCGAGCCCAAAGACGACAGCTAGAAAGACGGAGAGCTCCGAGAGGCACAATAGCCTCAACTCACGCTCGATACCAAAGGATTAAAAAATCCGAAATCCGCCGCCCAATATGTCGGCAGCACCCCCTACTACTGGAGGAGGCTTCTCCCTTTTTCCTAACACCAGTGTTGCCCCGAGACCGCCCTCCAGGAACCAGATAGCAAGGCCTCAGCGAGACCAGACGCCTCAGGGGCGGCCGTCCATCTCTGCCGAGGCGACTCCGCCTCGCGTCGGGAGACAGCCATCAGTGCGGAGGCAGACTTCGGTGAGAGAAGGCAAGCAGAAGCAGCCATCAAACAACCCATGGCAAGCCGCTTTAGATGCCCAAAAGCAACAGCAACAACAGCAGCAGTCAGAAGAAACCCCCGAACAGGAGCTAGAAACCCAGCAACAGCAGCAATTTCAACCCCCACCACAGCAATATTTTCAACCTCCGCCACAGCAGCAGCAGCAGCGACCATCGGTTGTCACAGCTGCCTTGAGCCCCGCGGCCGAAGCAGCGACAAGAACATTGTCACCCGCAACCGTCACCGATGTTCCGCCACGGTGCGAGACGGCCTTCTCCGAGGCCCGGACGCTCGTCCGCAGTCCCAGCACGCGGTCCAGGAGCTCCATCGCCAAACCACCAATAGCCTACGTCCCTGGTGGCGGCAGCAGTAGTTCGGCAGCAGGCCCGTCGACGGAACCGCCTCCCATCCGGTCGATTTTCCCCCAGTATAACCCAGAAATCCCCCTGGATCGGCAGGACTACTACCCAACCCAGGCCAGCCCTGTGCATATCCCACAGGCCGCCATTAGCCGGCCGCTATATTCGCCCAGAGGCGAAGAGCCGCGGAGCCCGCCGGCCGCGCGGAGTCCCCCCGCAATCAGCCCGGCGCCGACCGCAACCGCCGGCGGGAGCAGGTGGCCAGCCGGCGCTCACGCTCAGGAACCCCACGTCATCCCGCCCGTGAGCACGACCGGGGAGCTGAGAGCCCTCTGGAAGGTGACCAACGGGTGGAAGGCCTCGGCGCTCGAAGGCCGGCTCTTCTGCCTTAAGATGACCGCCGAGCGGGATGCTCCCATCTACACGCTCTCGTCGGCGTCGTCGCAACCATTCTACAACCTCCGACTAGATCCCACCTCCGCGTCGGCGCTGGTGTCCCTGTCCCGGTACGACCCCAGCAAGCCCTACAAGGGCCTGCTGGCGAGCTCGCCGTCCATCTCGGGCACGCCGTCGCCGCGCGCGTCGTCGTCGAGCAAGTCCGAGTCCAAGCATGACGCCAAGTACTGGCACGAGGTGCTCGGCACGACGCTGGAGGAGAAGGCGCGCAAGCAGCCGCCCAACGACGGGCTCGTGGCGCAGCTGTGGCCGTCGGCGGCCGCGAGGCTGGCCATGGACCGCGCCAACGACGCCACCACGGTGGCGCTGGCCGAGCACGAGTGCGCCCGCCTGGTGTGGGACGCCGACTCGGGCTACCACTACCTGGTCCACCCGGCGCTGGCCATGCCGTTCTGCGTCACCGTCGAGCGCAACCCGGCCTTCAGCCGCACCGAGTACACGCTCGAGCACCTCGAGTCGCCGCAGCACCTGGGCCGGCTGACGCGCGACGGCACCGGCGCCGGCTGGCTCGAGGTCGACACGTCCATCGCGTCCAAGATCGACGCCGTGTACCTGGTCGACGTGGTGGTTGCGGCGCTGGTGCTCGTGGCGCACTCGGACGACCTGTGGACGCACGTCGAGGTGTTTGAACCGCCGCCCGTGTTCGGCGGGCCTGAGGGCAGCCTGACGTCCAAGTTCGACCGCCGCAGCAGCAAGGGCAGCCGCACGAGCCGCCGCATGAGTAGCCGGCTGAGTCGCGCCAGCCAGCGCGACAGCCGGCGGGAGGAGCGGCTGCGCCGCAAGGAGACGACCACCAAGAAGCCGGCCAAGACCCGCATGGAGCAGTTCGAGGTCGACATTGAGAGCCAGATCAGCGAGCTCGGCAAGAAGGACCGGCAAAAGGAGAAGGAGAAGACGCCCGGTCTCGCCCGCGGCATCTTCACGCTTCTATCCATCATCTTTAAGTGCATCATCTGGATCGTCACAATGGCCTTCAAGGCGCTGAAGGCCGTGCTGAGGTGCGCAAAGTCGGAGAAGTTATGAGAGGAGCGGGGAAAAAAGCCCGCCTCGCCGGGCACATCGACGCATGCTTGCATGCGTGAACAGACAGACAGACAATATTTAGGAGAAAGGACATGAACTGTATAATGGCTACACTTATCACCTAAACAAGGGGGAGTGCATGATAGATTATCCTTTAGGAAAGGAAAGGGAATGGTGGCGAACAGAGCTGCCTGCAACCTGTAGGAAGAGCCCGAGTATGCACATAACTACAACGGGGCCCTCCTTCTATGGGCCGGCGGTCATGGTTTCATGATATATATATAACTTTTTAGGCGTTGGGAAATGGCGGTTTAGGGTATTGCATAATGAAAGCCCAGCTGGGAAACGAAAGCCAGCCTTTTTGAGCTTGACGTTTTCGCTCCTTGGCTGAGACGAGACAGACAAACAGACAGACAGAGAAACAACAGACACTGAGAGATGCAAAAAACAATGCAAGGAACAGAGAATAGAAAGAAGAGAAGCGACAGAAGGGGACTTTTTTTCTTTCTGTGTTTTCCTTAAAAAAAAAAAAAAACTTCCCGTTCTGTCCCATGCGCTCGCTACCTCTTCCTCTCGCGGACTGTAATCCTTTTGCCCATCTTGGTGACGCCGCCCGACGTCGCCGTCTTGGCCATCTTGGCCTGCTGCACCTCGAGCTCGAACTCGGCCGCCGCTAGCGTCCGCAGCTTCCTCCGCGCGTTCTGGAGGCTCTGCCGCACCTTTTCCAGGTTGCGCGCCTTGCGCTCGGCTTCGTGGGTCTTTTTGTCGCCGTCGTTGTCCCCCATGTCTTGGTCTTGGTCTCGCTCGTCGTCGCTTTCTGCTTGCGCTGCCGCCTCGTCTCGCTCCTCGACCCCGTCGCAAAAGACTATCTTTTTCGGCGGTTGCCTACTGCTGCTGCTCTTCCGTCTTTTGCTACCGGCCATTTCGTCGTCGTCATCATTCTCGTCATCGTCCTCGTCGTCATCGTCGGCCATATCCTCCTCGGCCCCGCCGGCCAGTACGAAGCGCTCCTCGAGGGCGCGCACGTCCTTGGCGGCGACATTGCGGGCGGTGCGCAGGTAGCCTAGGTCCTGGGTCTTGAGCAGGCGCACTAGGTCCTGGTCCATGGCGCGGTTGCCGCGGTCGCCATCGACGGCGCCCGTGAAGGCCTTGCCGCGCGACAGCCGCGACCCGGGCCCCGTCCGCGACATCATGCCAAAGTAGAACTCATCCTCGTTGCGGTCCGCCGCCTTGGCCCGCAGCGACTTGAGCACCTCCTGCTTCTTGTGGAAGTCCTTGGCCCGTTTCTGGTAGTCCTTCTTCTTTTCTAGAAGGCCCAGCCGCTGCCGCTCGACTGGCTGCGCGCGCTCGCGGTGGGAGCGCCGCTGGACGCTGTGGCTCAGGTAGGTCAGTTTTTTTTTTGTCGAGTTTCTTGACTGCGGGGGAGGAGTTGCGAGGTGGGCAATCATTCAGTTGTAGGGTGGCTTCTCACCTGTTGCGCAACGATGACATGGTGAGTGACTCTTGGGGATTCCCTCTTTCTTGGAAGTATGTCAGTATTTGGGTGCGCGCGTAGAGGGCAGTGCGTGTGTGTGTTTTATGTCGTGCTAGAAATTTGGTATGAATTGGCATCACCAGGCCCTACTCTGGTGTTGCTGTCGGTTTGGAGGTGCTCGAAATTTCGAGCTTCGCGATAAGCGATAAGGCTTTTTGGCCTAGTGTGTCCCGCCCCGCATGTCCACTCGTCTCCTCCCTTCTCCACTGGGCTTTAAAGTGACGGCGGGGCTGGTTTGTGAACTGACAGGGAGCTTCCGCTGGCCTGGAGCTTCAGTGACACTCCGGGTTTTGTTTCCATTCATTTGTTTCCATTCATCCTGCCTTAGGATTACTGACAGAACCCCAACGGCTCTAATCGGACAACTTCTAGTAAGCGAGGCTTTTCCAAATTGTGTCATTTACCTATGGATTATTCTAGTTTCAAATAGGGACTGGAGATACCGCACAGCACTAGACGGTGCTTCTTCATCTTCGCTCCCACGCTTGAACATGGTGGCCTATTCTAGTTGGACTTAGCCCGGGACTTTCTCCGTGCTAGCTGCGACTTGGCGCCGGGCTTCCAGGCCCGAAGCTTCGCTCTCGAACGCCGGCACTTGCGGAGGGTTTATCAGGTTCGATGGCGTGGTGTCAGGAAAAAAGAAATACGAGATGCAATTTCAGTCAATTGCGCCCAGGGCGGGTCGAAGGAAGACAAGGTCTCAGCGGGCCCTTCAACCTCCTTAGATTGCTGAGCTAGTGAGTCGGTCCTCCAGGAATCTAAAATCCAAACGGCAGGAACCACGTTCTTTTACCAATCTGTGGGATATCCTATCATGGCATGTATACATTTGGTTTAAACCAATGCCTATCCATCTGAATCCCTAGCGCCCTTCACACGTCTGGCCAGGGCGGAAAGCTTCGACGCCGACCGCGGCGCCGCTCGTCAGCCTAAAAAGCTTGCAAGCGGCAGCGGCAGCGGCAGCGCAGCACGCCTCGCTTGAAACGTGCGCTCCTCCTCTCCTGATGCGACGGCAGACTGGAAGAAAGTCTTGGCAGTGTCATACTCTGGAAGAAGTGGGCTCTTAGCGATTGGACAAATGTCGGCCTGGAGCTACTTGACCGTACTAAGACTAAGTACCTGGCCAACCCACCGCTGTGGACCTTGCATGCTCCATCCTCTCCTGAAGACTTGAGAGGATGCTTGCCCTCTATATACTGAATCGGTCCATCTCTTGAGTTCCTTGCGTTCCTCGTTCGGTCTTTCGTTTGCGGCGCATCAGGTCAGCCATGATTCCCAATCTGTCTCGCGCAGTTGGGATAAAAACAAAAACAAATGGCGTTTATAGCAGTGCCGCGGCGGCTCTCACGCCTCGCCCTTGCCGTCGTGCTATGTCTTGCCACAATCTACTTCTTTCGAACGAAGCTGGACGAGGTATCAGATGGCGGTAAAGCATGGGGACGCTCATGGGGAGACGGATACGTGCGCAGCAGCTTCAACTGGGCAAACCGGCTTCAGACACACCCAATCCCCGAGACCAACCGGACCAGTCTGCCCCAAGGCGTCCCGCGCGTGCTGCCTCGTATCCAGCATCAATTCTCCGAGCTGGAGCTGGACGCGGCCCACAACAAAACCCAGCAGCAGCGGCGCGATGCCGTCCGCCGCACTGCCACCAAGTGTTGGGAGAGCTATCGCCAATTTGCTTGGGGCCGTGACGAGCTGTCCCCCCTGACCCAGACCGGAGCCGATACCTTCGCCGGGTGGGGGGCGACCGCTTTTGACTCACTAGATACGCTCTGGATCATGGGGCTCACTAAAGAGTTCAAGCAGGCCGTGCGCCTGGTTGCTGCCGTCGACTGGGACCGCACGACGTCGGGACACTGCAGCCTGTTCGAGACCACTATCCGGTATCTGGGCGGGCTGCTGGCGGCCTACGACCTGAGCTATGAGAAAGTTTTGTTCGGCAAGGCACTGGAGCTGGGGGACATGCTCTACGCCGCCTTCGACACCCCAAGCCACATGCCGGCCAACGATTTCCGCTTCGGGAAAGCCAAGCAGGGCGGGCTCGTAGCTGACCGGCGCGAGTCGCTAGCCACGGTTGGCAGTCTGTCTCTAGAGTTTACGAGGCTCTCGCAGTTGACTGGGGATCCAAAATACTACTCCGTCATTGACCACATTAAGCTCGCCCTCGAACAGTCCCAGGACGACACTAACCTTCCGGGCATGTGGCCGACGTGGCTAGACTTGCAGCATGGCTTTCACGCCTCCGACACGTCCTTTACGCTCGGCGCCTCGGCCGACTCAGCCTACGAGTATTTGTCCAAGACGTACGCGTTGCTAGGCGGCCTAGACCAGACCTACGAGAAGATGCACCTAAAGGCCATGGCGACGGCGAGAGACCACGTCCTGTTCCGGCCGATGCTGCCCGACGCCTACCCGGCGGCCCTCCCAGACATTCTGTTCTCGGGCACCGTACTGTCAAACGGCCGCATCATCGAGCTCCTCCCCGAGGTCCAGCACCTCGGCTGCTTCGCGGGCGGCATGTTCGCGCTTGGCGGGCGCCTCTTCAAGCAGGACGGCGACGTCAAGATCGGCGAGCAGCTGGCGCGGGGGTGCGCGTGGGCGTACGACGCGTTCCCCACGGGGGTCATGCCCGAGGTGACCGAGGTCCTCCCCTGCCAGAGGAAGCCGATCAACGACGACGAGAACAGGGACGCCGACGACCCCCTAGCCCACTGCGCCTGGAACCAGTCCAGGTGGGGCGACGATACCACCAGCCCGAAGCCCTTCTCCAATGTCCGCGACCCGCAGTATCTCCTCCGGCCCGAGGCCATCGAGAGCATCTTCGTCCTCTACCGCATCACGGGCAAGAAGGACCTGCTCGACGTCGCCTGGCGCATGTTCCAGGCGGTCACGGCGGCAACCGAGACGGAGCATGCGCACGCCGCCATCACGGACGTGCAAGTCACGGGGACCACGGGCAAGACGAACTCTATGGAGGTGAGACCTTTCCTACCCGCTCTTCTTGTCCCTATTCTAGCAGTGTTGCTAACCATGTGATTCCCGCGACCTAAAGAGCTTCTGGATCGCCGAGACGCTCAAGTACTTCTACCTCATCTTCTCGGATCCCGACCTAATCAGCTTGGACGACTACGTCTTCAACACGGAAGCGCATCCCCTCAGGATACCCAAGCCGCCGCCGCCAACGGGGGCAAAAGAATCATGAACACAGTGACAGTAATAGAACAAAAAAGAAATAGACTTGCATATATACTCCATATTAGTATTAAAAAAAGAAATATCAAAAAGGTACCTAGCATGGTGAGTATGTTTTTCTTTCCGTGGCTGGGTTGCTAGTCATGTTAGTCTCTATCCTCCCCAAAGAGCAGTAGAGCATCGATTGCGGGTTCATATGCCGAGGTGGACGTCTGGACGTCTCGCGGTTTTCGACTCGGAACTGGTCTCCTAGTCACGAGTCACGCTTGGAGTGGACAAGCCGACAATTGACATTCTACGTCTCCTCGGAAAGGATGGAAGGAAATATGGCTGTGGTCTATTGAAGAGTATATCCAGAGAAAAGTAAAAGATGTATATTACGGACTGGAGGGCTGAGATGGGGACGGATACAACCGCATATAAACAGCGAGTCTTTTTGTCCTATTGCCCCTTAAAGAAGCTGGCGTTGGTTGGGATATGATACCTAGACCGAGTTCTATATGTAATTCTGCTTGTCGGCGCGTGAAATATCATTAGGAGAGAATAAAGGGGCTAGCCGGCAGGCCTATTCGCATATCATCTTCAACCACGCCAGATACATCATGTAGGTCCTCAACCAGGGGGTTGAGATAGTCAGTTAGGCAATCGATAGCAATTATTTAATCCCAACACGTGCCTTTATTTACGGTATTGTTTTTTGAGAGCATCCATCCATGCCCTGCCCTGCCAGCCCGAGGGAGAGCTTTTGGTGTTTCTTTTCTTTTCTTTTCTTTTCTTTTGACTAGTATTTTGGTCTCCCTGAACGCCACGATGTAGTAGATAGGCTTCCGGGCGATGGGGAGAAACATCAGCAAAGCCAGTAGTCCTGCATGCATGCATTTCGCTCATGACTGGTAAGAAGTAGTCGCCCTGGTCAGGGAGACACGTCCTGCCGGGTTCACGCGTCATCATCCTCCTCGTCCTCGTCGACCTCGCCCTGCCTGAACAGCACCTTCTCGCACAGCTGCAGACACCTGCGCACGGGCAGGCCAATGACATTGTCAACAGCGCCGTTGATCTTCTCAACCAACAACATACCACCAATCCCTTGCACGGCGTACCCGCCGGCCTTGTCGGCGCCCTCGCGGGTGCGCACGTAGGCGGCAATCACATCATCCGCGAGCCCGTCGCTGGCCTGGGCGAAGCGCACCTCGGTGTCCTCGATGTGGGACGCCATCTCGTAGCCGGGGTGCGAGGCGTCGGCCTTGGGCGCCAGCACGCAGACCGCCGTCAGCACGCGGTGCGTGCGCGTGTCGCGCAGGTGCTGCAGCATGCGCGCGTGGTCGGCCTCATCGCGCGGCTTCTCGAGCACCCGCCCCGCCCGCGTCACGATCACCGTGTCCGCCGCGATCACTAGTGCCGGCTCCTCCGGCACGACCACGTCGGCCAGCGACGCCGCCTTGCGCTGCCGCGCCGCCGCGTCTTCCTGTGCGGCGAGCGCCGACTGGTACACCGATAGGCACTTGCGCCGCGCCGTCCCCTGCACGTACTCCTCGGGCCCCAGCGACGCCTTGTCCAGGTCCTCGGGCTCCTCCGACGGCATGATCTCCAGGTTGCGCATGCCGACCTGAGCAAGACGGGAGAGTCAGCGAGCGGCGGGGGGTTCTGTTGGTGTGGCAATGTCTGGTTTCACTCCATCTGTCCCTCCCTGTGTCTCTGTCCCAGATAGCTCGAGAGTTGAGGTTTGGAAGAAAGCCCACATACCTGTTCGAGCATGGCCTTGCGGCGGGGCGACGCCGAGGCCAGGATAACGCGCTTCGTCGCGAGATGGGTCAGCAGCGGCAGCTCGAGCGGCAGCGGGCCGCGGCGGACGGGGGCGCTCTGCCGCAGCCGCAGGCCGTGCGACCGCGCCGCCTCGATGTAGCTGGGCGGAGGGTCGGAGGGGTTGGTGAGATCCATGGCGGCGCTGGTCTGGCTGGCAGTAGTAGTAGTGGGGTGATGCTGATTATGGTGTGGAACTCGAGTCGTCGAGCTAGCGAAATCACGGTGGAGGTCGGGGCAAGAGGTCGCACCGGCTCTCTGCTGATGTCTGGACTGCTTTTTAACCCGTGCGGTTGTTGAAGGGCACGAGTTCGAAAGATGTCGGGTCTGGGGATCGAAGATGCCAAGTAAAGGTGTCCGTGGGGGACGTGTGGAGGTGGAGGTGGGATGGGGAAGCAATCCAGGAACCGTCAGCAGGAACCCCGCCAACCTTTTTGCAGGCGCGGGAAGCAGCAGCAGCAGCGTACTGCAGCGCTGCGTCATCGTATTCGACAGCATCTGCCCATAAAGGAAGGCGGATGCCGGGAATACGCTTGTACTCGGCAAACACTAGGCCAATGAAGAAGCTGAACCTGATAGTCTATGTAAGGTAAAGCCCAAGGATGCTCCGACCCTTGAACGTGGGTTATATTTGTATTTTGCATGTATGAGATATTACGTCTCCCATCTTTCTAAAATTCGCCATCGCATAGCGATGACGTGAGCTGGTTTAGATTCACATACGACACACCCAGTGTGGTATTTACAAGCAGGCTACAACCGTGAAAGATACAAGGTATGGAGGTACGTAATGTGGCTCAGAATTCGTACATTTAGTCACTTGGGGAGCGAGGCTCCCGGTGCTCTCAGGCGTAAGCGTTTACCTTGGACTGCATGAAGTGCACCAGCTCTTCAGGCGTCATCTCGACCGACTTCGGGACCGGCTTGTCGTCAACTGCAGGAACGCCCGTCGCATCGACCGTCACCGACTCCTTGGCCACGTTCTTCGGGCCGATCACGATGATCATGCCGTAGCCCTTTGTCTTGGCCTCGCGCACTTTAAGCGGCAGGCTGCGGGCGCTGAAATCCACGTCGACGGCAAGACCAGTTGGCGACGATGTCAGGCCGTCGGCCGCCTCGCCATCGGCCGCATTGCCGGTCGGTATCCCGAGCAGCACGTTCTGGGTATCGCGCGCCCACTTCAGGACCGGCTCGGTGTCGTTCACCGTGAGGATGATACCCTGCCTTGGGTTTAGCCAGAAGGGCCATTTCCCATTGTAGTCTTCTATCAGCAGCGCCATGAGCCGCTCCACGGACCCGAGCACGGCGCGGTGGATGAGCACCGGCCGGGCCAGGCCCGAAATGGCGAGCTGGTCCGGGTCTGTGGTTTTCTCGCCCCTCTGCTCTGCCTCTGGCGCCGGCGTTTGGTACTCGAGCTCGAACCGCCTTGGCAACTGGAAGTCGAGCTGGATTGTGGCCGTCTGATGTTCCTTGCCCTCGGAGTCCGACAAGACGACGTCGATCTTGGGGCCGTAGAAGGCGCCGTCGCCCTCGTTCACCGTCCATTCCTGCCCGCACGCGTCTAGCGCTCGCTTCAGAGAGCTCTCGGCCTGGTCCCAGTCTTCGAGGCTCCCCATGTAGTTCTCGGCCGGCCGCGTCGAGAGCGCCAGCCGGTACGGGCCGAGGCGCAAGACGCCGTACGTGACGCGGATGAAATCGAGCGTCTTGCGAATCTCGTCTTCAATCTGCACCGGCCGGCAGAAGATGTGCCCGTCGTCCTGGTGGAAGCGCCGGACCCGTGTCAGGCCGCTCAGGGCACCCGAAATCTCGTTCCGGTGGAGCGGGCTAAAATCTGCGTAGCGGATAGGTAGGTCGCGGTAGCTTCGAGTTTGCGACGCGAAGATGAGGCAGTGGCCCGGGCAGTTCATGGGCTTGAGCCCGTATTCGTTCTCCTCGCCCGTCTCCCGGCTGTCGGCGGCGCGGGACGGCGAGCTGCTGGTTACCGTGTACATGTCGTCGGCGTAGTTTTCGAGATGGCCCGACTTGGCCCAGAGCGCCTTCTTGTAGATGGTGGGTGTGATGACTTCCTGGAAGCCATAGCGCACGTACTGCTTGCGCAGGAACTGGACGAGACGGTTGAAGATGCGCGCGCCATTGGGCAGGAAGATGGGGGACCCCGGACTGTAGATGGATGTTGTAAAGAGCTCCTGGTGCAGGCCGAGGTCTCGATGGTCGGCGGCTGGAGGCTTCGGGGGGGTAGTCTCGCTGGGGCGGGCGCACGACGAGCACTGTTGAAGTCGGCCTTGGTTTAAGTTTAGGCGTGGCTGTCGATGCTGCCGTATCCTAATTTGTCTGGTCACAACTTGCTGTGAGGTCCATGGCCATCGTGGAGCCCGTAGGAATAGCATCCCTCCGTGTCTGCGGCGACTCCCAATGGACCGACAGCTGGCGGTGCTATTCGGTCAATTCAAGATAGCGTCGTCAAAAAGAAGCGGGAAGCTGCGAATCTCGGTCTTAAACAGGCCACAACCCAAAAGCTTTTCACCCGGAAGCATGTCTTGGACTGGCCAAGAGGCTCCAGCTGATCCCTGCCATGCTGCAGGGGGCCCATGTACGACGCGGGAGTGCGAGAAGGCTTCGAGGCCAATCCACGCGGCGCAAAGGCCATTCGCACGGTGCCAAAGCAGTGCCATCAATGACATTCACTGGTGCTTTCGACGTCATCCACTGTGGAAGCGGCAATGCACAGCAGCTTCGGAAGCAGGCCCAGCCTCTTCTTAGGTGCCGTTCCATTCCCCTCCATGCATCATCCGATCCACTGGAGACACAAAGGAACGGATAGTTTTCTTTTTATCTGTCTGAAATGTGTATGTTATTTTCAGCGACTTATGAAGAAATATTTCCTCAGCTTGCACATCCCGTCGGCACTGCTGCTGCTGCTGCTGCTGCCTCCATTTGTGACTCATCCCCTACGTATTTCTGACCAGCCTTTGCGCAAAGGTACTCCACGGAACATCGAAGTGCAAACAGACACCGTTTACCCCCCCCCCCCCCCCCCCCCCCACGTGCCAGCCGTTATAACCTATTACACGGCGTGTCTGCCTGCGCATTTCTAATACTTGACTCTGTGACGCGCGACGCGTGACCTCGACTTTGGCACAATCGCGTCATTCTCGACCCCTTGCCGACTAAATATATATATCGACCACGGCCCCCTGGATCACGCTCTCTCTCAATCGGGCTGGCCCATTATGGCGCCCTCACGACAGCCGCGAGAGTATCGCGTCGAGAGCTCCTGGCGCGTGGTCGAAGGAGGCGAGAATGACAGCTTCGACACATCGATACTACACGACGACGAAGAGCTCATCATCTCCAGCAGCAGCGACCCGTCGCAGCTGACCGGATCGCAGCCCTTCAGCATCGGCGGGTCGCAGCCCTTCAGCATCGGGGGCTCGCAGGACGAGAGCATTGAGAACTTCCTCAGCAAGGCCGAGAACGACGAGCAGGTCATCCTGAGCACCCCGTTCCGCCCCTCGGTCCCACAGTCGGTGCGCTACAGCTCCAGGGAGGCCAGGAAGCACCGCGACCCCGAGCCCGAGTTCTACATGCCCAAGGTCGAGGTGGAGAGTCCCAGGCGCGACGGGGCGCGGCAGACGAGGAACTCGCTTGCCGCTCCGCCGTCGCTCCCGGGACTGCGCCGTCGCCGCGCCGACTCCGCCAGCGGCCCCGCCAAACCCGATCGCCGCCGAGGCGCTTCCGGGAACCAGCAGGCGCCGCAGTCGTCGCTCGGGGATCGCCTGTCCAAGTCTTTGCCGGACGCCTTGTTAGGTGTGCTATCTTGGATATTCGGGCTCGTCGGGCTTGCCTTCCGGTATGCGCAGAAGCCGCTGGCAATCTTGGCGTCTCTATACCTCGTGTTTGGCGGACTCATCGTCTTGCAAAACATGGCTACCAAATCCATCACGGCGTCTCTATCGCCAATATGCCGCGTGCCCGGCGCGTCGTGGCTCGACCTCCCCTTTTGCCCCGACGCCGCCGCAAAAGACGGGCGGCCGCGGGAGCGCGGGCCGGTCGAGTTCGACGATCTAATGCACGTTCAAGACCGCCTTGAGGAGGCAATCGAAAAGTCTGTGCAGCGCGCCTCGATCCCCATCGAGATGAAGCGCTCAGAGGCGGCCATCCGCGATCTGCGTACGCTGGTCAAGTACAGCAACCTCCAGAGCAGAAACGAGCTCACGCTGGAGTTTGACGGGCTCATCGACACGGTGCGGGCCACGTCGAGGGCGCTGCAGAAGTTCAACTCGCGCGTCGGCTCGACGGTCGACTGGGTCATCAGCATGAGCCGCTGGACGTCGAGCCACCTCGACAGCAGCACGAGCGCCGATGACAGCAGCCGCGGGCTGCTCGGCGACTGGGCGAGCTGGCTGTTCGCGCCGTTCCAGCCCGCCGTGTTCACGGAGCGCATCGTGCTCGACCGGTACGTTGAGCTCGCGTCGCTCGTGTCGGAGCGCATCGCCAGCCTGATCGAGGAGGCGGAGACGGTGCTGGGGCGGCTCAAGAAGGCCGAGGACCACCTCGAGCTGATCCACGACCTCGTGACGACGTCGCAGAAGTCGGTGCAGGTGCGCAGGGACGACATCCTGTGGACGCTGTGGACGCTGATCGGCGTCAACTCGCGGCCGCTCGCCAACCTCAATGGCCAGCTCGCGCTGCTCGCGCAGGTCAGCCGGCAGCGGTCCGACGCCGTGCACCAGATCAACGAGCTCGTCGTCGAGCTTGGCAAGATCGAGGCCAGCCTAAGCGACCTACGCACCAGCGTCGCCGAGCCGGGCCTCGTCCGCGGCAAGGGCGTCGAGGTGCCCCTCAGCGTCCACATCGAGACCATCAACCAGGGCGTCGAGCGGCTCGAGGCGGCCAGGAACAGGATCAGGGCGGCCGAGGACGAGCAGGTCAAGGCGGTCCTCGCGAGGGGAAACGGGGACGAGAGGCTGATCGACGAGGCATGACTAACATGACGTGTGTTTTTGTGTTTGTGTGTGTGTGTGTGTGTGTGTGTGTGTGTGTGTGACGCATGGCGTTTTAGGCCTTTCTCTTTACAGGCTATGACTCGGGATTCTGTCTTTGCTGGGAGAGCACCAGGGAATACTTTTCATCACAGGGCAACATCGGCGTTGGGTTGGGACGACAGGCTGTTGGATATCTAAGGGGGGCATCTTGTTATACTGGGTAGGTTACTACCTCGAGCTGTGTATATCTTTCACTGTAGATATTTCTGGGTCTGGTATGAATTTGGTTTCACCAGGTACGGGCGGGAAGCCCGTGGACTCTGGTAACAAACAAAATAATGAAATGTTACTGGAGCCTGTATTCAAACTTTAAAGTCCGCAGTCCTACCATACCGTACCTTAGTATGCTTGTCAAGCTGCCGTCCATAAAAAAAGACCTACCTTACCTGAGGTACGAACCCGAGGTACTGTATACCTACCTTAGTACTGTCCTGTATTGAAGCTTATTCCATGGCCTGACCTTATCGCCAGGGACAGCTACATTAGTGGACCGGCCGACGGGACGTGGAGGTGCCTGCCACGCCTGGAACCCTTATCAGCATTCAAATGCGGGGTAGCTGCACACTGGCTAGGAACATCCCACTTGGCCGGTATCCGGCTGAGGGGGCGAGGTCAAGTGTCTGTAGCGCAAGGAAGCGACCGAGGGAGGGCGGACGAATCCGTTTAATGGATTGATGGAGGTGCCTCTACCGTCGACAATTGACGGGACCCAGCAGCGCAGTGGACACACGCGCGGGCAGGTAAAACGCTTTAGGGGGTGGTTGCTCCCATGCCTGTATCTGTATTCGCCGAATGGGCCCTTTTTTGTTGTTCTATTTTAATTATTTCTTTTTAAACTCGTCTCAGGCCTCTCTTCCTGCTGCCCCTTTCTCTGTTCTATATACATTATACCCCCGTCTGTCGTCTGATAGCTGGCACGCCTGACCGTTGACCGCAATGCATCTTGTGCCCAAAGAGGTTAGTCTGCCCGAGTGAGTGATGAGTGAGTGAATCAACAATGAGTGACGATGTTTGCCTCGGTCTACCCGTCCGCCCGTCCGTCCATCCGTCTGTCTGTCCGACCTCGTTCGTGTCTTGCAGGCGCTGGCGTGTCTGGTCTGTTCCAGGGAGAGTAACCGTAGCTGCCGTGATCTCAAGCAGTGAGTTAAAAAAAAAACAAAAAGAACAATGGCTGAACAAACCAGGTCGACAAGCTCGTCATCTCGCAGCTGGGATTTCTTGCCCAGCGGCGGCTGGCGCGCGGTGTCAAGCTGAATCATTCCGAGGCCACAGTAAGTCTCTCTCCTTGCCTTGTTGACTTGAACTTGACCTGGGCCTAATACGCACGCTACAGGCCCTCATCGCCAGCAACCTCCAGGAGCTCATTCGCGATGGCAACCACACCGTCGCCGATCTCATGGCCCTGGGAGCCACCATGTTGGGCCGCCGCCATGTGCTGCCCGAGGTGACGTCGACGCTGCACGAGATCCAGGTCGAGGGCACCTTTCCCTCGGGCACCTACCTGGTCACCGTCCACAACCCCGTGAGCACCGACGACGGCGACCTGGCCCGCGCCCTCTACGGCAGCTTTCTCCCCGTCCCCAGCGCTGACGCCTTCCCCCTGCCCGAGCCTGCCGCCTACGAGGCCACCCGCCAGCCCGGCGCCGTCGTGTGCGTCAAGGACGTCAAAGTCACCATCAACGAGGGCCGCCGCCGCATCCGCCTCCGCGTCACCAGCAAGGGCGACCGCCCCATCCAGGTCGGCAGCCACTACCACTTTGTCGAGACGAACCCCCAGCTGTCCTTTGACCGCGCCCGCGCCTACGGCTTCCGCCTGGACATCGCCGCCGGCACCTCGGTCCGCTTCGAGCCCGGCGACACCAAGACCGTGTCCCTGGTCGAGATCGGCGGCAACCGCGTCATCCGCGGCGGCAACAACCTGGCCTCGGGCAAAGTCGACCCGGCCCGTGTCGACGACATCGTGGCCCACCTGCAGCAGGCCGGCTTCGCCCACACCCCCGAGCCCGAGCCCGCCGACCTGGCCCACGCCGCCGTCGCCGAGGCCTTCCGCATGGACCGCGCTGCCTACGCCACCATGTTTGGCCCCACCACAGGCGACACAGTGCGCCTAGGCAGCACCGACCTGTGGATCAAGGTCGAGCGCGACTTCACCGTCTACGGCGACGAGTGCAAGTTCGGCGGCGGCAAGACGCTGCGCGAGGGCATGGGCCAGGCCACGGGCCGGTCCGACGCCGACACGCTAGACATGGTCGTGACCAATGCCCTCATCCTCGACTGGTCCGGCATCTACAAGGCCGACATCGGCGTCAAGGCTGGCGTCATTGTCGGCATCGGCAAGGCCGGCAACCCCGACGTCATGGACGGCGTGACGCCCAACATGATCGTCGGCAGTTGCACTGACGTTGTCGCCGGCGAGGGCAAGATCATCACCGCCGGCGGCCTCGACACCCACATACACTTTATCTGTCCGCAGCAGGCCTTCGAGTCCATCGCCTCGGGCATCACGACCATGCTCGGCGGCGGGACGGGTCCCAGGTAAGTTGTTCTAAGAATTATGGTGAAGCGATGCAAGTTAACTGACAAGCTTTTCTCAGCGCCGGCACAAACGCCACAACCTGCACGCCCGGAGCCCACTACATGCGCCAGATGCTCCAGGCGTGCGACCAGCTGCCGCTCAACATAGGCATCACGGCCAAGGGCAACGACAGCGACCCGCTGGCGCTCCGCGAGCAGGTCAAGGCCGGAGCCTGCGGGCTGAAGCTGCACGAGGACTGGGGCACGACGCCGGCGGCCATCGACGCGTGCCTGACCGTGTGCGACGAGCTGGACGTGCAGTGCCTGATCCACACGGACACGCTCAACGAGTCCGGGTTCGTCGAGTCGACCATCGCGGCCTTCAAGGGCCGCACCATCCACACGTACCACACCGAGGGCGCGGGCGGCGGGCACGCGCCCGACATCATCAGCGTGGTCGAGCACGCCAACGTGCTCCCGTCGTCGACCAACCCCACGCGCCCCTTCACGCGCAACACGCTCGACGAGCACCTCGACATGCTCATGGTGTGCCACCATCTGAGCAAGAACATCCCCGAGGACGTGGCGTTCGCCGAGAGCCGCATCCGTGCTGAGACCATCGCCGCCGAGGACGTGCTGCACGACCTCGGTGCCATCAGCATGATGAGCAGCGACAGCCAGGCCATGGGCCGCTGCGGCGAGGTCGTGCTGCGCACCTGGAACACGGCCCACAAGAACAAGCTGCAGCGCGGCCCCTTGCCCGAGGACGCCGGCTCCGGCGCCGACAACTTCCGTGCCAAGCGCTACGTCAGCAAGTACACCATTAACCCGGCCCTCGCCCAGGGCATGTCGCACCTCGTCGGCAGCGTCGAGGTCGGCAAGCTGGCCGACCTGGTCGTGTGGGACCCCGCGTGGTTCGGCACAAAGCCGAGCCTGGTCATCAAGAGCGGGCTGATCGCCTGGGCGCAGATGGTACGCCCCCCCCCCCCCTTTTTCCTCTCCCTCACCCACCTCCTCACTCACTTTTCCCTCAGGGCGACCCCAACGCATCCATCCCGACCGTGCAGCCGGTCCTAGCGCGGCCCATGTTCGCGCCGCTGGTCCCCGAGACCAGCGTGCTGTTCGTGTCGCAGGCCAGCGTGGCGTTGGGCACCGTGGCCGGCTACGGCCTACGCAAGCGCGTCGAGCCCGTCCGCGGCTGCCGCGCCGTCGCAAAGTCCGACATGAAGTTCAACGACTCCATGCCGCGCATGCGCGTCGACCCGGAGACGTACATCGTCGAGGCTGACAGTGTCGTTTGTGCGGCTGAGCCTGCCACCGGACTGCCCCTGACGCAGAGCTGGTTTGTTTATTAGCTAGGGAGGCTGGCTGTTTGGCACACTGGGAATCTGTGCTGTCCATCCCTGGAGGCCGATTTTAGGGGTCGTGGAGGATTACTGGAGCAGGATGGCGCTGTCTCTTGTTTTTATGCTCTTTTACTTAGTACATATTCTATATCTATCTTGGCTATGTAGGAGGTGCTGAGTTAATGTGTGTCTGAGGTACGCAGCTGTGGTTTCAGGACGCTTGGCGATTCAATGGGGCTTCCAGCGAGGACCTACTTGCCCCTATATATGTTACAGGCGGTGTTGGAACGCTCTGCAGCGGGGTCAGATCTCAGTCACCATGGACATCGTCTGCAGACTATTTCAGTGTGAGATAGGCGAGGTATAGGGGTCAGGCAGGGCAGACGGTGGATGAGCTAGTTTAGGTAACTGTATGCTCAGTTCAGTGATAGGCAGTGCTGTACAGCGTGTTTCCAGTGGCAAGGCAAGCAGGCAGGTAGGCAAGCAGGCACTTGGGTTTAGGAGGGATATGTATTCTCAGATGCCCCCGTATTTTTACCTTTTCATCTCTGTAACGTTGCGGTTAATTTTCAGTCTAGGTGCTGTAGGTGGGCGAGGTGCCCCTATAAACCCCAGGTAAGGGGCAGAGGCGGATTGTGTGGATGGCTAGTGAGGAGAATGTAACAAGAGCCGCCTGAATATATGAATTTGTTCCGTTCAGGTGCTTCTTATGCAGTGACTACTAGAATACAGCGCGTATTGGTAATTAGCGCCTATCTGACGAATAATTAAGTTATTGAAGTACGTGCCTCCCTAGGAGAGGGTTTAGAAGGTCTATTATTTCACGTTAAGGGAGGGGGGAGGCTCTAGCTTTGGTGTGCAAGGGTAGACGTTTAGGAGATCGCTCCTTATACACCTTCTTAGCCTCGGTATAGCCGGGACGTTATCTACATTATCTAGTACAATAGAGCACCATTAAAACACCCTCTACAGGTGGCTAGCTCTGAGCTTTAGGCATGTAGGTCCTTCTACTTAAAAGGGACCTGGAAGCTAGAGGTCTCGCCAGCCAAGGTATGTAGCTAGAGCATCTGTGCTGCGCATCTCTGTGTAAGGCTACGGTATTAGAGGAGGTTTAGGGGCTTCTCTCTCCCGCTAAGAGGGTTTGCGCGAACAACTCTTTACATTTAGAAGGAAAGAGAACATCACCACTAAGTCCACGCAAGGTAGTCATAGAAATAGCCTAGCTACATCTCCAGGCTGAGCATACTCTGACCAAAAGTATAGCAATGCCCTGCCTGGTCACGATGGCAGTCGTCTCGAGCCAGAGCATCAAATCGCAACGCAACAAGCATGTATTGATCACTAAACGAACGGTCGCATCGTGAACACAATACAAAGTCAAGACAAGCAGTAGTTGCATAACCCGGCGAGATAGAGACAGAAAATTTCCCCATATTGTATAGACAGCGTCGCAGAGCCGCAGAGAATGGAGAGAGATAAAGAGCCCCGTATCCTTTAACCCCCCCCCGTCCCCAGTCTCCGGTCCCCGTTAGCCTAGCCCATTCGCGCCCCGGATTTCCTTTCCCCTAGTTTTGAGAAGCATTCCCAGGAAAATACACTCGCTCTGTCATGGAATCATACAATACACATGGAAGAAATGGAAGAAAAAAGACAGAAGAGCGCACTGTAATCCCAACACACACACCCCCGCAAGTCAGCGAGCGCCGGAAAGAACCGTCAGGCGCGCCGAAAAGTGAAATCCCGTCGAGTTCCGAACTATACCACCTCGGCGAATGCAAACCACTAGGACGGTCCTCGCTAGTGTCTCGTCGACGAGGGTATCATAAAAAGACCAAGACGGTAATAGCCCAGAGAGGTATCATGAGACAACGAAGCAAAGACGTAAAGAAAGGCAGAGATAGATTGAGGACGGGATTCAGCCCGTCTTGGACTTCTTCCGCCCCGACTTCTTAGGTTCTTCTACCTCGGCCGCCTTGGACGTCCGCTTGCGCTTCTTCACCTCTGGGCTTGAGGGCGTAGGCGCGATCTTAGCGGGCTCCGCCTCGGCTGCCGGGGTGGCTGTCTTGCGCTTGCGGGTGTCTTTGCCCTTCTTGGGGGTCTTAGCCGCCGGTGTGGGCTCCTCCTCCTCAGAGACATCCGCGATCGCGCCCTGTCCGAGCTGCTGTGCGATGGCATCCTGGTCGTTGCCAACAACCTCCTCAACGACAGCCGTAGCTGTGGGCATCTCGATATTGAACTCATCGGCATACTTGAGCGCCTCAGGGTCTGACATGTTCTTGGCGTCCGGGTTGCCGTGCTTGTAAGAGTGGACGCGGGCGTTGTAGAGGCGCAGATTGTACTGGTATGCCGTGTTCCAGCCCTGCTTCTCGGCAGAGCCCATGACAGACCAACGGCGCTGGCCTTCCTCTTGAACGGCGCCCTTGGGAGCCTCTTCTCCGAGGTCACTGGCGATAATGGGGCGAGCCGTCTGCATGTATAGGAAGTACGGGGTGAGGGGGCGCTTGGGCGCATTGGGATCGTGAGTGCGCTTCTTACGCTCCTTCTTCTCCTCAACGACAGGCAGAGGCGGGGCAAAAGCAGCAGGCATCAGGCTGCTGAGGGCTCCAGCAATGCTGTCCAGCTCGCCGCCGTTCTCAATGTTAGTGCCCTCCCCCAGCAGGAGGTTGGTTTGGCGGAGGTAGTCATTGGAGAAGCTCTTGATCAGATCTTGAATGGTTGAGAGCCTTTGGTAGACCTGAGAGCGTGTTAGTAGGCTGTTATCAAGTCCGTTTTGGGGTTCGGGTTGCGGTTGAGGGTAGAAGCGAGCGCAGGGGTAAAAGGGAAGATGCGGCGTCGGCAGGCCAGGGTCAATCACAGCAGGCGCGATTGCTCAAGCCGAGCCAATGTAAACAATGGAAACAGCCTCAGAATGGCAGTGCAATGCTGCACGGCAAAGCCATCCGCCATAGCAAAAGCATTGAAATCTAGCTATCCAAATCGCGCCGCGTTCGACTTGGACCGAGGTCCAATGCCATGACAGCAAGCCATGCCGTTTAAAAAGCTCATGCCCATGCCTGAGTGCACATGGTCTCGCATCCAAGACGCGATTCACTAGTGTGAAGATCGAGGCGCTGGCTTGGAATATGCCCTGAGGCCCGAAGGTGAATGAAAACAAGCAGTGTTGACGCGACGTGCGCGGTGAGTGGACGGGGAAGTGGGTATGTGCACGATAGACAAAGCTCTGAGAAAGGAGTGTGGTGCTGCGCTGCGCGTGCATGTGGAAGAGTGTAAAGGTAGAAGCGCTATGTTGAATGTGGACGCTGAGCGGCGAGTGATGCGAGATGCTTACCGAGTCGCGCACGCGAATAAAATTGTCAACATCAATGACGGGCGCCCTAGGCGGTGCGGAGCTGGGCTTCGCGGCCTCAACGACCTTGTTCTTTGGTGGGCGCGGCATGGTTTTGGCGGTTTGGACGCGGTATGCGACGGCGGCGCAGATGTGGTTCTTTCTTGTTGCGACGTATAGCGGGTATAGTGCTATCGACGACGCGATGGTGATGGCGGAAAAAACCTGCTGGCTTGGGGAGGTGGGTGCTGGAAAAGACGCCAAAATGAAGGGTGAGATCCGGAGGAAAAAAGTTCGCGGCGAGTTTGGGGGGGCGGGCGGGGGGCCCTAAAATATAGGTGTGACACAGCGAGGGAAGCCAGCGCTGATTTCCCTGAAATTCGGCGGGCGAAATTTTTGCCTGCTGAGCTGCAGCTTAATTCTGGGCCCCTCCCCCCAATCGAAATCAATCACTCCGTCTTTTTTCACTGATGCCCTGCCCTGCCACGAGCAGCGAGCAAGGGCCTGACCACCCGACGCGAGCAATCTCAAATAGGCGCCCGCTGCACGCAAAAACAGAGCATGCGCCCGCCACACCACCCTCCTGCACTTTTCGTCCCTCAGGCAGTCGCCGCTGTCCCTCGTGCCTACCTTCACTGCTCTGCCCTACAGTTGCCCGACCTGTCCGCCCTGCCCCCCCAATTTTCCCATTTTCCATTTTCCATTTTCCATTCCCTCTCCGCTTTCGCACCGCCGAACAGTGCCATCAACAGTGGGCAACTGGGGCCTAGGCCTGGGCACCACATCGCACAGCGAGAAGCTCAGTGCAACACAGGCGGGGAGGGTCTGTTAAGCCTCCGTGATTCCACCTAGCCAACTTGGTAGGCGGGTTAGATTATTACTCATGCTGTCACCCAGCTCAGTCGCTCTGTGTCTTCCTCTATCGGAGCAAAAGAACTAATTTCAGGATATGCCCCCAAGCATTGAATGGGTGGTCGCTGATCTTGGGCCCCGAGGGTGAAGTTGCTTTTTGCACACCGATTTGCGCTGTTGGCGCGTCGATGGCACCGCTGTAGGCGCCTGAAAGGCTCGTCCATCAGGAGCCTCTGTTCTTGAAGCACCTGGTGCAGCTATCTCGAAGTGTGCTTGGGTACCTTGGCCCTGTCCTTCAGTGTTCCTGTGACAAAGTCGGCTGTTGCACGCGTGCCCGCCCACTCGGCCAATGGCACGCTTTCAGCCTATGAGACACTGCAGTTCTGATTCCCTCTAAAAGGGCAGGGGTATTCGTCCCCCCTCGATTTCGACGGAATTTCGAGTCTAGCCCCTCTTCCGTCGCCAGCGAGCCGAACTGGGCTCTGGGTTGATTGGCAACCCCCCCACGCGTGATGATGCCCTTCTCACAAAGCGTGCCAGAAGCCGCAATGCCAATGGAAACCAAAATACTCCTACTCGGTACTATCACCAAATGCGCCATCAGCCGCTGTTGCGACAGTGGCCACAGTTCTATAGTCCTTGACTACCTCCGTAATTACAGGACTCTGTAACGCGCGCTGAATACGGCTTGACACTCTGAAATTGAGCGCGTCCCTCAGCACATTTCAAGCCGCAACTCAAGGTAGGAAGGGAGGCAGCTAGATGTTTAGTGCGTCGCTACAAATTGCCTACCTTACCTACCTACGGATAGGTGCCAATGCAATTATTTTCAAGCCTTTAAACGTTTGACGACGGATTGTCTTATTTCAACTTCAGCCAACTAAACACATGTTAATTCATAAATCCCATGCCACTGTACGGAGTAGGGACACAGATTACAGCGCGAGCTGGTGCGTGGCGCACTACTTCGTACCCTGTCTACCTCGTCTACCTCGTCTACCGCGTCGGACGATACAGCGAGCGTTAGACATGAGATCACATCCGCCTAGTGGTGGCAGCTTTCCGTCCTATTCTTTGCTCGCAGAAGGCCCCTTGGCGCCATCACGCGCCCGAAGGCGCGAAATTCCCGGCTCGGGAAAGGGTGCTAGGCTGTACGCGAACCTGGAACGAAGAGTGTTCCGCCTCGTTCCGCACACTAACGGGATTAGCTACACAGTAACTGCGCTGCTCGTCTGTGGTGGGGCTCTTTCGCACATCGCTCTCCGCGCACAATTGGGCACACACACAACTACTCGTAACCATTTCAAACGCGGGTTGATGTGCTAAGAACAAAAGCACTACCCACCTCACCTGTAATGGCTCACTGGATGCACGCTCTACGGTGCCTCTATTAACGTTTCAGGCCTTGGCGCACAGCTTGCGCTTGTGCTTTCACTGTGAGCTTTGACGCCGTTCTCTAACCGTTACCTGCAAGCGCGATTTCATAGGGATCCTGGGGTGTACAGGATTGTACAGTACAGTACATACGGAGTACTTCGTACCTACAGTACATTTTCTACCGTAGATTACGCGTAATACAGCAAGTAAAATATCAAAGCCTCAAGGCCATTTACCTTATCCACAGCTCACACTCGGCCCTCTATTTACTGTCTATAAATCTCCCCCGGTGAGCGCGTCTTATTGGACAGATGTGAGGATTAATTGCTAGGTACCTCTCGGTGTGCCTGCTCGGAGGGCGATGCTCTCGCCGTCTGGCGTCTCACTAGATCGATGCATGGCGGTTGGCGGTTGGGTGGTATGTGGCTTGATATGTAAGAGCTGATAACAGCGACAGCACCCTCATTCACCGGCCGCTGATCTGCGTCAAAACTTCTGCGTTGCCTTTCGTAGGTCGTCAGCCCGCCGCGCTGCGACTCATAGATCTGCATTGGTGCCCTGTCTGGGAGTAGGATGCTTGACTTGAGTATACAAGGTCTTGGCGGCGTTCGTAACGGTACGGGGTACTTGTCCACATTCAACACTTGCCTGAGAGCACAGGTACCCCACATCTGCGGGACAGCTTTTACAATTGAGGAGCTCCTGTACAATACCCCTCCACACCCCACCTACCCCTCTCCTTCAAGAAAGGCTCCTGCCACTTGCCAACGATGCCAGCTGAATGGAGTCTTGGCATGTTTCCGATTCCCTGAAACTAATGTTAGCGATGCTATAATCCGGCTGAGCCCTGCGAGGATGTGGCATCCACGAGGACTAACGTCCGAATGCGTCTCTCCCAAGTTTATTAGTCTACCTACTGGTACCTATTTATGCTGTTCTGCGCTCCTTCTTTCCCCTCCATCAGCGGACCCATCCCCCCTCATTTCGCACCCACCTCTACCATAATATCTACCCCCTCTAAACAAAAAAAAAACTATACGACCTACCTAATCATCAACCTTGAAGAATTTGACTTCTAGAGTGCGGAGCACAAGCAATCTTTATCAGAAAGCCCTTACCCATCGACACAAGCCGCAACCATGGCTGGCGTCAAGTCGTACCCCGGTACCGTTCTACTCGGGCTTGTCGTGCTCTTCCTGTTTGCACGGCCCACGCTTGCCTTTGGTGCCGGTAACATTGCTGGGATCTCCAAGGTGGAGGGCCAGAACTGTGAGTTAGCCCTCGACTCAAGCAGTTAACGCCGCTCTGTTTCTCTCTTGGTCTCGCGTTGGAATCGGGATTTCCCGCTAATTTGCGATTTGTCCCCATCATGCAGGGCGCCATGGCGATATCGAGGATGCTCTTCTCAAGATCCTGATGGCTCGTGCTGTCGGCGGCAAGAAGTTTGACAAGATCATGGTCTCGCGTGTCTACTTTGGCAACTGGCTTCGCGATTACTCCCAGGCGATTGACGTGGGCACGGTCAAGAGCGTCTCGGCCGAGGCCATCCGTCTGCTGCTCTGCGTGCTCGGCTTCTTGACCTTTGGCTATGGAAGCCGCGAGTTCGAGGTCACGGCGGACCGCCTGGGCTGCTACCGCCCTGAGGACCACATCGACAACCCCAAGAACTACGCCGACAACGAAGATGCCACAAACTACGACAGACGTCTGCGCGGCCCTGTCGACGAGCGCGTCGAGTTGGCCATCGACCCGGAAACGGGCATGAAGACCTACATCGCGAGTACTTCCATCGAGCAGCGCAGATACATGACCTCGGCCCTGCATGTGCGCCGCCTGTTCACCGAGTGCATAAGGCTTGGCCGTTCCTATTCGCGTTCCAAGAACAACACCGAATTATACGAGGCCTTGCGTCTCTTGGGCACCGGGCTCCACTGTCTCGAGGGTATGAAGCCGCCAATGTCGATGTAATCTGGTGTTAGGTCCGTCTATCGGAACAAGGAGCTGACGCGCGACCTATGTAGATTACCTCGCTCACAGCAACTACGTCGAGCTTGCCCTGATTGAGCTGGGAGAACGCGACATTTTCCCTCATGTCGGCCGCGACACCAAGATGAGGCTGCAGGGAGCCCGTAACGAGGTTTACCCAGTTGTTACTGGTACATTTGGAGGCGTTGATTTCCTGCACTCAGTCACGGGCGAAGGTTTGCATCCCTTGTCTGACGGATCAGCGCCATTCGGCTAATAAGGAGGCAGTGTCCGACAAGATGACCCAGAGTGAGATCCAGGACCTGGAAGGAACTCTTCAGGAAAGCCAAAATTCCGACACCAGCATCCTGCGCAATCTTCTTGACAAGATCCCCGACGGCTTGTTCGGTGGTGACAACAAGAAGCAGAAGATGGAAGAGATCCAAAACAACGCAAATGCAGCACAGATGAGCAACACCAAAGTCTCACCGCGCAACCCCGAGGAATTCACCCAGTATATCGGGGATGTCTTCAAGCAGATCATGCCTGCCATTGAGTTCCATGACGACCTGCTCCAAACCATTTCGAAGGCTATCGAGAAGATTCCCGTTTTGCCCAAGATCATCGAGCAACTTGAGGAACAACTCTCCGTCTTTGTCTTCTCCATTATTGCCCCCTTCCTCGTCCCCGTGATTGATCAGATCAAGAACGAGCTGGCGACGGGCGCAACTGAGATTATTGAGAGCAGCAAGAATGAGCAACTCAATGTGTTCCATGATGACCGCTCGACGGACCCAACACATTCCATGCTGTCCAAGGACCACTTCTCAAACGTAAGAAAGGATTTTCTTTTTTTTTCTTTCATAGCCTACTAGTGAGCTAACATGGAAATCAGATTCTCAACGAAATTGCTGGCCAAACCGCCTCCAAGGTTGTCTCCTGGGTTGTACCTCAACTCATGGAGGCCTGGGATGACCACAACACGGATGTCGATCGCCTGTTGAACAAGATCATCTACGGAGTGCTGCACCACCCGGCCCAGCGACACATGGGACAGGATGGAGCCAATGAGGGCCGTGACATCATGTTTAGATCTGTTGAGGAGTGGTGGGGGCAGATGGACGAAGGTCAGAAGCAGGAGTATCGCCAGAAGCTGGGCCGCCGAGGAGTTGAGCGGGGCGAGAACCACAAGGAAGGCGTCCACGATACCGGCCACGGCTGCGGTAAGAAGCTTGGCATGCACAAGAACTACTCGGGAGGGGAACAGACCATGGAAGACCGAATTGCCGGAGCGGCCGTTGGTGCCATTATGGGAGGCGTCAAGTCTGGATTCTCGAATCTTGAGCAAAGCGCCGGCTTGGGTAACTTGGGCGGCGGTGGTGGTGGCCACTCCGGCGGTTACTCTGGTGGCGGCAGACAAGATAGCTCTGGAGGCGGCCTAGGGGGCTTCCTCGGCGGCGCTACTGCCGGCGGTGGCATCGGCGGCATTCTTGGTGGGGTCTTCAAGAACAGGGAGACGGACACGTACAGTTCCCGTGAGCAGACCGAGGACGGCGGTTACTCCGAGACTACTACTGAGTACGGCCGCCAGGGTGGCCAATACGGCCAAGCCGAGTACACGGAGACGCAGTACCCCGGCGGAGGGGAGCGGACCGAATACCGTCGCTATGAGCAGGACGAGGGCGGCCGCGGGGAGTACTCGGGTTATGAAGAGCGTACAGAAACGTCGGGCTGGGAGGGCGGCCGCCAAGAATATCGCCAGGAAGAGACCAGCTGGGGCGGCGAGAGTCGCCGTGAGGAGCGTGAGGAGTACCCGCAGGAGCAAGAGGAAAGCTCCGGAGGTTTCTTTGGCGGCGGCGGCGGCGGCGGCTTCCTCGACAATCTTACCCGACAGGCGTCGGAGGCGTTCGAGAGCCAAGAGTACGAGGAGCCCCCCCGTGAGGAGGAAAGCCGGGGCTGGGGCTTCTAAGAGACTCTGGGTGTGTCCGCATATTTGATCTGCAGAAGCAGCATATATGCGACATTAAGTAGTGGACGCGCGTGATGGCCAAAAGTTTCTTTATGTACCTTGAGATTGGATTCCGGATATCTGTGGTCGAGAGAGGCGGGATTTGATTAGTTGACTACTAGGTAGCTACACGTAGAGGCTGCGTCCCTCGACGAAACCCAATTCGAGTTTTTCCAACCTTTCTCTTTCTCTCCGTCTTTCAGGTCCAGAAGACAACGCGGTGATTAAGTATGATTGGAGCACTATTTAGGCCCGCCTATTCCTCCATCCCCAGGCAATCTTGCTAATTTGAGGGAGTCTAGCAGAGAGGGGGCATGGGACATATAGCATGCTGCTAGACTTGTGATTCCCGTCTCCCTACACAGTTGTTGATCGCCCCCTGCCCCCCAGACATTGTGTTTTATTATATGGATTCCTTATATAACTACCCTATATATTGATTGTATGTACTAAGTACGTACGTACTACATAGGTGGGGGGGGGGGGGAAGTGCGGGGAAAACAGTGCCAATATATATATCTATCAGCCGTCTTCCAGGGCGCGGCTCGCCAGGAGATGAGCGCCCAGTTACCCCATTTGATCATGAGAAAGCAGTGTTCGTGTCGTCGTCGACGGGTCGCGGCTAGCTTGCCCGACGTGCCTGCTCCCACTCCCGGCTGCCGTTGTTGGATTTTTTTTGTTTTGTATTTTTGTAGTGTTTTATTTTATTTTATTTTATTTCTTTCTTTCAATATTTCCCTTTTCCGCAATATTTTTCTCACTCGTTTATTCCTCTGTCTCTCTCTCTCAAGCACAGTCGCTCTTCGATTTCCACTTATGGTCTCCGCTGTGTGGGGTGAGAGCCGCCTGTCTTCATTTGGGTCGGGGCTGTCGGGTAATTCTGGCGCTTCCATTGTTGGCGGAAACCCGTTCCCCCTCTCTTTCCATCTCGTCCCGTGGGTGACTTGCTTGCTGGCTAGTGAGTGGCTGAAGACCCGGGACCGGGACCGGGACCAGGTTTGTTTCTGTTTCCTTTTTTTCTTCTTTAATATGTTTATTGTTTCTTTCCCGTGTGGTGGAGCTGGTGTGTTCCCCCTTGGATGTTGTACTATAAGCGGAATGTATGTACGCATATATATGTGTGGCCCTGTCTCGGGCTGATTTCGAGTTCCTGGGTTCCCTCTTTCTGGTTTCTCACCCCTGGTTAATACACAAGAAGAAAGTGAGCCGCTTCTCTTTTTTCCTTTTCGAGACTTGGTTCTCCCTTTTCTTCCGGTGTGCCTGCTCTGCTCTTTGGCCATTTGTTTGGTGGATCAAGAGTGTCGCTGCCGTTGTGTCACTACTTGCTATCGAGCCGAGAAACAAGAGACTTAACAAAAATGCGTCTGTCACTCTCCACGCTCGTCGCTCTCCTTCCCTTTTACCTCGAGGCCGTTACGGCACAGGGCTCCTCGGGCAACGGCAAGACGACGCGCTATTGGGACTGCTGGTAGGGGTTTCTCATCCCTGCTTGCTCTAAAAAGGGGGCAAAACAACAATCATAGAAAAGAGCTCAGGAAAGGGGGAAACAAAATGCTGACAACGCCGCACACGATAGCAAACCGAGCTGCGGCTGGCCCAAGAAGAGCAACGGCAACTCGCCGGTGCAGACGTGCGATAAGAACGACCGGGCACTCAACGACGGCGGCAACACTAAGTCGGGCTGCGACAACGGCGGCAACGCCTTCATGTGCTCGAGCCAGAGCCCGTGGGCCGTCAACGAGACAGTGGCCTACGGCTGGGCCGCCGTCAACATCGCCGGCAGCAACGAGGCCTCGTGGTGCTGCGCCTGCTACGAGCTGACCTTTACCAGCGGGCCCGTACAGGGCAAGAAGCTGATTGTGCAGGCCACCAACACGGGCGGCGATCTGGGTAACAACCACTTTGATCTTGCGGTGCGGTCCCCCTCCACACAAATCTTCAGAGAAAAGGGGGCGTGTGTTTGACGTCTCACTGTCTGACTACATGCTGACATGTCACGCCCGAAGATCCCCGGCGGCGGTGTGGGCCTGTTCAACGGTAAGTTTCTTTGTCACATTTCTCATTCTCCAACAAAACAACAAAAACATCAAAGTAGTCTCTGACACGGAACAGCCTGTACGAACCAGTACGGTGCGCCGAGCAACGGCTGGGGCGACAGGTACGGCGGGATCCACTCCAAGAGCGACTGCTCGGGGTTTCCGGCGGCGCTGAAGGCCGGCTGTAACTTCCGCTTCGACTGGTTCAAGGGCGCCGACAACCCGTCCGTGTCATTCCGCCAGGTCGCCTGCCCGGCGGCCATCACGGCCAAGAGCGGCTGCACGCGCAACAACGACGCCATCAACGAGACGCCCACGGGCGACCGCACCGTCCCTACGTGGACTCCGTGAGCGTTGAGGTGATGATGTGGTTTGGGTGAGTGATGAAAAGGGGGGCCAGTGGCAAGAGGGAACCGAGGGTTGGAGTTCCCAAATGTAAATAGACCCCCGAGGGAAGGGGGGGGGCTGCTGTGCTGCTTTTCTTGTATATAAGTACTCGTGACAAAAGCTGGCGTCCCGTGCATCTATCTATCTACCTGAACGTGTGTAAGTGCCATTGGTATGGTACTACAGAGCACTGAGTACAATGCTTGGCTCTTTCTTCTTTGCTATTTCTGCCACTTTGCGGCCCAGAGAGGTATCCTTCTTCATCTTCCGTATCCTTATCTATTCGACTTCCAGGTCGCTCGGAAGGGCACCGAAGACTATCTTACGTTACACTATATGCCCCTTTCCCCACAGAGCGGTAGCCACGAACTTGTTGCTCTCGTCAGCGTCACTCAACCAATCAGTGTGTGTGCCATGCTCACGGGTAAAGCTGCATGCATATATCTGCTCCCCTCTCGACCCCCTTGTTGTTATGGAAAAGGGAAGAATGCTTGTGTTTCCATATGCTTTTCCGCTCTATTTGGTCGTAAGTTGTCTAGAATGGACTAGACAAATGTGCCATCCAGGAATTTAACGGGTTTTTCGAGGTCAGATGTGAGATGGAGTGGAAGAGGTGAAATTCTATTCTATCATTGAGGGGCGTCTATTAAATTAATGTCCATGTCCTTCCCAAGGGAGTTGTGTTGTTACCATTCTCCGAAGTGCCAAATCCATGCCCCAAGCACACTTCGACAACAACCTCCGTTTAATCTCATGGCCTATGTAACCAAAACAACCACGCTCCTATCCTCACTTGGCATCTTTTGCCGGGGCTTCCGCCGCCAGCAGCGGCTGCATGTCCGGGTCTCCAATCTTCATGGCCCTCTGGTATGCGGGCCTCTGACCGACGCGCTCAAGGTACTTTGTAATGTTGGGGTGCTCAGCTAGGCTGTAGGGAAAGTAGTAGCGCATGGTTGTGAGGGGGAACACGGCCATGATGTCAGCGGCTGTGAACTCTGCGCCTCCGGCGAGCCACTCGTTGTCGCGCAGTCGGTTGTTGAGCGCCGCGAGGCCCTTCGCAAAGCGCTCCCGCGCCATGCCCGCCATTGGGCTGCTGGAGTCGGCGCCCGGGAGGCTAGAGGCCATGACGCGGCTCAATGCCGGCATGAAGGTACCGTTGGCAAAGTGGAACCAGTACAGAAAGTCGGCGTACTGCGGGTGCGACGGTCCCAGGAACAGCTGGCCGCCGCCATGCTTGTGAGAGACGTACTCGACGCACGCCGAGCTCTCGGCTAGCGTCACGAGCTTGTCGCTACCGTCGTCGTCTTGGATCACGGGCGAGGTCCCCGCCGGGTGCAGCGCCTTATACTCGGGCGGTGCCAGCAAGGGTGCCCGCTTGTACGTCTTGAGTTCGTACTTGACACCCAGTTCTTCGCACAGCCAGAGCAGGCGCTCGCTCTGGCTGACACCTAGATGATGAATCGTGAGGACCATGGCTGGGGAATAGCTTGAGTAAAATGACACAATTATCTGGGTTGTTGGTTCCCGGGTGGATTTTAGGGGCAATGAGATAGACACGGAGGCATGGGAACTAGGCAAAATGAGAGCATCCGGAAGAAATAAGAGACGTCTTATATAGAGAAGAGAACCCAACTTGAGCCGGATACAAGCAAAGCAAAGTGATTGGCCCTTCCGCACCCTCTTCCTTCCTTCATCCTCTTGACACTAGACTGGCCCTACTGACCCTACCAGCCCTATCCGGAGACCCGCCCATCCGAGTCCGGGATTCAGACCCCGGACAGGCTACGGAGCGTTCCGGAAACCTACCTGGCTAGAAGCTAGCCCACGAACAAGAAGGGACATTCAGAGCCGTCGAACAGGTGGAACCGAGAGAACTAGGCTAGCCGACGATAACCTGGGTGAGTCACCCGGGAGCGGTAGCCATCGAGAGCTGCAGAAAATAAAAGCTCATCGGTTTGGGCGGCTTGTTGGTGATTGCCAACAAGCGACCAACATGCCGGAGACTCGGAGGAGGACAATCTAGGTATGTACTGAAGGATTCCCTCAAAACCCCGATGCAGTGAAACTTGAAGTAAACCGCAGAATACGCGCATCCAGCCATGCCGACTGTCAGCTATGCAGCAAGCAAGCAACATCGAGGCTTGGTGAGAAATAATTCCAAATCCTTTTAAACTTTTTTTTTTCATCATGTCATCGGCTATGCCCTTCCCCGATCGTTTTCAGCGATAATTATCACGTGAGCGGGACTGCTACCTACTAAGGTGGCCTATTTAGACGACATATGTTATCTGCCTGGGTATCCGTAGGCTGAATCTCCATAGGCAATGAAGTCTAGGATCGGATAGTTGCTATTCTTTTAGCCCATTCTCTTCGCCATGTTGTGTTGGGCGAGGGTTTTGAACAAGGGTTCTTGGGGGATTGTCTTAAAGCGCGATTAAGGTTAACTACCGGAAGGAAGAAGAAAAAAGAACTTTGTCTGATGGACAAGCCCGAACGCCAAGGAAGGCAGACGGAAGATCGGGCACTTGATTGAGTGGACCGGCAGCGAAAAAGGAGACCGCCACGGGCCATGGCCGGCGGCCATCGTGGCCGGCACCATGGACAAACCACATGGATTGTGCAGAGTACTGCCTGGAGTGTTCCTGCGGTACCCGTGTCTTTGCGTGTTGCAAAGGGAGATATAAAATCGACAGCTCCAAAGTCAATTGCGGTCTCGCTGAGGAACATTGGCTTCGAGATCCTTCAACCTAGGTGCGCCACTACGAATAAAAGTTCTCGAGGGCATTCTGATGGCAGTGGTGTTGTCATATGATTCTCATTGGATTCTCGTCAACGAAACACGGAGTGGCCCCGTCTTTAGGCTGCGCCAGACCAAGACAATCGTACAGATTCCCGACGTGCAACGAAGGCAATCGATGGCGCAAGAAAAGGAGATTGATTGCTCATCTCTGCAAATAAAGGGCGCCCTTCTCTCTCTAATATCTATGGATTGCTCAACTGAGCATTAGGGTACCTTGACCTTCTTACCTCTCGGGACATAAAAGGGAAGTTGCCGCTCTATTTTAGCGCCACTGTAAATCTCAGGCCTGAGGCAGCCACGGCTTGGAAATCTGCCCCAACAGGACCCACAATCACGGCTGCGCGCAAACTCAAAGCACAACCAGGCCGCGAAAATCGCAAAACGCAAGGCGCGCCTGCGGCTGGGCGAGTCCTACTAAAGCAACAGCGCTTAGCAGGTAGCAGGCCCACACCGACCGCCTTCTGCCCCTCACCACAACTGGTCATCACAGCGGACTAGATCCGTCTCGTGCTTCTTTTTCGTCGTCCGCAATCTTCACCACCCTCGACCAACATTGCATAGCAACCTTCCAAGCGACCCCAGGCTGTCCCAAGCTGCGCGCAACCCGGCGCCCCTCCGTCGCAATCATGGCTCGTGTCTATGCCGACGTAAATCAGAACCTGCCCCGCACGTACTGGGACTACGACAGCGTCAACATCAGTGAGCACCCCCTCCCCTCCTTCATCCCAGATTCGCCCGCCCTTGGGAGTCCAACCTTATCCCGCCCCCGTTCGCCGTCGCCATCGCCGAATCCCCACTAAACCAGCTCCTCCTGCTTGGAAACTATTTGATATGGCTCGAGAGAGAACCGGGCCCTTGCTGACTACCAACTCTTTTACTCACAGGCTGGGGCGTTCTGGAGAACTACGAGGTTGTGCGAAAAATTGGTTCGTCTTCCTCCCACCCTTCGCCGCCCATGCGCTCTTTCTTGACGTAGCCGCTGACCGGAACCAACCCAGGCCGCGGTAAATACTCGGAGGTTTTTGAGGGCATCAATGTGGTCAACTACCAGAAATGCGTCGTCAAGGTGCTCAAGCCAGTCAAGAAGAAGAAGATAAAGCGCGAGATCAAGATCCTGCAGAACCTGGCCGGCGGTCCCAACGTTGTCGCACTTCTCGACGTTGTCCGTGATTCCCAGGTACGTTGCCTTTGTCTCCTGTACAGTAACACGCGCTCTGACCAGCAGTAGAGCAAGACACCCTCTCTGATCTTCGAATATGTTAACAACACGGATTTCCGGGTGCTCTACCCAAAGTTCAACGATATCGACGTTCGGTACTACATCTTCGAGCTCCTCAAGGCGCTAGACTACTGTCACAGCAAGGGCATTATGCACCGTGATGTGAAGCCTCATAACGTTATGATTGATCATGAGAACAGGAAGGCGCGTTCTCCTCTCACCTCTCTATTCTTGGATTCAAAGCTTACCTCTTTTATCCCCTACAGCTGCGCCTCATTGATTGGGGTCTCGCGGAATTCTACCACCCTGGCACAGAGTACAACGTTCGCGTGGCTTCGCGCTATTTCAAGGGCCCCGAGCTGCTTGTCGACTTCCAGGAGTACGACTACAGCTTGGACATGTGGAGCCTGGGCGCAATGTTCGCGTCAATGATCTTCCGCAAAGAGCCGTTTTTTCATGGCGGAAGTAACTCGGACCAGCTCGTCAAGATTGCCAAGGTCCTTGGCACTGATGACCTGTTCGACTACTTGGACAAGTACGAGATCGAGCTTGATTCGCAGTACGATGATATCCTCGGTCGCTTCCAAAAGAAGCCGTGGCACAGCTTCGTCAACGCCGAAAACCAGCGCTTCGTTAGCAACGAGGCCATCGACTTTCTGGACAAGCTGTTGCGATATGACCACGCGGTATGTCTTTGGATTCTCTCTAATTTCAACTAGCCATTTTTCTGATCGGGGGCATTGGCTCTAAACTACAGGAACGTCTCACGGCCAAGGAAGCAATGGCGCATCCCTATTTTGCGCCAATCCGCGACGAGGTCACTCTCCAGCAATACTTGGCTGGTGGAACACCTCAGGCCTAAGCCGAGGTAAAGGTAGGGCGGCATGTGGTCGCTACCGCCCTTCCCCCTCTTCTTCCTCAACCACACTTTAGCTTGCCGTTTTTCTTTTGGCTACCGAGACCGAGAGGGAGACGGTTCGACTTTAGTGTCAACGACCTGGTTCCCGCGGGCGCAGCGAAAAGAGCGAATGGAGAAAAATATGAGACCAAAATTGCCGTATCTGAGAAGGACAACCTTCACCCCCAACCTCACTCAGCCTCCCTACCCCCTACCCCCCAAAGAAATGAAATACCGGTACTATTTCGTGTATGCGCTGCAGTCTCCTGTTGGAATACCCCCCACGTACTACAACTACCGGCACTTACAAAACCCCAAGACCTAGCCCCATTCGAAATAAAAGAAGGGAGCAGGAAATGGAAAATTGGAAGCAAGGGTCGGCAGCGAATACGACAATGATCTAGTGCCACATTTCTTTTGTGGGAGGAATCAAAATGGGCCGATGGACGACTTCAAATGTTGGGGTGATCATCTCATTCTCGAGAGGGCTATCTGTGCGTGTCTGTTTCGTGTGTCTACTTGGGCTCGTCTTAATGAGCTATTTGGCTAGCTAGCGGAGCACGCCTATATTATCGGATTCTTGCTTTACTTGGGCAAGGTAAACCAATGAGGAACTAGGTTCCTATCTGCCTAGATAGGCGGGCAGACACATGTCGATCAACAGGTGGCCGCCGCTGGGAATCGAGATGCATCAAGGCGGCCAAGCAGATGAAAGGGCAACGGTCTAGTGGAGGGGAGAGAATTTGAGGAGGAAGACGCCCAAGCGAAATTTGACTATTTCGTAGCGTTTTCATCATGGTTTTCTTGTTTGGTTTTTTCTCTCTTCCAGTTCATGTTTTTTCCTTCTCTCTCATGGTATGGGTTTTCTTTCAGGCCTACTACTACTAATATTATCAATCCGTACATAGGCTTAATAATATGGTTGCCTAAAAACAAAAACGCCCCTTATCCTTTTTCTATTGTCTTTTACGAGGGTATAAATTGAGTGGCATTTCATCTCGGTTTTTTGTCTGTTTCGTTGTCACCTTGCGCTCAGATATCTAGAACGCGGTGGAATGTTTATATTTAATTTCGACTGCTCTAGGAGCGACTTCTACAGTTGGATATATCACCAAAGTGGAATGAATGGCTTATACCCATAGCTATGCACATACTAAAGTGAACACAATTGGGCATTTCCCGAAGCACAGTAAAGAGTCAGACAATTGAACGGTACTGATAGAGCAAAATATTTGCATCTATCATTATTTTCCTCGTCTTTTGGTATATTCAAGTCTATGTCTGTGTGCAGCTAGCTATCTGCTTGGAATTCGAGATACCATTCCATAGAGCTCCTCCTCCACCATACCATATCCGGGATATGGTTCCCGTGCCAATTCTAGAGGAACTTCCCCAAAGCGCCATTTCCGCTAGTTAGTTAAGTGGTGTTTGTTCAGAGACAGGCAAAGCAAAAGTCCCTGTCGCAGCGGAAACCGCCCTCGCCGCATCTGCGCATGCTCCCACCGGGAGTCTGGACCAGCTCCGACCCCATCGGCTCCGAGGTCGTCTCGACGCTCCTCCCTCGGCGCTGGCGGACGGCGAGATCCGCCCCGCTGCCGCGAAAAGCCAGGGCCGCTGTGGTGAGGGAGGACGACATGGGGCCCCTGCCAGTGGCGGAAAACCGGGCTAGGGTCGACCGGAGAGAGGAAGGCGAGGACATGGGACCGGCAGCACCAGTTTTCTTGCTGTGTGAGCTTAGGAGCAGCCCCTTTTTCAGGGTCAGCTTCCTCTTCTTGATGGTGCTAGAGGAAGCCGCCGAGGCCGCGAGAGCCAGGCGCACGCGAGCGTGTTGCTCGGAAGGAGACGAGTAGAGGTTGTTATGGCGATGCTTGCAGCGACTGCCCGAAGGCGTGAAATTTTCGGGCCCTAGAGATAGCTCGTCTTCGTCGTCGTCTGAGAGGAGAGAAAGAAGGCCGGTGTGCCTGGAAGATGGGGCGGGTCTCGTGTTTGAAGACACTGTTGTGTGGCGTTGGGTTTTGTTTGGATTCACTGGAGTGGCGGGTGCCGCCTCCTGCCGCTTGGCATTCTCCTTGTCGCTCTTCTGTGCCACCGGCTTAGAAGACTGTATTTTCTCGGCAACTGTTGCTGCAGCTTCTGGATGGCCTGGTGTGGTAGGTAACGAGGGGACCGGGTCTTGCTGCTGTTGTCCATTATCATCATCCTGATGTATGATTGCTGGTTCCTTGTCGAGGCTATTGGCCTCAGCGTTAGGATTATTGATTTGTGTTAATGGATCGAGTGGCGAGGGAAACGTTGCCGGCATCGCGCTATCTGCTGTTTCTTTAGCTTGGGCTATAGTCTTTGGGTCTTCGTCGACAGCCATTGATGTCTCTTCTAAAGGCTCCGGACCAGGATTTGGCTCTGGCTCAGCATCGACTGGCAAATCAACCTCTTTCAGAAACGTTTTCGGACGTCCCATCTTCCGTTTTATGGCAGGCGTGGGCTCACAGAACGTAGTGCTCGAGACAGTCTCTGCTACTGCTAGGGTCGGCGTCTCGATGACCGGCTGTGTACTGAGCGCAAGCTTCTTACCAGGTTTAAGAGCCGACTTTTCCATCGTTACGTTCCCTGCCCTATTTTGCCGAAGACTACTCTCACTGGTTGTGTCTTTGACAGAATTTGCTTGTCGTGATGATGTCGGTGGGGGGGTAGGCGAGATGCCGTCTAACCCGTCCAACTGTGACGACTGTTTCTTTTCGTTCAATACTAGTCCTTCCTCTGTTTTATCGAGGAGCGCACCAATCGCTACTTCTGGAACCACATCGGGACCTGATGGGGGCGTATGAGTGATGATTTTGTGATTTGTACTTCGGCGCTCCTTTTTCCTATTGGAAGTTTCACCCCTAGGTGCCGGGGATACAGTCCCCGGTGCTGGATTGTTCTGGTGTGCCCTAATGACCGTGTTCGGCTTGCGGTCGAAGCGGCGACAGTTCTTGGATTTTGGCAGCGCGGGCTCCTCCTCGTCGGAAAAGGTGTATGCGGGATCCAGGACGTTCCTCGAAAATACTTCGACAGCGACGCCTTCAGACTGAGATTCACTCTCGGGGGTGGGCATCCGTGCTTTGGCAGGACTGGCATGGATATGACCAGTCTCTGACTCGTCCTCGCCTACATTTTGAGGCGTGGGATATGCCATTTCAAGCGTGGTTTCTGGTGTGGCTTCGGGAGTAATGGCCCTGAACAAGGCGTATTCGCTTGCTCTTTTCGCCACAATTTCTACCCGCAGGCACTGGTTTCTTGGTTTTGTTGCACTTTTGATGCTCAGTTCAGAATGACCAATGTAAACGTCTGGCTGCTCTGTTACTCGCGCAGGAGTTTGGGACGACAATGACAGCTTCTCAGGCGGAGTGGCCTCGACCGCCGCCAGATAGCCCTCACCCGACGCACGTTTGCGTCGGCTCTGTGGTGCTTTGACTTGCCGAGCCGACGTCGTAGGGGTGGCGGGGTCATGAGCATCGGATGACAGCAGTAGCTCAGCTTCAAGCGGATATTTGGTGACCGGGGTTTGTTTGTCTTTCTTGGGCTTCAAACTGCCGCCACCTGAGTCCAATATCGCTAGCTTTTTTTGCTTTGAGGGGGTTCTGCTCGTTGGGGTGTTGGCATCCTTTGGTTTCGGTTTCGGCTCAGACGCCGCTGGACGGCTGATCTTTTCAGAAGAATCGCTCGCACGGAGAAGGCCTTGCGGTGGCAGCTTCTTCGGGACCGACACTCCGCCGGGCCCCGGCTCGGTCGGTTCTACAGTAGAAACTCCCATGAGAATGTCGTCCTCGTCCTTGTCGTCGGCATCGCCACCGGAAATCAGCGGCATTCTCGCCTTGCCCCGAGAGAACGAAGTTGTGCCGGCGGGCTGCCACGTGTTTTGGAAGGCGGACGGGGGCAGCTCCGGAACCCTCCAAGCAGCTTCAGACCAGTTGTTTATTGGGGGTGGTGCGCCGTACGGCATAGAGAAACCACCGCCAGCCTGCATCGGTGGAAATGACCCTGAGCCAGGGAATAGCGGGGGGGCTCCCATGAACGGCGAGGGCCCCCCCATAAACGGCGTGGATCCTGCCATAAACGGCGAAGGTCCCGCCCATGGCCCATTGAAGTAGGATGGGATGATATGTGAGGCCAAGGGAGGCGGTCCAAGCTGCCGTAGCGAGCTTAGTCGTAGGTCACTTTTTCCCTGCAATATTCTTTCCTCTTCGTCTATCGAGGCAGTATCCGAGGCTGAGTCCTCAGTTGCGAGGGCTTCAGAGATGTTGTCGTTGTCATTGCCGAATGCGCCCAGGGCCGTGTCGGTCTTTTTGAGCGACTGGATGTGTCCATTGTCGACGACAACTTCACAGGTTCTCAAGTCGATCTCGTCACCAATGCCTGTGAAGTCCTTCTCGTATTTGTCAAAGATGCTTTCGAAAGCCGACTTGAGCTTGAGCGCCGCAAAAGCGCGAGACTTTTGCAGACGATAGCCTGGGTCGCGGCGCGCATTCAAGTCTTCGGGCCGTGAATTCAGCTCGTCGGCCTCGACATCGTCTTCGTCGTCGACAGCGTCAGGGTGAAAGGAGGAGGCGCCAACTCGCGCTCGCTTTGGAGGCCGTTCCATGTTGCGCACATGATCAAGCCCGCAGAGTTGTTTTGTTGTGTGAGTGTGACCGAGGTTCCGAGAGCTCTCAGGACATGGACATTGTCCAATGTCCATGCCACTTGTTGCGTTGGGAATGTCGCGTAAATTGATCTTGGCGCGCGCCGCCGCGCCGAGCTAGGATGTGGGTGCTCCCCGCTAAGCCCACAGTAGATCTGAGACTACAGCGCACAGTGTATAGAGCTCTCAGTACATTGTGGATACACTAACTTGGGTGTATTATGTAGGTGCTGTGCTGTACACAGAGTGTATTTCAACAGTGCGAGGTTCACTCAGCTTGTTCGCGGGGTTTCTCCAGCTGGATGACAGCGCCTGGTGCCTGCAAACTCCCCGTGTTCCCTCCCATCTGACATTCAAGTGGAGGGAAACTTCCATCCAAGGTCAGAGCTTGCATCCAAACCTGCGTCCTACACCACCTCTATTACTAAGGCATATAAAACGTTCATTACCCGCTTTCTCTTGCCGGCGACGGACCTCCCTGCTCTACACAGCATGGACGGAGCCTCTCAGAGCAACAGCAACAGCAACAGCAGCAACAATGTATTGCCAGAAGTGCCGCGCCCCGCTCAGACTGGACAACTCGGTCGAGGATCTGAACCCGGCTGCCTATGATCTGCTCGTTGGTGAGTTCTGGTCCCAGTCCCCTCCTTTATCTGCCTTGCATCCATCGTTGATGTCACTGACCCGATCTCGCTAGCTACACATTCTCAACAACAACAAACGCTCAAGAAGCAAGCCCCATCCTCGTCCCGCACCCCCATCCTCCAATCCCAAGAACGGGCAAGGAAGCCCGTCTACGACCAAGCCGCGAACCATGGCAGCCACGCTACCTTCAAACGACACAGCGGTCCGGGGAGGGGCGACGGCCAGCTGCGCGATACCTCCATGTCCTTCATCCTTCTAACCGAATCCCAGATTGCCCCCCCCGGCGGTCTCGCCCAGCAGAGAAACACCCACCCGCGGTACCCTGATGGCACATCGTCCCTCCATTCCCGAGGTGGCAGCAATAGCGGCAACGGTGGCGGCAACAGTGGTGGCCACGACGGGCCCGGCGACGAGGATGACTCCACAAAGTCGTACGAGATGGAGCGCATTGCCAAGCTCTTTGAGATCCTATCCGCGCGCTCAGACATCGACCATCCCGTGTGCGTCGAGTGCACGGAGCTGCTGCTCGAGGAGGTGCAGAAGAAGCTCGAGCTGACGACACGAGAGCGAGATGCCTATGTAAGCTACGTTAAGGAGATGCAAGCGGGCGCACCCACGGACGAAGAGCTACAGGCACAAGAGCAGTCGCTGCGGGCGGCCAGGAAGGCCGAGACTGAGGCGCTCGCCGAGCTACGACGGCTCGAGGAAGTCAAGGCGTCAATGGACGCGGAGCTGGCGGCGCTTGAGGACGAGTCGCAGGAGCTTGACGGGCAGGAGGAAACCTTCTGGCGTGAGCGCAACGCCTTCGCCAGCCGCTTGGACGACTTCCAGAACGAGCGCGACAGCGTCAACAGCAAGTTCGACCACGACTCGCGCCAGCTCGAGAAGCTGCAGCGCAGCAACGTCTACAACGATACCTTCTGCATCAGCCACGACGGCACCTTTGCCACCATCAATGGCCTGCGTCTCGGCCGCCTCTCCAGTAAGCCTGTCGACTGGCCCGAGATCAACGCCGCCTGGGGCCACGCCCTGCTGCTTCTCGTCACCGTCGCCGACAAGCTGGCCTACCGTTTCGAGGGCTACGAGCCGCAGCCCATGGGCTCAACGTCGCGCATTGTGCGCCTAGACCCGGCGTCACCAGCTTCGAGCCGGCTTAGCAGCGGCCCCGCGAGCGCCCCGCCGCCGCCGCCTAAGCGCCACGTCCTCGACCTATTCTCGAGCGGCGACATGCCCCTCGGTCTGACGTTCATGCACCGCAAGTTCGACAACGCCATGACGGCCTTTCTCGAGCTCGTGCGCCAGCTTAGTGCCCACGTTCAGCTGCAGACGGTCGCCGACGGCACCCCGCTCGCCCTCCCCTACCGCATCGAGGGCGACAAGATCGGCGACGTCAGCATCAAGCTTGGCATAGCCCAGGACGACGGCTGGACTAAGGCTTGCAAGCTGACATTGACGTGCTGCAAGTTCCTGCTCGCCCACGCCAGCAATGTGAGCGCCATATCAAATGGTCGTATAGGTGCCTGATATAGATTTTTTCTTTTCTTTTTCTTAGGTTGTTGGAGCGTTGACTTTACTGAACGGGAGCGGCTACCTGTTATCGAGCTAGCTGCCTATTCTCTTACCATGCGCAGTTCCCTAGGTAGTTATGCACGCAGGGGTGCCGTCATTGACATTAACAGCCCGGGGAGGGAACACAGGCGTTGCATTCATGTTTCTTACTTACTATCAAGGGGATTAAGGGGGGCCGATTTTGCCATTAAAGAGGCGTTACATGGCTTGTTATTTCCGTTTCACGCCTTCCCTCTGTGTGCGTGTATGGATTTTAGAACGGGGTTATACGAGCACGGCGCAGAAAGGAAGGAGGTATAGCATAGCTTTTTCTTTGGCTTTCTTTTTCATGTTATTCACACTACTAAAAGACAGTGCATTCGAGGATAGGGAGAGTTGCCAGTCACGGCCGGGCTTGCCCATCCGAGCAGCGCATGAGTCAGAAATACCGAACATAGAATAGAACAAGAGAAGACACTGTTCAGCCGTCACTGCCTTGTATAAGGGATGCATGCAAGACATTGATTCCTAAATTAAACCCTACCGACCAAAATTACTCAGCTCCCTAAGGTAGCTCCAGAGGAGCAACTCGCCTACCTCACAGACCGATATGAAAACGGAAACAAAGAGATGTGCTTCATGGGCTGGTTCGGGACTTGAAAGATGGATAAGCAGACTGAAAAGCAAAGCAAAGCAAAGCGTATTCCTCAGACGCAGCTAGAATAGGAGAAACCATGAAACAAATAAAGATAGATAGAGATACCCCGAAACCAGTTTCCTTCCCCCTCAAGGCAGGGCCTTGGATTCCTTCCTGCCTGCCTATTATTACCTCCCTCCTGCAAAAAAGAAAAAAAAAACGTAATGGAAAAGGGGAGGAAAGCCAAGAGGAATAAGCGGAAAAGAAAACCAAAACCGAGAGAAACAAAAGCAAGCGATAAATCAACTACCCTTCCGATCCAATACGTTGAAATGAGTGTGTGTCAATCACATGGAATGAAGAAAAGTCATTATCGCTGCTCACTGCCGCTCGCCGTCGGACTCGTCTTCGTCATTCTCGTCACCGCTATCATGTTCCCCGTCACCGTCACCACTCTCGTCGTCATCCCCATCCTCCAAGAATAGCTCGCGGCTTAGCCCTGCTCTCCCCGGGGAGGCAGCAGCAAGAGCGGTGCGCTGCTGGCGGCGCAGAAAGGCCTTGAACCCGCCGCTCATCCTTGCGACGGCGGCCAGGTGGCTGTCGGCAAGAGCGACGGTGTCGTCGAGGCCGCCGCTGTCGAGGGCTTCAGTCTCGGCTAGCGCTACGGCGGTCTGCAGGGCGTTGCGGATCTCGCGGCCGTTCCAGCGCAGGGCACGCACCTCGGCCGACGCGAGGGCGAACTTGCGCGCCACGGGTAAGACGGTGCGCTTCCCGGCGCTGTCGCGCTCTATATTGCAGAGCAAGACAATGAAAGGTCAGTATGTTGTGCTGTTAGATGTATAGGAGAAATAGGTGGTAGACGGAGACAGCTGAAGGTTTTGTTGGAAACGCTGCTCCGAGGGTGGTCACCCTTCCTCTCCACACAAGAACTTGGTAACACCTCGGGACAAGTGGTTTGACCAAATGAAAAATGCAGAAAGCAGAGAAAAAAGAAAACACAAACGTACCGAGCCGGTCAAAGTTGTTGATCCAGATGCGCTGCCGGTCGTCGTCGGTCAGGTTGCGATAGTGAAGGGCAACGTGGATGCGACTAGTAAAGGCGCTGTCGAAGGCCTCGACGCGATTGGTGGTTAAGATCAGCAAGCCCCGGTAGTACTCGAGAGCGCGAAGGAATATGGACACGAGGCCGTTGCGGCGGAGGTCGCTCGCGCGGCGCTGCTCAAGATAGACATCGGCTTCGTCGAGCAGAACGAGCGCGCCGAAGCGCTCTCCCAAGGCGAGAAAATAGTTGAGAGCGCGCTCGACAGACGTGACGCTCATGGATGTGCTGATGTCGCCGCTAGTTAGAGCCAGGAGCGGCCGGTGCGTTAGCTCTGCTACACATTCCGCAGTACACGTCTTGCCAACGCCCGGCGAGCCGTGCAGCAGAAAGATGCGCCCTTCGCCTTTGTTCTTCACAAAGTCAGACGGCCACGGCGACACCCTGCCGTCCAAGCTGGCGAACTTTCCCGTCAGTGCCTTAACCGTCAGTTTGATCTCGCTGTCAAGCACCAAGTTTTTGAAGGCATCCTTGTCCGGGGTGACGTCTCTGAGAAACCCGACATATACGAGCGCTTCTTGCGATTAGCCATACTGAACAGACAACAAAAGGATCCGCGGGTGCTTCTTGCGCTTACCCCAGCGTCTCTCCCCGAGGATAAAGGCAGGGATCGTTTTATTCAGCACGCGAAAAAATAAATCCTCATTCTCAGGCGGGTTGTCCTTTTGGGGGTCCAGGTTGTCAAAACCAGCAAAGGGGCTGGGGCCCTGTGGAATTCCTGCTTCGCGGCATGCTTTGCAACCACAGCGTGGCAGTGTCTCGGGCAAACTGTCCTTCCTCGGAGCGGATGATGTAAGGCGAGGCTCCAGAGACTGAGGAACCAGTTTTCCGTGAGCCCCGTCTCCGAATCGTTCCCAGCCCTCGGGGTCAACGACAACACGGCCAGTCACCTGTGGAACGTACGGTATAAAGTCAGCCACGACCAGCTCTGCTCTCAGAAATGAAACCATAAGGGACAGAACCACTGACACTGCCTCCAAGACTCCCATCCCTGTTTATCAATGGGCCGTCATACTCCTTATAGGATGGCCGCTTGGTAAGGTCCCAGTACAGCTTTCCGAGCTTGAATTGTTCTTCGGCCACTTTCTTCGCTCCGCCAGCCATAAATTGGGCGGGAACGAGTGGCAACGTTTCGATGGCTCTTGCTCCGTTCCACGGATAGACATGGCTCGTCTGCATGCGGCGTTGCAAGCGGCCACCCACAAACACGATGTTCCAAAGGTTAACCAGATAGGCACCTAGCCCGCCGTCGTCCGTCCCGGTCCTACCAACGCCGCTGATCACAAACGGAACCAGTTGCCCATCTTGGACCTTGTAGGCGACCTCACCGGGCTTGAGAAAGAGCCAAAAGAGGTTGAATGTTGCAGTGGGGACGCCCAGAGGATCGTTCCAGCGGCTCGCCTCCGCCTCAATCTGCCCGGCGAGTACCCCTTTCAGGAAGGCGAGAAGAAGGTCAATGTGTTTCACCACAATCGCCGCATACTCGGCACTGTGAGAGGTCGGTTGGTTGGTTCTGTGGTGCTCCAGAGCCTTGCAGTGATGCACTAGGACTTGGTATGGCGCCTCGATTACCGTTGGCTCTTCAGAAGTGAAGTCAGGCGCCGATGGGTAGTAGCCAACAATAGCAGCAAGGGCAGCCTTGAGATGCTCAGAGTGGATCAGCATTAGTGTTTTCTCGGTCCTGACAAGCTTGGCCCCAGCCCCGTTCCCATCAGCATAGGTGCGGAACGCATAACTGTCATCCTCCAAGACAAGTTGGGGGCCAGGAACTCGTGCAGGTACGCCCGGACGCCGGTGCGTCGTAGAGACCCTCTTAGCAATTTCGATGACCGGTTTCTTCCCGATGTCCATTTTGTCTGGCTCTGCCCCCGATGTAGCAGCATCTATAGGCTTGTCGCTCTCGCGTCCTTCTCGGTTTTAGCCGATGCTGTGTCTCACACAACCGGAACTGCCCATAACTCACTTTCGAGCACTTTTCCCGTGCTATTGCACCATTGCACCGAGTAGAGAAGGTCCGGAATCTTGTCGCCGAATAGAGGCTGCTTGCCTGAAACCCTATTATTGGGGTCCTTGAGCATCGTATCACGAGTTTTTCGTGACTCGCTTCCAACATGCTCAAAGCTCGCCGTTGAGCTGGTCTCGTAATTGAACTACGAGGTAGTTAGCGGCCTTTCAACCACGAATCGGGAATTTAGAGCAAGTCATCTCGTACATCTTCCATGACACAATCGGATCAGATGCTTGATGGCATTAGGCGATGGGCGTTTGGCACAGGTACGGGTGCTTCAACGAAGTCTTGAACCTGGGAGGACGAGTCCAGACTGGTGCGAGACTGGAGATGAGAAAGCCCGAGAGACACGACCCCGAGGAGAGGCGGACGACGCTCTTATCTCTGCTCGCCTGGTTTGACAACAACGCGACATTGGGGGCATCGGGTTAGGAGACTAAGGTGGCCAAGGCTGAGCAGGAAGACTGAAGGTGTAAGCAAACACATGCATGTTTCAGAGCAGCCAACCATATCATGGGGATATATTAAAGAATTCCAGCCGTGGAGTCTGTGTTGGACGCGTAGATCAGTCATCGGACCAGATTTCTGAAGTGGTGGACCTTTTTGTCGTTGTCTGCATTGGCGTCTTGGGGATTGCTGCGAGTGGCCGCGGGATTGTTTCGCGAGACGGAGAGAGGTTGGGGGCTGCGCCGCTTGGTCGCTTTCAGGTCTCCCCAAAACAAACAGAGATGTCCGGCGGGTCTAGCGCCGAAATAACAAATGTTGACGTATCTCGCTATCTATAATCCTTTCCGAGAGACTACCTACACATTGTTAGATGGAGCAGAACAGGGATTAGTAGAATGAGGGAATCGATGGAAGGAGGATGGGTGAAGGAGGAAAAGGCCTAAATAAGTGCCTACGCGCCTTTTGTTTGCTTCTCCTGTCCCAAAGGCCTATAAAATGACGCAATAGGGTCACCGGTATAGCCCATTCTGCTGACCTTACTATTATGGTCGTGGTGTTGTTCCTTTGACCTATTATTGGACTGAAACTATCCGTAGGCATTAAGCATTGATGTTGACTCTCGAGTGAGAACCACAAGGCACCGAGGTTGTTAGGAAACACCTCAATCTAAATTGTCGAATCCTGTTTATGGCCCCCTCGCACTTGAAAAATCCCGCCGCATATCTAGCCCACCACATGTAAAGAGCAAATCTGGTTATGGTTGTGTGGTTGAGAGGCAAGGGCGTAGCTTTTCAAAGTCTTTTTGGAAAGCAGTACCTAGCGCCATAACGCCACCATTAAAAAAGGCCCGTGTTTAATAGAGGGCAAGAATGCCTCTGTGCCGCAAGACCACCCCCTTGCCGCTCCCTCATCTAGTTTGGTGAGCCAACGCGAGCAGGCGAACCAGGTGGCTCCAAAGACAGCGATGCTAGGCGGCGAGTGAGGGATAAGGAATGTGGCTGAACCGCCGAGTCTTCGTGTGCAAGGGTGTAAGCCGGCCAGTCCGATTGTATTGGGTGCTCGAGGGGGCCAAATATCACGTCGTCGGCCTCGATCATGACGAACCGCTTGAGAAGTTCGACATCCTGATCTCGCATCAGGCTTACCTGGAGGCGCAGTACACCTCTTGCAATGTAATAGCTCTGGCTCTGATCCTTGATCCCCTTTGTGCAGAGTAGCAGGGTTGACCTCAAGGCCTCCATGATTGAGGGATCCTCATTTGTGTTTATAGCCTCGACTGTCAACTGGGAGAGAGAGCCGAGAAAATGTGTGAGAAAGCTATCCAGGGCACTAAATCCGTGACGGAGATAGTAGAGCCGAAGGATCGTCTCAAAGTAAACCAGGGAATCGAGGTAAGCCTCGCGGGGTGTCTTCGCGGGAAGCGTGACTCCTTGGGTCCTTGTACCCCAGTCATAGTTGACTATTGGTTTGAGAAGCGCGATCAGGAGGATATGGTAGTGCATGTGAAGCTTGAGCTGATGCGGCATTACAATCCTCTTGGGGGAGAGAGGTTCTGGGAGATTGCGAAGCCAGGCGGTCATTCTATTGTAGAACCCAAGGATCTGGTCGACAGACAGCTTGCGGGGGAGGTTGGAATTGGACGGCCCGACCTGGACAAGCGTAATGCCATTCGCTATGCTCCAGAGGTCTGCCTTGGCCTTGAAAAGAAGACCATGGTATGTTGGCAAGCGTGACTGGGTCGACGGGTACTTGACATAGGTCTCGCTATAGAACTGAGGGCATTGGATGGGGTCAGGCAGCGATGATTCAGGCGGCTCCTTCATCAATGGCACCCTGAAATAGTGGTGGCAAACCACGCTGCAGTCTATTGTGAGCGAGGCTTGGGTGGGTAAGCAACCGGGATCATTTCATACCTCTGCCATCCGAAGAATACCCACGCTGTGAAGTCCCTAACCGACCGCACGTCTTGGCCAATGTCGGGGCGAGTTGCCCGAAAGAGTTGTATCTCGTTGGCCATGTCGAGGGCGCGGAGGGTGTAGCGCCAACCAACCCTGTCAAAGCCATTGAAGGCGTCTATTAGATTTAGAAGGAGGGCGGATTGTATTAAGACCAGCCTGCGTTGTTCCCACTGGTTGGACTTCTGCCGCGAATTGGGATTGTCTGGCTGCTCTGGGGGCCTTTCAGTTTCGGCCTCAATCTCAAAGAGGCGCTTCGCCTCAGCAAGAAACTGATATCCCAGGTTCTTGGGGTTCCAGTATTCAGAACGGTATTGCAATCCTCGGTGGCAGTACTTGGATTGGGCTATCAGCAAAGGTTCTCGTTCTCGACGTAACGCAGGGGCTAAAATACTTACACACCCTACACACAGTACGGTGTTAACCAATACTTTTGAGCAGAAACGTGGACGGCCGTGAGCCATGTCCTCAAGAAAATAGTCCTTCTGGAAGAAGGTAAACCAGTCATGGTCGTAGAGGAGATAGTCGTGAAGAAGCTTCCGCATCAGATTATCATCGCTGCTCACAGAAGTCCACTTTGATGGCTTGACCACATCAAGCCATGGGCTCACAATGGTTGCAGATTGGTAGGGTCTCATGTAAGCAATACGCTCCGGTTCTTCACCAGGGAAAGCGGGTAACTCGGGAGTGGCGTCCGTTGGAGAGGCAGAGCCAGAGGTAGAGCCGGCATCATCTAGCAGCCTGCGTCGTTGGCTAGGAGGCTCTGAGGTGTTGGCAGGGGTCGGAGCTGCCAGCGGGGCAGCTTCGTAAACCTCAGAGTCAAGGTATTGATTGCCGGGATGACGCAAGTAGGCAGGCATCTCGGACATGTAGGGGAAGTCATAGCGAAACCTTGCCTCAGGGACTAAGGCAAGCTGCACTAGAACATCGCCGTAGTTGACATGACGCAGGATGTTGGCGGCATCTGCGCCACGGCGGATTCGTTGGAAGACCTCGCGGGCCTCATGGTCTGGTCTTGACTGCAGGACGTCGTATATCTGCTCGAAGGTGCTCTTCTGTGACTGCAGCTCGCCAAACTTTCTCTTGAGAGCCTGTGCGTGTGTTTCTGCTGCGTTTGTGTCAAACTCGCACTCAGTGCCGCGCTCCTTGCAGATGGAGCATCTTGGGCGTATGCCATCACACTATTTCATCGAGTGTCAGGTCAGCGCCCACGTTGGACAAGAAAAGGCATGATACGAGTTGGTCCACACCTTTGACTTGCGCCGACGACAGGCGCTACAGGCTGCCGTTGTGGCCTGTCTCTTCCTGCGCTTACCAGACGTAGCGTAGTTGGGGTCGCTAGTTGTAAAAGGGCTCGCGGCATTTATGGGATCTCCGTGGCCATGGCTGTGGGCATAACTATCACCACCGACGCTACCATTGCCACTGACACTGCCACGGCCATTGGGGCGACCAACAGCGGGGGCGGGGGCGGGGGCGGAGACGGGAGCGGGTATCTCGGGCGGCGATAGCCTCGTCTCTCCGGGACCGGCCGCAGGCAGCAGCCGCCGTAGTGGGCCGGTAGGTTGCTGGCCGTTGGGGGCGGGCACTTGGAAGGAAGAGAAGGAGGATGAGGATGGCGATGAGGATGAAGCTAATGCGGGCTTCATGGTAGGCAGTCGCGGTATGCTCCCAACAGCTAGTGTTGTTGGCTGGATAGCATGAGATGGAACACGCTGGCAACAGGGACGGACGGGTCTGGCGGGATAGTGTAGTTGAGACGGCACCGCACAAGTCGGCGCTATTGAGACGTTGACTGCCTCGGGTGCTTTGTTGCGGGCTTGCGGCTGGCTAGGTAGTGGTCTATCGGACGGCAATTTACAGGCTGAAAGACAAAATAGCGGACGTAAGGACGAACAGAAGGGCAGGCAATGGAGGGCAGCGGTCGTGGATGAGTTGCACGTTTTGGTCGGGAGTAGACTTGAGGCGGTCGCCTCCCACGGACAGCCAGCCAGCCAGACAGGAGACAGACTAGTAGACCGATAGACCGGCGGACAAACAGACTGTCAAAGTGCCTGTACTGAAATATGCCCCCAAATCAACAGCCTCAGAATCTGGTTCCGGCTCCCACCATACCACCCTCCTCAGGAAGAAGGTCGCGTCTCATGCATGGGAAGAGAGCAAAACTGCAAAGCTGGCCACCTAACGGACTTGTCTCCGTGCGGCTTCTATTCGCTGGCGCAGTTGCTGCAGTTCCTGGCTGGCTGCAATGAGTGGGCTGCAATGAGTGGGCTGCTGCTGTTGGGCCGCTCATGTAAGACAGGCCGACGGCCGTCCAAGTGCTGCATATTGGATCCTCCGTAGTGGTTTTGCTGCGCGACCGGGAGGCAGTCGGGCGTCGTCGGTCGGTCGTGTCTGTTATCCCGGCCAGCCAATTATTATTAATAGTTAAAGACGCCTACCTAGTACCGGCAACGCCCAATTCCTAGCTGCCTGTTACCCTCGCTTGGCAGCTAGCCTAGCTTTGGCTTTTGCTCCGGATTTGCTCTGGCGGCCAAGGGCCCAAGGAGAGTGAGCTTTAGGCCAAGTTCCGACGCCAGATGCGGGGCACATTGGCCAATGGGGGGGGATCGCGGGGTTTCCGGCCAGCGTTTGGGATCCCTGCGGTGAGCGAGGTGTGGTCGGCTGGGTCTGGGGTTGCCTTGCATCTCGGCTTCCTCCGTAAGCCGAAAGGAAATGTGGGTCAGTTGCAGGGGTTTGGATTTGGATTTCGTTTTTTTTTTCAATCGCTCACCGCAATCGGGGACGGACCGTGTGACTGTGTGCCGAACAACTCGTCTCATCGTCTGAAAAGCTCCAGAAATTGAGACCACGAATGCCCGCTCTGACTCATTGAATGCTCCACTGCCTAAAACCTCACCTCATTGCTCTTTCCTATCACAGCCCCGCCTTCCTCAGGCTCGGAAGCAAACTTGAGTTAAACAACTGGCAAAGAACGCACCTTCCCTTGACTCGATCTTTCCTGGCAAGCAAGCGAGACTGTCCACGTATTCCCCTTAGTTTAAGACTTGCACCAATTGTCTTTGCCATGGCACCCACCGTCTTGCATCTCCGTAGCGAGACCAAGCCACTCGAGCACCGGTCTGCCCTGACTCCAGCCACGACGTCTGACCTTATCAAGGCTGGCTATGTGGTCAATGTGGAGCGCTCGCCCGAGAGAATTTTCGATGATGCCGAATTCGAGGCAGTCGGCGCAACCTTGTTGCCTGAGGGCAGCTGGGTCGACGCCCCCAAAGAGCACATCATTGTCGGCCTGAAGGAGCTGGAGGAGAAGGAATGCAAGTATTCCGCACCACCAGCCTCGTGCCGTGTCGGCCTTCGCAAGTCATCTCGCTGACAGACAGATATCAGTCCCTCTTAAGCACGTGCACGTTCAGTTTGCCCACTGCTGTGCGTTGCCCCATACCCGCCGAAACGCATCTCATGCAGCTATGTGTGATCAATCCTGACCTTAGGCAGATAAGCAACAAGCCGGCTGGGAGAACGTCCTTGCACGATTCCCGAGGGGCGGCGGAACTCTCCTTGACCTGGAGTTCCTCGTTGATGATCGCGGTCGTCGTGTAGCTGTTCGTTTCTTCGTCTTCAAATCCCTGTCCGGGGCCCCCAGAAAGCCAGAAATGAGCTAACCCCAGTCCAACAGGCCTTTGGCTTCCATGCAGGCTTTGCAGGGGCTGCTCTTGCTCTCGAGGTTTGGGCATGGCAGCTGAGCCACAGCGAGCCCTTCCCAGGGGTGAAGAGCTATCCTAACGAGGATGCCTTGATTACCAACGTCAGCCGCGTGCTCAACGAGGGTGCCAAAAATGCTGGGCATATGCCCCGAGTTATCGTCATTGGCGCTCTTGGTCGCTGTGGATCCGGTGCGGTTGCCGCCCTGAGAAAGGCTGGAGTCCCAGAAGACAAGATCGTCAAGTGGGATATGGCTGAGACTGCCATTGGCGGCCCCTTCAGTACGTAACCACTTACACACACCACATCGTCCGCTGTCCCCACTTCGGACTCGTTTGCCGACCGAACGGGGAGCCCCAACGAAATGAGCTGCGGCCTGCTAACAAACCCTTGTCTGTGAAGAGGAAATTACCGACAGCGACATCTTTGTCAATTGCATCTATCTGACAAGCAAGATCCCCAACTTTGGTAAGCCTTCTGCACGGACCGCAAATCCTACCCATTCGTTACTGACTCCGAGCCCTGTTACAGTCAATCTTGAATCGCTGCAAGTCCCAGACCGCAAACTCTCGGTGGTCTGCGACGTCTCCGCCGTACGTCATCTCTTGTCCCCACTCCTAGCTCTACACGAGCGTTTCCACTGTTTGTAATTACCGACGGCTGACACTTTTGGGATATAGGATACCACCTCTCCCTTCACCCCGGTTCCCATCTACACGGTGGCCACCACTTTTAACAAGCCGACTGTCCCGGTGGACGGGCTCAAGAGCGGCCCTGCGCTTTCAGTCATCTCGATTGATCATCTGCCGTCTCTTCTGCCTCGCGAGGCATCAGAGGCCTTCAGCCGTACGTTGCTTGCATCCTTCCCTGTATCTTCATCTTGTTGCCATTAAGAGTAGGCACTGACATCAAGATTTCTTAGACGACCTGCTGCCCCACCTTCTCACCCTGAACGATCGGCAAAACTCGCCCGTCTGGACGAGAGCCGAGGAGCTCTTTAAGAAGGTCGCGACTCTCCCAGCAAGCGCTCTGAAGAACTGAACCCCTAAAAGTGAATTGTGCTTTTCAAGCGCTCTCTAGAAGGCTGGCGTATTGATAGAAAATTGGGTTTCCTATGTATAACCAAAAGTTGTTCTAGATGTAGATTCCTTCTAGATAGATGAAAATTCTTGTGCCCCTTTGGTTAAGTTACTACCTTGCGGGCTCTCGACTATTCTTCTTAAGTCTACGAGTAGGTATAAATTCGTCTTAATCTACCTGCACCCAAGGAAAAAAACAATAGAACATGTTTGTTCGTCTCATTTCGTCTGCTCAATGAGGCTCTGATTAAGGATGGACTTCCATATTAAGATCACAAAAGTGAAATGGCTCATACCCATCACGTACACATTAAAAAAATAACAGAACATAAATGCAAACTTGAACCTAGGTAGGTACTCACTCATACACAATGTACTATATATTCTCCCGAACATCGGCATATCATGACCACAAAAACTGCCTGCATTTGAGCCAGTTGGCAGACCGTGGAATGATCAAGGATACTCATGCCTAAACCAAAGTGGTAAAAGGTCACGTTCTCAAGATGTTTTAGATTTTGTGACGAAAATGTGCCGAGCCAAAATTGCGCCCCTGACTCCAATACAAAAGAAGGCGATTAGCCTAACTGCCCATTCCCATGTTGTGATGTTTCATTTCTCAATATTGCATAATCACGCGTAAAGCTTCTTCTCATAGGACTCCATGTTAACGCCGCCTTCCAGCTGGGCGCTGGCTGTGCGGATCTCAAACCTCACGGTGCCGTTGGCAACCGAGCCATGGAGCTCCTGCAAGCTCTGAACTCCAGAGTCCTGGAGTGAGTGCTTCAGACCCGCGGCAAGATAGGGTACGAACTTTCCAATTGATCTACTCAGGGTTAGAAGGGGAGCGGTCAAAGATGATGAAACGGGACAGGTTGGACTCACCCTCTATGCGCCACGGCACCCGAGACACCTTGAGCAACCAAAACACTGTCGCCCTCCGAGAAGTAGCGGGCAGTGCCGGCATTACTCTTCTGGCTGTCCTTGCCGCCGCCACCGGCCTTCTTGTCCTGCATGGCGTCGATGCTCCCCATCCCTCTATAAGCCTTCACAAGCTTGCCCTCTCTCGAGACGAAGGATGTTCCGGGAGACTCAGTGGTGCCGGCCAGCAGACCACCCATCATAACTGTTGAGGCGCCGAGGGCAAGGCCCTTGACAATGTGGCCCACGTTCTGGATGCCACCATCTGCAATGCAGGGAACGCCAAATCTGGCGGCAAAAGAACTCACGTTGTAGACAGAGCTCGCCTGAGGACGGCCAACAGCCATGACCTCTTGGGTAATGCAGGCGCTACCGCTACCCATGCCGATGCGAAGGCCGTCCACGCCGGCAGCAATAAGACAAGCAGCCTGGTCTCTCGTCACGACGTTTCCGCCAATGACATCCAGTCCGGGGAATTCCTGCTTGATCCACTTGATCATCTCAATCTGATACATGCTATTGCCCTGGCTGCTGTCCAGGATGACAATGTCCAGACCGGCTTCCACGAGTTTGGCAAGGCGGATCTTGTCCTCGGGGCGCGTACCAATGGCAGCGGCACAGATGAGCTGCTTAGAATCCGGGAGCTTAGAGGCAAGGGGGAAGTGAAGATTCTTGGTCAAATCGGAGCGGGAAATCATGGAGATGAGGTTTCCATCCTTGTCTACGATTGGCAGCTTGCCTTTCTTGGATCTGGCCAGGATCTTGTTGGCTTCAACCAGGGTGACACCGGAAGGCGCCGTGATGAGGTCCGTCACCATTACACTCGACACTGGCAGCTCGAAGCCGTCTTCAAACTGGAGATCGCGGTTCGTGACAATGCCCAAAAGCTTTGAGCCCAGCTTGCCGGATTCTAACAAGATATCAGTTAGCCAATGTGCCAAGAGAACGGCAGAAGTGCCGTGAACCTCAGAAAGTGTTTCGCCACTCAGTATTTTCAGTGAAATGTCTCCCCATGACACATAGGTCGATACGGTGGAACGAAAGTTATTGATTTATAGTTTTGTAATCATCGTGGCCAACACACACTTTCCGAGGTTTCACAGGAGCAAACAGAACAGTACTAACCGGTGACGGGGAACCCTCCGAAGCCCCACTTCTCTTTCAAAGCCTTGGCTTCGCCAACGGTGGTGCCACGGCGGATGACGACAGGGTCCAGGATGAAACCGTTCTCGTAGCGCTTGACCTTGCGCACCATGTCGGCCTGGACATCGGGGTCGCAATTATGATGGATGACTCCTAAGCCACCCTGGAGGGCCATGTGGATTGCCATGTCATGCTCTGTGACAGTGTCCATTGGCGAAGAGACAAAGGGCGTCTTGAGAGTGATGTTCTTGGTGATGGGCGAGTCGAGCGCGACGGCGGAAGCGGGGAAGCCGATGTAGCCTGGCAGCAATAGGAAGTCATTGTACGTCAGGCCGCCCTGGACCTTAGAGTCCATGAGGTCTTGGATAGCGAGACCATCGCGGCTCTCGTATTCCTTGAGGACTTCCTCGGCCGTCTTGAAGTCGAGGACCTTCTTGGACGCGCCATTGGCGGGAGAGCCGTTGGATGCAGGCATTTTGTGAAAGAAACACGAAGAAAAGGCAGCTTGGCCGATTCAAGAATAAGAAGAAGGTGATAAGAAGATTTGGCGTTGGGGGGGGACAGTGAGTACTTGGCTGGCCCAGCCGACTGTTCCCCCCCAAGAAAAGAAAGAAGGAGTTTCTTAAAAGTTTGCCGCTTGAAATTTTCTTTTATGCCGACTGTTGGCCCAAAACTCTGCGGGGCACAGGAGGGCGGTGTGAAGTAAGTGTGGGGTTTTGGAGTCGCGCATGGCCCAAGCTTCTGAAAAGACAGCAAATATCATCGGTGAACCTTTTGCGCAAGTATACAAGACATCGTCGTGGAATCAATTTACCTAGATGCCACTAGATGAAGCCTCTTAATGCCGAGAAATGAATTGTATAATTACGTCTTGTTTAGTTTAATTTTGAATCATACCACAGCTCTCTGAAATTAGCAACATTTGCGAACTCTACTGGACTTTTCATTGCGCACTTTCCGGTAGTGTAGACCTATGGTGGAGGTCTCCGACACCTTGGAGGACCTGGCGGGTAGCACAGGTCCCTCCGTTCCACTCCGTTGCTAGGGCGTCGCTTCCCAATGTAAACAAGAACGGTGCTTGGCCTTTTACCAGCAAACGAGCCCAGCCCACGACGACGCCGCCTTGGCCACCCTGGTCATTTTCCAAGCTGCCTGAACCCAATGCGGCTCATAGGCTGTGGTGGATTGAGGGCATCATCATTCTCGGCTTTATTCTTCGCTCCCTTTTTATTTGACTGCAGCTGCAGGCAATAATTGCGATCTCGCGATCCATCCTTCCATTCGATTTCGGGCGCTGCGCTGTGCGCTGGCCGTGTTCTGTCTTTTGCGGGCGACGAAACCCCCTCCCCGCCTCATCGAACACGCACCATGCCAGCTTACGCACACTCCCAGTTCCCGTCGTGATCCAGATACACCCATTTTCCCCGTCCACTGCGCCTGCGCCTGCGCCTGCGCCTGCGCTGGCCATCACCGCATCCCCGCTCGGCACACAAGCCCGGTCTGATGTTGTCGCCTACCGTCGCACCCCGCCATATCAACATCGAGCGCAAACATCCTCGCCTGTGGTAGCTAGCACTCCAACATGTCGAACAGGCCGCACCCGCTTCGGCAGTCGCAGACGGCCACCGACTACAATTCGGTTTTGCGGCAGCCCTCGACCGCGTCTTCGTCGGCATCCTCGGGCTACTCCAACTCGTCGGGAGCTTTCGAGTTTGGACGGACGTCCAGCACGCTGTCTGGATCTTCGTCGCCCTCCAGCACCTACTCCACCGGCGGCCACAAGCGCGGACAAAGCGAGGCCAGCCGCCTCCCCCCAACCCTCCATGCCTCGCACACTTATCCGTCGACGCCCATGCCCGATAGCAATCTTTATAGTGCGGCTCGCCAGTCACTCCGACCGCTACCCCAGGTTCCCGCCGGTCCCAAGCCTCCGACAACGCCGCCCCGCGTCTCCAGTCGCCACGATCGCGGCCAGAGCCTTGATATAAGCAAGCTATCCATAGCCCAACAAGAGCGTGCCTCCCCCTCTCCACCCCGGGCTCCGCGCCCCGGCCTTCTCCGTCCAAACTCTATGCTCTTGACTCGATCAGACTCGGTCCGTCGGAGCGGCGAAGGCGGCCCGCCTCCCCTAATCCACTCTCATACAAGCCCTCTGACTACTCCGGACATTGAGCGGCTCGGTCGTTCGTCGACAAGCCAGCTGCGTACATTGTCGCGACTGGCGCAGGATGGCTCTGCGGAAGAGTTCGGCATCACTTCGTCGGCACAGGAGGTCACTGGTCTCAGAGGCCGACGAAGGCTTCAGCGAACTGATACTGACAGCACCGCACGTCCCGGCCTACGGAATGGCGGTGGGTATAGCTGGGACAACCGGAACTGGATAGAACAGCAGCGGCAGTTTCTGCAGGCGTATGAATACCTGTGCCACATTGGCGAGGCCAAGGAATGGATCGAGGACGTGATACATCGCCCCATCCCTCCAATCGTCGAACTAGAAGAGGCCTTGCGAGATGGCGTCACCTTGGCCGAGGTGGTGGAGGAGCTGAATCCGCATCGCAGGTTCAAAATATTCCACCATCCGCGCCTCCAGTACCGGCATTCGGACAACATAGCCATTTTTTTTCGCTATCTAGACGAAGTCGAACTACCAGATCTCTTCCGCTTCGAGCTCATCGATTTATACGAAAAGAAGAACATCCCAAAGGTTATTCACTGTATCCACGCGCTGAGCTGGCTCCTCTACCGGAAAGGGATAGTGGACTTCCGCATCGGCAATCTTGTCGGCCAGCTCGAGTTTGAGCACCATGAGCTCGAGGCTACGCAAAAGGGCCTCGATAAGCTGGGTGCCAGTATGCCTAGCTTCGGCAACATGGGTGCCGACTTTGGAGTCGAGGAACTCCCGGAGCCGGAGCCGCAGGAGACTGAGGAAGAGCGGATCGGCCGGGAGCTTGCCGAGAACGAGGCAACCATCGTCGACCTCCAGGCACAAATACGCGGCGCTCTTGTCCGGATACGGCTCGGAGACAACATGCAGCTGCTCTGGGACACAGAGAGCTGGCTCGTTGACCTCCAGTCACGCATTCGTGGAGACTTCACGCGCCAGATCATGGACTATCGGCTTCAGATGCGGCGCTTTGCAGTCGGATTACAGAGTGCGGCCCGCGGGTTTCTTGCTCGCCAGCGACAGGAGCAAAAGGAGCGATTCTGGAAGAGCAGAGAAAAGGATATTCTGAAAATCCAGAGTCTGGTGCGGGCATCCAAGGTCCGCAACGAGGTACGAGAAAAGCGATCTCAATTATTGCTGGCGTCGGGTCCTATCCGAGACACCCAAGCAACCTTTCGAGGTTTCTTAGTCCGCAAGCGGATGCAGGCTCAGCAACGCGAGACGAGTCGCGTGTCTGGTCCAGTTGCTGGACTCCAGGCTGCGATTCGCGGAGTGTTGATGAGAAGGGTACTGGACGAGAACCGAGGTCTTTTACAAAGACAGGCTGCGACAATAGCCGGCCTGCAGGCCGCCGCAAGGGCCGCGCTGACAAGGAATCAGGTCGCACTGCAAAGGGAAGCTCTTGGTGTATTTGCGACTATGTGGGAGGCGCTTCAAGCTGCTAGCCGCGGAAACCTTGCTAGGTCCAATGTTAAGGCGCTCAAGGCAGACCTCCGAACACACTCTCCGAGTCTGGGCCTCCTTCAGGCTCACATCAGAGCAACTGCACTACGGCGGGGAATATCCGAAAGGCTAGAGAGCCTCGGCGAGGCGGAGCCTGTTGTCCTGGCGTTGCAGTCGATGATTAGAGGGATGCTCGAGCGGAACCGACTCTCTGATGAAAACGACGCGCTCCACGTGCAAGACTCCCAAGTCACCCTTCTCCAGTCACACATCCGCGGATACCTGCACAGGAGGGAGCATGAAGATTTCTTGGACGAGCTTCGAAGCAACGAAGCCAGCGTCACATCACTGCAATCTTTCGCCAGGGCGATGCTGCTCCGAGGCGATGTTGCGAACGTACTTGACGAACTCGAAGAGCAGGAGGAGTCAATCATGGCAGTCCAGGCTGCGGCTAACGCCTTCCTCGTGAGGGCCAAGTTCGAGGAGAAGAAGCGCTTCTTTAAGGAGAATATGCAGAAGGTGGTGAAGATCCAAAGCTTCGTCCGTGCAAAGCTGCAGGGTGAGGCGTACAAGAGCCTCACTTCTGGAAAGAACCCGCCAGTCAACGCAGTCAAGAACTTTGTCCACCTACTCAACGACAGCGACTTTGACTTCAACGAGGAGGTCGAGTTTGAGCGGATGCGAAAAACCGTGGTTCAGCAAGTCCGGCAGAATGAGATGCTGGAGCAATACATCGACCAGCTCGACATCAAGATTGCCCTACTGGTGAAGAACAAAATCACTCTCGACGAGGTAGTCAAGCACCAGAACAACTTTGGCGGACATACGAGCAACATCCTAGCCAATACGTCTATCGCAAGTGCAAACCAGTTTGACTTGAAGGCTCTAAACAAGAGTTCGCGGAAGAAGCTTGAATCCTACCAGCAACTATTTTTTGCCCTGCAAACGCAACCGCAGTACCTGGCCAGGCTTTTCAAGCGCGTGCGAGAGCAAGGGACCGCCGAGAAGGAGTGCAAACGGATTGAGCACCTTATGATGGGGCTTTTCGGTTATGCGCAGAAACGACGGGAAGAATACTACCTCCTCAAGCTCATAGGGAGGTCCATCCGCGAAGAGGTTGACGCCTGCAACACCCTCCAGGACTACCTCCGCGGCAATTTCTTCTGGTCCAAGCTCCTACACAACTACACCAGGTCGCCGCGAGACAGGAAATATCTCAGGGATCTTCTAGGCCCCCTGATCAGGGACAACATCATCGAGGATCCCGAACTAGACTTGGAAAGCGACCCAATGCAGATATACCGATCTGCTATCAGCAACGAAGAGTTAAGGACGGGCCGGCCGAGTTCCCGGCCTCTCGACATCCCCCGAGAGCTCGCAATTAAAGATCCAGAGACGAAGGCAGTCTTTATCGATCATCTTCGTGACCTTCGGGAGATTTGCGACCAGTTTCTCCTTGCACTAGAGGATCTCCTCCCCCGCATGCCCTACGGGCTCCGCTTCATGTGTCGACAGACCTTTGAGGCCCTTTGCCAGCACTTCCAGCGCGACGACCAGAAGCGCCTTCTGCAGGTGGTTGGAAACTGGATCTGGCGTTTCTACCTCCAGCCGGCACTTACATCACCCGAAAACGTTGGGGTTGTCGAGAAACAGCTCAGTCCTCTCCAAAAGCGCAACCTCGGAGAGGTTGCCAAAGTCATTGGCCAAATCGCGTCGGGCAGGCAGTTTGGAGGCGAGAACATCTATCTTCAACCCCTGAACGCCTTCATTGCCGATTCCATTGAGCGCTTCGCCCACATAACTGAGACGCTCATCGGAGTGCCCGACGCGGAGAGCACTTTCGACATTGACGAGTTTAACGACCTCTACGCCAAGAACAAGCCGACCCTATACATAAAAATGAGCGACGTTTTTTCTATTCATAATCTTATTGCTTCTGAGCTGCCATATTTATGCCCAAATAGGGATGACATGTTGCGCGAGATCATGCAGGATCTCGGCAGCGCAAAAAATAACGAAACCGAGATGACGGCCGCAGGATCGTCTGACATCCAGATGTTCCTCACCCCCAAGCTGCACGACATTGACGACCCCGAGGCCGACGTCAAGGCCCTCTTCATGGAAACAAAGCGGAGCATATTGTACATCATCCGGGTGCAGACTGGATCGAACCTGATGGAGATTCTGGTGAAGCCTATCACCCAAGAGGATGAGCACAAGTGGAAGCTGTTGCTGAGAGAAGACTTTGCCAACGGCTCAAACACGCGAGGCGCCTACTCGGATGCGAACATGGTTGACGTGACGAGGATGTCGTACTACGAGTTGAAGAGGACGGCCCTCGAAAACGTCATGAGGTTGGAGCACATGGGCCGCATCTCTCGACACAACTATTACCAGGACATTCTCAACGCCATCGCCTTGGATATCCGTACCAAGAGCCGCAGGAGGGTCCAGAGGCAACGAGAGCTCGACGGGGTCCGCCTTACGCTTGGCAACTTGCACGAGAAGGCCAAGTACCTGGAACAGCAGCGGAAGAGCTACGACGACTACATTGAGCAAGCCATGGCGACGCTTCAGACCAAGAAAGGGCAAGCGCTTGACACGATGTCCCCCCTTCTCTCCCTCAATTGCTAACATTTCTTTCCTTTAGAAAAAAACGCTTCCTCCTCCCCTTCACAAAACAATACAACCACCAGCGCGAGCTCGAGCGCAGCGGCCGGGTGCCCAAGTTCGGCTCCTACAAGTACAGCGCGAGAGCCCTCTCGGACAAGGGCGTGCTCGTGTCGTGGTCGGGCGTGCCCGACCGCGAGTGGGGCCAGATCAACCTGACCATCTCGTGCGACGAGGTCGGCGTCTTCTCTCTCGAAGGCTCCCGCGGCCACATCCAGATCCCCGGCGCCAGCGCCCTCGTCCCCGTCGAAGACCTCCTCCAGGCCCAGTTCGAGTCGCACCAATTCATGAGCCTGTTTGAGGGGAACCTGCGCCTCAACGTCAACCTGCTGCTGCATCTGCTGTACAAGAAGTTTTATCGCACCGTGTGAGGCTACTTATCCAGACCTGCTATATGCGGGGGATCGTAGGGTATGGTATGGTGTGGGATTGTTATGGGGCATTGGAATTTGTCGTTGACGGAAAAGGGGTTTATTTATTATGTGACGGACGATGGACGACCCCCCCTTTTTTTCATTTTCCCGGTTTATTATTCACTTTTTTTGACAAGGCATTGAGGGTGTTTTCATTTTTGGTGGGTATGTGTTTTTTGTCGTCTTTGAATGAATTATCTATCTATCAGGAGGAATGACGGAGCGACGGAAGATTGGAGGTTATTAAAAGGTGGGGGGAGGGCAAGCAGTGGAGGAAAGGAAAGGATAGGAGGGAGAGCAAAGCATATATGAAAGTTGTTTTTTTCATGTTGAATCTTTTTTACTTCTCTTGCTCCTTGTGTTGCACGCAGGAGAGAGAGAAGAGAAGGAAGAGTCTCATACAGAAAACAGCAAGTACTAGCATATTTGGATTCTTTTTTCTTTCTTTTCCTCTTTCTTTTTCTCTTTCCGGGCTTTGCATCCTTTCGTGAGCTCTAGGAGAAAGAAAAACGGGAAGAGTGAAGGGGATGTCATGGCGTTGGATTGTGCTGCCGTATCTTAGGAACAGGTGTAACCAAGGTACGTACGTACGCACCCAGACTACACGAGAGGAAAGGGTCTACACAAAAACTTGTCTTGCGGTGCATTTTTATCGGTTGCTTGCGGATGCCACATCTACCAGGATACTGCCCTTAACTAATCGCCCTTAAGGCATATCTCGGACGACAATCACATTATTATAGCGCTTAGCATGTAGATAGGAGGTGAAACATTCGTCCTCGATTAAATGCCATATGCCAAATGCCATACATGCATGCTTCATGACGTCAATCAAATAACAATACACCCCTACATACATGTGCTCGCTCGCTCGTTTTATGGCCATGCTCAAAGGAAACGAAGATCCCCGTAGTAGCTAGCTAGCTACCTGGTAGACAGGGATATAAGAAAGAAAGAAAAAAACATCAAAATATTTTTTGAACGCCCGCCCTTGAAACCCCAATATATCTCGGAATCCCCGAGGCCCTGCCCCGGGGCTATGCGTATGCTGCGCTGCGCTGTGCTGCGCTGTGCTGCGCTGTGCTGCGCTGTGGATGCAGATGCAGATGCAGATGCAAATAAGCAAAAAAAAAAAAAAGAAACAAAGCTAAACACACCAAGAATGCCGAGCGTTCCATGACATGATGGACAGACATAAGCTGTCCTGATCCCTCCAGATGATTAGTGCTGGGGTATTTTGTTGCTGTTACTTAGGTATATAGTGTGTACGTTTTCCGCGTATCCCGCCCGCCCTATGGGGCCGCGCTCGACGGTCTCGGACTGTCCAGCTTGATGGCTGGGATATTAGGCGTGCTGTGCTTGACGTCGCGCGGATCGACGGCCGCGCCTGCGCGGTCCTCGCCGCGGCGACGGCGGGCGATAGTGCCGTAGCCGCTAGGGGCAGCAGCGGCGGCGGCATCGCTCTCGTCGTCATCAGAGTTAGGTACCAAGGTGCCGTCCTCGTCCTCGTCGTCTTCTTCATCATCGTCCTCGTAGTTGGCGTTGGAGCCGCCCGAGGGCCCGTCGCCCTCGACGATGAACCACGAGGGCACGGCGCCGATGGTGGCCACGAGGGCCATGGACCACCAGGGGGCAATCATGTAGCCGCGGTCGACGCCGCGCGTGAAGATGGCGCCGGCGATGGCGGGCCCGATGGCGCGGCCGATGGCGGCGAATGTGGTGGCGAAGCCGTTGAGCGTGCCGAGGATGCGCAGCGACGACGCCGAGTTGGTCAGCATGATGGTCGTGCACGGGAAGCCGATGATGACTACGAAGCCCTTGACCAGCATCAGAGTGATGAGGCACACGTAGCGGGCCGTGTCGTCCTGTACCAGTGCCGTGTACGGCGTCAGGATGTAGATGATGGGGAAGACCATGGCTGCGCAAAGCAAGTTATGTAAGCAGGGGTACGTAGAAGTGTGATGTGCCGGGAGTGGAAAGGAAAAAAAAACCACATACCCGAGGCCCTGTAGCAGACAACCGCACCGTAGCGCCTGCACAGGAAGGGGAACAGGAGAAACTGGACCACTCCGCAGCAGAACCCGTAGAGGGTATATAGACTCCCGATCCTGTCAGACCCGATCCCGAAGCCGCCCGAGAACTTGAACGGGAGGTGGGTGTTGGTCTCGTCGGGGATCTGGCGCGGGTAGTTGAGGAATACGGGCAGCACCTGGTCGTAGGTGACGGAGTGCAGCGTCAGAAACGTATAGGACACCAAGTTGATGATGGTCTGGTCCGTAAAGACCTCGGCCATGGACGGCTGCTTGGCGTCGGCGGCAACCCGGGCGGTGCGGGCCGCGAGCAGCGGGGCGGATGCCTCGTCGTCGACGTATGAAAGCCGGCGCGTCTTTCTCCTCCGTGGCGACGGACGACGACGCAGCTTGCTAGCCAGCTTCTCGCCAAGCTGCAAGCCCCAGTCGGGCTTGTCACGCTTGCTTTCAAGTGTTTCCTGGAGCGAGCGATGCAGTGTTAGCTTTCTGCCAAATACAAATATTCAAGTCCCTAGCAAAGAGGTTGAAAGCACTCACCTTGAGAAACAGCAAGCCTGTCATGAATGAGATGAAAAAAAAGCCGCACGCTACAAAGTTTGGCAATGCAAAGGGGTATTTCTTGAAAAACACTGAGTTTCCGAACAGAGACGGATACTGGTCAACGGGGCGGGCAAAGAAGCCGCCAAATATCGGGCCGAAGACGGAGCCGATGGACCAGGTGAGCGGCATGAGGGAGAAGGCTACGGGCTGTAGTTCCTTCTGGGGCACCAGTTCGGCCACCATTGTCCTGATGATACCAACTACAAACGGGGCATCAGTCAGTAGCGCATTTTTGTCAAACTCGTTTTGCTTTGGAAATAGAAAGCTCACCATTGCCGTTTCCACCTCCCATGATGGCCCGCGCCGTGAGCGCCATGGGAAGGCTTGTCGACATACCCCAGAGGAGGAAGCAGAACATGGTGCTTAACAGCCCCGTGAGGATGATGGGTTTCCGGCCAAACTTGTCTGACGCCCGGCCCCACAAGACTGCGGTGAAGCTCTGGGAGAGAGAGAAGACGGAACCGGTGAAACCAGCCCATCGTGCTACCTCGTTCTTGTCCACACCGAAGCTCTTGATCATCTCAGGGAGGTAGGGAAACACGGAGGTCAAGGCCAAGGGCTCGGCGAACCTCGCAACAGCTGTTCGTGGCGTTTATGTTAGCGCATGTCAACACGAGACTGGAGTTTTGGAGTTTTGAAGGAAATAAATGGGAGGAATAAGGGGTCTCTAACGCCTTGGTCTGCTGCCATCTAGTTTTGTTTCTGGTTACACAGCGACGGCCACTAGGACTTGACTTGATCTTTTTCTTATTTCTGTTTCCTTTTCCAATGTACGCTTTCTTTACTCTTTCAAGCCGTTGCCTGCCTGTGCAGACTAGACTCTTCTACACAGAATCCGTCAAAAGATGCCACGGAATAGGCACACAGACAGACCGAAAGACAAGCAAACATGACACATAGGGACGGAAGAATGCCAAGGGTTACGAGACGAGATCGAGGCGGGAAATGGCATGACGGAAGAGAGGCAAGAGACATGGATATGGAGAGAGAGAGTGTGTGTGTATATGAAGAGTGAAAGCAGTCCTTGCTCACCTAGAATTGCTAGCTGCTGCTTTGGTAATTTGGGGCCATTCTTTCGTTCGACCATAATGGTGATGTTTTAAATAGCGCCGCACTGAAGAATGCAAAGTTGCAAAACAGAATTATTCGATTCGACAATCTGGAGTCCAGGTGGGCATATGCACACAGCCTCGCAGCCTCGGGTCCGTCAGAGGCAGCAAGTAAGGTTTTCCACCTTAACAGGAAATATCCGCCTCTTTCGTCTCTGGCGATCTTTTTTCTGCAAGTGGATCGATATGCAAGAGCGGGAACGAGGGGATGGCGGATTGGAGACTGGGCTCCACGGCGACTTATACCCGTGGGGAGGCAACAGGTTGGGGCCTCAAGCGTATTGGTATCTGGTGGGCAAACGACACACGTGCCTCACCGGATATATAAGATGAATTCGTAGAAGGAGAAAAAACAATCAGGCAGGAAAATACTCGGGTGGCGAGCAATTATGAAATATAAAAGCAAAGTGAAAAGAAAAGAAATCTACACCTAGAGTCCCTTCTTTCACATGCGGAGTCCAGGTCAGGCAGTGTCTTTTTGGGCCTAGAAGTGGCCGGTTGATTGGCTGGGACACGGATCGCCTTCTTATACGGGGCAGTTGGGGCACTTTAATGGCGAGCGAAAGAACGAGCATGGATAGGGAAAGGCCTAAGGCCCCAGTCTTTCATCGTATCTCCTGGGCCTCTGCAACATAACTAGCTTGATCTTCCAACTGTGAACTTCGGCAGCCGGGGAGGCTGGGTCGGTCAGCCGGCGGGAGTGGAATCGAGGCCATTTTGTTCGAGAGGTGCTCTGCTGCTCAGCCTGCAGCGCGGAAAGTGGAGGGCGGCAAGGCCCTTAAGGTAAAAGTAACCGGTGGGTGAGGTGGGCTTGCGCCATCGTTTCCGTGCTGTTTTGGCTTGCAGCGTGGCAGGGCCTCTGCAGGCCCGGTGCAGGCCGTCCAACCCCAAGTCGAACCGGGTATCGAGTCCGGGATCGGCCTCGGCCTCGCCTTCGCCCAGCCTCTGATTCGCCACCGTTTACGCCTGGCAAGTGGTGCACATCGGATGTCCCCCACCTTTTACGGGCGCAGCTTAGGCGGCCGGCCCACCAATCTGACCGCTGTAAGCAGGTGAGTGTGCCAGAAATAATGGGAGAAACGCCGGGCCGTTTTGCCTGTCGTCCTTTCGTCTTTTTGGGACCTCGAGGCCCTGGGGCCTTGCCGCAGTTCCGCTTAACATTTGCCGAGCGTCCTTGTGGCGCCGCCTCCCTCCCTTGCCTTGGGCTCACGTCTTTGTGGAGGCGGAACTCTGTATACGGCAATCCGGGACTATTAGGTGCTTACCTTCCATCGGTGGGGGGCATGAACTGGGTAGGTAAGGTGAGATGTAAGGTATTTCTTCTAGTGGAGGGAGGTGTGGGACCAAACATTGAATGAGACGAGGTTGGAGTGCGCCTTCCGCCTGGAAAAAAGGCCGGTTCTTGTGACGGATCCTGCATCCGTCACGAGGAAGGCAACTGCAGCCATTGCACCATCTCTAGCCTCGAGCTCCTTCACTGCTGCAGTGCTGCTGTGGTGATCCCCGCCCAAGGATGGTGAATTAATTTCATAGGAATCCCGGTGCCGGACCTAAGTACATACTGCACCCAAGCTAAGGCAGCTCACCTTCCAGACCGTCGACGTCAGATAATTATACATGATTATTTTCCCAGTCGGGTGCTAAACGCAGCCTAGCATACGTAATATCCATGCCGAGCCCTTCGATGGCGTGGAAGGGCGCAGTGCGGGTCTTCTATTGGCTCTGAAGTCTGAATGGGCAGGCCGCTAGGCGAACGGCAGCTCCCGTGCTTGCGTACAGCACCTAAAGTTCCCGTCCATTGGATTTATCCCGGAGATCCTCGCCACTTCAGCGACTTCTCCGTAGATACAGAAGGTGAAATCTCGTCAACATTATCTCGGTCGTCAACCGTGCCTTGCTTAGTCCAGCAATTTGTATTCGGTTTCTCTGTTTCGATGTCAAGAGCTTGAGCTTGGTGTCACAGCTCACGGTGAGTTTCATTCGGCGTCCTGCTTCGTGCTTCCCCGCTCTCATTCTGCGTCTGCCTGCAAGCCACAGAAGTGCACACACACACACACACACACACACACACTGTCTGCACGCACCCCAGCGACTGAGACATGGATAGGGCATGTCGTAATCCTCGTCACTCTTCGCCGATTGGACGCTGCATGACGACCAACCTTCCCTCCCCCGGTGCCCATCCGGGAAGCATTGACTGCTCCGGACAGCTTCGTCACAGAAAATAGTGGAGATACGGATAGCCCAGCCAAGCTGCGGGAGCCGGACTGCCGAGTACCTAGGTACTGTAAGTAAGTATTTTTGTGTTTACCTAGCTACCCAAGATGAGCTAACCCACGGCAATGACAGTCAATAGGCGCCATGGACGATGATGAATACACCCCCTTGCTGAGTGCTGCTCCTCGCCGCCGCTCTCGTCACAGTGTAGTGCGTCGCTTCTGTAGAATCGCCCTTTTGTCCACACTCATCTACTTATTCCTGGCTGCCGTCGTTCCTACGGCTTTCACGGTCCTGAGGGATGCCCTAACCCATCGCTACGGACATTGGGGGCTGCCATGCAAGGGCGAAGTCAGCTATGACGAGCTGCGTGACATCCTGTTGGAAACCCCAAGCAGCAATAAGGCCGAGGACTGGAGCAGATATTATACAGCCGGCCCCCATCTGGCTGGCAAAAACTACTCCCAGGCACTCTGGACCAAGGAGAGATGGGAGGAATTCGGCATCAAGTCGGAAATCGTCTCGTACGACGTCTACCTTAACTATCCTGTCGATCACCGGCTGGCACTCCTTAAGAAGGAAAATTCAGGCGACGATAGCACGTCTGCTTGGAAAGTGTCCTTCGAGGCGTCCCTGACCGAGGATGTTATCGAAGAAGACCCAACCAGCGGCCTGGAAGATAGTGTCCCGACTTTTCATGGCTACTCTGCCTCGGGGAACGTCACTGCCCCAATCGTCTATGTCAACTACGGCACTTACCAAGACTTTGAGGATCTGCTCAAGGCCAACGTCAGCCTCGAGGGCAAGATTGCTATTGCCCGCTACGGAGGCATCTTTCGCGGCCTCAAGGTCAAGCGTGCCCAGGAGCTGGGCATGATCGGCACCATTTTGTTCACCGACCCCGGCGACGATGGAGATATCACCGACGAGAAAGGAGTACTCACCTATCCTGACGGCCCCGCCCGCCAGCCCAGCAGTGTGCAGCGCGGAAGCACTCAGTTTCTCAGTGTTGCTCCTGGTGATCCGTAAATACCTACTTGCCTGCACCCCTACCAGCATGCGGAAGTTACTAACATTACAGCAGGACAACACCCGGATACCCTTCCAAGCCCGGCGTTCCCCGCCAGCCAGTAGATGGGGCAATCCCGAGCATTCCATCTCTTCCGATTTCCTACTTGGACGCCATTCCCATACTGAAAGCCCTCAACGGCCACGGTCCCAAAGCCAGCGACTTCAATCAGTATTGGACTCGCAACACGGGACTGAAGTACAAGGGCGTAGAGTACAATATTGGGCCGACGCCCGATGATATCGCCGTGAACTTGTACAGCAAGCAGGAATACGTAACAACGCCTCTGTGGAACGTGATTGGCACTATCAATGGCACAATTCCCGACGAGGTCATCAGTAGGTCCCTGCTTCCAATAGTGCTCACCAACCAGTCCACTCGCAAATCAACTCTATGAAGTCATGTGTACATGATTGAGCTGACACTGGTACCTCCATTAGTTGTTGGGAATCATCGTGACGCCTGGTACGTAGTCTGTCGACTTTGATAACCATCGTAGGCATAACGGGTTTAAAGCTGACGTCATTTGGAATTAGGATTGCGGGTGGAGCAAGTGATCCCAACAGCGGTTCGGCAGTCATCAACGAGGTGATCCGAGGCTTCGGAGAGGCTCTAAGCCGTAGTTGGAAGCCTCTCAGAACCATTGTCTTTGCCAGTTGGGACGGCGAGGAGTACGGCCTCATTGGGTCTACAGAATGGGTTGAAGAGTTCTTACCTTGGCTGAGCAAGACCAATGTGGCCTATCTTGTTGGTCAATCCCCTCCCCTTGACATTGGAAACACGCGGAATGTTGCAGTCATGCCTGAAAGCTGGTCGACTAAACAACTAACGTGGCTGATAAATTCATAGAACGTTGATGTCGGCGTCAAAGGGCCCCATTTCTCCGCCTCTGCGGCACCGCTGCTTCACAACGTTATCAAAGTGGCAACAGCCGCCGTCCAGTCGCCAAACCAGACGATCCCTGGCCAGACCGTCTTTGACGAATGGAACAAGAGGATTAGCACAATGGGAAGTGGCAGCGATTTTACAGCCTTTCAAGACTTCGCCGGCATCCCGTCCATCGATGTTGGCTTCGGATCCGAAACTGTGGATCCCGTATATCACTACCATAGCAACTATGATAGCTTCTACTGGATGCAGAAATTTGGGGACCCCGGCTTCAAGTACCACCGGGCCATGGCCCAGGTCATGGGCTTGATTGCCGCTCAGCTGGTCGACCTTCCAGTCATCTCGTTCAGCGCCTCGGACTACGCACACGCTCTGCGCGACTACCTGGACAAGGTGAAAGCCAAACTCGAGGGCGTCCTCTCGCCGCTAGAGAAGAATAACACCGCAGAGCTGAGTGAGGAGGCCGTCGTGGAACTGCGAGCAAGCACCCGCCGCGACCCGGTTTCTCGGGCCAACCACGGCCCCCATGACCGCAACAACAACAAAAACGGAACAGCACCTTCCCTGGACGCAGAATCTTTCAGAGACTCGCTTGATAGCCTGTATAAACGCGTACGAAAACTGACATCCACTGCCAGGGCGTTGGACCAGCAGGCCCAGAATCTCGAGCGCCAGCTGGGTGAACACTACCCCTGGTACCATTGGTATCGGTACCTGCGACTCTGGTGGGCGATTCGCAAGGTTAACAATAGTTACAAAGTCTTTGAGCGGAGCTTCCTTTGGGATCTAGGCCTTGACGGGCGGCCGTGGTTCAAGCACGTCGTATTTGCGCCGGGCTTGTGGACTGGCTATGCAGGCGGTGAGTTACATGCCCCCCCCAACATTTGTGTTTTCTCTCACCCGTTCCCATTTGTTACCCCCCCTCTCTCCCCATGTACTCCCAGTCGACTCTCTACAGGGCATCATATGATACACACGCATATCAGCGATTCGTTACTAACTGTTCTTTTTCCCTCATCGATTAGCCGTGTTCCCCGGTCTGATGGAGAGCATCGATACGGAGGACTGGGAGAATGCCGTCCGGTGGGCCGGCATCATTGAAACCTGCATGTTCAAGGCCAGCCAACAGACGGGGGTGTGAGTGGTGCTTGCTTGCTAGCGAAGGGCCATGGTTATAACATATATGTTTGGCCCAATTTTGTCTCTTGCTATATTGGTTTCGTTACAACTCTCGGAAAAGAGTTGTGAGCGAAAAGGCTTGTTTTTGTGTACTGTCTGTGAAAGTCTTGCTAGAATAAAACATTTCGCACCCTGGCCTGGTATTGTGTGACATTCATGCGAGCTTTGCCTCGAGCGCTTGCTAGTTGTCAGTTTCAAGACAGAGCCGTGCATGTTTCAACCTCACAAAGCCTTTTCTTCGCCAGTTAAGTTATTAGAGACTTGTGTTACTTAGGGTATCGTCTGATCCATCCATGAATTATATGACACGATACATGTCGAAGAACACAAACAAGAAATACAAGCGGGGGGTTTCATATCAATCACACGACGCTAAATCTAGACTCGCAATTAAAGACCGGCACTCAACTTCTTGAACGTGAAATGGTGTTTAACTTGCTTTTACTGCCAAGGCTGCTTCGATTCACTCGCAAAAACATAGCTAACCACCGCCTCTCCCCTCCCAGGTCGCCTAGAACTTGTAAACCTGCTCGGGCGTGTAGCCTAGGTCCTTGAGGATGCCCACCAGCTCGCCCTGGTCCCTCGGGCTCTTCTTGTTGCCCGAGATGGAGTTCATCAGGCCGGGCGGGCCGCAGACGAACAGCTTGATGTTATCGGACTTGGGCTCGGGCAGCACCGTCTTGAGCAGCTCCTTGTTGATGAAGCCCTTGGCACCGGCCCACTCCTTGGGGGGCTTGTCGAGCACGTAGAAGGCGCGGAAGCGCTGGGGGTACGTGTTCTCGAGGTGAGCCAGCTCGCTCTTGAGCAGCACATCCTCCTCGGTCACGTTGCCGAACACGACCGTCACCTTGGTCTTGTCCTCGGGGTTGTTGAAGATGGCCCGGCACAGCTGGAACATGGGCGTGATACCCGTGCCGCCGGCAATCAGCCCGATGTGCTCGTGCTTGTTGGCCGTCCACGGATACTTGGGCAGCGGGCCCTTGACTTCGAGCCGCTGGCCCGGAACCATGTCGTGCAGGTGCGTCGACATGGGCCCGTTGGGGTACTTCTTGACCAGCAGGTCCATGTAGCCCTTGGAGTCTGTGCAGGTGGCACAACAAAATTCATGTCAGCTAGTCCGACACGCGGGGTATACGTTTCGAGAGAGGGGAAAGTAGAAGAGTGGCCTTACCCTCGTCACTGATGGGCGTGTACGGCCGGATGACGGGCTTCTCGGCGTCGACGGGCTTGAACTTTGTTAGGATGGCGCTCGTGACATTGACTCCCGAGACCATGTCGTCCTCGGGCAGCTTGAAGCGGAAGCGCTTGGTGTTGTGGTTGACGGTCTCGACTTCCTCGAGCTTGAGGCTAACAAAGCCCTGCTCGCCGCCCGTGAGGGCCTTCTTGACGACGCCCGGTGTCACTTCCCTCACCGCCGCCTCGGCCTTCTTAGCTGCCGGCGTGCCGGCGAAGAAGTAGTAGCCTGCGCTCGTGAGGCCGGCTGCAGCGGCCACGTAGAGAAGCGTGCTGCTGCCGCCATTGCCTGAGGGCAGCGCCTCTGTTGCAGGCTTGGGGGTTGTCGGCTCCGTGGCATACCGGCGGACTGCGAATTGCTGAGGGGCGGGTACTGTCAGCCATTTTCTGCGGCACAAATAGACTCTTCCCGAGGCAATGGAAGCTTCCCGGCGTGCAGTGCGTGAGTTTGTGGAGAGGGGACGTGGGATCGGACGATGCGACCAAGATAAAGCTTACCCGCTTCATGCGCGCAGCGGCCCGGAAGGCACACCTGCTAGAGACGAACAAGCTCATGGTAGCGGTATATGGAGTAGCAACGTCTGGATTGGGTCTGATAATTGACGATTGGGTATGTAGAGTCGTGAATCCAGGGGGGAAAAAGAGCGTGTTTGATATCTCGGCACTGATTTGTAAAGCTCGCGGCACATGCAGTACGGAGGACGGAAAACCGCCTACCGCTCAGAAGCTTGCTGAAGTTGGGACAGCGGGGCCCGGGTTTGCGGATTACAGGGGTATTGTTACGTCATTTTACCCAGCTCCCGTACCGATAAAGAGGTGCGGTCGCAGAGGTCCATATCGGGTAGGAACCGGCGCGCATAACGTTCAAGTTAACACAAGCCAGGCAAAGAACGAACGGGTGGGGTTTGTATGGTATTCGCTCTCTGGCTTCCATATCAAGTCCACCGTCCTTCGGCGAACTCTTACACGTCCGCCGCGAGAGTATCACCACTGCCACAATAGCTCAAACGGCTCAGGAGAGCATTGTGTCCATCAGCGAGCCCTGGCTGAGAGAACCCTCAGATCACAGAGCATTCAAAAGGTTATCAAGCTAGCAAACTTTGGTACCATCTAACGACAAAGACCTAGACTTAGTTTACAATGTAGGCTCCAGGCCCTATTCAAGCTTACTTGCCTCCTCCAAGCTCTTAAATATGCCAGGTACCTGGTGTCTAAAAGCGTCCATCTCACTTCGAGAACACTACTATTAGTAACAGAAGGTTTAGTTGACAAGTCTAACTGACGCGGCCTGACTTGAATGGAATCCGGCATTAGGTTCATTCAACGGCTTAACTGAGGCATACAGGAAGGCAGACATAGGCAGGTACCTATGCTAGGTGGTCTTCTTTTTACCGTTACTGTCAGTTTCCTAGTGCCGTCCATCCCCGGTCTTGACCAATGCTACCACCTCCCCGCCATCAACCAGAGACAAGTACCTAAATGATAATAGAAAAGTACCAAGCCGTTTCATCCAGACATCATCATCCTCCCTACCCACCCCCAAAAGGCATGTTCATAGGACAGACACCCTTTGAAAAGAAATAACATGAAAAGGAAAACCAGACCCGTCTCCGGAAAACCTCGCCTATTTTGCAAAGAAAACACACACAACACCACGTGCCAGACACCGACAAGCCAACAAGCAGATGCGCGCGCGTATTCCGGATGGATGGCTGGGGGTAAAAAAGAAAATGACAGGGAAAAGACAAGAAAAAAAGAAATCAACCGCCACTATTGTAAACCCCCCGTTCAGTCATGTCTTCTTGTCTTGCCTCTGCCCAGTGATAAACCGAACCTGCCCCCGTCCGTCTGTCCCCTTTGAGCGCAAATGCAACAGATCTGTCGAGAAGGAACCCCTTAAACTCCAAGAAGACCACCCCCGCCCCACACCCTTTGGCATGGCATATGAGCAAAAGCGTTGAGGTAAAAAAAAAAAGAATATTCATCAAGACCATTAAAAAAAAGAATTTGGCTTCCCCGCTCCCTTTCTTTCCTTTTCTTCCCCCTCGCCTTATTCTTCTTGGCCCCCAATCAACCGCATAGGATATAGTGATACAATAACCGACCCCTCTTTATTGCTCCTTTAAGACGTTCGTGAAATGCTCATTGAACCGTGGAATGCTTCATTTGCTCTTGAATTTGGTAATCTCTGTCCGTCATTACTCTGAATCCCAAAAACCCCCTGTTGATCTGTCCTTTCTAATCACCGCAATCATCACCTATCCAAGTCCATCTTGGAGTCCGAGTCAGGCGAGGAGGCGGGAGACTCCATCTTGACATCGGGGAGAGTTTCGAGGCCTGGTAAGTCGGTGCTCTTCTTGGTGGCCGTGTCCAAGCTCCCTCGGCGCATGGGCCCCACGTCCTGGTGAAAGAGAAGTGTCGGTGTGTTAGCTTGGCTGCCGCCCCGCTGCCCGTGGTAGTGGACGACTTGGGGTGGGGCCTGGCCCGTTTGCGTGCCGAGGAGATGTTGCGGGTAGGGGTTGAGATCTTTGCTCGAGGTCGAGAAGGTTGACACGACGGGCTGGTGGTACCCGTTGGTCGTGACGCTCGGGGCGGGCGATTGGCCAAAGTTCTGATGCTCTGCCTGGGTTGGTGTCCCAACCTCATTCGGGCTTGTGGGCGTCTCGCTGAGCTGGCCCGTGAGGCTGTTCATCCCCCCTTCAATGTCACGCAGGAGCCGGACGTATTCCTCGGGCACCAACCCGCTTTCCTGCGTCTTCGGGTCCTCGGCAACGAGCCACCCCAGCCCGTGCCTGTACGACACCCATATGATCTGGCCTTCGACTAGTGGTAACTCGTTTTCGTTCTCGCGCTCAAAATCAAAGAGCGCCACGGCCTTCCCATGCATTTCCTCGTCGGGAGAGGTGATGGTGAACTGATAGTCCCTCGAGTACCTGGACTGGTCCTCTACTTGGAAGCTAGGAGAAGAGCTGGGACTTGACTCGTCCGAATCGAAGCCGGCACCAGGGTTGGCATATTGACGAGGCTGTTGGTCCGTAATCTGGTAGGCATTGCCCGCGTGCCGCGCCTGGTCCGGGGGATAGGTGACGTACTCGCCACCCGGGCCGTTGGCCTCGCTCCCCTGGTTGATGTAGTACCGTTCACTGCCGTCGCCGCTGGTGCCGACATAATATCCCCGCTCGTGGTCAAAGTTGTCCGAGTTCATCATTGAGCTGGACTGGCTAGACTGGCTGGTCGCGACTTCGCGTTGGCTGCGGCTTCTGCCGTGACCGTACGAGCCCGAAGATGACTTGTGTTTCCTGTGTCGCGAACTGACGACGGGGCTCTGGAGATCCTCGTCCTCGCTCCAAGGCGGCCCGTCAGCGAACTGGATTGGGGGAAGGTCGCCGGCCTTGCTGAAGCCCCCGGAGCCTTCGGTGACCCACGACTGGCTGTCCCAGCTCTTGCTGTCCCATGCCATCGGAGGGTCGGATAGACGTCTCTGCTCGCTCGCCGGAGTAGTCCTCCCCGAGGGCGGACGCGATGGCTCCGGGGGCGGGCCGTAATGCATGGGGTGCCCCGGGGGATAGGCAAAGTCTCGTACGAGGGCGTACGAGAGACTCGAAGGGAAGATGGGGAAGATGTGAGACGGGGGTCGCGACCGCGACGGGATCGAAGCCGTCGAGTACTGCGACAGGCGGTTCTTTGAGGCGTGCGACATTGGGCGCGGGAGGGTGCTTCTGCGCGCTGGCGGCGAGGTTATTAAGGGAGGAAGTGCGGGGTGGGATGCGCTCGGAGGGGGCGAGGAAATAGCGGGCGGCGAAGTCGCTGGAGACGAACCTGGCGACATGATCGCCGTCATGGTCGAGAGCGGAGCGGAGCGGTGGGAGTAGGCGAGGGCTTGCCGGCGCTGGTGGGCGCTGCGTGGTTTGCGCTGGGCTGGGGAAGGACTGCTGCCCTGTGGATCCGATTCCCAAACCCCGAGGGTATAGCGCTGGGTCACCGCTTCGGCGCAGCAACCGGGGGGGAATCGACCGGGGCCCTCGACACTTTCCGTGTTGCGCCGTGAAGCGCGCAGTCTTCTGGCGGATTATCGCAGCACGGCCGCTGCGAAGAATGGTTGACAGGGTCTTCGAAACGGCCCGCTTGTACTCTCAGGGTGTCGCCGATGGGCGTCGTCGCCGACTTCCTCGCGAGGCTGCTGGGTTCACAAGTGGTGCTTGGCGCTCGCAGTGCAGAGCATCGAAAAGCGACAGCCGAGAATCTTTGTGGAAACTGGCGATGCGCGATGCGTTGGGATATGGTAGCTGTGGCTTTGCATGGGCAATTGGGCGGGCAAGTCGAGACGAGAGAACAGAATGTAAGTGAGGTTTGTCTTTGGTTTCCAACGTTGAAGACGAGTCGGGGCGGGTAGGCAGGACAGGTTGAGGGGAAAGGCAGCACACCAAACCGTCGGCGTGCCGTACAGTACATACATACAGTACACAGCAGCAGCTGGCGGTGGTGTGTGGCCCCAAATGGATGGTTGGGCGGCTGCGCAGCTAAGCGCGCTGCCGCAGACTGGGCTACCAAGACCCTCCCTGTCGGAGCGGGCAACATGGACCTGCCGTTTACTCGCTCAAATCACCATGCGGCCAACCTCTCGAGAGGGCAAATCGACAAACACGGGGCCCAGATTCGACCTGCAAAACGGCATTCCCGCACTGCCTGGCCTAGAACTGCTGCATATTGTCTCCCTCTCGCATTGTGCCTTCTGCTTTCTGCTTTCTGCTGCTCCTGATGCCCTCCCGCGTCGCCCCAACCAACAAACACTTGTACGCATTAGGTGATTGGTGAGGGCAGGGCTGAAGGAGTCCTGTCGCAGCGCCAAGTTGACAACGAGATGGCTGGCAGGCTACCTTCAAATAGACATGGAAAGGAACTAGAAACCGACTGGCGAGACCATAGCTCCGACATGGCGACCGCAAAAGGCCCGTCTGAACGCGATTAAATTGGCTATGGAGTCGGGCTACGTTAGGCCAGCAACGGTCTGCTGCACTTCAACCCATGACTCGAGGAGCTTAGGTTGAGCTCTTCGGCCTCGCTATGTAGATCTAAAGCTGTCCGTATCCGTAGTTAGTATTAGTTTCCACCGGACATAAATCTTTGGCAATCTGGTTTATGAAACCCCTGATCTAGGCTAACACGTGCATGGGGTTTTCCAACATGCTGTAATTACGTATATGTACTTGTACAGTAGAATCTGCGATCCAGCGGCACGCCTGCCCCGTTCTGGTTCTCCAACAAAAGAACTAGATCCTTCGGGCTTCATCCCAAATTTTGGCCGTTGCGTGTGCCCGAGGGCAGCATCACGTCAACAGAGCTGTTCTGTCTTGTTCAAGTGCTGCCTGTGCATCCAGAATTGTGGCGCGGCAGCGCGGCGGCGGGTCAATGAAGTGGACACCGCTTCGGATTAATCCCGCCGAGATAGGAAGGCGGTGGAGAGCCGCACAAACGCTGCTGGTCGCTTTCGGATTGCCGAAAACATTTCCTGCATCAACCGAGCCGGAATTTCTAGACATTCCCGCCTCGTTTCGCGGCTTTTCAAACAAACCAAGGAGAGCAGCGCGCTTGCGCTCCCGCCTGTCCCCCAATAGGTAATGAACACATCTCCTTTGTTCCTTTCTTGTATCATGCATATGATGAATCCTTTATTGGAGCTGTCTTATGCCTGCTTTTGTGGGCACTTGATGATACTTATAATTACGCTTTTCTGATATTGGCAAGAATAAAGAGGACGAGACACCTTGGCATGCTTCGCAAAGTACGGTAGAGCTGACTCTCTTGCAATCTAGGTAACGCTTACGGCAGCGCGTTCGCATAGAATGCGAACAAGGCCTGGGCTAACTTCGATTCACTTCACCAACATTGACACCTCCGCCGAAGCAGGCCGTCATGGACGTGGATGGCGCAAATGGAGGGGAGACCTCTGCAAATGCTAATCAAAACGGCGAGCAAGAAGACACACAGTCGTTCAAGCTGAAGTTTTGCACTGTTTGCGCGAGCAACCAGAACAGGTACGTGTGATTGGTTGTCCTGTCTGTCTGAGATTCGGGGCTAACAAGTGCCAGGTCAATGGAGGGCCATCTTCGCCTCTCTGAGGCCCATTACCCGGTCATTTCCTTCGGTACGGGGTCGCTGGTCCGACTGCCCGGTCCGACCATATCGCAGCCGAATGTGTACAAGTTCAACGAGACGTCATACGATAGCATCTATCGAGAGCTTGAAGCCAAGGACTCTCGACTGTATCGAGCAAACGGCCTCCTTAACATGGTGGACCGTAATCGCAATGTCAAATGGGGTCCGGAACGATGGCAAGACTGGCAGATCGGCATGCCTAGACTAAAGCACGAGAAGGACCAGGGAAGTGAAGGCATGGAGGGTGGCGTCGCCGATATCGTCATCACATGCGAGGAACGGTGCTGGGATGCCGTTGTCGATGATCTCATGAATCGGGGTTCTCCCCTCAACCGGCCCGTTCATGTTATCAACATAGACATCAGGGACAACCACGAGGAAGCTTCCGTCGGGGGCAAGGCCATGGTCGACCTAGCCGACTCTCTGAATAGAGTTGCCGCCGAGGAGCGTGCGAAGGTGGGAGCCAGCGGCTTCGATGCCGGAGGCGCAGCAAGCAGGTCGAACTTTGATGAACGAGTTCCAGAGGTATTGGGCGAGTGGCAGGAGAGGTGGCCAACCCTTCCAGCCACGTGGACTTTGGCTTGGTTCTAAGAAGAGTAGGGTGGCGGAACTTGACACGCATCATGACAAGGCGTTGGGATCTCGGACTGGAGTTGTTTCACTGGCGTTAAACAGGAAGCGGGACGCGCGGAAAGATACCAGGTAATGCTATTATGATTTATTTATCTTACGCTTCCCTGTTGTTTTGAGGGAAGCGGACCTAATCTATTTGAAACCCATGGATTGTGTGAAATGAGGACGGTAGGGGTCCCAAGGATCGGGACGGGAGGGTCAGGCAAGAGCCCCATTGCCGATAATCGATATGGACCCTTCAAAAAGGCCGGTCCACAAACTGCTGATTACGCAGCAGGAATGAAACAAAGGACTTAGCTTCTAGAACAGATGCAGAAGGTTGACGCCATGGCGAGTGTAATCGGCAACGCAGCCGGCATTGGAGCCTCATCGACAGACAAGCGGTTTAGCAGGCGATTTACCCGGAGCACGGGGACGGGGTATCAAACGACAAGATCCGGGGGATATGCGGTCGGGTTATTAACGGCACCTTTGACAGGTTGCGGCCGAGTTCAAGATGTGCGCTGGGGCCCAACTCCTGCGCTCACTGTCGGGCGATACCCCTCACCGGGCCTACGGGTGACACTTTGCCTCACGGAAGAAGCCGGCAGACGAAGCGGACTGTTAGGGTTCCATCACCAATTCACTACCAAAAACTATAATTGACAGGATCTCCCTGAAGGCTGTCAATTAACAATTGTCCCCAGAGACCGTGCCCCCGTCCTGCCGAAGATATAAATTAAGTTATTACTTATCTAATAAACGAGGGGTGTGGCTCAGGGGGGCATGTCGACCTTGGCCATCTCTTGGATGGGCGCATAAAGAAAGCAAATGCTCCCCATCTCTTGTCTTGGGCGATCCGGTGACATCAAGACAAGTTTCCTATCCTGCGGGCTCTTTTAGTCTCGGCTGGTCTTTGGCGGCTCTTTGCCCTCGACAAGGAAATCTACGCTGGTCAATGTTCTTTACTCAGTAGCTTAACTGGAGCCAGGAAGGTGGGTCTGAATTGACTTGGTCTCGATTGCCCGCGAGTCGCCCACCTCCGTGACTTCCGTCCCCCCACTTGCATTCAAATTTGACCATTGCGCCAGCTGTTCCTGCCGTAGCGCGCGACTAGCCCCCTGAGGAAATTACGCCTCGGGAACCCCAGCCTGTCCAACCCAATCGCCTCCCCAGCTGCCCGCACTCGGATCGATCAAGGGGTTGCATGGCAATCCCTGTTTTAGCCCCCTAAGGTAATTCAATTCTACGACTCGGGCTTGACCTGCGCTTGAAAAGCTCGAGACAAGCACCCAACGCGCAGCGATAATAAGCAACAATCTCAGTTTCTTAGGCAAACTGTACTGTACCTTACATACTGATATCCAGCTCTTGCAGTCTTTCGTCTTGTCTTTTTTTTTCTTCTTTTGCTTTTGCATTGCATCCACCGTTCATGCTGGGCAAACAGTTTGCCCCCTCAGATTTTACACTCTGTCGCTGCCTTAGTTTCACGCCGCACCGATTCGTTACCCAGGATCAAACTGCCTTACCTTAGGGTTGCTTGGATCTTGGATCTGGGCCGTCGCAAGTGGCACAGTGCCCGTCTCCAGCCAAGCCCTCCCAGCCACGACAACCTGTCTTTTGATTCAACACTAGCGACTGACCGACCCGGCCGTTGAAAGGCGCCGTCAACGAAAGCCGAGGCCAGGCCATCCGCCCTTACAGACCGGAAGGTGACGAATTTTGCCCTGTTCCGACTGGTCGGGTTGTTTGGTGCATTCCATTGGCAGCAGCTTTTTGGCGGGATCGGGCCACCACCTGGCCACTACGGCACCGCCTCCTAACTAACCCCCCCAGCCGCCACTCAGAGGGGCTGTTGGCCGAACTTGATTGCGTTTCATGCTGTAACAACAACACCCAGTTTCCCGCGGACCAGCATTTTTGTGTCGCCCACCGTTACTGAAATTCGTGGGCACAGCAGGCTCAGCACTGCGACGCTAATTCCGACATTCTGGAGTCGCTCCACCTGACCCTGGGATTCCGTCGCTGCGATTCGGCAACTCTGGGTCTTGGGGTGGTCTCGCTGCACCAAAAGCTCGTCGCTCGCCTGGGTAACTGCTTAAACTCATCCGACCCGTCGGCCACGCCACGCAGACCATGAATGGGCGCAATGCTCCGCTGTCCCCGGTCTCTCTAGGCGGAAGCGAGTCTTGGTCATATCCCGTCGACAAGGACGGCCAATACCAAAACAATCGGGGCCAGCTCAACACACCGCCCGACTCCGCAGGATCAATCAGGGCTATGAATGGGGGCTTCCCTCCGGGGCCCAAGAGCGTCGGCGGGCCCTCTCCGCCTCCGTCCGTCGGCCGGTCCAGCGCCGGCACCAACCTGTACGCGAGGAGCGAGAGCGGAAGGAGCCAGAGCCAGCAGGCCGAAAACCAAGAACTCATTCTCGCCGAGCACTATGTCTCCCTCAAGCGCTTTCTATCAGCTACGTCGCGCGATGGCAACCCGAAACCCGCGCTCAACAAGGCTCGCGACAAGCTGCAGCGCCTTACTGGGGTTCAGTTCCTCGAGCTCAGCACCGATGTCTACGACGAGCTGAAGCGGCGCGAACTCGCAAGCCGAAAACAATCCAATCCACCCCCCGAATACCTCCTCCCGGAGGAGAATTTTCACCCAAAACGGAATCAGGCACGACAAAAGCTCTCCTCCCTAGGACCCCCTCGGTTTCGCGATCTCGCCACGGATGTCTTCTGCGAATTGGAGCGCCGGTACCCGCGCTTCGCCGCCGGCGATCTTCCGCGCGTCGAAAGCCCCACGTCGGTGCGGGGGCCTCCCAGTCGGTCACAGACACCCGTCAACGGCATGAATGGCAATATGAATGGCAACAGCATGAATGGATACCCTCCTCCTAGGTTACAAAATCGTAGGCGTCCTTCCGAGGCGAGCTCGATACGGAGCGGTCGTGGGGCCCCAACGCCCATTAATGGTGGGTTTGGTGTGCCCCCGTCGCCGGGACTACCAAATGGCGACTACGAAAGGCCGATGGCAAAACAGTTTCAGAGCAATACCATTGTCCCCAATAAGAGTACTATGGTGGAGGAGGATGATGACAACCTCAGCCCTATGACTCCGGACAATATGGGCGACGAGAGATATGGAATGGCGAACGTACCACAAGAGAGGGCGATGAACCGAATGGCCGGACCCTCAGAGGTTTGTCTCCCATTTACGTACCCACAAGACGGTCCTTTACTAACTTAATATAGGCCGACCAGAAACTCAAGGCAGACTACGAGACGCAAGTTAGGGACCTGCGAGAGAAAGTCGATGCATTGGAAGACGCGTTAAGGAAGAAAGACGAACAACTAAGCAGCGTCATGGATGGCGAACGCTCAAGAGTAACTGCGGCAACTTCAGAGAAAAAGGGCTGGGATGCCGCTCGCCTTGCTCTTGAGAACAAACTTACCGAGGCGAAGGAACTCAACAATTCATTACAACGGGCTCTGGACCAGATTAGGGACGAGCACGAGAACGAAATACAGCAGCTTACTGACCAACTCGAAGAAGCTCGCCAATCAAGCCGCAATAAGAAACCGAATGGCGCGGCGAGCGCGGAGCTGGAGAGAGAAAACCAAGAACTACGCTTGGCTTTGCGAGACCAGCAAGATGTGACGGAGGAAGTCCGGCGCGAGGCACAAGAGTTTCTTCGCGAAATGCGGTTGCTCTCGCAGCAGAGCGGAGCTACCTGGGAAAGACAAACCGACTTGGAAAAAACAATCGAGAGTCTCGAAAAGGAAGTGCGCGACTGGCGGAATCGCTATGCACGCACAAAGACACAACTACGGAATATGCGAGCATCGTCATTAGGTCTGACAATCGACCAAGATGCTGGCAAGTACATACGGGAGAAGGGGTTTACCCAAGAAAACGGCCTGGTGAGGGATGTCCATGTCACCAAGTTCCAGATTGCCATAGACGAGCTTCTCCAACGGGGCCGTGGCGATAACCCGGAGCGGGTGATGGACTCGATGAAGGCAGTTGTGGTCAGTGTCCGCCGGATTACGCAGGACATTGATGAATCCGCGCCGAATAGCGAGGACGTGCTCCAGGAGCAGGCGAAGCTCAAGTCGCGGGTATCATCAACCGCCAACAACCTCATTACGGCATCCAAGAACTTTGCCAACTCGGCCGGCATATCACCCGTATCGCTCCTCGACGCGGCTGCGTCCCATCTCGTGGCAGCCGTTGTGGAACTACTGCGGACTGTCAAGATTCGCTCAACCCCGGCGGGAGAGCTCGAGGATGACGATGACGGAACAATTACTCCAGTGGACTCGACCGGCTTCTTCTCTCCACAAAGCAACGCGCAAAGCCAAGTGACGAGTGCGACATCAATCCCGGGCTCCCTTCCGCCCCCTCCACCGTTCCAGGGGCTAGGTGGTAGCAACCGGGACAGCGCAGACTCGTCCGCATATAGTCCCGTCAACTCGCCACGCGAATCATTCGCGTCTAGACCGGCCGCCTCTCGCGCGGCTCCTAACGGCAACGGCAATGCCAATGGCGCGGGAAATGGCAGAGGCAACAACGGTAGCGTCAGCAGCAGAACAAATGGCAGCATTAGCAGCAGAACAAACGGGAGTGTCAGCAGCAGAACAAACGGCAAGCCCAATGGCAAAGTCAACGGCAACGGAAATGGCTACCCTGCGACTGGCAAAAGCCTACCTCCCGCCCCGAACGGGCTATATGGCGGACGCCGAGTGGACACGCGAGCCGAAGACCTGAAGATCTATCTCGAAGACCAAACTGCGGTGCTGGTGCAGACGATACAGAATCTTGTGCAGCTGATTCGCAACGACGCCAACATCAAGCAGGTTTCGGAAGAGATCAGCTCGATTTCGGACGTGGTCGGCCAGGTAGTCTCGGAGATGGAGAATCTCGGCTCCAGCGGGGCGGAGCTCGTCAGGCGGCTGGCGTCGTGCCGGGATCGGCTGATGGAGGCGGGCACGCGAGGCCAGGACCTCGCTGCCGACGGCAAGGGTACCAAGAGCCGCGAGTGGCGCATGTGGACACAGACGCTGCCGCCCATTGCGTTTGAGATTGCGCGAGAGATCAAGGAGCTGGTGCAGCGTGCCGATCAACTTTCCCTGAATAATGATGATGCGGATGAATTTGCATGAGGGGCATTACAAACCACATAGAGGTGGATGCTTTTTAATGAAAGGAAGTAGACGGGCTGTGTAGGGGCATCCGGGGGAGGAAGGGATTGGTGTCTTCGGACTGACTGAAGCTCAACAGTCAGTCACATTGTGTATTATTCTTGTTTCTTCTTTTTTCTTGTCCTTTTTGGTGCGTCTTTTTTCCCGACGTACGTACGTACTACTATGGTTGTTGCTGTATCTATTGTTGTTGATGGGGATGATGGCGGAGGTGGCCTGGTTCTTTTGTTTCCAACTTCGCTTTGATACCCATCATAGCCACTGCTTTGGTTTTCCTTCTCCTTTGCCCTTGTTTTCCCTAGTTGTCGAGACTGGGCGCCGCGCGAACTTGGCTTTCTCTGCTGGGAGCATTGAAGCAAAGAGAAGGGGGTGTGCTCAAGTACTGTATATACAAATAACACTTTTCTTGCGGAGAGGCTGGTCTATAATGGATGACCTTTTATGATGTTTGTGTGGAGGGAGGGGAGAGAGAGTTTTGGGGTCTTGAAGCCGAGCGTGCTGGTTATAAAGCAGCAGTGTGTGAGGGTCGTGCCGGCTTCAGTCTAGTCTGGTCTGGGAGTACCTGGTAGTAGTAGTTTCATCTTGTATGTACGGCAGAGGCTTGCGCCTTTCAGCGAAGTCCAATGAGGCATCTTTCCCTTTATGAGCTTCCGAGACAGTTCCATTATGAAAATGAAACTCGTCCGCCAAATAGGCTGCTTACCATACGTAAGCACAGCATTGTGAAGAAACATCCCTGGTGTGAACGATGATAGGGAAATAAATGATGAATAAAAAGCATCGTGAATTTTGGGCGTAGACGACCTGACCCGTGGGGAGAGGCTCGAAGCTGTCAATCTCAGTTAAGTTTACTTAGCAATCGTGGCGTTCGTTAATTGCTTGGCTTGGATCTCGGCAGTGATGCTGGGGGCTATTGCCGCGCTAATAGTAATAATTATGGATGCGCATCCACTCATTGACTCATTCATCCATTTGCATTGGCTCGCAAACGACTTGTTTCCTAGCGCTCTCTCTCCTCTTTTTTATGCAATGGTAGTACGAGTACGTACAAGATACCATGGAAATACGGAATATGGCCAGAGCCTAGACCACTCAAGTCTCATCAGCCGCAGCAGGCCATCCAGCAGCACCCCGTTTATTGAGTTGCTTTCCAAACCTCCTGATCAAACCGTCTGTCTCGCCGTTGAAGAATCTGAAGGAAGACGGAAAGAAGACGACGACACAAAAAAGGCAAACTTTGTAAAAGATTCATTGATGAATGAACCCCAGAGCCAAGAAAAAGGGCGCACGGGGAAGAAAACGCCACCAAATGCAATGCAGGCCACCCACGCTCAGGGTGATGGCATCGAACGGAATGCTTGTGCTTGTTTCAGAGCCTCAAAATCCTCTATCTTTTTCGCTGTCCATCCCTCCACATGAAGTCTCACGAGGCTCTACCCCGTCAAGCAGATCGGTTGATTGGCTGGCGTGGGACGGGCTTGATTGCTGATCTGTCGTGGCCTGTGGGAACTTGGGAAGAAAAGGGTGTCAGGGCGCGTCCCCTCGTTCCCTCTAGGCTCAGCCGCACCCAGCTTTTGTGCGACGGTAGCGCTCTCGCTAGGGCCTGGCCTGGTGTGCTGCCGTTCCAGGTGCAATTATGAGCTGCACCCTTTCGATAGCGCGCTCGCATCCCATTCCCCTTCAGGCCTCGGCGGGCGCTCGAGGCAGACACGGAGCCAGGCGAGCCCAGTCTCGCCTCTGAGCTGCGGGCAGAGCCTCTTCTCTAGCTCTCTCTCCTCCAGCATTCCTGACCAGGGGCCGGCGGGTCTAGGCGATGGTGGCTTGCATATTATCTGTTTTATTCTCTCCCGGGTCCCGATCCTAGAAGATAGAAAAGGACGCTTCACCCAGGCGCACACGTCTTTGCTCTTGAATCTCTTGGCACTTCTCGTGACAAAACTGGCCTGCGACTGTGACGTGACGTGACGTGACGACGTGTGGTGCTCCTTTCTTCTTCGTCTCCTTCTCCTTCGCTCCTTTACATTACCTTGGAGCTGTTAGTTAGAACTACAAAACCGAAAGACGACGACAAAGACGACAACCGGCACCATGGACCAACCAACGGCGGCGCCCAAACCGATATACTCGGCCGTTCGGGCCCCCGGCCACGAGCACATCCCCCTCTATCCTCCGTACTTCATCATCCTCCGCATGGTCCAGCTCGGCTTGGCCGTCCTGATCATGGCTCTTGATGCCTATGGTATGACCTAGCTTGACCCGACTTGTTTGGTAGTACGAGTGCTCACATGCAACCTACAGGCGTCTCTGTTCTTTCGACCGACGGCAACAGCTTTGTCCTCGCAGTGGTACGTCCGACACCCAGGCTACAGAGGTAGAGAAGGACCGAGGAAGATGCAAGATGGAATCGCTGATGCTTCACACCCCATGCCAGGCCATCATGAACCTGATCACGGGCGTCTACTTTCTCGTGACGCACTATTTCTACCCGAACATCTACAACTACTGGGCCATCCTGGGTCTTGACATCCTCCTCATCATCATGTGGTTGAGCTCCTTTGCTCTGTTGGCATCCGAGGTCAACGAGTGGTACTCGTCGGTCGGCCACCTGACCGCCGGCCAAAACGTCTGCAACGGCGTAACGTGCTCCAAGGTGCAGCAGAGCTACATCGCCGCCCCAGCTTGCCTCGCTGCCGCTGCCTCGTTCGGCGCCGTCGAGTTGTACGTGTTGTCTCTACCCAGACCCCCCGCTCTGACTCTGAGAAAGGAGAAAGCGCAACACTAACAAGCCGTAACAGCGTCCTCCACATCGTCTCGCTCGTCTTCCACAGCATGGCCCTCCACCGCCACCGCGCTGCCGGTCTTCACTGCATGCCCGCCGGATCTTCCATGGGCGGTGGCTTCGGCGGCGGCGCGGTCAGCGCCGAGAAGAGCCAGCAGGCCTACCAGCAAGTGCCTCTGCAGGACCACCAGCAGCACCAGCAAGTCTACCCCGTCTACGCGCAGCAGCAGCAGCAGCAGCAGGCCTATCCGGTGCAGGTCCAGCAGCCGCAACAGCTCTACAACCCGACCGTGTCGCCGCCACCCCAGCAGCCGTACGCCCCGCCCCAACAGCCCCAGCAGCCATACTATCCCCAGCAGCAGCAGCCCCAAGTGCAACCGCAGCCGGCCGTCTACCACGCCGCGCATGCCCCAGCCCTAGTCCCACAGCAGACAGGCGGCAGCTACGTATCACAGCCATCTCAGCAGCAGCCATATGATAACAACATCCCGCTCGTGCCCCAGCACACGGGCGGCTATGTGGCCCAACTGGCGACGGACCGCGAGCCGCAGCACTTTGCCGCGCAGCTGCCGGCCGACAACGTCGGGTATTATGGTACGTCGGCGGCGACGCACTCGCCGTCGCCGCCGCCGATGCAGCAGCACCAGCCCCCGCCGGCGCAATGAGGTTTCGATGCCTAGGTAGTAGCGCGTGTTTGGTGTTTCCCGCTGGATATGGATAGACAGATGGACGGACGGACAGCGGGGGATTACGAATACGGGGTGGAGGTTTCAATGAGAGAGAAGGGGGAGAGCAAGCTTAGCTGCTTTAATTTGCTTTTTCTTTTTCTGCTGTTTTTTTTGTTCATACTAAATACCAAAATACCCCGAGTTCGCAGGCCCCCCTAATCATATCAGGGGTGCCTTGTATATGCATATACACACTTACATACACCGCAGGCCTCTTTATTAATGCATCACTAATATTCACTTTCCCTTACGAATGGCTATTGTTGGTTTAGGAAAGGTGAATATGGATAGATGGGCATGAAGCGAGGAGTGATATAGAGTCAGCGCTCTGCTGTAGAACGCGTACGAACGCCAGCCCCGAATCCCATGTCCCCTATCTCGATCTGAGTGGCGAGGAGAGGAGTCTAAATACAGGCAGATTATATGAGACCGGAACGACTTATATGACCAGAAGTGATAAAACATGCTTCCAACAGACTTTGAATATATTCGTAATCGCTTGGCCATGGCTGTCTTCATTCTTCACGCCCCAGGTTTACCTTTCCCGGTTGGGTCCCGGTTGTTATCTTACTGGCCTGCCTAACCGCTGGCGCAAGCTACCTAAGGTGACGAGCTATCGTGAGTTCATTCGAGCCCCTTGTCCTGTCCCATAACTGAAATTGATCAAGCAACCCTGCCAAAGATAGCAGCAGCAGCAACAACAATAGCAATAGCAACAAAAAGGCAACAGCAACGCCGTCCGTTATCATCATCATCAGAAGCAGCAGCAGCAGCAACGATCAACTGTTTATCCGCCACGCCATGAGCGTCGTGACATCGTGGTTGTGAATGAGCTCGAGGTACTCGGTTGCGAGGCGCCAGCGCAATGCGAGGTGGTGGATGCAGTGCTTGATGTCCTCGAGGGCGGCGTGAATCTCGGGGCTGCCGCTTTCTTTCCACAGCCTATCCGAGCATTGACGTCTCGGGTTAGCAGGCTGAACCAGACTAGTAAGGTAGCCAAGCAGGCATTATCTCTATTCCAGAAAAAGGAAAACGGGGGGCAAGGGGGGAAAGGAAAGGAGCTCCAATATTAGCGGGTAGGTAAAGCGCAGGAAGCCAGGCTACAATAGTTACAAAAACAGGTGGAGAGGGGACCTGGCGAAAAGGGGCAAAAGGGGAATGAGATAATCCAAGAGAAAGAAAGAAAACGCACCAATGCAGCGACGCCATAGCACCATACAGCGCGTCCAAGCACAGCGGCGAGACCTGGCGGGAGCCGGCGGGGAGCATGGCGGCCTCGAGCAGCTCGACCGACAGGTCGCGGACGCGCAGCGAGAGGTCTTGCAGCCCGGTGACGGCCTGCGACTGCATATCGCGCTCGTCGGTCTCCATGGGCACCGCCGCGTCGACGCCGCCCGGCCCAGGCCCGTCGCGCAGGTTCTCAGGGCACGCGTACGCGTCGAGCAGCATCACCAGGGCCGAGAAGGCGAGGCAGCGCGGCGCCACCAGATCGAAGGTGAGGGGCTGATGGCGGCGGTGTTGTGGGTGTTGCTGTTTCAAGTGCTGCTGATGTTGCTGCTGGGGCGATAGGGACACGGTAGAGGGCGAGGACGACGACGAGGACAGTGCCGGTTCAGACGACGGGGAGGTACTACTGCTATTATTATTGATGGAACTGTCGTTCTGCTCCTCGACAATAGTGCCAAACGACGTCAGGGTTTCGGCCAGCCCCTGCACGTGCGCCAGATCGAAGGGCCTGGGCGCGCCGCATCGGTAGCTCTGAATCGTGTCACGGCAGTGTTTCGTAACGTTGCTAATGAGCATACACGCCTGCGCGAGCCGCGCGAAGCCGCCCTGTGGCTGGAACAGCGGCGTGTGGATGCTCTTGGCGACGCCCCTGGACGGGTCGCCATCGTCCTGTGGCATTTTAGCATCCGTGTCAGGGGATCGTCCTTCTTTCGTCTCTTTCGTCGTCATAAAGGGGCAGGGGGTATAAACATGGCCCGAAGAATCAGAGAGAAACATACCCAAGCCCTGTCATCAACGGGCAGCAGATAGTTGTCCTCGGGCTCGGGCATCGAGAAGCGTTTCTTGTTCCCAAGGCAGATGACACGGTCTAGAATGTAGACGGCCCACCAGACACGTCTTCTTTCTTCGGACTCGGTCCAAGTTGTCTGAATTAAAGGCAAGGCCAAAAAGGAGTATCCGGTCAGCAATGCATCACACTTGAATACCGCCCCCACAAAACCATGAAGTGGGCGCATAGTGTGCCGCTTACACAAGAGCCCAGCATGACCGAGGTGTCTTTGAATGAGGGGAGGCCGATGAGGTCGGCGTAGCGCGCACAGGTGGCGACGGTTATCCAGGCGGCCGGATAGATGGCGTGGCCGAGCTCGTAGACGGCGACGAGGATCATGGCTTGGAGGTGGAGCAGCGATAGGATGCCGCTATCCTCGAGCATGGCCAGAAACCGCTTCGAAGCCTTATAGAGCGGGTTGATCCTGGCACCATTATCGGGGTTCGTGTTCTCGCTGGGCAGCGAGATGACGAGCTTTATGGCTAGAAATAGCATGGCCAGGTCCGGGCCCCCTTCCCACAACGAGAAGCCCAGCGTCATGCGTTTCCGCGAGATGATGGGGAACCTAAGACAGACCAGACGGAGCAGAGCCAGAGAAGTGAGTAAATGATAACTATCAGAGACAATAAGAAGTAAGAATGTAGGAAAAAGGGGCAAAAGAGAGACGGAGCCTACCACGTGTGGACCGTGGCAAAGTACTCGGCGGTGGCATCCTGCACGGCATTGCCGCGGCTAAGGACCTCGTAGACATCGGCGGGTAGGTCGACATTTGGCTTTGGAATGGGTATGGACGCCCATTTGAAGCAGTCGATGTCGAGGAAGATGGCTGAGGGGAAGCGGCCTGACGGCAGCCATTGGGGGCCCCGTGAGTTGTTGACTGATGGCCGGTCGATAAGGCGGCCGCTGTCCGGAGAGATGGGACGTGCCGAGCTATTGTGGACGCTAGCGTTGGTATTGGTGTTGGTGTTGGGTGTGCCGTGGTTGCTATTATTGTTAGCAGCGCTCAGGCGGTTCTCGAGGTCGGCAAGCCGCGACTGTAAAACTGCCAGGTCGTCGGCCGTCGGTGGCGGTTGAGCATCAGCCGTGTAGTCGCAGGGCCGTCCCATTTTTGTGCAGAGTCCACAGTTGGGCAATGATTTGTCACATTTTCTCCTTTTCGTTGTTGTTGTTGTTGGTTGTCAGCCGAGTTCTCTTCTCTAGCTTCTAGGTTCTACTGCTGTCAGAGGCTTCCACTTGGCTGCTCTCGAGAAAAGGGGGCCGGGTTTCTCCGGTTTGCCCATATCACTCCTGTTGCCCCATTGTCCCATGATTAATCGATTCAAGGCGCCAACCGCCAAGAGTGAATAAGTGGTATTGATGTTCCGAGATGGGTGGTGGCATTAGTAGAGGAAAGGGATATGCACGGGGGCAGTTACGAGTGCCCTATTCGAGAATGGGGCTACTCAACAACCCGCGGCAGATGCCTCGCAGCTCGTCGGGATACTCACTTTTGTTTTCGACAGCTGATGCTATTGGTTTGAACTCGTCGTAATCAGCAATCATACCAAGTAGTACTCTCATGTTCGATCATCAAATTCGTACCAGGCTTGGACCGCCTTGGAAGCTAGAAACGTCCCCATATCCACCTCGTCGCGGCGAGGCAACATCGCGAAATGCGCCATGGCACGGGGTTGTCGGGCAGCAAAATCGTACTTGCTCTCCGATCACTTTCGCTTTTTTTTAAAAAATAGTAGTACTAGTAGTCCGTGGAGGAGGAGCTGGGACTGGAAGGCGTTCCTTCCCTCTTTCCTCTTTCCTCTTTCCCCTTTCACCTCTCGAGCTCTCCCCCTCCCCCGCCTCGGGATAATGGCTGACTAAGACCACTTGTCAGCGTCTTCTTTAGCGTTCGTACCGTGACTTTAATAGGTCTCGGCTACCTGAATCATGCTACTACAGGCACTATCAGATTTATTACAAGGCCACTAGTGGCTATTGACAGTTCAGGTCAAATTACCACAATAGGCAAGATCAACAAGTGCTTGCAGTCAAGACCAAGGAGTCTTGGCAGACTCAATGCGAGCCTCTTTCTGTTTGTTCATAATTCATATATTCTGTATAATCCAAAAAGTGCCCAGGGGTATCATGTTTTTAAAAGTCCTCAGAACTCCATGCGCCTTGACGTCCAGCCGTCCCGTAGCTAAGGTACCTAGTCAGGCACTCATCTATCTCTTACCCTTCGCAAAACCCTTGAAGGCTGCTATCAACTTCAAAAAAGGCCCCTTCTTATTCCACGCTGTTGTTGTATCGAAGGTGCTGCTAATAACTGCACATCCGGATCCGCTATCCCTCGTCAGCAAGCGCCCAGGACACCAAACAGGGCAGGGAATGGGTGTGTGAGAGAGAGTTCAGAGAGAAGATTATAACTCGACATGTTCCGGCTCGGAACCCTGCAAACTCTATTTGGGAGCTGCAGCGTTCTCTACTAGATTTCCGGCTAAGGATGACGATACGATATGTGATCTCATCATGGTACGGGGGTGCGTGTGCCGTGCAGTAAAAGTGCAGGCTGGGGAAAGTCTTGCATCCACTTACATTCTTAGTCTCCTCCACCTTTAGTCGTCGTACGAAATTCGCCGTCGCTGGGCGGTGCGGTCCTCGTCGCCATTCCCTCCGTCCTCGTAGTCCAGCGTCTCCAGACCCTTGTCAACCACGTCCCATGTCCGCTTGCGCAGGTCAATTGGCTCTGCTGCCTCGTTCTGGTGGTCGTTGTAGCTGCTGTAGTCGTTGTAGTGGTTGTAGGCATGGGTATTGGTGTGGTTGTTGCTGTTATTGCCCCGCTTGCGCTTTTTTTTCTTGGCCGGGGGCGCGACAGGAGGCGTCGAGTGCGACGAGATCTCTCCGTCCGAGAGCTGGCCCCCGGCTTGCACAGCGATATCCATCTTGGGCGATGACGGCGTTGCCTCTATCATGCCACGGAGGGTTTTGAGCTCCCACTCTCGGAACCAGGCGATATCTGCGTCCGTCAGACATCGCTTCACGCCATCCGCGTAAAAGCCGAGCCCATTGGCGTTCTCGTTGAACTCTTCGTACTCCACGAACTCCACGTACTCCTCCCCAACATTGCCATCGTCAACCTTTTCGCTGGTGTTGATTGTGCCAGGTTCTAGCGGGGCCGCCTCGTTGGGGCGAAGGAAGTGCGTCTCAAAATGATGCGTTGCTGCCCGCGAGAAATGGGCCTCGTGGAAAGCCACGTAATCGTCCTGCGGGTAAAAACTGCTGTTAGAGCTTGATGATATTGTGGAATGGCTTGTTTGCAAGACTTACCGGGCTGATTTCTGGCACTTTGAATGGCGCGCCAGCCATCATTGCAGCCGCAAACTGCTGCGGAACCGATTTGCTTCTCCTAAAGTCAAGTTCAATGGGTTGGCGAGAAAGTTCAGGCAGCCGGGAAATAGCCCCGAGCGCAGGTCACGTGCCACCCCCAGGTGCCACAGCGGAGGACGAGACAGAGGAGAATTGACCAAGCGCGAAATAAAGCTTTGAATATGTCAAGTTCTTATTCACAAGAAAGGCTCCTAGTTTCTCGGAAACTAACGAGCTAAAGCCCCAGTCATTTGCGTGACGAGGTGAAATGATGCAACGATCAATCCATAGTCCCACACAAGCTCCCCCCAACGCCATAGAGTTCCGGACAATATGACCTATAAGAGGCAAAAAAGTGATTCATAACTGTCGTACAAGAAAAGATAACAGGCTCACGAGAACGACACACGCGAAACAAAAGCATGGAAGACATCAGTGATCTGTCGCATATGGGCTAGGATTGGCTCAACAGCGCCAATGCGCTCTGGAAAGCCCGCACGACTTCTGTCAAATGCTTCTTCTTCTGTGATAGGCTCTGCTCGGCAATCTTCACATATCGCTCTCTGGTTTGGAGTCTGCGGCGAAAACAGGCTAGTTAGCTTGGCAATCTTGTTTAGCAGGAGGACGCAAAACGTACCGCTTTACACCGCGCTCGCTGTCGTGGACGGATGCAGCAGAAGCCCAGACGTTGAAGTACTGAAGAGCGGCAGCATAGCTTAGTTAGAAAGTGCTCCTCCCATGTCATAGTATTGAATGTGGCAGAGTTGTTTGGTAAGTTGGTTGTTCACAGCGAACGGGGACTCACCTTAATCAACGCTTCAAACTCTTCAAGCAGCTCCTGCTCCTGGTGCCCCGAGTCGGCGAGCGCCTCTTCGTACCGGCTCTCAAACTCCTCCCAGTCGAAGGGCGCTAGGTGGCCCGGCGTGCTGGGCGACCGCTCGCTGATCTCGCGGTGGCCGTTCATGCGCTCCTTGGACCCGCGCGGCTCGGGCGTCTTGACCTGGGGTCGCCGGTTCTGCAAATCCGCCATGTTCTTGTTGCTGTCGAGGTTCATAGGCGGCGGTATGGCCGTCGTTCGGATCTGGTCTGAACGCCGCGCGCTCAGAGTCGGCGATGCGCTCTTCTCCGCGTCGTGCTCCTCTTTCTTGGGTGACTGCGTCGACCGGGGCGATGCGCTTGACATCACGAGCCACTGTTTTTAAAATTTCGGGCGAAGGTGGGTTTCCTGTAATCGCGCTGTCGCAAACCTAAGTACACACAAAGGACGGGCGGATTGCTCTTTCCAGGCCCGATATATCTTTGCGAGAGAAAGACTTGCCGAAGGCGGATCGATAAGCGCGTCCTGATAGCACACAACTGCTGGGTTCGCCTACCAGCCTAGAATTCCGAACGTATAATTTATTTCCTGTATGATTGGTATTCACAGCTATGCTGTAAATTTCCCAAGGCTTTGAAGAGTTTGGGGCCAAGAATCGCATTCGCAAAGGTTCTCTATTCACGGAAAGAAAGAAACTGCTACCATAGAAACGGTCTCAAATTGCGATGGAGAGATGAACCTGTCCCAACCCCGCATTCATGGCTCCTCAGGTAAGGTAGGCATTGGGGGAGAAAAGTCTAGCTGCCCAAGAAAGAGATCCCGCGCCTGCTGGTTGATTGGTGTGCCTGCCTATTTGCAGATGGGTTGATGAGTTGTCGGCGACTTTGACAGAGATGCTGTCGCAAATAGAAAACCGCGACTTGCAGGGGGGTCGATGGGCTCGTTGTCAGCGCTTCCGTCAGGCAACAGCGGCGATTGGTGCGCGTCGCTGTGGCGTCACTGCGGGTGGGGTGGAACGAAAGTGCACATGACCGGAAGGGTAATCCTAGGCGCGATAACGGCTCAAACTCCAACAAGCAGACCGATAAGGTATGGCGGGATCTTTGCCCGGTCCTACGGATGACTAGTTTCAGATGCTTCAGCCTACTTTTGGTGGTTCGCACGGCACTGACTGACGCCTTGCGACTAGCCATAGGTGACCGACTTCCTCACCTTGATCACCTTGCCTACCTTTAACAGGGTATCTTGTGTAATAAATACCCTGGCCCTCGCAGTCATTCCAAAACAAGTCTAAGATCCATCGTATCCTCGGTACTTTTTAGCTTCAAATGCATTCCGAGGCCGGCCTTCCTGCTCGGCCGCTTCCCTAACACGGCCAGCACCACGAGCACGCAGAACAACAAAAAAGGTATTTGCTTCCTGCTGCCTGTTGACCCTGCCCGCTCGTCCTTTATAAACCGAACTTGCCATTTGGAAATTCAATCTCGAGGTGTTCCCAACATCGCCCCGCCTACTGCTTTGCCGCGCACCGTACCCAACAACAAACAACATAGCCAAGATGAATTGCAGCGTTTGCCACCGGCCGCATAATGTGAACAAGTTGCCGTTTCTTTGCGCCGTTGATGCGAGGAACCATGTCTACGAGTGCCGAGTAGAGCTCGCTCAAGCTCTGATCCAGAATGAAGAAGCCGAGCAAGAGGTCAACACCACCATCGTGGCAAGCGAGTCAAACGAGGCGAACGGGTCCGCTGCGTCGCTCCCCAGAGCCCGCCTCGACTGGTTGAAGTCGGAAGAGGAGGCCACCGCCGACAGGACGAGCCAGATCATCGCCCAGGCCGACCGGCTCAAGGCCGAGATTGATGCGGCACGCAGCGAGATCGAGGCCAAGAAGGAGTCCATCGCCCTCAGAAAGTCGGACTTGGAGGCAGTGTCGACGGGCATCGCTGCCAGGAGGAGCAGGCAGCTGGAAGAGGCGGAGAGGGCTATTCACAGGACAAAATACAAATGGAACCGTAGCGCCGACACAATGGCGGCAACAAGGGCATTCCTCTGCGACGAAGCCGCCCGGCTCTATGGCCTCCGCCAGGTGAAGAAGGGCAGTGCCAAACGATACGAGATTGGCGGCGTCGAGATCGTCGAGCTACATGCCATGAACAGTACGCTTATTCCTGGTAGTCTCTGCTTGTTCCTCGCTGCCGTAGTTATTGTCGTCATTGCTCGTTTGCTAACTGGGCTGGCAGATGTGGCGCCCGAGGTGATTTCTACGTCGCTTGCGCACATCGCGCACATACTGGTACTCGCCTCCCATTATTTGGCCATTCGATTGCCCTCCGAGATCACGTTGCCCCGCCGTGAATATCCGCGTCCAACCATCTTCTCGCTTGCGTCGTCATACAGGCACGGCGAAATCCCATTTCCTGGGTCAGCCCTCTCGTCCCAGATTCCGTCTGGTGCAACGCGCGATGCCGAACCGAAACAGCATGTCCCGCGCCCCCGACCGCTCTTTATCGACAGGCCCCTTGCGATCCTGGCAAAGGAAGACCCGTCAGTCTACTCCCTCTTCCTCGAGGGAGTGTCTCTCCTCGCCTACGATATTGCCTGGGCATGCTGCTCACAAGGCGTCTCTTTTGGCGACAAGGACTCCTACGAGGACATGTGCAACATGGGACAGAATTTATGGCGGCTCCTTATTGGCGATCAGCTGCACCGGCGGTCTGTCGAGCCCGTCTTTCCGTCCTCTCTAACACCCCCCGTAGGCAGCCCCGTGAAGGATGGCGACGTTGTCGAGGCCACCAAGCCCAAATCAATGATTGGCCGCTGGTCCCACGGGACGGCACACACCTTCCTCGGCGGTGCTGAGGGCACAGAGTTCATTCGCAACTTCAAGATCCTGAGCCCGCTGAAGCTCGTGGATCGGCTGAAGAAGCGGCTCTCGAGCGAGGCGCCAATGCTGGAGTGGGAGAAAATCGAGGGCGACGAGCTAGAGGACGGGTTCGAAGACGGAGTTTTAGTAAGAGGCCATGGACGCAGTGGGTCTGGGAGTCGGGCCACGGAGCTCCTTGGAGCTGCCAGTGTCATGACTGTTCGGACTTTTGGCACGAGTGCGGGCATCTCGGAAAATGGCGCCAGCACAGCCAAAGGCACGAGCGGCTGGACGAAACTGAAGAACAGATAGGAAGTCGGTGATACGATAAATCTTTGTCATGTTTGTTGACTGGGGCTTTGCTCGTCGCAGGCCCCAGTTTCAATCACAAGCTGGGCCATTCCTAGAGGTTGGTTCTACACGGCCTTGCTGCTTTCGTCTTACCGGCTATGTCGGCCAGAGGGCTAGAGTCCGAGTCGTTCATCTATGCCTGGCAGGATTCGCACTCGTCTATCCCGAGCTGGAAACAAGGCCACTGGTCTGTGAAGTATCCGCTCGAAGGCGGTGCCAAGGAAGTGCAAACTTGGAATGAGTTTTTCAGGTACGGTAGATGGCGAGATCAGGATGTGTATATAAGACAACGGACTGTCTCGCGACTTTGATGTCATAGAGTCAGTAGAATCCAGACACAAATATCACAACGGTCTTCCATCGTCTACACAGGCACGCACATATATTATCCAACAGTGTCAGCCAAGCCGAAAGGGGTATTTGCACCTCTATGGTGGGGTTCTGAGACAAGGTGGTTCAGAAGCACAGAGTCCTTATCCGTGATGTTAAGTCCTAATGAAAGAAATGCTCGAGAGAACGACTGTTTCGTGATACATAAAGCAGTGAGCTTTTGATGCGCCGTTCGACTGAAGCCATCACAGGTAGGCAGTGTCCCCTGAATCGGGCAGAGTTCGGAGAATGGCATGTCACCAAGCAAACAGACACAAGCATAGCGGAATTATCAGGTGGCCGGTCAGCAATCTTTTGTACTGCGGTCTATACCCTCCCAGTGTGACCTTCAGCTCCGATTCTGAGCTCTATCCTGTCCACGAAATGATGAAAAGAAGATGTCCTCCACGAGAGAAATAGAAATAACCATGACAAACAGACTCGTGACTGAAAATACAGTCCCCGCCACCACCCGAGTATGATACCCACGAACAAAGAAGGGGAAAGAAAAGAAAACCCGTCAAACTCTTGACTGAAAAGACAGTCCCCACCACCACCCGAGTATGACACCCACGAACACAGAGGAGGAAAGTAAACGAAAAGGAAAAGAAAAGAAAAGAAACCCCGTCAAATTCTTGACTGAAAAGACAGTCCCCACCACCACCCGAGCTTGACGCCCGCGAACAAAAAAGAATAGGAAAGACATGAGAACCCGTCAACTTCATGACTCTCTCTGGCACGTTCTGCCTTTGTGTGGGGGGAAAAGAAAAGAAAAGAAAACCCGTCAAGCTTGTGACTCTCTCCCTGGCATTTTACGCCTTTCTCCATGGCACTTTATGCCTTTCTCCATGGCACTTTATGCCTGCCCTTTGAGAGGACAACAAAACCCTCGGAAATCCTCAAAAGCCCTCGGAAGCCCTCAATGCCCTCGGAAACCCTCAATGCCCTCGAAACCCACAAAATCCCTTAGAAGTAACCGATCCCCCGAAACCTGCAAGCTCACGCTGGGGGGGAGACACTGCTCCCCCGCCAGGTGAGCATGTAAGGTGTTAGCAAATTTTCGCAGATATCATCAAGAGAGGAAGAGGGGTTACATACCGCAATGGTTTAAGAAGTTGAGCATGGTGCCGAAAGGAGGAGAGATAAGAGACCTTTACCTAGGTTAGTAGGTTAGTAAAAGCCGCTGTACCTGTACCCATCAGTAGTTAGTAACCCCCCGGAGGAGTCAGGAGCACCAGTCGGTGCAGCCTATCTCGCATGGCCCACCATCTGCCCCTAGCAATCCCCTCCGGAGGAGGGGGCCGGGGGCCGTGGAGGGTGGCTGTTGTGAACCAAACTCTCCCCTCTTGCTCTCACGGTGACCCACTACCCCCCTCGGAGAGGGAAGGAAGGTGAGCAGAGAGGAGTTGAGAGTATTGGAGATTAATAGGCGAGAGGCGTAGGGGAGTCGAGAGGAGGAGTGCATTGCTATCTTCAGATTTCGAGACTAGCTATGAAGAGACGGGAAGTTATCAAGACAGCGAGCGGGCTAGTCTGAGCTGCGAATCCCACCCAAACATCCCGCCAAGAGCCCCGTCCAGAACCCCAGAGTCACGGCGAGCACGGCAGCCGCGCCCGCCATGCAAAGTACTGCGAGCAACACGCTCGCCATGCAAAGTAATACGAGCGACAACAGGACGAGTCCCATTAGCATCTCCCGGCTCATGCCCATCATGAACATCACGCCAAGGGCCCCGAAGAGAGCAGACGCGAAAGCCACACAGCCCCGATAATGACGAGCGTGAACGCGAGCGTGATACGCGGATCCGTCGACATGGTCAAGGATCGAAGGTTCTACTAGATCATCTGGCCGAGGGCCAGCATAGCTTTTTACAAATCCTGGGTGGCCTTCACCTCCTCTGTCCTCCGTTACCGCGCCGCTCTTGCCCCTTCCTTTCACCGTATTCCCTATCTGCTCAAAACGCACTATCTCGGCCTTCGTGAGGGTTGACAGATGGACCGACTTGCCCTCGATGGGAGGAGCGCTCGCCTCGTTACCCAATACCATCCCCCACCCGATCACCCAGGCCAGGCGATCACTTTTTACACCAAAACACCACATCTTTGAACAACCGTAGAATAGTCAATTGTGAAGCTATTCAAAAGTAAAAAGCAGATTTGGTTAGGTAATTGCATGTCCTTTAATTTCAGGGTAGATTTATTAGCCCAAAACCCCTAATCTTTACGCTACACCGTCGCAAATTAATTGCAAATTAGCGTCCTTTTAGCTTCCTTGTCTTCTTTCCTCCCTACCTCTGAGTGTGTAGTGTGTATTATGTTGTACCACCACCATGTCTACCTATACCGAAGACAATATGCTTAATGCATACCTTGATGTCACAGATAATAAGCTTTCGATTCGAAAATCTGCTCAAAAACACGGTATACCGTATACAACATTGAACGACAGACTCAAAGGAATACCCCCTAAAGATGAGACTGATCAGCCGCATCGTCGCCTTACGGCTGAAGAAGAAAAGCGTCTCATTTAACGGATCCTTCGTCAAGAGAGCCTCGGCTATGCCCCTAGCCATTCGCAAGTGTGTGTAGTATTGCCAGAACACTACTCGTAAAAAAGGGGGATAAAGAAGTCCTAGGGGAAAAGTGGATTGAGGGCTTCAAAGCCCGTAATCCTGAGATAAAACCCAAATAGGCAAGAGAATGGAAGCCGCTCAATTTAATGGCTTCACTCCCAAAGCCGTCAACTGGTATTTTGACATTAGGGAGAAAGTGACATTAGGGACAAAGAATACGGCTGGGTCAGGCCTGAGCTCACTTTTAACGTCGATAAGGCCGGCATTATGGCGGGCTTTGGTAAGAAAAGAGTCACCATGCTGTTTTCTACAGCTAATTCTATATAGGGCTGGACTCTTTAGTCCTGGGGAGCTCAGAGATTAGAAAAACATACCTCAAAAGTGACCATGGCCGTGGCTGGTCTACTATAATCGAATGCATTAGTGCAGGCGGCAAATTGCTTGATCCAGGCATTATTTTTAAGGGAAAAGAACTTCAAACGCAGTGGTTCAAGGAAGAAATGAACAAAATAGCCGATTGGAGATTCGTTATAAGCGAAAACGGCTGGACTGACAACTAACTCGCGATTAGTTGGCTCGACGATATTTTTATTCCACAAACCAACGCCTTACTAGGCCACGATAGCGAGGCTCGCCTCCTTATTCTTGATAGCCATAATAGCCATACAACGGTAAGATATAAAGCCTACGCTTTCTTTGAGCCTACAGTCTCACATTATTATAAAAGGACGAGTTCATGACTACCTGCTTCCACAACAACATATATCTCTGCTTCCTACCGGCCCACACCACTCACGGCTTACAGCCACTTAACAACGGCCCATTCAATGCCGTTAAAGCTTACTATAGACGTGAGCTAGCCAAATTAGCCAGTCTAACCGATGCAGCACCAGTTGATAAAGTTAACTTCATGCGCTGCTATAAGGTGGCTAGAGAGGAAGGTTTTACTTTAAGAACTATCAAATCATCATGGCGAACGACCAGTAATTGGCCTATAAGTAGTGTCACGGTCGCCACAGGGCTCATGTGACAGGATTGATTCTATTGGCTGCATTGTGCTTAGGGTGTGGCCTGTGCGCACTGAGCACCACTACCTATTTCTCCGCGCCCTGCGCGGACCCGGCGATAGATTCCTTTCTCTTCCTTAGCTTTGAATCCACATTCGTTGCTGCCTTCAACCATTGACATCCCTACTGCGTAAGGCGGGCCGTCACAAGTAGGCAAAAGGCGTTGAATCATCCAGAGATTCAACAAGACAGAAAAATGACCCCCGAGCCCCCGGCCCTCCCTGAAGTCCCTGATACCCCCGTGTCAGGCCGCTAGATAATGGATATGAGCAAGGGGGCTAGTCTAGGCACAAGAATGAAGTTCAGAAAGGCCGCCCGAGCAGTTGACGGGCTTCAAGCCGAGTTGGTTTTGAAGCAGGCACGAATCGAAGCCCTAGAGGCCGAATTGGAACGCTTGAAGCCAAAGAAAAGGAGGAAAATTCCAAACCCAAATAAACGGTTCATGACTTTGGCTACCATACTAATTGGTGGCGAGGCTCCCGCAGAGCATTAATTTGAGGCTCAAAATGCCGCTCAAGCCGAGCCGCAAGAAGAAGAGGTGGATGAAGAAGACGATGAGGATGACGCTGCAGATGACGACATTCCACCTGCAAGAATGACCAGATTAGGGCGTGCAACCGGGATGCCGGTACAATATATGGATTAAGCGATTAGTTAGCTACATTTTGCCATGTTTCATTTGTAAATAGCTTCACAATTGACTATGCTACGGTTGTTCAAAGTTGTAGCGTTTTGGTGTAAAAAGTGATCGCCTAGCCTGGGTGATCGGGTGGGGGGATGGTATTACGTTATTTTTCTCCACCTTTTTCCTATTTTTGTTCTACATACGCGCTAACTAGACCGCGCTCGGGACGTCATCCTCCCCCTCGTTAGCGGTATCTAGCGTATCTATTACAAACCACTCGACTGTTAGGGTCGTCTGTCTGTAAGGGAGCACGGGCTCCACAGGATGCTGGGGTTGGTAATTATGGAGATAGAACAAAGGGCAAGCTCCTATCGCACGGGTAATACAGTCAAATCGGAATGCCACTCAAAGTGTATGAGTGCAGTGAATGTGTATTGCTTGCTTGAAGAACCAAGCAAGAACTATCTAAGACCGTGGCTACGTGTAAGGAAAAGGACACCCCAAACACCAACTGCGCGCACAGGGTGCGCGCCCACCACTTGTCACCAACTGGCTAGAACACTGCCAGCTGGCATACGCTACGCCGTGGCGCCACGACCGCAGACTGATGCCCGGGCCGAACCCCTGAGCAGGTATATAAACAATGGCCCTCGCCCATCTTCCTTTGCGAGGGCCAGGTTGAAGTCTTACACCAATACAAGTCATTGCTCCCCTACCTTCTTGCCTGCATTGTGACCACCTTGATCAGGCGTACCTACCTTCTCTTACACCAAAACCCTAGCCTATCCAGACCAAACCTAATCTAACAATGTCAGACCCCCATCCAACAATATCGGACGACTTAGATATACCATCCCCCACCCCCCACCCGATCACCCCCCCACCCGATCACCCCTTTTACACCAAAACACTACATCTTTGAACAACGACTACGTAGTCAATTATGAAGCTATTCACAAGCCAATGACGGATTTGGTTAGCTGCATGCATATATTTTAAGCTTAATATGGATTTGTCAGCCCATGGGCCCTACAAATCTCTTTGGCGCCTCGCAAATGAAGCGTAATTTAACTTCCTTGTGTTCTCTTGTCCCTACCTATGAGTGTGTATTATATTGTACTGCCACAATGCCTACCTACACCGAAGACGACATGGCGAATGCCTACCTAGATGTAACGGATAACAAGCTTTCTATTCGTCAGGCTGCTTAAAAGCACGGCGTACCGTACACAACACTGAACAACCGGCTCAACGGCATCCCGGCTAAAGAAGAGAGCTATTACAAACCACTCGACTGTTAGGGTCGTTTGTCTGTAAGGGAGCACGGGCTCCACAGGATGCTGGGGTTGGTAATTATGAAGATAGAACAAAGGGCAAGCTCCTTTCGCACGGGTAATACAGTCAAATCGGAATGCCACTCAAAGTGTATGAGTTATTACAAACCACTCGACTGTTAGGGTCGTCTGTCTGTAAGGGAGCACGGGCTCCACAGAATGCTGGGGTTGGTAATTATGAAGATAGAACAAAGGGCAAGCTCCTATCGCACGGGTAATACAGTCAAATCGGAATGCCACTCAAAGTGTATGAGTGCAGTGAATGTGTATTGCTTGCTTGAAGAACCAAGCAAGAACTATCTAAGACCGTGGGCACGGTCATCGTATTTATCTAATTGTGGCGGGCCAGTAAGAGCACAGCTCTTACTTGCCCGGCAGGAAGGAGCTGCCTGGCACCGGGCACTGCTAGCGTGCCGGGCCATTTGCCTGGTGCCAAGAGCCCTCTTGGCACCGGGCACCGTCTGACTGGCTCAAGCGACGAGCGGGGTCCCCAGTCATGCCTGAGGCGCCCGCTTCCTGCAGCTGGTCCAGTACGAACCAGGTTCGTCACATGAGTGCAATGAATGTGTATTGCTTGCTTGAAGAACCAAGCAAGAACTATCTAGGACCGTGGCTACGGTCGTCGTATATATCTATCTAAGGAGGACCAATCAGAGTTCCTGACTCACATGCTCAGTTGTGCTCAGTCCTAGACGCACTGATCCCTACTGAGCTCCCCGCTCAGTGCGCTCAGTGGGTCTCGGCACTGATCCTACTGAGCTCCCCGCTTAGTGCGCTTAGTGGGTCTCGGCAACGGCCCCACTGAGCACTCCCTCATTGGATGCACCCTTGAGCGAGAGCCCCCCACCTTAAATGCTGTTCCAGCCAATCCACAGAAGGCGGGCAGCGCCCTCTGCACCTTTGAACCAGGATCGTAACAAGAGCGTTCAAACACCCCCTAGGCTTACAGAGCCTCAAGAAAAGCGGCTCGTGGAGTGGATCATCAAGCAAGAGAGCCTCGGCTATGCGCCTTCCTATTCACAGGTTTCTAGCATGGCTGAAAGGCTCTGCAAATCAGTAGGCGATTTAGAGCCTATTGGAAAGAACTGGATTACTGGCTTTAAAGCCCGGAATCCCGCTATTCAAAGCAAAGTAGGCAAAAGAATGGAAGCAGCTCGCTTCAACGGCTTTACTCCTAAGGCTGTCAACTGGTATTTTGACATCAGGGAGAAAGAATACGGCTGGATCAGTCCTCGGCTTACCTTCAATGTCGATAAGGCCGGTATTATGGCGGGCTTTGGTAAGAAAACAACGCCTATTGTCTCTTCCTATGTTAATGCTATATAGGGCTTGATTCATTGGTCCTAGGGACCTCAGAGACGAAGAAAACCTTCCTAAAAAGCGACCAAGGCCGCGGCTGGTCCACTATGATTGAATGCATCGGTGCTACGGGTACTCTACTTAATCCGGGCATTATTTTTAAAGGAAAAGACCTTCAGACCTCTTGGTTTGAGCAGGAGATGGAGAAAATTGCGCCTTGGCGCTTCGTTACCACTGAAAAGGGGTGGTCTGACAACCAAATAGCGATCAGGTGGCTTGAGGACATATTTCTTCCACAAACTGACGCCCTACTGGAATACCCCTTTGAAGCCCGGCTTATTATTCTCGATGGCCACGGTAGCCACACAACTGTAAGAGACAAGTCCCGTACCCTCTTTGGCCCAGTTATCTCATAGTATATATATAGGATGAGTTTATGACGATGTGCTTCCTGAACAACGTATATCTATGCTTTCTTCCGGCCCACAGCTCTCACGGCATACAGCCGCTTGATAACGGACCGTTCAATGCGGCCAAGGCTTACTATAGACGTGAGATGGCTAAATTGGCGAGTCTAACTGACTCAGCACCAGTGGACAAGATCAACTTTATTCGCTGCTATAAAGTTGCTAGGGAGGAAGCATTCACGGAAAAGACCATCAAATCATCATTCCGAACGACTGGTAACTGGCCTATTAGTAGGCAGAAAGCCCTGAGGCACCCAGAAATACAGCAAGACAAAGAAAAGACCCTCAATCCCCCGGTACTTACCGGGACCCCTAACACCCCGACTACAGGGCGTCAGGTCAAGGATTTGGGCAAAGGAAGCAGTCCAGGTACAAGATGGAAATTTGAGAAAGCGGCTCGGGCCGTTGAAAAGCTTCAAATGGAGCTTATTATCAAGCAGACTCGCATAGAGGTGCTTGAGGCTGATGTAAGGAAACCACCCTCGTAACCACCATGGCCACCGCCACCAGGGCCACCCTCGCCACCGTCGCCACTATCGCCACCGCTAACAGGGCCACGCACTATCGCCACTACCACCCTGGCTACGCAAGGATGACTCGTAACCCCTTTCACGTGTATATAGACCATGGCCTTCGCACACCTCTTTAGCTCAGGCCAGGTTGAAGTCTTACGCCAATACCAGTCATTGCTCGCCCTGCTTGTTGCTCCTATTGTGACCACCTTGATCAGGCGTACCTGCCTTCTCTTACAGCTGAGCTGGAAAGGCTGAAGCCGAAAAAACGACGCAAAATTCCCAATCCAAATAAGCGATTTATGGATTTGGGTACTATTTTACAAGGCGGTGAGCTTCCCGCAGAGCCCCAAATTGAGGCTGAAGCAGAGCCGCAACCCGAAGAGATTGAAGATGAAGAGGGTGACGAAGATGAAGAAGATGAAGAGGTTTTGCCGGTAAGACTGACCCGATCTGGCCGTGTAACGCAAATTCCGGCTCGCTATTATGATTGAGCATGTAATTAGCTACATTTTGATATATTTGGTATACGGATAGCTTCAAAATTGACTGCGTAGTCGTTGTTCAAAGATATAGTGTTTTGGTGTAAAAGGGGTGATCGGGTGGGGGGTGGGGGATGGTATCGGAAGATGGCGAAGGATCTTACTATACCTACCTTATCAAGGCCGAGCTAGAGGCGAAGTACGCCGATATTAAGGGAAGCATCGATAGCTACAATAGTCTACTCAATACGGAAAAAAACGACGAACTATTAGCAGCTATTATTAAAGCTAGTATTAAGGACTAGGAGTAGTAATTGGAAAATTATACTATACTACTTAAGAAGACCAAGGAAATATAGTTAGATAGATAGAACGTCCCCTATTGTAAGTGAAGGCAGGTACGCCTGATCAAGGTAGTCACAATGAAGGTACTGAAGAGAGTGAGCAATGACTAGTATTAGTAAGAGACTTCAACCTGGCCCTCGAAAAGGAAGGGGCGAGGGCCACTGCTTATATACATGACAGAGTGCAGGGCGGGCCATTGACAAAGGAGTGAGGTCTTGGCCCGCTCGGTACGCATGCGAGTTGGTCGTGTGTGTAGGTTGGGGGTTCTTTCCTTACAAGCGACTATATGCTAGACACTACTAATGTAAGAGAAGGTAGGTACGCCTGATCAAGGTGGTCACAATGCAGGCAAGAAGGTAGGGAAGCAATGACTTGTATTGGTGTAAGACTTCAACCTGGCCCTCGCAAAGGAAGATGGGCGAGGGCCATTGTTTATATACCTGCTCAGGGGTTCGGCCCGGGCATCAGTCTGCGGTCGTGGCGCCACGGCGTAGCGTATGCCAGCTGGCAGTGTTCTAGCCAGTTGGTGACAAGTGGTGGGCGCGCACCCTGTGCGCGCAGTTGGTGTTTGGGGTGTCCTTTTCCTTACATTTGGGTTTGGCGATTTCTCTAAGGCCCTCTCCATCTCTTCGTTGCCGAAATATCGGTCGAGGTCGATTGGGGGTATGTCTGAGTCCTCGGGATATAGTAGCGGTTACGCCAGTTATATCAGACAAGTCGGCTCCCTTCCAGAACTCTACGAGGGTGATTTTGCTGATTGCAGACTTGTGCAGAGATGCCGCACAGTGATTGACGAATGGGGAGATGTTGTTAACGAGAGCCGCAGTGAGCGAGTATGATGATTTTGCTAATTGCAGACCTATGCAGAGATGCCGCACAGTGATTGACGAATAGGGAGATATTGTCAACGAGAATCGCAGTAAGCGAGGGTAGGCAGAGAGTCGCAGTGAGCAAGGGTGATGATTTTGCTAATTGCAGACTTGTGCAGTAAGCGAGGGTAATAATTGGCTAATTGCAGGATTGTACAGTGAGCGAGGGTGATGATTTGCTGATTGCAGACTTGTACAGAGATGGAGCACAGTAATTGACGAATGGCAGATGTTATCAACGAGTAGGGAAATCGACAGGATCCCAGTCCCGTGGTGCCGGAAGGACACATTTCTGTCGCGCGCCAAAGTCTTGAATACTATGTTGCTTCCTGAGTGATGAGAGCCGGAGGCTTCGAGGCCAATGGCCTCTACCCCCGAGCCCTCCCTTCTCCTCTCCTCCCCCCCTCACCTCCCCTCTACCCTCTAAACCTCCTACTACTACACCGCACCCTACGAGGACCGAGTGTTTACTTTGGGACTGCTTTGCCTTTTTTTCTTTCTTTTTTTCTGTACAGTGTGGCTCTTTTTCCCCCTTGTGTGCAAGTCCCAGCCTCCCGCGCCCCCATGTCAGACACCTTGGTGCCCCTTTTTTCCCTAAGCTAAAGCTCGTGCCCGACTCAACCCTGTAGTCTTCGGTCGGGCCCTCTCCCGCCCACCTCGAGCTTGTCAGACACCTTGGTGTCCCCTCCCTTTCTCCCATCCGCCCCGAGCTTGTCAGACATCTCTATGTCCCATCCTTCTCTCTTCCCTCTGCCAGGCACTATATCCCCCTTTCTCTTGCTGTGGTTCTTTCTCCCCTGAGACAAGACCTGCCAGCGAATAGCTATATAGAAAGACGAAAAAGAAATATGCTAGTGGCTAGCTCCACTGAGGAAATCCGAATTGGTTACGTGGATTGTGGCTGTCTCGCCCCGTGCTTAAAGGGGTCCGACTTTTTTGGTGACAGCCTGTCGTAAAAGGTAATTACCGCGGCTGACTGTTCAGTTGCCTGAGCCGCGCGAACTGAAGAATGTTCTGGTGACCGGTTGTCGGGAGAGAGATTGGCGGAATTTTTTTAATTTTTTTTTTTGGTTTGACGCTCTGGTAGCCCGTCGACAAATGATGTTTATTAGTGCGGCCGGCTGTTAAGTCGCCATGGCGTGCGAAGTGAAGATACCACCCTCTGCCAGAAGGTTTGGGTAGTCGACAGGCCGCCAAAAGGTTGTTTGGTTTGGTTGGCGGATTCCGCATATTAAGGAGGCGAGGGCGAGAGCGACAATGTTTTGAAAGGTTGTCGGCAGCCGAAAAAAGGGGTTGGTACTGCCCATCCCACTGCTAGTGAGGTTTGGGCCAAGCAGACCGGCGACAAAGAAATCCTGAAGTCGCTACACACTCCTTGCCAGGGATGGTAAGCCAGTCGAGCAGGCTGCTGAAAGAAGCCTTGGTACCGCCCGCTCCCCTGCCCAGAGGGATTGGGCCTAGTCGAAACAGGTGCTAAAAAGATCTTGGTAACGTCCGCACCCCGTGCCAGAGGGCATGTTGGACTCGTCGAGCAGGCGACAATGAAGATCTTGGTACGTTCGCGCCCCGGCCCAAAGGGTTTGGATTAGTCGAGAAGGCGCCATAAAGAAGTCATGAAAACGTCCTCACCCGTGCCCAGGGGATATCGGACTCGTCGAGCAGGCGCCAAAAGAAGTCGTAAACACCCTCACCCCGGCCCAGGAGGGTATTGGGCTCGCCGAGCAGGCGACAAAAAGACCTAGAAAACTATCCGCCCCTCCCCTGCCCACGGGGGGTTTGGATCCGAGACGAGACGAGACAACCGAGCTAGTTGTTGGTGGCGGCGGCGGCGGCGGCGGCTTCTTCTGCAGCATCCATATGCCACATGGCCTCCAAGTCGTCCTCCTCGTCTACGGGAACTATACCGCTGCCATGGGAGAAGTCGGGCGTCGGCGGCACATCGGGAATGCTGAGCCGCTCCTCGTAGCCCCTGGCCCAGCACACATCACCTTCACCCTCCCGGCCAGGCCCCGTGGGGCAATGGCCATTTCAGGTTCCTCGGCAGCAGCTACAATGGGCGCAACGGACTGCGCGGCCTCCGCGTCTAATCTAGCATTTTCTGCCATGAGTGTAGCTGCAAGACTCTGACAGTAAAGCCTGTCGGCCTCCTCGGCCCTGCGGGGTTTCTGCTCTGCCTCGGCAGCCAATTCCTCGGCTGCCAATTCCTCGGCTGCCTTGGCCTCGGCGAGCTTGTCGGCGGACCTGTTCTGGACCAATGCTTTGACCTTCCAGCCAACATGCTCATACTTGCAGTCGTTCACTGTCTTCAGTGCTTCTCCGCTCAGGAAGCTCGACTCTACTATGAGCTTCGGCGAGTCGATATCCGACGGATACGTAGGTACCGACGGCCCCTTTAACCCGAATGATATTGGGTTGACCGTTGGCCGCGGAGACGTGCTCGTTCCGAACTGGATCGGCGGCACCAGGCTGAGCACAGCGGGGTTTGCTGCAGTGATGGGCGTGGCGAATGGGTTGAAGATCGGCGTTAGGCTAGGCCGAGCGAGGTTTGCTGTAGCTAGCGTAGGCATTGTGTTGAAGTCGAAGTCCGCCATTGGCTGCGACCCAGCCTCCTTCTCCTGCTGGAGCTGATGGGCGCGTGCGCGGTCTGCTTCTTCCAAAGCGAGACGCTGCTCTTCCAAAGCGAGACGCTCCTGCTCTTGCTGTTGTCGAAGCTGGTAAGCTTGACGGTCTGCTTCCTCTTGTAGCTCGCGTTCCTTTTCAAAAGTGAAACGCTCCTGCTCCTGCTGTTGTTGAAGCTGGTAAGCTTGGCGGTCTGCTTCTTCCTGCAGCTCGCGTAGCTGTTCAAAAGCGAGACGCTCCTGCTCTTGCTGTTGCTGAAGCTGGTAGGCTTGGCGGTCTGCTTCTTCCCGCAGCTTACGCTGCTCTTCCAAAGCGAGACGCGGCACGGCATCGCGCGAGCTAAGCAATTCTTGCCAGGGTAACAGACTGGCGAAAGCTCCCAAGCTCGACAGCATCGTTTTATCTAGGTAGCTGTTCACCAGAGCGAGGGAGCTCTGTTTGTTGCCTTCACTTGGTGTCAGCAGCAGCAAGCTGATACCGTCGCCGTCAAATCGATTCACCAATCTCTACCCCAGTAATTGATTAATTGTCGGTGCTCCTGCTCCTGGCCAAGGCCCATGAAGGAAAAAAAACATGTCTCTCCACGCTGGGGCAGCCATGCTGCTTGGTTATTTTGAACTCCGACTGTCTAATCATTTTCTGTCGGGCGGGGCCGTTTCCAACTGCCTTGTTTCAAATCAAGTCAATTACACACGACTCCCGCTTTTTCTTCACTGCTCAGGAACAGACCAATTTGCATTTTTCACTATGCCATCACCCACATTTGAGCATACAACAGCAAAAATGAACAGGTTTGCAGATGCGGAACAGCTCCCTGCTCTCCTCTTTAGATTCTCAATTCCTTTTCATTTGCTGCTCATGCTGGGCTGGCTAACCGTCCTGGCTTGCCTTGATGTGTCGTTAAAGCTGGAGTCACGTGGTTGCTCACTTTGCCCACATTCGATGTGTTAATTACGTAATCAAGGCCACCCACTTTGAACCTCACCTCGAGAATAGAGGGAAGAACATGGAGGCAGCGCCTTGATAGGAAAACAGTCGCTGTCCTCTATTTCTTTATAGATATTGGTTTTCTTATGGATCTTGGAAAAAATATAGGCTCTCATCGCGTAGTTAATTTCCTTCTCTTTTTTGACCTTTTGTTTACCATGCCCCACCCCCCAACGGATCACCCTAGCAGTAGATCACCCTAGCAGTGGATCACCCTTTTACGCCAAAACACTACATCTTTGAACAACAACAGCGCACTCAATTGTGAAGCTATTTCCAAGCCAAATATGGAAAAATGTAGCTAGTTGACTGTTCAATCTATAAATTGTGCTGGCACACGAAGTGCACCGCCAGATCTTGTCAGCCTTGCAGGCAACTCTTCTTCAGCCTCATCTTCATCATCCACCTCTTCAATTTGAGGCTCTGCTTGAGGCTCTGCGGGAACCTCGCCGCCTAGTAGTATAGTCCCTAGGTCCATGAATCGCTTGTTAGGATTGGGAATTTTCCTTCGTTTTCGGGGCCTAATACGTTCCATGTAAGAGAGGGCAGGTACGCCTAATCAAGGTGGTCACAATGAAGGCAAATAGAAGGGTGAGCAATGACTGGTATTGGCGTGAGACTTCAACCTGGCCCTCGCAAAGAAGAGGTCGAGGGCCATTGTTTATATACATACTCAGGGGCTCGGTCCCGAATGTGCTTGTGGGCACAAGGCGCCCGGTATTGGCTTAGCGGCTCATGCCAGCCGGCAGTGGTCTGGCCCGTTGGTGCCAGATGGTCAACGCGTGTAAGGGAGTACGCGTTGGCAGGCGCTTGGTGAGGTGGGTGTCCTTTTCCTTACACCCTGCTTCTTTACAGAGTCTTGAAGCAACGCTAGATACTGTTGAGTAACTCGGAGCAAAGCTGAGTCTTTCCTGCTTGACGATGCACTCAATGAGCCGCTTTTCTTGAGGCTCTGTGAGCCTGCGTTGTGTTTGGAGGACCTCTTCTTTGGGGGGGGGGGGGGGGGGGGGGACTCCGTTGAGTCGTCGGTTCAACGTTGTATAAGGAACTCCATGCTTTTGAGCCGATTGACGAATAGAAAGCTTATTGTCTGTGACGTCTAGGTACGCATTGACCATATTATCGTCACTTTGTTCAGACATTGTGGTAGTACAAGACGCAATTCACACTTAAAGGTAGGGGGGGAAGAATGTCAGGAAGCTAATTTGGAGTTACTTTGCGACGATGTAGCGAAAAAAGTGAGGCTTCTGGGCTGACAAATCCAAACTAAGATTAAACTACATGCAATTACATAACTAGCTCAATTGCCTACTTGCGAATAGCTTCACAATTGACTACGTTATTGTTGTTCAAAAAGGGAGTGTTTTGGTGTAAAAGGGTGATCCACTGCTAGGGTGATCCGTTGGGGGGTGGGGTATGGTATTCTTCATTGCAGAGAAAGTCGTCTCCGACTATTGACAACGTCTACTTGGAGTAGTGAGCAGATGGAGATAATTAATAATTGAGGAGGTCCTTCAACTAGATTTAACTAGATTACAAGTGAGATTTTCTAGCCGCAGCATCTCTCTGGTGGCTCGTCCTAGAAGCATATATCTCCTAGTGTTTTGTTGGATTCATCAGGTACCGGTACTGGAAACAACAGGGCGTAACTGCACACCGAAAACTGGTGGTTCAAGTGATTGATGATTGTTGTGTGTCTATAGAAGAAAGAGGTGGCCGTAAGCCACTTATATAGACTCTGTGACCCTGCGCTCCACCGCCACCTGTGTATAGGAAGGGGCCTCTTTGGTCAGGCCGTAGCGGACCGATCAATCGATCGGTAAGGTGACGATGACGTTACCGTTGGCCGGCGTAGAATCGTTGAAGAAGGTGCTTTGGAATCCTTCTTCTTGTAAGTGAAGGCAGGTACGCCTGATCAAGGTGGTCACAATGAAGGTACTGAAGAGAGCGAGCAATGACTGGTATTGGTAAGAGACTTCAACTTGGTCCTCGCAAAGGAAGGGGCGAGGGCTACTGCTTATATACATGACAGAGTGCAGGGCGGGCTATTGACAAAGGAGTGAGGTCTTGGCCACTCGGTACGCGTGTGAGTTGGTCGTGTGTGTGGGTTGGGGTACTTTCCTTGCACTTCCTCACTGCCTTCAGACTGGCCGTCTTCGTGGGCCTGTATGAACTGTGAGATGCTGTCGTCTACGTCGTTGTCGTCAAAGCTCTGGGTTCCTTCGTACCAGGCTAGGAACTGGGCGTACGTGGCGGTCCGTTGACTGCTTCGTATATGCTTGTTATCTCTGAATCGGTCGTAGGCCTGGCGTCTTTCTTCCGTCGTACGAGTTGTCGACCAACATCCGGGTTTGCCGCATACGTAGCACTTCTTAGTAGGCGGTAGCCCTCAGGCCGGGAAGGTGCGTTTTCCCTGGTCCTTGCGCCCGAAGCGGGCCTCACGGCCGTTGCCCTTGAACGTTTGGTCGGTCCAGTGCTGCCGGGCTTCCTCAGGGGCGGGGGTGTTGGTGTTGAACTGGGTGTTGAACTGTTGGCTTTGAGCCTCAGTTGCAATACTAACTGCCCATCGGAGTTGGTTACGTACACCTTTGTAGGTTGCGGCCGGGTTGTACAGGCAGAGGGTGCATTCAGGGATCCCTCGGCATGCGTTGAGGACTTGCATACGAAGTAGCTCTTCTGACTGGTGGGTAGCCGGCAGGGCGTGCTGAACCCTGCTGAGCCTTTCGAATAGAAGCTCGAGGCATTCGATCCTTGACTTTCCTGGGCTTTCGTCGATGACCCTACGTAGCGTAGTGCTATACCACTCCCGCAGGTGTAGCAGAGTGCGTTCTTCACTCTCGAACTCGGCCTTGGTTCGGGCGATCAGTGTGGCGAAGTCGTAGCCGCGCCCGTAGAGCCAGTCATAGTAGTAGGCCAGGGCCCGGCTCTTGAGCATGGTCGGGAAGGTTACGGCGTACTGGCCCTGGGTAATACCGAGCCGTTGGCAGCAGCTCTGGAAGATGACTAGCTTGGAGGCGAACACATCGTATGTATCGCCGCCGTACTTCATCTCGTCGTTGTAGATCTCGGCTAAGTCAATAAGCTGCCTTGCGTTTGGAGGTTCTTGCAGTACGAGTGGGTACTCGAACTGGGCGGCTCTGGATCGAGGGTGCTGGAGGCCTTGGTGAGGGTCGTCTGCAGGCCTGCGTTGCTGAGGGTACTGGGGGCCCTGGTGAGGGCCGTCTGTAGGACTGTATTGGTCCCTTTCGGTGAGGGGCTCCCGGGTAGCGTGGCTGCGTTTTCGGGTTCCTCCGGGCCGTCGTTAGGCTCCTGGATATCCCAGAGGAAGTCAGGGTCAAGGCTGTTGATTCTGAAGGCCTTGTTCCGGCCTATTTCGTACTTGACGTCCGTAGCGGACCAGACGTGGAATTCCTCGGCGAACTGTACCCATGCGTATCTTCCTGTTAGGGGGTTGCGCTGCCAGCAACGTAGGATGAAGTGCACGTGGCCGCTGATTTGCTTGATCGTTGGCGAAGCGAGCTGATCGAATGCGGTTAGTTCGCCCCAGGTCATAGGGTCTACCTCTCCCTGAAGGTCGGGCGGGACCGGGGGTCCGAGGGCAGTACTGTGGGGTTCTGAGGGGGCCAGTTGGCTGGGCGTGGAGACCGGGGACGTGATGCCGTCGTTCTCAGTGCCCATGGCCATCTTGGGCGTGTACGAATGAGTCGTTGACTGGCCTGGAAAGTCGGAATGAACCGTTGACTGGCCTGGAAAATCGGAATGAACCGTTGACTGGCCTGGAAAGTCGGAATGAGCCGTTGACTGGCCTGGAAGGTTGGAAGTCGAAGGAATGTTGACAAAAGAGGCGGGAAAATGAAGGAGTGTTGGAGAGGGCCGAAGAAGTGAAGCTGGATGAATTAAGGTAGAATGGAATAGCTGAAGGTGGGAAAAGAATGAAGGAAGGTAGAAAGGAATGAATGAAGGCAAAAGAATGAGTATTCAACGCGTAGGTCGTTGTTGTTGGCCTGGGAGGTCGTCTTCCAGGGCTTGTTGCGTGGTGGACGCTTGGTGACGCCAGGGAGACGGTCACGACCACTTCTTCCGTAGATTCAAAGGTCCTCAGGCTGCAGTTGAGATTCGAGGCACGAATGCTCCGTTATACCTCCGTTATACCGTCTCTTCCGTAGGCGGGGATGCCTTCCTTAGCACAGGTTCGAAGGGAGGGCCGGCCTTCGGGTCGACCGTTCTCTACAGCGTGTTACGGCACGGCCGAACTATGACCCGTGGTACCGCAACCATGCACTGGCTGCAGGACCCACACTACAGCCCCACTGTTCCCAGACCTGGCTGCAGGCTCCATCCCGCAGCCCCTCTCTTCCCAATTAGGACTAGCCCAACTGCCCCACCACTAAACCACAAAACCACAGCCTGCAGGAATCGCAGGCTTCTTTTCCTTTTCCTTCCTTAGCTTAGTTATTTTACGAATACAGCCATTCTTTACTTGCAGCATTGACTCTCGTATATGCCTGCCTTCACACGGCGCTGCCTCTTCTGTTTGTTCCTTGCTGATCTGTAGCGTGGACTATTATCCCAACAGTGGTGAATTGACCACTAGTCAGTGTTAGATTCACTAGATACACTAGGTGCCGATACTAGAAGCAACAGGGCGTAACTGCACGCCGAAAACAGGTGGTTCAAGTAATGATTGTTGTGTGTGTCTCTAGATGAAAGAGGTGGCCGTAGGCCAGTTATATAGACTTTGGGACCCTGCGCCTCCACCCCCACCTGTGTGGCTGATGTATGCGCCACGACTGCCACCTCTGAGTGGCTGACTAGCGCGTTATTTCAACGTGTTTACAGTTGCGTACTACTGCTGTGTGTATTCGCTCACAATATTCGTATGAAATGCTTGCCTATCTAAGTGGCACAAGGGCTTCCTAATTAGAAAACAATAAGTATACTTGTAGGTTGAATTTCGCCTGGAATTGACCCACTTTTCATGGAATTGAACCACATCTTCCGGGCCCTGGTTAGCATGCCTCTGTACTTCATTCTTGGCCTCGGAATGCCCTCATTTCGGGCTGATTACAACGCTTCCCTTACCCTCTCTCAATGAGTATAAGGAAGCGTTCTTTTCTGTACTTTTAGACCTATCAGGCCAGACAATTCAATGCGCTGTCAACTTCCATCACGGGCAAGATTGTAAACTCTTGTCTAGATCGAAATATTATAGAGTATGGGACTGGAAGTGTCCTAGATGCTGGGTGACTTGGCTGTCGGTGTTCCCAGCACCCTTGAACTGCCCAGGCCCCGTATCCAACCACCAAATACGCGAGCTGCCCGGCAGAGTACAAACTGAGACGGAGTGAATAGCCATGTGGCAGCTGAGAGTTTCCCGTTTACCTGCATTGCGGTATCTCAATTTCGGTTCTGCATTGTCCAAGGCTGATTCGCTCCGGAGATCTTCCTTTTGCTCGCCACTTTGGTCGTCCGTATCCCCGCTCAGAAATGGGAGAATGGCCGTGGGACCTTCACCAAGGGCAGGGTTCAATGCGAAGAATGCGGCGCGGGACGAGTGTTTGAACGTTCAGAAGGCGCGCATAGGTGTATAACCCCTGTGGCTTGGTAGGGTGGTTTCTTCCTCGATAGACATTCAACACCGAGACGATGCAATCGCCACAACCCTTATACCTTATCTCATCGTGGCCGTGCCTAATGGGACTATTAATGCGGCGGATGGCATATCACGCGCTTTAAGACGTGAAAGACGGTGCAGCGCGCCTGTGTAGGAGGCAAAGCTGGAGTTTGCCGGACACGTGCATTCGGGCTTCTACAGAGCGGTACCTAAGAACGAGGCCAAGATGCCACGGCACCATGTTGCTGCACTTGCGCATTCGGGATCAATGCTCGCCTGGGCTTCAAATACGCCCATATCGCACGTGAGTCCTGGGCCCTTGTTCCTTGTTAATTTGTTCCTGGGACCTGGATCCTGGATACCGATGCTTGTAGTTTGTGTGCACGTCGAAACCAAGCGCGCAAGACGTTGCCCTTATTCGCTACAACGACAGGTGCCCTCAAGTAATCAAGAAAGTTGCCGGGTCTCTCGGGATCCGAAACTAGGGGTCTTCTCGAGCGGAGTCTTTCTGAATCGTGAGTAAAATAGCTAAACATCAGTAGTCCTTCTCGAGGCACCATCCTTGATTCAACCTTGACGTTGGCTTGCTAAGAAATCAAGGGTTAGGGTCTAGCGTCAGCTAGCTAGACGCTATTCCCGATTAGGCTGGCTCCTGTTAAATCTTAGCAGGGGCGGCAGATAAATTTCTCAGACAAAGGAAATTTTCGGATAACCGCGAAACAAGACATGGCCTTTTCCCTACTTACTCTAACCTCTCGATCCAACGCAAAGTCTTCTCCCATCCACCACCTTTCCAAACAATTACTCTCGCTCTACCCCTCAACCATCATCATGTATGTTCTTTCCTTTTGCAGTCGCATCACGTGTTGCGACTCGCCCGACCTATTGCGAGATAGCCGGCTAACTGAAACGCGCGCAGGAATTCTCTCCGTCAAGTCGCTCTGCGCTCCGCCATTGCGGCATCCAGAGCTGTGGCCTTCAAGGCCCCGACAACTTCCTTCGCAGTCCAGTTTGCCCGCCAGGCCAATGTCACAAGATCCGCCTTTGCCATTCCGGCAGTGCGCGCCTTCTCCCAGACTGTTCGCGTCCAGGAGTACGAGAGAAATTATGCTGAGGAGGCCGCTGCTGAGGAGGCTTGGGCCACTGAGCGGCAGAGCCCAGAATTCACTGCGAGGAGGGCCGAGCAGCTAAAGCAGCAGTTGCCGATTCGGGAAGCAGGTGTAGAGGGTGAGCTATTGACCGCGTCTACGGATTTCCGTCCCAAATTTCAGTCATACTAACCAAAACATTCCCAGAGGTCTACGACAACTCGATCTTCATCCGCAACCTCTCCTTCTCCGTAACCGAGCATGATATTTTGGGCGTGTGCCAAAAGTTTGGAAAGATTGTTAACGTCAGATTGGCGACGGACAGAGATGGCAACAGCAAAGGGTAAGTCGGCCAGTTTCCTCTTTTCGCCTCTTGTCTTCAAATAAACAGGGAACACCTACAAACCTGTGTACTCTATCCAAGACGTTCCCATGCTAAAATGGCCTTTCCTGTCGTCAAGTTTCGGGTTTGTCGAATTTGAGACCCAAGAACAGGCCCATGCTTCGCTTCGGGAGCTCGACCAGTCATTCTTCCAAGGCCGCCGCATTGGCGTTCTTCCCCGCGCCAAGGAGCGGGCTGCGAGACCTCCCAGAGGAGCTTCCTCCCCTTCTACTTCCCTCTATGTCGGCAACATCCCCTATGAGACCTCGGACGAGGACTTGAATAGGATGTTCAGAGGCCTCGAGAACGTCAAGGATGTGCGTATTGCCGTCGACCGCACCACGGGATACCCGCGCGGCTTTGCCCATTGCGACTTCGCGACTATTGAAGATGCCGATAAGGCTAAGGCGATCCTTGGCACCACCATGATGGGCAACAGACAGTTGGTAGTCGACTATGCCGAATCTCACAGGGTGACCAACAGACCCCGGGACAACTACTAGAGAATCATCGGGGCTAGATCTTGGCTAGGGAGAAGTAGCGGATGTGGCAGGCCTGCTGAAGAGGCTACCGTATATACCCAGCTAGTTTTAGGGCGAACGCAAGAACCTGGGTGGGGAAGTGTTCGAGTAATATTGACAGCGGGGAACGGGTGATGCGTGGAAGGGTCTGCGTTTAGTGCCTCTAGCACAGGAACGGAACGACCCCGAGGAGCGTGGGGTTTGGTGGTTGTGCCAGCCGCGAGTCCAAAAAGGGTGGCCGGGCTGTAACACCACCCTGTAGGACTAACTTTGTGTGCGGCGCATGCGGCAATATACTATGTACAAATAATTGACAATTCTCTCTACTCTGGACTCGGTGCCTTTGGCTTGCTGTTGCAGAGCTCCCAACTCTGGAGCACAAACCCACGTGATTGATGCATGGACCGCCCCATCCAGTGGAGTGGCACGGGCTGTTTTTACTGGTGGGCATGCAGGTGTGAGGAGCTCTGGATTGGAGCTGCTGCCTCGGCAGTTTTTGGGTGGCGGGGCCCTCCTAAACGCGGCCCAAGGCGGCCGAACGTGTTCGTAGGTGGCTAGGTGCCCGACCCCGACTTATTAGTTGTTAAACCGCCCGCCCAAGCGACATGGAAATCGAACTGCCCTGGCCTTCTTCAACTCCTCACTGCTCTCTCCCCTTCACGCTCTCTTGGGGACGCTTTTACGAGCGGACAATGAATTCTGCGTCTTTGCATTAACAACTGTATTATTGGCGTTCTGTCACTGTGCCCTTTTATCCGTTAGATTTGTCTTCTGCACCTATCCTGTCCGCGTCTGCGTCATTCTTGAACACGTCGGCCCATTTCGTTTTCGGAAGACGGGAGCTTAGGCTTTAAGCTTTCAAGACGTCGCCGCATTTGTCATCTCGACGTCTTGTGCGGGCAGTTATTCTCGACCCTCGACCGTCGCCGAGTATCCGGCCTCCAGTGTCCAGCGACGTGCGCTTTGCGAGGTGCAACATACAGCCTACAACCTGCATCCGGCCACCGGCAACCCGGGTGATCGAAATCTTCCGCTTCGTCATCCGCAGCCGCACCCATGTCGCTCCTAGGCGGTGCCGAGTGCTCGACGGCGGGCAACCCGCTCAGCCAGTTCACAAAACATGTCCAAGACGACAAGAGTCTCCAACATGACCGCCTTGCTGGCCGCGGCTCCAGTGGCTCGCTCGGCGGCTTCAGGAGCACGAGTCGCGGTACGCCCCAGGACGAGATGATGAACGGCTTCTTGCAACAGACCCCCCACCTCCCCGAGATGGCCCTCGAGCACCAGCAAGCTCAGCTCGACCTCAACCACGCCGCCCATCTCCGCGCCCAGTCCGCCTCTCCCACTTGGGCGGCCCCCGGCTTCCGTCACAGCCCCCAGGCCGCCATGGAGGCCGCCTTCAACGCCCCGGCTGGCACCCAGTTCAGTCCCGACGAGTTCGCCAAGTTCCAGCAAATGAACGGTGGCCCCGCCTCCTCCGTCCACACCAACCACCTACCCGGTGCTAGCGGCATTATGGCGCAACCACAGCGGCCAGTGATGGGTATGGGCATGGGCATGGGCATGGGCATAGGAATGGGCATGGGCATGGGTATGGGCTATAGTGGCGGGCTCATGTCGCGGCCCATGTACCAGCCCATGGGAGGCATGTACGGCGTACAGTCACATCTCCAGCAGCCGCAACAACAGCAAGAACCTGAAGGCAAAGGGAAAGGCAAGGTTGTGGAGCTGGATGACAGCAAGTGGGAGGAGCAGTTTTCGCAGATGGAGCTCCACGACAAGCAGCTACAGGGCTCGGACGAGGCAGTGGACGAAGCACGGGCCATGGAGCCGGAGCTGAACAAGATGGACGAGGATATGCTGCACTCGGAGACGGGCTATGGCGATCTCGAGTCCATCTGGCGTGGCATACAAGGCGAGGAGGAGGCCATGAAAAATCTAGACGACGTTGAGGATCACTTTGCCAAGTTTGACAGCAGCAACTGGGGCGGCGAGGGCCTGGGCGACTGGAGCCTGAACGGTCGCTTAGGCGCCGACCCCGTCATCCAAGACTATCTCTTCGAGGAGGAGAACCCATACGAAGCGGCTGCAGAGAACACAAACCCATTCGAGGAGGGAGTGCGCATCATGACCGAGGGGGGCAACCTCTCGCTCGCAGCGCTGGCGTTTGAGGCAGCCGTGCAGCGGAATCCAGACCACGTGGATGCTTGGGTGTATTTAGGCGGCGCGCAGGCGCAGAACGAGAAGGAGGAGGCGGCGATCCGGGCACTTGAGCACGCAATGAAGCTGGACCCCAATAACCTGGCAGCCCTGATGGGGCTTGCCGTGTCCTACACCAACGAAGGCTACGACAGCACTGCCTTCCGCACGCTGGAGCGGTGGCTTTCAGTCAAGTACCCGCAGATCATCGCCCCGCAGGACCTGTCGTCGGCGGCCGACATGGGATTCACAGACCGTGAGCAGCTGCACAAGCGCGTCACCAACCTGTTCCTAGACGCAGCGCGCCTAGCCCCGGACGGCGCCCACATGGACCCTGACGTGCAGGTTGGGCTGGGCGTGCTCTTTTACGGCGCCGAGGAGTACGACAAGGCTGTCGACTGCTTCCAGGCGGCGTTGCAAAGCTCGGAGCTCGGTACTAGTAATCAGAGGTCCCAGATCCACCTGCTGTGGAACAGGCTCGGTGCCACCCTCGCCAACAGCGGCCGCTCCGAGGAGGCCATTGCCGCGTATGAGAAGGCACTCTCCATCCACCCCAACTTTGTGCGCGCCCGCTACAACCTCGGGGTGTCATGCATTAATATTGGATGCCACGCCGAAGCCGCCGGCCACCTGCTTGCCGCTCTCGACATGCATAAGAGCGTCGAGAAGAGCGGGCGCGACAAGGCTCGCGAGCTGTTGATGAGCGGCGGATCGGGCCCATCCGGGGCTGGGGGCAGCGGCGGTAGCAGTAGCCATGACACCGCGCTCAATGACTCGCGCATCGAGGCCATGACGATGCAGAACCGCAGCACCACGCTCTACGACACGCTGCGCCGCGTCTTCACCCAGATGAACCGCCGCGATCTCGCCGAGAAGGTGGTTGTCGGCGTTGATCCAGATATCTTTCGCGGCGAGTTTGACTTTTGACGCGGCCGCTGATGCTGTAGGCTCTGCTCGCCCCTTTCTAGAGCCGCAGCTCTGGTACTTGAACGGGAGCTATAGGCTGTGGCAGAGAAAACCCGTCTGGTAGACGCGGCCTGACCAGGCCGCCAGGTGACCTAGTGTCCAAGTGTTCAAGCGTCCAAATGCAAGCCCGGCTTGGGCTCGAGACGGACTGGGCTATGCCCAGACAATGCTGATAAGCATCTAAATAGGGGCAACCTCCCTTTTTAAAACATGATGAAGGAGGGATATAGAATGAGCGAGGGAAAAAAGAAAGAAAAAACCGAAGGAGCGTGTTCCCTTCCTCTCCCCATGCTTTTTACAGCTATTATTGTCGTTAAATATCGCACGCATGCATGAATCGGTCATAAAAGATACTGGCCTTTCAGCCCGCCCCACCTTGCGTCGGAGGGCTTTAGGAGTCGCGGATGGACGGCTGTTAGCGGTTAGTGGTTGGTGGTTGGTGGTTAGTAGTTGGTGGTTGGATTGATAACCTGGCATGACATTGAACAAAGCGGGAAGCTGGCGGTATCATATTTGTTTATTACTCTTCTCTCTCTTTTCTTTTTTCAGTTTTCACGCACCATATCCAAGTAGAGAGAAGAAAAAGAGACCACGCGAAAAGAACGCCTTCTTTTTGTCTATTTTTATTTCGAATCTCTATCGCATAATATTAGAAGGGGCTTCTTCACCTCTTTTCTTTCACGACTTGTATAGAACCTCAATATCTGAATCCGTGGCTACGGTGTTTGACAGAACATGCAAGGTAGGAAGGTAGGTATTTACACCTTGCTGTATGATCAGGATGGGCAACTCGGTGTCTACTCATTCATTTGTTCCTTATACTTGACCTGGCGAGTTTGAATAGATGGTTTGAAGCATTCGTCACGTGCTCCATCTCTTGCCTCCCTGCTCTCCTCACGAGAGATACAACGTCCTTCAGCCAACCCTTGTCCCTCTATCACTGGAATTACCCTTATTGCTGAGGCAAGCATGTTAGGGACCGTCACGCCTTGTCAGAAACCCCTTGTATGTACTGCTCGCTGGGCTCGCTCTGCTCGTATGTATGGGCTTCCGCTTCTTCCTATTTTATTTATCAAACAACGCTCTTTCGACCGCTCTACCAACCCCCTTAAGGGGGCCTTATTTTCCTGTGACACCTGCCCTAGCCAAGCTCCGCAGGATGGCTAATCAAACCGAATTATGGGGTATCATGGATCCTGAACACCAAGACAACGCCCCCCGCCCACCTGCCCGGATATTACCAGCGCCCATAGACAAAATAAGCATCATTGCCGCGCCCTTCTTCTGATCTCCAGAACATCAAGGCCGAGATGGGTGTCGTCTGCATCATCTCTCTCCAGTCCTCCCAGCCCAAATCTCGTGCATAAAACTACCCCTATAGTCGCCACTCATGCGTCGTGACCACCGAAACTTAGCCTCGTTTTCTCATTTGACAGTCACGAATCCGAGGCCAGACCGGGCAATGCGCACCGCCTTGCGCAGCGCCTTGTTTTCTGTCTCGGTCCACTGCACGCTGAGCTCATCCCACTTGGAGCCAGGGGTGTTGAACTCCTTCTTGAATTGGGTCTGCATCGCCTGCAAACGGTTCATTTCCCGCGGATCTCCGCTACCGCTGAGAACAATGAGGGCCGTGCAGGGCGGCAGGGCGGCGTAGATGCGCTCGAGACGCTGGGAGATGGTGGCCAGGCAAGTTTCCAGGGCTGATGGGGTGGTCAAATCTGGGCTATCACTGTCCTCGGCTAGTTGAGAAGACAGAAAATCAGGTGGCCCAGTGGCAATGTCGTCGGGGTTTTTGTGAGTCCACCAGCCCTGAACAGCCTCGAGCTCGCGCATGCGCGCCCAAACAAAGTCAACACCGCCGCCGGGAACCTCGAGGCCATCTAGATCGCCCTGAACGGCACGGATAATACCAGCCTCAATATCCGCGTCCGAATTGCAGGTTATGGCGACCGTGGCGGCGTTGCAAGCGTTGCGGGTAAGGTCACCCCAGTCTACGGCAGCGCTGGTCTTGCCAGTGGAGAGACCGCCTGTAGCTGCTGGTCCAGCAGTGGCTCGATAAACGGTTCCGGCGCGTGCTAGGCGCTTGAAAATGTTCTCGCCCTGGTTTTCGCCTGAACCCCAGGCCTTGCCCTTCTCGCACTTCTTCTTCACGAGATCGAGACACGTTTCGGCATCCTCGATGCTGTCGTGTCCGGACAAGGTTCCGGAGCCTTTCTGAATCTCACGGGCGAGAAATTTCTGCGCGAGATACTTGAGGGACGACTTGAGGGGTGGGCCGCGGGGATGTGGGAAGATGATTGAAGTGTCGACGATAAAAGGGTGGGCTAGCTTCATGGCCTTGAGATCCGAGTTAAGCGAGTGGCCGACGAGAATGGCGTGGGGGTGAAGAATGTCCAGCAGACGCGCTTGTATATCCTTCAGGGTTGTGGTGACTGGGTCTAGCATCTCCTTGGTGATGCCAGAAAACCGCGTCACATAGTCGGTAATGGGCTTGTCAGGCTTGACAAGCTCATCCATAACGACCTCGCCGCCCCACGACACCAAACTGATCCTTGTCAGAGAAAACTCTTTCTCTCCCGTCATGCACATCTCGCAGTCGACAGCCAGGATTTCTCGGCCTGCGGTGATGCTGCCTTGCTGAATGTCAGCCTCGAGAACATCTCCGTCCTCGAGGTTCTCGACTATAGTGCTGACCCACCCTGGGGGGTTCTTATATTTTTCTCGGCGTTCTCCTTTTGGAAGCAGGGCAGGGTGCGTGGGAAACCCATTCTCCATTAGCTCATCCGGGGTTGCCAAGAACTCCGTGATTCTTGTTCTCTCGTCCTTCCACCCGCTGGGGTCCGTCACGGCCTTCAATCCCCTCTTCTCCTCCTTTGATTTGGTGGAGGGAGCAGTGAGCATGGTCTGGACTGGAGAATGCAGTCTGAAGTACTTGTCATCGCCCGGGGCCCTGACGGGCCAAAGATGTGTGAAAATATCAGCGAACGGCTGTAGCGGCTGGGGCAGCGCGTCCTTCTTGAGGAGACGAGGATAGTAGTCATCTGGAGATGTATCGGGCCGGTCGGCAGCTTGATCGGGAGCAAGTTTGCTGTAGGCAGCAAAATCAACGTCTGGCTTGAACATGGCCTCTTCCAGGCCAGGGATCATGATGGTGACGATCTTCCTGAACTCGGGGCGGTGCGTGACAGAGACCCATCGTGGGGAAGGGCCGTCGGCAAAGATGTAGAGAACCAGATCGCGGAGAGACGACACATTGATCTTGGACTGCAGCTGGGCTTGTTCTGAGAAGGTGATTCTGGGGTAGCGGCCCGAGTTTTCGCCGGGCGTCTTCTTTTGCTTCTTCTTCACGGGCCGCCCGTTCTGGATTGTCTGCCAGCCGTCGTTATCCTTATCCTTGTCGTCATCCTTATCCTTATTGTCATCGGCATCGTGTGTGCTAGACCGCTTGAGACTGCCCGACGATTCGCTAAGCGCTCGAGGGGATGCGGTCGACTGTGCTGTGGAAGTGGAGCTTGTAGCAGTGACTGTCGTGGCGGCAAGGTCTTGGCCTTCGGTCGTCGTCATTTTGGTGAGGACGGCCACTACTTGCGAAACCTCGCCCTGGTTTTGCCTGTTCTTTTTGTTCGTCCCCATTGCGAATGGGTGCGGTGCGCAGGGGGTTGGAGAGGGTTGGTTGTAAGGCTCGTGGAGCAGAGGAATCCCCTTCGATTGAATGTTTCAAGAAAAATGAGGCTCGTCGACCAAAGGTTGCCGTAGAAGGAATCTCTCAGCGCTCAACCCCACTAGCCAGCTGCAATACAACTTTGCGCGCTAACTCGGTTAGGGGCTTTTGTGGGCTGGTGGTGGATTGTGGGGCAATCTTTGGGGGAAACCTCGCTACTGTGGGGGGCCGGCATGCAATGGCCCCTGTTCCTTGCCGTTACCGTGGGTCTCCCACCCAGGCGGCGCGTCTGTCTGCGGCTCGCGCCTTGCGATCCAAGGAACCTGAAGTTGTCCGGGCTTGAAGATGGCGAGAACAATTTGATATTTGCACAAGATCTTGCACGCTAGATCAGCCGCCTCCTCGATCAATGATTCCAGAATATCCACACCGAGTGTTCAAAATCTTGGTTGACGCGGGGTGAGTTTGATTGGTGTTTGCTTTCATTACCTACTATCAACCTGGAAAGTCGGGCAACTACGGAATACCAAGAACTTCTCCCGGCACAACAGACGTACCGTCGTCGACCTCACAGCCGCCTTGAGCCAGCCTTCAGCCAGCCCCCGTCATGGAGACGGTCCTCTGCAGCTGTAAGAAATGCGATGCTGCACTGGGTGACTTTGTCAACCTGTGGACACAGGTTGGCAAGAGCTACTTCAGTCCCATCGTCGAGCCTGATTATGATATTGCCGTCCAAAGCGATGGCGCCGTCAGGGAAGGCGAGAGAGGCACCCTAGTCGAGGAATGGTAACGTCGCTTCGCCACATTTTCTTCCCCTTATGCGCATCCATTTGTGCGTGTCTATGTGTTTTGTTCTCATGCCGTGTTCCAGCCAACTGCAAGACATTGCCTGCGCCCACTGCGCTACTATCCTAGGTCTGAGATGCGTAGCCACGCCTGTCAACCACGCACTGGACAAGTATGCCTCTTATTTTGGGCCCTCCTCTTTTCTTCTAGGCTCTCGGTTTTCCTTATCCTGATACCTCTCTAGGAACCAGATTCTACTGAGGCAGGCCTCGGTGGAATTACTCACCCACAAGGACGAGCCAGTCGACTTCATCGTCAAGCGTGTTCTTGACGTCAAAGAGCCGTCAAGAGTGAGCAGCGGAGGCTTTGCTAAGACGCCTCATTCAGCAGCATTCGGCTCCTCGTCCTTCCCCGGCGTTGTGGATATCTTCCAGCTTCGGGCCGAGGTAGAAGGTCAGCGAGAGGACATCAACCGCATCGACAGCAATGGTTTTAAGATTGTCTCCGTGCTCGAAAAGCGCGTGGTGGGCGTCGAAACCGAAGTGGGCAAGTTGAAGGACACTCTGGGCGGCCTCCGCCGCGACATTGGCGTATCTCGGGAGGACCTGACGTCGCTGAAGAGTGACCTCATCGAGGTGAAACGAGCCGTGCAAGATCAGGCTCCACTTGCCGGACTGGAGAAGCGGCTCGGATCTATGACTAGAACAGTCGGGGAAGCGCGCCGGGAAATAAGCACGTTGGCGATCAAATTCCGGGAAGAGGTTTCCGAGTTGAGATCGGAGATCCTCCGAACTAGGCAGGACATGGAAGATTTGAAGTCCGAGGTCAGGGCCAGCGTCATAGCTCCGGACCATGCCGAAGACACGGCGGCGCTACGTGCTGAGATGTCGCAGCTGAGACGGCAGCTTGACGACGCGCGATTTAAAGCGGCAGAACGAGTTGAAACGCCTTTCCCGTCTAGGGAGTTGGATATTTTAACAAGTAATATTGCCAAGATTAGCAACCGGGCGAGCCAGGTTGAGACATTGCAGATGGAGTTTGAAATTCTTAAAGGCAGGGTTGAGAGGGCAGAAGCCAGCAGGAAGACCCCTGACGACCGATGGCCAACCCAAGCAACAGACCAAGAAGACAGGGAATCATACTACGGTGCGCTCCCGCCCCAAAGGAAGAGAGCCTCGGCCGGGATGGGCCCAGCTGTGGATGACAATTCGACCACCAAGCGGCCAGCCTACCCGCCTGGCTTCTCGGATCCCCCAATACAAGCATACGATGCCTCATCTGACTGGCCTCCCACATCATCAAAGCCCGCTGGCCGCGAAGTACAAGGAGAGAACGACAACGTGCCGGGGAATCTCAAGTTGACAAAGTCGGGGAGGATCGACAGAAGAAGCCAGCGAGCCCGCAGGTCTCTACCAAGTATACCCAGTGAGGATAAATCAGTCCGCGGCAGGAAACGCGGATAACTTCAGCCTTGCTTGGCCTTCTGGTCTGCCGCTTTTTACTAGTTCTAGGCCTAGGTCTACCTCCGAACTAGACTCTTGCCGTTACCCAGTTCGGCGTCGACTATCTCAATGGCCAGGGCTGCGAGCTCATTGACTGGCTTCAACACGACACTGTGGAAGAAAGCGCCGCCCTCGGGATCTTGGGGATATTTTGCCCATGCCCGAAGTAAAGCGGACTGATTCTGTCGGCCCTCTAAGCTCTCGATGTCATCCAACATGGTCGTTGCCTCGGAGAGAACCTCCCAGTCGTCCGACTCTCCCAGCGGGGCATAGTGCACAACAAGACGGAGCATTGCTTCACACATCGAGACCTGATCGCTCTTGGACAAAATTTCGATCAGACCCTTGTGGGAGCAGGCGTGTGCGAGTTCGCCACTCGCAGTTATTTGTGCTGTCCCGCTCAAGAGTTTTGCTATCATCATGACACCCTTGATTCGCCACGGCATGAAGGGTGCCACAAGCTTGTAGGGTTCGCATTCCGTAGCGAGGAAACACGACAGCGCAAGCGCCTTGGGGTGTCCGTCCTGGTAATAGTTGACCAGTTGGAGCAGGGTAGATGGCAGCGGCTCTACCGCCCACATTTTGGCGTCGGCAAGGGGCTTACACAGCTTCCAGCGAGCCTGGGCAAGTTGGATAGGGTCTTGGGATTCTGGTATTGCGGCTGCTTTCCAGGCCTTGTAGATAGTGTCAATCTCGGCCGACGACATACCGGGCCCCTCGATGGGTGGGAGGCGAAGTTTCTGCAGGTCTGGTTGCAAACTAAAGGTGTTAAGGGGGATGGCAGGTGATTCTGCGCAGATTTGATAGACATTTAGCTCATCTTTGCACCGAGAGCACTGGCATTGGAAATGGTAGAGTCTGAGTTCTTCCTGGCGGGTTGCCCTAGGAAGAGTGTAGTCTTGTGTAAAATGGCAGTCAGTAGGACTGCTAGTCTGCCACAGCCAACACCGAGCAGAGTAGTTGAGGAGTCGGAACATACCGATGTAGGATATCTCAATCTCATCCCCCGGCTCTATACCTTGCTGGGTTCTCAAAGTCGCGGTCCTTCCGTTGAAGCCAATGAAAGCATTTGGCACGCAGGAGTGGTTGACCATGGCGAGTGCAGGATCTAGGAAGACACCTGCCCTTCCCGTGTCCGCATCCAGCCAGTTGAAGGCATTGGTTTGTATCTTTTGTCACGGCCAAGGTTGGCCAGAAATTAGTTCCTTGCTAAATCCGTTGTGCACTGGTCTCCCTCTCACCTTGCATATCACCCGCTCAGCTCTCTCAAGCATCTCCTCCGACTCCAATATTCCTCCGTAGACAACGGCAGCCATGGACTGCAGCTTCAGGTCGTTCCACACCTCGGCGTCCCTCTTGAACGCATCGACGTTGCCTTCCAGCGAGCCGCCGTCGCCAAACGAGGCCGTCGCGGCCGCGTTGCCGGCCTTGAGGAGCAGCATGACCTGCATCACGGCTCGCACGGGCGTTGGCAGCCAGTCCTTGCCGGTCCTGCTCGCCATGCGCGTGAACACCTTGCACTCGTGCTTGTGCACCGCGGCCCAGCTCGCCCGCTGGCACGCGACACTGCAGTACACGACGAATTTGCACCCGGTGCACGCCCGGAGCTGCGTCACAGCTGGGTCGCCCGCCACCCGCAAGCAGTGGTTGCAGGTCGTGCGCATCCCGCGCTCGACGGGCAGCGCCAGCAGCGGGTTGCGGAACGTGCCGATCACCTCTCCGGGACCGAACTGGCGCGTCGCGAGCAGCCGCCGCCCACGCCGCACGCCGGCACTGCCATCGACGCGCGTGCCCGGAGGAGGCGGGAAGGGACTTGTGGCCATCAGCTTTTTTCTGCTCGTAGCCTTCTTGCCTTCTTTATCAATACTTCCTCAAAAAGGAGAGAAGAAATGAAATGAAATAGGAAAAAAAAGCACAGGAATATCCTCAAAATATGAGCCAATTCAGGCTTACTAGCTGCAAAGTGCAAAGCCGTCGTTTACCCGTCCGATGGATGCTCTGTGATCTGTATCATGAATGCATTCAGGTCTCTGGAGTTGAGTGGACGCAGGTCAGTCACCAAGCATACATAAAACAACCCCACACTACGGCGTACTGCGCGATAGTGGGGCAACGGCAGCTAGGCAGCCTCATCAACCCTCGATTACCTCAATCAGCGCCTGATCTGAGCCCCAGCTTCTTCACTGTGCTCCTTACGAGAAAACAACCCCAATAAAGCATACCCAACTCTGATGCGATAGACAAGAAAGCGGATTGTAAGAGACAGACACAGACCAGCCTGACGATGGCGGGCCAACAAGAAAGTAAGCCCACCCCCCAGGTTTGGTCTCTCGCGGGTCCCATCTCAAAACCCATCATGATAGCTACACACACATATTCACATTCACATTCACATGCACATTCGCACATGGCCCCATGACTAACCACAGCTGACAAACCCCCAGTCAACCTCGACACGCTGTCGACGCAGCAGCTCACAGCCGTCAAGAAGCAGTTCGACGAGGAGGTCGAGCACCTGTCGAACTCGTACGGGCAGCTGGCGGCGGCGCAGAGCAAGTTTGCCGAGTGCCTGCGGGTGGTGAAGGCGCAGTCGCCGTCGCCAGCAGCAGGAGCAGGAGCAGGAGCAGGAGCAGAAGCAGGAGCAGGCAAGAAGGAGGTGCTGGTGCCGCTGACCAACTCGCTGTACGTCAAGGGCCTGCTGTCGGAGCCGGACAAGGTGATTGTCGACGTGGGGACGGGCTTTTACGTTGAAAAGGTGCGTTCGTTGAGTGGCATCTGACTTGACTCCTCCCATGTCTCTCTACCCTCCACTTCTCTCCCTCTCACATTGGTGGCTCAGTTTAAACAACTCTCATCTGACCATAATATACACACACATATATGTATATCGCATAATCAACAAGAGAGAAGAGAAGCTGACCACCCACCCCCCGGATAGAGCACAAAAAGCGCCGCCGAGTTCTACGAGAGCAAGGTCAAAGACTTGGCCGCCAACATGCAAGATCTCGAGGCCATTGTTCAGAACAAGTCCAACAACCTGCGCGTCGTGGAAGAAGGTAAGCGACTACCACTTAGCCTACCACCGTCGACCCCCTACCGCAGCTGCTGCGCCATGGCGTAACCACATCCGTGTATACAATTCATGCTAACATACACCACTAGTGTTGCGGCAAAAGGTCCTGGCAGGAGGCGCTGCGCCGGGTCAGGCATCTGCATGATGTAGAACACGAGTAAGTCTACGTCATAGATGGTGTATATCCATTTAGGACGCCATATACAAACGTAGACATAGACCCCCCCTCCCAAAAAAAAAAAAAAAAAGACAATTAAACAAAGACGCCTGCATTGCACATTAAGAGTCCTAGTTCTAGTGATGTAGGTTGCTACAGTTCCCTATATAAGATATTCTAAGAAACTGATCCGAACCGTTATCTCCCTGGATGTTACTCCTTGATGCCATCCCTTGATGTCACTAACCCTCCTAAGCCTACCTAGACACACACCACTCCCGTCCTCCTAGAAAATCCAAAGGCCCGTTCTTCATATGCCGCCTATATCGATTCCGGCCTACACGGTACGAATCCAGTACTAGCAAACAATCCCAGCCCAACTCAAACCTAGCCCAGGCGCTCAAGAGTAATATATCAAGTTCTGGGAGGCGAAACGAGACCCAACCCACAACAAGAAGAAAACAAACCCCACCTGTTTGTAATGAATCAAAGCCATTACAACTCCATCTAGCGCAATCTTGCTACAAGATTATCAAGGTGCAAGTCCAGGTTTTACCATGGAAACATGGTCAAAGACCAATTCGGGATCGTGACGACAATATCGGGATTAGTGCGATGAGGCCACCTCGTCAGCTGCCTCATCAAGCATATTCCCGACAAACCGGACCCGGTTCAGGAAGTCATCGTATGGGTCGGTATCAGGGTTACGGTGACGGGTCGGTCCGTCAACGTGCAAGAACTGCTTGCCAAAGTCGTTCCACTTTCGCGGCGCAGTCGAGAGATCCTCCAGGTCCATATCGTCGTCCCAATCGGAGCCGTACAGAGTAACACCGGTGCTCGTCGTAGGCGGAAGCTTAGTATCACTTCCCCATTTGTGGTAGATGCTAATTTCGATACAATACTCCGAGTTGAGCATATAACTCCATGTTGTTCTACCAAGAACACCCTCCACGCCGAAGGCATTCATGAAGTGGGCGAGAACGATAATCGCGGGGAATCCACCAGGTAGGACGTTATTAGTGAATTCGAAATTGTTCCTGACGTCGGTTGATCTGAAAGGTATGGCCGCCTTGAAATCCTGTCTATCGATCTGATTGTGGATTTCGAGGATCCAGTCATAATGACTACTCTAGCATTAGTAGTGGATTAGCTTCAAGGGAATATTTCCTAGAACATACCCCTCGGGACACGAGTTGAGGATCTCAATAGCACGAGCCCGCTTCTCACGGCGAAAGGCCGCAGGAGGGCCAAAGGCATAGGTGACCTGCCCAGCCCAGCCCTTGGTCTGGATCGTGTCGATGCCCAGCTCCACGTGGAGGTTCTTTGTAATGATAACCAGAGAGTGCACTGGCTTGATGTCGTCAACGGAGTCGGAGCGCACCGTCCGCGGCACGCTACCACAAATGCTGGCAACCCGGGAGCGGAGGGCTTCCGCAATCTCAGCCTGGCCAATGCTCGAGGATTGTTAGATGCACTAGAAGTGTTAATAGAGACCTATGGACGTACTGTTTATCTATGCTTGAAGTTCCTCTCGGGCCCGCACGACGCACAATACTCTCAAGTTCGCTGAAAGTATACTCCGTCTGGCCTTTCTTCCACTCCTTCAGCCGGAACGTCCCAAAGTGCACTCTCATGCGCATCTTATTCGGGACGTGTTTCAAGTTCTGAACTGTAAAAGCAAGTGCCTTCTTCAGTTCCTCTTTATACTCTTCCTCTTGGGTCTTGTCCACAGGATCGGCGTCGCTTGACTTGGGCCCTCCGGCATTTTTCGCTGTGGGTCGAGAGCCTTTTTTGCCCTCTACAATCGAAAGGACAATTTTCATGTTCTCCTTGCAGCTTCTTGGCGGTCTGACCAGAGCAAATGGATGCCAGACACTCTTCTCGCCCGATTTGCACACCAACATGTTTCGAAGGGCATTGAGCGCGCCATGCGCTCCCGTCTTGTTGGGCGCAAATACGGTCATGATTGCGTCGGACTCATCAAAGTCCATCTCAATGTGGACCTTGAATTTCTGGGCAATTTGGTTGATTATGGTTTGCAGGTCAAGTTCACTTGGGTCAACATCTTTGTAGCCGTGAGCGGGCAGCGTCAAAGTGATCTCCTTCAACGCTGGTTAGCCAAGGCTGGCAATGTTGAAATAATCCGACAAAAGAACTTACCAACTTTATTTTGTAGTTCTGAACCATGGTGAGATTGTTTGACTGAGTGGAGAAGCTTCGTAGCGTAGAACCGCCGCCACTGGCCATCTTGGTAGGTGTGTTTACGTCTAGAACAGTGTCTTAGCGAGCAGGTGGATGGAAGCGATGCCTAGGTTGCGAATCTCGCGTTAGGACAGGGTAAAATGAGACGAAGAACTTAAACCTAAAAATGGCAGGAGGTGGAGGGGTGATCTAATTCAGACGAGGAAGGCGGGGAGAAGTATAGGGTTACGAGTGCGGAACGGACACGCCCGCTTGCCCGAGGCAAAAGACAGCACGATATGTCGCGCGAGGGAAGGAGTGGTCGGGAGCCAGTCGGCACCAGTGGTGACAAGTAGCGGAAGGCACCTGGCAGCATCATAGGGGCGGGAGTCACGGTGCGGGACGTACCTTGTCAATCAACGCCAAACCAGCTCGTTGAAGGGATGATGAGAAGTAGGACAAGGTATGAATTGAAGGGAACCGCAGAAGCTTGTGTTGAGTTGAAATTTCAGTGTTGCTCTCCTTGGTGTTGTTCCCGGGGGAATTGTCTTTGATGCGCGGTTGACAGGTTTTGGTTAGGGCTGGAGCTGGGCGGGATTACTTCAAAGAGTCCAAGTAAGGCAGGTACGTGCGTAGGAACCTAGAAAGTAATACCGTACAGTAACGTGCGTAGTATGATTGCTGAGGAGACTAGAAAGACAGCAAAAAAGGCAGTTGGTTCATCGTAAAGACTTGGGATGAAAGAATTGGCCTACAGTCCCCCCCTAGCACAAGCAGGTTCCCTTGTAATCTCACTTGACCCAACCGTACGCGATAGAGGTAGAGAAAAAAAGCTAGGCGTGAGACTGAGTCTGCTTTGAAGAAAGCATGAGCTCGGTCATAAACGTACCTTCCGTATATCTGTAGTCTTTTTGGGGGGGAAAGGGGCCTCAATGAACAAACTGTCTGTCGACAAGAGGCACCGAATCTAAAACACCGTGGGAGCAATAATTGCAGGAAATACCAATCAATATAATAGCTTTAATATAATGACTTTAGTGGTGTCTAGATTGCTTTAATATAACGGTTAGATACCAACACCGCCCTGAGGATCGTTTCGCGTCGGCTTCATCATTGTCCTGTCTCTTCCTCACTAGATACAAAAAAATATTAATAGAGAAAATTGAAGATTAATTGCTTCTTTGCCCTTGCTGGCTCACAGGGGCTGCTAAAGCATGTAAGCTGTCAGCCAGTAAGAAAGGTGCGTCTGAGAGTAAGAAGGGGTTGTTGGGTCTTACGGATACAATGATACTGCGCCATATTACGGATATATACATAACGTCATGGGAATGTTGCATGCATGCATGCATGCGTGCAGGGGCCTTAATTGATTCGCGACGCGCTGGAGAGGTACGCGACGCGCCTGAGCGCGGACTGAACTCCTTTTTTGCTTGGCGACCATCGAAAGCCGCCAGACCGGCCAAATACCTGGACTCGGGAGTCTATTTGCACGTCATTGTTCCGAAGACCCTGACGACAATTCTGTCCACCCTCCCCAATTATAGATGATCACATACACCGCAACCGCCCAAACCCCCTTTTCATATTGTTTTTAGACCTTTGTTCTGGCGATTCGCGACCGCAAAAACAAAACAAAAAAACATGGTTAGCCCCGGTGGCCGCCACATACAGCGGCGGCAGCCTAAACACCTTCCGGGCGTGAGCCGGGAAGATTCCGACGACGAACTTGGGACCGACGATCACCCGTGGGAATGGATCTACGAGCCCCGAGAGCAAGAGGCATCGGCCTCAGCAGAGCCCGACCCGCAGTCCGTCGAGGGAGAGACGCCCGCAAGCTCCCGGAAGCGCAAGAGAGCACTCACCCAGCGACACAAGGACTTGCGGCCGAAAATCATCGGCGCTCGCATGGGCGACTTTGAGTGCCAATTGGGCGACACGGTTCTACTCAAGGCCGAAGGCTCTAACGAAGCCTGGGTTGGCATCATCTACGAGTTCCTCCACGACGAAATCGAAAACGAGAAGACGGCCAACTTTATGTGGTTCTCGAGCGAGAAGGAGGTTCCCAACAGAGACAAGAAGAGGAAGGATTTTCTTGAGGCTAGTCTTGCCCGCTTCTTTTTTTGTAAAACGTGTCTGACAAGTCACTTTCCTCTGTTTAGAACGAGCTCTACATGACCACCAACTTCGACGTCAACCCCCTCGCCGCCATCAACGGCAAGGCCCATGTCATGTCGCCCGCCGTATTCTCCCAGAAATACCCCACCGGGAAATTGCCGCGCAAGTCTAAGGAATACGGCAAGGTCTTCATCTGTCGTCGCGGATGCAACTCAAAGACGTGCACGTACACTGACGAGTTCGTGTGGGAGGACATCTATCGTGGCGAAGACGATATTGAGGCAGTCAGGGATCTGGTAGACAATAACACCAAGGCAACACGCAGCCGTAGGCGGCAGCCGGCCAAGGACGAGTCACCCGAACGAGACTTTGCCCTCGGAACGGTCGATAAGGACGACGATGACGACGCGGAATTTGGGTCTATCATGCGGACGCCTAAGAAGCGCCGCACCCGCGACGTGGCAGTTACGCCTACTAGCGGGAGACGCGGAGTCAAGGGCGGTAGCAAGCCCGCGACGCCGTCGTCGCAACGGCGCATTCTGGTCAAGAAGCACCTCGAGTTTACGCCGCTGGCCACGCGGTTCCTGTCGCCACAGCATGTGCAGTCGTCGCCTTACCAGCTGGCGCGCACGCAGCTGCATGTAGCTTCGGTGCCCACCAGCCTGCCATGTCGTGAGGCCGAGTTCAGCCTGGTTTATTCGCATCTCGAGGCGGCCATCACGGACGGCACGGGCACGTGCATTTACATCTCCGGCACGCCGGGGACGGGCAAGACGGCGACCGTGCGCGAGGTGGTGTCTCACCTGGACGGGGCGGTGCGGGCAGACGAGCTCGACGACTTCATATTTGTGGAGATCAACGGCATGAAGATCACGGACCCGCACCAGGCCTACTCACTGCTGTGGGAGGCGCTCAAGGGCCAGCGTGTCAGCCCGGCGCAGGCGCTCGACCTGCTGGAGCGCGAGTTCAGCCATCCGTCGCCGCGGCGCGTGCCTTGCGTCGTGCTCATGGACGAACTCGACCAGCTCGTCACCAAGAACCAGGGCGTCATGTACAACTTTTTCAACTGGCCCGGCCTACGCCACAGCCGCCTGATTGTCCTGGCTGTCGCCAATACCATGGACCTGCCCGAGCGCACTCTCAGCAACAAGATCAGCAGCCGGCTGGGCCTGACCCGCATCACATTTCCGGGCTACAACCACGAGCAGCTGATGCGCATCGTGCAGAGCCGCCTTGAGGGCGTGCCCGGCAACATTGTCGACGCCGACGCCGTGCAGTTCGCCGCCCGCAAGGTCGCGGCCGTGAGCGGCGACGCCCGCCGCGCCCTCGACATTTGCCGCCGCGCCGTCGAGCTGGCCGAGGCCGACGCCGCCAAGTATGCTGACCAGCCACCCGCAACGCCCAGCAAGCGCGCAACGGCAGGAGGATCCCCGCTGAAAAAGGGGTCGTCCCGGCAACAGCAACAACAACAGGACGAGGAGGAGGCGGCCAAGACGGGCAAGAAAACAAAGAAAAAGGACTCGTCCTCGGCCGGCCGCGTCACCATCGAGACGGTGCGCAGGGCCATAAACGAGGCCACCAGCAACCCGCTCCAGCTGTACCTGCGCGCACTGCCGTTCGCCTCGCGGCTGCTGCTGGCGGCGCTGCTCCTGCGCACGCAGCGTACGGGCCTGGCCGAGAGCTCGTTCGGCGACGTGCTCGAGGAGCTGCAGCGCGTCGTACGCATGCTAGCGAGCAGGGACGTGAGCCGCCCGCTGACACTGCTGCTGCGCCCCTCCTCGGGCCCGCACTCCGGCGCTGCGGGGACGGGGGCGGATCTGCTGACGGCGACGACGAAGCAGAGCGACTCGGTCGCCAGGCAGATGGTGCACCCCGCCGGCCTCAGCGCTGCCGCCGTCGACCTCGCCGGCGCCGGCATCGTCAACCTCGAGGCCCATAAGGCCGAGCGCCCTAGCAAGATGCGCCTCGCTGTCGGTGACGAGGAGGTCCGCCTCGCGTTCCGCGACGATCCAGAGATCAAGGCTCTCGGTGTCGTGTTGTGAAAATTGATAAAAGTTATGCGGTCATGTCTGCTGGCGTGAACGTATATAGGATATGCATAAGATACCCCTTCTTTTTTTCTACAGCTGTTGTGTTTTGTGTCTATCCGTCTATGTGTGGGTGAGTGACTGCCTGGTGTGGTGTAGTGACGGAGGCGAACATCGCATCTAAGAATATCTGCGTTATTACGTTGCGTGATTTTGTGTTTAGCTCTGTTTGGAGTTGTGGGTAGGTTCCAGGTTTGCGGCTTGATCTTGGGATGGGATCAGAGATTGGCGGTAGCAGATGTAAACACTGGGTTGTTATATATCACTGCCCTGGTATCACATTATCCTATCACCATCCGCTTCACAACTTCAAGCAGAGCTATTGCAGACAGAGTATTACCGTTCCAGTAGCTTTTGGCGTTGTTTTGGCAGCCAACGATTGACTGACTTAGGCGAAGCAGCGCTTGCGCACAGCCACGGCAATGTCAGATGACCACCTGCATAACTACTAGAGAGACACAAGGCTCTAGTACGTAAGGCTTCAACAATGCCCACACCATACACTCTGCACTGGACCGTAATGGTCTATGCATCTGGCAAGCCATGGCATTGCCGGCGGACATCGGGCTGACCGTTTTCTACAAGCCGGAGGTCTCGCCGGTTGTTGAGTGAGTACCACCGCCTCGTGTGAGGTTCCTTAGGGATAGCTAACACCGTCGTCTCAGCATCATCGTCGTGCATGGTCTGTAAGGAAATCCGTACAGAACATGGACCTCGGGAAAGTCGCCAGTTGAGACAACGGCGCGGTCGCCACCGCCTCAGCCAGCGGCGGCACCCGAGGACGGGAAGATCTCAAAGGCAGCCCAGCTCCGCCGCCTCTTACCATCGCGCATCAAGAAATTGTCTCGGGGCGATATTTCTGTACCCGTTACCTCTGCAACTGATGAGCCGCCTCCGGTGAGTGGGGAGAACGGCAAATCATGTTTGGTATTTTGGCCCGCGGACTTGCTCCCTCACGACTGCCCGCAAGCGCGTGTGTTGGTGTACGGATACGATACCAAGATCACAAGATATACGAGCGTGAGTGGCGACTTTCGAACAACTATACCGAGAACGACGGCCAACTAGAGCGGCAAATCAAGAATCTGTCTAAAGGCTTGCCGGAAAAAACAGCGAGCGGGGATGGGCCACGGGATGGGGATATCGAGCTTGAATCAGTGTGCGCCGGAGCAGAGTCTGTAAACCTGGAGCACGGCGAGACCAGAATCGTCCAAGTCATCCACGAATCAGTGCGTGGCTTGTCTAACTCGGACTCTGCGGAGGACTCTGAAGGAGGAGTGCAGCTAGGTGGTCCGACCTACTGCATGACTGTTGGTAGAATGGAAGAAATGGGGTTGGCAAGTCCAGTCGATACTTCAATATTATGCCAAGATGCGAGAATGGAAAACGACCTGTCGCGACAAGCAGGGTTGTGCTTTAGAGGATTCGGGAGTTAAAAGAAATAGAACGATGAAAATTAATGCCCAATACCCTAGAAACTCTACAAAGCTCGCCATTAATTACAGGTTATTTATCGTGTCGTGTCGGTTGTGAGTGCTATTGCAGCTGATGAGGATGGGAGCTATTGAGAATGGAAGCGACAGGGGTGGTGTCTTAGTGCACTAATGCCTTACACGCACTTTTATCTGGGTTGAAGATAATGGAATATCGACCCACATCAGACCCATTCTGCCATTGGGCAAGAAGGACCATGCCGCCACTTCAATATTTGGTCTCATCTCCGTCTCGGGGCAGGTACCAAGACAGTCAGTCATCAGAGGACAAGCACAAAGGATAGCAGCATCCTCCGTGACATCTAACTATGCATTAGAATGTGATTGCAGACGACGGTAACACTCAACTAAAACCCGAGAAAACTTAGGGGCCTTCCCAATCAATGCAGTGAACGCATCGTTAACATTGCAAAGTGTGCTTGTTACGCCCAAGTCGGTTGCGTCTGGAATTCGCTTGGGTGCGCGTCCCGCCGCATGGAAAGCGCGACCTAATACCAGAGGTCAAGGAATGAGGAGCGGCATACTACAATGGCCGACCTCCTCTACGAACTGCTCTCACAACAATCGGGGGCGCCATCGGCAAAGGCCACAGCCGCAGCCGCAGATCCAAGCGCGTTAGAGTATCTCACAACGCTTGCCTCCCGACCCCTGGCCGCTCTCCAAGAAACTGAACCGCAAGCGCTCGCACATGCATCACACGGACTCCTGCTCTCGCTGCAGTCGCTCTCAAAGAGATCCCATAAACAAGTCATTGAATCGGCCGCCCATCATGCCACGCTCCGCACCACGTTGCCCGGGCTGGCGGCTAGCACCGCCGAGCTACGAAATGCCATACCCCGGCTCGACAGCGAGGCAGTGCGCTTCTCAACAACATACAACAAGAGTGGCGACAACGAGGTACTTGCCCGCCGGAAGAAAGCCCTCCTTCTCTCGCGCAATGTCGAGCGGCTCGTCGACGTCTTAGAGCTGCCGACGTTGCTGTCGACATCCATTTCGACGGCACCCGTCAACTACTCGTCCGCTCTTGACCTCAACGGCCACATCCGCCGCCTGCACTCCCTCTATCCGGCCTCTCCCCTCGTGACGGCCATATCCGCACAAGCCGATGATGCCATGCACTCCATGGCCGCAAACCTGATCATCTCACTGAAGTCCCCGGGACTCAAGCTGGCCGCGTCGCTACGGACCATCAGCTGGCTACGGCGCGTGCTTCCCGATCTGGAGTCGGCGGGAGCGCCGGGCAAGGGCCACGACTCGCAAGAGCGGGTGCTGGGCGCGCTCTTCCTTGTCTGTCGGCTGGCAACGCTCATGTCGATGCTCGACGCGCTAGAGCCGCTCCGCGATCTAGCAGACCAGGAAAAGACGCGCCAGAAAACGATTGGTGCTGGCAACGCCTGGTCAGGCGGCCAGCAGACGGAACGCTACCTCAAGCGCTACATTGAGATATTCCGCGAGCAAAGCTTCGCCATTGTGTCGATGTTTAGAAGCATATTTCCTACAACAGCAACGACAGCCACGGACGGCCCAGCAAAAACACCACACAGCCAAGACGCGCTCGAGCCGATGCCGTCGGCGCTGGCCACGTTTCCACTGTACCTAGTGGAGATGCTACTAGAGGCGCTACGGCTGTATCTTCCGACGGTAAAAGATCAAGCTTCCAGAGATAGCCTGCTTACCCAGGTCTTGTACTGCGCGGGGAGTTTGGGCCGGCTGGGAGGCGACTTTGGTTTGTTCCTGGCAGCACTTGATGTCGGCGCCGAGGCTGAGGATGAATGGGTTGGAGTCATCAAGCGCCATCGGGCTCTAGCTGGACGGCTCGAGTCCATTGTCGGGGACCAAAAGAAAGGAGTAACAGCCTAGAGAAAAACATAGCTATTGGGGGGCACGGAGCTTCCCGGCCGAAATTCACGAATCCTATCATGAGCCTAGATTGTTCACGTTGACGAGGCAATTTTGCTCGAAATACCGGGCACTACGTAGTGCGGAGAAAAAGAACTCCGTGTCTTGGCTCTTCATTTGTGACTCTTCATGAAACTTCGGTGTGGATGGAAGTTTTCGGAGCCATCACCTCGGGTCAAGCCGGGCTCCCAAATCCGCTCGCTCCGGCAGCCACGGGAACCGGGGTAAGGTAGAGTAGTGAGTGGGGCCGAATTCCCTTAGTGTCATAGCGCCCAGAAAAAGAAAGTCGGCCGCCGTTCAATGCCGTCATAAGACCAACCGCGGTTTCTCAACTGCAGAGAGCTTCTCTTTGCCTCGCCACAATCTAGAGTACAGCACCTTTCCCCACGAACCCGATACACAATTGCAACTGCGAAACAAACGAAGGGACAAGCAACCGCCAAATGGGCTCCTAGCTTTATAGATATTGCCTCTAATCCACGAACCCAGAAACTGCCATGGACAGTTCCAAGTCCACCAACCCAATAATAGACCTCTACAAGCTGCACACACACAAGCTCTAAGACCTACCTCCCGCGCCGACGACAATCTTTCCCTATTAGCCTGCTACGACCGAGCTCGGGTGTCCACCCTATACGCATCTCCTTACCAACTCGCAACAATAGTGCAGCAACAGAGGGCGAGACAGCTGGAGGACGGGAGCGCGTGACCTCCAACATACCAATAACAATAATCTCGAACCCACTGCGCAGCCATGTCCAATGGCTCACCGACGGTGCGTTCGAAGTCGTGTACGTTTTACCTCCTTTCACTCCTCCGCCCAAGACGGCAAAGAGATTTTACTAACGATATCCGCACAGCCTTCCACTTCGCAGCCGGCCTCGGGTCCGGCGTCCTCTCGGCGGTGCTTCTACAGCCGATCGATCTACTCAAGACACGAGTGCAGCAAGGCGGTAGGGCAGGAAGAGGGAGCGGCGTTACAGGCTTGTCCGGTGGCCTCGGCAGCATTAGCACTGGGGGACACACGCTGAGTGCGGCCATCGCGGAGCTGCGGGCGTCGTCGGCGCATCTCATACCCGCGCTATGGCGCGGGGCGCTGCCGTCGGCGCTGCGCACCGGCTTTGGGTCCGCCATCTATTTCAGCAGCCTCAACGCGATCCGGCAGAACGTCGCGCGTGCACGACTGCCCGTTCTGACCGACACTGCCAGTCTGGCAGCAACTGGCTCGTCGTCGTCGTCCCTCCCGAAACTCTCCAACACGGGCAACCTCGCCGCGGGCGCCGTGGCCCGCTCACTCGCCGGCTTTGTGCTGATGCCATTGACGGTGCTGAAAGTGCGCTATGAGAGTAGCATGTACGCCTACACATCGCTGGCGGGCGCCGCGCGAGACATGGCGCGCGCCGAGGGACTGCGCGGGTTCTTCGCGGGGTTCGGGGCTACGGCGATTCGAGACGCACCCTACGCCGGTCTGTACGTGCTGTTTTACGAGCAGAGCAAGCGGCGGCTGAGCGCCCTCTACGGTGGGACAACGAGCTCAAGTGACGGGACGGCAACAGAAACTCCCCGTCCACAAGCTATGGGCGTGTCCCGCGCAGCGGGCATCAACTTCGCGTCGGGCGCCGTGTCCGGGATAGTTTGCAGCATCATCTCGAACCCGTTCGACGCCGTCAAGACGCGCATCCAACTGCAGCCGGGCGCATACCGCAACCTCGTGCAGGCCGGGCGCCGCCTGGTGGCCGAGGAAGGGTTCCGCGCCCTGTGGGACGGCCTCGCCCTGCGCATGAGCCGCAAGGCCCTCAGCTCCGCCCTGGCCTGGACCGTCTACGAGGAGCTGATCCGCCGCGCAGAGGTCACCTGGAGCGACCGCACCGCGCAGAGGAGTCTGTGATATGTATCTGTGTACGAGTGTATGATTTAAAGCCTGTCTCGTTGTATAATTAAACCGAAACTCAGCATCACCTAACCCAACCTAACCTAACAAGCGTATGCCCCGCAGAAGGGGAGGGAGAGAGAATAGCCAGTCTTGTCTGTCTGGCAGACAAACAGACAGATAATTTGGCATGTATTAAAACAAAAATGACTCGAGCCATATTAATCTTTAGCTGCCTAGTCCGCTGCTACCTCTGGCTTGAGGGAATAGACACGGCCATAGATACCCTGTCGGTATAAAAACGATTAAAGAAAAATGGCAATTTTAAAAAGCAAATAACACAAAGTTCATTCTTCGGATCGGCCTTCTCCTTGACTACCTACTCAGACCTACTTAATTATTCCAGATCTTCTAATCACGCCACGCATCAAAGCTAACAGCTCAGAGGAGCCGTCAGGTTAGGCATTGTCTGCTGCCGTAGGACTTACTTTTGTAGCACAAGAGCATCTTCCAGTCGCAGCTCTGTGCTTAAAGTCGTGCTAGCATCCTTCACTCGCAAATGGGTCTAGTAACGTAAAACTATATAGCCGCACTCATCCTTCCGGATCTTGTTCGGAATGTCAGTTTAATCCCAAACCTAAGCCTAGAGAAACCAGAGAGATAGCTTATAACTAGTAGCTATAATTACACACGGAAACGAGCTTTCGTACTCGCCAGCAGGAAGTTACAAGCAGACTGTAGAAATATATGAAACGTCAAGACTTTCGTGATGTCATCGTCATCGTGCAGCATATCCGGAGGCCGGGCCAAGTGTTAACTAATGATAATGATTGGATGCGTATAGAGATGTTTCGGAAAACTCAAGGTGCCTGAAGATTAAAAGAACAGATTGACATCGAGAGCGTCGAGAACGTTGAGGAAAGCGAAACTTCTCTTAATCATCTAACCATAACGCCGATCTGTGGACGTGATTTTAGGCGAATCTGCAGCCAATGCTGTTCTATCGAGTATACTCGAAAACCTAAATCATCGCTCACACTAGTGCTATACGAAGTACTATGCATGTCCGGCTCAGAAAGACTCTTAATCACGCTCACTCAGACAAGAGGGACCGAGAGATAAGCGAACAGATAAATACCTCGACTCGTAGAAAGCTAGAGCAAAAGCGAAAATAAACGACAAAAACATCATGGTTTCATGCATCTCATACCACCGTATTCGATCAGTCTCCAAATACCCCCGCCCTATCCTCACCCACGTTTTCCGCTCCTCTCCCCTTCATCCCCGTCTCTCGTGAGTCAACCCTTCCATCCTATCCTCCCATTGCGGCGAGAACATGGCAAAATACGCGCTTAGCATCGAATCTGAAAAAACCAAGCAAGACTAAGCAAGACCAAGTATCCAAGCCCAGGACCGGCATGTACATTTATCGGGTGAAAGGAAGAAATAGACAGGAGAAAAGAAAAGGAGGGGAGTGTCCGAGGTCTCAAATGCACAACGTTGTGAGGGGGGAGAACGTGGCACGTGATACGGTCATGAGGATTCTCTAGTTGTTCCCGTGGCAGTCAACAAGGGAAGAACAAGGACCCAAAAAAAGAAAAAAGAAAAGAAAGGCTGTGAAGCCTCTTGATCATGCCGGACGGGCGCCCGCAAGATACATCAGAAGACCAGGCGACTTGCTACGGCGGCGGCTGTGGCTGGTCTTGCGCACCCATTCGTACTTGTCATCGTCGCTGCTCTTGTCCTTGATCTTGAGGACAACATCTTTCTCACGCTTCTGCGTGACGACGCGGATCCGGCGCGTATGCTCCCACAGCATGGCTTGCTCCTGCTCGGGAACCCAGCGCTTAATCAGGATGTAACCCGGCTCCTTTGAACGACTGTCAGCGGTTGCTCTCCTGCAGGAACCCCCCCCCCCCCAAAAAAAAAGGAGAAAAACTTACAGCATCGTACTCCCAGTCGAGCTTGTAGAAATGCAACGTCTCGATGTCCAAGTGTCGCAGCGACATGCGCGTGTAGGTTGGGCGGGCAACCGATTTGCCCCTCTCCTCCTCCTCCTCCTCCTCCTTCTTCCTCTTGATTTTCTTGTTCTCGAGGATGGCAGCGATCTCCTTCTCGTCAAGGCCAGACTTGATCAGGTGCTCCTGGAGGCGGCGCTGGTATTCCTTGTCGGCTGCCTCCTTCTCCTTCTTCTCCTTCTCCTGGCGCTCGAGCTCCTTGGCCTTGTATGCGGCAATGGCATCTTCGGCCTCCTTCTTCTTGCGCTCCTCCTCCTCCCGTCGCTTCTTGTCCTCCTCAAGTTTCTTCAGCTCTATTTCGCGTCGGATCCGTTCCTCCTCATGCTTCTTGTCTTCGGCCTTACGGATCGCCTCCAACTCAGCTTTGGCACGGCGGAGCTGTTCCTCCTCCTTGTACTCTCGCTCTAGTCTTTCATCCTCGTCATGGCGCTTGCGACGTTCCAGCTCGGCCTTGGCACGGCGGAGGTCTTCCTCCTCCCTGCGTTGCTTCTCGCTTTTATCCTCTTCATTTTGGCGCCTAATCCGGGAAAGTTCTTCCTTGGCTTGCCGCGCCTCGGAGTCCGCCTTGTACTTCTCGTCAAGCTTGCGGATCTCCTCCTCCTGACGGTAGTGGCCCAGCTCAGTCCGGGCACGGACCAGTTCAACCTCCTCCTTGTAGTACCTGTCGGCGGCTGCCTGCTCGTCTTGCTTTTGGCGCGTGAGCTGCAGGTTTTTCAGCTGCTCGCGTGTCCTCTCCAGCTCCCACTTATCCTTGGCATCGTCAATGTAGCTGTGCGAACTTGACGAGCGGCGGCTATGGACCCTGCTATGCGAGCGATGGCCGTGGCCGTGGCCATGACGATGCCTGGACACATGCGACGACTCATCTGACGAGTATTCCGAGTCAGAATGCTCGAAGCGGTTTTGGATATTGTGGATCACCACGGGAGCGACCTGGGCGGGGGGGCCCTGGGGCGGGGTGGACCGTCGCTCCCGCGACCTGGAGCGGGTGGTGACGACGGTGCGCTCAGGCTGGAGGTAGCTGGGCCCGGGGTTGTAGTAGCCCGTGGGCCGCGTGTCACGGACGTCCCTGGTGACGGTCTGGATGTAATGGGGGTTTGGAGGCGGGGGAGGAGGACCTCGACGGGGACCGGGAGAACGGTCACGGGCCATGACACGACGGACGCGGACGTCGATCGACTCGTCGTCGCTGTAGTCGTAGGAGCTAGACATTGCTGCTGCGGTGGAGGAGAGGACGAGACGGAGACAGGGCGACGCTAAAGAGGTAAGTCTCGCGAGATCTCACTCGGCCCGGTATTACCGTCTGACTGATAAGACCAGGGGTGATCGGCTAAGAAGCTTGATCAAGAGAAGACAGACAGACAGAGAGTCCAGTCTATACAGAGAGGGTCAAGAGGTATACCGTTGGGGCCCAGATCACTTGAGTTGGGGGCCTGGTCTGGTTTAGAGCAGACTCTGTCGGCCTGGAAGGTGAAGGTGGTAGAGGCACGGAGGGGTCAGGAGGAATGGTAAGCCGGGCCAACAGAGCGGGGTGTGACCCACCATTTATTCGGCGCTGCGGCGGGCGGTCAGGCCTGGGGAGGGAGCGAGAGGAGGGCATGGCAGGGGGTGTGGAGGGGGAGGGCAAGGAGGGCAGCCGGGCAGCAGGGCAGTAGGGTCCCAGCAGAGAGGGCTGCATGAAGTGCGCGCACACCAAAACGAGGGATACCTCCTACCAGGCAAGTCGGACAAGCCAGAGAGAGGTAACCTAGGACGGGAGGGAAAGAAGACTGGAAACTGGAAGTAGCACAGTGCGGCACAGGCGGAGCGTGCCAGTTGCCGCAGTACCAGCAAGGTATCGAGACGCCGATGAGGGGCACTGTGCCGCCCAGCCCCACGGGCGAGGTGAGCCCCGTCGAGGTATCGTGCCTCCGGGGGGACGAGGGGTGGCCAAGTTGCGTAGCGTGAGCACAACTTCCCACAGTGGCCAGCGCTGGTTGGCCAGGAAGCGGATGCCTGTTCGTCGAGAGACGGACGGGTAGGTGAAGTGGGAAGGGAGGGGAGGGGGGGGGGGACGCCCAGCGCTCGATCGCGGCATCATTGCTGGTAATTACCAGCTAACACCGCGGCATCGACTGGACTGACGGCTTTTCGTCTGGCAGCCCAGTCGTTGGGGCTGGAAACGGTAACTGAAGCCCAGCCCAGCCCAGCCCACCCGCCCGGCACAACTGAGTCGCCAAAGTTGTCCATGTTAAGGCACTCGTACTAGGTAAGGGCATGGGGTAACTGAGGTGATACGGGGACAAAATCAAGACAGCTGGCTGGGATGCGCTGACGAAACAAGCTGAGCCGGGCCTGCCCTATGTGTGGGCTTGTCCAGACCTTCCTCCCATCGCATCGCGTCGCATCGCATCACATCGCATAGGGCCATCGGGAGGGGACCTTCACACCACACCGTGGCCACGAGAATCCATGACGCCAATTTCGACCATGGGGGACCATGGCTGCCATGTGCGATGGTTTGTACCGGACTACGGAGAGATGGACAGTCCTCCATCGCAAAACACGACGAACGACACCACGGAACCGGCTGCCGCTGGGATCGAGCCGCCGCAAGAAGCCAACGCACGAACTGAATCTGATAAAACCCGTTGCGTAGGGCTAAGTGAGGGGTTGGTCTGACAAGGGCAAACCTTGATCAAGCGCGGGCGCGGGGATCACTGCCTTTCATTTAAAAGACCCACACGGCTTCTGACCACTGAGGGCGCTTGAGGCTGGCTGACGGAGCCGACTTGGGAAGGCAGTTGCGCCGTCGCAGGGCACGCAGCAAGTAGCTGCAGCACTTAATTCACACAGTATGCACTATTATGTTCCGCGTATTTGCCCATTTCTCATCGGTCGAGTACATACAGAGTACGGTAAGTTTGCAAGCCCGGTAATTCTTATTCCCTAGTGCTCTACTAGAGAGGCAAGTTTACAATCTCCTCCAAGAGTCTAAACAGCCACTCTCACCGGTTATCGGCCGAGTTTATAGACTATACCGGTGTCTATACTAACGACCTTTCCTAGATATAGCCACGGGCTTCCAAATATAGCCCGGCTAGGGGTACCTCGCAAATGCCCCAGGCCGCGCTTTGGGCGGCAGCCCAAACACTTGGGAGACCCAGTCAGCTGCCAGCCGCACAAAACTCTGCTGTAGTATCCGTATCTATAGTGTAGAAGGATTCCCTGGCCTTACTTCCAAGGCTCCCGGCATGATCCACATTAGCAGCTGTGTGGCGTGGGACAAGAATAGAAGCTTACAGGCGATGGTGACAAAGAAACCCCCTCGGTTTATTCATACCTCCATTTTAAGCTCATTCCCCGGCAAGGCAAGTCTCAGGGTAGAGAGTGTTTCGGTCACGTAGGTCTCGTAGCTACCAAGCTTTATCTCAGTTCGCTGCGAAGTGTACATACATAGTATTCCTGCAGTGTAAAGAGTATTTGGGTTCGATCAGCTTCCAGCTACCTCTTCGTTGGGTCAGCGCTCCGCGCCGTCAACACCCGCGTCGGGCTGTTCCGTTTCCACACACACATTTATCCCGGTTGGTATCAACATTTGGGGCCGTGACAAGGGGACCTAGGGCACTTCTTCACAGTATCAACGGTGGGGAATCCTCTTATGATGGATAGGGTGTAAGACGAAGAGACCAAAGTTGCTTGTCAGAGTTAGACAATATAGCCTAGAATCCTACAGAACTATTCCCCCCGCTTCCCTTGAGCATCCGCTCAATGTGCTCTTGGCTGTTCTTGGCCGTCGTCTCGAGGTAATGCAACCTCTTGCCCATCGCCTCCACTTCCCCCTCCATCTCCTTCATCGACGAGCCCAGCTTATCCTGCAGCTCGGGGACGGGCACGGCGACGAACCTGTAGCGAGAACTCGGGCATCAGGACACAAACTCTCTTCCTTGCATCGGGGTGGTGAAAGGGGGAAAATGAGGAGCAGAGAGATGCGGGGCACGCATATTGGGCACAAGCAAACAGGAGTGCCATATCGACAACGACTGGCCGACCGAGTAGTGGTAGGGACACAGCCGAGTGTGTGAGTCAGAGGTAAGGCACAAAGGGGGAGGAAGAAGAAGAAGAAGAAAAAAGGGGGGGAAAAGTAAACACCCACATCTTGCCGACGCCTTCGTACGCGGCCGTGTCGGGCGGCAACGTCGAGATCTCACTCCGGGTGAGCTGGACCAGTCGCATCTCGCGCTGCTTCGACGACAACTGCGTGCGGACGAGGCTAATCTGCTGCTGTGCCGCCATAGCCTGCGACTCAATCTCCTTCACCAGCTATACAGTAATACATGAGTAACGTCGAGTTAGTTTTCGGTTCGCCCCTACCTGCCTCACCCCAGACTTTGGTCTCTCTTTGCATCACGACATGAGAGAGAGAATGAGACGGGGGGGATAAGATTAAGGTGTTGATGCCTGACTGCATTCCATTCTGTCGGCCCGTAGTTTCGTACCTTCTGTAACGCCTCGTTTGATATCGACATCTTGTCAGGTTCCCTGTTGCAAGGGGGTGGGTAGTGGTGTAGGTGCGGAATTTCTTTTTCTCTTTCGCCTCCTGCAGTGTCCTGAGATTAGAAACTAAGTAGAAGGCGTTTTGAAAGCTTGTAATCACCACGTTGTGGCAAAAGACGGAACGTTGTCGGCGTGTGCAATCGGCAAGTAATCACGCGTTGTGGGTTTCGGCTTGGAGAGGCCCCAAGGCTCCCCGTCCCAAATCTGGAAGTTTTCGCTCATTGGAAATTTAGGCTTTCCCGCACCTGTCGCCACAGTGCCAAACCCCGCCAATGCAACACATGGCCGCTTCTCACCTACGCGAGTGTAGATTAGCAAAAGTGTAGATTAGCAGCGAATCAAATTCGGCATAGCCGACCAGTCAAAAACGGCAGCCCCGACAGCGACACAGGAATTCCAAAAAAGCAGCCGCGACTGTCCTTCGTCCTGGCTGTTAGTAGCATTAATTAATAGCTTTGAAATTTGGTCTCTAACAGAGTGCCCACGCACCTGCTGCTTTTCTGGGAATGAAAGGGTTCAGGGCGATGCTCGTCAGGTCCGCCGCCAGCTTCAGCTTGCGATGGACGTTTCATTGACCAAGACAAGCGCTTACTTACTTGGGTGAGAGATAAGATGCGTACGGCAGGCCATGCACGGCATTACTACTTAGCACTGGGCTGAACAGATGAACAAAAAGACTGCCCAATACCGCCCTCCTTCAAGTTTTTTACAAGCAGATATCGTTGATGCATGTCATCGGCACAACCCCCGTTCTCCACACGCTAGTTTGCGCCTCCCGTTCTCCGTCTCGGGATTTGACCGTCGCTTTGAGCTGCCTTTCCCATCCTACTTGGGATTATACATTAAAGACTACATACAACCTGCAGTAAGTCAAAGGCGAGCCAATTTGAACCCACACGAGTGTTGTCACTCCCGACAAAGCCTTCAGCAGTCTCCCAACAGCCTCCCACCCTCTCCATTGGGACGGACGGGAGCTGCTGTATAGGCCTTGAGCCGCATCTCACTGCGTCTTCTTTGACTGCGCCCGAGAACCTCTAGCCGGCTGGGGGACGATCTGTGGTATGGAATACAGTGAGTCCCACTGCAGCCTGAACTCCCTCTCCTTGCCGTCCAGTAAGATGCCCAAATACAGCCTCTGCAGGATCAAGTAATATGCTGTTACACGAACAAGTTAGTGGCCCGGCTTGAGGTTGCAAAAGTAGGTGAGCACAGAGAGTCTCGGGGACAGGGCGAAAAGAGTCAGAGTCAAGAAAGGGGAGAAGAGGAATGTGGCTGATGCGTACCACCTGCGTTCAAGACATTTTTGTTAGCATCATTGGTTCACCCCAAGGTCTTATTAATTATGGAGTAGGTGGCGAGGCTCGCTGGCTCTGTCTCTCTCACCTAAGCCCGTCAGAATGTGCCACCAGCCATGTCCCTCAAGAAGCGCCGCCCACGGGAGCAGCACTTGGTTTCTTGCTGTAACGAGGTAGCGGCAGAATATGTTGTCCATGTTCCAAATAAAGAAGCCTCCCAGGAACAAGAATAGGCCTGGACGGTGTGTCAGCTTCTTGTTCTTCCTCTCGGTTTCTCTCGCAAGACAGACGAGAGAAGGGATCGTGAACGAACCTGTGAGAGAAAATGCCCACAGCTCCCGCATCATGCGGCCGCAGCCGTCGGGATTCCGCTTCTTCAGGGCTGGCCGCAGCTGAGCCTCCATGAGGTAGTAGCCCCAGAAGGTACCCCCAGCGGACAGCAGACCGTATGCCACCTGATGGAACACCGCGTCCTTGGCGTATAGGTAGTAGATCTGCACGCAACAGATAGTCGTCAGTCAACAGTCTCACTTGCAATATCAAGGGAGCCCAATATGCCTAGTAGCTCGGGGTGTACGGTAGGGAAGCCATCATGAGCCGGGAGCCTGCAAGTAACGAACCGTGATGATAGCAGCGGCCCCGAAGAAACCGGCTCCCACCAGAATCCTGCCCCTCGGGGATTTGCCGTGAGAGAATGTATTGGAGCACAAGATACAAACTGTGTATATCATAGGCAGCTCATCGGCTAGCTGCATAGAGTCTGTGAGCCACACAAAATGGGTAAGCAGGCAAAAGCACCAACTACGGGCACGAAAAGAGAACCAAGAGGCTAAGTGGAGGGGGGGGGAGGGGGATCTAACACCACAAGGTTGTATGAAATGCCATGGAGCCCATGCCGACTGTCATGTAACCCAGGAAGGCCAAGATGAAGACACGCGGGTGGCCATGGCGGATGACATTGCGCAGGCCCTTGACTCCGAGATAGAGAAATACCAAGTTGGTGAGGGTGTTCACGACCTCGGCGATATAGTAGGTAACGTTGTAGTCCTGTGTGTTTTGAGTTCGAGCGTGTAAGCTTGTTCGTCCGAGCCAACCAGGGAGAGCAAAGTAAAATTCAGGGGGAGCCACACGGCACGAGTTATAAGACAGGGTAAAAATAATTTCATGGACATCCTTCACGCCCAACGGCAGGCATTTCACATACCTCTTCACACCAGTTCAAAGTTGACGTCTGCTCCCCCCAGAACCCGTCCCGGGGTTCGCGGTACGGGATCTGCAACGCCGACACTGCCGATGCCATGTCGGGGCGGCCTTCAAAAGTTCTTCCCCGGCGGGACCGAAGTACGGCGCCTCGCAGAAACAGAAAACCGGAAGTGGGGCTCCTCTAAACAATCTAGGGCGGCTTGTGAGTTTTTCTCTGAATATTTCTTCTTGGTGTGGCGGTTTCGTTTTCACTTTTCGAGAGTGACCTGTTTGAGGCCGGGCAAGTGGTCTGCGGCCAAGTTCGCACGGAGAAGAGAATGGGCCAGGTGCGTGGTAGGTAGTTGCCTCAGTCGGATGTGGTCGCTGTTTCGGTCCGGTTTATAAGTTTGACAACCTCCCGTCCGAAGTACGTGCACAGGTGAAAGTGATAGATCTTGAAACCAACACTAGCTTTATACGCCGGCTGCCTGGGATTTATCCAACACTGGAGCAGTGGGAGAGGATGCTGGTTTCGTTAGAAGAGGAACAACACCATGTGCGGCGTGAGGGTAAAGGGGTTTAGGAGTTGCAAGCTCGTGAAAAAGGACGCCGGGTGAGAGAGCCTTGCCTACTTCCAGTTGCGCCAAGATCTACCGACAAGGGTTGCGTTGATTCACAGTGATTGTTGTTGCGCTACGGCAGCAATACACGCATAAAGACCATTAGGTAGCCAATCCGCGTAAATATGGAAGTTTCCACCCATCTATGCCGTAGGTGGGTAGGTAGGTAACAGTACCCGTGGACCTTCGTCGGGCATGTTCCAATGCTTCGTCGAAAATTACCGCGACTGTGCCGCTGTACGAGGTTCTGGTTAGCGGCCTGGGCGACAATGAAACAACGAAACAGCCGATCTGTAGCTTCTCGGCGTTTGGTGCCTCACGCCGGCTTGCATCTTCATTACGGTACTGTTATGCATCGTAAGAACCGGCTGCAGAGCTTGAGAGCCGAGTGCATCGACTAAAAAAGCCACTGGCACGTCCGGAGCAGCAAAGGAACTCGAAAGCTGCCAATGACGACCTACAATTCTATTGCTACTACGGATACGGATCCCGTGGAAGTGGAATTTGTGGATTGCCTAGAACGGCGGGCGGGCACTGACTTTACTTCGCTTTGCGTTTGCGCGTGCCGAATTGGTCCGTGCCTCGAGCTCCACACTCGCAGGAACAACTTAGCAATGCCGAAGTTGGATGCAATTCAATCAAGACAGGGCTGTGGTACAGTACGATCCCGTACAGTATTACTAGTACAGTACACCCCAAAACTCGGCAGGGGTTACACCTGCTGACGGTTGGGTTGCCTGACCCGTACCAGGTGTCAGGGCCTGGAATACGAGGCTTAGCTGCTGGGCCGTTGGACCAGGACGGCGTCATGCTCTCAGGACAGCTGTTCTCGGTTGGGATTCTTTGAAGCTATACGGGGTCGGCTTATGCTGATTGATTCGGCATGCCTTATCTGGTCCACTAATACTGCAGTGGACTTCAAAACAGAACCGCAGCCAACTTGTTAGTCGAGGGAGGCTAACAACGGCACAACACTCGCCAAAAATTGATCCTTGAGATTTGTTTCTTTCTCTCGGACTTGTTTCCTAGAGCAGGCCAACGCGACGACAACCTATCACCACCGCGCCCGCGCCTCTTAAATGGATCAGATGTGACGACCAAACGCCCCTGCCTATAGTCATCCTTGCCCTTTTGATGGCCAGACGCCACCGTGTATCTGTTGCGGATTCAGTTTCGTCATCCAGCCATGGCGGCGCCGTCAAAACAGTCGTCGCGATGGGGCTCTTTTATTTCGCAAGCCGTGGCCGGTGTTGAGGCCCGTTTAGACAATATCCTTGCTGATGGCGAGGACGGTTCCGGCCAGCCGAGGGACCCAAAACTTGCGCCCGCATCGGGCCCAGCAGCGCCGGCCAAACAGAGTCCCGGTATGCTTGCGCCTCGAGCACCCTGTCCTCCTGAAAGCTTGGTCCTGGCTAACAGTTACCGATGCATGCAGGTCCCTCCAGAACCGCTTCATCATCTCGCACCAATGATCGCCTCCAAGAGAGGCTCGCCAGGGCCATGGCGGCCAAAGCCGCCGCACAAAACGCCGCTCCGAAGCCGCCCGATAGTCCGGCAGCCCGGACCTCCATATCCTCCCAGGCGAGTCCGCGCCAGAGCATCGACGCCCCGAGCCGCGCCTCGACCGAGAGTCTAGACCGGCCGAGCCCGATCACGAAAGAGGCCGCAAAGGAGATATCTTCTGCGCGGGCTTCCGAAGAAATCGCGAGAAAATCCCAAGTTACTCCCGCTATTGAGGCCAGCCAAACACGTGGCTCGGCCGACAGAGAGGATCGAGCACAAGAGGGGCTGCCTGTTGAGGCCAATGGCGCGCAAACCCTACCGGAGCTTCTGGTTCCAATAACCACCCCCCCAGAAAGCGCACCAGTCATGGAGATGAGGATAGAACCTACCCCTGAATTGGAGCCTCAGCCAGATTCAAACGAGGATGGTGAAGAGGAGCGGGTCAAAGACGAGGCCACACCAGCCGAAGATGCACAGCTCCAGCACCAGGAAGAGGTGCATGGTTACGTAGAACGCATAGACGCTCTAGAGGCGAAGCTGCATTTTCTCGCACGGGAAGCAACAGACTCGGCAAGGAAAGCGGCCTTGGCCGCGCCACCTAGTAGCTTCGAGAAGAAGCTGGCAGAAAAGGACCAGCAGATTGCCCAGCTGATGGAGGAGGGCAAGAGTCTAGCCAGCACCGAGCAAAAGCACCGGACCATCATGAAGAGGCTCCGGTTGAAGATTGCCGACGATGAGAAGGAGCTGAACTCCCTCAAGGCGGTAAAAGAAAAATCAGATAAAGAAACAGAAAATCTGCGCAGGCAAGTCCGTCGAGTGGATGAGCTCGAGAAACTAAACGACGACATGCAGAAGCGGCTAGACCAGACACTGAGAGAACTCGGCGCACTGCGGCCCGAGATTCGGTCCAAGGACAGTATCATCGCCGAGCTTAAGACTCAGCTGCAAAAGGCGAGCGAGCAAGCGGAAGCCATGACGGCAAAGGTCAATGACCAAGCGCGCGACCAGGATCGTCGGAAAATCGCCGACCTCGAGGAGGCCGTGGCGGCCCTGCAGGTCGAAAAGAACCTGGTCGCCGACCGGGCCAGGATCCAGGCCAACGACCTGCGGGAGAAGGCCGAGCGTGCCAACGAGCGGGCGCGAGCGCTGGAGCTAGAGCTGAAGGCTGAGGCCCAGGTGATGGAGAGCAAGCTCGAGGCCATGCGCATCCGTGCAGAAGAGGCTTCATCGGGCGCCATTGGGGACTCGCAGGCCAAGCTGCTGAGACAGGTCGAGACGCTGCAGACGCAGTACTCGATTGCTAGCGAGAATTGGCAGGGGATAGAGGCGACGCTTCTAGCTAGGATAGGGAGCCTAGAAAAGGAGCGGGACGATGCTCTACAGCGCGAGTCTGACATGCGGAGAAAGGCTCGCGAGGCGGTAAGAATATTTCGTTTGTTGCTTCATATCTCGACACGCCCCGTATGCTAACTTGTTTAAAGGCCATCCGCGCCAAGCGCCAAGAAGAAGAGCTAGAGGAGACCAAGACGAAGCTTCCAAACATCCAAGAAGACGTCAAGTCGTACCAAGCACAGCTCGACTCGCTAAAAAGGCGAGCGGAGGAGGCCGAAGCGGCCCTGGCAAAATCAAGAGTGGAGCTGGAGAAGCAGAAACAGGCGTGGGAGGCAGATAAAGAAGACCGGCAATTACGGCAGCCCGCCGAACGCCGGTCTTGGCTAGAAGACCTACCTGGCGGATCGTTTCTAAAGAGCGACAGCCGGCCTGAGTCACCGCAGCTGCCAACCCCGCAGCGCACTTTCAGCACCGACTTCCTCGGAATCCAGAGCCTCACCTCTAAGGCCGTCCGTAAGGCGTCGGCGCCGTCGAGCAACAGCGACGCGGGCGCCGGCGGAGGCGAGAGCCGCAGCTTCAGCCGCCGCCCCTCGGCCCAACCGCTGACGCGCCCGCTCATGGCGCAGTCTGGCAGCGGCGGCGTCTTCAGCCCCATCACAGACTCGCTCCACACGACGCCGGCGATGGGCTACCCGCCCGACAGAGAGCCGCTGCACAGGGAGGACACGTTTGACAGCATGGAGACGTCGTCGACGTCGGCCCACCAGGTCCTGCAGGACATGATGTCAGTTTCGACGGTGGCGGCCGGGCCGTCGGTGCAGCTAGTAGAGCGCATGAGCGCGGCGATCCGGCGACTCGAGAGCGAGAAGGTGGCGGCACGCGAGGAACTCGCCCGCATCTCCAAGCAGCGCGACGAGGCACGCGCCGAGATCGTCGCCCTGATGCGCGAGGCCCAGGGCGGCAGGGAAGCGCTCAAGCGCGTCGCCGACCTCGAGGCCGAGGTCGCCGAGGTCAATGCCAGGTACGAGACCACGCTGGAGATGCTGGGCGAGAAGAGCGAGCTGGTCGACGAGCTCAGGGCCGACGTCCAGGACGTCAAGGCCATGTATAGGGATCTCGTCGAGCGCACCATCAAGTGATTATGATATCAATGTAGAAGAGAACGTACAGGAGGTGGCTAGGCAGTGACAGCTAGAAATAAAAGGAGTCTTCAAAAATTCGGAGGCCGGGGGACATACATCCATCCCTTTTTTTGTATTAGGAAATTCTTTTTTTATGTTGGGGAGACGAAGGAAGTAGGCGACAAGATGGATTTTTGGGCCTTTTACTTCTGTATACTATGCACACCATTGGGACCGGTTTAGTCTTTGCATTTGCTAGCTACGTGAGGAGGTAGATAGGCTAGGTACCTAAGGTAGGCAGATGGCCGGCTGACCACGTTGTCTAAAAAAGAAGAATACTTGAATGGCGGCGGTCAAGTAGCTGCTGCTAGTCCATCCACCCATCCGTCCATCTCGGATGTAAATAACATGTGTTTCTACCACCTCAACTCCTCCCCGTACCCGCGTTGTTGCCCCCCACACGGCAGGCCGCTTAGAAGTCTGGCTGGACAAGTGGGGAGAGGGCTGGAGTTAAATCGCGATCCCATCCCTTTCCGCCTCCCGCTCAATGAACTTGCGCACCTATATATATCGTGGGCATATCACATTGTTAGTGTCGAGTCTCTTGAGAGACTATAGGGTGGATGACAGGGTGGCGGGGTAACGGGGTGACTGAGTGACGGAGTGACGGGGTGACGGGATGAAATGTGGTAGAGAGGCGGAAAGTAACTCACGTCACTGTCCGGCGCAAGATCTAGAGCTAGACACCCGTCTGCGTCCTTCTTGTCCGTCGCGGCGCCTGCCTTGAGTAGTGCCACGGCCGTGTCGCCTGCATTATTTTGTTACTTGGTCAGCGTAGTCGTGACAGGAGAAGGGGGATAGGGGGTTGGCTGGACTTACCGCGCCCTTCGGCCACGGCGTGATGCAGCGCCGTATAGCCTGCGCTGTCCGTCGCGTCCAACGGGCTCCGGTTTTCTAGGAGTAGCTTCACCATTGGGACAGAACCTACGGCCGCGGCGCGATGAATCGGATACTGGCCGCGCTTGTCGCGCACGCGCGTCGAGGCGGGTGGCTTCTGCTCGAGGAGCTTGCGCGCTACGTCTAGGTTGTTCTTAGAGGCGAGAAAGTGCAGCGCCGTCTGTGTGGTGGTCAGTGGGTTGGTTTTGTTGACAGACAGGAAGGGCTGAGCTTGGAGGATAATGGTAGGCAAAGGGCTTGATTACCTGGCCGGTGTTATCTTTTTCCACCCAGAAAGAAAAACAAGTGTTAGCAGACGGCGGTTGGTACTGCTATGTGCAAAGGAGAGAAGGAGACAGACTGGTCTGGTTTACGTCTGCCCCCTTGGAGAGGAGTAGATCGATAATCTTGTCGCCGTCCTTGACACTCGCGGATATCATGAGCGGTGTCCATCCCATGTCATCCTTAGCTTGGTGTCAGTCGGATGCTTTGTGTGACCCGTGACGGGCAGAGGCTGTACCTGAGCATCAGGATCGAAGTCCTTCTGTTGGATTAGCAGGGTTGCGATCTCGGTCTGGTTCGAAGATGCCGCCCAGTGTATGGGGAGGCGTCCATCTTCATCCTTGAGACGGGCGAGCCTTGGATCCGCCTGCGTTGGTGGAAGGTCAGACCAGTAGGTAAACAGCGATAGATCCTCAGGATGTGTCTATGAGAGGCGATGAGGGTATTCACATTTAGGAGAGACTCGACGGCGGCCACTGTTGTATTGTAAGTAATGGGTTATAACAATTTAGTAAACGGTGAGAGAGAGGCAGGCGGGGAATCCATGGAATAGAGTTGAAGTAAGGTAGAAACAAACTCACGCCTGCCCTCGCGAGCGGCCGCGTGGATGGCGAACTTCGACTCTGCCGCCATATTGATAGCTCAGGTGCCGCCAAAATAAACCAACTTGAGAATATGAGAAATAGTTTTTTGTCGTGATTACCTGAAAGTGTCAACCTCCAACGTCATGTAAGTGATGCCTTCCGAGAAGCCTGGATTTAGTGGTTTGGCAAGGAGCCTCGCACTGTGCGGTTTGGTAGGCGGGCGAGCCGGTGCCGCGGGCTGGGCGCTGTCAAGCCTCACGCTAGCTGAAGCTTCAGCCACACCAACAGGGTGTATCGGGCCCAGAATTTTTTTGGAGGGCGCATCATCCCGGAAACAGAGGCTAAGGGTGTGATTCCTTGCCCTTCAGTGCGGCCTCAGTGCGCACTGAAGGCCATGAAATTTTATTTATCTTTTGCGCTAAGCCTAAATAGACTATAGATAACCCCACCACTAGCGCCAGTGCGGTCCAGTGCAAAATCAACATGTACCTCGTCTGAAATAGGAGATTAGCGGGTCTAGAACTGATTTTTCTGCCGCACTGGACCCTCAGTGCGCACTGGAGCTTGACCCTCTAGTGCGCTTTAGTACAACTTACAAAAAACATCACAACATGGCAATATCACACCAAAAAAAGAAGAGATGGGCAGCCATAGTAGCTGCCCATCTCGTCGCCCAGTCACGTAGGCGACGAGCTTGGCGGGGAGCAGCCCGCGAAATTATTCACCCTGGTAGTACAGCGAGAGCTGTCTCCTGGGCTTGCCAGCTACGAGAAGGCTCCCCAAAGCTATTCTACGAGCTTTTTCGCATGGACCAGGCTACCTTTCGGGAGTTGGCCTCATGGGTCAAAGACAATACCAGGATGGTAGCAGGAAGGCAGCTTACTATCGAGCATCAGCTTCTAGTCGCCATATACATCCTTGCCCAAGCCACAAGCCAGCGAGCCACCGCACACTTCTTCTGGATCAGCCAAGGTACGGTAGCCAAGATCATGAAGAAGGTATTACCAGCTCTTGTTCAACTTCATATTGCCTTTGTCCAGCAGCCGACCGGCGAGGATGAATACGTCTACCTTGAGCTTGAGCTAGACGACCATGCCAGCCCCCTTAGTGGCTGTATCGGCACTATCGACTGTACACACATACCAGCACATGTCCCTCAGCATCTTCAAGACCGGTATTTCGACCGCAAAGGTAATATTACACAAAACGTATTTGCTGCTGTGAGATTCGACGGGACATTTACATACGTCCTTGCTGGTGCTGAAGGCTCTATTAATGATGTTACCCTACTTAACCGGGTATTTGCAAGCAAGAGTTTCCAGCCCCCAAAGAACCGATACTACCTAGCCGATAGTGGCTTCAATATGCGGGAAGGGATTGTCATTGGGTTTCCTCGTACTTGCTATCATCTCCAGGAGTAGCGAGCTGCAAAGAGGCGACCTGAAAATGCTGAAGAGCTCTACAACCTCCGCCATTCAAGATGGAGGATTCGGGTTGAGCAAGCATTTGGGTTAGCCAAGAGGAAGTTCCGGATCCTCAACAAGGGTGGCGGTCCAGAATATTCGTTGAAGAACCAGACGCGTATTATATATGCTGTTACTGGGTTGGTCAATTTCATTCTACTTAGCGAACAACGAGCACGCCAGAGAGAGGCAGAAGCACAGTATGGCGAGGCTGAAGTAGTAAGGCGTCAGGAAGAACAGCAGATATTACAAGTCTGCCGAGAGAGAGCAATATATCTAGTGGCAAACACCCCGAGTGAAGCCATTCGAGCAACTGCAGCAAGGAAGATGTGGGCAAAGTTTCAATAGAACTAGTTACATCTCTTTAAGCTAACTCTTCAAGCCAAAGTTGAATATAGGCTGCCTTTAACTCGTTTGATTGTAGAGTATTCCAAGTGACTGCTTCACGGCTAACGTTGATCTTGCTAATCAACCGAGCCTTTTGAATAGGTGTTAAGTCCTTCAACGACGGCTCGGTTTGGAAAAAATCCTGGATGTTGTAAAGGGCCTGGACAATTGCTTCTTTCTCTTCCAAGGCATTTACTGCTAGCCGAGCTGCTGCCCTCTCCAAGCTCTTGCCTAGAGATGCTTCTTCAACCTCCCGTATAGACCGCTTCTGTCCACGTATACGGCTTGAAGCAGATGAGCCAGGCTGTGGTGTTACAAGTCTTGCAAGGATATCGCTATCAGCCGCTTCAGGTCTAGACTCTTCATTATCGGAGCTCAAGTCTGCTAGATCGATCGCATCGTAGGCAAATTCGCAGGTTGCTCGTTTGTTAGGAAAGATGTCGGCATATTGATCCACGTTCTGAAGGCCGACGTTGAAAAGGAACTTTGCATTCTTACCATACCGGGCAAGGAAGGTCTCCTTCTGAAGGTCAGAGCCAATAGCTCTACCCTCCTCGTCAAAAGAAGTACCGCTAATGCTCTTCCACTCCAGGTAGTACCTGTACTTCTTCTTCTCGGAATCGTACTTGATCTTAATCTTCTTCCTCTCCCAAGGAAAGGCTGGAAACAATTCCTTCATCTTGGTAGCAACAATATCGAGCCCGACTGCTTGGGCACCTGCGCGAGGGACGTTGAAGTCACCAGCCACTGTCCGCTCCCGGAAAAGTTCCATGATAGCTTCGTACATCTCAGATGTATAGGCAAAGTTTCCCTGTGTGATTCGGCGTATCTGGGAGGGCTGGGAGGACTGGGAAGTCGGCTGGCTTTGGGATTCAATCGGCTGGCTTTGGGACTCCATGCTGAAAGTAGCTTGAGCTTCATCGAGAATAGGCTGGATCTCAGGGTCGAGAAGACCCTCGAGGTCTTTCCAGTCGGCTTGGTTCTGCATGGCTTGGTTGGCTAGCTGGAAAAGAAGGTGTAGAGTAGAAGAAAAAGAAGGCGTACAGAGTAGAAGAAAAGATGCAGGGATATTTTTTACACCGCTTGCCTAAAAGGGACTAGTACGGGTACAAAGCATTTTAGCCCCGCTTTTTTGTACCTCAGTGCGCACTGAGGCCGCACTGAGATGGCCAAGGAATCACACCCTAATGATGCACCTTCAGTCCACGACGCGACAAGCAGCCCGCGATTCCGCCGCGCATTGAATTTCCAACAAGGTACAACGTGCACATCCGACCGACCTGACCTCCAGAGCCGCCGACGCCCCAAACACGACGCAGAACCAGTCTTTACACAATTAATCGACATCGTCGCAGATGGAAGTGTCCACCCTGTCGGCCCAGGTCGCTGGCGGCCACCCGGTTCCAGACGTAGACACAAGCGCAGATGTCAACGACAGCAGCCTCAGCCGCCTCGAGGCCTTGATCCTCGAAAATGCGCGGAGCTCGAAGTCTATCTATTCCAGTACCATACCAAATTCGTCCGGGAGGAAGCGCCTAAAGCTCGACCCGGCTCTGGCCTCGTTAGACCCCGACGTCACCAAAACAGCCTTGTCCCTCCGTCTGCACGCCGAGTACAGCGATGTCCTAGAACTCCCCGAAGCCCTCGCCTCCAAAATCCCCGCTGCCGGCCCGCGCAAGAAGCAGCCCAGGCCAAACGCCGCCCAAGATGCCCCCTCCAAGTCGGAAGAGCATGCGCGCAAGCTGATCGAGGGCATACCCGCCGTCCAAAATGCAGTACCCCTCGGCGGAAGCTCTAGCGCCCTAGTCCTCTCCCGGAAACCCGGCACCGCGGGCAAGCCGGCACAGACCCAGCAGCGGAACGAGCCATATCAGACGAGCCTCGCGCAGCGGTCCGACATACTCGTGCAGCCGCGGCCAGATTGGCACCCGCCGTGGAAGCTTATGCGTGTCATCTCCGGCCATCTCGGCTGGGTGCGCGCGCTTGCCATCGAGCCAGACAACAAGTGGTTCGCGTCAGGCGCCGGCGACCGCACAATCAAAATCTGGGACTTGGCGTCGGGCGCGCTCAAGCTGACGTTGACGGGCCACATCTCGACGGTGCGCGGGCTGGCCGTGTCGCCCCGCCACCCCTACCTCTTCTCGTGCGGCGAGGACAAGATGGTCAAGTGCTGGGATCTCGAGACCAACAAGGTGATCCGCCACTACCACGGCCACCTGAGCGGTGTGTACACGCTGGCTCTGCACCCCACGCTCGATGTACTGGTCACGGGCGGCCGCGATGGCGTGGCGCGGGTCTGGGACATGCGCACCCGCAGCAACGTGCACGTGCTGTCGGGCCATACCGGCACTATCGCCAGCCTCGTCTGCCAGGAGGCCGACCCGCAGGTCGTCACGGCCAGCCTCGACTCGACGGTGCGCATGTGGGATCTTGCCGCCGGCAAGACCATGGGCGTATTGACGCACCACAAAAAGGGCGTGCGCGCCCTCGCCACACACCCCAACGAGTTCACATTTGCCTCGGGCAGCACCGGGAGCATAAAGCAGTGGAAGTGCCCCGAGGGCGCGTTCATGCAGAACTTTGACGGCCACAACGCCATTATTAATACCCTCTCGGTTAATGACCAAAACATCCTCTTCTCGGGCGGCGACAACGGGTCTATGAGCTTCTGGGACTGGAAGTCTGGCCACCGCTTCCAGGCCCTGGATACCATCGCCCAGCCTGGCTCTCTCGACGCAGAGTCTGGCATTATGAGCTCCATGTTTGATCTGTCAGGCACACGCTTGATTTGTGGCGAGACTGACAAGACGAGTGAGTTCTTTTTTCTTTCTCCTTAATAGATTTCAAATTGAATACTAATGCAATTCCTAGTCAAAATCTGGAAGGCCGACGAAAACGCCACGCCCGAGACACATCCCCTGGACTGGAAGCCGGCGTTTGCGACGCGGAAGTTTTAGGACTCCTGGCTGGAGAGTACACTCCCGTATCTGTATTGTACAGTACATAAATGAAATGCTTCTGATCACCATCTGCCGGGGTTCCCCCATGCTTCTTTTCCTCCCTTCTCTGGACCTGGGTCTATTCTAGTGTCTGGTTATTGGCATGTGCCGATTTTATCGCTTGGGGAGGCTGGGGGCGATCCATGTTTGTTCAAGGAGAAAAAAGCTGACTTCGGTTCTATGTGTAATTAAATTCAGGATTCTTCTTTTAAGGCGGATGCCGGGGCTTTTATGCTGTACATCGTGAAACCCCGGCTCTCTGGGTGGTTCAACACGGGCTTGAAACCGTTTGATCTGGTATTTGAGGTTACTGGAGAGGCTGGCCGGCCCCCCGACTGGCCAGGTAAACTGCATAAATTTATTATACATCGTCACACGTGTAGGTAATCACGAGCAATAAGTATAGGGCCGATGATCAAATATGACTCGTCCAGTGAGCTGTTTTGTTTTCTTTCCATTTTCTTTCCACTTCTGCCCCTTTTGCCCCTTTCCCCCCCCCCCCCCCCCTTTCCCTTTTTTTCTTTTCCTCGTTTTTTAATAGATTTCTACCCCCAGGTTTCCGGGGCTTCTTTTATTCTTGGCAAGGAGGAAAAAAGATAATCAAGCCCACCCATCATGCACTAGCCGTGCAAACTAGACTATGTACCTACTAGAAACCCTGACATTGGCTTGGGTGGCTTGGGTGGCTTGGATGGCTATTTACATACCCGCGATCTCGCGTGTCTTTATAGTAGGTATTCTAGTAGTCCTCGATATAAGAACCTTTTTTCGTATATTTATCACCACGCATATCTATACACATAGACGCCGTCTTCATCTTCATATTCCTCGAGTGTCGATATTCGGGGGTCTGCCGGTACGAGACTGCCGTGGCAACCCGACTTTGGGATCTTCTTGTCTCTTGCCGATATTTTCATCAAACCGCTGCCTTGTTGATGGTGCTGATGCGGACGCTGTTGCGTTTCTTGCCGCCGATATTTCCTCGTTTAACGCCTCTGCTGCTATGTCCCCTGCTTGCCTCCGTTGCTCGTTATATTCCCGTGTGCTTCTTGTAGTCATCGGCTCTTGGTATATGTGTTGAGTCCCATATTGTTGTGAGCCCTCGTACCGTTGCTGACCCGCATAGGGCTGACCCATATATGGTTTTTGAGGCATATATGGTTGTTGAGGCATATATGTCTGTTGATATGGTTGTGGAGGCGCATAGGGTTGTTGGCTCCCGTGCTGGATCCCTGTTCTCATTGCCGGCCCTTCTTTCCTCATGTATATGGTTCTCAGCACTTCAATCTTCCCCCCATGTGTGGATTCTTGCACCCCCTCTTCAACGCAGAGCTTTGTTATCTCCTCTGCAAAGTAGGTAAGCCTGATCAATATCTCTCTCTCTCTCTCTCTCTCTGGACCTTCTGGGTTTCTGGGGTTATGTTCTTGTATTCCATCTTTGCATGCGGCTCATCTTCTTTCCTTGCTCTTTGCATCTCGGCCACTAGAACCTCGAGGCGTGCATAACCTTTGAGGTAATAACCCTCGTATCCCAAATCTACCATGGTAGGCTATACAGATCAGATTACAAGAAAAGTAGACTTATAAGAGAGGTAAGGGGGCTGAAGTTGGCAGGGGGGGTATTGCCAGTGGGGTTCGTGCTACGGTAAGTGGCTCCAGGAACAGGTAAACAGAGTGAAAACCACTTGTTGCTTTGCCCAAGTCTATTAGGCCTGGGTCAGGCCGTACGATTGAAGCTGAAGCTGTACGACGGGGATACTTTCCTGGACGCCGCGTGGGTGGCCCGGTCGGCTGTGTTGCCCGACCGCCGCCACCCGCGCTGTACCACCCCAACAAATGTGTGAGAATATAAGTGATGAAACATTTGCATGCACCAGGGGGGCCCGTGTTCGAGTGCCTTCAAAACTTGTTGCGGCTGCTTGTACTACTATTACACTGAAACTGAAAACAAGTGGGAACGGAACCAAACATGAAGGGAAAATGAGCAGATAGAAAAGAAACCAACCTGAAGGTTTGCCTCGCTCCCAAAGCTGGATATCGACAAACAAGACGGCCGCTTTCCTCCCCGAGGCGGCGGATTTTGCTGTCCCCGCTTACCAGCTCCAACGCGGCTTCCATCACCGCCGTTATCTCCTACTCTTGACCTTAGGCCTCTCCGCCTCTTCTTGCGAAGAGGGTGTATTCAATTTCGGTTTTTTTATTGGTGTGTATACTTGTCTGCTTAGCGAACAACATTTCTTCTCCTGTGGAACTCCGTTCGGCATCCCCTTTCGCACTTGAAAGGCCACTGTGTTCTTGATGTGTGTAGTCGCTAGAGTTGTGCCCTGAACTGCCTAGAGGTGGCAACCATGGCTCTGGTCTATGAAAGAAACTCCTAGTGTTATCCCTGCCCTGTGGATCGTCATATCTCTGTGGATTTGTGCTATTTTGATTCAATTTTGCTTGCATCTTGTCAACAAGATTGATCGACCGCTGAATCAGTTTCCTTTTCTTCCGTAACCTCTTCCCCTCATTGTCTATTCTTTCCCGTTCTTCCCGATCTTCCCTTTTTTTTCTTCTCGGGCCTTCCCAGGCTTCTACTCGACTCAAGTAGCCTTATATTTGCTAGGATATATTCTTCACTGTGCTTCGGCATTATGGGCTGTTAGGCGTATTTAGTTGAAGCCAGTTCGTAACCGTGAATACGATAGTGAAGAGGTTGCAAACTTGCAAGAAGCAGAGGGCGAGGCTTGTTTACAAGACACTAGAGAGGATATTTATGTTATTCAAAGAAGCCGCAGTGTTCAAAGACTTCTTTCCCTGTCTTTGCAGGATTGACATCCCCTCTTTATGGAAGTGTCAATCTCTAAGAGAGCAAGTAGCCAAAACGGAGATTCGGGATTTCGACAAATCCAACCGCCGTGTCAAGGCATGTATGAAGATCTTGCAGGGAGTCAGGCCAGGGGCTTCACCCACACCGTTCCCAGTAGCAAGCGAATGCCTTGAACGGACAGCGGAATCCAGGAATTCCATGTGTACCTTGAGCAAGATTTGCTGGGCTGCTATTTTTTCGGCTTGGCCACGGTCTTGGTGCGTTCACAAAACGGGCCGTCTTTGCGGGTCGGCTGGCTGGCAGGCCTCCGGGCCTCATCCCGTAATCCGGCCTAGTCCGCGTCAGCTCATCCCACCTCGGGTCGACCTACCCGCTGGAAACGAGAAGCATTTGGGTGACGCTCTTTGGACGAAATAATATACTGCCGTAGGAAGAATTATTAAAGCCCCGACAAGAAACATCGAGACTCTTGTCGTGTACAAAGATCAAACATACGCGGCTCGGGGCTGCGCCACTCCGGTTGCCGACTTCCCAAGCTTTATAAACAAGATAGTTCTCCCTTTTCGTTGAGCAACATGCATAGAGAGCCAGAGTTTCCCGTCAGCACTCTAATCGTCTGGTCCGCTCTCTAGAGATACCGCAGCAAAATGCACGTCCAGCGGAGAAGTAGAGAAGGCGAGGTGAATGTAAATTTCCTCACCTGGAAATTAAAATCCAGCCTTCTTTCTAAGCGTCTAGGTCGCATACTCTGTCTTCCGACCAGGCTTGGATCGAGTTGGAGCTCATCAGCTGTCATAGCAAGCGACTAGAGGCTGTCAAGGGAAGTTACCTAGCTTGGAGGCGCGAAAGGGGCGTGGTCTTAGATGAGCCATTGCGATGAGGAAACTTTGAGACAGAAGAGAAGCGTCAGCTGAATGCCGGTCGGGCCGGTGACGAAAACTTCATGCCTCTTCCCCCAAAAGAGATTCCGCTACAGCATGGTGTCAAACTCACGATCTCAGCCCCTCCTCGGGCCTCAAGCGACCTTCCCCACCTCCAGAGCAAGAGAGGGTTCCGGTGCTATGTCCGTCATCTCGAGGTTTCGACCTCAAAGTATGGAATGACTCTTACCCTGTTTGAGTCAGGCCAGGTAAATCACCGAGGAAACTGCACCTCCAGCCTTGAGACGAACAAAAAAAACGTGACATTTTTTTTTGTTTACCTAAGCTAGTTTGCTCTCCAAGATGCTCCCACGAAATGACCTCCAGCGATACAAACGCGTCTACAAGCTCAGTTTCCACTGCTAGGCTTTCTCGACCGACCAAAAAGACGCCTGAACGAAAATCCATCGTTGCCTCTGCTTCCTCAGGTAGGGCTTGAATTTTCACTGCTCGTCGAGTTGAAGGTATTCGCACTGCTCTTCGAGTCCCAGGAGCTCTTTGAATACGCGCTATCACTTCTTTTAGATCTAGGGAGAACCTTGAAAGATGATACGTGCTGTACTGTAGGTGCTGTAGGCACTGCTGCTCCGGCGTTGCTATTCAAGTCGCAGTGGTCCTTGGGTTGGGCAAGCTGTCTACTAGTTTCAATGTCAATTCCTCGACCATACTCCTCTGCCATCTGGTGACATGCGGTGACTTTTTTTGTTATCTCGTTAAGTTCTGCTGCCCCTGCTACCCGTGCTGCCTCTGCTGCCTCCTTCTGCCTCTGTCTCGTCTTTTCCATAATTTTCATCAATTTCGCGGATTGCTTCAATTTTTTTATCACTAATAGCATATTAGACCTGCGGCACACCATTGACCATGGAGGCTGGGGGTCTGAACATGATAATAGACGAGTAGGCGTACGTAGAATAGAATAGACGACTGTATAAAAAGAAAAGAGGCGAATGGAATAGATTCCGCAGGGACCAAACGTTGTGAGAGAAATGAAGCGAGCAAGTCTCCTTATCAGGATTTCGGGCAGTTCAGGAAAGGTGCAATGCCAGCATCGGTCCGGACTCTCTTCCCATGGCGAACACCTCGGCTTTTGTATTCCACTCTCCACTCTCCTAGATACACAAACGCAGCTCCATTCTGTTGGAGTTCCGCCAAAGCCTGGTGGCATGTATCAGGCTCTCACAGTCACATAGCGAGCCGCGGATCAGATATCATGTTCTCTTTCCACCCTAGCACCAGCGACTGGTTGGCCTCGGATATCCATCGGGTTTGGCCTGGATTTGAGACGATGCTGCAACATGCTAGGGGAGTTGGTTGGCCGGCCAGGTAGCATGATTGTTGGTGGCGGCGTGGTAAACAACACCCCTGAATCGATCCTCCATACAAAACCCTAACCCAGCCCCGCAACGGCCTATTCAGAGTCAAATAACCTGGCATACTATGGAACACAGATCTCGAAAATTATCTCTTTTCCTTTGTGGCACCGCTATTGTTTTGTAATCATTGTTTCGGATTTTGTCTACATTCATTCTTCAATCAAGTCTTTATCAGATGTCAAAGGTTGAAGTGGCGGTGATCACGCTTTGGTCTTCGTCCCAACACCAAACAGTCAGCGGCCTGCTAGCCAGCCAACTGGACCAGCATGCCACCACCACCAACACCAACATCGAAGTCTCGAGAGACGGTCGTCGCAACACACACATACCGTTAACCTTCCTTGTCCGAACGAAAAAGCGCGCTCTCCTTCATAGCACGCGCTTTACGCTTGCGAACACCAACCATGGATGGAGCAACTACTAGCGCACTCTCACCAGGTAGCGTCTCCATGACCTTGGCATCGATTGCTGTCACCCCTTCTCCCACGCATCATCACCAGCGTGTTAAGCGGTAAGTCGGAGTGAGTTGCGACATGTCTCATCTTGATCGCAATTTGCCTTCGAGCCAGGTACCAGGTACCAGAGGCCAAACGGATAGCGTGTTTGCTGTGGGGGATGCTGCCGAATGACTCACTCGGCGCCGATGGGTTGCCGCAGGGGGAACAACGTGACCGACAAACCACCAGCTCATCCATCTACCAACGGCTCAGTTTTTTGCCAGCACAAAGAGGTTCATCCAGTTGGAGGGCGCCACAACAGAATCTCCGGCTTCCCAGTGTCTAGTAGGCAATGAGAAGAGAAGGGGGCGGCAGACATCACATCCTAGCATGGTCAGCATTCAGAAAGCGGGGAGGAGACGATGAGGGCAAAATCCGAGACACCCAAGCAATAGTTACCACGCCGCCCCGCCCCTCCCGCGGCAAAGACTCTCTCCTCTTCTAGCATAAGCATCCGGATGAGACCTGACCGAGTGGCGACCAAACAAGTTATTACCATGCGCTTGAAATCCAGTAATGTGCGAGCGCCACAGTTCGTTCATTCGTAGAGTATCATCGTTGACCCGAGCATGACCGGAGGCTGAATTAAATTCGGTAAAAAACGAGGACCACGAATAGTTCGACTGTGTCAAGATAGGTAGCTGCTAGCTGTGGGTATGGCTAATCGCACTTCTCTGTACTAGTCGGGGATCCTAGAATCCAGTTGTCCGTCCAGGTAGGGCCCGAAGGTCTTGTCTGGAAAAAGGATACTAAAACTCCAAATTGTATGCAATAGGCCTCAGGCGGAGAGCAAGAGCGTCAACTGGGCGAGCCGTCTGCCTTGCCGGTCCGCGTGGAAAGGCGTCAGCCCGTCCCATTTTCTCTGCTGCCTGATTCCCCCATTATGCTCCTAATAATTCCCCATTCCCCCTAAACGTCCGCAAAGACGCCAGATATCTCTGTGCTTGTTCGAACAAAGTTTAAAAAGAAAGGATAATACCACTTGCATCGTACACAAGACAACAACTGCCATCGTCATCAAATTGACCGTAAGTCCACCTTCCCCAAATGCCGTTCCCTCCGGTTCCAGGACAATGCATGCAAAAAAGACGCGCGCTTTTGGCCCGTTCCCTTGGCTACCATCTAAGCCGTCTATAGAGCTAGATGTCTCCAAGGAAGTGTTTTTGTGGAATCAAAACCCCATCGAGATGGCCGCGATTCTCATTCCCCAAAAGGTTCGACAAAGGAAATTCGATTAGTGTCACAAGGGGGTTGTTGTGATGTTTGTTGTTGATATGTTCAGCATGTGTATAAGGTGATATTAATATGCGAGGTCCATAGCGTGTGATTTACTCGAGGATGCCTTTCCACATCCCTGGAGCACCATAACCACCGACAGCAGGGTGGATTGATGGGATCAAGAAGGATGCAGCTGCTTCCGTCGAGCAGCAAACTCGCTTGTGGCTTCCTCCCAGGGCAGCACGAACGGGTATCTGCTGAGATTGCTCAACAAAGTCGGTGCGCGCGCGAACCATAGCGTCTGGCCAACCCGAATTGCTGAGGAATCCACCAACAAGCATCTCCCGAACATTGTCTTGGAGCGAATTATCGATGGAAACCGCCCGGCTCCGCTTAGAGCCTCTCTTTGTTTGGGCCGTGGCTTGCATAGCACCGTTGCGCTGCAACTCCTGTAAAGCCCTCGCCGCGTCGTCAATCTCGCGTGGAGTCCCAAGCGACATGTCGCACAAGTCCTTTCCCACCGGGCCGGTGTAGGACTCGGGCGATGCGGTCAAGCATTCCTCTTCATAGACTTCGGGAACCGAAGCAATGGTTGGTCTCAAGCTAAGCCTCTCTCCGCATAGCTTCGCATATCGGCATCGCGCCTGTACATCCAATTTGGATGACGGCGCGCTAACCGATGAAGAAGCAGATGAGATCGAGGAAGAGCGTGAAATCCGGGACGAGTCCGAAACCATTGATTCGGGCGAAGACGCAGTCGAGATTGAGTTTGCAAGAGACGATCGACGGGTGAAGTGGCTCTGAGGGGACAAGACGGATGATGGAGACCACCGATCAAGAGACTGGATGGCCATGGTGCACGAGGCCTGGGCCATGGCGAAGCCCATCGAAGAGCTTTTCCCAAGGAGATAGGACGCAGCACCCACAGCAGGAGTGCTGAATCCGCTAGACTGAGGCGTCAGACGCGGTGTAGGCAGGAGACCCAGCGCAGGAGCCAATCGACCAGGCGTATATACAGTGGCTGGAGTTGGCTCCATGACGGCCGGAGCACCGTAGCATTTGCGTGTCGGGGCTACGTCGGCTTCGTACCCGAAGGCGCAGACACGCTCGTTGGGTGGAGTATAGAGGGACCTCGCAGGGGTTTCGTTATCCAGGCCTTGACCTGGCCACCACGAAGCCAGCTCCTCAACGTTGTCCAATTCAGGTGTCAGGTTGAGAATAACATTTCGAAACTCCTCACACTGCCGCTCATACTCCCCTGGAGATCCGCTGCCGGGAGAAGGGGGCTGAGAGGGCGTGAACTTCATCACACACTCGGTCCACCGGTTGTAGACCTGTTCAGTGATGTGGAGCTTCCAGTTAACGGCGAGGAGGAAGGCCATTTCGTTCCGGTTGATTTCAGAGGTCTCGAGACCCGATATCTTGCTCCAGGCGCGGGCCGAAAAGTTGCGGTCCTGCAAGTACTTTGAGGCTAGGATCAAAGCCGCAAGGAACATGCGACGCCCGCATTGCACGGCCTGGCTGGTTTGGCAGTAGCTGGGTTGCTCCATTGTGAAGTCATGGTCCGGCACGTGCGGCTTGATTAGTATCAGGTAATAGAGAGCCACTTGTAAGGTGGAATAGCTGGTCCGCGACCGGCGCAACGTTTCTTGAATGAAAGTGCGCAGCGGCAACACGGCGTTGTTTCCATCCTCATTGCGCGAGACAACTGACGAAGTCGGCCAGATAGCCTCAACAATGTGTGTGGAAGAGTCTGGACAGATTTGGTTTGAGCGCATGTCCATCACGGTAGGCTGCAAGAATCTTCCTTACCAACGAGGTTGTCGACAAAATCCACCTTCCGGTCCGCTTGTCGCACGAGAGGCGGAGGCCGTCCGCGGGATGTAGCGGAGTTGTAAGTTCGTCGAGGATTTGGCGGCAGCTCGGTCTGGGGCTCGCCCTGGGAGTGCTGAAAAACCGGTTTCTGCTGCCATGGCAGCCTTCCGGCAGGCTCGAACGAGCCCTTGACAGAAGAACCGCAGATGCCGCTTCCAATGGAGCTTACCGAGGACTGTGAAGAGCTTGTGGGACCGGAAAAGCAAGAGTCGCAGGAGTCGGAGTCGGATGTGGGAACACTCAGGGTGGTATCGTCCGAGTGCTGGGAGGAGGTATCGGACCAGACCGATGTGGAGGAGGCCGAAGCCTTGGTGGCTAGAGAGGAATTGTAGGGGGCATTGCAAAGTGACGTGATGAAAGCGAGCGGTTCGAATCCGTCGCACTTCATCTTGGGTTACGGAGGGCGGGTGAGCTCCCAGTAGCCTCCAGTCGCCGTCACGCTGTGTCGACTGCTGAAACCAAAGTGCTGAGCCGATCGTGAAGACCTTATCGAGATGCAAGTTCCACAACAAGTCCCATTGACCGCTGTGTAACTATTTACGTCGAAAGGGGAGGCGACTTCTAGAGCGATGTGCGCGAAGCCGACTTTTCACGAAAGATCAGACCAGGAGACAGAGAAGAGACGGCGACTGGAGTAGAGAGGGTTTTCCCAAGAGGCATTGTGTGTGTCTTTCGCTGATACGAGCGGAAGAGCGAGGATATATGGCAGCTAGAGCGCGACCATCTAGGCGGAGAGCGGGTTATCGAATGTGGGCGGTTCGAAACGCGATACGGGGGTGGTATGAAGGGTTGGAGACGCGCTGCAGATGATGCAGGTACGGGAGCGGACGCGAAGGTGTGGCTAGAAGCTCGAGGCTCTTTTAAGTGACTTAAGGGCGACGAGCTGGTGGTGACCCGCGAATAGTAATAGAGTGACTCTTTGGGCGCGTGGTCGCTAGGGGGCGAGGGAGCTTTCAGGTGCCGCTATAGAGTGAGTGGGTTGGCCCCCTGGTCTTTCTCGATGACTCTTCGCGGTTTCGGGGTGGCGAGGGCAAAGGGCCTAACCGACTCTTACCGCTGGGGAAACAGGTGGCTCCAACTGGCAGGAGTACCCTGTAGTGGTGTGACCTACTCCAGACAGAAGCCTGAAAGTGTCTCTTCTTCAGGTGGGCTGTGGCGAGTGCAGTCACGGTCTTGGGATGGAGATGCAGGCAAAAAATGAGTGAGAGGAGAGTGTTAACCGTGTTTGGTTGTTGGGGCCTTCTTTGACGGCGGGCGGCGCTGGGCCTTCTTTGTTCAGGGCCGGATTGAGTAACGTGGGCAAGCGGCAGAATCGGGTGCTAAAATGACCAAGACGTCGATCAGAGAGGAGCGGCGTTCTTGTATCGGACCCGGAAAGTCGTTTAGAATGTCTGCTGTCGGTCTAGTTTTTTCCTTTGTCGCAGGGTGCAAGTGAATGCCGCGCGAGAAAGGGAAAAGGTCTAGACAAACAGGCAGGGAAGCATTGGAATCGAAGAAACAGGGGACGGGAGAGAAGAAGACGAAAAAGTCGTGGACCAAACGAAACGAGAAATACAATGACTAGATGTGACGAGAGAGGGGAGAGAATACACAGATCTCACAAGCAGACTACTGGAGTCGCTTCTTCCTAGATCTTGGAGTCGATCATGGCTGCTGCTGTGGTCGATGGGGAAAGAAGGGGAGGAGGAGCGTCCCGGCAAGGGCTGGGTGGGCTACGGTGCAGTTTTGAATGGGGGGCGCTGGAGATGCCAGACTACCAGACTTGAACTCCGTGGGCAGCAGCCAACCCACAGCGCTGTTCAGTGCTGCACTCTGCTAGCAGGTGCATGCGCATCCATGCCTCCACCCGGGCTGGGAACTTGGTTGTCAGGCCCTCCTTCCACTTACTTTTCTGGAAGTGCCTCCATTCCACCTTTCACTAGCAGCACCACCACTATCAGAGTTCCCGTCGTCGATTAAACTCACGCAAGACGCCGTACTGCTTCCAAATGTCCCCCAGAACAGAACAGCGATGAAGTGTCCCCCTCAATCAGAGTTAAGGCAGGTAACCTAAGGAAACCCTGTCACCACTGCTTCCTCCTAAACCTCAGTAGCATACTACTATCGTGATGGTCAGTTATCTGTTTAGAGTGGTTCTTTTCCTACCTCTTGTTGCACAGTGTCCCCCAATTGTAGTACCGAATGATTTCTCGCAAGACGGTACCGTCTGCCGGGGGGTTGGCATTGCACACACCTACTACGGAGTATTGTAACAGGGCAAAACTAAGCGTGTCTGCTCGAGAAGCCATCATCTCGAGGTTGTCTTGTCCTCCTGGTTCTGCCATTCTGCCCTCCCGAGGCCACACCGTCTTCACACCCACCCCCCTTCCCCCTTCTGCCCACACTTCATTTCTGTCGTTGCTTCTCGATTCGATGGTCCGGCACCCATCTCACCCACTACGAGACGCTCTTGCAGTTTCAACTCGCAGAGGATGGGAAAATGAGTGCGAATCGGCGACGCATTGATTGGCTCCTCTGCTGCATGGCGGCGGGGGCAAAATCTCGTGCGCCTGTGTGGCTAGTTCATCCATCCAAGGAGCGGACGAGCATCACAAAGCCAAATTTACCCCTGTCTAGCGCTTGGCCCACATGCCAAAAGAAGCTTAGCCTCCAAGCGAAGGCGCAGAGTGCATCATGACCACACCCATCAGCACACAAAGCTGTTTCTGTTGATCCCTGGCTCTGCCTGCTGCCACCACAGTCATCTAGCGTCCCGTTCGTTGTTCTCCATTTTGAGTCCGCTGCCTGTTCCGCAAAGGCAACACATCCGCGTCTTGGGTTGTTTTCGCCCGGCATCTTCCAACAAGACAAATCCAGCACCACCACCACCACCATTTTAGGTGTGGCATGAAATAATTACCTAGACAGCGGGCGAACTGAAGACGATCGTGCAATTGATATGTATTTTGCCATGTTGCATACGCCCTCAGGCCGCTAAAAACTGTAGGTGATTTCACCATAAGGCCGCCCAGGCATTGCCCAGGCACATCGTCGATGAGTCGACTCACTCACACAAAATATCTACCGTACACAGTAGGTAATTTCACTCATCAAGTGCGAGAATAATTGGCGAGCTGAGGTGCCCGGCGCTGTTCAGCCGACAAGGGGGGTGGGAGGGAGTTCGTCGAGCTCACTCGCCACTCCTTTACGGGCGAGCACGGCCTGTGCACGGAACACCACTTTTCTTTCTGCCACTTCCATTTCCTTTTTTTGAGTTTCTTTACGGAGTACGCTCGACCCTCTGAACGTCGCAATTGCCACCGTTTTTTTTGCTTCACTAAGTTTAACTTCGTCGTTTGATAGTATGATAAGAAACTTACTGTTTGTCGATCTCTGCGATTCCCCTCATTTCGCCTCTTGCCTCCTTCCATGTGTTAGGTCATGGTGAAAAAAAAAGGTGGCGTCACATAAACTCAAGACACTTCATCCATTTTTCCTCATTTGATGCTGCTGTGTGTGGTTGTGCTGTTGTTATGGAGGGTCCATGTTTGCAGTCATTGGGTGGTCCCCGCCAAACCCTGCCTTGTCCAGTGACGCATCGAAAATGGCATTGCATCTGCTGCTTTGTTGCTTTGCTTTGCTTTGCTTGATTGCTTGCTGGCCCGGCCTGGCCTCCTCACAGCCGCGCGATCAGTCATCCAACACCCAATTTCATTCATCAATGTATCCGTACCAACTTGGAGTTAAATTTATCGCAAAAAACGCAGGTTGAAGTGTATGAGGCACAGCACGGCTGAGTAACCATGGACGAGCTGTGCAGGGCTTTGTGTGAGAGCAATGATGCCTATGAGAAGCAACCTACACGTACATTGCCTTCTAGGTTGTGTTGTTGCACATCATCTTACCTACTCATAGTGGGACATATCTTACACTGACGGGGGTTTTGAGCGCCTGTTTTAGTGAGTGCCTAGGACGACTTAGCGCTAGGAATTCCAAGGAAGTGGCGCTCTTCTCATCACGCCCAAATCTCTCTGATGGTTTCAGGGACCGCCAACTAACTCCAAGGATGGTGTTCAACTCGGGAACGAAGCCCATGCAGCCAATAACCCCTTCTTCGCCATCGCTTATTACCCTAACGCACCTGGCTATGTCTGATGAGACTCTCACATCATCGTCGTCATCGTAGGGACATGGTCAGTGCAGGCAGATGTCTATATTTGATCATGATACAGTGGCATAGTCGACCACGTTGTCAAGGTTCAGAGTCGCGCGACTCCTTTCCCCACACAAAATGCAGGCACGGATCCATGCCTGGGCTGTGCCAGTCAACCCCCAAGACCGTCAAGCCCCATCAATGCCTTCGACACGCCAGCCCGGGAGCCCGGGAGCAATCCGCCCGACCACCAGACATCCAGCCAGTGCTCTCTATTGGAGATAGCTCGGTATTGGAGATGGCTAGGTATAGCTCTAGTGTATGTCGTAAGGTTGGTAGGCATTCCAATGTTTTTTTTGGGTTGTCGTGGTGTTGACGCACAAGGAAGCAAGTGTAAGTGTTAGGTTGCTTCTGTCTCCCCACGAACGGCGGACGCGATGTGCTGCGGCCACCACCTAACGAAAGCGAATAGCAAGCCCACCCTCTCTGGCCCCCGACTGGGCACTCTACAGCCCGGACAGCTGGCCAGGACTCGCTTTGGGGCACTCTCGGACCTGGCGAAGAAGCTACAGATAACTTTTTGGGTTGCCCCTCCTCTCCAAATCCCAAATGCTGGCCGCCCAATCCTTTGCGAGCCGTGTGCCGGCCCCGCGGTAGGTGGCTCTCATTCGTCCGGCGGAATTGATAGGAGAGCGAAAGCCGGCCACTGGTGGGCGCTGTGAGCCGTCGTCCCTGCCATCTAAACTCACTTCGCGACGGCCAACGGCTTGGCCGACCTGATGGTGCATGCTGAAGTGCTGCGCGTTTTCTGCACGACGACAACAGCAGCAGTGAACAACCCCCACCAAGTCGTCGTAGCAATGGACGCCAGCTATACTTTCCCCGCTTCTTGCACGCTCGATGATGCCCCAACATGATCGGAAGGCTGATTGTTTCCGGACCCGTGCCAGCTCAGAGTGTGCGCATTGCCTACAGTATACGGCACCTACTATATGTATGTGGGTGTATAATGGAAAATAAACTTTGTCAAGAAGCTGGTTCAGTGACGCCGACCAAAGACGCAGAGCAACCCAACATTACCTAGGCGGGGGTTCGTCCGTCTCTCGTGCGAGGCAGACAGATGGATGTGGGGGGAAACCTCTCGGTAACTCAACTCCTGTCTAAACCTACCATCTCCTATGCAATGAAAGCATGGCGGCCAAGGCTACGGTGGCGGTTGCGGCCCCGACCCCGAGCAGCCTGACCTGCCTTTGCGGAGGAGACACGCAACATGGAACAGACTAGAAATTCCAATCAACACGCATCCTGCTCTCGGCTGGAACCGACCCTCCCGAAAGGTGGTCATTTCTGAGAGGCGCGCCGGAAGAGAGGGCCTCCAGCTCGAAACAATGCCGGCCATCGAATTTAGCCTCCTGGATACCCCCCTCCCCCCCTATGGTGCAACCAATCATACGACGCCCAGCAGGCTGTTTCCCGTTCAGTTCCAACCCAACTCTGCTGGGTCTGCTCCACACGACGATGACTCAACATCAAGTTTGTGAACACCAGAACTTATTGTGCCGCCGAGACGGCCAGGCCAAACAACGGCGCATGGCCCGCGATATCGGACGACATGGTATGTAGCCCGCCCTTGGGGGCCTGGGCAGCCAGCCAGCCCTGTAAGGATGGTGATGTCTTTTGTTTTTCCCTTGGTGAGGCCTCTGGTCGGCGGCAGCCGTGCCAACACATGCGCAAAGCTTCGATCATCTGAGCAACAAAAAAGCAAACCCCCTCACTGAAGCCAACAGGCTGACGGAGCCCCGTCAACGACGCAAGAAAAAAAACAAATAATGCTCGACCAAATGCCGTGCCAGAGGCCTGCGCAGGCAAACAGTCAGATCACGTTGCCGTCACCCGGGTGGAGAGAGCATCAGGAGCTTCTCCCGTCAGCTCCCGGGGTGAAAGAGACGACCGATATTTCCCGCATTATGGGAGACATACTGCACATGCAGAGTAGAGACCGCAGCGGGCTTACTATTTCCCCTCTCAGCCGATTCCCGTCACCCGACACATGTATCGACAACGACGGACCACTCGATAAATTACCACGCGGCCCAGCGGCTGAGCCTTCACCAAGGGGCCGCCGCCGCCCGCCAGACGAGTGACTCTTCCGAGCGCTTTGTTGGACTAGAAACGGCGTTTGCGGCCTCCCAAAGCGGAAGAGAGCTACTTGTAACCGTATTTTAGAAGGCTGTGGGAAAACATGTGACCTATTTCGGTAACCCCTTGGATTCGCCAGGTTCCAGGTTATGGAATTGTTTCTAGCGGAGTGTATAATAGCGCTGGGCCGGCGAATAGAGGTTGGCTGGAATGAACTTGTGAGATCTTGCTGCGGATCCGTAAGGTAGGCACGGGGTACTAGATTTGGCCACTCTCAGTCATCATCAACTGCCAAGGGTGGACAGCGCCGTCGGGCTCCGGGCGTTGCGAAGGCTCTCTTTCTCATCATAGCTAGAGCCCGGGAACTAGACCGGCTCCAGCCAAGTCTCTCGTCGGTCAATTATCACGAGAGAAAAGGGTCGACTTCTCGTTCCAATACGAAAGGATCATCAGTCGGCAACCCCAACTCCTGCTGCCCGTCCGTGGCTTGCCCCGTGTGTGGCGACGGCAGTGTTGATCACCACTTGCACAATTGCCCGAGGTTGTCACACAGGTGCGACCTCCGGGAGCAGCACAAAACCAGGCTGCCGCTGGTGGTGCTGCTTTGTGCCGTGCGCCGGAGTGTTTGAGATGGTGGAGTCAGCGCGAGCCGGCCGACCCTGACCCTGACCCTGACCCTGACCCTGACCTGACGCCGAACGAGCCCGCCCGCCCTGAACTGACCCGTCGTCCCACAGTCGTCCACCAGCCAGCCCACGATGGGATCGGAAGGCTTGGCCTGCTGGACTTGGCTTCCTTTGGTTCTCGTTGGAGAGTGGCTTGGTTATCGATCTATCTCTCCTTCCGGATGACGAGCATCCCCAAGCCCAAGCCAAGCCAAGCCCCCCATTTCGCCTTGCACCTTCGCCCCCTTAGCGACGCCGCCTCCCCCCTTCTCACTTCCACAAAGTTACCCCACATTTCCGCGCGCACCGGAATGGCGTGAACGGAACTTCATTTTGCACCTAGGCGGCGCGGGCGGGCTCCAGTTGTCCGGCTTTAGTCTTTGGAAGGGTTGCTGGCGTGACTGCGCGACTTTCCAGCTCCGGGGACGGCCACGTTCGGCCGTCCCCAACGACGGTGATAGACATACATACGCGCATCACTTAAAAGATCTGATGTGGAGCAATGGAGGCCCCCAGCCAGGTTGTGGCGAACAACCCAGCGGAAGGAGGACAAAGTCACGGGGCACCGCGCTGGCTCGGTAGCTCGCTCCACTGGCCTTCACCTTTTCGCGCGCTGTGCCGAGAAAACGAGAGACAAAACCCAGAGTCCGCCGCCACCAATGGGAAGCATTCCTGCCTAATGTTTAGTGAAGGCAGCTTATATCCCGTAATCGCACCCATGCCGTGTGTGTGCCTCTGCCCGTGGTGTGCGTGAAGCGTAGCGCGAACCGGCGATTTCCCAAAAGGATTACAGGTGAGCAAAGAAAAGGATCAGTGGTGTGTTTTTTCCTGCTTATTTAGCGCAGGCAGCAGTCTCGCGTCTGACATCCAGGGAACCACCCCACCACCACCACCACCAAACATATCCTTTTTCTTTCCCCATAAACTTAAGTTTTTTTTGGTTCATGTTGAGATCATTCATCATCAGCATCGGCATCAGCATCACGAGCTTCTTGTTTCACGCGATTCCCGTTATAGTCGCGCTGCGTATCTTCGTAGTCATCCTATATCCACATGGCCCAGATGAGCCCCTCCCTCCCGCTTCCCTCCCCGCCGTTCGGGCCGGAGTGAATCGGAGTGAATCAAAAGTGAATCAAGTGAAAATTGTTTCCATTCACATACATCATGGTCGCAAATGACGATGCACCCCCCGCGCCGCCCAACTTAAGGTGGTTTCATCAGTGCAGTACCTCTGTAGGTAGCTACCGTAGCCGCGCATAACCAAATCGTGATTTCGGAGTCAGACGGCATAGCAGGCATGGCAGGCATGGCAATGGTAGGTAATAACAGAACTCAAGCTGGCGCAGTAGAGAGCGAATCTCGGAGTCCGGAACCGCTCAAGTTTGTTTGCTACGAACATAACCTGCTGCGCATAAGGTCACGGGTCGCCGCCAGACCCTGCAACACAGATTCCATCATGACTGAACAGTTATACCACACACACACACCACTTGAGAATAAAAAATAAAAAAAATTGTCCGGCCCAGGTGACGAGGATTCATTCCGCTTCCCGTACGGACAGACAGATATGGCTCACCGCTGGTGACCCAAAACGGTTCCCGGTTCGTTCGTTTCGTGTCTATGGGCCGAGTCTGGCCGCATTCCTGCCTACGTTCCTCCCTCCCTGCTGCTGCCTTTTGCTCCTCAACGCTTTGCACCGACTTTTCGGATGGGGGGAGGCTTCCTCGCATGGCCTGTAATTTACATTTCGTTCCTACCAAGCTGTCTGGGCGGGTTGTTTGGGCGGTTGGTTGGTTGGTTGGTTCCCTCCTCCGCGGGTGGCGTTTGTAGATACCGAAGGTAAGGTAGGTAGGATAGTTGTTTTGTGGCCTCGCTCTTTCCGGAGGGATGGAGGAAGGAGCCGTTCGTAAAATTTGAACTCAGTCATAGTGTGCAAGCATCGTAAAACCTACTTTCTCACCTCTCTCGCACACACGCCGCCGCCGCCGCCGCCGCCGCCACTTCCCTCAGCCTGTTCAGACTCACTCACATAGTATGTATCATGTGTGTTAACAAACAAATTCGCCGCTGGTCTTCTCTCCCCTTGTCTTGTTAGAATAAAGCATTCCCGCAGAAGCTGTCTGGTGTTCTAGACGATTTCCCCCTGCCTGGCTACCTGCCTAAGTTCTAGGTAGGCAAAACGGCCCGCTGACACGGGCAGGTGGGCTTCGTCAACGGGCCTCTTTGTGTCATTTTCTTGATATATACAGTGTCATAATACTGTGAGGCTGGCAAATACTCTACCGAGTAGGGGGCGACGACTCGGCACATGTGTCACATCGCACAAGCAAACAAGGGCGGAGAGGGGAGGTAAGAACAAAGAGATGGTGATTGTCGGTTGTTGCTGGCATTTGCCTGGTTCCTGTGACTCGCAGGTTATTGCCCTCTCAACATGGTGCCACGGGAGACAGTAACGAGGCACGGCTTCTCTGTCACGGTCTGCAACCTGGCTCTTGGGGGTTGAGACGGCTACTGCAGGGTGCTTTGGGGGGGTTGGTTTTTTTCGTTCTTACGAGAGGCCTTGGTATCCCTGGAAACAGGACATTTACAGACCATCAACGTAGACTGTACTTACTTGGTAACTAAACGCTACTGACTATCGTGGAATGATGTGAGAAAGTAGCAAGAGTCACACCAGGCACCAGTTAGGCAGGGTACATAGTCGATGAAGAAGCAAAATTTATGTCTCTCCCGGGCAGATTGTCATGTTATGCTCCTGTTTTTTTTCTTCTTCTCCTCTTTTTTCCCTGTCGTTTCGTTTCTTAGATGTTGGTTCCTTGACGTTGCCTTCACCTTGAAGAGCTCTGGGGGCTACTCCATTAGCAGACAGTTCAATCTTCCAGTATACGTGGATACCAAGCATGAATATACCTATACACACAAACAGGGCGACAAAACGGCAAAAAAAAGAAGAAAAAAGAAATGTTTGGATATGACCCTGGCCCGATTTCAACCTTTCAGACTGTTAGTTGTTGATTCGCCAGGTGTTAATGTGGACAAGGCCTTGCTTCTTATTAAATTCCACACACGGTGTCAAAACCTAAAGAGCCCCTCCCGTCCTCATGCTCGGGCTCGGGCTCTTAGTGGAGGCGGCACTACGGAAGTGGTTTGTAGAAGAACATCATCTCTCTACATGGGATCCACTCGGGAATGGAGGCAAGACGGAGAAGCCATCCACCGCCTACCTTCCAAGGAGACATGGATCACGACTTTCCGCTGCAGCTCAGTTCTGTTTGTCAAGCATGGTCTGGAACATCACAAGGCGAACACAACAGTCTTTTCCCACTCAACCAGACCAATTGTTTGCTGTCGATCCTTCATATTGTTCTTCTCAGATAGCAATTAGACTGGGAACATAATACCCTCATGGTAATGAAACAAAAAGATTAACCAAAATCATCTCGCCGCCGAGAAATGCGAGCAACGAGACGCAAGAGGGCAGCCGTCCTAACCACTAACGTCCATCTTCCCCCCCGTTTAAACCGTCGAAATAGTTCATGTGTACTCCGCACACGAGGAATCTTAAGACAGCATCGACCAAGTACATTAAGAAGACGCAACCATTATTACTATCATTACTATCTACCTCTATCCTGCACTCGCTATAGAACGAACTCCTCTACCTCTAAAAGCACCATGGGATATTGATCCCTCTAGTCAGGGGCGTTTGATCATTGACAAGTATGGCGTACACCCAAAGATGCATGTATAAGCACAATCCCTCCAGAGCCTATAAAACAGACTCCCGCCACCCTTACAACCTCGACCCAAACGCCTACACGAGCATGCCCCCTTTACAAATTATGATAAACTGCCCAATACTAAAAGCAAGAAGCTTGACTCCTGTCTCCGGCGCGACAGTCCTCGTGTCCAGCGAGACAAAAAGGTGGCACGTCTAGAACGTAACGGGATCCGAGTTATGTGGTTCTCACAGATTAACCTAGCAAGAATAGAACGCACGCACTGGGGCAAGCACAGCTAGAGCAGCCGCAATCGCAAACTAGATTTTGAGTTGTTAACCAGATGCCACATTACTTAGAAGCTACAACAGTGACCGTGGGGACTAGACTTTCGCCGCCCATTTACCCATATTCTCTCCCTCGGAAAGAAAAAGATAGACTGTGTGGCTTCCGGCACTGACCCATTCTAATCGTACATGGCCTTGATTGACCGAACAAACTCCCGAATCTGCTAGTTTTCTTCTGAGCTTTTCCTGTAGAAGATACGCCCTCCTGAGTTAGCCCACGAAAGAGAGTTAAAGAAAGAAACCGAGAAACTCCAATAATAGCATCGCAGCATTGATCAAAACCAATGCTCGATTCTCCTGGCCCTTTGACAAGCCTACGAAGCCATGTAGGTGGAGGCATCAATTCCTTCCTTGGGGAATACACTGCAAGACAAGTTAGCATATGAAAGGGCGAGGGAGGGGAAAAGGGGGTCAACACGTACGGCAGTTCCACCTCGAACCGCTTCTCAACGGCCTGAAGAACCTCCTTATCTTGGTCGCTAGTAACGAACGAGATGGCGAGACCTTTGGTACCGAAACGACCGGCACGACCAACACGATGCAGGTACGAGTTGGCATCGGCGGGGAGATCGTAGTTGATGGCCAAGTTTATCCTTTCAATATCGATACCACGACCAAAGACATCCGTGGCAACACAGATACGCTTATTGAAGTCCTTGAACTCCTGGTAACGGCGAATACTACCGTCGGAGTTAGCACGCAAACTTTCAAATGAATTAGAGACAAACTCACCGCTCCTCCTGGCCTACACCAGCGTGCACAGCGATAGAGGGGAAATTGCACTCGCGCAGGAGCTTGTCAAGCTCCGTGGCACGGGCGGCGGTCCGCACAAAGATGATGACCTGGTTGAACTGTAGTTCATCGAGCAGCTCGTTGAGCTTTCGATTTTTCTCATTTTCATTGAGATTGATGTAATATTGCTGAAGGCCGTGCAGCGTCAACTTTGTATCCTCGTCAACGATTTGCTCGGTAGGGTTCTGCATGAACTTTCGGCAAATTGGCTTGATCTCGTCTGAAAGTGTTGCAGAAAACATCATGACCTGCTTTTGCTGAGGCGTGGCCCGGAATATCTCCTGCACATCACGGCGCATATCTGCGAGGGTCAGTATAGGGCGTATTGAAATGACAGGACGCAGGGGAACATACCGATTTGCTCGAGCATCTTATCGCATTCATCAAGAATGAACATGCGGACGCTACCAAGTCGTAGGTGCTTGTCCCGGACCAACGCATTAAGACGGCCGGGGGTGCCCACGATGATATGGGGATGTGTCTCTTTGTTCTTCAAAATCTCAGCGTCCTTCTGGATGGGTGTTCCACCGTAGAAAACGCCGGTTTTGATCTCAGGCATGTATTTGCTGAATCGATTATACTCGTTTCGAATCTGGAATGCCAACTCGCGGGTGTGGCACATGACCAGGACTGAGCACTCCCCGGCGACGGGCTCGACTTGCTGGAGAGTGGTGAGGACGAAGACGGCCGTCTTTCCCAGACCCGACTTTGCCTGGCAGATGATATCGCCACCAAGCATCGCCTGGGGAATACAAGACTGCTGAACTGTAGTTGACGATTGGATTAGAATCGGGATACGCAAGCGTGAATGGTTACGAAGGGCGGGGGAGACCAGATAAGGGTTCCGTCCATCGTCGCAGCAAATTATCCGGCTACCTGTCCCGCTACGCTTCTCGGTAGCAGGTTTAGCTCTAGTGAATCAATCGAGGTAGGCGAACGCGTAGCCATGGTAATCTACTGTAGTGGTTGTTTGGCCTCGTTCGTCCGCGACGACCATGACCGAAAAATCTCTCGTGGCATTGTGAGATTTTGGGAGGTTCGACCCTAAACCGAGATCCCATGAAGGGATCATGGTAGGTAGACAGACTCATCAAACCGAGCCTGCGGCTTGCATCTGGCCGCTCTTCCATCGAGCGTGGCAACAGAACCCCCGATATAATGGTCATGGTCGTCCACCTGCCCCTCGCAAGAGGCAAGCCCGATCAAGTCTGGGCGGTATGGCGACTGCCCAAGATCACCACAGGTTTCCGCGTGTCGCCGACGTGCCCAAAAGATGTTCGAGTATGGTTTCTTCTTCTTCTTCCTCCTTGCTTGCGAGATGGACGGACCCGTAGAAGAGGGCAGGAGGGGTAACGATATAAGCTGGGGATGAAATTGTCAAGACTAACCCTCCGACGGATGCTCGAAACCGCAGTCGGCGATGGCGCGCAGAAGTGAGTTCTTCAAGAGGAAGTCGCGAAATCCCGTTGAGTGAATGCCGACGTAGGAGCCCTTCTTGTCGACATTTTGACCAGCTGGAGCAACCTCGCCCTTCTTGCCATTGGCATCGGGTGCGGCGGACTCATTGTTGAGCTCGTCATCTGAGTAGTCGATTAGATCCTCTTCGGCAGACATGTTGAGGAGATTGTAGTGCGGTCGCGGTAAGGCGACGCGGCGGGTTTCTAGAGTGGGGGATAAACAAAGAGCGGATGCAGGCAGTTGGCAGGTGGATGCCGGAAGCGGAGATGGGAAAGTGAGAGACGCGAGGTCTTGTTTGTGTCGGTGCTGGGAAAACGGAAATCAAGGGCAGCTCGCGATCGCAACGACGGGGACGCAGCAACGGCTGTTGAAATGGACCGAGTTGCGCGGTTGGTGATTGATGGAGGAAAAATCGGAACGAGGGAACGGGTGAGAAGCGAAGCGAAAATAAGGTTGAGAGTTGAAAGGACCCAAGCACAGCCTCGAAACCTGGCTGGGGGTGGGTCCACGCCTATTCCGGACTAGTGTAAGGCGAGAGCCAGCTTGGGCTTGGAGGGGTGAGAGTGGGCCCAGCAAGCGGGAGCACGGACCACCTAAAATTACATTTGCAGCCATTTACGGATACGGGGACAAATACAAATTTCTTGGATGGAAAAGACCAAACACCTCGTTGCGACACTTGCATGGGACTTCACAGAAGGCCATCATCACGGCTCTAGGGCCCTTACCTCTCTCACTTACCGCCATGGCAAAGGGGAAGAGTAACGGCGGGGTGCAGAACCGGGCCATCTACTCGCGCGTATCTTTTCTGCAGCAGGCGGCAGTATTTCTCGCGTTGTCACGCTCGCCATCGCCATTGCCGCCGCAGCCGCCGTCGGTGTCGCCTCGCCATTCCTCCACGGGTTCGGCTCCGGCTTCTCTCATTGACTCTGTCTCTGTTCCCGGCCCAAGCTTCTCCCTACACGGGGTGAGCCGGCGGCTAGCCACCGATCTGCGCTCCATGTCGCTCAAGACTAGGATTCGCCTCAGTCCGGCCCTGAAGCAAACGATCTGCAAGTTCTGCGACTCAATTCTCGTTGAGGGGGAGACATGCACCTCTTCCATCGAGAACAAGAGCAAGGGCGGGAATAAGCCCTGGGCGGATGTTCTGGTGCGCAAATGTCACACGTGTGGCAGGGAGAGGAGGTATCCCGTCCATGCCGCCCGGCAGAGGAGGAAAGGGGAGAGAGATGTGGCCGACATCGATTCTCCGCCACAGAAGCAGCAGCAGCAGCAGCAGTAGCATGACTGAACCCCACGTCAATGAATGGATTTGAATTTTACCAAGACGGTCTCGTTTAACAACGTCGAGATTGACCCCAAACGCCGCGAGACCGGCTGCATGTCGAGCGACAACAAACGACAAGCCTGGCGATAGATAGCCTGCATAGCCTCAAATTTGGGCTTGGAAGAGCTTATGAACAGACGAATTATTTGCTCCTCAGGTGCCAGCGTCGCCCGCTTGCGGGCCGCGGCTTAATTCGCCAACATTGTAGTATCAAGACTTGATTTTGACGTCCGCCATCACGTCCTCCACTCGTACTACTAGTAGCTCTAGCGTACTACTATATAACTATACTACATTGCGATAGACTTAGCAAACTTTCTTCGTGCCGGCCCTGATACCCGGCATCTATCGCCAGGGTTTTACCGTCACTTCTGGCTCCCCTGCTGTACCGACTCTTCTCCGAGGACTTTACTGGCAGCCATAAACCTGGGCGGTGATACTTAGCAAACGGACACATGGGAAGGCGACGGAAGTCGACGGGCCAGCAAGCCATACTTACAAACCGCCATGCCAGCTCCCCAGGCCGCGCATGCACTCAGCCTGCACGCTAGTCATGCGCAGGAGGTTTTCGGTATCGGCGAGGTTAGCAGAGAGCTGCGCCAACTGCGAGTGAAGCTGGGTCTAGATGTCGGGTGTTAGTACTTTCTTTTACATTGTCGGCCAAATGGCAGGGGCCTAAATATTCGACACAAATGAAGAAGCGAATCACAAAATTCACATCGCAATAAAATGGCCAATTAGACATGACCAGGTAGGCGGGACCATGAATAAGAGTATGAGAAGCCCATGCCAAGTCTATTTGTCCTCTCCTCAAACATGCATGCATACAGGTATCTGTAACCCAAGCTCCACCACACTGTTGATGTTGGGGCGAAAAGACGGTTTGCAACACGACATGGACGGAAATATCCGCCCGGCCGAGAGAAAAAAAAAGAGCCGACATTGGAAGGGGGCAGAGACTAGAGAGTAAAAAGCTTACCAACTGCCTCGCCTTCACGGCGCTGCCCGAGGAAGCCATCGACGGGCGCGGTGCGGCGCTGCTCTGCGCATTTGTGTTGGTACTAATGTTTCGCGTCGCCATTTTTGCCACAACAATGCTTGTTTTTTTTCGCTGTAAGCGCCCTGGTTCGTTCGGAGGGATTGGAGGCAGCTTGGGGTTTTGTGTAAGTGCGAACCGACGAAGTCGGGTGCCCGCCCTGCGCCGTCGCTACCTTGTCAGGAAAGGAAGGAGTCGTATTCGGAGCCCTGGGGGCGGCCCAGCAAAAGCAAGTCGTCCTTCGATGCCGGGGTTTCCAGATCACCTTACGTAGGTAGCAGGGAACGAGAAGAAGGCGACTGGGGATGTGTTTGAAGAACTAGGAAATGACGCGCAGGTGGCGTTCGCCGTCGGTGACAGAAGTCTTCCATGAAAGGGTTCTGGACCAGCATAGGGCAGGCAGCCTTAGCGAGCGCAGCCCTGCGCGGGACAGGGGTTATGATCAGTAAACGCGCCAACGCGCTTAGGTAGCCGTTCGGTACCTACTGTGTACTATACAGAAATACAGAAAGGTATTTAGTAACCCACGACGGGTGTATTCGGCTCCGGTTCGTTTGCGGATCGTTGCAAAGACGGTTGTCAACTCCCCCTGGATTTAAGCCGGGAGCTACCAAACCTTGCATAAGGTAGATGCAAGTCCCGGGGGTACCAAAAACCAACCTTCCTAAATTGACTAACAAACTACGCACCCGCCCAGGCCACTTGGCGGCGTTGAAGGAACAGCCTTGGGGCAGCGGTACAAGGAATAAAAAAAATGAAATTGTTCTTGCACGCTGCGCCGTGCCCCTGGGCTGGGTCGTGTAACGGGAAAAAAAATGCACGACGAGCCAACTGTATGCCAGTCACTGTCTGTGTACTGTATGGACATCAGCATACATACAATACGAAGTACATAGAAAGATGACATTTGGCATGGCAACCTGCCATCAACCATGACATACATACACCAGACCAACGAACAAGGGGGACCGACAGAAATATGAACAAAACAGAAGAGGCATTTATTTATATATCTGTCTGCGAGTGTCCTCTCCAATATAGGCGTAATTATGTCGGTCTGTGTAAGTGTATATGTGCGCCCCCGGGTAGGTAAATATTCATTTTAGACCCTCTTTTCTTTCTTTGTTCCTACTTGTGATATCCTTCTTCTTCTTCTTCTTCAAATATCTGTTCCAATAGTCAGGTAGTAGTAGTAAGTAGTCGTCCTCGTCATCATCGTCGTCCCTCATCAACCAACCGACCCGACAGTTGTTCTGAGCCGTCAGTGCCGTCCTTCGCTCCCATTTCCCGCTCAGAGGAACCTACCTCGAGCAAGAGAAGCGAAGGGCAGGGAAGGGGGAAGAAAAACCCTCCCGCCATAACGACAGCAGCCAACTAACAACACTCCTCTCTCCTCCGCTTCCGGGGTTCCACTCGAACATGACCGCCAGGTACATAGACTCGGCAGCCAGCCAACAAAACAAAAACAACAAACATTAAAAAGCGGCGGTGGCCGAAGCAATTATAGACAAAAAGGACAGATCCAAATATATAGAGAGAAAGGCCAGGGGGTTAGAACTCACGACCAGTGCGCACTAGAAAGCAACCAGGTATGCGGAGATAGGGAAGAGGATAAATGCGAGAGAGAGAAAGAGGCAGAAAAGCAGAGACAGAGTATTCGCGGGACTGAGAGAGAGAGAGAGACAGCAAAGCAAAGCAGACGAGAGAGAAAAAGGAAATAGAGCAAAGAAGGAAGAAACCTAAATTTTATACACGACCTGACCAAGTGCCCAATTCTGGGATATTGCTTTGCTAAAACCCTCTCCATCTCTCTCTTCACCCTCTCTCTCTTCACCCTCTCTCTCTTCACCCTCTCTCTCTTCACCCTCTCTCTCTTCACCCTCTCTCTCTTCACCCTCTCTCTCTTCACCCTCTCTCTCTGTTTATATCCCCCTCTTTCTCTCCTCAAAACAAGGAGGGGAAAAAACGAGTCTCCTCTCTCTCTTTCCCTTCTTTTGCCTACTTTCCCAATACTGACCTATTGCCGCGACGCCAAATTATCACCACAACGACCACCGAAAGAAGGAACACTCCGAGCAGAATATTCTCAACCGCTGCAAAGACCCCTGCCCACTCCATGCTTCCGTCATTTTCTTCCGCCATAGAGCTGCGTGGCGAATTCCCATTATATGCTGAGTCAAGCAACAGAAAACAGAAAAGAGTAAGATAGATAAATAAAAAGAGACAATAATAATCGTCATCCGCCGGCTCTCTGATGCGGTATTACCAGAAATAAATAGAAGCTGATGATCGTTCGTCGAAATTCCTATGTACTGGGCCCCTTCGTTCTTCGCGGAATGAGCCAACTAATATTATGTGTACGCCGTGTCGAAGAATAAGCCAAGAATCCCCTTTCTAAAACGTGAATATATCTGTAGGACCAGTCGCGCCGTCCCTACAGCCGGGAAGCCTCGAAGATTAATAATCTCTAATAAACCAATTCCACGTCACCGGCTTCGTGACCATGGCAGAGTAGCTCAAGCGATGCTGATGAAAACGCAATAGCCTCGACAGAACATTGATTCTCACATCCCCAACTTTTCAAGTGGATCAAGGTGCTAACCGGCCGGCATTTCCCGGCAAGCACGATGCCGGGGCGCTCGAATATGCTGGCAATCGACGCGTCGCCGCCTAGCGCACCCCAATCGGAGGACGGGGACCTAGACTGCTTTGGCTGCTGTGGGCAGAGGGCTCAGAGTCGAGGTGAGTAGAATCACCACTGCCCGCGCTGGCGCTCGCACTACCAGTCAGACTCGGAACATTGATTGCCTTGGGCGGTTTCAGGCTGCTCACCCCGACATGCTGCTCCACCTGTTGCGGTGCGACATGGTTGCCGTGTCCGGGAGGATATTGAGGAATAGGCTGTCGGACGGCATTTGGCGGGTAGCCGTTTGGTGGCCCTTGATAACCATTTGGAGGCCCTTGATAGCCATTCGGCGGCGATGGGCGCCCACTACCGCCGCCGCGGATCGATGGGCTGTAGGGGTTTCCAGGCGACTGGCTACTTCGCCGGGGCATGTTCCCGTTCATGTGCCCGTTCATGCCTATAGGCATAGGACCCTGAGTGTACTGCAGCTCATCAAGACGAGTCGATGTTAAAGAGTTCGCTCTCGATTCCGCTTGCATGATCCCTCGGTCCACGTTGCCATAGCGGTTCGAGGTGAAGCCGATGAGAGGATCGTCCAAAATGTTTTCATGCAGTCCTGGAATACCAGTCATCACCTGGCTCGTTCGATTCCTCCCAAAGCTCGGTCGAAACCTGCCGCCCCGAGATTGCTGCTGCTGCTCCTGTTCGGGGTTCTTGCGGATTGATGACATGCTACTTGGCGCTTTCCTAGTCTTTCTCGAGGTGACGCTCATCATGTCGAAATTATCGGGATCAATCATAGACGCACCCGGGGTAGAGGAAGGATCGAAATAGTCGTCGTCGTCATCTTCTTCATCGTAGACACCGACGCCATTTTGACGCATTGGCGGAGGCGGTCCCCTTCTCGGCCCCTGGCCGACTCCAGCGGCAGCCCGCCTCAGCTTGATTTCTTGTTCCTTCAAGGCAAGCTCTCGTTGCCGCAGTTGAAGCTCCCGCTCTCTCAGGACGAGATCGTGCTGCTGTGGGTATCCAACCCCACCACCCTCTGGGATATCATCATACACGACCAAGTGGCTGAACTCTTCCAGGTCTGCCCCCTCCATTGAGCCTCGTCGAGACTGTTGACGCCCATTCGGCATTCCATTTGGTGGTCGCCCATAGCCATTAGGCCCTCCTCCGTTCATGGGAGGCGGCCGACGCATCCCAGGGACTGGCCCTAACTGAGAAGTGCCTCTCGGCCTCGGCCTCGGTGGGTGCATACCATTTCCGTTCGGCATGCCGTTCGAGACTGACCGGGGAGGGCCTTGCGCGGACATTCGAGGAATAGGTGACGGAGTGCCCGAGGGTGATCCTGGTTGCATTGGTGGTGCCATCACCTCCAATTTTGGCCTGCTGCGGTTGACCACGTTCATGTTGTGGAGGACCGCGTACAGAGTCTCAATCCGGGGCACGGGAACACCAGTCTCCTGAGATAACCTAATGGGGGAGCCGAGATAAGTCTCGACCTCCATGGGTCGTCTCGCCGAGTAGTCCTGCCACATTATGTTGTCTGACGTGGTCCTCGCGAATTCATCGATCGTGTTTTGCTTGAACTCCGCCGGGAATTTGCAGCCTTGGGCTTCTGCAAGTGCCAGCAGCTCGTCCATCACATCAGACACCAACTTTGGCACGCCTACTTTATCTAGAAGCGCGGTATAGCTGGCAGTCTCGAAGAGCACCGTCAAGGGGTGGAAGGCGATGGAGCTGCGAGTTGCCGTGTCAGTGGCTGCCGCGGGACAAAAAATTGGAGGGGGTACATCAATCCAAGCCCACTTACCCAATTACCCGCTCGTATTGCTGCTGCCGGATGTTACTCGACACCTTGCAATCGACCTGGCCAGTGCTAAGGGTCATAGCCAGAGCCTGCGCCATATCCTCCTGTATCGAAGGAGGGATATTTGAGTTCTTGTTAGCAGGCCCAACCCACACCTCTGTCGACCCCTTATGCTCGAATTCGCTCCCGCCTAGCTGAGCAAGATCGGCTCCGCAGACAAGCGACAAAACTACATTGGTTGGAAAACGCTCTTCAATGGCAGCTTCGAGGCCAAGCGAGTGCGTGGTATTAACGAGAATGCATGTATGCTGAGGGGTAACGACGGAATCGATAACCGAGGGCAGGTCGTAGACATCGGGCAGAGCTTTTATACAGAGAATGACGTAGTCGAAAGCGCCTTCCTTACGAGTGGCAGCCTCTTCTGGTGTTCGTACGACTGCATCATGGCACAGTTCAGTATGGTGGATGCTCTTCCGCACGGGGCGCGCACGCGCGCGCAATCACGAAAGGCGGGAGGGGTTTGCATACCATGTCGAGGCTTGAACCTCTCGTTGCCAAAGACGGGGGATCTGGAGCGCAAAGTGTCAGTATGGCGAGGGTGGCAAAGGAGGCTGGTTTGTGCGGGCGAGAGCAACGTACTTGAACGATATCCCATACTGCGACACATGGTCGTAGCCCGTCTTCCACACGAGAGTGACGTCGCAGGCATTAGTCGCTTGCAGTCGCCAGGATAAGAAGGCGGAGACAGGATTCCCGCCAACTATCACAACATTCATCAGCTCATAGTCCGACATGTCTGGTTGCGCTGGCGGCGATGCATGCGCAGCAGATCCAAAATGTTGGAGTAAAACGAGTGTGGTGATGCGACGGTCCGGGTGAAGAGTTGGACAGGAGGGAAACGTCAGAGAGCGAAAGCCCACTCTTTTTTGGGGGGGGGTCGTCCCGGAAATATGGTGTAGCAACTAGGCTGAAGACGGGAATGGTATACAGAAGGGCGGAGAGGGGAGATAGGCACAACCTCAGCTGGCGCTGAACGGGCGACTTACCTGACAGGATCTTGAGTCGGGGCGTAATGGGCGCCATAGTGGAGGCCCGATTCGGGATAGTGAGCTGGGTGTCAAGTTTCAAAGCTGCGAGTGCAGCAGTCCTCTTCTGGCGGACAGGGCGCACCCGGAATTGGCCAAAATGTCGCCGCTCGTGCGTAACACCAGCGCGGCCAACTCCACAGTCGCCTGCAGGCTTACCCGTCTCTCGTTGGTTGATTTATTCTGTATCACCAAATTTTGTCTCGCCGCGATATTTTGTCCTCTCCTGCTGCTGCCTCCTTGGGCGCTACCTTCACGACGCTTGCTGTCCTCTCTTTTTGCTGCCGACAATTGTGACGGTTGTGCTCGAGATTCGTTAAAAACCGGGCGTGCAGATCGGCGGAGGGCTCGAGGTTGTGATAGATTGAATTTCACACCCCGGACTTTCCTCTCCAGCACACGGACAGCTGGCTGCAGCAGAAACAGCAGAGGCAATTCGACGATCGACAGGCGCAGTGGCGCTGGAAATTCTAGCCCAGAAAATGACCAATGCAGCTAGCGAGCAGCATGCAGCAGCACCTGTCTGTCAAATTGTGCACTAAACGAGCGTGACGCCTGGACTGGTTGGCGTGGCCGCCGCGGGCCTGGGATCCCGGCCGGTATTCGATAGTCGGTCTCGGGGTGGCTGGGCGAGGCGTCCGAGGGCTTTGTGACGACGCTCGTGATGATAGGCCACGGATTGAAAAGGACGGTCTTCCCCCCAGAAATCCAGCGTGTGGCAGTCCTCGCGGTGTGCTTGTCTCACTAGGTTCTTGCAGCAGTAGCAGCGAACGCAGACGCAGACGCAGTAAAATCAGGCCCGGCGATAGCTGTGCTGAGCTGCGCGTGAGCCTGTGGCTTGCGGGGATGTACGCAGGTAACGAGCGGACAACTGAATCGGAAGTGGTAAGAAGCAACGGGGGAGGTGCTTGCTCTGCTCTCAGGTCGGGCTGGCTAGATCCAGATTCAAGTTCTCGACACAATCGGACACTGCCGAAAGCGAGAGGGAGAGGAGAGCGAGAAAGCCGGCGTTGGGGCTGATGGGGTTTGGAGCAGTCAATCCACCGAGGCGGCCCCGTGCAAGTCGTGGGGAATAGTAGGTAATAGAATTAGGATTAGGGAGAAATGTGCAGCAAAAGATGGTAGACAAGAAGGGGCCCAGCGAATGCAGGTGGAGGCGGCCCAACCTGGAGTTGCGTTGCTGGGCAAAAGTTAGCAGCGTTGCGTGTTTCGCCTGCACTGCACGCTCCAGTCTGCTCGTGTGTCCGGATATGCAAGTAGGTGCGCTTGCCTTGCTCCTCACCTCAGGTAGCCACTGTGTACGAAGTACCAGGGGTGCTGTTGTGGGTTTCGCTGGCGTATGCTTGCAGCAGGTAGTAGGTGGTCACTGCTGAATGCCAGTCATGCTTTGTCGGCGGAGCAGAGGGAGTGGTTCAGGTTTGGGATTGCTTCGGCGGCACACGGCGGAACAGCAGCAAGCTTCGATCCATGCACAGGGCACACGCACGCATAATAATAAGTGAGAAGGCGGCTTCTCTTCCTGCTCGTCACGGAAGCCACGGAGCTCGGGAAACAGCAACCTACACCAACGGGCAGGTTCTGTAGGCAGTGTACATATAACCCACGCCGTTGCAACCAGACAGACCGGCCAGGCAAGCATCGTATCTAGATACACGTTACTACGCCGTGTATCCGTACGTAGACGCGCTTCTCATCCATTAATGTCGATTCAGACCGGACGCAACTCAGGTATGCATGGAACCCATGTCTCACAGACTTACCACCTATAATACACTCGGTACTGCGCATGCGCGGTGCGTATGTATGTAATGTATTGTATACACAGTACATAAAATACAAACGCAGGCACGCGTCTTGCTTGGTTCAGGGTTATCAATTAGGTGACCCTCTTTTCGGGCGCAGAACCTTGGAACAAAAATCTGGGCTTTCGCTTCTGCCCATCGGGAATAGAAAGTCCCCCCCATGTCGATTAGGATCTCGAAAAGGTGGAAAGGGCGCCCCGAGCCAACAACGATCCGCCAGCCACTGGCTGCAGTTGCGAGACGAAAATAAACCCACTTGGTACTTGACTTGCCCCAGGGGCCAGCGGCCCAGGAGGCGATGGGATCAAAGTCCGATGTGACGCCCTTGCAAATCGGGGCCGGCCTTGGTGGGCGAATTTACAGGCGGATCGGAAGGGATGCACAGTTGCGCACGACAGCGGCGGCAGGGGTAAGGTTCTTTGGCTGGCTTGTGCTTAGAGGAGCCCTCGTTGCCGGCGCGTGGCTGTCTTTCCCACCACTGCGAACCATGGATAACCTGCCCAGACGAGTGACGTGGGGTTTGCCGCGGGCTGAGGTGGGCGGACGAGGACCGGGGTGTTCAACGATAGCGGGCGGCCCACTGTCGTGTTCAACCACGGATCCGTAACGAAGAAGTTTAGACGGAGAACAGGCCAGCAGGAGGTTTCCTCTTTTTTTTCTCCTTATTTTTTCGAGGCCAAGAGGGCCGAGAAAAGGCAGGCACTGACTCGCCGCTAACCGCTTGCCTGTTCTTTGAAACACTCGGAAGGTCCTCTAGAATTACAAAGCAGTCAGCCTGGACTGACGAACTAAACTCATATTTCTACACCCCACGTTCCCCGTCCACCGCCTCGTAACCTTTCAGCTCATGCGGTATCAATCTGGGCTTTAAAAAGCATGCAGCTACGTGAAGCCCGTGCCTGGGAGCGGCTAGCGCGATCCGCGATTCGGCTTCGTGTCAGAACATCGTTCGACAATCACCAATTCTCGACATGCACCATTGCACTCGGACTACGAAATGCGGAGAGTCTTAAAGGCGAGAATCAAACTCGCGCTGCTGCTCGGCGCCCAGGGCAAACAAAAAAGGAGTATAGTACCAGTTGGAGAGGACTTCCCATTTGGGAGCCAAGCCCTTTCTATGGCAAACTTTGCATGCATACGACGCTGTTCCAAGGCGTTCCCTGTCCTCCTTGTCCTTTGGAGTGGGCCATGGTCTAGCGGACAAGACAAACCGTCTGCCGGCCCGCCGTCCTTCTTGGCTAGAGATGCATATCAAGAGGCGCTTCTTGGAACGTCATTCCCACGATTCTCGGTGAACATTAACAACGTCGACTACATAAGTATAATGTTAGAAGGTTGAAGTTGATGCTTAGTGGACGACGGCAAGCGGATGTCCTCCGTAAGATGCTGTACTGTGCTGTACCTGACCGAGCCGCAAGACAGCATACAGCATAACAGTTGGCTAATAAAGCACGCTCGGGAAGGATCCGACGCGTACCAGTAGGTAACATCGTGATTGCGATCGTAAGGCAGCCACTAGGACAGCTAGGAATTAAGATTCTGTTTACGCATGTTTCCGCTCTGGCCTTTGAAGAGGCAGACAGACAGACTGAGACTGAGAAAGTACATCACGCCAACCAACGTTCGTACAATGAGACTACTACACTCCGTCCGTGTTGGCGATATTCATATTAATAACCTTGTTAGCTACCCGGTGCGTTGGGATGAAGAACTTTCTAGTAATAAGCTTTGGACACCATGCTCTTCCTGGTCCAGAGCCCGGGGCGCCTAGCAGCAATGTTTGACCGTTGTCTTGCGGCGGTTGAGCCGTGTCGTGGTTAACCTGGAACCTTATCCAGCTTCGTTGATGTAATATGTCGCCGCTAGACAATGTGTCAAGACCTGTCACGGCGCTTCGCCTTCGGTTCGTCCGAGTTTCTTTGCCGGATTCCGGGGTATGTACTTGCTTGGTATATTTTGCTTCCCCAAGCTCTAGGGACTCGGTGAGGTTCGACGGGTTCGACGATCTCTCTTGCAAGTCCTTCCATTCTTGGGGGCTATGCAAGGGGGCGCCATTCTGCCTCTAGATTCTAGTGATGTTCCTTGTTTTCAATCTAGCAGTCTAGATACGAATACAAAAACTAACGGCTCGGCACGGTTTATTAAGTTAAGGTAGGTATTTAGGTACCCGGTCCTGCCTACTAGACTTCCATTATAATGTAGTGCACTAATAAGTGAAAGAAAGAAATCCCAATTGGCGGGGGCTTCCATCAATCCGGCCAATTCTATACGCGACGCTCTGTATTCATACTTTACGAAGACTTTATTTTCCTATTCCATACCGAGTATTGTTACATACCAACCAGCCTGCTCCGAGATAAGATAAGGTAAATTCCCGACCTTCCAAGGGGTGGCTTAGCTCCAACGACTCCACCATGACAACTTGGCAGGTGCAGTTCGTCAGGGACAGACCTGGGTTGGTAATCTCGAAGCCATTTTCGTGGTAATTCCCGTCTCTCGGTTCTGTGGTCAAGAGGTCGGTTATCATCCCCATGCCATGCCTGCCCAGCTGTGCTGTTGGTAAGTGGGGTCGAAGTGTGCTATAGCACTGAGGCTTGAGTGCTAACGGCCACGTCCGCATCCGTGTTCATGAATGACGCAACCTGATTATCAGGCGCTCGGCAGCCCGAGAACCCTGCCACAAGGGAAAACGACCCAACCTGCAAAAAAAAAATGGTTATCTTCGGTTACAGTGCTAGCCCAAACGAAGACGCGGAGTCCATTGGCATCTACTGTTTCCGTTCTCGCCACCTTCTCTACATTCAATCTTGACGTATATGCGGATACCCAGCCGGGTACTAATCCAATTGATCTCGGTTGAGATCCCCGACGGACAAGGCACAGACAATGGCCATCTTTATCTTCTTTGGACATGTCTTTGCCGTACATGCATACTCCGTTGTTACCTACACGCGTGGTGGCGCAACGGCACGGAGAAGAGCCGTACGGTACGGAGTACCCGTCCGTACCCAACGTACCACGTCAGGAAATGCCATGAAACCCGCAATATATCTACTACGCCAGACTACTTAGCACATACTCCACCTTGGTAAGCATCGTTATAGCAAGCCGATAACTAAATGCGCAACCTAGGTGTGGATGGACAATGGACGTTAGATGGCAGGCGCTGGGCTAAAAAGACGACCCGTCGATAATGAACGAAGCCTTGGTCGGGTACATTGACAGCTGGAATTTCCACCTCCACGATTGGCGTGTGCCTGAGGAGCCTGTTAATGCCGTTTCTGCCTGCTCGACGGCAGCAATTAGCCGAGCCAGAGGAAGACACTACCTTACTGCACATTGCACTACTCCGCCTACTGAGTATTTACAGTCCATACCCATACCATAGTACAGCACACCTTTTCTCGGATGGCGAGTTCTCGTCGGGTTCTACCGCAGCATCCCGCGTGTCTCAGAATCGCAAGCTCCCGGGACTTGGTGAGTCGAGCAGAGTACCAAGGCGGGACGCGATGTTAGAGACAAATTGCGCCGTCACTTGCTGGCGATTCTTTTCTCTTGCGAGGCCCGTCCGGCCCCCCGAATCTCGATCTTGCTGCCCAGACTACCCTAGGAGCATAGAAGGTGGCTACCCACTTCTCCATGCAGTGGAGTATTGTGCCACGGTTTACGTGTGGGGGGACTCGCCCATTTCGTCCTTTGGCCCTGGAGGTGGCTTGCTGTTCTCGGGTGCGTTGTTAGGCGGCGGCATCAACGGCTTCGCGCGGGAAATGAGCTTGTGCAGCAAGCAGCACGGCGATAACTCTGTCAGGTCAAGCCAGGACAGACTAGATTGATTGCAGTGACAGCGCGTCAACGAATAAAGACGGCTCGCTTGCTCGCACTGCCAAGTGCCTAGATGGCACCGAGAGCCAGAAGTTGGCACATGAGATGATGAGAGATGCCCTGGAGCGTAAAAGCTAAGGTAGCTTTCACGACTGCCCGGCCGAAACGGGACCAAGATTTCCTTGGAACGGGTCGACGTTCCAAGGACGAGCCCCTAGTCCAGGCCCTCTGCTGGGGCATCTCCTGTCCTGCAAGTGCCATGTCTTCCAAGATGGGGAGTCCAAACTTTGATAATGCGATTGCTAGATCCGGATCAAGATGTCAAGAGATGATCCTGTCCGTCCTGCTCTCTCGCTCCCCTCCAGCGAAGAGACAGACAACAGAACAGGAAGGACAAAAGCGGAGTAAGTGCTTTTACCATCTCGCCTTTCGTCAGGTTTTGACGACGTGCCAAGAGACTAATAACGTCCAGAAGAAGTCTACCTTATCGCTGTTGAAAGATAACTTGGTTTCGGCATCAGGCCAGGCCCACTGCAACGTCCAGCCTCTCCCCAGAAACGGCTAATGATGAGGCTCTGTTTGGTCGACAGCTCTCGTTACCTTACTTACTAGCCTCCAAGATGGCCTGCCAACAGCCTCTGAAAGATGTCTTGTCTGTTGTCAGCACAGGCCCCTGCCACGGTTGCTCTCGGAGACTTTGCGCCGTCGCAACCGTCCACACATTGCCCACCAGCCCCAAGAGTCTCGAGAAGGTGTTGCGACTCTGGCGAGGTGTGTCAGCCAGCCATCTCAATTGGCACGGAGCGTTTGCAGCGTAATTGGCTCCTGCCATTCTCCTAACAGCTGCAGCCCACCTCCCTACTTGGGCTCCCGCAACCGCCGTTGAAGATTTCCGGTCCGTCAATCCAAGCTCTTGATCACAGTTTCATGTCCTTTCCTTTCGTCTCTAGTTCTCGTCCATTGCGCGTGCCTGGCAGTAGCAAATCAACTGGCAAGAATCGAATGCCGAGCTTGCCGGTCCGCGGACAAACAAGACCATGTGGTACAACGTGTGAGAAAAAGTGAATGGGTTCGGAATTGGCTTTACTTTTTTTTGGACGGCCAGCTGCCAATCGTGGCCGTCAATTTGTGGGGAGCCGTGGTATTGGCTAGGCCAGTCAATCAATTGCTTTCGACATCGAAAGAGGCAATGCGGGTTATTCCGTAGCTTTCTTACCACCAGGCCCCCACGACCTCGCTTTTTATTTAGACGCCAGCTTTAATGGGGCGTTGAACTTTTGATAGCTAGCCCGGTCGATAGGAGCTTGTAAGCTCCGGTGAAGCGTCGTGATTGGATGCAGCCATTGCTAGATCTATTTTGTCGAGGGCCGCGTGTTCTTGTTGAAGATCGAAATTCAAGAGCCCGCTGATCGTCTTGATATCTCATCAGCCCACGAAAACAAGATACGAAGGCTCGAGCAAAAAAAGAAACCGCCCTTATCGGAACAAATAGACACTTCCTTCTTTTACTCGGGGCCCGTCTCGTCGTGGAGAGATCGGCTTCTTTGCCCAATCCCGAACATTGTGTTGGCTTTCTTTTTCGAGTTTGTCCGCGCTTCGTTGGAGATGTCTCAGCTCCTTTCCTTCATCACCGGTGGCTGGCCTGCTCATCTGCGCATTCTGAGACATAGGACACGGTGGTGCGCCATACGAATCACACGAGAAGCCACAGACCCCCTTTTCCCCTTTTAAAACAGATGCGCTTATCTTCAGCCCTCCGCGTGGCTGCCACGGCTTGCTCTCGTCAAACCGTCCACACCGGGGCTGTCTTGACATGCACACGGCCCGCTGGCCGGGCGATTGTTTTCGTTGGGGCGTCGTGTGGCGCCGCCATCCCGTGTGCGTGTGCGTGTGCGCATGTGTATCGCTCTCGTTTGCAGTTTGGGAAACGATGGCAATACCAATACAATACTGATTTTTTCTTACACTGCCCTCTCTCTCCCGAGGCCGGGGATGCAAAGAAGATCTTGCCCTCGAAAACTGCGACTTCGGGATCGACTTGGCCTTAGGATACGAATCACACCGAACTGGCTGATCGTCTTGCTGCCATTGACAGAAAAGAGAAAAAAGGAGGGACTTAGTCGCACATACACGCACGCAAAGCTTTTGTCCGTCGTGACACATGGTTCCATGACCTCGTAATATGCCGTCGTGGTACAATACATACGAGCTCGTGCTCGCTCTCTCTATCTCTATCTCTCCTTGCCGTTTCTGTCCTGCTGCAGGACGGAAAGCAATGGGAAGGGGGAGTAAGAATGAAGCCAGAAAGAAAAACACGTGAAAACTATAAGTGTACGTCCGTACGACAACGACACCCCGCCAAGGTGAAACTAATTAGACCGTATCTGCATGAGTGAGGTGTGGTAGCAGCGTGACAGAGATGCACACGAGGTAGGAGGGGCTGTTTTACGTGGTGCTGGCAAGAAACTTTGTACCACCTACTTCGACAACGACTGCTATTGCTTCAACGTCTTGTGTCGCGGGATCAGACGAGGACGAGGCGAAACGATGGCTCTGGGGGAAGAGTAGCTTGCTGAGAAATAAAGAGACTCATATATTGTCGATCACAGAATAAAAGGTAAGGGTAACAGCCATAATGTTATATGAAGGTTGGGGAGACTTTGATTAGCCGTTCAGCCAAGTTATTTCATTATATGTTCTTCATTCATAGGATCTCCCAGGGGGGCGTCCTATGTATTCCGAAAGACTCAAGTGGAAGCTAAATAGAGGTTGCGATATACTTTGCGAATGCCAGAGACACAGACTCGTTGACCTCGTGGTTCAAGCCGCTTAAAGCCTTCTTCAGTAACCTAGCATAGACTTTTTACACCGCATACACTATGCAATCTCTTCCTTATTATCTCGGGAAAGGCTCACTAGTTGGCATATGCTTGCTAGAATCACAACCTCTGGGGAAACGCATCATAGCCAGAGATTGGAAGCGACAGTTACAGGCTCTAACAGTGACAAGTTTCAGTAGGCATCTGTAGCTCTTCCCTTCTGGACACTACAACGAGGGTATCGCGGTCAAACTCTTTCAATGTGAGCCAAGCTCGGTCTAAAGTGAACTCGCAGTTCCTAAGTCTGAATACTCAAGCTTCTATCTCATGCCGATGGGACAGAGAGGGTTTATCCGAACGGTCTAAATCCGTATAGAAACGGCCGAGAAGCAAGCATTCAAAAAACAAAAGAACATCGGCCTTCCTTCGAACATAACAGGCAACTGTCTGGAGAATTGGGCACACCAATATCTTAATAGAGAGTAAGTAGGTGGCCATGATGTCGAATGTTTCGGTGAGGGTGAGAGCAGGGGAACAGATTGTGCCCCTGACTCGGCCATGACAAAATATGAAGGTAACAAACCCAAACGGCAATCAATCATATGATATTACTCGCGCGCTCATGGTTCTCTCACAGACCGACCCAGAAGAGAGCATGTGAATGGATCCACGGCGTGGGAATCCAAAGGGATGGTAGAGAACCAACCCAAACAAAAAGAAAAAAAAAGAGTTCCATCCACAACAAACTCCACCTCAGCGACCCATCCATAGAGCCACTGTCCACATGCCTCCTACGTCAAACAAGAAGCAGCGGGTATAGCTCAGCTGGGAGAGCGTCAGACTGAAGTCACACTTCAATCTTCCCATCTGAAGGTAATGTGTTCGATCCACATTAGCCGCATCTTTGTCAACAACAATAGATCTAGCAACTGCTAGATCGTCTACTTTTTTGGGGGTGGGTGCTTAATTCTTTTTATCCCCGGTACCTATGGAGTAAGTACCTTAGCTATGGGAACAGATGCAAAACCCAATACTGTGTTGTTTTTTTATGTCGTATTATGTTGCTAGCAGCTCGAGGGCCAGCGTTACGGTCTCTGCCCACCAAGTTACCCGCTCCAGCGCCAGTCAATAGATTCAACACGATTTTTTGCTTTGGGAATTCATCAAGTATACCTGCAAGGCAGATAGATATTTGCTCGCATTTGTTGACTCGGGGGGATGGTTACACCAGTGTCAAGCTAGGGTGATGGACCGGAAGGTTGACCGGAGGGTTGCGATTACTCTACCGTACATTCTCTCGAAAGTCAGAAATGAGCGACGAGACTAAAAATGGAGAACAGCCAATAAGAGGCGTATCGCAGAGGACTCTGCAGCTCAACAAGTCGCCGGGAGAACTTTAGGTTGTGCCTTATTCACCTAACATTGGTGGCTCAGACGGATTCTTCCATTTTTAGGTCTCGCCGCCCATTTTCGAGTCTCGAGAGAATATACGGTACCCAGCCAGCCTCAAGTCCGGACTGGAACCGGACCCGGAACCGCAGCTGGGGCCGGGGCCAAAACTAGACCTTGTGGCTCTGCACTAGATGCAATAGTTCAATATAGGCGCCCCAACGGCGTCGGTCATCTAGTGTTACGACGGAAATAAATAAATAGCTTTACAAGTCCCAGAAATCTGACACAATGCATACTCGAACGTCACCCACACAAGCAGCAGGAACTTCAACTGATTTCATATCCTGTCTTTCTAACCCAAGCCGTGCACGATCAGGATCAAGATGGGATCTCAGATGAAGAACACCGACTACCAGGCCATTGCGGCCGAGAAGAAAGCGCAGCAGTGCGACAAGATCCCGCAGGACTGGCGAATCCCCGCGGACAAGTTCTATCACAGTGCTGCTGCTAGCGTTATGGACGTACCGCTCGCCTGCGGGCTGCTGAGCGAGACTGAAGCCCGAATCACTTCAGACTACGACGCCACCGCGCTCCTGGGAGAGCTCAAGGCTGGAGTCTGGTCGGCCGAGCAAGTGGTGGTGGCCTTTTGCAAACGGGCTGCCATTGCCCAGCAGCTGGTCAGTTGTGTCTTCGTCGAAAGCTATTCCCGTTAAAAGGACCTGCCGAAAGGAAAAGAGGCATATTGCTGACCTTGCCCCCCTTGCCCCTTTGTTCGGCAGACGAACTGCCTGACGGAGATATTCTTCGACGAAGCTATTGCGCGAGCTAAGAAGCTCGACCAGGAATACGGTGCCAAGTTGTCGCTGTCTCGCGGAGGAAAGCCGCTGCCGCCGCTGTTTGGCTTGCCCATCTCGCTCAAGGACTGCTTCCAGGTGCGCGGACACGACACGTCGACCGGGGTGTGCTGCTTCGTGGGCGAGCCGGCGGCGGAGCACAGCGCGCTGGCGGCGCTGTTGGTCGACCTAGGCGCGGTGCTGTACTGCAAGACCAACGTGCCGCAGTCGATGATGACGGGCGACAGCGACAACAACGTGTTCGGGCGGACGCTGAACCCGCGCAACAGGCTGCTCACGGCGGGCGGGAGCACGGGCGGCGAGGGTGCGCTGCTCGCGCTGCGCGGCAGCATCCTCGGCGTGGGCACCGACATCGCCGGCAGCATCCGCATTCCGGCGCTCTGCAATGGCATCTACGGGTTCCGACCCAGCGTGGGCCTAGTGCCGCACAGCGGCGTGCGCGACCTCGGCCCGTCGGGGACCGACGGCGTGCATTCGTCGGCCGGGCCCATGGCGACGTCGCTGCGGGACTGCGGGCTCTTTCTCAAGGCCGTGATGGGGGCGGACGCCTGGCGGTACGACAGCGCGGCCGTCGCGGTTCCGTGGGTGGACAACGTCCAGCAGCAGCAGCAGCGGCAGCCCGGCGGGCGCAAGCTCCGCATCGGCGTGGCGCTGACCGACGGCGTCTTCACTCCGTCGCCGCCGGTGAGACGTGGCCTGAAGCAGGCGGTCGATCTCCTTCGCGGCGACAGTAGCGTCGAGGTCATCCCCATCAACCTCCCCGACGTCGAGCTGATCAGCCAGGATCTCATCAGTTATGTGACGCTGTCGGGAAGCGATGTGAGTCTCGCCAGCTCCCATCCCTGGGCCTTCTTGCCACCTCTGCCCCGACTGACATAAATACACAAAAAAGCACTACTACGAACAGTTCGCGCGAACAGGCGAGCCGCCCATCCCGTCGCTCCAAGCCGGCGGCCTCTTGTCGGTGCCGGGAACGACGCTGCAGGTCTACTTCGAGCTAAACGCGCGGCGGGCAGCAGCGGCAAAGAAGTACCTCGCACTCTTCCGCGACAACGATCTAGACGCGATCCTCATGCCGCCCGCAGCGCACACGGCACTCCCGCTAGACCTGTGGACCAAAGCCACGTACACGGGCCTGTGGAACTACCTCGACTACCCGGCCGTCGTCATGCCCGTGGACCGAGTGCGGCCAGACGTGGACGTGGCCGACGACGTGAGCAACGCCAAGTTCGGCCCGGACGACGAGCAGCTGTACAGTCTTTGTAGGCGCCAACGGATCCCATATCAAAAACGGGAAAAAAGACTCATGCTGACACGTTTCTTCAATAGACACCGGCCCGGAACAGTACGAGGACGCGCCGGTCAGTGTCCAGCTTGTTGGCTACAGACACAGGGATGAGGCCTTGGTGAAGGTGGCGGCCGCTCTGGACTCGATTATCAACAAAAAGGGAATCTAGTCTTAGAGAGCAGGTACCTTGACTAGCGATTATCCGCTTCAGCCAGGACGAGAAATGAAAGTCATTTCTCATATGTACGCACGGATTATGCGATTGCTATTGATTAGGTACATACATACACAAACCAGGCCGCTAGAAGCAAGCCGCGTCCACAGCGGCCAACACGGGACACGGCTTGTGTATCGAGTCGAGCCAGCGGCTGTTGAGATTCAGATCCCGCTCGCGCCACACCTTGACGAAGAAGACCCTGGCCACCTGGCGCAGGGGCGGCGCGTAGTGGTCGACGTAGCAGTCGACCCGACAAAGCACGTCGCGGCGGCTGGCGTCGCCCGTTGCCTCGACGGCGGCGACGAGGAACGGCAGCGCGGCGAATCGTAGCGGCCGGCCGGCGACGCGCCTCGCCAGCTCCAGCTCTGCCATGAGTTCCTTGGACCAGATGTCTGCCTGCGTGTCCTCGCCGCAGCCGAATGGGAACCGCAGGCGGTGGGCCACCAGCAGCGCTCCCAGGCGGTAGGCTTTGGCCTGTACGAGCAGTCCGACGAGCTCAGCCGCGCCGAACTGCTCGGCAAGCTGGTCCGAGTGTTCTGGCTGCCAGGACTCGACGGCAGCATTGACGTTATCCAACTGCCAATGCAGGCGGGCCAGGACGGCCTCGTCGGTTGCGCAGAGGAGCGAGTTGCTGATGACGCAGAGGTCGTGGTAGTAGGACAGCAGCGGCAGGCAGAGGCCGAGGCGGCGGTCCACGGCAACCGAGGCCGAGGCCGGCGCCTGGATCCGCCGGGCGGCCGGCTTGCGCCGATAGACGAGATATTCCATGATCTCTACCAAGACCAGAAACGCCTGCCACGGATCGCCGCGGGAATCCGACATTGCCGTCCCCGCGAACGGGTCGGTAGTGCCGAGGCAGTAGCGGCTGACGTCGGGGATGGCGTCTAAGTATGTGTCGACGGCGCCGGGTTGGGTGCATTGCTCCTCTTCCAGCTGCTGATCTCTGGGTTCTTCCAGCTGCTGCTTTCTGGGTTTTCTCGTTAACACCGTTCTCGAGACACGGTCCTCCGTCTCATGGTCTCGGCGTGTCACTCTCCCCGCGGGGCCCACCGGCCGTACGGTTGCACAAGCCAGGCCCAGCCGTTTGCACCGTGCACAGAGGGCCGACGTCGTTTCCCGCTCGCATCGTTCTTTGAGCTTGTAACATCTGTCGCATGCGCTTCTCAGGTTTGGCTTCTTATTTACAGATGCGACCATTGTGCTTGCAGGTGCGGTATATGACACGGAGTTACAAGGATTGTGACGGTATTGGACTTGGCAAACAAAAGAGCAGCAACCTAAAGTAGAAGGAAATGTTATGCGATCCTGGGCCAGAGGAGTTTATTTGGACCTATGGTTGTGGGTTGTCCGGGGCTGTATGTATACATCCGTTCAGAGACGGAGTTGAAGGAGCGACTTGTTGGGTCGTCGGCGAGTCAAGTTGCGTTGTTGGGGATCGGACTGCATAACTAAGGTACCGCTAAAAGACAACCCCTCGAACAGCCCGAAAGCCCGTGCACTCGGACCCCAAAATAGCCCGGTATTCCATCGAGGTACGGATACAAGGCTGTCCGTGCTTGTGGAAATACCTGAGGTAAACACCTATCTGTTCTTCATCACAGCTACTGAGATGGTGAAGCCGCCGCCCATGACTTTCCGGTGAGGGTACTATCTATCACCCTACAAATGCTCGCCCCGACTGTATGCCCGCGGTCCGCGACGCTGCACGGATCTCGTGTCCTCGTGTCGGGAAAGGGCGCGGATATCTTGCGTGGATTCAGATGAAGGCCCCAAAAGATAGACCCGGCGTAGATATCCTCGCGCGGGAGCCCTTCCCGCGACCCAGGGAATATGCGAGTATTCTCCGCGTCGCGGTTCAGCGCAAGGCAAATGAGGCTGGAGAACAACAACAATGTTGATCCGAAAGGCGGCCGGGCCGTTCAGAAAATGGTCCATAGATTCCAGCCAACCACGGAGGCCTTGGCCATGAGAAAAGCAAAGATGGATGCCATATAGGCGGCGCCCGTGATGACGACGAGGCCCCTGTAGTCACCCCTGTCGAGGGGGACAACTCTGCTGGCGATGGGAACAGCGACGAGAACAGCCATGGAGACGACGGTGTAGCACGTGCCGTAGTAGCGGCCGTACGCCTGCGTGGTACAGAGACGGCTGATGGAGACGGGCACGAGGCTGATGTTGCTCCCGCTGGCGAAGCCAAACAGCAGGGCGAATATGACGATGCCGGGCTTGGTGCCGCCGGCGGGAAGCAGGATGCCGAAGCAGGCGAAGATGGACACGCAGACTGCCGCAACGCTCGTGTTAAAGGGGCCGAGAGAGTCAGCCCAGTAGCCGCCCACGACGCGGCCAACGACGGAGGTGGCGTTGATGATGGCGACAATGTTGAATGAAAAAGCCTGGGAGAAGCCCTTGCTCAGCGTGTAGCTAGAAGTGTATGTCATGGGGATGAAGATGGCGAACTCGAGCAGGAAGGCGGCCGCCGCGGTCCAGGCGAAGCCTTTGTTGTTGAAGATGCGTATGTCAGGGTGTGGGCTGGCATTTTTGGCTGGTGGGAGGCGCGAGCGGACCAGGAAGTTTGCAACGATAGTAGCAACAAGGCAGATGACCGCCAGCGTGCGGACAGCCCAGGCCAAGCCGACCGTGACATACAGTCTCTGCAACACCAGCGGGAACAGCACGCCGCTGACCGAGCCTGCAGTCATGGCGACGCCCGTAGCGAAGCCTCGGCGCTCCTTGAAAAAGTGGCCAATGGCGGCGACGGCGGGAGTGAAGAGCATGGAGCCGGACAGGCCGCTGAGTATGCCGAAGGCGAGGAGGAAGTGCCAGAACTCGTAGCTCAGGCTGCTGAGGACTAGGCTGACGGCCAGGCACACGGTGCCCGACAGGATGAGCCAGTGCGGGCCGTATTTGTCGAAGAGGGGGCCGACATAGAGGCCGAGGACAAAGCTGGCAAAGGTGTAGAGGGAAAAGATCCACGCCATGGTGCCCGTATTGTAACCGGAAGCCGGGTTGGTCAACAAGTACGACTGGAAGGTAGCCAGGACGTTCATGAGGCCGAGAGAGGCGAACATGGCGAGCCAGCAGCCAAACACGACGAGCCACGAGCGAAGGCCGCCCTCGGGGTAGGCATCGTCGTCGCCATCGACTCGTCCGTCTCCATCTCCAACTCCGTCCTTGTCTTTTTTACTGCGAACCTCGGCGACGGATGTGAGGCTGTCCACGGCCGTCGTCGTTTCTGTGTCCGTGTCCGTGTTCGACGACGACGAAGACACCAAGAACCGATTGTCCTTGAGGTCTTGGCCCAGCAGCCCGCCAAGGTGGCCGGTGCTGGTGCTGGTGGTCGTCTTTTTCGATCTGGTGCCATTTAGGGTCGGCATCGGGAGCGCGAAGCGCGCAGCCGTCTTGGCGCCACCATCGAGTCGTGCCGATCCGCCATCAGCTAGCGACTCCGCACTGTTCGCCATGGTCCAAGGGAACATCGAGGTTGTCGGTTAAAATAGCACCACCCGTTGCCTGCGAGCGCTCCACCGATATATCGTGCTGCTTCTGCCACGTTCTAGATCGTCTTTTTATGTGGAGAAGACAAGATGCGAAAAAGAGAGAGAGAGAGAGGTCGGCGGCGTCTTTACCGTCTAATTATAACAAGCCATTGATAGTATTGCACGTTCCTCGATCGAGGTCTCCTCAGGGCCGGATGGCATTGTGCTGGCACAGGGGCACGTGAAAATGCTTGGTCTAGACCCCGGCCGCCAGCGGCCCCCTCTTTCAGGCAGGTGCTGACTTGACAGGTGGGAGGCTTGGCGCTGGCGGCTAGGCCCAAGTCAGCCTGGCTACCCAAAGGCTCAGAACAGCCTCAAATGGCACCATTCATCTCGTTCCATTCATGGTACTAGAGAGATTGCTGTGTGGGAATATTTGTATATACCTATGCATACCGTTCTCTGGCTGCGCAATTGCGTGCGTGATAACGGTAGTTGGGTCTATTGTCCTTCTCAGTCAAGGGGAGAACCAATCTATTGTGTACTACATACGGAATATTCCGTACAAATCTGTCCAATACAGCGACACTAGCATGACCCTGGGAGATGAGGGTGCAGCAAGAAATGGAACACCTGCCGAACTCGGGAACCTAGCTAAAACTGGGGCCCAGTCAACATTCCTTCAGACCTGTCGGACGAGACAGAAGCATGCCCTCGTCTAGTCCATCTCAAAATGCATGTGAATTCTGAGTGGCAGTGCAAAAAGTGCCTTGAGGATACCACGTTGCCATTGCCCTGGCTAACGCATCTGTTATCCGAGCAATTGGGTTGCCAGATTAATTCTGCGCAACCGTTTGCGCCATGTCTCGTCGAGTTTATCAATTCAGCCATGCCTTTTGTGTCATGTTATCAACAACGCGGACGAATGAGACGGCCCTGCCCAGTCAGCCCTGTTGCTGTGCCGTCTCCGCCGATAAACTGCATTAGGCCACGACAAATCGCATACTGTGGCAAACTGCATCTAACTCGGTCTGAGGCCTTCAGCTGCTTACTGAAATAAGGCAGGCAACAAGAGTGAGACTGGGACAGGTTCCAGGATGGGATATTGGCACTGGTTGGTCGCAGGCGCAGTTCGAACGCAGTAGACAGAGGGATAGACACAAAGCATTGGTCAATGCCAATTCGGCTCGTTAGCCTTCTTCGTCGTCAACTTCCTCCACCGTGACACCTCGCAGACCGGATCCCTTCACGGCAGGACTAGGTGTCGGCTGCTGCTGTAATGTCCCGGTCGTTTTTAGATAGCCCTCCCTTTCTAGCCGGTCGGCTTCTTCCGGCTCGAGGAGGCCGCCCTGGCCCTTGACCTTTTCGATTTTCATTCTAACGACGGTCGGCACAAAGGCGCTCACAGCCTCCTTGTGCAGATCTCGGAGGACGGGTTTGGCTTCGTAGACAGTCTTTGCCTCGGTGACAGGGCTTGGTGCACTCGGCGCACTCGGCGCTCTTGTCGTCCTCTCGAACCGCTGCTTATCTCCCAACGGCTCTCTGTTTGCGCTCGTACCGGGCTCCTGGCTACTATTATTATTCCCGGGTCTCCGCGATGGTTCCTGCTGGTTCGCGCCCCGCTTCGCCCTTCGCTTCGAGTACCATGCGTCGAGCACTTCCTTGGGGATGGGCGGCGGAGTGTCTCGTGGCATGGGTATTTTCTTGACATCGGCCGGTACGTCGCTGTCGCTGCTCGACTCGTCTCGTTCTCCGTCCCGCCGACGCTTCCCGAGAGCGCCTTTGTGGTCGACGTCGCCGCGTGGCCCTCCCTGTTTTGGCGGGCCCTTGCTGAATGTCGGCGCCTGGTCCCCGAGAGCCTCCCTCGCCTTCCTAACTGCCTTCAAGTCCTTCTCGAGCGCCTCTAGCGACTGTTCCTCGACTGTCGTGAGCTTACTCCCACCTTCCTTAATGGCCTTGAGATCGTTTATCTGCTGCTGGATCCTGTCGGGGTTGAGCTTGGCGAGCTTCTCGTTGCGCCGTATCTGCTGCTCCGATTTGCCTGCCAGACGTAAAACGATATGGTCAGTCTTGCATGCCCCCAGATTCTCCGCCAAGCCCCCATTTCATTGGCCGACATACCCTTCTTGATCGCCTTTGCCTTGTCAGCTTTGCGCTGGGCTTGCACTGGATTATAGTTGCGCTCCTTCGGCATATTGGGCAACCAGCCGACGACGAGCTGCGAACGGGTGATTTCCAAACTAGCGAGTGGCAGCTATTTGTTCTCGCCAGTATGCTATGGCTTCCGGGGATGTTGTAGTGGACTGCTGCTTTCTGGTTTAATAAGTAATGAGGTGTTGTTGGGAACCTGAGAGACTGTCGTTTTGCTTGCCGCGCGTTGCTGGAATAATTTCGGGCGGATCGCTAACAAGGTGCTAAATAATCCTTACAGGTGAGGTGACGGGTCGCATTGCCAGATGCCAAGACTTTTGCTCCATTAGGACCCCTGTCCCTGAGGACCCCGCGATTCTGATTCGGGTTGCTGCTCCAACTTTGTTGACGTCTGTCGACTGCATGTGCCCCGCTACGCTCGTTTCCCAAAATCAATCGAGGGTACCGCTGCGAATTGGGTCGAGATAATTTTAAGCCCGTCTCCATAACATACATCATAGCGCGTTACCCTCCTTCTCAGCTGCGCCCGTATCCCGGCTACTTTTGCATCTCTTCGATAGAGTAGACTCCCGACAGACATAGGCCGTTTTGTTTTCTCTGCATTCATCTTCTGCATCTATCAAGATAAACATTTGGTCTCGCTTCGGCACCCGACGACTGCGACTCCCGCCTGCCGCAGGCTGAGGCTGCGTGTGAACCGAGCACAATTGCCTCTTCCCCTTGGAGTCCTCCCCGTCACCTGTCTGCAGATCTGTGTGCCATCTCCACCGACAGCAACCATGGCGAGCTTCATGGCTAATCTGTTCCCTGGCGGGAAGCAACAAGACAAGAAAGAGGAGCGACCCACAACCCCGACCAAGACCACGACTACCAGCTTCGTAACTCCAGCCAGCACGCCGCAAGGCAGCCCAAGCAAGAGGACCGCGCCGCCCGGTGCGAATGAGCTTCCCGTTGCTCTGGAGGGCTTGAAGCTCGCATCGGGTCCTAATGTTCTCGACAGTCCGGTCAAGCTGGAGCGACCGCATAGCGTCGTCGCCATTCCTCTGTCCCCCGGCAAGAGCAATGTTCAGAACCATGACGATACATCTAGCGTCGTCGACGACAGCATCGTCCACAAAGGCATTACCCCCCTAGGCAGCCCTCCCAAGAACCAGGGCCAGGAGAACACCCCCCCAACCGTCTCCCGCGACGCACCCCCAGAGCCTACCAGCCAGCCGAGCCACGCTGCTGTGACGCGCCGAGGTCTTTACCACCTCCGGGAGCGGGCGTCGCCGACGGTCAAGAGATTCAACACGACGCGGGGTCTGACTGCAGAGGAGCGCGAGATCCTGCAGAAGCCCCATGTCAAGCGCATGGTCAATGTGACTCAGCTATGCAAGTCTCCAAACATCTGGCAGAGGGTTATCCGAACCTGATTCTGACTTGTATAGATTTCCTCGATTATTATTTCGACCTCCTCACGTACGTCGGATCGAGGCAGAAGCGTCTCGCTGCATTCAGAGAGGAGTTCCCGGTGCCGCCAAACACGGACGAAGAGACATATGGCCAGATGTGGTCCAAGTACGCAGGCCGAGAGCGCGCCAATCTCCGCAAGAGACGTGTGCGACTGCGCCAGGGCGACTTCCAGATCCTGACGCAGGTCGGCCAGGGCGGGTATGGCCAAGTATTCTTGGCACAGAAGAAGGACACAAAGGAGGTGTGCGCACTCAAGGTCATGAGCAAAAGGCTGCTGTTCAAGCTGGACGAGGTGCGCCACGTATTGACAGAGCGGGACATTCTTACGACCGCCAAGAGCGAGTGGCTCGTCCGCTTGCTGTACTCCTTCCAAGATGATAAGAGCATCTACCTGGCCATGGAGTACGTACCGGGTGGCGACTTCCGCACCCTCCTCAACAACACAGGCGTCTTGTCCAACCCGCACGCGCGCTTCTACATAGCCGAGATGTTCTGCTCGGTCGACGCCCTCCACCAGCTGGGCTACATCCACCGAGATCTCAAGCCCGAGAATTTCTTGGTCGACTCGACGGGCCACGTGAAGCTCACCGACTTTGGTCTGGCGGCAGGGTTTTTGGCCCCCTCCAAGATCGAGTCGATGAGAGTCCGTCTCGAGAAAGCCTCGGAGACGTCGGTTCCGTTCGGCAAGCCCATGGAGCAGCGGACTGTGGCTGAACGGCGAGAGGACTATCTGATGATGCGCGAAAAGGACGTCAACTACGCCAAGTCGATCGTGGGATCGCCCGATTACATGGCGCCCGAGGTGCTCAGGGGCGAGGAATACGACTTCACTGTTGACTACTGGAGCCTGGGCTGCATGCTCTTCGAGGCCCTAACCGGGTTCCCTCCGTTCGCAGGGTCGACACCAGACGAGACGTGGCGAAACCTAAAGCACTGGCGCGAGGTGCTCAAGCGACCCGTGTGGGAGGATCCGAGCTATTTCCTGAGCAGCAGGACCTGGAACTTTATCATAACGTAAGTCAAAGGCCCCACATCCCACATCCCACATCCCACACCCCACAACCGGGCAGGGCAGCCGTTTCTAACTTAACCTTTCTTTTAGTTGCATCAACTCGCGGTCCAAACGGTTCTCCAATATGAAGGACATCTTCAACCACCAGTACTTTGCTGAGGTGGAGTGGGCAGTGCTTCGCGAGACCAAGGCGCCGTTTGTGCCCGAACTGGACTCGGAGACGGATGCCGGGTACTTTGACGACTTCAGCAACGAGGCTGACATGGCCAAGTACAAGGAAGTGCACGAGAAGCAGATGGCGCTTGAGACGCTGGCAGAGCGTGACGAGGAGATGAGCAAGAGCCTATTCGTGGGCTTCACCTTCCGCCACCGGAAGACGGCGGGAGAGGACGGCGGCAGCCCGCGCAAGCCCATCCCGTTCGAGGACAACACGTTTGGCACCATGCTGTAGGGCCAGCAACGGCGAGCCAAGGCCACGTTCCTGGCGCGCTGCGGGAGGTCTCGAGGGTCCCCCTGGTGGTTGAGCAAGTCGGCGGTGGCCGGGGCGGTGCATGGGCGGAGGGAGTTTGGACTGCTGTGACTGACTATCGGATCATCTGGTGTGCGAGATTAAGTGGGTCTGGAGCCTGTTTGTGTTTTTCTTGTTCTACTGTGTTACCCTTTTTCATTCCCGGCATTAGCTTTGCTTTCCCCTTACCCAGAGCTTACTTATCGATTACGCGTCCCCTCCCCCCTCTGTCATTTTGCCTGTTTTTTTTTTTTCGCAAGGCACTCAACGGATGGAATTAGATGATGGCAGGCCGCATTATCGCCGAGGGCCATCCGGAATAATGATGAGAGAACGAGAGTTTGCTTAGGTACACGCTTGTATGTTGTAGAGTATGGTAGAAATGGGAAAAGGGCCGGCCGGAGAAGGCACGGTCCATTCAACAAGAAGCCATCATCAGTTCGTTTTCAGCCACTCACGCTGAGCTCGCAGGTGTGCTAGACACTATCTTAGGTAAAGCACATACGTAGGATGCGGATCAAGTGTCTCTTCTCTTATCATCTATGCAGACGCGTCACTTGAGACAGCATATTGGAAGGGCTGATCCTCTTCTTACACTACAAGTGCGCCCTCGTCTGAATTACACAAGATGCGCAGAAGATGCCGCTGCATGTGGCGGCGGTGGATGCATCCCGACTCCCGACCGTTTTGGGTTTTCGTTGGGCGAGTGGCTTGTGCGTAGTCGTCGTCATCTTGCTGTTTGTTCTCGCCGGTGGGCGGCGCAGTCTAGGAGTAGGCCCGAGTGGAGAGAGTTGTGATGCTGCCCGCTTGCTGTATTTGCGGCTTTTCCGCAGGCATGTATGTCTCAACGAAAGAGTGGACGGGACTATTGATGATTGCATCACCCCTTCACTTGAACTGCAGGAAGGGCACTTACTAGCTCCATGTGACCCAATGCGATGGCGGGATCTTAAATCTATAGGTTAGTAGCCTGTTGAACCCCAGTGACGATCAACTTGAAACGCCGCCAGTCCACAGCTGCTGCGGGCATGGCATGGCAGCCACCTCTACTTTGCTACTTCTGTTTGTAGGCGGGGTAGGTATTCCGTAACTGCCGGAAGAGAGTTCTCAGCGTTCACCATCGCCCCAGAGTTCAACCTCAGCCTTATGTAGACAAACGGACCCTACAATCTACACGTGGTTAAATAATTTCTCCGGTCAGCCGCCTGCCGACCCAGGGACACCCAGGGAGAACGCTGCGGACTCGAAAATCAGATGTTCCACTCTCGGCCAGGTCAGGGGTGACTCGGCGAGATGGCGATTGACCCAACGACCGGACCAAGAGGTCTAGAGTGTTTGAAGTCAAAAGGCAAGGACGATGTTCTGGTTCATGCATCGGACATTCCCCAACATCCTACATCCGAACACTGGACATGGCGCGGGCGGGGAGCCCAAGCCGTTGGGACTCCTAGGTCCGTTTTTTTTTTTGAGTTTCGATCCGTCGCTGGACCTCAGCCCACGTCACGACCCGCGTCTTCGCAGTTCGCATACGCTTCGGTCCCGAGAGGTGGTTTTCTGAGGCAGGAGCAATTGACGGGAGAGGCTGGCGCGATGCAGCTGGACTGGTTCGGTGATTCGGCTCCAGAGCCGACCTATCTATCGAGGTAGGAACAACCTTGACCTCCCAACTCAACTGAAGCTGCTCGACACCTGCACGCCGCGGGTTGCACTTGCACAGCAAACGCAGCTTGGTTGGAGCTAAGCAGCCTCCCTACCGTGCTTCCGAGTGGAAGAGCTTGAGGCAAAGCCCCGCTGCATCGTCACCCCGGGCTGCTCTCGGTGGGAGGATAGGATGGCACCTCAGCTATGCTGTTTCGTGGGACCCGAGCCCTTCTTGCCCGTGCCACGATTGGCTGTGTGACGCCTCAGTCGCTCGCTGGGCCGAACGACACAGCAAACACACACCCAGGGCACCTCCCCCCGAACAAGTGATGCACGATGCAAGGCCGCGCGGCAGCTTCTCCACCTCGGCTTCCCTTGAGTTTTCTTGAGTCGTCTTTTCCATTGTCTCGTCTGTGCGATAGCATTCGGCCCATAGCTGAGTCGGTGATGTCGCTGCCGCCACCGCCGCCACCACCAACCCCCCAGCCGGCAGTCGATGGCGCCCTGGACGATCTGCGATCCACTGCCCCCGGTCCCTTGAGCTGTCAGGCCGAGCGCCCTCCACTAGCCAGCGCTATGTGATATCGTTCGTGCTTGGGTTCTGTCCGTCTCCAGCCAAGGAAGGGTTCACATCCAGCCAAGGGCAGCTCGGAGCTAAGGTAGTCGCGCACCGTCCGTCTCCCATCTATACTAGGTCTGGTATACGTCTATACCTCTCTAAATATATACATTTTTCTGTACCGTTGTACAGTTGTACAATACATGCGCCAATGCAGTGGCCCGGCCGCTCATGCCGTCGAGGCATAAGCGTCGGTGCTACGGGTCCATCCCAGCCTTTCATCCATCTTTAGGAGTCTGCCCAAGCTACGTCCCGGATATCGGACGGAGGAGTGACTAGAGAGCAGATCCTCCTCGTTGGGTCGGCCCACTCTTGCGCAGCCCTGACGCCGCCTCACCCGCCGATCTGTCATCCCGTGTTCCGACCGACGTATATCAGGGCCTCGTCCCTCTCTGCCTCTTCCACAATCTCTATCCAGCCACTCGAGTGCCACAGCAATACACTCTTGCATCCCCGGTCAGATTCTCATCTGCATACCTGCACACTTGCGCATCCATATCTTCGCGCAAGGTCTCCCCTAGCTACAGACCACCCGCCATCATGAAGTCATCAGCTATCTCTGCCTTGCTGGCGCCCGCTGCTCTCGCCCATGCCCAGTGGTGGGGTGGTGCCCCTGACTGCGCTGTTTGTACCCATTGACACGTTCCTGTACAGACACTAGAAGCTAACACCCTTAAAGCACAGTTGCTTTTCGTCCTTCTGGAGCTCGACGAGTGCTTGGCCCGCTCCGACGAACTACTGCGGCGCCACCCAGGCCGCGTCTGTTTCTAACTGCCTCGCCTCGTCATGTTCGGCCACGCCCACGGCCGTTTCGTCGTACAGCTCGCTATCGTCATCAATCTGCTCCCAGTGGTCTTCTTGCAGCAGCGCCGGCAGCACTAGCGTATTCACCGTAAACGCCCCGGCCTTCACGGGTGGTTGGGGACCCGGCCAGTTTGGTCCCGGCGGCCATGGCGGCCCCGGCGGCCCCCTCAAGAGCGCCTACTCCGACTTCACAAAGACCTGGACCGGTGGTGTCTACACTGTCACCGGCTGCGAATGGAACGGCTCTCCCTGGGCTGGCGGCCCTGGCGGCTTCGGTCCCGGCGGCGCGGCCGGCTCGCCCTGGGGCGACTGGGGTCACGGCTGGGATTGGAGCACTGCCACCCAGACCGTTACCCAAGTTGTCACCATCACTAGCGGCAGCACCACCAGCCTCTCTACCTCGATCGGCCTCGCCACTGTTGCTCAGGCTGTTAGCGGTAGCGTCACGTCGACCACCATCCTCTCGGGTGCCCAGGCCGCCGCCACCTCGTCGTCTGCAGCAGCGCCTGGTGCAGCCCAGGATAGTGCCGCTGGCGTCAAGATTATTGGCGCCATGCTCGGCATGGTTGTTGCCGTCGCTGGCCTGCTTTGATAATCTACCGCCTCTTTTAGGTACTTAATATCGGGGCAAGCTTTCTTTTTCTTGGACAAGAGGAACTCAGACTGGGGCATGATATTATTTCATATATATTGCATATCGCAAGGAGTTTTTCCCACTCGTTACGGGAAGTGTTATCTTCACTGGAATACCTCGGGGCACTGTCGCTTTTCTTGGCCTATACTCTCCTTTAGCACTTCATTTCATTCACTCTTTTCTTTGTCACTTTAGGCAACTGCTTGTCTTTTCAGGGGGTGGTTTTACTCACAGGCGCGAAATTTAGCTGGATTGGACCGATAGGCATTGGTAGTACCCAGGGCTTCGAAGTGGAATGGCAGAAGGGGCTTGTGGTATGAGGGGAGTATCAGAAAACTTGAGATATGGGTTTGCAGGATATATTATAGATTAGGTAGGCATAGCAGGAATGTGATTTCAATACTTGATTCTAATTCCAAAGTCGTGGGGTTGTCTCGGCTTGAGATCTAGCTCGCCCAGAAAATCACCGTGTCTCTAGTTGAGCAACTTCTTCACATTCGAGAGTCGTGTTTATAAATTTGACATCCTACCCAGTATTATACGGGTTCATTGCTCAACTGACCCTACACAGCCAGGCTCCCCACGATATATATAGCAACGAGTGTTCTAGTTGAACCAAATGTCTAAAGTGCCGTGTTCGACACCTATCAACCCCTCTCTGCCTACGCGGGGGGCAGTGTGCCGGCGGTATCCTGCACATCAGAGCTTCGGTGCTCGCGGCAGCTCTGAATATATAGGGTTTCGGGCCCGGTATTGTGCCAGCGCCGCGAAGTCTGTATTCTGGAGCTTCTTGTGTCTTGCCTTGGGTTTGCTGTGGGCAGAATCCAGTTTGGGAAGTCGGGCTCAAGAAGAATATTGTGAATACATTTGCCTGCATGTCTCATTGTGTTTAGTTTTCTTGTTGTGGCTTTTTAGGAAAATTATCTGCTTACTAACTTGCTTGAAGAATGCTCAGTCGTTGTTGGTGTAAAAGAGTGAGAGGAGGTCCAGATATTTAGGTATATTTAGGCAAGTCTCGTCGGTTGAGACAAGTATGGTATGACAGTATAGAGATGTCCTGTTCTTGATCTTTCATGTCGAGAAATCTTCGGTCGCAGACAGGTGTAGTTTACTAGTGTAGATGATGTGACTCGGGCTTGAGTTGAACAAGTTCAAGCCTCCTGTGAGATCAACGATGTACGTAGTTTGGCGTTGTACGAGGGAGCCTGTTTGTTGGTCTTTATTCTGATTCCCATTCATGGACGTTTCTTGCTCTTACTCTAGGGAATAACAGCGTGAAAGTTCAAAATATGTAGATAATTGTTTCACGTTAGTTATGATTTGTGTTGTTTCTTTGCCAGTCTCTATGTTCTTTATGGAAAAGGATCAATAGCAAAATCTATAGACATGAGATGAATGAGCAACTCAGGAAGGAGTAATATACTAATCAGAGTTGAGAACCCCTGTGTCCCTAATTTTGCTGCTTGTTGGTTGTGTATCTTGTTAACACGGATAACTAGAGAGACGCTACATCTCCAATCCATGTACTGGAACTGTTTTACCGTCATAGTCACCAAGGACCTCTGGTATTTACCCTCCTAACCAGCTTCTGATCTTGACGGCCAAGCGCCCAAGCCATGTATTATTTTCTCTGCTTCAACGAGGCTTTCCTCACAGAGAGACTTCCACAGTTAGATTTATCATAAAGTGAAATGGCTCATACCTATCATTATGTACACATTAAAAGGTTAACAAGGGCATTTTCCGCGGCACAGCAAAAAGCCAAACAAGTGAACGGCACTGCTCGCCCGAGCCATACGTCCCTCTGTATCCGACGCCATATTGTACTTCCTTCCACCAAAATCGCCACCACTTCCTCAGACACTGTACCTGCGTCTTTGTTAGTCAACCATATGTCTAGGGGACATATCGAAACTAAGAGTAACTAGCGCCTACAAAGACTGATGAAAGGATACCTATGCCTTTGGCCTGTGTATTCTGGCAACCCCTACAATGTAACTCTAGGATAAAGGCACAATACACCATTGACAACGCACGGCCAAGACCTAGGCCAAGGCAAGCACTAAATATGGCGCTGCCTGGGGAATTTCTAGCACCACACTACCAATATCGCGAATCACCCCATTCAAACCTGACTTACTTTGTGCCTTGAGAGAGGGAAGTTGAGTTATGAGGTGTAAAGTGGCTTTGGGATCTGATCATTGTATAGATCTGGAGCATGTGTTGGTACTGTGATGGTTCCAGCAGATGGTCGCTGCCTCCCTTGCACGCTTGTTACGGCGCGTTTGGTGGGTGTTGTTTGGTGTCGCGTGGGCGAATGTGTGGACTGTTAGAGTGACGATGCAACGTAAACCAGGAAGAGGACGCGTTCGCGAGGAATTGTGATTTGATGGAGGGATTTATACAAAGCTAAGGATTTGGTGGGCCCTACAAAAACCTTGCTCGAACATAGTGACAGTAGACTTCGTGAGTAGGACGGCATAACTGGTCTGTGTTATTCAGTTACTTGGGTTTATATTGGACATCCCTAACACTGTTCGTCATGAACTTAGGTATTGCCTAACCAAACTGTAACCCCTTCCCGTTGTGGTCTGTTTGGAGGCTATATTTCTACTGTGGGTTTCGAGCTACACCTATGGGGGGCATACCAGAGGCGTGAATTTGAAACACAAGAAACAAGACACGACAACCTGAGCCAAAACTCGTGATGCTTCTACATCAAGCCAGATTCTCCTGTAAGACGCTTTGCGTTTGAAATTACGGGAACTCGTTACTATATGTACTGCAGCAGAGAACGTCTGTCACGAAAACAATACCCAAATTTGCTGATAACAAGCCAACAGCAAATGACATGTTAGAAACATGCCTACGTAGAGAGGATCCCAGCCCCCCAATGCCGGTAAGATTCTCTGGGGGGTGATAGCAACATCCCAAGCAACCTTGAAAATTCTTACAGAAGGATGGACTGGCGGCAGTCACGCTGGAGAGGGCTTTGACTGCAGGGCCTGCTTGAGGGACATCATCTGCATGAGACGCAGGAAAGGAAATGCGGACGAATATTTGCCCAATGCTCTTTTGTTGACAAGAAAACCAGGACGCGAGTCATAACCCTTCCTTTGTAGAAATTTGCCGTAGCTCCCACTAGGTGCCAAGACAGTGTCAATAATAACTACAGAAGCAGAACTCACGCCGATCTCATACAACCGCCACACATGCATACACATTATGCGGAGGCTGTGGGGGTAGAATGGAAAGGGAGCAGAAGGACATTGTCAAGAGATATATCCCATCACAGAGGCCATAGAGATGATGCAGAATACCTACCCTAGGTCTGCCTTCCGGAGCTGAGAGCCGCTTCTCTCCGGGAGGGAGGCCGATGCTCGAAGTGAGGCAGTAGGTCATCTGAATCGGCCAACAACACCAGCCCTTCACAATAGAGGCGCTTGCCAACATCCCGGCATATCCTCAACCAGCACCACATCTTCCATAGCATACCCAAATGCTGGGTCCAGGGCACCGAGGCGGTGATAGGCGATGGCAGGACTGTCGTCCCGTAGGAGCCTTGGATACGGGAAATAACTGCCACGACGACAAAAGACATGATATCAGAATACCAGTCGAGCCATCGTATCCAAGGATGCTCTCATGGGAGGCCGTGTAGTCCAGCCCAGTCCAGCCCAGCCCGGCTCTGCGGGTATTGTAGTTGCAGTCGAGGCCGATATCTAGCAGTGCCTGGGCTGCTTCCCAAGTGGCCCATTGCTACTGGCAATATCCCAAGCCAAACGGCGGTCGACGGGCAGAGCCAGCGCCTCCAACAGCTCTGGGGTTACACGAGGCTCGAGGGAGAACACTGCGGGATTGGCTGTTCCTTTCTTCTCTTGAACGAAAGGACGGAGAGAGACGCCGAAAATGTGGGCCGGCCGCCCTAGAGAAGGAAGATAAAAACACACCCCATCCATTAACGAGACTGAAAGAGAGAGGAAGTGGCAGAGAGTCCTGAGCGGCTGGGACGCCTCTGTATATACTGACTGGTGCGAGCCCTAGTGGCCCGCGAGGTTGGCAACACAAGGCGCAAATGATGTGATTGATCGAGCAGGGTTCCCCGGGGCGGCCCAAGAGATGCTGATAAGGCACCGCGCCTAAGATGGAACCGAGACGTTAGACTTGAAAACAGCGACTTGGCAGTCAAAGTTAGTTTCCAGGATGGCATGTCAAAAAGATGTAGGTGGCGTCGAGCAAAGCTACTGAGATATGCACGCCTCGAAGAAGACGCCTTCTTGCAGATCTGGAGGACGGGACAGGGGTCGAGTTGATAAGGTTTTTGACGGCCGGTTGCGATGTGCCGACGGCGGCGGTCCAGTCGCGTGCCCTCTACATACGGATACATGTGCGCAATATTTGGAGTCTCGCCGGGGGCACTTCGAGGCTGAATGGGCGGCGTGGAGACGAACGGCAATGCATAACGGGATTCATTCGCGCCAAATATACGGATATGGATGTGGTGTATCCGTGATGTAACCGAAGGCCCCATGGAGCAGGTGGATGGGATGAAACGGTACCCGCGATTCTCAATGTCGTCTCGGGAACTTCCTATCTCTCGTATTAACACACAATGGAGTCCGTAGTCCATACTTGTCCACGCCGACAGATATGATTGCAGTTACTCATGCCTGACGAAAATTGCGACTGGTCACTCGCCAGATCGGGAGGCCCTGAATGGTCGGCGGGACCAGATCTCTGCTATCGGGGAGATAAGGGGCGAGGCAAGATCAGCCAGATGGGCTTGCCTTGTCGCCAGGGCATGTTCCGTGCCTAGCTATCCATAGGTATATAACAACCCGACGCTGCCCCTGACCTAGGAAGCTAAGACGCGCGCAACGACGATGCAACACGGCCTGCCGTCCTTCGGAAGCCACCTGTTTACGGTACGAACGAACCAGCAGATGGTGATGTTGTCGACTGACGAGGCGGCCAGACCCGGCCAGGGTTGGGGATAATGGGCAGAGAGCTCAGGGGTGGTCGAAAATCATGGGACCGAGTCCAAGAACAACAACAACAGGCAGAGCGCAAACCGCAACCGCATCGGCAACAACGACGGCCGGCACATCCTGCCCGACGATCAACCCGCTGCAATTGTCATCATGGTGCTCACTACCCTCGCCGCCGCCGCCGCTAAGACTGGCTGTCGATAATTTTGGGACCCTCCTCGTCTCGTCCGACGGGGGGATCGATGCTGCCTCCGCTCCTCTCTTCTGCTTCATCGTTGCAGGGAGGGCCGCAGGATTCGCTTGGACGCCCAACCCCCGCGTCCTCCCGCTCCATCGCGGGGTGATGCGCAACCCCCACGCCGGCCCAAGACTATCATTGGCCACGCCGTCAGGCCTTCCGTTGTTGTTCAACCAGAGCACCAGTGGCGCCCGAGTTGCTCGTAAAATCCCTCAATGGGGTTTTCAGCCTGCCTCTCATCACTCCTCTCATCACTCCCCCCCCCGACTTCCCGGACTTGTCTGGACTCCTTGGAGTCTCTGGGAACCTGGACGGATTGGGTTGCTCCCTCAAATTGCCCCATGCTTGCGGTTCCCTCCATGAGCCGTCGTGAGTTGGAACCGGCTACCTACTTCAAGTTCTCTACGCAAATCACTGGTCCGAGGAAGAATGGACGGCCCACTGACTGCTCGCCCCGGCATTTGCCGACCTGATGTGAACCAGCTGCGGCAATTTTCGGCGAAATCAGGGAGACTGACCAACCACCCACCAAGTCATTCAAGAACATCCCAAAGTCAATGAGGTGTACAGGCAGGCAGCCATGTGCTATTCCAACCTCCCGATCTCGTGACTTTCCATGCGTGTACCCAGACGAAATCGAAGTCGTGAGCGATTCCCCAACAAAGCAAACAGTGCCCCTTTATAACTCGAGAAACGGAACCAGGTTCATTTGTCGGTCAATAACTGGGAGGACACGATTTTCATCTGGTTGTGGCATGTGATTGACATGCCGAACGTCGATTTACGTGGGCCAACCGGCCCCGAAGACAAGCGAGGTCGGAATTCTGACCCAGATATGATTGGCCTCGCACCTGTTTATTGACGGAGGATGCTGGCGAAGTGGAAACACGATTGGAGTGGTGAACGGCGACCGCCATCCGGCGTCCGATCGCGGCGGGTGACCGGCGACCAGTCGTCACCCTTCCGTCATGGTTAAATTGGGCCAGGTGGGGAGCTGCTGTCGAAACATACGGTAATACCCGGGTGAAGCTCAAGTCAAGTCAAGGCTTCCAGCAACTGGATTAATAACTGGATTTCGGAGCCAAGTCCTGGATCGGACTGGACTTTGTCGAGCCGTCGGAAACTTAGCGCACGCTACTAGATGCTGTAAACTACGAAGATCCACATATCGGAAGACGAAGGAGAGGAACGGAGAACGGCCACACTAACCAAGTCAAATTTCCCTCCAACCCTTCGAAATTGCGAGGGAGAAAGGGCCTAAATTGTAGGCTTGTTGCAAAGCCGAGATTTCAACGTCTGTGATCTGGACCTGTCTGAAGAGTGCCAGGAAAGCTGTTGGTGTGCCCGGAGTGCAACCCCCTCTAGCCCCACCACTCACACGGGGGGCTGGCAAGTGCGGAAAAGGCAAGTTAACCCGTATTCCGGATGAGATGGGAGCACGCGGGGTCGAGGGAGTCGGGCTGTGTCGGCCAGGCGTGCCAAATACAAAATTCCGCTAAGCTATCCGTATTCCGTACCGTCGGTCGGCAGCCGGCATTCCAATGTCTCGCCCCTCAACCCTAGCGCCGTAAATGATTCAGGGGGGGTTGCTGGGAGCCGTCGCGGTTCTGTACTGTATACACACGTTCAGTAGCTCGGTGGAGAGCCGGGCTTGAGCCAGCTTTGGAGAAGTTGTCCTTTGTCGCGGGGGTAACAGCCTGAGATCCGCCGGTGTCTTCAAACCGACAGTCTGGGCCATCTCTTGTCGTTCGGTTCCATGTGCTAACTTGGTGCAGCTTGGCCGTCTGGATCTGGATCGACAGCGCCATCATCAACCCCACTGCGCCCACTTACGCCCACGTTATTCTTACCAAAACGAAACACAACGGCCCTCCGCCACAAGTACTATGGCGTTTGAGTTCAATGTCACTGCTGCAATGACCTACATCATTGCCTAGTGGCAAGTGATCAGTGATCAGTGATCAGCCGCAAACTCAGGGGTGACCCCTTTCTATAGCATTGAATGACAAGTGTCCGTGAGGTAGTCTTATTAGAGGTAGATGGTAGTGATAGTAGTAGTAGCAGCCCTGAGACGGCATGGACCTCGCTTGCCTGGATCTAGAGCAAGGAGAACGACGTAGGGGCAACCTCAAGCCTTCGAGGGCCTAAGTGAGGATGAGCCGCTGCAGCATGGCCAGCCCGGGCAATGGGCGTGAGTAGTCGATGGTAATGGAAGTATCCGTGCTGTATGTACCATGATCCCGCCTCTGGGTTGACGGGACGCATCGAACCTGGCCCATGCTTCAATATGTGTTCGAGGGGCACAGCGTCGACATATTTGTTTGCTCGACTTTGCCTGCTCCAAACAGCCCGTGCAAGCGCCAATGTGAATGTGCAGTACCAACGTGACTTGAAATGAAGGGCATGCTGCGGGATGGCACACGCTAGAAAACACCCAAAAATGGAGGGTGTTGCTTCCAGGTCTGTGAGGAAGGGACCTTTCTGTGACGGTAAATGCGGCAATTCGCGGGTTTTGGCACTTGGCAATCATTGATGTGAACGCTGCAATTCGAACCTTTGGTGGTTCCGGGTGAGCTACCAACAGGGAGGCAGGGTTTGCGCCCGCCAATAGGCCGCGATGGAAGGAATGGATTTCGATGGCTTCCACTGTCGTGCGTTTGGAGTGGGGGTCAGCATGGAGCGCCATGCAAGTGCTTGACATCCCGGTCGGGTACTGAATACTTGAGACGTGCGACCATTCACCAGTCGCTTGGATCCCTGTTTGACCACAATGAGGACTGTTCGCCGTGCCTTGCCCCTCGTTCTGAGATTTGCCAGGCGCAACTCCCATCTGCTCATCGGAGGCTCTCGTAGACATGCACCATCGAACTTTGTTGTTCTGGCAGGCGGCTTTGATTTTGGGGAATCGGTGGGTTTGTTTCCCCTTGGCTCTAGATAGTAGGTAAAGCAACTGGCGAGCGAGTCTGGTTCCATGTTCGAAGAGAAAGTCGACACGGGCCGAGTCTCTTCTCCGCCGACTTCCAGTTGAACTCAATTCACACAGAGTTGTGCGACGCGAGCCACGCGTTCGGGAGTCTTGCCGCTCACGAATCGGTTTGGGGTCCTGAGAGCTTCTGGGGGACGCGGGGACACGGAGAGTGGGTTTGGGCGAAGGGTACGTAGCGGAGAGGCTTGCTAAACCCGAATGTCTCCATGTGAACTGTTTCGCCGTGGGGTCTCGATGTCCTGGTGCGTTTCGTTACCTTAGGCGTACCTATATGTACTGTACCTCCGGTGCGTCCCCTCTCAACCTGCAAGTATGGAGAGTATAGGCTCAAATCGTTCCATCTCAACCCGATTGCTGGCGCGAGCCCGGAAGTATCCTGGCCTCATTTGGATGAAGTTGCAGGAACAGAAAGGAGTCCCTATATGGTTAATTGATGCTAATGTTTAACGAACGACATGGCATTTCGCGCTGTTCTTGGCCCGGCTTTCTATCCTAGAAGGCGACTTACCTAAGGTTTTACGGCGCCTGGACCCGTTGAGCACCCTCGCCATCGCCCAAGAGATGCACAATAGCCGTTAGAAGGACGGCGAGGCTGTGACACTTGGAGACCGGAAGTCTGGTCAGCCTTCAGCGACCTGTTGTAGATCTTCACTTTGGTGGTGCGGCGGATCATCGTTGTCGTCATCTGTAACCTCAACTGTAATTGTTAGCCGTGGGAGATCGAGTCTTTTTCAGTTGGGGTATACCTACCTACCTGTGTAGGCCTCTCCTTGCATGCTATTGGCTATAGTATTGGTAAGGTATTCGTACATCTATGGAAGGACACCTACCTAAGAAATAGTCTAATAACCTGGAAGCTGTATGGTTCTTTGGCTGCAGACGAGACACTTTTCTGGCCGACGATCGAAGAGGTATGTACGAGGTACCATAGATATCCGCAACAGGTTATGTTCTTGCAATTCAGAACATTCTTGTTCTTACTTCGCCTCTCGGATCGATTGCCGGACGCTCTTTGCCGACATATACGGGACTGCGTATCAATAGCTTCGAGGCGAGCAGAAGGCTCAATGTGTCGTGGTATGTGTAGGTACGTGTACATTACCCGAATACATCTCTGTGGGTGTGTCCAATGATGGGCATTTTTATTTAATATTTTACCGTCATTGAACTGTAAGGTCCCCGCTGTTGCGCGGGGGGCAGGGCTTGGGCTTTGGGCACCTCCGTGTCCAGCAAGAAGGGGCTGCTGCAATAGAGCTTTGAACGCGAATGCGCGGCGCAGATGGACCGAGCGCGGAGTCCATTCTTCATCAGCTCTCTTTTAAGAGTCGAGAATGAGATGCTTCGCAGGCTCGCAGCTGCAGGCTCCTCGATGCAACACGCCTACAGCCAACCAGCAGGGCTCCGCAAGCATTACACTTCTTTGCCAAGGGGTCCCCACAACATCCACCCTGCCCCTTCCTTGTCTGTCGCAGCGGCTGAGGTGGAGTCGCAACAACTACAGGTATGTACCAGCGACTTCGGTCGTCCCTGCCGCAACCCACGCTTTCCGGCGGTTCCCCTCTCCTCCCGACCCAGCTCCATATATGGTGCACCTTCCGAGCGCGCCAGATTTCAGTAACCGGTTCCCGGACTGCGCCGAAGCTAGGGATGAATAAACCCCTTGGTGATGGCAGTTGATGTTAATTATATCAACCATTCGTGATAAGTGAACCTATCATTATGCGTGCTCACTTCTTAGCCTACCTTGGTACTCATTGTTTCCTATCACTGGACACAGAAGTGCACGTCCTCGCAGGGGTCAGAACTTTAAATAACTTGACCCAGACGTCGCTTCCAGGCTTCTGATACCTTCTCCAGGTTCGGGCAGGCACTCGTGGAATGAGCCTTTCCTGGAGCTACCTGAGTAAGACTTGGAAGTAATCACGAATCCATTAGACGGGGAGATGGCCCAGGAGCTGCCTCCCTTCAAATGGGGCCCTTTGTCAAAGGCGTCCTCGCGAGGTTCTGAATAGAACGGGATCCGGACAAAGCCTTCATCCTCGGGGCTCTCCACGGAACTATAAGTGCATACGGAGTGAAGAAGGTAAAGTAGACCGAGACGTTTGATTCGCAAGTTTCGACCCAGGACCTCTCTGGTAATTACCCTTAGTACTTGCTCTATCCATGGAACCTGCCTTCTCTTGGAAACGAGCTCTGGGGGAAAGCGCGAGTGTTTCATTGAAGCCCCCCACTGTCGCCGCTGACCACAATCTCCTATACCCGCACTCTTGCGTCCGCTGGTGGAATTAAGGCCTGGCGGAATTAGAGGAAAGAAGAGCTTGTATTGCCCAGTACAGTGAGGATACACAAAGTAAGGTATCCAATTGAATTGGCACTTACACTTTCAGAGCCTAGCGGGAGAGGGGCAAAACCCCTGTCCACCATGAGCTTTACTCGGTGGCTTGCGTCTTCCCCATTGTAAGCCGCGACGTGGGCGTGCGTGTGTGCTGCTGCTGCTGCTGCCCGCCATCCGCGCCAGGAGCCAGGTCTCGAGAGAAAGTGGAATCGTCCACGTCGAGGTGAGAGAAGTCTCTCCACCCGCCCGTTACTGAAGCGTCGCTGCCTCCACACCACATCTCGGATCCTTCTAACTCCATTCAGCATGAGCCGGCGGATCCACTAACGAGCGCAGATGGCTGTCCTACTAGACTAGTTTTTCGACGACGGTTCACCGACGGCAGTGACCTTGACGTTGGCTATTCCGAGAGGAGAGACACGGAATCCCAAAGGACAACAGAGGACCTGACCCCCCTCCCGTCCCTCAGTGCAGGTGTTTGACAGACCTGGGCCCAGCTCCTCCGCCAACTGCACCTTGCCTCCTAACTAAATCGGATCGAAACGAACCCAGTGCCTGCTACCTACCCCCAGCTCTTCGAAACACGCAAACCAGAGCGCCTCCGAGTTTTCTTTCAAGAAGCAAAAATATTTCTGGCACTTTCCCCCCAGTCTATGCGGCGTGGGGAAACCTGCCCGGTTTGCCTAGGCCGCGTCCCAACCTTTGGGTTACCAGACCTGCCGAGGAGACCGTTCAGGGCAACCTTGCTTAGCTCTGAATCGGTTTGAGTGGGTGCGGCCCCTCCACGGAGCACCTGAGGGTGTCCCACAGTGGGCTGCTGACAGGGTCGCTAGGCATTTGTGGGCGGCTTGTGTGGTGTGCCAGGCACTAAGGAAAAGCCTGCCCGCGCAGCGGCCACCCGACCCGACTTTGGACGTGGGAAAAAAGGCGAGGCACCTAACCTAGGTAATAGCTGGAGCTACCACAACGCTTCCTGCGTGGTAGCCAAGTCGTTCCTCCGTTTGGAATCTGCCCCCCTCGCCGCCGTACCTGTCTCGCCAGGTCTCGCTACTTTTGTTTTGGCCATGGCAGCAGCGAGCACGGCGACCCTCATCGCGACGGCGAGTCCGTTGACGTCTATGAATCCCACTACTACAGAGCACGACTTCCGCTTCCCTCGCCGGCCAGGCGACGCCGCCACCGGCCTCGCAGCTATCAAGACGGAGCACGGCGCCCCGTCGCCCTCTAGTATCGCCGGCGCCAGCAACACCCCCTTTAGACCAGCCACGAACGCCAACAGCAGCAGTAACGCCACGACAGTCACCACCCTGCGTGCCGAACCGCACGATCTCCGTCTCGATCTTTCAGCCTCGTACGCGGCCGACCCACAACGCCATGAGCTGTTGCGCTCCGCCGACTTCCCACCGTTTCAGGACGCCGTAGCCAGCATGGACCAGAGCCCGGACGAGCTGCAGAGGCTGGACCCGCTGGCTGCCCAGGTCTGGAAGTTCTTTACCAAGACCAAGCAATTCCTTCCAAACCAGCAGCGCATGGAGAACCTCACGTGGCGCATGATGCACTACAACTTGCGCAAGGAAAGACAGGCCGACGCAGCAAGGTTCGTGGCTGCGAACTCTGCCTTGCTTGAACCCGCCCAAGAGACCCTAACCTTGTTCCTCAGACTGCAAAACCTCCCAGCTTCTTCGCTCAACGCGCCCAGCGGAATTGCCCAGCTGCGCAAGACTTCGGAACATGTTATCCCCCAACACGATCCAATGAATCTGGACGACTTCATCAACAATGAACACGTGGGCACCCCGTCCGGCCTGGCTCTGACCCCGACCCCAGATGGGGCCAGGCAGGTAGACGACAGGTCTACTCACACTACAACGACGGCAATCCCTATCAAATCGCGCAAGGAGTCGTCGAACGCGCAGCACACCGTTCCTCAATCCGTACCCGTGGCGCCGCACCGCCAGAGGTTGCAAGACGAATTTGGCTATATTGCTCGTCATCCTCGCAAGACAAGCATTGACGAGACAAACAGACGTGTAAGTTCCCTGTCCGTTGGGTCGTGTCGTTTATTGAAACCGGATTGAAGAGGGGCCCGGGGCCTTTACTCGGGAATGCCGCAGGTGGCGAATCTGAGCCGGTCTAATAAGTCGAAACAGAACCGCAAGCGTCCGGCAAACTTCTCGCCTCAAGTTCCCGCAGTCAACGGCGGGTTTGCAACAAGTGAGCTCGATGTTGAATCCGAGCTTCAAGAGTATTCGCTCGACCACTCAAACCAGAGTGGCATGGTGCAGCAGTCCAATCACGCGGGGGTCCCGTTCCGCCTTGATACATATAACATTGAAAGCGACCCTATTATCACCTCGGCCGGCCCCTTCCAACCGGCATTCAACTTTTCGCCCTCCACCTCCCCAATGGTCCCCCACGACCACTTCTCTTCCTTGTATAACGGCTCCGGAATGCCTTCGACCGATTACTATTCTCCCCCCGGGTCGGCTTATCAGTCCAGCGTTTCCACCCCGCATCCTTTGAACGACGGCGAGGGCTTCTACTTTGGATCGATGGATATTCGACATCCTCGTCAACAACCCTACAGGCCGACGCCGGCTGGCATGGACAACACTCTGGCCCACCAGTTCCCGTATGGTGCTAGTGGAAATTTAATGTTTCCTGCTTCCACGGGTGCCGCGGACCCCGCTGCCTCGTTCACTGCCCCGAGCTCTTTTGGCCATGTAGATCCTACCCAGGTGTTTCAGCATGAGCACCCAGCTCGCTCTCCCGGCGTTGGTCTGATGCAAGACAGCATGTTTTCATTTGGCGCGGACTCGGATGCAGACGAGGATGAGGGCGCTTTTGCTGATCGCAACATCCCAGTACCTCCAGATTTCTCACCGCAAGGTATGGATGAGGGCGGGTTTGATAGCTCGTCGTTGCAGTGGGATCCTTCTCTCACTGGGAACTTTAATACCCAGGCCGCAAGGTACCCAGGCGGTCCGCCGCGGAAGCAAGTAACCATTGGTGGTACAACAACCGACTATGTGGACGCAAATGGCGACTGGGAAGGAGGCGCTCTGGGCCGGTCGCAGTCGCAGTCGCAGTCATTCCGACAGAGCGACGGGCGTCAAGGCAAGGTTCCTCGGGCGGCTTCTACGCCGGGCTTAGCTGGCATTGGAAATCCATTTGACCGTCTTGCCCAGTCGACATCAAATTCGCCGCCAGCAGAAGCATCTGGCTTCTCGTCCGTTGCAGCCAGCCGCCCTTCATCACCACCTCCTGGATCGAAGCACGGATCGACAACGAACCTGCAGGGAGCTGCGGGAAATCAGGAAAACAGTGCTCCAACAACGTGCACGAACTGCTTTACACAGACAACGCCGCTCTGGCGCCGCAATCCCGAAGGCCAGCCCCTTTGCAATGCGTGCGGTCTATTTTTGAAGCTACACGGCGTTGTAAGACCATTGAGTTTAAAAACAGACGTCATCAAGAAACGGAACCGCGGCTCGGGCGGAGGTCTGCCTGTTGGTGGCACCAGTACACGGTCGGCGAAGAAGAACGCCGGCGTCAGCACGTCAACGGCTGCTTCGGGGGCAAACACGAGGAAGAACTCGACTCTCTCCATTTCCTCGGCTGTTAATCCCACGCCAGCCCAGGTGACCACGCCGCCAGTACAGAACCGTGCCGGCAGTGTCAACGACAGCGAAAGTCCGGTGAGCGGGCCTGCGTCAGGTGGCAACACGGCAGGCAGCACGCCGACAAGCTACCACGGTAGCGCTGGTTCTTCTAGTGGTGTTGTCGGTGGAAAGGGCGTTGTTGCTATTGCTGCAGCACCGCCAAAGAATGTCCCTGGCCCAGGGGCCGCCTCTCTGACGCGTAGTGCAACCATGGGCTCGAAGCGGCAACGGCGGCATAGCAAGAGTGCCGGAGGCGACCAGTCATCAAGCGGAATGGACATTGACAGCCCAGAAAACTCAACAGGGTCGAACGAGGCCGCTCGGTCTCTCGGGTCTAGCAACGGCTTTCCTACAATGCAGTCGACTGCCAGTAGCATGGGTCTCACTAATGGTTTTGGCATAACACAGCGATCAGTGGTTGGGCCGGGCATGATGAGCATGCCAAGTGGACAGACTGGTGGAATGATGGGGGCCGGAGGTACAGGAGCCGGCCCTCAGGAGTGGGAGTGGTTGACTATGAGTCTTTGAGAGACCCTCTAGCCATGCTCCCAGGGCTTTTAATGACGTCTGTCTCCTTTGCTTTTCTCTTTTTTTCTTCTTTTTTTGATACCTCTCCATTTACGGTTATAGCCTTTATGATGTGATGGCAGTGCATAGACGGCCTGTTTCTGCTTTTGAATGAGATACCAACGGGGCGTTGTCTCTGCTCCATAATCTAGTGGATTTAAAGGGGGAACCATTCAATCTGCACACAATCGAACATTGATACCCACGGGCTATTGAAGCTCTTTCCCGCAGTCCTTACGGAAAACCATGATAACTCGCGGACGCTTTCCCGCTTCGACAGAAGGGCGATCTGTCCGCTTACATATTCGGCATCAATATCGCGCGCTACAGGCTGGGGCCTTGCATCTTTATGGGGAATGGGGGAGAAAGGACTGTTAATGCGATGTTTTTCTGGGCTGGCGATTCAGAACGCGCGCTAGTTTGGTGGCTGGAATGTACTGGACTGGAGGTCAGGGAAGGGGACGGGGCTTTTTTCCCTTTTTTTTTGTGCCCACACCAAGGGGGCTTTGTATACATCTCTTCCCCCTCTGTCATTACTTTTTTGATGCCACAACATATTCATTTCCATTTATATACTCTCTGTCTCGGCTTTTTGGGGGGTCGTAGTCAGCCACCGACGAGATGGTTGCTTGATATTGTGCTTGACTTATATGGCTCAGGGGTAAGAGGGGTTCACTTGCAAAGAGAGCCGGCGGGCGCTGGCAGAGAGAGAGCGGAGGGGCTTCAAACGGAACAAGAATTTGAGAGGCGGCAACGGAACAAGCGATAGAGAGACAGCGAGAGAGACCGACCAAAAGGGATATAATCATCTGCTACTTGCGTCGTTTCCCTCCCTCGTTCGCTGGCTCCTTGGTTTATTCTCATCCCCTCTTCACTCCCGTCCGTTGCTTTCCGTGTATTATCTTTTCTGTTCTGTTTCGCACTCTTTGCATCCATTTGGTCCGTGTTTTTCCCCGTCTCTCTGTTTTCGTACGTGACACGAGTGTGGGCAGGTGCCAAGACGGTTCCCGAGTTGGTGTTTATACTAGTGTGTCCGATACGGGGAATGAATGTTAAATCATTGAATACCTAGGTACCTACCCCTTATCTGCGGTTGTTCTTGTCATCGTCGTTAAGCAGGGGTTTATATATATATATATATGTGGCCTCTCTCTCTTAATTGTGTTTTAATTTTAGTGTTGTGATGGGTGTGAGCCATTTCACTTTGATGATAGATCTAACTATTGAAGCCGCTCCTAGAGTAGACTCTCCTCCTTCGAAATCCTAGGAATAGGAGCAGACAGAACAAACATTCGAGCCTGCCGCAGCCACACTCCTCCTAACTGGGTTTACACGAAGGAAGTGGAGCCCATCCGTGTCTTTAGCAAGCGACCCAATGAGAACAAGAGAGGATAGGATTACAAGCCGAACTCGAATATAACCTCGAGATCTTGTTCGAGAAAATAGCACCGAGGTTCTGGCCCTCTGATGTTGTGAGCAAATTAATTAGGAATTAGTATTTACTATTACTTTCGCCATAAAACGTCCGGCTTGGGGATCTATTAAAATAGTGCCCAAGTTCTTGGGCGTGACGACGGCGAGCATGTTCACTTTCAACACCTCACAACGGGTAAGGGAACCCTCCCCAAGCATGTTCAGTGGTGAATTTCCCTTCCAGATGGCATCCCGCTAGCTGTTCCTAATGATGCCTCGCAGCCCTTCGATTTTCCTGCTGATCGAGGTGCCGTACCCGACCTCGACGACGCCCTTGGCAAACCGCCAGCTGGTCTCCTGGTCAGGGACCGGGTACTGCAATGGCCTCGGGATGGCCGTGCGGATGCCTAGCCAGCCGAACCGATCCTCGCACACAGATTTCAAGTTGCAGAGACCCTGCAGCCCTTCATCGCCAGCAAACCGGCCATATCCAGACCCGCCGACACCGCCAAACGGCAGCTGCACAGCATACGTGGTGCCAAAATCATTGATGGCCACCATGCCGGCCTTCAGCCCCTTGACAATCTGCTTGAGCGCGGGATCCGATTCGGAGCCAAACACAGAGCTGCCGAGCCCGTACAGCGGCGCGTTGGCCAGGGAGAGGACAGCGTCGGCGGTGCTGGACTCGGCGCATATCAGCACCATAATTGGACCAAAGCATTCCTCCTGGGCGATAGCCATGTCAGACTTCACGTCGACAAGCAGCGTCGGCGCAAAGTAGTGGCCGCTGGGGTGCTGAAGGTGCGTGAAGCGTTTGCCGCCGACGAGCAGGCGGGCGCCGTCCCTCACGGCATCGTCAACGAGGTTCTCGAGGCGCGCAAATGACGTGTCCGAGATCATAGCGCCAACGTCGGCCGTAGGGCCAAGCCGCAGAGCGCGCACGCGCGGTTCGAGCAGCGCGATGAGCTTGGAGTACGTCGCCGGCGGGGCAACAATTCGTTCAATGCCGATGCAGTTCTGGCCCGAGGCTTGGAAGGAGCCACGCAGCAGCGTCTCGACGACGCGGCCAAGGTCACGCTTGCTGACCGAGTCGAGGACGACGGAGACGTCCTTGCCGCCCAGCTCGGCGAGCACAGGGGTGAGAACCTTGGCTGCCGATGCGGCGACCTTGTGGCAGACGGGGCGCGAGCCGATGAAGGTGATATGACTGATGGCCGGGTGCGAGGTGAGATGGCCTGCCGTCTGCGGCCAGCAAGCGATAGTTTGCAAAAGTGCGGGCGAGTGGCCGTGGGCGACCAAGGCACCTCGCATGATGCTTGTAAAGTACGTGGAGCTCCACGCCGTTTGCTCCGAGACCTTGGCCACGATGGCGTTGCCAGCAAACAGGGCACTGATAGCTGGGCCGACGAGGTTGTGGAAGGGGTAGTTCCAGCTGACCAGCGCAGCCACGACGCCCAGGGGCTCGTAGTGCACCGTGTTGCGCTTATAGGCCATGAGCAAGTTGGTGGGCCGGCGTGACGGACGCAGGGCCCGTTCCCCATACTTGATAGTCCACATCAGCTTCTCGGTGGTGGTAAGGATCTCGCCGAGCTGCGCGTCGACCATAGTCTTGCCGCTGTCTAGGCAGGCCACGCGGCAGATTTCCTCCTGGTTGTCGAGGACGTGCTGCAGAATAGAACGCAAGACGGCACGGCGGTCACGGAACGATGTCTTAGCCCACGCGGTCTGCGCTTCTTGCGCCTGCTCAATGGCCCGGTCAATGGCATTCGGCGTTGACGGGTTGACGAGGCCGAGGAACTGACCCGTTGCAGGCGCGTAACATTGGATCGCTGTCGAGCCCGAGACCTATAGAGGACGGCGAGAGACGTTGTTAGCGGCAGTGACCTGCTTGGAGAGCAGGCCAGAACGGGTACAACACAGACACACCTTGATGGCGGGCTTCTCGAGGATCTCGACCTTTTCTGGCGTCTTGGGCGTGGGGACCCTGTATCGGATAGGCTTGCCGTTCTCGCCGAAGCCCATATACCAGGCGACCACGACGCTGACACCGATCCACAGGAACGTCCATACGGTTTTGGGGAGCCTACTTGCAGCTTTAGTATTGCGCCACACCTCAGTCTAGACCTGCCTAGGGAGCTGTCGCTGTCCTCGGGAGCTTCAATTGGACGCGGTACAAGTGAAGTACAGTACAGTAATCCGTATCTAGAGTACATACCCTGTGCTTTCCGCAATGGCGTCCCGCAGCTGCTCAACTAGGGGCATGGCTGCTGTTGCTGCTCGTTGTTGCCCGAGGCAGATGTCGAGTCAAAATCTCTTGTTGTGATTTGAGAAAGCTGTCGTTGCTAGCAAAATACCTATTCTCGCCAGACCGTGTCGCGAACGCGCCTCATCTTGCGATGTTAGATTGCCCTTATTCAGTTATCGTGCCACTTTTAGGAGACGTTCTTTCCTTATCGGCATACTTGACAGTGAGTGGTCAATTATACTTCATCACCCCCACACGGCCCCTTATTTCTCTCCATCTCCCCAACTCTTCTACACCGCCGTCTTCCTCACAGAGCAGTATCACAAGACATGTCGAGAGTCATGAGAAGGGCCGTGATAAAGCAAATATGTTATATACCTTGAAGATAAAAACAATAACTATCTTTCACGTCTTGTTGTCCTATACGGTGTCTTTCTTGTCCAATACCCTCCCCTTTCTCCCCCGCTATTATTTCGTTCACACGACACGCACGCACGCACGCCAAATCATGTTGTAAATGCGCCACCCAACGCCGGCTAGAAATAGGACCAAGAGAACCAAGAATATGCAAAGTAAGGAATAAGGCGAAAAAGGAAGACAGAAATAGTGGAGAATATCCTTGTCGATAGCGGTGGAATCTCCTCGTTGAGAAAAAAGAGAAGAATAAATACTGGTTTGAAGAGACAGTCACGCATATGCAAAGCATGACTCGAAAACAAGGAACAGATAGAGAAAGAAGACGGCGAAAAATAGAGAAACAGAAAAATGATGATTTGTTTTCCCCCGCCCATCCCATCTACCTATTCATCCCCTCTCCCACTTTGCTTCGTGTGTCTTTGTGTGCGTTGTCGGCGAGAGTTTCGTGTAAGTGTTTGTGTATATGTGAGCACAGAGGATGCAACAGCCGCGCCCCTCCTCGTACAATGCATTTGACGCAGTCCGGGATATCAACAGAAGGAAAAAATGACGAATGAAACCCCAAGAACAAAGAAAGAGAACAAAAGCGAGCGATACACCTGTCTGCTTGCTAGCCACCGGTACCAGTCGCCCGCTCAGCAAAACACAGCACAAAGATTAATGTACAGTCCCCTTGACGTCTGCCCACTGCGTCCGTTATTGTTGATCGACGCTCTTTTTGGAAAATGCCGACATTCCCCTCCTTCTAACCGTGTTCAAATTAAAACGCCGCTGATTGCCCGTCCCGTGCGACGAGTGTGTCGACTCTATCCTACTCAGCCGTGCCGCCGAGGTAAAATCGTTGCTGGCCTCGAGACTGGGTCGGACCCGGTCCATCGATGCTCTTATGCGGTCGAATGACGGTCTAGTCCGGTCAATCGACTGCCGCGGCCTGTATCCCTCGTCCTCTCGCTGTACCTCGAGCGAGTTCCGGTTGTGCATGGTGTAGTCTGTACCGTCGCTCCCATTTTGGTTACGCGTGTTATGCGTGGCCACCGAAGGGGGATAGATAGGCCGCCTGTCTTCATCGACGCTCGCGTAAGTAGCGTGCTTTCCTTTTTTGGTCGACGACTCGGACGCTGTCGATAAAGACCCTTCCAGACCCTCGGCGGTTGCTGTGGTGTCCGTCGGCTCCTTGTCAGAATACCTGCCTAGCTTGACCTCTTCCCGGACGATGTCCACATCGTATGGGAACCGCTGCTTCTGAATACACTTGATGACGATTCGCGGAAGCAGGCATATTGTGGGCGTGACAATGAAGCACATCCAGAAAGTGAGCTCTTGGTAGATTTGGGGGGCGGCCTGGTAGAAGCCGGCAGCGTAGGTACTAGCCGTGTACACTCCGGTCCAGAAGAAGATGAACACGTCGCTGAGAGCGATAACCAACAGGAACACCCAGTCCCATCGATACGTGTTGATCAGGATATAGAAGTTGATCGTGAGAACGGCGGGATGGGCGATATAGCATCCCAGCCGGAGCCGCTCGGCCACGTCGAGTCCGTTCCCGGCAGCGGAGGCGGTGAGGGTGACGAAAACGAACGGGATGAAGAAGGTTACGACGGATTGGTAAATACCGTCCACCATGTAGGCCCTGCAATAGTTTGTTAGTCAACCGCAAGAGGGTTTGGAGCGGGTTGGGGACAGAAGAACCCCGAGAGCACTCACCAGAATTTTGTTTGCGTCCATTCAAGCCGCTCGATGCCGCGTCGGTAGAGCTGAGGGACCGCCAACGATACCGTGTCACTCACGTCCTGGTCTAGAACTCCCATAAGGATAACCGGGACCGACGTAAAAAACAGGTTGAACATGAGAATGTACGTGTACTCGAAGATGTACGAGATGTCGAAGTTGCAGAAGGCCTGGAACCAGAAGATGGCCCATGTCCAGATCATGTTCTTGTAGAAAAAATTGCTAATCGTTTCTGCCAAGCGCCGATAGGACCATCTTCCGTGGACGAGCACCAGCCTCTGCAGGAATCGAAACTGCCCAATTGCATAGTCGGATGACATGACGGCCTGGCGGCCTTCCACACCGGCGATGCCGACGCCAACGTCGGCCTCCTGGATCATGGCGACGTCGTTTGCTCCGTCGCCAATGGACATGGTCATGACATCCAGCCCATTCTTCACCAAGGTGACGACGGCGGCTTTCTGGGCAGGGCTGACTCGGCAGCACAAGACGGCCTTGCACTGCTTACACAAGAGCAGGAACTTCTGCTTCAAGGCTTCACTCAGCACCCACCGCAGGGTGAAGCCGTCAATAACGAGCCCGTGAGTCGCGGCAGGGGGTTCGTGGTCGCTTCTCGCCTTCTTGAGCTCTTCGTCGCTGCCCGTCATGTTGAACTTCGCCAAGCCTTGGTCGAGGCTCTCTTCGGCTAGGCGCAGGTATTCCTCTTCTGTTATCACGCCGCCTTCGTCCTCGACGACCTGGAGGCGGATAAGGTCCATGTCATTGTTCAAGAGGTTGCACGAGAACCCGATGTTGATCGCTGTCTCGACCTTGTCTCCGGTAAGAACCCAAAGTTTGATACCGGCGTCGGACAGAAGCTCAATGGTGTCGGGCACACCGTCCTGAAGGCGATCTTCAATGGCCGTCCCTCCCAGCAAGGTGAGGTCCTGCTCGATCTTATCGGCAACCTCCTCGAGCTTCTCTTCGCGATTTTCGAGAGCGGTAGCAGCCAGGTCGTGCTCCTTGCGCCATTCGCGATATTCCTCCTCGGTAAGCTCGCGTTCCGCAATGCAGAGAGTGCGGAGACCCTCGACGGCGAACATCTCGAGATGCTCTGCCGTTTCCTTGCGGAGCTGGGGCTGCTCACCCCTCTTGAGGCGCGAGTATATGATGCTATCAGCCCCCTTGCAGAAAAGGACAATTCGACCGTCAGGCATCCTGACGATGGCGCTCATTCTCTTCCTCGTCGAGTTAAACTCGATGGTATTGAGGACCGGGTAGTACCTGTCCTGGCCCATGACATTGACGTTGATGCCGTCGTTAGACATGCCAAGAACGGTGAAGCCCATGTCACGGGCGGTAGAAACAAGAGCGGCCTCGTCTGGCGACTGGGCCTTGAATATGATCTTGGGAGGATCACCAGGCTGTTTCTCGGTGATAACCGTGTGGCAAAGAGCTAGCGCGAGCATGAAATGCTCATTTGCCCGTTGCTGCTCAGCTCCGTGCTTGCCAGCCAGGTCTTCGACAAAATCAGGGGCGACAAAGGTCAAGTCTTCGTCATGGAGATACGGGTTGTCGTGAAGATCTCGAAGTCCTTGAAGCGTTTTGACTTTTGCCGCGGCGATCTCGGCCCTGATATTTTCAGTGTCCTGCTCAGCAACAGCGCCGCCCATCCTCTTATTCATGCCAGCCTGCGCTTCGGTGAATGCTTCTCCGTATGGTTGGCCGTTGACCGTGGCTTTCTTGAACTCCATCACATTCTGTGTCAAGGTGCCGGTCTTGTCGGAGAAGATGTACTCAATCTGGCCAACATCATCCGATATATTCCACGACTTGGGGATACACGGCGCGTCGATCGATTCGTAGTACATCCCAATGTCGCTGTAGATGAAGTAGGCCTGGAGGGTTCTCACGATTTCGAGCGAGATGTAGAGAGAGATAGGCACCAAGTTTTGAAAGACGATCACAGCAGCCCAGAAAGTGATGAAGCCTGTCAGTCCCGGTGTCCCTCCGATCGACCCGTACCCGAACCAGTACAAGGACGCATCTGTCTTGCCCCAGGCAACGCCGTTGGCAATGCTAGCGATGAGACACATGACCAAGAGAATACCGAAATTGCAGATGACGTTGAAGTTCAGCTCGCGAGCAATTCGGGCACGCTTGCTTGGCGTTATTCCGGCGTTCATCATGATCTTGGTGTCGTGGCCGGTGAAGACAACCACGCCGAGAGCCCACTCGGTGTTGCGGAGGTTGCATCCACGGAGGAGCATGTTGTCGATCGTGACTGGCTCCGACATGTTTCTAGGCTCCCCGTGAGGATCCCAAGGCACCTGCTGTTCCCACTTGATTGCGCCGTTATACTTGTAGAGGTTGGGCTGCGGGGGTTCGCTGTCAATCATAAACTGGGCACGCTCGCAGTCCCGGGCATGCTTCAGCGAACGGCCGCACCGGAGCGCCGAGCGGACCTTCAAGTTGGTTTCTCCGTCCAAGTTTTTCGTCTCGACGTAGCAAGAGCCGTCAGGATCCGAAGTTGCCAGGATGATGATATCAGCAGGGAGCTCGTCGTCATTGTAGATGCGGACAAAATCGCCGACAACTAGACTTTTCCACGTATCTTTGTGGAATTTAGCCTTGCCGGTGACGGGCACCTCGTGGTTGACCAAGTCTCCTTTCAAGTTCTGCAAAGCCGTCGCTTCATTCATCTCAAAGCTGAGCGCATGTCCTCCGCCCCTCTGCACATCAGACGGCAGCTTCATCTGGTTGGGCTGGAGCGGGAGGGGCGACGGCACTGGCGTCATCTGAATTTCCTCTTGCGCCGAAACAAACGACATCCGCTGAGAGCGCGGGGAAACAACCGACTCCCATGGCGTCGACGTGGTCTCGATTGACGCACGCGGGTCAGCGCGGTCCGAATCGCCATCTGTCGCGCCCTTGTCCTTCTTCTTCCAAAGACTCTGGATGGAACGCCATATGGCGCCAAAGAACCGGGAATTGGCCTTTTTAAACCTTCGCCACAGTGACACGTTGTCGTCCTCCACGTTGACGTTGTCCCAGCCCACTAAACGGTGCACGGGGGCATTATTGAGCTCGTTGTCGAGAATTGTCCTCCGATAGTCCTCGATGGCATCTTTGATGGCGGTGACGGTAACAATAAAAATTAAAGGAACAGCGTTAAGTCCGGGGTTCACACCGCCGAAAATAGGGAATATCTAGGGCCAGAGTTAACACCTCAATACCCCCTAAAAAGGGCTAGGAGAGCAGGCCACCCAGGACACGGCCTTGCAGTCGTGCGCTACTTACAACTAAAATGACAACGAAGAGGAAGAAAATATTGGCGACGTTGTGGAATTGGAACCACAGGTTCTTAGGAATAAAAGATAGCGGCGTGTACTTGGCCGTCCGGATCTTGTTTCGCGTGTAAAAGGTCTTCGGGTGTCCTTCCTCGTCCTTGAGGTCGTCGGAGAGAGGTATGTTGAAGTAAACTTGGCGCGGTGCGGCGCCGTGCTCGTCGCTCGTAACGCTGTTGGCATCGCTCTGCGGCCCGTCAAGTTGGCCGCCCGTCGGTTGTCGCAGCGACTCGGATCCTCCCGATGTCCTCTTCTTCTCGCCCGACGCATTCCTGTTGTGTTTCCTTCCGAGCAGCGAGAGGCGCTTCAGGCCGCTGCTCTTGACCGTCAGCTTCCGCGTCGCCCATCTCGACCTCTGCATCGACACCGTAGGCTCGAGAACGGCGCCATCTTCTGGCGGCGCCATTGAGAGGGAATCGCGGGCAGAGCCCGTTCAACCCGAGCTGTCCGCCAGGCTGGCCAGGAGTGGCCCGGTCGCTGTCTCGACGCCACTGCAATTGAGGATGCGACGCGTTGAAGGGCTAAAATCGAGCGAGTCGTGGCCCCAAGCTGGGATTTTAAAAAATTCGAATTGGCGATGGTCCAGTCCGCAAATCGGATCGCGTGCCAAATCTCGGTCCCAGAGCGTCGGTTGTGTTGGGTTGGCGGAAAGAACGTCGCGGTCGGGGGGCGGGCCAGGAGCGATCGGGATACGCTTTGGGGGCAGTGGATTGCAGCTCGTTGGCGAGTTCAGGGAGAGATTTTTTGGGAACGCCGGAGTTTGGAGGCCGGGTAAGCCGGGGTTTTGCGACCAGCGAGAACAAGAGGGTCTTCAAGGGGGCGCCAGTGGTGGGCTGCCTGAACTAGCCCGGGCCCCGTTATAATCGAGAAAGTCAGCAACCCGTTCAGGCAAACCTGGAAATCTCACGCAAACCACTACTGCATTATTAACAGCGACCTACCTAGCACAGGTCCGGGAAATTTTCGACAAGCAATTGGACAAGGAAGTCTTAACATCTACTCTTGATTAAGAAAAGAAGTCAATCGAGTCGCTCATCGCGAGTCTCTGGTCGAAAAGGCCACGCTGGATTCCCGGACCCTGAGAATTGGTAATCAAATGGAATAAGAAGCGTCGCTGCTCGCTAATGACCTAGTTGCGTACTCGCCCGATACGCCGCGTTTGATACACGTATACTGAATAGGTAGTATTTGGTACGCGGCGCGGTAATAAGGCTCGCTCATTTCAGCGTTCGCGGGTGGGCGGCAGCATGGAAGTGGGCCCGGGCCTTTCCCATCCATCCCATTCTGTCACCAAACTGGGCTGGGCTGGGCTGGGTGCGGAGTGCATTGGATTCGTACAGCCCGAGAGCCCCAGCAATTGGCCGCCCGTAACGTGCTACCTAGCCCACTGTAATCCATACGACGGGTGTACGGGCTCAAAGTGAACTACAAAACGACGGCGACACCTGAGGAAGCAACGGCAATGACGGGACACGGGGAGTCTTATTTGCTGTGTTGCTGACTGTAACCTGCTACGACAACGGATGACGACAATGGATGATGTCTGCTGAGTACATGTTGTACAATACAACCTGTATGGGCTGAACTGAAGGCGTTCAATCTGTCGGGTTTCCAAGGCTGGGCAGGCTCGGCGGTCCAACGGGTTCGTCAGGCCTCGCTACGTATCTTCCTTCATAAAGAGACGGGATTTCCGCAAAATCCGGGGGCAAGCGGGCCTATGGCGGAGTTTGTGCGAGTTAAGCTGCCCGGGTGGACAGAAACTGAGGCTGGGCGGCTACACATCTCGACAGCATTGAAGGCAAGCACAGCCTCTGGGCTGTCCCGACTCCCCAGCGTACTATCAACAGCAAGCACCTGCAGCCGGACAATCCGTCAGGTCCTTTACCCAATCAATATCTTTGTCCGAATCCAATCTTTGTTTGCCAACGATACAAGCCGCCTCATAACGCTGTTGGCCCGAATGTTTGGTATCCGGACTTAGTCGGTCGGTCTAGCCATTCTGTATAGTTTACAGACTACCCGCCTTTGGGTGGATACCATGGTAGGCTAAGATCTCCGCCGAACTGTCTTGGCCCCCCGTTTGTCGGGCTTTGCCAGAAACCCGGTGCCCGCCCGATATTGCGCCCTTCGGAGAGGACCCCTTTTCTTACAAATTATCACATCGTATCGTGACGAGGAACGAAGCTAGAACCATGCAGGCGTTAATTCACAGCAGCGAGCACAAAAGCTGTCTTTCTATCCGTCATGGCCCTCACAACCAGGTCTCTGCGGCTTACTGTTCTATCCAGTATTATTAGTCGAGGTCAAAACAGATGTCAGTCAGACCAGGCAGTTGAAGAACTTTGAGGGATGTGGCTTCCACGTCAGGTCCACTTGTCCAAGCATTGTATTCATGCAGTGTCTGTGCTAGCGTTTCCAACAATAGCCCCCCCGTCATGGACACTTGCCATTTTAGATGCCACACTCGGCGATCCTGGGCCACATCAGTGCGTATAACCGCTCCAACAAAGCAACAACTAAAGTTCCAGATGCATTGAGACGGTTGGATAACGCCTCCCTCGCCGCCAGAGATGCCAGAGAGATTATGTCTTCCATTTACATCGATGACACCAACCTCTCAGGCCCATGCTCACACTCTGGCCCATGTCTCCCGCCTTGTTGCCAACTATCCCACGCGACACAAGCCTGAAAGGTGTTGGTACATACATATCATTGGGAGTTGATTGTGGCTCGACGATCAGGGCGACGTGCACGTCTGAGCCTCGGCCATCGCTAATCAACCTAACAGCGCAACAGAAAAAAAATACTGTTACACTCTTCCAACAATGCGGATTCAGGATTCAGGACCTCAGCCATCACGAGTAGGCTGTGGACTGTGCTTCAGCAGGCAGCCTGCCGGATCTGGGGTTTTACCTACTCAATAGTGTACCTCCCTAATCCCTAAACTCTGTTCCGACCTACCTAAGGTCGGGCAGGTATCTACGCGGGTGGCACGAACGCGGGACAAGTTTCATCAAGATCCAGGAAGGCGTGCCGGGAATGAAACTTATGCGGCCGGCCACAACCCGCTTCCTGACGAATGTTCGGGTCAGTTATGCGCCAGTAGTATTTGCCGAAGGCTGTTAGGCTTTCTCTTAATATGATCTGCCAAAAGCCAACATCGCCTACTTAGTATACGTAGGTAGTAGGCCCAGGAGGGCGGGACGGGGATGGGATAACGTCTGGACTAATGGTGGGCTCGCTGTTGTGTGTGTGGTTGTTGTGTGTGTGGTAACCCCGCGAAATGCAGGGGCGAGGTGAAGACAAAGTCTGAGGCGGCGGCATTCCCTCATTACCACCGTGTATTTCATGAAGTCCGAGGAATGTGCGACCTGGTCTGAATCCTTCATAGATATCTGAACCACCTGTATACCCTCCGGTGTAATTATTACTCCCGTTGTGTCAGTATTTCTCATATACCCAGTCTACACTTGATGTGGTGGTGGTGGTGGTGCTTCACTGCGGCTGTCTAAGCCTCCCGCTGAGTGAGCCAGGCAGTGCTTCATTACAGTTGTAGGAGCAGTGAGAGACCAATCAGAGTCTGGCGAATGCCCGAGGAATTCACACAGCCCGTCATCTCTCATCCTCGGGCCAGGATAGAAGCCATCCGTATTACCACTCGTAAGCTCACCAAGTCATCAACAAGCCAGCGACGCCCGACCGTTTCCCAGGGCGTGTCTGCTAAAACCCAACAGTTGTGCCCTGACTCGAGAGAGGGGCAGCGGGTGCAGATCTTGAGGCGCATCGTCCGACGTCAGAACCCCCTTCTTTTTTTCAGCCGCTCCGCCCAAAAAATAAAAAGCCACCGCCGATTAACGAGACGCCGCGGTTGGCCAAACCCCTCGCTAGCACGATAAGCTGTTTTGCCATATCCCATCGTTGAAATGTATGTACCTGTATCTCCATGCTTTGTACTGCGTAAATACGTTGTACGCGTGTAATACTCTGCGGCCGCAATTGTAGGCAAATGACAAACTTGACTCAACGGCAAGTGCCGTCGCGTTTCATTAATTTGTTGTGCAATCGCAGCCCGATGCACCACCAGGACCACTATCACACCAAGTGCTAATCAGTCCCTGAATGTGCCTGAAAAATCAACGCCAATTCCATTCCTGACTTGACCTCAAGCGCGTGGCGCCAAATAGTGAGGTAACCACCAATTTATTGAACGCAGCTCGCTACCAGGCATTGAGATGAAGAGGCCATAGACATACCTAAGATAGTCGCGTCGCGCACTTTCCTCCCCTCTCCTCCCGAAAAGGCCGGAACTTCCGAGAAGTGGGCCGTGGGCTGTGGGCCGTGTCCGGACGGGATTGCACTCCAACAAACGAAGCAGGGAAATTTAGTGAAACATGTCCAAAAACGGCAGCATCACCAGCTTCTTCAAGCCGGTTGCCAAGACCTCAGGGAACCTACCACCACCACCGCCGCCGCCCCATATCGAGTCTCAAGTGCGGGCCTCGCGGACGCCTTCGCCACTTCCCCAGCTCCTCTCGTCTCCGCCCGCACCCACCCCGGTAGTGCGGTCTCGCGATGCTGTCATTCAGGCCTCGGAAGATGAGGACGATGACTTCATCTCGTCCGACGACGACCTCCCCTCGCTCTTCTCCAAGCCCAGCGGCGCCAAGATCGTACCAGTGCCCGCGAGGAAAGAGACCAACAACCTCTGCGCGACGCCAAGGGCGAAACGAACTGCTCTTGCCATGTTCTCGTCGCCCCTGACCATCATGCCAAAGCACAAGTATGACATCCAGGCCCTGCTCAAGCATGCCGAGGCGGACAACGCCCTCGAGGAGAGCGAGCAGCGTATGGCCTCCATCATGGGGTACGAATCTGCGGACGAGGACGACCCCATGCAGGAGCACCAGCTACCGCAGCAGCCCGCAAACAACCAGAAGAAGGTCCCCGTCAGCCTGCACGTTACCATGATGGACGTCTTCTCAGACGCCGAAGGGAGCCAGGACGAGGGCCATCGCGAGAAGCTGCTCCGCGCTGTCAAGAGGACCGAGGCCACGGTCCACCGGAAGGAGTGGCACTTTTTCGACCAGCCCCTACCCGACGCCATGTCCATCGAGGCTCGCAGCCCCTTTCCCAGTGCCGCCGCCAGGGGGGCCTGGGCGTTTCTTGCGCCAGCAAAGGGTAGGGCTGAGCTCTTTGAGGATGGGCTGCCCTACCACATTCAGGCCAAGATGCAGAGCGTGCCTGATGACATATTCCTCTGGGTGCTAGATGAAGCCCCCTTGACGAAGACCAGGAAACTCCGAGAGGAGTATCTGAGGCTGCTTGGAGTGTGTCCCGATCACGTCGGGCGGCTCGTAGATGACCAGGTAATTTCACAGTTATTCCGCAACGTTGGAGCATCAGAACGCTCTCTCAGTTCGTCTCCCCAGACAAGCAGGGGCTCGGCGGACCACCAGAGAGACTCGCCAACCACGGCGCAGAGAGATTGGGCTCCTCTCCGGACCGTTCTCCTGCTGTCGGCAGAACTATCACAGGGCCTGACGATCCAGTCCCTAACGCGGAGCGTCGCCATTTTGCTTCGGCTCGGCATGGACAGTCTTGTGCGAGAGGACCTAGCCATCGAGAAAGAATTTCAAGATGCCCTGTTCGCACTTGTGGGAGCTGTGTCCAGGGATGACTGGGACTCATTTGTATGGAAAATCCCACTTGCTTCGCTGACCTAGTTTTCCTCTTTTTCTTCTGTTTTGAATCGGTTCTGAGCCTCTCTATGATGATCTAATCTTTTTCTGAATATCTACAGTGCGGCGACGTGTGCATGTCTCTCTACAGTCTCGTAGACGACGCCAGCTTGCGGTGGGACAGCGTCTCGTCCATCCCGTCCATGGGCGCGAGGCTGATCGACCTGCGCCGGCGGCTGGCCATCGTGTTCGTGTTTGACGATCCGCAGCGCGCGCGCGCGCGGCCCGAAGACAACTTCAGCATGCGCGCCGTCATCGACCGGCTCGAGGCCGACGAGTTCATCGTCGACCGCCACCTCACCGACTACTACGAGCTGGCCGCGCTGGTCGAGCTGCTCGGCGTCGCCACGGCCGACGGCTGCCCGCCCGTCGGCGGCTGCCCCGAGGCCGTCAAGCAGTACAACTCCGAGGTCGACGAGGTCACGAGGCGCATCAAGATCATGTGGTCGAGCATCCACGAGCAGGGCGCCGCCTTCGCGTCGAGGCTGGACGCCCGCGTGAACCTCAAAGACTTCGAGCGCAAGCTCGAGCATGCCGTGCGCACCCGCCCGCCCCCGAGGACCGACATCTTCGATATTGACCCGCGCGAAGAGGAGGAATCCCAGCGGCCAAGGCAACAGCATTTTCTACAAAAGTTTTTGGCCAAGGGACGACCTCCGAAAACGCCCTGAAACGGAAAGGAAAAATGGGGAGAGCGGGTTCCACTTGAGAAAGCGTATTGTTTGTTTTGTTTACTTCCGTGCAGTTACTGTCTAATGCCCTTGCTGGCCTTGCATGAAGCGATCCGGCGAGCGATCGGGACGTTGTAATGACGCAAACGATGAGCTCTGCAGAACTAGCCATGTTTACTACATACCTCACCTACACGCGTTATGAGTTGCAAATGCACAAATCTGATGCTATGGTATTCCGTATTCCGGCTTGTTATTAGCATGGCGGAAACCCCACCCTTCCCCTCTCCCCTTTCATCCCTTTCCTGTATCATACACATACTCTTTAGAAAGATACCGGGCCCCGGTCTCCTCCCTTTCCGGTGGTAGTCGGGTTTGCTTGTTTGCTACGAACTTCAACTCGATAACTTAGCAATGCGAATAGCCTGGCCTTTCTGTCTGCCTGCCTGCCCAAACAAGGTTACTGTGTGTATAGGAACCGGTGACGACGCTTGGCCTGAAACGAAATTTAACATGCTCTCTCCGACTCGGTCCCAAGGGTGGAGAAGGAAAAAAGAAGTACAAAAAGAGGCTTCCTGTTTTAGTCAAAGAACTTGCGGTTGGGATTCACACCAAACAAGGCCTTGCGCACGGCTGGCAGAGCGCTGTCCTTAAGCAGACTCAGCCGAGCCTCCAGGGTGTTATCAATGTCGATCTTGCCGCCGCCGCCCACGATTCTAACGCCACCCGCACTGGCAGAGAGGATTTTTGTTAGCTGACTGAGCCCGTCTTCCGTTTCTTTTCGTATTTTAGGCTGCAAAGATGAAAGAATCAAGCTTACCTCCCCTCAGGCACGGGGTTCTCCTCGTCAATGCTCGCCTTGATCTCCTTGCCCGTCTTCTCCTTGTATTCGCTGATAGCGGCGCTAATGGCGGGCTCGACCAGGGCGTAGTCGGCCTTGCGGGCACGGATCTGCAGCTCGGGCTCGTTCATGGCGTAAAAGCCCTCAAGGATCAGGACCTTAAGCACGTCGCCGTAGCGTTTCTTGTCCTTGGTCACGTCACCCAGCCGCTGCTCGGCCGCCTCGAAGATGTCGTCTAGCAGCTCCTGGCGCGCACCCAGCACCTTGAGTCGCGTCTTGTTGGCCACCGTCGACCGCGTGATCTGCTGCGACATGGTCGCCTGCTTGAACTTCTTTTCGTAGGCCACGTCGATGGCGTCCGTCTCCTGCAGCACCAGTTTCGTCTTCTCGCGCGTAAACTCTTGGTTGGCTTTGATTTTGAGCTCTTCCGCCTTCTCCTGTGCCTCCCGCTTGATGAAGGCCGTCATCTTCTGCAGCTCTTGCCCGACCTAGGTTTGAAGGAGATCGAAATGTCAGTCATGGGATAACATGCATACACACACACATGCAATGGAAGCATAGAAATGGTTCCTGGTTCTAGAGCCCCCTATTCTGCCTGGGATTCAATTCCAGGCGGGCGCATTCCAGTGTCGTCATCTTGGTGGCGCCGGGGGGGAAGGGGGGGGGCTATTCCGACTGGACTCCAGGGGCCATACAAGACAGAGATAAAGTATCGGGGGACCATGCTTCTTGTAGAATTTAGGAAATGGAGCTCTGCCTTACTTGGTCGTCGGACAAGGAGTGAACTCGTGACATTTTGGCGGATTGTTTGCTATGAGGGAATTTGTAGGTTTGTCGTGATACAGAAAGAGAGATTCCGGGCCGAGTGCGGACGATGAAGGACCGACGCTTGTCGTTGGGCGGGGTTTAACGGGAGATGCGTCGCAGAGGGGGGAATTGAGCGATGTTGAGAGCCAAAAGAAGAATCAGAATGTCTTTGGCACGAGGATCTGGTCGGGGGCGCGGTAGGGGGCGTATGGGAAGAGAGCTGGTCGCTGCAGCGAGTATGGCGTCGTTTGTATTTCGGCGATGTCAACCAACAGCCACAGCTCGAGGCGTCGACATGGAGCTAGCCGGGCTGCTGGCCCACCCGCCCGAGCAGCTGCAAGCGCTTTGGGACGGGACAGCAAAGCAACCTGGAAGGAACCTTAGGCTGCCCTCCAGCCACACCCCAACATGCTCTGTATGTCAAAACAGGGTGTCATTTAGTGAGGTCAGCCACGGATCCGGCAATAAGTGGGCCTATGTGGTGGCTAGGGAAGTATGTACCTTCCAGGTCACCCTGGTGTGGTATTTGGGAGGCGGGGTGCAAGTCGAAGGGTTCTGTAAACCTGGGCTGTAGCCTGGAAACACTGCTGCCTTAGGGATGCAAGCACCTGGCGCGTGGCTCCTTCAGAGGGCTCGTGAGCTGCGAAGGTGCTGAGAGGTACAGGCACGCGCCAAGGAATGGATGTGTCCCAAAACGTTCAGAATCCATACGACCTGGTCCAGTGTTTGGTCTGGTGGTGGCTCTCCCTCCATCCCCATCTGCCATGTTAAGTGAACAGAGCATCTTGTAGGCGAGTTTCTGACCGTGCCGTGACCCGTTCCCTTACGCTTTTGTCGCAACGGGGTCATTCTAGACCTTATACCTCTAGCGCCTCCTGATCACTTCCCATTTTGGGAATCCGCACCTCTCCCCTATACCTGGTGGAACCTACAGTGTCCTTACTTTCTGCCTTAAATCTGCGAGGGTGCCAGCGTCATCGATTGACGCCGTCCCAGCCCGCGTTGACCTGAACTATCCTGATTCCCGCGAAATACTTTTAGTTTACGCCCCGCCGTTTCTTCAGCGGAAGACTATCTCGGCGATTAGGTACTGCCCTGTCCTACCAGCGAGATCCCAACCATTTTCGCCGCCGCCGCCGCTCGCCCGCCCATCTCCCTTCGAGACACCAAATCCCGAGTCTGTTTGTCTCCATGCAAGCACAATAAGGAAAGCAGCCACCTCGCCCTGGCTGCCAGATGACCGCCTGTCCTCGGCCGGAATGGGGCTTATTGGTGGCATCTCTCCTGGCGGGAGCATTGCTGTGAGTTCTCGCCGTTCCCTTCCCTTGTCTGCTGTAGCCAAATACAATGTGCCGGCATGGCGGCTGACGTGGACATGAAACAACACAGCTCGGAATTGTAGTTGGGCTCCTGTCGACGAGTGTTCAGAGCCTGGGCCTCACACTTCAACGCAAGTCGCACATCCTCGAAGACGAAAAGGGTCCGTACGATGTGAGGCGGCCGCCGTATCGGAGGAGGAGGTGGCAACTGGGCATGGGCATGTTTGTCATCTCCAACGTCCTGGGAAGCTCGATCCAAATCTCCATGCTCCCTCTCCCGGTTCTATCGACGCTGCAAGCCTCAGGCTTGGTGTTCAACTCGATCTGCGCCACCCTTATACTCGGAGAGCCGTTTACAAGATGGTCCTTATGGGGCACGATGCTGGTATGCGGCGGCGCCGTCTTGATCGCCATCTTTGGAGCCATTCCTTCGCCCGCGCATAAACTGAGCGAGCTCCTGGACCTCCTCGGGCGACGGCCCTTTGTGCTCTGGATGTCGTTTCAGGCCGTCATCGTGATTGCGATTGCCGTCACGACCGAATTCGCCGGGCGCTTCACGGCACTGGCGAATGACTCTCGATTTCGACTCGCGCGCGGATTTGCATACGGGTGTATAAGCGGTATACTGTCTGCGCATTCGTTGTTGGTGGCCAAATCCGCCGTCGAGCTACTTGTCAAGACAATCATTGATGGCGACAACCAGTTTGTCCACTGGCAGTCTTGGATGCTAGTGATTGGCCTCGTCACCCTCGCTCTCACCCAGCTATACTATCTCCACCGAGGCCTCAAGCTGGTCTCGACCTCAGTGCTGTACCCGTTGATATTCTGCATCTATAACATTATCGCCATCCTCGACGGGCTGATCTACTTCCGGCAGACCGATCTCATTAGCCCACTTCATGCATGCCTCATCACTCTCGGCACCGTCATTCTTCTTTCTGGTGTTCTGGCCCTGTCATGGCGCCTCAGCGATGAGCAACACGCGCCGGGTGTTGGACAGTCGACCCTAGCGCCGGGCCTAGGTCTCTTTGACGACACAGATGGCGAGGAGGAAGAAGAGGATCTTCTCCTTCGTTCTGACATTGGTGAAGAAGAGGACGTCCCACCCACAACGCAGTACAGCTACCAAACATTTGGACCTGCCCGAAGTGGGGACATGACTGGCGAAGCCCATCCCCAACCACAGAGGAAACGCTCAATAGCCCCACCGACGAGAAGGGGTTTGTCACGGTGGACCGAACGCGCAGAAATCTGGGATGAACTGGAAGACCGCGACACGCCTACTTCGCCGTCGTCTATTAGGCGACGATCGACCACTCTACCCTCCAATGACTCTATGCCACTTCTTTTTCCAAAGAGGGGGTTGAGTGACTTCCCTGGCCTCACCCAGGGTGATCCCAGTGCAAGTGCAGACCAACTCAACACTGCTCTGAGGCAGAACTTTCAACGTGGCCTCACCCAGGGTGATCCCAGTGCAAGTGCAGACCAACTCAACACTGCTCTGAGGCAGAACTTTCAACGAAGACGTAAGTCAACAGGGTTCCCCGGCTTCACCGCACGAAAGACGGGGACGCGTAAGTCCTCGGGCGGGCTGCAAGATGCTGTGAATGGTCTTTGGAGGCTACGGTGGTGGAGGAATAAAGATCAGCAACAGCACGGCAATGCCGGGTTCGCAAGGGAGCCCTTTGTAAGGAGTCCGGCTGTGGGAACAGTCGCGCCCTTGACGACTGCAGTATCGAGGAACGAGCAACCTACCATAACAAGAGAACGGCCAGAACCTACAGCTACTACAGATAGAAGAGATATGGCCATGTCTTCTAGGAACGAACCATCAAGGCCGTCACTTAGCCAGGCTCCAGTTTCAGGCCGTGAGCGCCGCAGCTCCGGCGGGTCGTCGAGGAGTAGAGCAAACGATGATGGCTCGCCCGTATAAGTGACGGAAACATGAATATCTTGCTTGTTTCCTTCCCCTTTCCTTTCTTGTCAATATTGTGTAAAACAGAACAAAAATACTAGCATTTTATCAGGCCCAGTTCAAACAAGTTAGCGAATGGGCGTACTTACAGATACACACTCATGTATATGTATATATGTATATACCAGTTCGTGAGTCGGCCGGTATGGCTCTCGGTGCCGTTCGATTGCTTTTTGCTGTACGGCAGGAGATGCTTAATTGTACTCATCTTCGTCTGTGCATGGGGATAGGTATTAGCCATTTCACTTCAGTGATAGATCTAAATATAGAAGTCGCTCCTAGAGTAGACGAAAGAAAACACATATGCATATACACTACCTCCATGCCTTTTTCATCGTGTTATTTTCTTCGCGCTGTGAAGCATGGCACACAATATAAGAAATGCTGATTTCCAAGGGGATTACTACACGCACTAACTAGGGAACCAACTCTAAAAGGCTTAAGGCCAACTCGGCTACCTACCGCGGACGGGAGTTCAGATAGAAATGCTCCAGCGGTAACTTTAATTTGTGCGAACACCCGTCTGACCGCTGGCTCGGCCTAGGTCTCGGGGCCCACGACTATCACACAGTGGCCGAGACAAGAGGCCTGCCCACTTGGGGAAGATTTCAGACTGATTAGCACCCAAAAGAGGGAGGAAGAGTGATAAATAGGACGTGAAGACGATGTTGAAAATAGACCAGGTTAAAAAAAAAGTAAATGGATGTGATCTAAACAAGTATATACGGTGTGGCATCTAAACCAAATCTGTCCCAAAAACAATGTGTAAGAGAACGAAACGCTTCTGTCTTACCCAAGACCAGATGAAGATGAAGATGAGGAAAAACATATAACACACGAGAAGAATAGGCTGTTGGCGGATAGGTGGGATGGCCTCGAGGTCAATCCAGTCACTACTTATATGCACCCTTGAGAGATATGCCAAGGTATCTCTCACGCTCTCTCTCACTACCACTGGCTCACTCTCGCACCCTCTCGTCCTCTCCTTCCACTCTCTCGCCCACAAGCCAACTGACGATTGAAAAGACTTGCCATACCAGCCAGCGCTTCTGCCTACTAACGTAGACACTATATTCGAATTGTTTCTCTTCCCCGCCAGGAAATCGCCCAAGAATTGCGCGCGATAAGTTAATGGCACAGGTCTATACAACCAGCCCATGAGAGACAAGATCTGAATTTGTCGATTTCTGGCGAGCTTTGGTGGTGGCGGCGGTTAAAATCCACGCAGAGCGCCGCTCTTCTCGTCTATGTGGCGGAATCGCTCCCGCTCCTTACGTTGCTTCAACAGGCAGGCGGTGGCCACAACGAAGGCAACGTCAATACCAACCATGCCAAACAGAGACGTAAAGATGTCGTCGACAAAGATGTTGGCGAAGGACGTGATGGGCGTTGCGCACCCGCGCATGAGCGCCGCAGATGCGGGGCTTTGGCACGTCGGGTTCGTCACGAAGGCCGGCGATGTGCTATTAAAGTAGCCGCAGCATTGGAACTGTCCGCGCGTGTCAGTCTTTGATGAGAACTCCCAGCCTTGTGGAGGATGACAAGACTTACGGCTGCTTGCATCAAGTCCTGAACGGCCGCCGTCTGGTTGCCCCAAATCGGCGCAAAGTCCCCCTTCGTCCTCAGTGTCTGTATCCACAGGTACAGACCGATGACCAAGGTGAAGATGGCATTGACTGTTGTTAGATAAGCCCCAACCTTGAGCCAGCTGCGGACTGGGGTAATGAGGCCCGGGACGGTGATCACAAAAGTGATGAAGATGCCAACCGAATTTATGATGGCCGCTACATGGTGTGATGTTAGCGAACCAAAACTCCAGGTCATCCCCGAGGAAATGTCCTATATCGGGTTCCTCCCCTGACGGAATTCACACGCAAACACGAACCTGTGAAAGGAAACCTCTGGTATAAAAGGTTTCTGGCCGCCTGCTTTCCATCCGTCGGCACCTCGAATTGGAATTTCTGGACGGTAGTTGAAAAGACGATAATGACGATGCCCATGGCGACAAAGATGAAGTCGAAGACCGCGTAGGTCAGAAGCACCTTGTTCACCATTTTGCCGTTTGTGTACGATTGTTCGAGCAGTCTAGGTTTCCGAGAGAAGGCCTACAAGGGGGCTCAGCTGCCCTTTGATTTCCCTCCAAGAAACAGCCTGCTTTCCTCCTCAGCGTCCAATACGCATACAGAGATTGACGACCGGCGTCTCGAGATGGTTATATAAATCGCCGCTGGCAAGTGGTTGTTGTGTTTGTCCTAGCAAGAAACCAAAGAGGCGAGATTGACCTGCAACTCCCAGCACCCCAAATGAAAAGGAACGTGTGGTCGGACAATCGGCGGAGAAGAAGAGAAGAAGAATAGAGCAAATGACGGCGTGAAGAGATCACGACATCAAGAGCCCGAGGTGATCCCGATCGAGAGGACAAAAACAGCCCAGAGTCACAGGTCCTGCAGGATGAGCAAAGAAGAAAAGCGCACGGGAGAGAGAAAACGAGAGAAAACACACGCACGCGGACGCAAATGGAAGGAAAGGTCGGGTTTCAGACAACCAACGACTTAGAATACAAGCTTTTGCGAAGGGTTTCCCACCCCAGAGATCGCCTTGAATCTTAAGGGGGAGAGGAAAGGAAACGACCGCTGCCGACCTAGTCAAGGGAAGGTGGGGGGGGAATGGCAAGTCCAGCCTACCACGTCGCTGCATTGCCCTTGTGTTCCAGGCGCAACCGCCAGAGTAGCATGGCAGTGGGAAAGAATGCAGCATTGCGGCTCCACTGCGATTCAATTGCTTGCTTCAGCCTGTGTGAGGTTTTGGGCAGCACCTCAGTGAAGTCGTTCGAGATCTGCAGTCCCTGACAGGAGCCGTTTCAGATGGCGTCTTGGGACAAGGGTAGCGTGTGGGGTTGGGAGCCGCCCAGCAAGCCAAAGCGAATCTGCACGGATCATGGAGAGCACCGTGTCCCTAGCCGCCAGTGCGCGTCCTGCTCCACAACAGCTGTGAGCAGCTGTCTGTCAGCTGGCTAGCAGGTTATCGTGCCCAGCCAGTTCGGCAATCAAGTCAATCCCAAGCCATGGGCGGTTCACCCACAACTTTGACCAAACGCCTCGTCCACGCAGCCTACTAAACTTTTAGTTGATGGGCAATCGTCATAAGAATCGGATGGGGCAACCAAGCTGCTGCTGATGCACCCCGCCGTTGCTCCGCTGTCATTCGATCGAAAAGGCCAACCGAGGCAAAATCCCTAAAATCCCCACAAGCCATGTAGCATACCTACGCTTACATGACAAGATGCACCCAAAAACGCCCAACGGCCTCGACATGTTGTTCTCAGACACCAACAATTTTTTTGCCCGGCTTGCATCTCAACGATTCAAGACTTGTATGTATCTCTCCATGCAGGTGTCAGCTCCTGCTTATGCCGACTGCCTGGCAAGCATGGCTTGCTCTCATCGAGGCCCTCGCCCGTGGGCTCTGTATTTTTGATTCGGAAGGATCCGAGTTTGGAGTCAGCCAGTGTGTCAGCCGCCGTCAGCGCATTGCAGAGGATTCGTCTTGAGGGATTGGTTATTCGGGGAACCCGGTGCAGGCAGCCTCGCGACGACTGTCCCGCGCAAGCCGCTGTTTGTGTGGACGACAACGCGTGGCCAGGAAGGTCCGAAAAGGGGACCGACTGTCTTATAGCTAAACTGTGCCACCTCCCAGAAGTTCAGCTGTCTGCGCATCGACAAGAGTTGTGGGGGTAGGCTTCGGGCTGTGAGCAGTCCGCCTTGTAAGTGCAAAGCTACCTAGCGTAGATGGATGGATCGGGAATACGGCCGTCTCCGAAGAGACCCCACGGGGGCCGAGATTGGCTGTGGATGCTAAACGATGGGCCGGCGGAACAGGTCCCGGCCCCCCGAACCCGCCGCCGGAAGGCCGTTTGATGGCCCGGTGCTCAGTTTGTCTCGGGCCCGGGAGATTTGCAACCGAAATGATGATAGGCGGCCGCGGACAGAGTCAATGAGCATCGTCGAGTGACGGACGCCGGGTTGTTGTGGGGATGGCCTCACTGAAGGCCTCATCTACCTTACAGTGGCTGCGTGAGTACATAGGGAGTCTCTTCCTCTGCTCCCGGAGCAGAAGCTGGCGCTTTGGCCATGTGTTTGCTTCTGGAGTCTGAAGTTCTGTCGTAGCCGTGTCTGCCTGCTCCCAGGACAACAGACAGATCTCTTTAAAGACGCCAATCCCCGCAGAGCAGCGCGACAGCATGCCACAGCAGAAAGTACATTTCTGCATCGACAGTTATTATGCCCCTCCTGTCTCCGGGAATCTGCGAAAGCAAAGCTTGGGCCAGATAGATTGTGGGCCTATGAAAGGCGATATACCGCTGACCATGTGCCGAGCTTTCCTTACCTGATTCTATGGGTACGATACAGACTTATTGGTGGTTTAAAAGCCGGCCGAGAGCAAACTCTCTGCATCATCTCCGTGTGCGGAGACTTATGTCTGTACGGACTTCAGAATACATTCATGTACAGAAAACGGAGTAATCCGTGCGCTGTATTTTCGGAGCCCTTCGGCGCGCACCACAGTCGGGAGCGGCTTAGTCAGGATGGTCCTGATTAATTAACACCAGTGCCACCACCAGCAATTCTTGCCCGATTGTTTATCACTCGAGGTGGGGTCTCGTCTTCTTGCCTGCATATCAATCCCTGCATATTCCAACCAATAATATCGGGCTTCTCATCCGTAAGAAGAAGCTGCCCGCTCTTTGCTCGCCGCCCATTTCGGGATTCCACTTGCCCTTTTTCGACCTGTCAAGTCGTCGCTGCTAGAAGAAACAAACGCTGTGGCACTTTCCCGTCTATCTTTCTTCACCGGCGGAACTTCAATAAGATTTGAGATCTGAGCCCTAGTTTACTATGTAATTGATGCCTGCCCGAGCCAAGCTATTCAGCAAGGTTCCGTGGTTGAAATCGAGAGAGTGAGTCTCGTTCATCAGCCAAAGTATGTCAGGCTGGGTGGTGTTCCCCCCCTTCTCTAACAACAGTAGCCCGCGCCTTTCCCGTTCCGGCAGCGAGATCAATGTCTCCTGCCGCTTGATCGCCCAAACTTCTTCAAAGCTTGAATAAATGATGCCGGGCGGGTTCTAGTTTTCTTTGGCTCATGTTTACGTATTCGACTTGCTAAATATCTCCGCTTCTGCTCCGAGCCTCATGGCACCTAGATTATGTGATATCTTGGGTCATACTTCAAATGGCGTTTATATAACTCTCCTCCGATTCCTAGTTGTTATACATAGTAGCTTAAACCTGACCCAAAGACCTAGCCCAAGACGGTGTAGGCGCATAAGAATCGAATACCGGTAGGTAGGTATCTATAGTACAAACGGTTGATCATGGCGCACTCTTCACAAATTGCTTAGCCCCTTGCCTGGTCCCCGATGATTCGTTTTCTTTTTGCGCGACGCTCCTCGACAGCAACCCCAGTGTCTCCTCTTTTAGTCCACAATCCTCCTCTCACACACAATCACACGCTATCATCCACCCCCGCTTTTGAACCCTTGCGAGCTGCATGCGTTCACCAATCTTCAAGCTCAAGGCGAGAGCCATTCCGCCTCAACCCCGGTCAGCCAAGGGGGACAGAAAAGCGGCACGAGGAAATCACCGCAGCTCCCCCCCAGCCATTGGTCCAGGGCTTTTTTCTCTCTTCAGATGGAGGCGTCGTGTCGCTGTTGTTGATGAATCGATTCATGAAGGCCGTCTTGGTTCACCAATTGCACATTAGAACTTACTGCGTAGAAGTGCTTTGATAGCCAGGGTTGTTTTCGAGGGCGTGGTCCATCGTCTTGCAAACATCGATTCCATACCACGTCAGGCTAGCTCGTGGTCAGCCTACACAGCCGCCCGTGTTCTGGACTACCTGGGTACGGCCTAGTGAACACGACGCGGCCACAACGTTCTGACAGCGTGGGGCATAAATCTCGTGTGGTTTATCGTTCCGAGGGATTGGATATCGTAGTCTGTATCCGTGTCCTAATTTCATCCACACTCGGCGCGCGTTCAACGGGTTACCCTGGACAATATCACCAAGTCGCCGAAGAGATATTGCAGCCAAAAATTGGATTGCTCTGCTCCAGTTGCATTGTCGACACGCCTGCTTACACCCGAAGAACAATATGTGCGGGAATCGCCTGCTGGTTGACCCCAAATTCCCCCCTCTCGGCCCCCCCTCAAAGTGGCGGAGGACACATAGAATTCAATAGTCCAATTCCATCATCCACACCTGCATCGTCTGACAAGCGTGAGATGCGTGGGATAGTGTAGTCCCCAACTCATTGGACACACGGGTTTCTAAGTGGTTCCGCGACTCCCCTCCACCCTTGTCCTGCTGCCGCACCGAAGACGCGTGAAGAGTGAAAGACGTGCCACAGCGAGCGGGCGGGCTGCAATCTCTGCGGGCTTGAGGCCCAGCAGGGAGCAAGACGGCGGGTTGGGACCCCACACCCACATCCTCGGCGAACAGAGTCGTGCGGCCATTGAAATTTGCCATGTCAGATGCATGTGCCCTGCCGGAAGCCTTACGCGCAGGAAATAGTTAGCTGCCTCTCGCTTCTACCAGACAACAACGCTGTCCCAGCGAGCGCGCGCGCGCCGTCTCGTCCACCGAGGAGATTAGAAAGAAGAAAAAGATGGACCGGACGGCTTAACCTCGACACGCTACTCCCCACCGCCTCCGATGTCACGGCGCAAACGCGGCGGGCTTGCTCACCCAGCACTTCCCGGCCTTTCTTCAATCTGTAAGCCCCACTTTGATCACGAAGTACTGATAGAATTCGAGGATCGCTGATTGTCACAGTGCATCTTTTGTCTGCTTTGACCCGTTCTTTCCCTGCCCACTTCAGTCTGGATTCTGCCTTGCACACTGTGTACATACCTCCATCGGGGCTGTTAAAGGAGAGCCCTGCTGCGGCAACCGCACCCCCTGAGCAGTGCCTCAGAACCCAAGTCTAAGCCGAGGACGACGCACCGCTTAACGGCACCGATAACCAAGGCATCTAGTAGGAAGGCCGAGCTAACTAGCCAGGCGACGCGCTATCGAGAACCCTTCCCCCCCGCTGGAAGCTTTGCTTCGGCTCTGACGGGGAACGTTGTAGTTGATTCAAGGTGAGGAATGAGTGCCGTACAAAACATTCCAGTCATGGCGAAGGTTGCACTGCGGCAAAGTACCTTGCCTGTGCGGCCGGAACGCAACATTGTCAACTGCAGCCACCATGTCCTTTAGAGACTCTTGTCAAAAGAGTTCCATGTCTGGGATTTGGATGTGATGGGGTGCTGGGAACCTGAGCTGCAGCTCGGTGCAGGAGGTGCCCCGTGGTAGTTGCTAGCCTGCCTCCCGCCATGTCAAGTTCCCTGCCACCTTCCCTCGTTCGGCAGGCCCCCAGAGCCCACCAACCCCCTTCCCCCCATCAATGCCTAGGCTACCTTTACCGTGCAGCAGGCGAAAGACCGCCACCCCCCGCCTTCGTTTTTTAAACTGTCTGGTTCGGTGCCACCACTCTGGCTATCCTCTTTTCAATCATTCCGTACTCACCAGGCCCGTTCAGTCCAGGCGCGCCTCTGACTGCCGCTGCTTGTTCCTTGACTGGGGAAGTTCAATCCAAAAACGTATTTGACACGTTCAGATTCAGTCAACCGCCGCTCGGTTTGCCTGAATTTGCGCGCATCTCCATTCAACTTTACGCAAACTGTGTGCTTTGCACTGTCGGCTCCTTCCAGTCCTGGAAACTTTTTATCAGGCCCAAAATAAGGCCAGCCAGTGCATGCCACACGCGAAATACCTGGCCCGCCCCAAGTCAGACAAAGCCGAATAAAAATTAAACGTGATTCCTCGCTGGCACACCAGACTCAATACAGTGCAGCGCCCAACCAGGTTCTGCGACAAAAAGGCACCTCTCCGCTCAACGCCAGATCAAGTCTAGGCCATCGGCACAACGCTCAAAACAGCATCTCCACCATATTGCCTTTTTTGTATCTCGTCATACCTTGACGGCAAAAATGGCCGACATTACGGATCAGCACGACCAAACGTCGCCAACTGAGCTCGACGATGCGCATTCAGTCGGCAATGGCAATTCACTTGCTGGCGAGAGTCGCGGCATCAAGCGCGCACGCCCTAGTGCAGCGGACGACGACGATGACGACGACGAAAAGGGCGGTCGTGAGCGTCGGAAGATCGAGATCAAGTTTATTAGCGACAAGTCGCGTCGGCATATCACCTTCTCCAAGCGCAAGGCCGGTATCATGAAGAAGGTTCGTATCCGCGTCGTCCTAACCTTTTGCGCTTCTCTCCCACCAAGGCGCGCGCGAACGCGCCTTGGGGCTGGTCTGCTTGGGGCAAGAGCCAATCCGCTGACCCGAACCTTGTTCCTCAGGCCTACGAGCTGTCAGTTTTGACAGGTACCCAAGTCTTGCTGCTTGTTGTTTCGGAAACGGGACTCGTGTATACCTTCACCACACCGAAACTCCAGCCTCTGGTCACCAAGGCCGAGGGGAAGAACTTGATTCAGGTGAGTTCAGAGTTGCGTTTCGTCGATTTGCGAGTTTGGTCTGACTTTGGTTCCTAGGCGTGTCTGAATGCTCCCGAGCCAGCCTCCGCAGAGAATGGCGTCGACGACTCTAATGCGGTCGACTCGCCGGAAGAGCCGACAAACCCGCACCTCCCTCCCCAACCCAGTCGGCCCGGCATACCGCAGGGCCACATGCCCCCCAACTACATGCCCGCCGTTGGGCTTGACGCCCAGCAAGCGATTGCCTACAATAACTACGTGCAGCAGCAGCAGCGAGGCGGCCAATACATGCCCCAAGCGAGCTTGCAGCAACATGCCGGCCATCAGTCATAACCAACGCAGCCAGCTTCTATTGTAGCTTTAACCTTACGCGTCAATACCCAGCATTAATGCATTCGTGAAACATTTTTTTCTCAGTCGACATCTTTGGGATGGTCCCATCATCTGCGAGGCTCTTCTGGTCCGGCGTTTGATACGGATGTTGATGTTCACTCCATCTTTCTATACCTCTTATCAGTCTTATTTCTTCATCCAATCCTTATCTCTATCAGCTCATCTCGATCTAGTTATAATTATCACAACATTGCGTGGCCCTAGATGATGGACCTAATCGACTGGGGTGGTCAGCTAGTTGAAATCGCTAAAGCTCGACGAGTGGCGTCTTCTCGAAGAAAATAATCTCTCGGCCTGAAGAAGGGTATATACGGGGCATCTTTCAACAAAGGGGGGGCGTGGTGTGTGCACAGGGTGTTGTCCAAAAAAAAACTGGGCAGGTCTGGGAGGAGGCCAATCTGCGCATGGGGGCGCCGGATTGGCAGTGTTTTTGGTAGCTTTGCGTTGTCCGCGTGGTTTGCCTGGAGGAGCGTGATTGCTTTCTGGACGGTTGGTAATCGGTGGCGGGCACAAGGTCATGACGCCCATGAATGGCTTGCCCACGAGTCTGGAAAGTATCAACGAGATACCGATGTTAAGAGGCACGATTGTCACGTTCTCGTCTCGACCCTATCGGTACCCAACCAGCAAACATGTCCGCCTACTCCTTGGCCCGCTTCTCCTATCAGTTCGTTGTTCTACTTTCTAGTTGATCGGTGGTCATACGGCTTTGCTCCTACATAGATGGAGATCTCTTAAGAGTATCGCTCTCTATGTTACCCTGTGTTGAGCGACAACAGATAGCGAGTAAAGACGGAGTCTGAAAACGGGCTACCACCACTTGTATGATAGTAAACCTCCTCTTTGATCAACCCCGACTTGGCTGGCGCGTTTATTACTCCCGCCAAGCCAGCACAATGTGACGAATCGGATGTGTTTCTTTTCTCTAGCTGGTCTGATCTTCTGGTTCTCGACACGGCTCAGTGTTGCGTGAGCCAAGAGGTCTGACAGGCCGTATTAGGAAAGGTGCCATTGAAGTCAAATTCCTTCCATCGTCCCCGTGCGTTTGTCTACCTAGTACGTACACGTGTATGCGTAAGGATCCAGGGTGATATTTCCGGCTCCTTTCTCTTTTCGTCGGTAACATTTTATAAGAATAGCGGCCGCATTACGTACCCTTACCCTCTTATCCCTTGGGTTCGGGTTGTTGTTCCCTTCTCCGTTGGTGAGGAAAGAAGGAGCAAGGTAACTCCTCTCAGAACAATGCATTCCCACTAAGCCAACACGGCCTAGTCTAGTCCCCATTTTCTGGGTTGGGGAAAGGAAACGAGGAATCCGTCCTGACTCTTTTTTTCCCGAATTGACTTTGCAAGGAAGGAACTAGTCGATGCACTTGAATGGGGAAAAAAGAAAAGATGAAATAAAACCCTCTATCCGGCTCTCCGCGGCCCCGCCAGATTGTAGGGTTTGGATGGTGGGCGGGAACTGCCGCCGCCGCCGCCGCCGTGGCGCCCACCACCCCCGCGCCACCCCCTGTTCCGTGAACTGGTTGGGTTAGGTGTGGTAGGGACGAAAGATGAAGTCTGATTAGGATTGGGATTTGGGAATTAAAGTGGATTGGATTGGATCAGATCTCCCTCGTTTTCCCGCTTCGTTCTTACGCCTCCCTCGAATCGAAGGGGAATTTAAAAAAAAAAACGGGAACGGGATTTAAACCCCTTTGGCTACGATATTTTTAGGGGTTCAGCAATCCCCCTCCACACCCCTGTCCTGCCATTTGTATTGGGTGACGATCGTATATCTGGTCCGGTAATATATTTACTCTCTTTTCTTGGACTAGGGTGTTGGGGGTTTTCTCCTTGAATATCGCGTTTGAGCACGGTTGCGGTTCTGTGAAAGTAAAGGAAAGAGAAAAAAAGCACACCTCCCCAGCGGCAGTTAGCAAGGGAATTGTAGGGGTAACGATCGTCCCTCTCTTTCCCGCACCCCATTTTTGTTTCCCACTAGAAATAGACTCTGGGCCGTCTCTTCTCTCACTGTATCGTCCATGGACGGGTTCCCGGAACAGGCTTGTCTCCAGGGTCGGCTGCCTGGCTGGCTAGGGCCGGCGCCAGGCAACGTCTTTAGCCTGGAGACGGGTTACCGAGCTGTCGGGAAAGAGAACCCCCATCAGGGTGTGTATACAGAAAACTCCCCGGGAAAAGCAAAACATGTCTCTCCTAGTGGGGAATGGCGGATGATAGCGAGGCGGGGTGGAGGGGGAGGGACATATACGTATATGTATGGCGGTGGCGTCAGAGTTCAAAATGACGTGTGCCATCCTTTCCCGTTTTCGTTTCCCCTTCTGATTTACCTCCTTGGGCAAGGAGAGCAACACGTGCGTAGATGCAGGTGGCCACAAAAGGTGCAGAGAGTGTGTCAGTAATTGGAACTAGGCCAAGCTAAGCTATGTTATGATGGGCTTCGCTCTTTGAGGATAGAGAATATCTTGGATCAAACTCTTCCTCGTCAACAGGCTGCCCGACTAACTGCATAGCGCGGCTAAAACGAGACTCGCTGGGCTTGAGAAAAGCGATAAGGTGACTGTCGAGTCTCGGGAAGAGAAGACCCTGCCTTGATCCTAATAAGGTTGTTTCTTCCTGCCGCACCCGCGACTCTCGGAGTGAAATTTACTCGATCCCCGTATCCATCTCGGTATATCACCACCGTAAGATGAAATAAGTGGCCGAACCTGTATCATCATAGAAGATGATATAGCAACATGGACAGGCGCCCCTATACGTCTTCGATTGAATAACCTGGGTCGATAGTGATCCCAGTACAGCCTGCCCTTGAGTGTGGTCGGCTCTGTATTTTCTCTGCTGTTCTGCTTTCCTACCCATTGGGTCGCTGGATAGATAGGCTAATAGGTTTATCCACGACACACCGCGGGCGAAATGGAGCCAATGAGCGCTAGAAAGCCGACTGACGGGAGCAGAGGTAGACTTAGAAGGAAGTTTGGTGTTGTTATTGCATCAGAATAACTGACTGACCATGTGTACATTCCCCTACCATCCTTTCAGTTCATCTTACAGTAAGCATCTCCAACACAAAGGTTCAGTTGCCTCTGGTGCTCACTAGAAATGGCCTCAGAACATATTCCAGGCTAAACAGTCCAGGTTTGATCTTGGCGGAGCATCTAACACTTGGAGAAAGGGGTGTGGATTATTTTTCGACCTACGTGTCAAGCAGTATGACGCTGTATTTGCTAAAGCCTGGCCGACGAAGCTCTCCATTGTTCTTTAGTTATACGACAAGTTCTCGAGTTGCCGACCACTCCTTTGTTCGGTACACATACCTATTGACGGATAAGCTACCTAGTTTGGTTCATAGGAGAGGGTAGTGGTCTTGCACAGTCAGCTGAGTAAATGGCAAACTACAACTAGGGCAACAAAAACAGCCTTGCCGTATGCTGCCCAAATTTCCCCGATTTCACCTACTTCCGAGGCTTCATTCAATCTTTGGCCTGTTCAGGGGAGAAATCGACTTACTGTTTAATGTCAGTCCTGTTATCTACCTCCTTACTCGGCTTGAACGGCACATAAATACTCGACGTGCTGATAAAAGCAAGTCACCTAGAAGCTGCCTTTCTCGCGGGACACTTGCCGGGTATCCGGATATCGACATGAATGGCTAACGCCCGAGAAGCCTTTATGTCGACGTCGAAGGAAACCTGTTGGTTTTTCCTTATGGCAACAATGTGCATCGGTGTCAAGCAAGGTGTGGGCACGAGTAATTGCTGGAAACTCCGGGCTATATCCGTCCGGGCGGCGAACCCCTACTGGTTGACCCGGGCGAGAACGCTTGGTCGAGGAAAGCCCAGATATTTCCAAGGGGGTCACTACGTCAGGCAATTAATTATGGAAAAGAGTGGCGGTTCTTGAAGGACGGAGATGGACAACTACATAGTCGCTAGAGATCTGTAATGATTTTGACGTTGCAATCATCATGCCCGCGTCCTGTGCTTAGTTTCTAGATACAAATTTAAGCATGAATAAAAATAAATGAACAAGAAAATAACCAACTTTTTACCGAGCCGCACAAACCGCCAGGTCGGCACCTTCCAATATAAAAAAAAAGTAAATATAAACCGCAATAGTTGAAGGATGTTTCTTAGTGAACTGCAATCAACAACCATTACAATGGCCATCAAGCTGCAGACAGGACCAGAGAGACTTCAAGAGTCATTGGCCAGGGAGAAAATGTCTTCGTCACATAAGCCGAACCAACCTCTTGAGTGAGCCGTTAATTGTTTCCGGCTTCAGGGTAAACCCGGCCAATGCCGCGGTCGCCGCATGAAGCTAGAGAGGTAGGCAACGTCAGTGGTAAAGGCGATAAGAAGCCGTTGAAGCTGCGGGTATAAAAAAGGCACCATGCGATCTCTGGCCCTACGTTTATCAAGGTTGCATTAGGGCAAATATATACACGTCTATCCGCGATGAATAACCACTGCGCCGGGACGACCATGGTTTTTTGGTGGCTTGGGCCACCGGTGTGGGGAAGCCTGCGACCCCCCCAACCGAACTGGGATCTGCTGCTTGCCACTGGACCAGGCTTGCCTGCGCGAGTTTGAGCATGTTTCTGCACCCTCCACGCTGCTAGCGCAAGCCCAAAATGCAGCGGTACCGGTACCTTAAGACGCACATCGCATTATCAAAATCGAAGCCTCTTCCAGATCCAGGGCAGCAGGCGACGAACACGATCGTGTCGGCTCCCCCTTTTAAGAGAATTGAATTTAGAACAAGTCTGACAGCTCGAAAAGCAGTTGAAGATAGAGATATGGAAGAGAGAAGAAAGTGAAAACAAGGGGATTTTGTAAATGCCCTGGAAGAAATGTCAACTGGTGCTCGCTAAAACTGGTGCATTTTCCCTGGGATGGCAATTTATCAACCATCTCGCTTATCCAAACCCGTTACTCCAAGCATCCGTTCGTGGCATCGTTGATTTTAGGAATACGCAAAACCCCGAAGGGCAAAACACAGCAAATGTTTGTAGTCGAATTTCGAACGACGTTTTGGACGCCCCGGTCTAATGCTCGACGCTCGCGGTGTACCGGCCAACAAGGAGGCTGCCGAGAAACGTGCCACCGAGGATGGAAAGGAAATAGCCAACGTTCATGCTCATGACCGCAATCATGCTATAAAAAACAATATTTAGCACGCCTGCAAATGGCCGCGATATGAGGGGAGGGGTTTAAGCTCACAGGAGATAGCCAACTCCAGCAATTGTCGTATCCAGGGCCGCACGCACGGGGTCAACGCTCAACCTCCAGGGATGAAGGTGGGAGGCGCGCTTCTTGACCACGACGACGCTCTCCTCGACCCCGTTCTCGCTCAGTACCAGGTTCTTGGCCAGGGAGTCGCGGCTGAGGGTCGCAGCCAGCGGGGCCTTGCCGTTGACGACCACGTAGCGGCGGTTGAGCTCTGCGTCCAGCCACCGGCTCTCCTGCCACGTCTTGGCCGCCAGGAGACCGCGGAACGCGAGCGCTAGCATGATCAGGAAGATACATGTCCCCGCGTACGCGCCTGTGCTGGAGGGCGTCCACCCCGTCGAGTACAGCGGCGTCGCTTGCGAGGTCTGGAAGACGGCCATCATCATCGCCATGCCCGAGGACGAAGAGGACGAATCTGTGCCCATGTCCATATCCATCTTTGGATTGGATGTATTGTAGGGATTGAAAAAAAAGAGGCAGCTGCTGACTACTCTCGAGGTGGCGTTGACGAGGGGATGCTCCTCGCAATTATGTACTTTCTGTTGGCTGATACGTTGTGTGTTACGGCTGATCTGCTTGTTGTGTAGCCTTGCGAGATCTTTGGATCGAGGCAGCTGTCCTCCTCGGCCTGCGGTTCGAGGCTTTTGGTGCTGCTCAAGGCTTCTTATGACGGAGGCGGGGAAGGGGGTTAAAGATGGTTGTGGGACTAGGATGGCTTGTCCGGATCTTTTTCAACTGACGTTTAGCCGTCACTTGGGATCTTTGGGGGTTCGGTGGAGCGGCGGACAAGGAGAATTTAAGTCTTTGACAGTGCGGCAGGACACTGTTGAGCAAGTTTAGGAGCTGGAACAGACAATAGGAAAACCGGCTAGGTGTGGGAAAGTTCCCTGTCTATTTTTGGGAGACGATTCTCCAAAAGTATCCGGAGAGCCATGGCCTTTTTTGTACGTTGGTCCTCGTTCTAGTCCAAGAGGAAAGAAACATGCTCAGTGTTCAATGTGGGGCAAGGTGTTTGCATCCCCAGCTCATAGTGGGGTAGTTCAGATGCTCCAGACGCCCAGCCATCGACAAGGGTAAATTAGCTCACGGGCCGGTAGTTCATTCCACCGAATGAAGCATTCCAACGCGCAAACTGTGCCAATAAGCTGGAAACACTGTTTCAATTCCAACATCAATTACAATGTAGGGTAATGCCTTGATTATCTCTATAGATCCCTGTTGTTTGAGTCCTGTTTTTGAAACCATAGCTCCTCCTGCTGTTGAGAAAAACTGGCCAAGTCTTCCAAGTCAAACTCAAGAGCTAGGCGTGGGTTTCCCGCCAATCCACCTCTGCACAGACAGGTCGAGAGGTACCGGTACATGGACGTAGCTTCTTCCCTAACACAAATAGCTCAACATGATTGCATTTGGACCATGGCGGGAGCTCTTCACCGGAGAGCAGCTCCTGAACCGGTTACCGCTTCGTTTACTTCAGGTTGCCGACAACCATTGCTCTCGTGCCAGTTGCTTAACTTATCTTGTTTCCACCTCCATTTCACACATTGGTTTAGTCGACAATACAACTTCATAGGCCACCAAAGTTATTTTCATGAGCCAATGTTATGTGTCTTTATGTCGCGAAGAAATGTTAAAGTATCTTGTTATGCGCCTGGGCCCCTGGTTTCCGCTCGCATTTTACTGTGGTTTGTTATTTTAACTGGGTACCCGATAGGTAAACAATTCGACGAAAAGCATGCCTTGTTTCCATATTCCGAGATTGCTTGTCATCAATGTTCAAATACCCTTTGGCCAAGCCTATGGCCAAGCCAGCAGATTTGAGCAGTTTCTTGGTTGTATTCGCTGGCAACAAGACGGGTTTGATGCTAGACCGGTGGAAGTTGATCATCCCGCCTGGATCACGACTACGCGACGTTGCCCATTTTTCTCCGGGCCTAAATGATCCAATTGTGCACATGGCACCAACTAGACTCTTTCTGCAGCGAAATCAGCGTCGAGTAGGGAATTGTCATCAGTATTCTAGAGTCGGATTGTTGCCAGCTACCTTAATTATCTTGTTATCTTGGGCGTAGAGATAGCTGATTGTCTAGCATTAAGCACTTTGCCTCTTTTGCTCCTTCGACGACACCATGTTGGCTAGTTCTGTTGTTTGTAGCCTAGCTCCTCAGGTCCTCCGGGACTGTAAATTATGACCTAACCGGGAGGCTCTGGGTGTCATCTTCATACTCTTGGCCATGAAAATGGCTGGGAAGGAACGTACCAAAAAGTTGCTGCCCTTTTTCTTGTAGATTCCCGCCCGTTATCGAGATGCCACTCGCCAAATACCAAGTATGCTCCAGACAGGAAGGAGGTATGTATCGCTGAATCGGGACTCGAGCATCCAATGCTGGGTGCCAACAGTACCTTAGGTTGGAAGCAACAACCAGATGATCCATGGCGCCTTCCTTCCCAGCGGTTCCCACGAAAACCTTATACATTAGTGACATTTCAAGTGGTAACTGCCACTTCAAGTCGTGGCCAAACTCTCGCCAATCCGCGATAACCTCGCGTGCCTCGCGTGCCTCGCTTGCTTCGCATTGCAAGACTTTCTCGATCGGCAACGTCAGATGACGCAAGAGCAAACCTCCAGCAGCGCCCCCCGTCGGCCCTGAATAGCGCCATCCTCCTACGGCTGCAGGAAACTCGCGCGAGATGGAGCCGTATCCGTGGTGCAATACGGCATGCAGGCGCCCATCCAAGCCACGAGTGGATAGTTTCCCATGTTATTCTAGGCACCTGGGTACTTATGCGCCTGCCTGGCGTCTCATCTGTTCTATGCAGCCCCTCGTGGGTTCTCCGCCTGGCGTCGGCGAAGGCGAGTTTATTTGGACGACATGTTATCCAGCCTTGGCAAGGACCCATTTCTTGGCGACGGCCAGAGCACGACAATCGAGAGTCTTCGGTTGACCCAAGCAACCAGACACCCGTCTTCTATGATGCTTTTCGATTCCGCTGATTGGAGTCGTGGCAACCATTAACGCTTCCCCGGGCAAAGCCTCTGTGGCCACTATGATTTGTTTGGCATCGTCTTGGCAAGTCGAACGGCATGTACTTTTCGCGAGGGCAACCGACCTCCCGTATATCAGCCAACTGCCGGACGACATCTGGCTGTGTCGTCTATGTCGGGCTCTAGCTCTATCAGAAACAGGAGTCAGAACCTAGCACTCGTCTTTGTTGGGATCTCTTCTCCGGGAGAGATACTACCCTTTCCCTGCTCAGGGAAATGCCGTCACCCCAGGCCGGCTCGTTCGTACCACTCGACTGAAAGAGAAGATGCTTGCAAAGTGCCGTGTTCGAGGGACACTACTCTGCTGGCAGGAAACACAGGCGATCTCTCTCTGGCCCGGGTTGAATATCATCGAGTGCGTCATAGTTCCACAGCCTGGATGTTTCTCCGGCGCTAGATACCACAGCAGCCAGCGAGAAACCTTTGGGTTTCATGTTCTGTGCGAACGATAACTTGCGCTCGGAATATAACCACTAAATCCAAGATATCTCAGACATCTCCAGTGAGGTGTGCCCGTCGTTAGGAATTCTCCCCTGGCCAATATTCCGGCTGTTGACTTCAGCCTCTTGAACCTGACCCGGCCAGTGGCCTCATTCGGTGACCGGGGTTGGAGTATGATAGGGTGAGGAGTCTAGAAAGTCCGTCGTTGGGAGCCTGCCAAAGCCCCTGGTAGGCTGGCCAAGCCGGTCTGGGGGTGGGGATAGAAGAAACGGAACCAAACAGCGTCAACGGGCCGTCAACAATTCAACGCACCGACCACAATTATTACAGCATCCTTTTGACGAGACACGCAACGGACGCTGTTCCCAATGGAGGTGGCTGTAATGGCTGGCCTGAGGAAACGAACATACTGGTTGCCGAACCCAGCGGCCGCCTAGGCGGCGTTGTGAAGCCTTAATCTGGAGGTACTATTTGATGCTTCTGCTGCGTACTTTACGACCGATATCTCTCTTCTGAGGGTTCCGAGAGTCTATAACAACGGGACCGTGCTGTTTATGATCACAGACAAGTACATCAAACGATATATTCCCAGAGGTTTTAACAGATGCATCTCATTCATCAGTCTACAAGCTGGCTTCTCGGAGCATCACCAGAAAATGGTCCGGCGGTATATCTTGACAGTTAATCCCGCGAACCTCCCTCCCCCCTTATCAGTCCCGTGCCGATGATGCATTGCCAATAGTCCAATGATGCTTTGGCCATTATAACACGGTGCTACTATGGCCTGCGACTGCCATTGGATCAAAGCCCTATTTTCTGCAACTCTCCCTCCTTGAAGAACACAGGTTAGATGAAAGTATGGAAAACTAGACGAATCAAACTCTGTATTTCGCGGCGTCTCCGCCTGAAGAGATGGAACTGGCGGGAGCCTCATTGTTCTCCTTGAGCAATGTTCGAGACTTGCAGCCCGAGAATAGGGGATTGCTGATGGGGTATCGAGATAGCGGGAATCATTACGTTTCCGAGTGGAATATTTCGTATTTGCCAAGGTATTATATCCACGTTTCTTTTCAACTATTCCTATCTGTGCCGGGTTATTGCCTCTTTAATATCTCACCACGGTATCTTCCTCACCCGATGCAGGTTTCTGGTGTCGACCATGGACGCCTGCTACATTCTCTTGCTTTGGACGGCTGAGCTGCAGTTGAGAACGCCACGGCTGGCGTGCACCCCGTCCGTGGTGGCCCATTACACCCTGGCCTCGCAACCCACCCACTTCCACACCCCAATTACATGGTGCTGGCGGCATCGGAGTCTTTGGGCCGCCGCCTCATTTGTGGGCCGAGCACTCCTCGCCGATCGTGTCTCGCCCACCTCTCCCGCAGCCCCTGCGCACACTCTCTTTTGGTCTTCAAAGATTCAAAATGTTATTTGAGTCATATTTTGTTCCCCGGGAGTTCATTAAGCCACGTCGCAAGGAGGCATTGGGCCTGGGATACTCCTTATCTCACTTCGGAATAACTAGATAAGACTGGTCTAGACCACAAGGCGAATAGCACTAGACTTTCAGCCGCACCGCCTTCACTTCGGGACCTAAACCGTCGTATCACAATCGACTTCGAGGCTAAAAACAGCTTGGTGAGACGGTGAGGTTTCTGAGGCGGCAAGAAGCAGAGCCTGGGCCGCTAGTAAAGAGAGGGAAGTGGAGGACATTAACAGAAAATGTTAATAAGTTGGTCTGATATCTTGGGAGCCAACGAGAATAGGTCCAGTCAGACATTTCAACACATATGCGGAACGTACAAATACAAAGTACAGTATTCACCCGAGTGGTCCATTTTGTGCTCGAGACCAGGTCGACGATGGCTGCGCCAGACGCGCCGCTGACCCCAGCCCTAGCCCAGTGGCCATGGTGGCCCATCCTGGTACCAAAGGAAGATGCGATATGCAAATGAAGCCAAAAGAAGCAGAAAAGAAGGCTCCAAAATTGGTGTAGTGGTTTGTCGCCCCCCTTTTCATCATACACGCAACCAACCAAGCGTCTGACGCTGTGTAACTGCAATCCCGGGCAAGCAAAACAGTGCGCAGCACGGCGGCGGCGGCCACGGCGGCGGGGGGGTCGATCCTGGAACTCCAAATCTTACGAGAACGTATCCCGGCTCGCAGAATTCTGTCTTACTTTACGGAATCGTGGTTTTGTCAACAAGCCGCTCATTACTTACGTACATACCTCATGCCGCCAGGTGCCGTTTTGTGTTTGCTTTTGCTGACCGACGAGCGTCTAGTGTATGCACGTAGGTACAGTACGGACCAGCCTGTGGTAGAAGCACACATCATTCCCATGCCACCAGGGGGGGCTCCGGCTTTCATGTTCGCGACAATGGGCGGTAGCCTTCGAACTAGCACTCGAATAACCGCTGGGCTCTGAGCCATGTGGGCTCCTCTCCATCTCTTTCTCCCACGCCCTGGACGCGGATTGTCTGGTCAGATTCTCTCACGCATGTAAACACTACCCTGCCTCCCAGGGAAGAGTTCGTGGGGAAGAATATCCCCCGTTGCATGAGTAAGGAACAATACTAGGCATCTCTCTAGGCCGACTTCATGTCTAGGGCGTGCGTGTGCGTGCGTGTGCGGGTGCGGCTTTCCCCCTTCCACCCCCTGGCCGTGCTGTATCTTACCTAAAGGACCTACTCACCTATGCAAACAGGTGGCCCGACAGCAACCAACTCCTCCTACCCACGCCTGGTTTTTTTGTTTGGTAGGATTCCCTGTGTTCTGGTTTCTTTTTCGTTCTTTCTTCCTTCACCTGCACCTGCTTTGCCATGCAGGACCTTGCCTTGCCGTGCCTTGCCGTGCCTTGCCGTGCCATGCCGTAGGTGATCCTGGCCGGCTTGCTGGCGCGTCGGAGGTAATGCCGTAGTGTCATCTGTAGCTGACTTTTAGTACTCCGTGTGTGTCGAGGACTACCTACGGGAGTTTGATGCTAGCGTTTGTGGTTTCTTGCTATTGTTGTTCGGGAACTAGGAGAAGGTCCTCTGTAGACTAGGTAGGTACGCCAATCAGGAGGAGACATCCAGGCGAGCAGGTACACACACACACACACATACAGCGCGCAGCTGGAGAGGGACAGAGAGAGAGTAAATCAAGCTGCTGCGTGTTTCAGTGGGCAGCGGCTGAGACGCCAGTAGCTCGATCGTTTGGCCCAGCCGACTAGGTCGTCAGCTATCTCTAGGTCTTTGTACGCTTCATTTTTTTTTCAGCCGCCAACTAGCCATGTAGCTAGCCAGGGTGGGTGGGGGAGAGCATGCGGGTGAGAAGAGCTCGAGAAAGAAAGCCTCGCGAACGTACGGTCACGAGAAACGATAACTAGATTTCCTCTTGTAGTCTGTAGCGATACATCTATGACCCGAAGGAGACTAGAAGGGAGGTTGAACTCGCCTAGGTATGTGCAGATATCCTGCCACTTACTTTATCTGCAATATTGCTTGACAGCAAGACCGGAACTACATACGTAGGCACGTGCCATCACACGTACACGTGGAGTCTTGTCTCGCTCTGTCACCCGAACCTACATGATCTCTGCCGCACGCCCCTCACTCACGATGGCCTACCTCTCACTCGTAACGACAGCTAGGGCAGTTGCGGGCTAGTCAGACGATCTTAATAGTCAATCAAGCACTTGACCGGCACGTAGAAGACGACTGGTCACGGTCGCACTAGCATATGTATATTCATTAACTCCAGCGTGTGCTAATCTACTGTCTTACTCGGGGCCACCGTTCGCGAGAGAACCAGGACGACGTAAAGCTATTGGCGGGGCTCAGCCGTTACATGCCACCCACGCCGGGTGCGACTTGCGGCATATATCCCCCATGTCTCCCCGTAGCGGGCCGGGAGGGTAGAATGGTACAGTCTTCGCGTAGAAGGAGATCGTGCTGGTCGATATCTGGAGGAGGCGGTGCCTATCTACCACATCCCATTCCACCCGCCTCTTGCTCTGACGAAGCCAGTTCCTCGTGGCGGGCAGAGCCCAGCCCGTCCTCGGGCGGCTCGCCACTAAAGATGTCTTTGAGCGCGCCGGCGGCCATCGGGCCCGCAATGATCTTCTGGACGGCATAGCGAATCCGCAGAAATTGGATACTGGGTATCGGGCACCTGACTGGATCGGCCGTAGATAGCTCGTAGACGTCGCCATGCTCGAGGCACGGGAACATGCGCCCGTCGTCGCTCCCACGCCGGAAGTCCACGATGGTGCCGGATGCGCGATGGTTCCAGGCACCTTTGATAAAGCCACCAAACTTGTCCAGATCCTTGAGCCACACCACCTGTAAGTAGATCCTGTGCTCGGGGTCTGTCGGGTGCTCGACGGGACGGAGCGCGAATCTGTGCCGATCCCAGAAGATATGGACGCCCGTGTTGAGGGGGAGGATGTTCCGTACTTCCTGGCCTTTGATATCGAGCTTATCGACATTCTTAAGAGGCCAAAACATACCCAGCGTCTCCCAGAAAGAGAGGGCATTCATCCCCGAGGCCCTCACGTCTACAATGTGTGCCCCGTCGACCGGTGTGCTGCCAGAGAGAACACAGCTTCCGTCGTACCACTTTGGTACTTTGGCCTGGGCGATCTTGTTTGCGTTGGAACGGCCGGCCTGTCTCCGGTGTCTCCGGTGGGAAGATCCTCGACCGTCGGCGTAGTGTGTCTAGACGTGTCCGACCTCTTGCGTTTCAAGTTCTTCGCCTTATCCCCCGCCGCCTAGTTTATCTAGGTATCGAGTATGAATTAGATCTTAGGTATACATATCGAATATGCGAACCTGAGATGCGCTATAAAGGCCGACGAGACGCCCTTCTTCTCCATGTAAGACTTCATAGCCCCTATGCTAAACATATCAAGCTGCGATGTCGGGTCGTTAAGCACAGCCAATAAACAATAGGCCACCTTTGCCTGCGTTGCCTTTGCCTCCTTGGCAGCGCTGGTGGGGGCATACTCGGATCGGATGCTGGAAATCTCATCTCGGACGTACTGGGCGAATTGCTGCTTGAGTTCCTCGTCCGTCTCGGGAAGCTGGGACTCTTGCGACGACGACTGCGATTCGAAGGTATCTGCTAGTGACCCCGAGCGCTGCGAATCCAGCAGGTCTGGTGTCGGAGCCGGGGCAGAAGCTGTAGCATGTGAGGGCTCGGCGCTGCCGGGCGACGATGGCAGCACGGGCACCCCACTCGAGGGATCTGGTGCCGACGTACTCGACCCTGATGGGCGGGGGCGAATCCGTAGGCATTCTTTCGGAAGCGCTGATACGGGCGACTAGAGAAGAGAAGAAGAAAAAAAGGACCGTCAGCAATCTCCAGCGTAGAACCGCACGCGGCTAGACGATACCTCTTGTGCATCAATCGAACTAACCGATCTCGGGCGAGTATTGGCGGCCAGCAGGGGCGTGCTTGCGACTAGGACGATGCGAAGTTGGAGTGCCGGTGCAGGAAGAAGCAGAGGCGAACGACCGTCGTGCAATCTCAAAGGCGGTAGAAAATCATTAAAAGGTTGGGCTTCGGGCGTCGTGGTGGAAGTGGCGTCTCTCCTGATAGCCGTGACAAGGTTAGAGTGCCAGTACAAGAAGAAGCACCATTAAAAGGTTGGGCTTCGGGCGTCGCGGTGGAAGTGGCGTCCCTCCTCGCCTCTGTCGGCCGCGGGTCTGGCTGGTATGACGTAAGTGGTGGGGTTGCATGCGCCCTAATTGGTTTCCGCTCTGTCGGGCCTGCCTTTGACCACAGAAATACGCCTCTCCCGGGGTAATAAACCGCACCTGGCCAGGTCTTTCTGGTGGGTGCCGGCTCCGACCAATCTTCCCACCTCGGGGTGCAAAACACGCCTACACGATATGTAGGTGATGAAAAGTACCTAAAAGGCAGTATTATGAGAGAGTCTAGGACTCTATATGTGGAAGGATATAGGTACAAGTACCAGAAGAGTATTGTGAGAGAGGGCAGGTACGCCTGATCAAGGTAGTCACGATGTAAGTAATGAGTAGAGTGAGCAATGACTAGTATTAGTGTGAGACTTCAACCTGGAGTGATTTAAGCTTATAACAGCTATTTTAGTCGTAACGACTTATTCTTAACCTCGCCTTTTCTTTATTTCTTTCAGTAGGACATGGTTTGAGGAAGGGCAACATATCACTTTCTCGTCGTGCTATTACAAACCACTCGACTGTTAGGGTCGTCTGTCTGTAAGGGAGCAGGGGCTCCACAGACAAGGGTGCTAGGTTGGTAATAATAAAGACTGAACAAAGGGCAAGCTCCTAATCGCATAGTAAACACAGTCAAAATAGAGTGCTACTCAAAGTGTATGAGTGCAGTGAATGTGTATTGCTTGCTTGTAGAACCAAGCAAGTTCTAGCTAGGACCGTGGCTACGGTCATGGTATATATCTATATAGGTGGACCAATCAACAGTGTCCCGCTGTCCCGTGGCCCCGTGTTCCGGGACCCCGGCCCCCTTGGCCAAGTCCCGGAGTCCCGTGTCCTCATGGCTCGGGACCCTGGGACACCCCTGATTGGCTGGAACCAAACTGGGTGTGCCCCACTGCCGTGCATTTCCTCAGGGATTCGTAACACGGCCTGCTTGACTGAATGGCCATGCAAATTAGTTACCACTTCGTTCCCCTCGACAACGTATTGCATGGCGCTTCCGAAGCACGACATACATCTAGCAGCCCTTGCTTGTATGTTTGCCGGCTCAGCCAAGCAGGCTTGAGTCATACGTACGCTCCCCGACAATGAGCAGGTGGATTGTGTCCTGCCTGTAATAAAAGTGGATCCGGAATAGGGGGGAGAAAACGGTCACTGATCCCCGATTCTCTGTCGTGACTATGATCTTTTAAAGCCTGCCATTGACTGACAGTCTGTGTCCTAGGAGGTCTGTATCCAAAGACTCACGACGTAGAATTGGTGCTCTCACTCCTTTTTAATGTCGGGGCTGCCGCTCTCGTTATCGTCGCTTACTGCGTCACTCCTATCAATGGGTGAGGCATCGTTTCCCCCTGATGTACCGTCTCGTGATTCGCGCGAGTCTTTGCCGCCGCAGCCCTTGACAAGCTTGTGACGCTAAAACAACCAAAAAAAATCAGCAATCTCGCAGGCGGGGGGATTTTTGTTCTTGGGTTTCACTCACCTTCAGGGCATCCTTCCGAGAAAAGCTCTTCTCGCAGTGATCGCACGGAAACGGCTTGACGGCCAGATGTATCCTCTTGTGCCTCTTCAGGTCGTGGTTTCGGTTGAAACTCTGCGGACACTGGTCGCATTTGAAGGGGCGCTCCTGGCTTGTTGGTCCGCCGCTGCTATGGGGAACATACATGTGGTGTTGAGGCAGACCCGGATGATGATGATGGCCATAACCTTGCATGCCCATCCCGCCAACCACGGAGAGCGGAGCTCCAGGGTGGTGCACGTTGCTGAGGACGGGTGCTTGTATCTGACCATATGTTGCGTACGAAGCCCCTGGCTGCATGGGGTGGCCCCGAGCCCCCCCATACCCGATTGGAGGGGCCATGGAACTTCCTGAAAGCGATACCAGTCCACGCGGGACAACGCCAGAAGTGGTTGTGGGCGAAGGGGCGGTGGGTGATTGCTGTGGCTGCGGCCCTGGGAACGACGAAAACGAAGATTGCTGTGGTGTTGATGATGAGGTGTAGTAGCTTGACGTATGCGGCTGCCTGTACCCACCCCCATCCTGAGGGGGGACTCCAGACGCCGTCTGGCCTGACGTTTGCGGCTGTGTGCTCGTCGAATTTTGCGCACCGATGGCAGGTTGGGCAAGAACCGACTGTTGAGATCCCGGCTGAGTTGGTAGCGAGGACCCTAGACTGCCTCCTCCGCCGCCACCGCCACGGCCACCGCCGCCGCCTCCAGAACCAATTTGGGTCGGGAAGGGCGGCTGGTCCTGGTAGGATGGAGGGGCAGGAAGGCTGTCCCCGTTCGCGGTTGAGGTGGAAGAGCGGGCGGAAAAGTGCGGCTGCATGGGGGAACCGGAGAAGAGGCGTTGGGAGCCATAGGGCCCGCTGTTGTTGCTGCTGCTGTTTTGGTACGTGTAGGCCCCCGTGTGCTGTTGCTGAGCTGAGCTTGCTGGCGTCGTCCACGGCAGATTACTATAAAACAAGGACGAGCCACCAGGCTGTGAAGACTGCGAGCTGGTGCTGTTTACGCCTGGGGAAAGGCTTAGTCCGTCGGACGCTGCCCCTGAGGAGGGTGTCAGAATACGGGTGCTTTGGGTTGCTGAAGAGACAGGCTGGGAGAAAGGGGGAGCTTGGGAGGGCGAGGTCAGAGACCACGCCGGAGGGACAGTGGTTGGCAGAGATGATGCCTTCCGATCCCCGACACTGTTGTCACGCGGGCTGGTCATGATTGTAGAAGCATGGTTAGGGTATCGCGTACTTGGTATTTCCGGAGGAGGTAACGAGAAGTGAGGCAGACTCGTCGTGGCCGGCCTCCGAGATGCAAAACTCGAGGTTTCCATAGCTCTTCGAGGGACTTGTGCCTTCTCTCGAGGTTTCGAGCTCGTCAGTCGTTGGAGCTCCTCCACGACGCCAATGGAGGCGACAGAGCTGGGCGCGCGGGGCGGGGGGCTTCGTCGAGACTCCGTTCGGGCTGCTGTGGCCTGGTTCTGAAAAGCAGGCTGAGACGAAAGCTCATGGACGGGCGATTTGTTGATGTTCCCCTTGGACCAAGGATGCTTTGCTTTTTTCTCGGTATGCTCGACTCTCGGGCACTATGATTTCTCGACACCGAGGTTCTCTCTCCAGCCCAAGGCTCAAGCCAAGAGCCAAAGTAAGAACAGAAAAGACACGGGCCAGGCCAGCGATCAGGAGCCGTTCTAGAGTGCAATCAAGCGAATCTTAACCTTGAGTTAAGGCAGCGGCGGGAGGGGCGTTTTTTTGAGTTTGTGGGTTTCCTGGTACTCTAATGTATGGAGGCCGATCAATGATGGCGTCTCTCGAATTATATGTTGGGGCGTCCCAATTATTGGAAGCTCGGGTGCCGGGATCCTTGTCTTGGGTCAGGCAGGGTGTGTGAGGAACAAGAAAAGTACGCTTGCTGGCAGCTAGCTAGCTTGCTGGGCTGGCTGGCTGGGCTGGCTGTTGCTTGTCTGAGACAAGAGACAGGAGACTGGAGAGAGCACAGAGCAGAGCAGAGCAGAGCAGAGCAGAGCAGGCGTCTTGTCTCCCGTCGAACGAGCCAAGCGAAACAAAAGTGCTGGGCTGGCTGGCCGGTACTGTATGTAGTACGTACAATACGGCAAGTACTTGTGATTGTGCCTGGCGCGCTTTGTGTGTGTGTACTTGACGGGCGGCTTTGATTTGGGATCAGCCAGCCAGGTCTAGCGCGTGAGGGCTGGAAGACCACCGGTTCGCGTCAAGGGTTGCTGTTGGAGGCTGCGCGCCGTGAGGGAGCCACCCACTTTGGCACTCACTGGCGGCTAGCCTGGCTCACTTTTCTGCTTGCCTCCCCCTCGCCCTCGACTCCCGACTTCCCTCCTGGACGCTCGGGTCTGGCTTGCAAAATTTTGGGGCCCAAATTTTGGTGATGATGATGCGCCGCTGCCGTACTGGAGTGAAGCTATACAAAATATTCTTTCTTCGAGACAGCGCCGCTACCTGATGTGTGTGTGTGTATATGTTTTGGAGCGCACGCCTTGATGACGGCAGACAGACACGCCGGGAAAGACGCCTGGACTGCACCACAAAATTCAAGGATGTATGGTCCAGTCCAGTCCGTCGGGTCGGCCCTGGAACGAACGCTTGGAGGAAGCCGCGATGCTTTCAACCACACCGCCAGCCAGCCAGGGCAGGAACGACTAACAGCAGACAGACAGTCACGCCTTCCCCCTCTCCAAAGGAACTCGAACTCTCTGACGGCAGGCAGGCAGACGGCGCGGCAAGGGCGAGCGAGCAACGGCAACAGCAACGAGGCAAGCGCACGACCACTTTTCTGTCTTTCTGTCTCGTCGTTTGTCTTTCTGTCTGGCGAGGCAGGCAGACCGGGCAGAGAGGTTTGGGAAGAGACTGCAGCGCGCCAAGGAATAGGGATACAGAAACCACAAGTCCTCAGTCCCCTCCCCCTCCCCCCTACTTGCTATGTATGGGATAGTCTTGTAATTTTCGCAGATCTGGGGAGCACGCCGTGCATGCCCGCATACACAAACGCGAGCAGGGAATATGGACGGGGGAGCGCAACCAGGCTGAGGCTTTCCTGCGGCACCGTCCCTGGACGGTGGGAGTGGCGTAGGAACCTCCTACTCTACCTACCCAGTCCTGTACTGTGCGAGGGCAGTCGGGACCATCTTAGTGAATCTGGCGCAGGGCCTGACCAATTCCCACGCAGGGGGAGGGAGGGAGGGGTGCAGAACGGAGCAGAAGGCATGTATGTACCAAGGTACTAAGGAATCTGAGAGAGTGTGCCAAAGCTCAAACGCACTCAAGCAGCCCAAATCCAGCAAAATCCGCTACGAAACTAGCTTCCACTGACAGCAGTCCCTTTTTCGACGCCAGACAAGAAACTTAATTAGGTACCAAACCTAACTCGAATTTGACTGAGCTACGAATATTCCGTGGGCGGAAGGGGAAGCGAGTACATAGTAGTGGGGTTCCGCTGCCCGAGATTTAGTCCAAGTTTGTTGATACCGGAGATGATCACACCTAGCGGTCGTCTATCCGTACTCTACTTTACAAGTAGAATGGGCATTAGGAAGATGCATCGGTACGTGGCAGTAACCTGTAATCTCGTGCACCTCGTTGTAGTAGTGTAATAAAGAGAAGCAAGATCACAGGAATGGAGGTTGCCTTCTCCGCGCCCCGCGAAGCGAGTGAGGAGAGGGAAAGGACAGCGGAGGTGACCAGAGGAAGAAAGAACCCCTGCTCGCTCTCCCACGCTCACATGCACCAAGTTTCCGGGATGCGTCCCGGGGGGAACCACAGGTGGGGGGGGGGGGTATTGTCAAACATGTGGGTGTGATCCAATGTTTATTGACTTCAGATATCGCTGCTGTAACACACGGACGTGAGCTGCTGCTATACTTTTGTCTGTGACCGATAGAGTTTACCAAATAGCAACAGCTGGGCTATTGGGTCGCGCTCCGTAGCCGAGCTTTGGATTACCTGTGAAGGGAGCAAGTTGACAAGTCGCGAGCTTCCATCACAGTACTCGGCGCGGAACAGTCTGCCATGTTGTAATATTAACGAAGCATGATGTGCAGCAGGGATCGAGGCTCCGCAGCGCGGACGCCCTGGGCCCACTTGGGTCTGAACTCAATTCAGCCTGCTCGGAGGGCCAGGCCTGGATGATGGGACTGCTGACTTCTGAGTGCATACCCGTTTGCTAAAAAAACGCCACTAGGGAGGGACGAGAAGGGCGGGCTGGCGGTTCCCGCAAGCCCCTGTCATAGCAAATGCCATCTAGATTTCTGGCAGCACCGTACATGTGCAGCACCGTACTTAGCGGCGGTTGAAGAAGCAGCACCGCACAGGACAGCGTAAGCCTCCTTGATGATTTTCTCCAGGACCTGGCTAAGACGGTTTAGAAGTACACAGTAGAAAAAAGTTCCTGTTAACGACGTTGCTGACAGCTCGCGCAGGCTGACATTGTTACGGGGCAGGGACGCTCTGGGATATGCATGTACCCTGGTAAGTCCCAAGCCTAGCCCCGTCAAGGCCCCGGTCACCGGTGTCTCCCTACCCTTGCTTGTCGAGCCCCCCTCTCTCAACTCGATTTGGACTAGGCTCATTCCGGTGTCGCGGGATTGTCTGCTTTGCATGGGTGCTTTTTGTGCTGGGACAGACTGGCCCAAAGGAGATGGGGTCTCTTGGACCATCATGGCCGTCTGTCGATGCTCCGTAGACTATTCCCCATTTCATACTCGGTACTCTGTATTCCTTCCGTATCGCGTTGTTGCACGTAGCCTGTTGCTCGGAACTCTCTCCTGAAAATCCCATCTCGTTTCCCGAGGTGCGTGGCTCAGGCCGAGACATTGCCAGAGGGAATTTTCTGATCTATGCAATGTCTCGCCGTCATCATCTCGTCAAATGCCCCGAGGTTTTGCACAATCTTCAGTCCGTAGCATTAGTACGGAACACTAGAGGGTCACACTCTCCCGTAACACGTTGATGCAGCCTTGGCCCGCACAGTTGTGGCGCCTTTGCGCCTCCCGTCCGCCTCATGAAGGAAAGGTGAGGTAGTAGATGATCCGCAATGGAGAGAAACTGAGCTGGGTTTTAAACAAGAGCGCCTCTCGGCCAGATTGTTGAAGAACCAGATCGTAAGCTGCTCGTAATAATACGGAATATTTCCAATGTCGAATTCCCGCCAACTCGTTCGTTGTCGGACGCCTTCTCCAACCATGGCCAAGCGTTTCTAGGCCTCTAATGTTCAGAAGTTGGTCCAGCCGTAATTACGCGACTGTGAGGGGCACCCCTCCTCCCCGCCCGCCGTCCCTCCTTGTTTTCTTATTCCTCCTCCCCGTCCATCCTGAGGAATCTAGGAGGAGGGAGCGCGGCTTGCCGTTTGAGCCCTTTTGGGCCTTTGTCATGGTGATGACCATGGCCGGTCTCGTTTCGCAGACGTGCATCGCTCAGCTGAAGTCCGGGCTTTTGATTGCAGGACGTGTTCGCAACAACTCTGACAAGGTTAATCGTCGGCCAGTGATGGAGCAGGATTTGTTCATGGGCCATCCCGGCTAGCCTTCGGGCACGTCTTGCACTTGCCCATCCCTTGGTCATCCAGTCGACCGGCAAGTTGCGTGCCACTAGTTCCTCTGCAAGCTGCACGGGATTAACTCGATACGGTCCAGCAAGTGACTTTGCTTGCCCAGCACACGAGCAACCCTATAATGCAAAACGACGAAAGGAGAGAAACTCCGTCGAGGGTACAAGATTTGGTCGCCTCCGTTCCGATACAGGTGCCAGAGGGAATTGTGATGTCGATGAGTATCTCTGCGACTTTTCGACGCGCCTGAGGTTGCCATTAATTGAACGGGGTGTCAGCGTAACACCAGCTGATATCTTCGTCCGTCTTTCCCCACCCAGTCTCCAGAGAGCTGCAGTTGTTAAAGCATATCGAAAGCGACTATAAGTGTTTGCACACTTCAGTACAGCTTCGAACGAGTAGTTCGCCCTCGTCCGAATCGGGTCAAAGGCCGTTATTGCCTGTTCTAGAAATATAGTCTAGTCTTCTAACTGTATGGTTGCAGCTTTGAGAGAGCTCTCGGACAGGTGAGAGCAAAGGGGGCCGGGACGCTGCTCGGCAAGCCCGTCGTTTGGGTGTTTCGTATCAGACTGAAAGTCATTGAAACTCTCTTATCAAGCGGCTTGTGTGTTATTCGTTTGTCGAATCGAACTGGTGAAGGCGAGGACTACGTGGAAGATGTGTTTGCCTGGCTTTCAAGGCATATACTGCAAGGTGGGCTGCTGAAAACGGGGCAGGGATGCACGGGGGCCAAGAAAACGAGTCTTTCCTCCATTCGGGAATTTTTGACGAGAATGAGACCAACCAACTTCAAGGGAAGGGTATTTAGGAACCGATTTTCTCGGAAGCAGAATTCGACCAGTCTTGACGGAAACGAGTAATTCGATGTTCTTTTTGGCGATCACGAAGTAAATCAGTGAGTCGGTATCCGTTGTGTGAAATACAAAATACATACTTCGTAATTAGTGCATAGCTGTCACCCCCAGCCGTCGGGACTGTGACACCGCATCTTGAATTGTCTACTTTGTATGCTTGCGGAGCTGCCTGTCATTCGGGATTCTGCGTTAGTAAAGGTAGACAATGGGCTGGTCTGAAGCTTGAGACTCCTATTCGCATAACCGCAAAATGCCATTGGTGCGCGCGTAAAGAGGTCTGGCTGAGGAATGATTGAGCCCATTCCATCTTCCCATGGCACTCGAGGGAGGTTCCAGGGGCGGGGGCCAGCTGCATTTCGAGTGGCAGCGGTGCTACCCCTACGCAGCAGACTCGCACTGCAGGTCAGGATGTACCGAAGAGTTGATTCCACGGCACGAAAAGGCTCGTGCTAGAGTTATTTTCGATGATGTCCAGAAGCCTTCTAGTTTAGGTGCGCCCCATGGCGCCGATCCAGAATGCATGGCGTCAAAAAGGTTAATTGCCCACACGGTTCTGAACCCCGGCCATCATCATGTGTCTGAGCTTCACGTGCTAAGTGGTCGGCTGTCGACGATGGCCAACCTCGATATATCCTTCTATGACCGACTTCAAAAGCCTGACATGGAAATAGGTTAAGGTAAATGCGATAATACTGCCAAGCTTTTGTGTTTATTTTAGGGGGTCTTGAGGTTTCTGAGAGGCCTTGTAAGTTAGGGACAGTCTCTCCTGCTAGTTAGTTGTCATGACTTGCTGTTCAAGAGGCGATCAACCCAGACCGGGTGTGCCCGTTGGTAATAAGCATCTTTCACGCTAGTTCAAATATATCTTTCTCCGGCAAATTACGACGACAACTGCAATGCTCGAGTTGGTGTTTCTGTTTCAGAGTCAGAAACGTCGTGCGGTACTCATTAAGTGCACGGTGTTGATTGAATATGGGAAAACAATCTGCCCGCTGACAAGCCAGCTCAATGTAAATGTATGTATTGACAGTAATTACATACCTGACAGGCTCACTCGCAATGTCAGAAAAGAGCAAGCTGCCAGAATCTAGCATTGATTAGAATGAACTGTCAAAGCTTGTTCCGACTCTAGAAAGGACTCGAGCAGTCCAAAGGAGTAACTGTTAGGGGAACGACTGTTTACTCGTAGTTGATCTGTTTGTACGAGTTACCTTTGTTCTCGTAACTGGTCTTGGCCGACTAGCTGCACGCCCAAAACTGAGGCATTCTCGTGGCAGCCTGGGGAAGACCAGCGCTCAGCACGGGTTCCGACGCATCGACATAGGCCTATTGCGTGAAGCTGCGCTCCGTCGGCGCGGCAATCTGCACGATTTGTGCCGCCGCATTCTACTCATTGTTCTGCCGGCGCGTTTGGATCTGGGGACGAGGTGAAACAAACACAGTTAGGTGGGGATCTCTTTTGCCATTCTCAAGACTGACTGGGATTCTGTTCCTCAGCACCGAAACGGGCGGCGGCCGAGGAATTGACTCTTCATGTGCCCAGCTGCACTCCCTCCCGACGGTCAGCGGACGTCGAATGTTGAAGGTGAAGGATACTCCGTAGGTACGGAATAATGGGCAGCCCCACCGTCCACGGACTAGACTTGCCAAAGCGAGGGCGGCCCCAGATTCCCTCGTGCCCAATGCCGGATGAGGCTTCAACCCCAGGGACGAAGCAGCGCCACAAAAATCTGCGTTGCTCCCTGTAAGGAGGCCGGCGCAATTAGATCGACGGGCGGCACTGGGGAAGGGGTCAAGGGCGCCGGGCTCAAGCACAGTCCCGCAAGCCACAACGCCAGATAGGCCAGCATGTCACGGACCCGGGAAGCCTGTGGGCGTGCAGCAACAGAGAATCTAATTTCCATTTGCGACAGGCTGGGGAATACCGAGATTCTTTGTCCCAAAGCGGAATGGAACCGCCAATATTGCGCTGCAAGATGTCGGGGATAGGGAGGGATTCATCGTCGGCTGCAGCAGGGACCGGGATGACATGGTTTCCGGGAAGGGGGTGCAAGCTGGCGCCCATCGACGCCTTGTGGCATCTTCCGTGTCGTTGCCAAGAAAGGAAGACCCCCCAGGGCAAGGGAGCTGGCAAGGCCAAACAACATGTTGGGCCGCACTGTAGTAAGTGGTTAGCTTAGCCTGGCGGTAATCCGTCCGGCAACAATGCTTGCTTGGTTTTCTTGCTGTACATAGTATGACTCTCCCGTACCGAGGATGGGCAAATGAAAATGGTAGATACGGGTGCGGGTGCGATTGCGGGAAATGATGGGCTGGGATTGCGATGGGGGGTAGTTTCCCCTCCCCCTTTTCTGTTAGGTGGACAGGATACGGATGAGCGTCAGGAGGGAGAAACGACGTAAAAGTGATATCGCCGATTCACGATCACGTAAAATTGCAAGCAACAAAAATCCGAAATAAAAGATGGAGAGCACTGGCAGTGAATAAGGCGGCAAACCCCATCTCTCGGAGCTCGGCAAGCCTAGGGCGCGTTGGCCCCTGGGGAGGGGGGCCTTGGGCGGCAGGCGCAATCGGTTTAGTGCCACAAGTTTAGGTAGTTCCTTCCATCATCGAGTCGAGTCGATTCACACCTGCCCAGCCCAAATGGGACTCATCAGCTATACAATGGATTGTCTCCATTCTATCCCAAATGCACACCAATAGGTAGGTGGTAGGAAGGTCTGCCTGCGGCCCTGCATTCACACTATCTCCCAAACTCTATCTGAGATCGAGGAAAGATGAGATTTGTTCCAGATCACTGCCTGCCCACAACACTATCTCAATCAGGCAGGCAGCCACCCACCACACGACGGACGCCTCCCACGTCTCGTCTCCTGCCCGAGTGCAACGCTGTGGCCATAGCTTTTACCCAATTTTACTACCTGACTTTCGATGCTGATACGGATAATCTACACCCTTATCTTATCCTCGGAGCTGTCCACTTTATCAAAGACTTGCTCCTGAATTCTCAGATCAGGTAGAAATATCCAACTTTCTAGGCAGGTACGATAGCCAACCGCAGACGGACATCGAGCCGCGGGGCGCGTCGTTAGTTATTCAGCCGCCAGTGGCGCGATGCGAGAAGCCTGGCTTGGCGGCCGGCGGCCCGCCGACGGCCGTGCGTCGCCGATCAGAGGGCCCCCTGGGAAGGCTGCCCTGGGCCTCTCCAGGGGGCTGACATGACGGATCCGCCGTTAACCTTAAAAATTTTGGAGGATGCATAGTGGAGGGCAGGCAGGCATGCGGATGCCAGTGGTCGTCTGCGGTCTGGACCACCACCTCGTTCTTTGACCCACTTTTGAGCAATTGGGGGGTGAGGTTTGCTAAATGGAAGCCGGCCCAAGTCGCGCGCGCGCTCTCGTTACCAACTTCGTTTACCCGCTCCTTGGCGCCGTCGAGTCGAGTTCGTGTTCTTGGATGCATCCGTGGGCTGGTTCACGGGGACGACTGCCACCGAACACACGGATCCATCACATATTACGCAATAATGTCATGTCTGCAGTATTGATTACCCCACGCACGATGCGAGATGCAAGATGGCTGACTTGGCTACCTTACCTACCTTACCTTACGTGCCGAGCATGCACGCATGAATTTGGTCTTGGGGTGCGGCGGGTGCTTTGCGCTATCATACACCCCCGTATATTATACGAGGTGGTTGTAGGGGGCTTATTTTGGTCTGTCAACGAACGACAACGGTCTGTCAGTCCGTCAGTTCGCGGACATCCGAAGGTGGGTTTGCAATAGCTAGCGAAGACCCTCCATTCCGAACGAGACAAGACTTTCGGCCTCGACATGGAAACCATAATTAGACCCAGTTTGCATTGGCCTCTGATTCTCATGTCGTCCATAGGGGGGCCAGAGCTGATATTTTCCCTCCGCACCGAATATCCATTTCAATGCCGACGTGAACCATGGAAGCCTCGGGTGAACCTTGTGCTGTTGTTGTCAATAGTCTGTCTCTCCAAGGCTGGGAGTCAAAATACAAGGGAGATTAACCTCCGTATGATTGGAGTGCTTGTCGTGTCTTGGGTGTTGTTGCTTGGTCCTGAGCTATTTATGTGATGGCGTATGTTGTTGGACTTTCACCTTTGAGAGGTGGCAAATTCGGGGATATTAAGAGTCACCATGTGTCATATTAACTTATGGACATAATCGGAGGCAGTAAAAAGTCATCAATGCCATACCCGACATCTAGGATCAATGACTTGGTTGACGTTGACTCCTTCGGGTTGTCGGGCCTCTCGGCTCTCGGCCTTGGGAGAAGGAAAGGTTTATCATGTCACTAACCTATCTAACAGCCCGTATCCCCTCTTCTCGCCCCCCCTACCTAGTCCGACAAAGTCAGCCACGGTACATCAAACCTACAAAGCTGATTAGCTTCACGGGTCAACATGTCATTGACCCAGGAAAGGCATATATACCTACCAGTCGGGGCGCGAAAACCACTCCCATGACCAGAGATGGCAAGCCACTTTGACGAGCATGGCGTGAGATATACCCACCTGCCCATCAACCCATCTACCGAGCCCTTGACGGCATGCCGTCGTTGCGTCATGACTTTCATCATGCTCCAGGCTGCCTGTTCCTGACCCGCAGTCGGGTTCGGTCCAGTTCGGTCCAGTTCGGTCCAAGGCATGGTGCAGCAGGAAAGAGACGGAAAGACCAACAAGATTATACCGTGCCCGTGCCCGCATCCGTGTCCGTGTCCGCCGCCATAGCAGCAACAGGAGTGCGTTGTTGCCTATCTGGCTTGTGATTTCACGCCCAAGTTGAGGACGTGGTCACGAAGGGTGGATTATCCGAGGAGAAGAGCGACAGAGATGATGACTACTTAGGTATTTACCTAGACTATTCCCAACATATGGAAAGCAGTCGGGGGTAAATAAGCTAGATAGTGTTCACCCCCCGTGTCAAAAGCAAGAGGCTCGCACAGAGCCTCAACATTCTGGCATTTGACCACCTTGGACGGTTTCGTCTGTACTGTTGCGTGTTTCGATGAAAGCAAGATCTCGCTGAGCTACCTCTACACAGGTACATACACTTATACACACTTACACACCCATATTAGCACCCATACTCACACACCACATACACGCACTTGCGCTTGCACATAGACACACTCAACACAGAATGAGAAGCATAGAGAGAAGTACACAGCCGTGCTTACCTCCGAGAGAACAAGATAGAGCAAGATGGGAAGAACAGAGAATTGACAAACAAAGGGGGACGTAAATGTTATATTGTAGATACAAACTGTCTTTGTCCAACAGGAAGCGCAACGGAAAGGAAGCAAAGCAAAACAAGCAAACAACTCACAGTGCATTAATACATTCTTTGTCTCTCTCCGACTCTCAATCCTTCCAGGTCGTGGCCTGGTGCAAGTACTTACGACGACAACATCATCAACAACAACGGACTTCTCCCCGTTCACCAGCTCGCTCTCTCCATCTCTCACACACACCCAAGTCACACAACACCTAGACGACAAATCTTACAACTTGGCAGCTGGCCTCGGGCTTCCGGCGACGGTAATCTCGTTATACAGCAGCCTGTCACACTCAAATCAGCAACACAACCTAACCCAAAAAAAAATAAGGGAGGGAGAAAAAAAAACATACGAAGTCAAGAAATCAGCATAGTCCTCGCCTGTGACCTGGCCGGCAAAGTACTGGGCGGCGAGCTGGAACTTGTTGCCTTTTGGCGCGTTGGCGGCGAGCTGGGCCGTCTGCTCCTTGAGCAGCTTGAGCGCGTACTGCTTGTCGACGCGCTTGCCCTCGGCCGTGGTGACGCCGTGGCGCACCCACTGCCACAGCTGGCTGCGCGAGACCTCAGCGGTGGCAGCATCCTCCCTGTGTTTTTGTCAGTATATGTGCACATGGTTGAGGCGTAACAGTGACACGGAGGGATACTAGAAGGGAAACAAACGCACATCAGATAGTTGATGGGCACGCAGCCAACGCCGCGGATCCAGGCCTCCATGTAGCCGAGGCCGATGCTCAGGTTCTTGCGGATGCCCTCCTCGGTGACCTGGCCGGGGACGTTCATGTTGAGGAGGTCGTTCTGGCCGACCCGGACGTCCTCGCGGCGGACAAAGAGCTGGTTGGGGGTGGGCATGTGCTTGTTGAAGATGTCGATGGCGATCTGGGCGAGGGCTGGGTGGGCGACCCAGGTGCCGTCGTGGCCGGCGCGGACCTCGCGCAGCTTGTCGGCGCGCACGCCGTCCATGGCCTTGTCGTTGGCGGCGGGGTCGTCCTTGATGGGGATCTGGGCGGCCATGCCGCCCATGGCGTGGACGCCGCGCTTGTGGCACGTCTGGATGAGCAGCTTGACGTAGGCGTCCATGAAAGGCACCGTCATGGTGATGCAGCCGCGGTCGGGCAGCACGAAGCTCGAGTTCTGGCGGAACTTCTTGATGACGCTGAAGATGTAGTCCCAGCGCCCGCAGTTGAGCCCGGAGCTGTGGTCGCGCAGCTCGTAGATGATCTCGTCCATCTCGAAGGCGGCCAGGATGGTCTCGATCAGCACGGTGCCGCGGATGGTGCCGCGCGACATGCTGATGGTGTCCTGAGCCAGGTTGAAGACGTCGTTCCACAGCCGCGCCTCGAGGTGAGACTCCATCTTGGGCAGGTAGAAGTAGGGCCCGAAGCCCTGCTTGACCGACTCGAAGGCGCTGTGGTAGAAGTATAGGCCAAAGTCGAACAGCGAGCCGCTCATGGGCTCGCCGTCGACCGTGACGTGCTTCTCCTCGAGGTGCCACCCGCGCGGTCGCACGATGAGCGTCGGCAGCGTCCGGTCCGTCCGCAGCTTGTACTCCTTAGACCCTTGCTTGAAGTCCACCTGCCGCCGCACCGCGTCATACAAGTTTACCTGGCCGTTGACCATGTTTTCCCACGTGGGCGCGCTCGAATCTGTTTTTCATGAAGAGGGGGTCATTGTTAGCCAAGCAAGCACATCCCCCTCACGCCTCCTACAAGCCACCTCTCTGCCGCGCACCTTCAAAGTCGGCCATGTAGGTCCACACGTCCGAGTTGAGGGCGTTGACGACCATCTTGCGGTCGGTGGGACCCGTGATCTCGACGCGGCGGTCGACAAGACCCGGAGCTGGGGGCGCGCCCTTCCATGTCACGTTCTCGCGGATGTGCTTGGTCTCGGGCAAGAAGTCGGGCAGCACGCCACGGTCAAGCTCGGCCTGGCGGGCTTTGCGGCGCTCGAGGAGAGCCTTGCGTGTAGGGTTGAAGGAGCGGTGCAACAGAGCCAAGAAGGCCAGGGCCTTGGGCGTGAGGATCTTCTTTTGGCTCTCGTTGACGGGCCCCAAGACGTTCACGCCCTGGAGGATGGTGTCGGTGCTGGCCATGGCGGCGGTGCTTATTTTGCTTTGTCTGAACTATTTACCTCGGTTAGATTGGAATCACTGGTGGTGGTTTCCTTCTGCCTATGGATGATGATAATGATGATGACAGTGTGAGTGAGCGAGGGCGTGAGTGAGTGACGGGGTGAGAGAGAGAGAGCACATAGGGGGAAGTATGGAGACAGAACGGAACGGCACTTCACGTGTCACGATGCTCTTCCTCCGAGCCGTTTCTTTTTCTTTATATGCGTGCTCAACCAGTCATCAGACAGCGCGACCTTACCGAGAATATAGCCAAGTGCCGAAAAGAGCCGAGAAGAGGCGCGAGGTGTACAATTGGACGAGTACGGGCAATGCCAAACAGGGGAAATGGATACAACAAGTGAGATGGTAAGGAGCAGCTGAGAAGGAGACGGGGCAGCGGAAGCTTAAAGCTGCGAGGACACCCCTGACTCACTCTTTCTCTCTGGGGCCGACGACGACTACTCCGTAAGGATACTAATTATCTGCTAGACCGGGCAGCAGCAGACCTACTACACCTGCAGTGCTCTACAGTACCTGGGCTGCCGTAAACGTGCGTGTGCGTGTGCAGGGGCAAGTCACCGACCGCATGCGGCGAGACCAACAAGATGACGACGAAAAAGAGCAGGGCGTCGGCAGTCTGGGGCGCGTCGCTCAAGACAAAATCCCCACACGATCTTGTGCGACACACTGCACCACAGACATGTGGTTGGCCCTCGGGGAATAAGGCGGGTGGCTGATCGGCTTGGCGGACTTCACACCGTTTCGATGCAATGCGTGAGCCGACGAGTCTTGTAGTTAGCCACTGCATCCCCGTCTCTATCTCCGAGTTCCTCTGGCCCGTCACATGCGAATTGGTCTGGGCGCTTGCATTGCATTGTGTAAGACCACTGTCGCTTCAGACAGTGGTCGGCGGCGAGTGAGGTCATTGGGGTAAGTCAGCCCCACCATTCAATGGCAATCGCTCCACCCCTAGAATTCTCGCTTCTCTTGTCCAAACTCGCAAGGTCATACATAGCCAAAGGCTGCAGACCGTCTCTTGATTTCTTCACCCGTTGTATTATACCTTCTTGTACATACCTAGGTAGACTCTACGCCGATATCGTTCACAGGCTCAACAGGTTAGCTGCACCCGTCCTCTCCCAATAGATAGCTCCTGTAAACCAGGGCAAGGGGAAGGGCAAGGGCAAGGGCAAGGGTAGGGGCTCCGAGGCCGGTCGGCAACGCTGGAGCTTAGGCCACTCAACCTCAACAGCTGGTTGGAGCTCCGGTCTGCCGGAGCCCCAGAGCCGAGGTTCTGGGGGAGTGGGGAATAGGGAATGGGGATGGTGGGGTTCCTTTCGTGCCGACACTTTCCGAGAACCTACGATGGAACCCACATCAATTCGTCCCAAAACACTTTAATCTACGTACCCTGTCTGCTGCAAGAAGCCGGCTGCATGGCTTTGACAGCTGGCTGCAAATGATTCTCGGTGGATCAATTTTTGAATATTTATGTACTGGTATCTACTACTTGCACAAACCATATCATCATAAAAAGTCAAAGAATGGTAGTACACGACGGCGGTATGGCTGGTCCGCGGCAGGCTTTAAGCTTGAGGCATCAACGCTGTACCGCGGGCGCTCTTTACCTTGTCGAGTGGGTCGAGCAGTCTACCCCTTGTACGGCGAAGGGCCGATCATCAGCTCGGGCTTCACGAGCGTGTCAAACTCTTCCTCTGTCAGCGCCTTGAGCTCCATGGCACTCTGCTTGAGCGTCAGGCCCTTCTTGTGTGCGTGCTTGGCCACCTTGCTGGCCATATCATAGCCGATTTTGGGATTGAGGCAAGTCACCAGCATGAGCCTGTAAAGTATATTGTCTTAGTACGTGTCTTCCCGCGGGAATGTGCAGAGGGGGGATCGGGGAAAACGTACGACTCCTTCATGATGCTGGCAATCTTCTCCTCGTTGGCCTGCAGGCCCTCCACTAGGTTCTTCTCAAAGCTGCGCATGCCGTCCGCCAGCAGGCGGATGCTGTGCAGCAGGTTGCGGATGATCAGGGGTTTGTACACATTCAGCTCGAACTGGCCGTTCATGCCGCCGATAGTGCATGCAACGTGGTTACCCATGACCTGGGCGCACAACATGGTGAGCGCCTCACACTGTGTTGGGTTGACCTTGCCGGGCATGATGGAGCTACCCGGCTCGTTCTCGGGCAGGATCAGCTCACCGAGCCCGCACCGCGGTCCGCTGCCCAAGTACCGAATGTCCTGGGCGATCTTGGTGAGCGAAGTTGCCAGCGTATTCAGGCTACCAGAGGCGTGAACGACGGCATCGTGGGCCGCCAGAGCCTCGAACTTGTTGGGCGCAGTCTTGAACTCTGTGCCCGTCATCGTGGTGACCTCCTCCGCGATAGCCTCGGCGAAGCCCTCGAACGTGTTGATACCCGTACCGACCGCAGTGCCGCCCTGCGCCAAGAGGCGCAGGTCCGGTAGCGCGCTCTCGACTCGCCGGATGCCCATCTCGAGCTGCGCGACGTAGCCGCTGAACTCCTGCGCTAGGGTGAGGGGTGTGGCATCCTGGAGATGAGTGCGTCCAATCTTGATAATCTTCTTGGCCTCGAACTCGTCTACCTTGATCTGCAGAGCCGCGCGAAGGCTGCGCAGCGCTGGTAGCAGCTCGCCCTCAAGCTCGAGGACGGCGGCGATGTGCATGACGGTTGGGAAGGTGTCGTTGGACGAGGCAGAGCGGTTGACATGATCGTTGGGGTGCACCGGCTTCTTGGAGCCCATGGTGCCGCCTAGGATCTCGATGGCCCGGTTGCTGATGACCTCGTTGGCGTTCATGTTGGACTGCGTGCCCGAGCCCGTCTGCCACACCACGAGCGGGAAGTGGTCGAGCAACTTGAGGTCGGCCATCTCCTTTGCCGCCTGCTGGATAGCCTTGCCGATGACGGGGTCTGTAGAAGACGGGCTGGTGGTGAGCTTCGGCCAGCCATTGTACGATATATGTCGCGGTCGTGCGCGAGTTGGGTGTATGTGAGGGGGGTAGAGGAGAAAGGAGGAGGGAAAGTAAACAGAGATTTTGTTTATTTAAATAAATATTATTTACCCAGACCGAAGCGCATATTCACTGTCGCAGCAGCGCCCTTGAGGATACCAAAGGCCTTGACAATGGGCGGGGGCATGCGGTCCTGGGGCTGGTTGATGCGGAAATTCTCGAGGGAGCGCTCCGTTTGGGCGCCCCAGTACTTGTCGGCGGGGACCTGGACCTCGCCAAAGGCATCGCTCTCGGTTCTTGTGTTGGCAGCCATGCTGGAGGAGCTGGCGTGGAAGTATCTCTGGGTCGGGCGTTGGATTGCTAGGGCGGACAGGCGAGAGGAAGGTTTGGCAATTGAGGAGAGGGGAGCACTGCTGCATGCGACCGTTGTGGAAGCTGGCAGACATGTGCTCAGGCGACTCGTCGAGGCCCTCGGCCTAGCAAGGCACGCTCGCCCTGCGGGCCAGGCCGCTCGTACCGATCGAAGCATGATGACTGACGTGACGTTAGGTTCCCTTGTTTCGTTTCTGCCTAGGGGCCCCAAAACTGCCAGTTGGCGTGCTGCGGCTTGAAAATGTCTAGGAAGCGACCTTAGGTTTGTGGGGAGAGCTAGGGAGGCACTGGCGCTGAGCTGCAGCACCTTGACACGAAACAGTGATGGAGGCGGCGAGATGCGGCAGAGTTGGGGCACGATCACGAACTGGAAAAAAAAATTGTTCCGCAAACGCTGCACGAACCCCTAGGCCTTCGGGTTGTCCGGAACTTGCCGACACGGAACAGAAATCGGTAGAAAACCTTTGCCTTAAACACACCCCATTTTAGAACTAAAGCGGAAAGAGTCGCTGCCTAATGCCTAACTTATAATGTGCATCCATCGGACGTATTGGCAAACTATCTTGACTTCAATTGCCATCACTCCCGTATCAGACATGCATTTCGTGCTTTAGTTTTTGTCATCATTCTCTATTAAATCTCCCCAACCCTGCGCAAATAAACGCGCAGACTAAGGAGAACAAAGCGCCCTGCATTACTTATCTCTCCGGCTCTATTTTATACCCCGTAGTCAGAACTTCTAACCCCTTTTCAGTGGTTCTCAACACTCGTTCCAACACAAAACCCTCAAAGTAATCTGACAATATTGTAAACACAATATGACAACCCGTGTTCCTTCCCTCCTTTTTGATTTCCATCCAAGAGCCTTAGCCTGACCTCTCCAACTGGTATCGTCTGCTCCAAGAACAATTGATACTGTCGAGTAACCAAGGCCCTCCAAATAAAGCCAATCGTCGAAGGAGACGACAGTAATATACCCACATACAGCACCGATGCTCGAGAAAGCCCAAGGTGAAATAATCGACACACCGTAACAAATAATCCACCAACGCCCGACAAGAAGACAGCTAAATCATGTATGCGCGAGGCGCGCTGTAATCGTCGTGGTTACGAGTTCAGCGTCTTGATCATCATACCGGCCTTGCGCTTGTCGGTAACGAGGAGAGCGCGGCTGCTGAATGTCGAATTCATCGCATCGACAACCTTGTGGAAGCTGCTAGCCGCCCCCCTCTCCTGCGTGAAGCGGGCAATGCTGAGTGGGTTTCGCTTGCCATGCTCAATCACCGTCATGAGCTCGACGGCGAACGAAACTTCTTTCAAGTTGAGATCTTCCTCTATATATTAGCACTTGATCACAGCCAGACACAATTTGGGTCAAGAGGCAACTCACAATTCTTTGTGCTAACACGCGCAAAGACAATATTCCGCTCTTTGTCCGTCTCCACGTCCTTGATGCCGTACTTGCGCCATTCCCTGAGCAGAATTGCCACTTCTTGACGGGCTCGCCGCTTCGGCGCCGTAAAGCAGAGATATCTCGTCGCTGGCTTTACCCGGAACAATCGAGATAGCCAGTTCTGGTGGACTTCAATCTTTCGAGTCCCCACGTCGTTGTCGCACCATACGCTCTGGGCAGCGCTTCCAGCAATGCTAAGAGCCTTTTTGCTTGGCTTTGGTCGCACCGACTTTTCATCTTCGGGATACCACGCATCCTCGTAATTAGCGCCTGTGAAAGGATTATTAGAGTTTCGATATCTATCACGACAGAGAGATGACTTTTGATGCAAATACATACTTGCAAGCGACATTGCCGGCTCGTTCTTGGCACCCTTCCAGAATGAAAAGCTGAATGCCTTCTTCTTGCTCGCCTGAGGCATCGATGCTCGGTCGGTTGACCGCGAGTCTGATCGATATGGCTGATTGTCATTTGCGTAGCTGCTCGTCTCCTTTGATTGAAAGCTCGTGTCCGCGACGGTGACAAAACTGGAGTTGCTTGCATCCTCTTTCGAGGACCGCTTGAACCACGAGGCGACTCGTTTCTTGGTTGGAGCAGTATTGTCACCACTATGGCCGTCCTGGAGTTGCAAGTTTGCGTCTTGGCTCTGGCGGGAGGCTGACCGCGTTGACTTGGCAACCTCTGGTCTAATTTGCGACACCTTTCGAACATTCAGAGGCTCGGGTACTTTCACTGGGTCCTCTGCTTCTGCTCCCATGGGAGAGTTGACGACTCGAATGGTATTCTCCACCCTGGTCAGATAGTCTACTCCAGTGCTCACCACGGGACTCGGCGTCGGAGGGAAGGCATCCAGAATCTGATGCTTGCTCAGATTCTTTAGCCTCCAGTCCTCTGGCGTGTTCTCAGAGATGGAAGGTAGCGGTCTGATGTCCCGACCAGCGTGATTATATACTGGCTCAGAAACAGCCCGGCGCTCCGACGCTGACAGCTTATGAATGGGATCGAGTTTAGGGTATCTTGGAGCTAAGAACAGTGGCTCGACATTGACGCTTTCGGTTCGATTCCACTCGGGAGTTGCGGTCTCGTTAGAGGGAACGGGAGGAAGTGGTCGGGTATCCCAAGGGTGACTCGACGACCGGTTCCCAGTCTGAGCGGGACACGGTGTTTCTGGCAGCCAAGTGGCAGAGGGAGTACCCAAGGAGAGGGAGAACGGGCTGGCCTCGCGAGCTTCACCAACCCCCCCTGTAGACTCTGATATAATGAGAGAGCTACCGAAGGCCTCATCGCAGTGTTTGGCAATACGGTGGTTGAGCTGCTGCAGCTCCTCGTTCCAGATCAAGCTGTCTTCCCTTGGCTTGCCAACGTCCACCATCGATCTAGTACCAACGGTTCTGTGAGACTTTGGCTGCTTGCGTGGGCTGGACGGAGAACACGCATAACGATCGTAGGTCGTATCATCTCCTACAATGCTAGCCGGGGCGATCGAGCTGGTACGGCTTCGATGCTGCTGACGATTGTCTTTGTTCCGAACGCTGGAGAAGTCGACGCCACGCCTAGAGCGAGCATTCACCTTAACCCGAGCAACCCAGGGTGTGCTATGATGGCTACGGATAGAACTCGCTTCGCTCCGGGGAGACTTGAGCTGTCCTGTCGTATTTGTTCTTTGGGAATTCATTCTCTGCCTCTGCTGGAAAGAATTGCCGACAGACTTATACGAGTGGTACGAACGTAACACCGTGGCCGGACCCGAGCCGGCTGTTTTGTCAGACTCATGGCGATGGACAATAATTCTCGCATGGCTGATTTGCGAATTGCGAGGCTGCAAAATCTGAGATGAGTTGAAGGGGTCGTAGCTCCGGACTGTGCCGACCTCATCCGCGTCTGCGAAGTTGGAAATGACAGTGAACCGGGACATGCTTCTCGCGTGGCCACCTCGTCTTGGCTGCGTGAACTCGCAGGTTGAAATGCGCTTTCCATGGGTCTGTGGTCGGACGTGATGCAGGTCGCTCTTGGAGATTGGGACATCGTTGTTGTAGTTTTCCAGCTGATTCTCCCGGTGGTTGTACAGAAGGCAGTAGAACAGCTTCTGATCATTGGACCTGTAATATCGTTAACATGTGGCCCGAACAAGACAACTGATTAGTTAGCTTACCTCTCCTGGCCGAGCTTCTCTCTTATTTGCACCTCTGAGTAGCCATGCCAAAGGGATTTGAGTTGCCTCAAGATTTGGGGGTCGATATCGTCGTCAAGGATCGGCTGGATTTCCATGTTCCGAAAAACAGTCCGGGGCCGCCCCTCTGGCTTCTGGAGATCGTCGAGATAGTTGTACTTCTTGATGAGCGCGTGTCTCCACATTTGCTTCATCGTGATCCGGTGCGACGGTTGCGTTACGATGATCCTCCGGATGAGGTCCTTAGCCTCTCTGGTAAGACCCGGTGGCATTTCAAACTCACCCCGCACGGCTTTGGTAGCCATGAGTTCCAGGCTCTTTTCGTCGAAAGGAAGCCGACCAGCGAGCATCGCAAAGAGAATCACTCCCATGCTCCAGATATCCACCGCCGACCCCTTGTAGGGCTGGTGCCGGAGCAATTCCGGCGCAGCGTAATGAGGACTACCGCAGGCTGTTTTAAGCTGATGGGCCGGGTCTTGCTGTAATGCCGCCATCCTAAAGTCGGCAATTTTGACCTGGCCATCAGCTTTCAGCAGTATGTTCTCGGGCTTCAAGTCCCGGTGGCATATATTGAGAGAGTGGCAATATTCTAGAGCGCTCATGATCTGCCTGAAGTAATACATGGCCTCGTCTTCGTTTAGGGGACCGTTCCAGTTCATAAAATCGTACATGTCGCCCTTTTCGACATACTCGGTGACCAGGTAGCTGCGCAATTGTTAGTCAAGTCAAGCACGTTTTATTGGAAGATATCTTACATCTCTGCGCGGTTCTCCCAAATGTCGTGGAGTTTAATTATGTTGGGATGCTCAATAAGCTTGAGAATAGCAATCTCGCGCTCGATAGCAAGGGGCATCCGAGGAAGGCCGCCGTCAGACTTGCTCGTTGGGTTTCGGACATCCATCTGATCTAAGTTTGCCAGACTGCCCGATTGGGTGAGGTAGGCTTTGCTCTTGGCAACAATCTTGATGGCGACCAATTTATGGGAAACACGGTGCCGGGCAAGGCGGACCCGTGCCGACGTACCCTCGCCTAATGTCTTACCCAATTGCCATGGCCCGATGTGAGTCTTGAGTTGGCGTGTCGTGGAAGCATTCGAAGAGACATTTGAGAACTGGGAGACGCGCCGTGATTCGATTGTATCGCGAGAGTCCTGGGTAATTGCAGACAGACGGTGGTTAACGGGTCCTGGATCTTCCACCTTTGGGACTGCCGGCTTAGAGCGGCGATGGTGATCATTAGGGGGTGGATAGGCGGACAGAGCGGGGTTAGAATAGCCTCTGGTGGTCGGCTTGGGTTTGTCGCTGATTTCGGAGTCGACGCGCTTGTGGCGGGCCGCGTTCAGAATGGCTGCATTATTAACTCGGTTGGTCGCGTCGCCAAGAGGCTGGCGATGGACAGAAGTCCGGGTGCCATTCCGCTGGTCCATGACAAGTGAAGCGTCTATATGCAACTTACTTGCATCGCCGAGTTGCAGAGGAAAGAATCAGAAAGCAATTGGGCTGTGATGCCAGAGAGATAGTTGGGCGGAAGGGAACTGTAACCGTTGGAATGCGGGTGACGGCCTAAGAGGAGCAGACAGATGGGTGATGCGAGGAGACGCGACAGGACGCGACAGGACGCGACGACGAACCAGCCCCAAGCCTTTATCGAGGCTGCACGTTTGGGGTTACCCGGTCGACGAATGCACCAGAGAAGAAAAAAGAACTGGGGAGATTTTAGAGCGGGACCGAGGATTCGCTAAACAGGTCAGCCTGACGCCGTGTGTTTGTTTGCGTTGGGGTTCGGATGAAGTGCTGGGACGAAGTCCCTTTTCGGGCGATTGCCTCGGCGCGACGAGTATTGCTCGTGGGAGCAACGGGATCTAGGGGCTGGGAAGTTAGGAGTTGGGAGCTGGGAGTTGAGATTTGGGATTTGGGAGGCACTTGAGGAACGAGCCCTTGCCTAGAAGACGCCAGCGCTCTTGTCTCGTCTTGAGGTGTCTCAGTAGTAAACCGACGCTTCGGCCAACTTTAGATACCCGGCCCCACTCCAACGGGTGTAAACAGGCCCGGGCTATATTTCGTCTCATTACGCTCCAGGGTACGTAATGTAATTCCTCCTTTTGCAATTGTAACGTCCTCTCCCTTAGTTGCTCCTTTACATTGTTTTTCGGTGTCAACTCGTTGCGGATTATCCGCCGTTCTACCAGGCAATAGGTAATTTCATGGGACATGGATATCAAAGAGCCTTCGACACATGGTATGTATGCTGCACAAGATGAATGGGCCTGCCGTGCGAATCTTGATACAAGAGAGCGCCGATAGGTGACTAAATAGCTGTATGCAGTCTGCCCAATGATGTAGGGAGACAGGTTGGTGACTAGATTGCCAAGACTAACTGGGTACTCGGTATGGGTGTTCAGGCTAGTAGTAGACGAAGTAGCTGACTTGAATGCCTGGCATGAGAGAATGCAAGTCGCTTGACTGGCACGCAACTTCGATAATGGGAGCGTCCCTAGCTTTCGGTGATTTAGAGTTTGCAGGATAGAGAAGACACAGGAATGTAAGGACGGCCCGAGATAAAGAGACCGCAGCCGCCTCTTTTGTCATCTATAAGGCATAGATAGCGGTAGGTGATGGTCATCTACATATGCGCATCGTGTCCACACATCATGGGTCGCAGCGGTCGCTTGATCCGCATAGGGCTACGCGCTTGTGAATCGGCACTGTCAGAATCGGCTACTCTGCAAATAATAATAGAGATGTCTTACGAGAAGCCGGTATCGTGTCTATGCAGCATATCATAAAGATGTGGAATTTTTCAACGAGCCGGGCATCTCGTGTAAGTGAGCAAAGAGGTGAAGTCGAGACAAGATTGTGGGGGCTGAAGGATGACAAGGGGGGGCGCACATCATTGGCTACAGGCCCTTGCGGCGTTTCCTTCCACTAACCAAATTCAGCCCCACCCAGCACCCGGCCGGCTGGGAGCGCACCTTCAGCAGTCTTGGCTCTAAATTAATTGAAAGACGCGTCGCGCTTTCCACTTCTTTGGTGTCGATGCCATCGTTCAATCCGCCATCCCGTCCGCCATCTCGCCCGCGACTCACCTGTTTTCCCGCAAAGCTGGCCATGTCAAAAATTCCTGGGAGCTTCCCTGGTATAGCTTTAGGCCTTTAAATCTGTCCAACATTTCTGCCTACTCTCAATCTTTCACAGCGAAATGGTGACGCAGTCCTCATTCTCCGAACTGCGACCGGAGATGGGCTACGACGGCAAACGACGCGACTCTTCGCGTCGTGCAAGTGGTGCACCTCAGCTGCCCGATATATTTGACACGCTGCGGCTGAGAGGAGGCAAAAGATCACGCGTCTACAACAATGACCAGGACGAGGACGAGGATGAAGAAGAAGAAGACGAGGAAGAAGACGAGGAGGAGAGTAATGATACTCCGCCGCGACAGGCCGCAGCCGTGTCCCCACTGCATAACGGCGTGTCGAGTTCTGGCTTCCAGCCTGGCGCCATTGTCCGCGTCAAGGTTCAAAACTTTGTGACATTCGAAGAGGTCGAGTTCTTCCTCGGCCCTAACTTGAACATGGTTATCGGACCCAACGGCTCTGGCAAGAGCTCCCTCGTCTGCGCCATCTGTCTAGGCTTGGGATATCCGTCGAGTGTCCTGGGCCGAGCAAGCGGCTTCGGTGAGTTTGTCAAACATGGAACGGATGAGGCTCATATCGAGGTCGAGCTGCAGGGGAAACCTAATGCCGCACAGAACCACGTTGTCAGTCTATGTATCAAACGAGAGGATAACAGCCGGAAGTTTACCATAGACGGAGAGAGAGTCTCGCACAAGGACATCCAGCAGTTGATGAAGTCGTTGCGGATCCAGATCGACAATCTCTGCCAGTTCCTGCCCCAAGACAAGGTCGCCGAGTTTGCCGGTCTCAGCCCCGTCGATCTGTTGGAAAAGACGCTACACGCGGCTGCTCCTCCGCAGATGATCAAATGGCAGGCTGAACTAAAGGAGCACTTCAAGAGCCAGAGAGACGCCGAGCGTAGTGCGCAGGAGAGCAGCGTGCAGCTTCGCAAGATGGAGGCTCGTCGGCAGGTCTTGCAGGCCGACGTTGAGAAGATTCGAGAGAGAAAAGAGATCCAGAACACGCTTGCCAGACTTGAGAAGCTGCGCGTTGTGGTGAAATACAACGAGGCCCGGCATCAATATAGCGAATTCAAGAAGCGGAGAAAGGCGGCAGAACAAAAATTGAAGCGCCTTCAAAAAGGCTCTGCCCCGTCACTTCAGGCTGTCAACAAGAAGCAGGACTACCAAGCACGGATCCAGTCGGCGGTTGACGGCAGAAAGAACGCACTGAAGGCCGCCGAGGCTGCTGCTGACGATGCCGTTGGGCAGGTCGTTGCCCTCGAGGGCAAATGTCAGGAGCTAGTCGAAAGGTCCAAAGCGGAGATGGACGGCTTCAGAGCCAAAAAACAAGAAATCGGAAAATTTAAGAAAAGGATCACGGATCTGGAAGCCACTCACAAGCAGGCGCCGCCTCAATGTGACGCTGCGGATTGGAACAGAAGAATAGTACGTGTTTAGACTCCTGCGCTGCATTTCCACGATATGCTAACATCTCGAAGCGTGAGCAAGAACACATAGTGCGGGACAAGAAGGCAGCCAGCCAAGCGGCCGAGGAGGAATCAGAAAAGATCAAGTCTTTGGCAAAAGAGAAACAACGTGAGAAGATCGCGTTGAGCCACGAGCTCAAAGGTTTTGAATCGCAACAGGGTCAGCTCTTGAATCAGCTAAAGAGATTCAACCAAGACGTCTTCAAGGGCTGGGAGTGGCTGAAAGAAAACCATGGCGAGTTCGAAAAGGAAGTCTTTGGGCCACCGATGCTTACCTGCTCAGTCAAGGACCCGCGCTACTCGGATCTCGTGCAATCACTGTTGCAGGACAACGACTTCCTATGTTTCACGGCCCAAACAAAAGACGACCACAAGAATCTCAGCAACCAGTTCTATGAAAAAATGGGGCTTTCTGTCACTATCCGAACCGGGTTCAAACCCCTCAACACTTTCACTCCTCCGATGCCAAAGCAAGAGCTTGTTAAGTTCGGGCTCGACGGGTACGTGTCAGACTATCTCGAGGGGCCAGAGCCTGTCTTGGCTATGCTATGCTCGGAAAGGCGCCTGCACGCATCGGCCATCTCACTTGCCGATATTTCCGATGAACAGTTTGATCGGATACAGCGCGACGAGAAAATCGGCCAGTTCGCTGCTGGAAAACAACTCTACCGCATAGCACGGCGGAGAGAGTACGGCCCTGGCGCCGTCTCCACGCGTGTCATCACATTTCAGAAAGGGCGGTTCTGGACGGATCAGCCAGTAGACTTGGCCGAGAAAACGGAGCTCAGGCGTAAGCTCGATACATTGAGAGACGAGATCTCCGAATTGTCTGCGCAGAACCAAAAATACGTGACGCAAATAGAGGGCTTTGACGCCCAACAGAAAGAGATAAACCAGACGATAGTATGTTGCTGGTGGCGCCCCCATCTTTCTAGTCAAGCTTAGCTAACGTGGCAATAGTCGGAGTTGCGAACTCAGAAAGCGGAGCTTCAGCGTGCGGACCAGGTGTGGCAGGCTCTACCCAACAAAATAGGTACGCACATCTTCCTTCCATGGTTGCTCCTTCTTTCTTGGCTGACATGATTTTAGAAAGAGAGAAGAGGGCTCTGGGTCAGACGCAAAAGGAGCTTGAAGCTGCCAGGAATCGAATTCGTGCGGACGAGCGCCGCCAGAATGAGGCCATTCTGGACAAAGCTAGAGCAATTTTGGAGCACCAACGGAAGATAGCAGACATTCGCAACGCCTACCAGGCCTTGCTTGAGGCTCAGGTGCTGCTAATTGAGGCTAAATCGGAAGTCACGGTTCTCAAAGATAAAAACTCTGAGATTACGCAGATGCTTCAAGAGGAGAAGAACAACCTCGAGAACCTCGCGGAAGAAGTGGCGGAGCGGTATCGCATCGCAACAGAAGCGAGAGAGGAAGTAGCCGAATTCATTGAAGAAGGCAATGACAAGGAAGAGCTGCTCGCACTTGCCAGAGACAAGACACTCGAAGAGCTCATACACGAGACCAACACAGAGCAGGCCAAGCTCGAAGTTATCCAGGCCAGCAACCCACGTGCGTTAGAAGAGTATGAGAACTGGTCGACCAAGATTGAGCACGAGCGGGTCAACCACACCACCCAGGCAGTCAAATTGACGGACCTCAACAACAAGATCGACACGATTAGGAGTCAGTGGGAACCGAAGCTAGACGAGCTCGTGAGCCAAATCAACGACGCCTTCAGCTACAACTTCGAGCAAATCAGCTGTGCCGGCGAGGTGGGCGTTCACAAGGACGATGACTTTGAGAAGTGGGCGATTGAAATCAGGGTTAGGTTCCGGTAAGTCTATCTCTCCCCCTTCTCACTTCTTGCAAGCCGTGTCGCTGATTTCGGGTCGTCTTTCGACTTTAGTGACAATGAGACGCTTCAGCGGCTAGACCAGCACCGGCAGTCGGGCGGCGAGCGTGCCGTGTCGACCATCTTCTACCTCATGTCGCTGCAGTCGATGGCGCAGGCGCCGTTCCGCGTCGTCGACGAGATCAACCAGGGTATGGACCCGCGCAACGAGCGTATGGTGCACGAGCGCATGGTTGAGATTGCCTGCCGCGAGCATACGAGCCAGTATTTTCTCATCACGCCCAAGCTGCTCACGGGGCTGCGCTACGACGAGCGCATGCGCATTCACACTATTGTCAACGGCGAGCACGTCGACAAGGACGGCGTGGAGAAGATGAACTTTGCAAAGATTGCGCAGATGCAGCGGAAGCTCATGGGCCGTTAGCCTGGCTCGTCCGGGGAGAGTAGGGGCGTCTGGCTACGGTGTCATATACCTACGGCTTCTTGTTTTTACCTTTTTATGTCTTGGACTAAAGGTTTCGGTAGGCGATGATATGAAGCGACGGGGGTCATAAGTGTGACTGTGTGTTTGAGTATAGCCTATCCTAGGCTTGTTATTTTCCGAGCCGCTATATCGGAATCGGCCGGCGTATGCAAGACTGTGTGTACTTGGGGATAGCTTGATATTTCGGCTGATTCCGTCGAGAAGCGTTCTCGGAGACCTCTTTGAAGTTGCCGGGTGTCACTTACCTAAGTTTGCTTTGTAGGGTGTTGTATTTCCGATAAGACGTGCATGCTATGTCCGTCATTGCGTGTCATTGATGGTGAAGATCTTTCCCATGAGATCAGCCTTCCTAATTGCGATTACTCCGTAGCCTACTCCGTACCGTAGGTAGGTAGTTAATTACATGACACCTTTTGATTCGATAGCGTGTCCTAGACTCTAGTCATCGAAACATTGGGCTAACTTTGCTGGTTTCCTACCCTGTCGTCTTGGATGTAACCATATATACCGGATCGTGGGACCGTATATACGGGAGCAGTTGGTAATAACGCTGCGCCATCCTGTCAGACCGCACGGGAAAGAAGGTTGGCTGTCAACCTTGGGATGGGAAGCCATAGCCGCTGTAGAGTCGACGAGCCTGTCACAGTCTTTGCGCTGAGAGCGGGACATAACAACGGGAGGCTTTAGTCTAGGTGCCCTACTCTCGAATGCAAGCATGCACGCTGTAAGCCGCAAGCAGCCCCGCTCTGAGAACGAGCCTTGGAATTGGTAACGACGTCATCGCCCCGCATTGAGCTTTTATTTGCAGGTAGCGCAAGCCAACCACGCAGCAAAGCAAGCAAACGCATCAAACAGCCCACGAACGCAAAAGAGAAACATACAGGGCGGCCGAGAGATTGGCGTCGGCTCGTCAGCTCATCAGCCACATGCCTCGTGCACAAAGCCGAGAGAGACATGGAGAGCGTAACAGCCACCTTTGGGTCGCGGTCACCAGCCAGCCAGCCATCCCGCCACAAAATAGGCCCGGCTGATACCCGCCCCTTCGGACTGAACAGTCCGTGAGGTAGTAGCGTGTTGTGGATGGCCTCCATCCGCGATTCCTGATGTCACTTCGCTCTTTCCCCTCATTTTTCACCTAATTACTGCAGGCGGTATGGCTACGCAGTGTAGTCCAATTTCACTTACAAGGCAGGTCTTGCCATGCCGTCGAAAAAAGAGGTCCTGACAAGCAGTCAAAGGCCCCTCCTATGACGAGAGGAACTGTTCTCTAACGGTGTGGCGTGTCTCGTATCCTGGCATTAAAGGCGGTGGAGCGGTTTGCCAGGCTGTTTGACTGGCCCGCAGTTTTTATCGGAGGAGTCTCACTTCGGATGATCGACCCTAGCCTAGCAGCCTGCAGTCTGCACTAGCGGTTGCCAACGACCACAGCACTAGCAGCCCACCCGCCCGAAGGTGCAGTGACGTCACAGATATCGGTTTCTCGAACACGCCCAGTGACTACTCTAGGCAAAAATAACAGGGCGGGCTCATTAAAAGCAAATCGAAAGGGATATATATAGGAGCTCTTGCCTTCCCCAGTAACACATCCACTTCTTTCCTTCCCTAGAACAATCATTCTACGACAACCAAACAAAAAAACCAGCTTCTTCATCCACAAGAACAAGCAAAGCATCATCTCTGCCACCATCAAAACAAACACCACACCACCAAACAAAAACCAACCACATCAGTCACAATGGGTGCCGTCGTCTCTTGCGTACGTTACCGCTATTTTCCTCATCACTCAATAGACAACCATGACTAACCCTCGAACACAGATCGGCTCGCTGTTCCGCACCGTCGGGCGCGTAATCATGGCCATCATCAACGGCATCGGCTCCATCATCATGGCGATCGTCAACGGCGTCGTGACGTTCCTCGACATCATCGTCGGCTTCCTCACGTGCCAGGGCTGCGGCGGCCGCCGCGGCGGCAGGCGCAGGATGGGACGCACGCATCACCACACGAGTACTATCTGATCGGGTCTGAACGGATCTGATTTAGTCGATCGTCGTCGTCGTCGATACCCCACGTCCTTTTTTTCTTTGGCACACGCCAATAACACCAACACTCCCGCATGCGCGACGACTTTTTCCTTCTCTCAACAAAACAATACACTTTTCTTGTCGTCTCAGATTTTTCTACGTCACAGTCCTTTTTTATACCAACAAATCGCGAAAACCATGACCGGATAAGGCAGAAAGGCAAACAAGGGCTCGGGGTTATTGTGCGTTTTTCCTTTTGTCAGCCAGGGAGAGGGATGGGAAAGAAATGCGCGGGAGTAGGAGAAGCAGCAGCAGCCATTTTTTTTTCGAGATACCCCCCAGCTTCGTTCGGTACGGAAGAGGAAAGGGTAGTTTTAGAGACAAAGGCATTGGACAAATCCATTCTCGCGATAAAACCACTTGTACTGTACGATACGATACAAATACAACCATCAACCGTTGTATTCTACACACAGCTGTCCCACTTACAAACATTTCGGTAATTAGTCTATGCCTCTAAACCACATGGCATGGCTGAAAACTTGGTCTCTAACCCAAGATGTGGATTATAATGCAGCAGCAAGATATACATGTTACTCGTCTTCAAGTAGATCCTTGGTGAAGAAGCCGTGGATCTTCCTTGCCGCTTCCTTGCCAACAAACGGCTCGAGCTCTTCGGGCGCCATGTTAGCCACCTCCTTGATGTTCTCTGTCTCGAGCGTCAGGTTGGTAATGTTTTTGAGCGTGATGCCGGGCACGGCAGCCATCATCTCCTGCGGCTCCGTGTTGAAGGTCTGCTCCTCGGCCATGGCGTCCTTGTCGAGGCCGGCGCGGACGGCGGCGACGGGGTCGGGCTCGTCGGCCTGCGTCTTGAGGCGCTCGAAGATCTCGGCCGTCTCGTAGGGCGACGACGACCAGATGATGCGCAGCTTGGGGAATGCCAGGGTCAGCAGCACGATCTTGCTCTGCAGGTCGTTGGCGCCGGCGTTGGCAGCGCTGACGCTAGCAAGGCTGCCCGACAGGTCGGCGAACGGCTCGAGCGTGAAGCTCTTGTTCTGGTCGAACTCGATCAGCAGCATCGGGTTCTTGTAGTACAGGAACATGGTCTCAGCCTGGCTGTACAGCCGCCCGTCCTTGAACGAGCTGATCAGGTCGCTGATGCTCTTGCGCTCGACGCAGATGTCCGGGGTCAGGATGTAGTCGCCAACGGTCAGCATGCACGGCACGATGATCATAGAGCGGCCGTGCAGGAGAGACGGGAGCGAGGAGCGGAATTCTCGGACGTCGACGACGACGCGGGGCGGCTGAGCCGTCGCAGCCAGCCGCCCGCCGCCGGCGATGCGTGTGTTGACGGTGCGGAGAAAGGCTTCCTGCGGGTCTTGGATGCCGTGCGCATCCACCGTCATGACGATAGACATGCTGGCCCGCTCCTTGATGAGCCGCGTAAAGGCGTCCTTCTCCCGCCGAACCCCAGAAAGGTAGCGCTGCTCCTCGACCGAGCCCCCATAGTACAGGAAGTAGACCTTGACGCTCCTGTCATTGTGCGACGAGCGATAGACTTCTACCCGCCTGATGAACGAGGCGTCTGGCTCGTACATGATGATGTACTTTGGCTTCACCTCCTCGAGGACGTGCTCGTCTTGGTCGCCGTCGTAGGCGTGGATGACAACGAGATCCTGCATCTCGTACATCTGGTAGTAGTCATCCATATCCTCGAGGGGGTCTGATATTACGTCTGCATTCTGCTTGGCCTCTTCCTCGGTGATTTGGATTTCGGCCATCAAATCGGCCACTTCGCCGGGCTTCTCAAAGTACTGCCGTATGCTTCCGTTATCGAGGCGACCAGAACCTGCTCCTGACCCAGCATTTCCGCCGCCGCGGACTCGTCGTCTCTTGTTTGCTGGAGCTCTGCTCTTCGCCTGGGCGAGCCGAGGATCAACTGCGCCGCTGAGTGCCTTTTGGTTTTCCTCGAATAGGGTGGCGCTGACATGGGCGAACTCGCGCTTCCACTTGAGGTAGTTGCGGAGTTTTCTCCTCATCATAAAGGCTGCCGAGGGCTCGTCCTCTTCTGGGTCGTGGAATTCTTCTACCCGTTTCTCCGTCTTGGGCCTGACGTGCATAGTCTGGAGGTAGTCACGGAGTTGCCGACATGTGTTGGTGCCCGAACAAATGATCAATATTGTCCCGTTAGAGTCGTCGCGGGCCACGGGCTCGAAATGCAGATCCCGGTCGATCTCTTCCAGGACGTCGGCAACAATAGCCCATTTCGGCTGCTCCTCCAGCACAGGCCGCAGCGAGTCGATGTTAGAGTTGGCATCTACCTTTTGCTTGCCGGAATAGACTCGCCTCTTGGCCGTGTCGAATATGGTCTGAGCCGCGTCTAGAAACAGCCAGGGCGACTGGGTCTGCCTCGTGGAGCCGGGAGGGGGCGAGTGCGCTGCGTGGATGGTGTCGAGCTGCTGCAGGAAGGAAACGGCATCGAGAGACACGATGGACTGCAGCATGGTCCTGAGGACGGTCAGGTCGTTCACGATCTGCTTGGTCTTCCAGCTCACTCTGTGCCAGTTGGGGTCGAGCTGCCTCCGGACCAGCACGTCAAAGTTCTTGAGGAGAGCGCTGTCGAGGTTCCAGTCGTCCATCTCGAGGCCGGTGTTGCCCTTTTTGAGCTCGTGGATGCTGACTTCGACGCACTCCATGATGGCGGTCTGGATCTCCTTCATGGCGTTGGTCATGGGGACCTCGAGCTCGATGACCTCGGCATTCTTCTTGCCCTCGAGCGACTGGGCGACGTGCATGTGGAAGCGGGGCCAGAGCGAGGCCTTGCGGAGGAACATGTTGCGCATCATGGTGGCGAGAGGCGCGAAGCCAGTGGTGAAGGGGTCCGGGTTGTCCGAGAAGGCCTTGAGGAAGCCGACCTTGTTCTTCTGACGGTAGATTCTGAGGATGAAGGCCTCGAGCGAGGTGGCGACGATGCGGTCGGCGTGCAGCACGAGCAGGCCGGTGATGGACTCGACATTCAGGAGGTTGGTCAGGAGGTCGACGACGAGGATGCGCGAGGTGATGCTGAAGATGCCGCCAGCGGCGTACATCTTCTCGCGCTGGCCGACGGTGGTGAAGTCGGTGTTGACGACGGTCAGGCCGCGGGCCTTGGGCGACATGCTGATGGCGGCATGCTCGGCGAGGGCCTCGCCTATCCACGCGTTCTCGCGGTCCTCGGCACTGACGACAACGATCAGGTTGTTGCCGGCCGCGTCGTACGAGTGCAGGAGGTTGGTGACGAGGCGCATTAGGCCCAGCCCGCGCGCCAGCAACACGAGCTCGTCCTCTTTGCGCAGCTCTTCAAACAGCTTCTGCTGGTACACCAGAGGCAGCGATAGCTTCACCGGCTGTGACTGCGGCTGCGGCTGCGGGGTGCTGGCTGCGGTCGACATGACGGGCGACGGTTTGGATCTTCCCGTCTTTTCAGATGCGCCGTGTCATACTCGATGGTTTACGCTTGCTACGAAATCCGAACTAGATACACCATTTGCGGGCGTGCGACCCTCACTCGCTGGCTTTGGACGTTGGGCGGCGGCATGCAGCCGTTTTTCTGGCATGTTCCTGTGTATGACTGCTAGGTACCTTAGGTAAGTAGGTATGTGCTTTGTACGGAGTGCCTGCACAACTCCCTGACAGTTATTGCGGACAAGGAATGGTGGATCGATCTAATACGGCTGAGTATGCGGGCAGCCCGCCTCGGCGTGGTCAGTGGGTCAACTCGCCCGCAGTGTCACTCCATGCGTAACTACTTTAGTCTCTTCGACCGCCACAGAGGGCCGCGTAAACCCGTGACCACGACGTCATCCTCACTTACACACCCACCGGCGCATGTGTTGCGAGTCGGGCTGCGTACCCAGGTTTGCCTTTAAAAAGAACAAAGACTGCTCGTGCTCGATCCCGATACTATTTTCGCTCTTCTCCTTCACTTTCTTGTTGATACCGAAAGTTTGCCAAACTACTCTCGAGATTCCTCAAACCTGAAACTCGTCGACCAACCTACTATCAACGATTGCCCTTACGGATACACACGCCTGCCCTACAGCATCATCACGCCATGGACACCACCCAGGAGAAGAAGCCCACCTCGGCGGTAAGTTCCGTCAACAATGATGTCTCCCATCAAATTAATTACCGTTTCCTAACTCTTATATCCAGGTCGACGGCGGTCGCATGAAGGAGATGGCCGACGATGTCAAGCAGAAGTTCCAGGCCTTCACGGCGAACCCCGGCCCTGCCATCAAGCAGGACCTGAACGTCCCAGAGGAGGGCACCAAGGAGGAGCGTCGCGCCAAGGCCGCTGAGCTTAACAGCAAATAAATACCTGGGAGATTAGGAGGAGAGAACGGCTACCTATTCTAGACCTTGTATTACTTTCTTGCCATTGTATCGTCTCCTATTGCATGGATTGAACATGACCTTGATGTCCTGAACTGTTTGCCATTACGGATTTTGTGCCGTCTCGCACCCTCGGGGTGCTGTCTCATTGCGTGTCTCGGCCCCCTAATCACTCGCACCATTAGACCCATTCGCTAAAGCCTAATCCGTGGAGGCGGTCACGGAGCGGGCAGTCAGAGAGGTAACCCGCTGCAGCCGTATATCGGATGCAGGCAGCCGGGATAGTTCAAATCCATACTCGGTAGGCATGGAATGGCCTAGAAACAGAAGCAGACCTCTCAAGGTCATAGCCTGCCTGCCTACCTACCTATCCGTACCTAGGTAAGGTAGGTAACCGTGACAAAGAATAACGTTGACGAGTTGCGCATTCGACGCGTGTCATCGTGCATCATAGTCGATTCATAAATTTCCTATTCCGTATTGTTACTTGTTATCAGCCGCCTGGAGATTCAGGTCAAGATTCCGTAATCCGAAGTCGGTGGTGTTTGGGCCTCCAACTCGTCACAGTGGATGGTTGCTGTGTCGCAGTATCAACAGTTCAGCGCCAGCGTATCCGATAGATTGTATTCCGTATTTCGCTCTTTGTAACCCACCCCACTCTGTGGCTGCTTGCGACTCTTAAGCACCCCGACAACTGCATACACTTTGCGGATAATTACACAGTCTGGATTGATTGATATAAGTGTCTGTAATTGTTTGTTGCCTCCCACTTTCACAACAGAGGTTCATCTACAGATATATGTCTAACAAGCTCATGAACGATGTGCACCGTTCTTCAAATATTACTAATTTGGCTTTCAGAGGCCCGAACGGTGACTTCTAATGTCATTCTATGATCGCCTATAGAGCTCCAATTCCAGAGACATTGTGAGACGCTCACATATACCTCGTAGAGGCCATCTCAGGGTCCAGAAGCTGATCGTGAGGCGAGTCACGAATCACCTACCAAGTATGCACACAAGACGCCCGCATGCACTCTACGGCTTTGTGACTGCCACCCCTGTCCGCTCCAGATGTTTGTTTACCTCTTCACCCCATTCACTCTTCCCGACCCTCCCTCGTCTCCCAGCCTCTATACGCCGTTTCGGACATAAACAAGATGCTTCGACGATGTGATGTTGAAGGCTGCAGAAGTCTTGCCGAACAGAGCAATGGAAGTTGTATGATATGCGCGGCTCACTTGTGCGCTGACCATGTCCGCTCGGAACTGCACACCTGTCCAACCTACGTAAGTCGGCCTCGAGTAAACAAGCATTCGAGGCTTGTCAACGAGACACGGACTAGGCTGACTCGGCTTTCAGCAAGACGATGATCCAACCGCATACTATGCCGCGTATGGCGCAGCTAAGAAGCGGCACCTTGAAGTCTTATTGGCCAAGGTCAACGTTGAGGCTCTCGAGTCTGCAGCCAGCAAAGCTCGACAGGGACTTTCTTGCCAGACTACAGCTCTTTCCAGCCCATCCACCCGAGTCTATTTGACTTCTTCCCCAATGCGGCGGCCAAAACTGCCATGTAGACGTCGAGCTCGTCGATGGCGTGACATGGCTCGCGCGCATCCGCCTCGACGACCTCCTCCTCCCACCAGCCGGCTTCCAGGCGAGCGTGTTCTTGAGCGAGGTAGCAACACTGGAGTTCTTGGCCAACACGCAAGTGCCGGCACCGCACGTGTCTGCCTACGAGCCGGCGTCCCTGGCGAATGCCGTGGGTACGTCGTATGTCCTGATGGAGAAGCTTGCGGGCAAGCCGCCGGACTGGAACCGGGCCACGGCGGAGCAGCGGGCCCGCGTCATGGAGGGGCTGGCCAACGTGTACCTGGAGCTCGAGAAGCACCCCATCCCGCTGTCTGGGTCTCTCGTCCCGGGAATCGATGGCCAGGTCACAGTCGGTGCCTTTGCCCAGGTGCCCTGGTTCGAAACCCCGGAGCAGGCGTTAGCCCCTTCGGCACACTCGAGGCATCGTACATAGCTATAGTCCGCCACCACCTGCGGATGCTGGCCAGCCTTGAGTTGGGCAACAACTTGCTGGTGGACAACTATCTCACCTTTCTCTGGCGTTTGAGCGCTCTGCCGCAGCTAGTCGCCGACTCGACTTCACGGGCGGGGCCCTTCTACCTCAAGCACTGCGACGACAAAGGCGACCATATCCTCGTGCATGATGAGCACAATATCACGGGCATCATTGACTGGGAGTTTTCTTCTGCTGAGGCGAAGGAGCTCGCGTTCAGCTCGCCCCCCATGGTGTGGCCGGTGCGCGATTTCTACGACGGAAGCAACGCCCTGGCCGAGGACGAGGTGCGCTTCACGGACATCTTCGAGCAACGTGGGCGTGGATATCTCGGCAAGATGGTTCGGGGAGGACGTCCGTGGCAGCGATATCTCTTCTTCTTGGGCGGTGGGAACTCCCGGGAAATGATCGACCTGGAACAGCTTTTCCAAGGCTTGCGGAAGAGTATGCCAGCTAGAGAGAATAATGCGGCCGCCATCTCTTCGTATCCAGATTGGAAACAGGTCCCACTGGCCGGATTTGCCAAGCAGGATGCCCAGCTTCTGGCTTTGTTACGGGATGAGCGGGCAAAGGGCGAAGGATCAAGCAAGTGACGGGTTTGGGCGGTTGCACTGTACGGACTTTCATTCAAGCCTTACTTACACACCGTCATTGAGTGTAATTATTCATTACATGCACATTTCGTCAAGGCTGTCAAGAGTCAGTATTACACATAGAACACATACACATGGGTGAGAACCTAACTTAGTTCAGCACACACATATTAGAGAGCTTGCAGGAAATGCCGTAAAAACACACATATTCCTGATAGACATTTGAATATTCTCGTCAAGCTCTCCTATTTTGATTTTGTCTTACACCGAAGAATAGGGCGGGGCTCGAAATATTGCCTCTAATTGGAGAAGTCAATATATGGGGAATGCCGACGTTCTAATTCCCCAGCGGGTTTGAGGCGAGGAAGGCAAACACCGTGTGGTTCCAAGCCGACACCAGTGCAAGCCGCGGAACCTTTTTATTATCCTAACCACCTTTAAAGAAAGTCAGAAGTCAAAAATAGCCTTTTGTCTCCTATTATATCCGCGGCCCCCACAATCCACCAGTAGATCTGTTTGAAATTACTGATACGAAACATTACACATTGGACGATACCAAACTTACCTATTTGTCCAAGCTGAAGCTGAAGCACGGATAACGCCTAAGCCCCCCTGGGCCTGGTAGGTAGCAATCAATTAGCGCCTTGCCTTGACCCACACCACGGTTGACGCATCGAGCTACGAACGATTAACCTGCCGTGCTACTTTGCTTTGCGACACACGGCCGACGCAAAAACCATCGTTTTCTCGGTAGCTCCCAGTCCATGCCCGCCTAGTCACCCCCGAGCCTACAAGGCGCAACATCGAATAATAAACAACGAGCACTAAGCAACACGTAGCGCGCGTGTTGGACGCTCTCCCGATTCCGCCATGCCGTCGATTCTCGAGGAAGATGACAAGGAGACGGTCAAGCGCTTCGTCCCCAAGCAGACTAACAAGATCCAAGCCGTCGCCGTCGCTAGGCTCTACGTAGCCTACCCCAACAGATCCAAATGGACCTACACGGGCTTGCAAGGTGCCGTTGTGCTGGCGAATGACCTCGTTGGTAACACGTACTGGTTGAAGATGGTGGACATCTCGGTAAGCCGTCCTTTCCTCACTGACCCGTCCCGGCGCCGTTAGCTGCGTGCCCGCCTGATCTAACTGCATGTCCAGCCCGGAAACCGAGGAGTGATATGGGACCAGGAAATCTACGATACATGGAACTACAACCAAGATCGCGTCTTCTTCCACACCTTCGAAATGGAGGAGTGTCTGGCGGGGCTGTCGTTCGTTGACGAAAAAGAGGCGAAGCAGTTCCTGAAGAAGATGAACGACAGGGAAAAGAACGCAAGCAAGGCTACACAAAAGACTCCCTTCGGAGGCGTGGCGCCGCAGAGCCAACAAAAGCATCATGGCCTACTGGGAGGCATCTTTGGAGGCCATCGACATTCCTCAGCTCCGACACCCCCTGAATCGCCGCGTGCCCCGGCCCCGGCTCCGGCCCCGAGGAACCATGTTAGAACCGGTAGTACGAATGGGCACAATGGCCATAACGGCTTCAAGGCCCCTTCCGAGTTCGCAACGCTAGAAGCTTTTGACCCCCTATGGAGGGAGCATTTCGGAGACGACCTCAAATCCAAAGGTCTAACGGATGACTTTATCAAGGACAATCAGGACTTTATTATCGAATTTCTCAAGCAGGAGCAAGAGCAAGCTGAGCAGGCTGAGGAGCCAGAGCCCGTTCGTCATGCGGCGCCATCTCCATCTCCTCTACCCCCACCGCCCCCCGTGAATGGCTCAGGTTTTGGGCTGAGAGCGCCGCCTCCTCCCCCTCCTCCTGCACCATCACCCCGCCAAGCCCCCGAGTCGGCTCCAGCGCCTTTGCCGCCACGGAGAGGAGTAGCGCCCCCACCGCCTCCCGCGCCGAGGAGGTCGGCCAAGTCAGAAGTGCCAGTGCCAATGTCAGTGCCAGTGCCCGTACAGCGTGAGCCAACACCGCCGCGCGACTCCCCACCGCCTCCTGCTAGGCCTAGATTTGCTGTTCCCCCGCCCATCTCAGATGCCGGGAGGTTTGCCCACACAGATCCCCGTGGCGCGTTATCTCCCCCGGCCCCCGGGCCGCCACCTCCGCCCCGGCCTCCAAAGACGCCGATCGAGCAGTCGGAGCCGACACAGCCAACACAGAGATTTGGAGTGCCTCCGCCCTTTACTGGCCAACGGAATGTTCCCCCGGCGCCAACTCCGGCGCCACCCAGTCGTGGCCCTGTCCCTCCACCTCCGCCACCCAGGGAGCCTACCCAAGCATACGCATCGGCTTTACCTCCTCCGCTACCTCCCAAAGCTCCAGTGTCAAGCGCGCCTCCCCTTCCACCCGCGAACTCGCGTCCACCTTCACTCCCAACTAGAGGCGTAGGTCCGCCATTACCACCTTTACCGACCTCGAACGCACCCCCGGCGCCGCCTCTGCCCACCTTCGGCGCACCGCCAGCTCCTCCTCCAGCTCCTCCGCTCCCGTCGTCCAACGCACCACCACCGCCTCCTCTCCCGTCACCGAATGCCCCCCCAGCCCCCCCTCTTCCCCCAATTTCTGGCAGCAGTGGGCCACCTCCACCCCCGCCGCCGCCACCTCCTGGCCCCGGTATCGCCGGTATCCCGCCACCGCCGCCACTGCCTCCGAACCGCGACTCAGGCTACTCTTCTGGCGTACCAATTCCCGTTCCTGCCCTGCCGCCGGCACGTGCTGCTGTCCTCGGCGACATCCAAAAAGCAGGCGGCATTGGTGCCCTCAAGAAAGTCGACCGCAGCCAGATCCGCGACCGAAGTTCCGCAACTGTGGGCGGAGCCGGAGATACGGGACCTCACGGGAGCGGGCTACCGCCTGCGGGCGTCGCTCCAGCTGCTGGGGGAGGAGGAATGGCCGATGCTCTCGCCTTAGCACTACAAAAGCGAAAGGAGAAAGTCAGCCACAGCGGTAAGTCCTTTCTTTTACTTGAAATTTCGCGTATTTCTGTTTTATTATTAACTGATTTGACTGCGATGCTAATTCTAACTTCTTGCAGATAACGAAGACGACGATGACGATTGGGAGTGAGTTCTCGGCTTGTCTATTATTTACAGTCTTTATTCTTGGGTGGGGTCTGATGAGAAGGAGTGTTGCTTTCGGTTGTCTCTTTTTTCTTCCCCCTCTTTTATCGTTCTCTTTGACACTTCTTCCAGTGACTGGACTAGAATTAACTTGGACCGGACTGGCAAGCGTTGTCAATATAGGGTGCCAAGCCGAGCATGACTGGGCGGGGAAACAATTTTGCTTTCTTTCTCGTTCCCGTTTTTCGTTTTTTTCTTCATGGCCCCCGTATTTCTTCTTCTTTTGCCCCCATGGTCCCTGGTCTCTAAAATGAAAAAGCAAGGGGCGGAAGAAGGGAATCGCAAAGTCAAAAGTGTATTAAGAAATAATTGATATTTATTTCTCAACACGCATTTTCCCCCCGCAAGAACGGTAGCGCCAAATAAATGGCATAAGCTCGCCCGAATCAAAGTATCGGAGAATGGCAGGCCGTGTCTTCAATGAACTTTTCCTGTTGTCCAGCCAAGCTTTATTGGTTGTACTTGGCCATGCCTCTTTGTCCCTCCGAAACATGACTTGATGATGTCCAAGTGTAGATAGAGAGTCGTAGATTCCGGACACTTGCTAACCTAGGGGTTATGTAGACGTGAATTGTACACAGGGCGGTGAATAACCGTCATAATCACTTTCAGAGGGGAAAAGTTGACAGGATGCGCTATCAAAAATATAGTGTGCTTTTGCATGATCTGTCTAAGAAAAGTGACCGCGCGAGTCAAAAGAGCAAACATAAAAACATAAACATGTGGAATCGAGAAGCGAATGCCAACTCAAATCCTGGGGAGGTGGACTCGGTCTGACGTCTCTCCCATCATGACCGCATTCCTCCACCCCGAAAAAACCACCTCACCACCGAACACGAAAGCCACCAACTGTCGGGGAACCCGGGACGAGGTGTTGCCCCCCGTCTAGGGTTTTGAGAGAGAAGACAGTTTTGTTCTTCCGCTCCCTCCTACGCAAACGCGCACGCACCGCGGCTAACACGCTTTCTCTGCTTTGGAAAGGATTGTCGGATACGAGATGTCTCACATCCGAAAGAAGTTTCCGTCTCTTCCATATGGAGCAGTCGCTATCCTTAACAAGCAGAGACGAGGGTGATAGTGGAGGTGGTTGAGCAAGAGCAGGAGGGAAGAGAAGGGTGGCCCGCCCGGCAAGTAAGCTACGCCCATCTTCATCAAGAGCAGGCGTTTTAGATGTCGTCAATCTCGATGTCCTTGGCCCCCGAAGCGCCGCCAGGAGTCTCGTCCTCGCTGTCACGGTCCTCGTCGAACTCGAAGCCACAGTCGCCGTCCTCGCCGGGACCGAATGTGTCTGTCTCGTTGATCTTGGCGTTGTCGGGAAGCTCGCCATATGCTTTCCTGTACCGCAATAGTCAGTACGGTACACAAGGGAGAAACAATGCTGCGATAATGCGGCGAGGAGAACGTACAAGGAACGGGCCTCGTCAGCCGAATACTTGAGAATTACATCGCCCTTCTCGTCTTGGTACTCGCGAAGAGAGACGAGGATGATATCTCCTGTGGCACTTGTCAGCCTGTATTCATTTATTTTTGTTGGCGTTTTCCCGGCCGGGAGAGAGAGTGGTGCTCATACCGTTGTTGATCCAGATCTTTTTCCTCAACTTGCCGCGGATCAGACCTAGGCGTTTGACACCATCGAAGCACTAGGTTGCGGAGACCCAGTTAGCATCTCCTGTTGTCCATGGTGACCCCTGGTAGCTATGAGGGGCTGCTTAGCAGGAGCAAAAGGCAGCTATGCTTACCATAGCCTCCAGTCTTCCGTTTCCGAGCATTTTCAGGACCTGCGCGTATTCTTGGCCATCCTCCTTGAAGGTAAGCTCGCGCTTCTCGTTGCTGTAGGTTGCACACGTGTGGTCAGCGTAAGGGATACACAAAGAAAGAAAGAAATAGAGACGAAGATAATGCGCGCCGCGGATCAAGTCCGGTACTGGTTGGTGGTCTTGTTCGGAGACGGCGGGGAAAACCCTACTCGTTCTCGTTCTTTCCCCTACGACGATTCTTGCCGCCTTTTCCCTTGTTCTTGGGCATATTGAAGGTGCGCGCTCAAGGAGCTGCTTTTCAAAAATATGTTGAGTATGGTCGCGGGACGGCCAAAAAAAATCGTTCCGAGTGCGTATTATTGATGCGATACGCAGGCTCTTCGTGGAGCGATTGCGAAGTTGTAGAGGCGAGAAAGGCGGCGACGGCGGAGAGGGGGAGGGGCAAGTGCGGGCGGTTTATTATGACTGTGTGCCGTGGGGTCTGGGTCTTCGGTTTCGCCTTTGGCTCTTGAGAAGGGTTTGTGGGGCGGGACTAATAACGGGCTGACAGGCTTGTTGGTGGGTGGCGTGCCGAATAAATACTGCCATTAAGCCCGACTCATATTTGTACGAGCTTTAGCTTATCTAAGGTCGACATTTTATTCTGCTAACAGTTTAAACCTTCAATAAACCTCACGCCGACACTTGGATCAATTCAGGCACTGGTGCTTTCTGGAAGGGCCCCGTAAGCCTTCCGCGCAGGCTACGGGCAGAGATATTCGGCAAGAAATAGGAATGCCGCGGCTTCGCAGAAGAGACTCAGCAGGTCACCCGGCTGCGGCTGGTCAAGACAACGGCCGCCCATGATGATGCAAAGCACGCTGCGGCGCTTCAGGCCAACACCAAATGGCATTGCATCTTACCCAAGATCTTGCCCAAGACGCTGCGCCGCCTCCCAGCTAGGGAGGGGAAACCAAAAAAGCCAGAAATGGTCCAACAACAACAACAACAAAAACGACAAGCCCGGCAATGACCGGCCCTATCTCGAGAATAACGGGATTCGGTTTGGCGTTATAGCCAATTCTCAGGAACATCGAATTGGATTCAACTGTGCATTGACTATGGTCAAAGGCCAAAGCCCTAAAATTCCAGTTCATGTGGCCATCTCCGAACACCACATCTACTCGTCCTGTCACACCCGGTACGTCGAGGAAGCATCGCCGATGACGGAAATGATCATGACGTACTACCGGGCGAAGAAGGCGCAGCCACTATGGTGTTGGTCCGTAGCAAACTGCACTAATGGCGACGGGAATGTGGCGGTTGTTCGAGCGGCAAGCGCTGAGAAGGCCAGAAGCGCCTTCTTCCGCGCCCTCAAAGCCCATGGCTACAAACCAACTGGTATCTGCAGAGCAGGAGATGTTGGAAACGCTGGTACCGTGCTGCGCGGGACCGTCAGGCTCAGGGTTTTCGACGCCAGGGCATTTATGCAGGTTGATTTCGAGAAGCTGGTTGAGTACTTCGGGAATCTGATCAAGTCAAAGATTATACCCAAACTGCGCACCAACATCGGTTCTCCCGAGGCGCCATTACCACACCTCACCCCACAAAGCTGGGATACTACGTACCGAACTCCGGGACGAGGGAAACTAGAATTCATCTGAGACGGTCGCTTTTCTGTTGCAAAGCAACGTATGATACAAACAGTTCTATGTTGCAGGGGGAGTACGGGAAATAATAGATAGATACCCAATATCATGTAGTATACAGTACAATACAGACCAAGACCTCTACTTACTACCTAGTACATGCCTGTCTTGGAGTTTTTGTGTGATGTTACGGAGCTAGTTTGTAATCGCCGGAGTCCACGGAACATTGGGAATACGTTCACTATGGCACAATAGGAGCTATGATCTAGAACTCTAGTGGCTAGCGGAACGAAAAAGTAGGAATCGGATGATGGTATAGGGGCCGGTTATGAAGCTATGTCAACCTTTTCTAGTGTATCTGTCAGTGAAAAGGTTCTGCTAGGCACTGTTTGTTCTAGTTTTCAATTATCAGCAGAGCGTGGCCATCTGCGCGCCGTCGTACATGCCTGCTCCGTTGCCAATGATGCCCACTGACCTGCCTACTGCCCGACCGCCCGACCACCAAAGCAATCGTACTCACCCGCCCACGTGTGGGATCGCCCTCCCCTGGGACATTTGCATTTTCCGGATTGGCCTCCTTCTATTGCCCTACCGATCTTCCGCCAAGCTCGCCCAGGAAGTGTTAAGTGAATAAAGCCCCTTTCTGCCTCAATATCTTCCAACGAGGGACTCGGCAATCGCGGCTCTCCCTCGACGGCCAAAGGTTTGGGGGAAGCCTTCCACTGCATTGATATTACTGACAAGTTTCTCTGCACCATAGACTTTCACAAATCACATATAAAGGCCGTCCTTGACTCCCGTTCCTGTTCTTTTCAACTCTTTGGCCAATGATGATAATTCTCCTTTGGGATGCTGAGGCTAGGTCGCTTTGTTCGATGTGTTTTTAACCCATTCACAACCTGTTATAAAATACCCGGGAATGCAAAGTTTATATGCGCCAGGAGTTCAAGCCGCACTACCTTTCGCAATCGCAGAACGACGACAATGACGAAAGCAAAGAAGATGCTCACGAGAGAAAGATCTGGAGGACAAGGACTACCAAGACCTATGCGGCGAGGTGGTCATCCACCGAACGACTCCATTACGGAATGCAAAAGGGACCTGAAGATCACGCTCATTAACACTGTAGACTCGATCGACGTCCGGTGGATAGGCAAGAAGGTTGAGGTGTGGGATGATTTTGAGGTCTTCTTCGATGGAGATAGAGGGCGAGAACTTCTCAGATCAATCACAGTCGGGAGAGGCTGGCTGCCACGAACCTGCAAAGTATCTCGAAAGGGATTTGATAAACTATTTAAACCATATCCGGAAGCCAGTCTCGTGTTCCAACTGTGGTCGATATTATACGTATCTACTGATATATTCACTAACGTCGAGGAATAGAGCTACACTCCGTAGCCCAACTTGAGCAGCCCAATCATGCAGATTGCTCTCTACCTCCTCCACAAATCTGACCCGGATGTTTCACGTAAACTTCTGAATTACCTATTGACTTAACAGGCGGAATAACAATTAAAGGTAAGGGCACTACGGCGGGTGTGCCGGCTCTGGCCCCGGCTCCGAGAAGTATGGGTATCGTGTCGCGGGGTACCGGTACCGGGAATGAATGATAAAATATGGGCCCATGCGCCAAACTATGATTGGCGGATGCTGCGGCCAGGCGGCCGACCAGTCAGAAACCGGAAGCGTCGACGGCAACACATGGATTGCGGGTTACATTACACCTAATTCGCCCAAAACACCAATCTCGAGAGTCCAACGCCCGCAGCTTCGACCTCGACGACACCATCCCGGGCTTCGCCAGCACCAGCACCGCCAGAGACCGCCCATAATGCTCGTCTCGCTGACCGTCGGCAAGGTCGACGCGGGCGTCACAGTCCTGCTGACACCCGACAAGCGACTGGTGAGTTTGCCAGTCAAAGTGACAACGAGGCAAAACGACAAAGACCAAAAAATGACAGCTTCGACTTGCCTGTCTATCCCACCGACCTAGCTAACCAACTTGCCCAACCCTGTCGCGGGTGCTAGATCGAGTTCCCATCTATCCTACTCCCACCTGACATCTCGTCCGGGTCCATCGTCGACATCACCGTTGCGCGCAACACGAGCTCAGAGGCCGCTGCCGAGCAGGCCTTCCGCGCCCTGCAAGACCGAATCTTCTCGGCCTTTGGCGCTGCCGAGCCTGTCGCCCCCCAGCTCCGCTGCCGCAACGCGACCCAGACGAGCGTCGTGCTCGAGTGGGATCCCATCCAGCTCGCCACGGCCGACCTCATCAGCCTGGCTCTCTACCGCAATGGCCAAAAGGCTGGCAACATCCCGCGCCCTACCGCCATGCACTCGACCAAGATTAGCGGCCTCGCCGTCGACGCCGAGTACACGTTCCACCTCGTCCTGCGCACCACGGCCGGCACCTACACGAGCGACCGCGTCACCGTTCGCACCCACAAGATGACGGATCTGAGCGGCATTACCATCACCACGGGCATCCTGCCGGCAGCTGTGCGCGAGAACCTAACCCACGCCGTTGAGCGTATCGGCGCCAAGATTGTTGACGGCGTGCGCATCGACACGACCCACTTTGTCACCACCGAGGGCCGCGGTGTCCAATGGGAGAAGGCCAACGAGCTCAACATACCCGTCGTGCGCCCCGAGTGGGTCGACGCCTGCGAGCGCAACGGCCGCATTCTCGGCGTCACCAAGTTCTACCTCGACGCCGTCCGCATCGGGCAGACCCCCGCCGACGACCGCCTTCCGCCCGTCGCTACGCACAAGGACCTACCGCCGGAGCCGCCTTCCGCCAATGGCGCGGGCCCCAGCAGGCCGTCGGCGGGACCATCACCGAGCGCCACGAGCACGGCGACGCCAGCGTCCAGGAAAGAAGAGGCTGCCGAAGAAGAGGCTGCCGAAGAAGACGTTGCCTCGACGTCGGACTCGGAATCTGAGCGAAGTGAAGACGACGAGGCAGAGGAGAGGCAAAAAGTCAGGGCGGGCGGGCAGGATGAGCAGAAGGTCCTAGCAGAAGAGAGAGAGCAGCAGAAGCTCGCGGTGCGGCCAAAACCAACCGTCGAGGAGGGGCCGAGCGAAGATGACGAAGACGGCGACGGCAGCCGCTTGAAAGAGGAGAAAGGCGGGAAGTCGCCAGGTGACGGGTCGTCGTTCCAGGACGTAGCACTTTAATATTGAAGCGAGCGAGTCCTTATTCCGCTTCAACGAGTCGACGCATTGTGTTTTCAAAGGCAAAGATAGGGGATGTCATAACACGCCGAGAGAGCGATGTACGATTATAGACGTTTCTTTAAGCTGGGGTCGACATCTCTTAGCGGGCGCAAAAAAAGAATGGCGGAATACCAATAGTGAAAATTACACGAAAACCTGCTTGCGGGATCTCGATTAGAAGATGACCTTTAATTTACACAGACCGCTTAGTGGAGCAATCTCTTGCCATGTTTCCCTGGGTGAGGCTTCCATGGGCTTGTTTACTTCCCCTCCCCCATTTTTGCCTTGCTCTCTTCCCTTCCAGCCCCAGTCCCAATTCAAGGAGGCACTTCTTCCCCCTTATAGTCCCAGCATTTCCCCCTCTGCTCTGGGCGGATCTGCGTCACGACGCGCGCCATGCGTTCGGCCGCGTCGTCGGGCTCAAACAGGGCGTCGTTGCTCACGCTGCCCCAGAAGTCGCGGCTCAGCTCCGTTTTGACCGTGCCGGGGTGGTAGCTGATGGCCATGGCCTTGTCGCCCGCCCGCGCCCGCAGCTGCACGTCTAGGCTCTTGGTCAGGCTGTTGACGGCCGCCTTGCTGCTGCGGTAGCTGTACCACCCGCCGAGCTGGTTGTCTGCCGTGCTGCCGACGCGCGCGCTCATGTTGACCCTGGAAGAAGTTTGCGAGTAAGCAAGCAGGCAAAAAATAACCCCCGTCTATTACCATACGCACACAGAGAGAGAAAGACAGTTTAACAAAAGGAGAAGTAGTCGCACATACCACACCGACTGCGGCGGTATCGTCAGCGCATCTCCACCACTACTGCCCCCGTAGCCGCCGATGTCGCCCCCGCCGCTGCCGCCGTTGCTCCCCAGGTCCAGGCGCGTGGCCTTTCGCGGCATGAAGCCCTCGAACCACTTCATCAGCAGCAGCGGCCCGAGCGCGTTGACGCGGAACGTGTCCAGCGCGCTGCCGTAGTCGACCTGCGCAGGGCTCTTCTCGGGGTTCAAGAGGATGCCCGGCAGCGCGAACGCTAGGTGCAGGTGGTGGCCTCCTCCCCCTCCTGCACCACTAGCTGTCGACGACGAAGATGAGGCCGGCGGCGGGGGAAACAGAGCGGCGGCCGCCGCCGCCGCGTCAGCCATCGTCTCCTCGCGCGTCACGTCGAGCCGCACGACCTCGAGCCGCCCCGACGGGTCGTCGCCGGCGCTGACGAGCCCATCCAGCAGCCGGTGCCGCGTCGACTCGGGGTCGCCGCGGCACGTCGCCAGTATCGGCACCGTCGTGTTGCGCAGCAGGTGGCGCCCCAGCGCGAGCCCAATGCCCCGCGACGCCGGGCACAGCAGGATCCACGGGCGTGAGGTGGCCATGGGTTTTTCCTCCTTCCCTTTTTGTTACTTTGTTTTGTATTGTTTTTTTGCTAACGGGGTGGGAGGGGATATTGAAACGGCTGTGGATAGGTAGATAGAGGGAGGGAGAGAAGAAGAGCCGATACGTAGTTTACATGCATGCATGCATTGACAAGAGCAGTGGCAGGGAGCGCTTTGTTCTCTCCGTGGTTTTTGCTTCTGTGCAAGTAGAAGGTGCCTACGGAGAGGTAGCTACGTAATCAACGCATAACCACTCTTTGCTTTTCCAATTGAATGGTACCTACTTGGGAACTAATGTCTAGACTCACCTCCCTACCTTGCTACCATGCTACTAGTATTTATTTAGGTGGGTTGGGTTTAATGTTATAAGGGATGAGGATAGGGAAAAGAAAACGGTGGAGGCGGCCGAGATTCTGAGCAACCAGTCGAGTTCTTTTCACTCTCGTCTGATTTAGGAAATAGCCATGGAATGTTCGGAAAGATAATAGTCTTGGGTGTTGTGTGGTGATAAATAATGATGATAGTGGCCGCCGACGCGTAGACCGAAGCTTCGAGTTTGTTACAGCTAGTGTACTTGGGTACGGGAGCTTAGACGACAAGCTGTGGATGGACGACGTCACTTCAGCACCGGATCGATGCGGGGGTTTGTTTCACTATACATGCCTCACACCGCGGTTCTAGTCTAGACCCGGGATTTAATGGGCAAAGTGGTATTAGTTTTCAGATGAGATATGGAGCGGTTGCTAGTGACACCTAGGGATGGCAGTGCAATGCTCGTCTGCTAAATCCCATGTCATTATCTCTAGGCCACCTATCAACCCTGAGTTTGTATCTATCACCTACCTAACTCCAATAAACAGCGTTCGTCTTGTTCAACCCTCATAATATTCGTTTTCGTATAAATCAGTCTTCAGATTTCCTCTCTATCGCCTCATATTTCTTCATCTCAACAGATGGTATCCTCTTCGGCATCTGATAATTGCGATTCCTTGTCCAGGTCGAACTGCGCACCTCCCATCACGTCTCTCATCACGGGCTCGAGAGTCTCGAGACCTGTTAGAGATAAATTCTCATTCCTTGGAACCGTACGACCGCCAACACGATCTTGATATTGCTTCGCATGTGTTTGCAGTGTAGCCGTGCGCGAGGCAAAGTCGACGCTTGTTGCAAAGATCTGTTCTCCGTGGCGCGAGGGAAGCCTGTCGACCGCGACGCCCGTACCGTATCCACTCCCGCCATTGTTGTTTGCCACAAACGAGTCATCTTCTGAATCGAAAGTGAGATCAGAGAGATGGCCTTGGAAAGCGCCAGTGCCGCCGTAAGAATGAGCGCGCAAGTGCTGCTGCTGATTGCTATGTGTGAAAGGACCTCTCCCGAGATGGTTGCTAATAGGCGGGATGGAGTTATGACGCTGGCGGTGCTGTTGTGGATGATGCGTAGCAGAATTGGCATGTAAAAAGTGCCCGCTCTCATATTGGTGCACACTGTTTACACTGCCAAAATGACCCCGTAAATCGCTGGCTGGGGCGGCCTCGTGCGGCACTGGCGACTCGATCTGTGTAAGCGAGGTATTGTGGTATTCTGATGTGGGCGTCTTCAACCTCTGCGATATGCTCTCAAACATTGGCAGGATAGCGTTCAACCAGCGATCGCTGTTGCTTTCGAGACGCTCTAGGCGTTCCAAGAGAACCTCAAGCTCGCGATCGCGAGTCTCGCATAGCTCTTTATATCGACGAACGAGCTCGCGGTGTGATTCAGTGCGAGGTATGTGGTGTTGCGGTAACAGCTCATCGCGAACTGGAGGAGAAGATGTCCCCTGGGCACTGTTTTCGTTGATAGACGCCGTTGCCAGTTCTGAACGCCTTGCCAACAAGATCCGTTCAATCGAGTTATTGTTGGTGAGCGTCACCTTGGGCACACGCTGTCGCAGCCAGTCTTCTGACTTTGGCTGAGACATGAGGTCGGAAGAGTCAGAGAACAAGTATGAGCTGGATAGTCTCGTGGAGAATACCGGGCCACGATTGATGGGTAACTGAGGAGTTGTCTCTTCATCCGGTGTCTGGGACCCTTCTGCTGGTGGCAAAGGCTGGACATCAACCACAGTCATGACGGGCGTGAAGCGTAGTGAAGAGTTGGATTTGGCCGTTGTTGTTGACTCTGTGTCATTTGTAGAAATAGGAAATTGGTGAGCTGGCTGACAGTCTGGAGTGTAAAATCGCGTTGGCCTTTCCTCTGTCTCGGCACTCCCAGGACTCCTCATGCCATCTTCCTGAACCAGCTCCGAAAAGCTTGAGAAGCTCATTTGTGACCGGATTCTCTGCCTATCTGAGTCGCTGCTTATCTGCACATCTTCCAAGATCGTGAGAGCAGATCGCCGTTTCGTCATATCGAACTCAGGGGCGTAGATGGTGGTTTCGATGTCGGTTTCCAAAGATGCGAGATTGGGCGGCGACTCCATGATCACCGGCTGGCGCCAAAAGTTGCGTGCAAATGCTGTATTTGAGAGTTCGGGCTCGCTGTGGCCGGCTCCAACGTTTCCAGGTACAGAGGGCCGCGCACGCACGATATCCGTCTCTGATGACCAGCCCCACTGGTGATGCCGAACCAGGGCCCCGTCTGGGAGCTCGTGATCGTGAATGGTAATGTAGTCAAGACTCGAGTGCCGTGGAAGTATATTGATAGGCGAACGACCTGTCATTGAATATAGGTTGGAGACAAAGTCTTTGTGGGGCGCAGTCAGCCTAGGGGGAGGGACAACTATCGCACTTTGAGCACCGACCGAGGCGTCTGCCGTCCGAGAGTGCAAAGGGTTGAGTTCCCTTGGCATTTCTTCTGTGGATGGAACCGTAAGATCGGTAGCTGGGCTCTCCAGAGACTCGCCTGGGTCGAGTAATAACGAAAACATGTCCTGGCTGATGGGAGGTATCACTGGCGTCCCCGTCCCACTCTGACTCTCAATGGACTCGCGATTCTCGTCAACGGGCTCCAAAACCGACACAACGCTGCGGTCTAGATTCAGTCTAGCAAGCCCCTGTGTTTCGACGGTGGGCGATGATGGACGGGTCCAATTGTATTCGATCGGTCGAAGCACCGGTGACAGGTGTGCATGTTCGATGGGGATGGAAATAGCAATGTGACGATGGCCCCCTATCGTGCGGCCCGCTACCGCCGAGTCCGGCAACCGAATCAGGCCCGGGCTCGCTGCGGCGTTGCACTCGGCTCTTGCCATTCCAAGCTTCTTGCGCAGAGCCCAGAAAAACGGGTGTCTCTTCCTTTTCGGCTCGGGCTTCCGTCCATACGTGTCGGGAATTGACATGAAGTTGTTCAGTGGCGGCGGAGTATTGCGGAGAAAGTCAATGAGCTCCCTTGAGGCATCCCGATCGTTCGCCCTCTTAATCTTCCAACGAAGGAGATCCTCCGTCGTGTCTGGGTGGCGAAAGATATCACTGATGATACTCGAAGCGTTGGACAGCTTGCGGAATGCCTTGGGGCGGCCGTACTGTTGCTGCAAGTGAGTGTCCATGGCTCCAGACTTGATTGTTGTTCTCGTGGACTCTTCAGGACCGAGGCTAGAGTTCTCCCCGTCGATGGTGATAATAGTCTCGCGGCGGATGCGGATTCCGCTGTCTCCAGCATCCCGGGGCTGGGGCATCTTAAATCATGTAACCAGAAGACATGGGCAAGTGAATATCAGAAATGTTGAAGTGAATGTTGGCCGAGTTTGGTAGCTATGATTGATTAGCAGTGAAGATCACGGGTATCACAACGTTGTGGCCGCTTACACCTTTGAGGGCCGCTTATGCCATAAGAGGAAAGCATGCATGCAGAAGTGAATGGAGGCCCGCAGTCTGATTCAAGGGATGAAATACAAATGCAAATAGAAGCCGAGGCTTGCCGTGTATCATCCAGTCATGAAATCCCCAGAAGTTGCAACAACAGTAACACGAGCTAGAGATGCCTGCCCACTTAGCAGGAGGAAAGAGAGAGTCGCGGGTGGCCACAACAAAATATCAAGGACAAATCGACGGCTCTTTAAGACTGCCATCTGCACCTCCCAGGGACTCGCGGGCAGCCCAAGTAAGGTTTAACATGGAATTGATCTAGTCCAAGCTCCGGGCAAGTTTGAGGTTGCTAAGCACCAGGGGAAGGAAAGGTAAGGTAGGGAAAGTGCCCGCTCAAGATTCACCGACTGCACCTATATTCGCAGACTCTCGGGAGGGGAGGGGGGTGCCGTCACCATGGCGTCTTAGCGTGGCGACTTGGAGCATGCGTGCGAGGGTGTTCCTGGGAAGCTGAGGCATCAGCGAGACAGACGCCTTGGAGAGAGGCGTGGTAAGAGGCGCGTGCGTGCTTTGGCGCCGCTTACTCTTTCGTCCAGCGCGGCCAGTCAGAGTCGTCGACTGCATCAGGATCAAGAGGAACAGAGGCCGAGCGGCCGTTGGGAAGGAACGTGCCCCCAGCCAGCTATCTAGGTCTTGTGGGATCGTGGGTGGTGGCAGGGGATAGGGTTTAAACGTTTCCCTGTCCTTGGTTCTTCTTTTTATCTTTTGCAAGGCTGCAGAATAGAGTTGGTAATCTAGGGCGGCCTAGTTGCCTAGCGGTCTAACTGCCGAGCTAGTACTACGTACCGTGTTGGGAATTGCGTGTGCAGCTGCCGCAACTTCCGGATCGTGCCTTCCAAGATGTTTTCTTCAGTAACCTAACCCCATTACGGATAATAGGGGAGAGGAAACAAGGCTGAAAAATAGCCCGCCCGCAAACATATCGCACGATAACCGAGCCTGTTGACTGTTAAATGTCACCTAAAATGTTTCTGGCTTCTGGGGAAGTCGGCACGACCGCGAATTTTCTGTCAAATTATTTCCATTTCTTTGCCCTTTGATACGTGATTGATCCATGGATGTACGGATAGGCTCACAAGAGACGTGAGGTCGGACATAGAAAGGGATCGGCAGCCGACAGAGCGGGCCCCATATTTATTCTCGGCCCTGCTTGGCGATTTCCCGCTCTTTGGTACCGCTGTTGTTAGGCTACCTGGTGAGACTCAAGGACAAGCAGAGCTTCAAGTCCATCACGCGACGAACCTGGATGACAAAGGATTGCCACGGCAAAACATGTGGGCAAAGAGAAAATGCGATTGTGTACATCGCATTCTCGGTTTCACTGTTGAGAGACGTCCTTTCAGAGATAGTATTTCCGATCCTCCTTCATCTGGGTCCGATAGACAATAGAAGGCCGGGTCTGCAAGCGGCGAAACAGCAACGACCCCTTGGTTCCAGGTTGCCTTTCAGGACTGATCGCAGCCCCAATTGCACCAAATGGTGGGTGTGTGTTTGCAAGACCAGCCTACTGTAGCTCCTTTTAATATACCAACAGCCGTGCCACTTAAGGTCGACGCTAATGCATGCCCTAGATTTTGGGCAAGTGCTGCGTCTCGTCTATGGGCACCGGCGTTGCTCCATCGAATATAGGCGCCGCTTTCCCAGTGAGAAGCAAAGTCCGTCCGGTGTGAACGAGGGCTCCGATCGGCCTTGAGGGTGGATCTAGTCGGGCGAGAGTGCTCTCTCGAGCCACTGATAGCCCTCCTTGGTTCCGTAGGTAGGGACCTAGCCTTGAAGGCCCTCTACAACCTTACAGCCTCCTTTCTAGAGGCCAACCCTTCTCGCTACGATCAAACCTAATCCAGGCTTCGTGACTACCGTCCATCAAAGGTCGGCCGCCAAAGCCCGGAGGCGCCACTCAAACCAAATGCCTCTGCCTCCTCAGGCCCAGGCCTTCACCCACCCAAAAGCCATTGCCGGTTCCCTCTAGACCAGAGCTCTTAGATTACAATACAATATTCCACCCCTCCCCGTGTCCTCGGTTGCCATCCGTATAAAGAATCTTGGGGACCCAGTGCTAACATTATCCGCTGACGATGCTTCAGTCCTCTAAATAGAGACGCCATATTATGAAGTGTAAGCTATGACAGGCGAAGAGAGAGAAAAAAAACTCGACACAGTATAGTACAATGAAGTAGACACCCGCAGCTCAACGTTTGGAGTGCGGTTTCCGTTTTATAAACATGCTGTCCGCAGGTTTCTTCTTGGGTGCTGCCCTTGGGCCCTAAGTCGAGATATCGTCAGCGTCGGGAGCTTCAACGAAACTACCGAGACTATATGTTTTCGCTTACCCCTGATGCATTGTCGAGCGGCACGGAATGCGGGTTAGGTGGTCGTGGGGGGAGTCCCAAGTTTTGCAATACCTGAGGGGGAATTCTGTTCTGTGGCGGGATTTGGTACTCCCTCGGACCTTTCGGGGCTCTCGATAGCACTGTGTCTGCATTCTGCTGCATCTAGTTAAGGGTGGAGGGTATTAGAGGGGTTATATCGTACTAGAAGGAAGGTAGCTAGTTGTGCCGGCTTACTTTTTTGGCGTTTGGCTCTTTATCATCACCGTCCTCGAGCGGCCTCTTTTTGCCTGCACCTGGGGCCGTAGTCTGAATCACCGGAAGTCCCCCGCCGCGTGGCGCAACAGGAACGACCTCACCCTTCTCATTAAGACCACCAATGCTGGGTCCGCGGTACGGCATTGTAGGTGGGGCTAGTGGCCTTGGCGCAAGCCCGTACCCTGTCGGCGATGGCTGATACGTCGATGATGTGCGGAATGAATCTGCATCCGGCATTTCCACATCCACATCAACGGCTTGTCGAGGCCGAGTAGGCCTTGGTGTCAGGGCCTGAGAATAGCTGTTGCCGCTTGGAGCAGACGACGTCGGAGCAGAAGGTGGCAGCCTTTTGCCGGGCCGGCTCAGCATTGCCATGATATTGCCGGTTGTGTAACGGTCCCGCTTTTTGGCGTCCTCGATCAACTTGGCCCAATATTCACCTTGAACTAGAGCCCGAGAGTCGCCCAAAATCCACAGAGACGATTTCGCACGGGTTAGACCGACATTCATACGCCGGATGTCGGTCATGAAACCGATACCGCCCGTCGGACTGGCTCGAACACAAGAGAAAATGATGATCTCGCATTCGCGACCTTGGAACGCATCGGTGGTGTTGAACTCGATCTCCTCCGTGATGCCTTGGCCATATTTGTCGGTGAACCGTTGTCGAAGTCTAAAGAGTTGAGCCTTGTATGGGGTGATGATGCCAATTTTGCCCTTTAGGTCGATACCGTTATAGTCTGTACGGAAACGATCGTAAAGCTGCATCGCGACCCTGAGCTCCTCGTCGTTGACCAGAGACTGGTTCCTAGGACCGCGCTCCTGCGAGCCTCGTACGTCAAAGAACCGGTAGGGCCCAAGAAGTTCGCTCTGATGCCATTTCTGAAGACGCATCTTGGCCATGTCGGCGCCATCCTGGAGCAAGCCTTCGTAGAATTCCTTACTAGGGAACCGACTAATCTCCGGATGCATTCGGTATTGCTGGTCAAGAAGATGCACGTCCTTGCTGTGGTTCATCTGCATCCGAACGAACAAACTCTGATCGTACCCGTACCTAGCAGCCGATTGCGAAAGGACTGTAGGGGGGAGCTGTTTTGGATCTCCGACAAGGATACACTTTGAGCAACCGTATTTCAGAGGGATGAGCGCGCTCAACTCCACGCACTGGGCAGCCTCGTCGATAATGACCGTCTCAAACTCGACGTTCAAGTCCTTGAACATTTCGTGGCCGCTTGCACTCAGTGTTGCGCACAAGACATGGGCTTGGTCGAGAATTTCTTGCTGCACCTGTAACCGCTTGATCTTATTTTCTCTGGCAGCAGTGTTTCCGCTACTCTTGTCAGCCTCGATCTGACCTCCAACATGAGCTCGTAGGCGCTTCAGTTCGTCTAGTTCGCGTTGCAACTTGTTGGTCAGTGCTCGATCCTCGATGGCCCGAGCCGCCTCGAGCCGAGGATGTAGCTCCGACAATTTGATCTTGAGTTCTCCAGCCTGTTGGTGCAGTTTTTCGCGGTCGCTGACGTTGTTGACGTTCGAGGTCTCGCCCATCTTCGCCTTGACTAGCTCGTCAAGAGTTACGTCTTTGACGGCGGCGTTAATCGCTTCACTGCGGCCCAGTCGCACCACGTTGATCTGGTGGCTTGCGCCGCTCATCGTCTTGATGCCCGACTTCAGCCGCAATACCAGTTCATCAACAGCAGCGTTGCTAGGTGCACAGACAAGCAGTTTCTTCATGGTACCCTGGCCGTTAGAGGGAGCAGCGCCAGGTCGAGTAATGGCAACAGCGGCAGTGGGCGGTTTGATGACTCCAGTCATGAGACATCCGACCATGGCGACAATCGTCTTGGTCTTGCCAGTTCCAGGTGGGCCTTGCACCAAAGTAAATCCATCGTTTTCTTTGGCGTTCAGGATAGCCTTTGCCTGACCAGGGTTGAGAGTATAGTTCTTCATCACCCCTTGCACGGCCTCGTCACCGAAGTTTAGCATCGGAGAAGGCTCAGCCTTCAAGACTTCATCCATGAGGTCGTAGTACTGCAAGCTCTCCAATGCTGCATACTCCCGTTCGATGGTTGTCATGTTGGTGATCTTGATGACATGGAATTCTGATCCAGGAAGCAGCACCGACAATACGCTTCCCCTTGCGCTGAGGCGGTAAATCACTTCGACTGTGTCCTTCTTGTAATTAGTCCTCCAGATCCGGGCAAGGCAGTGAAGTTCGTTAGGCTGGTTCAATGGATCCGCCCCTTTCGATATGAGGAGTATGTCTCCCTCTGACAGTCCCCGGTCTCTGCTTGTTTGCAGGGGGACAGACGCTGTAACTTCCATGAACTTATCAACCGTCATGCGGTTGAGAACTTTGATCCCAAATGGCTTCGACGTTGCCTCATCTTTTGCTGTTACAAATGAGCGCCAAGCCTCGTTGATGAGGAGAGGGAAGAACGTCTGCTTGTAGCTGGTGGGATTCAAGTAGGTGCTGGAGACCTCCACACAGCTGAATCCGTTGGGGGGGTCGTTACCCTCGTGGAATATATCCCACTCTAGGATGGCTTGGTGTAAAACGTCCATGGGGGGGATAAGCCGAGCCCGCATATCCTTAGCTGATCTTTGAAGTTTGGTCTTCTTTACCGGCCCGCGCTTCTCGGCCAGAAGCAAGTGGCGGCGACGCTCAGCATCTGTCTTCTGCCCAGCCTTCGCTTTTCGATTGAGCAGCTCGTCTTCGTCCGAGTCGTCTTCATCCTCTGAAGAAGACCCAACCATGATCTCATCCTTGACCACTGGCGCATGGTCTTTTCCACGAACGCCTGCGATGCCTTGCAACCCAGAGCCCTCTCCGGCGACAGTTTTTGGTGGTGCTCGTAAAGCTTTGGCTTTGGCAATGGCCTCAGCGTCTCTCTTCGCCTTCTCTTGCTTTTCTTTGAGCCGGGCCTCTTTGATGGAAGCTGAGCTTATCATGGGTTTAGGATCCGGCTTCAAAGACGGCTGCTTAGACTTCAAACTTTCCACAAGAAACTTGTGTTTCTCAAAGTTGGGAGTAATCTCGGAGACGTGATCCTTGATTGATCCCACAGATGTCGAGCCTGCCTTGGAGAAATCAAGCTTGCTCTGTTTCAGGGCCCGCTCCTTCTCCCTTGACTCCTTTTCTCCTGACCGAGTGCCGATAAATTGTTCCTCGATCTCAGCATCTTCTCCAAGGGCTTTGAGCAACTCAATACGTTGCTCGTCAGTCATATTGGTTTTCTGACTATACTCGAGTCTACCGTCGCCAAGTTTCTTCTTTTTCAGCATGTTGTTGAGAGAGGCGAGAGTTTTTGGAGGCAACACCATGCCGTTCTCTCTCAGCCTCCTGACAAGCTTTTTGATAACCTCGATGATACCCTGAATTAGATATTTGTCTCGAAGTTGGAGCATGTCTACCAGGCTGTATGAGTAGGCTCTTGGGGACTCTAGGACAGTCTTCATGGCTTCTGAAGAGTTCCCGCTGTTGGATTGCGCATCGCCGATGTTGCTGTGTTGGTCAAGGGCCGAGGCCATAAGGCCATCTTGGGCGAGAAATTTATTGGCGAGCTCCATGACATCTCGACAAAAGTCTTCCATGACCTTCTTGTCAACTTTGAGGTGCCAATGCCTCATCATTCTAAAGGAATGGCCAATGATTCGCCATTGGCTATCCCACCAGTTCTGGACGATAGTGTGCTCGGCGGGGGTCAAAGTCTTGGATCGCAACTGGCCTATGGACGGGTCACTTAGACCGTTCAAGACGTACTCGCTGCATTTCAGGATGGGAAGCATGTGGGTCCATGGAAAGCTCGCGTCCCGTTCGCTGGTGATGTTGTTTACTGCTCCGGTGAAGGCATCCAGGAATTGGCTGAAATAGTCCTCGAGCATTTTCTCCACCGCGTCGGACGGGAGGGTCTCACCGGTAATAGACTTGACCAACTCAAAGCCAGCCTCGCGAATTGCTTCCTCACCGTGAATCAACGACGCCACGATGGGGTGGATAGTTTGACTTTGTGGTTCGGCGCAGAACATATCCAAGTCGGAAGGATTGAAGTCCGACAGGCGCCCAAGCATTTTCCCGATGGCCGTTGACTGCTGCTGGTATCTGGCGTTGAACTGCTGTAGCTCCTTCTTAAGTTGCTCTTTCCGCCGTGGTATGAATTTCTCGATACTTCGGAGAGGCATTGTGGCCAGGAGCATGGCTTTAGCAAGCTCTACACGCCCAGACCAGAGCATTTCAAGGAAGGATTCCCAAAGTGCGCCAGAATCTCTGTTTACGGCGTTTTGCACGGGCACGTCTTCAATCAGAGCGTTCCACTCCGTACGCGTTGTTTTGGCGTCTAGAGCAAGCGCAGAGTGTGTGATAGACATGGCGGCTTTGGAGAGGCCAACGTTGTACCGATCTCCAGGTTTTAGCTGCGCAGCTGATATAATCACCTCGCGATACTGGACAACGCGGTTGAGCAGCTGATTGACCATTATCAGCGCGGTGCCTGTATCGATTGGCACATCCTGTTGAAGATATCCGTCCAAAGACTCTCCGAGAGCGACTAGGCCAGCTAGGGTGCAAGTTGCTCGGGCCTCTTGGGTGGAAGATTGATCCAACCGAAAGGTATCAAATAAATGACGAAGGAGAGATTCGCACACGTCTGATCGGCGAGTTAACGGGAGTGAACGTATCAAGGACTTCACCCAAGCACCCAAGGCGGGCACCTGCTTGTTGCCTTCCGTGACCATCAAGTCGGATAGAAGAGACTTGTTAAGAAACGATCGAAATGCTGGGCTCTTGAAGACCTCTTCCACAAGTTGGCTGGGTGTGGCTTGGTCGTAGGCAGCCCAAAAGGCCTTTGGTGATTTGTCCATGAGCCCCCGCAACCCGCCCAGCACCGCGACTAAAGCTTCGTCGGAGGTAGTCAATAGATGTTCTAGGGCAAGGAAGTAGACGCTCGGCGACACCTCCATTCCACGAAGGGATTCAAGGATACGCTGTTCGTTCAGACTGCGTAAGATGATCAAGAAACTACGCCAAAACCGGCATATTTTCTTCGGAGCTAGCGTGAACCTGCCCATGGAGTTGTTTCTAGCCATGGAGGTGTTAACAATGGCCGTAGAAAGCTGGTCCTGGACAGCCCAGTCCCATTCCTCTGCCGTGAGCGAGTCTTTTGGTTTCCTATCCCAAGCAGCCTCAGCAAACAGCCTTCTATAATGGCCTTCCTCAAAGAGGAAGAAAGTCATTGTTGGAATGATACCGGGCCGCATTCTCAAAGGTTTTCTCTGTTGTGTATTCTCGAAGACGTAGTCAAAATCGGTACGGTTTTCGGGGAGTGAGAGATATCTCATTGAGCAAAGCGCCTCAAAGAGTGCCAGGACTGCAGACATGTCGTATTCAACCAGTTTGGCAGATGCCATGGGCCCATGCTCCTCGAGGAGTTGCCTTGCTTTCCTCAGCCCTCGGTCGATCCGCTGCTTGTCGAACTCCACTAGCTTTTCGTCCATGTACCTAACATTCTCGCTGGGGAAATCTCTGAGATGAAGTGTTAGCAGGCGCATTTCAAATTCGTCGAAAGGTACACACCCTTCCATGGCTTTCATGAAACGCTCACGAGACTTGTGCCATTTTCGCACACAAGCATCGCAGGTCGTCAGACACTTCTCGACGGCCTCTACCCATTCGCCAAGCCATACGCCAGCATCTTCAGGGCTGATGCCCATCAGACAGCTGAGATGGTAGGCGATAACATGTCTTGACTCGGCATCCTTAATGCGTTCATGTTTCTGCTTGGCAGTGGTTCCGTTTTCGTCAGGCAAGTCTAGCTCGTCGTAGTTGGTGTCGTCGTCTTCGTGGATTTTGGGGCAAAATAGGTGGGCGTTTGGTGGAAAATTCGCGAACTTATTGTGCATATCAATAATCGCCTGGTTGAGGGTGTCCGAGTGCATCATCTTGACGGCGGCCGACCGGGGCGACGGATCTTAACTGGGCACAGGCTGAAGCCGAGAGACTGAAATTGGTAGCGACTCAGCGGCAACGGCGTGCATCCTTCAGCGGCATGTAGGCAGAGCTCTTTGTAACCGACCACATCGAGGGGTGCCTCGCAAGTGCGGAAGGAGGTTGAAAAGCTTAGCAGACAGGGTGGGGGGGGAGGGGGGTGACTTGGAGGGCAAAACGCTGCGGCAAAAGTGCTGGGGCAAATAGGATTGCTCCAGCCTCAAGGGGAGGTGCTGCCCGGTACGGTTTCTGCGTTGTATGTGGAAAATATCTGATTTGCAGCGCTAAGCTTGGTGGGATGTTGAGACTTGAAGGTGGAAGTTACCGTCGGTCGAAGTACGTCCGGCTCCCAGGCAGGTTGCTAGCAAAAGTGGATCGCGGTGCAAATGCAAGTTCCCGCTGAAAGGCGCGTCGTGGGGGCGTACCCCTGCCCGTTCGGCGCTGTTGAACATTATTAAATTGGGTAGGGAAGAAAGTGGAGTGAAGGACGGGCACCTGCTTCTGAGGCTTGGGCTGAAAAATGAGTGTCCAGTGAAAGCGGGCTGAGTTGGAATCAGCGCTCCAGCTGCTAGCCAGCTGTCACGCGGCTGTGGTCACGATGTCTACCAGACTCCGATGTCTACTAAAACTTGTCTTTGGAGTATCAGTGCTTTTCTCGATTATTATGTCAAGTATATATGAGGAGAACCAAAGAAGTGGAGAGTAGTAAGGTAATCTTGCAAGGCCAGTTTGGGATCAAAGCAGCGGCTATGCCTGCAGGGCTGCGATGGTTGGTCTCCTCCTGCTCCATCGTCTTGGTCCACTGCCCCTTTCCCTTCCCGTCAAAGACAACGCCGAGCTTCCTTCTGGTCCTCAGACGACGCCCATATCAGGTTCCTCCGCGTGCTCCCTAGCTACAGGGTCATCCTTATCCCGATCTAGAAGATGTTCAAGTGGGCTTTCTGGCGCCTCGGCCCTGAACTGATGTCAGCTCTCTACCCCATTACCATGCCAATAGGAAATGAAAGGGCTTATGGTGGTTGTAGCGAAAGTAGTCTAAAGTCGCAGGCCAAGGTGGCGACGAAGCATCGAAGCATGGAGCTCAGGCTAAGGTGGAAAACATACCAGTCTTTGCTGCCGGGCCTCGTTGCCTTTCTGCACTTGAAACATTGCTGGCCATGACGAATGAATAGCTGGTGTAGGCCATACTTCAAATGATTTAGGACCATGAACTCTCCATGACGAAAACATGTATCGGGATCTGCCCTTTTATCTACCCACCCTAGCCAGCGACAAAATTAGTGGACATGTGTGTCGACGGTAAAGCAGGGCATCCGCAAACAGAACAAGGTAATGCAAGCAGCTGTCTTGATGCCAATAGCTACCACGGCACAACTAGATGTTTCCGAAGCGGAGGTCGAGCCTTGCTGCCAAACCTCGCCGTCTCCCGAGGAACCCACACGGCAGCTTCTGTCTCTCGACTACATGCATTCCATGAGTAAAGGTGAAGCCATGGCCAAGCTTGTTCAATACCCTGGTATTATGGCCGTGTTGTCCATTCTTTCCAAGCTCTCCTCGTAGACCATATCTAGGATCTTCTTGATGTGGATACTTTTCCTAGAGCTAATGCCGCCCATCCTGATGACCTGCACAAGCTCATTGTGCGGCGAGAGCCGTACCTTCTCCCAGTTGATACTTCCGGCTCCAGTTCCCTCGGCACAGATGCCATAGTGTGCCGCCAGGTTCTTAATTGCTGCATTTGCGAGCGCCATCAGAGTGTTGCCGCTGATGAGTGTCCTCAGAAGGGCGTCTAGGTCACACGGCACCTCGCCGCACCCTGCGATTTCAAGAGATGCCTGTGGCATCTTTTCAGGTCGCTGCACCGCTCCGTGGAGACTTGTTAGAATAGCATAGACCTCTTCACAAGCCTCTCGGCTTGGGACTTGTCTGTATGGATAAAGTGAAAACCTTGGCGTTATTCCGTAAGGGTTGTCTCGGCCCCTCTTCAGCTTTATTTTGAAGTCTGGATCCAGAATCTGGGTTGCATCGGCAGCTTGCTGAAGTCTTGAAAGCTACGGTATTCTTGACCACAGCGTTGTGTATGATCAAGAGCTTCCTGGCGTGTGGCGCGACAACCCCTATTTGTTGGTGAGTTGTTTGGTTTGGTTTCCTAAGCGTTAGTTCTGTTTCCGTATTCACAGAAGATGCTGCAGATGAGCGAGCGATGCGGTAGCGCTTCTTTAGGTTCCCATCTTCTAGATCTGTTAGATCGTCTTGCGTTTTAATCGTATTCTGTTCTTTTGTCGAGAAGTCTCGATGGGCTTTGGTCACCCAGAACGAGAGGCGTGTTTGTCGCGTGTTAGTACCGGTTGAAGCGGTCGAAATAGGGGTACCCTAGTCAAACGACACAGGAGCAACGGCCAAAATACTGCGGGCATGTGAAGTGGTTTGTGTAGCTACTGCGTTGACCACAGTTCCCATGCCACGAGGCATTCCAATCCCCTTTGAGGGGCAGTGCATCTTTCTTTCGTTTGGGTGTAGCTCATCCTAGGTTCTCGGTGGTCCCGTCGGCTGTCTCGTTCAATGTCACAAGTGTCTGGAGACTTTTCTTAGCTGCCGCCCGGGTTCTCATCGTTTGATGATTACTGGGTACCTGCTGACCCTGAAGGCATTTTCGATATCTCAAGGCTTCTGTGACAACTCTAAGGTTTAAGTAAGAATGTGAGCATGCAGATCGCTTCTAGAGGCAGGTTTCAGACGGCGTGCCCGTGATTGCCTGCCATAGAACCTAAGCTAAAACCATCCCAGTCCGTTCAGGTCAGGAGACTCCGACCTTAAGATCATCCGAATTGAACAGTTAGTACCTGGTAGTTGCTAGGCTGTTGATAACGGTGTTATGTAACGTGTTTACTGCCGGAGGCGAGATATTCTATCCGGAATCAAGACTAACAGCTTCGAGAAGGGCGGTTTCGTGGGAGGGGAATGAGCCTAAAAAACACCCCATTGGCGCCTTTCATTTGATGTTCGGTCGGTTCCTTTCATCAAGCTGAAAGGGTAGAAACGTGATACCTTAGTAGTATCACGCGAGCAGTCTAACGGGCCGTGGGCTGTACATTTGTCAGGGGTTGCGTTATGTCCCAGAGGCTCAATCACATCAGGGATAGAATCCTGGACCATATTGAAGCTATCAATCAATGTGACATCTATTATATAACATCTATTCTCGACCAAATTTTTTTAAAAAAAAATAAACCCAAAAGCGGCCATTACTAGATTGAGCCCAGTTGGGCGAGAGTCGAGACTGAAAGCTGTAAAACAGAGGAATTAGCAAGGTCCATCAACACATGCTAAAAATTAGGATATTTTGTTTGGCAATGATCAGAATATTTTTCTCCGCAGCAAATACTAGGCAGTCAAGGTTTTGTCAAATAACAAAGTCATCATTTCGATGCCAGGGGAGGGGGAAAGGTGAAGAAGAGAAATGCAGCCTACCAAGAGAGAGCTAACTCCAACCACGGCAAGAGACTGTGGCGCCAGACGACCGTGGTTGGAGCAAGCATGCAGCCCAGCGTATTTGCGGGGGGGAAATTACTGGCGCGACAGCCAGAGAGGAATTGAAAGAAGAAAAGAAGAGGAAAGAGAGATGGAGAGCTTTTGTGCTTGAAATTTTCCGGTGGGTCCCATACTTCAGACCCTTGCAAATAAGCACGTGACTACCAACGACAACCTCACGTATCAGCCTTGGCTTGAACTGCTTGTCAATTTTGACTGGGACTTTCTATGTATCGATGCAAGAAATATTTGCTCTGCGATGACTGAAAGAGGCGGGAAAAACTTGAAGATGCATGGTTCTGCGATTGGTAAGGTAGCGGCACAAAAGCAGCTTTGCCCAACAGGTGCCCGTATAGAAGGCACGACTAGGTAACTTCGGGTTTTCCAACAAGCGCTATTTCCTTTTATTCTACCAGTCCCAAGTTCTTTATTTAACGGCAGCACTTTGGATTTCTTGGGAGTTTCATCTCTAGTACCATAAATTCGGCCACGGGTTGAGGTCATCTGCTACCCTGCTCGCCGCCGTTATCTGAACCAAATTGCCACTCACTGTAAGCTTACTAGGCGGGGTCTCCTGCATTAGTTCTATAAGATTTATCTGAGGTAATTATGAGACGAAATTGCATACGAGGTGGAAGACACTTTCTTTCTCCTTCAGGCACTGCTCGGCGCCATCATTTCCCTGTCACCGAGAGATCCAGTCCTCGTTGCCGTGGCAACTGTCGATGCCCCTTTCACATCGCCATCAGTTCGACACTCTATCTACCTAAAATATCATGGCGCCAAGGCTCTTCTGGGCACAAGCTGGATCTTCTTCTGGACGGCAAGGCCGAAGATCAGGGGGCAGAGTCTTGGGTTTCGCGGAGGGCAAGTTGCACATTGGTAGGCTCACCTAGCATTGATGACGATGGGACACTTCACAGCCTGCTACCTGAGCGCGTCCCGAGGTTCTTCTCGCTGTTTATCTAGCTAATTCTTTTCTTTCGTCTCGTTCGGTTGCCAGGCTGCCTACCTAGGTAAAACTAGATTTTCATTTGGCCTTGAACCACGGGAGCACCCCGGCTCGAGCCCTTGTATGTTTAGAGCTCTTTACGTCAACTTCAGGTAGGCCATCTCTCTTGCAAAGCCTGACTTTGCGCCCGCAACACTGCCTTAGGTTCATCTGAAATGCCCACATCCCAACCGTCTCTCCCCACACTCACACTTTTCTACCTGTCAGGTGTCCTTCCTCTATCCCTACTACGCACACAAGACCGGCTCCGTATGAGCATATACTCTTAATTCTTCCCCAACTTCACTCCCGTTCATCAGCATTCCACTCTTCACATACTATCCTTGGTTTAGGCGGATCCCCGACGACCCCTCTCTGGGTCGTCGACTTTTCATCGCCCAGGTTAGATTCCCTACCGTCTCTCATCCGTCACGCGCACGGAGATTTCTCTCCAAACCCCTCCACCCGCAAGGCTTTCCCGAGCCTCTCGCTAATATTTTTTTTGGCGCTCCTGGTCTTCAGTTTATCTCCGCGGCCTGGAGTTAACGGCTGGTCTTCACTCATTCTCCCCAAGATTGAATACGCCTTCCTATCCGCCAGCCTAAAGTCTGTGGCTGGTCTCCGCTCGTTCCGCGCAAGATTGTGTAGGCCTTTCCGACCGAGGCGGTCATTCTTGGGAATGATCTTTATGAAATAAAATACATCTCGTACTTAGATCTCAAGATACAAGCACCCTCTATTCGATTATATCTTCCTTTACTAATTCATTTTCGATATAGCACCCAAGCCTTGCCGCTAGTTACGAGCCATTATTCTCGCAGCAAAGTTCGACTCAAGAATCCCGCTCACTCTATCAACTTCGCGGGCTATCCTGAACTGACCAACCGGAAAACATCATCTCATTGTCTATCAAGGTATTCCGCCCGAATTAAAACATGGCAAACTCTCAGCGAAACGGCGATGATCATCGCATATACCATCTATTAGATGATTTAGAGGATGAACTCGAAAGGGAACTAATCGATGTTATCGACCTCACCGGGGACGAGTATCCGGTACGGTCCCGTCAACCAAGACTCCCAAGACCTGTCGATCCCGACCTTAGTTTCTTTGTCCGGAACGATGGATTCCGGTTAGAAACCGGTATAGTCGTTGAGTTGTTACACCCTCTTCGTGATATTATTCGATTCTTGAAGATACGGAGGATTGTTCGTAGTAGGATCACGGGTGAAACTCTTCTCCGAGGCTTTCCATACGCCAGAGCGAAGGAGCTTCGCGGGTTCATGTCACGAAAATTGAACGAGGTCTGCATGGTCGTGCATATAAACAACGCCGACCCCCGTCAATTTGAGGAGCAAGCCCTCATCACCATACACCCCGACAAGGTGTTGTGTGAACGAGAGATGCGAACAACCAACTCACCGTTCCCAAACTTCCGGTTCGAGGAACGTGAGTTTCGCGAGAAGGGAAGAAACTGGATTAAAAATGAAGGCCTGCTTGTCTGTCGATATAAATACATCGAGTACTACAACGAGCAGATGGGGAAGTCTGCAGCTGCATCCAAGAAATGCGAGTGGGCATTTATCCATTTCACAGAAGACGAAGCAGACTCAGACTTTCGGTTGTCAGATAGTGTCATCGCAAACAACTGGCGAGGAGATCGGGTCCGGGGCGGTTCTTACCTGCCTGACTGTCAGACTGGAGGCCGACCGATTCTGATCGAGGAACATGGCTCCCATGACGGTGGTGGCCAGGAGTTCCCTATCAGAGCGAGCCTGAACCAGAAATATTCTGCCGGAGATGTTTTCGCAGGTGCCGGCGGTGCTTCTCGTGGAATTGTGGACGCGGGGCTTCGTCTCCTATTTGCCCTTGACCACTGGCGGCCTGCCACTGAATCGCTCTCCTACAACTTTCTGAACACCGATATTCACGAAAAGGACGTCACCGACTTTATCAGTGACACTGCAATCAAGTACCGAGTGGATATCCTCCATTTATCTCCGCCCTGTCAGGTTTGGTCGCCGGCGCATACCGTAGCTGGCCAGAACGACGAAATGAACGAAGCCGTGCTGTTCTCGTGTACGCATCTGATCTCAAAGACCCGCCCACGGGTTTTTACGCTAGAGCAGACATTTGGCATCCTCCATCAGCGCTTCGAGCAGTTTTTCAATACCCTGGTTTGCGGTTTCACCGATCACGGCTACTCTATACGGTGGAAAGTTATGCACTTAGCCTCGTACGGCCTACCCCAGCCGCGGAAGCGGCTGATCATGATCGGCGCCGGCCCTGGAGAGAAGCTACCACCCTTCCCAAAACCCACCCACAGCGTGAGCAATGCCGAGGGACTGAAGCCCCTGGTGACAGTACGTAAAGCTCTGGCCCATGTCGACCGCCAGCAGGGACATCCGCACCACCGCAAGGGGCGGTACCTTGTTGAAAAGACTGCTTGGGACCCTAACCAGTTGTTGAAGTACACAATCACTTGCGGGGGTGGGCTAAACTATCATTGGTCTGGAAAACGTGATTTCACGCTCCTAGAATACGCCAGACTCCAGGGATTCCCCGTGGCTCACGAGTTCAGGGGTTCGTCGGTCAAGAAGCAAATCGGGAACGCATTCCCGCCGTCAGTGGTCAAAGTGTTGTACCAGCACTTGACTGCGTTCTTGGACGAACAGGACCAAGTGACGCGGCCCCAGGCTAGACGGAGAAGGCGTCACTCCCAAGCATTTGCCATCGAAGATGGGGAGGACGAAGCCGAGCAGAGGGCCAGGCACCGCCGGGAGACCATCATCATTGACGAAGACCAGGGCCACGTCGAGCGAAAACCCGATCCAGAGACGATCGTCATTGAAGATGACGAACACAAGACAATTGTCATCGAAGACGACTACCAGGACAACCAATGGTCCGATTCGGAGACGCTCCGAGGCTCAGTCGACTTTTTTGAGGGCTACGACGTCTAGGATGATCTCTTCCCTATTCCTCCATTCCTAAAATTCTCTTTCTGTTTATTTGGAAGTGTACTATTATCTGGTTTGTCTGGTCATCTCTCTCCCTCCTTTTTGTATTGCGAAGCTGAGAGCTCTCGTAAGTTTGTACCAGATCAGAACATTCCGGCAAGGAATCATAATGGGTCTGGGTGTATGAAATTTATTTCGTACGGATTGATTTGGTTTGCGATTTTGATAAGATTGGCGCGGGACATACACATGTTCGTCTCCTTTTAGGCACGGCGCCGGAGTCGGTCACTGTTTTGTTCGGCAGCTGTTTGGTAATCCTAGGTTTCCCACATAAACAGGAAGGTTCGTATCTTCTCGAGACCGTCTATTCGGACTGTAGGCAACGTCTATTCGGACTGTAGGTACAAAGACGCTTGGGCCGCGCCCAGCAAAAACCCACTTTTTGCACCAAGAAAGGCACTAATTCCTGGGACGAAGTCAGCGTAAACAAACTTCAGATCAATCGTACCATAATTGACTACATATGTACCTGGCATCGTCGAGATCACTGCTTTCTTGAGCTTCAAATGCAGCCGCCAAAGCCCTGGTGGTCCGATAGGTCCCTATGGTACTATGCGTAGGCTTTGTAACACCCCCTCTACCCCGGCGGGTAGTGGGCTTAGAGGCCTGAGTGCTAGATCTTCGTGATGCCTGCGGTGTTGATGCCTGTGGTGTTGATGCGCCCCGAATAGTCGGCTAAGGACCCGCTGTAGCTGTTGTTATTATTGTTGTTATTATAGTGGTGCGATTGGCGGTATTGTGGTTGAACTTTTGGTGGATTTGTAACCTCAATTGCAGGCGCGAACCTGATTAGTTGTTTGTTGGCGGGGAAACATGAGTTTCGGCTGGGCTAGTGACTTGGCATAGATTTCAATGTACCTTTAAGCCAACTACAGTCCGAATAGACGTTTTCTGCAGTCCTAAGAGGTTTCTTCTTCTTTCTCTAGGGTGACTTTGGAAGCCACCCAACTAATACAATGAAGATGCCGTCGTGGAACATGGGTCTGTCGTTGACCAGATGATTCCTTACTCGGTTCCTTACTCGGTTTTAAGCGAGTCCATGACAGTCATAGCCGAGTCTAGTGTGATAGACAAGGGGAAAAGGGAGGACAGACATCACCATGTGTCCCAGAAGTTTATCACTGTCATACACAAGACAGAACAAACAAGGCATCCTACGAATATAACACCGCGAGAGCCACAGAATCCAAGTGACTCGCAATGTTCTGATAGCCAAGTTCTCTATTGGGTAAATCCCTTCTTTAAATATTCTAGAAACTTTCCAGTCTGCCCATCCAAATGTCAGCAGGAATAAGCCACCAGACACGGAGTGGCAAATAATTCCCCAACCTAGTGTATGCCCCAGAACCGAGCCAACCCAAGAAGTGGGAATAAAAGGGGGGAAACGCCTCCTACTGCAATAACTCTAAATCCCAGCCCGTGATAGTTGTGGACTGCCTTCGAGGTATCCTAATGATGTTCATTTTCAATTCAAAAGAGCAAATAAAACCAAAAACCAAAACAATTTAGGCAAATTGCCTGAAGAGAATTAAGCAAGTGCGCCGATTCTTTAGTCGGCTTACCAAAACAAGGTATAAAAGAAGAATATAAAAAACAAGCCTGTTAGCCTGTCATGATAGCCATGACAGTTCCCCGGGATTCAATGAGAAAAGCTTCAACCTCAGAGTGATACGTGCCAGAAGTAACCAGGCCCAGTTGCCTACTCCTCTTCGCTCACGGAGCTGTCACTGTCCTGGCCATTGTCATGAGACGCCTTGTGGAACTCTTTTTCGAGCTCGGCAACAACGGCGTCAAAGTCTTCGCCCAAGGCGTCGGCATCTGCGTCGGCATCCATGGCGGAATCGGCCTCAGCATCGTCGTCGCCGTCATTGTCGTCAAACGTGTAGCGGAAGGGCTCGAGGTCTGCAGGCTGGTGAGCAGCTGCCGCAGATGAGTTGCTGGGATTATTAACGGGGCTCGGCAGCTTGAAGGCGGCGTCATCGTCCTCGCCCATCTCCTCGTCGAATTCCGCGTCAGCGTCCTCATCGTCTTCGTCATGCCCTCCCCGCCCAAAATCTGACAACTGCCTTGACGCAGAGGAAAATGGGGGGAAGCCCGGGGAAAAGCTGTTGGTTGGCTGGAAGGTGGTTGCCGGGTTGCCACCAGGGTACTCGATCGTCAGGCCGCCATCGTCGTCGTCGTCGTCGTCTTCAGACTCGACTGGTGACCTCTGCCGTCGCTTGGGTTTCTTCTCGGGCACTGCTAGCGCTGGCGGGGGAGGTGGTGGTTTCGGTTTACTTGTGGGCAGCGCCAATGTTATTGGTTTGCTCTTCTCGGGCTTTGCTTTCTCGGGCTTGGCCTTCTCGGGTTTGGTCTTCTCGGGTTTCGCCTTTTCAGGTTTGGCCTTGGCCTTGGCCGTGTCCTTAACAGACCCCGTGTCCTTGCCTTTAGCAGCTGTTGTCTTCCCGGGCCTAGCCTTCTCTGCTGCTTTCTCTTTTTGCTGCTTGCTACTGCTGGTGGCGGTGGCTGTGCTCGATACTTCCAAATGGGGGAACTGCTTGCGAAGAGACTCGGCGCTGGTGTCGGTGGGCGTTCGCGTGAGGTTCATATGGAAGACGGAGTCGACGCGGTGCAGTATCATAGCCTGGCGGTCTGGGTCAAAGATGAGAACATACTTGTCGTCCTCGGTTGTGCGTGAGCCATTGTACAGGTACTTGTTGCCTTGATCATCGAAGCTGAGGTTGAACTGGCCCTCTTTGGCTGACTTCTTCAGCCGGGACGTGGTAGGGGCCGAATCGGATGAGAGAGCAGGCCTGTGGTTGTCTGGAGGAATGCTTGTTAGTGGCCAAGTAGACTACAACTTGAGACGGGCCGCCTCGTTAGAGAAACGGGGGAATGGCAGGTGCACTTACAGCGGACGCCAGTATAAGTCTCCTTAGACGGTTTGCCTAGTAAGGCGTCGCTGAGAATGATGGGATATTTGCCCGCCTTCGTGGGGTCGATGACGCCAGGGTCAGCCATGAATGATCAAAGGGCGGTTGGTCGGGCAGGTAGCGTTTCGGGCATCGAGGAGCGACGCAGTGCAGGCAGTCGCAGCGCAGTGCAGCAGGCGTTCGCTGCGAATGCAGTGGAGGCAAGGTATCCTGTTGAGTTGCAGTTTCGGGCGAGACGCGAGAATGGTTGGAGGCGGTTTGGAGTCTGGACACAAGGGGCGGGATCCAGATGGGACTGAGAAGACGGCCGCTGCGCTGAGCGATCAGACGTACGTCTTCCGAGGCTGGGTGGTCTCCACTTTGCTGTGCCCCGAAATTCGACGCAGAGGAGCCGATGCGGAGCTGAGTTAAAGGTGCCCAAGCCTGCCAAGGGTTCTAGAATTTGTACAGTACAAGAGATGTACAGAGCGAGCTAGAATTATTAGCGATTTCGTCGCCGCCTGATCGCTTCCCGAAGTTAGCTGAAGATGCTAGCTGTGGATAACCGGGGGTGCTGTATGTACATGTACACTACTTACCCCGGATTTCTTTTCTCGGGAGAACAGGGGGAGCAGAGCGCCCAAAAGAAATATCTCTTCGGTTGGTGGGAACCCAATCATCAAGCCCCACCTGTACCTTTTCTTCACCATCAAGTTCTTTGTGTTCTGCCTTGGGATAGGCGTCGATAGATCTTCGGTTCTTTGTTCATCCTCCATATCTGCAGGCTATTGCGGTAATCAATCAATCAAGCCCTTGGACGATAAAGCCCGGTTCAAGTTAGCGTTAACCCGGTTGGTAAAAGTGCTGGGCACAATTCCCCCACCTCAGGTCCCAAACTTTTGTGTTTGGTGAAACGAGCGGCTTCATCTTGTAGACCATTGCCACAACATCCATTGTGCATAGTTCGCACGGGGGCCGTACAACGCTCGCCTGGTCACCAGCATCTCGCACCTCGCACCTCGCACCTCGCGTCCAAAAGCCGTTTGTCAAAAATGCCGGGCATAGAAAGCGCGTTCTTGGTTATGGCAAAAGTTTCGATGCAAGTTAAGGTACCTCGCATGCCTCAGGTCAATGGGGACCTTTGGAAACGCAGTTCCCACGCGAACCACAAACTCTACAACAGCAGCAAGCCGACGGAGTGCTTTCCAGAAGGGAACCCATGCGCCGTCGATTTGGTTCCAGATATTATATTCCATGGATGCATCTCGTCTACCAGAGTACCCTTTTCTCTCTGCTTCTCATGCTCCACCTCACCTATTCACGGAAATATCTAGTAGTATTTTGTCCTGATATTCAATTACCTCGTATTCTGGCCTTGATCCGTGGTGTCAATCCTAAAACATGGAGCCTGTGATAGGTATCGCAGGGCAATCACGAGCCAGGTTGTTACGAAGTTTTCAAACCGACCACACAAGTCTTTGAGCCATGTACTAATATGTCCAAGGCCAGACGAGTATACAAATGTACCGGCATTTGCTGAGGAATTGGAAACTTGATGGGACGAGCTCTTTGAATTGCCGGGGTAGACTGTGGAAGTGCCAACACGCCGCTAGGGAACAAAGAATCCTCGGGCATTACCGTATGTATGCGTCAACCATCTTGTCTCTCAGACGTCGAGATCCACACAACCGACCCAGTGGCTTCCAGTGTCTAGCGAAACTATCACGTCACAGCCGTGTTGTCTTGTTGTCTCGAGGGCCACTTGTGAATGGAGACTACTACCTAGGTAGGTACACTGCCTTACCTAAGGCGAGGCTATCTCTTTCCATCTCGCCTTCTGGCATCACGGGGAAGCGGCCACATCTATGTCGGACGTGTTTCAAACACTCGCAGCTTGCCCATGGGGAAGGAAAAATACCCACCCTTACCCACCTCCTTACTCGGTCGCATCCGGCACAATGGGACTCGGGGCATCTCCATCTCGTACCTAAGGAAGCTGCCCTGGGGCGCCGGCCCTTCTGTTCCTTCTCTCCGCTTGCGGACACTGGCAAGAGCAAGGCAAGCAGCCTGGCTGACGCCATCAGCCATCAGCCATCCCGTCCTTCCCTCCCGTCACCAACCGAATCCACACTTATGGCAGGAGTCATGACCTGGCCCGTCCTTTTTGTCAGCTGCATGGCTACGGTGCTGAGTCCATCGCTCTTAGCGCATGTTGCTTGTCTTGGCCGGGCGAGTGACCTCAGTTTCTCTCATTCCTCTTATGGCTTGAATGCCATATTATCCTCCCTCTGTCGACGGATTCAGCGGTCCACGCCCTCAAACGTCGTCGGAATAGATGTTCTACAAGAAAATTCACCGCCGGTGGGCGGACGCGAACGCTGCCCTGGCAGCTGCTAGCTTGCTGGCCATCTCGCAGCTCGGCGCAGCTTACATGCTTGATCTGAGCTCAGCCGGTGAGCTTTTATGATAATCCATCCACAGCTCTGCTGGACCTTCTTGACTTAGACAGCCCAATGCCGCAGATTCATTGAAGAGCGTTGCTAGCTCTATGGCGGAGGACATGATGTCATTCTACCATGGTGATCAGCCGGGAGGGACCCCTGGCCTGCTACCCTTACCATACTACTGTGAGCCATGCCCGCATTCCCGGGCCGCTCCGTCACATACTAACCGCACATTCGGGGTCTAGGGTGGGAAGCCGGCGCTCTAATGGGCTCCCTCGTCGATTACTGGTACTACACGGGCGACTCGAGGTGGAACAACATCACGAAAGAGGGCATGCTCTACCAGGTCGGCCCCAACAACGACTACATGCCGCCGAACCAAACAATGACCGAAGGGAATGACGACCAAGGCTTCTGGGGCATGGCGGTTATGTCGGCGGCCGAGTACAACTTCCAGAACCCCCCGAGCGATAAACCACAGTGGCTGGCACTGGCCCAGGCCGTCTTCAATACCCAAGCGGCTCGGTGGGATAGTCAAGATTGCGGGGGCGGCCTTCGCTGGCAGATATTCACCTGGAACAATGGCTACGACTACAAGAATTCCATCTCGCAGGCCTGCTTCTTCAATATTGCCGCACGACTAGCCCGGTACACGGGCAATCAGTCGTACGCTGGATGGGCCGACCGCACATGGGACTGGATGGTGGATGCCAAGCTCCTGGACCCGAAAACATACTACATCTACGATGGCACGCACATTAACAACTGCTCCGCCATTACGCCGTACCAGTGGACTTACAACGCCGGGGCGTTTCTCCTGGGCGCCGCTGCCATGTACAACTACACGTCCGGAACCACCCGGGACATGTGGAAGCAACGCGTCAACGGCCTGCTCGATGGTATCAACGTGTTCTTTGCCGGAAACAAGAGCGATGTCATGACCGAGGTGGCGTGCGAGCCCGTGAACCTGTGCGACCTCGACCAGCAGAGCTTCAAGGCGTATCTGTCACGCTGGATGGCGTCCACGACGAAGTGGGCGCCCTGGACGTACGACCGCATCAAGCCGCTTCTCGCCACGTCCGCCATCGCCGCCGCGTCGACGTGCACGGGAGGCGACAACAAGCGCATGTGCGGACACCAATGGACCGAGCATGGCAAGTGGGACGGCTCGACGGGCGTCGGCCAGCAGATGTCCGCCATGGAGATTGTGCTCGCCAACATGATCCAGCAAGTCACGGCCCCCGTCACTAACAGCACGGGCGGCACGAGCGCCGGCAACCCGGGCGCCGGCGGCTCCGACGTGGGCCGCACCGACCCCTTCGACATCAGCGGCTCGTTCCCCCCCATGACTACTGCCGGCCGTGTCGGGGCTTACATCTGCACTGCCCTCATGGCCATCGGCCTACTATGCGGTTGCGCCTTTGTGCTTGCGGACGAGGCTAAACCCCACCAGACGGTCTCGCAGCGCGTCTCGGGCCTGCGCTCGGTCGCTGCCTTAGGAGGCGTTGGCGGCGGCGGCGGCGGCCGAGGCGGAATTCTGCGCAACGCTCATAATGATGATAAGGGCAAAATAGCGTTGATGCAGCAGTCCGAGAGCGAAAACAGCTTTGCGTACACGGCCTCGGCATTCTTGGAAAAGGACGACGAGGTTATGGTTAATACACACTACCTCGTTCCCAGCGACGAGGCTTACTACCGAACGCCGCGCCCTGCACCGCGCCCGCCGCCACTGCCTCCCCGATACCACATGAGAACCCAATCGCCTGGCTCTGCGTCTCCTGCCTATTGGAGAAATAATACCGGTGGCGGTGGTGGAGGAAGGTTCGCAGGAGCAGGAGGAGTCGGGCACGGCAACCAGCGCCTAGATTTCCGCCGCAACAACTCTTTACAATCGTCGCCACCGCCGCATCAGCAGCCGCAAAGGATATCCTTCCCTAGAGTAGACGGGTCTACGTCGCTCCGTAAGAAGGCGATACATAACCGCGTCGTGCACTTTGGGCGCGACATCAACGGCAACCAGCGCGCATAGGAGACGTACTGGGACAAGGATTGATCTCTTCGCCCCCCCCCCTCTCTCTCTCTCCCTGTTTTGTATGCATCCCGGTTTCCTCTTTTGGCCCTTTGGCCTGCGCACTTTTTGGAGGGGACGCTGGTTGGATGACTTGACGGATATGACGACAACGGCGAGATGGGCTAGAAAAAGACACAAAAGCTGGATTCTGAAGATGAGCCCCCTCTCTTGGTTAAGATATGGGCTTGTGATTCATGATTTCTTGTCGGGGTTACGCATCTTTCACGGTTGGAATGATCGCCGGTGAAGAAATCGTTTGTTGCTTTCTTTTGGCTTCACAACCGTTCTACATTTTCTGGGACTGGCGTTTCTTCTATTTCTTTTTTTCCTGGACACGTCTTTTTATCTTGAACAATCCCAGTTGGTTTTTTCTTCAATATGGAGAGAAGAAGGCGTGCAGGAGAGCATTAGACTACAAGGTCTTGATCAAGTAGTGACTTGTTGGGTGCTTACCTGTTTATTTATTTTTTTGGGATTACATTGCTTTTTATGTCCTTTAATGGGAGGCATGTGGGCTGTCTAGTTGATATGAAAAAGTATCGGCATTATCGGCATTACAGAGAGCACCAGGGGGGGGGGGGGCCATGCTGGGAACTTTGGGTATCGAATACACACCATGCGACGGGACGCTTTCGTCTTCTTTGTTTTCGTGACTTTTTTCTACATTGAGAATGTATGTAGATTAATTATTATGTTTCCAGCCCGTGAGTGTCCGTCCGTGCCCCTTGGCAAAAAACGCGGCTCAAAACGACCTTGCGCTTCAGGTTCCCAATCGACCGGAACGCTTACCGCCCCTCGCACCGCATCCATAAAGCTAACGAGAGAACCCGACCGGCCGGACCCCGTCAGATCCGACACAGCCAGTCATTGCCCCGGCACGTTACTGATGCGTCTGTCTGTCTTCCTTCGTAGATTATTACGTACTCTGCGGTACAAGTTTACGCCGAGCGCGTTCGGTTCGGCTAACACAGCGGCGCCGAGATAAGAGGCCTCGGCTTGGGTGATATCGACCTTGCGTCGGATTTACCTCCAGATGTGCTGCTGATAGAGCTGGCTGACCTGAGATTTGTTATTTTTTTGGGGGGGGTTTGCTCTAATTGCGATTTGCCGTGGATGAAACCGTTGTATGTACGGTGCATGCGCCTACCGAGTTTAACCCCGGACACTTTGTTAGTTTGGATTTCCCCGACGGACATCTTGGTAAGAGATACAGCGAAGCTCTGTTCTTTCATGGGCTACCTGTTCAGAAGAGGGGAGTTTATACGGAAAGTAGATAAAAGGATAGATGGCTACTTTATTTTGTTGATATTCTTACATGGCAACGCCGTCGTGTCAGAGCGGTTTGTGAGCCCCAAGAGAAGTAGTTATTTATATCCCTTCCCACTTCAGACCGTGACTCCTTCCTTCAAAGATGGGTGTTATATCAGCCTGGCTCCTGCTTGAGAGTGATAGGTAATGTGGCGGTTGTACTGACCTGTTCGGGAGGGATGGCGTTTCGAGTGAGTCGGATCAAGGGGATGGCTTGGCTGGGTTTGATATGGGTGAGAATGGCTACATGGCAGGCTATAGGGCGTATCAATGTCGAGTGAACTTCGTTTTGAAGATTAAGAAATGAGGGAAGCAAGAGAATACATAATGACTTGCCTGAGCATACCTACGTAGATGTTGTTCTGACTCTCACAAGCACCATAGACAGTAGCGAGAAGGCGCGGCTGTCTTCGAAGTATTTGTCACGGTGCCATGTTCTTTTTTGTGTCCTGGGGTTGGGGAGAAATTGGTCAGTCCGTTTCATGTTACATGTGAGGCAGGGAATAGGCCTCAAGCTCGACTTGAAATGGCGAGCGAGAACGGCAGACTGTTTGCTGGCACTGCCCGTTGGTGGTTTGGGTTCTCCCGTTGTCTTGGACAGGTGGCACTAATTTATGGACTCGCCGTTTTGAGACTTGATAGACAGACAACATAAGTCAACGGTATCTTGCAATACACCCACGACGCCCCAGACGTGGAGCCGCATTGTACACAGGACAAAAGCGTGCATGTATCAAAACAGCAACCCGGGAGCAGCCGTTGCCGTGCTCGACGGGCTAGCGGTAACGTAACTTGTACTTGAGCATGTCTAAGGTAGGAGAAGGGGCCGTCGGAAAAAAGGAAACAGTAAATATCAGAGGAAGCGGAACTTTATTATCTCAGTTGGGTAGGTATAGACTAAGAAGTCAAGATCGAAATGGAATCCAGTTTGAGTCTCGGAAGGGCTTGTCTGGTGCTGCCATCATGACTGGCAGGATTCCCCCCCAAAGTGTGGTGAGCTGAACCTGATAGGAATTAGACCGAAATCCCCCGCCTGAGGCAGGAGGTAGGCTCCAAGTCCTAGCACTCGACCCATTCGTTTGTTCCGTTTCTGGAATTCTGGCCCGGAGACGGGAGGCTTATCAGCTAGATCTCAGGCCACAACAAAAGTTCAGATGAAATTCATCCTCCCCCCTGCCGACGCGTCTGTCAGTCACACGACCCGACTTCTGTTGCCTATCTATTTCCCCACGGCGGGGCTGGTGTTTGTCTCTTCCTCTCCCGATCTACCTTTCAAAGCACAACTCAGGTCACAGCTCAGCCCCCCGTCTACCGCAAGTCAGATCACACAAGGTACCGCCCGTTGCCTTCGTCCTTTCTGAGGCTATCACCAAATCGTCTGGTCGTCCGCCACTTACCATTTTATCAATACAAGTCAGATACCGCGTCGCCATTCGGCTTTTGCCGCAGTTCCCGCAATCTCACACAAGACTCGCGGCTCCGACGTTGTCAGGCAAACCTATCCGCCACTGGTCGTTGATTGTTACCCGCCTTCGTCAGTATTCTCGGTTTGGAAGTAGGGATTCATATTCGTACCAGCCACCGCCAAAAAATAGACGCCATGTTTATATTTAACAGAGTCAGAATCAGTCCGGAAGCGAGTAGAAAAAGATGGCCGACGGAGACGCGAATGGCTTTACCCCAGGAGGGTATAGTGTAATTATCATTGGAATTGCCATCGTTCTGGCAGTCTTGGGCTTCGCCCTATACTATCGCCGGCGCCAGAATCTTCGCCACCAACTCCAGAACAACGCCGCCCACAGCAACAGGAACTCGGGAATTGAACTCCAGAACCGGCGCACTTCGCATATCTCCCGGGATGAGCTCCCGGATCGTCGTGCTTCCCGTATCGCCAAAATTGAGCTTCAGGACCGCCGTGCCTCAACCATCCACGCTGCCTCCAACGCCCAAGCCCCTGCCCCTGCCCAAGGAGCCGCCGCAGCTACTGTCAACGACGACAGTATGGAGATCACTCCGGCCAAACCCATGCCCTGGCAGTTTATGAACTGGACGGGCTCACGCACTAATTTCGCTGAGAGCTCCAAGCCTTGCCGCGAGGCCGATCGTGCGTTTGAGAGCTGTTTCTGCACAAAATACTCCAACTTCTCAGACTGACCGTGTCCCTGTTCCGTAATAGCTGAGGGCGTCTGGGGCATCCACGACATCCCCGACAAGGCTTGAATATCAAGACAGTGATTCTAGAGTAGGTGATGGTGTGGCAATCACGGCATTACAAAACATGCTGACGAGAAACACTAGGCGAGGGAGAAGCCTGTGCCAAATCTCATCTCTCGAGTTGAGATAGGCCCCGAATTTCAGATAGTCGGCCAATATTCCTCCTGGTCGAGCAAGGGACGGGAATATGAGACAGCTTGATCTCGTTCTTGGGAAGAAATGTAGACATAAAAAAGGAAAAGATGAAAGAAAAAGATAAAAGGAAAGGGAAAAAGGAAAAGGAGGCGAGGAGTAACTCAAACCCTCCTCACGTACCTGCAGCTTACTGCCTACCTATCTACTTCTCACCAAACCCAGCCTTCTCGTGCGGCCGGCCTCTTTCCAACGCAACGACAACCAGTTCGCCATCTGACAGGACACGGCCACGGGAGTGACTGAGTAACACGCTGATTACCATTGACACCAAGAATAAAGTTTGTTTCCCGAACGCGGGGGGAGCAAGCTCCCAGACTAGGTATGCCGGGCCGTGCCGAGCTGCCTGCCTGCCGCCCCAGACTGGTCGAATCTGGCTTCTATGATGATCTGCGTCTCTATCTCACATGTCTCTCACAGTTTCACTCATCAACTACATTACAATTTTTCTCGCGCCGCGCGTGGGGTTCGGTGTGTGTGTGTGTGTGTGTGTGTGTAATTATTGGGGGTCGCAATGCAAGGGGGGGTGCCGTGCCGCTCACCGGTGTGTCGGTCCCTGCATGCAAAAAAACGAACTGCCGACTGACCGGTCTGAGCGGCCCGCTTCCGAGCGAGATGCACGGCAGGACGACCGGTCAGGTAACTTTACTTCACCGGTCGACGGCAGATAGACTGAAATTAAAGTACGTATGGATGGGTAGCGAGACGAAAGAGGTGTTGTTAGTTTGCATTAGGATGTTGGATGTCATGAGGGTGCGTCTCCATCACCAACATCATCAACATAATGGTTGTAAAACAAAAGTCAAGGTTTAAAGCTGACAATGAGGAGCTCCGTCCGGTTCTTGCAGATCTTCAGCACAAGGGAAACGGAGTGGCGCTCGTCGACAGATGCAAGAGACTGACAGCAAATAACCCCCTTCTTCCCAATCATGCCATGTCATTGGACGGACAGCCTCTGGCGTATTCGTATGTATGTATGTACTCCGTAAAGTACATGCTGCTCCTGACCGGTCGTCATGCAAATCGCCAATTGGCAATCAACAAGTCCTCACCGGTCGCCAATTCACTGCTCCATTCCCACGACCGGTCAGGCTCGAGCTGTTGACCGGTCAGGCTCGAGCTGTTGACCGGTCGTCGATTCCACTGCAATCTATCCTGACCGGTCTGGCAGTGGAGAGCGTTGACAGCTTGACAGCCTACACAAATGCATGCGCGACTACACGTCGACGATGCCCGCGCTGCAGGTTGAACTTCACCGGTCGCTTCAAGACATGCAAATGCCTTCACCGGTCGCACCGAGTTCTGCGCCTCTGGGCGAATCACTGGCGACGTTGGCCGCCACAGCCCCACACCGGTCAAGAGTTATTTCGACTTTGCACTTTCACCGGTCGCCTCGAAGAGAGAAGTCACAAAATTGCCGTGGAGCGACTACCGATGAAGGCGCCAGCAGACCGAATGCACAAGCGGCCGGACCTGCTCTGGTGCGTTGCGTTGGCGGATATGCAAATGCACGAGGCCTAAAACAGGCGGAATAGATCATGAAATTAGAGACGAACAGACGCTTGCTCTTGCTCCATACGCTACCCGTTGACAGATATGGAGTTAGTGCAATTGTGCTTTTTGCTGATATTTTCTTGCTGAGAGACATCTCGTCCATCATCATTCGGATTGTCATCCGTCCGACTCGCGTCGTATTCGCTCTCACAAACACCAAGTAATGAGTACATGCAACAGCCCAACCTGTTGCTCAAATATTACCCGTAACAGAAACATAGTCCAGTAACAGCGCTTCCACCTTCCCACAAAGTCAGAGAGGAAGAGGTAAGGGGAAAGCATACAAGAAACTGCTTCGACTGAAGACACGGAAGATACCTCAAGTCGACAGTATCAAGAAAGAAACTCACCGCCCGTCACCCAACCTAAAGGGGTAAAAAGAGGGACATCTTGAAGTGCCCAAACCACAACACATCAAAAGAAGGGGGAAACAGACCGTAATACTGACACATGCCTCGGCAGTGCCATGAGACTGCAACGGGGAGGACGCTGGGAAACTGACACGCCCACACCCACTTACGGCTGGTTCGACTTGGGTAAGTACCGGCTTCGGATGGCCTGGCCTATGGTGCTCATCCTACTACCAATAGTACCGTCCATGCGACTAGCAAGAGCCTCCTCAAGAGCCGACTGTGTCACCGAAGCGTCTGGAGAGAACCCCCACCAGTCAGCAAAGCGTTTCCCTCTGAGAGGGCTGGCTCGTTTGGCACTGCCTTAGGATTATAGAAAAATATACTCACCATCAAGGTCGCTGAAGCTGCTCCCCATGCTCGGAGCCCCGTCGCTGCCCTCGCGCGACATTCCTTTGCCCTTTCCAGTGGGGCTTCGGCCTACGAGCTCAGCTGTCCGGCGTGGGGAAAGTGGCCCCGGAGGCTTGCGGTTATTTGTCGACTGCCGAGGCACCATGGCTGCTGAGCTTGTCGATGAGTCCGAGGTTTGTGAGTGGTGGATCTGGTCCTTGTGATCAGTCTTTGGCAAGCGACGCCCAAAGTCACGGACATCTCCTCGTAGCGTGGCGCCCATATCCTGGCCCCGAATGGACGTGGGGCTTTGCGCCTTGAAGGGCAGGAAGGCAGGTTCGGCCTCGTCGTCACCGTCTAGGTCCCCAGCTGCGTCGACGGCTTGGAAGCGAGGAGGGCGGCGAATGATGCGACTCTGGACTGGGCTGTCAGACGAGGATGACGTTGGTGACGATGTCGACGCGGCGGGGCTAGGAGGCGGGAGCTCGGCGTCTTGGCCGGGTTTGGGTGTGGGGTTTGCATAAGCTGTCGAGATAGGCAGCGACGGGAGTCTGGGCCGATACGAGTCGGCCAGCCTATTATTAGTTGCCTTGTTGGCGATCTGAATCTGCGTCAAGACAGCCGTGTTGGCTGACGAGTTTCGTGAGACAGTGGGCCGCAGGGGCAGGGTGGTCTTGGTTGGTGTGGGAGCCGTGTTTCCGTCACTCTTGGGGGCAGGCGTTTCCTTGCGTATGGAGAGTGCTGACGGCGTGCGTCCACCTCCAGAGCCAGTCCGGCGCATGGCCTCGGCCGTCGCATACCCGACGGGCTCAGCCCCAGGCACAGGGGAAGGGGCAGTCGAGCCTCTAGTTATAGCGGCCTTACGCTGCATCTGGGCTCTGAGCTGCGAGTTGTGGCGCTCGGCAAGATACGAGGCCATCTGTAGCAAGAACTCAACCGTGACGTCGAACTTGACAGCACTAGAGCAGCATAGTAGTGTTAGTATCTTTGGGCGAGGTGAGCATCTGCCAAGACGGAGCCACGCACAGGTCATCCCCTAGAGAATCTCTATGTTAGCAAAGACACGCGTTGGCTCGTAGGGAGAGGTGGTACTCACAGTCGATCTCGGTCTGCGAGGCGCCAGAAATGATGCCCCACAGTGCTTCGGATTTCCTTTCGTCCCAGTCCATCTGGAACGAGGCGGGCGTCAGCTTCGCTCAGCTGCTGAGCCTCGGCGTCTGAGGGGAGGAGCACAGTGCGAAACTTACTGGCGGGGGATCGACGAAGTCGCCGCGATTGAAGGGAAGTCGGATATAGACATGATACTTTGGCTCCTTCTTTTCCTTTGAAGGAAGAGACGGCTCGGGGTTTTTGAGACCCTGTTCGGGCTTCTCTTTGGATGCCATGATGGATGAGCTGCCGGGTTCCCGTGCCGCCGTGATGTGGGTTCGGTAATAAGATGTCGAGGCAAGCCGCTAATATGGAATGGATTCCTGGTCCTGGCTGACATTGAACTTTAGCGGCTTCACGATAAGAGCGATTGCGGGGGAGTGGAGTTATGCCCCTATCGGGACTCAAATCCCCGCTCAGCGCGCAAACCCTGCGGGAACTTACTTAGGTACTTCCAGCAGTGTGAAGAATGGATAGATATATGTAACTAAACCACACAATACCGACACGGTACTAGCGTTTCCCAGCACGTCTAGACATTCATGTCAGCTGAAGCGAACACTGAGCAGAGACCTTTTAGGAACCAGATCATATAGGTTTGCCTCGAATAGTGCAAAAACTGCGCGTGCAGTAACATACAAACCCATGTCATAAGCATTTCGGGCCTACCGGATCTGTCCACAGATGCACTCAAAGTGTATTTCATGTCGGGGCGAGGTCACGATTTGAACCAAATGATAGCCCCGCCTTTTCCCTGCAAAAAAGTAAAAGAAATAAGAAAATCGTTACAGTTTGATGAATCTCTTTTGTTGTTTCGTGTCTCCCCCTCATAGCGGGTCATCTAGGTGCTCACTTTTACGAAGATCATTGCACTTGACTGAGCCATAATGTCATCTGGATATTCAAGTTACTTGTTTGTCCTCTTAGCTAAAGCCATATTTATCTACCTAGGTATTCATCATGCTGCAAGAGTCGTCCCAGATGCCAGAACTCCCCATCCAATCTGTTAGAGCCCCTCATGTCACCCTCGATTTGATGTGAAACTAGAACCGGGGTGGACAGAGCCAAGACGTGGCGCAGTTTGTGACTTGCATTTCGATTTCGGCCTGGCTAGGCGGCGTGTTAGCCGCCCACAAGAGATAAGTAAGTCCATCCCAGTAATTACACCTCCGCCGGGGTTTGAAAGCACAGCGCGGTGACTGTTTGTAAGGGATATTGACAAGGGATACTGACAAGAGATATAAACGAGGCGCTTATTGATTATTTACCTGATTTTAGAAGGGTGAAGCATGGACTTCTCGATTATCGGTAACGTGTACCTAAGGTAAGTACCTGAAGGTACCTACCTAGATGGTAATACTCGAATAGTTACTACTTCTGGGGTGTCTGGCTAACCTCCGGCTGGATTAATGCTTCCGTATGCCGTAGCGCTTACATTGGAACCTGTTCTGCAGGCCGTGGAATCGACTTTTTGTCATGGTAAGTGCATTGAGTGTTCTAGAATTGGAACTCTTCTTTCTAAATTCCGGGAACCTATTAATTGCTCTTTATTTCACGGGACTGAGATCAGTAAGTCTATAATGGAGAAGTCACCGCCTCCTAAATGGCAGTTAATTGACCGGTCTTTTTCTGCACCTGACACTGACTGTTGAGCGCCCGACTTTGCCATCATGGAAGGGTCAGCTTGGTATCCAATTCCAAGAACTCTCACATGAGGTAGGTACAGCCATAATTTTGGCAGCAATTAGAAAGCTTACACGAGCGCTTACCCACATTGGCCATGCGATGACTAGTCCCTCGAATAACTATTAATCTATTACTACCGAGGCACATACATCATGGGGAAATTGAACCACCGCTTCCAGCGGCTAAAACCAATCTCACCCTCGACGAATTTTGGGCAAGATCTCATTACATTTAGAATCAAACAAACCGACAAACACATCCGTTCAGCCCACAGCTCTTACCCGACTAGAGCTAGACTTTGATAGATCATCAACACACTCGTTTTGGGGCTCAACGCACTATCCCTGTTCCCTTGACTCCTTTGTGACTAAATCGGTGCCGTCAGGTGGCTTCATGTCTTGTTTCTCCGGGATATCTTTATATCTGGCGCACTTTTACCTAGGTCGGGTTGCCTCTCGTGGTTATTGGTTGGTATTCGTGAAAAGGAGACTCCCATTCTTTACCAACCTCCTAATTAGCAAGACTCAGTGGGCTGGCATCCAAAGCAAGGGATATGTCACCTATCATCTCTTTAACAGACCGAAGCATGCACCGCGGCAAGTTCTTAACTAGGTGTGTTCATTTTAGTGCGTGCGTGGTGATGGCCCATGGGTACAAGCCATACCTACCTAGGTATCAAAGTATCACTTTTGTGATGAATCTAACTATTGAGGTCACTCCTCGAGCAGACGAAATAATGACTAACATCTTTGTGTGTCGCAATTCCGGCGTCGCTGATGTTACAAATTCGATCTGTATATCCCATTTATCGCGGCAATGATCAAGCTGCAAAACATTATAGCGGGCAGGCTACTTGCATCACGTGATATATCACGTGAGCTGATAAGAGCTGAGGCTGGTTTATGGAGGCGGTGTAAACTGGCACAGGTAAGATTAGTCATCCCCCTAGCGACTCGGAGCCTCAAAGTTTTGGGCCTCGCGTTTAGCGCATCGTAATCCCTTTTGCGCTAGAGTTTGGATCTGGCTGTCACCTAGCAACGCAACAGCAACCTAATCCGGGTTCTTTTTTCTTTACGCGGTAGCAACAATCCAGCCCTAGCCATTGAGCCCGTGTTTGTTGTTGCAGAAGCATCGCCATCAGACATGGCTCCATTAATTCTGCACAACGTGCCAGACGAGGAGCTCTACATTGGCGACGACGGCGTCCAAAGACCCTATGCAATGGTCTTCCCACAGTTCGTTCCCATTTTCCGATGCGCAAGATAGCATGCATGTGTAGATGGCGCTGACTTGCGCGTGATTTCCAGGCAAGACGGCCCGCCCGGGCGCTCGAGAAAGTCGACGGTCGAGACGGGTTCCTTCGGAAAATCCACGCGACGTTCGAGATCGAAAACAGGCACGCCGGCTAGGAGAGAGGACGCAACTATAGCAGCAGCGGACCGCGTCTTTAGCAGTTGGATACAGAACCAAAACCAAAGTCAGAGCCCTGTCCCGGCCAACCCGACCGAGGCTGGCCAGCGGAAATCGTCACAGCCGGGGCTCGGGGCAACGCTGGACGAAGGAACCGCCCTCACGACCCGCTTCGCCACTAAACGAGAGCCTACAGAGGTCATACTTCGCGGCTACCGATCCCCTATTCAGCAGTATGCTGCAATCAATCACTTCGAGCAGCTCGCCGGTACTATCTGTGAGGACTACTCGCGCGAGCCCCCCGTCGAGAGCAGGCGGTACAAGTCAGAGCTGCGCGACCCCGCCTTCACGAGACGGCGCGCCCTGACGCCCGAAGAACGCACCAAAGTCAACAAGGCACACAGCGGGGAGCACTGGGTCAAAGTCACGTTCGAGTCTGCGGAAGCTGCCGAGGCGGCCATGTTCACATCTCCCCAAAGCATCCTCGGTCATCTCGTCTACGCGGAGCCGTACCACGGCATCCCACCCTCGCGCGACGAAGCAGTACCCGATGTACCAGTCATGACTGAAATCCACGACAACCGTGGACGGCTGCGAACGCCTACAGGTCCCCGGCGGCGCGCTGCCGCATCCACCTCCCAAGCAGGTGGAACCTCCGTCTCGGTAGACGCATTTACTAGAGCCATGATGAACTCGGACAGCTTCGATTTCTCACCGCCACACTCATATTCCTCGTCGCGGACCGCCGACACCACGACCGTGACGTCAGCCTCAGGAGGCACCACCAACACCGTGTCCTCGGGCACAGTCACAAACGGGAGGGGTGCAAGCACTGGCCTCGACACCGAGCTCCTCAACCAACACGAACAGCAGCGGCAACAAGAACAGGAACAGCGGAACCCGGAAAATGAGTTCTGCCGGGCCATCCCCACGGTGCGGAAGGTTAAGCTCCTTCCCGTCGAGCAGGCTCTGCTTCCGGCGCCCACGTACACGCAGCGCGCGCTCAACCACGTCCCCTTCTTCCGGTACTTCAGCGGCTCCATGATCGGCAACGAGGTGCCGCGTACCGACGCGGGCGAGTTTGACTGGGACAAGGCGAGCCTGTACTGGAAACTTATCTGGTGGCTGGACTCGGCGTTTGGGCTCTTTGGCGGCGAAATTCTCAACGCCGACAAGGATGACTGAGCTGGATGGTGGTTCGAGGTAGTGGTTGTTGGGAGCTGTACAAAGTAGTCTTCGGATTAGGAGCGCGCATTACGACGTAATGACGGACCATTAATTACAAGAATAATAACACACATGCAATATCTCCCGATGCGAAGACACTGAGCAGGCTGAGCTCTTTATTATGGCATTGCGTGCTCAGGCATCTCTCCGGAAATAGTACGTGTACCCAACCTAGGCATAGATTCGAGGAAAGGAAAATGAAGACAAAAAATTGAGAACGAAAAGGGTGAAATGTCCACAAAGGGATATGGAAATAAACATTAGGAAATATATAATAGATTTGCATGAGCGTGCATGCACAGATGACACTGATTTACTTGTTGTCGACAAGCAACCCGTACGGAGCAGAAGCAGAACAGAAACAAAAAAAGAAGCACAACAAGACAAAGCAAGAAAAAACAAGGGTATTTAAAGTGTAATGCTCATGATACAAGGACAAAATAGCCGTCTTTTCTAATATCTCACTCCCTCTCTCTCTCTTTGCTCGTCATGGCAGCAGTCGTCGGGGCCAAAGCCAGCCAACTGTCCATCGCCATGCCATGCCACGCCACCAACCGGTGAGATGCGGCGTATTATTACATTATATTATATTCATCATCTTGCCAGGCTCCAGCTCCCGTCCTTACGCTGGCGCGGCGTCTCTAGGCTGGCGCCGACTTCCTCCTGGTCCTCCTCCGCGCCTGACAGGCTGCGCAGCCCTTCGTTGAGCCAAGGGCTTGGCTCGCCGACGGTTACGTCGTCGTCATCGTCGGCCTTGTGGTTCTCGCCAACATTGGTTTCGTCATCATCGTCGTCGTCATCGATCGCGGACCCGCCCTCCCCTGGAGTCGGGGGCGGCCTCCCATCGGTTGAGTCGGCCGACGAGTCGCTGTTGTCGAGGCTCCCAATGAGGTTCTCGGGGTTCAGTCTCAGGGGCTGAGGATGGGGTGAGAAGGGCCGCACGCCGCGGGGCCGGTTGAACTCGGAAAACACGCTATCCGAGTCGCGGTCTCTCTCCCGCAGGCCGCCGCCGCCTCCCGTAGGTGTCGGTAGGTTAGAGCCGGGACCGCTGCCGACGGCGCCGACTAGGCTCTGGTAGCGATCCCCGTCCACGAGCAGGCTGTCGGTACGGTTGTGGTTCCCGACCCGCAGTGTTTCGGACCCGGAGTCGGCGAGGATGCTCTTGGGCGGCAAGATGCTAAACAACTTACTTCCGTCACCAGACCCGACACCACCGCTGCCGCCACCGCCGCTGCCGCTGCCATCTCCACCAGACCCGCCGCTACTACCCTTTCCACCACCGACCCTCCCTATACTGGTATGGTGGTCTTCGGCCGCGAAAACATCGACGCCCTTCTCCAGCACGTCCTCGAGCCCGCCGCCAGTCCAGCCCTTGCGCGCCAGGCTCTCGAAGATGTCGACCTCGGCGCGCACCAGGCTGCAGCTGGCGTCGACAATGCACTCGCTCGTCTCCTGGCTCTCGCGCAGCAGGGTGCGGGCGTGTTCGCCGTGCAGCACGGTCAGGCCGTCGAGCTTGGTGGTGAGCTCGACGAGGTGGCTGCGGAACTTTGCCACGTCGCGGCGGCGCTGGCGGTGCAGCTTGAGGCCCTCCTTCTCGAGGCGGCGGATCTCGCGGCTCTGGGCAGCGGCGGCGCGGGCGTAGCCGTCCTCCTCGTCGTCGACGGCGGCGCGCCACTTGTCCAGCTCGTGCAACAGCGGCACCTCGAAGGAGCGGTAGACCGTCTCGGAAAGTATCTGCTGGTGGTTCGCGACCAGGTGCTGCAGCCCGGCCACCGTCAGCAGCGCGTCGGCGGTGCACGTGCCCTTGGTGTTGAAGCTGTTGCTGAGCGACGCACCGGCGGCAGGGCCGAGGGCGTCGGCGCGCGCCTCCTTGAGCCGCGCGCACGACTCGAGCGCGGACCCGAACGCGGACGCGGCCGTCGAGAGCGACGCGAGCGCGAGCCGGTAGGCCTTGGCTGTCGTCAGCACGTCGGCGTAGGCGGTTTGCGAGGACTCGAGGTCGGCCTTGGTGAGCACGGCATGCGCGGGCCGCGGGGGCGGCGGTAGCGGTAGGTTGTATTGCGACATGGGGTTCGCGGTTGAGGCGTAAGAGTATGTTGGGCTAGCCGGCACCGGAGGCAGCTGTGACGGCGTCGGGGACGGCGGCGAGTTGCCTGCCATGGCGAGGGCTGTGGTCGTCGGTTCGACGGCGAGGCGGGGCAGGGACAAAGACGGAGATGTCGAGCCTTGTTAACTCGGTGGCGATGCCGAGTTCCGCAGCAACAGTTGTTGTTCGCGGAGATGACGAGCCGGGGCTTTCTATTTTTGGTGGACTCGCTCGCGGACTCGGTCTCGGCTTGTCCTGTTTTCCGTCGTTACTTGACTTGGGATGGTCGGGTGTCTTAGCGATATGGGATGGCGAGAGGTGTCATGGCTTGGCGGGCCGCACGCATTGGATCAGGGCAGCCTGTGTATTTCCCGTCGCTTGAGAGGGTGAGTGGGTTGCTGAGGCTGCCTGGCTGTCGATGAGTGACAATTTCGAGCCTGTGATGCAAGCCAACGCCAACTGCGGCGGCGGGTCAGATCGCCCATCGGGGTCATTCTCCATGTCATGGGTACTGATAAGATAGCGCGCGTCCCCTGGCACGGGCCCATTATCACAGGCCATTTTTTGACTTGCGTTCCCTAGCGCAATTCCAAACCGGCAAGTTCCGTGGGGTAATCGACATTACGACAACAGCAAGCCATTCCGAACAAAACACTAGGACATCAATAACCCGCACAACCCCCCTTCAAGTGTATTCATCTTCTTGCCAGGGACTGACTTATTACTTTTACTGAAAAAATGACGCTTTCAGGCCGACCCCAGTTCTCTCGTCCTCTTCTTACTAATCTTCCAAAATATGTTCCTCATTCATTACCTTGAATACCTTTGCATACGTAAGGTATTGATTGGTATGTAAAATTGGTAGCTGAAGCAGGGATGGGACCAGGCCTCCTACTTTCGCTATGTGTAGGTGTCCATTCATAGATAGAGACCACTTCATCTGTGAGGTGAACGATCGAGTGGGAATTAGAGGAGTAAAAGCGGAAGAAATAAGAAAAGGAGACGCGCTCTAGACACAGATCACAGCTCCGACTTCTCCTGCTCCCCGCCCAACGCCGGCAACCTCTCTGTCAAGAAAGCTTCCACGTCATCCAACTCCTCTGGACAGGCAGAGTGGCCCATATTACTGGATGCACGGTCAGCTAGATGATGGGGAGGGGGGTCGTGTGGTGAAGATGAGGGAGGTAGGTCAGGTACTCACGGATATAATTTCAGTGAGACGTTGTACCCCTGTGCCTTCAGCATTTTGTACGACAGCTGTCCAAGCTCTGTTTTCACGACAGGGTCCGAATCGCCGTGGAACATGGCAACCGGAGTCTCCTTGTTGAACTCAGGCTGGGGCACCAGCTCGGAAAACTTTGAGCTGAGCAGCAAGTATGACGACAGGGCAGCGATGCCGGCGAGCTTCCACTTGGCCGTCAAGCCACTGAAGATCGAAACGGCGCCGCCCTGGCTGAAGCCGCCGAGGACGATGCGGTCAGCGGGGATGCCCGAATCGATCTCCTGCTGGATCAGGCCGTGGAAGTAGGCCTGGCTCAGCATGATGCCTGCCTCGTCCTCGTTCTGGCGGAGCGCCTCCGAATTGCCGTCGAGGGAGACCTTGGACTAGTCAGTCGACCGTGACCCGTGAATTCGGCGCCGCCCCGAGTCCTCCACGGAGACGCCACTTACAATGTCATACCACCCTGGCATCCGCATTCCCCAGTTACAGGTGATGGGGATGGTGGGCGCATGGGGCAAGATGAACTTGACCTCCTCGAGCCGCTGACGCCTCCGCCAGTTCTCTACGGCGTCACTCCATCCATGGCCTGTGTCGCCTAACCCGTGCACGAATATCACGGTTGCTGTGTGTCGTGCCGTAGCTGGGAATAGCAATGGCGGCAGGCGGCGAATCGACATGTTGAAGGCGACCGGGAGGACGGATGCCTAATGCGGATTAACGAAAAGGTATGTATGCCCGGCTAGCCAGGAAGGTACAGCCAGTCCTCATATAGAACCTTCCGTTACTACTGTTGGTAGCGTTTGCTGTAAGTGGAGATGTTCTGTGTTCTGATAGGAGCTGAGAGCCTGGAAGTTGGAGGTTGCCGCACCTTCCCCGATTTGGGGGCTGGTCGGCGTCCGTGCGGACTAATTGGGGGTGGGGTTTCTGATAACACAGGGCGCATCGCAGCACGCAACCCAAACCCTTCGCCTCCTCCAACCCGTTTCTTTGCGCCTTTTTGCCAAGGCAATTAATGGATTGCACCGCACCGGCGAGTCATTTGCATTTCGTTTCACCTGTGGATCAAGTCGCTAGTTCCCCAACAACGGCTGGCTCGGGACGACGAGCAACGGAGACCGAACGGATGAAGGTGGCCCATTTGAGTCGTGTTTTCTCGATGGCGACAAGCTGTATAAGTAGTCAAAACGGGCCGCCAGTCTCGCTGGTCCATCTCGTTTGAGTAATCACACATTTTCCCGCTTCGCTTGGCTCATCACGCATGTCGAGGCGACTCTATCCGTTGGTGATTTTACCAATTACCGTACTCATTGTAGCCATTCTCTTAGCCCCTCTGATGCGCTGCTTCCCCTTCCTCGCCCACATCAAAGCCCTCCCCTCGCGATTTCTCGGCAACCGCACCCTATCAGCCAATCTCACATCGCCATCAACTACATCATCATCACCCGTGTCCAAGATGTCGAAGGCGCCCGTTTACTTCTTCAGCCACGGAGGGGTGAGCATCTCATTCAAGTCCTGGTTCCGGTCACCGCCGGGAACCTGCCTGGCCCAGTTCGGTTGCGACTAACACGCACCTAGCCAGATGTCCAATATAGGACAGAACACCCAGCCTATGCCGTCCTCCAGGCCATTGGCAAGGAGATAACTCAAAAGGTCAAGCCCACTGCCGCCGTTGTCTTCTCGGCCCACTGGCAGGCAACGCCCAATGAGATCCAGTTGAACAATGCCGAGAACACAGATCTCATCTACGAGTGCGTGCATGTCCCTTTTCACCCCGCGATTCTCTCGCATTGGTCCCAACTGACTTGCCCCCAGCTTCTACAACTTCCCCGCCAAGTTCTACGAGGCCACGTACCCTAGCAAAGGCAGCCCGCAGCTGGCGTCCCGTATCCTGGGCCTGCTGGGAGACGCCGGCATCAAGGCGTCGGGGCTGAAGCGCGGTCTCGACCACGGCGTCTTCTCGGGGTTCAACGTGGCCTTCAACCCCGAGGAGAACCCGCTGAACGTGCCCCTGGTCCAGGTCAGCCTGTACGAGAACGAAGACCCGGACATGCACTACCGCCTGGGCCAGGCCGTGGCGTCTCTCCGCGACGAGAACATCGTCATCATCTGCACGGGCATGTCGGTCCATAACCTCCGCGACTACCGCCTCACGATCGGCAGGTCGACCCCCATGCCGTACGTCAGGTCGTTTGACGATGCGCTGAAGGAGGCGGTCGAGTCCCCACCCGCGGAGAGGCAGGCCCGCATGGCGGCGGTCACCAAGCGGCCCGACGCGAAAGCCGCTCACCCGTGGATGGACCACTTGATGACTGTCTACGTCGCCGCGGGCGCGGCTGGTGAGGACCGGGGCAAGCAGACTTGGACCAAGTATGAGGGCAGTATGGCTTGGGCCCAATACCGCTTCGGGGATGTTCCGTCCTAGGTTACTTTACGTATAGTCAATAATTGAAAGGGTGCTCATTATTATTATTATTATTATAGTCGTCTTTGAGATTATGAAAGTGCTCTTGATTAATCTACACAGTAGATCATAGTCTGCGTCATCAAACCTCAACCCTAACCCAAATCATTGAGGTTGCCCCTTTTCCATTGGCTCCTCTCATTCAGCCACATCCACGACGTTAAGAGAAAATAAATAAAACGAAGCACCACCTTTCACACTTAATTATTGACATGTCAACGTATGAATCTTTATTGCCAAGTTTGCGATCAGTCCTCATCTTTACCCACGTCAAGACGATTCTAGTGCGTGCAGGTAGGTGTATAACTCGACCTCCGTATCGAAGCAAAAGAGAAACTAAAAAAATACAACACTAGGGATTCGCTGGTCGTCACCGGCCTAGCTACTAGTCTGGCCACTAGTTGTTTATCGAGGGGAGAGTGGACGGGATCCTGAGTTTTTAGCTAGGTATATACGGTCGTATGTGATAGGGGGCTCTGCGGTCCGGTATATGTCGCCTATCGGGTCTCGACTCACGTCTCCCAAATTCACACGCTGATGTTTCTGTGGCATTAAAATGAACGTCTTGGAAGTCAACTCTTGTTTGGATGTGCCAATGTACACGCAGAACACACATCGATTAGCGTCATGTATAAACTTCCCAAACAGAATCGAGTGGGGTGAGGTTTCATTTATCTATCTATAAAGTCTAAAGTAAACGAACGAGCGGTCATCCCTTCTTCTTCTTCTTCTTCTTCTTCATAGTAGTCTAACCCTGCCACACGCTCATCGCGAACAGCGAACCAGGAAGGGGGGAGAGAAAGCAGCGCGGTTATGGTGTATCCCTAACAAGTCTCCAAGCACCAAAGGCCGAGAGATCTAAAACAAAAAAAGGACAAAACAAGGAACAACAAAGAGGATATTAGAATAAATCCGCAGCAGCCCGTTAGCCTCATCGAAGCGTGTGCGAAGAGACAGACACCCGGCAAACTCACAGATTAATATTTACCGAGATACAACTCGGCACGATTATGACGTCTCGCAGGCTGGTTAGATGTGATAGAGAATCATAAAACGACGGCAACGTGATCGTCAATAAACTCGGTGATATCTTCGATGAAGACGCTGGCCACGATAGAGATGGCGCCAAAGGCGACGCTGCAGTAGTAGACCCAGGGGTAGACCGTGGCGTAGGCCTCTTGACCTGCGGCGACAATCTGGGCCCAGGCGGCATCGTCGACGCCGGGCAGGTTTCGGATTTCGCTCACCAGTGACGCGGCCGTCAACTCAATGGCCTGGCCGATGACGGCAGGGTCTCTGAGGCCCGCGCGGACGCAGGCCGCGGGTACGGCGAAGGCAAGCGCGGGGACAAGCTTATTGACAAAGACGTTGTAGTAGGCAGCGTAGCCGACGGCGCCGCCGACGATCCTGATGGCGATGGACAGCGCGGTGATTGTGGCGATCAGGTCGCTCGGGCAGATGATGGTGCTGATGGTGGATGCCGGGACCACGATGCCGCCTACGCCGAGACCGGCAATAAAGAGGATGGCGTAGACGGTGTGGATGTTGTCGGTCCTGGCAGCGGCGAGCGCGCCGCATCCGGCCGTCATTATACACGAAGTGCCGAACAGGAGCCATTTAATATTGCCGCGGAACCGCGAGAGGAGTAGCAGAGACAACACACAGCCGACAAGGGTGCCGAATGCAAAAGGGAGACCCCGGATTCCCACTCCGACGGCACTATCAGGTCCCAATGTCAGTAACTTTTATCTAAAGAGCGTGCATGGAAAACTTTTCCCTTCCATAACACTCATGTGTGCAGTTTTAGAGAGAAGAGGGTGGAACCCTGAAAAGGGGCACATACTCATGCCCATACACGTTGTAAGCCTCACTTGGCCATAGCATTAACACAGAAAAGAAGTTGGCCCCCGATATGAAGGTGATGACGAGTGTGAGAACGAGGGTTCGAGGGGCTTTGCCAAGCCGTCGGGGAACCATGGGGTTTGCGGCGCCCCATGTCTCCCAAGCAACAAAGGCCACTATTAAACATACTCCTAGGACAAGAGGGACCAGCACCTGGGCGCTCGACCAAGAATACTAACGCAAAGTTAGAAAATACAGAATCCCGAGACACAGGAGGTCAGAGTATCTAGACAGCATTGGCAAGACCAACTCTAACATAGAAAAAGAACATACTTGGTATCCGCCCCTTAGAATGCTAATCTCAAAGACTGCGAGGCCGGCAATCGATAGAAGTCCACCAACCACGTCGGTCTGCTTCATGGCACGGATCTTTCCAGCCAGGTCGAGCGCGATGGTGGGTGCGGGCGGCGAGTAGAACAGCACGGTGACAACAAGCCCGATGAACGTCCAGCCTGACGTCAAGACGGTGATGTACCGCCACGTCGAGTAAGACGCAATGAGCTGGGCATACATGACCGACGGCATGAAGGGGATGATGGTCAGGATGATCGCCGCCACGTAGTATCCTCGCTGAGAGAGCGGCACGAGCTCAGCTGTGCCGGCTAGCGCCGTGAGCTCGTTGATACCCGCGCCAATGCCCGTCAGAGCCATTCCACCTGTAGAACGGCGTGTTAGACATCGCAGTTGGCCCCTCTTCGAGTCTTGGCCCGGCACACTGGGGTGACCATAATTGCTTACCAATGAATATGTCCATCGTGTAGGCCGTTCCGCAAACGATCTGGCCGGCGATGATGAAGATGCTCCCTGTGATGGCCACATAGCGGCGACCCACGAGATCCGAGAGAGCGCCAACAAAGGGGGAGACGGCGGCTGTGGCGAGGAGGTTCGCTGTGACAAACCATACCCAGTAATGGACACCACCGAGCTCCTTGTATATGTAGACGGGCACGCCGGCTAAAGGACGGTTGGTGAGCAAAGAGTCTTGTAATTTTATTTCACCGTAGAAGACTGCCATACCATAAAGATATAAAGGCGCCTGAGCGCTGGTCCACATGAAAGCAAGGGCAACGAAAGCCAGAAGTCGGCGGACGCTCATCTAGAGAAACACGTAAGTCATCCGCGCTACCGCTTCTCCGTTTCGAAACACAATGTAACACACCGAATGCTCGGGTCCACTAACGCGACCATATTCATCATGTAGAGGGGCGGCCCCGGGCATGTTGATGCTCGAGTCCCATGTGTCGATGACGACACTTCTTTGAGAGGCAGTATCTCTCCTCGGCGAGGAATGAAGCTCTTGAGACGGGGCACCTCGGGGTGATGAAGGAGCTCCCTCCGATTCCTTTTCTTCGGCCATGTCTCTCATGTTATTATCGATATATCGGGGGCTGAATGCTGACGCTGCTTTCTGGGGCAGCTTGAGGATGGGAAAAATAAAGTTGTGTTTCGGGCGGTGACGCTCAGTGGTCTCCCTCCCGGTTCGTGTCTGAGACTGAGCGGCCAGCCTTTGGAGGTAGAAATGGAACGAGCCGTATAATGTATCAAGAGGCTTTCGCTTGAGATAAGTATGGGAAACGCCCGAATCGGTAAGGCCACGCTATTGCCAAAGGTCTTGGGACGCCTGTCATCGATATCCACCTCACCGCTAACTCGCCTGGAAAGAAATTCGAACTGAAGTCGGGATCTGCGCAGAAACCAGAGATGGAAGCTAGCGTTGGAAGAGTAGTTGGAGTAGACGGATCGAGGAGAAGGAATGTGCATATTGGCTATCACTCACAAGCCTGCAGCGACAATCACAGCGGCGGACACAGCATCGGGGAGCCAAGGGCTTATTGGTGTCTCAACGGCCGTTCGCCGCCGGAGAGAATCCTTGTTAGCTGCGAGGGAACAAGCAGTTTGTGGAATGTCTCAAGTTGCACAACGCTTAATATATGGGCTTAGAGGGGCCGAGAAGGCGCAACAAGGTCGGCAAGCAACCTAACGCTGTTGGCTCAATCGATTTCGATTCCTGGGGCATCCCCCGGGCGCACGGGTATGCTTCAGTCCATGCAGCCATCTCGCCTGTGCTATTTCTATCTGGGTAGTTGCAAGTGCGTCAAGTCACACCTAGGCAAAGATCATGGTCCCTCAGTCCGCCTGCATTTTAGTCAGACCTTTCCATGCCGGTCGGCAGTGCGCATGCGATATGCAAGCAGGCCCTGTAAGTCATTCAGGGGGATGATAACACGGTGCTGCTGCCGAGGCGGGCGGCGATCGTGAGGCTTGTTTTAGGATGATTAGCACGTCGGTCGTCTCCGCTGCCGTTAACGCCGCTGGGGGCTAGCTTAGACCCAAAGTTGCAACAAGCGGCATCGCCATGGCGTCGCGAGCAGAGACATATCGGAATCATAAGGCTAAATTTATCTCGTGGCTATTTGCCTGGCACCAAGGAATGACAAGTGGAGCGTCAACAGCGTGTCTGTCCTCTGTATCAGCAACTGTTATGCCGCCTCGAGGGAGCATTTGGTCACCCGGATGCCGTGGGATGGCTAGTCGGCGTGCTGCCGTCGCACTGTACCTCAGTCGCCAGCCCAACTCAACCCAAGGTAAGGCAAGATGAGGTAGGTAGGCGTTGAAGGCGCAACCCTGACCCGGACAGCACCGGCATCGGGACCAGCTTTGCTCGGTCCAGGTGTTTCACGAGCAGCCATCCGGATACGGCGACGCCATCTCTGCCGTGTAACAAGCAGATGGCATATGTGAAAAGAAGAAAGGCAAGTACTTAGCAGCCTGCGCAAATCGTAAGCTGGTGGCGCATTTTACGTGCGAGAGCAAACACGTACTTTTCTGTGGCTTGAAGCCCTGCTACGAATATGCAGGCACGATTCATGGCCGCCATCTGCCCTGGGCCCTTGGCTTCAGAAGAACGCCGTCTGATGTTCGGCCGAGAGGGTTTGCAGTTTGCCCTTCTAGGCAGAGCTGGTGCTTTGACTAATGGCAGCGGTAGTCTCGTCAGGGATCTTTAAACTTTATCGTACTGTGTAGTGGGATCGGAAAGGTTCCAGATTAGATTACCAGTAGCGAGACGCACCGGTACGCTCTTTCCTCGCCCGTCACCATCCTCACCTTCTTACCTGTCTATGCTAGGGCAATCCCCGAGCACCTAGAACACTCGTCGCCCGAGGTGGTGCCTTCCAAGTTTCTAGATCGTGAACGGCATTTCATTCTAAGTTTGTACGGGCTCAATCTAGCGCAGCTGCCTTGTTTAATCGGTGGCGGCCGGACTAAAACAAGAAGGAAGGTCAAGAGTTCTTTGTCACACCTGCCAAGGTCGGGAGCCTTGGACGTTGGGCGTCTCCCCGGGCTCTCCACCAACTCCTGAATGCTATCCAAACCAAGTAGAAAGTATCGGGCCCCGCGTTGTAACCTGTGTACTAGTGATGTGAGGAGTTCTCCTTGGTTGCCAGACGTTAGCTTCTAGTGGCTTTATCTAACTATTTAGTTCAAGAAACAGGTTAGGTCACGGCGGCCATGTTTTTGCCCAGACTAGCACCTAGTGGTATTCGATGGCTGTGATACCTGTCAGAGCAAGGTATCTACCGTACCGTACTCATTTCTCTGCGTGACGATGCCTAACTTGGTCTCAGCTACTCGCCCATCTCTCTACACCCGCAGGATATGTCACGCTCTACGACACACAGCATCAGCAGTGGCACCAAAATAAATGCCCATCGCCAGCGCCAAACTCTTTTGCGAGGGAACTTGACCGTCTTTAAAACTCATCATACTACAAGAAGTAAGGTGGAGTGACGAACTGGGAGATATACCAACGACTTCCCACCTACCACACACTCCAATTTTGCTCTCTTGTATATCACTTCAGAGCAAACACGAATTTGTTTATCGACACTTAAAACATGATATTTGCCCAATAATACGTTTCCAAGTTCAGGACACACGTTCGCAAGAATTCACTCACAGATGAACGAACCTTACAAACATCACCAACATACAACCACCCCCTCTCAATTCAACTCTACTACCTAAGATATTTAAAAAAAAAAAACCAAAAAAAAACCCAGGATAAACTAAATATAAACCACCACAGCACGCACAGCACGCCACGATCCGGCGCAACACAGCACAGCAGCACTAAGAAAACTAAGGTAGGTACATACATACATGCATACCTACATACTATACTGCGTGCGTGCGCGCGTGTAGTGTAAGGCAAGGTGGGTGTAGCTAGAATCCTTCCACACGGGCACCGCATGTTGCGGTTGCGGGGGAAGGACGGACAAAGCCTTAAATCCTCCGTAGCCTTCCTTGGATTGCGAGGCAGAGTATCTCCTGGCTTGGCGCGCCTACTCTTGCTCCTTTTGTCTGCGGGAACACACACACACACACACACACACACACACGCGCGCGCGCGCGCACACACACCCGCAGACATAATGTACGACGGATCCTTCCCAGCGGAGAAAAGTGCGGGCGCGGGCGCTTAAGAAAAGAGGGTGTGTTGAGATGTGTAGTATAGAAAATGATATGCATGCTCTCTCCATGCATGGTTGCGGCAGAGCAGAGCAGAAAAGACCTCACCGATAGAAGAGCCGAATCAGACAGGAGGCCAACAAACACACACACACAAAAAGAAAAAACCCGAAGCACGACAGGAAGAGTCACGGGGTGGCCTCCCAGTGTTATCTCCCACTTCAAGCTAAGCTGCTTCATGAACATTCATATAGATTTGATAGATTAAGTTATATGGTAAGAGTCCAAGGGGCAATAAACCGCCCAGTCCTCTCGGGTATGTTGGTGGCGAGCCGTCTGAAGGCCGCTGGTAAGGTCATGATATATAGTAAAAAGAGAAGATCAAGGTCTCCAACCCAATGACACAGACCAATAGACTTGGAACAAAACGCGAGCAGCACTAAAGTCTGATCGCTTGCTAGAGATGTGTAGGGAAAGAAAGAGTTAAAAGTTATACAGGTGCGCATTTGCAGAGAGCAAAAACAACAAAATGTGGCAAGGTTCCTTGCTCGCTCACTCGGTTTTCTTTGCAAGAAGAAAATTGAAGCGGCTGAAAAATGGTATCTCATATCCCCTCCCCCCGTCCAACGCCGTGCGTGTCTGTTGCGAAAGCTCCCATATCGAGAATCCCACTGCCCCTTTTCCTTGTTTTGCTCCCATTGAGGGCGCGCCCTCCTCGTTTTATTATGTATGTAGTTGTATATAGTCGGGCTTTGAAGTCGTCATAATAGTACAAGCCTCTCCTCGCAGTAAACTCTGCTGCCCGCATCATAGGGCGTAGTTCTCGGCGTGCAGGAAGATCTCCTCGAGCATGTCGTCGCCCCAGATCTCAGCCTGCAGACGGGCGACCGTGGTGGCGACGCCAACTCTCATGCTCGGCGGTCCACACACGTACACGGCAGTTCGCCTGCCTAGAACGCCGCGTCCGTCGGGCCCGCCTGTCGCCCATTCCTTTAGCATGTAGCCCAGGTCGGGCCGGCCGTACTCCACGCTCCAGCCGCCATCGATCTCGTGAGGGATCGGGAAGGCGAAGCGCATCAGTGACCGTTGGAACTCCGTCGGCGTCTCAGGGAAGCCAAACTCGAATCCCGACGGCGGGCCAAATGTGCTTGTTGGCCGCGGCCGCTGGACACCGCCCACGTCGGTGCGTAGGTGTGCAAGCTCGGGTGGCCGCACAGGCGCCGTTGACGGACCACTCTCGGGTTGGTCTTGGCCATCACTTCCACCGCTACCTGCCTGACTCGGGCGCCCAGAAGCGTCGGCTGGGGCGAGGAGCTGGCTGTAGCGCTGTCTACCAGCCGGCGGCGCGAAGTTAAAGTGCGGTGCCTTCTCGCCGGGGCGGGCCAACGGCGGGAAGTGGAATTCGCCGTCAAGTTTACCGGCCTTGCTATCGCCCACCGAGGCATCACTCTCTAGTTGCTTGGATTCGCTGTCACGGCCTTCAAGCCTGCGGAGAGTATCATCCGTCGCCGCCGCCTTGTTTGGTGGCGGGCCTGGTGGCGGAGGCGGGAAGGAGTGAGGCTGGAGATATTTCTGTTGGGGCAGGGCTGTGATGCGGTCCTCGTCTTCGGCGCGCAGCTCACGCTCCTTATCAGGATCACCCTGTGCCTCGGACATGATCAGAGCACTGTTGCGCTTGTTCGCAATCCCAGCCACAAAGCCGTCCAGCTTGTCATGGAACATGTTGCTCAGCGGCCTCGGTGCGCGGCCTTGTGCTGCACCCGCAGCTCCCTGATGACGGACTGCTGCTGTCACAAAGAACTTGCAAGTAACAGTCTCGGGCGGTGCCGCCTCGCGGCAGATACGCAGTTCCTCGCGGAACCAGTCCATGGCCTCGAGCCGCTTCAGCGCCCACACCACCACAATCTTCTTGGTTATGGCCTTCCCGTCGCGCATGCGCTTGATCAGGTTCAGTAACTGCGACATTAAGGATGTGATACCGCTGCCGCCAGCAATGAGAATGCACGTGTCAAACGCGGCAAGCTCGCGACGCATGCCTCCATACGGCCCGTCGAGAAATGCGCGATAAGTGTGAAACGGGCCTTTCTCGATGGCAGTCTCGAGAACCTTGCGCGTGAATCCGCCGTACGGCCGGAAAACGAGCACGCAGTCCCGATATTGCTCGCCGTACTCGGAAGGAAAATCCTCACTGCAAAGAGAAGAGATTGTGAAAGGATGGTTCTCGAAGACCGAGATGCCAGGCATGCGTAGATACACATACTGGCCCGGCTTCCATCGCATCTGGGTTGGAATGGTGATTTTGATCGTGTTTTCCGTCATGATGTTGATGGCGGCTTCGTCTCCGATCATAAACGCCAGACGCCACGGCCGGGCCCAGTTGAGGTTAAAGAGCCGGATGACGTTGCAAAATACGAAGATGGCGATGGTTGCAATGAGGTAATTCCAAGAGAGCAGGTAGTTCTTGGTGTGCCAGAAGAGCATGCCAACATAGACGAAGCCGACTGGGACGTGAAGCATAACGAACAGCTCGTACGCCTTTCTTCGAATGATGGGCAATGACGCAGCGCAGAGCCAGACAAGGGGAACAAGGCATGCAATACCCGTGCCGTAGATATAGATGCCGCTGTCCGGAGGGAAAATAGCCGAGAAAACGTCCATGCCGCCATCCTCCCAGACTGGTTGGATGTAAAAAGGAACGGTGTGGACGAGCGACATGAACAAACACAGGTAGCTGAGCCAGCGGTGGAAGACATTGAGCCGCTCTGGACCGATACCAGTGATGAACGAGAGGATGTTGGCCTTTGTGCTCGTCGCAACGATCCACGGGGTCATGGAAACTGCGATCATCCCTGAGCGAATTGCTAGCGGCGGCGATCCGAACCGGATGCTCTGCCAGTAGAGCGGTTGCTGGAGGAAGCTGAAGATTGTTACGAACGAGAGCGCGACGAAGACTGAGAACAAGACGGCGACGGATGAGAACGTGAAGCGGTGTTTCCTCCACACAATATCCGGGATGGGTCGATAGAACACCCATCGAAAAAGGGCCAGCGTGTCGTTGACGAAGCCGACCGACGAGAAATGGGCCTTCGGCTTGAACTTCTTCTCTTCGACGACTTCATCGGGAAAGAAATGGCGCCTGGATTCCGCCTGCGTCATGCCTGTCGCCAAAGCCCCTGTCCTGTCCCAGTCCGGATCCAAGCTGTACATCTCCTTGAAGTGTTGTTCCATCTCCTGCTTGTAGATGGCTTGTCGAATTTTATCCTGCCAAAAGTGCCATACCCGTATGAACACGGCCAAGCCCACGACGGCCAGGGCGAAGTACGTCCATCCCAGCGCATACTTGCCGGATTGCGACCACGGATCCAAAGTCAGAGCTTGAACGAGGCCAGGGGGGCTGTTGGTGGTAAGTGGTATGGCGATGCGCTTGACCAGCTCTGCCGCAGCCTCAAGCGTCTCATCTGGCACGCTCCGAAGCGCTGGTTGCGCGTCTGAAGCCATCTTGAATTCGCAGTAGTGCGCGCAGCACGTGTTGGCGCGTTTCTGCGTCCCGAGCAAAGTCGGCCGAGAGATCGATATGGCGCCTTTCCAGTTAAGGAAGGACTGTATATGTAACGTCGGTGTCGAATAAGCGGCGAGACGAGGAATGCCAGATCCCCCGACTAGGTATTCGAGAGCGTGACGGGATCTGCGACGGCCATGGAGCAGAAAGAAGTTGTTGAGACCACAAGTCGGAAGGTATCCAGACTGGATGGGTCCAGCTCGGGAGGGGCGTGGGATATATGGCCGTCTAGGGGGCCTTCACTGCGTGAACCGCAAAGACGCTTGAAGCTAGACTGATCGGGAAGCGCGTGTTTAGGGGGGGTGGGTGGCCTGGAGAGCCGCGCTTGGCTGGTGATAGAACCCGGGCAGTCAGTGTCAATGCCAGGGGTGGTCGTGCGCCGAGCTGCGGATGCCGTCACGCTGGAGACGCCACGGCCAAAAAGGTTAATAATGATATGGGGACCGTAATATCGGGCTCGATCCTCGAGGACTCTTGTGGAAATTTTTTCTTTTTCCCTCGCCGCGCGAGCTACAATATCGGCGGCACAGTCGGAGCGTGCCGGACTCGATGTTGGTCGGTCAATCAGGAACAGAAAATATCCCCATTGATCATTTCTCGAATTGCGATGCGGGAGAGCACCAGGTTCAGCGGTAGAGCGGCCTTTAATATTGGCTGATCGGGGTCTTGGGTGTGGGATCCCCCGCTGCTGCAGAGCTGCATGTCACACAGTCCACCATGGGTCTAGCCCTGCACAGGCGGGCGCTTTTGATGGGCCAGGCCACGGAAGCTTTGGGGAAGAGGGGGGTGACGGACGAGGAAACGAGGACGGGCTCTGAACCGGGCGGGTTGGGGGCCAGCAAGCACCGAGAGCTCGCGATGGCCCGTCTCCCTGTGCTCAGGCTGTGCTGCTGTGCTGTTGTGCTGCTGTATTTTCTGGATGTTGTGTGATCCGAGAGTCTCGGCAGCTGTCGTTATCGCCTCCAGGGCTGATGATCTCGAGCGAGTGGTTGGTCCCCCCCTTGCGGAGTGACCGTATACACGTATTTCAGGTGACCGTCAAGACGAACAAGCAAAGAAAGCCAAGCACGCAAAGCAAGACCAACGCTCGCAAAGTGTATGCAAGCTGCTGTGATGCGCACCAACGCGAACTTGGATGCTCGCCACGCAGAACACAAGATGCCTGTGAAGTCTTCGAATTGGTCAGTCGCGCGGCAGACGTGATGTGAACACCTCTCCCAGGTACGTCCACTGTCCGGAAGCGCTCGCGGCGACGCTTCCACTGGTGAGTGAGAGAAGCTGTAAACGCGACCGAGAGCGAGAGATCCGGGTTGCCAGTGTGCTGGAATCCGTACTGTACAGCAAGCATCCGAACGCATGGGGTGGGGGCGGGCTCTATCAGAAGAAGCCCGGGCACCCAGCATTTTCCCACGGCATTTTCCCTTCCCGTCGTCTCCCGCCATCGTCAGCCAGGCTACAGCCCACTCCAGCCCACCAGCCCGCCTCGGCCCCTGGAACCTAGCGCGCTCAAAAAGGTGGCCCTCTCCCCGGCCCCCCATTGACGATTGTCGATGGACTGGACGACCGACCCGAGTCGAAATGCTCGAGACGCTCATCATCGACGCAGCATGCCATTTCATGTCATGCCCCGCGAGGAGGTCGGGGTGTTGGGTCGGCCGTCGACCGCTATTGTGACCGTCGAGCATGTTCTGCATGACAGGCCCCGTCCGAGGACACGAATGAGCAATGGCAATGGCGAAGAGCCCCACCAGCGACCGCTTTCGGGCTGATTCCCCTTGAGCTAGGGACCCAACGACGGACCCAATGAACAGGAAATTCATGGAAAGCGTTGGTGGCTGCCAGTTGTGCGATTTGGGGGGTCGCTGACCAGCGTCGAATGAGCGTCGAGAATTGCGGTGACGATTAACATCCAGGCAGCGAATGGCAGGGCCCGCAGACGGCGGCCCTAGCGATCCCTAGCAGTAGAGGTTCTTTGGTCGCGGGGAAAGCTCGAGCCACCCGAGCACCTAAGCAAACAGTGGAGCGGGGGCATGGCAGGTGGCAGGCCCCTCTGAAGTCTGTGGAGTGCGTTTCCCACCGCCACCGGCTGGGACGGGAGGAGAGGTTGAGACTCAAGGGCGGCAACAAGACCCCTCTGATTCGCCGCTGGCAGAACCGTCCTCCACCCGTCTCCTTAACTCCAGCGGCAGCAGGCGAGGTGACATGCTGCAGGGGACATCGCCAACTTATTACCAGAAGCGAAGCCCGCTAAAGCACGGCAGAATGCCTGACGCTCAGAAGGCCTGTAGGGAATAATTCTGCTTGGGCGAACAGACTCCCTTCTTTGGAACGCAATCCAGTTCCGTGGGTACATACAGTACGGAGTACGGAATATGCCAGTGGCATCTCAGGTTGCCCATATCGTATGCCCGTGCATTCCCTCAACATCCGTACAAGTGGAGCCATTGCACTGTGCAATCCGCAGGTTGCTGAGAAGACAGGCAGACTGGACCTGTTGTCGACGACGATTCTCGACTCCGACAATTTGGGTGAGCCGCGTTTTCATCCCGCTCAATAATTAACCGCTATTGTGTGAAGTAAATTACCTCCGATCGTAGAGGCGTGGGCGCCTGGCACGCGCCTCTAGTGCACATTAGAACGGCTCTGGGGAAATAACAAGGAGCCCTAAGAATCGAAGCTTTGCTCATTGCCTCGTGGTTCCTACCATCAGACAAAGATTGAAGAAAATGTTCCAATGCGTCAAAGACGGGATGTCCCGAAGCACTGACCTCGCGAGCGACGCACGCTCGAGTCCTTGCGGTGCGTGCGTTGCTGGCGTTTTAACGAAAAGATGCATGAACAATTTCTAAAAATGCCCTCCCACATGCTACGGCAAGTATTTCCAGCAGCAACCCACTGCTGCCCCGCCGCTCGGACACAAGCTCTTTGTTTTATATTTACCACTCGCATCGGAAGGCGAGGGACGAGATGTCAGCACTGCAAGGCCGTCCTTGAGCCAGCTCTGCAAGCACTTGGCCAGTGCCCAAACTCAAACTAATTCCCCAAGGACCGTGACCGGTGGCGAGGAAGACGCCGCCGTCCTCGCCGGGCCTCGTCGCCATCCCGATGCCAAGATCCTTGTCCGGGATCCGTGAGACGATGGGTGTTCCCCACGGCGTAATTGGTCTAAAGCAGTGCCCCTCTCTGACGACCTCCAAGTCATCATCCCCGTCTTCGGTCAGCACTGTAGGTCCCAGAAGGTCTCTTGCCGTCTTCCTTAGCCGTGCAATGGCTGTGCCATCCGCGGGAGCCTTGCCCGGTGTCTCGGGAATGGGCGTTTCTGCCGAGTTCAGGCCTGCAATGTAGATATAGCCGCCCAGCCTGGCATAAATCTCGGGACAGAAGCCCGAACTGTGAGTCGTGTAGATGGCATGACACCCGTCCGCCTCCAGCCCGCCGTGCCAGCGCGGCGATTTGAGCACAAGTGAGTGGCCTGCGAGGCTCAAGATGGGGAGCCGAGCCTGAGAGTGGCTGAATAGACTCCGGAATAGTCCCGGAGACCACACGCCGGCCGCGATAATGAGCCGGGTGCACGGCCAGTCGGTCTCGATGGATGACTGCGTGTCAACTATCCGGATGCTTGACAGCTCGCCCCGGACATCAGTGCTCACTGACAAAGCCATGGCCGGATGATGGAGCTTGACACCGCGCTTGAGGCATTCTTGAAGGAGGAATCGACAGAGTAAGAGCGGATCTAGCTGCGCCGTCGTGCCCTCGGTGCTGATGTGCTCGAGGCGGTCTCCACGCACTCTCCGCAGCCATGCTGGCGCATCCCGGGACGGGCCGCTGATTTTTAAGCTCTCCTCCGGTGCCGCTCCGGCTCTTGTGGTCCCTTGGAGCAGCCAGTCTTCGCCACTCGCCTGGTTAGAGCCTCCACTACTCGGGGAAGCCGTGTAGCTGACTGAGGTTGTTTGTGCGTATCCCCATTTTTCTCTGCCGCCCTTTTCCTGCGCTAGCCGACGGTGTTGTTCGAAGCTGAGGGCACCTAGCGAGGCGATAGAAGGAGAAAACCAGTCTTTTGCCAGGAAACCGCCGGCATAGCCGGAAGCCGACGAGAACAGCCCCGATGCCGGGTCGACGAGGTGAATACTTGATGCGGGCTGGTGGTCGGAGAGATGATATGCCGTCGACACACCAATGATACCAGCGCCAAGTATAACGGTTGACGCCATCCTGATGATCGCAAATCAAGATGCGGATAATACGGCGGTTATGGGAGAGCATGTCGTTGGCTCGTGTTCTACATTGGACTCCGCCGCGAGACCAGGATCACGAGACTTGATAGTATGAGTGAAAGATGAATTGAAAGCAACCCCACCAGCGGCGAAATGGGCGGATGATAAAAGGTTCTGCTACGTGACTCCAAGATCTGCATAACTTTCTTTCTTAGACACAAAAAAGCGGACTTGCCAAGGACCCAACGCACCAAGCGCCATACACGGCTAACTGCAACATTCTACTAACAATGGCACCAAAAGTTATCATCGTCACTGGTGCTAGTCGTGGAATTGGGCTCGCCGTCGCGCTTTACCTCCTAAACGCATCTCACAAAGTCGTCCTCGTCTCGAGATCAGAGGAGCAGCTGAAGGGCCTGAAAGGCAAATTCCCGTCCCAAGTCGAGTACATCGCCGCCGACTTGACCAATGTCAATGTGTGTGCATCACCAATCCCAAATGTTGTTACTACTTAATAGGTTGGAAAACAGCAACTTGCAGTCTCACGAGCTTACGATCAAAAGGTTGCCGCGGAAGTGACTAAACTCGCTATCAAGTCTTTCGCCAAGATAGACGGAGTCGTCATTAATCATGGAGTCCTGCACCCAATGGCGCGCATCGAAAAGTCATCGATTGATGAGTGGAAGGAACTCTTCGACGCAAACCTTTTCAGTGCACTTGCTTTGGTACGCGACATTGCGATCGCCGTGAAATGTATGGCGGAGACTGACATCGTCAAAGGCCAAGGAAACTATACCCCACCTGCGGACCTCCAAGGGCAGAATCATTTTCACTTCCTCAGGTGCGGCAAAGCGCGCATATACTTCATGGGGAGCGTACGGCGCATCCAAGGCCGCCCTGAACTCGCTCGTTCAACACATCGGGGTCGAGGAGCCAGACATTGTCGCCGTGGCGCTTGATCCAGGACGCACCGACACAGATATGCAGAAGGATATCCGAGAGACCGGAGCTCCAGGCATAGCCATGAGCGAGGCTGACCACGCCAATTTCAAGGAGGTTTTCGAGAAGGGCGGATTAAACAAGCCGGAATGGCCAGGCCACGTAATTGCAAAGCTGTCGCTTGACGCAAAGCCCGAGTTCTCAGGCAAAGTCATCCTGTGAGTCTTTCCCATTGTCACGCACAAGACACTTGCCTAACAATCCCCCAGGTGGAAGGCCCCAGAGCTCGCAGAGTACCGGGAGTAGCGGATGCCTATTAACTTCTGGCTGGTTAGCACGGAGCGAACAATAGAATGTTATTCAAGAGAAGATGTTATGGCAAGAATCAGTTGAAAGATGAAAAGCTTTACACGAATCCACATTTTTGAATTTCGGTATTAGCATGGAATATAAAGGGTTGCATCACGTTGCTCTGTTGTGTTCATTGTTCAGTCATAAATCACCTACTTTGTGCGGAGAGCCATCACGGCTTCGTGTCCGTAAATGTTGGGCTCCAGGAAGACCTTCCCAGAGGCGCCAGACTCTGGTTTGACCTGTCAGCTCGGTAGGCGCAAGTCTAACATTTGCTTCGAACAAAGAGTCGCCAAAAGGATCAGTCGTGGATTCTCCGTCATGGATTGTCGGAATTGGAAAGTACAATTGTGAATTTTAAACATCATGGTGCGTTGTGTATTTGGAGAGAGCTAGAGAAAATCGTACAATTGCGGAGCTGGGATACTATACACTTCAAGTACGTTAGCAGAGGATCAGGGAAGAAATCTTCAGCTTCTCAAATGGTGGGCTTGGGATGTGATCAGAGTTGTCATTTGGCTTGACGATGTCAATCACCATAATTAAGTATGATTGGGGCGACACGAATATGTTCATCATTTTGACAGGAGGATAATAGGGAAGAGAAGACGGAATTTATTACCTTGCACAAAAATGGCACGCTGCTGTCGGCATGTGCGAAGGCTTTCGCCAGCGCGGAGCCAGCTCGAGGCTATGCCAGGAGGGCTGTGCTCAAAAGAGTGTGGCCTAGAGAAACAGAAGGAGGAAAAGTTACCGAGGGGAAAGGAGCCGTTTTATCATTTTCGGTAGAACCGTGGTCAAGGAACAAGCTCGAATTTATTTTTCTTTGCTCTGGGCTCCACATTAAAACCCCACAGTAGGTTAGTTGCCGACAGCATAGCTCTGCCTGGCTCGTGCGGAGCCCCACAGCCACAACATAAGCCAACCGGCGGCGTGCGGCGTCGCTGGCCGGGTTCAAAGGGACACTCGAAGTGTATAAAGCACCAAGCACCCTCACCAAACCCCGAGTCTTTGAGGAGCCGTCGGCTCTAAAATCACAATGCTTCTCAGTCCTCCAAACTCTCACAGGAATCTCGCATCTAGAGACGGCGCTTCAAGGGGCACGTAGACTAAAACTTTTCACCGCCAATTTACCGCTGCGCCATCTCCGTCGCTACCGCCAAAAAGAAAAGAGCCCTTTGGTTGAGGCGGTCTCGAGCCCACAGCGGATATAAACCATGTCTGATCACGAATTCGGTGGTAAGTTATCGCAATTTTTTTCTTCTCATGATCTGGGCAGGCACTTTGGGCACGTGCATGTTTGTGTTTCAACTTTTGCATCTGCTGTGCTTTGGGGGGCGGTTGGGCGCATTCCATTGCATCGCACTTCGGATGGAGTTTGATGAATGACATCCCACAATGGCTTCATATTTCTCCACCTGAAGCATATATATCATATACTTCTTACAGAGATCCCCACCAAACCCCCCAAAGTACCTGTGACATGGTACAAGGGATTAGTCACTTTCTTTCCCTGCAGTATCCTCCCTCCGTCTGCCCCTTCACTGCAACTCAGTCTTTCTCGCAAGTCACTCGGAAGCATCTCCGAAGGTTTGCTAATGGAACTTGATGCTAACAATTAAAACAGGTACTGACGATCTTTCGTTACCAAAGGGTATGTGCCATGACTCCGTCTTACTCTTTCTACTCTGCGGTGGAAGGACTCACGTCTAGAGTTCACGAGCTCTGATGGCCCTCTTGGCACCAACTGCCGGATGAGGAGGGTCACCTTCTCTATGGCTACCAAGTATAACCTGTATTGTAGAAGACAGACAGACCCATTTTCAGGCCTTCTCTTTTAACGTGTCGATGAAAGTACATTATTAACTAGCTGCCAATAGCCACCGTTCAGAAAATCGTCAGCGAGATCCTACCGTCCTCAACCGGTATTGCCTTTTCTAAGGAAGCGAGGGACCTGCTCATAGAATGTTGCGTCGAGTTCATCACCCTTATATCCTCCGAGGCGAATGAGATCTCAGAGAAAGAGGCGAAGAAAACTATCGCCTGCGACCACATCACAAAGGCACTGGAACAGCTCGGATATTCTGACTACGTTCCTGCCGTGCTTGAGGCCGCTGCAGAGCATAAAGAAGTCCAAAAAGTACGATATCACCAAGTTTTTCCCCCAACTTAGCTTGCTTGTTCCATAGCTAATACGAGGGCTTCAGGGGCGAGAGAAAAAGGCAAACAAATTTGAGCAGAGTGGGCTCTCGCTGGAAGAGCTTGAACGTCTGCAACAAGAGCAGTTTGCAGCAGCCGCTGCCAGACACACCTAATCGGCAGCTTGGCAATGACTGGGCCGCGGCTGACTTCGATATCGGGCACAAGCACCTGATACCATTGCCGCTCTTGATTTTTTTGATGGCGGGAACGACGGGATTGCATTTACTGGGCGTTAGACTGTGACAGCTGAGTGTCGCGGGGGGTTCTAGGTTTTGGTCGATGGTCATAAGGGATTTTCGACATCATTCAAGCGCCGGCGTCATATTTGGGGGTTAAGCAGAGATTTGCGGCTTTTGAGCGCTGAAAGCATGTCGCAAAATAGCCCAGGAAATACTTTTGCGGCCAGGGAACCGTAGTACAGCGTAAAATTACACTGGCATGGGGCCTAAACGTGGAGATAAAATCTAACACGTTTACACTCAGAACACAGAAGAGGTCTTTCGTTCGTCTGTCTTTGTCTTGACATGGATTTAAGGCCGCCACTACGATCTTAGCCCATTTCGAGGTCACATGTTTCGAGGTAGAGTTTGACGTCAAGGAGTAATAAGCTCTATAGAGAACTGCCCCTGAGACCAACCTATATACATACGCCCTACAAAGCCACACCAGGAATGCTTGCGCGGTTCGTTCCTTTAAACCTCTAGTACCCGTCCTTGCCCCATTTGTTGAACTTGTCGTGCAGGCTCTGCAATACATGTTAGCGTGCCACATTCTTTGGTTTTGACGAAGTCATCGGCGCTAGGACGTATAATGGTAGAATTCTGGAAGTTGAATACCTTTGGGAGGTTGACGTCTGGGACAATGACAACGTTGACGGCACTCGGGGCGTCCTTGGGAGCGGACTTCGGGTCACCACCAGGGTGATACTGGTATTTTCCGTCGCCCGAGGCGGACTCCCAGGGCATGCTATTCTTAGCGACAGGAACGGAGCTCTCGCTCGAAGAACTGGTCGGGCTCCGGCCTGGGGATTTGAGAGCCGAGGTCAGCGCATTGGAAGTGCAAGACAATGGTACCAAGAAAGTAGACCATGAATTGTGAAGTACTAACCAAAGTAGAAGCCGGCGCCAGCCAGGGCGACAACCATGACACCTCCGAGAATCTGCAGCGGCCAAGAACGCCATCATCAGCACCCCCTGTCCCAGTATTCTGGAATCTGTCGCAAAGATGGTGCCGCTAGGCGTCACACAGAGCCGAGCAGTATTCACGCACCATGATCTCGGGGTTCTTCTTGCTCTCCGAGCTCAGCGCCTGCTCGCCCGTGGGCGCCAACCGGCGAGCGGTGGTCGTGAAGGCACGACGGGCGATAATAGAAGCCATCGCTGCTGCGTATGTGTGTATTATGACGGGTTCGGGGCTTGGTTTTCTGAAATGCTTTCGAGAGAGGTCACTCGCTGTTGGTGACGATGATGGAGCTTTGAGGGCCGACTCGTATGATTTCGTCAACAGGGCAGCCAAGCTTAAAGCTGGACGGCCTTACATAAGGCCCACCAGTTACGCATTGGCCAATCAGATCTGAACGGACAGATGAGGGGCAGCGGCCGTTGTCAGCTGCCAGCCATTGTCACGTGGCTTCCATACACGGAAGGAGACGTAAAGCCGATCTTGCCAACGTTGTCGGGAGCGGAAGACTACGGTTATGCTAGAACCTATGCCTCAATGATAGGTTAAAATATGTTCAACCCAATCGAGACGAAAAATGTATCTTCTTTGTCTCTATGTCATTGCTACAGCCACTGTAATAAAGTGCACTATCTACAATGTATGAACGAAAGGCGCAATTTCCATACTTGGACGTGGCTTTTCCATGACCCATTGGGACCTGCCGCCCCACGCACTTGTGCTGGAGGAGGACTGGTTCAGGGGTAACTTGGGACACTGTAATCCGAAAAAAGAAATGACTGTGCCGATGCGACCACACGCTGGTGGCCAGTGAGCGGCCTTGAATCGCCACACCAAAAGAAAAAAAGAGACCAGACACCACGGCGCTCACACTGCCTGGTCTCGTCGTCAAGTCAGTGCGGCACTGACTTCGCATCCGCCTGTTTGGTCCATTACATTCTCTTCCTTTCTGCAAAACCTGCCCTTTTCGCTTCTCTTAATCACTCATTACATCATTGCCTCAAAGACCCGACGACGTCAACACAGGATACTGGCTCATTGTGGAGCAACACGGGCGGTACGGATACCTACAGTCATTTCGAGTCCCGTGTGCGAGCGACGCGCCCGGACCCCTTGCGATCACGATACCATACTTCAACCACACTTTCTGCCCGCCGCACCTGGCGATCTCCTTCCGTGGCTCTTTTTGGACATTTTTGCTCGCTGCCGCTTGGCCACACTTGACCGTGGGCCACAATAACCACTGAAACGCAGCGCATAACGCGATCCGCGATTGAACCGAACGAAGCCGGGCAGGCTGACGGCAGCCACCATGGCGTCCGGCGAAGAGCCCGATCGGGCCACGTCTTCCAGCACCAACGATGACAGCTTCCCCCAATTCCCGCGATCCGAGATTGGCGGTGCTCCAAGCATAATATCTTCGAGAATGACAGACATTGCGACCGACGACGGCGGGGATGCGGAGGCGCAACGAGGTGCTGGGGGTCAGAGGAAGAGCGCATTCTACTCGGACGGCCAGTCTCGACCCGGGACGGCCCGGACGGCCATTTCATCAAGGAGCCCTTGGAACCCATCGGCCCCCCTCCGCCGAGGACTTTCTGGCAAGCGAGGTAGCGTCTCTGGGAGTGTCACGAGCGCTTCGCTTGGAGCCCGCCCTGCAAGCTCAACAAGCCGAAGCCACGTTCCTTCACTCACGTCGCATGCATTCTTCCGACCTATGAGCTCTCAGAGATTACAGGCGCAGCGAGGTGCTTCGAGGCCGACAACTATGAGCCGTCAGCAAGAATCGGAGCCGGCTGCAACCGGGGGCGAGAGCAGCAACCCTGCTCGACACAGTCTTCTGTCGAGCCTCAATGCGCGCCTCGAAGGGCAGATCGCGGAGGGGGGGGAGATGCGGCCGCCGCCATCCCGGGGCACCGAAGTGACGGAGCAAGAGACCATGGGCCGCATCACGGCTAATACAAGCCCAACACACGGCCACAACGCTGCAGCAAGCGTGACTGATAGCGTACGGCCTTTGCAGAGGAAGCCAGGCAGTGGAAATAACCTCACCGTCAACGTGGACAAGAACTATAAGCTGGGAGGCAACGTACCATCACCTATCCGCACGCCTCGATCTTTCCGATCTAGCTTCCTTCTGCCGGGAAGAATCGAGTCCCATGATGGCTCCAACCGTGAAATCCAAGGGGGTGAGAAGCTGGAATCCATTGCTTCCTCCCCTCACCTCCCGCCCCCAAGCCGGGACGGGAACGTTCAGCCAAAACCAGACAATGAAAAGACGAAGCTCGGCCGCAACTATGAATATTTCGAGGGCAATACCGTCTTTTTCTTGGGCGGGCGAGCGCAAAACACAAGACACCGGCCAATCAACATTGCGACGGGATCTCTCGTCGTCCTTCCCAGCATTCTGTTCTTTGTTTTCTCGGCGCCGTGGATCTGGAATAACATCTCGCCGGCAATACCGATCATATTTGCTTATGCCTTCTACATCTCCATATCTTCGTTCTTTCATGCCTCGGTCACGGATCCTGGAGTAAGTTTCCCCCAATGGATAGCCATGACTTTGTGCTGAGCGCTTACATTCTTCTAGATCCTGCCCCGAAACCTGCACCGGTTTCCTCCGCCAGATGAGGACGAAGACCCTCTGAGACTCGGTCCTCCTACTAACGACTGGGCATTGGTCAGGTCCTGGGAAATGTCAACTGCGGCGATGGAAGTCCCTACTAAATACTGCAAGACGTGCAACATCTGGCGGCCCCTGCGCGCTCACCATTGCCGGCTTTGCGACAACTGCGTTGAGACGCAGGATCACCACTGCGTGTGGATCAACAACTGCGTGGGTCGACGCAACTATCGCTATTTTGCCGCGTTTCTTGTCTCTTCGACTTTTCTCTCGCTCTTTTTGAGTGGGGTCTGCCTTGCGCAAATCTTTGTCTACGCAAACCAGCAAGGCGTCTCAACCGGGGAAGCTATCGACCATTTCCGGGTTCCTTTTGCCATGGTTATCTACGGCTTCATTGGCTTTATTTACCCCGCTGCGCTTACTGGCTACCACATTTTCTTGATGGCCAGGGGCGAGACGACGCGCGAGTACCTCAACTCGCACAAGTTCCTCAAGAAGGATAGATATCGGGCCTTCACACAAAGCAGCTGGCTGAAAAACTGGATCGTTGTTCTCTGTCGACCACGGCCGCCCACATACTACGGTTTCAAGAACACGTTCCAACAGGGCGACCAACGATTCAGCAATCATCGGGGTGCCGGGCGGTCAGACTCGAAAGAGGGCATGGAGATGCAAGACGTCAAGCAGCCGAACGCTCAGCCCGGCTTTCTAGGGCCTATGTCCTTGCGCAATCCAGCGCCCACGTCGGGAGTGTGACATGTTATTTCACCTCCCTGTATACAATCACTTTCCTTGTTTTTTACTTTCGATCTGTCTTGGCTGCGCGTTTACTTTATTGTTTTCACGGCGTTCCTCACAGGTGGGCGAGGCCACAGACTACTGTCCACCAGGACAATTAGACAGGGGGGTCAGTGTTTTACGCTGGTCTGGCCCCCTCATGTATGTTGTACGTAATGTTTGGATCCATCATATCATATACCCTCGGCCACGTGTTGTTACAGCGGGCAGCAGCACTTGTGCTGGGAAGAACCTGAAGCGATCAGCGTATTTTATGACTCTTTTTTGGAGGACACTGAGTTGGTTATTTTATCTAGACAATGAACTAATAGACGGGCGCGGCGGCCCCATTTTTTCACTGAGACGAGGAGCCTGCGAAATGACAGTCACCGTCGAGATGGTGATGTGGTGTAGACGTATGTCTGATGTCTGTGTTTATTTTCTAGGTCCTGTTGCTAGACAAAAAGGTTGGCATTCCGTTTTGACCCTGTAGCATTTTGATGAGTTGCAGGAAGGAAAACACCTTAAAATCCCCTTCAAAGCCAGTCTGGGAAGGCGGGAAAGGAGTCAAAAGGAGAGAGTGCATTCACGTGACGTCACTCTAGGAGTCTTAACTTTTTCAACACCAGACCCAAAACACAACAACAACATCGCCATAACAATATAAGCAGGCACGACATACAATTTCCCATTTTCCACAAGGCTTTCAAAAATCTCCGCCACTCTCAGGAAGAAATTTAATAAAAAGCATGGTCATGACCTTGCCGCCGCTGCGAGAGACCTTCGCCAGGAAAAAGGCCAAGATCCTCAGCCAGCTGGCCATGCCCGACGCAGACTATGCGGACGCCTCGCCCAAGGGCTCCGTCGACGCCGGCATTCGCCAGCTCATTCGCGAGATCAACGGCTGCGCGGGACTCGTGACCACGAGCAGCTGCGCGGGGCGCGCGAGCGTCTACCTCGAGGGCAGGAAGACGAAGACGAACAAGACGAAGAGCGCAGAGGCGGCTCTCGCTAGTACGAGGCCGGGGGGAGAGGCTGCTGCTGATGGCCACGGCGACGGTGTTGCTGCTGCCGTTGAGGAGGAGGAGGACGACGATGGCCTTGAGCGGGCGGCGGCCGGCAGCGGCTCGTCGGCGGGCGGCGGGAAGGGCGGTGGACAGTGGCTGTTTGTGTCGCATCACCCACTGGCGTTTGCCGGTAACGGGAACGACGACGGCGAGATCTACGCGGCGCTGCTGGGCCTCAGCAGCGGCGACGAAGCCACGGAGCCAGTGCGGCTGCTCTCGACGGAACGTGTAGAAGAGGATAAGGGAGACGTCAGTGCCGCGTCCAGACTGATTCGCTTCAAGTTCGAGCCCATGGTCAGTTGTGTCCGCTCTGTTCTTAACTAGCCCGTTTCACATTCTCGGGAATAGAGTCTCTGACTACAGTGTAGATACTGCACGTCTTGACGGCGTCGCATGAGCACGCGCAGCTGGTGATCCAGGCGGGGATGGAAGCCGGGTTCCGCGAGACAGGCGCCGTCAGCCTGCTCGGCCGGGGCCAGCGCGGCCAGCAGCAGCAGCAGCCCGACGAAGAACCCTCGCCCATGGTGGCAGTGCGGTGCATGGGGCTCTCGTTCGAGTCACTGATCGGAGCTGAGGAGACGGACGGCCAACGCTACAGCCTTGTGAGCTCGGCGTACCTGCGGCTTCTCGTGCGGATCGCCAACGAGCGGTTCATGGAGAACGAGAAACGGATAGCCCGTTTCCAGGCGGCTCTGCGAGCGGCATTCGCAGCGCCTCTATCCAAGGAGGCGGGAGGAGAGTGGGAAGACGCCGAGGTCCGCAGGGAACGCAAGAGAGAGGAGGGCTTGAGGAGGAGGGACCAGCTCAAGAAGCAGCAGCAGGAAGAAGGGGAGAAAGAGATGGCACCAAATATCTCAGTGCTAGGCGTCATCTTACAAGAACGTGATCTTCTCTAACATTTGCGTAGTAGATAAGGAGCATCTATCACAAAATCGTGCAATGTTGATTCCGCCCTTTCTTCATTTCTCTCTGACGCTCGCTCGTTCCGTGATGATGAATGCCGAAAGTTTCCCTCCCCGTTTGTCTATGCCAGGGCCTCAAGCAAGCCTCCCATCGATGATATACACAGTAGTTTCTTTGTAACAGTAGCAAAGACCTTGGCCTACGGAATACGTCAAAGCCGCAAGCCAAAGTCGTCGTACATACACAAGTCTCGTCCCCGTTACGCCGCGCATCCCTCCCCCTTTTGCCTGCGTTGTTCTGTCGCCCTCTGACAGACCTCCTCAGCTCACGACCTTATCGACCCATCCCTTTTCGAGCCTCCGCACCTCCTCCTTGAACTGCTCGACCTCGCGCCAGCAGTCGAGCGGCCGGCGGTCGTTCTCGCGCAGGCAGCGCACGACCTCGCCGCGCGCCGCCTCGACGCTCTCTGGCAGGTCCCGCACCTTCCTGCGCTCGACGAGCTTTGCGTGCAGCGCCGCCACCTCCTTGGACACGGCGTGCCGGCTGGGCCCGCTCTGGTCCTCTGTCCCGACCTGCTGCCCGGCAACCGACAGCTTCTCCTGCACGTCCTTGAGCGCCGCCGCCTCGGCCTTCTGTAGCCTCTTCAGCTCGGCCGCCACGCGCGCCTGGATCTCGAGCTCGACGCCCTGCTTGCGGGATACGTTGGTCTGTAAGGAGAGAAGAGCAGACTGTATTAGCTGATAGGTCCAATTGGTGTCTAGGTAGGGTCCGAGATGGGTTGACACGGGTTTGGGCAGAGGTGTGATCGGTTGGTCTTTGCTAGGTATTTACCTCAGGACTCGCTTCGAGGGCCTCGACAAGATCAGAGGATCTGTAGAAAGAAGAATTGATGTCAGCATAAGATGATGCACATTCTGCACGTTCAATCCTGCCTGGTGGCGGCTTGATGGCGCAAGGACGTACGCTTTCCAAACCAGCGGGCTAGAGCTCGTCGAAGACGGCTTGGATGAGCTCGAACCCATGGTCGCAGGGGCCCTTGGCACTCAATTGGCGCTGAAAGGGGTATGTGCTCGAAGCCTCGTCGGTTGCGCACACTCGCTCTCTGTGTGCTCTCGTTTGGCGCGCAGGCAGCTCGCGGGTCGCCGGATGCAGTTTGTGAGTGAGTGCTTTCGCGATTGCCTGCCTGGCAGCTTCATGTGCCAACCGACGACTATGGAAATTTCCGGGCGCTGGGAAGCACTGTGTCCACACTGTGTTGGCACGGTAAATTTGTCCTCAGACTAACAACGCTTTTTAGAAGCATTCGAAGCTATGACCTTATCCAACCTCCCAATACACCTACAATTTTCATTCTCACATCCTCGCTTTCGATGGTTTTTGATCCCTTGATGAGCTAGAATGGCCTTCCTGCTCAAATCTTTACAAACTAACCCTAAGATCTTACTAACTTCTTCCTGTTTGCTTTAAGAGTGGCGAGAGTTTGTCGCCTTCGAAAATGACGGATTCCTTGACTTCTTTAAATAAGGTGCAGTGCCTTTCTGGGCTCTATCTGCCCCGCCATAGTATGCTATCATAGTATAAGCTCAATGCAAGTGGGGCGTGGGCTGTTTGCTTCTCTCAGTCATGCTACCTGCTGGCCAACATCCCCCAGGGCAGCTCGTGTCTAGGCCTCCATGTCATATACGTCGAGTTATGTGGCCAGGTAAAAAACGATCTAGTTTGCTTGGGACTAGAGCCGGTATCTATATTTCTTGTTGGTTTGGAAGCAGGATGTTCAAGGCAGTTGTGCCTGGGGGGCTTTGGGTTGGCATCAACATGACCTCTTGTCTTTCATTCACGTTCATCTCGCTAAGTGACCATCGCACCCCCCCCCCCCTTATTCCTGCTTTCACAACGCCATCGCTGACCACGAGAGTCAATGATTTATGCTCCTAGGCCCTGTCCCGGGGTCGCAGGCCAGCCGAAGGTCGACCAAAGGCCTATCAATGCAGCGGCTCGTTCGGGTCGCCGATGGCGGCCACCGCTAATTATCAAGACCTATTTGAGACCACCTTCTAGCCAAAGAGGCAAATTGACCTTGCTCATGCCTTCAAACTTCAGGGACTGCGAGCTCTAGACCACACAACTTTCCCACAAACCCAGCTCCGAGATCGCGGTGTCTCCCCCATACCTCCCCCTAAAATGAGGCTGTTATTGGAGTTTCTTTACTCCCGTCTCACCTGCCCTTTAATCTGTCTCTTCCACCGCTGAGGTGATGGCAGTTATACGAGTTGTAAGTAACTAGATTTAGTGTGCCAAAATAACGGGACGTTATGTTGTGTCTGACGTGATATGCCGGATCTATGTAATAGCATCTCTAACGTAAGGACCGCTGGATCATCTACCGTAGCAAATGACACGAGAGCCATTATGTCCCCTACTAATATTTCTGACTATAAAGCCCATGAGCCCTACATATGGGAGACACATGACGAGTGCGGCAAAGGAGCGCCAAGTTGTGGCTAATGACAACCACCGGGCAGTTATGGAGCTTGCCCTGGCCTGTTGAACCACCGTGTACCACCTTAATTTCATCGAGCAACGGACGTCAAAATAACTAGGTCTCTGGCCAATACGTATACCAGGTTAGTATATCTGAACTTTACTAAAACATATTCCAGAAACAGAGAAAGCGGTGGTCTAGCTGCCGAATTTGGCTGGCGCGTGTCGCCATTTTCGGTGGCTTCGACACCAAAGTGCACAAGTCTCTTACAAAGACCGTATAGGTACCTATATCATAGCAGCCTTTCTAGCGCGCATCCATGGAGCTGATAGATATATAGCCCACCACAAGAGGCCTACTGTGTATACTATAGGGAGCCTAGCTCCTGTCACGGCAGATGCCAAGACAGCTGGCTAAGGTGGTGCGCCCTGATTGGCTGTACCAGGTTTAGGCATCAAGTGACCCTCAACCTAACCTACTTCCTCAACATCCGCCGCGGGGCTGCTCCGCCTTGTGGCTCGCGAGGATGCCGAGTTGGAGGGGTTCTCTTCCAAGGGCCCTCGTCCGGGGTCGCTTCCTCCTCCCCGCAATGTTTGCGCCATGTTTCCTAGATGCGGGCGGCGCAGTCGGTGTCGAGGACGGAGGGTAGCGTAGCGGTACTGGCGAAGCTCTCAACAGGCGACTAGGGGAGGAGCTTATCGGTCGTCTTGCCGAACAGGTCGTAGCGGAGGTGGCCGCGCGCAAATTCGACAAGCTCTTGTTAGCGTCGCGCAAGCGATGCGCGATGGAGGGATTCGGTGAGCACGATGATGTCGAGGTGATGGCGAGCAACAGCCTGGAGAAGTTTTTCCTGACGCGGCACAATGATAAGGATAAGAAGCGTAGTCTTTTGGTTAACCTGCACTGGCGCGTCACGCAATCCAAACATCAAACCCGGAGGACATGTCAAGAGCTTCTTCCGGAGGTTGGCCATCTGCCAAATGCGCCGGTCACCGTCACCGGGGCGAGAGACGGCATGGTCGTTATCGTTTACAGGCAGATTGTAAAGTTCTACGTCGGAAGGCTGGCGCCGCGGATAAGTATCGGTGCGGTGTTGCGTGGGAGTGGTGTGGCGTATGTTGGGGACTCTTCCGACCAAAGGGCGGGCATGGCAGGGGATCGTCGGTGTCGAGGATTTGGCGGACGAAGGGCAGCGCGGGGCAAGGGAGAACGGTTGAAGCTGGCGCGGAGAGAGGCAGAGTTCCATGTAGCGCATAGTGAGGAGAAGAGGGGGAAGGTGTTGTACTCCAACCATCATAACAACATCTCGTCAAGCATCGCCTCGTCTTTGGTAGCTGCGCTGCACTTCTTGAGGATCGAGGAGCTAGCGCGAAAGTGGCATTGACTTTGGAGCCGGCGGCTTTGGCAAGTTTGAAGGCGTGCTTGGTGTTAATAGTCTCCCCGGCGTGCCGTACTCCGCCTCGCGGTTCTTCGGGACCAAAACTTGTGAGAACCGGGTCTCGTTCTGGGGCAAGGCCGGGCGTCGTCGCTGTCGAGGTAATAGAGTGAGAACCCTATTCTTCTTGTGCTACTATTATAGCGCCCGCCTCGAGGCTCTTCGGGGCCAAAACATGTTCGCGCCGCCTCGTTTCTCGAGCAGCACGGATTTGATCCTGCTTCTCCTTACTCCATAACTTTGACTAGTGCTTCCGACTCCTTACCAGCCTCTTTTCCCGCCTTTCTGCCGCTTTAATTTCAGGGTCGATATAAGGAGGAGTCGGGCAGGTTGAGATATCCCGTAAGATATCCAATACCTCGTCATCTTGTTGTTGACTAATGCACACTTCGCTACTAAAAGGAGAAGAGCCCTTAAAGTGAAGTTAGCATCGTTTCCAGCGACGTGTAGTCTATTAATAAAAGGACACCCTAATACACCTAGCAGGTCGCCGAGAGAGCCGCCCCAGAATTGAAACACTTCATTAGCAATACGCGACGTATCCAGAATCCCAGAAGGTGGCCGTTTAAACTCGAATCCCAAAGCCTGTAAAGCCTGGAGTTCGTTCAGGATACCGTGGCCCACAAGTACCACGTTGCGATCTTGAGGAATATGTGATTGAATTGTTTGTACTATGGACGATGGTTGAATCGTGATTGTCTCTCCAAAGAGATACTTATTAGATGCTTTTGTAACGTATGATGACGATCCCGTAGCAAAGTTTAGGGTTGAAATAAGCTTTTCTGGTGGGACCTGGCGAAGCTCCTTGGTATCGAGAATCGCAAATCCAACTTGACTATTCTCCTTCTGGGTAAACCCGCTTTTGATAGTATTAATGCCCTCAAAATCGATAGCAATGATGACGGTATCATTTAGTGCTGGTGCTTTCGAGACAGAATGACTGAGCCCTAAAATTCCAAGTAGCATAGAAAGCCCATGCCTCGTAAACTCGGGAGGAGGGTGGCTAGCGATTTGGCTACAAAATGGCCTTTCTTGGCAACTATTCCTAAAATCAACATCCCGAAGAGCCTATTTTTTCGATACATCTATCGGGGTCCTGGCTTGCATTAGAATGTGGCTGAACTCGTTTGCACGCACAAAATTGGTGCCCAAAAGGGGTTGGTAGGTTTCTTGGCGATTTTTAGCGCGACACCCGATATTTTGTGCTGACTTGTGCATTTGCTAGCGATCAGGGCCTTGGCGGCCGTAGCAACCAAGCGCACGTCACAGCAGATGGTGGTTGATGAGAGATTGAGGAAGGGCAGGAAGAAGACGGAGATTCTGGGCATGGTACAGGGCGTTACAGCACCAATATCGTGAAGGAATGGAAGGAAGCCCATGGTTTGAAGCATTATTTTAACATCCCTTGTTCTCTAGACCTATCGCCAATTGAGAATTGCTGGAGGGCGGTAAAGCAAAACGTTCGCGCAAATGCCAGCAGTACAGGCCCTGGCTTGAAGGAGCTTGTTTTGGCTGGCTGAGCACGGATTTCACAAGATAGTATCAACAAGATGATTGATTCCATGGTAGTGCGTTAGCGAGCGATGGTCAGATGACTGGCTTCTAAACACTTCAGAACAGGAGAGGTATCTAGATTCTATAGAAAATTAGCCTTGTGGCAAAGTACTTTGAGGTATTCCGTACCGAGGCCGCATTTCATCGGTCCCCAAACGTTCAGTAATCGGGCCACGTTGGACCGTGCGCACAGACAGGACACTGGCTATCCTTATATGTGGGTTTAAGATGCCAAGACTTTAAATATTTGTCGCGACACCTACCAGGTCTGGCACCAAACGGCTGGGAGAGCTGGCCCGGGCAGCTCGTTCGCCTGAGTGAGCGCGGTCTTCGGCGGCTTGGCAACCGCTGTCGACATACAATTTGAGGCTATGATAAGTCGCATGGGTTATGCCCGCGGGGGTTCGAATCCCACTCGACGTTCTTTTTTTTGGGGGGGAGGGGTGGGGGGTAAGAGAGGGCGTCAGTTCAAATCTGATTGGTTTCACTTTTTTTGTACCTGCTATCAAGAGATACGTTGGTTCGAACCCTACATTTTGCGTTGGGGGAGGAGCCCCCTCTCTACAAAAAAAACCATCCGCGACAATTAACGAGCACGTCGTGGGCCTGGACGGGGAGGAGTTTCGCTGCTTCAACGGCGTGTCGTCGTGGGAATATGACACGGAGATGATCCAGTGCTCCTTCTCGTCCATAGGACACCCGGTAACCTTCGACTATAATATGCGGACGCGCGAGCGCCTAGTCCCAGTTGAGACCTAGCGTCTAAGCGGCTGGGGTTTACCCCTCCACAGCTCGTAGCCATTCCGTAGTTTTCTTTTTCTTCTTCATAGTTACACATTTGTGCTATCGACTGCTTGTGCCCTCTTTGTGCCAATAGAGATACGTATTTATATTTGGGCGGAAGGATGTAGAGTCGTAGGGTTAATGGAAGGGCCGCACTAAACTAAATGAGGAGAGGTGGGGGAGGGCGCCTTTCCCGGAACGTATAGCACCGTGTTCTCTAATACGAAGCTGATGCAAGTTTGGCCTTATTTTGTTTCTCAAGTGTTGGCAGTTGACATAACCTACGTGGTATGATACTACAGGCCCTGTTCGGATTTACACGGGCACTTGATGATCCCCAAGTTGTTTGTTTAACCTGTCAAAGGACCCATGGGGTTGTTTCATGCCCCGGGAATGATCAAGGAGCGGTAACAGGGGCCGTAAAAAGAGCAATATCAAAACGAATACGTGCCATGGCATGCGTACTCGGATATTCACAGCGGATTTCAGTGATTTGGATGAAAAGTCTCGTAGTTCCACCGACTCGTTCTACAGGGATCCATGAGTCGTCGACGGGAGTCTGTGCTAAAACCCCTGAGCCACAAAACATCAGAACAGCACAAACTTAGAGGAGTAATACTGTATACTTGCTTAGGTACCTGGGAATGACAAAAGAAGACGGAGTAAGAATAAAGACTATTCACCGGAATTGCACCACCTTTCTCTCAACAAGGACCCCCTGCCGTTGATGGCTAGGCACGGACACCCGAGATCATCTAGTTGCAATCCTCAATGATCGGAATCAAGGGTGTCCAGTTCCACTCCGCTCCCGGGATCACTTATACCGGGGTATTATACATGCACACCTGCGAAATCCTGTTGCTGATGAAGCGGGACACTCCGTGCTCACAGCAGAAAACGAACGAGTTGTAGCACGAACGCTTACAAACTTGTCGTGATTTGGCATTTCGCCGGGCTGGAAGACAGGGCTCAGCTTGAACTGGAAGCTACCGTAGGTACCTTAGGTAGGTACCTTCCTACTAGTACCTTGTAGGGTATCGCCTTGTACGGCTGCTCTTACTGCGTCCCACTCACTTGGGTAGCTCTAGAATGGAGAGTCAACTTTTTTTAAGTCAACCCCACCAACAAGAATGTCCTCTATCCTTTTCCCCGTTTCTTCAACCAAATTTTCCAACCAAATTTTCTTTCGCTCGTCTCTCGCAAGCTTTGCCTTCGCCATTCCATTCTCGCGTTGCCATTTCGCACCCTCACAATGGGCGCCCTCCCCGAGCCTAATGTCATCGCCGGCGCACTTGACACTCTGCGTGTTCAATCTCATCGCATCGCCAACGTTGGCGCTATTCAGAACCAGCAGAACATCCTGCCGTCCAGGATCTGGGACAGCAGATGAACGCTTTGGGACACCAGGTGAACGCTTTGGGACAGCAGACGAATCTCCGCATCGACGCAATGCAGCAGCAAATGGACGCTTTGGGACAGCAAGTGAACCAGCGCTTCGACACTCTCGAAAACCGCCAAAACAATTTCGAGATTGCTGGTGTAAATGCACGCTTGGTTCACGCCGACGGCGTCGCTATTCTCCAGCGACCCGTCGACGTTCCCAATTCCCCCCCAACGCAACCCCAGCTCTATGAGATCGATGGTATGTCATTTGTTCTTCTGGACTACGGTGCTAACTCTTATCAGACGCTACTGCGGATGTCATTATGCCCGCCCTCGGCATCTATCTAGCCCCAAACACGCCCTTGGCCGTCAAGCGCGAGAGCATTGCGCGGAAGTGACTTCTGAAATAAGGGGGTACATGGGACTAGAGGAATAGAGGAGATGGGAAGGAAATGATTGAGAGGACTGCAAGGTCTAATATATTCAATAAATAACAAGGGCTTTTAGGACGAGTATTTTTTTTAGAGGGGACAGAGTCTTGGAGCACTGTTAAATCGTCTCCCTACACTGTAGGTACATCGGCGCCAAGGCTTACAGCTCACCGCCCACGAAAATACCACATTTTACAGATATACTCAGTACGCTTTAGGAAGTCTAGGCCGCAAAGCAGCCTATCGCAAAGCTGTAAATGTGTGTGCCATGTCGGACACCCACTGGTCCTTGACTTATTACTGTGGCCCATGGACGAAGGCATGGAGTTTGCGTCTCCCTTTTTCTCAATGCCCCTGCAGGGCTTGGCGCGGGCCGAGGAACAGGTCGGGTGTACGACTGGGCCTGCAGGGATCGCCGCCATGGCGCGGGAAACGCCCTCCCAAACCAGGGGCCAATCAGAAGCCCAAGGTCCCGCGGCGGCCTCGAGGTCTGAACCCACCGGCCAAAAGTCCCCAACACCCCGCACCCTATTATTTGCTGACGACCAAGCTCTTCCCCTGAATCCAGAGCAACGCCCGAGTCCCTCCTCATCCTGTCTGGCCAGGCCTGCATCTGCAGTGTTGGTAGGATCTCACGCAGTGGCGAGTCTGGCGACGAACACCTGGCCCATCTGATCTGGGCTGACTTGGCAGCTGGGTTTCCCCTGGGTCTCACCCTCCCCACGCGGCCCGGTTGGGTGAGCCTGAGCTGCAAGTGCTGCGAGGGCTGGAATCCGCATGCCATTTCGTGATGGCGTCGCTCTTGGGTCGTACGGTTTGCATTTCAAGGGGGGGATGGCTGGGTTCGGCGAGAGCCGTGGTGCCGGTCTTTTTGCTCAATTCAGTCTCATAAATGCAAGGTTACGACAGTTCCATCTCTTTTCTTCTGCCTCCATCTTGCGTCGTCTTCTCCTGGGCTCTGTCTTTCTGTTTCTTCCTCAAGCCATCTTGGTGTCGAGCTGTGTCTTGTTTAGTGACTCAGATTCCCCAGCCATTTCCCGCCGAGTATCGACGCAAACATTCTCCCTGCCCTTCGTTTGCTGGCGCTTCGACGTCATCTTAAATTCCACCCAGCCTGTGTTGGTTATCCGGACTCTGATTCAAAGTCGAATCACGTTCTTTTTTTTCTCGACGGGGAAGCTGCCGCGCATGCTCCCTCCCACATTCACATTCACTTTCGCTGCCAACTCCAGTCAACATTCCCTCACTTAGAATACATTGTCGGCCGTCCGCACCCGCCTTCTTCGCTCCCCACCAACACCGGCATTATTGTGTGCTCGTTTGAATGCCCGGCAGCATACGACGACTTATATTGCAATACTTTTCCACTGCGACGCGCTCGGTGCCTCTCCCTTCGTCATCCCCTTTCACGATATCGGTCGGCCCGGAGCCCCACTATCGATCGGCCCGGAGCCTGCTACCGAGCAGCGAAACATCACTCTCACGATATATCTTGGCGTCTTATCACCGCTCGACCTCGAGAACAACGCGAGCCGGAATCTCGTGGCCTTCCTGGACGCTTCCTTTGCCTTGCAGTCGTCGAGACGCTACTGGAGCGTTCGTTTGACGTTGGGTGGATTGTTCCAGTCAAAGACAGACAAGTCGGAAGCTACCCTATTGTCCGCCGCCTATTGTTCACCCTTGTCAGTCACATCGGCGCCTTTGTGTGTCTACACAATAGTCTGGCTTGGCAGTATTTTTCTTCAATAGCGCTGTCTTCTCGGCCTGTACTTCGCTTCGATTAGACTTAAAAACGAAAAGAATACCCCCGCCCGAGAAAAGTCTACAAGCCTTTTCGTCCCTCAAAAAACAAACAACTTCCCCGGCCTCGTTGATCCCCTCAAACGACCAGCGCTGGCTACGGCCCCTCCCATAATTCACGATGGAATTTCACCACCCCAGGCTCGCCACTCCGGCGATCGGAATCGCAACAGAATCAATATATGTCAGAGACACAGAACCGCCATCATTGTCGAGTCCGGATGTCTCTCTATCCAAGGCAACCATCTCTCCTTTCACCACGGGACTCAACGGAGTCAACCAGCCAAACAACATGCTCTTTGCCCAGGTTCTTTGGTGGACATTAGGCATCCTCGGTCTCATAGTGCTCCTTATCAGAATACTCGGCCTCGCCTGGGAAAAACTGCGACTCATCTCATCCATGAGCCAACCAGCAGACAAGCAAGGCTACTGGAAGTTGACGCCGTGGAGCTGGATGCCCAGCCTGAAGAGAAACCTCATCTATGCTCCGCTGTGGAAAAAGCGTCACAATCGTGAGATACGGCTTTCGAGTGCTTTAAACGTCGGGACCATACCATCCAGGCTTCATACTGTCATCCTCCTCGGCTATGTGGCAAGCAACTTGGGTTACATGGTGGCTGTCAACTGGAAAAACCCAAACATGTACGAGGTGTGCGCCGAGATCCGTGGCCGCTCTGGGACACTGTCGGTCGTGAGCATGATACCCCTCATGATCTTCGCTACCCGAAATAACCCTTTGATCAGCCTCCTCAGCGTTAGCTTCGACACATTCAATTTGTTGCACCGCTGGATGGGCCGGATTGTGGTTTTCGAGGTTGTGGTCCACTTCGTCTCTTGGGCAATCGTCCAAGTTGCTGATGGTGGGTGGGACAGCGTCGGCATGAAGATTCTGCACGACAGATTCATTGCCTCCGGTACCGTAGGCTCAGCTGCCATGGTCGTCATCCTGTTTTTGGCACTATCACCCGTCAGGCATGCGTTTTACGAGACGTTCCTGAACATCCACATACTTCTCGCATTTGTTGCATTCGTCACCACATGGATTCACTGCGTTTCTGCCGGGGTCGTAGGTGGTCTCCCTCAGACGCCTTGGATTATTGCCATTTTGCTTCTATGGGTAGCTGAGAGGCTCGCGCGGACGATCCGTCTCTTCCACTACAACAGGTCGAAGCGCGGCTACACCGAGGCCTTCGTCGAGCCCATGCCTGGCGAGGCCTGCCGTGTGACAATGCACTTGCCACGACATGTCAGGATCCAACCCGGCCAGCACGCCTATCTGCGCTTCGCAGGCCTCAATCCCTGGGAGAATCATCCATTTTCCATAGCCTGGTTCGAGGATAAGCACGGCGATTCTCTCCTTCCCGTCCACGAAAAGGATATGGAGAAGATTCAGGAACCCACGGGCACAACCGTGTCATTCCTCATCAGCGCTCGTACCGGCTTCACTCGGAAGTTGTACAATACGGCCGTGGCGTCAAATTCTAGCGCCGTCACCATGCGCGCTGCCTTCGAGGGCCCATATGCCGGCCACAACAGCCTCGACAGCTATGGGCACTGTGTTCTGTTCGCTGGTGCGACAGGCATCACCCACCAGATCAGCTACATTCGGCATCTAATAGAGGGCTATAATGCAGGCACCGTCGCCACACGCCGGGTCACCCTTCTGTGGATCATTCGCGACTACGAGATGCTGGAGTGGGCGCGCCCTTGGATGGACCAAATCCTCCGCCTCCCGAACCGCAAAGAGATACTTCGGATCAAGCTCTTTATCACCCGGCCCAAGAACGCGAACGAAGTCGTCTCCAACTCGAACACTGTCCGCATGTCTGCTGGCCGTCCGAACATTGCTCTCGAACTAGCGAAGGAAGTACGCGAGCAGACGGGCGCGATGAAGGTTACCGTGTGCGGCCCTGGAGCGCTTGCAGATGACGTCCGTGACGCTGTACGCAAAGCCCAGAAAGGGACGCAGAACGACATCCTGTTTGAGGAGGAATCGTTCACATGGTAAATCATCTGACCCCAAGTAGTTAGTAGGGGAAGAATTAGGGGGAAACCTACATAGCGGCCACCACTGGCAACCTGATATTGCATCTACATCCGTAAATACCATAGCATTAATTACAGAGAGCGGGTCCACGATACTTTTTTGCATTCCGAAAGTCTATTAGTGTTAATATTCTAGACCCTTCTCGTCTGTAGCAAAGAGGCGATTCTCTAGCCCATATGAAGTGAAAGCTAGCGATCCAGCAAGTGAAAGGTCCTAGGTTTTCAAAAGTATCCGTCCAAAGGTATCCGACTTCTTTTGCACACCCTCCTCTTTTCTCCCTGCCCGACTCGGCCCTGCCAAGATCAAGAGAGCAGCCAATTGCAGCCGCATATGGATCTCGTGGAAAGCAACCTCGGCCGGGTCAGTTATATTGGCCCTATTGGAACTCGATACGGGACTTAGATTAAACCGGTGCGTCAGAGAAGGAAACGTTGTCCGAATTCTTGTTTGTATTACCTATTTCCATGACGTTGTCGAGACAATAATTCCAATACCGACTTGACTTGTTGCCTCTGCTAGTGTGCCTTGTCTAGCCTCCCCCGCCCGTTGTTGCTCGTCGCCCCGATTCTATGTATGTCCCGCCGGATGCTGGGCGCGCGGACCGGCATTGGGGAAGAAGGGTTTGCTTTTCGCAGGGAAGCTAACCCGTGAAATTCCATTGGCGTCGCATATGGCGACACTGCCTCGGCTAGGCACTGATGCCCTGTCTCGACTTGACTGGCTGTCGACGGAGAGAGAGACATGGATGGATATGCGCATGCAAGTGCTCGCGCAGCAAGGCATCGCGCTTCCGTTCTCTATGTATGGTGCGTCGGTCCATTGAGGCAGACTGGGACTAACCTTATGTATCTTGCAGCAACCTATAGTAGATACCTTAGAGTTTAGGTAATGATGCTGCACGCAACGTCCCTGTTTGCGTTAGCCACGAGACACGGACGGATGATGCACCTCTAGGGCTGCTCCTTGTTTCCCTTGCTTTCTTTGCATTCTAAACTCCCTCGCCGGCTCGCGACTCGGAGTTTGTTACCTGTCGTTTGCGCCTTTTCGGGAGACTGAGAGACGTCCCAAGAGCAGGGTGGTTTGTGAGGAGAGGTGGACAGAAGAGAAAAAGACCAAGCAAGAGCCCTCTTCCGCTTGCCTGTTCCCCCTCCGCCCAACTTAACTCCGCCCCTACCGAAGCCAAGAGGGCTTGGTCACGCGTTTGTTGGCCGTTTGGTTCCGCATCATGCTTGTCCCGTCAGTTAGCACAGGTCAACACGTCGGGAACCTGGGGGAAGCGGGCCGGCCACTGAGCTGTCGGAGACGTGCTGCAGGTTCCAGAAAACAGACCAAGCACCCTTCGGCCAACATCCCCAGGGGAACAAATATCAAACCCCCGGGAAAGGGTTGCCCACCCACGGGAGGGGGGCGTCAAAAGGTGGGGGACAGGGTTTGAGGTGGTAACCCCGCCATTCTCTCGAATGCAGGTTCGGATTTGTTGTCACTCGACGGAGGGCGCATTTCACGGCAGCCTCAACTGGGGAATTGGTGGCGAAGAAGGGAAGGCTCGGTGGGGCAAAAGCGTGCAAAATGGAACCTCCTAGGCTTTTTTTTGTTCTGAGGCAAGCTTGGGGCTATTCTCGGCGGGCAAGTGACAAGGAGGGGATCTCGATTCTTCACTCACCTTACCTTAGTTACCTATGACTCAGGGTCCGTTCTTTTCTCAACACAAAACCTTCCCTCTAAAATCTTCCTACCCGCCAACCTAGAGAGATATATAGGACCTCTAATACCGAGCAAACCCTCTGAATATTTATTTTAATATAAAGCCAATTCTTTGACCCACCCCGAGCATTGAGCAGGTCCATCTGTGGACGTTGCTTTGAATCGTTCAAATCTACCCCTCATTTCCATCATTCATTCTTAGTTTTAAGCGGACCAGAACGCCAAAGCAACACCAATTCGTTCCAGAAAAACACCATCCAGTTTTTTTTTTGGCCCCGCACTCCGGCTCGCTCACCATGCCCATGTAAGTCGAGACAAACCACACCTTGCACCGCTGCCCCGAGTGCCATGAGGCACGAGACATTGGAGCTGACAGCCATTGTGTCCCAGGCTCAAGGACCCCTCCAAAAAGTACAAGAGGTTCCCTCCTCTGAACCTCCCAGACCGTCAATGGCCGTCCAAGACAATCGGCAAGGCCCCGCGATGGCTAGCCACGGACCTGCGAGATGGCAACCAGAGCTTGGTCGATCCCATGGTCAGCTTCTCCCGCACCACGGCGCGTCTTCTGCGGTTGACGTAACTTCCCAATTGGCTAATCAATTTTTCTGTGCTTCCAGAATGGCGAACAAAAGTTTGAATACTTCAAAATGCTGTGCGAGCTGGGCTACAAGGAAATCGAAGTCTCGTTTCCTTCCGCGTCGCAAACCGACTTTGACTTCACGAGACGCCTGATCGAGACATCTGGAGTTATTCCCGACGATGTGTGGCTGCAAGTTCTGTCGCCCTGCCGCGAGGACCTCATTAAACGCACGGTAGAGTCGGTCAAGGGCGCTAAAAAGGCTGTGATTCACATATATCTCGCCACTAGCGAGTGCTTTCGGAGAATCGTCTTCGGTTTCACCGAGGAGGAAAGTCTTGCACTCGCTGCCAAGTGCGCGGCCTTGGTCAGGTCCCTGACCAAAGACGACCCGTCCCAGGCGGGAACAGAATGGCAGTTCGAGTTCAGTCCCGAGACCTTCTCCGATACCAGCGCCGAGTACGTGATCAAGGTTTGCGAGGCAGTCAAGGCAGCATGGGGACCTTCGGAGGAGCACCCCATCATCTTCAATCTCCCCGCTACTGTGGAGATGTCAACCCCCAACGTCTACGCCGATCAGATCGAGTACTTCTGCCGCAATATCACTGAACGCGAGAAGATTTGCGTCTCTCTTCATCCTCACAACGACCGTGGCTGCGCGGTAGCCGCAGCCGAGCTGGCTCAGATGGCAGGAGCCGACAGAGTAGAGGGGTGTCTGTTCGGCAATGGAGAGCGGACCGGAAACGTTGACCTTGTCACGCTTGCTTTGAACCTCTACACTCAGGGAGTCTCTCCGAACATCGACTTCTCAGATCTTAACAAAGTAATTAAGGTGGTAGAGGCATGCAATAAGATTGAGGTGCATCCTCGAGCGCCATATGGCGGGTCCCTGGTTGTGTGTGCATTCAGTGGCTCTCACCAGGACGCCATCAAGAAGGGGTTCCAGCTACGCGAAAGGGAAGGGAAGGGCTACGACGAATACTGGCAAGTCCCCTATCTCCCGCTTGATCCTAAGGACATCGGTCGGGACTACCAGGCCGTTATCCGAGTTAATTCACAGAGCGGAAAGGGAGGTGCGGCCTGGATTATCCAGCAACACCTATACCTCGACTTGCCGCGTGGCCTGCAAGTCGCCTTCAGCAGAGTCGTGCAGAAGATGGCGGACGAAAAGGGGCGCGAACTGCTTCCTACGGAGATCACGGAGCTATTCCGGCAAACATACTCCCTTAACAGGAATCCTCGCTTTGGTATCGTGGACTACGCTATCGCCCCAGATCGGTCCAGCTCGCCTGCGCCCCCGGCGCCGGGCAAGACCCAGGATACCAAGAACCTCACGAGAGTTTTTGAAGGCGTTGTCTCGATCGATGGAATCGAGCACAAGCTCAGAGGACGCGGCAATGGGCCCATCTCCAGCCTAGCCAACGCTCTCCGGACGGTCGGTATTGATCTCGACGTCCAGGACTACAAGGAGCATGCTGTTGGGCGCGGCCGTGAGGTCAAGGCTGCTACATATATCGAATGCACAGCGGCAGGGACCGACGAGAAGGTTTGGGGCGTAGGACTTCATGAAGATGTCGTGCAGAGTTCCCTGAGTGCTTTGTTGAGTGCCGCCAGCAATGTAAGAGCATATCCCTCTCAGTTGCATTCTTTCTTGGTTGAACTAGAACATGGGCACATGCTGATACTTCTTCCCCCCAAAACAGTTTGTTCTGAGCCGCCAGGGCAGCCCGATCGTCCCTCGCCCGAGTTCTCCGCAAACACTAAGCGGGAACCACGACCTCAAACCGCTTGATGGAATTAACGGAACCAACGGAATCGTAAAGATTCCTCAAATCATCCAGACCCTGGAGGAGCATGCAGAAAAGTTGTGACACTCTCCTTGGGATGAAGATCAGCGGTTGGAACATGGGGAAAAAAGTCGTTCTTTCATTGGCACCCACGGAGAAAAAGCTAAACAGATCCTTTCGGGTGTTGTTGGCTTTCGATTCCGAGCATCGCCACTTGTGGAGTTTGCCGGGGCCGGTATGCATTTAAGGAGATATGTGCCACATTTGAAGGGAGGGGCATCAACAAATTTGAGAAAAGGGGGTGGGTTGATTCATTTTCATTCGTCCAGCGAAGATAACCGAAAAATCAGTTTGCAAGCCATGAACCCGGCCAAGTAGTTTGTAGGATTAATCGCGTTTTTCAAGTGCGCAACCCGGTCTTCCTCGTTCCTGATAACATTGAAGTCGAAATTTATGTAAATTGAAAGGCGTGCTAGATACTTGGTTAAACGGTGCCTTGGTGCGACTTCCCCGCCCCTATTTAACTTCATTCAAGATTTTTGGCTATCACATAAATCTGGAAATACCTGGATATCATATACTGCCTTACGTATCTGCCGCGGAGTGGTGTAACGAATGAAACTAGCCAGACTGCCTCCTGTTTCTTGTTCGCAGACAAAGAGCTTTGTGAAAGCTGGAAGTTTCATTGTGCGAAGAACGGAGTAAGCACTGGGCTCTCCCCGACAAAATGCGTCATGCAACCGCCCCCAGATTCCACGCGCCCGTAGAGTTTAGTTGATGGATTGCCCGGATGCATAATGTGTGCATGTATAGGTGAAAACTCATGGTTTGCACGACCATTCTTAATATCTAACTTTACACTATTCCAATACCAAATAACGGTTGCTGCGGCTCCAAAGATAAATTGATGCATTCCAGATCAGAAGTTTTGGCGTCTTTATTGGTAGGATGGAGCTCACACCTGCGCTCAGAAGCAACCCGGAACCCACCCCTCCCCCGAAATTCAGGGTTCGATTCAGATTGGCAGAGGCCCGCGAGCGAACGGACCAGAAGATCCAGCATGTGCGGTTTAGAAGGCTAGCACTGTATTTGCAGCGATTTGTTCCCCGCCAACACAGTGCAGCGCTAGAAGAAAAAAGAACGCCAGGTAGTCCACCGCTCCAGGCCGTCAATGCCTGCGAACGATATTGGAGGGTCTCGTACCTAAGGAAACTCCTCCTCATTCCGTGCGTCAAAGATCGCTTTCATTTTGCCTTCCGACTCTGCCAAACCCGTCAAGACATCACCTGCGGCGCTTACAGGTGCTTTCTTCAACTGCAAGGACAAAGTCTTATTCTCCACGTTCTTTTACGGCATCCTTTCCCCTGGCTCAGTCAAAAAACACCTGTAGGTCCTCTTTTTTTTTTTTAGGTGCGAGGCAGCGCGCGGCGGCAGCAGCATTGGCGGGCGGGAACGGTCCCCTCTACAATATCCACCAAACCGGGACCTGTGATTGTTGACAAAAAATTCAACACAACAGACCCGCACACATACCTCTGGGCTGAATCCAGGACAGTTTGGATTATTTTCCAGGAGTTGACTTGCACCTTCTTTACGCTCCTCTCTTGTCCCATCCAACGGCGTTTCCCCCAGCCTGTGCTTTGATCTACCGGAAGGTTAAGCCCTGTCTGATAAGCCTTGAATCATTGACCCCCGCTTGTTGCAAGCGAAACTTTAGTTGCACGAAGAGCCAACTTTCTCCCTGCCAAACTACCTCTTCCTGTCGCAACAACCCTGCCTGTTCGTCTTGGACATCTGCCACCACTTCCGCTCGGCGTTGGAATAGCAATCATGGAAGGCTCACCGGACATCAATACGGTCCTCACCAATTCGCTGAGTCCCGGTAAGTACACCGCAACTCCGAGGCCAGGCGCCTCGACCCTCTTGAATCGCGTCGAGCCGCCCTTTGCCCGCCGCAGACCGTGACGTCTTTGCTGACAGCCTCAGACGCGACTCTGCGAAATGCCGCCGAACAGCAACTCACCCAAGCCGCCGAAACAAACTTTGTAAGAGGCCTCGTCTTCTTTCTCGCTGCTGTGTTTCGTTGCTTGCATGTCGATTTTTTTTTTGCTAACGAGATTTCCCTATTTTTTCCCGGCAGTCACAATACCTCGTCACACTTGTCCAGGAGTTGGCGAATGAGAATGCCCAAGGCCACGTTCGAGCCGCTGCTGGTCTCGCCCTGAAGAACGCTTTTACTGGACGCGAATTCTCGAGGCAGGCAGTGCTGCAAGCGAAATGGCTCAACCAGACGGATCCCGAAACCAAGACGCGCATCAAGCAACTGGCTCTCGAGACGCTCTCTTCCAGCAATGCTCAGACAGGCCAGGCAACCGCCCAGGTGGTCGCCGCAATTGCGGGGATCGAGCTGCCGCGAAATCAATGGCCGGATCTGATGCACACGCTCGTTAGAAACGTCAGCGAAGGCACTCCGCATCAGAAGCAAGCGTCTTTGACCACAATCGGATTTATCTGCGAGAGCCAAGATCAGGAGCTCAGAAACAGCCTCGTCACCCATTCCAATGCGATCCTTACGGCCGTTGTCCAAGGCGCGAGAAAAGAGGAGACGAATGGCGACGTTCGTCTAGCTGCTATCACTGCGCTTGGCGACTCGCTCGAGTTCGTCGGTAACAACTTCAAGCATGAAGGCGAGCGAAACTACATCATGCAGGTTATCTGCGAAGCGACACAAGCAGATAACTCCCAAATACAGCAGGGGGCCTTCGGATGTCTGAACAGGATCATGGCCCTGTATTACGAGAACATGCGTTTCTACATGGAGAAGGCCCTGTTTGGGCTGACTATTTTGGGCATGAAGAGCACCGATGAAGATGTGGCCAAGCTTGCGGTCGAGTTCTGGAGCACCGTCTGCGAAGAGGAAATTGCTATCGAGGACGACAACGCACAGGTATGTCAAAAATTCGGGCACCAGGCGATTCTCCATATTAACACTGCGTTCAGGTCGAGAGCTCCGAGCAGATGCGTCCCTTCTACAACTTTAGCCGCGTCGCAACGAACGAGGTCGTCCCCGTCCTTCTAGGTCTTCTGACAAAGCAAGACGAGGATGCGTCCGACGACGAGTACAACATCTCGCGGGCCGCCTACCAATGTCTCCAGTTATATGCCCAGGCTGTCGGCGCCTCCATTATTCCTCCCGTTATCCAGTTTGTCGAGGCCAACCTGCGCTCCGAAGACTGGCACAACCGGGACGCTGCCGTATCCGCTTTCGGAGCTATTATGGACGGACCGGATGAGAAGGTCTTGGAGCCCATAGTCAAGTCCGGCATGCAGCCGCTGATTAGCATGATGGACGATCCTTCCGTTCACGTCAAGGACTCGACTGCTTATGCACTTGGCCGGATAACCGAGACGTGTTCCGAGGCTATTGACCCGGTACAGCATCTCGCGCCTCTTATCCGGTCGCTATTTGACGGCTTGATGAACAACCCCAAAATGGCGGCTTCGTGCTGCTGGGCGTTGATGAACCTCGCCGAGCGCTTTGCAGGTGATCCGGGCGCCGTGCAGAACCCCCTGACTCCGCATTTCAACCAGAGCGTCAGCAACCTTCTGACGGTGACTGGGAGAATGGACTGCGAGCCAGCTGTTCGCACAGCCTCCTATGAGGTTCTCAACGTTTTCGTGCAGAGCTCTGCCAACGAGAGCCTTCCCGCAGTGGCCAGCCTGTCGACGGTCGCCATTCAACGACTGGAGGAGACACTACCGATGCAATCGCAGTGTGTCAGTGTCGAAGATAAGATTATCCTCGAGGATATGCAGACAAGTCTCTGCACCGTCTTGCAGGCCATTATCCAGCGGCTGGACAAGGAGATTGCGCCCCAAGGCGATCGGATCATGCAGGTCCTCCTGCAGATGCTGACTACCGTGGGTGGCAAGTCCAGCGTGCCAGAGTCTGCCTTTGCGACTATCAGCAGTCTATCAAACGCAATGGAGGATGATTTTGTCAAGTATATGGATGCATTCTCCCCGTTCCTTTACAACGCACTTGGCAACCAGGAGGAACCGAGTCTCTGCTCGATGGCTATTGGCCTGGTCAGCGACATCACTCGTTCCATGGGAGAGCGCAGCCAACCGTACTGCGATAACTTCATGAACTACCTCCTCAATAACCTCAGGGTCAGTTGCACCGATTTCTGGCTTGCCGTCTCCGGCTTGCCTATCTATTCATTTCCTAACATTTTGACCACCCAATATCTGACTTTCTGCTTAGAGCACTACCCTTGCCAATCAGTTCAAGCCTGCCATTTTGCAATGCTTTGGCGATATTGCCGGTGCCATTGGTGGCCACTTTGAGACCTATCTCTCTGTTGTTGCCCAAGTGCTTCAGCAGGCGGCTACTGTCACTGCGACCGCCGAGGGTCCATATGAGATGTTTGACTACGTTGTTTCCCTACGGGAAGGCATTATGGATGCTTGGGGTGGCATTATTGGTGCCACGAAGACGAGTGGCAAGAGTATGTTGTTCCTCAACCTTCTTGTGGATTTATTGCTAACATGGTGTTGCAGCTCAAATCCTCCAGCAGTTCGTACCGTCAATCTTCCAACTGCTCAATAGCATCTCCAGCGACGTAAACCGTAGCGAGGCGCTGATGCGGGCATGCATGGGTGTTATCGGGTAAGGATCACCGAGCTTCATTTGGAGTTTCCACACTGACCCTTGTTTTTTTAGCGACCTGGCGGATGCGTATCCAGGTGGCGAGCTTGCCGAGGCTTTCCGTCAGGATTGGGTCACGATACTCATTAAGGAAGTGCGGACGAACCGTGACTTCCAGCCTCGCACGATCGAGACTGCCAGATGGGCACGCGAACAGGTTAAACGCCAGATTGGCGGTACCCAAACGGTCATGCTTCAAACTTGAGCCCGGAAAGGCTACAGGCCACCGCTACGGTGCTTATCCTCCTCCTACCCCTCCTTCCGAAGGCCATCGACAATGCCCCAAACACTTTCATGCCATCGATTTGGACGAGAAATTGTCTCGTCCGTCCCCACCTCCCTCAGCAGCAATCCCTCGACACGGCACGACACGACACCACAACCCATTCCGGAGATGCACAGATAATGTGTATATAGACTTCCGATTGGCATCACTAAATCCAACTTCACACTCCCAAGACACTACACTATTCTATTACCACCGCGCAGCTGCAGGCACTGTTTGTTTTTTCTGGCACGGAACTTATTTGGGACTCACGATAGAGCGATATCATGTACTGCCCCATGCTTCTAGATAGAAAGCATGGGCCAGACGCAACGTCATGTATAACTCCCGAAAGGAACACTAGGACGCGATACGATTGGCCGAGCTAGTGCATAATCTTGTTCAAGTGAACGAATTATGGGCGTTCGGGTAGGGGGTTCAGGATCTGGGGCCGCCACGGTGTGCATGGAGTTCTCAAACGGAGGGAGAGGATACCAGCACAAGGCTCTTTGTGAGTGAAGGGTTAGCCATGTTGCACTTTATTTGGGATGCACGGAAACACGGCGATATTATGCCTCTAATCACAACAAGTGGATTCCATCATTGAGCGAGAGACAATGTGGCGCAGAGAGAAAGAATGTGTGGCAAGTTATTTGGGATTTGGCAAGGCCTGGTCGAGTGATCGTGAGCCATGTATGCCAAAGTTACATAGGTCTGAAATACACCAACATTTCCCCCCGAACGCTTTGTACGTAGCACAGTGAGGTACTGGGTGGCTGTGAGTTGGGTTAAGAGGGGATGGTTGCCAAACACACTTCGCAATGTCTGTCACCTAGGTATGCTATCAACCTCGACGCATTGGAGGCGGGTACTTATACATAATCCCATTTGGTAGGAATTGGGCTAACTTGCACAAATCAGGCTGTGGTGACACAACGTGCCACTCAACTTGCAGAGCAGGGGCCTTGTTCCGCGCGTTGCCCTTATTAATCGTTGATCTCAGGTGCAATTGTGAAGCGTCCAGGGAAGTGGGAAGTGCACCAACTGCAGATTCTCTGTTTCCATGTTTTCTTTTTCTCTCTCATTCCACCCTTCCCTCTTTCTCTTTCTCTTTTCTCAAATCAACTCCGAGCCGGTCTTGACTCCACCCACGGCTTACTACGGCGCTCGCGCGGACTTGGTCAGCGGATGATAAAACAATTTGTATTTTTTTTAGCTGGCCAGAACAAGGGCAAAGGAACGCGGCAGCAAAGTGGGTCACCCCAGCGGACCAGTTCCCACCGACTTTTTGGAGAGGCAGGCGCCTTTTAGGTGCCGGCAAGCTCGCTCGCAGTCGTGGCAATTGGCGGGCTGAGATTGGGTCCCCAATTGCCCTGCCGGCAAGGCAACACACCCCCAAACCCCACACCGACCTACGAGAGGACGCTTTCCATTGCCGCTGCGGCAACGAGGGTGAGAAGGGTGCCCTGCTGGCGGCACAACTGCCCTCTTTGGCTCGGCGGAGGGACTGCTGAGGGTCCCGGTACCGACAGACGTCAATCTGCGTGGGTAAGGTACCTCAGATTTTGGATCGTGGAGGGAAAGCTGGGTGCCCGCCGCGGCCGGAACCCAACTCAGAGAAAGAGCGGGAGAGTGTAAGAAGGGCCATCTGTGAGCGGCATCCGACGCGCCGCCGCTGGTGGGAAGAAAGACGGACGACGGCCCATTTCTCTCATCCTTCCGGCCTCTTCGCGGCGGCACCATGGATGTCGATGCTGTCGAGATGAAATCGCCGCAACAACAACTGCCCGCCATGTCACAACAGCCTCCCCAAGACTTGATGGCTATGACCATGACCATGGCCATGGCCCACCACGAACAGCAGCAGCAGCGGCAGCAGCAGCAGCAGCGACAACAACAACAAGAGTATCAAGAGCAGCGACAACAACAACAAGAGTATCAAGAGCAGCGACAACAATCTGAATCATCAACTGGAGGTGGGCCCGGAGGAGGCGCTACGATTAAAAGGAGATCCCCCATCGCCTGCCGAAGGTGCGTCGCCAGCAAGTTCATTCGTTCGTTGCCGGACGGCCTGATTGGACCCTGTCCGCCCCTTTCTCTTAGCCCTTGCGTTCGCCCTTACTGCGTGGAGTCTTGACGGTGGCCAAGACCAGCCTTCACATCACATTTTGGCCTACAAGTACATACAGAATACACAGTGTATTCACTCACTCGCTAACGCGCAAATCCCAAAACGCACAGATGCCGCCGCATGAGAAGCAAATGTTTGCACGATAAGGCCAAGCCACCTTGCAATGCCTGTCGCGATTCTGGCCTTGGAGCCGCCGACTGGTAAGTTGCCGTCTCATAAAAGTCAGGCTACTTATTTTGGGAGCCTGTGTTGACTTCTCTCGTCAAGTATCTTCCCCGTCCGCGGCCAGCCTGACCAGGACCGTGACTACCGCCACCCTCGCATGAGGGCTGAGAAGAACAACAAGCGCGACTCGGTCAAGGTACGCCGCGAAATTCTCGATGCTCCAGTCGTCTCGCCCGCGCCATCCTCGGCGCCGTCCCGACCCCCAAAAGGCGTGGACGAGTGGGACCTCCTCCCGCCCCTGCCCGAGATCATCGAGGCCGTCAACATGTTCACGGCCCACTACTTCCAGCTAGGATTCATCCCCAAGCAAAAGTTCCCCGAACGCCTGCGCACAAACCACCGCTCAGTCAGCGTCTTCTTCCTGTTGGGCATCCTCAGTATTTCGGCACGTCTAACGCCGGCCCTGATCGAACGCTACGGGAGTGCCGTGAATGCCTCCGAGACCTTTATGGAGCGCGCTTCTAGCGTGGCCCTGAATGAGCTTTACAAGGAGCCCAGTCTTGAAAAATGCCAAGCCTTTTATCTGCTGAGCATCGCGCAGCAGGGCAGCGGCGTAAAGGACAGGAGTTCTGTAAGTTCCTCGTCATTTGAACCGACGGTGCGACTTTGTTTATAGATTCTGACTGTCCGCCTGTTTAGATCAACATGGGGATAGCCGTGCGCATGGCAACTCTGATGCAGCTCCACCGGGAGGAAACATATGTGCTTGTGAATCCCACCAAGGAGCTGGTTATGAGAGCCGAATCAGCCCGGCGCACCTTGGTAAGTCACCGTTTTCATCTACCCACGTCATTGCGGATGTAGAAGAAACGATGGAATTCGCAGGGACTAACCACCGTACCGTAGTGGATGTTGCACAGTCAAGATAACTTGCATTCGGGGCCACGGTCTCCGGTCTCACTCGCAGCTAGCGACATAACAACGCTTCTCCCGAGCAACGAGAAGGATTTTGCTAACGCACGAGAGCCCAAATCAAGAGCAGCACTTGAGGGCACACCACCCGCTATAGAGAACCCGAGGCTCGTCGCTGACGAAGGGAGATCTCTATTTGCGACACTTATCCAGGCACATCACTTTTGGGGTGCCATATCCCGTCGAGCTATTACCCACGACAAGAGCCTGCGGCCGTGGGAGCCGGCAAGCGACTATGCCAAGATGGAAAGGCGGCTTGCAGACTGGGAGAGAGGCCTGCCCAATGACCACCGATGGAGCATTTTCCTGTTGAAGGGCTACAAACAAGAAGGCCAGGATCTGGTACGTTTTCGGAGACGTTTTCGGAGCCTGATCCGGCCGTTTTAAATCTCCAGTTTGCACGTGGTGGCTAATACCGTTCAATAGGCGTATCTTGGCGTGACTATGATTACGAGGCTTTGCAACATTGTTATTCGAAAATCATATTTACATGAGTATGCCGCCTACGTTTTCCATCTCTTTAACTTCAGAGGAGCCTAGGCTGACTGTCGCAATCCCTAGAATGATATCATATGACAAGTTTGATCCAAAGTTGACAGCCTTCTGGGCGAGAATGTCGTTGGAACTCTTTAGAAACGTGAAGGACCTGTACGAACAAATCGAGACACAATATGGTGATAGATCACCTGAAGAAGGAACGGGGGCTCAGATGGCAGTAAGTCACAGTCGTCGCTGAATCTGCCAGCATGAGTTGATTAGTGTGTGTGTCCAGGCCTTTTGTGTGTATAGTTGCGGTTTTCTTGCCGGGTATCTGTGCAAGTATCCAAACGGTAAGAAACCATTTGGTTGCACAAACACCGGAGCGAGTTATGTACTGACGGTTTCCAGTCTGCCCCGAACCCAACCTAGTTCGTGAGGGCCCGATGATGGTTCAGCGGGTTCTCAACATCTTAGCTGAAAGCAAAAATGTCTGGCCACTGGCCTCGCGCTGGTACGACCACCTGGAGAGGTTTTGTAGGGCCCAGAAAGGCATCGTAGTTGGGGCAGAGGGCAGCATGGCTGACAGCGTAAGTTACTGTGACAGCGCACAAAGCAGCTAAACGTTGCAACCGCGTGCTAACCGTGTCTCTTCTAGGCACAACCCATCCCCAATGCTCTCCACCCGGCTCCCACTCCTTCGGTCATCAAGCCGATCCAGCCGCGCATCGTTCCGCCTTCTCCCGACACAAAGAACGGCATCCTTTCGCAGCATTCCAACACCCCAATCCTACCTCTCCCGCAGCCAAACCCGACGCCGACACCAACGCCGACGCTCTACAACATCGACCCCAACCTGCGGCGGTCAGCTCCCCAGGTACAGCAGCACGCGCAGGGTGGTATCATCTCACCACCACAGCAAGGCGTCGTGGGCCCATCACATGTGCAAACACAGCACCAGCAGCAGCAGATCATAAGTGGGAGGCCTGACGGCCTCGGTCTTCTGATCGAGGCTTTTGACACGCACCAGACGGGCCTGCCAGACCCGCGTTACGATCCTCAGACGGCGGCGCAGGATTACTACCCACAGACGGGGCTGGCGGTCAACGACGGCTACGAGAACGAGCTTGGCTACTATATGTCGGACGGCGTGCCGGCAACGATGCAGAACTGGGTAAGTGGCTCAGGCATGTACGGATATTAGAGGGGTTTCTACCGCTTGACACTGCAATTACTCTTTACGGCGTCTTCGTGTTTGGTTTCTGTGGCTTGCATGACGAGCGAGGAGTTCAGACGCTTCCGGGCCTGGGATCGTTAAAGGCGGTGATGATACAATTAGCGTGTCTTTGGTGTTATTCTTATGACTCTCATTCCTCAGTTATTTTGGATGTCTTGAGAGGAGAGAGTTCAAATTCGGTACGAGTTTACTAGGTACAAGTGGTTATCTTATATCCATCTCGGGGGTGGTGTTCTGGAAGACGTGTATTTTTTTTCTGTTTTGTTCTCTTCATAACGATATGGGAAAAAAGATTCTGCAGGAAAATATGAAGATGTGCTATCTAGACTATTATGCATTGCCGCCATATATCAGGCCCAAACAATATCAAGGCAAATAGTGAGTGAGGCAGACGATGAACGGGCCCCTGACTTGTATTTATTTGCTCGGGCGGCGTCGGGTCGGGAGAGGCCGATATCGTTATATCCGAGGCGCGCTCGTAGCTCCGAGCTTTCGCCGCGTACCTATTCCGTCATAGGCGGAATTGGCGCGCTGCGGCAGCATCGCAAATTCTCGAAATACCTTGGTAGCCAAACCATCGGCAACCACTTTCTCAGACTCAAACATTGGGGTTACTCTTCTTTTCACTCTGTCGCCAGCCATGTCTGTCTCGCCCGCTCTGAGAGGCGACTCGGCACATAAAGCGCTGTCATTAGTATGCTGTAATTCCCATCTTTTTTCTCTCCTTTGCTCGGCGTGTAATCATTTAATCAAGACAGACTCGTTCGCGGGACGCTGCTAACATAAACCCCCCTTTGTCAACTCCAGTACCGCCAGCTCCTGCGCCAGGGCAACCAGTTCGCCGCCTACAACTTCAGAGAATACGCCAAGCGCCGCACACGCGACGCCTTCCGCGAGAACAAGAACGTCGACGACCCGCGGCGCGTCCAGGAGCTGCTGCAAAAGGGTCTCAAGGAGTTGCAGATGCTAAAGGTTCGGGAGCCCCGGAGAAGACAATCGCATGCCCAATATGTTGCGCGCCAGGAGAGGCCTGGGCGCAGGCAATGTTTTTGGGTTATTTTCTTTTTTGTCGTTCGGGAAGGCTGACAAGAGACTCGCTCGCTCGCTCCGAACAGCGCCAAACCATCATCAGCCAGTTCTACACGCAGGACCGCCTCGTCGTCGAGGGCGGGTTATCGGGCAAGGATGAAGAAGGGAAAGGAGGCATCATGAGGCAGAAAGACACCGGGTACGTCGCACTTGTTTACTGACTCCCTCCCCTCTTGATACTTGGCGATGGGAAGCTCTTGCGCTAACATTGGGTTTTGTTCTCCAGTTGGGACTGAGGGGACTTTTGCGAAGGGGGGGGGGTTTTCGGCGCGCCTTGTTCTGTACCATCATCCATGCCTCCAAAGTCCGAAAGATGACGGGCGGCGAGTGCAAACCTGTACGTTCCAAGGACTATTTACCAACGGGTTTCTCATGGGTGCATAGGCTTTTATACCACCCAAAGAAGGAACTACTACTACCTGGGCATGTTGTGTCTACCGCCTTCCAGACAGGCGAAGGATGACAATGCTGAATACTTTTAGAATTGTGGTGGGACCGTTGCGTCTGTATTGGCGGGCGCGAGAGGGCTGCGAACTTGCGACAGCTAGGTAAATGTGCACTCCCAGTCGCACGCGCGGGTACATATTGTAACATAATAACATTGAAACTCTAAGTGCCGGTCTTCCTGACTTTCCCAGGCGTATCTTTGCTCACCCTATTATGTGAGACGACGCCGTCCGCCGTTCTCGACAAGGCATCGGTGATAGTAGGGCAATATGAATACTTGCATACTATGGATAGTTGCATTGCTGGGTGTTGGACGCTAAAAAGGCGGCACTTTCATCTCGGCAGGCAACAAATCTTGATAAGTAAATATCGTTATACAGACTACACTAACTTAAAACTTCCAGGAGGCCCAGCCTCGTGGAGCTCAGCACACCTAGTCCGCGACGAGGCGGGAGAGCGAGTGCGCGCCACGCAGACTTTGGGAATCATCAAACCCGACTGGTATCACAGCACCTGCCAAACCGATTGAAGACGAGGAGGCCGGGGTTTTGTTTCAGGTTCATCCCATTTTTTATCTTTAAGGAATTATCGGCAGGAACACGAGCAATTGAGTCGTTATTGTTCCTTCAGACTACCGATTCGTTTTCGCTCCCCTCCGTCGCAAAGCTCCAATCGACAAGACGAACGCCTAGCCACTCGCACTAGTCTCGTCGCAAGAGCCCACCCATTGTTGCGGCCCGTTTTTCCGAATCATCTTTCGGTTTTTGGATAGGACGAAGCAATCGTGCTCGCAACCTGCTGGGAGGAGTCTCTTGGATAGGTGCACACCTAGGAGAGGGTAGGACCTCGTGACAGCTGGCCTGGGCTGTCGTCTCGACTCAGACTCGCTATGGCGCCACCTGTAAGTCGGCAAGGACTCTGACTGATGGGCGACGACGTTTCAGGGATCTGACAGAACGCGCCACTTACAGCAGTACCGAACGGCGACGCAAACCCGTCGCGGCGCCCGCAGTGGCTACCCGGCGGAACATGACGACTTTGAAGGTCTTCCCGTGCGACAATGGCGCCAGGAATGGGTAAACGTCGCGCCGCCGGCGCCGCAAGAGACATCGCAGCAGAACGACCGCTGGGCCATTGAGCTTCCTTACGGCATGCCCAAGGAGTACCCTCTTCTCCCGCCTCATAGCCAGGAACTCCTCCGCGCCGCACGGTCCGGCCGTCTCTACAAGCGCCCTGCGCCCCTCGATGACGAAGATGGCGATGTTGACGCCGAAATCAGCAAGGGAGACAAGAAAGAGTCGGACGCGGCCGTTGATGGGTTTATGGTCAAGATGTGGAAGCAGATGCCGCGCAACGTCGAGAGCCCCACCGTATCACATCTAGCGAAGCGACACAAGAACACGGTGACGCTGGCCTCAACGGCCATCGCGGCGCAGATCTCTGGGCCGACAGTCACGAGGGCAACAGTGCGCCGCATCGACGCCGCCGGCAATCCCTACGAGCAGACCGTCACCCTTGCCGCAGGCCAGCAGGTTGATGGCGAGATCATCCACACGACCGTCGTCCCTGCTCCAGTCGCCGCGAAGCCAGAGCTGACGGCCCAACAACCTGCGCCGCAAAGAAGACGGCCACCCCCGCCAAAGCGGAAGGCCAAGGGCCCTGGCCGCGGGCGCAAGAAGGGTGCGCCAAAGCTGCCGTTGCCGGTTCCGGTGCCTTCCCAGGTCATACCACAAGTCGGCGCTGTTACCACTAACGAGACAACCGGAATCAAGACCGAGCCTGTTGGCGCTGAGGTAAGTTTTGCAGTTGCTCTAACAATAGGTATAATGGGCCAGTAGCTGACCATCACTTGCGAAGCAGGCGGTCAAGATAGAAGACAACGAAGATAGCGCGAACCAGGACAGCGAGATGGCGGATAACTCAGCCATGCCCTCGGACGACGAAGAAGGGGATGACGGAGAAGACGAAGGCGACGACAACGGCGACGAAGATGATGGAACGCCTGAGATTGAGAACAGTGTGAACCCGGATCCCGACCAGGACCAGGACGTCGAGATGGAGGACTCGGAGGCGTCCGAGGTCATCCGGCCCAGCTCTATCGAGGAGCCCGACGAACGGTCTTCGGTACCCGCAGCCTCGGCCTCGACCGAGGACGAGGAAGTTACAATTCCAAAGGTCCGCTTCGCACCGCCATCAGGCCTTGTTAACCTGGCGGCACCGCTCGTCCCGATACACCTATCATCGCCCAGGCTCGAGGGCAGCCCGCTCAAGAACGTCATTATCCAGTCGCCGACTGAACCGTCGCCCGTCATCTCGCCCCATGCGCCGGGCTTCTTCGAAATGAATACTAGCATGCCCATGGAAATCAGCAACCCGCCAGCTCCCGTGGATGTGACTGATGTCTCTGAAGCAGCGGTGGATAGCTCACTCGATGACATCATTCAAATGGACGAAGTTTCTGGCCAAGAACCTGTCACGCAGGTGAATTGTACACAGCCAGAAGACGTGGCCATGGATCTGACAGATAATGTGCCAAGTGATTCTGGTGCTGTGGCGGCCGGTGATTTCTCGGACCCTATGCTCTTCAAGGCGGAAGACCTACTGCGAGAACCTGTCACCACCATTGCTCCCGAGTCAGTCGCCGAGCCAGTCGCCGAGTCAGTCGCCGAGCCAGTCGCCGAGTCAGTCGCCGAGCCAGTCGCCGAGCCAGTCGCCGAGCCAGTCGCCGAGCCAGCTACAAGCACAGTGGCTGGCGCACCGCATGAAGTTCCGAGTTTCGAAGCTGCTGTTCCTCCCGCTCCAGTTCTCGATACTCCCGAGATTGCGGATGCGCCGCCGCCTGCCCCTGTCCCATCCCCTGTCTCAGCCCCTGTCCCAGCCCTTGAGATTCCCGAGGCGACGATAGACATTGAAGGGCTATTAGAGCCATTATCTACGCCGATAGATGCGCCAGCGCTGCCAGATCCGACGCCTGTCCCTCTAGTAGTGGAAGAGCTCGCCATCGTCGAAGAGGTCCTGCAGCCTCCTGCCTCCCCCGCTCTGCTCCCCGCCGCTGTAGCAGAGGAAGAGGACGACGGGCTGAATCTGCTCGGCAGCCTCGAGCGCGAGCTGGATCGCCAGGAAGGCATGAGCAATGCCAGCAGCCGGGAAGAGGCCGCAAACCGGCAGCAGGCGGCGGTTACTGATGCTGCTGCCGACACTGCTGCTGGTGCCGCTGGCGGTGGCGCTGGCGTTAATGCAGGTGCTGCTGCTGTGGTTAATGAAGGTGCTGTTGTCGGTGCTGATGCTGCCACTGGTTCTGGCGAGCCGGCCACGGCGGGTCCTCCTCCAGAATGAAGAGATGCACATGCAGTTCTGACGGGCTTTGGGGTGGCAACTTTTCAATTTCTTTCTTCTTGGTTATTTTATGATTTTCCTTTTATTTTAGAGAAAGCGGTTTTACGAAGAGTAGGGACAATGGCTGATTGGAAACGAGAATAGAAATGCCTGTCTGGAAAATGTTCTCGGTGTTTGTATGCGAGGGGGCTCTGGGTTCTGTTCCTGTCTTGCTTTATTTTACTGTATAACTAATAAAAACGCTGTACACGAAAAAAGGGGAGTCTGCCTGGCATCATGGTATCTTCGATATTGTATGTCCTTGGCTGTGGCTTGCTTGGCTAGGCAGGCATCTTGGATATGTTGGAACTAGTTACATGATTTGGCAAGATTTAGCTTGGCACCTTCGTTCTGTAAGGCATGTCTATCGAAAATCTAGTGTTTGTTTACTTGGGTTGGGTTGTCTGTTGTGCTCCGACTTGTCCTCTGTCGTTAGTGTGGAATGGGCGATGATATATCTCTAACCTACCCCGAATTTACATGGACAGGGCGAGCGAGCGAGCTAGTTTACGCATCGTTGCTTGCTGTCAAACCGATTAGGAGTTTTTTGTCAATAAATAGGGAATATGTGCTTAAGTGGGAGTAACTAGCTACCTAAGTAGGTAATGAGATATGGAGGGGAATAACAGAGATTTTTTAAGAAAACAAAAAGAAAATAATAAAAGGAGTCTCTCTGGCTAGGATATCTATTTACATGGGACATTGGCATCCGGGAACTTGTCCAAAACGGGAGCAAGAAGCAGACGGAGCCTTGCAGTTTGCCCAAAGGGAAAGGGAAAGAGAAAAAGAAGGTGTAGAAAGGTGCAGAAAAAAGGAGAGAAAAAAGAGAGAGAGAGAGAATGCCTTGGCACTACCCTACAGACTCGCCATCAGCACGGCCGCGGCGCCCACAGCGCATACGACAAGCCCCGCCATGCCCGGCGCCGTCGCCGGAGCTGCCGAGCCGGCCGTCAGCGGCACGCTCGCCGGCACAAACGTCGCCGTCGGCACCACGCCCGACGTGAACGGCGCGTCCAGCACCGGCGTGACCCCCGAGAAGGCGGGCGCCTGTGACGTGGCCGACGCGTCGGGCGTCGCCGTGGTGTTGCCTGGGTTGAGGACGCTTTTGGGGTGTTAGCCATGTGCTTTCTTCTTCCTCCTGCCCCTGTCCTTGCGGGTTGGGTGTAGAGAGACTCACTTGTCGATGACGTGCACGACGCCGTTGGTGGTCAAAATGTCAGCCACGAGCACGCGGGCCGAGTTGACAAACAGCTGGCCGTTCTCGCTGCGCACCGTCAGGTTGGTGCCCTGGATGGTCATGAAGGAGCGCGGCGAGCCCGTCAGCAGGTCCGGGCTGAAGCGCACCTGTTGCGCGAGCACGTGGTAGGCTAAGATGTTGACCACGTCCTGCGACTGCAGCGACCCAGCCGCGCTGCCGATCGCCTTGAACGCCTCGTTGGACGGCGCGAAGATGGTCGCGTCCGTCAGCTGGTTGACCCCCGTGTCCAGCTGCACGCTCGCCAGTGCCCCTGCGAGCGACGTGAGCCCCGTGTTGATGGCGGTTAGTGATGGGCTCGCAGGTACCGTGAGCACCGTGTCGATGATGTGGATGATGCCGCCGTCAAACTCGACGTCCTGTAGGCATGGGTTAGTTTGTTTTTTCTTGTGCTCGCTCTCACGCAAGACAACTTCCGAGGTTGCAGCAGTAAAAAGGGGGTAACTTCCACCCCCCTAGTTCTCTCTCTGTCCCTCTCTCAATACGTACCGCTGTGGTCACCATGGCGGGCTGCTTGAAGCCTGAAAAGATCATGGCCGTGTTGTTGACCTTGGCCAGCTCCACGCGCTGTCCACCCGTGACGTTGGCAAAAGGGGTGCCGAGCATGGTGGCGGCGAAGCTGGGCGTCGTGGAGAACTGGCTGGCGGGGATCTTGCCGAGCAGGACGTGGTACTGCAGGACGCCGGTGAGGGCGCGCGTGTTCTGCATCAGTTCGGCCGCCTTGGGGTTCCTCGATAGCAGCTTGGTGAAGGCGTTGTTGGACGGCGCCAGAATCGTGATGTTCTGCGCCGTCGACAGGGCCTGCACGAGATCTGGCACCCCGGTCAGGAGACCTGAGAGAGAACGAAGCGTCCAAGTGTCAGCAGAAGACTCAAAAAAGCCCCCTCTTCTCCCCGTCTTCGTCTCCCCTATCCCTTCTCCGCGTTTTGGTCAGGATGGAGCCATCTTCATACTGGATAGAGTGCTTAACGAAGCAGAGCTCGCCGCGAGCACGGTGGAGAGCGCCTCGGCAGATACATAGGCCGCAAGGGCCAGAGGTAGCAGGTGTGGTAGATACATTGTTGTTATTTTCGTCGCCGGATTCTGGTCAACCCTGTTGATGAGGCGACGCCGCTAGAGCTTGTTCGTGCCAGAGAGAGAATCGCACACTGTCAAGCGAGAAGTGGCAAAAAGATGAGAAGACGAGAGATCATGATGATATAAAGCGGGCGAGAGCCCCGGGGCATATTGATCCTCCAGCTCGCCGGTACGGTCCCACGATGTTTTGTCGTCTTGCCCCGAACCTCAAACACGTCGAGCCTACAGGAAGTGCTAGCCCCGGATCGCCCATGCATATATTCCCCCCAGCTCCTGCTCCCCCAGCTCCCCCAGCTCCTGGTGTCAACCGTTTTCTCTCTCATCGTCCCTTTGGTCTGACACACTGCTGGCCTTGCCGTCGTCCTCCACGATGTATTCCTTGGCCCAGGAACACCCCAATGTGTACGTAGTCGATATAAAAAATGGGTAGTACAGGGAAAGGGCCCCCGGGGTCCTTCTGGTCTCGGTGGCTCGCACAAATGGTAATGCACAGACAGAAGGCCAGACAGCAACAGCAAGAGCCTGGTGAGACCTGGGGGCGAGGTGATCCCAACTGCCTCGCAAGAGTCAGAGTCAAGGGCAGCGCTCGGAAGGGGGGAAGTTTGTCTTTCCGTGGGGAAAGGGAAACGCAAGAAAGGCTTGGCAGGGGACTTGTGTACATAGCAGCAGAGAGGAACTCGGGCGAGTCCAGCGAACTCGCCCGCCGTCTGGGTTCAGACACGGCATGACACAGCGGGTATTCAACATGAAGCTAGCAATGTCAGAGTTGCGGAGATCATGAAGCCTGATCTGGGAAACAAGGGTGTTCCAGAAGGTCGTGCACTCGCTTGTGCATAACAGTGCAGCCAACCGCGCTAGGAAAGGGGCCCTTCCCATTCTGGCAGCGCCTATGCTGTTGTTTCTCTCTTTTCTTTTCTTTTTGTGCCTTTTAATTCTTCTCCCTTTTTCGTGTCGTGTCTCTCTTGCACGGTCGATCCCTCAACCTCTGCCGGAATCCCGGTTCCCAATCGGGTCTTTCTTCAAGAAAGAACGCTAGGCATCGGTAGTTGAACATGTGAAACAAATACCTCCGTAGCCTACGGGAAAACCCCTTCCCCAAAAGGGGTAGGTGAGGGGAGACAAAAAGGTGAGCTTCGGTGAGTGGCCAATCAGGGACCACAACTGTTTTGTCGCAGTGCATCACCGCCCCCAGTTCCGTTCTTGGTCCGTTTCTTCAGAGACATATTCCCGGCCTCCAAGCCTCACCCAGGCCAATAACCGAGTCTACTCCAACGGCCACGAGACTCCGACATATCTAACTAAGGTAAGGCAGACAACGCAGTACCGTACCGTACCGTACTGCCGGCCAACCCCTCCTCAGCCTCCTCTGCAACGAGAAATGATCGCCTTGCACGCGTTCACGCCCCTCAACCTCAATCACTAGAATCACTAGATATGCCACGAAAGGTGGTAAATCCACATGGCTATCGCCTTTTTCGCTCGCGGCCAAGGCCGGCGGCCTTTTATTTGATGATTATGATTCCTTGATTGCTCGTTACTGGTGTTTTGTTGAGGATGTGGAATTCGACGCAACAAGACGACGCCACCCGAAATATGTATGCAGCCTAGATGCAACAACGATATCCCGCCATGATGATGGAGCCGTGAACGAGCTCCTCCAACGCCTAGTCCTAAAAAAAGCAAACCCAACGCCCGTGGCATTGGCCAATGTCAATGATACTGGTGTAAACCCACCATATCTGGTCCCGTCATCATGTTCGTCTCGTTCCCACCGTCAAATAGTAATAACTCCATCCCGTGCGCTGCTGACGATTAGCCGGCCAGCCAATTATGCTTGCGAAACCCGCTGCTCCGCCATGCCCTCGAGGAGCTGGGTATATCTGCTCTTCTTGCTGTGGATGCCGCACTCTGTCTTGTCCTGGCCTTTCCACCGGCCGGCGCGCTCGTCTTCGCCTTCTCCGACCGGGCTTGTCGAGTGCCAGTCCCCGACAGACTTGTAGCCTCTGTCGAGGAGGGTGTTATACGGCACCTTGTTGTCTTCGATGTATGCCTTCACTTGTTGGAATGACCAGTTGACCAACGGGTTGATCTTGACGATGCCCCGCTCTTCGTCAACTTCGATAACGTCAATGTCGCCGCGCTGTCCGCCCTGCGAGCGGCGCCGGCCCGTGAGCACGGCCGCCACGTTCAGCTCGGAATAGGCGCGCTGCTGCGGTTCCACCTTGGCAATCCAGTCGTACAGATCGGCCGACATGTCGTACAGCTTCTCGCCGTACGTGTCCTCGAATTCGCCGACCGTGTCGACGCCGTTGGGCTTGAAGACGTGGAGTCGCACATTCTGGTAGCGGGCCTTGACACGTTCAACTAGTTCATATGTCTCCTGGAAATGGTACAGCGTGTCGAGGAAGATGAGGTCTACCGCCTGCGAGGCCGGCGACTCTTGCTGGATCTTGGAGAGCATGTCGATGGTGGCCAGCCCAGTCAAGCCGAAGGCCGTGGTCTGGTAGAGATTGGGGAACAGAACCATGCAGAAGCGGAGGATGTTTACGGGGTCCATGCTCTCGAGCTGCTTGTTCAGGTGCTTTAGGTGAGCCGCGGTGAGGGATACGAGAGGAAGGCTGCTGGTGGACGAGTTTGCCGAGCCAAATCCAGAATCGACCGATGCGTTGTCATCCATCTTGGCATCAGCCCCCAGCCTCGAGGAAGGCGAAGCCGACCTTGACGACGTCTCTGTGCGCGGAGCCGAGTCCATGTTGAATGTTGGAGACGGAGCGAGTAAAAGAGAGGCAGAGAGGCAGAGAGGCAGAGAGAGAGAGAGAGAGAGAGAGAGAGAGAGAGTTGACAAATCGCTTTCCTTTGGGGCTATCAAGGACGAGCGTATGGGTCTATATCCGGCCGCAGAGGAAATGAAGGGTGGGAAAAAGAGGGGGGAAGACGTCAAGGGCTAGAAGTCACGACCGGCAGGGAAGTGAACCTAGGGGAGAGAGAGATGGTGTGGGAAAGGTATGGGGGTCAGGGTGGTCCTGGGGGTAATAAGGAGAAAGAAGTTCGGCCGGATGGGAGGGATGGCACCTTTTGACCAGAGTGAGCCGAGACGAGGGTCTTGCAGGCAGGAGGAATATCCACGTTTCCACAACAGCCCTCGCAGCAGCTCAGAGAAACTCCAGGAAATAAACGGCAGGTGAATATTCACGGTCAGTGATATTTTACTACATTTGTAATGAATGGCCTCTGAGGTCAGGCCCATGTCCATCCATGTCTATGCCCGTAGCTATGAGCCGGGTATTGCCAGCGGATGGCGTCTTACACTGGCGACCGGCCATCTTGGGATGGTGTTGTGGATGCTGTTAGAAAGCACGCATTTTTCAGCGATGGCGCAATAGGCACTTGTAGCTTAGGTCTTGGTGGTGGTGTTTTCGGCGAGGCTGATCACGACATCTGGAGCCCTTTTCATTGGTCAATGCGGCCCATTTCTGTGGGGTTTTCATCTTCTTAGTCCCGGCGCCCGCCTCTGTGGTGGCGAGGGCCGGCCGAGGAGCCGCATGCTTCGGGTCTACCTGACGAGTCTAAGCAGTTGCGAAACGTTACCGCTACGCCGAACTGACTTTCGGCCATTCCCGCTGACAGAACTTGCAGAGATCTCGACTGTCGCTGTCCTTTTCTGCGAAGAAAACATGATGTCACTACATCTTGCACCATCAACCTTAGTCAAGCGTCAGACGCACTAGGTTCTACCCTAAGTACCTAGGTGGGTAGTTATAGAGTCCCGAGATACCGTCTTTCTTCGCCAACCCTACCTACATCCCTTACCTCCCTACTTGGGTATATGTATTGATGTTGGAGCCGCGAATGACAACGCACTGAGGGCATACAATGTAACCCAGAAATGCCAAAAGGGCCTGGTGCTCTTGACGCTTTGACAACCTGGAGTCCTTGACGGCAGCTCTTTTGCTCTGATACTCACTTTTTATTGGAGGGATAATTTGCAAATGCTCGCTGGTCGACACTGACTTTATCCCGGCCCGGATGTCGGCGGCTGTCGGCGGATGTCGGTGGTTGAAACGGCTCGTCGATGACATACATATAACTTGCAGGTAAACCTGGGCGCATGCTCTGCCCCCTGGAGCTCGATGTCAAGTCAAGGCGGGGCAGTTGTTATGGTGGGGTTACCAAGGCCGGGGGTTGCCAAGATTTTTTGGTAACCCCCCTTCCAAAGGCCTCATGGCGTAGGATTTTGGGTGTTGCCACAACGCCCTACGGTCAAGCCCTCTACCTACTTATCTAAGCCACCGGTTGCCTTTCTTGGCCCTGACTGACCGCATTCGGAGATTTGGCCGTGCAGAAGAAGACCGCGAACGGCAATTCTACTCGGAGAACAGGTCTCCCTCGAGGCTCATCCCTCGTCGCATCGCAACCATGGCCAGCGAAGCCAATCCGCGCCAGGGACGGCCTTCTATGACCTCGGCGATGAGGAGCAGCTCTTTCATCAAGGAACACCAGCAATATCGGCCGCCAAGCAAGCCCGAAAACCACTATGGTATCGACACGGTTGTCGAGGACCTCCAGGCCAGCAAGATTTCCTCGCCTCGCCAGATCTCCCCTTTCAACGGCGTTCCGTCGGCCGAGAACCCACCTACCATTGTCGAGAGCGGCGTGAGCCACGAGCTCTCGCACCCGAATTGCACGTCGGCGCCGGGAACCAAATATGACAAGCTTGTTGCCACGCTCTTCTACAAGTCCACCTCGCCCCGAGTCTCCAACACGGTCCATTCACCGGTGAGGGTGCCGTCTCCCACGAGGGGCCAGTCTCCGAAGCCGCATCCGTCCGACTCCGAGTTCCCTCCGAACATGTCTCCGAGCAGCAGCATCGACACTTTCCCCCTAGAGCCTCCCGCCAGCGAGCCTGAGCCGCTCGACCACTTGTATGGTTCCCACATCTCCCCCATGTGCATCACATCTTTTTTGCACCTCATGTCAACCTTCCCCCTCCCCCCTGGAACGGCCGACCTGAATTCGGCACATCGGTGCCTCAAGCTTGATGCTACCCACGACTACCACCCCACCGTAGTCGAGCTCACCATGTCTCCGGCTCCGTCCCTCGACTATCTGTCCCTTGAAGACCTGCGCAAACACGAGTTGATCTACCGATTCGAGCGCGAATGGAACACTGACGTGGTGCTTCGGAGCGATACACTCTGGCGGCGCTACCCGAGGCTAGTGGTCTTCGATATGGATAGCACTCTGATCACCCAGGAGGTCATCGATCTCCTCGCTGCCACGATCCAGGATCCCCCCGATCTCGGTGCACGCGTGGCCGACATAACCCATCGTGCTATGCTCGGCGAGTTGGAGTTTGACGGCGCCTTTCGTGAGCGAGTCAAGCTGCTCAAGGGGCTCCCAGCCAGCATCTTCACCGAGCTCCGACCTGTCCTGGATGTCACCAATGGAGTGGTGCCCCTATTGCGTGCCTTGAAGAAACTTGGCGTCAAGACGGCAGTGCTGTCCGGAGGCTTTTTGCCCCTAACAAGCTGGCTCTCCGGTGAGCTAGGACTCGACTACTCGCATGCAAACGAGGTAGTTATTGACGAAACGACTGGGCGCCTGACTGGCGAGGTGAAAGGACGTATTGTCGGCAAGGAGCGCAAACGCGAGCTCCTCATTGAGATTGCCGAAAAGGAGGGCATTGCCCTCGAACAGGTAGTTGCTGTTGGCGACGGCGCGAACGACCTGCTCATGATGGACGCTGCCGGACTAGGTGTTGCTTGGAACGCCAAGCCAAGAGTACAAATGGAAGCCGGAGCTAGGCTCAACGGCGACAGCTTACTGGATCTCCTCTACCTGTTTGGATTCTCGGATGAAGATATACAGACGCTGATAGCTTAAGGGGGGTTTCTCTAAGAGGTCTATCAACATATTCTTCTACTTCTTCTTCCACCCCAGATTGGCGAGGAGATACTAGGGCACATTGGCAGCAGGTTTGGGCATGAAGTACACGACTTGGCAATACGACACTGGTTTGGGTAAAACACACGCTAGGTAGGCCCATAGAACTTGCCTGTGAGCAATAAATGCAATTCTACTGAGCAAAGATGAAGTTCCCTACTTATATTCTGTTTAGTGTGTGCCTAGTAATGTTTATTAATTATTTTCACCTTGGTGACGAATCTAACTTGTGGAAGTCGCTCCGAGAGAAGACGATATGCTATATAAAGCAAGACGTGGCCCATATTCACCTTTTCCCGTTTCAGAGACAGATGTCCACTTTATTACAAGACACTTCACCTTTACGTCATGGTTTGGCAATGTGCCCAATGCGGAATATCGCCGCAGGGGCCTTCCCGGGACAGTTTTTGCTATTGCCCTAGATACATATGGGTCACAAGAGGACGGGGCGGAGGCACGCGTGCATGACGTTAAGTGGCAGGGGAAGGGGGTCCAAGAAGTAAGCTTCTCTTGGCAAACAGTTGACCGCTGAACAGTTCGGATGAGTCTTGACGTTGAAGTTGGATAACACACGAGACTCGTTGGAATTTGTAATGAACGGTAAGTCTGGAAACTACCTACTGTACCTATCTGCATTTCTTCTTCTCACAAACCTTGTTCATCAAATACATAGGATAAACGTTCTGCAAAGGTTCAAATAGTGTGAATAGGGCTCTGGCAGGAAGGGAACTTAGTTAAATGGAATAAGAGTCACTTGAAAAGCAAAGTCTAGGTCTAGAATTTAAGATCGACAAACACCAGGGCTAGTCTGACACATGCCTGGGTAAGGTAGATATAAAGTGAATCCACAATGGCTCGGAAAGGAGTCATGGTCAAGTTCCGTGGGTAAGGAGACAATGTCTTTAAACTTGGGGACTACGTATTAGCCCGTTTTCTACCAACCACAGCAGCCCATCGAGAAGCTTAACTTTAGCGTGGTGGATCTACGTAGCTGTCTCGATTGATTTGACTTGGCAGCTCTAAACCCACCTTCGGTCATCCTAACTTCTCTTGCCGGGAGGCGAGCTTATTGTGCCGCATGCTTTGCCGATCATGAGGCGCAGAAGGTCAGAGGCCAGCCAAAAGACCGAAGGCCAAAGTACCCGGTGGCCGTCACCTGTGTTGCCACCCCTTTTGACCCTCCCGCTCGCAGTCACCCGGCATGCCGGTGGCGTAAAACTAGAAGGGGTATCTCAAGCCTAAGTAAGAAACCCGACCTTAGTAATGTCCAATAATCTTGGTAGCCGAGTCTCCACCCCTTGCACAAATTTCGATAATGCAATTGAAGTGCATCAAGGCACTCGAGCTTTGCCTGTTGGCGGTATCTCCCTTGCTCTTCTGCCTCAAGCGTTCCTGGGTCCTTCCGGGAGCCTCCAGGGGGAGTTGGCACTGTTCAACAATAGAGAGTCGAAGTAGGTTATTAGTGCCGTCAGGCAACCCAATCTCGGACCAAGGATCGGCAAAAGACGTATAAAACCCCATGAAGTGATCATCGTCCCTCGAGTTCGTCATAACCTATTCAACGGAGAGTTGTGGCTTGTTATTCCGCCCGCTATCTGCTGTAGCAAATACATCTTCCTGAGTAATTATAGAATAAGCATACGTATTATAGGAGATAAGTCGGACTTTAAAAAGAATCTCATATTGATCTCAGGGTCTTTAGTTGCCTTGAGGGAGGGAGGCGCGTTTGCCATGTCGCCCGTATCTCAGAAAATGAGGTCTTCCCAGATTTGACTGGGGTTGAGAAGATCTTAAAGCAAAATCATTCTGGCGTCCTCGCCCAGGTTATTCAACGTAATGTCAGACACTATCTCTATGGTTTTATCATAAGCTAACGTAGCGACTTTTGTATCAGCCCCTCCTTTCCATATATTCTATTTGTCTTCTTTAGTCTCCTATTCTCCCTATCGCAGAAATTACCCATACACACTATTACGTGACTTTTACGTATCTATCTACCCACGTAGTCCGACACTGTTTTCTGATACCTGGAGAGCTGGCGAGATATCTTAAGATATCCTTTAGTAGCTTTTCGGAACCAATGGTTATTGATAGATATCAGGCAAACAACACCTCTAAACCCTCGAGCGGCATCCTTTACCAATAACCTTTACTGGACTTGACTGCAACTCTATGTTTGTTAAGCAGATGCCAACCCTCACGCCCGGAAACGAGGCGAAATTAGTCCCACAGTACGGTGGTAGTTTTGCCGGGTACACGACCTTCTTATTAATCATTCCCGAGCTGAATACCAGTATTATCGTCCTGGTTAACTCCATTAGACTCGGCGACCCAGCGGGCTGGATCCACCAGCTCGTCCTCGAGGCCATTATCGAGACCAAGAAGCCTAACGACTATGTCGCTCTCGCCGAGGAAGCCACACTCTTATACGCTAGTAGCATCGCCGAGATCCCTACTAATTTGTAGAAGGCGCGTAAAGATATTCCACTATAGCGCCCTCTGTCCGACTTTACCGGCCTCTACTGATTTCTGGTTGGCTAGTCTGATCTCGGCAGCTCAGCCCAGACCTTCTCTGTATATAGCTGTAGGCTCTGAATGCCAAGTACAAAATCTCCCTCTTGCGGGCCTGGATTGCGAAGAAAAAGAAGTCGAAATCCTAGTACTAATGCCCCCCTAGTAATATTGTACGATACTGGATTTGTTGTCTCACCGCGGGTGATGGTGATTGACTGCCGTTTTACTGGGTTGAGAACACCATTCTGCTGCGACATAGTAGCAGCCCGACTCCGCGTGATCGCTCCTTGTGGACTCGAGATTTCTTCCTCCCATTTCTCTAGCAAAATGTGGTGTTGCTGGTCGTCAAATTTCGCCAGAATGACAATCTTGACCTCGTGGTTTGATGCCTGAAACCACCACCGCATATCCTTGTGAAGCTCGGGTAATGGTTCGAAATATCTAGATTTAATGACTAGTGTTGGCCAATTACCTGCTCCTGCACGTTCCGGCCATGGACCGCCTGTCGAATCGCCTTCTCCGCCATCTCCTCCAGGATGACCTTGTTCTGCTCGAAATGTAGCTGACCCAATATCTTTCCAACTTTCCTCCGTGCCATTCCGGACAAGCTGGGTAAAATACCGCCTATAAAGTCCTAGGTGAAGGGCCTCATGTAGATCGGTTGGGATTGTGATAATCAAGATTCGGGAATTGGCATTGTAGTGGCGAAAACGGAACTTTCGGTATCGTTTCTTTTGCCCAGTCTTTCGCCCAGTCTCTCGCCCAGTGTCTCTCTTACGCTCGATTTTGGTGAATTGATTAGGAGAGACATCTAAATAATTAGCATATTATGTAGAAATAAGAGGGTAATAGTATACTTGTGACGGTAAGGAAATCCCCAGTAGTGGAATTAATGACGTCGAAGAGATCTTGCGTATTGGTAAATCGTACGGTCGGGCGATCGCTATCTCTCGTCGACTTAACTGAAGTAAGTATGGTAGACGCCGACGGGACTGCCGATGAAGCCGATACCGATGAAGCCGACACCGACGGAGATATCGTCGACCTCGATATGATTGCCGCCATGGCGAAGCGTTGAAGTTTGAAGTTGGGATCTGTGAGATGCGTGGAGGAAGCTACTGGAGGGGTACGTGCTCATGAAAATGGCGGGGCCATACTAGCCAAAAATGGCAGCGTATACAGCGACACAGATACTCAGGGTGGAATGCATTGACAGCTGCGATTGTCGGCTGCCAGATGCCACCCTTCCAGGAAAAGGGTGAAACGGTGGGCGTATTTATTAGCAAAGCGGGGTTTTGGCCTGATGGGGGTTTCCCATGGGCTCGGTGGTGCATGCGGTTTCTCATACAAAATGACTTCTTGAAAAGCGGACAAGGAATGTGGTTGCCGACTTTGAACAAGACTACATTCCAATCCGTACTTGGGATGGATAGTACGGTAGGGCTTGGGGTAAACAAAATCGGCCCTGAACTGCCTTGCCAGGGCATTCGGAAGAGGGATACAGAGCTGTGGGATTTGATACTAGGGGCCTTCGAAGCAAAACCTTCAGGGCGAGCCGCACGGCGTGATACCTTTGAGATCTTGGAGTCGCCTGCTAACAAACATCCTGAGTTGGGCTAGACAATTTGCCTAGCCGCCATGCAGCCGCCGCCTCCCGGCGAGACCTCGATTGGGTCTCGCAGGCGAGTCGTCGAAACCGACCATTTCAATGCCGCTTGACCATTGAGTGTGACACCCTTGTGAGCATTTGGTAGGCGCCATTGCTTTTGTCATGGGGAAAAAAGCGAGAGGGAAGCCGCCAAGAATCCATCCGATAAACAAAGGCACAGATACTAGGAGAGGGGTGACTCACTTACCACCACCCGCCGCTCGCCGGATTCCCAACTGGGCTATTGTCGACGGTTGGGCTGGAAAACTTAGATGCAACCAAGCAGAGCCCAAAGCCTACGGGGCCTATCAAGGCTGCTTGTTTGCATACGTGGTATCTAGGTTTAGTGGAGCCTTGTCAAACGCCAGAATCTCGAGCTGAGGAGGTGCTTGGGAGACTGGTAAATCCCTAGGATCGCCATTAATGTAAGAGAGGGGCGTTCTACCGTCACCAGGGGATCGAGGTGCACCAGCTTGGGAACCACTCCATTTAATTTGCAGCGCACTATTGTGGTAATCCTGATGATCATGGTAAAGGCAGTACAACAGGAGGGTAGTAGTTGAATTTTTTTCTTCGTTCTCTCCCAAGGCCAAGCTGTGAACCTTGAGCATGAATTCGGACGACCAGACAATAGGCAGCCAGCCTGGGCCGCTGCGGGGCGGCAAGGCGTGGTGGACCAAGAATGGAGGCAGAGAAATTTGAAGGCTTGCCCCACCTTTATTGAATTTTTTGTGTTGTGCAGGTGAATCGAGCAGCCAACCCCACCAGCCCACCTCTCGCCCCTCCACAGACGGCATAAAAACTTCGACCCCTCCTCCTCCTCTTACTTGCTTCTCCTTCTTTCTTCTTTGTCGGCATACCTGATTCGAGCAATCTTCTGCCACTTTCCAGTGCGTATCCAATCCCTGCGAAAATTCGCGTTCTGTTCTCGAGCATCGCTGTCTAACATCATTCTACCAGCTTTCCACATCAATCACCAGCCTTCAACTCTCAATACACACCGCAAATCCTTCACCATGGGGTAAGATTGTCCATAGCGCCGAGACCGCCGCATAGATCGCGGCCTATTCCATCAAAGAAAATTTAGCTGACGCTACTCGATCATTAGTAAGGAAGATAAAGCCCACATCAACGTAGGTAGCCGTCGCCGCCGATCGCCTTGCTTTGCTCGAGACATTTGATGCTGATTGACATGTCTCCAGGTGGTCGTCATTGGGTTCGTCTCGCTCCCGCTTGGTATCTGTCGATGCTCAACAGCGCGAAATTCTAACGTTTGACTATCTAGCCATGTCGACTCCGGAAAGTCGACGACGGTAAGCATCTAATCCTCTCTGGCGTGGCCCTCGATACCGAGGCCATGCGACATCAAGACAAACAAGTTGCTGACAACCCTTGACAGACCGGTCACTTGATCTACAAGTGCGGTGGTATTGACAAGCGTACCATTGAGAAGTTCGAGAAGGTTAGTTCCTCATTGTTTTCCACTACGTCTTCCATCATTTTTCACTCTACACACAAATCTTCACATCGACGGTTCAATTTGCCATCAATTTGTGCCCGGTTTCCCCCACCTTGACTCCCCTGCCTGTTGGTCCTTATCAAGGCGGGGGAGGGGCACACAAAAATCGCGACTAGAAATTTTCTAAGCACGGACCAATATGCCCCGCGTTTCCACCCCTCAAATGATAACGATAACGAGCCATTTTTCAACCTCGACGAAAGACGACTGACAAATAAGGAATAGGAAGCCGCTGAGCTGGGCAAGGGCTCTTTCAAGTATGCGTGGGTTCTTGACAAGCTCAAGGCCGAGCGCGAGCGTGGTATCACCATCGATATCGCTCTCTGGAAGTTCGAGACCCCCAAGTACTACGTCACCGTCATTGGTATGTTCCTTGCGCTCTCTCTGATCTGTATTTGACAATCGCTGACGTGTTGCTTTTGAACAGACGCCCCCGGCCATCGTGATTTCATCAAGAACATGATCACTGGTACCTCCCAGGCCGATTGCGCTATTCTCATCATTGCCGCCGGTACTGGTGAGTTCGAGGCTGGTATCTCCAAGGATGGCCAGACCCGTGAGCACGCTCTGCTCGCCTTCACCCTCGGTGTCCGCCAGCTCATTGTCGCCATCAACAAGATGGACACCGCCAACTGGGAGGAGAAGCGTTTCCAGGAGATCGTCAAGGAGACCTCCAACTTCATCAAGAAGGTCGGATACAACCCCAAGACCGTTGCTTTCGTGCCCATCTCGGGCTTCAACGGCGACAACATGATCGACAACTCCACCAACTGCCCCTGGTACAAGGGCTGGGAGAAGGAGACCAAGGCCGGCAAGTCTTCTGGCAAGACCCTCCTCGAGGCCATTGATGCCATTGAGCAGCCCAAGCGCCCGACCGACAAGGCTCTCCGCCTTCCCCTCCAAGATGTGTACAAGATCGGCGGTATCGGAACAGTTCCCGTCGGCCGTATCGAGACTGGTGTCCTCAAGCCCGGCATGGTCGTTACTTTCGCCCCCAGCATGATCACCACTGAAGTCAAGTCCGTCGAGATGCACCACGAGCAGCTCGCCGAGGGTCTCCCCGGTGACAACGTTGGCTTCAACGTCAAGAACGTCTCCGTTAAGGAGATTCGTCGTGGCAACGTCGCTGGTGACTCCAAGAACGACCCCCCTGCGGGCGCCAACTCTTTCACCGCTCAGGTTATCGTTCTCAACCACCCCGGCCAGATCGGTGCTGGTTACGCCCCGGTTCTTGATTGCCATACCGCCCACATTGCCTGCAAGTTCGCTGAGCTCCTCGAGAAGATCGATCGCCGTACCGGCAAGTCTATTGAGGACAACCCGAAGTTCGTCAAGTCTGGCGATGCTGCCATCGTCAAGATGATTCCATCCAAGCCCATGTGCGTGGAGGCTTTCACCGACTACCCGCCTCTTGGTCGTTTCGCCGTCCGTGACATGCGTCAAACTGTCGCTGTCGGTGTCATCAAGGCCGTCGACAAGGTTGACCCCAAGGCTGCCGGTGCCAAGGCACGTAGTTCCAATTATCACCCGTTCTTCCTGTACACAACTGACACATTCATGAACAGGTCACCAAGTCCGCTGGCAAGGCCCTCAAGAAGTAAATTCTTCCTCCGCACTAATACCAATGAGGAATCGGGTATCGATCAGGCTCGTCAATGGAGACGCGTCATGCACAAGGATTTCTTTGCGTCACATGTATCTCGGTCTTTTTGTTTTGGAGCACATCTGAGAGAGAATGGTCTGGGTTTTTCTGCTGCGAATCAAAACTTCTCACCATGTGCTGTAGTACAAAATAGAGTCTCCTAAAATGATCATTTGCGCAAGTACCTTTCCTGATGGTTGCACTCTTCTGACGCCTGAGGATCGAAAAAGCTACCCCTGCCTTACTTTACTGTGGGATATAACATGGAATGCCGACATATCTTGTGTGTATGGATGGCATAGTTCCTCTGATGTCGATGGTATGCAGAGTATTCCCCCGGTTGTGCGAGCGACGCGTAGGTGGAGTATCAGATTACTTTCAAGTCATATTCTAAAGTTGAAATAAATCGAAGGGTCTAATTTAAACAATACAAACTGTACAAGGTATATATTATACACATAAACCTCTCCTGGTCTTATTTTCCTGCCCAAAGTAGCAGCCTATGCCCTTAGAGATAATCAACCTACGAAAGGATCCGGATCACATATCTTTTGTGTGAACGGCGGCTTCCTGCACCTCCCATTGCAATACACATGCCCCCCGGTCTGCTCCTCTTGCCAATCCAGAGACGGTGCTCAAGTAGACATCAATGGGCATTTCAAAAACGGCAGTGTCTTCCTTGGCTTGGGATTTGGGCTGTCGCTTCGGTGTCGGCACGGCCACGGCGTGGAGGGATACTTCTGCACGCTTGCCTCCTCTCTGACCTGCTTCGACGCTCTTGTATACTAGCTTGAAACCCATGTGGTCGGAAGTGATGGTGTTCATCATCTCTAGCGCGGCGAACAGGTAGTCGACAGAAACGAGATCGGCGTCGCCCTTGTCCTTAGCCTGTTCTGTTTCTTTTAACTCGTCCCCGGGGATAGGGATAGATGTTGCATCAGGGGCAGGCATTGAATCAAGACCAGCCGAGGTATCAGCAGTAGTAACAGCAGAAGGAGCGGGGGCCAGTAGCCGTCTCGGGATTCGGAGGCCGTTCAAGTTGGATGGTGTCACCAACTTGCCGGCCCAAGGTTCCAGCTCGGCGCCCGCCAGGAAGTCGAGCACGGGCTCGGCATGCTGCTTGAAGCTAGTGCTGGGCAAGTTGAAGTAGTGCTGCTGAAAGAACCGCACGTCAACAGGGCGGCCGGGCAGTAGCGCATCGAAGACGGATGTGCCGGTGACAGCGCGTAGGGCTACTGGGCGCGTAGCTCTGTCATTGTCGTGCTCTACTAGGAGCTCAAGGGGCGGGGCAGTCGCACGAATTTCCGGCGACTGATACGGCGAGGGAATGAACCGCAGAACGAGCATTCCGGGCCATTGGCCTCTTTGCCTCCAGTTGGTGGGAAGATCGAGCGTCTGCAGCGGTGGGAGAGTCGGTAGGAAGGTGCGCGGCAGGGAAGTATCCATAAGCGGACGCGTAGTAGTAGTCAAAAATCCCCGCGGCAGGGCACTGAGAACGTGGCCAAAAATTGCTTTCGTGCTGATCTCTGCGCTTTGCGGCCAGCCGCTGTCTATGTGTCTGGTGACTGATTTACTTTTGTTTTCCTGAACCATTGGCTTCGGAGCACTCATGACCTTGATGGGAAATGGGATATGTTTCGGCCGTATCTTTTCCTTTATGGGCCTGTAATGTTGGTTCTGATAGGCGGCAGTGGCCCATCTCGCCCACTTCCTGATCCGGTTTTGCCATGGCAGTTTGGTATCGCAGCCAAATTCGACAATGTATCGACCGCCGTTGGGGTTTCTCTTCGGGATGACTGCTAGCGCGTTTGATGAACTGGGAGCAGAATAGTATACCTGTAGCAGAAATCGCAAGACGACATCGACAGGGGATTCGAGCTCCTCGCCCCTTTCGGGATCGTGAACCCAGGATACGGTAATCTTTGTATCACCAGTCAACTTCCAAATCTAGGATATGCATGGGTAAAAAGGAAACGCGGCAAAGGAACGAGGGCCTACCTGATTTGTTGAAGAGTCAAATTGGACAGCAGTGTTAGTGATGCGCCCAACTTCATCCATGATGGCAGGATCTATAGGCTCAGCCGAAACAAGTCTGGCGTCAAGGCTGACGGTCCTGGCTCGGTCAAGAACCTTGGAGATCTCGGCCACCATGAGTTCCGCTGGTCGCCTTGGCGCTAGAATTGAGACCCAATTGTCTGGGCGAATGAGTTCAATCTGTTTCCCCGGGTGTTTGAAGGCGGCCGAGATGCTAGCCAGCCATTTTTTGGCTCCGGCTGAAGATTACACGTCAGTTCGGATGCATAAAAATAAACTGGTCGGATCACGCTTGGAAACGTACCCAGAAGAAGCCCAAACTCGATGTCGCGCAACTTCAGCTCCAGGTAGCCCAGGCCCTCGACCGTCTCCTGAGTGTATACGCGCCAACAGTAATGCACGATCCAGTGGGCAAGCTTCTTTTTCGAAGACATCGAGGTAGGAACAGAATCTTGGCCAGTTTTACCGTTTCCGGTATTCTCTTGAGCAGCTTTAGGTGTCCATAGCCGCCGCTCCAAAACCCACGGAGAACCGTTCAAAAGCCTTGATTCATCGTTCAGCCGCTGGACCTTTTCGTAGTGCTGCAAATAGGCTGCTAGCTGGATTTTTGTAAAACAAGTTGTAATAGAATACTCCAGGGCCTCGATGTTGTTTTTTGAAAGAATTTGAGTCTCGCTTGGTCTCAATTCGTTGAGATTCCGAATAACATCGCCCAAAGTGAGGTTGTCATTCTCTTTCTCTAGCGCCTGTGTAAGAATTTCAGCTAGTTTGCCAGTGTCGTCGCCGTCGTCCGAAATACCGGGAACACCTCGATATTGATATTCGGGTTCGCGAGCTGCGCCATATTCTAGCCATTTGCCATGCTCTCGCAGAACGAGACTAGTACCCGGCTCACCCATGATTCCAATGTCAAGGGTCTCGTTCATTGGCTTCACGCGCATGCCTCTAGTCATGTATGTGCGACGCTCGACGTCTTCGCTTAGCGGAATATCGTGGCTGAGGATTCGTCGAATCACCACCTCCTCCGTTGACCTTGCAAAAGGATCACTTGTACGTTCACTTGTTTGTTCGCCATCCCAGGGATTGGCTGCGCTCGTAGCATCTGTGCCATCTCCGCCTTCTGTAGCATTCGCATCGTTTGCAGCGTTGGTATCGGGAGTGGCGGGGGCAGAGGCGGCGGGAGTGATAGCCGCATCAGCAGCTGGCGTGTCAACAGTGTTGTTACCTTCGGCGGCGGAGGCGTTGCCAGAGCGCGTGCTAGTGCTGGTGACAAAGTGTCGACGGCCTCGAGGTGTCGGGATTGTCGTCAAAGTTGGTGTCGCAAATGGTCTTCGAGTTGCGACGCTTCCACTTAATCGCAGTCGGCATTGCAGGCAAACGAACCTGCCATTGCCAAGGACTGTGCGCCTGAGCATGAGGAATTAGGTGAAGTGATCGAGACAACAACTGTTGGCTTTCAGGACCGTAGCACCAGCTCTGTCGACAGTTTGATCACGAGGCTCCGATTCAAGAAGAATAATTTAAGTGGGTCCCTTCTTTTTTCTAGATCGGGGCGACTTGGTGGCGCAACTCCCGGCAGGCAACTTGGCCAAGCGCGACAAGGCGCGTCACGTTTGCCCCGCGGTCTGGATCGGCGTGCATGCTCATCCCAACCACAGAACCGGTAAAGTCGCAAAGAGCACACGACCCTGCGATTTTATCTGCGATTTTATATTTGCTTCATAACATATCCTGGGCGCCGCGCATGATTGTTCGCCCATAGCGAGGAGTCCTCAACCTCGGTTCTCGACACTTGGTGCATCATCTGTAGAAGCACAGCGTTTCGGCATGCCCCCCCAACGGCGACGACGGGCGGCAGTCCCAGACGACGAAGATGAAGAGATGCCGATGCAGGCTGAGAGCCCCGACGGTGGCGACTCGGACGGTGGCGACCCGATGGAGGGTATTGAGCGGGCCGAGTCGAGCCAGCTTATCAAGAAGCTTGTGCGCTACGCCCTCGCCTGCGAGTACTCGCGGACACCCATCCGCCGCGACGGGATCAAGGAAAAAGGTTTGAGTCTACTTCTTCAACCGAGTAATAGTAACGCGAGGCTGAATCTATTCTTACCAGTACTTGGGCCCCAGGGAAGGGAGTTCAAGAAAGTGTTTGCCGGGGCGCAGAAGCAGCTTAGGGCCGCGTTCGGTATGGAGATGATAGAGCTGCCAGCGAGGGACAGGAACCTCTTGACTGCCGATCAAAAGCGAAAAGGTCCGTAGTTCAAAATTCCCGGCATTTGCTTCGCTAACGTGTGGCCTCTGGGCGAGACAGCGGCCAAATCACAAAACCACAAAGAGCCATCATCAAACTCATACATGCTCGTTTCGGTCTTGCCCGAAGATTATCGGGCCCCGGCTATCATTGCGCCCTCCAAAGTGCAATCCGCGGACGGTGAAGCCTCGTACGTGGGGCTGTACTCTCTTATCATCGCAATAATCACACTGAGCGGAGGGGAGCTCAGCGACCCGCGTTTTCGGAGACACCTCGCGCGGCTCAATGCTACCGAGAACATGCCCAGTCTTAACCCAAACAATGAGAACGCGCCAAACGAGAAAACCGAGGTCGTGCTGCAGCGGATGATCAGGCAAGGATATCTCGTGAGAGTGACGGAAGCGAGGACGCAGGACGACGAGGACTCGACGACCTGGCACGTTGGGCCGCGCGGCAAGAAGGAGGTCGACGGCGAGTCGGTTGCGTCATTGGTCAGAACAATATACGGCGGATCGACCGATGAGCTGGAGAAGAAGCTGCAAGCGAGCCTGAAGGTTAAGGACCGGAAGACAAATGTGGCAGCCGTCATCGAGGACGAGGAAGTCCCGCAGGTGGCGCCCGCTGCGGCCGGGCCAAGCTCGAGACGGAGGAGTAGAAGGAGACCGGCATCCGAGGAAGACGACAACGAGTGACTCTGCGCTGGGCCAGGTGTTTAGTGTCAGGTATTACTTTGTATTACTACCCATATCCTGCGGGCTTGGCTTTGCGCATGCAAAAGGCCTATGGGTCAAAAGCGCTTTCGCCTCCTAATCCTACGTATTCCTCTGCGCTGCCAATGCATTGGGCCAATCCGCAGCTGGCGGACTCCAACTTCTAGCCTGTAGAGCGCCCGAAAGACGACACATGCGGGAGAATTTGGGGAAAAAAACCATGGCCCCAGTATACTGCTCGGCCTGCCTCTGGAAACTACCCCGTCCCTCGCTGTCTTTTAAATGTGTATTGTAATGAATATATTCGGTTTCCTGGGTCGTTTCTCACGAATCGTTCCGCGTTTGTGGAATAGCCACCGCCATATCGTCTTCGCGGGGGGGCGGAGGCCCAGCCGGCTGCAGCATTTTCTAAACACGGTTGATTAGAAAGACCTAGTCTGTGAAGGGGGGAGAATCAGGGAATGAAACCAGGGCTCACCCGTATCATATCGGCGCGCACTTTGGCGACTGGTTCATTCTGGGCGAGGGCAAAATACGAAAGCAGCGGGGGGTGGCCGACGATGCTCGAGTATGTGTCGCGGTGGATGTTCGTCTTCCACTCCCAGCTGGTCGTGTCCGGGTGTCCGGTGCCAATGTACTTGGCCTGCAGGCGCTCAAGCTCTTGCTGTGTGCGAAGCTTGTCGGCCTGTTGTGTGCGCGACGACGCGGGTTTTTGTTAGCGGCCTTCGCTCTCGCCTTGGACGCGGAATCTTATTGAAGGGGAAAGGAGCAGCGAAGAAGGCATACCATTCTGAATTATTGCCCGTTGAGCAGTCCCGTTGAGCAGTCAGGAATCTGTGCTGCATTAATAGTTGCGCTGCTTGCTAATCATGCTTCGAGATATGGACGTAGATAGCGGTTTGCGACAGAGACGTGCACGCTAATCGAATCGCAAAGTTTAATTGGCTGCTGACCTAGGTGAGTGACAAAGCGTATAACGGGGGTTGCCTTGGCGCTAATAGTTTTCATGTCTCCACCTGGCTCATACCTAGAATTACCTTAGCTGTATCTGTACAAGCATTCGTTCATACTGTCTTAGGCGGACGATTCACCACGCATTTGCCACATCCGAAATACAGCAAAAGTTTCTTGATATAAGAGGTACCTTTAATTCTCTACTATTTCTGCCATAACTAGACGACATTTAGCATTGTACCGGGAAATCGCCGCTGGTTGTAAAAGGGAACAGCACAGGGAGGAAGTGGCTGGGGTCAAATTCGTGTCGAGACCGTGGTTCAACTCAAGAAAGATATCGATACCACACGTGGAATGCGCCTGTTTCCCTAGAACAGGGACGAGGCGTTGCTGATAAGGCGTTGAAGAGGAGGACCGAAATTCTCAGATCCCGCCGTCAGATATCACCATGACAGAACTACTGCTGCAGTCAGCGCTCGCTGTGAGCAAGAGCAAGCAGCTCATCGACGAGGTGGCACAGATTCGCCAGAAGTGCGCGGCTGACCACAATGACGAAATCGGCCCTAGCAACACCACCACAGCCACCAGCAGTAGCAGCGGGAAGCCCATCATCGAGTGTCCCGACTGCTTTGAGAAGCTGCTCGAGGCCGTCCGGTCGCGTTACCTCAACTCGACCGACCACGAGTGGTTCTCGTCGCGGCGCGCCTTCTTGCAAGAGCTCGACACGATGTGTGCTGACGCCAAGGAGTATCAGCTGGACCCGCGAGCCATCGATGACCGCATCCAAGAGGAGCGCAGCCGGTGGTACGCCGAGAACGTGCGATCCTCGTTGCTGCGCCTCATGGTCGGCGACCCGGCCGGCCGGGAGGCCGTCTTCGAGAAGCTCGAGGGCCCGCCCTCAGACTTTTCCGGGCTAGCAAGGGACATTGCCGGGATTCTGCGCAAGGGCCTGGCATCTCCTGAGGCGGGGAGAGAATTCGAGGGGGGCGGGGGCGAAGGCGGAGGCGGAGGCGAAGACGATATCCCGGCCCGTCTGCTTGCGGCACAGCAGCCCTTGAAGCAGCTCGAAGTCTTGCGGGAAGCCTTCTTCGCCGCCAACGGTTCCGGCGCCTATGGCGCGCGGTATGGCGCGGTCCCCAAGGGCCACCAAAAGTACTTCGACATGCTCAACGACCATCGTTCCATGGAGCATGTCGTCGAGCGTGTCTTGGAGGAAAGGCAAGCAGCAACCGGAGCCCGCGAGCAGACGAGCAGGCTCAGGGAGCGCCTTGATGAGCTACGGCGAGCGCGAGCCGCTCACGAGCTGCAGAAGTCGAGGAAGCTCAAGAACCGGCAAAGCGTTGGGCAGAGGATACCTGACGAGCTTTACGACCTCCCGCTATGCGCCGTATGCGGCCATATGCCAAGCACGAGAGATTTCCTCTGCTGCCCGATCTGCGCCATCCTCGTGCGGCGCAACGTCCAGGATCACCCAACGGTTTACTGCTCTCCGGAGTGTGAACACAAAGGCCATGTAAGACAAAAACAAAACCTTTCATGCATTAAATTTTTATACCAGTTTCATTTTCCCCCTGCTTACGATCGATTCAATTCCTTTTCCTCTTCAACAGACACCGCACACCAAATCTCATACCTGCGCATCTGGAGGCGAGTGCATCCAGCTGGTCCAGGACGAGGACCATCTGATGGGCGAGGACGGGCTCGACACGGGGAGCGAGATCTACTTTTGCAATGAGTGCATGGACTCGATCAAGCTACCGACCGTGTGGTGTTCGATACGATGCGCGGACGCCAACTTCCTACGGCACCGAGGGGCGGTGCACCTTCACACACGGAAGCGAGCTGACCGAGACCGCTTGGACCACTACGCGGCCGACTCTGAGACAGGCTACCACACCAAGGACATTGCCGCCAACGTCATGTCCTTCAGCGCCGCCGTCAAGGCATGGGAGGACCACACCATGGTCAGGTTACAGAACTGAAAAACATTCGTCCACTTTCAGCTGCGGGTTGTCCTTGATGAGTCACGCCAAGTCAGTCGTTGCGGAGGAACAGTTAATTGCACCGCCCATTTTTTCGTGGCGAATATCAAATATCAGATATCGAACAAGACAATAGCCGCCGTGATGCTGATGCATATGATACCTGACGACGACTTTGAGCATTTGCTTTCGGGGGAGCTGAACCATGTTTGGAATTTGACGCCCCTTGCTATGTGAATCAGGTGAAGCATGAACAGGTTCAGAGTGGAAATAAACTTGTCAACATGTATGTCATTTCAGTTGCCGTGCCCGGATAGTAATCCGTGCAGCGTTAAACTAAAACTAAGGATGATTCATGTGTGAAAGAAATGGTGTTCTGTTCCCCACCGAGGAAGCAAACAGGAGACGATGAGGAAAGCAGGAGTGCCTCCAGGCTGTTAGAAAACACATTCTCGCCCCATCTCGGCAAACTTGTCCAGAAGGATAAAAAAAAGACAGCAGGGGAGAATGGAAAGATAGAAAAAGGGTATTCATGTCCGAAGATAGGTAACATGGTTTACATAAGAGAACAAAAGCTGAAGTTTCTTTTCAGACCGACTTTTCCTTCAGCGCCGCTACCACATAAAATGCGTCCAACGCCTCCCAGAGGCCAAGTAGACCTCCGTTGGGCCAGAGAATATTGGCCTCACCGAGGTTTCAAAAACTCGTTGTAAGAATCTGCGTCGGGAAAGGTCGGTAAGATAGACTGTCAACATGACGAAGGAAAGCAATAGGGTATGATATTGTCGCCGCAGTTTTAGGTTTTGTTGACCCGAGAGCCGGAAAGGAAAAATAGTGTACCGATTATTTTCTCGCTGCGTATTATCGCATGGCCACATGTAGAGTGTGGCGTTCGTTTTCTCGTCAGGCGGTCCGTTTTCTGGTTTGCAAACTACGTTCAAAAAAGAACAGCCATTCTCGGGGAACTTGGACCAAAGCCGAAACCGGAAAACAGGATTTCTGACCCGCTCAACCTCCTGCTCAAAGCCCACAGATTTATCGGCGGACCTTAGATCCATCTCGCTGCTTGAGCCTGCTCGTCCTCCAGCCCTCATACCACCGCTCTCTGCTGGCCTCGCGGAGCTCGCCGCGCCATTCACTGAAGACGGCATCCTTCAGGCGGAGGAAGTCGCAATGCTTTTCATTTTTCGGATCTGCAAAACCCCAGGGAAACTGACGCCCGACAATTCCAGGCTCGTAGATGTCAGGGCTGATTATCGACATGGGAATAAAAGGCACCTCGTCGTCTCTTGAGCCATCGTCTGTGACTTTATGACGACGAACCGAGCTACTCGAGAGCCTCTCGGCCCTAGGTGAGGATTCGTGTCCTTGAATGGGCAGATCGCCATCATCGGGGTTGATATCCTCGTCGCTGGGTTCGGATTCCGGGTCTTCGTCCTCTTCGATAATTCTGCTAGAATCCGGAGTGAAGTCGTCCTCATCCAGACCAAGGGATTCGAGGGGGTCGAGATTTGCTTTCTTGAGACTGTCCCATACCGTCTTCTTGAGCACGTCCATGTGCTTAGTCGTGATTGTGTCAGCCTTCGAAATAACTGGGATCACCGTCGTCTTGCCCTGCAGAATCCGGAGAACCTGAAGGTCCAAGTCTTCATCCAGACTTCCAAGAATGCGAGCAGACGGGTAGCTCTTTGCGCCATTCTTCTGATTAGCGGCAGCGGCAGCCTTGGTTGCTCCAATGTTTCGGTCGAGACGTGCTGGGTCAAGGATAAGGAAGACTGCATGGATGTGGGTATCCTGTACCCCAGGCGATCTCACGACCTTCATCTCTTCGTTAAAGGTATCCTCGAACTTGCTCTCAAGAAAGCTCGCCATTTCGCGAAGCTGTAAGTCCACGACATTCTTCTCCAGGCCCTCAGAATCCCAAAGCGTCAGTCCGATACGCTCGTTATCGATCTCCGTCTCGAGGTAGTGAGGGATGAAAGTGCCCGACGGGGAAACTCTGGGGTATTCATCCTGCTCAATGGTGCTCTTTGACCGCTTCTTCTCGGGCAGGGCCAGTGTACTCTTCAGGAATTCAAGAAACGACGTCTTTCCAGAGTTGGTGGAGCCGACAATCAGAATACTGGTGAGAGTTGAATTAGACCCAAATACAAAGAGAAGAGGAAAAGGGATCCAGAAAGGAGCCGTGACGCAACCTACTTGAAAGGCGTGGGGTCCTTTCTTCTTCGAACCCTTCTGGGACTGTTGATGGTGCTTATGGCGCTGCTGGCATAGCTGTATCGGCCCCGGTGCGCCATGCTCCCCGTTCCGGCGTAGGGGTCGAACCCGCCATTGGGGATCGGAGGGACGCTGATGATGGAGCGAGAAGGCTCCATAGATGGCCGCGGGGTTGCAATCGAATGATCTGCTCTTCCAGATACAATTGCAAGAGAATCGGGACGGGAGTCTCCACCGATTCCTAGTTGAGGTGCGGGTGCTCCATTGTAAAGGACTGGGAGTCGTGGTGGAGACTTGGAGACAGAAGCATCGCGCTGGCGCTGGAGCTCCTGCTCTTTTGCAGCCTGCTGCTTCTTGAGATCTCCGCTTTTGCTACGCCTGAGCAACATTCCGAGGCTAGAGCGGCGAGGAGGGCTCATTGCTTGATCCAGGCTGGGCTATTTCAAACTGCTACGGCGCGGTAGCATCAAACGGGGGGAACGTTTCAGGCTTCAGAAACTGCGATCGGAGTGGCCAGGAGGCTGCACAATGGCCAGGAAACAACCGGCCAACAAGTTGCACAAGCCTGTCGCAACGATCAGCTTCGAGGTGCCGCGGAAGAAATGGAAGCGGCCGCCTTGGCCAACAGGCAACTCACTTCGCAGAGCCACTGAATAAATTTGGCTCTGGGGAGGGTGTCGGTGCAAATCACCGCTTCGGTTTGTCTTAGACGCCCCTTCTTCGTTTGCTGAGCCGCCGGCTTTATTGGCTGTTGGCAATTGCAATTGGCGAATTGTTCGGGTGTCGATCAAATTGTCGGGTCTTTTTTCCCTTCTGTTTTTTTCTTCTTTTATGGAAGGGCAGGCGCAATCCCGACAGGAGCGCCGCAAAAACTGCGAAAATAAAGTGCAAGTGACCGTTGTGGACGGAAAGTGGCCGAGGGAGGCAAACCCGAGAACAACGCTTGGAGCTCTGTTCGGATGAGAGACTGGACAGCTGGGAGAGCTTTGGGCTGGTAGTAGCCGCGTCAGCAAACTCAAGGTATCCCACGGCAAATGACCCGATCGCGACTGTCTGTCGCTGGCTAGTTCAATGGCAACCGCGACGAGAGAAGCAGCTCGTCTAAAGGTCAAGAAACCCTCCCCGACCGTGTGGTGCGCGACAGGTTGCAAAACGGGCAAGAACCGGTGGTGACAAGTGCTCGACGCTTGCGCCTTCCCCCGTTACGAAAAGTAGATGGGGTGGAGGAAGGCGGTTGACGTTGGAAACTAGTTTGGTCGTACAGACGAGTGCCGTTGCTGGCTGGCATGGAGAGACGGACTTACTCAAACTTTCGCTGCCACAAAGTCGAGCAGTCCTAAGCTCAAGGACAGTGATGATAGCTCGAGTTGGCGAAGTGGGCGCGACGTGTGGAGACTTGCTCACGCGAAAAGAATACCTAGGTACAGAAATGGGAGCCAAGTCGAGGCAGCTGAGGGAGGAAAACCCAGTAAAAAGTGACGAAGGAGTCACCTGGAAGCAGAGTGAAAAGGACGTTGAACGATGCAGCCCGACTTGCGTCCGTCACCGAGGATATCAGGGGCAGGTTGAGAGGGGAGCACAAAAAGGAGAGCAGCAGCTGTCTGGAGCGCGACGCGGAAAATATGGCCCAACTATTTGATGATGGCAGAGATTGGCCAGCAACCTAGTAGCCGTGAAGGTCGGCTGGGATGCGCGTAGCCCCCGGGACTACTGCAGATGGATAATACCCTACGGAATCTACAGGGGGAGCTAAGTCAATTGGAGCCGACCTCTAACGTCCTGCTGCACCTTAACTTGGTTGGAACTAAAGCATTCCGAAGTTGGGCTTGCGGCTAACGACAAGTAGAAGCTCTTGGGATGCGCTCCAGAGTTAAGACAAGACGACTCGAGCATTGCCCAATACGGCTCCACCAAAAGTCGATATCTTCTGGGAGGACCCAGGCGCACGAGAGCATGAACTCCCAGTCGTTGCTTCAGTCCTGGGATGTGCAGCGAAAGAAAGCTTGGGCATATGGATACAGAAGGGCAGTACGTATAAGACCATAAACGCCAGATCGACGGTTTCTCAGCTCTAGCAAAATACCCCGCCAGCTGCTAAACTCAACGGCACAGCGCCTTGGTGTTCACGTCGATTTCCTAAAGACCACCTAGAAGGAAGGCTCCCCGGAGGCGCCGCCACGGCATTGAGTTTCTTCGTTATTCCCAGGTGCCACTTCACGTACCAGTACTACCTACTCGCAGAAATTCGCGATGGCGGAAGACGATAACCTACCCCTTTAAACTGCAGCCCCTGGCCAGGTCGTGAGACTCGGCTAGCCAATTAAATTTTAGTAAAGGTCCCAAAAAAGCTTTTCGCTGTGCTCGGATAACTGGGACAACCCTGGCCATCCTGCCATCCCATCCTCTGCTTCACCCTCGTTCGACCGCCGAAAACCCTCTTCGATTCCTGCTTCCCTCGGCTACTTACATAGGACGGATAGGCAGTCACGCGCGGGGCGCGCGTGTAGTTTAACGATTTATCACCGTCAATTATCAAAGCAAGCTAGAATGCAAGCTGCCGAGCCGAGTGCTGCTGATTACCGTCCGTCATTTTAACAATTGACACTAGCGGCGGCGTTGAGAGTCGCTACGGCGGCATTGCGGCGCCCATAGAACTGGCCGTCCCAAGGGCGAGGTCAGTGCCGAAACACCCTCCCGTCCCTACACTGGATCCGGAGAAAAAGTGTGAATAGAGCGTCGATCATGGGCGTTGAACAAGACCAGGAAAGGGAGCAGGCAGGTTCTACGTGTTCTAGAAAACAGGAAGCGGGCTGGGTGTCACTCGCTCTCGTCGGGGAGGAGTCTGGCCGGTGCTACAAAGCACAGGCAGATGGACCTGCACTCTAAAGGCCGTGCAACTTGCTTGTCTGCGTTTCTGCAATGGAACTGGTTTTCGATCACCATCGTCTGATAGGTCATTACGCGTCACTGAAGAGGGCAGGAGAAGGAAGAAGAAGAGAGGGGCATCTGTTCGGCCTCGAAATGAATCAACCCAGTCCGTCCAACCAAGGAAGCCAGATGCAGGCCAAACCCTGTGGGGAAAGAGGGCAGAACACCACAGAACAAATTTGGCGCTGTTTCACAATAAGACACGCATGGGTCCGTAGGCACAAGAGCTTCCCCCGCGGCATGAAGTAAAAACCGCTTCCCTGGGGCGCTAGTCTGTTTCGGTCGTTCCTACATCATGCGCATGCACGCAAACCACGGGTGCATGTGTGGGAAGTGTGGATGTGTGAAAGAGTGAGGAACGGAGTCAACCTGGAAGGAGGGAGTGGAAGCAATGCCAAACCGCAGAACGAAACATTGTAGGGGCAAGAGAAATCCGAGAAAAAAATTTCAGCTTAAACTATCTCACTGCAGTTGCACAGGGACACCACAAACATGTGTGTTGTGCAACCCCCTCATGTAGTGTAAGGAAAGGGGCTGAGGCAATCGCCAACCCCTAGTCAAAACTGTCCTGTCGTCCGTCCCTGGATGTAATGGTCGAGGAACCCACTGATTTCTACAATTGTCCCCGCGATCTGCCCTCCACGAGTCTATACCCCGGACAAGCGAGAGCCCCCTCTTCTTCTGTCATGCAGTGCGGTTACCGGGATCGTGTTCGGAATGGTGGGGATTTTATATTCAGGTATCTAGGTGTGTACATATGTACAAGTCTAAGTCCGCCTGGTGCTTCAGCCCAGCTATAGTCGCCGTTATATATGTTTACAGCCCATACTGTCTGACTGGGCTCGAAGCAGTCCGTCTATTTCCTCTAACGCCATAAAGTGGTGAGTGTTCAGCCTTGGGTATCCGTCTAAAGCGTCTAGATGTTTTCGTCGAATGCCATCAAATATGTTGTACAGATTCTTCAGCAGCAGTTCGCCACTGTCATATGCCGGTCGGTCTTTCTTTCTTTCTTTCTTTTTTTTTGAGAGAGAGAGGGGGAGGAGAGAGGGGTTTGTGGTGGGAGTCGATGAAATATTACCGTAACGTCTTGATGCAGCAGGGGGCATATCGTAACCTGCCCTCAGCCCTCAAACACGTCATGTTGAAGCTCAACCCCAAAGTCCTTGGCTACACTCTTCATACGTGCCTCAACCTCATCTTCCATACCGCCCCCGCGGCCCAACCACTGTCGAATCTTGAAAAAGTAAAAGACAACATCTGTCATGGTCAGAACAGCCTTGAACAAGAGGTGTTGCCAGACGTTGGTAAATCTCTCGCGCCACGGCAAGTTCCGGTCCTCAAAGAGGCTGCGGCTTGCCCACTCGCCCATCATCTTAACTCGGTTGACCGACGAGCCAAGGTACTGGTTATTGCCCTGTACAATCCTCATGTTGCGGCCGATGAAGATGAGTTCTTTGGGCCATTTGTTCTCGTCGGCCAGTACTTCTCGGATGCCTTGCTTCATCCTTTGCTGCATCTCGTAGCTTCGTTCGCTAGGCGTCTTTCCATCCATATCTCCCAACATCCTCCGCTTGAAATCCTGGTCGCCGCCTTCATATGGACGCATCAGAGTGGCCGAGGCAAAGAGATCGGCTGCCTTGATTCCCCATTCCTCGGTGATCTCAACAATCTTTTTGTTGTCGAATGTCATGAGTGACTTCCAGAAAACACCGTACTCATGCCGAAACTTTTCGCTCATGTAAACATACAGCCCGTGGTCGATCAGCACCAACTCGGGCTTGCCGCTCGGGAGGCGCCTGATAAAGATGTTCCCCGGGTGTGGATCGCAGTCTGCACAGCTTTGTCAGTTTCATTCGTCTTGTCTCTCAGCGAGCTAACGGAGGGTCGGGAATAGAGCCGCCGCCCAAGAGCCATGCATGTCTCGGGTATATGGCTAGCCTCCGGAAACAACAGAAATGGGAAAATACGTACGCACGACTCCCCATTTGAATATCTGGGCAGAAAAAAGATCAACCATAGTCGTCATGACTTCTTTGGTGGAAAGACCTAACCCGCCTTTGCCACGGGAGCCTTTCCATTCAGACCGTTCTGGTTTCAACTGGTGAATTTGGGCATTCTCTCGCAGACCGCGACGTACTGCGTCCATATCCGGGGTATCCAACCGAGCGCCATGAACACCAGCCGAGGCTTTCCCATACCCACCCAACCATGGCCTAGTCATGGAGTCCTTGTCCCACAGTCGAATACCCTCGATCCACTCTGTCGTAAGCACCCTCTTCGAGCTCAGCTCATGGTACACAGGAGGGACGTAGACCCTCCCACGTAAGCTAGGCTCGTCGTTGATAAGCCGACGCATCGTCTCCGAGTTCTTGGCCTCGTTCTCAAAATCCGTCTCAAGCATCAAGCGCTCCGAGATGTATGGCACAAAACTATAGAACGGTAGGTCGAACCAATACGAGTATATCCGCATGACGACTCTGGGCGTACGCGACAGGTTTATTAGCAACCGGTCCCTGGGCCCGCTAGAGCAAACAAGAAAAAACACGAACTCACTTGAACGACCACAAGTCCCATCCGATCTGCTTTGAGATCTCGGGCTTCTGGATCTTGACAGCCACCTCACGACCGTCGGGCAGCCTCGCCCAGTGAACCTGGGCGACGGAGGCACTAGCTCTCGCGGTCCGCTCCATGACCCCCTTGCCCTCGACGCCGGCAAAGCTCACACCGAATACCTCCTCGACACTCCTGCCGCCAAAGTCTTCTCGGATAACCTTCTCGATGTCTTCCCAGGAATCCTGCGGCGCATCGTCGAACATGCGGGCAAACATGCGCTGGAACTCGGGCGGCAGAACGGCACTCTGCATGGCAATGGCTTGGCCAATCTTGAGGTAGAGCCCGCCATTGTGCCGCAGCAGCTCGAAGAGCCGCTCGGCGTTACGGCGGTGGAGGGCGGGAATGCCTCCGTCGCTGCCAATCAGCGGCAACGGGTCGGGTCGGAAGTTCAACTTGTAGTCCATAGCCACCAAGAGACCCAGCGCAAACGTGCGAAGCGAGCGGGCTATTCCCGCGGCATAGACCTGGCGATCGACGAGATATCCAGCACCCAGCACGGCGGAGAGAACGAGCAGTCGCCTACCCCACTTGCGCGAGCGACGGAAGCTGCGCGCAGTCCGGGGAGCCCCAAGAGACGACGGCGAGGGTGGGCGGAGCGGCTCGAAGGGCCCAGACCGCCGCGGGCTTGTCGAGGACAGGAACCGGGCCAGGGGCGGCGCAACTAGGCGGGAGGGTGCCGCGAATGGTCGACAAGGGCGCAGGCAGGTCCTTATTGTGCCCGGCGACGTCAAAAACGGTAGCCTCCTAGCGCCCGCTGTCGCATAGCGCAACATTGTTGCGTGCGCCGCTGCCTAGCTCAGTCTCTGGAGGGACTGGGGCGGAAGGTTTACGTCTTCCTAGCCCTCCTCTCAAAGACAATGCGCGAGTCAGCCAGCCAGTAAGCAAGTCAGTAAACTATGACAGGAGGGAATATGTTTTGGGCGGCAGTCGGAGAACATGGAGACTGCAGAGACGAAGTCGGAGACGGCGGATGGGATCCGAAGTTAAGGTGGTTAATGACGGTTCGCCCCGGTGCTAGTAGTAGCACAAAGGCCCGCTCTTTCCTTAATCCCGCGGCCGATCGGGGTTTATAGGCCCCGACCGAACCTAGGCTAGACCCTGAGAGGGACCCTCCTAGCTTATCGACCTCATCACTTTTGAGCTTCTTCGCCTTATCTCGAGAACGTCCCAATCCGATTGACTTTGCTGCCTCTGTAGGAGTATCGAGCATGCCAGGCTCAGTAATCCGAGTCAAAAATAAGAGAAGACGAATAGGATACCAGGCATCTGTTGTCCTTGAGACCTTAGAATGTACGGATATATTTTGTAAAATCATCCGTTCTCGTCAGCTGCTAAAAGTGCAAATGCCGCTCTAGTCTATCTGGATGCGCAAGTCAAGCACATGGTTTCCACAGAAATACCTCGATAGCAAGATTATAAATGCGTGACAATTTCCTCGAAGCCGAGCATAAAGGAGTAAAGTTGATCCAAAGTACGGATTACGGAGCTGTGCTTTGCCTCAGCGGACTTCAAGGTTTTACCCCACGACTGGCGGCAATTCACAAGCCACCCCCATACTATCTGCAGCCAAAATGTGAGACAGCAAAATGTTGAATGACTTTGGGGGTGGCTTGAAGGGCGTTAAACCTAGGTTCCAGGTTTGCCTTTTGCCTTTCCCACAACGTATAAAGTCTGACGCGTGCACTAATATCCGGGAAGAATTAAGAGCTTTGGTTTGCAGGTTGTGTAGAGCAGCCACCATAGAGTTTGGAACAGGCGGGAGATTTACGCGACTTGCAGCGGTTAAAACGGAGAAGTTCACCTGTTCGCGAGGTTCGATCGGCGAAGCAACACCTTATCTACTAGCTGCCTAATACGGCTTCGCTGCAGCCCAATGCCTAAGCGAGTCAACAGTCTTTTCTGGGCGAGACTGAGGTGCATATCCCCAGAAACGGCTTGTTGCACGCCGATACCTTGGAAAGGTCAAGCTCGAAGGTGGCTTGGACGTACGAATCGCAAGACCATCAAGAGAAAGCCGGTTTGGTGGCACCGAAGTACGCGTCACAGGGGCCAACTATCCTCTTAAGAAATGGCCCTCCCTCTCACAGTCACCACGGCACCAGGCATGATGCAACGATGGCACAGGGTTTGGAAAACAGGAAAGTAAAACGGCCCGCTACAAAAGGTAGATTGGCGGAACTTTGTCCCGATTGCGTGACCCTTCTGCATGAAGCCAAGCTCCATCGAGCAACTTCGTTCGGAGTACCTCGCCAACAACAGATCCGTACTTACTTACCTTGCCGTCTGTGTCAGGGCGTCCGCAGCTGAGCGACGCGGTCATTGGCTTGCCCTTTCGTTGCCAGACTGACGGGACGGATTTCCGTGAAGCTTAGTTGAACAGCTCCATCACTCACTCGCCCACTCCGTGGAGAACAAGACAAACCAACACCACGGAGATAGACACCTATTAAGTACTACGGCCCGCACTGTCCCCGGCATATCTTGACGCTATCAGCTTCGCCATGTCACTGGTCATGTCCGTGAACTTTGAAAAAGCCACTGATGAGTATGAGGCACCGTTCACAGTTGACAGACAACCTGCCGGGTCGTGCACGTATTGCCTAGCTATTTAGCATGAGTGTGATCGCTGATCGTTGATCGTTTCGTAATCGTCATCTTGTGCATGGGTGCCCGTAACAACGGTCCGGCACCTTTACCAGCTGAGGAGATTATTTCACTGGTCCAGGTCATCTTGGGCAGATTGAAATACATCATGGGAATCGCCTTCTTATGTAGTAGGCCAACTAGGTATATGTAGTACATAGTGATTCTTTCCTAACTCACGTACCTAGGTTGAAGGCACTAAACTCACAATCCAGCCTGCTTCTCAATTCCTGTGACACTCTCAGTCGCACCGGGGTGTGAGTAAGGTACGGGTACTCCGTTCCTTCAATGGAAAGGTGACCGTCCATAGCCCCGCTAAACTAGGATTGAATTTGGCCCCAAAGTTGGCGTCAGGGCCCACCTACGCTAGGCCTTTGGCCGCCCGAGATCGTACTCCACCAGTTGGCCCGCTCTCCCCTGCCCAATTCCCCCAAATTCCACAGCGACCCATCGACCTTGCTGTAGTCTGTCACCTCTTGCACCACATCACATCGCGAGAAGAGCGACCGTTCCTGCAATATTCCCCGTCGCCGGGAACCACCGATTGACCAAACCTTACCTTCGACTATATACTCGAGCCTGCGACGGCTGACCGAAAGGGAGCGGGACGCTGCTGGACCGGCTGCAATTCGATCAATTCAGCCATCGCGAACGGGAACTCGCAGGAATACGGAATACCCAGCGACAAGTGGCATTGTTTCGCCTCGCCCAGTCGCCAACCTACCAATCCCCGACGACCTATTCGCGAATGTTGCTAGAAGTCCTACCTCGCGCTATATTTTTCTCCCGTCTGCGCATCCTGTTGTACGGCCGTTGAGCCAAGGACGGTCCACGATTAGTGAAGATCGGGCGCCTCCTCCGCCCAGCCGCGTCTTGAAGACGCTGGCATTTTCCTAACGATTCGCTCCCTCGAGTCTCGTGCTGCGAAGAACCTTCATTCAAAATGTTGCGCCCTGCGACACCGCTGTCGGTGCTGCTCTTCGCGGCATTCTGCCTGCTCTTGCTAGCTGTGCTATCGACTCCCATAATCAAGGCTGTCCCGCTGGGTAGTTTCTTGGGAGTCAACTTCGGCGTTTTTGGGTGGTGCAAAGGGGATACATGTAGCGGAATAGAAATCGGCTATGGCGTTCGTGAGTAGTCCCCGTGGTCTTATCAAGATATCAACTTCCTAGAGGCTAACAAGTTGCAACAATAGCCATCCTCGCTACTACGGACTCGTCGTCGTTTGACCTTCCCGTACAAACTCGAAACACTCTTTCAGCCATTCTCGTCATCCATCCAGTTGCGGCTCTAATCACGCTAATTATGTTCGTTCTCGCGGTTATTGCTCACCTTCATGCACCTTCGCATTCGGCTAGGTACCTATTGCTGGTGTTTGTTGTTGGCATTATTGATTTTCTGCTCTGCCTCCTCTGCTTTCTCATCGATGTACTGCTCTTCGTCCCCCACATGGCGTGGGGATCTTATATCGTCCTTGCGGCCACTATTTTAGTCGCGCTCAGCGGCCTGGTCTCTTGCGCCATGCGAAGGACAGTGGTCAGCAGGAAGGCCAGGAAAAAGCGAATTGCAGCAAATGCCGAGATGAGCGGCGAGAATTACTACAACCGGCAAGCTCAGCAGACTGTCCCAGCAACCACCGCAGGCGCCTTACAACCCACAGTTCCGGTTGTCAGCGGAGCCAATGGCCGGGCCGATACACTGCCAGAATTCGCCTCTTTTGAGAAGAAGGATGATCGGAGTAGCGATGAGAGAATTCCGCTCACAGCGCGGAGCCCATCAGACAGGTCCCCGAATGCACTGACGAACGATGTACCCAGCGGTCTGCCGGATAATCAATCGTTCCCATCTCTGTCTAACGTCCAAACCGAATATGGGAACGCGCAGCCTGATGGGTATGGTGTGAGACGGGGACCTTCGTTCGAGTCAATTAATTCGAGGGGGAGAGGGGGCGGTCCGCAAGGTGGCTATCGTGGACGAGGTGGGTATTCTGGGCCCGGCAGAGGGGGCTACGGCGGATATGGCCCAACCCCGCCAAACGGCCGAGGTGGCTACGGCCCTCCAGGCCGAGGAGGCTACGGGCCACCGCCCGGTGGCAGAGGAGGCTATGGCCCGCTGCCCCGCGGTTATGGTGGGCCGGGGTCACGAGGCGGGAGGACGCCTCCGCCACCCAGCTATCAGGGGGCAGCAGGCGCGTACGACAGGAGGCCTTCGCCTGGTGCTGCATACGGCCCTGGTCCATACGGTGCAAGACAAGCATCTCCGGGTCCGCCATCCGCTCCTGGGTACATGACGAATCCTCCAAGCACTGTAGGAGGCTACGACTCGTACAATCCGGACAGAGACAGTCTTCCACGAGCAGAATCTCCCCCACCACTACCGGGCGTCGACGACGGTATCCCTTCTCGGCCTGTGGCAGAAATGGATGCCACATCCGGAAATTCTCCGCAAGGACCTCAAGGGTTTGGGCAATATGGCATCCGAGATAGCGATGCAGATGTTGCTGGAATGCTTGCTATGCAACAAGCTAGGACGTCCACGCCGCAACGTCATGAGACGTACGTGAGTGAAGCAAGCAATTACAGCCAGCAAGAGTAAGCCGGTCCTTTTCTATTGTACTATTATGTCAACAGCTCAACTAACTTCTCTCTCCAGAAACACCTATGTTCCACCAAGACAAGCATGGAACCAAGGACCTGGAAGGAATTCGCCGAGTGCACCGTCGCTATTAAACCCAGGCAGCCGAAATGGACCTCCAGTGCCCGCCACTAGCGAGTACTATGAAGACGTTGATCCTCGCTTCGCAGAGCCTCCCGTGGCTCAAAGGCCGACACCCCCTCCAATCCATACCACAAGTTCGTACGAGGATATTCCTCAAGGCTCTCGCAGCCCAGCAGAGTCAGAACGATCTACATTCACGTCTATATCTCAACGAGGGGTTAACCCACGTTGGGCCCCCCCGCCTGTTCCCAACAACTACGGGGGCAGCGTAATACCACGGAGACCTGTCAACCGCCCTGCCGACGTGCTACTCAACTCGAATCCAGACTTCGAACTTCCGGCTCGCGGAAGCCCGTCACGGACACCTGGCAACTTGACGGCTGGGGGCGCTTATCCGCCCGGTGTGCGTTGAAGATAATCAGTCTGTCAATGATTGACTAATGCGACAATCCGGGAACACGTCTCTTATTCGTTTCAAGTTTCTTTGTCACGACCTTGGAATCATAACCTTCACTTCCGATTCTTCCCATGAGCCTCCTGGGAAAGCCAAGGATGTGCAGTTGCACAGATGCAATCGCCTCTCCTTAATTCATCCAGATTCTCGCCGTACTACACTGGACGAGCGCGACTCTGCCACGTAACACACCGTCAACGTTCTCGTTTCTCTTTTTCTCTTTTTCATCAACGGGCCTCCCTATACCCCTAACAAGCACATCTCATATCATCACATCCAGGCCCAGTTTTCGACGACGTTTGGGCTTTTGTGGTCTGTATGCCCTCCCTCTTTGACTACATTATTCAGTCTAGGAGATTTGCGCCAGAAAATGTCGTGACCTTCTAGTCAACGAAGGCCAACTTGAGATTTTGCTGTCGATCGACTTCTGCTTCCCCTGCTGCAACGTTCAGCTCCGTTTCCTTACTCAGGCTTAACGTACCATTCACTGGTGCATATTATCTTGTTCGTTTTATTCCTTCTTCTGTACGGTTTTGTATTACCACCTCTGCGTACCTTCTCATGTAAATATTCCGGTGTCTTGAATCATCCATCCGCCACCTCTCATGGTCAGAGGGGCGCTAACAATGGAGCCAGCTACAGAAATAGCTAGCTGGGGTTTCACTGCAAGGGACATAACAACGAATTAGGAATGACAGACAGGGCTGATGTTGGAACAAGTGATGCCAAAATCACTCATATTTAACTGCCTCGACGTACGAGAGGGGGGTTACCATGTGTTCACCCAGCTAATTAAATGTTCTCTCTTGTGGGCCTGTGAACGGACTGCGTTGGGTTGACAAACACGGTTTTCTTTAATGACCTAGAAGCGTCCAGGACAGGACTGGCGTATCGGGTAGATAAGAAAAACTGGCCTTAAGTCCATCTCTTCCTCTTATGTGCCGCTCGTATTCGGGGCATTCTTCTACTACTCTATCATGTGTTAACTTGCGTGCTGTTTCCCGGTTGCGAGAACCATCCGGCGCCTCCTTTCCTCGCCTTTGTTTTCACTGAGATGCCGAAAAGGGGCTAATCGGAAATACAGCGACCACCGTTTCCAACCCACATATATATACACAGGCTCCATAGGCTTCGCGACCTTTACCAACCCGTTTACAGCTGCCATACTCGATAGCAAATGCCATCTTCCTAAGCACGAATTTAAAGAGTCTTACCAACTTGGGTACATAGAGGTGTATGGACATGCACATCTAAGGCACCTAGGCATTTTATTCCACATCCCATCAACGCGCTCTACAGTGGCCGAACCTACGAGCTCGGCATTAGAAGGTATAAATAGAACACAAAACCTGTCCGAGAGATTACATATCTTCGAAAGTGGTGTATTTTAACTTAATCACTGAGTCGCGTGTTTTACTTTTTCGATGTTGTTTATTCACTGGTCCTTACTGTCATGAGTCGTGAAATATATGCTAAATAAACAGCAATAGCATTCACGTTTAGCAGGCAAATGTAGTAGTAGGGTTTCGCTCAAGGATGAAGAGACAACCCAAAGCTATTGGCGAGTAATGTGCAAAGTCGCTGTGCGAGGGTCCTCGGCTTCCGAACCAAAATTGACCATGATCTGAGGTCCTGCATCTCCAAAACAGTTGATCATGTCATGATCCCTCAAATCCATTTCAGTATCAGCCCAAAAGCAACGGACGTCCACTATTAGACCCTGGCAGTCCCAAAGCAAACCCATATTGTATCAGGTCAAGAGGCCATGAATAAAATGCTCCCCAGTCAATCCGAATACGACCGAGAAATATTCCCCTCATTCTCTATTCCCGAAAGTGGCTCTGCTGGAAAGAAATGCGACATCAACCCACTCAGTAGCCGCGACGTGATTTCTTAACCACCTTCTTCTCTGGTGCCTCGCTTTTGGGTGTATCAAAGAAGCTCTTGTTACCCTCCTCGCTGTTGTCAATCCATGCAGGGTCGGCCGCGACAAAACCGCTTCGCCAATCTCTCTTCCCATGAGCATCTGACTCTCTCTCCTTCTTGTAGGTCAACAGTGTTGCAAATGCCATATTGAGAAGAGGCTCCGCGTGAGCCCGGTCTTCGATACTGTTAGACTCTGCCACAGTCAAAAATGGTGGCTGTACCTTGCCATTGCTTCCCATCGTTCGGAATCTCTCTCGACCCTGTCCTATAACGCCAACTTTGTTGTCAAGGAAGCGACGGTCGTGGTCGTGCATCACCCCCTCCATATCCTTAACCAGCCCCTCTGTGCCAGCATAGAAATTTCGATTGATCCTGTCTTTCCGCTCGGATGTCGACTCTGTGGACTGCTGGTAAATCCTTGTTACCTGAGCTGGGGGGTTCTCGTGCCAGAATTCGTCCACCGGAGTATAGTGCCTGGTATAGTCAAGGGGGAACCCTTGGGGATAATAAGCCTGGGCTTTCTCAAAGGGCAGTGTATCGCTGGTATTCTTGGAATCCACAGCATCTGGATGTATGCTAGAAGTGCTGAGAGGTTTGGTATTGACAGTGAGATGGGCGACGTGGCTGCTGTGGAATCCAGTTTGATGGGTCATAACCACCGACTGGTCTGTTCCCCTAACTAGCTCACCGTGTCCGCCAGTGGAAAGGTGATTGAAGGTGTTGGAGAACACGGCGTTTGATGCCGAGTTTTGTTTATAGCCGGGGTCAAAAGAAGTAGAGAAATCGGATGGGGTGTCTTGATCAAAGTAGAGTGCCTTGACTGAGCCTTCAAGTGCTGATGGCCTGAATTGTCGTTGTCCTGGCGGGCCCGCTGTCAGTGGCTGAGGTATTCCGGCGGAACTGATGGTTGAGCCAAATGTTCCAGCAACGCGTCCTCTACCACCGAACTCCGAAGTCAGATAGGAGATGGATGAGTTTGCTTCGGAACGGCTGATCCCAGAATTGCCTGTTCGAGTGGCCTTGGCAAGTGCTTGCTGGGCTGCCTTTTGCGCCGGATTTGGGTATGAAGCCAAGCTGTTGAGTCCTTTTACGGTTATTCGCATCGGTGGAAATGAGTCTTCAGTATGGGCACTATCACCATTGCTAACGACTGTGCTTTCCTGCCTTTCGACGAGAGATATTCCCAGACCATAAGACGGAGGAGGCGGTAAATTGCCAGATCTGATGCTGGGGGCCGACATGCCTCTTCCTGCAAGTAGGGCTATCTTTTGTTCGGTCACCGGGCTGACTGCTCTATCGTAATTCTGCTGGAGAGGCGAATATTGCGGTAGCTGGTTCGCCTGGGCTGGAGAACTGGGAGCCCTGTCCGCCACTGGCAAAGCAGACAGCAGGCTGTTTGGGAAACCGAAGACAGGCTCGCCGGATGGCGACTGTATGGCACCCGGATATCGACGCGATCTGGGGCGACGGGTAGGCGGCTGGAGTGGAGTAGTCGCATGTGGGTTGTATATAGAACCAACGGTCGTGTATGTGGGCTGTCTCGTCGATTCGGAGGCTATAGGGCAGATTGTAAGTAAGCTGGGCGAAAGAGGCGAAACATCATCCATTTGGTCGGTGTGGGTTGCGCCTTTCTGGCCGAGAGGAAAGAGATTGTGAAGGAGAAGTCAGGCATAGATAAGGTGGCGGCAACCACATGAAATGCCCGTGAACAACTGTGGCCAACGAGAAGGAGTAGGCTTGGTCGAAGAGAAGACGCCGTACAAGGAAGGGAGGGCCACTCGCGCAACATTTTGCCGTCAAAATGGGGAGAGGAAGGCAACAACGAAGGCAAATTCACCGGTATGGCGGGGTCTGGGGGGGAATTGGGGGGGGCCGAGAGGTTCGGGGAGGAGCGACATACGATTCAAATACCGTAATGAGGCGGGTTCTTGCAAGTCATCTTCCATAGACTGCGAATAGGGAAACCCAGAATAGCGCTTGCGAAGCATCGTTCCGGGAAGGAGCGATAAAATTGCTGTTACTACTCCTGCTACCCGATCGCCTCGAAGCCACAGAGCAGAAGGCGCACTGTTTCAACCCACTGAGTGGAAGGGAGAGGCTTATTTTGCAGGAAGTAGGAAACCTAAAAGAAAGGAAGATAGCGACAGCAGCCGCCCAAATTCAGTTTGCGGTTTGCAGATTGTAGTTTGCTTGGGGGTATGGGGGTAAAGAGAATTAAGAACGGAGCGGGGAGTGGGATATTGAACTAAGTATCAATCTTAGGTTACTTCAGATGGAAGCTTCAGTCGCAGGTGATGTGATATAACGTCCAACGTGGAAGATGCGCGTGCTTTCCTTATGCTAACCCGTGGTCGTTCTTTCCCCAGGGCTTCCTTCACTGGATGGAAAATAAGGTAAGGTGCCTTATACCTTAGGCACCCATAATTGACAACTAAAGATTATCTGAGCTACCTGCGCTCGATATCTCTCTGAAGTTAGCAAGCTGCTCTCTCGTTGATTTGCAGGTTGCCGGCTTCCGGACACTGGAAAGGGCATGAGGCTCTTGACACGGTTTCCAGGTCGTCCATGGCCAGACAAAGCATCACCAAGGTAACCGCGAGACAACGGGCGAGCCAGATACTCCAGGCTAACTCCTCGATTCTGGGCTGCTTTAAATAGCCCTTTTAGCAGAGATACGTCTTTATGGTTTTATCATATTCACCACGAAACAAGTCGTTCTATCAAAACTCGCACCATCAACAACAAACAAAGATGATCTAGAAGCTTTGCGTTTCCTATAGTTACTGCATCAAAAATTTCCAACTTCTAGGTTTCTCAGCTTGGCTTCAGAACCCTCTCAGTTTCAAAAGAAAAAAAGTAAATAATGAGAGACCATCCAGTAGGTCAACAGCAGCTTGGGTCGGGAGGATACGTATTTAATATTCACAGTGCGGCCTGTTGGGCCGAGGACTGATAATAAATTGTTAGATATTATATATGTCATTTAAATTCCTTCATATTCATGTTCTAACAGGGCCTCGGCCTAGACAGCCGCGTGCTGGAAAACTTTGACATGAACACTGTCGCTCATTGTGATTTGATAAGACACGATAGATTATACTATCTTTGGCCCACAGGTGAAAGTTTACTGTGGTGGTAGGAAGTATGGTATAATCTATTTTCCCCCCCAAGCAAAGGGGCTCGCATAAAACAAAAGGGGCGGGTGGGGCTTTAACCTCGGCTGAGGGAGAATGGCCCTACCAGACACCTTCCAAAGGGTTTTCCAAAACTCAGTTAATGAATTATGAACCGTTCTATTTTCAAACAGAAGTACTCGAAGAGAAAGGCTGTATAGAGGTGCATTAATGTCTGTCCCTTGCTGTCTTTGGTTCCAAACAATAAAAACATCAAAAAAGGCTGCATAGCGACAGCCTTGCCACGGAGCGTTCAGTATACATGTAAAAGGGGCAAAAACAATGAAAGAAGACATGAGGACGCAGCTCCCTTGGGTATTTCGAGCCTATAAACTCAAAGTGTGGCTTAGTGTCTCGTTCCGAGTAACCTATCCCCTTTCGCCTTGGAGGCTGCAGTTCACCAGCTTCGTCAGCACTTTAACGATCCTCACGCTCTACGCTCCACGGCTTCGCCGCTGATGCCCGAGAATCTCGGAACATGGTCCACACGGCTGCGCTTCGGCAAAGTCACGCGGCACCTAGAAGGCATATGAAAGGCAGCCGACGCATGCCAAGCTCAGCCGAGAATGATTGCTGACAGCGTTGAGGTCGTCACTTGTCCTCCGCCGCAGGGGCTCAGAGGCTCAGACTAGGTAGCTAAGGTACCTACCTAGCTAGCGTCCGCGCGCTAGTGCAAGCACCAACCTGCGCCCTTGGCGGTATCCGCTCTGTTTTTTTTTAACTCAGCCCTACGAGGCGCAAAACGAGCTTGAGACCTGGCGTGGGCCCGGCTTGGCTATTCTTTCCTTTGGTCTTCTCGGCGGTTTGGGGTCTGGAACGAACAAAACTTCGAATCGATGGCGCAGGCTTATCTCATGGTTCGTGGGGACCACGACAAAAAGCCAAGCGTGAGATCTTGGCGGCCCTTTCTGGAAATAATAGCCTGTGTTCGTTGATCCACCGAGTTAGCTCGTCCGTTAAACCTGGAGACCTCTCCCTCAGGGCCTTGTCCGACTTCACAACGGGGGGCTTGCCGGGATGATGTCTTTTCGGATCTCAAGCAAAGAAACCACCAAGCCTCGGCGACATTGAAATCTTGGATCGTTTTGGGGGCTATGCAGGATAACAGTATCCTTGAAATAAGAATTCTGTAATTGAAGGTACTTGTTTGCGCTGGCGAGATCGTTAGCACGACACTGCTCAACCCCGCAAATATCCCAGGCCTATTGCGTGAATTTTCTAAGCATAAATGGTGTAAACGTTGATTGGCGTCGATTTCTGGGCTAAGCCGGCCTTCCCTGCGGCACCGATACCTTTTTGCACTATATTTTATCTCGAGGCCTTGAGAAAACATGCTGGCCGAGGATTTTTCCGTTAGTACTAGACTAACAGAAATGCCAGTTCCGTTGTGTAAGGTATACCTATAGCGAACCATGAAGTTGCCCCTGAGAGGAGGGGGTGCATCTTTAGCCCCCACATTAGCTCGCTATCTGTAAGCATTTCTATTTTTGCGGCTCTGAATCTGTAAGCTCAAAATGAAAGTGCGGGATGGGACAGGCTTGGCGGAGCTTGTCAGATATCGCGTTCTGAGAAAGTGAATGGACAGAGACGTTTATTTCTTTGCATCTAGTGTATATGCTGACGTTACACTAGCTACCTGCGTAACATATTCCTTTCTTGAAGGGTTAGGGAGGTAGCCAGACCCAGAAGACCGAGTGCGCCCCACAAAGCAGCACAATGAACCGATAACCAGCATTTGTTGAGTATCAACGTCTGTCACGGACTCATGACGGGCTGGCAAAGAGACATACTGATTTGCTGAATCGTTTCAGCAGCCAGTCTGGAGAGAAGAGGTAGGGTAAGGTTAGTATCTGGTTCTGCCACCAATACGGAATACTCTTGACAGAAAATGAAGAATTCAGCCTGACAAGGCTAACGGCGATGACTCTTCGGCATCTCCCCGATTAAAGATTGCGCGGGTAAGGTACTTCCCCCCTGATTAAGGTCTGTCTACAGGTTCCCTGCGCGAACGAGTTCTCTGTTTTCAGTTTCTATTGGTTCCCGGAAAATGCAGTGTATGTACAGTACAGCTGGGTAGGGGATCTCTGTCAGTCACTCTGATGCGAAATAATCCAGCCGCAAAGACACTCATGACAGCAGCTGGAAGAAATCCTCTTTAGCCTCGGACCACTAGACAAAAATTGTGGCTTGTGGGGCCGGTCAACCTCGCGGTACTGTTCGAGGCCCCTTCAGAAACAGTTGGCTCTTTGTCGGTCTTGGCATAGGTATAGTTGGGCCACCGGGAAAGAGTAACAGCCCGAACGGCTTTCTCTCGGAGATTTTGTTCAATTCCACAACGGCCAAGCTTTCTACAACTCCCTGCGTTCGGAAGGACGTGTTGCAGCTTCAACTAGATGTTACTTGTAAGCCCCGCGCCTTCGTTTTGGAACCAGAGGCAACCTGAGCCTCAGAGGTGAGATGGGTTCAGAATCTTTCTGACGAGATATGATGTGAGAACCCAGGCAGAGGTTGCGAAGCAGGCAGAACCATCTTGGCATGAAGGCTCGAGAAGGCGGCTATGTTTACAATCCGGCTGTTGTGTGTACCTTTCAAGTCCCTCAAGCCCAGCAATATGTTGCCCGAATTTCCATCCAGAGCACCCCTGAGGGAGATCAACGGTCGGCGGTGGAGAGCGTATTCCAAGGGAAAACCATATTTACCTACCTATGTACCTAGTTATCATCTAGATTGTTTGAGTTCGCTGCGTTGGAAGCCCCGGAATGAACAACTTATGGAGAGATTCCAGAATGATATTCCAAGGTGTGTACCATATGTTCCTCTTATGTACCTACCTCATGTACGTACATACATACCCCGTACAGAACTGTGGCTCGACAGGTAGGCCTGTCAGGTTCTTTTCGTCTAACGATCTAATTTTCCCCAGAAGGTAGTATCCGTATGTTTTCGCTTGGGGTTGAGTGCGGAGCTAGGCGATGTTCCTCCCCTTCACTGACATGACATCCACTGCAGACGGGCCTTAGTAATGACCATTGCATATTTCCCTCCAGCCGACAGCATCATCGAGATCCCAAGATTACATCTGGCCCTTTTCGTGCCCTGTGTACTAGTGTGTTGTAAGCTGCTGAAGGAAAACAGGCAGGTTGCCATTGGGTGGCGTTTTACAGCGCTTGGCAATGCAATGAACCTGACCCATTCTGGCGCTGATGGAGGTGCAGAGGCTGCCTCGTTTGTGTCCCGCTTCGGCCTGCTTAGGAGACGAAAAAACCGTCAGCTACCTGACCCAAGCTTCTTCCGTCGCCCCTGCCCTGGTCATGCCTAAGGTTCCTCAGTGCGTTTGCGGCGTTGCACATTGGATGGGATGGTACTTGGTATTAGGTACCTCCCCAAAGAGTAGCGTGAGTGTTATCAAGGTTCTGCCTGACTTGTGACGCAGGGATAGCCTCTACAAAAGTCCCGACCACACGGCACGCAGCGATGGTGAACGGCGTCGTGTTGGCGCCTCAGGTCCCTCCCCCTCCCATTCATCTCCCTCCCACTCCAGGGCTCTCCAGGGCTCCCCTCCCGGGTCCAGGTTTGCTTGACCCCTCATCGATGTGGTTAGGTTGTTAAGTATGGTCCAAGCTCCGCACAGCTGACCCCGGCCCTCCCCCCAAAACCTGAGCAGTCCCTATCCCCCAGTGTATCCGTTGCGAAAGGTAATAAGCTCGTTAAAGTTCCCATCCCCTCATCCTCTTGACCATCTACCACGACCCCAACTGTTGATCGTCGCGTCGTCAAGAGGCAGTCATTTTTGCACATTTTCCCCTGCCCACCAACAAGCTAGTACCTAGCGAGCTGGATATTTTAACGTCCAGTGAAACAGGGAATCAGACTCGGACCGGCAAGGACAACAGCAGCGTCATCACTATGGACTTTACGCACGCAACATACTTTCCAACGGCCCAGCCTTACCCGTTCATAGGCATCCCTCCCCTCACGCCTTCTCACTCCAATTCGGTTGCTTCAGACGATTTCAATACCACATCCCCTCCGGTAGGTTGCGCACCCTTGGCTTGAGACAGTGTACAGTTTATTAGAAAAGGAAAGCGCTCTGTTGAGTTCGATGGGCGCTGTCTCGGACTTATACCTGTTCCAGCTGGCTCTCCACAGCGCCTTTGCTCGCGCGTCTCCGCATTCCGTGCGTCCGCGCAGCCAGTAGCGCACCTTCTATCCTGCGTACGTGAGGCTTACACAATCATTACTCAGGAGGTCTTCGAGCAATTCCCCAACAGACTGCCTCACGATCAATTCCAGAACTACGACAACTACGTACAATTCAATGCCCAACCTGCATTTCCGGCCCCGCCCACGCCGCCGGGCCAGCATCCTGCCATCCAGCCCGTGAATGGCGCGACGCATCCTACCGGCACAGCCGGTGACCTCCTTCCTCTCACCAAGGCGGAGACGGACGAGCAGAGTCGCAGGCAAGGCTCCAATTCCGACGAGGACGAGCTAACACCGGCTCAGTCGAGGCGCAAAGCTCAAAACCGTGCCGCGTAAGTCGCAGATCGCTCCATCTCTATTAGTTCCCATTATACAACCATAATATTTCCCACGAGCCGGCGTCCGTCTCCATATCCTAGGCTTGCAGCCACGCACACTCTCCTGGCCTTCGTGTCTTCCTCTAACCAAAGCTAATTCGCTTTCTAATTAGTCAACGGGCATTTCGAGAGCGCAAAGAACGACACGTGAAGGACCTGGAAACCCGCCTGCAGCAGCTAGAGCAAGCCCAGCAGCAGACGGCGACAGAGAACGAACGGCTTAAGCGAGACCTTCAAAAGATGAGCACAGAAAACGAGATCTTGAGGGCAACGACACTGGCAGGCGGCACTGGCGGGTCGCCGGGGTCCAACTCAACACCTACGACGACGGGGCCTATGTCGTATAACCCTAAAGACTTTTACTCTAATGTTCTCCAAAACCACGCCAACAAGACCCCGAGCCACCGAATCGTTACAAGCAACGATGGCGAGCGTTTGCTCGCCGCTGGTGCAACCTGGGACTTGATCATCAGCCACGACCTTTTTAAGCGTGGCCTTGTCGATATAGGCGACGTTAGCGACCGACTTAAACCCCAGGCGAAATGTGACGGGCAAGGCCCTGTGTTTGAGGAAAGAGCCATTATCGAGGCCATCGAGCAAAGCGTCGCCAGTGGTTGTGATGAATTACTATAGCGACAACACAACTCGGCTCGGATATATGCCACAGACCTCACCGTCGCCGATTGAACGCTGCCACCCTTTTATTTTACGCCGGAAAATTAATATGCTACCCACGCATATCCATTTCGAATAACAGAGCTTTGATATCAATTGCTCGTCTTTAGCAAAACAGAGAGATGGATGGCCATTACCATCGTATTGGACTGATATGAATCACGGAAGATGTTCTTCGATGGGTTCTTGGAGGATACCCTTTGAAGTCAATGGGGCTGGTGGAGTGTGGGACACAGTCGCCATAAACCTGCTTTGCAGGCATACTCGAGCCAAGTTGTTGTGGGTTGTCGTTCGAGACGCGAATTCGACAGGTCTGAGAGCCCAGAGGAAGCCTACCTGGTTCGAAAATTGAACTTAGCCGTCTCTTCGACTTGCTGACAAACGAACACCTTTGCAGCCTGGGCGCTCTCATGACGTATCAAAGTGTTGCATTGATAAAGATTTGGATCTTTTGTACCTTTGGGAATGAGTCTTTGGGGTAGTGAAAACAAGCCCAAGGGAGTTGTTTACCACCGGGATTGGGGTCTCTCGGTGTCAGAAGAAGACAATGTGCGGGAGTTAAAGAAGTCTGCCTACCTCGGAGTTGCAGTATGACTCGTTGAGGTGGTTTCTGGGGAACCTACGAACTGCCTTTTCTTCTCCCCTCTGCATTTCTCTAGCCTAGTCTCGTCTTGCGGTCAAAGCTGGGTGGGTTATGATTACCTGGTATATAGGTATGTATGCATTTCTCTCTCCTGGAGATTTGGAATAAAAATTAGGAGTTACAGTTAGTTGACACTGGTTTGATCGCTCCTCTGGAGTTCGATTCAAGGAGTTTTGAAACCTGTTTTTCCTCACTATATGCAAGTCTCCTGTCGAAGACACTAAGCTTCCTCATAAAAGCCGTGGATAAATGAGCAACGAGTTGGTATCTTAACAACAAAATGGAGAGAATTTAGAGGAACACGCTCTTCACCTCGACGCCCCCTGCTCCAATTAAATAGAGAGTCCATATACACAGATAATCCCAGAACTTTGACTGATAAACCTCCAATATACACCTAGGTATCTTGATAAATAGCTATATGTCGAGTACGCCAGATAACTCCCACCCATAAATAAAAATCCCGCCCCATCGTCCATCAAATGCTCATTCCCTCCCGCACCATCTATCATCCGCCAATCCACACTCCCAGTAATAAAAACAGGCTGTCCATCCATATATGCATCTCTTCTTTCCCTCCAATGTGCGCGAAGCAATCCACCTAGCCTCCAAAAACCAGAGGAAATTCTCGATTAAAAAGGGTATCCGTCGGCCAGCACAAGGCAGAATAGAACCAAATCGGCAAAAAGACAAATCTGCGTGCCAAAAAACTTGGTTACAACGGATTAGAAGAGGAAGAGAAATCACCACCGCAACATCCACGTATCCGCTACTCCGACTTCTTTCCATTCCCGTTCATGTAGGCAGCGTGTTTCCCTTTGCCGTTGGGATAAGCGGCTTTCTTAGCATTACCATTGACTTGCAGAGACTTCTCGCCGTCAAGGCCCTCAACGTAGGGGTGCTTAATGGTAAGGCACCAGATGTCGAGGTAGTCGCAAATTGTAACGATGACGTCGACGACGAAGCTGCCGTAAACGCCGATGGCCATGCCGAGCATGCAGAACATGAACGCGACCTGGTAGACGCCGTCGCCTAGAGCCGAGGGCCAGCCCAGCCAAGGCACAGGGGAATAGCGCAGTATGAGAGGGCCAAGCGAGTCAATGACGCCCCAGGACAGGGGAACTACCATGACATTCCAGTAGGGGAACTCGAGCTTGACCAGGTGCGCCGTGATCATCTGGCCAACGCTGTATGCGTTGATGAGACCGGCGAACATGACGAAGGGCACCAAGTGGCAGTGCAGAATGTTAGGTTGCAGAGCCAGATACGTGATTATGAAGGTCCAGGCAGCGAAGAAGGGGAATAGACCGAAGAGCGCATAGCGGCTTCTGTCGCCGCGTGCTCGGCGCGCCCTGATGACATTCTTGGCCGACTCGATAGTGTTATAAACGAGGACGATGGTGCCTTGTACCATGTACCAGTCGGTGAACGAGAAGTCGTACAAAATGCTGGGGATGGTGAAACCCGCCGTGGTCTGCGAAACACCAAAGGTGGCCAGTAGGCTCTGTTGCCAAAAATGCGCGCCACCCATGTAGCCGGTGAGCGCATACACACCGACAAGGGTTAGGATGCCTTCAACAGGCCCGTTGACAATGCCGAGTGTCAGCGTCTTAGTATGGTATTCGTCCCAGGTTTGAACATAAAATGTCAGCAGGCTCGCAAAGAGGGTTGCGACCGTTTTCCAACCCTGTCCCATGTTTTGTGAGCCAGCGAAGAGAAGGACCTCGAGCGACGTATTGAGGGCGTCGACGCCATGATCAAAAAGTTCGCCGAGGGGGCCGGACTGATGGGTACGGCGACTGCGCGACGGGGGACATAATTAGCATCTGTTTTCAACATGTTCTTGAGGGCCTGGTAGACTTACGCTTGGGTGCCGTCGACAGCATCAAAAGTCTGGTACAGAAATAGGCCAGCGGCCCAGCTGTAGTAGACCCACGAGGGGCAATCTTGGTCGAGTGTTGGGTTGTACCAAAGCAGAGTTAGGCAGTTTGCGACGACGAACATGAAGCCCGTCAACGTGATCAGGTTGGGCGCCATTTTCATGGGGAAACATTTGATGACGACTTTGGTGTAGAATGGCTTCAGCACGTATTTCGAAAGTAGCGAATGGTCGACCGATGAGTATTTATATTGCTTCAGGTTGGGCAGGAATTCCTGCCGTACGTAGACCATGATGGCGACTGCTTTGCTCGCGATTTCGAGAATTCGACTGCGACTTCGCTGCGATACCAACTGCTATTGACGGGGGCTATGCGGGAGCCAAGCCGAAAAGGACGCGTACTTCTTCTTCTGGAGAGATGCTTCGCTGGTGTGCCGTTCTGTTGAACATGTAATGTTCTGAGAGTTGTTGATGGGCGACAGAGCGACTGGGATGAGAAGATAGAAGGGTCAAAGAAATACACCCTGAGAAGTGTGGATCATTAAAGAGCATGCCCGGCCCGGAAAAGTTGGAAATTTTCACGACCCCAAGTGCCGCACCGCGTCGCGCCATGATTTTTTTGGGTGGTGTCCTCTGCCGTTTGGGAGATCACTGCGTCATAATTTCCTTTCACCCCTGTTCAATCTAACTTGCACCTGCCTTCTCCAAGACCACCGCCAAGCTCGATAGACCTTTCTCCAAATGTGTTAGGATTATCCGTTAGTAGCGCATTTTAGATATTGTACGGATACTCTGAACCTAACCCACCTGGTTCCTACCGGTACCTAGTAGACATGTACATTTAAACCTAGACCGGACGAGTCATGTTTGTGCTTTCTAGGAGCATACCTTATCTACTGTCGTTGATGTTTGAAACTGAGAGAGGATTACCTCTCAACAAACAGGGCACGGGAAAATAAACCGTCATGAAAGGTACCCAGGTACCCCAGTTACAGGAAAGAGTTTGACCAAATACTGTGTACTCCGTATAATCCTGTAATTCTAGACTCCAGAGTACTTCGTGTTACAATCTGGAACACTGAACGTTCCACGGAGCTAGACCCGGACTAGGGCTGTAGGGGTGGGGGTGGGTGAGCTGTAGTGCGGCGAACCACACAGGTAATGCGAAGTATAAAGAGCAAGCAATAGTGCACAGATTGCGAGAGTCTCACTCTCAATCAGTCAAGCAATGAATGATAAACCATATGCATTGATAGCTGAGGAACCAACTCCCAGAGAGTGTTCCACCAGCTTCCTATATAGAACTATAAGTAACCAATCAGGGTTCGTCCCAGGGTGCTCAGCGTGCTCGGTAGTGATCAGTCCCTGATCACCCTGAGCAACACTGATCAGTACGCTCAGTATGTCTTGGCGACCGATCGCCCTGAGCGCCTCCTGCACCCTAGACCGGGATCGTAACACTTCGTGTATGGGTATCCCAGCCCTTTTTGATGACCAGTCTCTAAATTTGATATTCCACCATCAAGAAATAGATGTTTGGACAGCCGATCGCTTGCGCTGCTAGGTATGGCATCCTCTCGCAATATAGGTCGGTACCTCACTGGCTGGCATGGGTGGAAAAATGAATTACTCGCTTCGTTACGCCTTTGCCGTTTCTTCCCCAGGCGATGGCCCTTCTTACGAGACGCCTTTTCTCTTGTCAACCTAACCAAGGTCTATAAAGGCCAGTAGCGGAGCCAGTCTTGGAGGTGTCGACAGATTCTTTTCAATTTTGTGAAACAATACCGCGCAGTCATCTATTATCATCAAACAACTGATCCCACTACAAGAGCAGCCACACCTTCCTCTTCGCTCCTCACCGTGATCTTGGTCGTGACTCCCGACTTTGAAGAATGAGCCATCCGGACGTTCGCCACTACCCTTCCCCCATTGACTGTCTTGCCAAAGAGCTTGAGAGTGTGTGTTGTCTGGTTGACTGGAACGTCTGTTCCTTCCAGTGGCTGCAGCGATAGCGTCTTGGCTAATTGTTCCGTTGCCTCTGAATCGCACTGTTAGCTCAATTCGCTTCGTATAGACGTAAACCGCCGAAGCTGCACATACCTGCTATGCTCTTAACGCCGCTTAGTTGCAACGTCTCCTCCGCCTCTTCTCCTGCAGCGCCCACCTGCTCCCAGATATGGGCAAAATTGCTGGCGAAAGTAGGTATGACGTAATCGCTCCCAGACAGGTCGAACTCAGTAGCCTCGTACTCATCTTCGTAGCCCGAGTCTTCGGGTTTATTGGTCGTAGGGTCGATTTCTTTGCTGGTGAATTTGAGGATGTTGGTGAAGGTGCAGACAGGTAATGACCCTTCGCCGTTGATCTTCTTGAATGCTACATAAATCTTGCCCGGCACATCTGTCTCGAGCTTCTCGGCCTGGATGATGAAGACCTCCTCGAGTTCCTCTTCGTCCGACGGGATAGCCACAACAGAGACATTCTCCAAGACTGTTGCCGGAAGGGTGTTCTTGACCTCGTACTGGAGCACGACATGCTCCTTGAAGATATGTTTCACAACTGAGACTACGTACTCAGTTTCTGCTTCTGTTAGTTCGACAACCGAGGACGATTTGAGAACACTGCCGAACTCCTTCATCTCGGGGATGCGCATCAACTCCTGCGCATGCTTCAAGGCCGCCGCCGAGGCAGAGGCAACAGCTTCGGTGCCCGTGAGAACGGGTTTGGCCGGGCCTATCTTTGGCGGCTTAAGTGAGGGCGTAGTAGCCGTGAGTTTCTTGGTCCTATCTTCGGCGTCTGCTTGCTCGCGAGTGACGACTGGTATCTTGGAAAGATCAAATGGCGTTGCAAAAGCCGACTTGTCGTCCGATGTGACATACATAACCAGCTGATGCTCAAAGTAATGCAAATTAAACATGTTATCTGTAGCTCGTTAGGACCAGGACCATTCACTTGTTCAACGGGAGACGGGCTGAGGAGCAAGAGGGAGCACTTACCATTCTTGACAAATCTGTTCGCCAAATCATCCTCCTCCTTCATGAGCCTTAGGTTCAGAGCTGCACGATCTCGGACTTCGTCGTCGACATCGTCCAGGCATCGAGTGAGCAAGACCTCAACGCTGCGCTTTACCTCTGGATCTTTTTGGCCAACGCCAAACTTGGCCAAAGCAGTAACAGCGGCAGCGCGGACGATTGCGTTCTCTAATACGACACGGTTGTAGATATACCGAACGTACTTGGTGGGCTGAGAGGTCTTGGGACCCTCGAGGCCTAGAAGATGGAGGATGCGGACAGCCAGCTTCGTAAACTCGCAGTCCTCGATGAACTCGCAAAGATGAGCAAGAGCGTCTTCTTTGGAATCCGGGACGAATTTGATGAGGTCGAACATGCTCTCCACTACCGCGCGCTTGAACTCGTAGCCACCCTCGTCGCGCAGAATTCCACTAAGAAACTGGAGCATGCCGGCCTGTTTGCTAGGGAATTTAAGGCAAAGAGTCCGAATCGCCTCAACAATGGTGATCTTGAACTCGTCTGTAATCTCCGACATGAAGCCAGAGATCTGTTTCATCAGCCGGTCAACGCTGGCCTCATTGCCTGTCTTGAGCAGTGTGGTGATGGCGAAGGTGGCAATCGAGCGGTTGCTGTTGGAGATGAGGAGTTCGATATCTGGGTTGCACACGTTAACAACATGCGGCTTAAATGAGGCGATGTTATGGAGTATGCGGAGCGCAGCAAACTTGGTGACAGCGCGAGGGGATGGCAGAAAGAGCTGGAGGACGTGAACGGCCTGAGTCACCTCGGCATCCGTGACGTCGCGCAGATCGCAGATGGCTTTGGCCGCCTCGAAGCTGACCATCTCACTCTTATGCCTCAGCCAGCCGTCCAGCAGCTGCACCATGGGCTTCCTGAGCTGGGGATCTTCCTCGGCCAGCTGGGCCGCCAGGCGGACTAGCATAACGAGCGCAGCCGTGTTCTTGACTGCGCCTGCTACACCAAACTGCTGCACCATCTTGACCAGCGCCATCCTGTCGTGCATCCTCATCTGGTATAGCAACCCAATCGCGTGAAACTGGGTCATGGTCGAGTTGTTGACTGGGATGTTGCTAGAGGACGAAGAGAAGCCCAGAGAGAAGCCGCCGGACGATTTAGTGGTTGCCGCCGCCTCCTGAGTCTCGCTCTGCCACCGCCTAACCACGTCTTTCGCAATTGGGAGGAGGTGATACGACGAGACGAGCGCAGCAGACGACACTGATGGGTTTTTGTCGACAATGGCCGTCTTCATGACACGCTCAATAGACTGGACTGTGGTGGCCTGGGGGCACAGGGTCAGCTCGGTCTAGAGACCAAGACCACGCAAGGAAGAGGAGCAACGGCCTACATCGATAATGCGACAAAGCGCACGGATGGCGTTGGGACGGTAGATGATATCCGTGCTACCGCCCGTGTCCTTCATAATGGTGCTCGTGACCATGATGATGTCCTCGGCGGAGCTGGCCAGCTCCTTGATAACCAGATGCACCATTTGGCGTAGGCTGGCATCCTTGTTCTGGAAGAGCTTCGAGATGCCGAAGAAGAGCGTGGTGGCCTCGTTTGTGGGGAACCTCTCGCCCGTGTAGAGCAGCAGGGCGATCTTGGTGAGGAGGATGCGGCATCGTCGCGGCTGGATGGGAGACGTGTTGAACAGTCGAGCTGCGGACCGCCATTTCACTTAGCTACAACTCCACAGGTGTGTGTGTAAAGCACCTGGGGGAGGACTTGTGGGGATGCGCACTCACCTTCCTGGAATACCTGGGTCCGGTCAATCTTGACCAGACCCGTGTCGGCATCCTCGTCCTTTTTGCCGTAGTTCATGGTGGGCAGGGCGACGGGAGCTGAGCTAGGGAAACCTGGAGAAAGTCGGCCGTGGTTCAGCGGCCTTGTGCGAAGTACGAAGTACAACTCGCGACGTTGTCAATTCGCAGGTGCCCCGGTGGCCTTCTTCCCCACACAACAGGAGTTGAATTACGCACAGACCACCCTCCTTTCAATGTCACCTGAGCGGTCACATGAAGCCCCTTTTCATAGGCACCTCCAACACACCTAAGGTAGCTTCACACAATGGCTGTTCTGTACATTATTATTTGTTTTGCTTTTAAAAACTTGGAAGCACCCTGATGGGCCGCCGTACACCTAGGTGTATATTCTATCAGGAAGTCTTTTCGGTTCTGCGAATACAAAGGCAGCTGTTTCCCCAATACCGTACCCGATGAGAGATTAAAAGGGATTTAAGAGATCACAGCCGCTACCATCACACTAACGTACACTAATCCACCCCTTCCCCTCATCATAAGGCAGAGAAAAGAGAGGGCCCCAAGAGGCCTAGAACACAGACCGCCATTAAACCGCTACAGGTCAACCGTAGGAGCTCATCAGGAAGCAGCTAAGCGTTTGTTGTAGGCTGGGATCCTATGCCACCTCTACATCCGCTTCCGCTTCAAGCTCTGTGCCTTCTTGCTGCGATCCAGGATCCAGCTCTAGCCCTGATCCAAACTCAGGCTGGTGTTCAAATTGCGGTTCTGATTCCAGTTCCATTTCTGCAACTGGCATGAGCGCATGCACACTTGCGGCCTCGGCTCTCGGCTCGTCTCTTTGATATTCCGTATTGACAACTCGGCCGTCTACGATGTCGGCCTCTTTCCGGTCTGGATTTTTTCCACAAGCCTTGACGGCCTCTCTCTCCTTCTTGCCCAATACAACCAGGTCGAAAGAGGGGGGAAGAGCAATATCGGTCCTGCAGCAAGTCAATCGATTGACCCTGTCAAATAACCATACGTACAAATCAAGGCTGGCTGTTACTCACTTCAGAAAATCCTGCTTAAGCAATCGTGCTTTGTCTCGGAGGGCTTGCTGATCTCTAGGGCGCTCAAAGGCAATGATGCCGTTTCTAATCTCTTTTTCGATAACACTCCACTTGCACTTGAATGTGTCGACGGCCTTGACGAGTGCCCGGGTATCGTTCCTCACCCATGCCGAGCGTGTTTGGGGTTCTCGGGCCTTCCGGTTTGCGGCTGATATTTCCTTCGAGCGTTGCGACACTGCCTCAAAGTCCGGCTCAGCTTGCGACCCGGCGGGGGGCGGGTATTGCGACTCGGGAGGCGGCGGGTACTGCGATCCGGGAGGCGGGTACTGGGACGAAACTGACATGGCGGCCGATGAATCTGGACCTGTGTTCTTCTTCCGTCTCCCCCGAGGCTTCTTCGCTGGTGAATTGCCGACATCTCCAGTCCCGCTGTTTCTCAGCCCTCCGGCCTCATCCTGCGCGCCTCGCTTCTTATTAGACACTTGCGCAGCAGACTCTGCATACATAGAGCCACTCATCGTAAAGCCAATCTGGTGTGGCGGCTCTCCGTAGGCTTGGCTATGATGCTGAGGGATCGCGCCCGGGTATGGAATGACGTTTGTCGAAGGATAAGCACTGGGCTGAATCTCATGTGACCTTTCAATAATGTCCTGAGACGCGAGACGGTTGACTTCTCCTTGAGATTGCTGTTCCATTTGCTTCATAGCCCTCAGAGAGTTCATATAAGCAACTGATGGGCCCCTAGACTAAGGTGAGCGGTCGTTAGGGGAATGTGGGATCGGATCTGGAAGCATACCTAGTCTCCTGGTGCGCGGGAGTGTGGGCCATGGCCTCGGTTTCAAGCTGGGACCTAATTTGTGTGTCGATCCTCGAATCTGTATCGGACCCGGTGACTTGTGCGATAGAGCTCGAAAAAAGGTTGATGGGGACTATCTCCCCCTTTAATAAAGAGAAACGCTCTACTGCAAACTCCTTCATGTTCTCCAAAAACTCTCCGAGTGCAAATGAAACTCGAAGACTGTGTGAGATATCGACCAACTGGGGGCCCTTCTCGTTAATAGCGCTGCATATGGACCCGATGCGGGTTTCGAATCGTTGCTTAACCCAAGGGTTATCGTATTCAAGGCCGCGCATGGGCCTGAGTGCTAGAGAATGGCCTGGGTCATTCTGGTCGTGTAGAAAGGCGGCCAGCTGATCGGCCGACACTCCTCTCTCACAGAAGACTCCAATGACAAGGTCAAACGGGTTGAAGGGTACAGTGCTGTGATTGAGACGAGCGTCAAGCATTTCGAGAAATAGCTGTGTCCGAACTTCCAAGGCTTTCTCGGCGGTTTGCTCCTGAGGGACGTTGCTGTGGCCTCCAGAAGCATTTGCGAGATGTGCAACGTAGGCACCGGGGGATTCTAAATCCCATCTCTGCAGCAGAGGCAGAGCATCATGCCCCTGTTCAAGTAACACGACTTCGTCAAGCAGACAAGCAAGATTAGCCGCGGCTACAATTCGGGACGCGTTAGCTGCAGTTATCGAGTCCTCTTGTAATCCCATTGTAGAGAGAACGTAGGATTCTTCGACGACAGGTCTGCCGGGGTCAGACACATAGCGAGCGCGGTATGCTCGGAATGCCTGCCGACAATTCTCGCGTTCCAGGTCCCAGATTTCTGGGTCATCGGGTAGGGTAGTGCTCAGGTGAGAAACAAGGTCATCAGATGAACTAAAAAGTCGTTGAAGATAAATGCTCATGAGTTTCGACCGAATATTCTTCCGGTTGGGCGTGTCAAGTTCAGTAGAGGCGATAGATGATTCGGGGGCCGGTGTACTTGGCGCCGGCACTGAGACGGGCTCTTGCCAAACGGCTGCAGCATCTTCGCACGGCTCGTCAGAACAGACAGGAAGCTTAGTAAAGATACGAAGGAGGTTTCTTACACTCTGCATCGCCCGTAGAATAAATATCGGTGTTGGGGAGGCTATTAACACTGAGCATACTGCCTGTCGGCGTTTCGCGACGCGTGCCGCGTCGTGCGACAGGCAGAGCGGACAGAACGGGCAGAGCGGGCTCGGCATCTCTGCTTTGGCCGCGCTGGCTCCTTGTGCCAGGCAAAGGGGGAGGGGGCATTCCGGCATCCTGTGCAGCAGTGATGGCCGGATCAATATGAGGATCTGGCTTGGTGGACTGCTCAGTTTGATAGTGTTGTTGTTGTTGTTGTTGTTGCTGCTGCTGCTGCTGACGCGTCGAGCGTCGGCCTGGAGCGGCAGGTGGCTCCTCCGCCCTGCGCCCAGGAGGGCGCCCTCTACCGCGTCCCGTCATTGCGAAGAGTCTTATATAGCGACTTGTCCTGCCCGTGATCGCCTCGCGAACGAGAGGCTGTGAGAGGATCGTTGAGAGTTGTGAAGAAGGGTTGGGGTTAGGGTTACTCAAAAGCGTCAAAATCATACAGGTGGTACTATTTTTGCTGGTTTTTGCTTTTCATAGCCCGTTCGGGATCAAGGTTTTCTGGGGTCTGGTCACGTGACCTAATTAGCCCCCAAGCCGCCAAGCCTCTTGAAATGCTTGAAATCTGTAAGGTATCCGTGCCTTGGGTTCTGTGTATTGATAACTGCACCTTAAATGTGGCTATATTATCCTCTTATATGAACGCAGCATCAAGCTCACTTAACTCTATTTTGATGCATTGCTTGTATCACTGAAGTGTCATTTGATTTGGCCGTTGCCTCGAAGGACGACATCTCTATAAACTCTATCTCATCGCATCTGGACAGGTTAGATACCTAGACATATCATGGTTTCTTTACGAAATGGATGTTGCCACACGGGCCATGAAGAGTTATCTACCTAAGCAGTCGACATCGGGCCCAGACAATGCTGAATGCATCTAGAGATTGGTTGCTTAGCGGCCTGATTCTTACCAGTTCGTGCCATTTCTCAAAGGGATGCTCTGAGGATAGATGCACTAGCATTCAATAAGGTCACTTCAAAACCGTCATCAGGTCAGCGCCCCATTAGTGCCCGTTAGAACCGCTCTTGGGGAAACTTTACAACGGCAAGTGAAACATAGCTGCAGATCTTCAGCATTCGGCACTGGGAAGTCACACGTCTTTACCATACATTAGGTACCTAGAGCTACTAAATTACGGTGAGGTAATTTAGGTATGTACTGTACATAAGTACATGCAGTACTCTGATCCTAGGTGGCTTCAGTTTCTGTTTTACACCTCCTCCAGGGTAATACATGTTAGCGTGGGAAGGTGGCAAAGTTAGTGATTAGCGAGATTTCCCTGGAAGATACTAATAGAGACCAACGTACCAAGCTAACATGTATTTCCCTGGTGGAGGTGTATGTCGGAGGCCCCACTATTAAACAAAAAGTCGGGGTGTCGGGGCAATCGAACGCGCTGTGGGCTGTGCCCAGCCTACCAGGATGACCGCCGCCCTTTCTTGTGCAGGAACTAAAGTTACCGAAGGCAGGGGAAAAGATCGCCTCAGTAGCCCCATGCTGCGATCAAGAGTCGAGTCGAGACTCAATGAAGACCTCCTTTTCCTAGTTTGCTTTTTTCTCCTAACCCAAAACCATCACCATCAGATCGGTCCCATTTTCTTCCCAACGCTCTTTACAACAATTTCTATCTCTCCCTTTGTGAAAGCCGATCTGTCAGGCTTCGACTGTACCTTCCATACCTAAGGTATCCGTGCGGGCAAGACACTCGCACTTGGCGAGCTGGACAACTTGGGCACCTTTTCTTGGTTCGACTAGTGGTTTGACCCAACGCCCGCCGAGAAATTCGTCGACATATATCGACATCGGAATAAATCGTGTCGGCAAGAGCTCGCTATACTTTCTGCTCGATCATGAAGCTGCGATTCCGAAAATCCCCCCTCCTACTTCTCCTCCCTTCGCTTGCAGCCACCGCTGTTGTAGCACTGTCACCCGCCGAGAGACAGCTTGAGAGAGATGCCGTTGCGACAGGCGCGCGCGGGTCGGAACCAGCCACCGACAGCACGTCGGGCGCGAAGAAGTACGGTACCAAGGATGCGCCTGTCGATGGCATAGACGGGAAGCCGCACACAGGTCCTTTCGTCGAGATTGAGACGACGGCCTCCGACCCAAAGGAACTGCCAGTCTTGAAAGACCGCCCAGCAGACCCCACTATTATGGATGGCAAGAAAATACCAGAATCCAACGACGGTGTCATGTTCGATAAAAACAGGCCAGAACCGAAGGAGGGCACTACGGGAACCGGAGGCGGCGTGAGCGAGAAGGACAAGGAGCGCAAGACGAAGGAGAGCCAGACGGGTGCCAAAGTTGAGAACAAGCCTCAGACGCCCAAAGAAGCACGCCCACTTCCGCATTCCGACGAAGAGAAGATTATGCGTGATAAGGAGGCCAAGATAGGCAGCAAATTGTCCGAAGATTCGAAAGGTCTAGAGGTTCGTTTAATTCTCATGCGCGAAGCAAAGCCCCCGCGCCATGACTAACTGTTGCGCAGAAGCCGACAAACCTTCCTGAAAAGACCCATGATAAGGCCCTTCCGCTCCCTGATTCGGTAGCAAGCATAGATCATCTCGACATGTCCAAAGGGGGGCCCACTGGGAAGAATTCCAAGATCTCGGATGATGGCACCGAAGGCCTCATTCAGCCTTTCCATTCCTTCATCCTCTCGCTCACCATGATCCTCTTTTCCGAAGTTGGCGACAAGACGTTCCTCGTCGCCGCCCTAATGGCTATGAAGCATGACCGCATGGTTGTCTTCTCGGCCGCTTTTAGCGCCCTGATTACAATGACTGTGCTCTCGGCCATCCTTGGGCATGCCGTGCCTACCCTAATTCCGAAGCGCCTTACCAACTTCCTAGCTGCTGGCTTGTTCCTAATCTTCGGAGGTCGCCTACTCCGCGAGGGCCTCGCCATGAGCCCAGATGAGGGTGTTTCGGCTGAAATGCAGGAAGTCGAGTTAGAGCTGGAGGAGAAAGAGAACCTCGCCCGGAAGCAAGGGCGAAGGAGATCTAGCGTCTCGCCATACACTCTGGAAATGGGTCTTGGGAACCGCAAGTCCCGGTCCAAATCTCGGTTTCCGACGCCACCCCGTAGCCCTTCGAGCTCTCCCGATGGCCGAACCCCGTCGCCTCGTCGAGGCACCATTGTTGGCTTTTTCGCGGGACTGAACAACCTCCTCTCGCTGCTCCTTAGCCCCGCTTGGGTTCAGACCTTTGTCATGACATTCCTAGGAGAATGGGGTGATCGCAGTCAGATTGCCACGATTGCTATGGCCGCGGGCCAGGACTATTGGTGGGTCACTTTGGGTGCTGTTTTGGGCCATGGCTGCTGTACAGGCGTTGCAGTTGTTGGAGGAAGAGCAATTGCAGGGAAAGTCAGTCTCAAAGTTGGTAAGTCAAGGCGCATTATTCCCTCCACGAAGCACGTATGGAATGTTAACAAGTCCTTTGTGCGAAACTTAGTGACTGTCGGTGGCGCTGTCGCATTTCTTGTGTTCGGCTTCATCTATCTTGTTGAAGCATTCTACTCGTAACGAATCACGTACATATTCCTCAGCATTAGCACCAGTTGCTCAATAACCCATTGGAAAGAACCTGCAGGGTATTCCTACCTTTTTTTTACACTACATTCTTATAATCTCACGAATTCCACATCAAGTCCGAGCTTTCACTCCACACGAGCCGTTGAAAATCTCGGCACTGTTAACTTATATCTGCGGGGAACCGCTGTGGACCACTTTCTGTGCGCCTTGTATTATAAAAACGGAGGTGTTGACCAGACCAACAAGGGAATATATGGATTTGATGTTCTATTATATCAGCGGGAGTTTGGAGAGAGAAACCGGCGGGGATGGGACAGGAACAGACACTGCGGCTTGGGGTGCTACGACCTTACTTGGTCCTGTAAAAGAAAAAGAAGGATGAAGTAAGATGCATGTATACAGTTGGTGGTCATAATGCAATCTACTAATAGAAATTGGATGACCAGGCTCGAGCGAGTACATACTCGTTTTTGCTCCCCCTCTCTCTTACTTTCTACTACCCTCTCTGAATGAAGTGCTAGACTTCAAATTCGAGAACGACGGCTGCTAAATGCTCTTGCTAGGGTTTAGGTAGTATATATAGCTATAGCATCTGATTCAGGCCGTCTTAGTACGTATGTAGCACGCAAGGGATGCAAGTCAGGTAAGTCAGCACCTAAGGTTCATATTATGATCACGGGAGCCTCGCCCACGCTTGCTGGTTTGCTGTGTAACAACACCCTGCGGCTTGATGGCCCAGACGAAATATCTTCCTTAACTGCCAAACTTCGGTCGACGGTCGACGGTCAACGGTCAACGGTCAACGGTCAACCTAGCCTGGGCTCCTCCACCAATTTAGTGCGTTTATTGAAGAACAAGAGATCGACATGACACGGTACATAGGCTGATGTTGAACGCGGCAAACCAAAGTTCCCCCCAATGAGGCTCTAGCCTATCCACTTGCACGTCTTTCCCGTCGAAGATCTTACAGATAATAAATGTCCCAATTTCGTACCAACGACTGTTTGCTAGAGTTTAGATGTTTGAGAATTAAATGCGAGAGAGCGCTTCCTTGTCCTTAGCCTGCCTCAGGTACAGAGTGCATCCATATAGTGCCGATGATCTAGGTAGGCAGGTAAAATGCACCTGAGCAGCCGCCAAGCAACTCCTGTATCTACGTCATTGAACCCCGACAAACCAAAAGCAGCCTATGACGACATGAATTCAGGTCCTTCAAACTTCCATCCATCGCGCCCTACAAAACGGCTGCGCTGGCGAGGACGACCTTTCCCGATTTCCGATTTTATAAGAAACAGAATTTCATAATTTCGCGATCATTTCCCCCGAAGTCTTGCTTGCTTGCTAGCCTCTTTCCAGCACATACATTCCGGCCCTCGAACCACATACCAACAAGATGCCGAGCGGGATCGTCAATTCAGTGCAGTCCAAGGCCCAAGAGGTCGCGTAAGTCGAAATCCAACAAGTGCGCCAAAAAAAAAATTGCTGAGCTGCCTCTAATCATGTACATACTTCAGGAAGGAGGACTACGACCGAGCCAGAGTTCTTATCAACGATGCTGCAAAGAGCCGATCCTACTTGTATCCCATCAAGGTAGGCCAACGCGACCCGGTCCCGTACTGCGTGGTAATCCACGCGGCCGACATGCTAGTGCTCACCATGTCGTCAGGGAATTTTTTACTTCGCGACGCACCGTGCCTTGTGGAAGCCTCTTCTTTCCAAACTTGGCCCAACGGTGGCACTATCAGTTGGGGTCGTGACCTCGATGTTCTTTTTGACCTACCTTCCGCAGCTCGCAGTCTTGGTCTTCGTTAACGGGCCCCTCGCCGTCCTCACCACTGTTCTGCTCATTCTCAACGAGAGCTCCGTCATTATCAATATCGTGTCGAAGAACTTCATGCTGCAAGATGCGCTATTGGACACGTTTGACGGCACTCTGCTCGCCAGGGATGCTGCGGATATTGTAAGCGAAGGCAGACAGCTCAAGTCTGGCGGAGACCCTATTCAGCGTCTCGGAAAGATCTTGAAGAGCCCCTTTGGCCGTTTTAGTCCCAAGGCCTTGGTTCGATACGTCATGTACCTGCCGCTCAATTTCATCCCAGGTATGTCTCCTTTTTCCCCCAGCACCGACATTTCCGATCACGGCCCAGACTAACAGTATTTGCGTGACTAGTGGTTGGCACGGTCGTGTTCATTCTTTTCCAAGGTTAGAGAAGCACTGACTCAGCAAGGGAAATATATAACTGACACCTTTGCAGGACGTTCTCGAGGAAATGGCGTCCATGACCGAGTCAGTAGACCCATACACATTGTGCATGGATAAACAGAGGCTAAAATGAAAACAGTACTTCCAACTCAAGCGGTGGCCGTCCAGCAAGAGATCGAAATGGCTTTCCGACCATACCGGCCCTTATGCAGCGTAAGTACACTCAGTGATGCCTTTCTCCCCAAGGCCAAAACAAGAATCCACCGAGTGTTCATGAGCACGATCCCACGGAGCTCGGTTAGACCACAACACTGGCAGTGCGACGCGCTTCCTCCGGCCCTGTCAAGGATAGCCACCTAGGTTTACTAACATCGTGCCACATAGATTTGGGACTGTTGCGACCCTCCTGGAGATGGTACCTCTCGCTTCGGTTCTGTTCTCGTTCACCAACACTGGTAAGTCTAGTGTACATGTATTTCAGTGCCGAGGCTTGGTGTGCTGACAGTTAACATAGTGGGAGCCGCTCTGTGGGCAGCTGATATTGAGAAGGAGAATGAGATGGCCAAGGGTACAGCTCCTAGTTTGCGCAAAGCAGCAGAAAAGGCCGAGTAATACGATAGCAAATTAGCGAAATTGCATGCTCAGTTATTCAGAAATGCGCATTATAACATGTGGTGTGCGTCTCTACATTGACCCATGTGAAAGCGGCATTCGAGGTGGCAACTGATAAACGAGGAGGCACGGCATTTTGACAGCGCAGTATGCTGTACAACCGGCCAACTTGTTCGACAGCTCGCTTGACTCTGTGGAATTATTTACGTATCTCCAAGAAACGCCTCGAGACTAGCTCAATTAGATCTCAACAAATTGAAATGTGTAGAGTGGTAGAAGAAACGATGTTTGGCCTTTGCAGGTGTAATTGGCGATATTGTTGGTCCTCCAACCTTTGGTCTCTTCGAGAAAGCCGTGACGTGCTCACAATGTGTTTTTAGCGCCATGTTTCTGACTAATACCGACTAGAGCATGAGATGTCTCGTGCTGGAGCAAAGCATTGTACGTGCTGTCTTTGAGCTTATGAATGTCTTGGGTTCCGCCGCTTGTGGCAAAAGCCCAGCCCTCACGTCTTCGTATCCCCCCTTGATCTCGATTATAAAGACGAAAGGTTTCAAGGGTATTTGACCTGTGCCGCCGCTGGCTTGTGGTCCTCCGCCGTCGGTTTGCCCCCGTCGGATAGAACTCCACCCAAGCGAGTACTAGCCCGAACCTGCAAGTAATCCAGAGGTTGTATATTACACAGATCCGGCCACTTCAGATATCGGATGGCCAGGCTAGCAGGTATCCGGCCCCAATCCCTACGAATAAGCAGACAAGACTTGCCGATGTGAGGCCAATCTTGAACAAACGACGCTGCCGCAGCCAGGGAACAGACGGACTTTGCTTCCTCAAACACAATGAACCCGGTACTGTCATACACAAGCAGCTGTCGCCATCTCAATTTATATTATACATCAAAACAGCGCGGAACACTTGCGCTACAGTGATTCAGGAACCAACCAATCAAACCACCGGCTACTTGCAGGCCCCATCTTCGTCCGCCCGTACGAGTAGACCCCCTGCAGGGCATCGCTGCTGCTGCATCTAGCCTGGCCGCGGAGCTTAAGCCGGTGGCAATCTGACTGGCAGTATCTATCAGCTACAACAGAACTTAGACTCCCGGGAGCAATTCTGGTTCTCGGCCAAAAGCTTGGTCATGAATATTGCACAGGGTGGGCGGACTTCTTGTTCGAGGTTACCTGACGGCAGGGACATGTCACCAGGTGACAAGGCCGGATCGAGTAGAGCCGAGGGGGAGAACGCAGAGAGGTGCAACGCGCTGCCTCTTATCGAACCGACTTCGAGTCGTATGGACTACGCGGGGCAGGTCAAAGAACGAGAAAAGAGAAGAAGCACGACGAAAAAGAACTTGGCCGAGAGCTCCAAGGATCAGGGGAGCAGGGAATTAATGAAGATGCGGCGAGAGGCAGCTACAAACACTCGACCCTGAGCAAACGGACCGGGCTCGCCTTGGACCGCAATATCCTAGAAGTGTATTGCAATCTAACACATGTCGCTGGGGGGACGGGCAAATGGGGCCGGTCGAGAAGTCTGTGGGCTTCGACGTTTCGGATGGTCAAGACCTCTTTTCGTGTCTCTCGTCCGGATGGATATTCCTGCCCGCTTGCTTTGGAGGAAGGGGCCTCCAGGCACTTCTCCAGATGGACGACGCAACCCGCCACAACTGACTGGGATCGTTACTGGCCGGCCTGCCGTCGCCGAAGCCGAGACCCAGATTACCTGCGCATCGCCTTGAGTCTCGCAAGATTAAGGGCTGTTGCGCAACTTTGCGCGTTCCTTCTGCTATGGAAGGGACGACGAGTCTGGCCTGCCACCGACTCGATTGAAGGGACGCGAACTAACACATTGTACAAAGGCTAGGCACATACTGATAGAGAAGGAGCTCAGGGGGGCAGGATGCTTTTTTCCCGTCTAAGAAGCGATGACTCAGATTCAATTTCAGGTTATGCCACACTACTCAATCGTTCCTTCCCCGGAAGACAGACACTGTCTGGATGTATGATGGAACTTGGCACCCTGATGGACTCAGGTCAGGTCACTTTTGCGGAGAATTATCCTGGCATATGTCCCTGAACAGGAAGAATAGGTTGCTCCTGCTATATCTGTCACCCTCCCTCTCGTTGACCCTCGCGGGCCCCGACGCTTCCGCCCCTCTTGTTTCTTCCTCTTGCCTCACCGTCTTGTCCTCTCACAGGAGTAGAGGAGAGTAGAGCAGAGGACGCTAGCTCGCACTCGCTTCGCCACTCGTTGTGTCTCCAAGCTGGTGGCGCGCAACTGTTTGGCAAGAAAGAAGAGCATTCATTCGTTTTCCTCCTCCCTCTAGCCCTCCTTCTCGCCAGCCTCCTTCTTGTTTTAAAGTCTCGAGTGACAAAAAGTGTTCTTTATTCCTCCAAAAAGGTACTTGATATCCTACCAATGTTGGGTCTATCAGTTGCTAACCATTGGTCAGACATCGTCAACATTTACACAGTAGGAGCTAGCCTCGGGGGCTTCGCAAAATGAAGGCTTCAGCGGTCGTTGTCGGCCTGGTGTCAACCGTTGCCGTCTTCAGTTGTCTACCCGGCGCGCTGGGACAGCAGCAAGATGGCCTTTGGGCACGACTCCGCCGGGCCATCGGCGAGACCCAATCTGACGAGGCGGACCAGCAACCTGGGAAGCCTCACGCCATTCCAGTCCCGGAAGTGAAGGACTACAGCTATCCACCCTATGGTTATCCACCACCTCCGCCTTCTTCATCTGCACTGTCGTCTTCTGAATCCACCACTCCAGGTAAGAAAGCCCCTAAATCTTCCAGCAGGCAACGCCCATTTATCATAGTATCATCCAGCCTGACCGCAAATAGGATATGGTCCTCAACCCTCGAGTGAAGCATCTTCAAGCTCGTCATCTTCCGATGACTATGGAATATCGTCGACAGCAGCGTACGGAACTAGTACCACCAGTTCTGGCGGATACCCTCTTCCTGTGACTCCCTCGTCTACTGAAGGAGGATACACGTCTATTTCCGAGACGAGCTCTTCTTCCACAGAGAGCGGCTACTCATTTGAGACTCTCACTTCTGGGCTACCAAGCAATGCTCCTTCCACTCCCGCGACTGTCAGCTCTCTCTCCTCGAACAGTTTTTCAGAAATAGGAACCAGATCATCAACTACATCCACTACGCCAGGCATATCCACAGTCTTAGCTACCACGGCTTTGTCGGCATCTGTACCATCATTGACAAATAGCTCACTCCCTCAGATAATCTCGACTTACAGTTCTCTCACAAGAAACCACACTACTGTCTTGAGTGTGAGCTCAGGTTTTGGTTCCCCTGTTGGCCAGTCTTCAGTATCTGAAAAGAGTACCGTGTCAGGTTCTCCTGGTAACAGCACTTCGAGTTCGTTTAGTCTCAGCACAACATCTTCGTTGCCTACAACCAGCGCCTCGGTGCCGGTTTCAACTTCCAACCCTGGTGTCGTGTTAACCTCATCGCCTAGTAATTGGAGTAGCATATCTAGGTTTAGCTCAACTTCGCTTACAACTACAACAGCTATACTCAGCACTAACTCGTCGACTTTGGGCATTTCCTTTACAGAGACAGAGTCACCTGTCCTTGGCAGCACAACTGCCTCTTCAATATCAAGTCCTTCGACAGGCTCAGCGTCACAGAACGCAACGGTTTCCAGCGCAACTCTTTCGGGGTCGCAGTCTTTGAACCAAACAACCACTCTCCGGCCAAGTGTTGGAGCGACCTCTGTCCCAGCCTCGATTTCGGCATCTCTGTTTACATTGAGCACCTCTTCCACACTACCAGTCAATTATACTTCTTTCACATCTGGAAGCTTAATATCTTCAATCGTTACCTCTGGAACTCCGAGCCTTACTTCCCCATCCGAGTCTGTCAGTTCTGTATCAAGCCATGTGACAAGTTCACCATCAGTTTTGACAAATAGTGCAACGTTCATCCCGGCAAATATCAGCACCTCTAGCCATTTGGCACCATGGAATTCGACTAGTTCCATTTCGGCGTCAGGATCGGAAGGACTGCCGACCTCGGCTCCAGCAGGGAATACGGCAGAGAGTTCTTCGCCCACATATTCACCATCATTGTCTGGCACAATTACGGCCAGTCTGAATACGAGTTCTTCAGGCTCGTCGCCATCATCTATTCCATCTATACCCTCGAGCTCGAGTGTTGAAGTAACGTCATCCTCGGTTACAACCCCAAGCACACCTATTTCGTTGAGCAGCATCACTGGGAGTATGTCTTTTTCCACGCCAATCAACAGCACCGCTACTTCTCCGAGTCCATCGTCGACATCGGGAAGATCTGCGACAGGAGCCCCTCATCCGTTCACACTTCCAAGTTCTTCTCGACCACATCCCGCCACTACCTCCACTGGTTCTCTAGGCGTTTCAAGTCTCACGCCGATATCGACCACTGGTCTTAGACCCTCGCTATCTGGTGAATCAAGCCATATCTCCGCCGGTAGCGTGACTGCTGGCCAGAGCATATCGACACCATATCCTCTAGGGAACTCATCTACAGTGATCAGCGGTTCCTCTAGAAATCCTTTATCGTCGACCACCTTTCTTCCTTCTTCGAGCTGGATTGTTGCCACGAAGTCTGCGTCGTCTTACCCGGCTCAGATCTCGAACTCTACGGTTTCAACACCATCTTCTGTTTTATCCGGGTCACTAAATACGGGTACAGAAAATTCGGTCTTATCCACTATCCTGCCATCAGGGACTCTTGTGACAACTCTTGCGACAAGCAGCATTACGCCAGCCGCCAACACGACGAGATCTACTACTTTGTTCCCAAGCTCTGTATCGTTTTCTATACCTGGGACGACGCTTTCGAGTCTGAACTCAACCAGCACCTCGATTCCATCCTCATATTTGTCGCATCAAACGCCTTTACCATCTCTCCACTCGACATCTTTTACCAGTGGTCCGACATCAAGTGCTCCTTTCTCCAGTTTTGGATCTGGATCCAGTTATTCAACCGGTTCATCTTCAGTTCTGTCGCCTGGAGTCAATGCATCAATTTACACGACATCTACTCCTAATACTTCACTGACAGTCTATCCTGTACCATCATCTGCGTCTCTGAACTTTTCCGTCACCACATCAGCCGGGACGAGTCTAATAGGTACTGCATCTTTCAGTTCTATTCTAAGTATCCGGCCCACCGAATCAAGTCGGCCCCCATTTCCAACAACAAATTCGACTTCCATACTATCCAGCTCTGCTGAATCTACGGGCTCGTATCTAAGCTCATACGCAGCAGTTTCTGGCAAGGAATCGATGGTGTCGTCTTCAGCGGTATCCAGTGAATATTACCCAACTACAAGCTCTGCTAATTATACTGGTGCTGGGCCGACAAATGTGACCACTGCAGCAAGCACGGGTGCCAGTTCAACGACATCGGCGAGCTTGCTAGAATCACCTTTGCCAAATATTAACAGCACCGTGTTGAGTAGAAGTTCTCTTGGAATTACTACCAGCAATATCTCTCCTTCAACCCCAATTAGCAATACGGTGGCTCCTAGGCCTTCGTCTGCTTCGTTTACTTACACCAACTCTTCATCATCACGAGCCTCTGTGGGCACAGCTAGCGCTAGGCGAACAACTTCTAGTCTCTACCCGATGACAATATCCCCAGAATCATCGGCTTCGACCTCGAACTCCGCTCAAAACTTTTCAAGCGTAAATTTACCATCAACCAGCTCTGGCAACATCAGCACAACCACTACAGGCTCGTCCATCCCGACGTCAATCTCAACATCGTCACAAACCCCCTATCCGGTCTCAAACACCACCGGAACTTCTAGTTTCAGCCCTACTAACACCCTAGGAACTAGATACTCTAGTTCAACTCAAGCTCCCGAGTCAGAGTTGTCGTCTGTAGCTCCTTTGTCAAACAGTTCTGTCACATTGTTGCCGACTAAAAGTGTGCCATTGACAAGCCAATCGCCATCTCCCACTTCCAGCTATGGGTCGTCACTGGCGCCCTTCCCAGTTACAAATGGAACTTCCTCGACTCCAGGAACTGGCTCACTGCCGGGCACAGCACTGTCGACTTACTCATCTCTGTCTTCTACATTGACACTCGTTCCCCCGGTGAATACATCGCTCTCGACCCCCTTGCCCAGTCGGAGCTCTGTACCGGGGACAACCCAGCCGCTGACGTCGTCGAGTCCCCCCTATCCCACCTCAAATTTTGCAAACTCTTCAACGCGGGCAACGACAAGCGAGGTGGGCACAGCTAGCGGAGCTATCACCACGATTGCACCTTCGCGGTCTGGACCTGCCAGTGGTATCTATCCGCTGTCAAACAGCAGCCTGTCGAGCGGCATCACTACAGGAATTGGCATCACCGGTAGCGGATATTCTGTTCCAGGAACATTGGCGACTCCAACATCCTCAATACCCTCTTCAGCACTGACGAGTAAACTGCCTACTACTTCGTCAGGAACTGGGTTTTTGAGCTCAGCAGCTCCTGTGGAAACATCGCAAAACACCATCCCTCCATACCCTACAAGCAATTCAACAGTGGTGTTGTCTAGTCTTCCAAGCAGTGGACTAGGAACTGGAGGCTCAACCTTCCCTTTGGCATCTTCAACGCCGGAATCATTATCGGTGCCTATCACAGCCTCCAGTTCACCGTTTCCATTTGCAAACTCCACAGCCGGGATTATTCCAACAACAGGTTCATCTTCAGCTGTTAGAACTGCCGGGTCAGGACTCCCCTTGAGCTCGATGTTGTCTTCCTTGTCTAGGCCGTTTATCTTCCCGAATTCTAGTAGTGCTCCAATTTATGGCACTGGAACTAGATCTTTGACAGGAAGCAGCAGTGGCTATGTTGGGTCTACCGCTCCCGTTCCTTTTGGATCATCACGGCCTACGTCTCCTCTATTCCCGTCAGGGAATGCCACTCAGCCTACGGAACTCCCGAGCGAAACCATCCCAACTTCCACCACACAGACTGTGCCATATTCATCGACGAATGCAACAGCTCAGTCAGTTAAGCCCACGAGCGCAAGCCCCGACATAAGTAGCGAGCTTACAAACTCGACTGTTATGCCAGTCAGTGGAGTTCGGCCGTCACTAACACCGTACCCTCTCGCAAATACAACATCATCCATTTTTGGCACGGGTACAACCTCTAAAATTGCTGGCACAGGATCCTCAGTTCCAACGAGTCCTATCTCAGCAACCAGTCTCTCACCAGGTTTATCTACGTCGATCAACTCTACTACTCGGGGACCGGTTTGGTCACAGAATTCTACCAGCACCACAGCAAAACCAGACATCTTGTCAACATCATCATCTCTGGTATCTCCTCCTTTCCCTGCCAACACCTCGTCAACACTCGGAGTACCAAGTGTAGAATCAACTGGAGTGGGACCTACTAGCTCTATTAGCCCGTCAAAAATATCTTCGTATCTTCCAGCGTCTTCGTCTCTTAATATTACACAACAGAGTACAATTGCGCCGCCCTCCCAAACAAGCTTGCCTCCTTTCCCACTGACAAATTCATCTTCGGGTTCTACAGTGGGAGGTACACAAGCTCCTTCTAGTGGAATCGTTTTGTCGTCTCCAGCCACTCAAGTTACAGCGACAGCAAGGCTCTCATCCAGCCCCGCCCCTTTCCCTGTATCTAATTCAAGCAGCTGGGGTGCCTCCGCATCTGGTATTATAACCCCGTCGTCAAGTTTCGCAACAGGGATATCGAGTGTTGAGCCAGTTGAGGCTTCATCCTCTACTTCTTTGCCTACAAACTCGAGCAACGAAACTCTAGCCACGAGTTCGCCGTCATCAACATTTGCAAGTTCGGGGACCGGTTTCCCGCAGCCTTCACCAGCAACTAATAACACCGCCCCGTTCCCGTTCACAAACTCGACGTCAACAGTTGGTCCAACATGGGCACCGTCAGGAAGTGGAAGCATTTCAATCACACTTGGCACAGGAACCGGAAGCTCAACAGTTGGCCCAACATGGGCACCGTCAGGAAGTGGAAGCATTTCAATCACACTTGGCACAGGAACCGGAAGCTCAACTCCGGTGTCAAACTCAAGCACCTCCACCCCTTACCCCATTGCTAACCTGAGCTCTGTTGCGAGTTTGACGAGCACTTCTTTCATTGGGACTTTGACCCCATTGATCTCGGGAACTCAAGTAACAAGCCATCAACCCGCAAGTTCGAGCATCATTCCACCATACCCCTTGCCAAACAGCACAGCCATTGTGCCGACTAGTAGTATTGGTAGCAGCAGTGTCACTTCATTAGTGAGCCCGGGCACCGGGCCGAACAGTCAATCAACTATCCTATCGAGTTCTTTCTCATACCCGACCCCAAACACCACAACAGGAATTACATCCTCCTTGAGACCTGGACCTTTCCAAACTTCTGCTTTCAGCTATGGAACCGGCACGGCAAGCCCATCGGCTGTCGCCTCTTCGGTCTCAGCACCTTATCCATTTTGGAACTCTAGTTCTTTGATCTGGCCGACTGGGACGACTGGTCCGTCCAGCGTTTCAGGCCCTAGAACAAGCACCCAAAACGGAGGCACGGCTCCGTCAACAATTGTTCAACCAACTCCCGTTCCAAACACCGTACTCAACGCGACAACGTTGGGCAGATCAACAGGCTCTCTGATAACAGCATCCTCAACAGAAACCCCCCTGACCTCGGTGCCGTACCCGTTGCCAAACTCTACAGTTTCTAATGGGCCCACTGGTGCATTTTCCATCTCGGGATCTAGAGTTCTTGGTACCAGCTCAGGGACTTCAGTCCCCCTACCAAACCCTTCATCCGGCCCGGCCCCTTACCCAATTTCAAACTCGACATCATATTCCGGCCCCACTGGCAGCCCGCCAACAGTAACCAACTTAAGCAGCAGTGGGATTATCGGGGCTAGCAGCAGCAGCACTCCTACGAGTTCCGTCCTATACAATAATATTACCGCGAGTCGAAGTTCTTTTCCGGTGGTCGAGTCCAGTTCAGTGCCATATCCGCTGGGAAATTCTACACTGAGTCACAGCTCTACTCCCGTAAACGCGACTTTCACAATCGCACCGGAACTAACAACCGGTGGGCCAAGTGCAACAGCCTCATCGCATTTCTCCAGTGGCGTCGGTACGAGCAGCAGGGCGACTCTAACACCCATCACTGCAAATTTCTCCAGTGTCACAACGACTCCATCGTCCTCGGGAATAAGGTCCGGAGTCAGTAATTCGCACACACGATCTACTACTCACTCAGCAGCTCCATATCCGTTATCAAACAGCACCACCGCCGTGCCACTTGATACCACCTGTACAGAAGAGACAGTTTCACTTCCGAAGCCAACGCATTTCAACACCACCGCCGTCACCTCCGCTAGATCCAAGAGCAGCAGAAGCCCAAAGGCTCCGGTATCTACTTTTCTCCCTACGACATCTTGCAACGAAACTACATTCTTGACTCGCGTTACCTCTCAGAAGCCTTCCAGGGCTTCTGCCTCGCGATGGTGGAATACAACGTCGGAAACGCGGCGCGGCAGTGGTAGGTGTGACTTATCTCCCATCTTATAACCTGTTGCTAATGCTATGAGACTTAGGTACGGCAATCAGCTTGACTACATTCATGACTGAAACTTCATCTATTGCGGCCGCTAAATCGTCGAGCTCAGAGTCAGCATGGTCAACAATCGCGCTAAGCACGGGGTCGCCCGACTTCAACCCAATCGACTCCGGGTCAGGACCTTTGGATCACCATCACAACCATAGCGCGCTTAGGCAACCAGAGCCATGAAGATCGTCTAGCAGCTGCAATCGTTTCTGTGGGCCCTTTGGTTGGCGGAGTTGTGCAGTGTCTTGCGGTGGGCGATGTCACTACTGAGGCACCGTCGCGTTTGTTGATTGACATTTTTGTTTGCCTGGAAGCTTCGGGCATTAGAGAACATACTTTCTTTTCTTGCTGCGTCTGCAACTTAAACGCACCCCATCTTGTCCCTCCTTTTTTCTATTTTGGTCGCGGAAAACGCAAACGAGGTGGAGCTATAAGACAAGGAAGTTTTGTCATTTAGACTCAGTAATAAATATACTCGTTGTCATTTACTCGTATAATAACCGCCGGGAAAGGCAAGGATGGTTTACTTTATCCTGTGATAAATCCTGATGTTGGGTCCAACGAGGTGTTGGCACTAAGCATCCGCTAGGATATGTGGTGATTTTGTCGAGTCCGTGAGTACCGATCGTGACCGAGGCCGAATGGTTGCTGTGAGGTTCAGCTGGCTGGGAGCGTAACATGGCGGCGGTGGTTCTCGGGAATTTTGGCGGCGTGCGGCCGGATCCCATCAGTGGCGTCACCTTCGGGCAACGGGCTTGGTATTGCACATGTCCATTGGTAGAAGTGCGACGTCCGGGGGCAGGGGGCAGGGGCCGGCATTGTTGGGAAGCCGTTTGTCTCCACTGTCGCCTCCCCCACAATGAGATTGAACCTTTGCCCCTTGGGCCTACTGTGGTCGTGTGCAAAAATAAAACCCCCTTGTCAGGTACCTGTGGGGCAAACACTTTACGTGTTTTTGACTCGGCATGGGGCTTTTATTATCCATCATACCACAGTACAAAGCAAAGGCCCCACAGGCTCTCTGAGCACGTCATCTGGGCTAAATGCAGCTGGAGACAGCAGGTACAATAGGGTACCAAAAGCATTGCGCCACTTACACGCTAAAAATGCCACAATCGTCATGGCACACCGTGGTGAGGGCTGCATCTTCCACGGTGAATTTCTTCACCATATTTTCGTCTTTTTCCTCTAAACAAAGATAAAATAGTCGGGAATTCGAAAGTATTTAGCCCTAAACTTTCAGAATCAAAAAGGGCCCAAATTTGGGCTCTCCACGTCTTCGGAGCTACCAGCAAGACCATCTCGGCGCAAGTGGGAGCCGGAAAATCGACCGTTAACCGGACCATACGGCGGACCAATAGAAACTTGGCTGATGGACTCGAAAATCCATTCATTTTGAAGCCAAGAAGCGGTAGGCTAGTCCTAGTCGATGAGCAGGCTATTCGGCGTGTTATTCGTAATGCAAATCAAGCCCGAACAGACACTCTTACTGCCCTAGGAACGTCCTCGAAACCTGGGCGTAAGATCAAGGCGGCCAACAAGGCACGCTGGCGTGCTCGTAAGAAGCCCTGAATCTCTCCAAAGAACAAAAAGAAGCGCCTAGACTTCCGCCGCCGCAATAGACATACTGCCTGGCCCCTAATCTGCTAGTCAGACGAGGCATACTTCGAAGTAGGCGAAGACGGCCTCACAATCTATGTCACTCGGTCCCCTGAAGAGGAATACCACCCTGACTGCCTATAGCCTACCTTCAAGAGTGGCCGTACGAAAGTAGGCGTGTGGGGATGCTTTATGGGCTCGGAAAAAGGGCTTATTGTTGTCCTTCCTCAGGGGACCCGTCTCATTGGGCAGGAATACATCGATTAGATCTTTATTCCTCGTTTCCTTCCTTTCTACAACAAAATGAAGGAAAAGTACGGCCACGGCCTGCAATTATAGGAGGATAGAGCAACTTATTACTATAACGGCTTCCTGGGTTTGTTGAAGAAGGCTTTCGATGTCAGGGTCCTGGAATGGCCCACAGAAAGCCCAGAAATTCAGGAAACCTAGAACCAAATTGTCCCTGAATTATTCATGACGTTGGTGAATACAATACCCTAAAGGATAGATTTGCTCAGGGGCTCAATCAAAGGACGGACCGACCTAGTATTAAATTACGATCATTTTGGTATATTTTGCGCGTATTTTGGCCTAGAATCGACATTGTTGTGATTATTGGAAGAAAGAGGGTTTGTGTAAGTGGGTGGCGCAATACTTTTGGTACCCCATTGTACCTTTCCGGCAAAGCAACAGCCAAGCAACGTGGTAATTTCATCCCACCTTTTTACTACGACCCCACTATGATTTGAGGTGTTAGTCGTGGAATTCACCAACCAGAGTCTTCCCATTGCCATGTTACCTCCTGGTCTCGAGCGAGAAAGAAAAGCACACTATATATGGGGCAATGGACACACCGGGATCGGAGCTTGCTGTTCATCTCAAAGCCGCTTCTGGCCCAGGGAGGCTGTGGTGAGCATAAAAAATATTTTCTTACGTCTTCAAGGTGGCCCGGCTCCGCTCCATGTTCGCCTCCCGATTCGGCATCTCTGCCTTTGCGTGGGTTTTAGTCTTGGGTAGGCCACCACCTCGCAGCGCGGGAGATGGGAGGGGCATACGCTGTGGGTAAGAATTATAGGGTAGACGGATATATACCTAGATATTGCGCTCCTCGGAGGTGGACAGGACGAAACCACACCCCCTGCCGTCCCTGAGTCGAAGTTTTCCACCTTCCCCCTTCGCCCATTCTTTCTTCGCCCGTCCTTGAGGTTCCCCCCTCTTCACGTTCCACCTTAGAAACACCATACGCGCAAATACACGCGAGAATAAGGTCACCTCTTTCCAGGCAGACAAATATCTGTAGTTCGGGACCAGGCATATCAGTTCTACGAAGAAGCTAAGCGGAAACAGCGCACCCTCCTCCATATAAGAATGGCCAACTCTCCTCATGGCGGGGTCCTGAAGGACCTGCTTGCGCGAGACCTTCCTCGTCACAACGAGCTGGCGGCAGAAGCAGAGACGCTCCGGGCACTTCTCCTGTCCGAGCGCCAGCTTTGCGATCTCGAATTGCTTCTCAATGGCGGCTTCTCGCCCCTTGAAGGTTTGTCTCTTCATCCATTCCGCTCCTGGACCGACGTGGTGGGGCTCGCGTGAACCCCGCCATCACAAGCTTCGGATTCTTGCCTCGAGGCCTTGAAGACAATAGAAGTTACAAGAAACTGCGGCTAATCAATTGAGCGAAAAAAAATGCAGGTTTCATGAACGAGAAGGACTATAACGGGTATGGATTTCCACTTCCGAGCCTGCTCAGAAATTTCATGTGCAATCGCCGTATGGGGTGCTGACCAGTGATGGGGATTCAGAGTCGTCAAAGACAACCGCCTCGCCGATGGCGCCCTCTTCAGCATACCAATTACGCTCGACGTGTCGCAGGAAACTATCGATAGCCTGGAGTTGAAGGCTGGAGCCCGAATTACCCTGCGCGATTTCCGCGACGACAGGAACCTGGCTATCCTCACCATTGACGACATCTACAAGCCCGACAAGTAAGCCAAGCCTCGTGTGAATCTGCCAAGTGTTGCGTCATTCAGTGGCATAATGGCAACCCGCAAGCTGACACATAGCATCGGAATAGGGCGCTCGAAGCTAAGGAGGTCTTTGGAGGCGACGAAGAGCACCCGGCTGTCAAGTACCTCTTTGAGACGGTCAAGGACTTCTACGTCGGTGGAAGGCTGGATGTCGTTCAGAAGTTGCAGCATTATGACTTCTTGGACCTGCGATGTGAGTTTTGGCTGCTTTCGTCAACGCGCTTCTTGAGACATTGGAACAAAGAGCTGACCGAAGGCAAGATACCCCGGCGGAGCTCCGCACCCACTTCGACAAACTCGGCTGGTCGCGAGTTGTTGCCTTCCAGACCCGGAATCCCATGCACCGAGCCCACCGAGAGCTGACGGTTCGGGCTGCCCGCTCGCACTACGCCAATGTCCTGATCCACCCGGTTGTGGGCTTGACAAAGCCTGGCGACATCGACCATTTCACCCGCGTTCGAGTGTACAAGGCTCTCCTACCGAGATACCCCAATGGAATGGCGGTTCTCGGCCTCCTTCCCCTAGCAATGCGAATGGGAGGCCCGCGTGAGGCTATCTGGCATGCCATCATTCGAAAGAACCACGGAGCGACACACTTCATTGTCGGTCGCGATCATGCAGGTCCTGGCAAGAACAGCAAGGGTGTTGACTTTTACGGCCCATACGACGCGCAGTACGCGGTAGAGAAGTACCGCGACGAGCTCGGCATCGAAGTGGTTCCATTCCAGATGATGACATACCTGCCCGACAGCGACGAGTATGCGCCCGTCGACGAGATCGCGAAGGGCGCCCGGACACTGAACATCTCTGGAACCGAGTTGCGGGCAAGACTGCGCAGCGGCCGCGAGATCCCCGAGTGGTTCTCGTACCCCGAGGTCGTTAAGGTGTTGAGAGAGTCGCACCCTCCGAGGTCGCAGCAGGGATTCACCGTCTTCCTCACAGGATATCAGAACAGCGGAAAGGACCAGGTTGCGAGGGCCTTGCAGGTGACACTCAACCAGCAGGGCGGCCGATCCGTGTCCATGTTCTTGGGCGAGACTGTTCGCAGCGAGCTCTCCTCCGAGTTGGGTTTCAGCCGCGAGGACCGCGACAAGAACATTGCTCGCATCGCCTTTGTTGCTTCCGAGCTAACAAGGTCTGGTGCGGCCGTGATTGCGGCGCCCATTGCCCCCTTTGAGCAAGCAAGGCAGAACGCCCGCGAGCTGGTCGAGAAGTACGGCGACTTCTACCTGATCCACGTGGCGACGCCGCTGGAATACTGCGAGAAGACGGATAAGAGGGGCATTTACAAAAAGGCTCGTGCGGGCGAGATCAAGGGCTTTACCGGCGTCGATGATCCGTATGAAGCCCCGGCTAAGCCGAATCTGGTCGTCGATTTCGAGAAGCAGTCGGTGCGCTCCATTGTCCACCAGATTGTCCTTCTCCTCGAGAGCCAGGGTCTTCTGGACCGGTTCTAAAGAACCGCTTCATCACAAGTGATCTGTCTCATCGTCACTCGTCTTCTTCTCGTACTCTACGTGCTGGGTGCCTAATAAGGGATACCGGAATCGCGCGGGCCTGGGTAAGAACTGGTCGATGAGAGAAGAGAACTAAGCGATTCAATGGCCTGAGAATGGGCAACCTTTGAGCTGCCCCGGCTGTTGTATGGCTGTTGCTCTTGGGAGAAGAGGTCCCATGACCATGATAGCAAGTAGGTAGGCCTGGTGCGGAAACCAGCTGCCCGCTGATTGTTATAATAGACGAAGCTAGAGGGGCTGGGTAGAGGATAGATCCTGAGGAGATTTAACATTGCGTGCAAGTAACTCGAGCTCCTTTCCGACCAGATGAATCCCGTTCACTCCAAGATCGCAGCATTTCGATGATTTGATGTTAAAAATGTTGGACACGGATGATGCATCAAGTTAGTTCCAGGCACTATCGATGCAAGCTGCTTCCCTCAACAAGCAATCCTGGAAACCTAAGTACCCACTGTGCCCAGTGCAGATCGATCTCTTTTCTCGGTGTTTTGGTTGGTAGTTGGCGGGTTCTCAAGCTAGCAATTTGCAGCAGTACAGCGCTTAGCACGCAGAGGCGCGGGTACATGGAACCGGTGACGCTTAAGAATGACCAGTGGGTCGCTGGTACCTAGGACTTCCTATGATAATCCGACACGAAAAGCAAAGACATCGGTGAAGTTGAGGGGGCAATATTATGTGTGACTCGATAATCATAAGCGGTGGCACTGTAAGGTAATTCATACTGGTCTTAACACGAGTTCCATGTATGCAAGTCGTTATAGGATGCTTTGCAACGAATTCGTAAATTGGACCAACCTAGATTTTGTCGACTGGAGACATGAAAGTTAGGAACGAAGGCGGGGAGGGTGCCCGATAAGTAAGGCCGTGCACGAGGGCAAGCCACATCACACCGTGGGGATTGACGCCTGCCAGGCAATAGGCGCACTGTAATGGTCGGGCTAGCTGGCAGTCTGGTTGGCGGCCAGGCCGTGGGAGTAGGCTGCCCCTACCGCCCCCAAAACGGGATTGTACAGTGCTAGACGCCAGCCAAATCACAATCGGCTTTGCTCCTTCGTCACCACCACCCAATGCCCTGTGTGGGTTTCTGGGCTGTTGCTTGGGCACGATCCGATCTAGTCGCCTCACCTGGTTCTTGCATTCCGCGTATAATCTCTCGGCCCCGACCGACGACCCAACAGACGTGAGAAAGCTGCGGCAGTACTATCTTCGCGGCGCACTGGAGGCCCTGCCGCATATTGGTAGTCTCTGCAGTGCGAATACCGATTCCAGCTCCTTGCCCAGACAGTTCTGTCTGCGCCTCCTGCCCGCTGTTTGCCTCGCCCCGCCTCGAGTCCCTGCGGCAGTCTCCCGTCTCTAGGGCGGGCTGTTCGCCTTGACATGGTACGCCATGCCCTCATCTAAGGATCGGGATGTCGACGTCGACGAAGGCTCGCGCGAAAAGCGACATCGACCCAAGACAGAGCGAAAGGATCGCGACCGCGACCGAGACCGGGAGAAAGATCGGGATCGACCCAAGGATCGAGATCGCGACGTTGAGCGCGACGCCAAGGACTCTCCGTCCCACCGTCACCACCGATCTTCGAGATCATCCAAGCTGAGGCCAACCGACAGCGATACCCACTCTCGTTCCCACCGCCGTCACCGCCCCAAAGATATGGAGAAAGACGAAATCAACTACCGCCCCCCCGCCGCCAGCTCCATGACGGATCTAGTACCCGAGCTCACGAGGGGCATAGACAGCGAGCGAGGGAGCGCGCCTTATCCGTCCTTTAGCAAGGCACATAGCAAGGAGTTCCTCCATAGCAGGGACAATGTGTCAGCTCCTGCTGCTCGGCGGACCGACCCCCTCACGCCAGAGGCGACCGACATTGGAGGAGGCAGCGATATGAGGAGGTCCAAGTCGGCAGACTCGCCTCCTGCAACACGCAAAGCGTCCTCTTCTCGTAAAACCTCACGCCAAGATGACAGGCCGCCGTCCCCACCCGAGACTGATTTGGCTGGACAGAAGGAGAGACCCGGGACACCCCTATCCACAAGGGAAGGGGGGCACCTTGATCCGAGGTCCGGATCCAGAAACTCGTCTTGGGTCTCGAGGTCGACGTCAAAGAATGAAGTCAAGTCAAGAGTTTCGAAGGCGTCGAGTCAGGCCACCTTTATACTGCAGCCAGCCACCGAGAACCATGACCGTGATGGACTCGGGGCAGCTGCATCTTCGGTCCAGTCAAGCTCTGCGGCAACATCAGTCCCTCTCAAGCGAAGCGTATCTGTTCCTCCCCCAAGGCCACCACCTATCAAGGTCGATTCTTCGCCCGAATCAGCTGTTGACTCATCACCGAAAACACCTACTCAGACACCACAGTTTCCGCCATCCATCATTCCCAACGAAACGGAGCACACTAAATTTGAGATATCGTCGTCCGATGTACCTACTCCTTCAGCTACTCCAGCACATGTCCTTGTTCATGGTCCGCCACCACCACCACCGCCGCCGCCGCCTCCCATTAGCATCCAAGATGTTCCACGGGTCGACTACCTCATGCAAAACGGTGGTTTGCCACATCCTGTCCCGAAGACGTTCCTGGCGGTGCTGCCGCGGCAGAATGGCACTCGGCCGTCCAACCCGCCACTCCAGGGTCCTGAGACGCTTTTTGCGCCCTTCTTTAATCTCCTGAACCAGTATCAGACGGTGATTTCGGGTCATGGCTCCATTGCTGTGGCAACTGGCCACCAAACCATTGCCCGTCGGCTGTTGAATCGGCTTGAGAATGTCTTCTTACGAGATTTGTCCCCAGATGGCTGCTACTGCGTCATGTGTGACCGCTCGGAAGAACAACATAGGGGCCTCGGATGGGGTGAGGTGCTTGAACGGGTCAGTGGTCGGACAGACTTGCCGCCGTGGCCTCCCTTTGATCTTGCATTGCTGGGGACCAAGGCGACCGAGGGCCTGGTGGATGTTCCACCGCGACCGGCATCACCAGTTAAGATGGACCCTGATATCGCCGAGGAGTTCAGAGAACATTACCTTCGTCAGTCGAAGCGGGTGAGAGCGGCCGTTGACAAATGGATGGCCAACTGTGACAAATCCCCTGCTCCCCCGCCACAGGAAGTTGATGACGAGACCCTGACATTTGCAATCCTTACCAACCTCGACCCCGAGGACAGGCCGTACTTCAATGCCCTCTTGTCAGGTTCCCGAGAGCTTCTTCCGGCAACTCGTGCACCTACGCCCATTCGCAAGCCTCGCAACGACTTTGTGGTAAAGTCGGGGCTGTCGATACAAAGGTTGTACCGACTACCGCAAGTACCTCGCGACGCCGAGACGGCCATGTACCTCGTCAAGAACCCAGCCATGCACAATCTTCTACATACAATCTCGGACATCAACCCGTCCGAGTGGGAGATATTAATTTCCGGCCGGTTTGACGGGTTTCTGTGGTCTGGCGCCGAGGACGACGGGATCCCGTTTGGGGAAGGGCCATCTCGCATGGCCACTCCAGCAAGTGGTATTTTTCCGTCATCTCGTGTCATGAGCCCCGGGATGAGCCGTCCTGTTATAGGGGGGTCGAGGAATCCTACCCCATTCGGGCCCTACTCGCGTGGCCCCACTCCCGCGTCGTTTATCAGCGGAGTGTCGGCCGCATCGTCATCGTACCCAAGTCGCGCGGCGGTCTCACATGACGAGGAGACGGAGATAGCAGTCATCGCCGAAATTGAACGTGAGATATTCAACGGCATGGAAGCGCTCGAGGATGCCTTCGAGCGGCTACACGACCAGGCCTTAACGGTGCGCGCCAACCTGCGGCGGCGCGGTGCTGCCCTCTCCATGAGCTTGCAGCAGCGCCGCGGACTTGGCGGCCGGGCCATCGACGTCCTGCCGCTCTCCGGGTCGAGCGGCGCGTATGACCGTCCCGCCTGGGCCGACGAGGAGAGCATAGATGGGGAAAGCGAATGGGGTGGCGATGATGTCAGTGAGCTAGCCCCGGACGACTCGGCAAGCCAAATCAGCAGCAATCGACTGCGGCGGCCGAAGCGGAGGAGGGAAAGGGCGACGCCCGCCCCTATCGAGGAGGAAGATGAGCAGTGACGGAAAGTTTGATGAAAACAGAAAAGAGCAGAATGGCTTTCTTTCCTTTTTGGGTTGTCGTTTTTGTCCATTTCGAAACATTGGCCCCGTCAAATAAATAAAAATTGGAGACACTGGCGTGGATTTGTTGGTTTCGTGTTTCGACTGTTTCTTAATGCTTGGGTTGGTTTTTCTTCCGGTTTTTTTGTCGTCATTGCGAGGCATGGTGGGGCGAGGCAAGGCATTGCAGGATACGTCAATTGCTAAGGGCAAAGGGAAGGCGTGTTTTTATAACTTTTTTGCGCCTCTCCATATATGTCTCTCTTGAAATATGGTAGGAATATGTGTCCATGTTATTGTCTATTTTCGTTGCATTTTAGGTTTCGCCACGAGTAAATACTCGTGGATTCTGGGGCTCCTTCACATGCTCGCTGGTAGATGTCATAGGCGGGTTTAACAGAATGGACCACATAAGGACGAGGATTACAATGAAGACGGCAATGGATAATACGGACTGGAGCCAAGAGCCGCAACACTGTGTGTTGTTGTCTCTAATCTCTGGCGCCCTGGATATCTCATATTCAAGGCTGGTGTCTGCTTCTTGTCTTTATACCGAGCAAGCAAATCAGGCAAACCAAGAAAAGAGCACATGAATAGACAACTTGGCTAGCTGAAGGATAACCCCTATCTTATTTCACATGGCGGCTCAAGTCAATTCAACTCAAAATGTACCTAGTTAACGCTGTGAAGGGGTATTCATCCCGCTCAACCGCAAGATCACCAACGCGCCAAAATTACTGCAAAGATAAACATGATTCTGGACGGACAGTGTTGGGTTTGTTCTTAAGTAAGATCGCTGTTATCCTCTAGCTCCGTTTCTGGCCCGTCAACCGGACAGGGAATCTATCCGACAACAAAGTCGAGACAGTCTAAGCGTGGCGGGTGGTTTAGTGGCTATCGTGCGGCGCTCAAGTCAAGTCGAACAAGCTCCCCGGAATCGATACGGATACAGCCATCGATCGCTCTTTGACTTGAACTTGTCCTGCGACGAAACAACAGGCCTCGGTCAAGATAATCGGATGCAGGGCGTGGCGGCCAAAAAGAAAATGTCGCAGCTTGCCACGACCATGCCGAGTACAGACGTTGCTGGATCAGCCCGCCGTCTCTGTGTGCTGTATATACATACATGCATGGATTGTTGTTTTACATACATACGCGGTTCCTCCTACCTGCCTACCTACCTAGTCTGTGCATGCCGAGCGATGTGACGGGCGTGCCGAGAGATGCAGCGGCCACTGCGGCCTGGCCCATTCGACCAGCCACCCAATTCCCATCTGGCAGTGCTGATGCTGAGAAGAGCACGGCCTGATCCATCTTACTTACCTAGGTAGATAGGTAGGTAGGGTTGCAGTTTATTACATCGTAGCCTGGAAGGAGTGTTCGCATGTCGTTGAATCTCTTGGACACACCTCCAAAAGACGAGATCTTCACGTTGCTCAACCAGCAGGAGGCCCCGGGGCTCCGTGTTTCTGCACCGTGGGGATGGAAGGTTGGGAGGTTCTTGGCGGAGGCGGGAGCGGCGGCGGCTGTCGAGCGGCCCGCGGGGGGATGGGCCCAGAAACAAATCCTAGGTCAGTAAGGTAGTCCAATGCAGGGCGCGCGGTGTCCGAGTCTCACCGAGAGGAGGGCAATGAATGGTTCAACCAAACCCTTGCTGCACAGGAGCGGCGTGGCGTACATGGTTAAAGATCAGCCTCATCCAAGGGTTTTAACAGCAAGCTATGCCCGGGCCTTGAAGAGTACTTATTTCTGGTTCCCGTCATACACACGCGGCTTCCCGAGGATGATTAGTAGGTAGCTTGGGGCCAAGGAACGACGCTCTCGAATTGTCCCCCAAGGGAGTTACTGTCCACATTTATGTACTGTACAGTATTTACTCCGTTGAGTAGTTACGGATATTCCTTAATGATCAGAGGTGAGAAAGGCAAGGATATCGATACCACCCTCTCTGCAGAAGGTGGGGGGCATCGGGGTCTCGGGAAATCGCCCCACCTGAAGGCTTACGATAGCGGGTACTGAACGTACTCGCTAGCTTGCTCCGTCGAGCTTGGCTCGTCCGCGGTAGCATCTTTGGCATGCATCTATCTGCAATGTCTTTTTAGTGTGATGAGGTCAGATAGGTAGAAGGCATCTTACAGTATCAATTGTTCGCGCAGCTCCGTCCTTCTCTCACGTACCTTAGGTAGGTATGTAAGCAGACAGTTTGATGTCCATCAGAAATCCTCGCAGTCAGCCCGTGCTCAGTTCAACCTAACTTGGCAGCGGGACCGTGAATGTTCTGAGACGCGAGCGACGCAACGTTGGAAGCTTGTTGTTGTGGCATTTGTGCATCGCCTTCGCTCTATGGGCCGCCTTGATACCCGCCCAACCGCCCATCAATGTTTCGTTCAAAGGCAGTTAGCAAGTATTCGGCCGTCCTTCCCGGCCGGCCTAGCGAAAGTCAATTCAACTCAACTGCTTGGAAAAAAGGTAAGGTAACAGGTATTTATCACCTCATCTCCCTCCCCCCTGCCCCTCTCGTCATCCACAGCGTACCTTATTCTTATTAGGTAGTAGGGAGACAAGGCAATCGCAGCCGAACAACTTGACCTGTCTGCCCCGTCGCGGCCTCCCTCCGTCGTTATTCGCACCTCCTCTGCAGTCAACATAGATATATGTACATACTTGCACATTCCCGCGCCACCGGTCTTTTCTTTCCGTCCACGCCCGGCAAACATGGCTTAGGTAGACGTCATTGACTGCAGCCGGACGAATGAATGAAGGAAGCGACATCACCCAATTACCTCTGTCTTCGACATCGTGTCGTCTCGTCGTCGTCGTCGTCGTCCCTCCCTCGGATATCTCTGTGCTCCTGCCACTCTGCGACGAGCAGATTCCGCTTATCTGCAACAAGTCTCTGCCGGTACCAGTCGATCCGGCCCCATACCCGTTATTCATCCTCGAGAGCCCGTCCAACACCAGACGGCTCGACCACTAATAATAAGGGAGTTCGCTTGCTTTACCTCTGGTACTTGCTCCAATTTTTCCAGATACATCCACCCGCTCTTGGACTTCCCCAGGTTTTCCCATCGGCGCGAGACACCATTCGCGGGCATTCCCCAATCGCCTCGGAAAAGGAATCACGCCTCACGCCCCCGACGACCTCATGGGTGTTGGTTTCTGCATAGCGATATCTCGCATCTCTCGCTACCGAATCGCTCGCTGAGCTTATCAGTTGGTTGCTGCTGCTGCTGCTGCTGCTGCTGCTGTCGTTGTTATTCTTGTCGTTGCTCCTCCAGGGATAGGCCAGGGGAGCTTTGCCCCAGACCCGCTCACGGGGGTCTCCAGGCATCTGGTCTTGGCGCGGAGGCAAAGACCGGCGGTCCCTGCTTGCCATGGCACCCCGGAATCGATTCTGCGCCTTGCCCTTCCTTTTGCTGTTCCTGCTGTCCCTGCTGTCCCTCGCTAGTGTTAGCCGGGCTCGCGAAACCCAGTACATTGTCGGTAGCGACGAAAATGGCGTGTCACGGCAGCTGGCGGTTGACCGGTACCCAGCTCTTTACACGGGCGACTTTGGCGACTGCCTGGGCGGCCAGAGTCTCTTCAATATCACAAAGTTCGATGCCGCGTATTATTCAGACAATCTCACAATCGTGTTCCATCTCGACGGCACCACCAACATCAAGAACGAGTCGCTCATGAGTAGGTCAAGTCCTTGATAGCACCGCATTGCCTGGCTTGTATCGTGGAGTCATGCTAATCGAATCGCAGTGCATATATCAGTTGACGCATGTAAGTCAGGTCTGAAAAGGGACCAACCAAAACCGAGGAACATAACCCTGGAGCTAATTTTGGTTCGCTCAGATGGCTCCAATAGATTCGACATGATCTTCAACCCGTGCTCGCTCAACATTGATAGTCTCTGCCCGGTAAACGCGAGCGTTCCTATTACGGGGTGGGCGATAATACCGGTCGGACCCCAGCAGATCGGCGGAATCCCATCTCTTGCGTATGGGATACCGGATTTCGAGGGTTCAACAAAATTGCAGATATTCGCAAACTCCAGCAAGACGGAGATTGGATGCTTCCAGGCCGTCATGAGGAACGGCAACACCTTCTCGCACCCCGAGGCCGTCGCCCCTGTTTTAGGCATATTTACCTTGGTAGCCATCATTGCATCTTTTGCGACCGCAGCCTATGGCATCAGCACCACCCATATGAGAATGCACCATGCCCATTCTTTGTCTGTGCTGGTGGTGTTAGAGACGTTCCAGGCAATCTTCTTCTCAGGAGCCCTCTCGGTGAACTGGCCGTCAGTCTGTGTTGCCTGGTGGAGCAACTTTGCCTGGTCTTCCGGCATCATCTACAGCCATAGCATGATCAAGTCAATCGACTCGTTCACTGGCGTCAGTGGCAACGCCAGCCAGGTTGGCGGTGCAGGCTCAACAGTCATCAATACGGGCGGCGGTTTGATATCCCAAATCTATGGACGCGCGGTAGCTGAGAGAGCCACCCCGGACAGCCTCGCCAGAAGGAGCACTTACAATGCTAGCGACCCTTACGACTACACCTGGGCTGGGAATCCTGTGACACCGGGAATGCCTACTCCAGGTACTTGGCAGGGCTTCCCCGGGAGTCTGTCTGCCCTCGGAATTCCTGCTGCCGACATATTCTTTGTTGGGCTTATATGGGTCGTAGTGGCTATCGTCCTCGTGGCCATCTCTCTTCCTACTATCAAGCTCGTACTGGATCTTATAGCGCGGATCAAGTGGATTAAAGAAGATCGACTGGCATATTTTCGCAGCCACTGGACAGGCTATCTGGCGCATGCCTTGCTGCGAGCATTCCTAATGTCTTTCTTCACCATGATAACGCTCGCATTATTCCAGTTCACAATCGGCGGTACGTCGGGAACAGTCGCCATTGCCACTGTCGCTTTTTTGCTGTTCCTTGTTGGTGTTGTGTCAACGGTGGCCTACGCATGTCGCGCCCGTACTCGGGGCGGCAAATTCGAAGCGAGGCCTGATCGGGTCATATTCTACAACGCCAAGCTCTTCAAGTTTGTACCTGCCATCATTCCGGCTTGGGCAAGTACACTTGATGAGCTCGAACTAGAAGTCAAAACTGTTTTCGCCATTCCCCTCTCTCGAATCCGACATGTCAACAATGACCCAGACAGCCCCACTGTGCATGAGGACCAGGCTTACATCAAAAAGTTTGGATGGCTATCTGCGAGATACCGTCGCACACGGTGGTGGTTTCTTGCGATTTATGTCGGCTACTTGTTTGTCCGTGCCGCCTTCATTGGAGGAGGCGTCAATAACCCTCTTGCACAAGTGTACGGCCTATTGATCTTCGACATCCTTTCGTTTGGTGCCATTGCCATACTTAGACCTTTCGAAGGCGCTCGCAACATGGCTCTGGCCGTTTATCTACTTGGAGTTAGCAAGATACTCACGACGGGGCTGTCCATCGCCTTCCTTCCGGACTTCGAACTGGATAGGATCATTGCTACCGCCATCGGCATTGTCATCATTGTTATACAGGGTTTGCTGGTAATTGCCTTGATGATCCTTGTGGTCCTCGGTGCCATCTCATCTTGGATGTCTCTTGCGCGCAACCGCGAGGATATCAGCCCCAGAGACCTTGAGGCCATTCGCGCTCGCTACTTTGAAAAAATGGAAGCAAAAGCGCAGGACGTTAGCAGGCTGTCAAAAGCCAAAGAGGATAAGGGAAAGGCCAAAGAAGAGGAGGAGCGCGAGTCCCGGCCCCCTCCCGAGCCTTCCTTTTCCGTTGTTACGGTTCGTCGTGAGCCCAAAATTGAGGACGAAGACGACGACAGTGTTCATGAGCTGGACCCAGCACAAAACGGGACCGGCACCCTCGATGCACCGATAATTCGTGCTCTCAACCGCGCAAGCAGGACCAATAGTGTTAGCTCCCGCTATAGCGCGTCGAGCCTCCCTCGAGCCGCGCGCATCCATCGTGCTTCCTTGTCTTCGAAGGATTTTGCGCAATATGTGGCAACTCTGGAGCGCCCAGACAGCGCGCTCGCTCAGCGAGTAGGCAGCCCTTTGGGCGCCGTTGGACACCACGCAGATACCAGCACGGTCAGGAGCTCGACGCCAGTACCCGTCAGACCTCAGAGTAGCTCCCATAGTTTAAGGACGCTGACGGACATGCGGCCGAGCAGCCCATTCGGCACGCCAACCCGAGAGATACTAGCCAGATACGCCGACGAAAGGAGGTACACGCTGCCACAGCAACCAGCTCCCACGCATACTGTGGAGTAGAATTACCGTGGAAACTCCGGCATGTTGGGATTTTGTAATTTTGGCTTAGGCATTGGTGTTTTTGGGCGTTTGTCGTACGGCATTTTTTACAGCATGGAAAGGGCGTCAGGTATTCATGACGTGAGCCGGCTTACCGCAGGCCATATACATGAAACGTACATACATTATATATCATTGTTTTGTACATACGTAGACCATGATTCAGGACGACATGAATGTTAAGAAGGTCTAGAAGGGGGAATCTGGGCACGAATTGTGGGCTACGGTCAGACGGCTCGCCGATTTGGGACGGAGGCTGTCGATGCTCGTAAATAAGACAGTACGGAGTACGTTAATGTTTTATTTTCTGCATAGTCAAGCAATGTGACGTGACTGTCGGTCTACCACGGGTTTTTGTCGATTAAGGTTCCGCGACGAGCCAGATAGCTGTAGCTACATAGGCAGCTACTTCAATATCCGGTTTCCGATTTGATATCCCGAGGTAGGGGAACAACGTGGTCCCCCACTAGCAACGTATCTAATTCGTCAATGCGTGCCCCAAAGCTACACCCCGCCTCAACTCCCGGAACCCCTCCTCGTAATCTTCCGGAGACCCTGTCCGTAACCCCACATGTCAAGGAGGGGGAAGGAGCGGATCAGATGTCCAGGAATGACATGAGTCTGGAGCGGATGGGACTTGGAGTCAAGGCTCTTAATTTAGGTATGGGGAAGACAGATCCCTGGATAATGAGTCTGATGGGAGTTCCAGTTCGAACTAGTCGCCAAGCTCGACCGCTGCGAACCGTCTTCTAGCCAACCTCCTTTTCCTAGGTGTTATATATATACCTAGGTAAGTGACATCCGTAGCTCTGAATTGTTCCCGTGGATTTACTATACCGCGGACGACCCCTAATCTATGTTGCATGTATGTCCCACTGAAGGCGCAAGTCATATAGCACGCATCCCATTTATTTGTTTACCTCTGTCTCCCCCCTCTCTCTTCTTGCCTCATCTTTCGTCTCGATTGCTACTTCCTCACCTACACGCGTCACTTTTTACGAGGCTTTGAGTTCTTTCTGAGCAGCAGGTGCTAGACATTTGCCGGATCGAGTGACGACAACAAGAATTTCATCAAGGAAAAGACAAATAAGTCCGGTAGCAAGCGACTATGGCACAAGACGCGAAGGGCAATGTCAAGGCTCCAGAGCTGCTCGACTTGACAATCGACAACATCACGCCTAACACGGTGCGCATCAACTCGCAAAGCTCTGATGCGCGGCTTACGTACCTCATGGCGCGTCTGGTGACTCATCTCCATGACTTCGCCCGCGAGACTCGCCTGAGCACGGACGAGTGGATGACGGCTCTCAGTTTCTTGATTGGGTGCGGCCAAATCTCTAACGACGTGCGGAATGTGAGTTTACGTCAATCTCCTCGGTGTCTAGCCTTTTAGATCCGGGACAGGAAATTTACAGTATCTAGGAATTTATCCTACTCTCGGACGTGCTCGGCCTGTCGCTGCTGGTAGACAGCATCAACCACCCCAAGCCGCCGCTCGGCACGGAGGGGTCGGTGCTAGGACCGTTTCACACACACGACGCGCCGGTACTGCCCAATGGCAGCAGCATGACGGCGGATCCATTGGGGGAGCCCATGCTGGCCGTCTGCACTGTCAAGGACACGGAGGGAAGGCCGGTGGCGGGCGTCAAGGTCGATATCTGGGAGACGGACAGCTCGGGCCACTACGACGTGCAGCACGCTGGCCGTAACGAGCCGAGCGAGCGCTGCGTCATGGTCAGTGACGAACAAGGACGTTTCTGGTTCCAGGGTCTCAAGCCCGTCAGCTACCCCATTCCGCACGACGGCCCCGTCGGAAAGCTCTTGCAGCTGCTGAGTAGGCATTGCTGGAGGCCCGCGCATGTACATTTCATGTTTGGCAAGACGGGATGGGACAATTTGATCACGTTAGTTGAAGATCTCCCCCGCCTAACAACTCCTTACTTGCCCCCCTGGCTAGGTCGACATGATGGCTAACTGTACGAAACCACCAGGGCTCTATATCTCCGGGGCGACCCCTATGAGACTTCAGATGCCGTATTTGGCGTGAAAAAGAGCTTGATAATCGATCTCGAGAAGGTGGACAGCGACACAGCAAAGGAATATGGGGTTAAGGAGGACATCTGGCTTCTCAAGCACGATTTCGTGTTGACAACTGAGGAGCAGACCGAGAAACTTAGAGACCAGCTTGCTGTTGAGGCCCTGGAGAAACTTGGCCTGAGGATGAAGTTGGTTGATCATTTACCCGTCCCAGACCTAGACTGAAAGAATGGATTAGCCACGGGGCCACCAAATTCGGGGCCTAATGCTTCGTCCCGCCCCAGTACTTGCTCGTCTTCTAGTGACCTGCCGATGAATTTCTCGCCAATTTGATGACAGTTTCGAGAAAGCCCGCTGTGCCTCCGTATCGATGTACAATGGCTTCAATATCAACGGAAGACGGCTCGCCCGAGCGCTTGCGTCCCAGAATCGCCGTGTTGCGTGTGCTCGGGATTCGCAGCATCTCCTTCTCGGCTTCCCAGCCGCAGTCTGTTGCAATTATCGAAACCCACGAGACGAGCGACGAATAGGCGGATTCCGATTTGGACTTGTCCTTGGGCGGCGGGGCACGAAACCTCTTCCCGGCGAGGTCGTGGCTACAGCAAGGGATCATGATAAAGGGGCAGTCCGAGATCGTAGCCAGGATTGGGGTCCAAGGAGTCAGCTCGTCCGCGTCTGCTCTCCTCCTGTTAGCCTCGTCACTACCATTGCACGGCCGCCACGGTTCACACATGCTTACGGTTGGATATTATGAAGGTGCCGCTAGCGAAGCGACCGTCGTGCGTAAGCTCTGGGGAAAACCCATCGCTCGAGGCTTCAGCCAGGCCTTCTCTACTAACCGGGGGAGGTAGTAATACAAGTTGCTGCAGAGAGTCTTGAGAGGCTGTGGGAGTTTCCAGTTTCGTGTTGTACGTCGCCCATGACTTTCGGGAGCGGGCATCGAATCCCCAACCCTTGAAGCCCTCTTGGTTTAGAAGGTAAACAAGAAGACCGTTGCCGCATCCAATGTCGACAAAGCCGGGGAAAGCGGCTTGGCCGTACATATCGGCCCAGAGCTCGATCAGGAAGGCAGCAATGCTGAGGTCCTCAAAGACGTGCTTCCCCGGATCAGTTGTCTCGGCCCAGCTTGCTATGAGACCACGGGCGTACTTTTGCTTGAGGGCCGTGTACGTGTTTTGTACTCGAGCTTGGGGCAGTATCACGTCATGCTGTACCCTTTTCTTGTACCCATTGACTCTGCCCTCGCCATGTTTATAAACAGCCTCGAGTAAGTGGAAGGCAGTTCTCGTGAGCTTGACGGCAGTACGATCGCTGCCGTCAAAGAAAAAGTACGAAATCGAGATATGCCCCTGAGACTCGGCTGGGGCCCATTCATGGAGAAATGCTATGCCCCGTACGGTTGGGTGGTAGAAAGGCATCTCGGCCTTTGAGGACACGTGCGGCAGGTATACTACTAGAGTCCTGTGCGTGCCAGCAGCAGGCTGCGCTTCCGCGGGTTCCGTGGGCGGCGATGCGTATATCAAACAGGTCTGATCCAGCGGCCTATCTCTCTGGGTGCTTCTCGGAATAAGCCTCCGGACAATGCGTCGTTGGCGTTCAAAGCCTGAAAATGAGGGAATGCTAGGTAGGGCCCCTAGTTCGGACGGTCTTGGACCTATGCCGTTACCGCTCGAGTCATGGAAAATATCGGCGCGGAAAAGCCACGAAGAGTTGATGTTTGGGTTTTTGATCAGATTGATCATGATGTCTGTAAAAACAGCCGACGAAAACGAGCATTCGTGGCGAAGCAGAGGTCGCCAGCTTGCCTTGTCGCCAGCGTCATCCTGGACGACTACGGAGGCTGCATCGTGGGCCAACTCTTGGGGTTTGAATCCCATGTTGGCGGCCTGTGAATGGTGTAGATAGTGCGAAGGCGAGGGGTGGCGGCAGGGCCCGGAAGGCAAGAGCGTAATCCTCAAATAGCCCGCCTATCTTGTTGCATCACAGCAAGTGTGGTTTGCTTCAAGTGTGCAGCTAAGGCACTAGTAGCGTATATACCTACTCCGTACGATATACGAATTACTTAGTCTTGCGGTAGAGGGAGCGGCGAGGCAAGGCGAGACGAGACGAGGAGAGATGGGGCGGGGATAGAAGTAAAGTTTGTCTAGAACCAGGGCTAACGCGTACCTGCGCGGCACGACGCAAGTGATTGGGGCGCCCATGAAGTTGAAGCAAAAAGATGGGGCGGATATGCGCGACTCGTTCCTCACAGCCCTATGTACAAGTCACACAAACACGTGTGAGCTCCTTTCGGATCCCGGAAAATACAGATCGATCTGGCCGCTCCATCCGCCGACCCGGGGCTCTAGCGATCAGAGCCCCTAGGCGACCATCGCCACTCAGAGAGCCACTGTGTAATGGATTACTTGCCTTTTTCCTTTACACTGGATGCCTGGGGCAGCCCTGACACAAGCGGCCGATGGCAGTCCATCCAGCCCTGAAGTCATCCATCCGTGATGCCTGTAATACTGGCGGATGCAGCCAGGCGTTGGTTTGCAGCAGCCACAGCCTAACGGCGTGAAGAGTCTCTGAAGAGCCTGGATTTCTAGAAAACGCTCGAACCTTGAAATATGACGGGAAGCATGACGGGCATCAGGTAGCCAAACGCGCCGGAAGGCACGCCCTGTGACGCAAACCTGCCACTAAGCAGCCCAGGTACCTAACAGGTACTCATCGGGTCAGAGGCAGCTAGACGGCGGAGATCGGCAAAGTGATTACAAGGGTCAGGTACGCCGGGGTACCGCCACACGATTTGGCTTTTCCACTCGCTTGGCTGTGGCTGCCTTGTGGAAAGAGGCACCCTTGTTAAGCCTTGAGTGTAAGCCACACGCCCCGCCCAAACCAAATCCGCGCCCACCCACCGCCCCACCATTTCCCTATCTCTTCCCCTCACCTCTCTCCCCTTCCGCCTCCTCTCCTCTTCAACCACTTTCGCCATCAACAACATCAGCATCCATTGCTCGACCGCATCACCTCTTTGCAGCCAGACCATACAAGAACCAGCCCACATCGATATCTTTCTCTGCTCCCGCACCCAGTCTACAACTCTACTCAGCGAGACACTATTCCAGTTGTCGGTCGCTACCTTCCCCTCCTCCCTCTAAAACCCTTCTCCCCAAGACACCCCGCGAAACTCGAGTTTATGTCAATCGAAAATCTCAAGACCTACGGTACGTGTCTAAGCATCGCTCTAATATCTGCACTGTTGCTTCTGCTCGACCTGCGCTTTTTATTGAGGATCGTACTGCAATGTCGCCACGCCCAGATTAGTCCTGGCTTTTCCTGCCTGCTTTTACAGTCATCGCCTCGCGTCGTACGTGTTCTGTTGCGCAGGATAATTGCTGACTAGAAGATATACAGACCCCTTCGCCGAAGCCGACGAGGAAGGAGGACAGACTGTCCAGACCCAGGAATATATCCATATTCGCATTCAGCGTATGTCTCCCATCTCGGTTCCATCCTCGCTCGTCCCGTGGGAGCGCTCAAATGTGCCGCTTTGTTGCATGTTTAGCAGCACTTTTTTCTGACATTGTCCGTTATAGAGCGTAATGGCCGCAAGACCTTGACGACCGTTCAAGGGATCCCGCCCAAGTTTGATCTGAAGAAGATTCTAAAGGTCGTGAAGAAGGAGTTTGGTTAGTTATATACACACCACCCCTCATTCTGTTGGTCCAAAGTCCAAGTTGTCTAACACTCGTTCAGCCTGCAATGGCACCATCATCAGTGACGAGGATTCCAAGGGTATGGGTGAGGTGATTCAGCTCCAGGGCGATCAGCGCACCAAGATCAAGGATTTCCTCACCAACGAGGACGAGGGTTTGGCCCTCGATGAGAAGACCATCAAGGTCCACGGCTTTTAAGCCAACAATGCCAAGTGCCGCCACCTCGCTTGGAGCCCGGAAGCCGCTTCTGAGTCAAGGACTTCTGGTGTTTGACTTCTCGGCATCTAAGTGACGAAGACCCCGGCTGGGGATCTGGTGGCAACACGAGCATGATACCCACGATGGTTACGGGCTACACCTTACATTGGCACTAGGTGGCAATAGGAGGACAGTGTTTATGCGATACGGGCCGTTTGCTTGGGTTGTCGTTCATTTAGCGATTGTCTTTATTGGACGACTGCCACCTGCAAGTCTCTCGTTATGGCCTCTGCAGGTTTCGCAGTTATGAACATGGGATCTTTTGACAAGCTTTCTCTTTCCACAGTCTTCGCTACCGACCAGGAATTGGTTAACGTGACTTTGATCATTGAATCGCTCTCATTTAAGCTATAGCTACTAACGCTATTTATTACCTGCGCTAGTATGGGCTTGTTCGCTCTAGTTATTCTTGTAATTTGCCGACGACGATGGCGACGACAAGCACAATGATGACAGCGACAGCTACAAGGGGGCGCTAGTCGCTGTGCGGTCGGGGCCGTCGCCTGTGACTGCGCTGCCATCACTAGACAGCCGGCGAGGAGCGGATTCTAACAACGGGATGGTGCGTGTGTCGGCCCCGGGCGCGTTTCCAGAGCCGGCCGAGGACGAGGAGCAGTCTGCCGAGGACCACCTCAAGTGGAAGCCCGACTCCGACTGGGAAGCCGAGGCCGAGGCTGACGACGAGCCAGGCACCGTGCTTGCGTCGTATGAGCCCTCGGAAATGGGAGGCTCGATGTTTGGGTAGCGATCACACGTAGGGACCGCCACGAGGCCTAAATAGGGGTTAGGGGTGTGGTGTCCGTGTTGGCGCCTTGTAGTGTAGAAAATCCCACCCCCCAACGGATCACCCTAGCAGTGGATCACCCTTTTACACCAAAACTCTCCCTTTTTGAACAACAATACCGTAGTCAATTTAGACCACCTAACCTCGGCACCCCAAAACACTAATCGCTCTACACCACCAGTTCCTTCCATGACCTATTTAACGCAAGCGAAGCAATGGCTCTACAACAGCCTTTCCTTCCTTCTTCCTTCCGTCGTCAACAAGCAAACGAGCTCTACTTCTACTCCTTGAAGTCGCCCTGGGTGCACCAACATTCCATCTCCATCCGCCCATATGGATAGCAAGAAAGCAATCACCGTCCAGCTCGATCGGCTCCCCCTCAAACCATCTGTGAGCTTACCGGCCTCTCGTGTCGATAAGATTATCGCCGAAATTCGCAATCGAATCTGTGGCCGAGTCAAGGTCGAAGAGGAGTGGCAGTGCGTCCTCATCAACCCCGACGAGTTCAAGGCTTTCGAGGCGCGTTTCGAAGCCAAAGGGGACTACCGCTAGCCAAAGTAGGTAGCCTATCCCTTTGTCCCTCTATCTCTCTACCCCTCTTCGTCCAGCTACGCCTTGTCCAGCATTACATTGGCTAACGTTTGATTAGGTACGACTACTTCCCTCAGCTCGCTAAGTTCGTCTTGCGAATGGCGGGCACTATCCACGAAGGCGTTGTCGAAGCATTCAAAAACCTAGTTATACGACAACTTTATGACATCGAGAAGAGTAGCGATCAAGTCGCTGCCGATTTCGCTCGGCGCGTATACTCAGCAGGAAGTCGCAAGATCAAGAGGAATAATGGTTCCCATTACACAGACGGGTCGTTTACGTACAAAGATACGGGGGTAATATATGTTATCTTGGAGGTCTCCTATTCATAAGAACGATATAATTTGCCATTCCTTATAGATGCGTACATCCTAGGTTCAAATGGGAAGACCAACGTCGTTATTGGGGTTGATATTAATACCAGGAGGAGAAGGGAAAAGAAGCCAGCGTCACTATATGGCGACCAAGATATATTGAGGAAGATGGGGAAGCCGTACTTGAAGCAGCTGAGACGGAAATAGCTATCTTTCGGGTAGCGGATAGTAGTTTGGTCGATGGGGAACGGATCCTTCGCATCGGGCTCAAAGATTTTGGGCACTGGCCTGATTGCCCCGGAACCGATGACATCCCCGGGGAGATTACTATTTCATTTTCTCAACTTTACGAAATGGTACAGGAGGCTGAGGCTGGAGCGGAGCTCTATGATCGTAAGATGCAGGAATGCGGGGAGATATAGCATGAGAATCTTTGGAAGCGGCCAAAGGATCGGTCACCACCGGAGGAACTCACAACATCAGACAAGGCGCGGTTTGAGGCAGCCGAGGAAAGAATCAAGAGGAAGCTTAGCGACGAGGACGGCGATTACATCCCAGAATCAGACAAGGAGCTGCTTGAGGCAGCCGAGCAAAGAGTCAAGAGGAAGCTTCGCGGCCGAGACGGCGATCATATCCCAGCAGCTGAGAAAAGAGTCAAGAGAGAGCAAGCTTAGCGACTAGAACAGCGATTAAATCCCAGACTAGGACTCTTTTTTTGGTGCAGGTGGCAAAGATAGAGCTTGTAGTATATTTAGATCTGTAGCTCTGAATCCGGGCTTATTAGTTGCGAAGTCCTCTCCATCCAGGTTCGAAACGGAGCGGCATGTACCTAGAGCCTCAAGCAGAGCCTCAAGCAGAGCCTCAGATTGACGAGGTGGATGATGAAGATGAGGCTAACGAAGAGGCTGAAGAAGAAGAGTTGCCTACAAGACTGACAAGATCTGGCCGTGCACTTCGTGTGCCAGCAATATATATGGATTGAATAGTCAATTTGCTACATTTTGATATATTTGGCTTGTAAATAGCTTTACAATTGAGTGCGCTATTGTTGTTCAAAGATGTAGTGTTTTGGTGTAAAAGGGTGATCCACTGCTAGGGTGATCCGTTGGGGGGTGGGGTGTGGTATCGGTTCTCGTACTCGAACCTACGAAACGCCGTTCTAATATTATAAAGTTATGTTGGACTCGGCCGGGGATTGTTATTTTGTAGTTAAGTAAGACATCGCATTTGCCTACTCTCATCACGTCCATACCGTACTTGTGCTCGGGCGATCGTTCTTTGTAGGGTGGCGTCCAGGGTAGCGTCCAGGGTAGCGTCCAAGACAGACGCTGTGCTGTGCTGCAGCTGCAGCTTTAGCTTCAGCTTTAACAACATGGGGATGCCAACCTTCTCTCTCTCAGGCAGCGGCGCCGCCAGCGCGCGGCCGAGGGGGTGTGCGAGGATGCGGTGGGCGTCAATAAGCATCACCTCAACGCCGCGGGTGCGGGAGGATTGCTACTGGCTTTTCAACACGGAGAGCCATGGATGGGGATAAAAGACAGACCAGAAGCCAAGAGATAATAACAAAACATCCCCATAGTATCCAACTCCATCTCTGAACACCCCTACCAAACGCCCCGCCTAGGAAAATGTGAAAGTACTACTACAGGTCCCGAGCAACATTTCCGTACTCCATTATCGTGAGGGCAACTTTTCCGGCCTCGAGTACAACCCTCCTGACACAAACAACCAAGGGAATATTAGGGTAGTCGGACCGGTTTGAGTGCAACTGGGCAAGAAGTGCGACCATGCTGATAAAGCTCGCAATAGAAAATATACTGATAGACATGGATGTCTCCTTTCGGATGTTGATCTTTCGCTGTGTGATGTGATACATCAACGTCAAGGTCTGTGTGTATAAAACGTTAGCGAGATAGATATTTAATACGATTCCGAAACATTTTGAAAGACGGGAGAAAGCGCAAGTAACAAAGGGGCGGTGAGCTAGAGAGCAAGGACAGAATAGGGGTTCTGAGGTCCCCTACTTACACTAGATATTCCAATCCAGGCAGGCAAAAGGAGGCGAGGGTCCTCCGAACCGCCCGTCACATACAAAACCCACGACGTCAGGTAGCCGTTCAAGGCGTTGATGGTCAAGAGGCGGACAATAGTCGCTTGGGGTGTATAGTTGAGGAGCCTGTAGAATGTTAGAACGGATGAACACACGACCAGATTCACTATTCCCTGATCGATCCAGAGCAACAGGAGAGGCGAGAAACAAAGAGAAGCAGGACGAAACGTACCACCTGGACATGAGACAGTCGGTAAAGAAGAAGGACAGATAACCCGAAGCTAGGCACTAATCGTGGTCCCCCAAAAGGTCAGTACACGTGCAATTCAAATCGATGTTCTTTTATGTCATTATTCCCGTATTATCTCGTCAAGAGCCGGGGAAGACCACTCTAACGCACCCATATCGTAGCGAGTAGCGTCTCGGTGAGCCGCAGTCTCGCCTCGAAAGACAGCTCGTGACCGCTGCATGCCGATGCTAGCGAGAACACACGACTGCTATCGACTTGGCTGCTGCTGCTGCTGCTGCTAACTGGCCCGTCAAGACTCTGGCCAAAGATGACTATGTGCAGCATGGCCAGCAGGCGCAGGCCGCTCGGGAGGCCCCACCATATGGCCGGGACAATCGACAGCAGGCGACATGCGAACAGCAGCGGATGCCAGGCCGCGGCCACGCCCAGAGCAACGGCGACGCGGGGTTGGAGGAGCGACGAATGGGCCGTCATCGCGCTGGGCCTATCTTCCCCGGTCAAGCTTCCGGTAAAAGACAAGGTGCTAGTGGCGGCAACATCATAAGAGGGCGGGGCGCTACTATCGTGATGTTCAAACTGCTGCTGTTGTGGACGGGGGTGGGGGATGAGCAGCGGCTGCTTGTTGCCGCTGCCGCTGCTGGTCTTGCGGGAAGACGACGAGTTGGAAGTCGACGTCAGCGTCGAGTTGTAGCTGGCAGTGTCGGCTCCGGTGCTATTGCTATCCAATCGCCGCTGTGCGGTCACCTTTGCTCGGTTGGACATCTAGATACTCTGCTGTCCCCATGGAGCATTTGGGTCTCTCTGCCTCTGAAAGCGAAAAAGCGAAGGGTATTGGGGGACGGTGACTGGTGCGAGATTGGGCGGGATTTTACGTATATAGGCAACTCCAATGCACAGAAGCCTAGAATATGCGAGAATAACAGAAATTTCAGAAGCAAGCGGCCCTTTTAAGATAACAGAATTAAGTTTGGGCGGCGGGGGTTGAACTTCTTGAGGTCATGGTCGCAATAGCCCCCCCCCTGTAGCTACAGCGTAATCATTCAGTTTATCAGCCTTTCACACAAGCGCGGCTGGGCGGCTTGAAGTTGGCGTTCCGAAGTGGGGGGAAGATGCGGCAGCGTCCACCCATAAATTCTACGGCGGGCAACAGCAGCATGCAAGAAATATTTTTGGGCGACCGCGGGCCTCACTTTCCGCTACGCGCCAAACCCTTCAACAATTTTTAACTTTGCGCCGACCACGCCCGGCCATGCCCAGCGACGACCTCCTCTATCGACTGAGGACACCCTGACAGAGAGACAACGAGAGAAGAGAGGGAGGGGGATAGAGGTAGGATTCCGAGAGAAACCCACTGACAATCGACGTCGTACCGACGAAAGCAACAAACGCACTTCAAAGCTATCCAGCGGCCATGGCAGCGTCAAGGTTGGGCCTGCGCGCCGCGGGCCTGGCTCCGATGGTGGCATCGCCAGTAGCTCGCTTGTTTTCTTCCACGTCTCAATGCGCACGAGATTCTAATATCCGGAAACAAGTTGGTCGCATGTATCAGAATGTGACGGATCAACCCTCCCCCAGGTTACAATCGGCCAAGCAACTGCAATCTTTATCCCAGACGAACTCGGCAGCTGTAGCGATGCTCTTTCCTGGTACGTTTCCACACGCCCACCTCACCATCTTGCGAGTGAGCTGATCTGGCTAACATTTCCTCGTCTCTCGTTCCCCCGGCTAGGTACCTTTGTTCGCCCTCCGCTGTCCAAGTTTCCTCGCAAGGCAGGGCCCTTCTTCCGCTTTACCTACGACGCTGTCAAATCATGGGGCATGGACATAGTCCAGAGTCTCATAGTAAATCTCTCCTCGAAGCCCAGCTTCTTCAAGCGCGCCTTGTGGAAACCCAAGACTGCCTCGGCCGTCCTATCTGCGAAGGCTCTGCACCGCTCCATGTCCGAGGCGATAGCCGCTGGTGACAAGAACACCATCAACAAGATCTGCGTCACAAAGCTAGCCGTCCCCTTGCTGGCCAGCATCGACACGCGGCCCAAATCGGTGCGCTACAGCTGGGAGCTGGTCCGCTACAACAAGACGTGGCGGTACCCCCGTGTTTTGTCTCGCAAGATCTCGCCCATAACACGCGAGCCAGGGAGTCCCTTCGTGCGGCAGTTGGTTGTCGCCATCGCCAGCCGGCAGCGTATGGTCAAGTATGATGACAGCGCCAAGGGCCATGGACGGATCATCCCCGGAAGCGAGAAGGAGGTTGACCTTGTGGAGAATGTTGTAATAACCTGCACGGTTGATCGAAACACGTGGGCCCAGGACGAGTGGCGCATCTTTGGCACGCTTAAACCCACGCTCGCCGAGGACTGGGAGGTAGAGAAGCACCTGCTTGGGTCATTGGAGGCTGAGGAGATGTCTAAACACAAGGTCTAAGCGGTTCAAGTAGCGATAACTAGTCAAGGAGGCCTGAAGCCGGGTGGCTTTGTACATAATACCTGTCTCAGTGTGTTCAATGCTGTATAGTAACTCACGCATTGTCACTTCCAGTGAACGAGCACTAGACGCGGGCAAGGGGCACGGAGTATATAGGGAGGCCACATCCAGAGTTTGGAGGGGCCCGCGCCAGTCATGACACCCGAAACGAGCCCGCCCATTTATATTCTATATCAATGTAAACCACTTTCCAGTACTCGTCCATGATAGACTGATGAGCTATTCAAAACACCAAATAGCCACAGGCGAATCTCCCAAACTTAGCATAGGACATTAAGAAAGGATGCCTTCTTCCTTCAGCCGGTCGCCCGGAGGGCTTGAGGACCGAATGATAAAGTGGCATTATGAGCACCCAATGAAGATACGATTCGTCAGAATTACAAAGTTGGGGAACGAATGAGGGCATATATATTATCGACTCCGCAATAGCTAAGGTACGCCCCGAGGCAAAAAAGCAGAGACTGCCCGAAAATAGAGGCCGTTCGTTATGCTAGCAAATTCCAATTTCGTGTGTTGCCAACGTTACGTCAGGGGTTTAATGAATGAATGTAGCGAAAAGAACCCTGTTTTTCTGGTGCATTTGGTGGTAATAGGGGCAAGGAAGTTTGTGATGGTGAAATGATGATCGAAGTCGTGAGGGAGCGAGAAAATCAGCTGTTCATCCTTCCAATATCAAAAACGGCGAAACAGGATTCGCCGCTGTCATCATCTCTCGTACAATCTCTCGTAATAGAGTATACGTTTCAGAAAAACTTTCCAGAGCCTTTGGCGAGACCAGGTGCATCGGAGCCATCGTCAACCTCGTCCACCAGATTTTCGTTACCGACGCCTGATCCGCCTTGCTCTCCAGGCAATTGAACCGGGCGGTCAAGAGCATCGAATCTGCGGCCCGTCTTTTTGGAAACCAGAAACTGGACAATGAGACGCAGGGCCAACGCGCCAAAGCCCCAGAGCAGCCCACCCACGGGAGCCGCAACGAATGCGCCGAATGCGCCCCAGCCCTCTCCATACAGGCCTTGCTCCAAAAGAATCAGCTGGGCGCCTTCGAGAGCGTTGCCGTAGTAGATGGTACCGAAGATAAAGACGGTCAGGATGCCGCCTAGCCCACCGACGACAACCTCAAAGCCGCGCCACCAGTAGCAGGCGTCTGACAGCCCAATAACCAGGACGGGAATCACGGCAGCCGAGACAAGGTCCGAGATGAGGAAAATTTGCAGAATGGACGGGGCGCGGATTGCAATGACGACAACGGGGATCATGATCAACACAACGCCGCCGCGGATCCACCAGACGTTGAGTCGGTTTCGAAAGATGTCATTGGAGGCCGATGACACCATGGCCGACTGCAGCGAGTCAAAGGCAGCCGTGCTGAGCGTGACTGACATGACAAGCACGACGCCAACTACCCAGGTTGGGAGCTGTTCCAGAAGCGCGAAGAAAGCGACAGATCCGTCCACCGGATTGTCAGGGTCCCCGGGCCAGATACCTGCCCATGCAGCAATGAGGCCGGTACATCCGACAAGTACTGCGATTATGAGGATGACTACAACTGCGATAGAGACGCCAATCCAAAGGTCCTTGTCTGTTTTAGAAGCGAATGTTCTAAGCCAGAAGCTAGACTTTGGACGAGACAACCCAAATATCAGTGTCAATCTAAATTTGCAGTAGGATACCAGAGGGGTGCGTAGCTAGAGAAGAAATACCAAGAAAAAGTCATTCGTCAAGATGGCGACCGGAAGAATGTAGAGTAGCTGCCAGCCAAGCAGGGTCGGCTTTGTCAGTCCAGAGGACTCGATGAGACTCGTGTCGATCTTAGTCTCGACGCCAATAGCAATGGTGGCGATGATGATGAGCCCGATAACCATCGCTCCTTGGATGTTGTCCGTAAAAAATGATATCTTGAAGCCCCCGAGTGCTGAAATTGTATGTCAGCAGTACTTCCAACAAGAAAGACTCAGCAAACGGCACGTGATGAGCATACAAGTGTAGATAGTCGTTACAATGCACTCCACGATGAGAACGGGAAGCCCGTCCATGCCTGTAAGAAGACCGGCGACCTGGCCAATGGCAGACAGCTCGGCGACCATGTACAGAAATAGGGTTACAAGGGTCATAAAGCTGAGGTACAAGGCAGCTATAGTCCCGTATCGTTGCCGCGTCCATTCGGTGAGGACAAAGCCTTCAGGGCACTTGCGTCGGATGACAGGCCCCAGCGAAGAGAATACCAGTAGCGGCAAGGCAGAGGACAGTGCGTATACCATCACACCCTGGACGCCAGCGAGCGTGGCGAGCTGAGGGTAAGAGAAGAGAATTCCGGATCCGAGAGCTGTAGAGTTTAGACTGTCAATATCGCTAGAGTTGGGGGAAGTAAAGGGGTTGGGATAGAAAGGGGTTTGATCGGAGCGGCAGCACGTTTCCCACGCAAGCATTAACTTGATCGAGTAATCACGGTACAATCTCAGCTTCATCTCCACAAGACGCTGGCTCTCCCCTCTTCTCTCCTTCGTTCGCCAATTGAGAGCGAATGGAAAGAAGACAGGTTGGAGCCCACGATGTTTGCTTCAACTCGGCGCCCGTAGTGAGCCGCAATCTTCATCCCTCAAGACCGCCATTCTACAGCTCTCCCAGAAGCCCACTTTGCGTAGACGGGGATTGCGAGGATGCGCCAAGAGGGATGAAGCTTTGGTGGACTTTGGGTACGAACCTGCACTTTCTCGCCGCCTGAAGCCCTCAGTTTATCTCCGACATAGGAGTCTGATGTCGGGTCGGCCCGATCTGACCAATGCTGGATAGCATTTCGCGTCTTGCGTGGCCGTGGCCCCTAGAGGTGTCTCTTGCGTATTTATTTCACTTGCTACCGCTCTGATCTTCGAGGTTCACGGCGGTGAGCGCTCTTTTCGCATTCTGTTACTCACCAGAAGCGATGAAATTCAGAGCAAGAGGCAAGGCTACACGGGCGCCATTCGTTAGCAAACCGCTTTCTGTTAAGACCACTATAAGGTGAATTCAGATGGGAAAGGAGGATTGGCTCATGTCTGCCAAGCGGTAGAGAGAGCCATGAGGCTTTTCTCTCCCTCCAGGGAGGTCCTAACCCGTCTGAGTTCTGTTGCCGGAGAGAAACGAGCCCTTGTCCTGCTTTCTCAACGTCCAAGCAACTCCAGTCCCGATTACCCTGTGTGTGCGAAGGTCAGTAGACGACCAATCATGCTTTCCCGTCTCAGAGATACCAGAGCGAATTAAAAGAGAAAAAAGCAGTTATCACTGTCTGTTGGTCGGGCTAGACTTAGCGCCCACTCACAAAAAGGCTCCATATGTCAAGTAGATGAGGGCGTTGGACGCCTGGAAGGATAACTGCCCCATGTTGTAAAGCTGTAGGCAGCCGCCTGTGATGTGGTTTTTGTAGAAGGCGTGCCGTAAATCTCGTCGCGGTGCTTGGTGTTCTTGTCTGTCTCGTTGTTGTTCTCGAGAAGTTTAATGCTACCCCTCCAAAGTCCCCCAATTTCAATTGCAAATTCCTCGTGGGGTCGTGGGGAGAGTGGGTTCTCCAAGATATTCCGTACCTAGACCTAGAGTGTTGATACAGAGTGGAGTACAAATACTCCCAACATTCGCTTTGTGTGGTTCCAAGTATGGTAGGCCAAGCCGCTACAGCAGTAGTCTTTGCTCCCTCAGCGTTTCGGCGGGCGATATCACTCAAGTTTTCCTTCCCCCTGCAAGGCTCGTCGTCAACGTCCCTATATCATGTGGTGGTGGACTGAGACGAATGTGTCAAGGTGTGGAAGCCCGCACATGTAAGCGTGGGGGGCTGCCTTGGAGCTGCCACACCAAATGCTAACAGCGGAGCATTTTAAGCCCCCTAACATCCCTAACCCTTCCCGGTTCGCCTCTCTGTCAGCTCAAGCTGGGCTGTTAAAACCGGGCTGTTGGTATTGTGTTTTAAGTATTTATGTCTTGTCTTTTTGATGAACCTTATCGTTCTCGATTCGATCCCCAATCTCCAGAGTCTCGCTTGACATGGCCCGCGGTACAGATACTTTGAAGATGCCGCCGAGTTCAAGAGACGCAACACGCGAAGCGCGATGATGACTGAATTGTGTTGATTGTTATGGCAACTATGGGGTCGGCGGTGTCATCTCTGGGTTTGCCTCTCTCATTTAAGTGAAATGGCACCATCGAGAGACTACATGAAGGAATGTAAAACTAGATACGCCTCCACCCAGAACTCATCCGCATTACCACAAAATCAGTCGTGGGTCCTTTTCCCAAATACCACCAATGCCACAAAGAAAATATGCGGGGAGTTATTAAAGCTCCGACACGGACGCCGACGCCATATCCTCTGCCCCGTACATTCCTGAACCGATATGAAATCCATCAAAGACCAACAAGAAATTATGCACCACGAACGCCCCTTGATAGGCATGTCATCGTCAAGAGCTTCATCTCTGAGACATTCCTGGCGAGTACTATTCTCAAGTACCGCCGCCGATACCGCAAACTGTCTATGAAGACCCTGCGTTGTTGGTTTCCGAGAGAAAACGAACCCTATCTATAAGATCGGTTCGAGACTCGCCAAAGATCCGACTCTTGGGCGAACTATGTATGCTGAACAATATTATGAGAGTATGATGTTGGCCGTATAAGGCCTCGAAAGGCGCATCAAGTATTAGACTGGTTCCTAGGTCAACCCCAAGACACTGAAAACATGGTTAGAATCGACTTGGACGGACAAGAGGAGTGCAACCAAATCGCGAAAAGTAAAGACTTGAAGTCTCTAGGCGCTGGACTTGTCGTTGCCAACGTCCTCGCCAAAGTTCGCGCCATAGTGGACTGGGGTGTAGTTTGGGCCCGCAGAACCCGGGACCATAGCACCGCCTACGTTGGAAGGCGAGCCGTATAGGCCATGGGGCATTCCTGCGGTGCGATCCTGTGAAGAAGGGACTCCAGGCCAGTATGCGCCCATATACGGCGCGTATCCGGTTGGAACCGGAGAGGGCGTGACTGGCATACCATTATAGCCGAAAACCGGCCCGTGGGGTCCCGTGGGAGTGTTGATGTATCCGGGGGCGAGCATTTGGTGGCCGACGCCGGGGTACATCATAAATCCCTGGGTGGGTGGCGCTGACGCCGGAGTCATGTGGGTCCCATACGCAATGATGGCTGGAGACTGCTCTGAGCCCTCGAAGGCAGCAGGCGTCTTGGGGTTGGCTGCTTGATGCTTCTCAATACCATCCGACGGGTTGCCAGTGAGGAAGGCAAACGACTTGACGCGCCGCGGGGTTCGCATTTGATGTTTACTGATCTTGCGCTCAACCTTGAGCTTGTGGCCACGCATGACATCGTTTCTCTGTGTGAAGTGGTTAGCATTAGATGAAGGAGGTGGCGCCAAAGAAAACTCACGAATCGATCGACCGCCTTGTCGGGCATGTCTCCTCGGGCATACTCAACAAATGCAAAGGCCCGGTAGATCACTCCTACAGATTATTCTTGTGGTTAGCGGAAGGGTGAGCTTCATTTTGGAGTAAGGGTTGGCAACTTACCATCGTAGCCAGGTCTCTTAACAATATGAACTTTAGACACCTGGCCGACCTCGGAGAAGAAGTCCGTCATTTCGGCATCGTCAACATCAAGGGGAAGTCCAGTGACATAGACGGTGCGACGATCGACGTCATATTGCTTGAGATACTCTTTATCAGCATCGGGGCGGGCGCCCCACAGTTTCTTCTTGGGGTCGAAGGGATCAATCTGATACTCTCCGTATTGGCGAACTCCCTACAAGATCCAGTTAGCAGATTCAAGTTACAAATGACAATGAGAGGAAAACTTACAGAGCCGAGATCACGGCTCGGATCAAAGTTGCTAAATTCAACGTGAACAGCAGAGCGGATTCTGATGGCATGCCGAACCTCGTCGTCAAGGGGCTCGCACTTGGTCAGCTCACCAAACGGCTCCAGGACCTCACGAACTTCATCAACTGTGGTATCACCGCCGCGACGCTTCCAAACGATGAAAGAGCCTAAGAAATTATTAGTGACGTCCGTAGTGAGTTAGTAAAGAAAAGGGTGGAAGCACTTACAGTTCGCTTTAACCATCTCTGTGCGGCAGGGGCGGCCAAAGATCATGGCGCCCTTGCCCTGCTCCATGGCAGTTTTGGCATCCTCGTTCTTCTACTCAAGTGGTTAGCGACGATACAATGATCATTAGTACCGGGTGGCTTACCGTAAATTGGCAGAATGCGAAAGGCATGTGCTTATTGTCGCGTCGAATCTTGACGAAGACTGTACCATATCGGCTGAAGACCCGAGTGACAGCGGCCTCAAGAGTGTAGTCGTCCTTGGGTTCGGGCAAACTACGGTACAAATAACGTTAGAATTGTCAGCTGTTAGAAAAGAGCAGATGCAATTTACTTAGCAACAAAAACGCAGGCGGTTGAAGGGTAGAGTCCCTGCGCGTCGATCTCCCGGCTCTGGTGCCGGACCGAAGTATATGACAATTGGTTTCGGAGAAAAACCGGAGGCTGGCTGTTCACTCCCATAGGGCCGCCAGTGGTGACAGAACGTGCCATGCGTCTGTCGTTCGAAGTTTTGACAGGCGAAAGCAGAGCCATCTCCTCGTGGAAACGGACACTCAGTTCACGTGCCTTGTCAAGGTCGACGACATCTTTGGCTGGCGAAGTCACGACCTGGGTCTCGGGCAGCTTCATTGAGACCTGGTCACTGCCATATGGCGACAGCGAGCCTTCAAAGACATCGCCACTGGGCTTCTTGCCCAGCTGGAAAATGGGAACACTTTGACAAGGAGATATTAGCAAATGGACAGTCAATCGAGCACTGGAGCACCTACGCTTTGTTCGTTCCTTTAGCTTTGGCGAGATTGAGACGACCGGGGAACTTGAAATCCGGTGATCCCTCAGCTGACGCGCTCGACAGGCGAGCTCCGGCTAGAATACATCAATTCGGTCAGCGTCGTGGAACAAGCCAAGTACGGAGTGTGGTACTTTCAGCACCAGAAGAGATGAGAACAGAGAAAGAGACTTTAATCGAGGGAACTGATGAAAATAAACACGTGGGGAGGCAAACTTACCATCATCGCTGTCGCTAGAATAGTCGACAGACGAACCCATGCTGGGTGATCTCGCGCGATTGTCGTTTGTGGCGTAATCGCCGAAGTGGGTGCCCGCGTTAACAGGAGGCATCGCCATAGTCAATACTGTGAGGAGATATGTTGGCACGCAAAATTGATGTGGTTGGGAGAGGGTGTATAACGGGAGTGATGATAGTCGGGGCGAGAGTAAGGATGCGGTTATGGATGGAGGATAATGAAGATCGCGGCACCAGGCGGGTGAAAACGCCAGGACCAAGGAAAAGGATGAGAGAATGAGATACTGAAGCTTGGTGGCCTGTAATAGATGATTCCTTTCTCAAACACCGGATATTGAATGAATGTGATGTCAAGGTGTTGACGCTGCGAGGGTCGCGAGGAAGTTCTGATCGGGTGACGAGTGTGGAAGGAAGGAAAGGTGTGGGACGGTAGCGTGGTGAGGGAAAGCCTAAATAAGTACCTGGCCGAATGGAAAAGCCTTGCACTAATAAGGCGACCGAGAACGCCAAACGTGACGCGTCTCTGGGGGGATACAGAGAACAAACGGAAGGTGCGTTCATGTTTGGGTGCGGAGGTAGAGAAGGAGGTAGAACGGGGAGGAGCTCCCGCGTGACTTCCTCATGAGAGATAAGAGGGAACTTCGGATGAAAGGCCCAGCATTGCGTGATAACAGGGAGGGAACGCACTCGCCTGGCTGGAGGACGGTTTTCAGTTTCTGTGCTGCGCGTTACTTCCTCCCGAGGCCTATCTATGGTGGGATATCTGGTTTGAGGATACATAAGGAGAGCACTCTTATAGCAGAAAGGGTAGTGAATTTGGATATAATATTTGTGGGAGAAGACAAGGGCATGTTGATAACGGTACAATGGCTCGTACCTTCTTGGATCTCAAATATACGCCCTTACCATGGTCTGCCGTACATAGAACCGCTCAACCTAAATATGAAGTGGACTCGGTGAGGCACGGAAAGGAAACCAACAAGTAGCTCATCAACGAAGATGAATCAGAGTGGTTTTCCCTGTGTGCCTCATATATGACGAATATCTGATTATATCGAAAAGCTCTAAGTTTGCGACCACCCTGATCTTCCCCTGTGGTCAAGATTTGTCCAGAATTTGAATCCAAGGAGAGAAAAGGGGAGCCCGGGGTTGGAAGCAACTCTCTTCATCAGCCACTCACTATTTCGCCGCCAGATATGAAGTGGTTCTGGACACAACCCTCTGATGTGGCAGAATTTGTGGTTGCGATGCGGAGCCGTGGTTGTTGTTGTTGTTTAGGTCAAAGTGGGTAAAGGGGTGACCCCTGTTGCGGGATTGTCTTTTTCCCTTTTCTCTTTCTTCTTGAGATAGGCTTGGCTTGGCTAATGACAGGTTCCGAAAGAAGAAAGACCTACGTTCCATGAATGAAGGAGTGAGATTGACACGGTATTCTCTAAGACATCCACAAAACCCATAATATTCCTCATCTGTCGGCCGAAGTTCTCTGGGCGTGATGATACTAACGACCTGAGGAATCCAAATCTTGAACATCTCAAACATTCCTTGCCTACGGTGAGCCACCCCATTTAGTAGAAACAGGCGAGAGTACTGTGGCTGCCTAATCAACACAGCCACAACTTCTGGCTCGAGCACCCGAGGAGCCAAGATACCTGATTCGATATGATCCATTTCTGGCACGTTGGAAACGCTGGCACTACGAGCTTGACATCTATTTCGAGGAATCCTTGAGGATTGAGTGCGGGTAATCCATCATTTACTATTCACTGAATTGGCTCAGGCTATAAATGTTCAGTCTTCCACATACAGGCGAGAATTCTGCTGATCTGGGAGGGCTGTCTTAGGTACCTTACTTGGGTAAATTCCTCCTTCACGAGAACCATCATTACACCAATGTTGGGCGAGTCGCACACATGGCACACGCGCTATCCTTCTTAAAGGGCGCCCAAGATAGAAAGTTATACAGAATAGAAAATATACGTTTTTAGTCGCTAGCAAAGTATTTCTTTCAATCTCTGGTTCACATAACACAACCGGGACTGGCTGTTTTGCCAAGAGGCTCTCGGATCCTCTAGGTTTCGACAACAAGGCAGACGTCTAAAGCGGCTCATTCCGCAGCAGACACAGCCGACTTGTGGCATTGGGAAGGAGCGATCTCCCGGTTCCCCAGCCGCCAAGGCATTGGGGAAGTCGGCCTAACCCCTTCAGGACCTGGGGCTGTGGCCTGGTGTGTTGCCCCCTGCCACTTGGGAATTGAAGATGAGCTTCTCCAGCGAATCAGGTGAAGCGGTGCGGATTGGCACTAATCCCAGCTTTCAAGGGACGCAGTAAGCTGATGGCCCAGCTCCCAGTGGGAAAAACAATAAAGAAGGGCGCGCTTTCGCTTCCAACAACCACAAGCACAACTTCCCTTAGCTCACCACTTCTCATCAATCTTGCCCTGTCTTTTCGACTTTTCCGACCCAACGAGCTCTCGACCCGTCATCAACTCACAGCCGCGTTGATTCATTAGTAATCTCACAATGAAGGCCGCTCTCGCTCTCGTTGCCGCCACGGTCGGGGCTGTTCTCGCCCAGGATCTCTCAGGCCAGCCCACCTGCGCTGTACGTTGCTACCCGGGTTGAGATACATGTTCCCGCAAACGGAGTAGTTCAATCGGTGCGACTCATCGAGACTAATACATTTTCTGGACAGACTGCTTGCCTTATTTCGGCCATTAGCGCTGCCGGCTGCGGGCCTTCGGACATGGCTTGCCAGTGCGGCCCAACGCAAACCGCGATTGTCAACAACGTGGTGCCTTGCCTGCTTGCCAGCTGCACGAGCGGTACCGATATTTTGCAGGCCTCGAGCGCCGGCGAAGCGCGATGCTCTTCCTTCCTGGCTACGGCTGCGACCACAACGCCGGCGTCGACAACGAGTGCTGCCACGACTGCGGGCCCAACATCGGTTCCAACTTCGGTTGGCACTATCTCCCAGACGAGCTTTTTCCCTGGCTCCAATACCACGATAACTACACCCACTCTGTCTAACACCCCGACACCGACGCCGTCGACGACATCAACAAAGTCGACGAGTACCAATGCTGCTGCAACTCCCGTTGCTCTTGGTGCCGGAGTTGTGCTCGGGTTTCTCGGCCTTATTGCGGCACTGTAATAGAGGCACGAAGAGAACCTCAAATCTTGGGAGAACTATCATGATGATATTTTGTTGTGGGCTTTATCGGGAGTTGAAAAGGGTGACTATCTCTTGGCCTTCTAGGCATAACAGTTTGGCTGCTGTGTGGCTCTGTTTTGGTGGCTTTGAGCCAGCCTCGATCGTGAACAATCTTTCTCGAGGTTATCTTACACGGAGCCTATATACCTTGATAATATTATAATTCTGAACCGATCGGGCTTTCTGTGTAGTTTCATGTATTCCTAATGACACCAGCTTGGAAGCTCGCACGAGCTTTTGATGATATCCTCCCAACTCCATTGTCGTCACAGTGAGAAAAGTACTTGGTAAGAAGCAGCGCTCCAGAATTTCTATCAACGCCGCACGTATTGCAGATTTCAGGGAAGAGTAACATCCCGTCTCATATCAGCGTATCTCCACGGCGAAGCCAAATAAAAGTGAAGGGAATGCCGCTATCTATCTCGGTAGTGAGATTCGCCGACTTACTGTTGATTATTCGCACAGTGCCCCTCGCCCAATTTTCGCCCATTAGGGTTAAATAATCAGAATATGCCCAGTGAATCTACTGTGCCGCTTGCCCCGCTAGACGAGTCGTTTGCAGCACCAACGGGCACATCTGGTCTGTTTCATCTTCGAGATGTTGGAGAGAGAGCCGCACGCCATGATTATTCAGAATCTAACGCATATCAAAGGAAGAACCTGCTCTCACTTTCCTGCAGAACCCTAAGTCTTACATTGAAGAGAGACTGCAAAATATCAGCTACAGTCACCCAGGCTTGTCCAAGCACCTACCATTTACCTCACAGAAAATTTCACGGCCAAAGTTGCAGTCACTTACAAGCAAGCTAGCAAGCTAGCCCCTGTCCCCTTAAAATGGCCACCAACATTAAAATTGAGACCTCGATGGTAGGTAACTATCTATGCACATCGCATTAGCCGCCCTTCCTCTCCACGGTAGCCTTTCTCCCGATATGTCTCGATTGCTAACCTGTTGATGCAGGGCACCATCGTGGTAGAGCTCTACAACCTACATGCGCCCAAGACATGCAAGAACTTCGAGACGCTGGCGGAGCGCGGCTACTATGACGATGTCATCTTCCACCGTATCATCAAGAAATTCATGATCCAAGGAGGAGACCCGACGGGCACGGGCCGAGGTGGCAGCAGTATCTACGGCGAGAAATTTGAAGATGAGATCAGCAACGAGCTCAAGCGTGAGTTTTCCAATCAATATATTGCCACATCACAGCTCTTGTGGTCTGGTTCCTTCATGTCCAAATACTGACTAAATTCGGCTACAAAAAGACACTGGTGCCGGCATCCTGAGCATGGCAAATGCAGGCCCAAACACAAACGGGAGTCAATTCTTCATCACCTTGGACCCAACTCCATGGCTCGACGGCAAGCACACCATTTTCGGCCGTGTGAAGAGAGGCATGAAGGTTGTTCACAGGATGGGTCTAGTGCCAACTGACGAGGAGGACCACCCGTCGGAGACTGTCAAAATCATAAAGGCCCGAGTAGCACAGGACGACGACGAGGGCGAGGGTGTGGATGAGGACGCGAACGAGGGCGCAGGTGTGGATGAGGAATTAAATGCCTAGGCATCCTTTTCTGACACATACCTCACTAACACGAGTTTGGAAAGGCTGTCTCGTAGGTCGCGGGAAGCATGTTAAAGTACAGAAGATAATTCCGTAACACCTAGTGAGGGTAGAGCCACCGCTGGCATCTTTCGTTGGACCAACAGCGGGCGGTGGACGAGCGGTCTTAGCTTCTTTTATACAACATAGCCCAAGAAGATCCCAAGCCATTTGGCCCACTGCCTTGTTACCCGGCTCTTTTGATACAAAGTCCAGAATGCCATGAGTCCCATATAATGCAGAAAAAAACGCCCAAAACCCGATCCGTCAGGGATGCAAAACCCCCTTAACACCCTAATAATGCAGTATGTTGCCGGAAAAAAAGCAATTGCAACGCAGCGGTGCCTCGTAGGCCGAAGTAATCCGCCACCCAGTGCTTCCCAAGGGCTAGCCTCCGAGGCTTGGATTTGATTCGCAAGAGGACCAAAAACGAGGAAGAAGAAATCCGACGTAATGTCGCACGGTTTTGTGTGTTCTAAAGACACACTTTTTTCACTGTGGCGGCGAAGACAACGTTCCGGAAGATTCGGACTCGAGGTCACGATCTCTCTTGCTCTTCTTCGGGGCTGGTGATGGCATCGTTGGCTTTGGTATCGAGCTGGGCTTTATTTTCTTGGCAGGCGACGGCCCTTTTGGAGTGCTCTTCTTTGGAGCCACCTGCACAGCCGAAATCTCGTCATCGGCCTTCTGTTCTACATTGAGCATGGATGTGCTCTTGACCTTTTCCTTCTTGGTGGGTGCTTTGGTCTTCAAGATCACCTTCTTGGGCAGGGGAGTCGGCTTGAGCTTCTTTTTCTTGGGGTTTGTGGGATCTGACTCGTCCGCATCTTCGTCAAACTCATCGCCATCGCGTTTCCTAGGGCTCCCGGCACGGCTGCCCGGCAGTGGTGTTCCCTTTTGACTACCGGGCGGCGTGTTGTCGTTATTCTGACTGCCCGCATTGCTCCCCCCATTGCTAATTTTCTGGGCTGCGGCCCTACTTGCATTACGCCCGCTATTGCCTATGCACGATCCCATGTGATTGTTGAGTCGCGTCACCAAGATGCACCGCTTGCACTTCGAGCAAGTGGCGCTTGGGTAGCTGAGGACATTTGGAGGGCGGTCCTTGGCACTCGATTCTGCTCCAGCTGCTGGAGAATTGGCACTGTCGCCATCCAGCTTCTTCTCCATGTCCTTCTTCTTCTTGCCTCGTCCGGGCCCCGGAGCAACCCAAGTTTGTCCGTAGATGTCGAACCCCGGCTTTTCAATATAGGGGTGCTTTTTGCAGTAGACGACGCCAGGCGCAGGCTTCTTCGCGCCTTTCCCGTCGGTCGGGTAGAGCAGCCGTGGGAGGTGACATCGCGGGCAGATGATCTCCTTTGTAGTCTTCAACGGGTTGCCCTTCAACAGGACCTGTCCATCTTCGTAGATAGCTGCCTCGGTTTCTATGCGTACATCTGGTTTCGCGTCCGGTGTCGATGAATCTGAGGCTTCCGAAGCCAGCTTCTCGACTCTGATCGCGGCTGTGTTGGCGCGGGCCATCTTTTCATCCCGGTGCACTTTGATGAGGAGATCATGGACGATGTTGTATAATAGGTCGTCGAGAACAGAATGTGCCTGCGACGCGGAAGCGAAGGGTTAGTCAATGTTGTGCATTCATCCTGGACAGAGATAGTAATCGCTTACAAGTTTGTCCATGGGACTTGCATCGTTAGGGGCAACAATGACGCCCGCCTTACCGGTCTCGCTCGTTTCTGACGACATCTCGAGGGTTCGAAGACAAAACTCGCCCACGGAATGAAACTAGCCAGAGTAGAGCCACCTGATCACGAGAAAAGGGACTGCCGGATCGGTGGAACGTTGACTCTGTCGCAAACAGCTGGACAAATCTAGGTGGAGCTGAGGCCGAGCTTCAACGGTACTGGGGCTAAAAATATTGCGGCGGGCCGTCTTTTCAATAGAGATAGGAGAGAAATCAATTTCCCACCATTGTCCAGCTAGTCTGCAGCATGCACGATAATTCGAGGTTGAGTAGGGTGATGGCCGCCTCGATGACCAGGCAAGAATTATGTTCGTAATTCCTGGTCGCTTTTATTAGTTCGTTGACCAGTGCGATTGATGACCACGAATTTTCAACCCAACTGAGTGGGACGTGGGCAAATGACGCTGAAGGAGGGAAAAGAAGAAGGCTGTGGACACTGTAAGGCAAAAGCAGATAGTGGAACCTGCAGGGGTGTGGGGAGGCTGCGAGAGGCTTCTGCCGAGTTAGAGGTCGCTGTTTGAGAAAGAGCCAACAAACTCGAGCCGCTCTGAGAGGGTCTCAAAAAACGTTTATTCTCACTGGAAGCCGATCTTAAGTTTCGAGCCCAAACTTCGGCAACGCTCGCTCGAAATTCGTATTGAAAAAATGGAGTATTTCCTAGATAATAAAGTTACTCATTATAAGTACGTATAGTCTTGCAATTCTTTAAATCTAGCTATCTATCTATGTGTTTTCTTCAACAATCAAGACTAATATACATGAATGTTACGAAGAGAGGCGCGGCTGACAGTGGGTCAGGGAAGGTATTCCAATTGTTTTGGAGACACCGGGTCATCGGGTTAGTCACAGCCGTAGATGAATCTGCAGTACTGTGCACGTACACGTACAGTTATTTTATTGTACGATACCTGTGAATTACGTAAACATCTAGGTTCCTGTCGACCTCAGAGCTACCACTTGAAACACCTCGACTTGTGTAGGTAGGTAGACAGACAAATAACGCTTCGCCGTGACCTCACGAACAAATTCTAAACTCTTACCTTGGACATTCTTTCAACCACGTCCAGAATGGCCGGGACTCGGACCTTAAAACTAATGAATTGTAACTAACTGGAGCGGAAGTACGAATAGCAGAGAGGTTACTCCGTACAAAGCTGTAGCCAGGTACCCAAGGTACCGTACATTACATTACGTACGCAATATTACCTTGGGTATCCCCGGATGGATCTCAGGTCAATTAAAATAAGCTCCGGCAATGGAAGGTCTAGGCCGGTCGCGGGGAAACCGCGCTTCCCGTCTATTCGCGTTCCATCTCTAGGTCGTTGGGCGGCGCCGAGTTGCCAACTCCGAGACAGTTCGAAAATTTCCGAGTTTCAAAGACAGAAGCGTACGCGCAGTACCCCATCATAAGAATGCCATGATTTCAGAATTCCACGAATCTCACCAGAAAGATGTCGCGCACTCATCAGCACTCTATTCGGTCTTTTTTCCAGCCTCGTCGTCCATCTGAGCTTGGTGCCCCTCCATCAAGTTCACTGGTTGCCCCGCCACCAAAACCCAACAACGAAGTGATGGGCTCCCCAACAACACCATCACCACCACTGCCGCCTCCACCAACATCTCCTCGGCCTAATTTAGCTCAGTACCAACATCCAGCCTCTCCTAAGCTTCCAGCCTCGCTTTTTCCCGTGAGCCTCGAAGCAGCCGGCGTGCCCGTCCTTCCCTCCCCACCATCAATTCCGTCGCAAGCAACAATTGTGCCCGTTGCCGAGCAGCACATTTCCGCTCTGCGTCGCATTAACTCGCTGCTACTACCCGTTTCCTACCCTGATTCTTTCTACGCTAAGGCTCTGGAACCCCTCGCCTCGGGCCTGTTCTCGCGCGCTATTCTATGGCAAGACGACAATGGCGCCGCCTCCGAGCCCAAAGTCATTGGCGGTGTAATCTGCCGGCTCGAGCCTAACCCATTCTTTGACGAGAGCGGACAGCCGCAGGCGCCACTTCCACCGTCTCGACAGCTTCCTACCCAAGGGGCTCCGTCGCTCAACTCACCGTTTCATGCAATTTACATCCAGTCCCTGGCGCTACTGTCGCCATATCGGTCGCTTGGCTTGGCTGCCGCTGCTCTCGAACACATTGTCACGAGCGCCACTATCCTTCCCGCGGCTGGGTTGAACATTGATGTCCGCACAATTTATGCGCACGTGTGGACCGAAAACGAGGATGGGCTCAAGTGGTATCAGGCCCGGCGGTTTGCGCCCGAAGGTCGGGAGCCCCTGAAGGGGTACTACTTCAAGTTGCGACCCGATACGGCGTGGGTTGTGCGACGTGATATAGGCCCGGGAGCTCAGCCACTACCACAGGTGGCATACTCGGGGTCATCGTTGCCGTCGTCCGGAGTGCAGGCCCCGGGGGGAAGTTATGGCAGCACGGTGGCGGAGGCGGTGAACCTGCCACCGCCCGTCCGGCCCTCGGCAGCAGTCACACCGTCATCCTTATCGGGCTCGTCTTTCTCCTTTCAGAATTCGCGACCTGATGTGGAATGGAACGACCTCCCTGCAGACATGGTTGCAGCTGCATCGGCGTCCAACGGGCCTGGACGGAGTAAATTCTCACCGCCAAGTGCACCTGCCTCTGGAGCGAGCTCTCGCAGCAGCTCCACCGCGCGCAAGAAGAAGGAACGAGCTTACCCGTCCGCGGCATTTGGGAATTAACACTGCGTTGGTCATAAGGGGTGTGAATTCGGCAGTAGTAGGTTCTATTAGTTATGATATATGACGGTAGAAGAATAAAGGACGAGATGGGTAGACGTGTCCTGGGCGGTTTATATGGCATTGGATTTTATTAGCATGGAGCGGGCTTTAAGGATCAGGAGCGGGTGTCTACGGATTGCTGTAGAAAAGGAACGCGGAAAGACATTCTAGCACTTATATATGCGTATCTGATATGGGTACGAGGTTAAACGGCCCCTTTCTTAAAAAAAAAAACCTTTAGGAGGTATGTCTACAACTTCACACAGTAACACGTTATAGCACGACACGAACCAAAGGTACGTAGTTTTGACCATATTCCAGATTATTACATTTCTTTATTGCAACCCTGCGAATAACAGGAGGGTCTTTTTGAAGCGGACACATACTACCACCAAAGTGTTACCAGGGAATCGCATACGCTCATCCAGGGAACTCAGACGAATAACGTCTAGCACAATCGACGGTTACCAACTAACGCTCCCTTCTTGACGCCGACACAAACACCTAGCATTCATCGCAAGCAAATAGTGAAAGATCATCTCCTCGTAAACATTGTGCGGCAACTCTTTGAAACGCGTTGTATCTCGCAGTTCGCCTCGTCCCCTTTGTATCACTATTCATAAATGAAGCAATCGCTGTGACGGATTTTTCGGGTGGTGACCATGACACCGACCTATTCATCTACCGCGTCATCTTCCATAACGGACGTTAGGGTGACCGGCGCACTGGAGCGCAGCTCACGGAAGTAGTCGGCTGTGCTGGTATTCTTCTCCATTCCGGCAGCAACAAGTGCAATGAGCGCAGCGCCAACACCGGACCCGTCCTTCGCAACTCCAATACGGATGCGCTTGGCGCCTTCTTCACCGACGCCATCGATGACGCGCAGGGTCTCGGTTATCATATCCCTAAAATAGGGATAGTGCTCCACAAGACTTCCATCAACACCAATATCAATGGGTTCATCCTTAGATTCCGGATCAATCAGTTTGCCTGTTTGCAGAACGATTGCAGCGATGGCGACAGCCGCTAGACGTGCGGCACGACGAGCGACAGCCCCAGCGATAGCCTTGAAAGCTTGAGCATCATCATGGGCCGGAGAATAAACGCTCAGGGTAGATTCGAGTTCCTGGCGGAGGATAGACAGCTCGGGAGTGTTATCAGCCGCGGCAACCGACATAATGGCTGTGTCGATACCCCACTGCTCGTAAATGCTCGAGTTCGGCGCGATGTGAGTTGTCGACTTCCAATCATTGGAGCTGGAGTTCTCGTCTTTGAAAAAGGCGACCTTTGGGTTCTTGAGCAAATCAAGAATGGCGAGTCGTAGGATCTCGCCGAGGAACATTCCGGAGACACGCTTTTCGTACATCTGGATCCCAGGGTTCACGCTTGTCTTGTCAAGTTCAATGTCCCACGATGTGTTAGGCAGGACATTGAGCTGATTGTCAAACGAGCCCCATTCCGTGTTGATAACCATGTCGCCAGTCGAATTGTCATACTCGCCAGTCAAAGGCTTCTTGAGGTTGGAAAGCTTTTCGACATACGCCCCGTTGGTGCCAGTACCGAAAATGGCGCCAAGGACGGCACCAGTCTTTCCTGGGGAAGTATAGGAACGCGCCATGAGCGTCCCTACAGTGTCGTTGACAAGAGCGGCCACTTTAACTGGAAGATGAAGTTTATCAATCTCGGTTTGCAGGAGCGCGCACACATCCTTGCCAACTGCGTCTGGGATATCAAAGCCCTTCGTCCATCTTATGAGAGTGCCTTTATTGATCCCGACTTGCTGCACTGGAAAGCTGAAGGTGAAGCCCAGGCGGAAGACGTTCTCGTCCTTGAAACCGTCAGGCGAGCTGACTGTCAGCCGCCGCCTTACGTGACGCTCGAAATGGTCGCCGTGGTGCGTCACAAGGAACAGCTCGACCTGCTTGGCCAAGAAGGCGAAGAGCTCTTTGGCTGTCTTCGCAACCATGAGATCTTTGGGAATCGCAACTTTGGTATACGTGAGATTGAAGGTGGTGTCGCCATTGAGCTGGATCGAGCAGACACGGAAATTGGTCCCGCCGAGGTCTACAGCCATGTAGAGACCCTGTATAGAAGATATCAGAGAGCGAATCCTGCGGGCTAGAATGCAAAACTGACCTTTTCGGTGCCATTGGGTACAGCCGTCACGTACGTTGGGATCTGGCTCAGGCTGGTTCCATCCTTCTCCAGGCCCTCGCCTGATGGCTTGTGTCAGGCATGCGGAGCTTAGATGCTGGGGGTTTAACACCTACCCATCTGGCGGAGAAACTCCTTCACTGCCTTGTTGACATCTTCGTCCGAGTATTCAAACTTGGAGACGAAACTCTTCGTCTCAGCCTCGAGCGACATAGCGAGCGGCCGCGAAACTGGAGCAGATGTGGGGAACGGAGGTGGGTTTTCACAGATTGGTGGGTGCCGATCTGCCGAGGCCACGGGTGAGTAGGTGGCTGAGAGAAAGCTAGGGCCAGTTAAAAGATCCGAGTAATAATGCTTCTTGTCGCGCAGGAAAAATTGGAGGATCTGGGACTTTAGGTTAGATATATACCCAGGACGAGTGTTGGTGTGGACTTTGGAGGGGTGAAGGGGGCAAAGGCGGGGCAGTTGAGAGGCGGGCCCATGAGATGGATGGGTCCTGAAATCCCTTTGAGGGTTGGTTGGGCAAGGATGGCACGAGGATAACTTACAAAGACGAGAAGGAGGAAAGCTGCGGAGAAAACATGGACCAGGCTGGGGGAGGTTGAGAAGGCCTTGGAAACAGCGTCCTTGCGCCGATTGGCGTTCTGCTTTTCAGCTGCAAGCGCTCCCCGTAAGCTGTTAATGGCGCGCAAGGCGCCCGCCAACCTTGGGGACGACGTTTTGTCGGCTCTGCAATGCTCGAAGCCGGGGAGGGGCAGGCAGTATCCTAACCCTTGTCGCCAAGCTTGGTCCGTTGGTAACTGGGAGCGATTGCGGGTGAGCGGGGTTACCGAGTGCCTAGTGCCCTCGACGCTTGCCTGACCCTGGGGCCTGGGCGCCTGGAGCAAAAACTAAATTCTAGAAACGGCCCGGCTCTTGGGGTACAACGCAACGACGGGAGGTCCACGAGGGAAGCGACTTTCGGCTCGCGGTTTTCGTTCCCGTACCAAAACACTAGGCTGTGGTGTCCGAAATTAACGCTCGGTATAGTTGCGCAGCAAGAGGTCGCGATTGCGACCACCGAGCCGGCGAAAATGGGGGCGGCAGAAGGGCCGTAGAAGTGGTCTACAGATCATGTAGCAATCCACAGCTGCTGCGAGGGTGTGGGTCTTCGCCGAATCGATGTCATAGAAATCTCGAGTCGTTCCGAAAGGCTGCCGAGGATATTGTTGCCAGATGCGCGGTTTCTCGCTCAATACCCAGCGCAAGCAAGTCACGAGCAGCAAACTTTGCCCACACCGCGACTTCCAAAGGCCAGGGAAGAACCTTGAATCGGATGAAGGTGCGGCGTCGAGTCGGCCCTTGGCAGAGTGTGGCTGGCCAGGTAGGTTATCGAGTCGGTCCGCGGCACACTGATCTCACGAGGCGAGACGCCGAGGGCGATGCGGAAGGCGACGGAGAGAGCAAAGAGGTGGGCGGATGCTATATTAATTTATCGAAGCGCTTCGACGGTTTCCAGGCTAGCACTTCTTTGCACGACCTGCGGTCAACAAGTGGCAAGCAGCCGGCCGGGGGTGGTAGTGGAGGCAGGTGGTTTGCTCCGAGATCGATCATGGGGCAGAATCGCAGGAAGAAGACTTTGCAAAGACCGAAGAGGTTGCAAATGCCACTTTCGAGGTGGAAGTTACGGTGTTCTACAAAGAATCCCGAGACCTCTCGACTTTTTGAAGTCAAACCAGCCCCTGAACACTGATGCCGCCAACTCATTGGCCCCCCATAAGAAGGCAATCTCTCCACGAGATGGAGTCCGGGGTGCCGATGGAACCTAGTCAACTGCCCACATTTGGAGAAACGGCTAGCATTTGATTGGCGCACGAATGAAACCCGGCTCTCGCCTTGAAACTTGCACCTCGGTGCACTGACTTTGGCCTGGATCGAAACCCCAGGTTCTATCTTCTGGGAAAGTGCCGCCACACTAGTGTTGATTGGGCAAAGGCATTTGCAAAGGCATAGGATACAACAGACATTCCACCCAACCAACACATACACAGACAAGCTCCGGCCTCACCCGACACTATAGGAGCTATCGGATAATTAGTATGGATACATTTATACGATATCCGAACAATTCGAGTCCTCTTATCTGTCGAGTATCAAAGTCGTATCAAAGTCGTAATGAAGCAAGGTGACGTAAAGGTGCAGTGATTCATATCAGACCAACTCGCCAAAACCCACAGCAAGCGAATGCGAAGGCAGTAGACTTTAAGATGATCTTAGATACCTGCCTTACTTACCTACCTACCTAGGTATTCTGTATGTATAGTACTTAATGTCATAATTGCGGGCGTTAGGATGAAATATGGCAAAGGCAAGGGAGTTCAAGTGGGCAGGTACAATGGCACTCAATGTTGAACACGACACTTCTTATAATAATGAATAAAATTATTTCTGTTAATTAATGTGTAAATATCCAATACCCCGTGGTAAACCGTCTCTCGGCCGATGTGCATTGTTTACGGCGAGAACCAAACAAGAAGATCTATGCCTCTTGTTTCGTTTTGGCCGTTGATTCCGCGGGGCCTGCCAAAAGCACACCAAAATTCCACGTCGTTATAGCATTGTGCCACGTAGTTAAGTTGGCCTTCATCCAACACGTGTGCTCGTCGGGGTCGTCGCCGTTTTGTATACCCCATCCCACTCCCATACACCCGACGAACACCGAACACTTTTCTATGCAATCTTGGAAACTGCTTGTGCGCACGTTTCCGATGTCAACGGCTTGTTCCACGCCGCCGTAATCAATACCACAGAGGTGAATGAACTGTTTCCCATTTGACGTAGGGAGCTGCGCGTTCTGGGCGCCGGGGCATGTCAACTTTGAGGATGTGACCTGGGACGTGGACGTGGACACGGACGAGGTCTGGGATGGGGCGCGAGTTGCTGTGCCTGTGTTGAAGACAGTGGCGGTGCGTGTCTCTTCAGTTGAAACGGAACTAGGGGATGACCTGTAACTAGTAAGCCACCGCAGGCACAAGAAAAGAGTCTGAGGACGTACGCAGCAGCATCAGCGGCAGACAGCGTAGAGGCACGATTCTGGCTTCCAAGTCCCACGCCAAGTCCAACACCAAGTGCGATTGCTAAGAGAACCAAACCTCCGAAGGTAAGAAGGGACAGGAAACAGAGCTTTCGCCGGATACCGCAGACTGCTTCTTTCGAGCTGGACGGGGCCTCCCTTGGAGGAGTCGATACTGAAGGAGGAAATATCGCGGGCATGCCTGGATATCTAGGAGGCACGGTTTCATAATCCTGGGGTATCCCGTGGGTCCCTTGTATCCATCGTTGGACGATCGTCGGAGTATACTGGCTAGGTTCCGGTAACAATGCAAGCGGCGGGACCTCGTGGTGTGGGTAGCTCAAGACGGAGACCGGGAATGGTGATTTTGCCTTGACAGAATGGTAAGCATGGTGTTCCTGGGCGGGCGCGGGAACAAAGGTCTGCTCGCTGTCGGGCATGGCTCTCCTGTTTATGTCCATGGCGAGAAAGTTAAAACCATGAGTAACAACACCAAAGGCGCAAAGACCTCTGGGAACATGGATTCGATCAATGACATACTACAGAGGCAAACATTGGCGTGAGGAAACGGGGACGTCATCCATTTGTATAAATAGCGACTGGTAGTGTCTGCAATCAAGAAGAGGCTGACAAGCAACTCGTAATTACCACATCGCAATGTTTTATGTCCCCTGAATTGGATGCATGGATGACATGCATATAAGCAGCCATTTTCTAGCACGACACTAGTCTGTACCAGGCACCCGGATTTGGCTTTATCTGATAGGTTTCGGTGCACGAGTTGGCGACTCATCAACACAAAATGAGAAGGCAAAGGCGGCTTACGGGCAGAAGCACGTGGGATTGTTTTCTGTTGCTCGGCACCTTGGATGCCTTCTCAACAGCACCACAACCGGGAAAGACATGCAGAAGACAGAACATCATTGTGTAGCAGCTGTACTAACCAAGTAGCACAGTGTTTTTGAGAACGAGACCTAATTGCTCTGAGACTTTCTTGCGTTGCAAAGGTGAACTGCGTTTACTTTCCTGGGGCTTCACTGATGCTGCAAGGAGAGCCGCGGTGGCATAAAGCCTACCATTCAGCGAGATCGAGAACGAGTGCCTATACCGCTCCTCGTAAGTGGAGGGCGGCATTCGCTTGATGCCTTGATATCTGTGCCGCCGGGAGGCATGTCAACTTGGCCAACCCCCATACAACACCGACTACCTCTTGTCATCAAGGCTTCGAGATCGGAAAGTCTTTGTTTGGTGGTCGGACTCTAAATGTAGCAAGAGTACCAAATGTGGAAATGTAGTGTACAATAAGTGAGGCTCGTTTCTAGACACGTAGAGGCGGATGCCCCCGTGAGAATGACCCGAGAAGGTGCTTATATACGGGGCAGGCCTTGCCTACATCCGAATTTGTCGTGCATACATCACCTTCGCTGAGGTGAGGGCACACCACTGCCTTGGGTCAGGGGTTCATGGTGGGTGAAGAACAACAGCTCGCCAAGGGGACCTAGACCTGATGTCCAAGTTGCTTGCCCACTGTACGAAGGTCAAAGTGCATCCTTTGACTGATTAGTGCTGGGATAAGACGGGAGCGTCCCGAGCCATCATTCTGCAAAGACCGAGGGTACGGCCCGTCTCGAGGATGGTAAGATTATGGAGTAAAAGAGTCGGGTGGGAGGGCTATGGAATGTTCTTCCACTTCGCGCATGAAGTGCTGATATAACACATCTAGGTCCTTTGTTCTGGTTTGGGGGACGATTTGGCGCTTTTGAGGCACGGTACGAACTACCCAGTAGTGGGTAGGGAGAAATGAAGGATCACGATCGGGCATTTATTTCCCGCTGGGCAGAATTGCAAGGTTGCGGCTGAGGAGAGACTTGACAGGCCAACTCGCAACGTCGAGAACAATTGAGCGCAATAAGCGGGGGTGGGGGGGCCCGTAATGCTCGGGTTCCAGACCCCAGAGCCCCCAAAGAGGCACAGCTGCGCCAAGGACTCAGCCACATACCCACCCCTCCGATGCCTAGCCAAGCAACCTGAGTTGCCTGACGAGGCGAGTGACGACTGGCTTCAAACTGAATTGAAGCGCAAAGTCCTACAAAAGGTCCTACGGCCCCATTGTTCCGTTTTAAGCCTAGGTCAGGCACGTCTGGACACTCGCTGGGCCTGGACACATTTGCAGCAGCAAAAAGTCGGGCTGCCAGATCCGCCCCACGCATTGCATGAAAACCCAAGCACGATAGAGATTAGGGAGTCTAGAAAGTCGCCCCCACACGCTGCTCAGGTTTGCTACATAGATGTCGCGACATCTGGACGGATACACTGCTGTTATATCGACGACACGCTGCCTGACCCCGCATCGATCAGCTTGAAGACACTTTTATTCGGCCGCTGCCTAGGTATTTCCACACGCTGAACATAGTTGCACGAGAAAGGACGAAAGAGGGTCGGTAAAAGCCGCCTCAGCCGTGCTGACCTGGATGGGGATGTGGGTGTGAACCCCACTCCTGTTAGTAAGACCCAGGCTTTCGACAAAGAACTCGAAGTAATCTTTTACCATCGAGGGGAGGAATTGATCCTGTGTCAGTTTCTGACGCTTTGAGTCTAAATTCTGCTTTGCTAAATGGTTATGGTGCTTACCGCACCAATGTACATACCTAGAGGTAAGTTGAGTCTTTGGCGTAGTGGTAGAATTTGAGGAGTTAATGAGAATAACGGACTGTGATCCTCTGGAACGAGTGAATTGATGATGGATTGCGAGCTGCGAGTTCGGCGTACTGAACGAACCATACTGACCTAACAGCAAGATGGTTAGAATTTGCATCCTCGAGCCAAGGTCTGAGGCGGAAGGATCTTGTGTAGGCATTTCCCATGGAGCAAACAGCGTTCGGCCCTTGGCCCCGCCGTTTTGCGAACAGCTTTAGCTCCAAAGCTGGCTGTTGATATGAGTAATATACCTAGGCAAAGTAGGCAGTAAACTTGTCGTGTCCTGGGTGATATGAAGGAGCTATTGACGATTCGGCCTCCGCTCCTCGGCTGGCTATCGACCCGAAAGCAAGTAGGTAGCCTCCGGGAGCATGACGATCGGATTGTGTGACACAGTGAGAGGCACACCCCCAAGAGTTCGTCCAGGGTGGAAAACGAAGAGGATTGAGCGGAGAGAGGATGGCATAGTAACACAAGTTGGGTGATTTGAGACGGGGGAGGTGGTGCTTTTCACTTCTAATTCTCGTCGCACTATCTCCAGTCTTCATTCAGGTTTGCAAACCTTTGCAAGCCCAGGCATCGATATCGATTATCGCGACACAGTCAGGCAGGCTCTGTGGCGGTGCCATGCCTGGTATTTGATACGTCCCCAGTAAAAAGTTTCTCGTCCCTCTTCTGTCGGCTCCCCTCTCCCGTCTCAACTTCCATGTTTGAGGTCCATCAGCTCTCATTGGGTTGGCTATTATCAAAACTTGAACCCAACGGTCGGGTCACTTCTTCCCCGCCGTGGCATTGGGAACCTAGAAGCATTGCTAGCTAAGCCCAGAATTTTGGATACTCACTCAGCCTTATTCCGTACTCCCGTACCAACGTGGGTCAGCTGTGCAGAAGGCCGAGAGCAATCAGCCAACTTGAAGACCATTCATCGGCGACTTTACAGCTAGACCACCGCAGCCACAGAAGGTCTCCTTTTTGCACCCCCTGTCGCCGGGCTTACCTGAGGACCTTTACTCGTCCTTCGTCCTGGGGCCCCACCCCCGACCTCCAAAGCAAGCACTGCGAGAGAGACACCCGCGCCCCCCTTTTGAGACCTGGGGAACGAACCCGACGGCCTGGAGAGAGAACGGTCTGGAGAGAGCACGCCAGCGCCCCAGACCAGCTCGCTGCCCGACCTACTCTACCTTCCATTAGGTACTTCCATCGAGACGAGGTACTCCGTACTGTATGCGCATATCTTAGGTGGTAGGTACAGATATGTAGGATGAGATACCTAGGATAGCCTCTAAAGTCCTAGATAGACGTTTTCCCGATCCTGTGGTGGACCCGTCCACTGTCGTACCCCCCCAATTCAGCTTGCAGCTCTCTCTTCCATTCTTTGGCGCCTCCCCTCCCTCCCCCTCCGCTCCTTCCAAATTCCTAGGTCCAAATTCAGCGCAGCCCAGTCCAGCAGCGCAATCCACAGCCCACAGCCCACCTCACCTTAATTCAGTCCAGCCCAGCCCGCCAGCCAGCCCACCAGCCCGCCAGCCAACCCTCGCCCCCTCCCCAGGTCCTCTCGATTCCCGTCTTTCTTTTTCTTTTAGCTCGCCGGTTCTCCTTTCTCAGGACGCAACCCCTTATGAGTTCTCAGAACTCGCGCCTGAAGATAGGCTTTGGCTTTGGCAAACGCAAATCGACGGCTGTCATACAGCCGACCGACCTTCCGCTCCCCGTCTCGTTCTCTCAGCCTCGTACCCCGCCTCTGGGAGGACCTGGAGCCCCCCCTCAAATACCGCCGCTGTTCCCGTCCGGGCCCGCCCCCTCGATTGCTTCCACATCCTCGCAACAGAGCCTCCAAATGAATCATCCAGGTGCTGGTCCGCGACCACCCAGCTACTCGGCAAACTATCCCCAAGGCCCTCCCGGCCCCGTCGATCGCAACAGTCCTCTGGCTCAAGGCCAACCCCGTACCCCACCGTCGCAAATGGTCGGTGGCCCTCCGCCTATCAACACGGGCGCTCCCCCCGTCTCCGGGTACCCCCCGCCCGTTATGAACATGCAGGGCAACCCCGCTCCCGTCCCCGGCGGCCCTCCGGGCTACGCTGGCGGCCCTGGCTACCCCCAGGCGCCTCCTCAGCAGCAACAACAGGCTCCTTACACGCGCAATGCTGCCGCAGAGGTCGAGGGCAACAGCCGGAGTAAGGCCCAGCTGATCGTCGGCATCGACTTCGTAGGTTTGCCCTATCCACTCAGTGGTGTGCCGTCTTGATGTCTTGCGCAAACGGGCTGTGCTAACCTACGCGCCCTCTACTTTTTAACATTGCAGGGTACTACATTCTCGGGCGTCGCTTTCGCTTTCGCTTCGAATAACGAGGCAAAGGAAGACATTATCACCGAATGGCCCGGCGCCGGCTCATACACCAAGCAAAAGGTTGGTTCTTGCTGCATCGCAATCGCATCGCATTGGCGTCGCACTAACCAAGCTTCCGTGTCTTGTTCATTAGATCCCTACTGTCCTGTACTATGACCAGTATCAGAAGGTTGTGGGCTGGGGCCCCGACATTGCCGATGCCCTTGCCCCCACCGGATACCCCAAACCAGGCGTACAAAAGGTTGAGTGGTTCAAGCTTCAGTTGATGTTGTCTGGCAATACCTACATCGATCCTATCAACCTGCCGCCTCTCCCTCCCGGAAAGTCGGAGATCGACGTGGCTGCCGATTATCTCTTCAAACTCCGCCAAGCGATGCGCGCGGCCCTCCAGAAGACACTCGGCGAGGTGTTCAACCGCGAGGAAAGAAACATTCGCTATTATCTAACCGTGCCTGCGATTTGGAACGATGCTGGAAAGGCAGCTACCAGAGCTGCTGCCATTCAGGCCGGCTTCCTCCGCGACGAGAACGATAATCGCCTGACACTGGTCAGCGAGCCAGAGGCTGCGGCTCTGTTCTGCTCCAAGACGGGCCTGCTGAACCTCAAAGTTCACGATGCTCTCCTCATCGTCGATTGCGGTGGCGGAACTGTCGATCTTATCGCCTACGAAGTCGAGGACGAGAATCCCTTCACCGTGGCCGAGTGCACGGCCGGATCAGGTGATTCGTGCGGCTCGACTGCCTTGAACCGAAATTTCAGCAATATCCTCCGGACAAAGATTCGTAAGATGAAGCTACCGGATGGATCCAAGACTGCTGGTCGTGTCTATGCCAAGTGCATTATGGACTTTGAGAACAGAATCAAGGCCGATTTCCGAAACAACGGCCAAAAGTGGGCTGTTGATGTTGGCATCGAGGCCGAGTTTCCCGAGGCTGGCATCGAAGAAGGATACATGACCTTCACAAACGAGGAAATCCTCCAGTGCTTCGAACCTGTGGTCAACAGGATTCTAGAGCTGGTCCGGAATCAGATCATTGCCATCCAGGCGCAAAACCGTACGCTCCAGAACATCTTGGTTGTCGGTGGGTTTGGCGCTTCGGAGTACCTCTTCCAACAGATCAAGCTCCATGTCCCGCCGCAGTTCCAATCCAAGGTTGTTCGGCCCATGGACTCGGTTGCTGCCATTGTCAAGGGCGCCGTTACTGCCGGTATCACGGAAAGGGTGATTACTCATCGCATTGCGCGTCGTCATTATCTCATGGCCACCCTGCAGCCATTCAAAGAGGGCTACCACCCCGAGGCATACCGCGTGCCGTCGCTCGATGGCAAGGATCGATGCAAATTCACGCGACAAATATTTGTCCAGAAGGGCCAAAAGGTGAAGATTGGCGAGCCTGTCAAGGTGTCATTTTTCCGGCAAGTGGCGCCTGGTGCCACTTTGATGTACGAGGACATACTGTATGCCTGCGACGACGATGTCTGCCCAGAGTACACAAAGGATCCAAGTAAGTATCTCGTTGTAATATTTGGGCGAGATTGACATGCTAACACGCGTTTTGCAACAGGAATCAAGGAAGTTGTCACGCTCACCTCGGACCTCTCACGCAAAAATCTGGAGAAGGACTTTGAGCGAATGGACACGCCGCAAGGAACATTCTACCGTGTTTATTTTGACATCTACTTGACGCTAGATGGCTCCGAATTCAGCGCCGAGCTTGTCTGCCAAGGCGAGGTCATGGGCCGATGCCGCGCCCGATTCAGATAGGGTGGAAGTCGCATTTGACGGAGTTGTTGCTTTTGAATTTCCAGCGCATCGGATCTCCAATGATACCTCTTGATTAGCGACGTGGATGTGTTTTGGCTGGGTTTGGTCGGCGAGCAGCAGTGGGCTGGGGTGAAAGGCGGTCGACGCTCAGGGGGGTAAAGGCAGAGCGGCCGTGTTCGTGGCGGAGTCACGAGGTGAGGAATGAACCAAGACGACATGACCCCGTCTCAAGCCGATATGAGGCGCAACATCTCCCATTCTGGGATCAGGGAATGAAAGTCGCGTTGTGTGGGGATATATCTACGAGTTGAAGATGAGTCGCGGGTTCTCAAAGTTCTGCGCCATTTCTGATAGAGATATAAGGGAGCACTGGTTGATTATGTATGGAATGCTTAGAATTATCTAGCAACTGAAATTCAAGTGGCGTCGTTACAAAGATTCTCAAGTGCCTGAAATGAGGTCGGGAATGGGATGGAGTTCTGCGGTACCTTGCATGTATGTACCGTGTTAGGTTTGACTTCAATGCTGCCGCGAATTCCCAGCTTTGCGGGACATGACGTGATAGCTTGCGTCTCTGGGAGTGTCCCCTGACTACCCTGACAGTTGAAGCACCCCAACAACGACAGGAAGCTGCCACTGTGATAAATGTGTTTCATCGCCCGCTTCGCTAGAGGTGATCTGCGCCACCTTCGACAGCCAGGCGTGGCTGTTGTCGAAGGCCAATCGTTCCTGCGTCATTTCCCTCTGACCTTGCGCTGCCATGGAAATGGCCCAGCTTCCACGTTCCCACCATCTCCTGCCATTTTGTCGAAGAGGCAACAACATACAGCAAGGCCGCGCAACCCGTTTGCCCTTTCTCGCCTTTGCAAGAATGTAGATAGACCACTACCTGGGTCGCTGACCCAATGATGGGTGATAGGTGGTCTTGATGGGCCCTGCCCTCTGCATCATTTTCCCTCTTCTGAGATCGTATCTTGGTTTCATCGACGTGCTACTTTCGCCAACCCACCCTTATCCTCGTCTGCATTTCCCTTAGAATCTGTTATTGCCGTTCTCTCGACCCTACCTACCCCTAGGTGTTTTCCAGTATATTCTGACACGCCTCATCATCGATAATCCGGCCTTGCCCCGTGGTGGCAGCCGGTGAAAAAGCACGTTCCGGCCATTCATGATATGACTGTCAAAGATGTCCAAAGTACTGCTTGAAGGCACAAGAAGCATAATCCACCAGAGACAGGACAGGGAGGACATTAGGCCGCTGGGGCCAGCTTCCGTGAATACCAAAAGGCCGACTCGGAGTCGCCTCGGGAGACTTACAAGTCGACTTCTTATACCTTTGTCGCTGCTTCCCAGGCAAGCGGCAGGCGTCTCGCCCACAAATACAACAACAACAACAACAACGGCCGGTGCCGCCGGAAGGTCTATTCCTCTGGTTGTCACGAACAATTGCCACGAAACCCTGTGGCCCGGAATCGGCACCCAGAATGGCATCGGTCCTGGCACCGGCGGCTTCGCCCTCGAGGGGGGCAACAGCATGCAGATGTATGTCAGCCCGGACTGGCAAGGCCGAGTGTGGGGACGGACGAACTGCTCGTTCAATGACGACGGGAGCGGGCCCAGTAACCTCAATGGCGTGAATGGAAATGGGGCGGCTTGCTCGACGGGGGACTGCTTTGGAAGGCTGGACTGCGAGTTCACTGTAAGTTGTGCCAAGCTCGCGCAAACCACAAGAAAGGCTCGCGACCACGAGGTTGTCAGGTAGCTAACATGCGCGTGTCGTTGTCAAGGGCCAAGTCCCAACTACCCTAGCCGAGTTCAACCTCATTGGCGGCATGGACGGCAAGCAAACGTTTTACGACATATCACTTGTCGACGGCTACAACCTGCCCCTGGCTATCGTCTATATCCCGGCGAAGAACACGACGTGGATCCCGCCCAACTTGACCAACTGTGCGTGCATCGCCTCGTCTGGGTACCTGGGCGAGCCCTCTAGAACCGGGCTGGCCTACACCAACGCGACGTTTCCGATGCCGTACGAGTCGGCCCAGACGAACAGAGGGGTGGCCGATTGGTGTCCCTGGGACTTGCAGGAGTACCCGCCGTCGAGGCCCGGCGACGGGATCTACCCGTACCCGGACGACTACATCCAGCGACCCGTCTTTGACCCCTGCCTGTCGGCGTGTGCCTCGACCAACAACCCCGAGGACTGTTGCACGGGCGAGTACAACGACCCAAACGTGTGCCGGCCGAGTCTGTACAGCGAGCAGGCCAAGGCGGTCTGTCCGGATGCGTACAGCTATGCTTTCGATGACCAGACCAGCACTTTCATCATCCCGACCGGCGGCGGCTGGCAGGTTGTATTTTGTCCCGAGGGCCGAAGCACCAATATCCTCGAGACGTTTGGCCCGCAGCTCCGTGCTCTCGGATCTGGCGGTGGGGTTACCAGAGAGATGCTTGACGCCCTAACCAACATCACGTACATCGAGACGCATCCCCCGCCGAGTAGCGCAGGCACGCTCCGGCCTCTGAGGGCTTGGCCGTTACTCGGGACGACGGCGATATTATGGGCGGCAATGATGGCCTAGTATTAAGTTATGTGCTTTTCGAGCCAGGATCGGTAAGATAAAGAAAGCCGTGTCTCTATTGTTGCTTCTGGATTTGGCATGGAGGGCTCGGCTGCAAAGATGGAATGCCCCCTATACATACCCCTATTCCCACTCCCTATACGTCCCCCTTATATAAGCGGTGAGGCGCATTTGACTTCAACAGATACCCTAGGGTTCAGAATACATCATTGTTTCCTAACCCAACGAGTGCAAAAACTCAACCCGTGTAAGCCTTGTATGATTCCGAAAGTCTGCGCCCATGCCGCAGGTCCGGAGGTGACTTACACGAGAGGACGAACAGAATAGAGGGTACCTAGTGTAATGAGCAAGCCGAGAGATTGCGCTCAGACAAGTCTCTTCAACCAAGTACATAATTGTCGACTTGCTTCTATCTCCCCAGCCACCAGGACAATTTTCGAGGAGAAATGGCTTGTCAAAACAGGCGTAACGACGTTGGTGGATGCCTATCTTTCGCTAGTCACCAGAACAGTGTGATAATGGTAATGGGCATGTGATAGACGAAACAGTTCCCTTCGCAAGCTACATGCGCCAGTCGCCTCATTTGTCCCATAAGAAGCAAACGCTGCATTAGTTCGAGCCGACATACATGCAGCTTCCCTCCGTTAGATACAATCCATCCCCCCTAGTTATAATCCACCTTCTCGGCCCGGCGCTGGCTCGCTGTTCAACTCTTCTTTGCCCTTCGTCTCCTCTCCCACTCGGCCCTCTCCTCTTCGTCGCTGCCGCTAAACTCGGCATCGTCGTCGCTGTCTTTGTCCTGCGCGTATGTAGTAGAAGCAGCCTGCTGGTTGGTGCCGTTGTTGGCGTTGCTCGCGCCGCCAGAGACTTCGCTGGCGGGGACAAAGTCGCCGGCGTTGAGGTTGGCGTACTCGTGTTTCCGGATCAGCTCGCGCAGGCCCGTATTGCGCGGGTCGACTAGCTGCACCGGCGTCAGGCCGCCCTTGTTCTTGTGGCGCGGGTTGGACCCGGCCTCAAGCATCATGTCAACGAGGGCGTTGCCAAACTCGTGCTGCTCCGCCGGCTCGCTGTTGATCCACCGTATCGCGCTGTGCAGCGGCGTGTCGCCCTCGACCCGGCTGACCGGGTCGCACTCGAAGCCCGGCTGGTCTAGCAGCGTGTCGATGATCTCGTAGTTGCCCCGCAACGCCGCCTCGTGGTACAGGTGGTTGCCCATGACCGTCGTCGTCTCGTTCAGCAGCCGCGCGATCTCGTCGTCGGACTTGCCCTCGAGCATCTCGGCCAGGAGCTCCGGGTTGTTGCGCCGGCACGCCTCGACGAGAATCTCTTTGGCGGAGGCGCCCTGTGTGGTGGGGGTTTGATCTTGAGTATTTCTTCAACTCTATTTTGCGTACTCGCCAAAACGTGGGAGCAGCTTCAACGAACCTCATGTTCCTCTTCTTTGCCTGCCATGGTTCAAGCCGTCGTACGCTGTGCTCCGTCGAAGCTGAGGTGGACGACGACGACGAGTGGCGGCGCGGCTACAACGGCAGCAGAAACGGGGAGATGACAGGTACACCCGCCGAAGGTTTGGTTTCGGGGGGCGAAAACACTACACGCGCAAACTTCTCTACTGGGCAAAGAGAATGCGGACGAGAGAAAAAACAAGTCAGTCAGGGGCGCAAGATATATTGACTGTCGCAGAGACGCGCGGTAGCTTCAAGCAGTGTGTATGGTTGTCACTCTACAGAGCTGGCCAGGAGGTGGCAGAGTGTCTAGGTGTGGCACCCGACGTCAGGCAGCGCCGCAGAACCCCGTCAGCGCGAGCGTTTACTTGGTATTTACGACGTATTACCTGCACTGGGTTCCTGGTACGAAAGTCGACAGGGGTCGTTAGGTTGCAGATGGCCGCGATGTTCGGTCCACCCGCGCCGGGGAGGGGGGGGGGGGGGGGGGGGGGCTAGTGCTGCAAGCCTGTTCCCTATTTTAGCGACCGTAGATATGGTTTCGGTGGGTTCCGGCAGCAATGTTTCAGGCTGAGGTGATGTCAACGCCTCACCAACCCGAAATCCGTTACGGCGCTCCAAAGGCTCAACTTGCCAGGCTGACAAAGAGAGAATTCGCCATTAAATCTGAGCTTCACCGAGTCAGCAGGCATAGTTGGGCATTTTATATATTCTCTCAGGGTTTAGATGCTTTGTCAAAGCTTCTTAAGATTTTACGTTTCTCTGGAGGAGGCGGCGGGGTACCTGGAAAATTCTCCAAGTTTACCTCGCTGAGTCGCCAAACGCGACTTCCTCATCTCATCAATAATTTGAGAACCCGTGATAAGGCGCTTCTCGATTCTAAAAATTCCAGGCCAGAGCTGTAATCCACTCCCGAGCCAGTGACGGCCACAACCCATCTTTAAACCTCAGGCTTGATTATAAGCAGAACGCCAAGATGCCAATCCTATGTAAATATGACCGCCTACTTTTACTACTCTCATACCCGAAACTAACCTCGATCCCAGTCTGCCCATACTGCGCCAACCTTCTCATCCTTTCCCGGATGGACACGGGCGGCAACAGGCTCGAGTGCAGGACGTGTCCGTATGAGCTTCCCATCGACGACAAGAACATCTACTACTCGCGAAAGACATTCCCGCACAAAGAAAAAGAAGACGTATTCGGCGGGCCAGGGGCATGGGACAATGCTCAGAAAGGTCGTGTCCAGTGTACCATGGCAAATTGCAATGGCTTCGAAGCTGCCTTCTTCCAAGTACAAATTCGCAGCGCCGATGAGCCTATGACGACCTTTTACAAGGTAATGAGATCTCGCTACGCCCTGACGTCTCCATCTCTTAGCTCTCTCTGATACTCTGCCTGACGAGAAGATCAATAGCTGACAAGTGATGTGCAGTGCATGACGTGTGGAAGCCGGTGGAGAGAAAACTGAAGGGGGGTCGATGTATAAGCAAAAGGGAAAATCTGGGTAGCAGGCTCAACAAAAGGGACGGAAGACGTAACATGGCGAGGCGTTGACTAGATGCTTTTTTCTTTATTTTTCGGATCTATCCGACAGACTTTACGCTTTTCAACAGTCATTGAATACCACGCCTCGGCCGCGGCTTATTAGGAGGTCTCTATAAGGACAAGAACACCTTTCCGACCCCCGAACATGGCGCCATAACGGCCACTTATTCACTTCCGTGCGAAGTTGGTAGCCGCAAATATTTGAGTAAGGACATTGTCATGAGAATCATTTCCCCGTCTTTAAACGCCTTTCCGTGACATGGACGATATGTCCTGAGGCCTCCCTCGAAACAATTACTTCATGCTACCGCCCAAATACTTACACCCACTCTCATGAATCCGCTACCGAGTTGGAGTCCGCTACCGTATGGGAGTCCTCGTTCGAGTTCCATGCCGGGGTGGAGACATCTGCTGGGGTGGAGTAATCCATCGAGTAAGAATTGAGATCCTTTGCCTTGTTGGCCTATATTGCCAAGGGCGTGGCATTATTTTAGGCGTCCTCCCTCAAGGCTTTGTTTCGGTCTCTTGATGCCACTCTACCCCGGCCTTCATGCCCTCGGCAATGAGCTGGTGGACGAGCTCCGGGGAAATGATGTTCTCGCGGAATCTCTCCTCCTGGAGGAGCTGGAGATGCTTCAAAGTGGGGCCCGGGTAAGTCAGGTACTTAAGGTAGGGCGGGCGAGCCCAGTACAGCAAGTACTTGAGATAGGCGACGAAGCGAGGATCAGTGAGAAACTTGCGGGTCGCGAGATGGTTCAAGTACTGAGGGTTGCCAAGCGACTGGACAAACTGGACAGAGTATAATGTTAGACAGAGGACACAGGACGAAACAAAATAAAATGAAAGGAAAGAAAGTGCCTACCTCGAGTTCTAGCTCGAAACGAGTGTAGCCACCGTATTTGGGCTCATCCTGATTGGCTCCGGGCTCAGCGGGCGGCTCTTTGGTTGAGCTGTCGACTGACATTGGGCCGGAAGCCATTTTCGAGTTGAGTTGTGTGCCTTGTATTTTGTGTATTAGGTTTCCTTTCTGGTGACGTGACTGTGCAACAATCGTGTTCTCGTTTTGTAGATAGATGAATTGAAGGTTGGAAATGTGTTTATGGTTGACGGATCGTGAAATAAGGCTGAGACAGTGAGAGAGCTGAAAGAACCCTGATGAACTGCCTGCCAACTGTGGGACACGACCCACTGGCAGGGCGTTGACGCTGGCCCGTGCGGCCCCCCCACTACCGGCTGCTAGGTGGCCGCCCACCACCGTGAGACGGCACACAGCCTAATTTATTTTGCATGTCTCCATTCCGTTGTTTGTCCAAACCAAACACTTGGAGAGGCATGAGATGTATTAGCGCATTCTTTCTTTCCATGTTTGCTTTTCTGTTTACATGAACAGAAGGACATCTGGCCTCGTGGAAGCACATTCTTCTTCACTCGTGTGATAATAATTCGAGAACTACAGTGCCGCCCAGACACACTGCCACGTCGTTCGCATCTCCGACTCCCACACTTCGTTTACATCTCAGGGCCAAGGTCAAGGACTCGACATGACGTCCGGAAACACGACAGTCGACGTCACCGATGGGCTATCAAACTCAACCCATGATGCGGCACCCGCCCCATTTGCTCTTGGCATGCTAGTTCAGCCAAGCTTTCTTCTATTTGAAGCCCAGGTGATCCTCAGTGCCTTGGGCATTATTTGGATTGGCGCCCATGGCTCACTCCGCCGCCCGCCGTCTGCCGCGCTAGCGAAGCGCGATGTGAACGGCAAGAAGCCAAAGGATGACCAGTTTACCGAGGGGTTTGCTGCGTCGGATGCCATCATGCTTCCCATCATGGCTGGCGCCGTTCTTATCGGTCTATACTACCTCATCGAGTGGCTCCAAGAGCCTGACATCCTGAATCGGATTCTACGTGTATACATGTCGACCATCTCCATCGCAAGCTTGGGTAGGCTTTCCATGGATGCCTTGGAAATCCTCACCAGCCTGGTGTTTCCAACTATATGGGCAGATCGCAGCGGCAGAATCTACCGCATCGATCCCGTCCGCCGCTGTCAGTTCCTGACCTACCCCAATGAAGAGGACTCCGAGATCCTGGCCGAGGGAAAGCAAACTCCGTTCCCTGGGCCCTTGTCAAATCTGCGGCTCTCGGACCGTGCAAGCCAGATTGTGTGGGAAATCCGTCACCTCTTCACCGAGGAATGGACAGCCCGGCTGGCGATGCACGGCCTAATTCATGTTAATTTCAACCTGAAGCTCAATAATCTGCTTGGTTTTGTTGTCTCCATCGGGATTGCCATTGTCTACTATTTGGCGGGTTGGCACGTTTTGTCCAACCTTCTAGGCTCTGCCTTCAGCTACACTGCGTTTGCCCTGATGTCTCCCACCTCTTTTGCTATTGGAACCATGGTCCTGGTTGGTCTCTTTGTATATGACATAGTCATGGTCTTTTACACGTGAGTTTTTCCGCACCTCTCTTCCCCGCACTTTCTCTCGGATTTCGCGACTGACCTAGACACTCAGCCCTTTCATGATCGCGGTGGCAACAAAAATTGATGCTCCCATAAAGCTGGTCTTTCGGGGTACTAAGGGTGTCAGTATGCTTGGCCTTGGAGACATCGTTATTCCCGGCCTGCTCATAGGACTGGCCCTTCGATTCGACCTGCACCGTTCTTATCAAACAAGGATCAAACTCGAGCCAGTCCAGTTGACGTCCGAGCTTACATCTAGTTCGCCGGGAGAGACAATCAAGACGACCGAAACACAATATCGACAAGTGAAAGCTATCTACGTCGATTCTCGAAGCCAGTGGGGAAACAGATTCTGGACTACCAAGCTCGGACGAACTTCACCTATCCCAGCGGCGACTTCAGCAACTGTCGCCACGGCTTTTCCGAAGCCCTATTTCTACGCATCCATGGTTGGCTACGCTCTCGGGATGCTCCTAACTCTGACTATGCTTTTGGTTTTTAGTCATGGGCAACCGGCACTTCTTTACTTAGTCCCGGGAGTGACTGGGTCCGTTTGGCTTACCGCCTTGGTTCGTGGTGAACTAAAGGATATATGGGAGTACACGGAAGACGGTAGCCTAGACACCAAGGATGTCATTGTTGAGTTGGATCCCAACGGCAAGATCGTGAAACAAATCGATCAAAAGAGTCCAGGGGACAAGGAACCGGCGAAGGCTGTTGAGGAGGCAGAAGGGGAGACTGAAAAAGTGAAGTCGGTAGCTGAAAGGAAGAAAAAAACCGACGACTACGAGGTTTTCCACTTCTCCATTACTGCCCCACGTCACAACGCTCCCAAAATGGAGTAGTCGGCATGAATTCCCTATGGGGACGGGGATCGGTCAAGGTGCATTTTGGGTCGGAGTTATTGGAAAAGACTACTACATGGTGCAGGAAGCAGATACATGTACGTACAAAATAATTCCATTTGTTATTCACCGTCATTAGATGTATCAACTCGGACGCACGAGTCAACCAATCTTGCCCACGGCATCCTCAAATGGGTTGCTTCAGGGTTCTCTCAGAGGGACAGTGAAAACAAGCCCGACAAGACACGGAATAGGGTAAGGGGGCTTCCCATGTGTAACGGGAAAACGTAGAGATGGCTGAGAATATGTATTTATGGAATTTATGGAATTTATGGGATGTAAAAATACTACCTACGTGTTTCGGCTCAACTGCTATCTATTGATACGCAGGACGGGACGAACCGTCAACTAGATCTGCGTATTGGGACACAAGGCCACTTTTCCCCCCTTTTCCCTAACGGTTCGGCTTCGGACGCCTCAAGCTGTCACAGTTCTTGATCTTCCTTCCACCTCCACCCCTCCCTTTTGCTAGCACGGGGACTGATTATTGTTTCTTTGGCAAGGAGTGTAACTAGAACTAGCAATCCTCTCTCATCGGTGGAAATCAAGATAACATGGAGAGGAGGAAGCGGGCAAGGCGTGAATTTCGGAGTAAGTTGATACCTACCTTATGTATTCGTACTGTATGGATATGACAAGCCCCTATGCTGCCAGAACCTTGAATTCACGGGCTCGGCCGCCTGCCGCTGCTGACTGGCCACCCCCCAAGAGACAAAATACAAGGTGGTTAGCTTCGGAGTCCTTCTATCACGTCGCCTAGCACATCCGCTGTAAAATGCATGCGGCGTGGGACAGAACCCCAATTAGGCTGCCCGAGGTGTTCACCAAATCTCGATTGGACCGATTGGCAATGCATGAATAGATCCGCTCATGCAGAATCCGAATCCGGCCCATTCACCACAAGCAACGAAACCTAGACATGTCAAGGCAACAGCAACAGGCTGCAAAAGGCAAACCAACCAACAAGAGAAATGGCGGCGGCAACGACAAGCAGCAACACCAAGCCTGTCCTCGTCCAGTGGATCCTCGACACTCGGACCTGGTGGCCCGAAGCCACTGAGACGCGGCTCCTCGAGACCCATGTAAGTCCATGCCAAAAGGCAAAGCTTCTAACCCCTTTTCGCCCTTGCCCCTCTCCCCTACCCCTTTCTTTTTCGCACCCGAACAAGGCGACCGGCAGTCAGCCTAGCAACCGATGCGATGTGATGCGATACCACGACCATGGCCATGAGCCCTTGGCTGACCACACCGGCCACCCCCCCGCAGGCCTCGCGCACGCTGGCCTTGCTGACCGAGGCCGAGCGGACCGGGGTGTTGCGGTACTACCACGTGCGCGATGCCAAGATGGCGGCGGCTTCGGCGCTGCTCAAGCACTACGCCGTAGCGCGGCTCGCCGGCGCGACGTGGCCCGAGGCGGCCGTCATGACGCGCGACGCGCGCACCAAGCCCGTGTGGCGCCACCCGGCCACGGGCGCCGAGCCCGTCGCCTTCAACGTCAGCCACCAGGCCGGCATCGTTGCGCTGGTCGCCGTCGCCCACTGGCCCGGCCCGGGCCCCGTCGACGTCGGCGTCGACGTCGTGTGCACCTCGGAGCGCCGCGACCGCGACCTGCAGCTGCTCCTGCGCGAGCCCGCCCACGGCTGGCCCCACTTCGTCGACATGCACGCCGACGTCTTTGCCCCCGGCGAGGCTGCCTACCTCAAGTACCAGATCCCGAGCCCCGCCGCTGCAGCTGCGGCTGCAGCTACTTTGAGCACCCCCGAGCACGTCGCCGACGCCCGCCTGCGTGCCTTTTACGCCCTGTGGGCCCTGCGCGAGGCCTACGTCAAGCTGACCGGCGACGCCCTGCTGGCGGCCTGGCTGCGCGAGCTCGAGTTCCGTGCCTTCCGCGCGCCGCGCCCGACGCCCGCGTGGACGGTTCCAGCGCGAGAGGATGGCGCCGGCTACAGTGACAGTGACGACGCGCAAGTCATTAACAGCATCGACATCCGCTTCCGCGGGAAGAAGGTCGACGACGTCAACATTAACCTGCGGTCCATGGGGCCCGACTTTATGATCTGCACCGCGGTGCGCACGCCAGAGACCAAGGCCACGGCGCTGGGGTGGAGGCTTGGCCCTTACGAGATCCTAGCCCTGGACGAGGTGCTCAGCTTTGCCGAGTCTGCAAACACATGAGTGACGGGCCAGATACGAGATAGTTGTATTATATTTCGTCTGCTTCAATAAGACTTGCGGCCTTGAGGAGGGACTTCCACAGTTAGATTTGTCACGAAAGTGAAACGGCTCATACCCATCACCAACACAGACATTTGCCGCGGTATAGCAAAAAGTCAAACAATTGAACGGCACCGACATATAAGAGTGAATGAGATTCACAGATGCTTTTTATAACATCGTAAACACAATATACTACGACCAAAACCTGCGTAGAGACCATTAAATGCGAAAGCAGCCCATCTCATAAATCCTACTAAAATAGGGTTATATAGGGTTATAAATGTCCCAGAGAGCGAAACCCCGCGAGGCTATACACGCTAGGCGTATCTCTAAGCCAGTTCTAGTTAATGACAGGTGATGTAACGCGAAATCCAAAACCACATGTTTCAACCTTTGGGCCAAGGCAGTCTTGCAATGCCCAGTGACCAGAACAATCCCCAAGCCAACCGCTACAGCGGGCACAACACCATATCCCGACATTTCTCAGACCTTCTGGAACGGACAAATAAAGCAGATCAAGGCGGCGGGGGCGCATAGTAAGGATAATAACCACCGGCAGGCGCAAAGTTCATCATACTGGGCAACGCCCCAAACATTACAGTCGACGGCGCCTAACCGTCGTGCTGAAGAGGGGCTCCCCAATGACGTTCTTGAGCAGGGAGGGGATATCGTCCACGAAACGCTCCTCCTATTCCCCTTGTCGAAGCTTCTGAGCCAGTGTAATAGCCACCTTGCTGTCTGCCTTGATATCCGGAATTGGTGTGGCCGTTGCGACCTCTGCGGCCAAAGCCACCTCCACGAGGAGGGCCTCCTCGGAAAGGATCGCTCGTCCAATTGGCTGGTGGGATGGATGGGACGCCCTGTGACTTGTCGCTCGTCTGCTGGGCCCCCCTGTCCTTCCATCCATCTTGGCCCTCCTGTTCTTCAAAAGGTTTGCTCTCGCTTCCCGACGGGCCGGTGAGCTGGCGTCCGCCTCTACGCTTGGGGTACGGCCGCTTGTTCTGCCTCACTGGTTTGCTGTCGACTGAGAATTCGATGCGCTTCACAGGGTCCGTGACCATGATGTTGTCCTCCAGACCCGCGGCCCTGAGCTCTTCCTCGGACGCCGTCCATGCCTGGAATACGTTCTCAAGCTTTTCCAACTTGTCGACCTCTGGAACCCAAGCTCGAACATATTTTCCCTCCTTGTCGTAGTCGAATGCCTGTTTGACTGGGTTGAAAATGCGCATCTCACCACGGGGATCGTTGCCCACTCCGGACACATACTGCCAGTTGGCCCAGTTGGATGACACGTCGTAGTCAACCAGCAGCATCTCGTACCATTCGGCTCCGTACCTCCAGTCAATGCCAAGATGTTTGGCAAGGAAACTGGCCACATTTTGACGCGCTCGATTGGAAGTGTAGCCGGTTTGGATCAATTCCCTCTGTGAGGCGTCGATCAAGCCCATGCCCGTCGTTCCTGCCATGAATCGTTGCAAGATGCTGGAAATCTCACCCGGCCCGGGATTCTGATCCGGCGATGCTTGTTCAACCACGGCAGACTTCCATTTCGGCTTCTTCTCATCGTCCTTGTACCCGTCCTTGAAGCCCTCGAGGCGGAAGAGCTTGTGCTTGAATTTCTGATGGCAAAGCCGCATGTAGTCTCGCCATAATAGCTCAAATCGGATGGCAGCAGTTCCATCGTTCTGACCTGCGCCGTACCCCTCAGCCTGTTCAAATGTGCTGTCTGTGCCATCCTCGTAGCTAAGAAGGACGTGATGGATCTGACGTGCGGTGATACAGCCCTGTGCCAGGTAAGCCGACAGCTTTGTGCTGAACTCGGTCCCAATAAGGCCGTTTCGAGTGTCCTTGTAGTTTTTCATGCCCTCAGACTTGATGAGATGGCTCAGTCGTGCATGGGCCGCAGTCTCGCCGCCCTCGAAGGGGTGAGCTGACTCGGCCTTTTCTAGAAACCTAGGGACGCTAGGAAGAAAGTTCTTCACCGGTCTAGTTAACGCCTCGACAAGCCCTTCGAGGGTCTCCGGGATGCTAAACGGCGGAGTTTGTGAAGGAATCACAGATAAGTCAAGGATCGGGGGCAAAGATGCGTTTTCCGGCCTTGGCAGGACGGCCCTTGGCTTCTCCCTGAGAGGTTCAACAGATTTCCGATATGTCGTAAAGACATCTGGCAAGTCTTGCGGTTTATCAATGCTGACATCTCGACTTGGATTCACTCGTTAGCATTCTCGAGAAAATGTCCACCGGAGGGTGCCTCATGACTTACTCATCGATAAAGTACTTCTCATCCACCCACAGTTTGAAATCAGCGCCCTTACCGTCGCACAAGGCTGACACAGCCTGTTCGTCGAACTTTTCTTCTGTACCTTCTTGGCTCACCATCCAGACACCGCCCACATTCTGGTGTTTCTCGGCCAGCCCTTCAACCAGGCTTCGAACGACATCGGCTACCATTCCCACTCGGATGACCAGGCCACTACCAACAGACTCGAGTGATTTCTTGAGATCCCAGACGGCCTCGGCCATGAACTTGGCTCGATGGAGCCCACATCTCCAGTATCCGCCTACCGAGCTCCGGGCCTCGGGGTATGGGTTTTTGCCGCCGTCTCGGATGAAGCCGGATAGCTCTGTTTGGTTGGCAGGGAAAACATAGACGGGCAACAGGTGAGTGAATCCATGGTCCGTGGCACTGACGAGATGGTTGAGTACAGGATTGTCTGCGATGCGAATGTCTCGACGCAGGAGATATATCAGGATCTTGGTTGGAGCCGACATGGCGACGTGGTGACTGACCTCTGGGCTGCCGATGACGTGACCTGGGGATCGACCTGGAGGCTCTGAGGGGGTGGTTATGTTGAGTGTCCTGCCTTTTCAGTTCGGCTCCGATTGGACTGTTGTTCCTTTAGCACGCCGAAGCAATAATTATCGGCGAAGGCGAGGCGCAAAGTTGGGTTATATATCTCTAAAAATGAAGTCCTAGACGAGGCAGCGGGCCGAGACTCGACTAGCAACACCTGGTAGCTGATGCTTGGGTGTCGCTTTCTGGAATCACGGACGTGTCATGAAGGGGGAAACAGCTGTGAGCAAGGGGGGACACAGTCTCAAGTCTGTATCCAAGAGGAAATAATGCCCCCCTAAGGACGGAGACGAAGCACTTGGCGGAAGGCCCTCGCGTGGTATTAAGTTCGAGCTGCCCAAGGTGGATAGGTGTGGGAAGAAGCTCTAGACTAGTGAGGGGGCGGAAGGCCGCGCCTTCATATAGACGCCGTTGACCACGCCTGGCCGCTTTCCTAGTGAAGCATACCCGGTCTGGGGGAAAAGGATTTAGAAATTGCGTGACGGATAACAAGGAGGGACGAGAGTAGCCGGGCGTTCAGAGAGGCTGCGACACGCAGGTAGGTCGGTGAACCTTGGAGGCCAGGCTTGACCATTGAGATAAGCGCCGTCCGAGAAGCCCAAGACGTGATGTGATGATGGACGTCGTCTCGCATACGGTTCCTATGGAATTGTCTGGCGAGGGAGAGTGACGAGCGGTTTGCGGAGGACGAAGGACCCTTGGGACCCCCGGGGGAGTGCCAAGCATGCCCGTCCAGCAAGCAAGAACCCGTCCATCTGGCTGCACTAATTTAGCCCAACAATAAACCTTGGTCTGCAAGATTGTGGATCCGGGAACATGCCAGGCTAGCGGGATCATCTATCCTCCTGCAGTCCAAGGCAAGGTAAGGTAGGCAGTGAAGTAGCCTCAAGATTGGGGTTGAGGCAGGCACGGGCTGTCGTAGAGTCGTTACGGAATCTACCTTTGTTTCTCGTGGACCCGCTCGCTTGCCTTCTCGACTCTTGGTTGGTGCAACCACCGTCTTTCCCAGTCCCAAGGCGAGGTCAGAGGCTGCTGGTGCCTTGGAAGCCGCCTGCTCGGCGACTCCTCTCTGTTGCTTTTGTGGGCATTTTCCGTGATGCGTACTGCGGCTGCGGCTGCGGCATGTGATTCCCAAGCGGGAAATAATGTGGCCTGTGCTTTGCGATCTCATCTTTTCGATCTTGATGGGTGTGAGTCTTCACGGCGATCGGACCAATACCGATCCTGCATTTGTCTGCTGGCCTGACCAATGACCAACAATTCGGCTGACAAGGGGCAGTCCGCCAGTGTCCCCGAAGGAAAGGGACGACTAACCCTGGTCATCGATTCCGGACCGAAAAAGAGGAAGCGACGACAGCCCCAAATCCAGTGTAGGTCAGCTTGAAGTTTGACTTTGAGTCGCTGCGAAAGGAACCCTATCCCATCTTTTCTCCGCTAGAAATGTCCAATTCATTTTGTCCAATTCATTGGGCAAACATATATTGGCCTTCCAACGCTACTGCAGCTTGCCATCTCAAGAAGCCCAGATGTCTTCGGCCAGCAGATGTTGTGTCACCGTATTGCGCAAGGTTCTCATGCCGACAGGCGACCCTACTTGCATTCAAAGTTGCCCCTTAACCCGGATTTTCCTACAAAGGGGGGAACACAAAAACGCCTCAATGTCATCCTCTGACGCCGTAAACGAATGTCTATCTTTCTTCTATCTGTGTTTCCTTCACCCCTTTTTTTCTTTCTATGTCTCTTGTCAGATTATTGAAGGCGATTATCAACTCAAACTCTCCCCGCCTTCGGTTCCAATTGGCGCTTTCCTTTCGAAAGGCCACTGGCTCGCCCCATCCGCTCGCCTTATCCATGTGGCAGCCTTGCACAAGACAACCAGTTTTCGAACGTAGCCCATCCACATTTCCGTCATTTCACCGATCGGCGGCAGGGTGCGTTTGGGAGATCATCTCTAGTACCGAGTTCACAAAAACAGAACACCATTTGAGCAAGGGCAATGCGATAGAATCTATTGGCAGAATCTTCCACTTTTCGAGTCGCCAATTCCAAGTTGCACAGTCCAAAATCAGAGTTGCATAACCGCAGTCCTCAACAGGTACTACTGTTATTCACATTTATTGCACTCCACTATCCGGCGTTCTCACGCATCATTCCGGCCATTCTCGAACGTGGAACTGCAAATCCGTTCTGTCACTCGCATAATCCCAAAATGAGCCATGCTTCTAGCAATGGCCTGGCGGCAGTTTACGGAAGCCAAATATACATTGGCAACCTGCTCTATGGCCAAGCGGCATCTAGATACGACCTTTTATTATTCCTGAGATAATACACCTGATATCTCATCGAGGCTATTCACAGCACAAATCTCCGAAAATATTCAGGCAATCAACCATATTCGGATTCAAGGGTCAATTGCCTCTGATATATTGGCAAAGACATTATCCTGTTTTCGCCATCGAGACCAGAGGTTTATTGCCACTAGACTCTGGGATTCTCTAGGGCCTAGGAAGACCCTTTTCGCCAATACACGGACTTCATTGGCTCCCTGACTTTCGTTCTTAGGTATCTGGACGGGCCACTGCGAGTTAAGGTTCCCGCCCAATCAGATGACTCGATGCATGTGTGAACTTGCCCCAAGCCTCTTCATGCGTTAGATTTGCCCATCGCCCTGTTTACCCTGCATGCTTGTCAAGATCCACGTCGACACGATAAATTCTCGCGATCGTAGATCGGGAGGGCTTTTGTTTTTGTCCCTTTTCCTTTTCCTTGCAACCTCTACAACAGACCCTACAATTCTCTACATGGCAGAGCCCAGCTCAGCCGTTTCCTCTATAGCACTGGGAAAATGTCGGTGAAGTTTTGGATTCGAGGTCTGAGTTAGCTTTGCTACGCATGGGCGATTGGACCGCCATTACCTACAACTCTCCGACATAGCACAGCACAGCAACACACGTGGCATCACTTGTAACATGGAAACTCCGGCGGTCACTGAGACTGCTTGACCCGATGCAGTCTCAACCTGATGCTGTGTTCCTCTGAGACATGTTGGCGTAGTCCCTGGATTATGCCGAGCGCCTTCACAAGTTCGGTCATCTATCCGCCCCACCCCCCTTTTCATTTTGGCGTATTACACTTTCCCGCCCCAGTGATCCCTAGACCTGGCTTCTATCCTGAGGATCACAAAACCTCTTGTCTACTGGAAGTGACATCATTTTGTTTCAGACCCTTCGCGCTTCAAAGCGCCGAGCAAGTCACCCATCTGTGCATGTCGTGTCTAGAAATGCTGCACGTGGTCTGGCATCGTACAGCTTGGATTCAGAGATGCCTTGGCTTTCTCGTGTTCCAGATCCCTTCTATTATATTAGTGACGTCGACATCCTGCTCATACCATGCCCGAACTCTTTCGGAAGCAGAGAAGAACTGCCGCCGTGTTGATCATCGAGTAGCCGACATTCTATGTCAATCTGCCGATATCGCCAAACCACCGACATGCAAGTGTCACGCAGTTTGCTCCTGGAAGGCGGTGCAACGCTATATAGAGGGTAGAGTAGCCTCAGGAGGACAACCCGGGGTAAGTACATAGGCAATGAAGAGGAACTGATAGAGAAAGTGACCATGTGTCGGGAGGATGCGTGGCTCACCGGTTTGCCCCCGGACAGGTCTTGGAACACCCAGCCCACATTCGCGCCTCCTATCCTGATTGATCACGGACTGGCAAACACGATACGCTGCTTAACAAGTGAAGCTTTGCCAATCTAACAGGCATTCACTCGCCTGACTATCTACCTGGGTAGGCTTAATTCTGAGTAGGAGAGATAATCCAGGGCTGGACCATATTTTATTGTTTATTGGGCTAACAGATTCTATCACTTTTGCCCCTGTCCGGTAAAATACTCGTAGTGGCCCACCCTGCTTGGACAATGGTCGGAGGGGACCTTGGCGAGGTTATACAAGGTGCTCTACTGAACCGGCGATAAGTTACGGTAGGTCTAGTCTCTTTCAAGTAGGAATAACACCATGGGCTTTATTGTCTCTGAAGAGGGACTCACTACAAATCTAGCCGCGCACGATAAAAGACGTTAGGGCGGTTAAATCCCAACGTTCACTAAACAAAAATAGAGATAACAGTCTATGCCACGACAGGGAGTTTATTTGCATGCGTTGTGCTGCGGCCGGTTTCGTGATTTGGAGCGCCTAGATAACACTGTGTTTGTGAGCAGAGGATATCGGCCACGGTAGGCAAGGGAATAGAGGGGACCGTTTGTAAAGTTTAGACTCGCAGCAAGCCTCTCGGTAGTACGTTGGTAGAGGTAGAAGATAGGAAATAAAAAATACCCTTCGGGTGGCATGGTTGCGGACTCTACTCACCGAATACCAAACCAAGGTAGGATGTGCCTGAACAATAAAAGCCCTCGAAGGGCTATCAAGCTGAAGTAGTTGAGTTGACTAATTGCCGTATTGACCTTCAGATGTTTGAGACGTGCTATTAATCCCAAACTCACGGGGCTCGGGTCCTTCTAATGGAGAGATGATGCCATGCGCCGATCGGTCCCGCAAGTTACCTGAAGTAACAGAGACAACCCGTGTGCTTTTCGTTGAAACTTTTTGGCCCCCAGTCATATTGGGCAAGGCAATTGCCTAGTTAGTTAGGTCAGCTAGATGAGTTCGTTACATTGTAGCATGACCGGCTTGGACGATTCTTCCTCGCCCATACCTTGGGTTAGGCCAGATACCTCCTACCTTGGTCCACGCCAGTGTAAACCCGGGCCGGGAGCAAAACATGGGGACTGGTATGGCTGCCATCTCTCGTTCAGGGAAGTTCTCGACATAAAATATTAGATTCGGGTTTAGTATGTACGATAGGTTATCGATGAGCGGCACAGGGGGTCAGAAATATGGTGTCCACTTGTAACAGTCCTCTAAATCGAACGAGATGATGGATAACCACGAAAAAACCTCGTCGGAGTTCTGAGAAGCCCAACCATGAGAAAGAATGTGTGACACTGCCACTGTGCAATGCGATAGAATCGAAGAATGGTAGGAAACAATATCGAAATAGATAGGTTCCTTGCCATGTGCTCCACCCCATGAACACCATCAAGGCTTTTATATGTGTAGGCATCTCTCTCGGGGACCGCAAGAACACAGGTATATCACCTTACCCGGTTTTTCGTTTATAACAGACTACAAACTTCTCAGGCCTCAATCATCTGCGTCTCCTTTTTTTTTATTTCAAGAAAAACACTGTTATACTTGAGCAGGCTCATCCGAACTCCTTTCTAGGTGTGCGCCCCTCAAGACCTTCTGGCCTCTATTTCTTTTATGGAAATAATCGTCAACTCTGCACGTCTTGACGCAGTTGTAGGAGTCAGCTGATATTGCCACATTTGAAGCATGAATTTTGCGAGTTCTAATGACGATGTGACCAAAGGCATGGCTCTGCGGTGATCATACTCACAAGTGCATTCTTGGGGTGCTGTGCTACAGTATGGCAACCAGAGAGTTCACCAGGCCATTACGATCACCCGCAGCATACCGTCCACAAACAGACGGATGAACAGAACGGCCTAACCAGATCCTCGAGACCTATCTCAAGATGCAGTCAACTTTGAGCCAGATGGCTTGGGATGACCTTCTGCCGAGTTCGCAGTTCGGTTACAACTAGATGTGAATTCTTTTGATATGCCGAGATATCGAGACTGAACAAGTAGACAACCAGAACAAATTGCAAGAGACAAGTGCTTGCAGTCCTCTATAAACAGGCCCGTCTCCCAGATCGGGGTATCACCGTAAAGTCATTGGCTCCCCCTATGTCTAATGTTACAGCAGGAAGCTAAGAACCTCATTTCTCTAAAGATAGATAATCGAAGGGTTTAAACAAGAAAAAACGAAAAATAAATCGCAGGAGAAAAAAAACCAACGCCCTTAATGCTGTGGTTATGCCTCAATGATATTTGCGACTAACTCACGAGTCAATTAGGTGGGTTCTGGCCCAAAGAGTCAAACGATGGATTCAGAAGCGAGCGTTTTCGTCGAGACCGGAGCCTTTCCATTTGCCATGGCTCGCCTTCCCGTCCTTGCCGCTCCCGCCAACAAACAAGGCCTTGGCGACAACGGCAACATTGCCGGTTCTGGCCTCTTCGACCGAGGCATCAACAAAGGACTTGTAGTGGCGCTTCCCGCGGTCCTCTTCAGGGAGCTCGTCGTCGGGCACGGGGCGGACGCGGACGAGGTAGAAGTTGTCGGAGCGCGTGGGGCGGATATAGGCCAGCTTTAGGTTTGCTGTCATGCCGGACATGCCACCCCACTGTTTGAAGGCAGCACGGCCGCAGCTCTCGTCGAGGATTGTGGCGATGGCGCCGCCGTGGACGACACCGGGCCACCCTGTGATGGAGTGGCCAAAGTAAATGACACTCGTCAGCTCTCCAGTTGAAGCCTTGTAAAAGATGCGCTGGTAGCCGCCGACGCCGCGCGACCCGCCCATAGCGCCGGCCGCGATGTGCTGGGCCCTGTGCTCAGGCGTGAGCGTGTTGTAGGCATCCCACGACTCCCAGGCCGGGTCGGCGCTCAGGGTCTGGAAGACGGGCAGCTTCTCGGCCTCCTTGTGCAGAATCTCGGTCGTTATCCTGTCCTTTTCCGTGCCAGGGACGGCGGGATCTGGGGGGTGGACGACAACGCGCAGGACGGAGCCGGCGACGGTACCGACGAGGAGGAAGGTGGCGGCAAATATAAGACGTCTAACTGCCCTTCCAGTTTTGGGCTTGGGCTTGGAGGCGACGATGGGGCTTTGTGGTTCGGCGACGACGGCGGGTGGGGGTGGCAGGTGATGTCTCGTATCTGGACCGTGACGATCTGGGCGATCTTGGTTTCGTGTGGCCGACGTCGACAGGGCTTGGAGGCGTGGGCGGCTGGATTGTATCCGCGCTTGTATTTGCTGGTGCGCAGACAGCCGCGTCAGCGCTGGCCGGAGCCCTTGATAGCGTACCAGCAGCCGCAAAATATCGTGGTGCCGTATCCGGACGGTCATAGTCGCGATTCTCAGGGAGCGGGAGCTAAAGGGGCGGTTGCGAAACGGCGCACGATGTCAAAGTCCATCCCTCCGCTTGTGGTTCAGGTATCTATTCCGTACGCACTAACGTGGTGGCACCTTCTCGCCCGCTAAGGCGCTGACAGGTCGCTATAGCCTGTGAGTGCGGCCACTGAATGTGAAAGGGCGCGCCAAGACCCCCATGAACCGAGGAATGCCTTAGGCCCGCAATCTTGACCCCATTGACCAATTAGGTACGAATACCTACCAACGTACCTGGTTCCGGAGATACGTGGGGGCGGATACCGCGGCTTCCCCTTCCTTCCCACTGGGCCACTACGTCTCGGAGCCAGGGACGGCCGATTTAACTTGATCTAGTTGGTCTGTCAATCGGCCGTCGATCCGAACCGACGACTCTCGCTGTCTCCGATCAGCGATCTTAAGCACATCTTGGCGACGGGGATGTGGCGGGCAGATCGGACGAACCCCAGGGCGTTCCGTTGAATCGGCGGGGAAGAACATGATGATAAAGCAACGACTCATCATCAGGCATTTAATGACCTACCTTAGCCTCTTTCTTCGTACCAAGGCAAGGCAGGGCAAGGAAAGGCAAGACATTCTGTCCTGACCCAAGTCCTGGTCTGTGTGGTAAAGGACTCCGTTCCTACCTTACCTACCAGGCATACAAGGATAGGTACCCGTACCTTATCCAGCTAAAGTTTTGATCTCTACCGAATTAACTTTCTGGTCTCCCCTCGTCCCATGTTTTTCCCGTAGATGTCCCACTCGGGATTCAGCTGCCTGCCCTGTCATGACATCAGGATGCAGCCGGATTGGCCTCTTCCGGCCACGTCCTCGGTTTATCTCTCGGCACCCAGCCCGGGCTGGAGTGCCCAGGACCCCAGTACTTGGTGCTCACGGGCGTCATATCGCCTACTAGCGCTTGACTGCGAAGCTGCTGCACTTGCGCTTGGCCAGTGGTGCCTTCCTTTCCTGGGGCTAGCTCTTCTTGCTTCTTGCTTCTTGCCTCTTGCTTGATCTTTTGTTTGTTAGCATGTATGCTTAAGGTAGTACTCTGTCCTCTTCTCTTCTTCCAGTCTAGGCCTGAGCTCGTTCCCTTCTGCTTCTTGCTTCCTTTGCAACTACAAACTCTCACCTGTTTTGCTCGCCCCGATTGCTGCTTGAAGTCGTTTCTGGTTGTACCATCCTTGAGTACTCCGCGCCTTTGTTACTTCTCCAGCCGCGTCAACACCAGTTCGAGCTCGGCTACACCCGCCAGTCCTTGACCGACTCTGTTGCCATGTCCTTTACAAGGTCATGAAATACTCATCATATCCGTACTGTTTCGACTTCAAGGTCGGCACCTCATATCCCAGAATAGCAGTGGAATGCATAGATATCTACTCGCAATCCCCAGACCCCACGCGCACTCCACGCGGTGGGCATTTATTTTCGTACTCTATAACGTACATCCCGGATTTTTAGCACCATGGCCTACGAATACGCCTTTGTGTAAGCCAAAACTCCGTGTCCACGGCCTTCTAACTAGTCAAGCTTCACTACGGACTGACGGGGACATTACATATCAGCCACTTAAAGTTCACGATACCCCTAGCGCTGGCGCTCAGCCTTGCAATCTATCTAGTCACAACTCGGGCTCACATATTCCAAATCGCTTCTCTCGTTGTAATCGCCTTCTCTGCGACTCTCCCATGGGACGCCTATCTGATCCGTCATGGCGTTTGGACCTACCCCGAAGAAGCCATCATCGGCCCGCGAGCATGGGGGATACCTATCGAGGAGCTATTCTTCTTCGTCATCCAGACATATATCACCTCCTGCATCTACATCCTCGCCAACAAGCCACTTATTCACGCTCTCTATCTCGGAACTCAGAGAAACCCGCCAAGCTGGATGAAGAGGGCTAAGCTCGGTGGGCAGGTGACGCTCATGGCACTAGCACTGCTTGGGGCATGTCTGATAAAGCTCGAGGGGAGGGGAACGTACCTCGGACTGATTCTCGCCTGGGCTTCTCCTTTTACATTCATAACTTGGACAGTTGCGGGACGCTTTATCCTTAGCCTACCCTGGACCTCCACCGCTCTTCCCATCGTGCTTCCCACCGTCTATCTCTGGCTCGTCGATGAGCTTGCCTTGGGAAGAGGAACCTGGTCCATCGAATCCGGAACGAAACTGGGGCTTTGTCTGTTTGGAGTCCTGGAGATGGAAGAGGCTGTCTTCTTCTTGGCAACGAATATGCTCATCGTCTTCGGCCTGGCCGTGTTTGATCAGTATCTGGCCATAATATTTGCCTTCCCGCACATCTTTCCCACTGTCACTCGCTCTCCAACGCCCCTCATGCTTGTTGAGAGTCGCTTGCTCGATTCATCAAAGTTCGACCTGGAAAGGCTGCAAGGGATTGCGGATGCAGTCCACAGGCTTAAGCGAAAGAGCAGGAGCTTCTACCTCGCCAACGCCCTCTTCTCGGGTCGTCTTCGAATTGACTTGATTCTCTTGTGCGTATTTAATCTCTGGTCACCAATTAGAGCCAGTGCTAATTAATGCTCGGTGCACAGATACTCGTTCTGTCGCGTTGCGGATGACCTTGTCGATAACGCAGTGTCCAGATCCGAGGTTTTGTCCTGGACATCAAAGTTGAAGTGCTTCCTCGATCTACGATTTAAAGAGAACGAGAGTCTGGGCCATCCACCAAGAACACTAACCCGAGACGGCCCGCGATCAGAAGTCGACTCATTTGTTGACGAAGCTTTCCTAGATTTTGCGCGATCGCCACTCTACTTGCTTCCGGCTAATGTTCTCCCTCCCGAGCCCCTATACTCCCTCATTGAAGGATTCGAAACGGATTCTCTGTTTTCCAGTACCTCGGAGGAAGAGACAATATTTCCCATTGCCGACGAGCAAGATCTAGCGAAATACGCGCACCGAGTGGCGGGCACCGTGGGCGAACTTTGTGTGGCCTTAATACTTCACCATTGCGAGCCGGAAATGGACCAAGACCGCCAAATGCGGCTTAGGTCTGCCGCGTGCCAGATGGGAGTCGCGCTGCAATACGTGAATATTGCCAGGGACATTGTGGTCGATGCTCGCATGGGTCGAGTCTACCTTCCGACCACATGGCTCAAAGAGGCCGGCTTAACTCCCAAGGCCATGATAGAGCATCCGCATGGGCCTGTCGTCGCAGGGTTAAGGCGAATTTTGCTCGACAGGGCCTTTCTGCTCTACAGGGGCGCCCGCGAGACCATGGACCTGCTGCCTTCCGAGGCAAGGGGCCCTATGGTCGCCGCCGTTGAGATGTACATGGAGATTGGCCGGGTGTTGTCGGAGACTGACGACTTTAATCTGAGGGAGGGCAAGGCAACTGTGCCGACGACCCGAAGAGTGAGGACGGCGCTAAATGCATTGTTCAAGGGGTAATGGAGAAAACGCTGGTTGGATATAGACAAGTAGGTGTAAATATGGCACCTATGCAGTGAACTCTTATCTTCAATTTGGCCTTGTTGAATAAGCATGAAATATTTAGTTTGTGTTCCAAATTTTGTGCAGCAGTCTTTTACATGAGTAGTATGTGTGTTAATACGTGTCCGGCACGCCAAGGGGGTCGAGACTCGACTTTTGAACATAAAAAAGGGGCAGTACTAAGACTTTTGAACGTTTCTGGGATAGAGCGGTCGTTGATCAGGGACTGTTGGAGGTTGAAGACAATGTAGGCGGGTTTTGCAAAAAAGAAAAAGAAACCGCCAATAGCAAGATGACAGCTGGAAATGCAGTCACTGTGATTATTCTTGCTGTGACTTGGCGCCTATTGAAGTTCAGTGGTTAGGTAGATATCCAGTAGCGGAGCAACCGTTTCTTGTCCTGTTTTCCCCCCTGTTTCAAGGTAAAGAAAAGAAGTGTGCAAAAAAGGAAAAAAACAGCACCTCCCTCGCTCATTGCAACACGATGTGTTCTACCCTCTTATAATATTAGGTGTAGCTAAAGGGGGCGTTGGCAATACCTACAGCTTCTTCGGAATAGAGCTCCCAATAGTGCAGGAAGTTCTGGAATGGGATGACGTCGCCCAAGATTGTTTAATCGGCGGTTGCTAGCAAGGTGGCTTGCGATTGGCGCTGCCTGAACTGACTGACTGGTAGGAGAGGGGCCGGGCTCGCTAGCGCCGCAACCTGGTGCGGGTGTGCTTCTTTCTAGGTTGGGCCTCCTCCCATCAAGGTCCACCCCAAAGTTGCGCCACCACCACACCTTCATTAGGTACCTACGAAGTAGGTTCGTCTTCGTGGACTACCGTCTTCGTGGAAGCTGTCACAAGCTCCACATTGGGGACGCAAGCTCCTGCATCGTCGACGTAACGCCGTCTCCGATCTGCGCGGTGCGCTTTTTCTTCCACGAATTCACCTGATCACCTTTATCTCTGCCCTCTACGCTCTAATTTATAGCCCACGAGCTTAACGCCATTAAGCTGCATCCTTACACCTGCCATCCGTCTTCGTCTGCATTTGGTCACCAACTAAGTTTGCCCGGATCCTTCTTTAGAGCCTCTGTTTTTTTTTTAAAAAAAAATATAATTATTCCATTATTTTGGTTGGGGAATCACCTGCGCCCTCGATTATCGCGGTTGCGCTTACCATTGGACCCCATGGATTTTTGGTTGTCTTCCCTTGTATAAGACCAGCAGCCCGAGCATTCCTCACCTCTATTGCTCTTCATCCGTCTGGTACAATCCGACAGAAATAAGTATGTGAGTTTATTACCAGACAAAAAAGGTGCCTGAGCGCCGACTCGAGAAAAGTGACGCCATAACTGACATCTTGACTCAGTTGTTTTGTTCCGAGGACGACCCAGCACCTACCTACATACCTAATTATTCGCCTACCTCCGACTAGAATTCAACACTCTGCATATCTTGGTGTCGATCTCCCAGAGTTGCCAAGTATAGGCAACCTGCCCAAGGCACTAAAACTTAACTAGTCTAGCTAGCGACGGAAGCTTTCGCCGTCGAATACTACCAGAGCCAAGTCGAGCGCAGTTCGGCGCATCGCATACAGCACCCTCTCTGGTCTTGGTACTGTCGGAACACATCCCTCCAGGATGGCGATCAGTCGTAAGTCTCGAGCACTCCCTTCACTCATTTATATCAAGGTTCTTATAACATCTTGAGACCACTTTCAGGGCTGACGAGGCGCAATACCAACAACAATAGACTCCGCTTTCAGTCTAATCTCCATGATCTTCCTGACCGGCTCCCTGGTCATGCTCTGGTTCGTAATCTTGTCGGGGCTGACTGCGACCTCGCCACTGAGTCAGACGTATTTCCTTCGCGCCGACACACACGGCATCACCAACTCGCGGCCCATCTCGCAATGGACCTACTTCTCCGTATGTGGTGACGGTAACACGGATTGCGGCCCCAAGTATCCAGCTCTTCCCGCAGGCTACGCCTGGTCTGGTAGCCCTTCGGGTGCGCCCGCAGAGCTGGTCGGTGACTACGGCGGCGGTACCACGAGTTTCAGTTGCTGGTACATGTGGCGCTTCGGCTGGGTCTTTTTCCTGATTGCCCTGTTCTTCGAGGTCGTCGCCTTCTTCTCCAGCTTCCTCGCGCCCTGTAGCCGTCTGGGAAGCGCAATCAGCGGCTTGATTGCGCTGTCGGCACTGGTCTTCCTCACCATTGCCGTTTCACTAATGACGTACGTTATGACTCTCTCTGATTCCCGCCCTTTTACTCCCTGAAATCCGTTTCCTATTGTCACAATATTTCCAAGACAGAAATGCTCACATGTGAATCAACAGGGCTACATTTGTCAAGATGCGTAACGCTTTTCTTGCCGACGGCCGCGACGCCTCGCTGGGAAGATATGCATTCGGCTTCAGCTGGGGTGCCTGGGCTGCGTTGCTCATTAGCACAGTCTTGTTTTGTTTGGGAAGACGTAGCACCAAGGAGGATGGCGCACCGCGACGTACCTGGGGCCGTAGGAGGGCCAGCACGCGTAGCCAGAAGTCGTACGAGGGCCGCCGGGTCAAGGAGGAGTACCCCTGAGGTGGTCGATTACCGAGACAGAGTAATGGGACGCGGTAAAGAAAAGATGGCGGTATAGTGCGGTCGGCGGCTCTCCCGAGGACTCGATGAGATAACGAACGGAAAGCAAATGACTTCGGTCTACGAAGGGTAATGAATAAGAGACTGTATGGCGTAGAACAACACCCCACAACACGATCACACGATCAAGAATGGAGTCCTACGGAGGAACTTGGAGAGATTGTAACTACTCGGCATTTGTTGTTTTGTTTGCCAAAAACATAATACCAGGAACCTTTCGTTCCCTGCCGCGGACATGACGCATAATCGTGATGAATACTTATTATCAATTATTTATAATGCATTTCTGCTTAAGATAGGCGGAGCCATGTTGTGTGCTATACCTACCTTAGGTACTGGGGTAGGTAGTATGAGGCATCGTATTTTTTTGGTCACGAAATAGCAGCCTTTGACGGGTTTGATGGGGTTTCATGTTCTACTGCACATTTGGTATTCAAGTATTTCGAAGCACCCCCTTTTAATCATCTCTTTTCCCACTCCAGTCTCAACTAATGAATGCTACGTACCCCTAAACTCTCCTCCATGCAGTCATTCTAGTGTTTCTCTATGTCTAAACTCCAAAGTACACAGATTTTATGTACAGAGAATAGAAGATTACAATATCGAGGGAGAGAAAAAGCCGAAGGCAAACAAAAGAAAAAGAGACCACGGTAATAATGCATTTGTTTGCTCTACATTGTTCATAATCCTGCCCTGCCATTTTAACACCCAATCCCAGACTAGCTCCGAAGCTTATGCAAATGTAGCTATGCAAGCAGGCAAGTAGCAAGTAAAACGAGAAAAAAGGGTAATGTAGAAAAAGAAGAAGGGAAGGAAAAGAAAAGAAAAGAAAAAATTCGCATGTTTCCACTTTGGTAAAATGATGACGAGAAAGGGATGGCCGTGATTGCAAAACCAGCTACCTTTTTTCCCCATCCGCCCGACCGGACAAAAGAAACAGGGGAGAAAAGGGGGGAAGAAGAAAAAAAGTAGGAAGCCCCTCAGCTTATGACTGGCCATGAGGACTTGAGAATTTTCTCCTCTAGCTTTGACCGGGAACCGTCGGTTTACGGTGGCCTTCGTCCGCTGACCACCACCTATTTACACCTGTTCTAGGGGACTGGCCAGTGGGCTGACGGAATCCAAGGGGGCGGCATGCAATGCCGGCTTCTCGGTAGCTCCGTGCAGCAGCCCTTTCTTCTTACGATCGAGAACGCCAATGACCCATTCCGAGACTTCATAGTCGCCACCAACAATCCCGGTTGGGCCGTGCAGGTTAAGAGCACCCGTCGCGTCAGCAAGCTCATCGTCGGCGGCAGCTTTCTCAGCCTCAGCATCTTCCGGGATGGTTTCTGGCTTGCTTAATGCCTGGATCCACGGATGCGCCAACAGCATCGGGTAGGTATGTCGCTTCGTCGGAATCTTGTTAAGACACGATCCCACGAAGTCCTGGGCCACCGCAGAGTAGCCTTCTGTAGGAAGTCCGGGAGGCTCGCCCTCGACAATAGCCTGTATTTGAGGATGTGTCAGTCAAACGGCTGCCATACGGAATTCGGGGTCGAGTGAAAATGAGCTGCTGCACTTACATTGAGTTGGCTGAAGATTGTGCTGGACACCTCGGGGGGATATGGATATTTCCCAATGGCGCATTCGATAATCGTCAGCCCCAGGCTCCAGATGTCGCTTTGGACGTTGTATGTGCCGTCTGCGACACCCCCCGTGGCGGACAAGCCACCGCCGCTGATCCGTTCCGGGGCCATGTAACTTTGGCACCCAATGTTGGTCTTTGCAATGCTGGCAACTAGATTTCCAGAGACACCGAAATCGCATATCTTGACCTGTCCATTCGAGTTCACCAAGATGTTGGTAGGCTTCACGTCGCGATGGATAATCTTGTGGTCGTCTTTGAGTGTTTTGAGACCCATGATTGTGGCGTACGTAATTTTGCGAAGAACATTTTCGGGAATCCCGCCTGCGTAGAGCTTGTCGATGCTGCCGCCGTCCATGTACTCGATGCACATGTACACAGCTCCTTCTTGGTAGAAGGCACCGTAGAAGTCGATAATATAGGGCGACACGCACTCGTGCAGAATGACGAGCTCCTTAAGAATCGTGGTGAACTTGGCCTCGTCCAGCTCAAGGCGTATCTCTTTCATTGCCATGACCACACCCGTCGTGTTTTGCCGTGACCCATCGGTCGAGGGGCTTAGTGGCGTCGAGTCTGCGGATGACTCGTCCTGGTCGGACATGGAAGAGTGCCGAGATAGAGACTTGAAGTTGCTTAACCCGTGGCCAAAACGGGGGGCCCTCGGGCGGGCATGGCGCACTTTGTAGACAGTTCCGTAATTTCCCTTGCCCAACTCGTCAAGAATTTCTACCTCATCCAGCGAGATGGAGAAGGTCCGGCCATTGGCGAAGTCAACACCGTTCCGCGTTATAGTAGCAGCACCCTCAAACGTAATCCACCCTTTATCTGCATCAATGTAGTTCCCGAAGTCACTTAGTTTGGAGCCCCGTCCCTCTCCGTTTATCGAGGGCCGCGCGCCGTCTTGGCCGCCCTTCATGTCTGAAAGCTTTGGTGTGCCAGGAGTTGTGCCGGGTCCACCACCAGCCATACCCCCCAGCTTCATTGCTCTCCTCTCGCTCAGACTGGGAGGTTTTCTGGCGCTCGGCACCGCAGGCGCAGATTTCGGGAACCCGGGGGGCATCGGTCGAGTCATACCGCCAGCCGCTGTCGGTAACCGGAGATTGGAGGAAGCACCGCCCGGCTGTGCGTTCATGATCCCGTTCATGTTCATATTCATGTTGTTCATGTTTATGTTCATATTCATATTCAGGTTCATGGATCCCATACCGGCGTGGGGAGACCCAGCCTGGGAAGCTCTCGACGTCGTTAAGTTCATTCGTTCTTGCTGCAAAGCCCGCGCCTTCTGCATGATATCCAAGGGCAGACTACCTGCGCTAGGCAGGGGCCGCCGAGCCGTGTTCAAGATGCCAGTGACGCTTGAGGTCGGGTTCATGTAGGCCGAGTGCTCGGGGTCTGAGACGGTCCGTAGGGAGGGGAACCGGCGGTGCGAATTCGAGCTGCCGGCTAAAGAAATGCCGGGCATTGAGTCGGAGCTGGAGCTTGGTGGATCGAGCGGGGTGCTAGCCTCAGAGGAGTCGTCAACCGAGCCCGAGTCGTCAACCGAGCCTGGCGAGCCCGGGTAGCTGCCCGAGTTCTCGTTTGGCGTATCCGGGGTGGAATACGAATCGTGGTCCGCCATTGCGCTGGTAAGGAGGGTATGCGCAGGGTTCCGTAATCTGCCTTGTCCGGCTTGCCCTTGCGCCTGTGCCTGGCACGAGCTGCAGCCGTTTTGCGCCGCTCGGCTCTGTTGTAATGCCTGCGCTGTATCTCTGATCAAAGCAGTCAAGGTTCAACAGGCTCAGAAGTCGAGGGCTGTGTAGATTGACAGGGCAACGAGTCGAGCGACAGCCAGTTGTATTGTCTTTTTCGGGGAGGAAAGTGATGAGATGGGCCTCTCTGTCTGGAGAGTAGAAGTGAAAATGGCTCGGCCGGAAGACGACAGGAAAAGCGAGACGAGAACGGGCGCAGAAAGTCGAAGCGGACAGGGAGGGGAAAGCGCGATCAAAAGGACCCAATGCCCATACGGCTAAGCCAACTCAGCACCTAGAAGAGGATGTGTCTTGTTAGCCGGCTATGGTTGAGGCAGTTGACGTGGTCAAGGTGGGCAATGAAAGTTGAAATTCAGACGGACGTGTGCTCTTCCTGGAGAGTAGAGACGGATTTCATACGACGGGCGAGCCGTGGCTAGGAAACCGGATATCAGTATTCGCGTTCGTCCAAGTCCCATTCCAGGTCCTACCATCCGCTCGACACTAGTAATGGAAGGCCGCTACACTACCAGGGAGGTCCAAGCCTGGAAGTGGTGTTGGCTGCTGGGGTACTGCACTGCATCCATACACCTGCACGGTACAGAATCTTTGGGCCGGGGCATTTGCTCCGCAATTGGATGCGTCTCCTTGTTCTGTGTCCGTGTCACTCTCTGTACCAAAAACTTAGCAAGCTTGGTTTTGGGTTGCCCCGCGTTCCCGTCGTTAGCTGCTTCCTTTATTCATCTGCCCTGTCAGCGAGCGGGACAGAAGAAAGGAGAGTCAAAAGGCAAATAACTTCTGCGCCGGGGCTATATAAGTTCGCCAACCTCGTGATTAACCAGCACAGATGTATTGAAGGAAGAAAGGGGCCTTCTAAAGTGCATGTTATTCAACGTAATTACGGAAGAGAGCACGTACTGTTCATCACCTTGTCTACTCATGCAGCGGATGACGAAACTGATGAATGCGGGATGCACCCTGGTGTTGGCATAGCTGGGACGCTAGCACTAAGCAGGGGGCGGCCAATGCAAATTCGGCAGCTTGTATCTATGACGTGGTGTGGCGCTTCAGAAGCACAGAGTGTGGCTTGTTGGAACATGGAAAAGCCGGGCAAGCAAGCTGGGCAGCCATCAAATACCTCGATGTGTGAAAATACTGTACGGAGCACATGATAGCAGACACTAAAAGTGACTGCAAGCCACGCCTTTCATATATAATCTACTCTACGAGAAGAGAATCACTGCCGAATTCTGACATCGTGCTCGGTGGATGAAACAACTCGAGTGTGGCGAAGGGATGGCGATCTTTTATGTCACGTCAGCACTGACAGCGATCTCCGTAATGCCAAGACCAAATTGGTCCTCAAAGAAGACTGGGTTTTCTCACTCATCGATTTCGAGTTTTCTACGTTATGGCCAAATCTCGGCATTTTTCTCGCCATAGTTAATACTAGCCCATGTACGGATCCGTACTTTCCATTTTATTTACCTCGTAGCAAGTGTCAAGGTGTTTTTCTTCTCGCATCTCCCATTGTTTGCGACATATATAATCACGTTCTTACCCTAAATCAAGGGAATGAACTGTTTATATTCAAAAGTTTCCCTTCTCAGATGGGGAAATGGCTGCTGGTGCGAATATGAACTCCGGTTAGAGGGCGGGAGATAGTGCATATACCCACATGCTCTGTGGAAGTCCCTCACTAAGGCAAACCTTGTTGAAGCAGACGAACTATAACACACACATGCTCGACTACTCGGCAGGAAGGTAGTGTGGCTAGTGGGGCGTTGGATAGAATTGCAGTACCTAGACCGACAAAGCTGGAATCGCGAGCAGTGGTTGAGACAACATAGGTAGCTACTATATAAAAGTAAAGCCGGCAGTTAAAGCAGATAATATAGGCGATGGTACCAGGCAGATGCGAGCCAGCTGAGAACTTCGGATCGGTTTTGTCCCTCCCATATATGCCTTACGGAATACATACTATAGAATCAGCGGAAAGGGAACTGGTTGGCGACAAAGGTGGAATGCCAAGCCGTTTGCGAAGCAGTCTTACTATATTGTGCGATTTCCACCCCGCAAGCCAAAGACCTCGTCACGCGCGGCGAAAAGCGTAAGCGAATGGCGTCGACGACGAGGCCGGCGGGGAAATGAAGAATAAACACGTTGCGCCGTGTGCGTGGGGGAGGAGGGGAGGAGTTAGTGAGTTTGGTTTCACAGCCCCACGATCCAAGTTATCGCCAAGAGCCTCGACGTTATCGTCACTAATGTGGCTGTTTGGGCGATTTTCGGGTCTCCCGGGCTGGCAGGCGAAACTGGGATATGTACCAGGGCAGGCAACAGCCGAGAGGAAACCTTGGTGAGCTATTCCGTACCGTGTAGGGAGTAAATGCCCTACCAAGGCATCCGTAGGCTGTCAGAGTTGTAGTTTGGTGCAAGCAAGTTGTTTCCGTATTAAGATAATAATGGCAAATTGGACTATTCAATTGGCTGGCGGCAAGTCCGTGAGCACTCTTGCGGGTGGCCATACTAAGGTGACATGGTGACGGGGGTACTCAGCTCTTATCAGTTGCGCGGTTTATTATGTGCGCGTTTCTCCGCCACCTCAGTCTTCTCGTACTGCGTGTTTCGCGTATCCTATTTACGAAAAGGTACCATTGCGATCAACTTTAAACGACGCTGTTGGTCCTGTTAGGAACGATATCTAGCAAATGCAAATGTTTCGAGATATGCCAGGGCATATTGTTCACGCTTACTCAGTGTTTCTAGCCACCTCCCCGGAAAGTTTACAATTAGGTGATTTGTCGCACCACTTGCGCACCTCGGGTTCCGAAGTCCTTCTACGTAGTACCCTAGTGGCTATAATTACCGTATTTCGTACCTTAGCTCAGGTAGGAAAGACCGATTTTTCCTAACTGGCCCGAAGTGCTCTGGCGTCCGCTGGGAGTGGCTCCCAACGCCCCAACACCGCCCGGTAACAAAGCCAACCGCCCATGGGGAGATTTCCAAGTCCTCGACTAGACATTACTCCTTCAACCTCGTTTTGCCTCGCTTCCTACCTTGACAGGTCCCATTGACTATTTCAAGAGGGAAATAAAGATACCGGAATTTGATGCGTTTCCTCGATCTACGGCCGCCGACATCCCTACGGTTGGCCATGGCCTCCGCCGGCGAGTCCTGGGACCAGTACTCGTCGACAGCACCGTCGCCGTTCGTCATCTTCAAGAAGCAACAGCCCCACAACTCCCACCCGGCGCTCGGCCACCTCATTCTCCTAATATTTGGCGCTGTGCTCGAGGTTGTCTGTGTGAGCTTGCCGGGCTATATCATTGCCCGGCTCGGACACTTCGATGCCGACAAGCAAAAGTTTCTTGCGAACCTCAATGTTATGCTCTTTACGCCCTGTCTGAGTACGTCCAGTCCAAGAAGGAACAATGCTGGAAGCAGAGGAATTTAGCGGCGCTAACTCCGCGCAGTCTTCACAAAGCTCGCGTCCCAATTGAACGCGGACAAACTGGTCGAGCTCGGCGTCATACCCATCATCTTTGTCATCCAGACACTCGTCTCGTATCTCGTTGCCACGGTCGTCTCAAAATGCTTTGGCTTCAACAAGCGCGCATCAAACTTCGTCACGGCCATGGGGGTGTTTGGCAACTCTAATTCGCTCCCCATCTCTCTCGTCATTTCCTTGTCGCAAACACTGAAGGGGTTACACTGGGACAAGATTAAGGGCGACAATGACGACGAAGTCGCGGCCCGCGGAATTCTCTACTTGATGATTTTCCAGCAGCTCGGACAGCTGGTCCGTTGGAGCTGGGGATATCACATCCTCCTCGCGCCAAAGGACAAGTACGAAGAATACAATAACGACTCGGCCGAAGAGGGTCGCTTCCGTGGAGAGGCGCACGACGACGGGGAGGCGGACCGACTCCTTGAGGGCGAAAATCGCGCCCACAGCGGCGTCGGCGAGGAATTTGGCACTCATCGCTCTGGCAGCCCAGCCCAGGTAGAGGATTCGGAGGGTTACGAGCCGGCCGGCCAGACCCCTGTAGGCGGATCGTCAAGAGCGTCACCAAACGACTCGGAGGACGACGAACACGATACCCTCCGCAAGAGAAACGCCAAGTCGCACACGACGATTGTTATTGACGGAAATGTCGATGGCAGCATTTACCAGGGCGACGAGCTTAATCAGATCCTTTCTTTCCCACGCATTCGGAACACCGACGAGCCCGAGATTCCCTCGGGAATTATAGGGGCCCCAAAGCGAGTCGGGCGGTTTTTGACGAAGTTCAAGGTCAACACATCGAGGCGCTTGAGCTCGGCCAGTCAGCGCGCGTTCAATACCCTTCCGCGACCCCTCCAATCTCTCCTCGTTGGGCTCCATGTCGTTTGGGCGCGTGTATGTTCCTTCCTTTGGGAATTTATGAATCCACCCCTGTGGGCCATGCTTGTCGCCGTTTTGGTCGCCTCGGTTCCTGAATTGCAGAAGCTTTTCTTCGAGGACGAGTCTTTTATCAAGACTAGCGTGACTAGTGCCATCAGCTCGTCTGCCGGCGTTGCGGTGCCTTTGATCTTGGTTGTGCTGGGGGCCAACCTGGCGCGAAACACACAGAACCAGGAGGGCACAGACGCTGAGGAAAAGGAGATTGGCGCAAGGCTTCTCGTGGCCTCTCTGATCTGCCGCATGCTTCTGCCAACGTTGATCATGGCGCCAATCCTGGCCGTGTTCGCTAAGTATGTTCCCGTTAGCATCCTAGACGACCCGATTTTCGTCATCGTTTGCTTCCTACTCACTGGCGCGCCGAGCGCCCTGCAACTTGCCCAGATCTGCCAGATCAACAACGTGTATGAGGTTGTGATGGGAAAGATTCTTTTCCAGAGCTACGTTATTTGGTGAGACCGGACCCTGCCACATTAACTTTGGCTTCACAGCGAACCTATGCTAACCTTCTGATAGGATTTTGCCATCAACATTAATCCTTGTTGTGTGCGCCTTGGAAGTCGTTGAATGGGCCAAGTAACGGGGCCATTACGCTCGTTCCGCAAAAGTCATGCCTTGTTTTCATTGTACAGTATTTTCTCAGCTTCTCTCCCTGGGGCAAGAAACGTGACATCTAGGACAGAATGGCTCAAGAGCGGCGTTTTGGGGGATTTGGTAATCAGCGTTTCATTCATTGGAAGCGTTTAACGGTGTATGAAAACGCTAGGCAACCGTTTCGTTTTTAATAGTACAGGGTGTTATGAGTATGGGAAACTGTAAAGGAAAATCGGGTAACCCACCACCGGCTGTGTGGCAGGTATAACAACGGTCCACTTGGGTCTTGGATTTATTATTAGACGGGAAACACCACCAGTTGGTCCAGGCCGAGAAATAAGACTATCAAAAAGACGTTGAAATCTTGTATTGTTTATACCCCTTAGACCTACCTAGTTCTACCGGTAATGAACCACCAGTCTTAACGGGAGTCTTTGGACCGTATGTACTACATTGGGGCATTGCATGTATGATTCATTTGGCGGCACAAAATCCCTCGGCTCGAGCTAGTTACCTACATAGTATACGGATTATGTACGGAGTATCTACTAATAAGATCAACGAGCATAATGTTTCCATACCTAACTAGATCACCTCACACGGTATATATGTAGCATTTGCTGTATTTTGACCTAGTATTGATTGCTGGTTGTCTCTTGAATGCGATAGGGGTTGCTGCCACTGTCTTCTGGTTGTGCCAGGGGTCCTCCACTCCATCAAAGTCAATACCTTCAATTATTTCTAAAATCCGAAATAACCAGTCCCTGTCCAGTCTCCCTTGCTACCTAGTGAATACCATTAAGTAACTGACTTACGGGCACGCCCGGTGCCGATGCTGGCGGAGAGATAACCCAGTCACGGACAGAGCCCTTCCAGTCCGCAATACGGACGTGCCGGATAGCCACGACGATGACGCGAACCTCCTCGCCGGCTACAAAATGGCCCCTGCCGCCGTCGCCCTCTTCTTGTGCCTGGTCCCCTACCAAATTGAGAGACGAGGAGGCGTCAAACGTGTTATTCTGGAGGTGCTTCTCGCGGAAGTAGCGCTCCTCTTCGGAGCCGCTGTCCACCAGCCGCGCTGATCCGGTTATGGTGGCACTGATAGACGACATCTCAGTCGCGTTGAGGTTGAAGAGCAGCGTCGCGAGCGGGCTCGGGTTTTCGGGCCCCGGAAATGATCCCCCCGACAGTCTCCGCTGCGTTGTTGACGGGCGGTGCGAGACCCCTGTGGGAGATTAATACCTCTCATCAGCCTGTGGGCTGTTACATTTGGGAAGTGGAAGGAAGGGGAAGAAGGAGAGGAGGAGGACAGGCAGGGCGCGGACAGGGCATGGGGCATGGGGCATGTGGCATGGGGCAATTTTATTCTGTAGTCGTACAATCGTGTACCAGGAGCGACACGTTTGGGTTCGCTACTAGGTTGTTCGTCTTCTTGCTGGCCGGGTTAGTGGTCATGACGATGACAGGATCCGAGCCCGAGTACGGCGACGACGGAAGATATGTGTAGTTCATGAGCGAGACATGGGGGATGTTTTCGAAGCACGTAGCTAGGTGCAGGAACCTGGCGTTGGAGAGACACTGGACCACCTCGGCGGGCATTTCGGGCGTGACCTGCATGTTCGTATCGCCGGCCGATGCCTCGTGGTTGAGTGGTATTTGCTGCTCCATGGCTGCGAATCCCCGGCGGGCTTCAACGTCTTTCTTCTGTGTCTCTCTACCACGAGGTGAGTTCAAAGACGCTCTGTTATTTCTCCTTGAGCTCCGAGGCTCGGGTTCGGGTCGCGTGATGTTAGGCAAAGTCTTAGGGCGAGAAGCAATGAGTCGTGGGACGGATTTGTCAAGGAGAAGAAGCTGACGATTTCAAGCACAGCGTTATGCCCGCACTGATAATGGCCAACGAGACTAGAACCTTTCCTTTCATAGGCTCGCGATCGGGTCGGGTGAGTGGGGAAAAGCTCCCTTGCTGCCTGCCCCGTCGTTGCTTGGTGCAGGGACGGGAAAGTATGATGACTAAAGAGAGGGGCCGAGCGGGAAGCCGACCACCCCTGCCTCAATGACGTGGTGTCCAGTAAGGTGTTACTCCTTTGTACCTAACTTGCTTAACAGCAGTGATGGAGGTCTGGTAAAGCCTCCAGTCCATCGTCTTGACTTGACTCTTGAGACTTGAACCAAGATGCGTGCATAGACAACCGAATTGGCTGAATTAAATCTTACCTTACCTAGCACGTGTTTCGTTCACAATTTCCAGTGACCCCTTCGAGAGGCGGGTCACGGGTCCGCGGCACAGCGTTACTTTCCTCAAGGTGGTTAGTTGGAACCACTCCCCAGTAATGCTAGGGGAGCGGCTAGAGTCGGCCTCCAGCAACCACCTCCCTCCCAGATGCCAACCGTCAACGGCTTTAGGGTGCTGAGAGCGAACGGCGCCGGCCTCCCTTATTCCTCCACTGTTTCCCTCAAGAAAATCGAGAACAAACACCATCTTAAGAAAGCCATTGAATCGGCAGCGTCACCTCTTGAATAGCTGCGGCACTCGATATCGATCATCACTGAATCCAATTCCACAATGCGCACCTTAAAGCGCACGTCGAGGCGCGTGCCTATGCCGCCCTTAGCCCTGGGTTTGGGAACATCGTCGACCGCCACACGGCTGCCGGTGCCACCAACGACCTCGACAGCCCCCATATCAACGCATTCTGCCTGCTCGAGCTCGACTACATCCGTCCAGCCCATCACGTCGCTCCTTATTGCTAACCGCGGCGAGATAGCCCTCCGCATAGCCCGAACAGCCGCCGCCATGGGCATCTGCACCACAACGCTGTACACGGACGTTGACGCGGCCTCGCAGCACGCAAGGTGCTCGCCGCACTCGATCGCTCTCGGCCCTCCCGCCGCCTACCTTGACGGCCCGCGCATTGTGGCCCTTGCCAAACAGCACGGTATCCAGGCCCTGCACCCGGGCTATGGCTTTCTGAGCGAGAACCCGGCTTTTGCCCGCGCCTGCGAGGACGCCGGCATAGTCTTTGTCGGCCCTCCCGCTCGCGCCATGGCTGACATGGGCGACAAAGCCCGCAGCAAGGAGATTATGACAGCCGCCGGCGTGCCGTGCGTGCCGGGATACCACGGCGCCGAGCAGTCTCCCGAGCAGCTTCAAGCCCGTGCACGCCAAGTCGGCTACCCCGTTCTGCTCAAGAGCGTCAAGGGCGGCGGCGGCAAGGGCATGCGTATTGTAAAGTCGGAGGGCGAGTTCGACACCCAGCTCCGGAGCGCCCGGGCCGAGGCGCGCGCGAGCTTCGGCGACGGCGGCGAGGTCATGCTTGTTGAGCGATATATCGTGCGTCCGCGCCACGTCGAAGTGCAGGTGTTTGCCGATCGCTACGGCAACTGCGTCGCTCTCGGTGAGCGTGACTGCAGCGTGCAGCGGCGCCACCAGAAGATCCTCGAGGAGAGCCCGGCCCCGTCACTGGACGACGCCACGAGGCAGGACCTGTGGGACAAGGCTAGGACAGCAGCGCTCGCCGTCGGTTACGTTGGCGCCGGCACGGTCGAGTTCATTCTAGACCGGGACACAGACGAATTCTTCTTCATGGAAATGAACACGCGGCTACAGGTCGAGCACCCCGTCAGCGAAATGGTTACAGGTACAGATCTAGTCGAGTGGCAGTTTCGGGTAGCCGCTGGCGAGAGGCTACCGCTGACCCAGGACGAGATCGAGGCGAGGATTGCCGAGAGGGGCGCCGCTATCGAGGCAAGGATATACGCCGAGAATCCTGAAAAGGGCTTTTTTCCAGACTCGGGCAGGCTAGTGCATCTCTCGACGCCAAAGACGAGTGAGGATGTGCGAATCGACGCTGGCTTCATCGAGGGAGACAGAGTTTCCGAGGCATATGACGGCATGATTGCGAAGTTGATCGTCAGGGGCAAAGATCGGGAGACGGCCATCCGTAAGATGGAGCTTGCCTTGCAGGAATACGAGGTCGTGGGGCTCAGCACAAATGTTGAATTCTTGAAGCGCCTCTGCCGCAGCCAAGCTTTTATCGAAGGCGATGTCGAGACGGGTTTCATCGACAAGTGGAGAGACGAACTTTTCGGGCCGCGTCACACATCCAATGAGGTATTTGTGCAGGCCGCTCTGGGCCTGTTGGGCTCACAAATTAGCTACTCGACATCGGGGCTTAACGGGCCTCACGGCGAGATGCTCGGCTTTGGCGAGTCCCGCACCCAGAGCGAGCGAAAGTTCACCTTCCGGGTCCGCGACGACACCAGTGTCGAGGAAGGCGAGGCCGTGCAGGTCTCCGTAACGCAAGTAGCGAACGCGCTGTTTAATGTAGCCGTGCTACGCAGTGGCGACGAGACGCCGCAGGTCTTCGAGAACATTGTATCTGAGCTCGACTCGTCCTCTTCTTCGGCCACTAAGACGGCATTAACGACCTTCTTTCCCCTCACAAGGATCGAGACAACCCTGGTCCGCGACCGCGATCCGGCAACGGAGGAGGAGAAGCTTACGCTATTTCAGCTCGGCAATAAGAACGAACTCCAGCTCGTCTCGCCGGACTGGTTCGAGAAGGCTCTCGGCTTGAAGGAGACTGCTGCGAGCGTGGTAGCCCCTATGCCGTGCAAGATACTGAGAAACGAGGTGACCGAGGGCCAGGAGGTCCCAAAAGGGGCGCCATTGGTTGTGTGAGTTTCTGCCTCCCGTCTATGCCTATCCTTCTATTTCCTGTCTCTGTTGGATCCGCGGGGCGTCAGGGCAAGACTTGACCTGGACTTTGCTAATCTTTTGTCTATTTTGGTAGTATCGAGTCTATGAAGATGGAGACTGTGATTAGATCACCGCAGAACGGCACCATCAAGAAGCTGGCACACAAGGAAGGCGTATGTACCAGTCCTGTCTCTCACTTGACCTTCAAATATACCCATTTGCCATATTTTCCTCCAGGGGGGCAAACCATCCCACACTTGGAGCTGACAACTGGGTTCTAGGACATATGCAAGGCTGGCACGGTGCTGGTCATCTTCGAGGATGCCGAAGGTGCCGCCAGCCCAACCAAGTAGTAGGAGGAGATATGGTATGATACAGAGTACGAGCTCAACGACTGAGGATCTGGGCTTGTCTTTGGGAGGGGGGGGGGCGGCGACCCTGGCAGAGATAGTATCTGCTCGGTGACGACAGACGCTGGGCAGCGGCGCCAAATTATAGTACCCTGGCCTTGAATAGCCGGTAGCATCATGTGTGACGACTTTGGCTTAGCAGCGGCGTTTTGGAGAATTTATACGCATTGGGCAGGTGTTTTTTTCTTCATCTATGGCTTTACAGAGAGAGGGCGTATCGTGTCTATAATCTCAAGACCGTTAGCGGTTTCTGTTCAAGGTGCGTTCATCTATCTTGTTCAGCTCGAGAGGGCAACGTGTAAGTTTTCCACCGTGATCATGTCTTATGTACAGCGTCTATTTTTACAAACTAGGTACATCTAGCTAGGTGTTTACACAAATTGTCGCGGCGAAAGATATATATCTGTCGTCTCGGCAACTTATTCGTACATACAAGATAACTAAACAGAGCCGTAAACAGCTCTTGTGCTATAAAGCAGGCACATGGCAGCCATTGGGGCTTGGTTAGTTATCTATGACCCGACCACGCATGAAGTTGGCATCCTCCTCGTCATCCGGATCCTCCACATCGTCGATGCCCATCTGCTTCATGAGATCGTCAATCTTCACCTTCCGGCCGCCCTTTGTCCGCCGCTCGGCAGCATGATATTTTGATTTCGCCTCCTTTTCCGTGACCGACGTTATTCCGCGCTTCGGGTCGACATTGAGCTCCACCACCTTAGGCCGTTTGCGACTAGACTCGGCAGCCCGAGAACGGACACCTCCGTCAGCTAGTTCGGGCCTGCCCAGGCGGACGTTGCGAGGGATGCGCGTCTTGGCCCCAAGGGCCCAGAGGTCTCCCCATCTAGCCTTGCGAGCGTCGTGGTACGCCTGCTTCGAGAGGGACCTAGCTACAATCCAACGCTCGTAGGTCCCAGCGGGGGTGCACATATCGAGTAATACGTGGCCGCGCCGTTTCAGAGGAGGGAACATGTTGCGGGGTAGCGAAAGTGGGTGAGGAATCCCACCCTCGAGATTCTCGAAGCCAGCAAACGCGCGGTCCGCGGCGTCCTTGCCTTGGAGATATGGGGCAATTTCAAGTTCAAGCGTCGCACGGCTCTCCGAAGAGACAATGCCGTCGGGCTGAGCACCTCGGCGCACTGCAATGTAGCTGAATCTTATATCCTCATAGTTATGGTGCGAAGCTCCGTGAAGCTTTTGTAGGAAGCTCGGGCGGGTGTAGCGCTGGACAAAATGGCAGTAGTCCTTGCGGCCAGAGCTGAGCCCGGGGGAGTGATACAAGGGGCAAGTGGTATGATTTGTACACGGGGCAACAATCATGCCAGGCTCACGTATACGTTCAGCCTCGGCTCGTATCTCTTCCGGTGGCGGCTGGACCGTTGGCGGGATAATGAAATCGTCGAGGAGACGGCGCCGAACTTCAGCTACTGCCTCGAAACCTCTCGGGTGTCCCTTCTCCAGGACGATGAGCACCCCGCCGTCGGGCGAGAGCATCTCCCAGAGATTTTCGAGGAGCACCTTGCGCTTATAAGGTTTGTCAAGCGGCATCATGAGGTGGGAAGCAATGATAATATCAAACGTCTTGCGAGGCGCAGGGCTTTCGCCCGCATCGAGATGGGGCTCCTTTCCCTTACCCGAATGAACATAGTCTGGGAGTCGCGGGAGAAATGTTGTGTTCTGCATGAATCTGGAAATGCGGTGGCGGATGGTCTCGGAGCCCACGACCACTGTTTTCTTTCCGGGGGGTTCCTGAGTGAAGACTTTGCGTTCCTGTCGGAGAATATCCCACTCGGCGTTCACCACGTCTTGCCAGGCTGCCAGCCCTGCGCCGCCCGCTCCGACATCAAGCACACGGGGACCCTGACCTCCGGCTTTGGTCAGGAGCCCCTGAATCCAGGCCGGACCTAAACGTTTCCGCACCTCAACCAGGATGCTCATTGCAGTCGTGTACAAGCCTGGGACAACTGTAGCAAGAAAGACATCGGCTTCAATCTCGGAGAGTTTGTGTTGGCTTGGGCGCATCATCAAGGGCTTCTGTAGTGGCAGTCTCTTTCCCCCGGGCGTGGATGGAGAGTAGGGTAAGCCAGGTCCGCCGAACACCCTTTCGGCAGCTTCTCGCAAATGGGTTGGGCTTGTCCTTTTCAGGAGATCCGAGATGGGCTGAATGAGGGTCTCTTTTGGCAGGAGCAAAGTGCTGGGGAGGGTCTTGAAGTGACCCATGACGGTATGCGGATGCAGGCGTACTCGCTGCTCCGTATCCATGGAATCCCACTCGTCGAACACAGCATTGGGCTCACCCTCGTCCTCTTCAATCTCGTCCTCCTCGCGTGGCTCGTTCTCCTCCATAATGTCGTCCCCGTTTGGTTCCAAGGCAGCCTCGGCAGCAGCCTTGAGTGTGGCGAGTTCGAAATCACGCTGCAGCCTCACGAGTGCATCGTATTCGCGCTGGTTATTGGCTGTGACGTTTAGGTATTCAACCTGCTCATTCGAGAGTGGCGGCAGTTCCTCAAGGGTTCCAATATCGTCGGCAACCTCTGATGCAGTGCCATCTTCGTCTTTAGGGATCTCGGACACTTTGATTGTGTACTCTACCTCCTCTAGCTGGCCATCTTCAGTTTCTCTTAAGAGAGTCCGCGTCGACTCGTTCTCGGCCATCTCGCTCTCGTCGCCATAGTAGGGAAGCCCAACATCCTCGGGCCTTGTATCCCGAAGTGCAGGGCCGTAAAGCCGCTCGTAAAGCTTGAGCTCCTCGGGCGTCAAGTAGCCTGGAGGCAGAGTATCCCCGAACGTTTGCTTGGCTTGGCGCACAATGGTCTCGGTGTCTTCGGCTGCGAGTTCCGACTCCCTTCTTCGCGGCTCCTGTGCTGTGTCGGCGCTATTGGAATCATGCTCGTGTGCTGTGTCCCGACGTGCCCGCCGGCTTGTCGAAAACTGCCTTGCGGACGAGCTTGAACCTGATCGGGGTGGCTGGGCTAGGGAAAGGAAAGTCTGAGTTAACGGCGCTCGGAGGCTCGAGAAGTGTCGCGAGCTAGCTCTGCTTTGTGGCGCTAGAAGAGCATCGTAAAAACTCAGGAGCTGCGTCCTGCATCCCAAGCAACGATTTGGAATCCTCCTCGGCGCAATCATTGCCGGCGGTGGCGGGTTATCGAGTGCTGCGCGGCCAAGTATGGTCGAACGCGGATCAAAAAAGGAATTTCTATTTCAATGTCCAAGCTCGCGCTCGGGGGAATCGCTGAATTATCGCGTAACAGCTGGGACCACGTGACAAGCCAGCCCATCGTGCACCCCCTACCAGGTTCTCCGTAAGTGGCAATTAACCCACCCTTCCCCCATTCTCAGTAATCACTAGATACCTAAATAACTTGCTAAACATGTAGAGATACTTCACTCTACCTTAAGTGCCGGTTCGCCTCTCCTTGAGAGATGTACTGTATCGAGATTTTTTGTTTCTAATAATGAACACCACAAGATATAAAGGAACCATCTGTAACTTAGGTACCTCAGCCACGCGTAAATCAATACCGCCGTCCTCGAGAAAAAGATGCCCAAACTCCCGCTTCCATCAAAATCAAGTGCGCACTGCCTATACCCTCTCGTTTACTCGCTGCCTAAATCAGCCAACGTCTTGAATGTTGCTGCGCGCGCCGCTAGTTTCTGGCCGGCCGTGCCTCCCTGGACCACCAGCGGCGGCCGATTCTTGTTGAACGGTGAACTTTTGGCCGACATGTAGGGGTCAAGCTATCAGGAACACATTAATTTTCTGCACAGAAAGGCTCCCAAAACGTGGAAAGTTCGCGGCTTAACCTACAGAGAATAGCGAGACGAAATACAAGCCAATGAATGCTGTTATTGCGCCAAGGAACTTATTCAAGTCCCACATGATTGGCCGAGATAGTGAGGTCCTAGCGGTGGCGCCGGTTGTCTGGCTGGTGATGCCGGCGCCTCCGAGCCTCTGCCCCTTGTTCCCGAACACAGCACCGGGAGCGGGACTGGCACCGGCCAGCTTGACGGCCTTGTCGACAGCGGCACCAAGGGCTGGCGGGCTGGCTCCCTGGATCGTTTGAATGACGGAGCCGTTGTGGAAGATGAGGAAGGTTGGCATGGCGCGAACGCTGTACCGCTGTGATATTTCGCCCTGCCTATCGCAGTCGACCTTGACAAACGTGATTTTCTTGGGCTTCGAGTACTTGGTCGAGAGCGACTCAAAAGTTGGCGCAATCATCTTGCAGGGCCCGCACCAGTCTGCATAAACTGAGCATGGTGTTAGTTGAGGCGCAACCATAGAGTTTGACTAACCCAGCGCGCGATGGATTCCCCGTCAGTCCCCAAGAATGACTTACAGTCAGCGATGACAACAGCTGACGAGCCTATGATGGAGTTCCATTGCAACGACGATTCGATGTGGACTGTTGGGCTCATTTTGGAAATTTGGCGGGGACGTTGCTGGAGATCGAATGTCGATGTAGTGAGGATGTCGCAATCTGGCGATCTGGCGATCTGTCCTACGTGTAGAAGAGGGCAATATCAACGGGATGAAAGCGCGAGTTGCGCCAGCTGATAACGATAAAGCTGTCCCATTATTCATTGGCGGACCAGGGTTGGGGTTATGTATGGGTGCCCCGAATTTACTTCCTTGGCATGAGCCGGGAGAGCCCCGCAATAGAAAGCGGTGAAGTTTTTGGAAGCATTTCTGCCGAATCTTGCAGTTGCGCAAATGGGAAACTTTTGCAGCAGTCCCTTGAGGGTCCTTGGCTTGTGCTGTGGACTGATCCAGAAAGCCCCATTGCCGTCTTTATAACACCAACACACGCCTTAGGAGCGCAATAATGCCTCCATACGAGCATCAGACGAAGGTAAGTCGAGGAACCTAGAGCGTCTAGTCCCACATATCCCTCCTTGCCAAATGCCGAAAGCTGTCGCATTAGGTCTCCGAATCGCAACTATCTTGTCGAGTACCATGCAAAGAAAGGGGCGACATCTAGCACGGCCTCGGCCTCGGCAGCGGACTTTCTTCTCCCTGCACCGAAGCCCTCGAATAGATTTGAGACATTGCTTTGAAAGAAGTGGCAGCGGCTGATTCTCAGGACAGAAACGGCGGCTTGACGCCGACGATGGCAAAGCCGCCGACGACGGGTTCAAATCTGGGACGCGGTTCAGGCCGACGATTGCGAGAGAATGGACTGTTTCGGTTGCTGTACCGACGAGCGTTATCACAGAGTATATCCGCCCCTCCTATAGATCAAGCAGCCTGTGCGTCTTTCGCTAACTGGGTCTCGTAGTTGCGTGACTCGAGAGCAGCGGACGACATATGCGGGCCGCATCGCGCGAGCCTTGGCCGTTTTCTCGGTCGACGAGGTTGTCGTCTATGACGATACCCTGGTTGACCAGCGTCCGGCGAGAGTTGATCACGAGGCCTATACTGGCGACGTCGACCCGGCGCACTTCCTAGAGCACATTTTGGCCTACCTTGAGACGCCGCCCTTCATGCGCAAGACGCTCTTTCCCCTTCACCCGAATCTGAGATCGCAAGGCCTTTTGCCAAGTCTCGACATGCCGCATCACCCCCACAAGGACGAATGGCTGCCGTACCGAGAGGGCATGACTCTGGGAAAACGCCCCCAAGACGGAAAGGGGTGGGTTATCCTCGACAAACTTGACGCCAGGAGAGACGTAGCTGACCATTGCAGAACAATTGTCGATATCGGCATGAGCAATCCCGTCACCATATCCGAGACGATTGAGCCCAGGACCCGTCTGACGCTGAAGATGGTCGACGACGGAACACCCGAGCCCGTACACCCGACCGCACCTCGGACCGAAGTGGGTTATTTCTGGGGCTACACGGTGCGGAAGGCCACCAGTCTGTCGGATGTTTTTACCCAAAGTCCATATGAGGATGGTTACGACCTGAGCATCGGCACGTCTGAGCGCGGGTTACCTCTATCGAGGGCATTTCCCGAGCACAAAGAGTTTAACTTTAATCATATGATCATCGTGTTTGGCGGGCCTCGGGGCCTTGAGTTTGCCGCCATGAACGATGGGGAGCTGGGCGAGCTGGGGATTGTTGGACCGCGGACCAAAGAGCTGTTTGACCATTGGGTGAATGTTCTGCCGAACCAGGGCAGCAGGGGCATTAGAACCGACGAGGCAATGTTGATAGCCTTGACGGGTCTCAGGAGACTGTGGGACACGAGCTAACCTTGCCACACGGGCACAGCGGCAACACCAAGCTGCCTTCCTGGTTGCTAGCAAGTTGCATCAGTTCTGGCCGATATTTCGTGTGTTATTGTCATGGTATTCTGTGATCGGCTTATTCACCGCCTGCTCTTGCCTCCGCCATGCGCCGTTTTCCCCGCAGACTTGGCCGACTCTGGCAGCTGGCGTGAAGCCTTCGTCTCCAGTGGCTGAACCACAGTGCCGGGGATTGGACGACAACCGGTTTCTATTTCTCACAGCCCTTGGTCTATTGATCCTCTTGTCACAAAAGTTCGGTCCAATGTCTCAGAGTAATGATCGGCACGAAATTCTTCCTTCGCTCATGCAATTACCCTGTCCATACCTATTCTCTTCGACCTCTCCGCATTCCCAACGCCACGGCTGCATGCAATGTTACACGTCGTCCAGCCACGGCTTGCCATCTTTAGGCACACCCCCATCCCTCCCACGCGGTTTGCTTTTGGTTTGATGAGAAACAAACAAGAGAGGAGCACCCCGCAAAAACTCGCATCACACCACGTGCATATGCACCTATCATCCCTATCTCGCATGGGGAACGGTCTGCTGTCAACGGCCTAACCAAGGTTAGACAACACAATAAAGTAGCTAAACACGGGAATAGTGCCATGGCGTCAACAACGTGTCCCACTCATCCCATGACAGCTTACCTGCCAAATATAGGTCCCCCCCCCTTTCCAAACCCCCCCACGATTACTATTACACATGAATGCAGGTGAAGGTGATAGCCCGAGAACCAAAGGGGGTGTTAGGCTCGAAGCGAAACCTTTTGAGGATGCTATTGATCTCACCCTCTTCACCGAGGTCTTGGCTGCCTTAACGGCCCTCGACCGAGACGACACCCCAGGCTTGGCGCCCAATTGAACCAACGGCCATAACTCCATGACATTACGTAGCAAACCCAAGGCCTGTATGCAGTAGTAAAGTAGTTGTAGTGGCGTCGGCTTGACAACAATCCGGGGCATGCCAAGGCAGGCAAGAAACATTGTAGCATTTTCAACGCAAACTACCTAGCTGGCAAGCAAGCACGAGACAAGTTATGTTGGTGAGCATCGCTGCGAGCACGAGCAGTCACGGTCTTTGGGATCTCGGCGCAAAACCAGAAGACGGCCTTCTATGGATGGTCAGTGTATTCCCACTGTGGCTAGGTAGATAACCATCTTCCCTGCCTTAGTAGTAAACTGCCGAGGCCGACGGCGATACCTTGGGTCCAGCCATCAAGCTAAGCCGGGGCGGAGTTCCACCACACTTGCGTTCTTAGTCTTGGTCCTTTGACAAGGTTCCGGGAATTATTTGTTGATAATCTATTCGCGAGAGACGACCATTTCTGGGAGTTGTACCGGCCGACAGACAGACAGACAGACAGACAGACGACGGACCAGTTCGGGGAGACAGGTATGTAGGTATTCTGCCGAGAGGAACTTTCCAGGTGGCTTGTTGACAGCCGGCATTTGTGTTATACTGCCTGCGGCATGTCCAACCTTTGTAAGGTTTGTGAGAGAGGCTTAGTCAGTCAGTCGGTGTCAAATGAGAAACAATACAGAGAGGGCTGTGAACAAACCACCTCACCCCCCAAGGCAGGTGGGCAAGTTACCTTACCTTCCTCTCCCTCTCCGGGGCGGCCGCCCAGTACATACCCAGGTAGGTAGTCTGCGGAGTATGTATGCACCTTGTCACGGTGCCCGGGCGTGCTGGCTTTGCATTTTTTGGCTTCCTCCCTCTGAACCATAGTTTCGGTTCGGCACCAGTTCTCGACTGCGAGCGCGGCATTTCGATTGGGTTAGTCGGCCGTCTTGTGTGTGTCCGTGGTAGCCATTGTCTTGCTAGTATCCGTACGTACCGTTTATCCAGATCATATATGTACTCAGTAGGCAGGTATGTGTGTATGTACAATACGATCCTAGGTCGTCCCAGCCCCATGGTACCGTACCCTCCCAACTACCATTTTCGAGCGGTTCTCGACGGGCATTGGGGGACAAACATCCACTACATCAAAACATGGCGGTGTGGTGTGTGTAGTGGCAGGGTGGTGACTGCTTTGCATTGCATGTCAGAGCTCGCTGTACATGACCAAAAACCCGGCATTTCCCTCTCTAGTGTGTTCCCAGATATTGACGCTGCAGTGTGTTATTTGGGGGGTGGGCCGCATTGCATTATAGGGGTCAAAGGGGCAGGGGGGAAGAGTCACGAGCTTCTCAACACCTACTTCTTCAAGAAAAGGGCTAGGAGATCTTTCTGAGTAGTCATGTTTTTCAAGTATAGATGCAGTAAAGTGCTGCGCCGTGCTCCGTAGTTGCGAGGGGCATTTTCTACGTTGTCGAGCTGCTGTGCTGCCGCTGTGCTGCTGCTGCTGCTGCTGTCTGCTGCTGCTGCTGCTGACTGCCATGTCATCATCGTCAGCAGCTTGGCTGCAGTAACGCATGCTTCTCTGCGGCGTAAATTGCCAGCGGTGGTGTTGCTGCTCGGGTTCGTAGGGGTCATACGGAGTCTTATCCCCATTGGCCCTTTTTCCATATCGGTTTCTTCGGGCCGTGCTAGTCAAATAACTGCATGCATTTTCTTGGCATTAATATCTTTGGAAAAACCCAGTAGATCCTATTTTGGCTTCCAGGCCGAATGCATTATTAGGCCAGACTTTCCCGTTCTGAAGCACATGGGGCAGAAAACTCCGAGCAGAGCCCTGAGAGGTTCGTTTGCAGTTGGCGAATACCCAACAACCAAGGTCTGGTCTGACAGCGTTGTATCGAGCCTCTATTATAGCCAACTGGCGCCGCTGACTTCGGCTGCTTGCAAGCTCGAGCACGAGCTCGGGTCATGCATACGTCTAGACCTCTTGGTATCAACCTGGGCTCCTGGATGGTCTATCTTGAAGCAAGAGAGGATGTTGCCATATTAGCTGCCAGCACATCATTTCTTGGCAGACTGTTGCAAAGGGATTATTTCTCTCTGCGAATGCATACAAGGCAATCTAAGTATCCTGGAAGCATATTAGTTACAAAGACAGTTGGACGTTGTGGTGTAATATGCATGGAGACTTTGGGTATTGGTCTCTGCTTGTCTTCTCATATCCACGCTGGCGACTGAATCTGCTGCTGGTCTCTCTTCTCATAGCACTGTAAGCAAAGTCCCCGATGAGGAATGATATTGGTTGTTTGCTTTCGTTCCAACCACTGGCCAGGCGCCCCCATGGGCCACACTTCGTGTAGTGGGAAACTAAGTAGTTGATATTTCCATTTCTATGGGAAATTGTCGATTTCTGGCATATATCTCAACTTGTTGAACCTGGGCCAATTCTCAGCCAGCATATCACTTAGGTATCGGCTCTATTTTTTAGTAACAAGTAGACACCATTTCCCGTGTAAATCTCGCGTGCTGAATATGAGAGACAAGGTAGCTCCGAACGCAACTCGAGCAACTGAGACGGTGGATCTCATGTTGGTTGTGCAGGCTGCCGTGCACGCTAGGAGGTTGAGCGAGCGTCTGTCTGTTAGCATATTCGAGTTGCCGTGCCTCTACTCAGTCTTAAACCCATTAATTCCATTTTGCGGGTCAGCGGACTGAGCAAGCTCTTGGAAATCCGCAGCAGCCAGGCCTCCTGTTGTTATCTCTATCTTTCCGCGCTGCGGGCGTCTTCCGTACGTGCCAGTAGACTCGAAAGTAGTAATTCTTCTTAGACTTCTTTGCTTTGACAATACTCCGATACCCATGCGTTTAGAATTAGAGCACGCTAAATCAAGCTATGCATGCGTCGAGTTTCCTGAGCTAGAGAGGTAGACATGCGCACGATTGATCGGGGCATTTGACACCTTGAGTCACGCAAATATATTGACTAAAACTTCAACTTCGCTACGTGGTGTTATCTTGGTGTGCTTGGAGCCAGACTGGCAAACATGAGCTGTGTTGGGCTTGTTAAAATCTGCGTACATGCACGCATCTGTGACATTGCATCGTCTTTGGCAAGCAACGATAGGGCCACGGCCATTGCAGAACAGCCAATTCAAGTTGTTTCCTGAACGAGAATGCAGATGCTGGTGGTTTACTATTAGTGGAAGAAAATGAGAGTCTAGAAAAGACATCCAGGGGGGGTTTATACTTTTCGGAAGAGTATGACACCGGGAAGGAGACGATTATGTATGGGTGGACTCTCTAGGTTCACGTTACGGATATGGTGAAGGCGACCACGTAGAGGGGGGAAGGAACGAGAAGGTCATATAGTGATGTGTTGCGCCAAATCTCGCAGAGCATCCTTTGCGTGTGCTGCGCTGGGTGTAAAAACTTGAGGCAGGCTGGAGGAGGGCTACCTTCCTAGACAGGCATGAAGCTAGTTCAAAGTTGTAATGCCTCACATAGTATGGGAGGGAATAACAGTCATTTGCCGCGGGTGGCCAAGGAAAACAGACAAATCGGGAAGCTTCAGTTCAGTTCACTTTGGCTTGTGACGTGCTCTTTTTTTTTTAAAAAAAAAAAAATTGACAACATGCGTCTTTCTGAGACCTAGCGGGAAGTGGACGTGGTGCTGCCACCAGTATGTCTTTGCCTGGCGTCGCTCTTACCTTAACGCAACTGCTCAAGCTCCTTCCCAACTCTGGTACGATGCGTACCTGTTTTCCGCTTGACAGATCCCTCCTATCCGTACTCTGGTCCTGGAGCAGGGTAGGCAGCAAACTCGATCTCTACTGACAGCACAGAAAAGCGCGAGATAGATAGCCACGGTAGAGAGACGAGGGGTGGAGACAAGTTGGCTTTGCTAGACTGTTGAAGTTTCCGCGAGATGCGCGTGCGTGCATGGTCTGTCAAACTGAAGCGAATAGACACCGTAAATTAGCTCCTGTCTTCGCCTTTTGGAGATAGGTAAGTAGGACTTCTGCTCCTCAAGCTTGAGTTGGACACGCCTTGGAGTCGTGTTTCTGTATGTAGCCTCTCGTACTACACTGCGCATCACCGACACGTGTGCATATTGGTAGTAACAAACCCTACTGCGGACTCTACAAAACCACTTCAAGTTCTATTACATGGGAAAGGTTCACGGAAGCTGGTGACGACTTTCATCAAACAGGCACATTGCAATGCCGTCACTTGCCGTGATACTCTGTAAGTGTAGATATATCGAGTTCATGTTAGTCAAGATGAAAGTCATTTCCAAGACGGGAGAATGCCGCCTTTAAGTCTGGGCCGAGCAATCTGAGAGAGCTGCCAACCATCCAGCCAGTCTCTGCACGAGGGTCGGATATTTCTTCAGGATCATAGGCTCGGGCTGTTATGGGTTGTCTGGGTCTAGAAGCAGACCGGAGCAAGACAGACAGCGCACACACGCACAGATTCGGATTAGGCCACACCTGAGAATCAGCACTTGAGGTCAGGCCGAGGTTCCTGAACCCACCGCAAACCGCGGACTTGGCGGCTTATGCCGCTGTAGGTCTAGAACGTGGCAGGGTCGTTCGGCCCCTTTGCAAAGTTTGGAATCACCCCGATTTCGGGATTAACTGTTGTTGGAGAGGTTCCTTGAATTGGACATGTATCCATACGGAATGTACAGTACTGTCAGTGCACACATACGGGCATGGACGGAGTGCTCTGAATAGTGAATACCTGCCGAGGAGGTGGCTGCCGCTCCACCTCGCGCAAAATTGACAGTTCAGGTGGGGCCTGCCCGCCCAGAGGCTGCACAGTGCTTTTGCTGGGCTCCCAAGTTCCAACTCAACAGATGGAGCACCTCAGCTATTTGCATTTCGTCTCCATCGTCCCTGATCCGGCCATTTTCGACTTCATTCTTAGCTCTGACATTGGGTACCTTACTTGCTGGTGAGTGGTGAATGCCTCGCCCTGGAGGATTCGGCGAGGTTCAAGCTACTACGGATTACCAGGAGTGGGCATCGTTCTCTTTACGTAACTAACACGTTATCCTTGACTCGCAGACACTCAGACAGACTCGCAGCCTGCCACAGGCGTCGAAAAGATGCCATGAGTGTCGGCTGAATGAGGCGCATCGAGAGTTTGGATTTCGCCCAGCCCCCCGAGCCCCCTTCCACCAGCCCCCAGCGAGGAAGAAAATGGGTCTCCGGCACCTGCACCTACCCTATCGTGCGCCGTTCCTCTATCCGCCCTATAGCCTGGCCTCGCGCGTCCAGGAGCATGCGCGCCGCCAGTTGCTGGACTTTAAGGACGCGATGTCGGATGCCAGCACCAGCACCAGCACTAGCCCTGGCGCCAGTGCCAACGCCAGAGCCACAAGCGTTCTTCGTGGCCGGCCCCCATCGCCGCCGACCTTGATTTCTTTCACGCCGTTGCCCACCTACACCCTGGGCCGTCGCCAGACCGCTCCCCTCAGCGAGGACGAGGTCGCACGGCTGCAAGCGCCCTTGCATGTCGCATCATCGCCCAAGCTATTGACCGCCGCCGCCGCCGCCACCACCACATCGACGCCTTGTCTACCCGTGTCCATCGTCAGCTCCCCCCGCGGTGGGCTGACTACGTACCACGGCCCCGGTCAGGTGGTTTTGTGGCCAGTACTGGATCTCCGATCCTTGCACCACAAGCAGTTCACCGTCCGTTGCTACTCGCGCCTGCTCGAGGATACTACTATTGCCACCCTGGGGTCCCTGTTTGGTCTAGCTGCCTTTACCACGGCTGACCCGGGCGTATGGGTTCGGCCGTTCAGCCGCTTCCACCCCTCCTCCCAGCCGACGAGCGTCAACCATGGGGGCCGTGGCGCCACCGCTGCCGCCGCCGAGGGGGGGGAGATGAGGGAGCCTGCTAAGATCGCCGCGCTCGGTGTGCATCTGCGCCGGCACGTCAGCGCTCTGGGTACCGCCATCAACGTTGCTACCCCTGGCTCTGACGTGACCTCTGAGAAGCTCAATCCCTGGGCACGCATCATCGCGTGCGGGCTCGAGGGCAAGGCTGTGACAAGTGTCGCAGCCGAGTTGGCTGCTGCTACTACTACTGTTTCGGTCGGTCTTGTAGGCCGGTCATCGGACCGACAAACCGACGGCCAAGCGGGTGGCATCGGCGCCCAGCCAGACGCAGAAAGGGATCCTCTCCCGCAAGAAGCGGTGACTGCTACTGCCTGGGCCGAGGAGCTCGCCCGTCGGATAGAGGTTGACGGGGTTGACGTTGTTGGCCAGCCTGAGGTGATGGACCTGCTGGCGGACCTCATCCGCCATGACGCGAGTGTTGAAGAGCAGCAGTTCGTGACGGAGATGAGGAGGGTGCTCGGGGTATGATGGAGGAGCGTGATTGATGTTCGAAAAAGCCCCCTACGAAGTATGAGATCGGTCGAACCTTGTCCTCGTCATATTGCGATGCAAACGGAACGCCCATTAATAGACCGCTTCTGCATGCCGGAATTCAACGAGTCGTAAAACATTCCGGTGCTATACTACCTACGTACCTACCTGGCCACTGCCCATCATGCATTTCGATTGCTACCGCAGCATCGGCCTCGACTCCTTGTCTTGATGACCGATTGCTCATGCCGTAGAGGGGTGGTTGTGTATCGTGTCAGTACTCTAATTGACGCTCCCTATCATTTGTACTTTCATGACAACCTCTTCATTTTGTTACACAATTCTTTTTGTTTTCCCTTTTACCTTTTCTCTCCATCTCTCTGATATTCCATTTTGGCCCCCGACATCAAAAGCATGATGACTTGGCTTGCGTTAATATCATACGAGCTCCGAGCCATCCTCCGATCCCGCTTGCGGCTCCCAAAAGGCAAAGACGAAACAACCGCCTTATCTCGCACCACTAATATTTCTTGCTCTAGCACGCACCCTCTTTCTTGCTCATCTCTCTCGTGTCATGTCCTGTCCTGCCATGTCATGTCCTACCGGTATATTGTAACTTGCGTCGTGTGTATTCCTTCTCTTGCGCAGCTCGGCAAAAACTGCAAGCCAAGAAACACGGCGCCTTGCCGCCAAGTTAAAGGTGATGCATCAAGGCCTGAGCGTTCTGATGCTCGAGAATGACCTTTTTTTCAGAATGAGGGGGAAAGAATAGGCGACTAACCGAAGAAAAAAGGCAATAAAAGCATGGGACAATTCTAATAGAGTATTACATGAAAAGACTTAGAGAACAGAAACAAGCCGGATAATGGATGAAGTGTCAGCTGCGGTTGTGCTATTGTTGAGCTAGACGCAGTGAATCCAAACACGAAAGGGGTTGTCATAATATCTGGTTGCTCCTGGCAAGAAATCCAGTTTCATTATTCTCTTCTTTTAGTATTCTTTGTCAAGAAACCTCAAGGTAGGCATTAGTAGGTAGTCGACTGTAACCACAGCCGTTTTAGACCGATCTCGGATGCAAGTCAATAGTCCCAGCCCCTCCTCTACCAACCAAGGCAAGGAAATGGAACAAGACGACACCATTTTCCCCTTTTCTGAACCACACCTTCCCAATTTATCGCGAGGAAAAATGAAAAAGAAAACAGAGGGAATTTTAGACCACAACGGAGGTGGAAAAGGAAGATCATTCCATATCCTTTCACCATCGCCTGCCCTTTTTGGGCTTCCATGCAATTCCCGGGTAGAGCGCCATCCCCATTTTGCTCGCCCCTAGAATAAGACGGTTGAGGTGGTTTCCAGTCTGGTTCCTGGTCGTTTGTTGCTGCTCGAAGTTGTCAACCAATATTTAGCCCAAATGTTTCTCTGTCCCACTGATGAAGCTACCCGAACCTGATGTGACTCCCTCTGGGAATGGCGTGGTGAGATTAGAGATGCCCGAGGTACCAGAAAACACGCCCTGATTGGTTGCTGTTATTTTTGAGCGGAAGAGCGAAAGAAAGAAGCAGCAAAAATTAGCTGGGTCATTGATTCGTGATCATTATCACGTTTCATCCATCCATGCTGCACGGATGATTTCCAAGCGCTGAATTATTATCGGATATATCGTCTTCTTCGTTAAGCTGTTTCCGTGTCCTCTCCTGGCGTCTTTATAGAGCTTGCCTACAGGAGCAACCCTACAAGCTTCCCCTCTTTCTGCAGCTGGGTCGCTGCGGCAGATCGTATTCGTCTGCTTCTGGCTTGTACTCCTCTGGTTGAAAGTTGGGATTGTTATAGTGTGCCACGTTGAAGTGGCTGTTTTTAAATGTTGTCGTAAGGAATGTCGGCTCCCTCCACACCCCGTTTGCCACGTACTCGGGCAGTTGACAGTATTTGTTGAACCGTACCGGATGGTCCTGCTGGGGTGTCGTAGGGGCAATACCGGGAAGTGGTTCAGCAAACGGCAAGGGCGATGGCATCCATGAAGACGCTGGGCTTGGAGTGAAGGCTGCCAAGGGCGAGCTAGTAGTGGTGTCCATGATGGGGGCAAGTCCCGGGGGAGGCTGGCTGAACCCTGGTATCATCGAAAGTGGCTGCAAGTCTACAGCCGTAAAAGCATGGAGGGCAGCGGGGGTGTTGGCAATCTCGTAGCTTTGCGAGAACCCCGTCACACGGTGAACCTGGCGGTCCATATCGACGGCATAAAGGATATCGTAGTGGTCGGGCCGGTAGAGTAGATGAATGATTGGCCCAAGGGCCGAAGGGTGCTGGTCGTTGGCTTCATCGGGAAAGCGGTACGTGTTAACCTCGCTCGCCACGCTTCGGTCAAGATAGGCAATCTCCAACACAAAGCCAGCGGGCTTCAGGAGAACATTGACCAACAGCATAATGCCGAGGTGCTCGATTTCGACGTTGTGGCGCTCAATGACAGCCTGGCAATATCCGTCAATGCCCATGTCCGAGGTGATGAAAGCCGCAAAGGCTTCGCGGTTGCCCTTGAGCCAGGAGCTCGCCAGGAGCCGGAAATGGTACATGATGGAGTTTGAGATGTCACCGTTGTTGAAAGCCTCGGTTAGCTCTGCCATGGCCTTTTCCCGATTGCCAATGGCTCCTGCAATCCTCTGCAGGAGCTCGATTGTCTCGTCGGCCATGTCTTGGAATACAAGGGCCGACAAGCCACCCACAGTCTCGATGAAGTCGTTGAGAGTCTCGAGGCGCTGTTTCTCAGACTCGATCAGCGCTTTATTGCCACTTTTGATCAAAGTCTCGAAGTAGCCGAAGCCAATTGCTGTTTACGCGGCCGTCAGCAGGGTCATTGGATTACCTATCTCGAAGTAGCTACTCACCCCGCCAACCGCAATTGCCGTCGCCTTGGACAGGACGGTAGTGTGAGTATGTTTGAGGCAGAGCCTGCGGTATTGTTAGCACGGGGTAGCGGCGTCGTGAAAGATGGTGATGCAATATGGCAGATATGAAGACGGGGAGAAAGGTGGAAAGATTTTGAGAACCAACGGAGGGAAACCGGGGAGCAGAACACAAAGAGTTGTCATGGAAGCAGAAAAGAAGAAAAAGATGCCGAGAAGAAGAATGCTGCCCACCATTGTCTTCTGCACGTAAATCGGATCGGCCTTTGCATATTCCTCCGTGATTGCCGTGCTGGGCATCTTGTTGCCAATAAGCGGTCCCTAGAGGTGGGTTGGTGAGCAAAGAGAGACAAGACACAGTGCGAGGGGCCGCGCCATAGCAAGACGCGCGCGCCCAGGTAGGAAACTGGAGCACAAAGTGTGCAGATGAATTCTTACATTGAGCTGCGGTTGATATTCCCGCGCGGCCGCCTCCTGGGCAGCTAAGTCGTCCGAGTTGACCTCCATCTTGACCATGGAAAAATGCGGTGCGGGAGAGGGTTGGTGGTTGGTGATGGGCGACGCAGAGTTGGAAGCAGGCGACGTCGAGTTGGAGTTGGCGTGGAAGTGGAAGGTGCCAGATGCGGGGCCGACGCCCATGTTGCTGGCGCTGAAGATAGGGGACGTATAAATCAGGGCACTGCCTGCGTCTGACGTTCCAGGACTTCCGCCAAACACCCCGCCGCCGCTGCTCAAGCCTAATGGCGTCTCCTCGAACGTGTACTCGGGAAGGCCATGGACGGACCCGTAGCCGTTAGAGACGTGGACATACGCCGTCGGCCCAGGCTGGAACATGCCGAAGTTGGAATATGTGGGTTGGTACTTGAATGCGTCAAAATGGGGAAGAGCCAGTCGTAGCGTCTCCCAACCTGAACTCTATGGCCGGTTGCCTGTGCCTGTGCCCGCGCCTGTACTCTGAAAAGCCCCGGGGCATGTGGGTGCGTGTGTTGCGGGCGTGAACTGGAACTGGAACTGGAATTGAGATTGGGACTGAAACTTTACTGAAATTTGAACTGGATGGAACTGGGACTGGAAGGTGAGCGACAGCTTGGGTTGCCGTTTGGGATACCCAGATAACAGTTGCTGTATAGTCTCGGCATGAAATGACAGGACCAACAGCAGCAGAAGCAGCTGCCAGCGCAAACTCGAACACTGGGGTAAAGTCGACGGGACGGAGGCAGACACTTCTTTTTTATCTTCTGTTTGCTGCAGAGGCCGAGTGGGCGTGTTTTCCACCGGGTAGCCTGCGCCCGTCGCGAACCAATGCCCCCGTCAGGTACGGGAACAATGTTATGTATGTACCTTACCGACCAGCGACCCAGGCCTCGGCGACACAGATGGAGAAAAACAGGGAACAGATCCTGAGATTAAAGACCAAAGAAAAATTATAATAAATAAAAACGACCGAATTCACAACAGAAACGCGGCGGATGGCGCACACAGCCAAGAACAGCTACGTCAACCAAGGGGCACACAAACTGCAGCAGCCTGGAGCGAGGGAAGACGACGAGTAGACTGAGAGAAGAACAGAGGGCCGAGCCAAAGATTTGGGATGGCCACCAAGGTAGTAATAAAAGCGACGATGAGGGAGAGGGGAAACAAGCCCCCCAGTAGCCACGCCCTGAATGGGAAGTGGAGACGAATCCAGTGTGGAACGCAGCTGCCGTCTACTTGAATACGTACGGAAACCTACCTAGGAACCTATGGTAATGGAAGGTAAGGTAGGTAAGGGAGTGTATGGTATTGGATGTAGGCTCGCGGACTGCTTTGCTTCTGTTGCCACTTTGATTAACTGTTTAGAGAATTCCCGTCTTATTGCTGGCTATATAGGTAGTATCTCATCCGGACAAGCAGAGCAGAAGGGCAGGGTGGGCATGGGGCATATGGGCATATGGAGCGAAGCACTTGCACATAATTACTCCATACCTAGGGTCCTAGGCAGCCTGGGCTGGAGGTGCTGTTGCTCTTTCTTGTGGTGGCTGCAGCTACCATGGGAGCTAGCACAATGTCGCTGCGCTGGCCACTGGCTGCTGGCCGCCTACTGTAGCATGTTCCTACGCTGCAGCTCTTCTGCAGTCTCACACCTCTCACAGGAGTTGCCAAGTTGCGTTAGTCACTGGCCCTCACAGGCCCCCTCTGTGTAACAGATGAGCATCTTTTTTTCTATTTTTTTCTGGGTTTTTTTTATCTGAGAAAGACACAAGCCTGCAGCAACAATAATCATGATCCCTGAACCTAGCGCATTGGCCCGCAGCCGCCCCATGTCTGGGATGAGAAGCCGCCATAGGGGCTTGCCGGGGGCTCCCGGTCTGCCGTTGACGAATTCTTGAGACAAGGGTCCGCTGTCTGAGCTCTCTCACCCAGACCCAAGACCCAAGACCCAAGACCCAGACCCAGGCGTGATGAGCTGTTCTAGCCTTGCAGCGCACCAGCACCATCGTTGCTTGTTTTGTCACTTTTAATTTTTAATTTTTTTTGGCCTCCTGACTGTTGAACGCCGTTCCTTTGGAGCCCATTTCCCGCCCATCCTCTTCCCTCCTTCGACCTTAGATGGCAACGCGCTGGCCCTGGCATGCTGCTGCGTGACACTGCGAGCTCTGGGCGCAAGAGAACAGGGCGCGCGCCAATTCGTCGTTACACGGCCTGACGAGTTATCGGCCACCGTCCCTTCTGCCATCCCCGAAGCTACCGAGCTCAGTCCCGCTACCTCAATGCTCATCCCAGTGCTCAGTATCTCCATATAAACGAAGCGTTGCTGGTGAGCTTTAATTGTCCGTTTCTGCACGGGTTCGGAAAGGATTCGCTTGCGAATCATCCGTGCAAATGTGTGTCTGTGTATGTACGGATTACGTCCTTGCAGCCCTGCCAACAACAAGAGGTCCGGGCCTGCACTTGGGAGAAGGAGCTAAGGTTGTGGTTCTTGGCACCGAGCTAGCTTACCCCCTCCTCCCTCACCCCTGGGTGCGCCTCGTTTGCCCCACTCCACACCCCAGAACCACATTCCTGGGGGAGTGGCAGGGGAGGTGTCTCGATAGGCGGGGAGTGAACTAATGGGCAAATTACCTGAGGTAGGTATGCCTGGAGAAGCAAAAGAGAGGATGCACCTGCATCGCCGGCACCTTGCTCCCATGATAGGACGCCCTGCCGACCCAAACAGCGCCATCTGCTGATATGATACGGAGGTACTGTACAGTTAACCAGAAGAACGTCAAGGTAGGTCGCCATAGCGAAAAGACGTTTAGGAGCAGCCACAGTTGCCCGTTTATATATCGCCGCCTAGGAAAGTCGTGGGCGCACCTCAGAGTACAGACTGCACCTTTCAATGTCTGAATGGGCATTGGATAATGAATATACCATACGGAATACCTAGTTTAGTATACGGATACTTCGGCAGCATATTTTACTCGATTCACACAACCAACCATGGAAGCCATCAGCCCATGACGTCCGTCACCCGATATAACCCCCCCTCGCAATTGGCGACTCGGCTCGATAAAATAGTGTGCTTACGATATAAGCCTTAGCGCCACCCTCCCGTGGGAAGCTTCGCCTGGGGTCTGGCCAAATGCACCTCCGGCCCCAACTTTCCGTGGGATAGGGTACTGTCGAGTTAATTACCACTTGCCTATAGCACCCGAGCTAACGCGGTAGTCTGGCCACGTACCCGACCAACTAATTGATGAGGGGCACACACGATCGAGGCACAGTGGTTCCAATATCGACAAGATGCTAATATCAACGAGATCGGGGTGTCGAGATAAACCCGGAATTATCAAATAATTGCAGATCGAATTGCCGGTTCTTGATCGGCCGTCCTGTGTCTCAGGTGCGAGTCTAGTCCAATCTGGTCGATCGTGGCGTTTCTTTTGACTGCCAAAAGCGAGGACTCTATGCTTTTAGGGGCAACGGGGAAAAGGGGTGGAGCGTGGCCATCTGGTGGTACAGTGGCTAGGTAGCCTTCTGCTCCTCCATGCGCTCGCACGATACGCACGCGCAAACCAGGAACAAAGCTCGGCCGGCAGTTGGACAGTTGGGCGAGTAACACAACGCCGTCACATTGCGGCACACGCTAGTTCTCTCACTGGGCAGTCGCACATGTTATCGGCTTTTCTGTAAGACCTCTTGATGGTGGGCAATGGAACTTAAGGTTGATGTTGCCTAGCGGCAATAGAGAGAGGAGAGCCACGCCGTCTTCAAAGTAGCCTTTTCTTAGAGCTTGGCTCAAGCAAGGCTGACACCTAGTACAGTTTAACCCCTCCACTATTTAATTATTCCCGCGGCACAGACGGGGAGGGTCTCCACGATGGTGGTACCGAAGGACAAGGAACCGAAAAGCGAGGCCGTGATTTAACAAGGACGACGAGCACGATGAAAGAAATGTGTGGCTCATAGACTAGATAACTATGAATACCTCCTACTACTCCTGTTCTCCGACGCGCTCCTCTTCCTTCGGTTTGTGGAATAACGACGCAACTCGAGACCGCTTGAACTTGCCCGGCACCTCCTTGAGCCTGCGGTAGCTTCTCTTAAGGCTCAGCTTGGAGAGCTTGCGCGTGAGCGTAAGCGTCTCCCCCTCGCCATGGTCAGTGCCCTTGTCCTTGTCCGTACTGATACTTATCTTCTGCTTTCCCTTCTCTCTTCCCTCCGGTATCCCCTTCTGCTCCTCGTGGCCATCGTCATGCTTGCTCTGCTCCATTAGCAGACGTTCCTCCTTCTCCCCCTCCTTGAGACTACCAATCCCGCCGCTGCCCGTCTTGGTAGGTTGGCTGACCTGAACACTATCTGTACGCAGCGCTGGGAGTATGGTGTTGGAGGATGGCTTCTAGTCATCCTCGGCCTCCTCTCCTTCGGCCTCCTCTCCTTCGGTCTCCAAATCGGAATCGCTGTCGCCCAGCAATACCTTATTCACCCGAACTTTCCGTAAAGCTTCATGGTACGCCATCTCGAGAAGGGATTTTCTCCAAATCGCTTCTGTCCTCTCGGTCAAGATGCCGAGCTCGAGAGCGTCTCGGAGCATGTCGTTCCAGTCGCTAGGCAAAAATACCTCATCTCAAGCCGAACCTGGTGTGTCATCGTCGGGGGGGTCGCCGCCAAAGATAGCTTGAAGGGCTCCGGCGGCTTTTATACCGGCAAAATATCTACTGCATGGCATATCGCATCTGGAAGAAGCGGATGTCTGGCAGCGGGCGTTTCTCCGGGTCAGACGTGCTTAACTCATAGATATCGCCGTGTACGACATATCTAGCGCCAGCCCCAATCGAGTCCTGCATCGTCCGCTTACGATCTACCAAGTTAGTCTCCTTGCTATGACCCTGGCCGCCACTAGTAAGACATATCTCGGTATGGCGTTCCTTGAACCAGACGACTTGGAGGTACATCCTATGGTCTGGGTTTGTTGGGTGCTGAATAGGACGGGGGGCAAATTTGTGCTGGTCCCAAAGTCGATGGGCGCTAGGCTGCAATGGGAGAATGTTTCGTTGCTCATGGCCGGCGATGTCGAGCTTTTGGATGACTTCCAAAGGCCAGAACATCCGAAGTACTCTCCAAAAGCTAACAGGCGTGCGCATGAATATAGTGGCTTGGACATCGACAATATGTGCGGCGTCGACTCCCTCGAAACCGGTTAAGGAGCAGCAGTTCTGGTACCAAGGTGGTACCATCCGCTAAGCTTTTTTACCCTCTTTGCTGTGGTATTCCCCTTTGCCTTTGCCTTTGGCCGATGTCTGCTCCCTTCCCTCTTCCTCGAGCATCCCAACCAAGGTCTCGTTAGGCTGGTTGATCCAGATGCCCATAATCTTTTGGACCAGTGTAATCAACACCTCCAATTGACCCTAGAAGAACTCGTCGAGCGCCTCAGACTCCATAATATTACCCAGACGTATTTGAGCCAACCTCGAGGACGGATCGAGCACCACAGCCTGTATTGCGAACAGAGCCTTCACTTCTTCAGCATGCGCTGTGGTTTTGCGGCCGCCCTTGTTATTGCTGTTGCTGGTACGAGCCACAATTTCGCCTTGAAGAAAGGCGGCGAACTGCCGCTTCAGCTCTTCATCCGTCGTTGGAAGGCGTGATCCTGACGGCTGCGAGCTCCAATCAGGGCTCGCATCATCTCGCGCCGAAGTGTATTCATGTGAGGGCAGATGGGTGGACGTTAAGGGTCCGGCACCGGGCAAAGCTTCAAGCAGATGAGGCACCTAGTCGATGGCGCGATTGTCGACGAACTTTGTCTCGATCGGCAGAGGCGCGTAATCGGCAGCCTTTCGTTTCGGCGGCATGGTGATAACCTAGGCACCAATCTCTCGTGCGATGTCTTAAGGGGGAATATAAATAGAACGTGCGCACCCAGTCTGTGGAGCAAGTGGCTGGCGGTCCACATACTAGAATATACCGGAGTAAAGAAAGCCACAACGAAATGACGAGTAAAGCCAATATTATACCGAGAAGGAGGTAAAATATTCTAACTCTTACAGTAATCTTTTCGAACCCGATTTTTCTACTAGATTCTATCGTTGCGTTGTTGATAAAATATAACAGAGAAATCCGAAGGCTTGGCAGTACCGCGGGAACAATTAAACAGGGATCGGAGTATACATACCTACGGCCAAAGAAACCTTAGACGTAACCCCCCCGGCTTGCCGGCGCGGGCGCCCACGGGCGGTGTGACTTGGTTGTGACTGCTACAACAACAGGTAGCTCACTAGAATATGACATTTTGTTTTTTAAGGTGTCCGTAGGTACCAACCTATGCGTACCCCCTCGACTTGTCCGAAACCTACCTGTGGAGAGACTAAGTCTACGGTGTATTAGGTTTAAGGGATGCTACCTTGACCAAGCTTAGCTTGCACGGGGTCATTATATGTAATCCGCTTTCTAGAGAACGGAGTACATAGAGTCACCATGGCACATGAATACCCCACCAGGACTGAGCGGGGCATTGCAACAGCTAGTTGAGATACCGTTACCCCTGGCCACGGCTAAGGATAACATTTCTGGCTGGCGACGGCCTGATACCAAGTGACGCTGAAGTCTTACAAGCCGCGTGGGAGGAGCTCAAGGACAGGATAGATAGGTTGGCTTGGTTAGTTCGAAATCATACAGCCCAACAGTAGACGATCCTCGATGCAGCAGCTTGCCGCCCCCCAGATCTCACCCTGGTGCTCTCGTTTGCTCTACTGTTGATCTTGTAATCAGTCTCCTTGCGAAGGGTAAGTGCCAGGATGAGGTTTGTACGAGTACAGTATGTATATGTGCGCCGGCATGTTGCTGCCAACGTGTTACAGTGTGCTATGCTGCTTCCACTGTCCATCATTCAAGAACCAATAGGCGGTCGAAAGCAGTACTCCGTATCGCCCGGATAGGTCGTCAATGGGTAGGAGGGAGGTACCTGAACCGAGACTTTACGCTCGTACTTGGACTGGCGAAATTTATTGTCTCTTCAACTGTTGGTCGGCGAGCGCGAGCTAGCCCAGGAGTATAAGCGGCACTCTCCTTGTGTATATCAAACCGCTAAGATCGGCCACAGCCAATGAACATAACCCAAGGGCGACTAGACCACGTCTACCTTTGAGCGGGGCACTTTGTGTGGGTGGTGTCGGGGACAAGCGAAGGTGCGCCAGCTACTACGTAGGTAGTATGGAATTCGTTGAGCGAGGTGGATGCCCCTTCGGTGATTCGATCCGATTTGCGATCGAGCGACGAGGTGGGGCGGGGTTCGTGGTGGCTGCCAGTTCCGCGAGCCACGGCCAGCGAAGAACCAACCGGTCAAGGGACATGCAGCGCAGAGTAGTGATTGAACTGCACCCCAGAAGACGCCCCATAAAGACGCGCGAGTGGTGTGGATTGAACGGAGAAATCGGGGATCATTAAGGGAGGGGGGGATATAATCATGAATGAAGGTAGGGAGGGGGACGACTGTTGTGGGGCGGCAGTATCCATGGCATGGCATCGCGGGGAGAGCTCGAGCTCTAGTTTCTAGCAGGCAGAGGAGGTGGGTGAGACATGGATGATGGGACGTGTTATCGAGAGCCCATCTTACAAGGGTTACCAAGGGCATGGCTGCATCTCCGAGCTAGTGTCGATCCTGTGTTGGAAATGGAAAAAGGAAAGACGGCCAGAATTTCGGCTGCTGGGCGGAAAAGTTGGAGAGAGGAAGTAAGGCAGGCCCGGAGGATACACGGATTCACTGAAGTGCTGACCATGTTCCCACCAGCAAACTCTGAGCGAAGCAGCTACTGTAGGCAGGTATCTTCCTATTGTCTGTCTCGGGCTGTTGGCTATCATAAATGGAATCCAATAGCTTCTATTCCTTGCCGCGTAAGAATTCTAAGACTAGCGGGATGAACGGAGACGGGAATGGAGAACGGAAGACTGGGGTGACCACTTTTGCAGGCCAAAAATTGACCAAGGCTAGATCCTGGAACTCAGGCTCGGTGGGCCAGTCAACCGACTGAACTTCCAAAGCTTTCATGTGTGTATTTCGTACATACAGACGGGAGCATCCGTACTGTGTGGGCAATGTATTTAACGTAGGTATAGGTGAAAAGCCAAGGTACCATTCTAACAAGCCTTTTTAACTTCCAGCTCAAGTACGGATACATGTAAGGTGCAGTGCGGCCTAGTAATTCCTCTGTTTGGTGTTATGTAGATTCCCTAGTACGCATTCAAGTTACCCACTCCGTTCGGTGATAGGCTGCTAGTATGGACAGATTGCCAAGGCTGAACATTACATACCTACCTGGGTTAGCTATAAACCTACAACCAGGTGTACGGCTGTATGTAAATAGGTTAGGTAAAAGGTACTAGGTGGGAGGTAATGTGTGAGAGTCATAGCGCCATCTCTAGCTCTTCAGCCTACATAGCTTGATGCTCCATTTCCATCTATTTGACGTGCGTCTGAAGTTGTGTTTTTGGGGCATTTAATCTCAGTAGAAGAACTCGGTATCGTGTGCAGTGAATACCGAGTGATACGCCGATTTGGGCGCCGGCCGCCTTCCATGCGCCCTTTCATTACCATAGGTAGGTAAGGACCCACCCAGGTGTCCACCTCAGACGGTGAGTGGAGGGAGAATGGTTGCTTGCCCGCCCGCCAGCATCCAGCCCGCCGTCACCGGTCTTGCTGCAAGTGCAAAACATGGTGCAGCAGCCGGTCTACATCCCGAAGACTCTGTGGCTTCCCGTCTTCTCGTAAACACCCCCCCTTTCGGCGGGACTCCCATTGCATCATCTGCCGTGCATCTAATCGGTAGAGAGACGGCACTGCTGGTTGTTTATCGCTCTTGGGGGGCACATTCACATTCCATGCCGTCTCCCCGCCCGGCGATGCCTGGATCGCGGCCGATTGCTTCCATCCCGTCCCTAGGGAGCCCTGTCCCTGTTCCTGCCCCGTCCTTCCTTGCCCTTGTCTTGCCCTCTGGACGCGCCGATGGGCCTGCCGCGGGACACATCCAGATCCTCAGCTTCGACGGCTTGCAATGGGACCTGAGGCTCGGCTCCGGGTCCGGGGGGACTGCCTCGCAGAACCTCAGCTCAGCATCGAGGCTCTGTCTGCCAGAGAGTCCTCCTTTCCCCCTCCCCCCCACTCCCAAGATGGCGGCCGCACGAACCCACACGGGCAATTGGTTGAGCGTGTCGAACGGCTGGCTGCAGAGAGGACAAATTAATCCGTGGTCAACTCTCAACAGATCGACGTTGCAGCCATTGCGGCCAGCACATGCCGATAATTACGCAGTAGACCTGGCACGCAGCATGCCCTGTCATTTCGCGCATCGGCCACCTTTTCTCGCCATCCCCGGCCGCATCGAAACAAGTCCGCTGCGACTTGTTCGGCTTGTGGGCGCATTCGTCAAGTCAAGCCGTCCTTGAAAATATCCCTTGAGCGTCCTTTGAGCACGGCCTAATCCCGGCCATCCAGCCATCCATATTTGCCTGCTCTGACCTTGACCTGGCAATGGGGCCTTTCCAACTGCGGCCTTGTGCAACGCAATAACAAGCCAGCAGTAGCCCCCGCGCAACTGCAGCTATTGCACTGCAAGGAAGTTCCCGCACGCATCCCGACCGGACGAGTTCCCAAAGACTCCGCGGCGCCCGCCTGCGATTTGCCCACAACAGATACCTCCACCTTCTGGCATAGAGACGCTTTCCTCCTGTCTACATGGGAGGTCCTGGAGTCGCCCCTCTGTCGGTGAGGAGCGGCCGAGGGATATATCAATAAACCTCGACACCCACATCATTTAAACCGCAATTCATTAGCTAATGCTCGGCCCAACCCTGGGAGGTGGCCGGCAAGCTGCCGTCCCTGCACCGGTGGTTTCCGTGCCCTGTATAGGTATGCCTGTGCGGTACATACGCATGCCCTTGTGTACAGTACATATATACTGTGCCTTACACTTTTTCTACGGAAATCTATGCGTGAGTGCTGGGTGAAGTTGAGTGAGTCTACGATTATGTGTCTGTGTGGAGCAACATGAGCGCATCTCTGCCCGTTGTGAACCCTTCCAATTAGGTCTAATTAGATCTGTAACCTGCTATTATTTGTACCGCTATCGGCGGGTTTCTGTCAACTGCTAACGATATTTCTGGCTCTGGCTGTTGTTATCTTGCTGCGTTGGAGTTGAAAGTGCATGTCGTTGGCGCTCTAGCCACGAAAGATCCCCAGGTCAAATGAAACCTAGGCCCCGGCCTTCTAGTTCATTCGACATGGAAAGACCTGTCCGCCGGGCCTGGCGAACTTGTATCCAAACTAGTACTTCACCGGGTACGATGGCATGCTACAAACCCGAATGTACCAACCTAGTTGTTGTCTCGGGAGGTGTCTTCTCGTGTTAGATGATAGCCATTGCGTTTGTGAGTTATGCCTACCGCTTCTTTCCTGCATCATTCTTGCATGCGCTGCTGCATCTTTCAGCTGTATTCCATTATGGTGACATCTTACGGGACTGCACGAAACATCCGAACCAAGCAGGCTCCTAGCCATAATCGCTCGCAACTGATTTGGGGAATATTTCTGTTATTCTTTCTTGTTGCCGACTAGTGGTCGTCACAACCTACCCATATTGAAGAACACCCCTGTGATATATGATATATACAAGGGTATAGATAAGTCGTACAGATGGATGCAAGACTGGAAATCACGAGCTAGAATCGGAGTATACGGTTTGGGGTTTGCCGTGCGATTGGCCTTATTTTCGACCGAAGTGACAAATCGACAAGCGGCCGAGCAGAGTCTTCGAGATGGGTACTCGTCTGGAGCTACTCATCCGAATCTGGCTCGTTTTCTATTCATGTCACCTGTCCGTCCTCCGCAGTTATGCGCAGCTGACAGTTGCTTGCAGTCTAAAGAGAAATAGGCATCTCGGCGGCTGCAATGAAAAGCGATAGACGAACTCTATCACAACTCAACTCCTGATAATAATACGGATCCGTATAGTTGTAGTTCTCGGAAACCTACTGTAACTCCTTCCACCTGACCAATCCCTCATCCTTCCCAGTCAAAAGATCATCAGAGACATATCTGAATACCACTCACACCACAACTCACGTGGTATGAATCAAAAAACAACAGTAGTATTTGGATGCATTGACTATGTCAAGACTGAAGTGCTCACATTGTTTATGATCGTTTCATCACGGCGTCATGGCGTCACGGCATGACATGCTTCACAGAACAAATCACAATTGATGCCATACTCGAAAGCAAGACTAGCCAACAACTCTCAGAGGACTGAGTTGAGACGGGGGTTCTTTGGTAAGGAAGAGGCTCCGGATGGGGACACTTGGTACGATGCCTGTCAGACACGCGCACTGCATCCGAATTATTATATACTATGATAGGATCTCGATCATGCTCTAGAATATATGGTCAGCTAGCGCCGAGGGGGGAAGGAGGGACGATTGCCTGAGTCAGATGTGGCATAGTCTATATGTAGACTGATTGCTTACTGTTGTATATCAAGATTAACCATAACAATATTTGTATGAGCAGCCACTTAGAGGCGAAGGTACGCTCGGGAACGAGAAGAGCCAAAGTTCAATGTAGCAAGAAGAAGCGGGGATGCGGGTGTACATCGGTCCTCATCGTCGGACTTTCAGGCCATTCGACGGTAACGGGGTCTCCAAATATCAGTTTGGATCTGGAACATTACCGACAACTTGTAAGTGTAGAGCTTCAAGAAGTTAGAAGATAATTCATCTTACATCATCCTCCAAAGTCTTGGCAGTCACTTGCACAAGAGAAGCCCGGAAGCGGGACCGCAGCAGTAATAATAAAGATTCGCAGTCATTAATCTAGAGTCGGATGTGTTCTCATCGTGGTATCTCTCCTTCTAGTCATGTCACCATCAATGGACCAGCCGCGCCATGCTGCCCAACCCTCGATATCGTTACACGTCAGAGAGAGGCTGCAAACCAATGCGGTGTCCAAGGGAGGCGGGTTCCTCGACCTTCCTAGCTCGAGTTGAACTGCTGACGACCCCCCATATTCACATGCTTAGTGCATCGCCATATTGACGAACCCGCTTTTCAGGTTTCCACGGCGTTGTCTTCCCGCGGACCTCAGACTAGTCCCTCGAAGACTGTCCGGAAACGAACTAACTTCACCCCCAAGTTCGGCAAAAGAGGTGTCGACAACCGCGTGGCGGAATCCGTCGGCATCCTTGAATACCGATGCAAAGAGCTCACCAACTGAGTCGGCCAGGCCTTGAATTGTCTTTACGCGTCTCGCATCTGCCAAAGACTCAATCTCCAGGGTGCTGTTGTGCTCGTCGATGCGGCCTTGCACCCGGCCGTCCACAATCAGGTAGCTGAGAATGTCCTGGACCTCGGCCTCGCCAATTCTCAGGCTTTTGGCGACCCAGCTCAGGCGCATGCGAGTGTAGGGTGCGATGAGCTTCAAGACGGCCTTGGTTCGCATGTTGCGCGTGACCTCGTCTATGTTCTCGGCGATGAAGGGGTCCGCTAACAGGTCTTTGTTTGTGTGGAGCACGTCCTCGTACTTGTAGATATCATCTCGCTGATAGGCATCCACTAGGTCCGTCATGGCGGCGATGCGGGGGTCGCTCTTGTAAGGTTTGGTTTCTTGGCTGTCGAAAGGGTTGATGTCGGACTTCATTAGCATGGTGGTCAGAAGAAGATACTTGAGCACCTGGATACGTCGCAAATCACCGGCTTCGTCATAGTTGCGGAATGACTCAAAGAAGTCGCTCTGTGCATTTTTCCAGTTCTCCTCGCTCATGTGCATTTTGCCACCGCACTCGCGGATGATTCCCTGGATTTTGGGGTGCGGTACCGCTGAGCGCACTTTAAGGGCTCGCTGGTACAACACCTTCAGCTGATTGTTGTTCCGCGTTTCCGAATACATCTGAATCTCCAAAGCGTAGATCTCGAGCGAGTATGTTCCCTTGCTAGGGTCGTCGCTCCCATCCTCTTTTTGGCAAGCGCGGTGTAACTCCTTAAGCTTCCGGCTCACTGCCTGGTAGTCCTTGCGGTCGAGAAGAAGCTTGGCGAGCTTAATGTTTGTCTTGAGCCATAAGCGTTCGTTGTTGGTGCTCTGGAAACATTGAAGGGTGAGCGAGTAGAACTGTTCGATACACTCGACCGCTGCGGGGCTGTCGGAGCCTTTCTCGATGAAGTTGAGCATGTTGTCAATCGACTTTTCAGAGTAGTTTCTCGTGACAGCCGACTTGACGTAAGTAAGGAGCTCCTTGTAGTTCTCAATAGTCTGGAAAACTTGTCAGCAAAGTCTTGCGCCCTGTATCGCAGGCAACAAAGAGGGTCACTGACCTGCTGAAAGTGCTGGAGCTTGAACTGGAGCTTGATGGCTTGTTTGAGACTCTTGAACCCCCATTCTCCCTTTTCTTGCTCCAACGCTGGTATAGCGAGGAACTGTCCGACGGCCTCCTCTGAATCTGTGGCCTTGGTCTGCTTCGCGTTGTAGTACTTGTTTTCAATGTCGACATCGCCGGTATCATCGTCCTCCTCGTCTTCGTATTCGAAGTCGTACTCCTCGTCCGAGGCTTGCATAAAATCGTCGTCCGACATTTTTCGCAGGTGTTCTCTGGCACAAGATATCGATTTCGGTAGGTTCAACTAGTGACGCGCGATGGTGGTGTAGTAGTCTAGGAAGAGAGTGTGCCTTGACCGCGTTGTCGTGCCATTGTGGAGGACTTGCAGTGAGGTAAGGCTGAAGCCGTGTGCGAAGGTGGGGGAAATCTTGGTGTGGGGTAGAGGCTTGTTCATTGGCTGGCAGTCTTTGGCTATTGCGGCCTGCAATCACGAGCTACCTACCTTCCCTGCCGTACCTGCCACCAAAAAATTTGTGGCGCTGCTCATCGTCACCACTTCGTTCCACATCACAACGAAAACCAACTGCTTCGTTCCCACCACACGCAAAGTCGCCCTCGCCGATCGACAAATTCGCTCGTCTTCTTGTCGATTCATTATTTTGCGCCAACTATCAGGTATCAACCCTCTGTGTTTGTCTTTCTGAGATTATTACTGGAAGATTACACTACCCGCTCTAGAATCGCCGCAGCGCAAATACCGCTAAGATGGGTTCCGGCGATCTGAATATGAAAAAGAGTTGGCATCCCCTACGGTCGGGGAATGTCGCTGCAACTCAAAAGGCCGAGGCTGAAGCGATTGCGGAGCGCAAAAAGCTACAGCTTCGTCTTCAGGAAATCGAGGAGGAGCGCCGGAAGGAGGAGATTCAGAACGCTCTCGAAGCATCGGGTGGCAAGCGCAAGATAGACAGGGTGGAGTGGATGTACGCTGGCTCTACCGATGGGCAGGCTGGAGATGGAGCTGAGAAGGAGGCTTACCTTCTGGGAAAACGGCGGATCGACAAACTCCTCCAGGACAACGAGACCAAAAAGCTTCAGAAGCAGCCGAGCCAAGACAGCATTGTCGCAACGCCGGCTATTGGCAACCCGCGGGACATAGCTGCCAAGATCAGAGAAGATCCATTGCTGGCAATCAAGAGACAGGAGCAGCAAGCATACGAGGCCATGATGAACGATCCCATTAAAAGAAGACAGTTGCTTAGTTCTTTGGGTATCGATGATCCCCAACAAAAGGAGAAGCCAAGAGAAGAGAAACGCCATAAGCATCGCCACCATCATCGATCTCATCGGGACCGTGACGAGGACCGGGATGAGGAACGGTATTCACGTCGGCGTAGGTCCGACTCGAGGGACAGGTCAAGGAGCCCTCGGAGACATGACGCAGACGAGGATCGGAGGCGACGAAGAAGGGATTCACCAGAGCGGCGGCGACCTAGATCTGAGTCAAGGAATGGGCGTGGTGGGCGAGACAGACGAGGCAGGCTGGGCGGCAGCCGTGCGAGGCGATCTCAAGACAGTCGGTCAAGGGAAAATTCACGCTCTCCAGCCCCTGCGTCGCGAAGAACTCGGTCCACAGAGCGCGGTGAACCACTGAAGCGCCTCGAGAGTCGAGGTGACGACCGGAATGGTGACCGAAACGGTGATCGAGGTGGCCGCCAGAACCGAGGGACTTTCAGATCTCTCAAAGCGGACGAGAGGGATAGCCGGCCAAGGACTAACGGCCGAGCATCTAGTAACCACACGGCCGACGGAGACCGGGCTGAGGAGGAGCGGGCCCGTAAACTCGCCGCCATGCAGGAGGCGGCTACAGACCTAGACAAAGACCGCCAACGCCGGCTCGCGGCTATTGAGGAGTCCGAGCGGGCCGCGCAAGAGGCAGACGACAGGGCTCGCCAGCGCAACAAGACGTTCGGAGGCGATGCAGGGTTTACGACCAGTCTTCACAGCAGAGCTGCCGATATGAAAGTAGCTAGTCGCTTGACTGGGGCTCGATAGTAAAGGAAGCCGGTAGGGATTTGGTTGTGCTGCCAACTACGGATACGAAAAAGATATGCTTGCTCCGTGTGAATTCGGAGCGACGAGTTTTGTGATACCCAATCAACGGCATCGATGCCTTCTGTTTATAGACACAATTTGTATATTGTTTTAGCATTCCGACAGCTCCCCTTTGCACACCAAATAATACAAAGGCGCCTTGTGCTTTGTGTCTTTGATATATAATCCAAGAGATCTCGTGCTGCAGTGTGCCTAGAACCACATACTTGTTAAGTCTGGTTCTAGTGCACTACACAGTCGCGGCACTGTGAAAACCAGCAGTCTCTCGGAGACCAGGCATGCTGCTACCTTGGAGCGTACCTAGGTATCGGTAAACTGGTTTCCCCAGAGTAGATCACCATCCGTTTCTGATGCCGATTCTTGACAGGGGTTCGTTAAAAACCCACTATACATAACTGATGGAAGCCGAATGAACGTGATATTGCTTGCACTCCTCTTGGTCGGCTCATATCCACCTGCTTCCCAATACGCCTTCGCCATCGCGATTGCCAATGTTAACAATGGGGCGGAGATGGCTGGAACCAACAGCCGAAACTCTCGCTTTCTACTAAATCTAGCCAGCCAATTGTGCCGAGAGAGTTGTCGCGCGCTTTCAAGACAAGAAAAGCTTGCACCTGTCATTTCTTGCTGCAACTCGCATTTCAGGGCAGATGTCTTGATGCCTCGATTCAGAGTTTGAAACGTGGAGAATTAAGCGGCGAGTTTCCTAGAGTGAACCAGATCTGCCTTGGATACTTCAAGACGGCAGGTTGGTGGCTTGGGTTCGCTTGCTGTCAACTTACTTGTAGATGAGACAGCCGTAGTTCTTGTTTGGCATAGTGTAAAAATGACTGTTTAATCTATGGTAGGGCGAGGTCGTGGTGATGTGATATTCGGCCCGTAGAAGGACCCGTGAAAGGTATAGGTAGTCTTTGCCGAGAGCTTATTGCGCTGGACTGAGGTAGTGTCTAAATTTCAACTTCTGTCAATGGGGAGTGGTTTGCATGTCAGATCATGCTTGCACCGTGGATTTGACCGCCTGGAAAGCCACCTCTTGCATCCGCAGCCGTGTGTCACTGCAGCAGTTCCAGGCCTGGCCTGCCGCACGAGGTGACGTACCCCAGGTTCCACGACTTTGGCCAAATATAGCGACACGAAAATGGGAACTGGAGTAAAACGGGCGCGTTCAGGCTCTTGCTCGTAGCTCCTGTGAGCTAGCCTGTCATTTGCATGCTCTTTCAAGCATTGTATAGATCACAGACTAGGTTATTGCTATCTCACATTTACTGAGGATCGAATATGCTTGATATCAGACCTGTCTCCTGTGAGGTGGCCCTCCGAGTTGAAAGTCCACACCGTGGCTTGAGCTGAGTGGATCAATTCCCCCACCCACTGTGGACGCTAGCGAGGGATCTAACTGGGCCTAAGAACTTGGCTTGCTCAGGCGTTCCCCGAGGGCCTCGAGGTGCGGCACGGCGCTTGGGCTGGTGGGCGGGGTGGCCCAGTCAAAATGCTTGCCCGTGAATCCTAGTCGATGCGCTCACTGGGGTGCTGCCAATTTCACTGACTTCGGCCTCAATTTCGTTCCATTCTGGTTGGACGCCTTATTCGACTGCTGTTCACTTTCGCTCATTGCATTTCGTGTTTTTTTTTTTTGGATACTACAAACGCCTTTTCTACTTTCTTTTGGTCTGAGCTACGTCGACATTTTGCAAGCGTCTGCCAACTTGGTCCGAAACGGTATATTGCCATATGCCCTGTTCTTACTCCCTTGTTTTACTCGCAACCCTCGGTCGCGCCTCCGGAGAAAGTTGGCGTCAGGCCAGATCAACCACAAACCTTCCCGTCGCTCGTTGCCTTTTTGCCGCACAACTAAACGCGCGAGCACCTGAACGAAGAACAAAAGGAAATAAACCGCTTTTCTCGACCGCCACTTGCTTTCGTGCAACCAGAACACTCTATACAATCGCTTTCTCCCGAACCCCTGCCCGCCTCACACAATGCCTTGTGGAATCGGCGGCTCGAAAACTGTGCAGCGCAAGCTTGTCTTGCTGTAAGTTCGCCCGCTCTCAACCTTCGGGACTCGAAATGGGGCGCAACAGCGCGATCAGCCAGTCGTGAAATGGAGAAGGATAAACAGGCTGACCGCGTTCTTCGCACACAGGGGCGACGGTGCATGCGGAAAGACGTCGCTGCTCAACGTCTTCACTAGAGGGTAAGCCTATGCCGCGTCTCCCATTGCCAGCATGAAGCTGTAAGCTCATCAAACGCAGGTACTTTCCGACAGTCTACGAACCCACCGTATTCGAGAACTACGTCCACGGTGCGTAACACCTCCCCTAGGCAATTGTCCATACCGCGTACCTTGACGGGGGGGGGGATTGGAGATGGTGGGACTGACATGGCGGGCGTGCAGATATCTTTGTGGACAATGTTCACATCGAACTATCGCTATGGGACACAGCTGGCCAGGAAGAGTTTGATAGGTTACGGAGCCTCTCATATGGTACTGTTGCCCCGGCATTCCACTTTCCACGGCGAACCGGTCGCAAAATGACAGCTTTCTGATAACATCGCTAGACGATACGGATCTTATCATGCTCTGTTATTCAGTCGACAGTAAAGACTCGCTCGAAAACGTCGAGAGCAAATGGGTGGGCGAGATTGCCGACAACTGCCCCGGTGTTAAGCTTGTTTTGGTGGCCTTGAAGTGCGACCTGCGCGAGGCGACAGACGAGGAAGATGACGGCAACAACGAGGCCGGCGGGCCACGAGAGAAGAAGCCGATGATCAACTACGACCAGGGCCTGGAGGTGGCACGCCGAATCCACGCCCTGCGGTATCTCGAGTGTTCGGCCATGCGCAATAGGGGAGTTAACGAAGCCTTCACGGAGGCCGCACGGGTCGCCTTATCGGTCAAGAAGGATCGGGAAGACTCCAAGTGCGCTGTCATGTAGGCTGGCTATGCGTACTTTGGTACGCCGACGACTTATCGGTGGCATCTTCCGGCCCAGGCAGACCTTGGCCCCGATATTGAATCAGAGACGCACAAGACACGGAACAGAACTCTTTCACGACACACTAGCTATCATACCACACTTACTCCAGGCGTTGAGCGTATTGTGGCATAAACCTATCCTACGCGATTTTATTACCTCTGGCTACCCTCCGGAGGAATTCTTCTCTCCATTGGCTATCGACCCCAAACACCAAGCTCCGGGTCTCTAGTCGAGTCTCTAATCGAGTCTCCGATGGGCGAGACTATATTGCACTGTACATATATTGATTTCGAGTTCGAGACATACGGCTAGGGAGATTGTTGTGGTTGATTCTCGCACTGACGATCCATTGCGGTAGTAGCGCCGGAAACCGCAATGGATTAAACACTGGCGGTCGTTAATGGGACGTTGGGGTGAAGCCCGTCGACATGGTGTGTCTAGCGCCTCAACGTCCCAAGATCCCCTATTCAGATGAATGTCGTGTTTTAAGGCCGGCTAGCCAGATGAACAGATGGGGGGTCGGCGAAACAATGAAGCAACAACGACTTATGTTGTTCAATGACTGGTGGTCTTCCTTTTTCAGGGGCTATCCAGCACAAGCGGCACTAATACTGCCGGTTTCTTTTTCCTCCTGAGTTGGGAGTATTAGGATAGTTTTAATTCATTATTTTTTCGAGAACTTGCTGTATTAAATATCTTCTTTTGGCTTTTCATTCCGGCGAGCTTGAGAGGATCTTGCGTGACGACAGGTTCTGCCCTCTCCTTTGTAGTGAGTAAATATGTGCATCCACTTGAGTAAAAAATCCTGGCAGGCCTTGCATGCCAAAAGCCATAGGTGTCAGTCAATAACATGTACCTACAAGGTGGGCAGGGCAGGTATATTTAAGCATTTCCGGCGACTGCTCCGGTCGGCGCCCTCTTTCCATTCATTGACTCAAGGATCTCCGCTGCCCGCGGAGGCGATCGTTTATCGCGGCGGGGATGTGCGGGACGATAGGCACGATAAGCCATTTAAATGCCGTTCCAGTCGCCGGGTCGATGGCGTCAGCGGCCGCTAAGGGCAAGTTTTTTTTCGGCAGGAGCCGTGTAAGCCTAAACGGCCGTCGCTGACTGGCTACAGCGATTGTCAAATGCGGAATGCCCTGGACCCCTTTTAGGTTCCTCTCTCACCACCTGATACCTAGTACAACCCACGGCCATCAAAGAACGACAGAACAACAAAATTTAGCACATTGCCCGGAAGTCCGACATTTTGAGCTTTGCATATGACTTGGCGAGAGTAGACGGGCTTGAGGTAATTTCCCTTAATTTTTTAGAGTTTTTTTTGTCTGTTGTCTAAAGCCCCCTTCTTGTTAGTCACTCATCACCTAGCCTTGATTGCGCGGCGCATCTATTTTATCTCGTTCGCTTCACATTACTTACATATTTTAAAGGTCTGCATCAAGTCCAGAGATTGGCCGTTGTTCTTCTTCGAGGCTCTTCGAGGTTGCGTTCTTTTTGCTATATCCAGAACCCCGCCGACGACGACAAGGAGAAGGAGGAGGGGGAAAGGGAACGAACCAAGACCAAGCGCCGCTCATCTTGCGCGAAGGCGGAGATAACAGACAATGGCACCACCAACAACGTATCATACCTCGCTTCTTACGGCTCTCGACTGCCGGGGCCATATCCACCTGATCATAGGATCCAGCCCTCTTGCCGCCTCGCGGGCAGCTAACTCACTCGCCGCCGGCGCCAAGCCGATTCTCATCGCACCCGCCAGCGCAACCGAGCTGCACTATGCAGTATCGGCGCACGTCGCCACGGGTTCCTTGACACACCTGGACCGGCCGTTCAAGGATGAAGATTTGTTCACCCTGGGCCGTTCGGAAACCGGCGGCATTGTCGATGCCGTCTTCGTGACGAGCCCTCGTGACGCACTGGCCCAGGGTGTCTCGGACGTGTGCAAGCAACACCGCATCCCGGTAAATGTCGTAGATGCTCCAGCCCTGTGCTCCTTCAGCCTGCTGAGCTCCCATGTCGACGGCCCGCTGCAGATTGGTGTCACGACCAACGGCCGCGGCTGCAAGCTAGCCAGCCGCATCCGGAGGGAAGTAGCTGCGGCTCTGCCGGCCGGGCTGGGAAGCGCATGCGCTCGGTTGGGGGAGATGCGGAGGCGGGTTGTCGATGAGGACCGTGGTGCCCGGCGACAGGTGGCCCGCGGTGCCCAGGGAAGTGACGACCAGGGGGACGGCGTCGAAAACGAAGGTGTTGACGACTCGGTCGACCAGACTGCGTCCTTCAACAAGCTTGTCACAGACGCAGACGCTGATGCGGCCAAAACACGCCGCATGCGCTGGCTAGCGCAAGTGTGTGAGTATTGGCCCTTGAAGCGACTGGCGGCTGTCACAGACGGCGACGTCGAAGCTATTCTCAACTCGTACCAGACGACCGATAGTTCAGCTTTGCATAATGGTACTCTCAGTCATGAGCCAGTTAGCATCACTGTTCCTACTACGGGTCGCATCATCCTCGCAGGGAGTGGGCCCGGCCACCCGGACCTTCTTACACAGGCAACATATAAGGCGATTCAAGCGGCAGATCTTGTCCTGGCTGACAAGCTCGTCCCCTCGGGTGTCCTGGACTTGATCCCCCGGCGGACTCCCGTGTCCATCGCGCGAAAGTTTCCGGGAAACGCTGACCGCGCACAGGAAGAGCTACTCGAGCAGGCGCTAGACGGCGTGCGGGCTGGCAAGACGGTGCTGCGCTTGAAGCAGGGCGATCCCTTTGTATACGGCCGCGGTGGGGAGGAAGTCACTTTCTTCCGGAGCCACGGGCTGGGCGAGCGCGTCACCGTGCTTCCGGGCATCACGAGCAGCTTGAGCGCGCCCCTGTTTGCCGGCATCCCTGTCACACAGCGCGATGTGTCGGACCAGATGCTGATTTGCACCGGCACGGGCAAAAAGGGGAACCCCCCCGCGCCGCCCGAGTATGTCGAGTCCCGAACCGTCGTGTTCCTAATGGCGCTGCACCGCATCGTCGGCCTAGTGAGTGAATTGACGAGCTACATCGCGGAAGAAGACGGATCGGACGAGCTACAGCAGCAGCGAGAGTATATCGCGGACGGGAGAGAAAAGATCCACGAAACAGCAGGGCAAGAGCAAAACAACGAAGTCCGAGACGTTCCAGTTAGCCCACCCAAGAGGTTAGGAGATTGCCACCGGAGGAAGCTTTGGCCTCTCCACACGCCATGTGCTGTCGTCGAGAGGGCCAGCTGCCCGGACCAGCGCATAATCCGCACCACGCTCCGGCACGTCGCCGATGCTGTCGAGCAGGAGGGAAGCCGGCCGCCGGGACTGCTCGTCGTTGGCCGCGCATGCGAGGCTCTATATACCCCCGAACCAGGTTGTTCCTGGACTGTGGAGGACGGGGGCTTCAAAGGCTTGGATTTGGATGTGGATCCGTTACTACTAGATCTCCCGTCATCTATCAGTGACGCAGCTGTGTCGATATAACGGTAGTTTGTGTCTTGTCATAATTAGCTGACCCAGGCAGTGGTTAATACATTGCGAACCAACATGCCTATTGTGGGTCATATAGCATTCGTGAAAATAATTATACTGATTCGACGTACTTAAACAGGCCTCTGCGATTAGGTCCAGAGTGTGCCATATTTTCGGTTTCCAATTACAGTCAGAATATGTCCCAAATTTACCTCTACAAAGTCTATTAGGTGCATATCAAGCCCGATCGGGCGAGACCGGGGGCTCCATTGTCTACCTACCTATTCCGCCTCATAATGATAGCGCCAAGTCAGGATCTTACTGATAAGGAGCTTGGGCTTTGTTCAACTTTTCTCTAAAAGCTATGAGATAATAGCCCGGCACCCCTTACCTGAATAATGGACTGTGGTTATTTTATTATTGGTACCTACATTTGAAGTTGTGAAGGCCGAGTAGACAGAGGAACAGTGTGCCGAGATGGATTTTCAACAGACGAGGGCATTAGTAAGTATTTACTCGAAATCGAGCGGTTTTCACTGTGCTTGAATCTAGGTTGTAAGTGGCATGATCTATTTACTCTGTTGTGGTAAGCAAGTATGTGGGTGAGGGGTACGGTTCTTGTTCCTCAAACTTGTCCACTAAGAAGGTAATTACCTAGCTGAAGGGGGAAACAACATGATGCTGAGCAGCAATAATTCTAGCTGTGGACCTTTTAGCTGAGTGCTGCTCAAAGTTTACGTCAAGTACCTGCTTTCGTGTTCATCCCACCAGCGGAAAAGATCATACCACCTAATCAAAATATAATCTACTATGCAATTAGCAAACTTGGTGAGTATCAAACTTTGTTTATTGTTGAAATGTGTCGTGTATCGCCATAGAAAATAGGAAGATAAGCCATGGTAAAAAGCTGTCATACTCCTTTCCAGGGCAAAAGAATCGATCTTTACAACGGTGCAAAGCTATAAGGGTATTGTTGGATTCACCAGGGTACCGGTACTGGAATCAACAGGGCGTAACTGTACGCCGAAAGCTGGTGGTTCAAGTGATGGATTGTAGATGTGTGTTCTTCTCTCTAGCTTTCTGGCAGTGCCAGAAAGCCCCTTCTTATACTACTATTGTGGTGGCGAAGTGGGTGGCGAAGTCTCTATCTAGAACCTTCGAGGCCCTTCTGCTTGATAAATTCCAACAGGTATATACTGCGCGATAAAAACATAATTAGACGCGTTAGAAAATCCCTAAAGTTAAGGCAGTTGATTACGCTCGAAGGATGGCGCCTGTGTGACTAGGCTCGTGGGATCTTGTGCCGGAAAATAAGCGTTATTGCGTTTGAATTAATAATTGCTCTTCACCGCATCATCAATCCTGCTCATCATGTCGGAGGCATTTCCTTGTCCGTTCTTTCCACCACCTGTCCGCCTCTTCCTGGCCTACCCCTGAACTGGTTGGTTCTGCTACGTAATTCATTTCAAGAGCATAACGTGGTGACCGAGGATGGAACTGCCCGGCAAATTGTTTTTCGTGTCCCTGTTGAACTTCCGAGCAGACCGTCGTTATCGTGAAACTGTGCTTGTTGGAGATGTTGAGAAGTATAGAAGCGGGCCACTTTTGTTGTCAAGTGGTTAGATAAGGAGTACATTATAAAGAGTGCTGTAGCCTGTTTGACTATTACACTGACCCTCGGCCTCCCCTGGCGTCTTCCATATTCCTCCTCCCAAGATGCGCCGAGCGACAAGAGGCGGAACTTGTGGATGCTTGGTCGATCGCAATGGCCGCTGAAAGAAGAGCCGCTGGCTCGATTGTGCACGCACCCGACCAGAGAAGAATGGATGGCTTCGAGCGACTAGTAATCGTCGTAGCCGCCAAATCCCCAGCCGCGGGTGTCGCCGTCGGCCTCTTGAGAATATCTCCTTGCTTGCATGAAGTAGCTGATGTGCCTGTAGAGGAGAAGAAGAATTGCTCTCGCGCAGAGCGCAGGAGGTGGTAAAATGCCGCGTTGATAACAAAGCAACCGGCGCAGGCCTTGCACACAGCAGGTTTGTAAATCTGCCCTCACTCCTCTAGTCTCTGGGCCATTCCGAGGTATCGAAAGCTCCAGACCTCATGCTCCCCTCTAAAACCGTGGGAAACGCGGTCGAGTAAGTGCGTGGGCGACGCGATGAAGAAGACACGGACGATGGAAGTTCAAAGAGTCTGGGTTAAGCAACTCAGACTTTGAATCTGATTTCATATCTGCCACAACCCAGCTTGTGTGAAGGGAAAGGGAAGGTGGCCTCGGTGATGATCCAACGTGTTACGTGAGAAAGTAAAGATCGTCGGCGACGAGAACAACGTGATCTGCCAAAGGCAAGGGTGCAATTCCGTACAAGGGAAGAGGAGAATGAGGTAAGAACGCGCGAAGAACTTGATGACTCCAAATGATGCATAGACACTTACCCGGAAGGTCGAATAAAACCGAAAGGTCCTAAGAACCAGGGCGAGACATCAGCCGGGCCGCCATTCTGGTGTGGCTGAAAAGTTGAAAGGCGGAGAGAGGTTGGAAGTTGGAGAGGTTGGAAGTTGGAGAGGTTGGAAGTTGGAGAGGTTGGAAGTTGGAGAGGTTGGAAGTTGGATAGGTAGAGATGGGAAGCGAGCTGGAAGGCAGCGGACCTTATAGGAGTTTTTTTTTTGGCTGGCCGACGTAGCCTGGACTAGTACGAATAAACTACCTCTTTTACTTAATCTACCTTTTTTTGGACTAATAGAACACTAGAATCACTGTTAATGTTGGAATGTTGGAATAACGCGCTAGTCAGCCACATAGGTGGCGGTGGAGGCGCAGGGCCGAGGATTCTATATAAGTGTTGGAATCACTAGGTACCGGTACTGGAATCAACAGGGCGCGCTGCGCGCCGTATACTGGTGGTTCAAGTGTTGGATTTCGTTGGTGTCTATGTGTGTCTAAGGAAGGTGGAAGTGGCCGTAGGCCACTTATTTAGGTTCGGTGGCCCTGCGCCCCTGCGCCTCCACCGCCACCTGTGGCTGCTTGCGCCTCCACCGCCACATCTGTGGCTGACTAGCGCGTTGTTCCAACAGAAGCAGATGCCTGGGCCCTGTGGGAAGGGGGAGGAAGGAGATGGGTTACCCACGGAGGAAGTGGAAGCAGGCGAAAGGCCTCTCTGGCCGTAATGAGGTCTCGAGGCCGATAGAAGAACGATAGAGGGATGATCCTGGTCAGTGGTGGGTGGGCAATGGGTGCGGGTTGATGGATTAAATGCCAAGGCGAGGAATGGGTGTTGTGGACGCTGCGTGTTGTGGACGCTGCGTCGCTGCCAAGTTGGCGCGGTGAATACGGCCCAGACTAACGGGGCCTTGCTGATTTCAGCCAGCAGCCAACAGCTGATTGGCTGGATGCCTCCCCTGCCCCTTCCGGATCGGCCTCTTAACCAAATCAAATTCAAAACGTACCTACTCTCCTTTCTAAATTGGAACCTCGCTTTGTAGAAGTCGAACCTTTTGGCCTTGGTCTTTGGTTCCGCACCGTACAATTTCCTTGGCCTCGGTGCAGCTAATAAGCGCCAATGGACATACTCCCGACAGATTCGATTACTGCTTCCTGGAGAGGACAGGACAGGCAGCTCGACTAAAGAGCCTACGCACAGTATCTACCTACCTACTTACGCTGGGCTTTGTTTGCTCGAGCATATAATATAACTCATGCGAGGCAGAAACGGACGATCAACTCGAGAGAAAGGTGCCGAAGACGGGCTGATGCAATCCCTCCATTTCAACCTTTGCGTTGTGTAGAACAAATGTACCTAATCAACCCGCAGACTTTGGTCACGATTCTAGATATTGAACCAGATATTTATGAATACAGACAACTCGGGAATGTAAATGCTAATCGATACAAGGTTTGGGATACAAATTTGAAACACCGTCGACTGAAATTAGCTCGGCCAACACTTCAATCCCCCCCCCCCCCCCGGCCCCCTTCCCCCGAGAGGATGTCATCCATATGACAAGTGGCGGCTATGTACCGCTATCAATTTGGTCCACCACATTCTGGGACGTCCACAGCGACCAGTCTCTGCACGTCTGCCGCACCGTCTCGGGGACGCGCATCTGCTGGACTTTGCTCGGCTGCACTATCAGCGACGACAGGAACCCGCCCGACGCGTGCCAGGCAATGTGGCAGTGAAACGCCCAGACTCCTGCCACAAAGTCGGTTCGTTAGCGAGCGGTTTCGGGGAAAAGAGAAGGAGGAAAGAAGAAAGGCTATACTACGAGGGGGAGAGGAGGGGATAATGGAGAACAGAAGAAAATATACCCGGGTTCGCGTCAAACTGTATCACCAGATGGCCAAACGCGCGTACCTGCTGTACGTCACGGCGCTGCGGGTTCGAGGGGCGGACAATGGTGCCGTCCCACTCGCCGGGGCCTTGGTGCAGGATGTAAAAGTTGTGGCCGTGAAGATGAATAGGGTGCCTGGCAAGGGGCAACGACAACGAAAAGAGTCAGTAATGAGTCTAATAGGCGCAACTGGGGCTGCGCTGGTCAGCACCAGGAAAAACTCACGCAGCTGGGGAGTTATTCTTGACGATGATGCGGATCGACGAGTTGGCGTACAAGTTGAGCACGTTGCGCTCGGGCGGGAAGTCGAAGCGGCCCTGGTTGGCGAGCAGCAGGGGCGGCTCGTTGAAGTCGGCCCGCATCGACACACCGTTGAACCGCCAGAGCGTGATATTGGAGGCGTTCTTGAACGTGTCAATGGCCATGGTCTGTGTGAAGGTGGGATTGGGCAGCGGCATGGGATACAGCGGTTGGGTGACGCTGAGATCGTCGTTGGCGCAGGTGCCCGGGTCGGAGACGTTCCAGGCCTTGCTGGTCGGCGCCTTGGACGTGTCGGCGTGGTCGTAGTACACGGCTGCTACGGCATGGGGCTGGCGCGCGGGCGTGCACGACGTGAGGTTTGACCGCATCCAGAACCCCGACATGGGGTTCCCGGCATTGGCCGTCACGAGCACGTCGGTCCGCTGGCCTACACCAAGCGTGACGACCGTCGTGTTGTACGGCTGCACAGGCGTAAGGTCTTCAGCAATGACGGTCAACACGTGTTCGTCGATGGAGAAGCGCTGGACACCGTCGGCGCCCGAGTTGATTAGGCGGAGGCGGTGCGTCTTCCCCGTCCGAAAGTTGAACTTGGAAATGCCGGCGTTGCTGATGCACGGAGTCCAGTCTCCGGCAGCGACGGTTGAGCAGTCAAAGTTCATTTTCCCATTGATGAGATTGTTGTCCGAGAAGACACGTGGATCTGCGTTAGGAGAGAGCATCTGCTTGATAAGGGCCAAGTAGTCTTTGTGATACCAGTCTGCCTCATGCGTCAGCTGTTGACCATCTCTTGGCCATCTCTCGGGGCACGGGAAGGAATACCGCTCAGCATGATGGGTCCAATGTCAACATCGTATTTTGCACGCGTCGGCCCGTGGATGACGATAGGCCCGACGACGCCGCTCGAATACTGGGCCGAGTAGTGGCCATGGTACCACGTAGAGCCGAACAAGCTAGCCGTGAACTCGTACGTGAAACTTTTGCGCGGAGCAATGGGACACTGGGAAATCCCCGGGGCTCCATCCTCCCAAGGCGTCCCTTGTTGCAGAAACCCGTGCCAGTGGATCGCAGTGCCCTCTTCCGGGCCCGTAATGTTATTGTGAACAGTCACGACAATCTTGTCTCCCCAGTTCGCCTCGATCAGAGGGCCGGGGTAGGCTCCATTGACGAGCAAAACGGGCCGTTGGTAGCCATCGGGGGCGATGAATCCACGGCTGACGGTGAAGTCGTAACTCCTAATGACTCCGGTTCTCGGGTATTCGACATAGGGATTGCTGTTCCAGTCGTTCAACCCGCCCCACGGAAAGCCGCTTGGCAGTGGGTTGTTGGTCAAGAAGAAGGGGAGGAATGGGAACACCAAAGTTCCTAGAAGTGAAGCCCTAAGCTGGCGTCAAAACTGCATCTCGGTTGCGCTTTCGCCACGGCACCGACGTACCCATTGGTTTTCTGCTGACCGAGTGTCTCGGTGACGCTGGAGAGTACGGAGGCAGCTTCGGCGACGAGGTCGTTCAGGAGACCCATGTCGACAAAGGAAAGGTATCAAGGAACGTGGTGGGCTTGTAAAATAGGACAGAGAAGAGAAAATGGCTAGAAACGAATGACTGGAGAAAAGAGCCTAGGCTTCTGCTCCTGAAGATCAAGCATGTCTGAGCTGGTTGAAGACTCGACTCGGGGGAGTGGGACACCAGACGTATTAAAAGGTCCTGAAGAGGGATTCTCCACGGGAACCCAGACCGTCGTCTCCTAGACATGGACAACAGATGGCGACGCAGGGGCTTTGCCGCCACAAGGAGGGACCGGAGTAGGAACAAGGAGCCACGACGCAAATGAGAAAGAAACATGAGTGCTGAGCGGATGCTGCCCTCTCCGAGTCCCTACCCCTATCTCCCTCGCCGGACAGTCCCTGTCCTCGTCGTTCATCTTACAGAGGGGTTGAGACTTGCTCGACCGAGTATGGCAATTTTGCTGCCTGTGCTCGACCACCCGAAGCACAGCAGGCTTGGCGTGGAGGTGGTGTTGATACGGGGGTAGCCGCCAAGGGCAGGGGGCATCAGAGTCAGGGAGCTTACATCGAAGACCCTTTGGCCAATGACTGCTGGGCAATAAAAGCCCAGAGGGGAGAAGAGAGACGCAAAGGTGGATCACTGAGCTGCCGCCAGCAACGGCCTGGAGGTCTGACCGCTGCGGTGATCGCCATTGTGCATGTCGAGGCTCAAAAGTAGCATATTCGACCAAAGCCCCGAGAGCTGAGCATGCGGGCCCAAGGCTTTACTCGGCTCCCGACTTGGGTAACAGCCGGGCGTGGGGACCACTGTGGCATCCCGATGAAAGCTGGCTAGACTGTAGCTGAATGGACGTGTGCTGCAGCCAAGGGTGCGACTTGCTATTATTACTGTGAACGAAATAGTGCGTGCATAGGGTATGGAGGCCAGAAAACCGCTGCTAGAGCTAATAACCCATCTTTGGAGGCAGACTGGTCAGGAGTCGGCTTGGCAGCCGACGCCGGAAGGCTGACGCCACCCCTTCGGAGACCCGGCGGCTTGGTAGCTTGCTCGGTTAGCTTCCCGAACCTACTCTCCCAGTCAACAGAGTAGGTGTGGTGGAATTAGAGTTGTGCCGCCTTGTCGTATCCATGTCCATGTTCATACAGGAGAGCAGCTATTCCTTTCCAGTTGTGTGTGCCTTTGGCTTGAACGGGAGCCTGCATGGCCCTCAACCGCTCATCTAGGCTTCTACTATGTATCCGGGAAAATGAAAAGAAAGAACGTCTTTGGTGTGGCTCAGCGCATGGATACATACAGGATGGCTTATTCGAAGCCCCGCGTCCCTGATGTTTGCGTCTGTTACATCCCTAAAGGTACGGATATACTTGGTGGGAGTTGCTGAAAAGGAGTTCCACACGGCCTTGGTGGACTCGCGGCTGGAGCCCTGTCGGGTCAGCGAGTTCAAGATTACCACGGGGCGCCAAACGCCTCTCGCACGCAATGCCGAGTCGACTGGCTTCGGTTTTCGTTCCGCTGCGCTAGAATTCAGCCCCAAGAGATCTCGGAAGAGGCGGTGGCCAAGCGGGAGAACAAAGCGGAAGATAAAAGTGCCAGTCTGTTGTCATATCAAGGACACCAGCGGGCAATGCTTTTTTGGTTGGCTGTTTCCTCAGGGATGGACGGTTGTTGAGATGGAGATCGGCCTTGCAGCCGCCTCCTGCTTGTCTCGGTGATTAACCATGCAGCCTTCAAATAGCCCGAGAGCTGTGTAACGCGGACTTTCCGGTTTTGGATAGCCGCCTTCGGAGCTGCCATCTCAAGCTCTACCACTACCACTTAATTAGTGCGAGAGTCCTGTTATTCGTATGCAACCCCTGGAACTCAAGCAGCCATACTCGTACAGAACACCTGTCAAAAAGTCGTTCAACAAAAAGACCATTTCGCCTTCGCCATTGGTAAATCAGAAAGGTCCCCGGTAATGGCCGAGGAAAACGCAGCGCGGTACCTCGGGTCTTTGTTAACGCCAGGAGCCAGTTGTACTGCAGCGGCACTGGAACATAGTACGTAACTTGGCTTGAGCGGCTGCCTCAATGTCTTTCCTTTTCCCCCAGACAGTGAGCGAGTGCATGTTCATCTCCCTTCGGATGTTCTCTCTGTACCGAGTACGTACTGCAGTAACCCGTCGTGAAGATAGAAGCAGGGCAGACTTCGTTTTTCCTTTATAGCACCAGAGCCATACCAGCCCAGGAGTGAAACTATATGTACATTAATTAACTACATTGCTCTCTGATATCACCAGCGGGGGATGGTGAGCACGAGAGCGAGAGGCGCCCTCCGTCATCCGGCTGCGGCCACGGTGATGCACATTCAATGATCGGAAGTGCGTCGAGGCGTCGAGGAGGGGCGAAATGCGTGCGACGCCATGATCATTGGCCGTCTCTGGGCACGTATGTAGGCTTCCTGGATAATGGGTGACGAATCTGACCGAATCACGCTGCCGATCGACATGAAGAATCTGTGGTGGACGTGTCAATCGAGGGAGCGCTCGCTCCCCTGGGGAAGAACCACGACGCCCAAGACCTACCCAAATGTTGCCCCGGATCCCAACATGTATTGCCCAAGCGTCCTCATGATACCGTTTGGCCCAGCTCCGTACCTAAAGATGTTGACGGTTCCTAACACGGCGTCAGTCTCGTTTGCTTCGACTGTCTCAATGGTGCTGCAAATTGTCCGCCACCGGAAGGGTCGTCGTACCGAAAATGAAGCCGATAATCACGCCAACAGCTATGCGACGGACGAGTCAGTCATTAAATCTGACGGCTTTGCCCAAGACACATGGCATGTATGATACGTACTGCCACCCATCATTGCACCCATCTTGACTATTGCCTGTTTGTTAGCTGAGTGTCGCCGCGTTTCTACTCTAGCCTCGCAGCCGGAGAGCACAGTGGTCACGTACGCTTGTCTACATTCGACTGCCCGGGGGCGCCATGGCTTGGAGGAGGAGGCATTTTCGAAGATTCTCGGCGCGCGATTGCAACAGCTTAACAGATCCGCCAACTTGGGAAGAAATGCGATCGAGTTCGAAATACTGCCGCGGTTTTAGTGGGGCAGCGCGCACGGACGGCTTCAATCCGCTCTCTGGCCTTAGGCAGCAATATTTGGAGGGCACCATCCTTCCATCACCTTGCAGGCTTGCCGAAGGAAAGCGCGGGTCAGGTCATTTGCTCCCCCCTCGGATTCCAAAAGATGCCAAATACTGATATTGGCCTCGACATTTCAGACCGTACATAAAAGCCTCCAGCGTATGAAATCATTCTTAAAGCGCAAGTGCTATTCCAGTTACTTCTTGAAAATTATACATTTTAATATCCATCAATAGCGACATGTGCCTCCAGTTGAGCGCGGCAGGGCTGCCGAGCTTTCTATCGTGCTTGGGTTATATTTTGTAGGGCGTGTAATCAATAAATTTGGAGTGATGCGGGCGCTTGGACCCCATTGCTTGGCCGCCTAGAAGCCCCTCCTCCCAAGCCCCGTCCCCTCTTCCCATGAAGCAGACGAGTTGCCACTTGCTCACGTGATTCGCTTTTGAAGGCGGATCTTGGGCCAAAATCACCGATCCAAGCACAGAAATAGTTGTTTGCAGCGCATAGGGTGTGTTCGCGACCAAGGCTAAATGGCCCTTCTATAGACCGCGTTGGTGCTGGGGTCATTCGTCACACATTTTGGGAATCGTCCCGCGAATAAGAGACTAGCGCGCAGAGAGTTGACCCAGTGGCTCGTGCGCTCTGATCACCCTTTGGCCTGCTAGCTCGCTAGTAAGCGCTTTCCTCCAAGTGCGGTAAGGAGAAACCTCGCCTCAAAATCTTGACAATCCTCGACAATCGTCGCAATTCCGAGCATACTTGGTCACGACAGCACTCGCCCAGAACACCCCTTCAATACAACGTATGTGAGCCGCATTTTTTTTTAACTCCTTTGCAGTTGCATATTTCTCCATCATTGCATCCCCTCCGGCGCATGCTCGTGGGTTTGGTTGCACAATTGCCGAGCGTCTGCGACGTGCCTCGCGACAGACGTCAGGGCTAATGGTCATCTCCACAACATCCAGTTGCGACACCACGGCCTTCCAAAGCGACGAATTTATTACAACATCAATCGCGTTCGAGATCCTACGTATGCTATAAACGAACCGTGTATGCGAAGCCGACGGGAAGCACGCCCGTGCCAGCCTGCTCCCTCAGCATCGTTATCCACCAGGGCCGCCCCCTTGCCTCGCCCACCGGTCATCACGTTTTCCTCATGACGGCTGTTGCGAGTCTTCCTAGCTTCGCCAATTTCAACCGGCCGGGATGGACTAATGGCGGACAAATGTCGAACGCATCCAACTCGGACGACGTCAGAGGAATAAACATGTTCATGTCTCGGAAAACCCTCCAACGAACCAACTCTTCGTCTTCGGTGTCATCGACGTCGTCAAACTCGTCAACGTCCACCGTGACCTCGAATGCCCAGCCCAACGGCAACTCCATGCCTGTCGCCGGAGACCAGACTGGTTGGCCGAATACGGCCTCGCGAAAGAGGCCGCAGACGAAGGGTCCGTGGTTGAATGGGAAACCAGAAGCATCTTCGGACTTTTCGAGGGCGACTCCGGCAAGGCCCCCGATGAGTAACGGGATGAATGGCGCGTCGGCCTTGCACCCGCCCCAGTCCATTTTAACCCCACAGAATCAGATATTACCCCAAAATGGGATGCCCAGGCCCGGCGCCGAGAGCATGGCCTCGGGACGCCAGCCGGTGCTTTCTCTTCTGTCTCTGAATGGCTCCTTCGACCGCAAGACTATCTCGGTTCCATTCCTCCCCGATACACTCCGGATCGGCCGGCAAACAAACGCAAAGACCGTGCCGACACCACTGAACGGGTTCTTTGACAGTAAAGTGCTGTCAAGGCAACACGCTGAAGTATGGGCGGATTCTAACGGGAAGATTTGGATTCGTGATGTCAAATCCTCAAACGGAACGTTCGTCAACGGGACCCGGTTATCCCCGGAGAACCGAGAGTCAGAACCACACGAGCTCCAGACCCAAGATCACCTCGAACTTGGCATCGACATTGTGAGCGAGGACCAGAAGACCGTGGTGCACCACAAAGTTGCAGCGAAGGTCGAACACGCCGGATATATTACTCCGACAAATAATCTGATTGACATGAATTTGGGAGACCTTGATCCTTCAAGCAGCACGATGATGCTGCCTCTCAATGGTTTGCCCTTCAGAGGACGGGCTGGTAGCCAGGCCTCTATGGCCAGCAATAGCCGCGTCGTCCCTGGTAATGGGGCAGGGCCAGCCAATAATAACAGCATGGCACAGCAACGCCAGTTCTGGCTGAATCCAATAACCACGGAACATATAGTAAAAAAGCTCCATGTAAGTTCTCAAATAATATTTTGCGTCCGATTTTCACGTGTATTCTAACCATTGCCTAGAATGAGATGCGAAACGCAAGGTTGCAAACCCAAGACCTAGCTCGAACTAGCCAGTTCATCAATGCGCTCCTGTCGAAAGAAGACGTCAAGAACCAAGATAAACCCGAAGCCCCCGAGCCTCCAAAGACACACATGACGAACGGCAATGTATCATTCCGGTCAGACGGGGGCAAGACACGATTCTCGGAGCCTCCCGCCCCGCCTCCATCCCAGCCTCTTCCAGAGAAGCCGGATGTTGCACGACCCATATCATCGGACATCCCATCGCTAAAGCGAGGCATTACGGAGCGTCCAAAGTCACATCCGTCGAATACTTCGCCCATCCGCCCTGACAACAACCTCAGCCAGATCCTCCAGCTGACCGAGGAGCTCAATAAGGCCAAGAAGGAACTGGATGACCACTCGGCTCGCGTGCGGGATCTTGAAGAGAAGCTGATCGAGGAGCGTGAAGCTCGACAACACGCGGAGGAGATGGTGCAGAAAATGGAGGAGAGCAGCCATGTCAAGATGAATGGTTCAGCCGGGGCCCCTCTTGCTAATGGCCACGCGGAATTGGAAAGAGCCTTCGATCCTCCAGCAGAACGGCCCCCGACACCCGAGCCAGTCGTCTCTCTAGGGAATTCCGAGGAAGGTCTCCCACCTCAGCCAGACAAGATCGAGGCGTTGGCAGCCGTCTTCCAAGCCCGTATAGACTCGATGGCTTCAGAGATGATGGGGCTGAGGGATCAAGTGGACGCCTTCCGGCAGCGTGCAGAGAAGGCTGAAGTCGAGCGGGACCAAGACCGCAAAACCCTTGCCGAGATGGTGATACAAATTCGCCAACGCGATGAAAAGGAGAAGCAGGCGGCCGAGAGGAAATCGCGGTCACCTTCATCACCATTACCAACTCAAGATGGGGGCGTCGAGGAGCAGGCCCCGGTGGTGAACGGCGCTATACCGGAAGCGAAGGGACAGATTGATGGATCCGCGGATGACTTGGTGGAAGTGCCTACGCTTTCGCGTGCGAACACTATCACCCCGGCTGTGCGAGCCCTGGCAGTCCCTCCACAAGATCCGGCGTTGATACAGACGCTCCCTTACGCATCCATGATTGGAGTCGTGCTCATCGGGATGGGACTAATGGCTTACCTGAACGGCTGGCAGCATCAACCAAGATTAGAACGTTAAGTCAGTCTTAAGCTGACATCCGACGCTGGGTTATCGGTATTCCACGGCTGGGCCAAACCTAGCTGGGAAGTTACCAGGCCTTCCGATATCCACGATGATAACGAGACTAAGCCTCTCCGATCATTTTACCATGGCCCAACACCTTCACCCATTTTCCCAATTTGTTCCCTTTGTACTCATTATACATTTTGATTCTGTTCGTGTCTCGGCGGAAGCCAGGCCATTTACAAAGCTCGTCCCTCGTTTCGATATTTGTATCATGCACAATTGCACATTGCAGGCTTTGGTTTTTGCTTTATTTATTTGTTTATTTCTTGAGCCTTTTTTCCTCATTCGGGAGTTGGCACTGGTCGGTCATCATTAGGGGAGGCTTGGTGCGGGATTGGGCGTTCTCTTCTTTTCGTCGTAAATTATGTTGAACCCTGGAAATACTGCGTTTTGACGTCGGACCGGTGGATACTTCATGGGGCGGCTAGGAGCGAGGACCGGGATCAGGCCGAAATGGTTCGAGAACGAAAAAACGACTTGATGGTTGGATCGGATCCAAAAAATGCTTTCCACGGGCGAGATTTGTTGTTTTGGAAGCGGACGAGTGTGGCATGACAGCATGCAGCGACAGGTGATGCATTTGCACTGAGGGGGGTTGTTGTTGTTGAGAAAGCGGTGGGGTTGTGCAGCCTCTTTACATGGCGACTGTAGCATACGTACTCGGTAGCTTGGTATTCGGATCTCACAGGAATCTCCTCGTGTCTTCTCGTATTGCTTCGTGTTTCATTTTCGTTCGTTTCTTTCCAGTAAATGCACTCTACTCTAGTCCTGGGTAAAGTGATTTTTCCGACGTTGCTGCCTTGCTGGCCCTGGGCTGGGGCCCCTTTTGTGGGGCTGCTGGGGTGTAACGTTTGAGGAGGGGTTATAAGTCAAAACCGGACACGTCCTTTTAACAATAACAGCAGCGGTCGAGTGGTCAAATGGCCAAGAGGCCAACGCGAGGCCTCGGCTCAGAGTGCTAACGAAGTTACAGGCTCGGTACCTGAACTGGATTGGAAGCTTTGCGAATGACTCCAGTCTCCAAGCCGGCGCACGCGAAACTCGGCCCATAGTGAACCGTAAATCTCAGAATGCGAACACGTGGAGTGTAAACAAAAAAGGTTCATCGGGCGTTTAGGCGTTTAAGGCATCGGGTATGGGCAATAGGCGTTTGGGTTGGTCGGCGGCGTTGGACGGAGGCGTTGGGGGATCGAGGCGTTGGACGGAGGCGTTGGAGTTTGGGTTGCCTTGACGGCGAGGGTGGAGGTAAAATCAGAGAATATTGACAACAAAGTAAGTGAACCCTCCCCCCCGGAAGAAGTTGACCACTTAACCCGCGCAAATCTTTTTTTTGTGTCTTTCTGTTTTATTTCCCTTTGTTCTTCCCTGGGTGTGCTATTTTGCTGTTTGCAATATCTGACCTCTGCCCCTACCCCGGCTCCTTGTCTATCAAGCAAAGGAAGAGCACTTGTCAGTAACAACTAACTACCATGATCCAGCTCAAAGCTATAGCCGATCGATGTACTGCCGCACTCTGTAGTGTTACCATAGGTATGATTGGGACAAGACCTCATGGTTTTTATCTGTTTTTCTTTTTAACTCCATTGGAAGTTAAACTTTCCACGTGGTGCTGACTTGAAGGTCATATTTTGGGACATGATGCCGGGAGGTTTGTACTTCTCTAAAACATGACAAATGAGATCAACTGCACTCGGAACTCCGCTGGGAGACGGAAAAAGACCAGCCCAGAATTGGACGGGCGTCAACGGGAAGGAGCATCAAGTGTGTCGATCCTCTAGCCCAGATTAAATTAGTTCGAGTCTAAGCTACCTATCAAGCTAGCCAGCTGCCTTGCGTCTTGCTTTCTAGGAAGAGGTCACGGCAACAGTAAACCCAAAGATGACTCTGTCGAGACCCATATCCTCAATGGCAGCACCCGCCCCACAGGCGCGGCAGACCCATCGTGAGTTTCTTAATCCAAATCTGGCTTCGTCGGCCGGTCTACCCGAAGGGTTCTGGCTTTTAACTTTGAAACACGCTGAAATTTCTTTTCCTCAGCCTGCTACCCAAAGGCTTGAAAAGAGGAGACCATGTACCTCGGAGACGGTGAGAATGTAACTCGATAATAGACGCATGGGGAAGAAACGAGGAGCTTGTCCGTTCGATTCGCGTGCCAGGCAATCTTTTTTCTCCATTTTCAGCCATGTAGTCTAGACCCCTGCGGTTGCTGAAACGTTCTAGATAAGGGATGTTTCTTTTCAGAGAGATAGAGGGGCTGAGGGAATAAAAGGATCAGACCTGGCCGGTTCTATGGCATAGCTAGGTCATTTGGTACTAAGCAGCTTTTTTTTTTTTTTTTTTTAATTTTTAATGGGTACCAAATCATATTTCATTGTTATCTTTGCTTTGCTCATCTTTGTCGTATCACCTAGGGTCTAGTATGTTGGTGTCATCACTTGTATTACGGAATACCACTCTATTCGATAGGCAGCTAGCTACATTACCTAATTGCTACATGCCTGCTTAATTATGCTGCAGAGAAAGCCAATCTACTTCATGAATATTCTCCACGGCGCCGATCATGATATATTACGCTTCCGAACTCCTTGCCGCTCTTTTATTCTTCTTCCAAACTACACTCTCACTCCATCTCGTCTAAAAAACTAGCAACGGAGACTCAAAGATCTGGGAGATGCCACTTGAGGAGAATGCTTCCGGGTGCACGCTTCACAATAAATTTGCGGTCGAACGCGTAACTGTCGGTGAAGAGGTTGCGGTCCTCGATCCGCTCGCAGCCGGAGCACTTGGAGTGCGTGTGGCAGCCTGAGCACAGGAACTCGAACCGGGAGTTCTGAGCCAAACAACCACAGCATTCCCATGGGGTGTCCTTCTCGAGATAGTCGATGTTGTTTCCGCGCTTGAAGAAGCGCTGGACGTCCATAAAAGTTCTGCCCTCGGACAAGACTTCATCATCGAACATCTCCTCTGTCGCCGGCTTCGACTGCTTTGGTCGCTTCTGCTCCGGATTGATCCGATGAGTCGTCTTCTTGTCCATGTCAATATTGACAACCTCGACCGAGGGCTTCTTCGCCTTGGTGTTCTGCTTGTTGATGGCTTGCGACCAACTGGCTTTGGAGCGGCTGGCTTCTGGTCCGCTGGCTTTTGATCGGCTGGCTTCGCAGCAGCGTCGGTAGTCGCCGTGTTCTTCGAGGTTGCCCTCAAGGCGAAGCCGACTGTCAGCGGCGAGGATTGCGGCGGAGCCGGAACGCTCGGCGTCACCAGATGCCTTAGAAACATTTTGTGCTTGACTGGTACTGCAGGAGCGGCGGCTTCGTCGTCGGAATCGGACTCAAATGCGTCAACATATCCGTCGTTGGCCGGGTTCCCGTCAATATGGTCTCGAAGAGACGCGGGCGGCGCCGCGACATCAGTCTTGGTGGCGGCCTTTGGCGAGTGAAATCTCTCGGTGATCAGTGAAGACGTCGACCAAGAAGGCGTAACGGGACGTTTGGTAAATGTAATTGAGTTTCTAGGAGTAGAAGAAAAGGGGTACGAGGCGACGGCGTCGGCATATTTGGCCGAGGTGCAGCCAAAGCCAGCAGTTGTGGGCAGAGCGATCTGCGCCATCGCGATCTGTGCCATCGCGATGTAAGTTTGTTTTTGGGTGTGTTTTTTGGTAAGTGAATTGGGTCAGTTGGGTGACGAGGCGGTCGGAGCCAATTTATTGTGTTAACTTTTCCCACAGTCTGGCAGGATAGCGAGGATAACAGCCAGGTCGGTTCCTAACTTTCTAATAGTCAATCTAAGGTGAGAGCGGGGCTTGAACAGCCTCAGTCTGGCATCAGTTTATATTGGACGTGCCCGTATCTCACTGCAGTGTGGTCCTATTGTTAAATTAACCCTGGTTCCTATTGTTGTGGGAAGAGACTTCAGAAGTTCAGGATATTCGAATCCCGACCATGACACGAAGAACCATGGATAAAAACAATCAATATAATCCAGAACAGTCACCTAAATTACAAGTCAAAATTAAAATGCCTTTGAAACCTAGACTCTGGCGGCTTTTGTTACTCAGGTCTTTGTCGCTCCCAAACCCACCAATCTCAAAGTGTAATTGTAGTTACTGATCTCGATGTTCGGTAAATGGTTTGTAGAGAAACACTCTGTGATGCTAAGCTATATCTATGTAAAAATCAAATGCAACAAGCAAATAACGCCGGCAGGCCAAACGTCTTTAGCCGCATTAGTTAACAGTCATCCCGTAAAAATGACTTTGCTCATCGCGTCCCAGGGTGATGCCAACCGGGAAGCCCATATTCTTTATGAGGACTTCAAGTAAGGTATGTTTCCTTTCATCTACTCTAGGAGTGACTTCCATAGTTAGATCTAGTTCTATCACCAAAGTGAAATGGCTTATAGCCATCACCATGCACACACTAAAATGAACACAATTGATGAAACACCACAAATTCTATTCTAGGCCTGGGTAATATAGGAAGCCAAACACAATCCTTCAAACATTGCTGATTAATGCTAAGGGAGCTAATTAGGTATTTAAGATTTACGTGTTCCATTCACCTTTGATAATAGTTCAAAAGTAGAATAGATAAGTAATGCATTTATTACACCCTCCCTAGTTGGGATAAACCTATCGAAGCGCTGAATATCCCGTTAATTGCTAGGTGAAATCCAACACCGCCCGTGATTCTAGCCTGTGGCAAATCGCCCCCAAGTCCTGTACCCAGCTTTGCGCTCGGATCTCTCCCGTTACTCCCGGCTCGGGGGCTTAGCTTTCGAAACGCTTCCCCAAAGCCACAAAAGTCGCTTCACCTATCCACAAACGTATCAGACATCATCTACCAGTCCCCGTAAAGGTCATGCCGAGCCCAATTTGGACTGGCTCCTGCGGAGACTTCAGGGAGTTCTGTTGATCATGGGCCATTTGTCTGTCTCTGGCTTTCGCTGCCAGGCTTTGCCCAGCCATCTCCGCCAGGTCCTGCTGTGTCCGCTTCTAAGCCAAGTCCATTACTGACCATGCGCCTCGCCTCGCCTCGAATATTATGCTCCTCGAATGGACTCTCTTCATCTCCAACTCGAGCTGATCCAGCTCCTTCAGTTGCCTGGAAATTTCCTTCTCGCCCAGTTCCTGGGCCTTCCTCGTTGCTTTGTCCTGGGTCTCGGATACCACTGTTCACCTCATCATCAGCATCATCGTCCTTGTCCTCCAAGTGCAGTACCTGGTCAACTTGGCTAGCCAGTTGGGCCACCTCATTTTGTACACGTTTCGTCATACCCTGCAACTGCCGCTCGGCTTCCTCCTCTCCCACCAGTTCACGCCACTTGGCTTCCAGTTCGTCGCGCCAACCCAGCGCGTCGGCCAGCTTCCGCACGCCGGTGTCGCAGTCGCCCAGAACTAACACGTCGTCGGCATGGGTGCCCAGAGAGCCCACGCGCTCCATGTTGAACAGCACCCGCGGCACGGGCTCGGGCACCATGTCGGGCAGCCCGGCAAAAGGGTGGACCGAGAGGCTCGTGCCTAGGACCAGGGCCAAGTCGGCCGTCTCGGCCAGGTTCCTGCGCTCGTAAAAGAGCGAGGGCAGGGCCTCGTGGAAAAACACAATGTCGGGCTTGACCAGGCCGTCGCAGCGGCCGTCGCCGTTAGCCTCGCTGCGGATGCAGCGCGGCACCTCGGCGCGGGCCACGTGCTCGCGCATCTTGTCGTCAGGGAATGGAGTCTTGCAGTCGATGCAACGCTGGCTGGCGAAGCTGCCGTGGGCCTCGACGATGAGCTCGCCGGGGATGCCGGCGGTGCGCTCGAGGCAGTCGATGTTCTGCGTGAAGAGCTGCGCCAGAAGCCCCTTGGACGCGAGCAGGCTGATGAAGACGTGCGAGACGGTGGGGTGGAAAGTTCCCGGATACAGGTCCTTGGCCAGCACGTAGAAGGGCTTGGGGTTCTTTTTGAAGAAGTCTAGGTCAAACACGGCCTCGGGCTCGGGCAGATTGAGAGCCGCGAGGTTGGCGTACAGGCCCGTCTCGGGCGACCGGAAATCAGGGACTGTTGGCGGATCAACAAGCAGTCCAAGGAGGACAAAGCCCACGAGAGAAAAGAGGGGCGATTGATGCCCAATTAGGTGTACTTACTTCCCGCAGCCGTAGAGATACCGGCGCCCGTCATGACAACAATGCGGCGGGCCTTGCCGGATTTGATGTGATCGGCGACGGCGGCCAGGCTGCGCTCGGCCAGCGTGACGGCAGGCGTGTCATCACTGATAACGGAGTTGTCCTGACCCATGTTGCGCCTTTTTGGCTTTTTGCCCCTCTTTGACTTTGGTTTCTTGGGTCGCCTGGGCTGAACGCAGACGTCGTCGTCGTCGCCGGCGTCGTAATCGTCGTAATCGTCGTAGTCGACCAACTGCTCCCCCTTGGCGCCAGGCCCGTTCCTGGACCGATTGCGTTGCCCTATCTTGGCTGGATTTCTACGTCAGTGGCGGGCTGTGGGCGGCGGGCGAGGGTGAGATGAGATGTGAGATGACGAGTGAGGAGCGATGCAGGCAAAAAGGTAGGAGAGGTTATAGAGGTAATTGACAGGTCCGCGGTTGAAATGTGAGTGTGCAGAATGATTTGGTTCCGCTCAAGAATGAGAAAATTATGGGAGGGTGTCAAAATGAAGAAACGCTAACCCTGTGAGGTTGCAGTGTGAATATTGATGGATACGAGATTTGCTGGTGTTGGTTCGTGGCGTGGCAATCAAAGCAGCTTTCCGTTCGGCTCTTGCTGCCCGGTGTGACTGGGCCAAATTCGGAGTGGGTGGTTGCCTTATCGATTGGATGCAGAGATTGTACTGGAGGCGGGGCCAATGGTGGGGCACTGAAGTTGCGGCGGCCCCTGGCGGCGACTTGTAGACAACCATCGGCGGCAGTCCTCCAAAGCCGCTGTTGCTTGCCTGCAAGGGACCCGAAACTAAACGCTTGATCGGGGAAAGGCATGTGCTCACATGGGTCGATATCCAATCCCAATTCTCTCTCCAATTTTCAGGTGATTTGGTGTTATTTGAGCCGCAAGTTAACCATCGATGGGCTGCATGGCTCATTCCTAGTATTGGGTGAGTTGAGTCGAAGACCCCCTCACAAATTCGGGTCCCTGCATCAATGAGCGTCCAAATCGGCAATACTGTTAATGACCAAACACAAGGATTTACGTCGGTGTGCAGGCATCCGGTCTAGCACAGCTGTGCATGCAGGGGCATTCACTCTGGCGTGCGGATGACGGGTCCAATCATCCCATACCGTATGCTGGATCGAATCCTCGAAATTATTCGTCCAGATTTTGATGTCATTCTGCCAGACTCAAGAAGGCTATGGATTCTTTCTGGGGCCGTATGTAGGTTTGGCCGAGCATTAGTCTAGTGCTTACTCGGGGTTTCTTTACTAGGTTGCAAATCAACAATACACATCCTAAATAGCCTCATTCTTGACTGCTTTGTGTGTTATCTAGCTTCGTTCTGATCAGACGTTAAATACTACAACCTCCCCCATTGCCAACGCAACCCCACGTTTCTCCCCAGCGGCATGTGTCCTTCGTCTGCTGGAAAAGTCATTGCGGCTATTATCCGAGCGGATCTATTTTAGCCCCGGAAATCGTCTTTAGGATACTAATTATTACCGTCATCGTGGCGGGATCTATTTGATTCCGCTCGACGCTGATTCTTTAGAAGTGATCATTTCATCCCGTGCTTAGAGATCACGGTCGCACTTGGTTCGGACCCAAGTCCCCCCGGCTAGGAGTCGGACAAGTGACCAAGTCCGATTTGATGCAATGCTGTAGCAGGAGCTGAAAGTATTATAAGCTGAGGTTTGTCGCCCTCGATTTCTAGCACGCTCTTCATCCAAGGCACACGTTCGATTCTCGAATCTTGTTACAGCCTCCGAATTTTAAACCATTCACCTTCCTCGCGCCTTCGGGATTGAAAAACTGAACATGGATACACCTACAGTCAAGCCGGCTAGAGTCGTCATCGTGGGCGCCGGCATTGCCGGACCTACGCTTGCTCTCCTGCTCAAACAGAAGGGATACTTTCCTGTTGTGGTTGAGAAAGTTCGAGACATGGGAAATGTAGGAATCGCTCTGTCGATACATCCGAACGGGTGAGTTATGCCCCGGTGCCGCTTTCCATGTTGTGGTTCAATTACTGTCTAACATGTCACTCCTATGAATAGCATGAAAGTGCTCAACCGTGCTGGTCTCGCGTTAGACGTGGTGAACGGACCCCCAAGCTCGCCGCCTACATTGGCATGGGACGATTATACAAACACGGGCGAGTTTCTCGGCGGCCCGGCCTCTTCGCTCCTGGCAGGTTTTATCGACCGGTATGGATGGCCCGTCATTGGCGTCACGCGAACGCGGCTTCAGACGCTGCTCATTGACAAGTGCCGTCAGAGTGGTATCCCCGTCCATACCGGATGGAGGCTTGCTTCATGGGACGAGGTTGGCGACGGCATAGTGGCTCGAGCCGAAGACGGCCGCGAGCTGCATGCCGACTTCATTGTCGGAACCGACGGGCTCAGGTCGCGCACCCGCGAGATACTCCTCCAAAAAAGGGGCGTCGAGGTACAAGAGCCCATGTTCACGGGCATTGTCGTTCGGGGTGGGCAGACGCCAACGCCGGCAGCCTTCGACACGCCAGCTATCAGAATCTACTACGGCGCAACGACAACCGTCATTAGCCACACGCTAGAAGACGGAATGAGCGTGTGGGGCCTCAACTACTTTGAGAAAACCCCGGTCAAGGAGTCGTGGAGCACCGTGTTGGCTGAAGACCTCCAAAAGGAAATCGACTTGACTCTGGAAAAACTGGAGGGCTGGGCTAAACCGGTCCGGGAAATGGTGTCGAAAACGACCAAGATGATGTCGATCGGGCTCTACGACCGCCCCGAGCTGCCGGTCGAGCAGTGGTACTATGGTAGAGGCATTGTGGTCGGCGACGCGGCACATCCGACAACGTAATTATCTCCATTGCCCACACAAAGACTCGTCGCTTTGGCTGACAGATACCTACCTATGCGCAGTCCACACGTAGGACAAGGTGCCAACCAAGGCCTGTGAGTCCAAGACTCCCATACCAATATCCTGCTGAAATGATCTCTTGCTAATTGGACTCAAACCCCTTCAGTGTGGATGCCTGGCATCTGTCGCAGCTCCTGCCGTCGTGCGACGAGCAGTCGGCCAAATCGCTTGATAGAGCAGAGCTGGAAACCATCTTCCACAATCTCGCAGCGGTCCGACAGGGCCCGACCGCCATGATTGTCGAGAGATCGCGGGAGCAGGGCAAGTTGCGAGTCGTGACTGACAAGTCCCCCGGCGCCAAGGAGAGGAGGGACGACTTGATCCGGTCTTTTTGGAGGGACCAAGACACGTTCAACCAAATACACGACATGCTCTATAACGAGCCGTTTGAGGACAAGGAGGGATTTGCCAAGATGATGCGTCAGCGTCAGGAATAGCAGTAGCTAGGTACCTACCTAGGCACTAAACTCTTCAGGCTCACAAGGGCCAGGCAGAACGGTATCGTACCGTCTTTTTCACACGGATTTTGCTTGGTTAGGCTCCGGGGCCCATGAAGCAGTTGATTAGCGGCCGAAAGGAATCTCTAATTAGATGAACAGGGTACTACTACCAGTAAGAACTTTCGCAGCCTGCCTACGGGGAATTCTTTCTACAACCCATCTTGAAAGACCGATCTTTGCCTAATGCTCACTTTCCACTTCCTACCTGACTTCCTGTTTATCTATCTGCAAAGGTAGGTAAATACATCAACTGATTGCAGGTGGGTAATCACGCAATAGAGAAAGGTAAGATAGCACCAAACTCGTACCCGAGATTGAATATTCGAACAGCATCGCATGCTTCTGATGGAACAAAACTTCATCCCGGTCAAGCTGTTGTCTCGTCTAGTCCTTCCGTCTTTGGCATTAAAGAAAAGTCAAACAATGCCCACTCCAGGACTGCAGGGAGGCTGGGCTTAGGTTGGTTAGATTCATCCCAAAAGATGCGAATGCAGGCACTCCAGTTTCTGCAGTTGATGACGAGCAGAAACGCCCCGCATTCACCGGTAGATTGGGGTTGGATACCAAGGGGTTTATTCTGGAATGCATGTGCCGTGGTTGGGGCTGCCGGTTTCTAATTGCTTCACGTGCAATAGCGGCGCCCGGACTATGGATCCACAACACCAATCAACCGCGCTCGCACATCCTCGCAATCCCATCAGCAAACCCCCGGAACCGGTATCAGCGCTTCCAAGATGGCCACAACAGCCCCGCTCCAGGCCCGGCGGCGGCCCCCTAAGCCGGCTCTCGGATTGCCCGCTCCAGAACATATCCGCTTTCGCCATCCCGGTTATAACTGTCAAGACCTGCTCCTAACTCTCCCTCGCGTTGATAGTACAGCATCGATTTCTACCTACGGCGTGCATCATAGAACAGCCGTACTGGCGTGCCAGATTATCGCTGGGAAAGCCTTCGCTAATAGCTATTTCTCTCTCGATAAGGCGGGTCAACAGCAAGTCCAGGTACCACTTGATGGCATCTTGATAGACGAGGCGTACTATTTCATCGTTGACGGCTCTGGTAAAAACTCTCTCCTCCCTTTGAGCCGCTTTCGCTGACCTTTTAGTGCTTTATCCTATCGTCCCTAGTTTCCAAGATTAGGAGTTCCCCCACGGCCGCATCCCCGATTAGTGGCCTTCTGTTCACGCCGGCTCTGTCACCACTATAGACTGCGGTATTACCAACGCTGGTTACGCCGTCGATGAAGCCCATCTTGTGCCAAAAGAGGAAGAACGTTGGTATATGGAGAATGAAATGCAACAGTATGGGACGGGTGATATCAACAACCAAGGCAATATCCTTCCTCTTAGGAAGGATATACACCACTCGTTTAACGCTTAGTGGTTTGTTATTATTCCAAAGATTGTTACCATCGATTCTTCCCTTCAGCCCTGCCTTCAGTACGTCACGCATATCATTTCAGAGTCTGCAGCGGAATTATGGGCTCAATCACATATCACCCTCGTCGGGTCCCTCAATAATCAGTCTCGCGCTTACCTCTTTGCCCGTTTCGCTTGGGCTATCCTTTTCTGGGCCAAGCTCTTCGTCATCGCAGGCCAACGTCGTCACGCCATCCGAGTCTCTAGAGATGCAGATGGCAAGATAGAGCACAAGACAATGTCTTGTACTGGGATAGAGCCTCGGAACGCATACGGCGGTGGAGGATCAAAAACGGCAAGCCCGCTAAATCCGAGGAAGAAGTCCGGACAAGGCAGCCCAAAAAATGAAGACAGCTTTACAGAGTCATCTGGGGACAGCGATATTGATATGGACGACATGGACTGGAGAGAATGGGGAAGAAACAGAAGACAGGAGTCGTCAGAGGAGACTGCCCCTGATATCATACCACTACGGAAGTCATCAGAGGAAACCGCCCCTAAAAACAAGGTACACCTGGAGCCAGCTCTCGACATGGAGCTTAGGACAGCTTTGCGCCAGGTTATACCGCAGCAGGGTGCAGCCTCGGAAGACTAGGCGGGGATAATACAAAGGTGCTGCGACTGAAGTAGATTATTACAGCAGGATTACGATAATATAGTAATAATCTCTGTGTAAATCCCTGTTCTAATCCCTGTGATTACTGGATGTTGCAGAAATTCAGGGTGTCTTAAAGCGGCAGCCTAAACCGCGGCACATGTTTTCTCCCTGGAAAAGAAGAAACAGCGTTTAAATGACCCCAAAAACGACAAGGAAAGTTTCCACTTCCTCCTTTGGAGCTGAGCAGTTGCCGCCTTAAGCTGAGCTTGGCTGAGCTAGGCTAAGCAAGAGGTTACTTTTGGGGCTACCCCGGTTATACTTGCCTCGGTTTGAAAGTGGCATTCTGAACCTAGTTTTAGGACACTAAGTTAGGTGGGGGGGTAAGCGAACACTACTGATTTAGAACATTCTGTATAAGCAGGAGTCCCAACTAACCCTCCAACAAAAGAAAGGGTGATCTTTTTATTTACAAAACTTCAATACAATCTTTGATATCCTCTGAATCATCCGCTTCTTCCGCATCTTCTAAAACCTCTGCTGCACGCCCTACAGCTCTCTGGGCCTCACGAATAGTCTGAATATTCGCAAAGGTGGTATTTGGATCTTCTTCAACCTTCTTCTTCTTTCTGGCTCTTATTGATTCGAGAGTGTGTTCTAGACCTTCAATCTTTCGCTTCCTAATAGCCAGTTCAAAGGCCTGTTCATCCAAAGCCTTACCAATCTTTCTGAGGAAGAGCTTATCCGCTGGCATTGCTTTGATGATGCGTGCGAACTTCTTTGCTTGCTCAACGTAATCACGTGCCTTTCTAGGAGTCCTCCACTGCACCCGATCGTCTCCATAATCCTCCAGGATTGGCATACGGAGTGTGCGAACCTCTGGGGTAACTATAGTAGTTCTTAAGGGGCGTGAAGTATTAGAATTCTTGAGGAGGAGTGGGCTTCTTAGCGATTTGTTGACATTCAAGGGCCAAAGGCCTGATGCCTTCCATCCTGACTTAGCATTACTCTTAGTAATTGCCTCTGTGCGTGAAATCTGGTAGCATTCCAGAAACGCACGTTTTCCGGCTACAGAAGAGTCGTCAAAGGCGTTAGCAAGAAGGTCCTCAAGCCGTCTGCGATAAAGTCGTTTTAGGGGGCCAAATATGGCCAAATCTAGGGGTTGGAGGACATGGGAAGTATGGGGAGGCAGATAAATAATGTGAATATTGTTTGTGAATGCCTCCCACATATAATCGGCAGTTGTGTGGCTGCCATGGCCATCAATAATAAGGAGTCGTTTCTCAGAGGAGTTTGCTGGCTTGGTGAGAGGAATGAACACATTTTTTAACCATTTGAGGCTTGTCTCATCGGTAGTCCATCCTTTCTCAGTTGCTGTAAAGAACCAATCCTGAAATGGCTTCATATCCAAAGGAAACCATTGTTGTTGAACGCTTTTCCCCTTAAAAATGACCAAAGGAGGAAGGCAACGGCCAGCTGCTGAGATGCATTCGACAAAAGTGGTCCAAGTGCGGGTTCCAGGCTGTTTTTTTTGAAGCGCCTTAAAGGCACGGCTTCCAATGACAAGGCCGTTGGTTCCTCTGCCTTCCATAATACCAGATTCGTCCTTGTTCCAGCGATTCTCTGGCTTAATCGCCTTGATAGCTGGTGTTTGGAAATGGTTGAACCAAGGTCAAATTGTTGACTCTGTAGCGCAGTTGACGCGGACCGAATCGACTCTCTTGGCCCTCTGAGTCTTCAAAATTCGATTGCGGTTAAGAAAGGCACGGCACCACCCCTTTCCAAGTGGTAAGGAGTCCCCCCTTTCAGCTAGAATACGGCGTGCAAGCTCCCTGATCTGTGCATGTGTAGGGGGCAATCCTAAATCTTGTTGAAGAAGAATCCATTCGACTAAACGATCCTCTTGGGTCTGTGTAAGCCTTTGCTCATCTTGATGAGCAACATTTCGAGGTAGGGAGCCATGTAGACGGCCATAAAGGGTGGAGGGTGGAACGTTCCATTTTCGCGCGACTTTGCGTAATCGATGTGTTCTGACGGCTTCCTCGCAAGCCTTGCGGAGGTCTTCTTCTGTATATGAAACCATTGTCAAGAGAAGAATAAAACGAATTGAAGATGAAGAGAATTGGAAAAGAATTGGTTGAGTTATGGGCTTTTTATATAAGAGGGTTGGTTGTGTTCCTCGCTTATCTAGAATGTTCTGGATCAGTGGCGTTCGCTTACTCCCCCACCTAACTTATCACCCCTTCACCCGGCGACCCTATCTCTTTTTGCTACCGGAGTAAGCGATTACTTAGTTTACCTAAAATGAATTTGTTAAATGTGGCTACACTGAGTGCCCTACATTGGCTCCCCTGGCCGGGCACGAAGTACCCAGGCGCCCACTGAAGAATCGGGGTCACTGTTGCCAGTGGTGACAGACCCCCTGAACCCCTGAGTGCTGGTGGGGGGCACTGTACCCAGATTGTTTACTTACCCCCACAGCACCTTCTCGAACCTACAACAGGTCCAGACACACGCAGTGTAGGACCCATAGAACAATGTAGAATATTGGGCTTACTGACGTCGTCATGGATCTGTGGAATCTACTAGAATGCGTCCTGTAGGTCTATATAAGACCTATCCTTTCCTGTAACTAGATTTCCTTTCTCTTAAGCAAGCATCTGACGTGCAAGCAAGCCAGCAAGCACAAGCCAGTCACCACTCCTTTGTATCATAGAACTATTATAACTCAGTTCCTCTTTGTCTCTCACAGAGCCCACAGTTGGCCCTGAAACCCTCAACTACAGGGCACGGTTCCCACTGTCTTGGTGAGGTTGACTGCAGGGCAGAGTTTCCTGCAGTCTTGGTGCAAGGCCCACAGCAGAGTCCTGTAGGCCTAGGCTAGTTAGTGTGCTTCCCTCAGTTCTCACTGTTGTACTCAGACTACAGGGTATAGTTCCCTACACTCTGCCCACAGGACTCCCTTACAGGACCTGTGCCCCTGCACTCGGCCACCCACTGGACTTACCCTGCCCCGCCCACTTCCGCTGTACCTAACTACAGCACCTGAGCCGACTGTAGTACTCCTATGTAGGTGCTGCGTTCAGGCCTGCCAGGAGCACGCAGTTTAACACCTAGCTATGCGATAGGAAAGCTCGGCTACTCCGCTAGTTTGCTAGATGAAGAAGACGGCCTACTTTGTCTCCTAAGGACTCGGAATCTGTAGCTTGAAGCGTTGCGTACTATAAGTTATATGATCATAGCAACGCTAGGGAGCTTTAAATTATCGACCGAGTCGAACCCTGGAACCCGAAATATAGTGCTATTAAAGTCCGATGTACTAGTACTCTTAGGAAATTTATTTGCGTTTCGGCTTTAGACGAAACCCTGTTCCCCGAGGGTGGGAGCGACAATGATCGTTCTGTATCCCGGAGCTTTCGGCGTAGCTACGAGTCCCAGGTTTTGGCCTTGCGTTCGCCGGAAGCCCGGGTAGGGGAATTTATTGCATTAACTACTATTTATATGAGCGGAAGGAGGCCGGCTAGCTTAATTTGAAAGGTGCTGTTTGTAAGCTTACTCTGTATCTCTGACTGTAAAGGTAGAGTCTAACCATGCTTAGAGCGTATGAAGCTAGTATCATCTAGATTTAAGGGGGTGTCGATTTTATTCTCGTGGTAGAGATGCAACGTGCCGGCTCTCATTGTAATTTCAAGGTTGAGGAGCTGGATAGTAATCTATACTCTCTGCCGCATTTCGTTCTCAAAATGAGACAGCGAGCCTTTCTGATGGAGCTGCATCGCCAACGCTAGACGAACCACACACCCCATTAGCGAGGCTAGGTGGGGCAGCTCTCCTTTAACAGTTTCCGTCACACTCGCAATAACAGGCATTATCCCCGGCAAGTGTACTATCTTGACCGACAACCAAGCAACCATCAAGCCGATGCGAAACCCAAACTGCCAATCCCCACAATACATCCTAGTCGAAGCCACAAGGGCACTCGACGAACTCCGTACCCGAGAAGGGGACGTGCTCTGATCTGATCTTAAGTCAAGCGGTATCCGGACACCGAGACGATTGGATGCTAGCGGTACCGACCCCGAACTGCTGGCTTGTCAGACGGTGGCTGTTCATTCGGGCCTCGTCCAAGGCACTGCTGCATGCGTCCGTACGAAGGTGTGTGGCAGTGGGGCACGTTCTCATCCTCAACAGTCATGCGGTGCCGCTGAAATGGCGGTGTATTCCTTCCTCCATTTTACCAGACCACTCACCCCTTACTGCCTCATCGAGTTTATCCCAGCAGGTACATGTCAGAGGGCCAGCGTCAAAGAAGCGGCTGCGAGAACACGTACGACCCAAGCCACAATAGCCTCGGGAACAATAAGCTCTACAGCACCGGTATGCTGCACAGCTCTGTCTACTACGGCCCGAAGAGTGAGGCGATAACGGCTCAGTCACCAGAATCCCCAACCCAACCATTTTCGGACAAAATTCCTGTCGCTAAGCAAACATACCCTGGCCTAGCTTTGCTGTAGATTCAGGACTCAGCACCAGGCCGTTGGGAAGCATACTTTGAGACAGATCAGAATGGTGCCAGCAGAGACGTAGGCCAGGAGGTTGAGCTGGAAGGAGAGGGGCAGGCCAGGAAGACCCGGGAAAGAATCGAAGTACTGAGAGAAAGGGAGCTGAGATTGGTACCCAGTATCGTGAGACGGGCCCCGCCATGCTCGTGAGAATGTCCCCCGGTCCCTGCTCGCTATCCGCCGCTGTCACCTGCCGGGCCTGCTGGCTGGCCGGCTGGCTACTGCGCCGGTCGGCCATGACACAGTTAACCAAGTTGATCTCGAGTGCGCCCCCCCCCCCCCCCTACCCTCAGAGCCTGTTCTTATAACAACAGTATAGCTTGACAGTTTGGTGACTTTGGCATTTTCCCCCGCGTCGTCTTTTTCCCCCTCGGGCCGTAATTCGTCACTTTATGTGTTATTCCATCCTTGGTACTAGGGCTAGGTTTAACCTTGACTAGGGGGCTGGGGTCTGTTGTCTAGCCCATGCGTCATGTGGGCGCAGTAGCCAATGCCAGACCGAGGCGGCCCTATAGAAGATAAAGTAATGGCCTGACCTCTTGTTTCTGGTTTGCCACGGCAGTTATGCAATTGGTAAACTTGTCAGTCTGCCACCCTGGTGCGTAGCCCACATACTGCGGTTGGTCAATGGAGACTTGGGCATAATGTTGCGACACTCACACGAATTTATAACATCCGAACCCCTCCCCTCGACTTCCCTTTAGCTGCTCCAGCCGAATATCGTCCTATTCGTCAACATATTATCTAAATCACGTCGCTAACCACTCTACACTAAAGCACCATACTGTCCTCTACTCATATCCCTTAACAGTCTCTATAACTCTCTACCCGTCATCGAAGAACAATTTCCTCCATCTCCCATCCATCTCGAAGCGTTCGGGAAGTTTCTGGTGTCCTATGGCTTCAGTGGGTATTTCGGTGTATCTCTTTCCTACAGGCATTCCCTGCTCCAAGACGCGTCCATCGTGGTATACGTCGGTCTTTGGTGTACAACTACTCTTCTAATTGTCAGCTAATCCTTTATTGTTACGGCACGGCCGAACTATGGCCCGTGGTACCGCAACCATGCACTGGCTGCAGGACCCACACTACAGCCCCACTGTTCCCAGACCTGGCTGCAGGCTCCACCCTCTCTTCCCAATTAGGACTAGCCCAATTGCCCACTGAACCACAAAACCACAGCCTGCAGGAACCGCAGGCTTCTTCTTTTCCTTTTCCTTTCCTTAGCTTAGTTATTTACGAATACAGCCATTCTTTACTTGCAGCATTGACTCTCGTATATGCCTGCCTTCACACTTAATAACTTGACGGATGCGAGCTTTTATCCTTTATAATGGTACATTCTAAGCCTTCGAATATCATGAAGCGTCCGAGACGCCGGGCTATGACGACGAAATCTGATCCGAGTTTTCTCGAGAACCTGACCGGGTATCTTACACTCAACGGACTGGAGAGAGAGATTGCTCTGTCTAGGCTGGACCTCGGGTACCCCAGGCTCATGGAATATTGTGACGAAGATGATAATGAAGTGGTGACATACGTGTGCGAGGTAACGGATGGCAACATTTCTCATGACGAGGTAATATAGTCGAGGTTCGACTATTACGACGGGACAACTGTGCCTGTGATTACTAGAGGGTGTGCTCAAACCTTGAGTAGTGACTACAAGGAACAAGGACGATTAGTTAGTGTAGGGTACTTTATTTTAGGTCTAGAGGATGATAACGCGCGCGGAATGATGCTTGTGATAGGCTCTACTGAGCCGTAGACTGTGCTCTAACCAAGCCGAAACTACAAGTTAAGATGCTAACTATTTAAAACTCTAGATTAGATCTTGCTAAAGCCTTATTATTCGATCGCACAAACAGTATCTATTCCTAGATTGTCCCATTTCTTCCCAGTTAGAGACTCTGTTAACGCAACGAATATACCTATTCGGATAAATGTGTTTGGAGCGTTAGATGTAGAATTCAGAACCAAGTACGAAGTCATGTGTTTTTCTCCGTGCATTTCCCACCCCATTTCAAGAAGGTAGAAGCGTGATAAAAGATACCAGCGGTGCTCCGGTACCTCCCTATCGAGGTAAAGACGTTGGTTCTTCAATCGGAAGACTGACCGTGAACTGAAAAACCATGCTGAGCCGGCCCGCCTCTCTAGCGCAAACAAGAATGTCCATAAACGCCCCTGGAGGACTAAGCGGCTGCTGGTAATTATGCCATACGGGTTATTGCTCGCATATTGACACTTTGCCTCTCGTACTTGGACAAGGGCCGTAAAGTCTCCGAGATTTCCGTTCACGATTCGAGCTTGCGATCCACTCGCCCAAGACCAGCTTGGGATCGTTTTTATTACCTCGGCCTGGGACGGAGAATCGTTGATAGAACGAAAAACCCAAAGTAAGTCTCCGACAAGGGTGTCAGACCAGAGGCCTGCCAGGTATTGTTCGCCAGGTCTGAACTGGTGAATGTACTCCGCAATTCCGGCAAGTGCTGGTAGTCGGTCACTCAGTACCGTGATGTCCAGGCTGGAATAGACGTCAATTAGCCCCCACCACATATTAGAAGGAGTTGAGCTCATGGCGGCAATGCCTCGTTTCAAGCGAGGAAGAACATGCTTGTGTTTGATATTCGATGTGGTATCTTCCCGCGACGCATCATCCCTTCCGCATTCACAGGATACTCGGTCAAAACACTGAAAGACCATTTCCCCCGGCGCGAAGAATAGGGTTCTCGGAGAAATGAGCCGCTCTTGAAAGCACCAGGCGCGCCGAAGCAGCGGGAATGTCCTCTGGAGGTCCTCATTCTCCCAGTTGTAATAGTTATCATGCGCTCTTCGCACATACAATGGCCAAGCTTTGTCCGAGCTTTCATGGCGTAGGTTGGCAATGCGCGTGGCAGTAGGGCGGTTGTGCTGTACAGAGTAGAGTCCTGCGCTGGGGTCTGCACCACAGGCGGCCACTACGGTTACATATGAGTTGCCGTAGACTTTGGACATGCGGCCGGACTCCCGATGCCAGTCAGTTTTGTCCCCTTGGATGATGCACACGCTATCAATCCAGAGATAGTCTATGCCCATTGATCGTGACCATTTGACTGCGTCCTGAAATGTTTGCGGCAAGCTTGACCATGGTATTCCGGCTTGCCTGTCGGGCAGTGTAGAATTAGTGGTAAGACACGCAGGCTTGAGCTTCCCCCAACAGTAGCTCAGAGCACAATACCGTGACCCCTGAGGCACGGATGATCCATCCCGGAGCACGACATCGCCAGCTGCATTCTGTGGCCGCACATCGATCAACCGTGTTGGGGTGAATAACTTTGACGGAGGGCCGCAGTTGATGTGGGATTGACAACACATCTCAATCTCATTTTTGGACCACTCCAGGGATCGGGATGATGAGGTGTCATCTGGTGGTGTCCTCACGCCTTGGGGTATCCACTCTGGCGCGCTTCCCTTGTCATCGGCTATGAAAATGTCCAAGTTGATCACATCTCCGTATTCTGACGGTTGCTCAAGTTGGATGCTGCAGCCATCTTCATCAGGGAAAATTATAACTCTCTGGCCTAGCTCCACGCCTAGAGCCTCTACCGCAAGCCGAATGATTCGACATCTGATGCAGTTCTCCTGTTCCTGCCGTGTGCCGGAACGAAGCCGGAACACGTCACCTCCGCCCCATGGAAACAGTTCTGCCGGGTGTCCGTTCCAAAGGCAACTTGGACAGGGATTAGAGTTATGGCCTTCGGAAGAGACTGCATGCCTCCCAAGCCTAGATGCAACAGCCTGCTGCTGGGCGGCGACAGGATCTGCACACCACGGGCTCGGCAGAACAATTTCCGGCGCAGTCGTTGAGAAAGATGGTTGCGGTGCCGACATGTCTGAGGTGATCTATTGAGTGCTCTCGTAAGGATCACTACAGACATATGTTGGTAGCCATGAGGCAGAGATGGGTGCAGAAGTTTGCTGAAAATCATAGGGTGCCGAAGCGGGGCATTGCACCACCTTGGGCTGCTTAGGTCAGCTGCATGTCCTACGCGACCAGGCACGGCTGGAGATGCCCAGCCTCGCACCCCAAGCAGGTGCCCCAGATCGCTCTCGAACAGGAATTCTACGCCGGCAGCTACCGCCACGAGGACATCGCCCTCTCGTCAGGCAGTAAGCTGGGCGCGGGCGTGCACGGGGATTTCTTCATGGGCTGGACGCCGACGGGGGTGGCCACGATGCTGCGCGCGCTCGACGACCCGCAGTGCCAGCGAGCCGCGGGGATCCTGCCGTGGTACAACGACGAGTCGCGGTGTGACATCATGGTCCCGCTGGCTGACGAGGCGGCGATGAAATGCGTGCAATGCGGACCCGACTGTCGGGATCCTGCTCGAGGAGGTGAGCATCCAGAGGCCCGTGGCTGCGCTGCCTGGGTGTAACCCGCTCTTTGACGCGCCTGGGTTGCCGGATATGAAGCCCGCATGTGCCGGTTCGGGTTTTGGTGGTGCGAGTGTGCCAAAGATTGACCCGCCGTCGAGACTGTTTGCGTGGAGGGATGGGGACCCGAGGCATGTGGTGCATTCATTGGGCGTGTTTGATCAGGTTGCGCCGAGTTCGAGCAGTAGGACTACGTTGTTGAGTGTGGCGAAGACGACGGTTAGCGCGGCGAGCAAGACGGCGAGCACGACCAAGACTACCCCGATTACGACGACCAAGACCGCGGCTAGTCCGACGACAAAGACGACCAAGACTACGACGGTTCCGACAGGGGCCCGGCGGCAACCAAGACTTCCGCGCCCGGCGGCGATTCTTGTGGAGCTATTCGAAGCCGCGATCATGCCACTGGGGGACTCGTCGGTCTCTGGAACCGTGTGGTGTATGGCTATTAGAGCGCCTTGGGGGAGACGAGTCGTGGCTTAGCAGTTACCTCGGAGTGGGTAATTGTATTCGATGGTGAATATGTAGTGACTCCGCCCTCTTTCTGTATTACTAGAGTTTCAGGTTCTTGTCCTGATTTATTACCTCTTTTCGTCTTTGAGCTCCAACACGCATCTGCTTGACTTCTCCATGCGTTTTAGTCATGTCCTGATCGGATCTTAGGTGCTGAGAAAAGCAAATGCCTTTGAATTTCCGAATATTTAGGTGGCTTAGTTCTATACCGTGCTCGTGGACGAGGACCGTTTTTGGGCTCCGGTAAGAACTTGAGCTTTTTGGAAGCTGTGCTGAGGGACAGTTGAGCAGCTATTAGCCGAAGCTGAGCCGGGGCTGATTTGGGCTGAGCAAAAGTGGCGAGGGGTCACGTGGTGAGCCTGGCCGGTTTCGGAAAAGGGATTGTCGATTTTGGGGTCATATAACACGCAGTCCGTGGAAGGCCCCGAGTCAGCGCCTAGTGTCGAGTCAGCGCGCACCACTGTGCTGGCGAGTGGCGACCAACTTGGGCTCGTTTACAGTAATGCACCCCGCAAGCGCGTCTCTTGTCCTGTCAGCCAAGAAGCCAAGGTGTAGCAGCTCGAGTTAAGTGTATGTAGGCCTCGACGGGGCGGCCTAGGTACTAGGTAGACTACTTTAGGTCGCGAGCGAATGGGACATGTCTTTGGAGGGGAAAGAAGAAACGTGCCCAGATTTTGTCAATCTAGGCTAGGAAACTGCACGCGTGCCTAGGTCGCTGTCGGTTTTTGACCGTCTCTTTCTTCTGTCTTTTGCTCGGCGCGTCAGGCACGGTCTGGGATTCGGGATGTCGGCACACTAGAATCATGCGCCGAGAAATGCCAATCCTCTTGGCAGCTGTATCAGATGAATTGGGAATTGGATATGGGGTTTTTGTAGTTTAAGATTTATTTTAGCGCTAGGCAAATGCTACCCTATTCCCTTAGGTAATGTAGTAATAGTGGAAATCTGGTCGTCTCCCTTGGCTCCGCATCCCCCTCGCGTTTCGGATATTCTTGCCTCTCTTGCCTGGCGCGCAAACACTGTGGGTTTTTAGATATGGGAGAGATCTCCGGGAATGCGGCAATCTTGTGGATTGGTGCAAATCTTCCAGCAGGGCTCACCATTGCCGCGCTCGGGGTCACTCTAATACCCTTTCAAGACAACTTGGTCCTCCGTGCAAGCTACCAGCCTGCCTGCTAGGTAGGATACACTAGACTTACTTGACTACAGCTGCCAGACCATCCACGTCGGTGCCTCTTGATACTCAATAACCTTGCCCACGCAGCATTTTTCAGCCTTGGCGGGTTGGAGGCTCCCCTGGTTGCCCTCCCATGTCTCCCTTCCAGCCTTGGCTATTGTGGATGTCGTCTGAGAGCGACTGTCCATCACTGGTTGCTCTTGGCCAGGTTTCGAGATGCAAAGGGTGGGGGGGGGGGGGGGGGGGGGGGGGGCGTTAGAGGCAATGTCTTGTGTTGTATATAAGGCTGGAGGATCTTGTCTCCAAAACAAAAACAAGAAACCATCCTCTTCATCATCTTCTTCGCTACTGTATACTTTGCACCGTCTGAGACGAGTCTTTCTTTCTTCGCTTCATTATCCATCCTTTCTCTGCCTTCCGCTCGCTCGCTGGTCGTGGCACTATTTTCTGTTTTCTAATCCTGCCTTGACATCCTCTCACTCATCTCCAGCCAAAGCGTCCGTCCCGTCTCAGCGACTTTCGTTTAGACAAACCAACCCCCGTTACTCAAGATGAAGATCTCCCCCAGCCTTGTTCTCGCCGTGCAGGCACTCTCTGTCCTTGCCCGTCCCTCTCCGAAGGGCGCCAAAGCCACTGCTGTTACTACTGTGGCGGCAACGACGGCTGCTGCCGTGGCAACCGCGACAGCAGTTGCAGGAGGCGCTGCCAAGGAAGAAGAAGAGAAGGACCCGAACAAGGTCGACCAGAGCGGCCAGTTTGGCGCCGCCATCAACCTAACTGGCGGTGACATCCAGACCGACGTTATATACCCCCCTGGTGTACGTCTAACCTAATCACCCTACTCTGCCCACCCAATCAAGGGGTATTGGTGTCGGACCGAAGTTTATGATCGCTGACACACTATTTCCATAACTGCAGGTTATCGGCCAGCTCGAAATTGAGTTCAAGAACCCAGATGCTCGCGTTCTGAGAGTCACCGAGAACACAACCCCCGGCAACGCGCCCGCCGGCTTCACCTTTGCGGAGCCCGTGTCGTACAAGGTTGAGCTATCAGGGACTCCCGCCGGCCTGACCCTGTCAAAGGTTGACTACATTCGCAATGCCGCCAGTAAGTCCCAGCCCCCGACGGCAACAACACGAGTGGCACCACCCTTGGGATCAATGCTAATCAGTTTCTTCCACTCTTAGGCACTGTCGATATCAGCAAGGGCCAGATCGGTCGCCTCTGCGCCGAGACCAAAAGCTTTGTCGTCGGCGCTGGCGTGGGCGAGCTGGAGTTTGAGGACGACGAGAACGAGCTGACGCTCACTGTGGACAACATGGTCGGCGAGTGGGCCATCTTCCTCCCGACCGCCGCGACTGGCGGTGCGACCGCTGGCGGTGCTACGATTAGCAATAATGCGAGCCGGCTTCAACAGCTCTTGGATCTGATTCTGGTATCTTCTGGCGCAGCTTCTAAGGCGGCTGGAGGAAAATAGATGCTTCTCTGGGAAGTGCTTGAGGCCTCGCAGCCAAGCAAGTAGCAACAGAAGGCCAGCGCCAGGACTGCAGACGCGTGGCTTCGCTAGTCTAGGTTAGTTGCATGTCCGCGTGAAGAAAATCGGAACGGAATGTAACCCCCCAGGGGTGTTTTTGTACATTTTATTTGCTTTCCGCGCACTTGTATATAGCCGCCTTCACGCTGTTCTAGAACTAGATTGCGTTTTGCCCAAGAGGATCTGAGATCCTGAAAACAAGACCGCAACTCACATCCGTCTGAGCCTTAGTTCTCCCGTCTTAATTACCTTGACAACTGGAATTGCATAGAACAAGCAATGGTAACCGGATAAGAGATGGAACCCGATAAAAATGAGAGAAACAAAATTGCTGCTCGTTGCCGGCGGTGATGCTCAGAGAAGAATAACACAGCTCCCACGACAGACGTGTTTGACATAAAAGATGTGTAGAGGCCGAAAAGGTGACACGGGTGTAGTGTGGACTGACAGTTTGACTTCACTAGAAAGACGTAAAGGGGCCAGATTACACTTGCAAGTGAGGGCCCCACCACACTCCCGAAAGGAAACCACTAGACCCTCGCAGCTTGGCACCGCGATATCTCTCAGACTATCTGGTGCTTGAGACACATTACCGACTTGCGGGCCGACCTTTTGAGGCTTCTGAGGTCATAACCATTCATTTGTGATAGCCAGATTCTCTCGGAATGGAACAAATAAATCAATTCAATCAGTTCACAGTTGCCATTTCTAGCAAGATACGCTTTGCCAAAGAGTGTGGATTTGTACAAGAAACCCTTATATACAAGCGCGAGTGATAACTGCTATTCACAGATGAGAAATCTAAAGAGGCTGCAAGGCAAGCGCAAAGGAAAATGCAAGACAGATATCCAGCTCCTACAGAATCCTAATAACTAGAAGGAGACGGACGACAATCAAGACTAACCCGCCAGCTGGCTGGGATGCCTTGCGCTGTCTACCTAGGTACCCGCGCTGAAACCCGTGACAAAGAAAAAAGAAACGCTTTTCATACTCGAGACACCACTATGAAAAGGAAAAAAACCAAAATCTCGCTCGGAACCTTGATTTTCAGGCACTCACCCGCAAGCAAACCTAACCGCTTAACCCATCAGTCATCGTCGTCGCTATCGTCGCCGCTATCATTGCCGCCGTCGTCCTCATCGCCGCTGTCAAAGCCTCCATCCCCACCGCCACCGCCACCGCCAGAGAAAGGCTGGGCACCGGCGCCAGGGGCGAGCGCGTCACCGGCGAGGGCGGCCCAGGTGTCAAACTCTGCGCTGCGGGCGGCAGCTAGGTTGGCCTTGAAGTCGCCGAAGCCGACGTTGTGGAAGTTCAGGACGGCGGCGGTCGAGGCCTGGTTGCCCACGGCGCGGCTGCCGAGGGCCCAGCCCATCTCTACAGCAGCACCGGCGGTTTGCGCGGCGGACAGCCCGAGGCTGGCGTCGAGGCAGCCCTCGCACAGGAAGGTGTAGGACAGGAAGGTGGCGTTGACCGAGGTGGCGGCGGCGATGGGCCGCACGGCGAAGCCGCCCGAGACCTCGGGCGGGTTGTCGTCCTCGTTGGCGGCCTGGCGGAACGACGACACGATGCCGCCGGCGCCGTCGGGCCACGCCGCCATCAGCAGCGGGCCCTCCATGTCGCCCGTCAGCGAGAAGCCGCCCCAGCCGGCGCCCCGCGCCAGTGGGAAGGTCAGCTGCCCGATAAAGGATGTCGACGGGGCCGTGGGCAGCGCGACGCCGAAGCCGAAGCCGCTCTTGGCGCCGAAGAAGCGCTGGAACTGGATGCCCGTCTCCTGGTCGGTGAAGGCCGTCGTGGTCTGGGCGGCCGACGGCGAGGTCAGCGCGGCGAGAAGCAGAAGGCTGGTGTTGAGCGTCGCCGAGGAGCCAGGCATGCGCCGGGACCACCAGGAGCGGCGAGCTAAGTGAGAGTGCTGCGGCATTGTGGGTGATCGGTGGGGAGCAGTATGTTCTGTGATGGGCTGGAAGATTGGTAGAGTTGAAGTAAAGATACAAAGAGCCGACGATCGCTGATCTGCCGGCTGCGGTGGAGAAAAGAAGGGAAGGAGGAAACCAGTAACAGTGGCGGATGGTGGTAAAGAGCATAGCCATTCACTGAATTATGGCCGAAGATGGTCTATTAACGAGATGTGAGTCAAGCATTGGACGAAAAAGGGTTTGTATGCCAAGCATATCGATGTCACTACGTGGTTCTCCTGAGATGGTCCCTCGTTCCAGCTTTTCACCACAGAACTCCACGCGAACTCTGCAGCCAAGTCCATACACGCTCGGGTGGAGAGCTCACGATGATGACCCAAGCGGGCCGACATGTTTGAGAGGCGCCGAATAGCCGGGCTGTTCACCTTGGACTACGGCGCTGGGAGCCCAACACAGAAAACCAGGTAAAAAAGGGGGTTGTATCCGTTTGGTATGAGAGCACTAATTACATGATTGTGAGCAAAGTTGGGAAGGTTGAGGCGAAGTGTAAAAGGTGGCTGCCTCCACATGCACGTCAAGAAGGGTTGAAGACGATGAGCGACCAGGTTTCCCAGATCACCAGGACTAGGGGCAGGAAGGAGGGAGAGGTGAAGCGGCGATGGCAGCTAAGATGCGACGTGGAGGGCGCTTGTCCGTGTGAGACCTGGTCGAAGCATGAGAAAGGCTAAAAAAGTCAGCGAGTCGAAGCCGCTAGACATGTAATTACAGAGTGTAAGGTTTCTTTTGGAGGCAGTGCCGTGTCCAAGTTTGGACTGATAGGTTAGGTAGTAGCTTATCTGTTTTGCTCTAATTCCTGGCCCTGCTCGGGCAGTTATCAGTGCCGCGTGATCCGAATGCCATGCCGTCCCTGACCTGTCGTGCAACCTCGAAGACGCCACACCCGACAGCACGGCGGCTTCTGTAGCATCGCGGCCTAAGGCGTCAAGGATGAAGGTAAGGGGGTAGGGGCTAGCGGCTTGGTGAGACGGCTCGGCATTTGGGCCCACTCACACTACCCTGCCTGCCCGCATTCCTGCCCGCGTCCACTTGCCCGGGTTCGGTTTTATTTGCTCGGCACCGGGTCGACCTGCGATAGAGAAAATAGTGAAGGGACGAAGGTGATGAATGCCTTCCATTTTTGCCCCGTATTTTACTAGGAGAAACTTCAGATGCGGAAGCGACGTAGACTGTGGTTAATACACGTGATGAGGACTAAGAGTCCAAGAGACTGCCGAGTCGAATCCGGAGATCGGATCACCAACGATCGAATTGTCTATGCTCTGGAAATAGCAACGTGGGTTGACATGTTCAATGTATACCTACTGAGTATGCATTTAGAACTTTGACTCGAAGGCGGCAATTGGTCGTGTGCTCTTCCAGCCGGAATTGAGAATTACGTACGGCCGGCCTTGGAGGGGGAAAAAGGAGTAAATCACACAGTGTGGTTCTCGGTCCTTCCTCCCTTGCTCGTAGTTTGCAGTTTGCAGTGTGCACTGTCGCGCACTGTCGCCGACGTCAGGCTTGGCAGCAAGCCAAGAAAAACGCTGGTGCCCTCGGCGTCTCGGATTTCCCATGTTTTCTCCACAACTTCAGGAGGAATCTGGAGATCGCTGCTTGATCCCCATGGGTCTGCAAGGTTTGCTCGGCGGCACACCGCAAGCGCATTGGCTACTGCGTTTGCACTGGCCATGCTTGCCGGCGGCCTGACAAAAACAATGGGCTTTGCCTCGCATTTGCCTCTCGACAACCTCGACAAGCCGTTGTGCGCAGAAACTTGGCGACGGGCGCCGGGCCTTGGCGGCAGCAAGCACTCTATCTTGGCGGTTACGATCCGTCTCAAAATGCCACCGACTGAGACGCCTCCCGCTGTCCGAAGGCTCTCTCTGTGGGGATGGCATCTATAGAGAGGCTCCACCGCGAGCGCCAGAGTTTGTCCCCAGCTTGCTGTCACCATTGGTAAGCTCCGTTGCAGAGTGCAGGGTCTCGGTCTCGTGCTGCCGCACAGAGTCATGCCCACGGCGTTTATTACTTGACATGCCCCTTGGCATCGCTTCTCGGTGACCGCGTCCTGGCTCCTCTTACCTCCTTCTCTTCTTCCTCTCCCCCCCCAAAGGCCTGGAAGATAGCAGCCGGTCTGCCACTTCGGCATCTACTTCTCGTTGTGTCTTATTTGTTACCCTTTTATTACATACAATTCCGTCTTCTCTCTTTTGTTTTGCCGCTTTCGTCGCTCTACGCATCGCTGGCCGAATGTGGACAAAGGCAGAAAGGGGGACTTTGACACCACGACGGCGGGAATACAAACGATGGGGTCTAACGCCAATATGAGATCAACTGCTCCAACAGTCCGCCGGCGGAACCACAATTTGTTTAAGGGTCGGCGGAGATGGATTGATTCTCGCAGTGACGACGACAATTCAGCTTCGTCTGACGACGAGGCCCCCGCTCCCGCTCGCCTCCCCGCCACTGTCGCCGGCCAGGCCCGGCCGAGCAGCACATTGAGAGCCTTGTCTGGACTTGGGACTGTCCGTTCTGCTGCCCAGGCGACCTTGGTACCCGTAACGCTTCCGGCAACTACATTTCTGGCGGTGGAGTCGGACTCGGACTCTGGAATCGACGGCGGTGTTGAGTCTGATTCTGGTGACGAGGACTCTGGGGATGAGGCTGTAGTTTCGCCGCCTCCCGCTGCTGTTGCGCCTCCGCTCGCGGCAATCTCAACAATCTCAACCTCGGCCATTGCAGCGCCATCGTTGCCACCTCTACCGCCGCAAACTATCTCTACGACGTCGGCTTCTTCTTCTTCTTCCTCATTACCACCTCTACCAACTCCGGATCAGCCTGTACTGGCGCCTGTGGACTCGCCCGTCGAGGCCACATTGCCTCTGTCTACTTCCACGACGGCATCGACTTTGTCCACCTCGTCATCCAAGGTAACCGTGATCGTATTTCCGGTACCAACTGTTTCGTCCAGCTCGTCGCAAGAGACGACATTATCGAGCGTCGTAACTTCCAGAACGAGCACAGCAGTTGCTGTCGACATCACAACTTCAGTGCCGCAGGCTAGGGCAAAACCGGGCGAGTCACCGACTCAGACATCGACCCTTGCCGTGTCGACCCCGGCGACAACAACAGCCATTGCATCCCCTGACTTTCTCGAAACTAGCCAAGGGGAACAACAAGGGGTTATCGACCACTCCGCCGAGGGCACCTCGAGTTCAAGCGCTGCCATCAGTATAGTATTCGGAGTTTTGGGTATGTACCTATTCTTACATGACAAGATAGCGGCTACAATACTGACCTTGAACAGCCGGCATTGGCGTGCTCGTAGCAGTTGCTCTATTCGTCAGGAAGAGGCGCCGTCGAGCCAAGCAGGGTTACCCTTTGCCTCCATTCCTATCAAGATCTGGGGTCGGCGGCGGCGGCGGCGGCGGCGGGGGTGGTGACGCAAAACGGAAATCGTCGTCAACATGGGCTTGGGGGTTATGGGACTCTTCAAGCAGCTCTTCAGGCCGCACAACCATGGCTCCACCACGAGCAGTAGCTCCTCCTCTTCCATTTCTCCCTCCGCCAAAGTTCGGGCGTGTAAGCAAAACGAACACGGATATCATGGACAATTTGATGCGCGCAGCCTACCAGGCCGAAGGGGGACAGAATGATATGGAGTCGCGGGTCAACGCCGTTGAGAAGCCGGGGTTCATGGACGAGAAGGCGTACGCCATGCTGGCAGGTCGGCCTGCGCCACCAGAGCGAAAGCGCCAGAAGCCGATTTCAAGATGGCTTGACGGTCTCATGACTCCGCGGGTTCAATCGCGAGTTCCTTCCATGCCTCCCACGCCCGGGACGTTGCCGCGGAGGCCCGAGTCGTTGGTTCCGCAGCTTCCACCACCGCTGCCGTCCTACCTTAAGAACCGCGACACGGTGGATACGTCAACAGGACTAAGCACCGGTGACTGGTATCGTCTAGGAAAGGAATACGGCGTGTAACTTATACTGTGTAGATGGCGGTTGGAACCGGTAAAGAGTAGAACTCATTTAGTTTCAAATCAGCTGCGCGTGTTAGACTCCAGGACCGTATATAGCTGTTGACACCAAATACCTAGATCAGATCGGGACTCGCCAGATGAGTGTCCAGGGTGTTTCCATCTCGCGATGTGCAGCTAGATAGATGGTATCACGCGCTGTAGCTGCCGTGGTTTTACCGTTTCGCCGCAGGTACATGTATGTACACTGAAGATCTTTGACACTAAAGTTGGGCAGGTACCGTAGGTTGCAAACAGGCGGACTTTGCAGCATTTCCCCACCTTGGACCACTCCATCTTCAGGTGCGCCGCCGACTTGGACATCACGTCATACATTCCATCCTCCAAGATTGGTACAACCGGAAAGCAACGTCGGGCGAGGACAATAAGCAACTCGAGGTCAGCAAAAGAAACTGCAACTGGTGACTGCTCTGCAGACACACGCCACTAGGCAGCGTCCGAGATCCGAATCGCACACAACCGGCACGGACACAGGCGCACACACAATGGCGACAGTTGACACCACGCTCCCGGGCAATACATCGGGCGCCGCAGCCGCGCTCGCGGCCGCGCACAGCGCAGAACACCCGCTGAAGCTGTACGGCGGGTGGTTCTGCCCGTTCGTGCAGCGGGCGTGGATCGTGCTGGCCGAGAAGCGCATCCCGCACCAATACGTCGAGATCAACCCGTACCACAAGGCGCCCGAGTTCCTCGCGCTCAACCCGCGCGGACTGGTGCCGACGCTCGAGGTGCCGCCTGCCGACGCCGACGCCAACAACAACAAGAACAAGCAGCCTAAGCCGCTCTACGAGAGCACCGTCGTGTGCGACTACCTGGACGAGGCGTTCGCCGACCCGGGCCCCCACGGCCCGCGCCTGCTCCCCGAAAACGACGTCTACGAGCGCGCGCGCTGCCGCCTGTGGATCGACCACATTTGCTCGCGCGTCGTGCCGGCCTTCTACCGCCTGCTGCAGCACACGGGGGACAAGCCGTACAGCCTCGACGAGGGGCGGCGCGGGCTGCACGGACACCTGCGGGCGTTCGCGGACGAGATGCTGGAACATGGCGACGAGGACGGGGGAGGCCCGTGGTTCCTGGGCGCGCGGTTTGGTCTAGTCGACGTGATGCTCGCGCCGTGGGCCAAGCGGCTGTGGCTGATCGACTACTACAAGACCGGCGGCACGGGAATTCCGTCGGCGGCTGGTACGCCCGGCGACGACGCGACGTGGGCGCGTTGGCGCCGCTGGTTTGATGCTGCTGTCAGCCGGCAGAGCGTAGTCGATACGTGGAGCAGCGAGGACCAGTATGTCGAGGCGTACAGGCGCTATGCGGACGACACGACGCAGTCTGAGGTCGGGCAGGCGACGAGGCAGGGTAAGAGCCGGCTGCCTTAGTTGTTGCTCGTTTGCGTGCAGTCGGGCGCGGTTAGTATAGAGGTTGGTTCTGTGAGGTTTGAGTTGGTGTGTGTACAGGGGAGGGAGAGCCAGCCAGCCGTGTGTGCCTCGTGTGTATGTCCGGAGTACAGTGTTAGACCGCCTCTGTAAAGGCGACAAGGATCATGGCTCGGGGACTACGAGTGCTACTTTCTCCTGCACCTCGATATCCGAGACTCGACCGAGCGATGCCAGGGTTACGGAGCAATACCAACGAAAGACGTTGTTGGTTATTTGATCCTGGGTGAGGTATTGTATGTGCATGGAGGAGCACTGGACTTGGAATCAAGGTGTATCCAGTGCCGTCGTTGATAGCCCCTTCTATCGGGCGGCCTTCCATCCAGTCACAGCCCAAGCTTCAGGGGCTTTCTAGGGGGTTGACAGCTCAGTTGGCTTGGGTGCTAGCTGCCGGTGGAGAACATTCCCACGCCAAGGCGCTGCCAAGGCGCTGGGGGCTCAAGGCTCCGCGCTCGGCCGCCTTATCAGATTAATCAGATAATCAGATAAGATCCTGCTCCTCAAGTTCGACCCTTATTGCGCCATCCCGCTTCCCGTTGGCCACCTCCGTCTTCCTCTCCCCTCTCCCGTCTCCCCTCTCCCCCGCAGCGCTCCGGGCAGCATCTAGTAAAGGTTGATCGATGGACCCGACGCAGAGATGCCCGTGGCTGCCGCAGAGCGCTGCTGCAGGCCCAGGGTCGCTGCCGTCCTTTGCTTGGGCCCTCTGCTCGCGCCTGCCTTCTGCAATTGCTCTTAGCAGCACAACGCCATTCTCGGTTTGGAAAGAAGAGGGCGGCGGCGATCCGCTTGACGACCCCGAGAATGTTGAGTACCTGCGCCGGCTGACCGAGGCTATCTACCAGTCTCGCGCCGTTGCTGCGTCGTACAACATTGCTGTGCTGGCTGTGATACTTGTTTTTGCCGTTCTCCACTGGCGAGAAACCAGAAGCGACGCCCGGAAGTGGCGGTCACGGCTTTTGGATACGAGCAGAAACACGGCCCTTTGCTCGGCCGGGTCGACAGCAGCTAGGACAGCTGACGGGGACGCATCTCCGTCGCCATCCTCCTCATCCTTGTCGGCAAGCAGTTCAGTCCGAGGCATGGCGACGCCCACCGGGGCTGCCAAAGAGGACGAGAACTCGATTGTCGACCTCGAGAGGCTGCCTCTTTTGACCCACAACCAGACCGCCTCGGGCACCAGGCGCCTAACCTGGCCTCGGGCGGGTGCCGCCGCGCGGACGGTTTCGTCCTGGCTCGCCCGCCAGCCGCCACCGTTACCCGTTGTCAACAAGACGCTGCCGTCTAACGGAACATCAGTCTTTGTTGCCGCCTGGGTTGCCTTGGTTGTTTTCTTCCACTTCTTCCTGCTGCCCTTGCGGTGGGATTTCTTCTTCATTTTTGCCGACAGGGCTGGGTTCGTCTTCATCGTCAACCTGCCGCTTTTGTACCTGCTTGCCGCCAAGAACCAGCCGCTGCGCTGGCTGACGGGCTTCTCGTACGAAGCCCTGAACATCTTCCACCGCCGCGTCGGCGAGCTCTTGTGCTTCGAGGCTCTGGTGCACTTCGTCGGCATGCTCGTGTGGTTCTTCTTCCTCGAGGCCGACTGGCTCAAGGCGACCAAGACTCCGCGCGAGTACTTCACGCACCCGCTCATCCTGTTAGGCATCGGCGCCTTCTCCTCGTACGAGCTGATCTTCTTCACCTCGCTGGCCACTTTCCGCCAGCGCTGGTACGAGCTGTTCCTGGCTTCCCACATCGTCCTGCAGGTGGCTGCCCTGGTGTTCCTATGGTTCCACTTCTACACCAGCCGCCCCTACGTCGCTCTGTCGCTGGTCATCTTCCTCGTCGACCGCCTCGTCTGGCGGTTTGGCCTGAAGCGTGTTGGCATGACGGCGGACCTGAACATCTTTGAGGACGGCGAAACGTTTCTCGTTTCGGCGAACTGGGATATTCCCCCGCTTTCCGGCTTCGAAGGCTCGGCCAGGTCGTCACGATGGTGGCAGTCTCCGCTCTTCCGCCAGTCATCTATCGTCAACGGCTGGCGGCCGACAGACCACGTTTTCCTCTCGGTTCCTGTGCTCGGGCGCTCGCACGCTCTGCAGGCACACCCTTTCACCATCGCGTCCGCGGCTCCCGGTGTCCAATCTGCCGCCAGCGAGACCGAGACCGAGTCACCACATGCCTGGCTGTGCTTGCTCGTCCGCGCACACGACGGATTCACCGCCGACTTGCTCCGCTACGCGCAAACCCACACCCGCGTCGACGTCAAACTCGACGGCCCCTACGGCTCGTATCACGCGCTCGCCATGTTGCGTGCCTCCCACTGCGCGATCCTCGTGGCCGGCGGGAGCGGCATCGCCGTTACCTTCCCCCTGGTCTGGGCCCTGCTGCACGACGACGACGAAGCCAGAGACACGGCACAGACCGACGACGACCTTGATAGGTACGGCGATGGCAAGACAAGGACAAGGAGGGGGGGCGCGGCGGGGAAGAGCAAGCAACAGCGCGTGCACCTCCTCTGGGTGACAAACGCGCGCTCACATCGGAGCTGGATCCCGCAGCAGCAGCTCGACGAGCTCGTCGAGCGCGGCCTCGACCTCGTGGTTCCCGAGCCGAGCGGCGAGGCAGGGCGCCCAGATGTCGCCGGCTGCGTGACCAGCTGGATCGACAACGCGGCGGCCGACGGACGCGAGGTCGGCGTCGTAGCCTCGGGCCCCGACGGGCTCAACAGGACGGTGCGCAACGTATGCGCGGATGCGTCAGGCGCCGGACTGCCGGTGCGCGTGGCCGTGGAGAAATTTGGATGGTGATGCGGATAGACTTTTTGATCTTTTTCCTTTGGGTCTATCATGTGCGGCACGGGCATCTATAAAGCATGGCAAGGGCGTGGCAGGGCATTGCATGGCATGGCGTTTTTTCGGTTCTTTCGTTTCGGGGGTTGGCTCTGAAGTTTGACGAAGTCAATGATACGTGCACGAAGAAACTCATTAGGGAAGCTACAAGAGAGAAAAAAGTCGAAGACAACATACTCCGTATCTCACATTGCACGGCTATTGTAGATAGATGTAAATGTCATGGACTTTGGATGTCTCCTAGACACTCGGGATCAGCTGTGGTGGGCTTGCCTTCCGCCCACGACGTTGCCGAGCCAGTGTTATTGTCACATGCACCTGCCGAACTCTGTTTGCCAGAATGACGACTTGTACAGACAAACATGCAAAACAGACAGACAGACACTCTCACGAGCCTCGGACCAAAACCATGACGCCACGTTAGCCATTTATCCACCCCCTCGCTAGGTAGGCAATCACTCGTCCTCGCCCGGCATCTTCGTCATCTTGCTGAGATCCCCAGCATCCTTGACGCCCTTCGCAACGCCCCGGCCGCTCTGTTCGACCCCAGACCCGACGCTCGCCACGGCCTCGCCGACCGGCTCGCCCGCCGAAGTCCCCGTCGCACTGCTCACCGTCTCGCCCACCCCGTGTCCAGCAGCCCCGATCGTGCTCCCTGCCGTGCCCGCCACGCCGCCCAGCGTGTTGCCCAGCGTCGATGTTACGGATTTGCCCACGCCTGTGATGCCCGATTGCGCGTCTTGGGTTTGTTTGTCGGACATTTTTGGTTAAGTTTGGTAGACCTGGGAACTTGGAATGCTTTTCGTGGCTGGATGTTGGTTTGAGTTTTCTTGTTCTTCTTGCGGTTCTTGTCTTTGGGTGTCTGTTGTCTGCTTGCTTGATGTGGCGGACAAAGTGATGGAAGCGGACTGTTTGAACAGCTTCCCGTTTCGCTTCTATCGGTACTATTCTGTCTATATACGTTCCCGGTGCTCCCTGTGGCAAGGGAAAATCCATTGCGCAGCCCTGTCGCAATGCGCATGTCATCCCCGACACTGCTTGACGTCACATACCGTCACAGCGAGGTCAGAGGTCTGCTATGCGCGGTGGGGGGGGATATGCAGGCAGTTGGCTTGTGAGGCTATGGTTTCCAGATGAAGGGTAGCCCCAGCTGCTTCCCGAGCAATAGGAACTGGATATGTCAGCACTGTCCATGAACATTATCGTATGCTCGGAATTAACCTGCACACACTCATGAGTGGGTTTTGACGTGTCCTTGGGTTGCCTTGAGGTGGGCGCCCACGATGGCGTGCGGGTGGCTTGAACTCTCAAGTCGTCCACCGGGAGCTCGGCAAAGTCTTGCTCGTCGAAACTCTCATTGCCCCGTAGACCAGTCACCCTTCCGCCATTGTCCCGTGGGAGTTGCGGACTCTGGAGGCCGAAGAGGGGAAGCACCCGAGCGACATCCGGGGATAATATACGACAATTCGCCGCACCATTTCAGTTTCCCATGTGCAATCTCCAACTTCGTTTGGCTGTGTCTTTCCATCTCTGTGCCGCTCGGAATCATTTGGCCCCTTGTTCTCCTGTCGATCAGCCCGGTCCCGGCCTGAAGCACGTCAGCACGGCAAGATGTTTGCCAGGAGCCTGAGTCTTTTCTCGGCCGCCTTCTTCTTCTCCATATTCACGGAGCCGGCGAGCGGTGTTCGAAACCAGACCCTCGGCAAGCAGCGTGCCATCGTCAAGCGCGACCAGCAGTGAGTCGCCCGCCCCTGTCTGTCGTCTGTGACCTGGGTGGCGAAGGATGCAGACTCTCGTGTTCCGGTTCTCACCTCCCTTAGCTATTGGGGCAAGAGCACCGTGTACGAGCAGGACGGCAATGCCGGGTCGTGCGGACACTGGAATTCGGATAGCGACTTCGTCGCCGCGCTCGGCAATGCCTGGGTATTTGATCACTTTCCTCTGTTCCTTCTTTACCACTGTCCACGCTGTGGTTCGCTACAAACAACAGGGCTTTTGCTAACATGGCTGGCTAGATGAACCACGAGTACAAGGGGCCGCAATGTGGTCGGCAGATCGAGGTCAGGCACGTCGGTAGCGATTACGGAGTGGACGGCGAGGGAAACTCGATCATCGTGACGGTCGAGGACACGTGCGAGTCTTGCGACTCAAACCACGTCGATCTGTCGATTGCCGCCTGGAACGCCATAACGAACGACGCGCCGCACGGCCAGTTCCACATTGAATGGTAATTGCCAAGCAGCTCGTCCCTTCCAGTGACCCTGATCAAAGAGATTGGTTAGCTAAACCAGATGGCAGGAGCTTCATCAACTCTTGGGACAGTCGCAAGTATACTGACTACCATGTTGATTATCACGAATACGACACTGACGACGACACTGACGACTCGGGCTCTGACTATGACTCTGACTCTGATTACGACTCGGATGACGACTCGGATGATGATTATTACTAAACGGCGTCCCTGAAAGATTTACATTTGCGGTTGTCGGGGAATTTTAGGTTTGAACCTTTATGGACCAGCAATGAAGGCGTTTCACTGTTACGAGGTCAAAGGCAGTTAAGAGACTGGGATGCTGGACGAAGTCGAAGAGAAATGAAGCACAGGCGCACTTTGAGGCTTTGAGGCGGTGAGGTTCAATGACGATCTCCTCTCAGGAGAAAGCAGCATGTACTCTAGTGTTTCTAGGACTATCCCAACTTGGCTTGTTGCAGGGTATAGCCAGACCGACCATCGCGGCTCTATATCTGGTGGCCATGGTTGTGCGTGTGGCTTCGAGTTGCGGCAAGCCAATCGAGTTGGACCAGAGCTCAAGCTCAGCATTGCCTCTCACGCTTTATCTCGGCAAGGCACCTCGCTGATAGCCATTTTCCTTGCTATTTTAGTTTCCGGTGTCGAACACGGCGCTAGGCGTTGATCCAACGGCGCGCGGCTTGTCGTTGCTGGGGACCACCGCCGGCGCCGACGCAAAGCGACATGAACTCATATGATTGTCAAGACGCTTGACTCATCCCTCTCTCCGGCTTGATATGTTGCAGGTCGTCATTCGACGCCGTTACCCTCCAAACCCCACGAGAGCTTCTCCTGGCGACGGGCTGCCGCGTCGCGCTGGTTCGCCTTCGATGATGCGGCCTTGACAGCGAGACATTCATCACACTTTTGAGCCTTGTTGGGCTTGCCGAGGCGACCGAGGTCGACGCGCTTGCAGTATTTGTGAGTTGTGATGTCCTGCCACTGCGGCGGCGGCTCGATGTTTGTGGCTGTGTGGGCCCGGTTGAAGCTGTGTCCCATGGTGATGACGTGAGTATTGATGTCGAAATTGAACCCTGAGCGGCAACTGTCGAGATTATCTGGGTCGACTTGTTTTGTTCTGAAACCAATTTCAAAGAATCGGTAGCAGGGATTGTTGGGGAATAGCGTTGGTGATAGGGTAAAGAGCTGCACAACCGATGTGTCGAAATGCCGTGCCCTAGCCCTGGATTCGGCAGAACAAATATAGTGAATGAGGTAGCCTGCGGCTGGCTGTCAGGTGTTTGCGGTGGCGATTTGGAGGCGAATGATTCACCTGTCACCTGTTCGGTTGGACGCATGATGTCATATGCCAGTTAAAGCGCCACCGCTCCGGCCTCAACCAGCCAGCGGCCAGACCGCACGACTGGCCCTCCACGATCCCTAACCCTAGTTAAAAATAGTAATGAGCCTGGTATCTGAGCAAAGCTGTTGACACCACGGGCAAATCGAGCCTAATTTAGGAGGTTTTAAGAATAATGTCACGGCACGGCGGTAGGCGCTGAAGCCCTACGGGTGCGTGACCATACTATAACCCACTGTAGAATTGCAGCCTGACGGCTTGTAATTCTGGCATCCTTTTGGAAGGTGTGGTGCAGCGGTAGTGGGTGTTGCTAAACGCCGTCACAAATAAGGTGATCAAAAAAAGAAGAGGCGAGCCCGGCGAATCTTGCTCAACGAAACTAGGTACCTAAGATGCCTGCTATAAATTTAGACTTGATCATAATTAGGGAATATGTAGGAATTACCGATCAACCAGGAGCTGTGATTTACCCAGCAGGTGTAATAGTGGGGCAACTACGTCAGCACACGGGCCACACCCGCCTAACACGTGATTTCCCACGTGTTGGCGGGGCACTGGAAATCAGCCCCTCCATGTCCCCGTGGTTCGCGATCCTTGACAGTAGAGTAATTGAGAGAGAATAGTACAATCAACACACGACACCCTACCTTTCGTTCTAGTTACTGCAGTGACTACCGTACGAATGGCCTTGTCATTCCAACAGAATACTTGACCGTCTTAACTTCTCAGTCAACAGCATCTGATCCCGCCTCTTTATTTGTAACTGGACAGCTTATGTGTAACCCCATGCTATTTCATTCCTGGTCCGAAAAGCTCATTCCGTATAATACACGTCAAGGACTTCAAACGGTAGCAAACCCGCTGGGAAAAAAAAAACACCGGAGTGTCGACGCCACAGTAGACTTAAATTGCAATTAGGTAAATTCAACATCCAACATAGAACGCCATAAGGTTCTGCGCTACCCGAGAATGTTGTTCATTGGCCCGAGGTGTCAATGCCTCTGCGCACTCAAGCGCGTCACTTCCCTTGTCGGTGTCGGTGTCTTCATCCGAATTCAACGGCGAGCTGCCCCGCTCGCGTCCATTGACTGGACTTGGACCTAGGTCAAAGCCTTCTGGCCGCGCGAACAAGCTACCGGGATAGCACAGTGTCAGGCAGTGCGCTTGCCTTGAACGAGCTGGGCCTCGAGGACAAGCCCGCCGGTTGTCTAAATCCCCAGGCACAAAATCACCACACCACCCAGACCAGCAGTCAGCACCCGAGCCGCCTTCATTCCATGCTCCGTTGGGCTACGCATGCCTTAATCGGCGATACCATCAAATTCAAAATGGAAGTTGAGGTGCAGCAGGAGCTGCTTCTCGCCGGCGACCCCTTGATCCAGGCTACGACCCAGAATGAGTCCCTACAAAACCACACACCATACGACTTCCTCGAACCTCCAGGCCCTCAGTCCAGCGGCAACAGGCCCTTGGGCACTATGAACTGGCTCGACGGGCGAGAAATAGTAGCCGCCTCTATCCCGCAGCCAGCCCCCCCGGTCAGTGTGCCTATCCTATCCAACAGACGCGTCCTCTACATAGGGCCTGCTAGAAGCACTAACACTCGTCTATTGGATTCGCAGGACTACGACGATTTCGTACAGAGAGACTACGTCGAGCGCCGCAAGCAGCTGCAAGTGTCGTGGGTCAGCTGGGCCGAGGCGAAGCGTCTCGAGCATCGTTGTAACTACGCTAATTTTCGAGACTCGGTGGCGGCGCGCGTGGGCGGCCGCGGAGCTAGCAACGAAGCTGGCACAAAAACTCTAGACAAGGCAGCCACGACACGCCAGCTCAGGCTCAGACTCAAGAAGGCGTTCTTGCTCGACAAGATGGAGAACTGGGCGCACAAGATAAAGGTGTTCAGGAAGGAAAGACGGGCCTGCACCCAGGAGCTAATCCGAGAGCGCCACGAGTACTACCTCGAGCGCGCCAAGAGCCTCGAGGACGAGTTTGCGGCCAAGATGGCCATCACAGTGGCGGCCAGTGAGACGGAGGGCGGCCCGCACAACAACGATACCAGTCCTGCCGCTACTAAAGGTTCACAGACTAGCGCAAAGGAGGAAGTTACAGGCAAGGACGCCGTATTTGAACTCAGCAAGAAGCTGATGGGCGCCAGTGAGAGGCAAGTGCTAACCCGGGAGCGTTCTTTCTATCCGTTTCTCCTCCTCCAATTTTTCCGGAAATTTTCTGTACTATTGTCCATTGTCAAAGTTAACAAACCGTAGCGACTTCCCAATACCCGCATTCGGGAAACTTCCGGGGCCAGATAATTGGAGGTAAACGAAACAGAGCATGCAGGATGCGGCATTACCGAGCCCCTGGAGGTAGATAGCAGGGTTGGGGATCCACTCAACGTGTAACAAAATGGAGTGCATATGGTGCAGCTGTGTTTTTTGATTGTGTGATAGCAGGTGACATATATGTGCAGCTTTAGTAGCCTGGCCTAATGCAGTTGCTGTTATCATTTCAAATGAGCTAATTACTTTCTAGGCCCTTCTATTAGTCGGGCCGTAGCCACCGTCTGTAGTAGTATGCCGGTGCCTGGGATAAGCCTAGTAAAGATCTACCTGTTATGACGAAAGTTAGGTTTCCTAGGACAAGGCCATGCCTCCGTAACTTCCTTCTAGTTGATACCCAAGGTATCCATCTACCAATGAAGTCGTAACATTATTAAATAAGAACCCCTGCCTATCTAGGATACCAGGACCGCCCTAAGTTCCCCGGTCGCCATGAGCCCCTAGCTTGGCCGCATCCGTAGCTATTATAGCCGTGAGGTTATTTGTGTCACTGCAGTGGTAGAGTTGGAGGTGCAAGAAGCTTCAGGGGTGTAGATTTCAATGCAACCTGTGGCCTACCTACGGTCAGAATAGACACTATTATTACACTTTTAATTATATGACAGAATCAGAATCTGATTGAAAGCGCTGAATGCGGTTGAAAATATCAGATAGAAGTCGCCCGTCAGTGTTGCAAGGGGGGTTCTGAACCGTTCCAGGCATGTTGATCAGAACAGCCTCGATGTTGGCAGTGCGCTCCTATTCCAGTTGTTTATTCGGGTCACGCAGATGGGCGTTGCGGGTCGTCCAGAACCTCGATGATACTAGTCTCACACACAGCGAAACAGCAGAAAAATGGCCTACTGTAGCTATTGTGTAATGTGTTGTACAATTAGGCCAAACAAAGGCGGACAATGGAACCAGAACTAAGCCAAATGTGACTGCGCTTTTGTCTTAAATATCTTCAGACACGAAGGCTATAAATTAAAGCACAAAGTACACATCATTGCGAAAGGAACTGAACTTGGACAGTGAACTTCCTCCCAGAGCCGCCCCGATACCGGGGTCCACTAGAGCTTCCATGCGATGTCCTGGAGGTATAGCTACTTTTTCGGGTCAAACCCACTATCCAGAAGGAGCTTAGGGGTTCCTCCTTACTGTCCCGGAGAGAGAAGCTGAAACTGGATGTGGCCGGAGTTGACGCGGCCCGGCTAGCTCGACCAGCTCTCGTGGACTCATAATTACGACAGCTCAACTCCACCTTCTTGACTTGCCCGACTGATGACTGCAGAACTGGAAGATGAGTATGTTAGAGTGTTCATCGTCGGAGTGAGGGCGTGTACCGGAGGCTTGGGCCCGTGATCCAAACCGCTTCCAGACCAAAACACCGCCCTTTTTCTCTCCCCTGTCCCTTGATTAGCGGGACTCCTCGCTCGAGGCCAGCGCGTCGTCGTCGCCCTTCTCCAAGAGAACAACAACGTAGCGGGCCGCGGAATCGTCGCGGAACGCGGCCTGCTCGGCGGTAGCACCCGTCTCTTCGGCCACGCGCATGGTGTGGTCGTCTTTGCCAGCCAAGATAGCAGCCTCGTCGTTGTCGTCTCCGCCGCTAGCGCGGCGGTTGACCGAGACGGTGTGGTGCTCGCGGCGCTGGAGCATGCCGGGCGGGACCTGGCCCTCCTCGAAGACGATGACGTGGCGCTTGACCATCTCCTTGCCGCCGTCGGCCGACGGCTGCTCCATGTCGAGGACGTATCGGCGGCCAGCGGCTAGGCGCGGGTCCGTCGCTGGCGCGTGGGGCGCTTCCCTCATAACGAAGCGCTCCTCGGCGTTGCGCGGCCGCAGCACGGCGCCCACGGGCAGGTCGATGGCCGCTTGGAAGCGGGCCCGGAAAAGCTCGTCCGACGACACCGAGGACGACGCCGCCTTACTCGACGAAGACGGCGACGGGTCCACAAACGTGTCTACGCTGAACTGCCGGCGGTGCGCTCGGTATTGTGACGTGCCCTGTTCTCTCGCAGCGTCGCTCGAATCGTCTGACTTGCTAAGAGCGCGGGTGTTGTATGGGCTGTTAGAGTTGACGCTGCTGCCGACCGTATCGAAAAACCCGCCGGGCCGCCCTCGAGGGAAGGTAAACTGCTCGGGTTCATCATGCGCAGAGTCATGCAGGAGAGGCGACGACTCTTCGTCTGAGTCATAGGCGTGACTTCCGTTCTGGGCCGCCCCGAACGAGCTTCCAATCCAGCCTTGCAAGAACAAGAGGGTCAAGAGCCCAGATAGGGCGCTGACGATGCCCAGCGACTTGGTCATAGTCTTCCAGCCGCAAACCGAAGCGAGGGCGCCGGCGACGAGAGGACCGGTCAAGCTGCCCCAAGCGTGGGCCAGGTTCGGCAGGTTCGAGGCGTGTGTGCCCGCGCTGGTGTCGTCGTCGATGGCCGAGAATGGCCGCGTGGCCCGGGCTCGCACGCGCCTGATCTCTCTGGCAAGGGGGTCGCCGCACAGCCCAAGGGCCACAGAGATACCGGCCAGAGTGGCGAGGAATGCGAGCTGGATGGCGGGCGAGTCTCCACTGGGGAGGCGGCCCAGGTACATGAGGGCTGGGGCGCAAGCGAGGAAGCCGGCGGCAGCGAGGTAGCGAGCCGTCATTGTCACGCGGGAGCTGAGGGCGCCAGCGAGGGGCCCGACGAGCACGGCAGGACCAGACAGCCAGACAAACATCATCCCGGCGGCCGACGTGCTCCAGTTGAAGCGCTTGTCGACAAAGATGGGCAACACGCTCTGAAGAGCAGTGCCGAGGAAAGCGACGACCAGGTATCCGTAGACGGCCGTGGTGATGCGCAGACCGGGAGGCGACGGCTGCGGCGAGTCGCGGTGGATGGAGCTAACGCTGCTCCGCCTCGAGCTCACCGACAGCAGACCAGGAGAGCTGGACCTCGATGAGTTCCCGCTCATCAACATATCGCCGCCTCCTCTAAGCCTGACGGTCCCGTAGTTCTGGGCACGGCTCTCATGCGCCGCAGGCCCGTCGTCTCTGCGACGACCGTTCGCCCGGTTTGCGGCAGGGACACGGGCAAAGACAAAGACGAGCAGGCCGAGCACAACGTTGACGGCGATGACGACGTAAGCGCAGCGGAAAACAGCCGTCTCTCCGCCCGCATAATCGTGCAGCACGCCCGAGACAGCTGGGGCGACGGCCATAGCCGCGCTCTGGATGAGCGCGGGGGTCACCCACGACAAAACGCTGGCGCCGCCGTTGAGGTCTATGGCCGTCGATATCAAGGCCGAGCAGGCACCGGCAATGGAGGCGCCCGCCAGACCCTGGAGGATCCGAGCCAGAACCAGAAGCGACAAGACGGACGAGAGTTGGAGGAGGGCGAGCGAGGCGCCCGCACAGACGAGACCGGCGACGAGCACGGCCCAAAGAGACAGACCCTTGCGAGCCAAGAAAGGCATCAGAGCTATTGCAGGGGAAGAGAATTCAAACGTCAGCTCAAGTCCTGGCCTCAGAGCAGGAGAGGGAGGGCCGAGGGACACTCACGAGATACGGCCACGAAAGCTCCGCCATATGCGGAGATGAGCACCGAAGTCCACATCTGGACTGGACAGCACCAAGGCAAAGACAGTTAGCATCGCGCGCCGCACGTATTACCTCCAACGAAAAGCCCACGAGTTTGGCGTCCGACATACCTTGGTCGACGGTAACCCCACCACGCTGCGCGACGATGGAGGGGATCAAGGGCACGAACTGGCGAGTAGAGGTTAGCGCTATCATTCGAGAGAAATCAAACCCGTTGCAGACTCTACAGAGGGTTCCGTGGATATGAAAATGCTTACAAGCCCGGAGAGAAAAACGTCCTAGAAATTCATCGCAAAGGCAACTTGGTTAGCGAGTGGCCCGTTTCTATTGGTTCATATACCCAAATATGTGGGTATATGGGTAGGGGGTAGGTAGGAAGAGAGATAGAATACGTAGGTAGGAAGGAAGACCACGGCTCGGCTAAAGAGACAAGAAAATCAAAAAAAGAAAGGAAAAAAGGAAAGAAAAGACTCACGGTCAAGGCCGCAAACTTGGCCAGCACGACGAGGAGTAGGGCGCTCCAAAAGCCGGCTCGCGGCTCGACGTCTGAGTCGACGCGAAGTCGACTCGACGGGCTCGGCATCCTATCTGCGGCGACGAGGGAGTTTGTTGAGTGTGTTTGTGATGTGATGTATGCGGGGGGTGCAGAGCGAAACCAGCGATGTGCGAGGTTGAGGGCTCGTGAGGAAAAGATTTGGTTCCGTCTCTCGGTTCTGAGAAGAGGTTGACTCTGAGACGCCGATGGCCAACTAGTGCCAGTGCCAGTACCGGCAGCTGCTGTGGGTCCCTCCTCCGAACCCGATGAGTTAGGACTGATGGGAGTTTTTCGCTTCTCTACAAAGAGTTTGCCGCCCTTGCCAAACCACGCTCCAGGTTGGCCTGCTGCGTCGACCCGGGTCTCGCTGCTCAACAACGGCTGCTCAACACCAATCTGCTCGGCTTGACTCTGCCCGGCCCCGGCCTCGGCCTCAGTCTGAGCGGATGGCGCCCATAGCGGGAGCGTAAAGATGCGCGATGCCATGACTAGTTTTTCTTGTTTGCCAAGTCTGGTAACAGTATCAACCAGGAGGGAGTCAGTGTTGGTTTTGTCGGCCCCGTCACGGTCGCCGTCGCCGTCGCCGTCGCCGTCACCGTCGCCGTCACCGTCACCGTCGCAGTCTTCCTTGTCACCCTGTTCGTCGTCGATGACTAATTACCTATCCCCTCTCTTCAGACAAGAAAGAGACGTGCCGGTGCTGGTCGCGTCGTCGTCGTGTGTGGTGCAATCTACAGCTTATCACCCCGCGCGTGCGTGCGTGCGTGCGCTGCTGCATGCGTCCCCTGTTTGGTCCCCCTCGTGTTTGATCGCGGCTAACGGCTTGGAAAGAGCAACCGTCCAGTACAGCCTGAGAGAGACGCCACGGCACTGTCACGCGTCAAACTGTCGGGCGCGTGTCTGGTTCCGGTTCCGATTCCAGCTCCGAATAAGGCAATGCACTCACTCCCAAACGCGCGTCCCCAGAGGTGCAGCTGCTCCTCGAGGCACAACGACGGTGGGCACAGGCCAGACCACACCAGATTGCTTTTGTGCTCATTTCAGTGATTCCACAGCCGTAGCCCCGTTGCCCCGTTATCTCGGCCAGATCGGCGCCAGAGTCCAAGTGGGACAGACGCTAAACTGCACCTGTCCAAGGGCCTGTCGTTCTAATCTCCCCCACCCCACTGCTGCGAGGCCCAGCCCGCTGCAATAGGCCGCAGACCGAAGCGTGGCTCCCAGCTGGCCTGCCAAGCTGCAATGGCTGACCGCGCGAGGTTGGTGTTCCACAGGATCCCAGCACCTCACCAGAGAGACAAGGTCTCTGCCGAGCATCGCCATGCACGACATTTGAGCCTCATCTCGAGTTACGGATACAAACAGATGCTATCAAACAGGCCCTTACGCGTGAGAATTGCGACGGGAAACAACGAGAATCTCCAAGCAACTGCAACCAACCTGCTAGTTAACAGTCGAGATTCAAACAAAACATCACAGCGCGTAAATACGCTCTGGCCCGTGATCAAAGTTGACAGTGGCTTGAAGGGTCTTGAATTGTCTGTCTAAATCCAATCTAATAATACAGGAAAGAAGGCCTTTTATGCTTCCAAGAAAAGGACAAAGGAAACCTGGTTCAACAGTCTGTTCAGTCGTACTACGTAAGGGACTCAACCGTAGCAAGGGAGAAAAAAGAGGGCATTCGGAAGTCCGGGAGCCCGGAAAAAGGGATCAGGGCTGAAAGTCACGAATGAAGGGATATGCAGGATGTGACTTGACAATGTGGCTCAAAAGTGGCTCAAAAGTGGGCGACATACGCACCTTGGTAACGGCCTAGGTTAGTTCGGAGGAATTAACTACATAGTTTGGAACAACGACAGAGCTAATAATCAGCACAGAACCCATTAGGTCTAGAACTACTATGTTGGTACGAGACATTGGCTTCTTCCAAAGCCGTTTGGCGCTAATATGAACTTGGAATAGGCATGGGCCTAGACACACACTAGTGAACTGTCAAAGATCTCTCAAGAATTCGAACATGTCGTCGCTGACAACCAGTACCTTACTTGGGCCTAAGCGCCCCCCACTCCGATTGAACATAGAAGATACCTACGCCGGGACCAGGTAAACCTAATACCGAAAGTCTAAACAAGCTTCTATATACCTTGTTTTAGGCCACGGCTGACGCACCATTTGAGCCATGCTGACAAGGTGTGGTCTGTGGCTTGCCGGGATGCAGAAAACTTAGCTCGGAATGCAAACTCAATATCCGACCACCTCACAAGATACTCACAGATGCGGCCGACCCCTCTCTAGCGATAGCTAGCAACCACTGTTCAATTCACCATGTCAGGAGTTCAGGCTGCTCAGTCCAAAGCCATAGCGTCATCAACGCCAAGGATGGGCACGGCGTCGCGCCCCATGCCCTGGTCGACGCGTCCGACGCGTCCGAGTCTGAGGACATGGCCCATTGGTGTCCTGCCTTGAGCCTCGCGCTCTACAATCCAGAGGCTTAGGGATGGTCGTGTCTGGGAAAGACGCAATCAGGCCGCCGATGCCGCCGCAGTCTGAGCCAACCCGAGCGAGATGCCATCTTGGCCATGCTGCCTCGTCTCAGCCCTTCGCCCCCCAAAGACGACAAAGAAGCCATCATCCAGGAACTGTATCTAGAACGGATAAGCTGCGAGTGTTTTTTGCCGCGATAACGACGACGACGTGGCTGCTGAGAGGCTTGCCAAAGTCTGGGCGCAGCTTCTGAGCAAGGCTCGATCGCGCCGCAGATGGACTGAAATCAAGCATAATAGGCTATTTTACCCTTGTCCCCGCTTTTAGCAAAGTCAAAGAAGCCCGTCTGCGTAGCTAGCAGCAGTAATTTCGTCGTCGTCGTCGACAGCTTGCTCGCCGCCTCTCTCGGATTCGTCCCAAACTGCAGGTCGCCCATTTTCTAGTGCAGATCCTGGAGATTCTTCTCCGTCTCGCCGGCCCCGAACTTCAGAGTTCCCATCTTGTCGAAGACGTCTTGAAGCTTCTTGTCGTTCTCGCCAGTCCTCTCGGGAAGCTTAGTGCTCGACCCAGCGCGTCGGCTAGACCGGGGGAGCCCTGCGGCTCAGCGAAGGCGGGGGATGCTGGGATGGCGAATTTGTAGGCGGGCCTCGAGCCTTGTTTCGGCATCTGCTCTGCGGCAGGGAGTTCTGGGACTTTGGGGGGCCCAAAGACAAACGGTGCGTTGTTCGTCTTTGGTCCTGAGCTGTTCAGAGGAATCCCGCTTGTCCCGCTAGTCGTAGTGCGCCTCGGTTCTGGCAAGGGCAAAGACAAGGACAGGTCGACGTCTTCGACGTTTGTCTTCAAGTGTGACTAGTGATTCGGTGATCTTACTAGCCTATCTAGCTCGCCTCTAGACAGCGCGGGATGGGTGGGCATTCAAAGACTAATTATATCGGTGTTTTGGAAGTAACCAGATTGATTCGGCGACGTCTCTGGAGGGCTTGCTACATTGCAGATGAGTTATAATTCGATGACTGTCACTGTCTGACTAAAAGCTATTAACTAGATGGATTATGTTGGTTGTTCTAATTTGCTATTTGGGGAGGATATAATATCAAGACTATCATTCCGTGTACCAAAGTAACTGGCTCTGGTAGAATTGATCAGAACGCTTTGATAGCGTCATGTTGTAATTAATTGGTTGATTCTTGATTCTTCGCTATCCTGTTTACAATCCGCCAGCCGTGCCTAGTGATTAGTCAATAGCTACTAGACCGTTGAGTATAAAGCTCCAGTTCGATATACATCTATATCTAGGTAGCTACTTAGAAGCGTAATCAAGTTTCATCTATCTGTCTCGAGCGAGGATGAGACTTGGCCAGCGGCCCAGCAATACATTGAGACTCTTCTAGCTGCTACCTCGGAGATTTGGGACCTCCGTAGTTATCATCTAAGATTTCCACCTAGACCTTTACCAATTATGGGTGGAACCCTTTCTCGCAAGTCACGAGCACAAATCGTCGGGCCAGTGTGTTGTTAGGCAGCCATGGAGGCCCCAGGTAGTTCTAGAGTGCCTAGACAACCAAGGTACACTTAGCTCATTAAATTTAGGTAGCTACTTAACCAAGGTATTCTATGGGAACGGACACCTCCAAAACTAACAAATTACCTCATTATCGCCCTCGCTATCACGGTGATGTAGTGACTATGTACAATCGTACCCGATCCTCAGCACCGTCTCTGACATGATCAACCTCCTCTCCCCGTTCTCGCCCTTCCCGAGGAGAGTCAGGTGACGGTTCTCTGTTGGCTGTCGGGCGTTGTCGGCGTCGCAGGCGGCAGCGGGCAGTCGCAGCGGTCGGGGGGCTGGAACAGTAGCCAGCAGGCAATGCCGACAGAAAGCAAAACGCTCAGCGCTACTAGGGCGGCGGCGGCAAGGCAGCGCTTGATCAAGCTGTGTGGTCCTCCTCCTCGGCCACGGCCCGTCACGTGACGGGCGCCGTATGTGGCGGGATAGGCTTGGTAATGTCGGCCCCTACGTCGGCGTGCCCTTGACGTCTGGTTGCTGCTCACGGTCGAGGAAGGTATCAGCGTGCGCTGCGAGTCGCTGCTGCTGCTGTCGGACTGCGTGCTGTCGCCATCCTCGCTAGGCCCTGAGTCTGAGTCGTAGCCTAAGAGCCAGTCTGACTCATCGTGGTCGTGGTCTGTGGGGATGTCCGCTGCCTCGCCGATAGTTTCGCCGACCATTTTGCGAGGTTGGAAAAGCTCGAGATTGGCAGGACTTTTGAACGATGGGCAGACTCCAATATTGCAGGAGGACTGGAAAATTGCAGTTAAATCCCGGTATGACGGGAGAAGAAGGAATTTGTAGGCAAGCAAGGTTTGACAATGGGCTTCAACATTCCGGGTCACTCAGCTTTGAGTTCAGATTCTCGGTTGAATTGGTTTTGGCATGTCTTATAGATACCTTATCTGGGTAGATAGAACAGAGTCGAAGTCAAATGGAGGCAATGTTCCCGAGGAGTGGCCTGAAACTCCAAATTCACTTGAAAAACAGGTCCACGGCTCAAGCACAATCAAGCTCGGAATTTCAGGAATTTGGAAGGCAAAGCTAAGGTATGCAAGTTATGCGAGGTATAAGCCGCTATAGCGACCGATGACTTGTTTGTTTTCACAATTACTAGGCCCCTTAATTACTTTGCACTGGCCCTTCGTTCTTGACGCCTTCCGCCGTTGGCCCTTTCTCCATCGGTCCTCGTACCGCTGCTGTTACTAGATCATCAAACAGCAGCCTCACGACGGTTAAGATTTAGAGCTCGAGCCTTTTCGCTTCCAAGGTTTCTGCACGACAGGTGCAAAAGCCGCGGGCAGCGTCTACACCATAGCTTATACAGCGGGGGAGCGGATATTGGGGCGTTTAAATCACAATCAAGTTGGAAGCACGCCGTGGCGATCCCCAAGATGGCCGATCTTTGTCGGAATCGAGAATTGAAGGCCTTTCTGTCTCTGAAAATACGCAACACGACGCCGGCAAGGGCGAAAGACGCGAAAGAACATCGGGTGTGGCAGGGGAAAGCATGAGGGGCCAAGGGCGATCGCTAGACGTTGAGACCCGGAGACCGAGACAACAAGAGGGTCTAAACATAAAACAACCGAGGCCTTTTGTTTAAATTTCGGAAGAGACCAATGTTCGCATCAGCAAACGGGTTGATCCGCCGCGATCTTGGGTCCCCCGTCCTTGTCCACCCGAGTGCCGACGAGGATGCGGCTCCTCACGGATCCATTCTCGTAAAACGGTTTCCCCATTATCGAGTGGGGAAAAGGGGGTTCCACCCTCTAAAGCCAAAAAGAGAGAAAACGAGTTCGTGAGATGACATGCACAGATGGAGCCAGAGCTAGACTGACAGCTTGCATGCAATGCATTGTTTTTACAAAATCAGAGTGCCCAAGGTCGAGCCGCCCGCTCCCTCGGATATCTTCAGTTCCTACCCGAAACTAAGGTAGCTAAGGTAATCAACGTCTCTTTCGCGACCTCTTGGTGATCTACGCCTGCGCCCCGAAAAGGAGATGTCAGACGAAGGGAAAAAAAGCCAAAACGCCGCACAACTGCCGCCGTTTATTGCCACCACCCCCAGTCGCACAGACTGGGGCGTTCGTCCGTCCGTACCCGAATGCAACCCCCCCCCCCCCTTTTTTTTTTTTCCTCTCCTTCTCGACCCTCTTTCTTAGTCCGGGGTACTGCCCCCACAACGGGTGGAGTCCTACCTACCAATGCAATTTTGGTTCCTGGGGTAGTCTATTCTATTAGTCATACCGTCATGGTATGACACGTATGCCCCATTACTAAATGGGATATGTTGATTAACTAGGCTTAGTAGTGTGGGTGTCGGTTGCAACCTGCACCTAATCAATAGAATTAGGGTGGCAGCACAGCCTAAGAAAAAGAAAGAAAATATTACTGATAACTCAAGTCGTGAACCCCTTTCATGCATGCATGGTGATATATTTCTGCGTGGCCCCGTTCCTGGAACTAGTTCCAGACTCTGGGAGGGGCGGCAGGGTTGCAGTTTTGGAGTCTGTATCCACCGCACCAGCGCCGTTACACCTGAGCCGGAGGGGGAGAAGTTTCCATGCACGTGCCTGCCTCCGAGTCTAGTCTACTAGTTTGTTCTCCATATGCGAGTCTAGGCTAATATGGTGGTTAGTATAAAGCAGCTAGGCGAGGGGAGAAAGTGGAAAGGGGGAGTGGAGGAATGCGACGCACATGGAGACGAAAAGACGCAGGAAAAGAACGGCACTTGACTTGTATTTTTTTTATCAGGCACCCGAGCTCAGGTATTTAGATTCGGGAATGAAGCTAGAGTGGGAAAAAGTACCGACAGAATAAAAATAAATAAGCTAATAGGACTATGTAGATCTCGAGAGGGAAAGAAGTTGGGAGTCACACACCATGACACTGAATTGCGAGTCTTGCGTGAGAAAGAGAGCATTCAAGCATCCGTCATGGGTTAGGTCTGTGTGTTCAAAATAGTTTTTTATTTTCATTTTCATCATTTTCAATCATTTTCAATCAGGTTCATTCTGGCTTTTTGGTATCATAAAAACAAAACTTGCTAGAAAAAAATCTGCTTCTGTGACTGGGAATTGGAAAAGGGACTTTTTATGCCCTTCCCTACCCGGCCGGCCCCGCGCGTGGTTTGGCGTGATGTGGCGTGTAGCCACAATGGTATAGTGCGTAAATGTACAATAGTAGAATGAACAACAAAGCAGAAGGAAAAAAGAAAGTAAGAAACAGAGGCAAACGCGCTAGCTCGCTCGCCTCCCCTTCCTACTTGGTAACGGCGTAGTCGACCGTCGTCGTCGTGGTCTTGGTGATGCCCTTGCGGCCGTTGTTGGCGTGGTCGATAGGGTGCTGGCGGGGCAGGCTTTCGTCGCTGGAGAGGGCGTCGGGGTCGGCGAAGACGGTCGTGTTTGCCGAGGTCTTGTTGTGGTGGCGGTCCGTGCCACCCATCTCGAAGGCAGTGGCGGCGTTGAAGGCGCGCTCGCTGCTTGTCTCGTCGTGGATGCCGCCCATCTTGCCGCCGCGCGTGGCGCTCTTGAGCTCGTGGTGGTCGCCGTGGGTGCCGCCGCGGAAGTAGCCCATACCGCTGCCGCCCTTCTGACCGCCCGTGCTGGGCCCGTAGCCGAGGCTGGTTCCCAGGATGCTCTTGAATATCGGCCGCAGCGCCGGTAGACTGCCCGCCACAATGGCCGCGTTGCATTCGATCGTCGTCCAGATGGTGATGTCGCGCGAGTCCCACAGCCAGTCGCCCAGCTTGCCGTAGTTGACCAGCGAGCTGATCTTGACAAAGGCGGCCGCGCACGCGAAGAAGCCCAGGCCCAGCGCCCCCATCAGCGAGAGGCGCGTCCGCGTGTTCACGTTTAGGTTCCACAGCATGGGAATCGGGATGAAGACGGCGAAGCACAGATCCGTCAGGATGTTGAGCGCCACGTTGGTGTACGAGAGACCCTGCAGCGTCTTCTGGCCCCAGCACGTCGCCTGGATGCTTGTGTCCCAGAGCACGCGGATGTCGGTGCATTGGAGGACGACGGTCTGTGTGATACAAAAGAGGCACTAGTCAGGAGGGTGGTGTCATTCCAAAGGTAGGGGGGCGACGGGCGACGGTCAGGATGGCACTCACAAAGAAGCAGCCGGTCGTGTAAAAGGTCATGAAAGCCATGATTCCCACGATTAGGCGCTTGTAGAAGGTGGTGCTCGCAATGCGCAGCAGTGTGGCTCCAACGGCGAGTTTGACAATACAGATGGCCCAGAGGTAGATGGGCTGCGTGATGAAGTTGAGCTTGACGCCCTTGGGGATATCCTCCATCGGGATGTCGCCCATGTGGCGGCCAGCGCCGTACTTGACTGATGCAATGATGAATCCTTGGCCCGTGACGACCAAGGCCACTGCCAGGCTCATGATGTAGTCCTGTTTTGGTTTCCTGATCAGCAAGTGCCCTACCGATGCGTGGCACGCCGTTCGCAAAAACCCGGGGGATCAGACCCCAGGTATGGAATAGGGGGGGTAGACATACATCCCAGCCAAGGTTGCGAACCATGAACAACCGCACATACATGCGAGTCGAGTAGGTGAGCAGGGCCAGCGAGGTGATAAAGACTGTAACTCCAATGATCTTGGGGCCAGCGTCCTCGTCCGGGTTTGATGGCAGGGCCATGACGGCGCCCGAGTCGGCCATGATCGGCGTGTGTGAATCTGGGGAATCTTGAGGTTGGCGAGGTTGATCACTTGTCACAAGCAGTGCTCCTCCTGGGGGTCGGCGAGGACGAGGGGAGGGCGGTGGAACCTAGATATAGCAACCCCGTTGAAGGAAAGCAAGGAGGACGATCTCGACAGAAAGAATTTAAGATAGATACTGCACATGGACCAGGAGACGAGAGCCCGCTGCCAAGGGGACGTTGGAAACGCCACGGGACGTTGGAAACGCCACGGGACGTTTCCGCTTCTGAATGCTTTTGGTTTTGCACAGTCGTATGTGCTACCTGGGCTCCATTGCTCACAATTCGACAGCAGAGAAAGGAAGGGCGGAACTCCCCACGGGAGCGAAGCGCACAGTTTTCGGCTCGGTTCTGCAGCTCGACGTTGCTGCTAGAGAGCGTACTGGTGGCTTGGCAGGCCTCGTTCCAATGCTTCCCCGGGCGCTGTACGACTTTGTCGTGGCAGCGAAGCACGTCAACGGCGTCTAGTTCCTGGCTGTTCCCTGGCTGCTTCCACATCCACCGGAGCCCTGCCCTGTTCTGTCGAGGGGACCAAGCTCACTGCGGACGGGGCGGGCCCCGTAACCAGGTTATCTCACCTCCTCAATCAGGACGGCACCTCGCGGGGCTCACGGTAACCCGGTTAGCCTGATGTTTGTCAATGCGGCGCCGCCCTGGTGGCCGAGGAAAGGGGGGGCAGGGGGTGGTGTGCACTATAGGCTGCGTTATCATTCTTTTTCTTTTTTTTTTTTTTTTTTTTTTTTTTTGAAAACCGGTAGCGTGTGTGATAAAGGCCTAGCTCGCGCTTGCTTTACTTTAGCCTCTGGCTCTGTGTCAGTCAGCAGTCCCCTCGCTCGAGACTTGAGTCGGTCTCTCTCGTCACCAAGACCGGATGATAAAGCCGAGCCGCGGACAAGGACTAAAAGGGCAGCCCCAAAGGCAGCCCGCTCTAGTCTCGTCCTGTCCAAGAGGCGCCACACACACCTGGATACCCCTGAACTGTGCCGTGATTGGTTCCGCGGGAGGTGCCGGAGGATGGATTAACGAACGCCACCCAGCCAGGGAATTCCATGCGAGGAACCGATGCGCGAAACGTCTTCCCCCACCAAAGACACCACATATACCACAGGCAGCTTGGGCCAGCGTCAACACGCGTATCGACCTGCACTGTACTGTATGTCCTGACAGTTTTACTGAGTACGTGATCGTCTTGCCCGTTAGGGCCTTAGAGGCAGCGGGAAAGAACGGTTGAATGGACCCGGCTCCACGAGAGAGTGGGAGTTCCATGACATCTAGCCCACTCACTGCCTCTGGTCACTGCGCAGCCAGCAGCTGTCTTACATTCCCTGTGACTTGCTTGGACACGCTGCAGCAACTCAATATTTCCTGGTGGGATTGTGCACCGTGGCAAATGCTCCTCGAGTCTCGCCAGGGTTCGCTTCCTTGATGCATCGAGAATGCGAAAAAGAAAAGAAGGCGAAAGGGGGCTCGATCGCTTATACGCGCGCTGCCTAGTCCGGATACGCTGTCCTGTCATTGCAGAACCCCTCTACACGTGTTGTTGTAGTGTATGAAGGAAAAAGAAAAGAAAGAGGAACGGAATGTGGAGGCGGGTGCGGAGGTGGGGACTGAAACTGCGCGTTAAACCAGACGTGCTTTCCTTGGATAATAAGCGAGGTGGGTTTTCTGAGGCGTTGTTTCCTTTTTATTTTCCTTCGGAGAATTGTGTTGCATCACTTGTCGGCTAGCCCCAGTGCCGACTTCAGACGGCGTAGAGTTTCGCCCCCTCTTCCCTTTCGTTTCCACGCCTGCCTCCATACTCCGTACCTTTACTGCACCTTGCACCTTGCCTAAGGTTCGTTCTAGGTAGGTACAGTAGCTTTGCTACTCCCTCACTCCTTGGAGCCTCGGAAATGATAAGGTGTGATTGACTCTGCGACAGTGTGAACTATGGAGACACGCCAAGAGTAGCAGGGAATGTTGGTGGGCCCCACCCCAGAGACTAGAGAGGGGAGGCGAACCCCTCGGCGACGGTCAGCTTGTGCAATGCGATGCCTGCCAAGGTGAACGAGGGACCAGCTTCCTTGCTACCTTGCCTACCTTGCCTACCTCGCCTACCTCGCCGGAGTCCGGCCCCGTCGAGTGCTACTACTACAGCGTATTAGCGTGTTATAAACGATGCCAGGCCCCGTTTGTCGTCCGCCGCCTGCATTGCTCAGTGCTGCGATGGTGCATTGTTGACGGACATGAAATTCACCTCATCTTCTCTGGACCTGGTCGGGATGCCCTTATCAATGCGGACGTGCGGATTCTGGTCTCATTCTCACCCTAGGCAATGAATGTGTGTAGTGACTAGGCCCAGGCAATTACCTTGGTAGCGCCACCAAGTCGAGAGCGACTAGACCCAGACCTACCTAACCTACCTAACCTATCTTGAACCTACCTTAGACAGACAGCAGACCCGTTGGGCTGGGTAGCCAACACTAACAACATGAGTGAAGATGTGAGGCCTGGTTGGCCACTGCGGCGAGCCCCCCCGGTCGACTATGGGCCGTCATCTTATTCGCCGCTGGCGGGCACGACGGGGTCTCTGTACACTCCATATGGATTTCTCATATTTAGTAGTGCTACAGCGCGGTCCTCTTCACGTCTTTTGATGCAGCTCATCCTTCCTCTTCCTTGTTTTCCACGTGTCTTGCCTGCACCCTCGTGGCTCACTATCTAATAAGCACACTAGCCTGCAGTCGACCGAGTCCCTCTCGACTCTCAATACTAAGCCAAGATGCGTGCTACGTGCTTGGCCGTGCTCGCGCTCCAGGCCGCCTCGGCCGTCCTTGGCTCGCCGGTGCCCCAAGACCAGGAGGATGGTTCTAGCCTCGTCGTTACCTCGGACCCCGCCGTCGACTTGGAACAGCTCCAGACGCTGGCCGCCGAGGCCCTGCAGAAGGCCCAGGAAGGAGTCAGCGAGGATGAGGCCGCCCGCAAGAAGCGCGGTGATACGTCTGTCGATAAGCGTAGCGACCCCCCATGCACTCTGTTGAACCTCAAGATCCGGAGAGAATGGGGCGCGCTGAGCAAGGCCGAGAGGACCTCCTACATCAACGCCGTCAAGTGCCTCCAGTCCAAGCCGGCCAAGACGCCCGCCCAGCTGGCGCCCGGTGCGAAGACGCGCTTTGACGACTTCGTCGCCACCCATATCAACCAGACCCTCGAGATCCACTACACGGGCAACTTCCTGTCGTGGCACAGATACTATGTCTGGATCTACGAGCAGGCCTTGCAGCAAGAGTGCGGCTACAAGGGCACCCAGCCGGTAAGCAGACTCGTCCCCCGTTGTTGACAAACCCCGTGCTGACACGACTCCCTCCCCTCACAGTACTGGGACTGGGCCAAGACTGCCGTGACTGGCCTCGAGTCGTCGCCCATCTTTGATGGCAGCGCCACCTCCATGTCGGGCAACGGCGCCAAGATTGACAACCAGCCCGACATTGTGCTCGGCGCCTCCACCGGCCTCCCCCCCGTCTACCTGCCCGCCGGCACTGGCGGTGGCTGTGTGACTTCGGGCCCCTTCAAGGACATGTCGGTCAACCTGGGCCCCGTCGCCCTTGACCTCCCCGGCGGCACCTCGGCTGGCAACCCGGCCGGCGCCCTCGCCTATAACCCCCGCTGCCTCAAGCGCGATCTGACCACCAAGATCAACCAGAAGTACGCCAACGCCACTGCTATCCTGTCCAACATCCTGAACCCCAAGACTGTCGAGGCGTTCCAGATGCAGATGCAGGGCATCCCCGGATCCGGCAACATTGGCATCCACGGCGGCGGCCACTACTCGCTTGGCGGCGACCCGGGCCGTGACGTCTTCACCTCGCCCGGTGACCCGGCCTTCTACCTGCTGCACGGCATGATCGACCGCACCTGGTGGATGTGGCAGTCTCTGTCGCCCATCACCCGCCAGTTCACCTCGTCTGCCATCTCTGGCACAAACACCTTCATGAACTCGCCCGCGAGCCCCAACACCACGCTCACCGACTTCATTGACCTGGGCTTCTCGGGCGGCCCCAACCGCCAGATCAAGGACGTCCTGAGCACCGTGTCCGGCCCCTTCTGCTACGTCTACATCTAAATGTGACCGGTCTAGACTAGGTCTAGGGATAGAAGAAGTCTCGGAAGCTGTGTTCGATTTGCAAGCGGACGACAAATCCCTCGGCGTTTTCTTGCAGCCACGCTCGTTAACATCAGGCGCCCCTCCTTCCACATGTCAATTTTCTCCGTCTCTTGACATGATGGTGTGTACAAACCGTCGAGCAATCGCGGCGCCTGTGAACAAAAGAACCATTTCCTACTTTTCTCATCAATAGACACAAAACTAAAACAGGAAGGCGACTCTTAGCTATAAGGATATGTAATCATTCACCTTTTTTCTGCCTATATCTATTTTCAAAACAAACGCAAAACGCCCTTTCCTTGTCTTTTTTGAGGGTCCTTCACGCCCCTGCCTTGCCTGTTCTCGAATTACTTGGACAGACTATGTACCTAACTATTTATTACGATATCCACATGATGGAGAAGAAAAATCAAATGCGGAACGAGAAACAGTTGAAAAAATTGACTAGAAACCAACAACATGATGCAGGCGGATTTCAATTGACGTCTAAGTGTGCAGGTGATGATGTGTTCGCCTTTTTGCTCTAATTAGCTTCATTTACAGGTAGCTATGCCTCGTTGGTGCTTTTGATTCGCTTTTCCGCCACCAACAAACTCATAGTTAACCCTGCCCCCCCCCCCCCCCCCCCCCCCCCCCTTTTTTTTTTTCACTTTATCAGGGAGCAGAGCTAGATCGAGCCAGTCACATCACACGTTCCCTTCCTTCCACAGAGTTTATTGAACGGGCAGCCAGTCGCATCCATCCATCCGACCGCCTTCTAGAACCCTGGAGGCCTGGCCCCTGCCCCTGCCCCTGCCCCCCGCCGACCCGACCAACCTGGCGTTTTGCCTGGGCGTACTTCGTATCTATCCGAACAGTACGCGCCGCTTCAGACGCTGCTATCAAGCTTCTTGATTCTTATCGCGCCCGGGTAGATCCTACCTAGACTTTGGGGGCCTGTCGCTGCTGAAAATCTGCAGTTTTTGCCTCTGGTGATCCAGAACGTCCCGGCCAAGGCTAAGGGGTGGCCAGTCGAGTCGATAATCGTTTGTTTCTCATTTGTTTGCTCGGGACCACTATATCCACGTACCCGTACCAGTCAGTATTCGGGGCCAAGGGCTCCCGCCTCGTTCATCCCCTCTTCGTTTCTTGTACCACAGCGTGACATACACTCTGAACTCACACACACATCACTCACACGGCTTTCTCCGTACTGGACTGGACTGTACCTAACCCAGAGCAGCCGTTGACAGCCTCTGCTGGCATGGAATAAGCAAGTATTAATGAATAATTATGCCTCGGCTATTCTATCCCGTATATAGAGGCGCGAACACACAGGCACGACGTCGAATTTGATTTTCCTTCATTCTTTTTTAATCTTGGCGTTGAACGCCACTCGGATAGCTCGCTAGCTTCGTCTTGGCCAATAATGTCGTGCAGACAGAGGCCATGGAAAGCGGACACAAAGACCTCGCAGTGCGCTACGAATCGCGGAGACGTGCGACGACTGTCGACAAGTCACAAAAGCTCAACGACCAACAACCCCAATTATTTTTTGCCTTTTGCTTTTTTTGGTGATCAGTTACAATCTAGGTTCTAGTTTCGATATATGCGGCGATAAATGATTGAGGCTTGCATTAGCGTCGCGAGCCCATGCGCCGCAGCACAGCATGGGCCCCGTATTGTGACTGGGGTATTGACAGAAAACAAGCATCGGGATTCCCCCAGCCGAGGCGTATGCTCCGGCAGACAGAGTCATGGAGACGGGGAAGGAAAGAAGGAAGAAAGGAAGAAGAAAGATGAAGGCCGGGATTGGATTAGCGGCAGTCCGTGACACGACACGACACGCAGCTCGTCGAACCAACCTCGGCCTCTGGCTGGCATGCATCTAGAATCATAATATTGAAGACTAGAAATGTATTTGATGACTGCCTTGTCGGCCATCCTAGTCCCAACAGCCCATAGATATCGACTCCCTTCATGGTTGCTACCGCCGCTACTATCATCGTCATCCCCTTCCCCCTTCTTAATCCCAAACGCCTTCTGATGCGTAATTAGGTATATCGCGCCACTTCAGTATCGCCTATTACCGTATCAATGAATGGCGGCATGGCCCCATGTAATTACTCCGTTGAGCTGTCCGCTTAGACCCCGCAAGCAGTCACCGATGCCTTGCAATCGCACGTCTCAGGCCCCTGGGAAAGCTGAATGATAATTAGCGGTCCCGTTTGGAACTTGTTGGGGCTGCGGGAGGAGTGATTGGGGTCCCTGGGGTAGGGAGGGGGGTTTGAGTTGAGGCCGTAGCTGCCCTTCTTGTCGCTCTCCCTCCCATCCTCATCCTTTTTCTTCCATTTCGCTTGTTGTTTCGCGAAGGAAGACAAGAGAAGAACGGTGAATAACGGCGCCTGCGATTTACCAACGGGAGTGGGCGGCAGTTCCCTGCCTAAACAAAGCCTGGCATGGCCTTGGACAGTTGGCCCTCGTCGAGTGGCCGGCTATCAGAGACACCCGCAATCAAATTACATCATCCACCAAGACCTCGACCATTGCGGCCCCTTGGTCTAGGCCATGAGCCATGCACACTCCGAGCTGGACCTCCGCTTCTACATCACCGCATGTCTTGGGCTCCGCACAAGTCACGCAATCGCAGCTGATCGTGGTCTCTCCAGTTCGGCATCTTCTCTCCAACTGAAATACACAGGCTGTTCAGTGAGAGCAGCGGGTGGCGTATGGAGGATGGCCTCGGTTTGCTGATGAGCAAACAAATCAGTCCTCCCCTCGGATTGCTCCGGAGTCCTGAGGCGCGCAGAGATTTCGGCGTTGCGTTCGACTTCCTAACTAGGTAGGAAGATATTGATCAAATTTCCCTCAAGCCACTTCATGTGCTAGGGGATAGCTGGCCTACAGCCAACACATCTCATACTCAATACAAGGATTGTTGCCTAGATCTCCAGGCCACAGGCGTCTAGTTTGTATGCTGATGCAGCGGTAGCTTACGACACTTTAGAAGTTCAAGGAGTTAATTACCTGTAGGAATCACCAGGGTACCGGTACTAGAAACAGCATGGCGCGCTGCGCGCCGTAAGGTGGTGGTTCAAGTGATGGATTCGTTTTTGTCTTTCTGTCTTTTTATCTATCTGAACAGGTGGGCGTAGGCCAATATATATGCATCTGTCAGGCCCGCTCCTCCACAGACGTTGCTGTGGCCAGGAATGCGGAGCCGCATTCCTTGGATCAGCGCGTCATTCCAGTATGTTATTCCAACATTACCTTTGGGCTTCGGGAAGCTTAGTATCACTCGCTGCCTCTCAACTCGGTGTGTGTCCTACCATGACTTTAGTTCTTGAGTCCTTTTCAGCGGGCGGAATGCACCCGTCCAAGTCAGTGTCAACGACGACACAAGGGAAGGCCCCCCTTAGCCACCCACTCAGGTCATCGGGATAACAGTTAAGCCTAGGTTGGTATCATGATCCGGGTGACTACTCGCCATTCTCCAGCTACGCTACTTCGTCGAGGCGTTTAGATGTTGTCCGGTGTAATTATGCGGCAAGTTTCGCGACGTAATTAGGGGCAAAGGTCTTTCTTCATATTATTATGGTTTCCGTTCTTATAGAGTCCGTAAATAAGGCTATGACATTACCTCCAGCCACCTTTCAGCTAATTACCATGGCAAATGTTACCTCAGCCGAGTCGAGAAGAAATAAGCCAATATGAACAAGAACCTGAAACGTGACAACCAGAAAATTGCTTTTGACTGTTCACAGGCGTACCTAGTTACTAACCACGGTTAACGAGTTGGCACTCCAGACCGTGATCGGTGCCCAGGTCCCTTAACCCCATCCGGTTCAATACTGGTCCCTCGGGCGAGACCAGGCTCTGTAAGTGGCGGCCACGAGGTCGGCCGACAGGCTGGCGATGGTGCAGAAGACGGGCCGGCTGGGGCCGCCGAGTAGGGCTATTACCGGGCCCAGCGAGCGCAAGCACGATGGCGGCGAATAAGAGCGCGCGCGTGAACTAGAAATAATTGGCTGGTGAAGAGATGGCGTGCCCATGGAGCCCGGGTCGATGACAACGACTTGGGTGATTCTGGAAATCCGGTTGGCGCGGAGACGAAGTTGTAGCTCAGCTACCGACAGAAGAGGTGGCCTATGTCTTGGCAGTAGTGTGGCGCCAGACCCCGTATTTTCAGGATAAGGTCTTCTTGAATCCTGCTCCTGGTGCCCGTGGCTACAGTATCAATGCTGTTGTTGCTGACTGGCATCTTGATTTCCCTCAGTAGCACCCGCCGAGAGGTTGTGGATGGGGTTGCTCTACACTGAATGTTTGTACAACGGACAAGAAACGGTCAGCTTTTGGTCATCCACATTGGGCTTGTCGTCGCTGGGTTTCTGCTCAATGTCACCCGGGGCTTCAATATCGATGGGATGATCCGGCCACGATGTTGCAACCGCACTCGCGGATTATGCTCTAATTAAGCAGCAGCATGACCAATAGCTAGCAGAAAAGAGGGTAGATTCAAAACTAATGCTCGGGTGGTCTTCTTGATAAAATTTGGATGTTCGATAATGATCGTTGAGCCTGGCGTTTATGACGAGGGTTCAAATCGGTGAGATCCTGCGCGATGGCACATGGTTATGAACGGAGCTAGCTTCCCTGCCGCCAGGTAGCCATGATGAACCAAGGGAGAGAATATAATAAAATTTGGAGGAGCAGTTGTCTTATTGAGAGCGGAGTGGAGGCCGAGGCCGGTGATGGGTTTTTGTCTGGCGTTAGGATGACGCTGAGCACGATACCGCATGCAAGTCCGCCATTGGCGCCGGTCACAAGAATCTTCTGCCTTGTCCCGAAAGATGGAAATTCAGATGGCATTCGAGTCTGAGTGCAGTTAGAAAGAAAGAGAGAGGCAAGAAGCTTGTGTGCCCACCATGGATATCGACAAGATATATAGCTATATAGACCAATGAACTGACAACCTACCATTAGAAAAGGAAGGGAATATATCATCCAGTGATGGTTGATAAATCCTGCACCCGATTGCTAGCCCCTATGAAACGCCAGATATGACGGCACTATCGACAGCAGCAACAACCCCGATGTCCAACGAACAACATGACCGAGACTCGTGGTCGGCATGACTTTCTTAATTTCACGCTGACGATCGCTGATTAAAAAATGAAGAGATGAAAAAAGCCGGATCCTCAAGACTTCCGTTGTAGTCTCAGCCATCTGCGAGACTCAAGAATCTTCTCATTGGCTTGTTGTACAGTAAACACACAGATATAGAAAACAAAACAAAGTACAAAGTTACAGACCTCGCCCAACGAGAATCAAACCTCCCTAAGCAGTAGCCGGCACTGCCTGCCAACTGCCTCCTCATATTAACTATCTTACAATGCCAAAAACAATTACATCGTCGGCCGTGCTGTGCACCCACAACCGACAAACTACCAGACAATAAGAATCTCGGCCATCCCGCCTCGGCGTCGTCTTCCTTCGTCTTACTTGCTCTTGCTCTTAGACTTGTCGGCGTCGGTCCCGCCCTTCCCCTTCTTCCCATGGCCGCCCTTGCTTGCTGGACTGTAGGGGTAGCCGCGCGGGTGGACGGGACTCCATGGCTCGTCGCGCGCGGACTCGCCAATCCATCGGTCCATCGATGAGTAGTGCTCTGCTGGATTCTCGGCTCCGGGTTGGTATTGGTATTGGTATCCAGATCCTCCTGTTCCGGCGGAGATGGACTTGGTGCTTTTCCCGGCGTTTGTCATGATTCCTTGAGGACTGGGAATATATGATGAATTTTATTTCGTCTTCTGCCGGCCGTGATGTCCTTGATCAGCACTTGAACGGGTTTGACGCGTGAGTCACAGGTTGCTGACGTACGTACATGAGCGGCCCGAGGAACGCAATTTGACGTCAGCCCGGACCTCCCGACGAATTCAGGACTAGAGAGTATCACAAGCTGATCGAGAGTCTCCGTCTAAATGTATGAGACAACCAAGGCAGTCTCTGTGAGCGAACGAGGAGTCGAGAAGGCAGAAGTCTGAACCGGAGGGAACGATGAGTGTAAAACCACCTGCCCAGAAACCGATCACGGCCCATTTCCTTCCTTTTAAGATTAAAACCACACACGCCTCGCTAGAGACAAACTCACCCTTAGCATCGACTAGTAGGCAAGTAGCACCGTGTTTTTCAGCTAATATCTACGTACACCAAGTAATACAACCCAGTAGCCTGCTCATCTAACTACTCTCACCACCTCACCTGTAACACGCCCCCCAATCCCATCCCCTAGACTACCACCGTAATTACGGTAGGAGGTAAGGCTGACAGGTGACTGGGGAGAGTCAGGTCGTCTCAGGTGCAGCGGACGTCGCCGGCTGAGCCCGGGCCCAATCGCACGCGCGCACGCGTAGACCAGCCTAGAATAGCAGGAAACACACACGGGTGACGAGTGGCGAGGCTATGTATAGCTATTGCTCAGATCGGGTTGCGTTGCCTTGCGTTGCCCCTGAAGCTCACCGTTTCCCACCGCCGAGGCTGAGCGCGGTTCAGGGCAGTGGGGGCTCCCTACACCCCAGCAGCAGCAGCAGCAGCAGCAGCAGCAGCAACAATAACCGTTCAGGGGGTGCAAGGCCGAGCGCAGGGCAACGGCCACTGAAAGAAGAAAGCAGGGCAGCAGGGCAGGGCAGCAGGGCAGGGCAGGGCAGGGCAGGGCAGGGCAGGCGCTACTAGGCTGGGGAAGGAGCCCCAGGGCAGGGCAGGGGAAAAAACACAGGTAAGGTAAGCACCTAAAAAAATAAACATGCAGGTTTCAGGTTCCGTCCTCCGCGAGGCGCGACGAAACGCCTAAGCGCTTAACTGCGCGGCACAGCAATGCACAGCACGTCACTACACCGCGTCTGATGTCGTGCTTGTGCTTGTGCGTGTGTGCTGAAAGAGCGAAACGATCGGGCAATCAATCTGAAGCGTTGGCTATTGAGGCTCAGGTTCGGGCCTTTATTTTTTTTTTAGGGTGACATCAGTTGTAATTCGGCCTCTCGGGCTTGGCCGTGGCCGTGACCTCGTCGACGTCGTCCGGCCGCCCCGTCGCTCATCGGCATCGGCATCGGCATCGGCATCACCCCAGAACAAAGAACACCGGACCGCACTGTGCGGCTTTCCAAGTCAAGATAGATAGGATGGACACCTGCTGGATATCATTGCTATCCTCTTTTTGGAGCACCCCAATGCCCTACATGTGCCAGTCTGTAAGGGTTGGGGGGGATCCCCTTCGCCCTTGGTTGCTTACCACCCTCTTCCTAGTTCGAACTTTTATGTCGCATTACCCCGCGCGGTATCTGTCAATCAAGCCCCCCCCCCCTCCCCCAACCGCCCGCCGCCCGCTGCCCGCTAGCCAGGATGCCGCAATGCTTGCCGTGGTAACACTCCCACACTCCCCGCACATGCCTACGCCGCCACCCGTCTGCCCAGATCTAGATACACACATTACCATGGCTGTCATTAGAAGGAAAGAAGAAAAAAACGAGAATAGAAGAAAAGAAAAGAAAAAATTGGTATAAATATTGAGTAGGCCCGACCACGCGATCAAGCCAGCGTAGGTGGGATTGATGCGGAGAAGGACCCAAACGAAAAGAAAGAAGAGAAAAGAGAAAAGAAAAGAGAAAAAAAAAGGCATACCAAGAGAAAAAAGAGAAAGAAAGAGACAAACCAGCGAATAAGAGATGGAACCCATTCATCATCTCAACCCCAAGTGCAAAGCAAAAGGAAAAGCAAAAGGAAAAGCAAAAGACTTGATTGGAGGAAAATGATGACTTCGATTGGTAGATGGACGGATGGATTCGAAGGATGGCCAAGATGACGATGGAAACAAGAGAGCAGCCGCCAATGGCTTGCAACCCTGGGTGCGAATGCTCCTCTAACACCCGCTCACCGCACACACTGAAACGCCTGTCGCCTATTTTGCCATTGAATACGGAAAAGAAAAAGAACAAGAAGATGGGGGAAAAAAAGAAGAAAAAAAGAGGATCAGCCACCCGGCCTGGGGTGGGGACTCCCGAGATCTGTTTCCCACCCCTCGCTCATGGAAAAGGCTGATTCGTCCACGACCGTCGCCGCTATGCTGCTCCAGTCCTCAAATATACTATTGTGTAGGTTTGGGATGGTGGTCAAGTGGTTTGGGTTGTGGTGTCGTTGATGTGATGGTTGTTGGTGCTGCTGCGGATGTGGATGATGTTGCTGTTGCTGTTGGTGGTTTTGGGCTTGCAAACGTGCGTGGACGCCAGTGAGATGCTGCGCTTGCTGCATCTGAGCAGCGGCCATGTCAAAGAAATCCCCTTCCGGGGCCTCCAAGATAGTCTGCGGGAACGGCGACATGAGCGTGCTCTGGTCGAGCTGGTGAGAAGTCCCCGGCAAGACGTGGGGCCTCGAGAAGTTGGATGGAGCAGGTGCTATGCTGCGCTGCCTCTTCAGTATCGGATGGCCATCGTATTTCCGGGTTATGCTACTACCGTGCTGGGGCGTTGACAAATGTTTCGTTGATGACGCCATGGATGGCTTTGGCCTCGGCTTTGGGGGCTCTGAGATGGGCCGAGGGGCAGGTGTAGATGCGACCGGTGAGGGCATCTCATGTCTTAAGAGAATCACGGCTTGGTCGTGAGCCAGGCGGGCGAGGAATCGCGGATCGTCGCGCGTCTCGTTGAAGAACTCGAGGAGGTCTTGCAGCTTCCCCGGGCTCTCTCCTTCCAGAAACCCCTGGGCATGCCCCGTCAATTCTATATTCCACTCGAGCATTGGTTGTTGGCCGCGCGGCAGGTGACCGTACAGAGCGGCATCCAGCTCCTTCCACGCGTGGTTAATGATGGGCTGGTGCAACAACCCGTAGACGACGAGGGAGTGGTTCCAGTGCTGCTTGTTGCAGCCGTCCTCGTAGTGACGGGCGACGTGATCGAAATAACGATCCCGCGAGCTGAGAAACCCGCCGCAGAAGCCGCAGGCCCATGCCTGCTTGCGATGCGTATACCTGACCACCGCATCGGCGTGTGGACATGTTGTGCAGCCGTGGGCGTTCTTGTGGTGCTGGTTAAAGGAATTGGCGCCCCAGAAGATACGGTTGCAATTCGGGCACGGATACCGCTTGTACCGCTCGTGGAATTCTTCCTCGTGGCGCTTCCAGTCGAACTTGCGCTGGAAGGCGACATCGCAAAAGGTGCACCAGTAGGCGCCCTGGGGTTTGGACGTTCCTCGATTGTTGCTCTTCGCGGCAACGGGCGCCGGCGTCAGCGCGGGGGCGGGCGCCGACGTGGGCGTCTGTAAAGTTAGAGGCGGCGGCATTTCTTGGGTTGCCTGTGTCGAAACTGAGCTCACTGACGCTGCTGTGGAGAGGACACTCGCCCTTCCTGATGACCGGGAGCTCGTCGTTGACACGGATAGCCGAGTATTGTAGGTGGCGCCGGCCATCTTTTCTAACAGAGGATTTTGTTGCAGTTGCTGCAGTTGCTGCTGCTGCTGCTGCTGATCTTGTTGCGGTTGGTTTTGATGCCCCGCGTCCATCTCCATGCTCATCGGGGCGTCAGCTGAAACAAGTCAGCTGCGTGTTGCTTGAGAGATTAAAAAACGGCGCCCGCATCACCAAAGCCTACCTTCGCTGGGGCCATAGTTCTCGAGAAGGGCTCGCAGCAGAGCCTCTCGTGGGAGACCGCAGTCGGTGAGGGCCTGCACATGAAGCCGGGCCGCGGCTAGGCTGTCGGGTGGAGGGTTGCGGAACGGATCCATGAGGGAGCGGCCGGAGGCTGAACTCGGCCGGCCTTCAGTCTGGAGGACGCGCAAGTATATATATGTGCGAGTGTATATCGACGCGATGGCAAACAGAAAACATGAAAAAGGCCTTTCGGCTCAGGCCATGGCGAAAGAGTTACCAATAGGAAGTGGGTGGTCCAGACAGCAGCGGGCGCTGACCTGAGTTAGTTCTGGGTCCAGGTGGTGGGTGTGTGGTGGCCGTGTGCGTGCCCTTTGCGCGGGAGCGGGACCAACTCGAGGATATAATACGAGGCCACGGTCCGCCGTGTGTGTGTGCCACCACCAAAAGCAACAGCGCCAGCTCCAGAATCAAAAGCAAAACCAACCCCAGAAACAACGAGCAGCAGCAGGGGGTGTGGGTTGGAGGCACCGAGAAACCGGGAGCGACCAAAAGAGAACGCGGAGAAGGTCCAAGGTCGCGCGGGGAGGAAGGAGGAAGAACTGAAAGATGGCCAGCGCTGGGCCAGATGCCCACGATCTCCGTCCACGGTACGGATACGGTCCAGCGGCAGCAGCAGCAGCAGCGCAGCAGCAGCGCAGCAGCAGCAACACGTCAATCAACGAGGACACCCCGGCGGCGATGGAGACAGACCATCCATCCACCCACTGCTGGCAATTGGGCCGCACAGCGATGACAGGGTGCGGCAGATCGTAGGGCAGACTTGCGGGAGGGTTTTTCGGAGAACAGGCCTTTAATTGGGGGGTGCTGTGCCACCTGAAACACTTCCAGGAGCAACAGGGAGCAGCAAGGAGCAACACCGCAAGACGCCTGCTGCTGGTTGAGCGTTTCGAAACACCAAGCCTGCATAGTGGCGGCCAATCACAACCCGCCAATGCCCTCTGAGGATGGGCCTTGCTGTTGGCCCATTGTTTGTCCTCGGGAACGGTGGGGAGGGGATTTGCAGGGCCCCGTTGGTGGCCCTGCCCATCTTGTCTTCAGATGAGCCAAGACAGGCAGGGGAGAGGCAATGGACCATCAGAATCATTCCAGAATTCCGCCGGCCACCAGAGAGCAACAGCTGAATCCGGTATCCGCTGCGCTCATTCGGGAGGCGATGGCTGCACTAGCTGCGTTTCAAGCCTGCAAGTCGATGCGCCCCGGCTCTGGGGGGGAGGTGGGTTGCGTTGTCTCCCGCTCTCTTCGCGAGCCTCTTCCGGAGTGCTCATATGACGACAACATTTTACCGTCCTGCCCTTTCCCCTTCACGGCAAACTGCTGGTGGGCCATCGCCGCCACAAACTGTCACTGGCAGAACAGAAATGGCTCTTCTCCGTTCCTGAGCTTGAACCTCGATTACAAGGATGCAAGTAGCCGGCTCCAGTGGAGAGACGGAGAGGAATAACCACAACCTCCCAGTCAACTTGCCGAGAATATTGTCTCGCGGGCCGCTCGGGAGGTCCTGCTAGGGTAGTTGGTTGGTGAACAATGTTTGGTACCGATCACAGACTTCCCCGAGTTCCGCATATAGCTCCAGAGGCCCCAAATCCCTGACTTCGCCGCATGTTACAAAAGACGGATGGGATGCCATTATTTTTACTTCCCAGACCAAGAATACGGCATGGGTATCGAATCGAACTAAACAGCCGGCTATCTTGCTCCCCTACCATGCACCGGCTCACAAATCTGAAATGTCGTACAAAAGCGGCAACTCAACACCAAACCCCTGGCTTTTGGTGCCATTACCCTCCCTCATTAGATGTCGTGTGTGCCGAGCGCTGTATCCCGCCGCCATGGCCTTGCTAGGCATGTGGGCCCTTTTGTCTTTGTTGTCTACACAGAGTACCCGGGCAGCCCCGAGAAAAAACCCGGCGTCTGAGAAGTTGCCACAAGGCTAGCTGCGCCCTAGCCTTGGTGGTCTGCTGCAATTTACCGACGCCTCACTAAAGCAGCTCGAAACCTGCCTCTTCCAACTCTTGTCCAGTCGGCAGTATGGGGCGCCCCTGCATCGGGAAGGGCCAGAACAATGGGTTTTCTGATGCGTTGGCCATTTCGTGAGCAGTGCTTGGCCTCGGGCTTGTTGCGGCACCCGGCGCTGCCGGAGAACCCTCGCCCCAGGTGCAGTTAAAGTCTGCTTCCATGACGTTTGGCGCAAAGAAGTTGAGGCTGCTTGTCACGGGCCGCGTGGCTTGTGCATAGTCTGGGGGCTGTATAGGCGGTAACTCTTGATCATTGGTTGTGTGTATGTCGACGTCGATGTTCCACTTCTTCACCAAAAAGCGGAGAATGTTGAGAGCTTGCTCTGCAAAATGGTGGCAGGGTGCCATCTCAGTCAAATCTGCGATGCCGCGGCTGATTGCTTCGGCAACACGAGGTCCTATTCTCGGCACCCTCGCAGGAGCTGAATGAGATGATTGTGGCGTCTGCCCGCCTTGCGTGGATTCGCCGCCTCCTGCAGTTGGAGCCGAGACTTCGCCAACAGTCGCCCCGATGGCAAGATGCATGATCGAAGACGTAAGTACAAAGTACGGGACGAAAGACGGAGTGCACCGCAACGTGTAAAGCTGCGAGTATGACCGCAAAAGTCCCGAGATGGCATCAGCCGCCTGGGAGCATACATCGCGCGGAGATATGCTCGATCCAATGATCCGTAGTTTTATGAGAGGCCGAAACAGAAGAAGAATGGCAAAGTGATAATACATGCTAAACACTAAGCGTCAGACTATCTCGCGGTGCCAAAATGCGCCAGCCATGGCCGCCAGGCAAGGAACTTACTGAGCAAACAAGACAGCAGGGGTAAAGTTGTGTCCCAATCGCAATACCTCTGGTATCTGGCCATACCAATTCAGGTACTGGGTGTAGATATTAAGCAAGTCTCTGCTTGTCAACGGTCTGCCGGGAGAATGGAGTATGTATAATGATTGGTGAACGAGCTCGCTGAGCTCGCAAAAGCACGTGTATACGGAACGAACATTCGAAGGCTGCTCGCACGAGCGCTGGAGGGGAGCCCCTGGTGAGCGGTTTAGTTTTCCCTCCAGAGCCGGGCCGGGGATCGTGATTCCTTTACCGTCGTCTGTATATGGGATCCACAGCGACGCTTCAATGTCATCAATGATAGCGGGCTTCGGCGGTAGGCGAGGAAAACAAGAGCATTGAGGAAGTGAGCCTGTTGCCAGGGACCACGCGCTGCTTGCATGTTAGGGTCCAATATGGGTAAACGTGGGGCGGACAGAGGTGGAAAGGGCCAATGCTGCGTACTGGTCTAGGGCAAACGCGCCCCAAAAGGTAGCAGCCTGGACGGCACTTTCGTCGTCGTCCCTTCCATCGTCTTGCAGACGATGCAATCCCATTTCAATGGCCAGCCGAATGCTCTGGCCTGCGTAGTACCAGCTCTCCGAATCTCGGCCGCAGCTCGCTTCCCTGATGGACATTATCCCTAGGGCCTGAATTGTGGTTAATGAGTGGTGGTTTTCTTCTTGGTAAAAGAGCCGTTGCGATTCTTTGAAGAAGTGGTCTCCCGAGGTGTGGGGGTCGTCTGGGTTGGCTCGAGTACTCGGTCGACTGGAAAAGCGGCATCCCAAGGCCAAGAGAGCGTTGACAAGGATGGACGAGCAAAAGCGAGCCCGACCTTCCATGAAGTCGCGGAGAAAGTGCTCCTTACTCAACGAAGCAAAGGTGGGATACTCCCAGCAAAAGTAGAGAGTCAGCAGGTGCTTAACAAGCCCAGCATCCGCCGTGATCGTTGTCCACGTCCCAGGAGGTACTCGCATCTCAGGCAAATCAGGAGCGAGGAGTTGATCTAGACCACGGAAACTCAAAGGATCAGATGTGCTGCCTTGGCCTTGGCTCTCGAGCCACGACCCCACCATCGATTGCGGCAGGCCTCTAACAGTCTCCGAGCTCCAGTTCATGGTCTCGGCTTGCGAATCGCTACGAGTCGTACTGTGGGAAGAGAAGTGTCCACCCCACGGGCTCTGCTGCTCCGCCTCAAGCCTCATGCTGCTGTGTGGGTGCTGGCTAGAAACTGGGCTCATGGCTTTGCTTATCCCTGGAGCTATCACGGGATAGCTGCTGGTGCCGCGGGCTCCGGCGCTTGTAAATCTAGCAATTGTAGGCGCACCGCCCCCATGGCCGGGCGGATGGGAGCCGGTTCCGGAAGCCAGATCCGCCCGAAGCCATTCTGATATAACCTCGACCGTCTGCCCATTGCGTAGGCGCGTTAAAACCTCCTCCCGGGGGTCAGGACGGGCGAGGGCAGACAGGACTTGCTCGCTGCTGCGTTGCTGGCGGCGGAGTTGGTCGATCTCGTGCCGAAGGGTTTCTTTGGACTGGCGGACGGGTATTTCGTATACACACTCGACGTCCTTTTGACCCCTGCACCGAGCGCATGGTGTCTGCCCATCGCACTGTGTCGCAAGAAAGAATATTTAGCACATATTTTCCCTTTCAATCTCTTTTTTGGAGGGTCACGCGCGACAGGCAGTTGGGGGCGGAGAAAGACTAATCAAGGAAGGAAGGGCGAACAAAACAAAAAGCAATTCTGTCTGACCTTCGCGCGTTTTTTGCGACATTCCGTGCAAGCGTTCTGCGTGACAACTCCCAAGCCCCTTCTCCGTTTCGACGCGCCCTGGGCACTGCCGGTCGAAGAACCCGGGTCGGCAGTCGGCGAGAGTGCAGACGGGCTCAAGGCCGACGCCGCAGGATGCTTGCCGGTAGCCGGCGGTGGCTTTCGCTGAGGCGCGGGGGGAGGGGGTCTGTCGCCTGGCTTGTCTTCGTCCATGGCGTCGTCCAAGGCATCCATTACAGGGACCAGAGCCAGTGCCTCTCTCCTCAGGCGCAGTCGGCAGAGAGAGTCGGAGTCGGAGGACAAGCTTGACGTGTACTACCATTCTCGGAGACGATTAGGAGCGTAGGTCACGCAGGCGCGAAACTAGCAGGCGCGAAACTAGCCCGGTCTAGGGCTCTCGGACTGATGTGCAGTTCTAAAGGCGCGGGTTGATGGCATAAGTGGGCATGCAAGGGGATTTATTATGCCGATGAGAATTTGGGCATGGGAAGCCCATGCCTGGGTGTGTTGCGGGGCAGGACCTTAAATATTGTATTGCACGAGACCGTGGACAGCGAACATTGACAGCTCAAGCTTCCCGAGGAGGAGAGACGAGGGAGGGAGGGACGAGAGCAAATGGGAACACGGCGCCCTGGGACGAGGACGCTGGGTAGGTATCGTGGTGATCCGTTATCAAAGCTATGGCAGTCGCGATCAACCAGCCTAGGTCGTTCTAGATATAAATGGAAACCACCCTAGTGGCAGCTGCCCGCACAAGCGAGGCCAAGGCCGCGAGTCGCTTGGCGGGATGCTGCTGCATGAGTGCAGAGATTAGAACCACGCAATCAGCGTTAGTACAACTCCGGTATTAATATTATATCTAACAGAGAGGAGGAAGGAGGCTCAAGAAAATTAAACATCGAGTTCACCATTTACTGTTCTGCTCGCGATGGTGTGCAGTTGCATTAGTTTATGTACGTACCTGCACATAACGTACGCACCTTACTGATACCTTAAGGACCCCAGGAACAGCGTATCTATCCTCACCGAGTCCTCCAGGCATCATCCATGATTAAACCCACAATCCGCTGTCAACGTTAGTCCAGAAAAGGTATCCTTTGAGGCAACTAAACTCAATACTTCCGAATTTTGATGCTCCAAACAAAGACAACCCTCGACAAGAGTTGGACAGCGCAGCAGGAAGTGGGCAGAGCCCGGTCCATCAGCCACGATCCGTAGGCCACGGTTGGTAAGCTAATACAACACGCCCATGCAGAAGCTCAGGAGAGAGCTTCTACATTCCTTCCTTGTGTGGCTAGTGTAGCTTTGGGACTAGCATCCTCAGCGGCTATCGAGGTCCACGCCAGGACGGCACCACGGGTGGTCCCTTCCATCCAAACTAAGCTCCCCGAGAATTGGCGTATAAATCGTACAAACGAGAACATCTGTACACATCTGATCTTACACGTGCAAGGTATCCAAGACTTCGTGAATGTACGGATTATCCGTAGGGAATACTTCCTACAACCAAGTTAACCTTTCTAGGGGAACCGATGGGAGTGTAGTCTCGTAGGTTAGGTTCTGCACACATATCCGTAGAAAGAGTACCAAGAGTCCGAGTCGGTAGGAAATGATGAGCGTGGCAGTACCATTCTCGGGACGAGTTGTAGCCGCACAAAAGGGCACCCTTGAAGATGGGATCCGGGAACAAGCCCCCAACCGTTATTCTTTTGGCGCAACCAGTGAGAGTGTCGGGACGGCACAAGATGAGGCTGCAAGTCAAAATGATGGTGCCATTGGCTCATCGGGCCCGACCAACCAGCCACACCTTGGCCCCAAATTCGCCACCCACCCACCCACAGAGCAGGCGTTGAGGTCCTCTCTGCCTCTGCCCTGCCACCCCCGCTTTCCCCTCTCCCTTGCCACGCTGAAAAAGCGGGACGCCTCGAAAGATCTGGATCGTCAACATGGGAATCACAACGCGAGCAGACCGTCAAACAAAGCTGAAATCATGCCATTCGTGGTCCTTGCGATGCGCAAGTCTCACAGTGACGACGAGTTCTCAGGCATTATGTGCGATATATGTAGGGGCTTAAGCTGCCCTGCGTGCACTAGGGCCATTTGTGTCTTGGATGACAAACAGAGAATACGGATGGAAATGTGAAAGGCTTTCCGATCCAAGCTCCCCTGCCAACTGACACGGACAGAACCCGATTTCGGGGCGCTTCAGCCCCGGACCACATGGCCAAAACATGGCTGCCGTTTTCGTGTTGCACTATTCTAGTCGGTATTAACAACGTCTTGTTCTCCTTCTATTGACACTTGCCTTGCCACAGCTTGTCCAGCAATGCGTCGAGGCTATGAAAGCTCAGCTCGCTCTGTCATTGACAACCAACCTGGCTTCTAGAACCAGGTCTAGAAGAAGACCGGTGGCTCTACACTGAGCCTCATTCGTAGAGAAACGACCGTGAAGACCGTCTCTCCACAGCGGCCCCCATGATGGCGTCGTTGTACCATTCACAGCTCGAGATCGCACATAGAGACCCTGGTACTCTAAACTAGAGCGTTAATAAGGGGCGGGTGTGATTAACAAGAGATCGTGCCTTCTACACTGATAACAATGTTGTCTACCGCCTGCACACATGCATAAATCCATCTCCATCCGACAAGTAGGCCCAACTAAAAGAAAAACCGAATATGTGCATTTCAGCACACCAGGGATCCCTATCGTATTTACAATCGTAATATTTCCAATGAGAAGTCCTGGGCTCAACCCAATCTCCACACCGGCTCAAAACTTGGCATCCGCAGCGCGGCCCGCAGGCGACCTAGTAGCCCCTGCTGGTCTTGGACCCCTTAGAGGGACTCCGTCCTCTCTCGCCTTTGCTTGGGCTTCGCCTGCCCGATGGTGTCTGCGGCGGCATAATGGATTTCACTTCTGGAGAGTTCTCCGTGTCGGTCCCGTCGTCGACGAATAGGTTGCGCCGGACGTGGCGAGGGGTCTCACTGATAGGGGCCCAGATGTAGGCCTGGTGAGGGTCATGCATCTGAGACCCAAGCATTGGAAGTCCAGCTGGCTGCGAATGGAGAGGCTCCGCTGGCCTCATGGCATGCGCGTGGGCGTTGGCCAGCGTCGACTCGCGAAGAAACCCGAAGCCCACGTTGCTGGCAACCACGGTGACCAGGAAGAGAGACAAGATGAAGCCCTGTTGGTTGGAAGGTTAGCCGCCGCAATAAGGGGCAAAGGGGGGGCAATTATCGGAGAATTGGCACTCACCCAAGTCTTGATAGTGATGACTCCCACAAACTCGTTCATGATCTCGGCGATGTTCCTGGCAGAAATCTGAACCTTCATAACGGCCATCGCATCTTGGTTCATACAAGACTCCCATTCATTGCAGGGACCATCGAGGGCCGGGGGGCGGCCATTCTTTGGAGAGCAGTTGTTCTTGACGTAGTGGTCGGCGCACAGCGCCATTTCACTGGCAATAGCGGCTCGCGCCTTTTCGCTCGCATGCGACAGGTCGGACCGCACCTGTGACAGGATGGCGAGAATGCCAAAGAGAATGAGGCTGAGAAGGACGACATTAACGCCAAGCTGAAGCCACTTGGACAAGATTGCTGGAGCGCTGGGGTGGTCGCTGACCGCGGCAAGGAATCCACTAAACCAGCCACGCCCGGATCCCTTGCCCTTTCCATACTTGCGTGCTCCTGAGTTTGATCCCTCTTCCCAGTCGCTGTCTGAGTCGTCGGAAGCGTGGGCCAATCGAGCTCGCCCGGTGCCAACGTCTCTGTCACCTTGCAGGCGCTTGCGCTTCCTGACCTTGTCTCTGTTCCCTCGGACAATTTCGCCTCTCCCTGGCGTGCGACTCCGCTGCATGCTCTTGCTAAAGAGTCCCTTGCCGGCAGAATGCGGTGTGATAGTCATTTTCCCAAAATCTTCGTCTCGGTCAATGTCGGGCGTGTCTGGCGGCGCCTCCGATGCATCAGTCATGGCGGGGCTTGACTCGGCGCCAGAGTACTCGGAGAAGACGAGCTCGTCCAAGCGCTTCTGTGGTGTTGTGAAGGCGGGATTCCGAAACTGCGGAGCCGACGGTCTGTTCTGCAGCTGAGGCTTGAAGAATGATGCGTGAGGAGGTCGTGGCTGGCCCTGTTGCTTGAATGGGGAGCTTCTGGGAGCAGCGGGCGCAGCGAACATGTTAGGATTTTCTCGGCCAAATCGCGAGGGCGACTCAAAAGAGGCTATGAGAAACAGCTCTCGGTCAGCCGGTGGCATGGTCGATTGATTTTAAGGCGCGCAGGGGCCATGGAGCTCTCCAAAGTCGAAAATAAGAGAGGTCGAGGCCAAAAATTCAAGGCCACGAAACGGAATGACGACAAGAACTTACGCATCGGTGGCCTTTGGGTAATTTTTGCGAAAGGACTTGAGGCATCAACCGGAGGCGCGTGCTGGTATTCCCAGTCCATTGGGCCTTCAAATGTTCGACGATCCATCTCCAAATATATGAGTAGATGCAGGTGTCACAATTGTCACGGACAGAGTTGTGGATAGCGAAGCTCTGGGGTTGTGCTCTTGGGATGATCGAAGCGCAAGGCACGGCAAGGTCGTCGGTGGCAACCGCTGCAGCGTAAACAACGGCGCCGGCAAGTTTTCTAGCTAGTAAATCGCCCCCACCTGAGCGTGTCGGCATGGAGAGCTTCTTTGCACTCCCCCCTTGCGCACGGCGGTAGATCCCCGGCTAATCATAGTCCAAGGATTTGTTACGCACGGACCCGACGCGGCCAGGCGCCTTTGGGATGCGCGTGGTCAGGAATCAATCAGACTTTAAAGAACAAAGTTCAGCACCTAAACGAATCTTTGCCAGTTCCGCCCGCCCTGTCGACTTCATAAACCTGTATTGGTTTTCTCTTTGCTGGTCAACTTTAAAGCGACTTCCATAAAGCTACCGATTTCTCTTTTCTAAGTCGCTCCTTGGAACCTGCATTCTGAACCTCACAAAACCATGCCTGACATCGATTCCCCAGGCGACGATTCCGCCCAGCGGGCGCGCGAACACGACGAAGACGCAACCGGTGCTCATCAAGATGGAGATGGCAACGACTCAGACAAGGACTCGGATCTGCTGTCGGAAATTGACGAGGAGCAGTTTGACAATTACGACCTCGACTTGGAAGCCCAGCCTGTCGACATTGATGAAAATGTGGCAAAGACCCTGAAAGCGGCAAAGAGAAAGCGGACGGACGTCGAGACGGCAAAGAAGCCAAAGGAAGGCCGGAGGCCAAAGAAGCGGTCACGTCCCAACGATGAAGTCGATGCAGCAGATGACGACGAGGGTGAGCGTAGGCCCCGCAAGGCGCGCACCGAAGGCGAGCGGCGCACTTCTGCCAGGAAAGAAGCCCCGGCACAGGCGAAGGAGGATGACGAGTCCCTCACGCCCGAGGAGCGTAGACGGCGTGCATTAGATCGCGCCATGGATGCCGCCGTCAGAAATCCGACCAAGCGGAGAAGAAAGAAGGATGACATCGTATGTGGCTCGCCGACCCCTCCCCACTCTTAACCTTGACCATTTCCATGTCTAACTGAGAACGCTATAGGATCTCGAAGATCAAATCGATGACCAAATCGCGACGCTCAAGGTTGCGATGGAGAAGGCGTGCGTGGCAGATAACGAGGCGCGCGAGCAGGGTCAGCCTGCAGTGCACAAACTCAAGCTTCTCCCACAAGTCACCGCGCTTCTCAACCGGACCGCGATCCAAGACTCTGTTCTCGACCCCGAGACGAACTTCCTGCAGTCTCTCAAGTATTTCCTGGAGCCTCTCAACGACGGCAGTCTGCCAGCATATAATATTCAGCGGGACATCTTTACGGCCCTTGCGAAACTTCCCGTCGGCAAAGACTCGTTGCTGAGCAGCGGCATCGGCAAGGTGGTGCTCTTCTACACTCGCAGCAAGCGACCCGAGGTTGGCATCAAGCGTATCGCGGAACGATTGTTGGGCGAATGGAGTCGTCCTATCCTCAAGCGGACCGACGATTACAAGAAGCGTCATGTAGAGACCCGAGACTTTGACTTCAAGTATGTGGCCTACTGCGATGACCTTTTTGTTTGGGTTTTCTTGTTAACTGTATAATCACAGCGCCGCCAAGCTTGCTCAGCGACAAGAGGCCGCCGTCGGCGGCTCACAGATGACGCTCACCCAGCGTCCAGCTGAAAAGACGGCCTACGAGCTTGAACGGGAGCGGCTTCTCGCCCCCGAGCCGCTCAATTCTAACCGTGCTCGACCTTCTGGCCTCCCCGCCAGTTATACTGTTGCGCCACGGAGCACATTCGATGGTGTTCGGGGGCCTAACCATCGGCCTATTGGGTCTGGTGGCCTGGAGGCTTTCCGGAAGATGACCCAGAAGAAGGGAAGACGCTGAAAACATCTGCTCGTTAGGAGCGGAAACAACTCTGTGCGGCGTCACCTGGTATGTATTATGTTTTTGGGATGATTTCTTTCTCGTCTCTCGAGGATAGCCTGCTGTGCTTTTCGATATTGCAGGCGACGGTGAGATTGGGCTGGGTGTGGTTGGTGCCATCACAGATTGGACTGGCGGCCTTGTCCGCTCTGATGGAGATAAATATTCTAGCCACGGCAACGGGCGCGGATGATCCGTGCTGCGGCCGGCTTCTGCCCATGGATAGTTACAGCCCTATAGACTCCCATTGCCACCATTTTGTTCCAACCCCCGACAGGCTGGAGCTCGTTTTAACGATGGCAGACCAGTCTTGTCAGTAACGGGAGAATAGGGGGTTAAAGAGGTACCAAAATGCAGGGACGGGACGCCTAGACTGGGGGATTTGATGACTAGATATTTGATGAGCCACAAGCGTCTAGTGCCAAAAATACGAATCCTCCATGAAAGTCACTTGATCTGAATCCCGTGTCCTTTTCGCGTGTTGAGTGAGGACGAGCAGAACCAACAGGAGGAACAAACACACATGGTTAACTCTCACCGCTTCTTAGCTGGGCCATTCCATTTTTTTCTCACCGCCCGAATGGGAAATATTTAGCGAAGCCCATAAATACATAGATCGGAGCGCGTGAGACGGGGAAAGATAGTATACTTATCTTGGCTATGTATGTACGTACCGAGTAGTACGTGATTATTAGTAGATAGCACAGACAACATCTTAGCCAACTTCTTACATACTCATCCCGTATAGTGCAACGATATTCCATGTAGTTACTCACCCGTCCGTCCGTATTTACATCTGGACAGAAGTAATATTAGACGTTCCCAGCTGCGCTGACAGCAGTCCGAGGGATTACAATTAGTTAGATAAACCTAGTAGAAGAGAAAAAGGGCTACTGAACCTGAGATTGGCATGTTATCTCACTCGATCCGCACTACTGTTCATATATGACAGAACCAGGGGGTCAAGCACTCGACAGAAGGGCAGGGACATGGCAAGCAGGCACGTATGCAACACAAGGGATATAGATTTCCGCTATTAAAGAAAACCTTGACACGAACTCTCACTTTCTCTTCCATTTACTTCGCCTTTCAGGTTCTAAACGCAAATCCGAGAGAAAGAGGAAATGGCGGGTCGAAGCTCCAGCCAGGCATGGTCGAGCATGCAGGGAATAGGCCGACAGATGTGGTGTTCATTTCATTGGTAGCCGGGGCTTTCCACCTCTTGAACGTGAGATCGAGTTGCGGAAAGCGGCAGATACGTATGTACGTGGTAATCCGACATGAGAATCGACAGACGAGTTCAGATACTCTGACATTTGCAACATGGAGAGATGTCGCTGAGAACCGAGGTTCAATGATTTGTTTCTGGAAGCGCCTTGAGCCTGGAAGAATCGGCAAGAATGCAAGGGTGCAGGAGGTTGCTGGCATCAATGGGTCTTGATATTCTGGTGATTTCGACTCCTTGCTGATCTCCGTAGCGTGTAACAGACTCGTTGAACCGCAAAAGTCGAGGACATATGCCAGACCCAGTGAGCCGCTTATCGTTTCCTCACCTCGCTTGCCCAGCCATCTATGCCTTCCCCGCGACTTCCAACCTCGACTCTATCAATCTTCACCCCCTTCATTCCAGGCGTGTCTTCGAGCCATGCATGTGCTGCCATCCCGCCTGCATTTGCTCGCTTCTCTGGTATGAGCTCTAGCATCGGGGTGAGAAAGTCGGCCACGCGTCTGGCCTCTTCTTCTTTGAAGTGATACTTCTCCTTCAACACGTCCGGGAGAGCCCAATGCCGTAGCCTATGAATATTGCGAAGCTCTCCTTTCCGGTTGAAGATCTCTTGGGACCATTTGCCTGACAGGCATAGTGACTTTGGGAACGGTCCCAGAAGCTCGATGATCTGCGCTATGTGATCATCATCCTTTCCATACTTAGTTCCGGATTGTGGGTCAAAGAGATAGTCGCCGGTGATGAGTTCAAAGACCTGGTTCATATCAGTTCATAAACGAGTGAGTGCATTGTCACAGCCACCAGCAAGACCCAAGATAAGGGATAGGGGTGCATACCATGGCAGCCATACTCCAGACATCTGTGCTAGCACCCCACTTGGCGCCGAGAATTACTTCAGGGGACCGGTACTGACGCGTCTGGATGTCGTTCGTAAAGTGGTGATTGACCCAGCACGCGTTCCCCAGATCTGCAATCTTGACACTAATAATGTCAAAGCCTTGCATATCATCCGCCTTTCGCTTCTCGCCTTGTGCTGAACCCAGCGGAGGGGTGCCGGTCTTATCCAAAGAAATCCCGGAGACTTCCTCCGTTAGGATGTCTGCTGTCTCTTCTCGCTCCGTCTCCGCTTCGTTTACACTGTCCAGCCTCGGTGAGTTGTCACCTGTAGGAGTGGAGCCTGGGGGGTATGGTTAGCTTGCGCCGCCTTTAGGCGGAGAGAGCAGAGAGAATATGTGCCCTTACCTTCATGCAGCATGTGGCTGAGACTCGAGTTCGTTGATGGGAAGAGTGACGCCGGGTTGAAGCTGGCGTTCAGTGGCGAAGGCAGCGGCTGACTGCCAGTTATGAGGGTCCTACGCCTCCGGCGGCCATTCCTATTGTTCTCCTTCTCACTGGGCTCACTCTTAACCACCCGCTTGACGATTTGCTCGACATCGCCAATCTCGATCAGCACGTTCTCGGGTTTTAAGTCTGTGTGTATGATGCCGCATTCCCGGTGGAGGTAATCGAGGCCCAAGAGAACCTGTTTTGTGATTTGCTTGACGAGGGCTATAGGAATGCCGCGGTGGTTCCACTTCTTGATCAGGCCCAAGAGATTCTCGCCCAGCACCTCGAAGACCATGCAGACGTGCGTGCCGTTCGGGCCTTTGTGTTCGAAGGAGTCGAGCAGGCTTACCACATGCTTGCGGCCGGGGTGGTCTGGGTTCGCTTGTACAATCTTATTAAGGAGCTTGATTTCGTCGATGGCGGTTTCTGTGTAGTGTGCCGCCGATCGCACAACCTTGAGCGCCACATGCTTGCTGGTGATGTTGTCTCTTGATAGCCAGACTGTCGAGAAATGGCCCCAGCCTAGCTTCCGAATCACTGTGTATTTCCCGTCCTTGAATTTCTCGCCAATCGTCACTGGGTGGTATCCTCCCTTGCAGTAGTCTTCCGAATCTTCTTCATCGGCCGTGTTTTCAGCAGCGTCTTCGGGGGACGACGACGAGGCAGGCGACTGCGCCATCGCTGAAGCCAAGTGTGCAACCCTGTAAAATACGAGTAAGCTAAAGATCTATCCGCATGGCGATAGTTTGTTGGAATATTGCGAGGATGTGTTCAAGATGCGCCGCAATGGACAGCAGGTGGCGGGGTTAATCGGCATCATCTCCGCGCACGGTGCCGAACTTTCAGCAAACACCTCAAACGGTCCGGATGCGAAGAAGGAAAAGCGGAGAACCTTGATTTCAACATTGTCTTCATCTTGAAGAAGTGGCGCAACGCGATTCATGGAGATGACAGGGCGGGATTGAACGCAATTGAGGGATGGGGACGAATATTCTTGCGGGAGGAGCTGGAAGGCGGTATAGGCAGTCGGCGGGGGGTGCCTGGTGCGACATGGTAGACCGCTGCAGCTCACTTGAGCCACAACCAAAAACACCGCTGCGCTCGGAATCGCTGCCCAGCGCACCACGCACCACCCGCTACCGCTGTGATGTGATGCCGCAGCGTGCGCGCTTGGACGCTGCTGCATTTCCCCCTCCACGTCCAGGACCCGCCTGCGGCACCCCGCCACCTCTGCTGCCCCGACAAGGCGCGCGATTGTGTTTGGTAAAGCGGCATAGAACCAGATCCTCCAACCTAGCTTGACAAGCTACAAATGGCTTGAGGAGGTGGAACCGGAAACACGAGTTCGCTGTTGGTCCATCGAACCATGCAGCATGACAGGAAGCGCGATGCACGTACCCGGGACCCTCCGTCGTGATGATGGGCTTTAAACCGTCCTTCTTCCTTTTCTTAATGTTGCCATTTGAGGCCATCGCCGCCTGTCCAAATTGTTTTTGCGCCGCGGCCTTGGCCGCAGCGTCGTTTTGTTGCGACCCGTTCATTCTGCCGATGTCAAAATCGATAGGATACAGACAAGGTGGGTCGGCGGATGAAAAGCACGGCTCGAGTCCCCGTATCGAAGCCGAAGATGGTGAGAATGCGGGCGTGGAGGGGCAGAAAGATGCGATAGTGGCCAGTGGGTAGTTGAGCAAATCTCACGCTCTGCCTTGACGACGGTTTTGTTAGCTTTTGATGCCCAGGACATTGGGTCATGACAGGGAACAGCATGCAGGACACTGATTCGACACTGGGCAAGCGGGCCGCGGGCAAGGGGGAAACCCAGGTGGCCTGCGTCGCAAAGAGGACGCTGAGTTGCCAGAAATTGCGCATTCTGACTGGTCTCTCTCTCGCTTCTGGCCGCTGGGCGACGCGCGATCCAGTGGCGGATGGCCGACGCCAATCTGCACCAGCTCAGGAAATCCCGGGGCAGCGCACCGATCGCACACCGGCCACTGGTTCAAGATCAGATTCATTCAAAGGCATACTGACCTGGAGAAACAGATAGACCGCAGGCGCAGGTATGCGACAAATTTCTATCTCGGAGCCCAGCTGTCAGCTCTGTCAGGTCTGCCGGCGCTGTATTGGTCTGATTGACGGGGAAGATGGCGAAAGGCCTGTTTGGGTCGCGGGCTGCAAACCAGGGCAAGCGGGCGTGCGGAGATGGAGGGGCAGCAGCTGCTGGGTGCTGAGATGCGGGCCTCAAACAGACAGCGTCCTGTTACTCACGAAGCGGCTGGCTTACGATAGTGACGAGATGCGAGTCCTGTTTTGGCCGAGTCGCGACCAGGACGTCATACGTTGCGTCGGAGAAAGACGTGCCCTGGCAGTGTTCTGGTTGCCTACTGCAGACAGTTATGTTGCTGGGCGCGAAAACCTGAAGGCGGCAGGGGACGCGAAGGGTTGAAGAATGGCGATGGGCGCTTCGCTCTACGCTGACGGTTTGATCTCGCAGGAGAGACGTATGAGTAATGGTTGGCGCGACATAGGTAAAGACGGCGGTCGGCTACGGCATTCGGATGAGAGAAGGTGATGATATTGGGCACAACTATGCAATCGGAGAAAGCAGGCTCGAGGATAGATCGGTTGCGCCTGTGATGATGATGTGGAGCCGGTCCAATTCCGTGGGCCGTGCTGCCCAACCCGCTCTGACACGGACCAGTGGGGAAAGCGCTGAAAGCGTTCCAAGGCAGCAAGGTTTAAGTCTTCTTCTCGACGAGCCCCCGAATACCTTACCCTTGCCTCCCAGTACCTTGCCTCAGTAATCAGCTTGGTGACTATGCGGCGGCCAGGGGCTCTTGGTTGATTCAGTGGTTAGTAACAATAAGGATTCGGCGCAGTATGGGTTCGCACAGGAACCTGGAAATTTATCCCGAGCTGCCCGACCGGAGCGGCGCACCTTACCTTACCTTAGGTTTTACACCTGCGGTAGGGAGTTTCGGGTCATCTCGGCAGTCTTCCAAGTTACCTCACTTTGAACCCAATAGAAAGGATCCTTCGGTCCATATATCTGGATACATAAGGTGCCTCGCCTACCTTCCTGTCCAGGCAAGCTACTCTTCAGAGCCGTATCTTGATCAGCATCATCACAATCAACGAACCCCCCTGCGGGGCCCTCCCCAACCCCAGCTGAGGAAGTTATCGGGTAAAGTAAGTAGCTGAGTCCAGGCCGGGGCAGTGCAATCACGTACGGGCCACATCGGACTCCTCAGGTGCGTGCGTGGGATGTTCCCGTGGACTTTGTGAATGTAACTTTTACGTGTTAGCTCGACAGGCCGGGCTGTGCGCAAAAGTCTAACGACACGCGCTGGCACTATCGTCGTCTCTCACTCTTATACATTTGCCGGGCTCCATTTCGGACCCCGCTAACGCCAACGAGCTGCCAGAGATGGCCTTCTTGTTGGCCCTACTAAACCAAGGTACGAAGTACGGCGGCAGGTAATCTCGCAGCTGGCTGGTGCTACGTGTGAATCCGTCGGAGTGGGATGTGCATACGGGTTCCCAACGGAGTTTGCTTCGCAACTCAGGTCTCGACCGCATCCGACGACCTAGCCCTAAGGTTTGCGTCTTGCCTCCCTCCTTCCCACATCGGCCCCTCCGCCGACCTCGTCAGGCAGCGCGTGTCACGTCCCCCGCATTGGCGCCGGCCTGGAAAGCTGACCCTGGCCTCGCCACCGATGGCCCTTTTGATGTCCAGGCTCTAGGGACGCACCCGATAGCCCGGCCCAGACCTGCCATGCCCTTGGATTGGTGTGATTGGCCTGTGACAAGCCCCACCCTTCAAGGTTATCCGCCGCAATGTCCCCGTTTTCAGGCTCGTTCGCTCGACTTGCGATAATATTAGGTGCATACATGTTATTCACCGTCTGTTATTCACCGTCTGGGTTGACTTTAGAGTTTTTTGGAGCAAACACCGTTGTCGCCAAGAACTAGGCATTTTATCTAGAACTAGGTTGTTTTAGCTCACATCATACATACATGCAGGCCACGCTCCGGTCGACGCGCCGGGTTCGAACGTTTTAAATTCACAGAGACTGTGATTAATTTATTGTACGTTTTAATTCCAGAGTTATGTACTTTAAAAGTAAATGTAAGAATTTTCGCTCTTGCCTAGGAGCCTTTCGGCCTCCTTTCACAATGTCGATTATGTGAGACATCGATTCCGTCTCATTGGGCAATTTGCAACCTCACTTTCATAAATTCATTAATTCGCAATACTTGCACGATGAGGATTATATGCTCTTCAGTCTCATGCAAGTGATAAGAAATGTAATCGGAAGCCTTAGTATCCACCCAGTCAGCATCTTTCGCCGTTTGACCTCAAGGGGGGCTAGAGCATTAAAACATGACACCCGACACTAGTCTAGATAGCCCACTAGATGTTCGCAAGAGTGGCTGGCTATCGCCCATTCATTTTCAACTCAACAGAGATTATTGGCTGAATCAAACACATGAACAATTCCTATGCTTATAGACGGGATAAGAAAATATGGCATGTATTTAGGCCTGACCTATAACTCAACAGTAAATAAACCGGCCAGGTAAAGCCTCTAATGACTAACAGGTAGTTTTGAGAAACGATAGGCCTCTAAGATTCTAGAATAGTGATTCTAGTGACTTTCATTTTTCTCGGCGAACACCCCTTGGGGCAAGCCGTAAGGTATTAAGGCCTTTCAGATCTTGGAAAGTCCCCTACCGAGAGACATTCAGAGATTGGACTGATTGAACGGGTTCAAGTGAGTAAGGCGGATATTATTATAGTTACGCATATTAAGTTCAAGGACTTTCAAGTCGCCTCATTATTAAGTGACACGCCTGTATCTACAAGTGAGCCGATGGAGATTGAAGCCGGTGACCATCAACTTTCATTCTTGCCCAACTCATCTTCCCAGGACAGCACATGAATCCACCCCATTGGTAAAAACCCGCAGCAGAGCAACTAGTCTCTCCAGGAAAAGATAGACTAGTAGACCTCCTACTGGATCAACACTTGCTTTTCCTTCTTCAGGCCCTCGGCGACGCTGAGAGGGATCTTCAAAGTCTGAGCTATTATGTCGGCAGGGCTGAGAGCCAGCCATTGCGTGAGGGGTATATCGGCAACACGGTCGCTCTTGTAGATCTCTATCCACACGAGGTCCTCGGTGTCTGAAGTGTTTTCGATGTAGTGTCTTGAGAGCGGGGATTTATTAGACTCCTTTTCCAATGAGAACTTTGGGTGAACAGTCTGAAAAGGCTCTGGCAGGGTACGGCGCTCGATCACTCACCCGCTGTTGTCCGGGAACGCAGCTGTGTCTCCGGCACTGAAGTCAAAGGTGCGAGCGTTGGTGCTGCCGATAAACACGGTGGCCCTCCCGTGGCCCTGGTGGAAATAGAGCCACTCTTCAGCCTGGTAATTTAATTCTGTCAGAAGGCTGAACGAATTGTTATCTCATCAACAGAATACTCACATTCGGGTGCCAGTGCATCTCTCTCAGCCCATTTGGCTTGAGCCTGACAAAAGTGGCCGCAATGGTTTTGCTGACGGGGAAATTGGTGGAATCGATCTTGTAGAACTCGCCGCCATTGCCAGGGACTGACTCGGACGGGTGGCTGAAGGTCCGGTAAACATATGACGAGTTGCCTGTGAGCTCACCACCTCCTCCGGTCACGTTCTTGGTGCTGACGGTGCCGTTGAAGATGTACGGGTTCGTCGGAGGCAAGTCATTAAAGACCGACACGTTTAGGCCGAAGTTCTTTGCAAGGATATCTTTCGGAGTATGCTGTGGGAATGTTAGTCTCATGACTGCTTGGCTGGGCTCTTATAAAGGGCTGCCCCTTTCTCTCGGTCGAGAAAAGGAGGAAAATCAAAGGATAAAGAAACGGGGGAACCTTCGTCAAGCCAGTCAATTATATTGAAGGTCGTCCTGTAACCAGTTAGAATGAAGCTTGAGCAGGAAATCGAGACGGAAAGCTAGCGATGTGAGACTTTGGATATGGTGTTGGTGGTGAGAATGAAGCCATAGTCGAAAAAATGGGGCATTTGAACCCACTTCGCACAGTATTCAGAACAGCGCGAAATGACATTGGCCGGCCTGCCATTTCTGGCCTTGTGTGAAATCAGAAAGTGGCTTACCCAACAGCGTCAAAATTTGCATTATCGAAGACTAGGAGAAACTCGTTCTCGTCGTCAAGACCCTGCACCGTGTGCGCGACGCCTTTCGGAAAGTACCATATGTCCCCGTACCCGAGTTTTTCGACCGTGTACCTGCCGTCCTCGTCGACGGCCGAGATGAGGACGGACCCGTTGTACACGAATCCCCATTCCGCCTGTCAGGTGTCAGCAAGAGAAAGCAAAACGAGAACAAACCCATCTCAAAACGGAGGTAAGACGTACAACACGGTGCCAGTGCAGCTCCCGGATAGCGCCCTTAATAAGATGCTGCTGCGCAGCGGCGATGTCGTGGCTCTGGGGCAAGTCTGTGATCACTTGCTCTCGCACCCACCCGCCCCTGAGAAGCCTGGTCTTGGAGTCTGAGAAGCTCCATTTCAGGTTCGGGACCTAGAAGAAGTGTTAGGAAGAATACTTCCAAGCACAAGCCGGCCAGGACTTTGGGAGGTTACATACCACGCCATTGTCAGTCGACTGCTGCCCCAGATTGTCTGGGTTCTGCAGATCAATCTGCTTGTTGGTGCCACCTTGGTGCTGTCAGCGGTCCGTTTCGACGAGCTGATCAGCGGTACGCGACTTACCAAGGATGGGGGCTCCTTTGCCATTTCCATCAACCGGTTCACCATTGGCAAACTGAGGGCCTCCTGCCCGCTTGTCTACCACGGACAGAGCATTGGCAAAGAGCACCTGGGCCAAGATGGCGGCCGACAGCTGGAGCGAGGCCTTCATGTAGACAGACCCCAGGGGGGTACGAAGAGCCGCTGCTGAGGAGGGGATGGATGCGGAGGCTGGGGCGGGAGCGGCTCGGGATCTGCCGAGAGACAGTAGGTGCTATACCTGGGTGTGGGTAAACCGGCTCGGCGGGCAAGAGACTGTCTCAGCACCTTTCCTAGAACTTCGGGCTAGAGAAAAGGAGCAGGATGGAGGCGGATTATATACGCGTCCATGTTGTTGTGAGTGAGAGGCATTGATTCCGTCTCATTGGGCACATTGATGCACGGAACGGATTTCGTCACTGGATCCTCGACAAACGCTAGTCCATTCTGCCTATGTGAGCGGGAGAAATTATGTCGTTATTTGGTCCCGCGGGCTCCCGGGGATTAAGGCGACCAATAATGCTACCGTGGCGATGGCTTTGGGGGGGAGGGAGGGAGGGGAGGAAAGAGGGGTTGTATCAGGGTTCAGGGGAGGAGAAGTTGGTGGTCGGATAGATGCAATGACACAAATGCGGAGGGCAGCACGTTGTCGGGCACGTTCAAGGTGTGAAGCTATTCAGGGCGCATTGGGAATGGCTTGCAGCTCAAAAGGTCGCGCCAATCGGCGATCGACGTTCCCCCCCACGACTGCCACGACAGGGCATAACTGTTGGCGGGGTGTGGTCCCGAATCGGAAAATGCGATCAGCAACAAGCATTCCCCTCTTTAACTTGGAGCTTGCCCTTTAAGCAGCTTGCAAAGCGGAAAGATACAAAGCCGATCACCACGTTCGGTCCTCGAGGTGTCCCATGTCGTGATCGTGGGGCTTGATGGGATGCGCGAAACGGGGCGCACACGACCGTCGAGCTGCATATTGTGGCTCGGGGCCCTTGCGATCACGACATCTGGGCCGTGATGGCGACTGTGATGCTGCAGAAACGTGCCCCGACAATCACTGCAGAACCTGCAATAGCTGAATTGGGATCGGCCATCGAGCTTATTCGGGAACCACGTTGGTGTTCCCAATTCCCGTCATCTGGTTCCTGCCTTGCTGGCGCCTTGGTTCCCCGCAAATTCATGTTCAAAGCCTGGGCTCCAAGCCTTCAACTTCCAGCTTATTATTAGCTCTATTCATTGTCCCGTTGCTGGTCGGCCATTCTGATTCTTTGAATTTCAATCAGCCCCCGGATTGGCCATGCACTCCAATCCCTGAATGCCTGCTGGCGTGGTACTTGAGAAGGAGGAGAAGATTATCGCAAATAAACTGGCAGAAAAGGGCTTTAAAAGGCATTTTTAGAGAATAGGTAGGCCTTTAGGATTCTAGAATAGGGATTCTAATAGCTATTCCCTCCCTCGGCGAAAAAGCTTTTGGGCGAGCTATAAGGTATTGAGGCCTTTCAAACCTTCTATACTGTATAACGTCGTCCGCTAACAAACATTCAGGGATTGAATAGGTTGTAAACTCATCTCAGTCTTGGGCCTTGGCATGGCACACACGGCCGGCTAACGGGGAACCTTCACTCCTCAGGGGTAGTGCGAGTGTCTTCTCAGTTGCTGGTCCGTTCCTCGTATGAAGCGCACGATTGATATTTACTTCCGCGCGGATCTCTGTCAGCATCTTCATAGCTTTCCGCACGGCTTGCGCTCTCTCTGTGATTTCAGGCGATGGTGGCGAGTCTTGGTTGATCCGTGGGTACGCTCTAAATACCAGGAGCGTAGGTACGAGCCCGTCAGGTCCTGCCGTATCGTTCAGGGCCTTGATTACCATTTGGAGAATGGTCTCATCGTCCGTACGATGGCCAATCTCCTGCTGGAGTGTGTCGTACGCTCGCTCTAATGGGCGATGCGCCCTCTCGATCTTGCCGATGGCCCAGTGCGCCTCAATGGGCATCTCCTTGCACGATATTCCCATAATCCTCGCATGATTTCTGAATCCCTCAGACGCGAAGTTGGTGCCTGGATCGTGCGAGATCACATCTGTGGGTCCTTTATAGACGTATATCCAGCATCGACAAACTGTATTCCAGGTGTCTTGTGCGGACATCGAGCGTACGAAGGTAGCCGCCTGGAAAGATGTGGCGACGTCAATCACATGGAGGGTTCGCTTGCCCTTGAGTTGTACGATATCGATGACGATCTCATAGTTGAAGTTGCAGTCGTCGCGTATCGTGAACTTGAACCTCTGCGGGGCTGGATCGTGCGTTTGACAATGGTGACAGACTTTCTGGATTTCTTCCAGGATTTCTTCTCGTACGTCCTCATGTCCTACCTTCTTCAGAAGCTTATATAGCCTCTCGGTACGTAGATGCCCGAATCTTCGGTGCAATCTCCTTAGTTCGGGTTCCGTAAGGAAAACTCCCGATTCCGCACGACTGGTGTTGAAGAATGGATGTCCCCATTTACGGACGACGGGGATACTTGTACCGTCCTCACGCACGATAACGTTGTCGACGTTATTAAAATAGGCCTTGAGCCGATCTACGTCGTGCAAGCTGAAGAGAAACGGAGTCGGCGTATCCAAGATATGGTAGGTAGCCTTGCCGATTTGGTTCTCCATTAGGATCGTACCGATTGATGTCTGGACGTTCCCTCCTCCAAATCGGATCTCTGCCGTACCTGGGACCCAAGAGACCTGCGTACGAGGGTTCTCTCTCAGGTATGCCTCAATTTGGCATTTGCCTACGGTAGATACCTGTTCGGTTCCGGTATCCCATAGTTCGCCCTGGTACGTTGCCGTATATTGGTTCTGGAGGGTGAACTGTTCTGCCGGTTCCTTTTGTGGTTCGTCGTATACGTTCTCCCTGAACGTACGATGGATATATGCTCGTTCTTGGAGGAATTGCGCGATCCTCACGTCTTCCTCATCTCCAGAGAGAACTTACTCGCTCTCGTACTCCTGCGGCGTTCCCTCGAACTCGAAGAGGAATGTCTCCAGCTCATCCATACCCTTACCCAGGGTCTCGTACGCCTATAGGTATTGTTTGCGAGCTTTGTCCCTCTTGTCTTTTGGGTGGTTAGTAGACCAACAGCCTAGTTTCTTGCAAACGAAACACTTCTTATCCGTACGATCCCGATTGTACTTTGGTCGGGGTCGGTGTGATGAATTCTGCCTGGGGTATGGACGTCATGAGAACTGTGGCTTATAGTTAGTGCGATTGTTATGGTATCGCCGATCGACAAAGTGTTGGTCGTGCGGTTGCTCGGTAATGTAATGTCGAGCTTGCTTCCGGTTCTCTGCTATCTTGACTGAGGCCCTGAGATTGTAAAATAGAGCTTCGCACGTCGTTCTCTGTTCCGTTAGAGCTGACTCCAGCTCTAGAACGCCTTCACACTCTCGTGTGACGGTAGTATGGAGTAAAATCTCGCTCTGATACTCCTTTCCTAGCGCTAGTTGCACGATCTGCAACTTGTCCAATAACTTCTCAAGGACTTCCTTTGCTGGGATATCCGGGTTTTCTTCGCGCACTCGTGCGAAGGTAAGAGTCGTCCAGTCTGAGTAGTACTCAGCGTGGTTGAGGTTCATATTGAAATGAGTGTCGAGAAGGTGGTACATCTCGTCCCACCTTTTCTCAGGTCCGATATAGTTGACGTAAAAATCCTGCGCACGATCGGAAAGAATCTCTGGGAAGATAGCATAATACATGTCCTCGGTAATCTCAAACCTCTTGCAGATCGAAATGAAGTTCTTCGTCTTGTCTGCTAGGATATCGTACGGCTTTCCTGTATAATTGCGCGATGGCTTCCACGCCTTCATGAACGCTGATACTTTCCTAGGATCTGCATACCCGTTATAGATTGGGCGCTTTGGTGGGACGCCCTGGTACTGGACGTATGGGGTTTGCGAAAGACCTCTCTGGTTCCCTTCTGTCTGTGGAAATGGTGCGGGTGACGGATGTCGGTATCCTTGGGGTTGGAGGTCGAATGGCGATTGACGGGGACCTTGTTCTTCGTCTGGGTATTTCTCGTACGGATGACGGGAACCTTGTCCCTCGCCTCTCGCACGGTATGAACCTCCTTCCTCGACTGACCGCTCTGGTATATCCTGTTGGTTCCGGGGGTCGCGCGGTCCGCGGATGGGGAGGTTTATTATTGGTACCTCCATTGGCTCCTCTTGTACGTCTTGGTTCAATAAATTAAAGAACTTTAACGACGTCGAGCTGTCGATAGTCTTGATCTTCTTCACCTCGAAGAACCGAAGCAATCGCTTCTTGAACGTGCGATTGACTAGATCGAAATGGGCTGGGGTCTAGCCTTGGAAATCCTCGCGAAATGAATCGTGCAATCCGCTGGGGTCAAAATCGATCCAAATGTACTCCATCATCGCGTGAGCGAAATACGTGGTGGCTTCCTTTTCTTCGACCGGTTGTGTGAGGTCCGGAGTGGTATTCCAGTAACTGAAGTCGACGTTCTGTTTCCAACGCTCTCTGGCATACCACTTGCTTCCCACGTATCCTCCAGGCCTTCGCCTGGGTTGTGCGGCGACGATGTTGACGCCATCTTGGGGGTAGTTGCCGGGGTGGTAATTGTGTGACGTGGTTGGTGGATGGATTGATGTGGTTTACCGCGTAGGTAATGCGGTAGGTTTGTTGTGTTGCCGCTTTGTTTGTGCGGCCGGGTTGTTCAGCGGGGTTAATGCACTTAGGCGTGCAGCTCCAGGCTCTAGCGCACTCAGCCGTGATGCCTACGGTCGCTTTCTCAATTTCCGGCGATCGTAGAGCCTCACGTTTAGCACGGTCGGTTCTTTTGCTCCTCTAGTAGACGCTTCTCTGCTCCCTCGAAAGCTCAAAGATAGGCGTCCTCTAGGTAATAGCACGAGAGATTCTCGCGCACGAATCGCACCTCCCTCGAAAGTTCAGTGCGAGCCGCGCCGATTGTACGATCTCGTCTCTTCACGTTGCTTATCTGTGAGTGTTACCACTCACTGATCAGTGTTCGTGGTATTCAGGTCATACCACTAAGGGCTGGGTCCGGGATAGGTCGTAGTAGTACTACTGTTGTTGGGGTAAAGTGATTCCTGTTCATTGCTCTGCACTAGTAGAACTCAGGTATGCGCGCTCTTGGTTGGTTTTGGTAGATATGTGCGCAAGCCCTGTGCGCCCACTTAGGCACGTGAGCTAGCACGTGACTTACGTCATCTGCCTCTTACACCAAGAGTACGGTCACGAATTTCGCTATTCCAACACAAGACTTTGTGTTGTATTATATGGCTCCGATCTTGCAGAATATTTCTCTTGGCCAACGTCAGAGTCCGGGACCACGAGCTTCCGAATCAAGACCCATGAAGGGGTTGTGAGGCGGTGCATTGATCCGAATAGAGAAGGGGAGCGCACCGTACATTACAAGTTCGCTGGCAGATCTGAAGTGGAAATGCTCTTCTTCCGTCTTTGCCTGGTTTCCCAAAGGGGTCACCAAAGGGAAGCCTTACTCGATAGTTGTCGAGGGCCCCGCCATGGCCTATTTCAGTGTTGTCCGGCCCACAACTCAATTGAGAGGCACCACAATCGCGAAGTGGCGGCATTCATAAAGGCCATACGAGCTACTATCCCTGACCTCCTTGCTAAACAACGACGCCTGAGCCAAAAAGAAAAGTGCGTTAATGTCATTTTAGTTATTTGTCGATATGTTTTAGTGGGGGCCTGGTGGTAGATCTAACTATGGAAGTCGCTCAAAGAGTAAACGATATATAAAATATTTGTCGAGACCTTCCGATTGACTGAGGCATGGAAGCATCTGGCCCGTGATCAGAGTTGACAGTGGCTTGAAGGGTCTTGAATTGTCTGTCTAAATCCAATCTAATAATACAGGAAAGAAGGCCTTTTATGCTTTCAAGAAAAGGACAAAGGAAACCTGGTTCAACAGTCTGTTAAGTCGTACTACGTAAGGGACTCAGCCGTAGCAGGGGAGAAAAAAGAGGGCATTCGGAAGTCCGGGAGCCCGGAAAAATGGATCAGGGCTGAAAGTCACAAATGAAGGGATATGCAGTGTTTGGAGGGATATGCAGGTATGTGGTTTGACAATGTGGCTCAAAAGTGGCTCAAAAGTGGGCGACAAAGCACTTACTTGTCAGGGCTACGAAAGCATCGTGACTAGAGGGGTAAGACCAATCCTGACGAGTGATTACTTCTTTTGTTCAAACAAATAGTTTGGAATTAACATGCTAATATCTGGCCTTTGAATCTATCACCAATTGACATTCCCGCCAAACCACTCAATTCAATTAATTACTCCGGGCCGTTTTCGAAACTCCAGTCCCCGCATGTCCCAAACTCCATGAAGGCGAGGCGTGAACCGAGCCTCAACCGCAAAACCACCCCGAAAAGCAGACGGACGGAAATACAAAACAGTCCTGTCGGTTTTCAACGGGACCCTCCCCCTACTTCGCGCGACTCTCTCGTCCGCTCAACTGATTCTAGTTCATACCCGCCCATTGCGCCATTCCTGCTGCCCTGCGGTAAGTACGTCTCGTAGGCTGATTCCCCTCGACCAGTGCTGTCCTCCAAGTGTACCGGAGCGGTGGTGCTGGCTTCGCTCCAGATGCCCTTACGGCGGCCACCGTGGGCTGCATTGGCTGTTTCGGAATGCCTATTGGCAGTGGGCACCTCGAGACTTGGCAGTTCCTGTGTTCTGGCGGGAGTTGGCCAAAGCGAGCGCAGGAACGGGATCGACGCCGCCACAATGGTCAGCGATGCTTCGGTGAAGCCCCACAGCACAAGCGGCTTCCCGTAGTCTGAGACGAGGAGTTAGCGATTGTTGACTTGAGACAATTCAAACAAGTCACAAATAACTTCGGAGAGGCACTTACAGGTGAAGTCGCCTTTCTCAAGCAAAGGGAGCGTCGTCAGCTTGACGATGCAGGCGATCCCGGCACTGGAGGAACGGGCGGTGATTAGTATGCGTGTGCTCATAAACCCAGTACAGATGCCTCGTCGGCTACTCACAAGACTCCCATGCTCATTGATACCGCCACGCCAACCTTTTCTCTGCCGTACATGCGAAACCGAAAGAGGATCTTCCATGGGATGAGGGCGAGCATGACGTCGAACAGCGCGGACAGAGCTGCGGGCACGTGTGTTGATTAGTGACCCTGGTGGTGGTCATCCAAGAACAAAACCAAAAGAGAAAAAACAGAAGAGAGAGAGAGAGAGAGAGAGAGAGAGAGAGAGAGAGACAGAGAGAGAGAGACAGAGAGAGATATAGAGAGAGAACGGTGTTACCAACCTCCAGCAACGTTGCCGATGACAACGCTCAGCTTTGGAGGCCAACATGTTCCAGGGAGTTGGGGGTTCCATATTTTGGCGGGCGGGTCACACGATGCCCAAAAGAACAAGACGCTCGTGAGCTGGGTGATATTCAGGACGATAATAATGGCCAAGATGAGCCAGCGGAGCCAGCCATCTGTGAGCCTAAACAGGGTGATGCCGAACGACGTCTTGCTCAGGTCGATCGACAGGACCGAGGTAAAACCCGACACGTTGCTTACGATGCCTATCGTGATGAGATTAGAGAGCGGCACGTCGTATATGTGGAGGCCGAAGCCGAGGCGAGTATTGGCCGAGGACGCCGCGCAGCTCGCGGCGAGGAAGATCTTGTCCCGGTCAGCTGGGCTGCTATTGACAGCACGAGGGACGGCGCAAGAAGCACAATTACCCACGAGAGGGCGAGAAGATAGTCATCCCACCACAGCCTGCGGCGGCGTGAGACTTTGCAGTAGCACCTGAGCCCGATGAAGATGCCGGCAAAGACGAGCAATATCCACACGACTACGTTGATGACAACCCCGTTAGGGTTTGCCGAGGAGTCGATATACTCGAGCGTCATGGTCCTCCTCCGAGAGGGCGTGCGAAGACGGAGCGATGCGGTGGTGGTGCGGAGAAGACGAGCAAGGGTGGAACTGACCGCCTCCCGGTTGTGGTCATTTCTCACGGCTCGAGTTCCGATAGCAGCACAAGAGAAGACGGCTTCCTCGGTGCCTCGTTCATGGTCATGGGAAGGAAAAAAGCCAGTCAACGTCAAACTCGAAAGACTCTGCTGGCAGTGGCGCGCAAGCAAGTTAATGAAGTAAACACGGACCCCCTCCAGCCTCAACATTGGGGCCAAATGCAATATTTGCGCGACTGACGAGCGAGCCCGCCAGGCCGAGTCGAGAGAGATTGGCAATTGGGGCTTGTGGTGGTCGATCCAAGCTCCGCTGGAGCCAGGTCTAGTGTTTTGGCGTTGCAGCTGAAGTGAAGCTAGCGGGCGAGTCCCTCTTTAGGTGATGGCAGCACCTCCACAGGCACCAACCCTAGCCCGCAAAGAGGAAAACAGCTCGTCCGTTCGCCGCCCAGCTGCGCATCAATTACGAGACCCAAACACAAAACCGGGGCGCCGTTTGAGGCGGCCTGGTTCCCCGGGACACCGCTCAGACGTTTTCCCTCTGGTGCTTAAAATCTCAAATCTCAAAGAGCCCAAAGGGGCTGACAGACGACAGCGAACAGACACCTAGCTCTCGCGCATCAGCCCGACCAACTGAGCCCAGCCCAGCCCGCCATTGTGGTTCAATGCCACCTCGCTCGTGCGCCATGACGGTCGGTCGGTCGGCGGTCGGACCGATCCAAGTCATGATTTGCGGCGGATCGCAGCTAGCTGCATGTTGCTACACGTCCGCCATGAACCCGGTGCACATCGCGACAGGCCCACGGCTTGGATTCACTGGTGTTACAAATGGAGGACGTTAATTAGCTAGGTAAAGTACGGAGTACAGCTACGTTCGCAGCCAGGCAATCACAGGCCGGCTCCGGTTGCGGACACGCCCTTGTGCCGTCAAGGCCGAGTTTTGGGAGGATTTCGCTACCGGCTCCAATCTTACGGCTTGGTTCCTTCGTCTTAGGCCCTCGGCTAAGCCATTGGAGCTTCCGTGGAAGTCGTGCCAAAATGCTTTGACAAAGCGCGCTAGAGAGGAACGGCACCAGCCGCCCAGACTCCAGAGCCAAGACGCCAGAAAATGTCTGCCCATGCTCCCCAGGTTTTGGCTTGAGTGGTTCCTTCAACCACACATCGCCATCAAGGCGACCCCAGCAGACTGGTGACGCTTCTGGTTACAGTGGAAACTAGTCTCGCCCGTACAGACGAGAACAGGGCTGAGTGGGTCTCGATGACATGCGGGATCTGCTGACGACAGCGGAGGGGCCCATAGGGCGTAGGCCTAGGCGCAGCTCCGGGCTAGTCTTTGTCTGTCTGGTTTGGCGTGTCTCTAGCTGGGGCTTATTCACGCCCTAGAACCTCGGACAATGTACTACTGTTGATCTAATTCGCCTAATTACAAGGTTGAAGGCCTGGCATGATGTTGCATGTGATGGAAGCTGACAGCGCATTGAATTGTCTGCTAAATCAGGTCTCAAGGTACAGAAATGAGCGCTTCCTTATACCCTTTAACAGAGGGCAAGGAAAGCGTTGTAATCCGCCGTTCGGAATGAAATGAGGGCATTCCGGGGGCCAAGAATGAAGGAAAAATGAAGAATGAAGGGAGTTGGCGTAGCATGCTAACCAGGGCCTGAAAATGGGGTTCAACTCCTTGAAAAGTGGGTCAATTCCAGGCGACACATGAGTAAAATTACAGTCGCTCCATCAAAAACTGTCGCAACTGCTGATCTGGCTCTATCACAGTCTGTTCTAAGCCGCAAGGATATTGACAAAGTAGCTCTTTGGCTTCTATGGCCGGATCAAATAGCTATTTCGGCCCCATGTTGCTGCCGAGAAGCTGGATGCACTACGACGAGACCGTCCATTGTGAAGGTTGCGGTTTTTCGGTTGTCCTCTGCTCTATATGTCAACACCCTCTTAGCTCTCTGTCTATGCATCAAGTCTGGCATCTGCGAGAACTGGTCGTTGTAAAGATCCCGTTTTTGAAAAGAAGAAATCGGGTTGATATGGTCAAAGCACTGCTGTTCGCACATATCCTGGGCGGGAGCTTGCCAAAGGCTACACGGCGAGTTGGTCATTGCCGTGGTTTGATTTGGTACTCGACAGACCCAGAGACCCAGGCCCCATGGTAGTCAGAAGAGTCAGAGCTTACACGCGAGTATGTCATACTTATTATTTGATGTCAAACTGACAGTCTTCTATCTATGAGCCGGCTGGAGCTGCCGTAAACCAAGGGTGCTCTTGGTTGGCCGTTGCGGAAGGTGCCATCGCTTCACGAGGTTGAGCCATGGCGTCCTGAGCACGCCTTCAGAGAGCGGCTGATTTGCTCGTTGCAAGGCGGGTAGCACGGAAATATGAGAATAGGTTACGCGATCTACACTTGAGAGTACCTATCTATTGGTGTTATTTTCCTCGCTTGGGAAATGCGACTGCCTGACGTCTGCGTTGGTGGCAGTGCGTCCCCAAGTTCCCGACAAGCATTCACCACTGACCAGGAGGACGATACACGCCCGAACAAGCTCCCGCTACCTCGGAAGCAATCCCGCAGTATTATCCATCACGTAATACCATTACAATTTCATTTGCAACTGTGTCGTCATTGGTCCCCTATGTTGCACGTCGAGGTCATGTTCGGCAGTCTTCCGAACCTGTCCTGCAATTTCGATTCCGTGCCACGAATCCAAACACCCATTCCATCGGCACCGCCGCCGATGTCTACATCTTCCTGGTCGATCTACCTGTCTAGCGCCTGACTTGTTAGCCATCCTGCCGCGGGGTTTTAGCGAACAGATCAAACTCCCATCTCTACCATGTTGGCTGCTAATTATACGACGAACTTGAAATGCCGCACACTCCACGGGCAAATTCAAACACTGGTGATAGTATTTCATTGTTGCCAAGAAACTAAAATCAAGGAAATATAGGGAAATGTGACCGCGTGGACAAAAACAGAGGGGCCCGGCGAGGTGGCAAGTTCCATCTCGGCCACGTCTAGCCGAGGGCAGATGAATGCCAGCGGTCTGATAAGAAGAAAGAAGAAAACAGGGTAGCCAAGGCTCGGAATTCATTTGACGTATGGAGCAAGGCTCTCCCTGGTGAGCCAGTGAGGTTGTGGTGATACAGAGTAATAGCAGGCCCATTATGCGGGGCCTACCTTTACCCCGGGATTTACCCCAGATTTGCCAGGTGATGAAATAGATGAAGAAAAAAACCTTCCGGACCAGTCGGCAGCTTTGCGGCCTCGTCTCCCGGCGAGCTGGGATTGCGTTTGCCCTCTGCTCACCTCACGAGATGCGTTTCAAAACTTTGATGCAGGGCCCGGCCGCCATTTACCGAACAGCATCCGCCCTCCGAGTGACTATTTTTATTCTAACATACATGTACAGACACCGCTAAAGATCCCCCCCTGGCCCTCGCCTCGCCCTTGCCGAGCCATCAGCCCGCATGAAATCACGCTGGCGGGTATTTGCCGGGACCCGGACGCCAACCGAGCACAGTTGCACCCAAGCTTAGCGAACCTTGTTTACACGCCCCTTAGCGCACCCTTAAGAGGAGCGATTATTTGTGAGAGCCTGAATGCCGAAAGGCCATGTAATACGGGGCTGGCTCAACCCACAGGTGGCACAGACGCTAGTATAGAGCTGGGGGTTATAATAATGAACCCTCATCCGCCTTTATTACTCTCGTCGGGGGCCCAGTTACGCCAGCGCCAGTTCTCAACCCAAGCTTGAAGCCGCGCCGCGTCATCCGGAGAACTATCATGGCCCGCCTGTCTGCCTTTGCGCTGCTCGCAGTGCCCTGGCTACTGCTGATAGGCCTCGTGTGTGGAGATGCGGTCAACGATCTCGAGACTAAGGGGAGGGCGAACCTCAATACGCAGCTGGCCAAGTCCAAGACGTGCACCAAGGACAAGCTCGAGGTCCGCAGGGAGTGGTGAGTGTTTCTTTTATCAATCTCAACCCTGTTTGAGCCCAGAAACTCAAGCTGAGGCCGCCATCGCACCACAAGGGGCAACTTCACCACGGCGGACAAGAAGTCGTACATCGCCGCCATGCTCTGCATCATGTCGAAGCCGTCCAAACTCGACCAGAAGAAATACCCCGGGGCCAAGACCCGGTACGACGACTTTGTCGCCGTCCACATGAACCAGACGCTGTCCATCCACAACACGGTTGGTGAACTACATCCGCGTTTATTATTATCGAATACAACCGCGCCGATAACAGACCGAACTATCCGCTAAACAAACCTCGAAATAGGGAAACTTTCTTTCATGGCACCGATTCTACCTCTGGTCCTTCCACAGAGTCCTGAAGACGGAGTGCGGCTATACCGGAGTGCAGCCTGTCAGTGCTTCCACACCCCAATTGGGATGTCTATTTTCTCTCTCGTCATCCTTGATTTATGAATTGACATGTGCCGTGATTGGTTAGTACTGGGACTGGGGGCGCTGGGCGCAAGACCCAGAGAAATCGCCCATCTTTGACGGCACCGACACGAGCTTCAGCGGCAACGGCAAGAAGACCAACCACCGGGCATCGGGGTTCGCGCCGGCCGGGAACGGAGGCGGATGCATTGAGACGGGGCCGTTCAAGAAGTTAGCCCTCCCAGGTCCTTGAAGCCTCACATGACACGTCCTTCCCCTTTAACCCTCCACCCCCAAATGTACCTCATCTCCGACTCTTGCTTACCTGTCCCAACTTATAGCGTAACGGTCCGACTCGGTCCCGTATCGCCGGCCATCGACCCGGCGCCACCAGCAAACCCGCGGGCGGACGGGTTCGGGGACAACCCGCGGTGCCTGCGGCGGGACATCTCCAACTACCTGACGTCGCGGTACGCGCGGACGCAGGACATTGTGTCGCTCATCACGTCGAGCAAGGACGTCGGCACGTTCCAGACGGCGATGCAGGCGGTGGGGCCCGGCAGCGGCATGGGCGTGCACAACGCCGGCCACTTCACCATCGCGGGCGACCCGGGCGGCGACTTTTACACCAGCCCCAACGACCCGGCCTTCTGGGTCCACCACGGCATGATCGACCGCACGTGGTCCATCTGGCAGACGCAGAACTTCTCGACACGCCAGCTCGTCATCTCGGGTGGCACGTCCATGATGGGTTTTGGCAAGCTGCAGACCCTCGATGATCCTATTGATCTTGATGTTGTTGGTGATAAGGTCTGGAAGATCCGGGATTTGGTCAGTACTGTTGACGGGCCGTTTTGCTACGTCTATGAGTGAGAGAGGGTGTGTGTATGTGAGGGCAGATGTGTTCTGAGAGAAAAATCACCATTGGTATGATGTCTGTCTGCATGGACGGATGGATGTGCGAACGGAGCGTGTCGGAGAGACTGAAGCCTAGATGTAGGCAGCATCCATCTACATGTTTGTGCGAGCAAAGACCTTACATGGTCAGCTGTCAGCATCAACGCAAGAAGCAAAACACTGAATTGCCTAGGCCTCTAAAAGTAGAACATATTAAGTCGATTCTTTTCCTGATTTCGTTCCCACAAAGCATGCTCGTGTGGAAGGCCCTCATTTATTACCTGTGCCATTTGGGATGTTAGTCTGGTCTTTGTAGTTGCTAGTCTTGCGATTTAGTAGCCTCTGAGTTTGTCCTGTAAGTTAGGTGGGGGAGTAAGCGAACGCCACTGATCCAGAACATTCTAGATAAGCGAGGAACACAACCAACCCTCTTATATAAAAAGCCCATAACTCAACCAATTCTTTTCCAATTCTCTTCATCTTCAATTCGTTTTATTCTTCTCTTGACAATGGTTTCATATACAGAAGAAGACCTCCGCAAGGCTTGCGAGGAAGCCGTCAGAACACATCGATTACGCAAAGTCGCGCGAAAATGGAACGTTCCACCCTCCACCCTTTATGGCCGTCTACATGGCTCCCTTCCTCGAAATGTTGCTCATCAAGATGAGCAAAGGCTTACACAGACCCAAGAGGATCGTTTAGTCGAATGGATTCTTCTTCAACAAGATTTAGGATTGCCCCCTACACATGCACAGATCAGGGAGCTTGCACGCCGTATTCTAGCTGAAAGGGGGGACTCCTTACCACTTGGAAAGGGGTGGTGCCGTGCCTTTCTTAACCGCAATCGAATTTTGAAGACTCAGAGGGCCAAGAGAGTCGATTCGGTCCGCGTCAACTGCGCTACAGAGTCAACAATTTGACCTTGGTTCAACCATTTCCAAACACCAGCTATCAAGGCGATTAAGCCAGAGAATCGCTGGAACAAGGACGAATCTGGTATTATGGAAGGCAGAGGAACCAACGGCCTTGTCATTGGAAGCCGTGCCTTTAAGGCGCTTCAAAAAAAACAGCCTGGAACCCGCACTTGGACCACTTTTGTCGAATGCATCTCAGCAGCTGGCCGTTGCCTTCCTCCTTTGGTCATTTTTAAGGGGAAAAGCGTTCAACAACAATGGTTTCCTTTGGATATGAAGCCATTTCAGGATTGGTTCTTTACAGCAACTGAGAAAGGATGGACTACCGATGAGACAAGCCTCAAATGGTTAAAAAATGTGTTCATTCCTCTCACCAAGCCAGCAAACTCCTCTGAGAAACGACTCCTTATTATTGATGGCCATGGCAGCCACACAACTGCCGATTATATGTGGGAGGCATTCACAAACAATATTCACATTATTTATCTGCCTCCCCATACTTCCCATGTCCTCCAACCCCTAGATTTGGCCATATTTGGCCCCCTAAAACGACTTTATCGCAGACGGCTTGAGGACCTTCTTGCTAACGCCTTTGACGACTCTTCTGTAGCCGGAAAACGTGCGTTTCTGGAATGCTACCAGATTTCACGCACAGAGGCAATTACTAAGAGTAATGCTAAGTCAGGATGGAAGGCATCAGGCCTTTGGCCCTTGAATGTCAACAAACCGCTAAGAAGCCCACTCCTCCTCAAGAATTCTAATACTTCACGCCCCTTAAGAACTACTATAGTTACCCCAGAGGTTCGCACACTCCGTATGCCAATTCTGGAGGATTATGGAGACGATCGGGTGCAGTGGAGGACTCCTAGAAAGGCACGTGATTACGTTGAGCAGGCAAAGAAGTTCGCACGCATCATCAAAGCAATGCCAGCGGATAAGCTCTTCCTCAGAAAGATTGGTAAGGCTTTGGATGAACAGGCCTTTGAACTGGCTATTAGGAAGCGAAAGATTGAAGGTCTAGAACACACTCTCGAATCAATAAGAGCCAGAAAGAAGAAGAAGGTTGAAGAAGATCCAAATACCACCTTTGCGAATATTCAGACTATTCGTGAGGCCCAGAGAGCTGTAGGGCGTGCAGCAGAGGTTTTAGAAGATGCGGAAGAAGCGGATGATTCAGAGGATATCAAAGATTGTATTGAAGTTTTGTAAATAAAAAGATCACCCTTTCTTTTGTTGGAGGGTTAGTTGGGACTCCTGCTTATACAGAATGTTCTAAATCAGTAGTGTTCGCTTACCCCCCCACCTAACTTATCGTCTGGCCCCTACAACCTTACAAAGGACCAAATCTTGGCCAAATTACCCTTCCAAAATTCCTCCGAGACCCACATGAGCAGGCTTGTATCATTTACAAACATCTCTGGCAACCTTGAATCAATCATCATGACAACGATGACTAATCTAGATTCCGCCTCAAGATGATATCTTTTTTTTTTTTGGCTCTTTAGTAGGCTTTCTCTCATCTAAATTCCTAGAATTAACATCCAGTCTAAGCCCTCGAAAGAAAAAGAATAGCGAGAGACAACAAAACAGACCCTCATCCCAAATATTTACCAGCTACATGGATAGCTCAGGGCTAGCCATCGTTTCCCCGTGCAACGCCGCTAGACGTGGCTGGCTGCTGGGCCGGTCATCTGCTCGTAACGAACGACTTGCACCCAGCCGTTTTCAAAGCCATGCCCCTGTGTATCTAGCTACGTGTGGTCGCCTAGAATTTCTACTCTAGTTGTATGGGCTTCGAACAATTACCGCGTAACACGTAATGAGAACGCATCAAAGCCAACCACAAACAACGCGTCTTATTCTTTCACTTTTTTCTTTCTCAATATTCACTAGTGATTGATTACCATTTCATTCTAACAAAACCTCTCCCATCATCCCCATTCCACCCCAAAAAACTTGCGAACCAAAACATCCGGAAATACCTACCCCCTTCCACCGTACGATGCAGTTCTCAGTGCGCGCGGCCCAAACGGGCGACGTCGAGCGCCTACTAGAGGTCTTCGCCGCGGCGTTCCAAGACGACGAGATCGTCGCGTACGTGGCGCCATACCGAGCGCAGTATCCCGTCGCGCACCGGGAGACGATGCGGCGGACGGTCCACGGGCTGTTGCACGACGCGTGCTCCATCGCCATGGTCGCCGAGGTCGCGGCCGGCGCGGCCCCGGCCGACTTGGGCAAGGTCGTCGACTTCTGCCAGCTGCAGCTGACCAGCGGGAGACGTATCCCAGTGTGCAGAAGACGGACCCGCGCGAGACGACACTTGAAACCGTTCGAGGTGCCCCTCGTAAGTCGACCCCACGCCCTGCAGCTGTGTCTGCCGTCAAGGATCGTCCCGGAGGACGCCAGCGTCTATTTTGACCAGCTGTTTCCAAGTGCGTGCTTTCACTCAGACTGCTTCCTATCCACCTCCTTTCCCTCGCCGCACACCACCTCTTGAAACCCCCCCCCCCCCCCCCCCCCCCTTATCTTAGAAAACCCCATGCAAAGCCTCAAGCAAGCTAACCTAGCTCACACCCAAAACCACCACAGCAACCACCAAACCCACAGCAGCATCTCTGCCCGCCGACCCGATGCTCGCGCGCGCTACCCGCACAGACCGGCTCGACCTACTCTTGCAAGAAGAGAAGACCGCGCTCGCAGAGTTGTTCAACTAGCAGCACCTGAACCGGGCATGGACGCTCAAACTCCTCGCAACCGACCCGCAGTACCAAGGCCGTGGAGCAGGCAGCCTGCTAGTGGGCGTCGCCGGGTCGGTAGCGGACTTGTCGGGCGTGCCGCTAGTGGTGTCGACAGCCGAAAACGCGCGGGGCTTCTACGCGCGGCTCGGGTTCGAGCTGGCGGAGCCTGTGGGCGAGGTTTGCATGCTGATCGGCGGCGACGGCGACGGCGACGGCGATGGCGACGACAAGGTTACCGTGCGGCTCGACGGCGAGGACGAGGAGGCCACCTTTTGGACGGCGAAGCAACGACGACGACTGGCAGAGCTGTGAGATGCTATACGGCCTGTACACTTGCAGCCGTTGGGATAACCTGTTTTGGCGAATCAGAGTTTTGGGTATATTGCTGTATGAAAAATGCAGCTGTCTCTCGCCATTTGAGGATAGCTCTAGTTTAGGGAGCATTACAGATTGTCGAGCAAAAGGTCGTTGACCTAGTTCGGGGCCATGAAGGATTGGAGGTCGTCGACGCCAGTCATGTCCTTACATACAAGGGATTGGCTGGCCGCTTTGGCATGATGTGATGATCAGACCGGTACTGTTGGAGTATGGGCTGCCGGGAGATGACCCACTTTGCCAAGGACTGCTGACGCTGTCAGAAACGACAACCCAGCAAATGAAGACGGAGAATGGGAATCAGTCCAACTGTTGGTGGCATTGAACGCCAGATATCACTAGGAATTGTTGGCAGTTTGGACGAGTTAAGTTAGACAAACCCGGGACAAATAAATCTGATATCTCGAGTGAGAGTCTCGCATTCCATAAAAGTGAAGGCTGTGGCGCAATTGTCTATCGGCTATCCATCTCCAGTGACGTATATTAACATGAATTCTTGCTTGTTTAACTGCAGTCATTACCACCAAGAGCCCTCTAATACACATACCCATAACGAGCATATTATGACTTGAGAGCCTTGATCTCGTCACCTTTGAGCTTGCCAGCTCCGACAAGTCTCTTGACCTCATCCGTCCACACACCCTTAATCTCATCGGCAACCTTCAATCCAGTAAGCTTGGCGGAGAGAGCGGCGATCTCATCGGGATCGATCTTGGCCTGGACAAGGTCAATGTCTCCCAGCACTGCCTCGATGGTGGAGGCGGGCGCATCTCCAGTCACAAAGTAGTTGGCATCCTTGACAGACCCACGGAGAACACGCTTGTTCTTCTTGACGGCGTTCTTGGCAGCCTCCTTGGCCTTCTTGTTGGCCTCGCGGTCAACCTTGGCCTTCTCCTCCGCCTCCTTGGCAGCCTTCTCATCGGCCTCCTTCTTGGCAGCCGCATCCTCGGCCGCCTTCTTCTCGGCAGCCTCCTTCTCTAGGCGCTTCTTGTTCTTGGCCGCGTTGGCCTCTTGTCTGAAGCGCTTGATACGCTCATCGGCAGCCGAGCAGTCGTCGAGCAGCTTGCGCAGGCGGGCGTTATCCTCGGCCTTCTTCTTCTTGCGCGCATTGGTATTCTTGCGCTCCATGTGGCGCTTCTGGTCGCGGTTCTCATTGTCGTCTGGCACGTCCTCGTCAAGGTACTCGAACGACCGCCAGCTGTCAAAGTTGTAAAAGAAGTTGTAGAAGTTCTCAACCTCCTCCTTGGTCGACTTGTTATCGCCAAATAGCGGCACAGGTTTTGTCTTGCTGAAGCGAGCCTCGGCCTTGAAGACGCTGCCCCACAGCTTGTAGAAGTTGCCCTTGACCAGCTGCTTCTTGGTAGGCGGCTCGACATCAGCCTCCGAGTCGACCGAGTCGAACTGGCGGCGCTTGACGGGGTCGAGCAAGACCTCGGTCGCCTTCTGAATGCACTTGAAGAAGTTGTCGTCCTCGGTGCGACCGGCGGCGGCCTTCTTGTCAGGGTGATGCTTGAGCACCTTCTTGCGATGGGCACGCTTGATCTGGTCCTCGGTGGCCTTGTAGCGGTACTTGGAGAGGCCGAGCACCTTGTAGTGATCTTGGCCCTAGATTGGCTTGGTTAGCGGCGCGGCCGGCAGCCTGTGTGCGTTGGGACAACAAACCTTCCAGTCCTTGGCCTCACGCTGGAGCATCATAGGGTCCTCGGGCTCGCTGATCTCGCTGTCATTGTCCTCCTCGACCTTCTTGGCGCGCTCCTGGGCCTGTATCCGGTCGTCTTCGGAAAAGGTGCGCTTATGGCGGGCGCGGCGGGCGTGGGCAAGGAAGTGAGGGCCAACAGGCTCAATTGTCCGCTGTGTCGCGCTGTCCTTGGTGAGCTTGCCAACAGACTTGAAGTCCTTCTCGGCAGCCCATCTCTCAGGTAGAGCCGGTAGTGAGACCAGAGTGGCGGCCATTTTGCTGTCTCGATGGGTTAATTTTGGAATGCCGGTGAGAGTACAGAGTGTAAAGTTCGGAGTCAATGTTGGTTTGTGGTGGAGGGGCTTTTCTTGGGCCGTTGGGAATTTTTCAACCCCTGCAGTCTCCACAGCTAGCCCTTGTTGGCCAATCAAATCGAGGGTACGATTTCTGGGGATTTCGGCCCGCAGCCATTGCGCAGGCGTGCTGGAGCTTTTGTGACAACCAGAAGATAGCCTCAAGTTCGACTCCAAACCCCCAGACCGCACTCGCCACGTTTTGCATCGGCTTGACCAGGCCTTGTCTGTCTTTAAAATGGCGCTGCAAGCATATAGACATCTGATGCGCGCTGCTAGAGTCGCGTTTGAAGGTACCTTCGTCTGCTTCTTAGGGCATCCCTCGTTTGCGACTTCTTGCTCACAGATATCGCTTTCTAGGCGATACCCGCGTGCTGAGTGCCGCACGGCAGCAAATACGCGACAGTTTCCGAGAGACTGCGGGAATTGACAGCCCAGATGTCAAGGCAAGAGTCCAGCAGGCTGAGGAGATAGCCAGCGCCTTGCGACACAACGTCGTTCAGGGGAAGAAGGACGGAGATAGGTATAGTATGTGCTAACCTTGCCTTTGATATGATGAATGCTGTTTCAATTAGCTAGATATGCGCAGAGACGCTGACTTCTTGCAACAGAACTTCGTATACATAAGGATACCGAGCGGGGCGACAACGACACCATCAAGATCGACGGAAAAACGGTTACAATAGACGGGAAGAAGTGTTCGGATAGGTAGCAGGACACGATGAGGAGACGGGGACAAGACTTGACTGCAAAGAGTATTAATTGCAGGACGCAGTCATATGGTAGCGCAAAGCTGCCTTGTAGTATATATAGTACATGTGATATCCCTCGATGTAACCAAACACCAGCTCGTGTAATGCTAGAAGAGCACGATGTACATAGACTCCCTACCCAAATGTCATGAAACCATAATGCCCCTAACACCTTGCCAAATAGACAGACGCCGGATATGTTTTTCCTTTCGTTTAGTTACCAGCGAGGCTGGCGTATTGTACATCGTCTGCTCCAGGAGGTGGAGCCAAATCAAGACTGGATAGCTCGTCTGCCTGGGCAGCCGCTTGCCCTCCTTGCGCATTTCCATCCGTGATATCTCTTTGCCCACCCTGTCCACCCTTCCGTCTTGCATCCGAGAAAGCAGACCGGCCGTCGCGGAGCATTGCGGTGCGCTCCTCTTTGTCCATAGTTCCGACTGCCTTGGGTACGCCCCACCTGATGCGCAAAGGGCAACCGGCGATTACAGTACGCCCCTTGAGTTCTCCGGCCGCGGCCTCGGCGGCCTGCCGAGTTTCGTAGTTGACAAATGCGGTGTGCGTCATGTGCGACACAACCAACGACTTGATCTTGCCAAAGGGCTTGAAGAAATCGCGGATCTTGTGCTCGGGAAGATCGTCCTCGATACCCGTCACAAAAAGTGACATGATGCTTGTGTCGGATGGCGGTATCCAGTCCTTGGGTCCAGGAGGAGCATTTGGGATTATCGGTCCTTTTCGCCCGCCTCTCGGTCTTGCGCCAAGTGCAGCTGCAGCTCGTGAATCGCGGGTGCGAATAGGGCCTGGTCCGCCAACACCCGCGCCGACGGCCGGATTTCCACCTCTCGCACCTCCATTCCCGGATGGCCCGGATGAGCCAGCAGAGACCGTGTTCCCTTCGTCGTCCACCTCCCTTCCCTTTCTGAAGTACGGCTTGCTTTGCGCTAAGCGACGCAGCAATTCGCGCGCCTTCTCGTCTGATTTCTCATATTCTTCAATGCCGGCCCTCCCTTCCTCAATGGCGCGCTCGTTATTCTGCGCAAAGTACTCGCGGTTGATTTCGCTCTGGGGTCCGGGGGCGATGAGCTCGAGGGCCTTGTCTCGGATGACGATGGGCAGGCCAAACTGGAGATCCATAATGCAGCACTGGCAGGCATTTTTGAGTCGCGCACATGTAAGACAGATGTTGGTGCGCTTTTTGCGGCCGTGTGCGCGGTCCGCGGCCCAGCTGAAGACTGTGAAGGGGCGCGTGCAAAGCTTACACTCAGCGCCGTAGTCCTCCTTGAGCATTTTGACGTAGAGATTCTGGGGCAGGCAGGACTCGCAGATTGACGGGAAGTCGGTTGACTCCCAGCCAGACCGGTTAAGGTCCTGCTTGATCTGGGGCGGCATATTGCGAATACGGTGTGTTGTCGCTTTGGGAGAGATGCGATACGGAAACGAACTCGAGGTGCTTGAAAATGCGACGGGCGGTTTGGATGTAGAACTTGTAGTGGGGTGAGTGCGTAGTGCTCGCCTTGACTGAGGTGGTAAAAAGTTGCCGGGGTGGTGTGGAGAAGATAGTGTGGCTGATAAATCTTATCAGCCTTTCGTAATCACCACCTGTGGCTTTGCCTTTCTTATCCGCGTGGCGCTCTTATTCGTATTCGGATCGAGCGTTCCTGACCCGCGTTTTCGGGTGTTGCCGCGTACGGATACGGATCTGGATGGATTCAAGATCTCGGGCCCGGGTTTCGTTACGGCGCAGGAAAAAAAGATGCAATAGGTAAAATAAAAGACGATACTTAATTCCTGTCAATTCACTCAATAACAATCTTGAACCTGAACGCATGCAATATCTCGGTAGACGTATGTATTGTGTATTGTCGTTCTGGTTGGGACTGCGATACCGGTCAACAAATCGTGCAACACGCTTGCATCCAATACTGGACAGAGGGAAATTGGCGGGAACTGCATCCACAGTCTAGCCAATGCCACTTGCCAATGCAGGGTGGGGCCGAGAAGCACATGCCACCTCCAGCAATTGACCCATGGCATTCGCTAGTGTAGGCTCATGTCGGTTGACTGCACCCTGGCAGGCCGCTGTGAAGAAGCTGCAGTCCTTAAAAGGGGTCCAGGAAACTTTTTTCCCCAGCTATCCCCGCCAGTACTTAAAGTAACACATTATCCTGTGGACTTAATCGGTTTCCAGTATCGCATTTTAAAATACAACGTCTTTTCCCTCTTTTTTCTTGCCTATCGCCGGCAGTCTGCAATCATGGGTGTCAAAGCTAACATCGCCCTCCAGAAGGAGGATCACCAGCGCGACGCCGAATTCGCAAAGGCGCTGCATGGCACAACTGCTAAGGCCACTGGCGGTTTCGCTGCCATGCGTGGCAAGGACCAAGAGGCCCAGAAGCTCGCCGTGGACGAGTACTTCAAGCATTTCGACCGCAAGACGGCAGAGAACGAGACGGACGCCGACCGCGAGGTGCGTTTTCCGTGATCACCGCTCTAACCCTTTCTGGCTGCGTACCGTGTAAGCTGACTCGGATGATGGCATCAGGCTCGCACAGCGGAGTATGCGACTTTGACAAAGCAGTAAGCCCGACCCGTTCCAGTCCTCACATTATTCCTGACACTTGTTACTGCGCCAATACTAACCAGTCTCTTTGCGCAGTTACTACAACCTCGCAACGGATTTCTACGAGTATGGCTGGGGTCAATGCTTCCACTTCTGCCGGTTCTCGGTTGGCGAGGGCTTCTACCAGGCTATCGCTCGCCATGAGCATTTCCTCGCCATGAACATTGGCATCAAGCCGGGCATGAAGGTGCTCGATGTTGGCTGCGGTGTTGGTGGGCCGGCAAGAGAGATTGCCAAGTTCACCGACGCGCACATCACCGGCCTCAACAACAACGACTACCAAATTCAGCGCGCCACACACTATGCTGTCAAGGAGGGTCTTTCGGGTCAGCTCAAGTTTGTCAAGGGCGATTTCATGGTATGTGCGACCATTGCCCAGGAAGACACCTTCCAGTCCATTTGCTAACGGCACTAGCAAATGTCATTCGCCGACAACACATTCGATGCCGTCTATGCCATTGAGGCTACCGTCCATGCGCCGAAGCTTGAGGGCGTGTACGGCGAGATCTTCCGCGTCCTGAAGCCCGGCGGCGTGTTTGGCGTTTACGAGTGGCTCATGACTGACGATTATGACAACAACAACCTGGAGCACCGTGACATTCGTCTCGCGATCGAAGAGGGCAACGGGATCTCGAACATGGTGCCGATTTCGGAAGCGATTGATGCTATGAAGACAGTCGGGTTCGAGCTCGTCCACCACGAGGACCTGGCGCAGCGCCCCGACACTCTTCCCTGGTACTGGCCGATTGCCGGCGAGCTTGGTTACATGCAGACCTACATGGACTTCATTACCGTCTTCCGGATGACACATGTGGCCCGCCGTGCCGTGCATTTGTTCACCGGTCTCCTAGAGATTGTTGGCCTGGCGCCCAAGGGAACCAAGAAGACTGCCGATTCGCTCGCGAAGGGCGCCGATGGTCTTGTTGCTGGCGCGAAGAAGAACCTTTTCACACCCATGTACCTGATGGTCGGTCGCAAGCCGGCCAACTAGGTACCAACCTGCATTGGATTATTATAGTTGCGTGTTTCCTTGCGCGTTTTTGGGGTAACGAAATGGGGGCATAATGCGGATGACGGAAGCTCTCTGCGTGGGAACGGGAGTTAGGAAGCCTTTTAATACTTGCTGGCCGATGGAGCTGTCAATTAGGTTCTGACAGCTGACGCGTTGCTTAGCTTTCTTGTACATGTACATACAAACTTTTATTACCTTAGATGTATCGGAGGCACCGGTCGAGTCGAGTATGAGTTGCTCGATTCTTAAAGAACATCCCTGAATAAAGTACCTCATACTTATGGAGAAGTTGCAAATTGACATGTTTTGCAAACGCCATGAGAGGACCGCTCGTGGACAGCAGCTTAGAGGCCTGTCAAGTGAGTTCGGAAGTTCAAGATTCAAGCCTTAAGATGGATTCAGCCGATGCACGGACCAGATTACGGCTGGCTAATCCGCACACGCGCTAGCGTCGACTTGCTGTTGGGGTTCAACGTTCCCAGGTCCGAAAATGCTGGCTAGATTCGGAGCTTCCCTTGGTTGGAGAAAAAAAATTCCCTCTTGCGCTGACATCTTTCAACCCCGAGCATCACCACATTTCTCCCACCCGCCGACCTCATTTGATTGCCATTGCCCCGCCTCGCAAGCCGGCAAATCAATTGAGCAACTCAGAACTCGGTGCTCCTATCCTCCCGTCGTCGCCGAAGTTGACACCGGGCAAGTCGGATCGTTGAGGGCTTCAATTCTTTCACCTTTTGTCTTCCTTCGAAGCTTTACACGCCGCCTTCAAAGCCATGTCCCGCTATCTCCGACCGGCCACCCGGCTGGCTGCCGCATCTGCACGAGTCCAGGCCACCAGACCCGCGACGTTATCGCCCTTCCTCGCCCGGTCAGCAGCCGTCTCGCCACTACAAAAACGAACCTATGCCGATGCCTCCGGGGTTAAGGAATACACTGTCCGTGACGCCCTGAACGAGGCGCTCGCTGAGGAGCTCGAGGCGAACGACAAGGTGTTCATCTTGGGCGAAGAGGTGGCTCAGTACAACGGCGCATACAAGGTTACAAAGGGCCTGCTAGACCGCTTCGGCGAAAGGAGAGTCATCGACACTCCCATCACCGAGAGCGGCTTCTGCGGCTTGGCTGTTGGCGCTGCGTTGAGCGGCTTGCATCCGGTGGTGAGTACTCCATTTGTGACCACGCTAGGTATCTGTCAGCTACTGTCCTCGCCTATCGACATATCGGCGGCTATCCAACAAGGTTTCCGCCTGCCGAAGGCGCCTTCGCGCGGAACTCTAGGAATAAGCACGAGCAGAGGAAGAGCATAACGGAAGCTAATGTGGTGGTGCAACAGTGCGAGTTCATGACGTTCAACTTCGCCATGCAGGCGATCGATCAGATCGTCAACTCCGCCGCTAAGACGCTGTACATGTCTGGCGGTATCCAGCCATGCAACATCACGTTCCGTGGCCCCAACGGCTTCGCGTCCGGTGTCGGCGCGCAGCACTCGCAGGACTATTCGGCGTGGTACGGCAGCATCCCTGGCCTCAAGGTCGTCTCCCCCTGGTCGGCCGAGGACGCCAAGGGCCTGCTGAAGGCGGCCATCCGCGACCCCAACCCCGTCGTGTTCCTCGAGAACGAGCTCATGTACGGCCAGTCGTTCCCCATGTCGGAGGCGGCGCAGAAGGACGACTTCGTGATCCCCTTCGGCAAGGCCAAGATTGAGCGCGCTGGCAAGGACCTGACGATCGTAAGCTTGTCGCGCTGCGTCGGCCAGGCCCTGACGGTCGCCGAGAGCCTTAAGAAGAAGTACGGCGTCGACGCCGAGGTCATCAACCTGCGCAGCGTCAAGCCGATCGATATTGAGAGCATCGTCAAGTCCGTCAAGAAGACGCACCGCCTGATGGTCGTCGAGTCGGGCTTCCCGGCCTTTGGCGTGGGTGCCGAGATCCTCGCCCTGACCATGGAGTATGCGTTTGACTACTTGGATGCCCCGGCCCAGCGTGTCACTGGTGCCGACGTGCCGACCCCGTACGCTGCCAAGCTCGAGGAGATGAGCTTCCCGTCTGAGGACGTGATTGAGAAGTACGCCGCGAAGCTTCTCCGTCTTTAAGATGAAGATAGTTCTGGGTTGGGAGAAGCGGTCAGCGGGAGGCCAGATGGATGGGTTCATTAGGGCGTGCTGGATGGCGAGCCGGAGAATGGACATTGCTTTACTCTATCCTTGGCCTTCACCATTGTGTTGCATTCGTGTACTGACACGGTTTGGAGAGCAGGTTGGTAATCGGGTCTTATAGAGAGGCTTTTCTTGCAAGTCGCGTGTACTTTTACGATGTGTTTTTGGCTTTTACATACACAAAACATACCCCAACAAAACAACCCATTCCCAGCTCGGTGATTGTGATTGTAATGTACGTATATCATACGCCGTGATGGTTGCAAAATCGCCGGTGCAGTATTTTTGCCCAATTGCTTACCAGCTCAACGAGCTTAATCCTTCATCCCTGAGAATATCTAGCAGCTTGGTTCTGATATTCTCTGTGCTGCCTCAAAATCCCGTAACCTTGTCCCAAATGTTCGTCCCCTTCACTGAATGCGAGGCACTAGCAGATGCTCGAACCTCTCACGTCGTTAGAAATCCCGGCTATTGTGGAAAATATCCCAGCGAATAATATATCCGCCTTGAGTAGATCTCGAAGAAGCATTCCCGGGGTCTACTGAGGTAAACACGACACAATCCGGCTCCCAGTGATGTAATCCACACACGCCGCGGCATTTCCTTCACAACTTCCTTCAGGCTCTCTCATTGACCTGCTGGCTCTTGCTGCACGGCCCCATCCCAGCCACGCCGGGGTCTCCCATTCCATTTGAAGAGAATATCGTCTGCGCGGCGTACCCGTGAGGGCACTTGGCGTCTGGGCCCGGCTCGCTGCCGCTAATAATGGCTAGGGAGCAGGGCGTAAACGGATTCTTGTCTTCGTAGAGCCAGCCGACGCAGCCCTGCGTGCCGGCGTAGCAGAGGCTGCAGCAGCCCTCGGCCGAGTCCGCCTTGCCGAAACTGGTGTTGTAGTTTTGGTAGTCGCCGCTGATGAACCGGATGTTGTCGATGAAGGACGACGTGTTGGTGCACGACTGCGGGACTCCCTGTCCGGAAAGGATATAGAGATTAGTTAGTTTGAGATATAGTGGTCCGAGACAAGTCTGGAAGCTAATATATGTATAGAAAAGGGGGTAGGGAAAGGTTTGGGGTCCACATACCGTGGGAGCTGCTCTAGTCGTTGTCGACGATGGAGCAGCAGATGACGACGTTGACGTTCCGCTCGCCGTTGTGGTGCTAGCGGGAGGTACGGCAGCCGAACTTGTGGACGTTAGCACTGCAGGCGTCGCCCAGGCCGCCATAGTAGAGCTGGAGTCATTCTGAGATAGAGGTAACCGACTTTTGTGCGCTCAGCATGCCCATGCCTCCGAGAATCGCGAGAATAACGCCAATAGTTCCCACGGTGATGATAGCACCGTAGAGCCAATACATCTTGGGGACTCTCTTGTACCACGGGTCTGGGGTAGGCGGGACCCAAGTTACCTCGGTTCCGCGGAAGAGGGAGCCGGAATAGCTGGTTCTCGCCAGGTCGGGGGGCAAGGCCGATGCCTCGTTCACACCCCGTCGCTCCGCGTGCTCTACCTCCGAATCCGCTCCGCCGTCAGCCTGTGAAGCTGCGACAGGTCCCTGGCTGGTCTCGCCGCCATGGCCACCACCGCCGAAGGCAATCTCTGGGAGCGGGTTCGACCACGTCTCAGCGTACTGGTACTGCTGGCCGAACGCTTTGTACGGCTGACCAGACTGGCTCGACTCTCCAGCTCCAGGTTGGAGGCTGCGGGGGAACGAAAGAGCTTGCTGAGGTTGAGGTTGCTGCTCGGACATCTCGGGCGGAGACGACGGTCTCGATGAAGACAGCGAAAACGACATTTTGCTAGTTTATGCTGTAAACAGCAAGACTAGAGCTTTGTCGTTAGTCCGACTATGACGATCTCTTACTTCAATTTCTGCTCACAAGCGATGGTGGTTGGGATGCGATGAGGCAGGTGCGTACGTACGGGGAGGTGGGGTTTAGGGAGTGAGATGTAGTGGCTTTGGAAGGAGGTAGGAGGGTCTCGAGGTTCGGATGTGGGGGTATTTGCCGACCAGAAGCTGCGATTCAAGGTGAAAAGATCGACTTACCGTCAATTTCAAGGCGAGGGATGCCTTGAAGGAACCCTCGACTGTCTGGGGTGCTGCAGAGGAAGCTGTCTCACTGCCACCAGATACCTCGGGGCTAGCGAGAGGAAAAAGGCGAAATTGGTTGCAAATGACGCCAGGCCACGGTTCCTAACCTCCCCAAAATCACGAGGCAGGAAATGAGGGGTTCAGATTGTGGAAGTTCAGTTAAATGGCTGGCTACTGTCTTGAGATGGAAGGAGCGGTCGGTAGCTTGGTGGGTCCGAGCTGGAATGCCCAGCAGCGTATTGTATTGAGGAACGATTCAGTTACCGTTCAACCTGTGATGAAGAGATAACCACTGCTATTATTCTCCAGGGCCACAATTGGAATCTACGAGGAAATTTGGGAGTTTGGCTGCAGGTCCGAGCCCGAAAAGTCGCTGTGTCACCGCTCCGAGTTGCACATAGTCGCACGCCCAAGTTGACCCCATTCGCTAGGTAATGACAGACGGCGAGGAGGCCGCTTAGCCTCCCTTTCACCGTCTCAACCACTCCCTTCAAATAACACATGTGAACCACCTTGTCTCTCGTGAAGCTGGCGACACGCCGAGCCAACAGCCCACTCAATCGAGTTGTGCGTCTGTGTGACTGCGATGCACAAAAGCTGCCTCAAACGGCCAGCGGCCACGAAGCTGGGGGAGGACACGTACGAGGAAGGTTGAGCAGCCCTCGCCTTCACCAACCCCTACCATTAAACCTATCTTCAAGACCCGCCAGTGCCATCTTTGCTCGACAGGGCACTCGTCCACTATCGAGGGACATTTGGATGAGGCACGGGCGGTATAAGTAGAGACGAGCGGCAAGGACAGGAGACCTGTGGACGAGATCATGAAGAAGCAGCAAATCATCGACAAGAATGTCTCTATCGTCTGGCAGCCATCCAATCGTCAGCGGCAATATCTGAAACGTTGAGGATACAGTCATTCACGAACCTCGAATTTCCCCCGTCCACCGACGTGCAGCACCATACATTTGGACTACAACGAATGGAATCTTGAAACAAGTCAATGGACCCGTTACAAACGAGCAAGACGGGTCAATCCCTAACGTTGTCCACAATGTTGTTTACTGGAGCGGCGGCTTGGGCCCATTGCTGGCGCCAGTATAAGTAATCTGGATCTGGACAAGACGAAGTGACGTTGTAAGAGCCTCCTCCCCTGCCAAGCCTGCCAAGCTCTAGCTTTGCAGCGGGTGGCGTGGGTCAACGGACTGCGGGCTGTGGGGCCCACCGTTTGGGCACCAACGGACCCCGGCCACCATGTCCAATTCAGCACTCTACTCAATTTCGGCCGCGTTTTCCGCCTCCTTCATGCCGTTGGAAAACGAGCATGTCTACCTACTGTACTGTGCCGCGCCAACCTACCTCACCTTAGGTAGGTCCCAATAGCCTTCGGGGCGCAGTGGAGGATCCGATATGCTTACCTAAGTGTCAATCTCTCTATACAGCACAATGCAATACCATGCCATGCCTTCCTCGCCTTTGCCTGTCCAGATTCCCCCTCTTTCGTTATTATTCTTTCGCACCCCGTCTCCCGTCTCCGTTTCCCGCTTCTTGCCGGGTTGCCTTCCCAGTCTACTGCCTGCCTGCCGTCGGCCTTCCACGGACAAAGCACTTTATGGCGGGGCTTTGCCGTCTCCATTGCAGCCCCATTGTCATTGGGCACTCTACACGAGACGTACGGGTGCCGATCGTCCCGCTTGGTACCCAATCACTGCCTGGTCTACCTAGTTCCCAGATTATGCCCGGACCCCACGCTGCTGTGCTCCTAGCATCTATCTAGCCTTGGGGCATGCCCAGGTGAGTGTTCCCGAGATCAGCGCGTGCATTAGTCTTGTACCGCTTTCCCAGCTCCCCTCGCATGGAGACTCGACGCATGTTTTGCCGTTTATCTGCTAGTAGCCTTCCCACGCTTTTACCTGGAAATTGATACTAAGCTCTCCTTGAATTGTCTGCGTAGGTACACCTCCGGGCCCTGCCGTGCGGTATATGCCTGTTCTTGCCCGATCAGGCCGTGGCCTTTGCCGGTTTATCTCCATTCCGCTCACTATACGGCGGCGCCACAGCGTCGTCATCCTCCAAGGCATACGACGGCCGATATGGTGACATGGAGTCAACATCATGCCGCTATATTGCTATTGATGCCGTAGGCAGGTTCGAGAGCCTAGACATGGCTCTGTGGCGCATGACCCGTGGAAAGCGCCGAAGAGATATGCGTCTGGTTCTAGATGCCCGCCCATCCAGGAAAGGGGCCTCCGGGCTCCGACGAGATGTATATAAAGAGAGGTCAAAGATGAGTCTGCTATCTTGCTTCCTTCATCATCTTCCCAGCTGCTCTCTTCCTCGCTAAAGTCACCGCTCAAGTCTGACACAACCTGTCATACAACACCCGATTACTACCTTCAACTCGTACTTCTCTTCGCATCAGACACTAAGTAGACATGTCGTTCAAGGCCCTCGCCTTGGTGCTTTCCCTGGCCTCGGCTGTATCAGGACACGGCGCTGTCACCAGCTACACCATTGGCAGTACTATCTACCCAGGTTACGATGGGTTCGCTCCCGCAGCCAGCCCCAAGACTATTCAGTTCCCATGGCCCGACTACAATCCTACCCTGACCGTCACCGACGCCAAGATGCGGTGCAACGGCGGCACGACGGCGCAGCTTAGCGCCAGTGTTGCCGCGGGCGAGAATGTCACCGCCGTGTATAAGCAGTGGACGCACCAGCAAGGGCCCGTCATGGTGTGGATGTTCAAGTGCGCGGCCGACTTTGCCTCGTGCGACGGCGACGGCAAGGGGTGGTTCAAGATCGACCAGATGGGCCTGTTTGGCACTGCTCTTGACTCCAACGACTGGGGCACGGCCATAGTTGTCAAGAACCTCGAGTGGTCGTCCGTCGTCCCCAAGAGCCTAGCCCCGGGCAACTACCTCATACGGCACGAGCTGCTCGCTCTCCACCAGGCCAACACGCCCCAGTTCTACGCCGAGTGTGCTCAGCTCGTCGTGACCGGCAGCGGAACAGCGGCGCCGCCGACCGACTTTCTCTTCTCCATTCCCGGCTACGCTCCGCAGAGCGACCCCGGCATCACCGTGAGTTCCGAATACTATCTATTATCAGTGCCGAGGCTAATTCATGACAGATCGATATCTACTCGAGCAAAGCTACAACCTATACCTGCCCGGGTGGCCCGGTATGGTCTGGCTTCGCCGCGTAAGGGGTGTATGCTTGGGATAGGCCTAGCTACGGCCTTGTAGCCTTGAGGATTTCGGACGGATTTATGCATATTTTCAATAGAACACAATACCCATTTACCACTTTACCGTTGCATGGTATCTTGAGTTGCATTAATCTTGGGGAGACTTCAAGACGCTTCGTCTGCAGCATGTTCATTGACCGACAGTTTACTTCAACACTGCTGTCTTCCAAAGAAAAGAAAAGAAAAGAAATGCCCGACTAAAGTAAAGAATAGAAAGGCGTATTATCACTTCTCAATAATCGACATTGCACAACTCAAACTTGAAACAGCGACACTATTGAGTCCTCAACAAGTCAGGGAAGCAACCCAAACGTCCATCGTCCTGACCTTCTTAACGCCACCATTCGCCTCCGCCGCAGCAACCGTGGCATCCCTTGCCGACCTCAGCAAACTCTTCACCCTTTCATCACCAACCGCCTCCTCCACCTCGTCGACAAAGTCCTGCGCCGTCACTGTCGCCGTCTCCCAGAACCCATCCGACAGCGCCGCGTCCGGCACAACCACACTTTCACTCTCAACCGTCCACCCGGCGCCCGCCGCGACCGCCTTGATCCCCGCCGGGCTCACCACGGACTGAATATTCTCCGTGCTGTCGCCGCGGTGCGCCTCGAGCGTCGCGCGCGCCAGCGCCGCCAGCACGTGCGCGGCCGCCGCTGGCTCCGTGGCCCGGAGCGCGTACTCGGCGACGAGCACGCGCGCGACGCGCCCCCTGAGCGCCGACAGGATGCGCCCCAGCTCCGCTTCCCCCCCGTCGCGGAAGTACCACACGCAGTGCGCCAGCACCGCCACGTCCCACGTCTTCTCCGTGTCACTGAGAAAAGATACCGGATCCGCCCGGTGCCACGCGATGCGCCCGCCGACCGGCCCCGCCGACAGGTGCGCCTGCGCCTGCGCGAGCGTGAACGGCCGCCCGTAGTCCGGCGGCGCCGGGTCCGCCGCGTCGACGTGTCCGCCGGGCCCTACGGCTTCCGCCAGTGCCTGCGTGCATGTGCCCTGCCCGCACCCGAGTTCAAGGACGCGCGTGCCGGGCCCAAGTGTGGTGCTGCTGCTGCTGCCCCAGGCGTTAACCAAACGGATGCGGTGCGTGGCTTGGCTGAGCTCGATGCGCTGGCTCAGTTGGCTTGCGCCGGACGCCGGCTGGATCGCGTACGAGGCGATTTTGGATGCGGCGGAGAGGGGGAGGACAGGGACGGGGGCAAGGACGGGGGCAGGGACGGGGGCCTGGGTGTCTGTGGGGGATGGCATGGTTCTGTTTTATGTTTTTATTTTATTTTATCCTTCTCCTTGCACTATTAGATGTGTGTTGTTCAAGGATTTGTGATGAGTTCGTTTGTGGTGTTGTCCCTGAGTCACACCTTCGATACACATTTAAAAAAGGGGAAAAGTGTGTTGATGATCGGAACGAAATACTGGTATTTGGTTCTAATGTTCTCCGGAACTTTCACAGAAGGCGGTTCTTATGGGAGCTTCAATACCTTTCGTTTACTCATGTGAGTCACAACAGCGAGACTTGCATGTGTGAGATTGGAGAAAGCGATCGCCGTTTTCTGCAGACGGCTCGAGTTCACCACACTTCGGGCTTACTATCACTGCTCCTAGGCTAAAGTAACCACGGGGCAGTTGCATCGGAGTTAGCATTTAATGCTACCAAGAAAGTGAGTCACGGACCAGCCCCTATAGGCAGGTGCGTAGAAGTCGGTGCAAGTGCCCTTCCTGAGCTAGCACTTTTTCCGGGACGGGAACTCAACTCACTTCAGTACGACTCTGCTTACTCAACTAAAATCGAACCACGAGAGCAAATCAGCGAGCATCACTACAAAGCCAATTAAGCCAAGTAAGCCAATTGAAGCAAAATGTTTTCCATGATAGTCAACAGTCAATCGAGCCAGTGCGAATAAAAGAAAAATGGGTGTGAGATTAGTCATCAATTCACAAGCCCGCATGGCCCAGGGGTAGAGCTATTACTAGTAGAGACTTTCAACACTGTTTCATGATGAGGTCCTCAGTTCAAGTCTGAGTGTGGGCATCGGCGATCCGTTTTCTCTTGCACCTTTCCGCCTCTGTATGTGAAAGGTGTCAAATCTTTTTGTACCTCTTTTTTTGTTGTTGTTCCATCTTATTTCACTATGTTTCCTTGCTTCTTCTCATCCGCGCCGAGGAAAACCCCCAAACACGTCTATTTCTATTTACCCAGCGGGCGGGTCACCCACATCCACAGCACAACCGTCGCTATAACGCCACCGCGTACGAAACCCTCGATATCCCCTTGCTCCTCGAGATCTTCTTGACCGTGGCCTCACCGCACAGGTCGGTAGTGTCGACATGGGTGCCTCCGCAAGGGTAGGTCTCGGCACCGACAATGCGGACGACGCGGAACTTCTCGCCCGGCGCGGCGAGGCTCTTGTCGGGAATCAGGCGCTCAAGGCCGTTCTTAATAAAGTCGGCGTCGTCCCAGAACTCGATCTCGACGGGCATCGCGCGCGCGACGTACTCGTCGAGCCGCCGCTGAATGGGCTCCTTCCACTTGCCGTCGACCAGGCCCTTGAACTCGCACGACGCCGAGTCCGGGAAGTGACTCGCCTTGAGCTCGTCGAACCCCGCCACCTCGCCCTCCAGCAGGTGCCGCACCGCCGCCCCCAGCACGTGGCCCGCCGTGTGCAGCCGCGAGTAGTACACTCGTTTCTCGACGTCGATGGCCTGCTCCACCGCCGTACCCGCCGCAAACGCTTGCGGTGGTCCTCCGCTGGGTCCCGCGTCGAAGCGCCCGAAATGCAGCACCTGCCCGTCGTGCACGGCGTCCGTGCGCGCAGCGCTCACGCGGAAGATTGATGGTGTGGCTTCCTCGCCTGCGCTACTGGGGGGAGAGGAGATGGTGCCCTCGTCGGACGGCTGGCCGCCGCCCTGCGGGTGGAAGATGGTCTGCTCGGTGACAACGGCAAAGTCCTCGTCGGTGCCCTGCTTGAACAAGAGCCGGTTGGCCTCCTCGAGCGCCGCGAAGGGCTTGACGGCCGTCACGACAGTCTGCAGCTTGTACAGCTTGGCATTGTGGTGGAACGCGAGGAAGGTCCTCGCGGCAGTGATTCCCTGAATCCCGTGTCAGCCGACATTCTCATTGCATGGGTGGAGCAATTGATCTTGTAAAGTGACTTGCTCACCATTTTGTGAATTGCGTGTTGGGGTCTCGTAAAATATCAATAAAATAAAACACAAGCAGGTACTCTATCGCAAGATGGCAGTTTCACACAGAGAAAGGGTACAACTTGTTGGTTAATAAAGGAGACAGTAGCTTGGCGTTGTCGCGCCCTTGAGTTGACGTCGAATGCCCTGGAAGCCCGAGGATGAATGGGATGGACTGCCTGTGCCGTTCCAACGCTACGAGTAAAACGCAACGCAACGCTGTTATGTAATTCGTATGCGACCGATTATTTACAGAACTTTCAATACATAAATACAACTCAGACGACTTCTGCTGTCACGTCGCTCAGCAACACTCCTTCAAAACCCGGAATTTGGTGATGGAAATACAAAATGTGTATTGTATTTTCAGTATTTGAGGTGGTTAGTTACGTACCTGCGTATTACGTAGCTGACGACCTGCATCCAACCCCCAACCAACCCTGGAGCCCTTGCAAGTCGAATTGCGCCTTTTAGTAAGACGCGCAGAGAAGAGCGTGGCGTTGACAAGATCAATTGACATCCTATTTTTACCTGCACATCAACCAACATCAGATACCCGGGGCTGCGATCGCCCTCCGGCAGTGGCCTCCGACAGTAGGCACGGAATTTGTGGCCGGCGATCAACGGTGCGACTCGCATATGCGCAGGGCCGAAGAGCAACAAGTAACTCTACAGGTGATTTAATTAGTTGCTAAGAGAAAATCTTGACTACAGTACACAATTATCTGCCCCTTTCCCCTTTCCCCTTCCAATCCCGCTGCCCGACTCTAGACGAGCAGTTCTCCGCCGTCGGTCGCCGCGACCGACCCCGTAGCATTCTCGTCCTTCAGCAGCCAGAGGTAAGCCTCGGCGACGTCCTCGACCTTTGCGACCCTGCCGGTCAACACCTTGGCCTCCTGCTGGGCGACGACTGCGTCGCGGTGGGCGCCCCACAGGGCCGTGTCGACGGGGCCAGGCTGGACCGCATTGACCCGGATGGGCGCCAGGTCGACGGCCAGGGCCCTGGCGAGCGACGCCACCCCACTGGCGAAGTAGGCCACGACGCTCCAGCCCTTGGCCGGGCGCTCGGCCGCGCTGCCCGTGGTGATGACGATGCTCGACCGGTGCGAGCGCGCCAGGTGGCGCGCCGCCACCTTGGCCACCGCCACGGGCGCCACGAGCCGCATGTGCGCGGCCGCGGCGATTGCGGCCGGCGTCGTTGTGTCTAGCGGCCCTAGCGTCAGCGCGTCCGCCGCTGTGAACACCACGTGGTCGATGAGCCGGCCGCCCTGCGCCGCCTTGGCTGCCTGGAAGATCGACTCGAGCACGTCTTCGATCGTCACCGAGTTCGATAGGTCCCCGACGGCCCCGCGCACAGAGCTGCCTAGGTATGCCGCGGCCAGCGAGGCGACCACGCCGTCGACTCTGGCCTGGGACGAGGACGTGATGGTCGCGTGCGCGCCGGCCTCGAGCGAGGCCTCGGCTACTGCCGCGCCGATTCCCCCTGAGCCGCCGATGAAGAGGATGTGCCTGTCCTGGAGTTTGCGGTAGGTGCTTGGTGCCATGTTTGCCGGAGGTGAAAAGGGGGTATTTGTTTTGATCTCGTTTGGGGACTTTGCAGTGAGTATGTTGCTGGCTGGATGTGCTTGGCGGGTTGGGTTTGTTCATCTTCAACTGCCAGCGACGAGGAATCGTCTTTATACTTGTCTCGCTGCCTCTCTTACACCACAGTCGTTGACATGTTTCGGTGGAATGTGAAGCGATGGATATAAGCAGACCGTAAATCCGATGCTAAGCAAAGCAACACCTCAGTCCACCCTCCATCTGCGCGCATGTTACTAATCTCCGCTCACCAGTTTGATGCCTACCCTACTATTGCAATACCCAAATCCTCTCTCGCAGCTTATCTTTATGTATGGCAGACGTCATTCGGCATTCACTTAGTAACGATGCTGCTTTGACTTCAAAGTCGTTGATGTCAGCGATACCGGGCTCCTGGATTTCCCATGTAAATTCCAGGGAAAGAAAAAAGACCGGATCTGTTGATTTATTGAGACCCCGAGCCCGTTACCAATAACACCTCGGAAGCTGGCGTCCACTGTTGAAGTACAACAGACTTGCCTCGTCAACCGACTCTATGATGTTACTTCAGGTAATACATGGTTACACATGTAAACCAACGCTGAGGCTCTTGTATCTCCGGGCCCATTCAGCATCCACCAAAGCCGTGCATCACCGTAACATACTGATTCTAAGTACTGCCTGAAAAAGACCCGGTTAGTAAATAAAAGCCAATATTTTTGCGAAATGTTGCAAAGCAACTGGACGATGGAAAGATCCTGTTTTCGGCGATTCAGCGTCTTGTCGGCGATTGGCGGGCTATGTCCGGCCAGGGCGGCGCAATCAGTATCCCGTGTCTGAAATTGGTTGGGGCATTGGAAAGTTGGTCCGTTCTCCAGAAAAGCGTAAAACGGTAAGCCAGAGCAAAGAAAAAGAGAAGCCGGCAAGGCAGCCAAACTGGGTAGGCCATATCCAGCCGTGCGAGCAGGAAAAAAACCCAAAGATTGACAACCGATCTTGCAGATGAAACCGACATGAGCAACAGAAGGGGGCAGGTGTTGAGCGGCGGGGGCAAAAAAGGGGCGTCCAGGGTTAGGGTTTATGTCCCGTGCTGGCTCTCTTTGTAACACAGGAATAGAGGAAGTTACGATGGCCGCTCAGAAGCAAGTTTCGGAGGCGATCACAGGGGAAGACACCCACAGTTTGCATAGTCCGCGCCAAGTTGTGAGGCAGTACGCTGAAAAGGCGGCCAGTACTGTGGCCGTGGCTGCGCACTCCAAGCACCGACAGATAAATAGAATCGACCCGACAGACTTGCAAGACTTCCTCTCTGCACCACTCATCAGATCACTGAGCGCCGACGAGACAAGAAAAAGAGAGAGCATGACCGTGCCAGTCGCAGGAAAGGCGTACTTTGGCTATGGCAGCAATCTCTGGCGGGAGCAGATGGCCCTTCGCTGCCCTGCCTCGCCATTCGTCGGCGTAGGACGGCTGCGGGGTTATCGGTGGTAAGTCTTGACCCCATTCCTACTCAAGTCTAAAGCTGACCGACAATTCTCGAACCCAGGTTCATCAACAGGCGCGGCTACGCCAACATCAAGGAGACGGGTGTCGAAACGGACGAAGTGTGGGGTCTCGTGTACCAGCTCGTGCCGGCCGACGAGGCCCGCCTCGACAAGAACGAGGGCGTGCCCCACGCCTACCGCAAGCGCATGATCCCGGTCGAGTTTTCGGCCGCCAATCAGACGACCGCCGAGACGCTCACCACCTCCCGGGACATGCTAGTCTATATCGACTCTAAGAGAACGTCGGAAAACCACCGCCCCAAGGACGAGTACGTGCACCGCCTGAACAGTGGCATCGACGATGCGCTCTACGAAGGCGTGCCCCCAAGCTACGTCGACCACGTCCTGCGCAAGTACATCCCCACCGAGGAGGATGCCGAGGCCGGCCTGATGGGTTTTATGGAGGGACTGTCGGACTGAGGGATCGGGCGCGGCAACCAGCAAAACGAAGGAGGACGGGATTGTACGAAAAGCTGTACCAACAAGAGATATTTCCCAACCCAATACATAAAGCCCCTTCCTGTCAATTGCGCAAGCCAGCTGGATCTGCCATGACGGCTCGTGATTGATGTTTTTAGACCATAAGGTTGCGGAAGAGAGCCCGTTGATCTTTGGTAGGTTAGGTGCCCGCAAGCGAAAGGTAAACCGCCTTATGACCCCGCAGCACGACCCGGCCCCACTAATAAGTACGCCCCGTATTGACAATTGGAGGGGTCCCTTGTGCAGCGTAGTGCAGCAGCCTTCAACGTCTCGTGCTGGGATTGGATTGGGGCAAACAAGCTGCAGAAAAAAACTCTTCTTGAACGGAAACAAAGCACTCACGACAGCTGCATGAGACGAGCTGCTCTTCGGTCTTGCCACTAGCCCCGTGTATCGTCCGTCTTCCCGTCGGCCTACATAACCCAGACTGATTTGTCTGGAACCCCGCCGCGGCTTTTCCTCTGCCCCTCCCTCATCTTTCACCCCCTTTTGGTCCTCAATTCCTAGGAAATCGATACCGATCTTGTTGCATCTCCAATCTACAGGCAGCTCGAGACGGGCGCCATTCCTCTCCGGACCCTCCAAACCACCCAATCCGCACATGTTCGACTCGAGACTGAGCTCCCAGTACCCTTCTCAACTTCTCGGCACTGAGGTCAATGTGCCGAGCTGAACAGCAGTAACGTAACGGCAGGCGACTTTGAGTCTTTGCGCTTGCTCGGGGACGTAAGAAAGACTTACACCAGAGATATTTTGCATCTTCATATACCCTATATCCAAGGGATACATAATTTCACGTACATCATCCGTGATCCATTGTTGCTAGTTTGGGCCAAGGAAACTAGTAGTCGACTCAAGCCAGCAGCTCACCCGGTTCGTTCGGGTCCGGCACGCGCACGGTATATCAGATATTGCCAGTGGCGGCTATCCAGCGTCTGCCAGACCAAGAAATGGCTGCTCCTGCTGCCGAGACCGTCTTCTCCAAGGCGCATGACGACTACGGAACAGCCACCCCGCCCGAGCTGGCCGAGGTCAACGTCGGCAGCGACGACGGGGTCTCCGAGTCCGAAGCCGTGCAGGCCGGGCTAAGCCGGCTCGAGGCCAAGAACGTGCACTGGTACTCGTACCTGCTGACGGTGGACTTCTGGGTGCTGATCGCCATCGGCCAGGTGCTGTCGCTGTGCATCACGGGCACCAACACCTTCACCACCTTCCTGGCCAACCTGGGCACCAACATCCCGGCCTTCCAGACCCTCTTCAACTACGTGCTGCTGTCGCTGGTCTACGTGCCGCTGTCGTTGTACTGGCACGGCCCGCAAAAGTACCTCGCCGTCGTGTGGCGCGACGGCTGGAAGTACTTCATCCTCAGCTTCATCGACGTCGAGGGCAACTACTTCACCGTGCTGGCATACCGCTACACCAACATCCTGTCGGCGCAGCTGCTCAACTTCTGGAGCATCGTGTGCGTGGTGGCCATCTCGCTGGCGCTGCTACGCGTGCGCTATAAGCTGGCGCAGTACGCCGGCATCGTCATCTGCTGCGGCGGCATGGGCCTGCTGCTGGCCTCGGACCACATGACGGGCGTCAACGGCGGGCCCGGCGCCAATATGCTCAAGGGCGACCTGTTCGGCCTGCTGGGCGCGTCGCTTTACGGCGTCAGCAACGTCTTCGAAGAGTGGTTCGTAAGCAAGCGGCCCATGTACGAGGTGCTGTCGTTCCTCGGCGTCTTCGGCGTGCTCATCAACGGCGTGCAGGCCGCCATTTTCGACAGGGAGTCGTTCCAGACCGCCGTCTGGACCCCCGACGTCGGCGGGTACCTGGTGGGCTACACGCTCGCCTTGTTCATCTTCTACTCGCTCGCCCCGCTGATGCTGCGTATGGGCAGCGCCGCCTTTTTTGATATCAGCCTGTTGACGGCCAACTTCTGGGGCGTCATCATCGGCACCGGCGTCTTCGGGTACACGGTCCACTTCCTCTACCCCATCGCTTTTGTGCTCATCGTCGTCGGCCTCGTCGTCTACTTCCTAGCGGGAAGCGTCCTAGGTGACTCCAAGAAGCCCTGGCTCGGCGATAGCCAGGCCGATGGCGTCGCCGGCTTCGGCACCGCCAAGCTCAAGGCGCTGAACGTGGCCCGGAAGCAGAAACTGGCCGGCCAGGCGCAGGGGCAGGCTTGAGTTTGCGGTGCGGCCTGGGAAGTGTTGGCTTTCCTTGTGTTGCTGTGCTGAGGATGCTATAACAGGTGGAGGGTAGGGAACATTTATTTATATCCCCTGCTTTGTGGACTGGCGGGACAAATCTTCTTTTCTTTCGTGGTGTGGTGATGGCTGCGGTGGGAGTTTCATCGCACTGCGCTGCTGTCTCTTGTATAGAGATTATTTACCAAGTTGTGGACAGAGGTGAAAAGGGGCGGCGGTGGGAGCTTGGCTTAGTATAGCATAGTATGGTATGGCATCTTTTGCTTGCTTGCTATATACGGAATAATAGCTATCAACCCATATAATACAACAGTCTTTACTTCGCACCGATCTTAGTTTACATGCCTGAATCAGGCAAACCGTCCTAGTATCGTTAAGAGTAGGGTGTCTGAACTGGACTGGCCTCGTGCCGTGTGAGTTGCGCCCATATAGCTGCTTTTGTCTAGAGTGCCAGGCAGCAGGCGCGTGTTTTGTCTGCTGGTGTAGCGGCAGCACGTACCACCTGGCTGGCTGGAGCTGTCAGCAGGTATTTTGTTCTACGGTTGTTGGGGGATAAGGAGAGCAAATTGGCAGCAGATATATGGGGGGATAGATATCAGAGTGATACGCGACTCCATCTTTTGTAATGCCCTTTCTTTGTCCTCTCTTCTCTCTTCTCTTGTCGTAAGCATCTTTCGGAACGAAGACTCGGTATTTAATTCCCTGGATTGTCTACCCCTATTTCTCTGTGAGAGGTTGGATACATATCCACGTATTTCATATATCGTAGGGTGGCAAGGAGCTACGGATTTGATAAAAGATACTAGCCAATTTTCTACATTTGGTTGTGTGTCTATGACAAGAGGTGAGTGATCATTCCGCAACCCTTGAGACAGTTACCAAAGATAATGTTCAGCGTGTCTGGCGATAATTGGTAGACAAGAGTCGTAAAGTATGGTTATATGTGATTCGAGTTGGGTTTGTGTGAACCAGCGAATTGAGGCTACCTAGTTGTGGGATGCCTAATGAGAGGGACCAACTGGTACTGGCTTATTTGGCCTCTCGAAGTGTAACTACGACGGGAATAAATATTGGTATCTACACTACTGGTCTTCTCGGCCAGGCTAGACGCTCGGACATAACGAATAGGGCAAAGATAACTAGCCGGAATAAGAGACAGAAAATAAACTCAGACTCGAACCGGTCTGCGTGGCGGTGGGAATTTCCATTCTTTGTTATGACACAACTACTTGATGTCAGATGCGACAGCAGGGCATTGAGCTAGATCGCCATGTGGCATAGAAATGTTCTCTAGATTTAAAGGCTCTAGGCTGGGTATGGGTATGGGTATGGGTATGGGGCGCACAATAGAAGTCTTTGTGGTAAAAGTTTCGTGACTTGAATTGGAAGCATATTATTTTTCTGTTACTGTTTAATGGCCATGTTTCTCCTTTCCCACCAGCGGTTGAATAACAAGAGGATAAAGATGCCCACACTCCAGAGAGCCTGGCCGCGATTGTGCTTGCGGATGATTTCCAGGACCCGGGCACAAAGCCAATATGTCTCGCCGTGTTGACAACAAGGGGCGACAGGGTAGACAAAGAAAAGGGGCTACCCCAGGGAGGCAGGGGGCTGAGAAGCGGGCCGATCCGTGAGCCAAGACTATTCTTGTAAGCACCACATGCGCACAATGCACCCATCCGGCCCGGCCTCTGCTTTGTCGGTCCTAAGAAACAAACCGAGCAGCGAGTATACTGGCACTGGCCGTTCCCATCACATTCTGTCCCGATACAAGCTGGGAGAAGAGGCTGAGAGGGTACGAAGCTGACATGATGCCTAGCGTATACGCATGCGTTCCCGTGTTGTATTCGTACATACCAAACAGTCTGCTGTAATACGCATGCATCGGCTCGCTAAGGTGAGTGACACAAGGCGCAGCGTTTGGTGCGACCCTAGATTTCCTCCCTCTCTCCTTCCCCTAAGTGACAAGTCTCGTGCATGCTCAGCCCAAAAGAACACGGTATCACGACAGATCGAGACTGACTCACGGCAACCAACCCCCAAAAGGAACTAGCCGTTGGTCATGGCGGAGGGACTTTGACCTCGGGGACCAACCAGGAGGGATCTTCTAGGAGAAAAGTCGACCGCCGCCGTCCCCGGAGGTGGTGGGTGCTCGCGGGATTTGGAGCAAACTTGACCAAGATGTAGTGTGAAAAAACCGGCTTGATGGGAAGGGCGAGTGGGGAAACCAGCAATGAAGAAACGGTGGGCTGCATGTTCAGCAGCCTGGCTTTCAAGCTTCGCAGAGCCTTGTGGAGAAGCTGCTACAATGCCGACTTTTCCCATGCTTTTTCTCTTCTTTTTCTTTTTCTTTTTCTATTCTTTTTATTTTCCTCTTCTTTTTTCTCTCCCGACCTTGACCCCTTTTCATTATATTTTCCATTTTCACCTCTCTTGGGGTTGTGACAGGTCCTCAGCAGATGCCCAGGTAGTGCAGATACCCAGGTGGTTTGCTCCGGGGCGGGCAGACACTATTTTGGCACCGCCGCACCCGCGCCAGACGGCCATTGGCCAGCTCCGGGAAAAGAATTGTGCCAGAACCATGCAGGCTTCCCTAGTTGGTAGCCGAGACCGAGACATCTTCCATTCGCATACTTCTCTGGATGGCACCGAGATTCAGTGAGCAATAATACGGATTAGCCTATGCCACCCCCGCCCCGCCCCCGCACCGCCAGCCCGTGGCCTTGGCCTTCTAGAAGGCGGGGTGAAGCCTCGAGGTCGACAACATCTTCTGCGTGGGGGGTGGGCGAACAAGCAAGTAAATGTACTTGTACAGTACACGCTCTGTACGGCGATCTATCATCACCGTTGCCCGTTCGCCGTGTATCGTGCAGGGCGAACGAGAGGGGCATCGAGTACGGCAACTTGCTGTCGAGCGAGCCGGCCCATGAGTGGACGATAAAATGGAACTATTTGTGAGGATTGCTGCAGTCCGACGCAATCGCTCGTCTGTGGTTCTAGATTGTCAGATGCAGAGACTGCAGCAGGCATGCAACGTGCATGGACCCGGGACTTGTGTGATGAAAGCCAGCAGACAGCCAGACAGCCACAAGTTCGCCAGCACCCGAATTCGTCTAGAACAGAACCATCAAAGCGGAAGAGGAACAAAGGGACGGGACTTTGCATGTATGCGTGTTTGTCCTTACAATATAATGCATGGGAAGGAGCGCTCCGTACTGGCGATTCAAGGAACCGTCAGTCATGATATGTGGCGGTATATGTTCAACAACTTATTGTTGGATTCGGGAGAAAGGAATCATGACATAATTGGTGAACGACCCACAACTGCGGTGAGTGCCGAAGACTTGCAATTGCAATCGAGTCCCGAGGCAGCCGTGGATGCCGGCTGACGCCCAGCATTGTGATTCGGCGGGTTGAGAGGAAGTACAAGAAGCCCGGGGCACACCACCACCATAGACGGAGGCTCGCGCGCGTAGCCAATTTAACAAACATGGCTGTTACCCACGCCGTCCTGGTGGTGGCTACCGTACTTGCGTCGAGCGACTCTAGCGCTGCAGCGAGCACAATGAAACAAGGCCAGTCTCACAGAGTGCGCTGGCTTGCGACACTAATAACATGAATCGGTATGTCTGGTGTACGGTGTCTGGTGTCTGCTATCCAGGTTGGGCGTCCCGTGAGCGTCGTACTGTACGGGCTGGCCACAAATGTGACAAAATGACTTGGGATTCGAAATGGTGTTACGCCAGTGAAGAAGTCGAAGCTTATTCCGTATTGCAGCTTTAGAAGGTGGTACCGGTCGGTCGGCCTTCTGGAATTTCGGCTTTAGGGTTCACCGTAACCCTCGACTTGGGAAGTCACTTTTAACGCCGCCTAGGAGCGCCTGCCGGGAAAATCGTGCTTTCAATTAGGCACCGAGAGAGCCTTCCTTGTAACATCAGAAACAAAATCCTATTCAGCATGAACGATTCAGCCGTGGCTAGCGATGCTCGCCTGGAGGTGCTAGTCTGCAAGGTCAACCGTCGATCAAGATATTGATGGCATAACTGCGGCGCAAATTGGCCTTAGTCTTCGGAAGCGTCCGCATCTCTAAACTTCAGACGAACGAGCGCCTTGAACCGCCAGTAACGCAAGGATAGGTTTCCCGGTCGAGGGTGTTTGTGACCCTGGGCGTTTAGCGGAATTGTTCCAGCGGGGTTTCAAGCGGCTCGGAGTCGCGACAGGGTCTTGACCTACCTGCCTGGCGATTTCGGAATCTATGGGTAATTGATAAGCCGAGCTCGCTTGCAACTCGACGACAACACTCCAAAGTGCTCCAGACGGAGACACGGACGGGCTGAGCGGCAGAGATCTACAACAAACTCGGAGAGCCTGCTGCCATTCCCCGATAGCTACCAGACGCCTTGTGAGGTCTGAAGTGGAAGGCTAAATAGCGAGGGTGGATAATAGAGCACTGCGAAGCTTAAGGTACGGCCGCACCATCTCCAATAGAAGCTTTTCAAGAGCAACGCTCAGGTGAGGTGAAACAAGACACAACGGCACGGAGCTCGTATCATCTGCCCACACGGAGCTGAGATCAAGCAAGCGGGTCCGATTCATGACTGCCGGATCTCTTGTTTCGGCGCTGGTCGTAAATCGGCACCGATGCTCCGGAGCTGGGTCGACGTGATGTGAGGCGACGCGGTCGCAGTGACGCATGAACTAGCACCAGAAGCAACAGGGCACTAGTCCAACCCGCTAGGTCTACTGCGTAAGGTTGTTTCTCGCCTCAAAGTCGATGCCAGGCCAAGTACCAAAGGTAATGACATAATTTTAGCGCAGCTTCCCAGCTCGCCCGCCAATACCCCTATTTGACTTGAGCTTGCTGCTCTTGACGCCCGTGCTCACAGAAACACGACCTGTTTGGGGATCACCCCACACTACAGACCTTAACTGTACGGATACGGGTACCGTACATACGTACAATACACTAATGAGAGAGCGTGCAGCAAAAAAGGTGGACAAGGAGAGAGACCCTAGCGTGAGAGAGTGGAGAAGGTCATCTCGCCATCGACAATGGGGCTGCCGCGGGAATTTGCTCGATTAGACTTCACTAAATAATCCAAAGTTTCTCGAGTTGCGACTTTTATATTTCCTTGTTGGCTATCAAACGCAAGACAGACGACATATCTAGAAGTTGATATTTTGTTTAGGGAACCACCAAGATACTTGTCCTGCTCGTTCATTGTTTTGGTTAACGCAGATAATCAGGACCAGCTTGAGCTCGAGTTTCTTCCGCTTTGTAAGGTATGTCAACTTCCAAGTTAAAACTTGGGTAGCTCCTACCTTCAGGTTGTCATGGTAAGATTCAACAGGACAACCGGTATTCCTAAATACGAAGGCGTTTCCGGCTTGAGTTGCTTTTTATTTCTCTTCCTTCTTAGCCTCTCTCACTTTAAATGCGACCACTTGGTACACAGACAAAAATCTTGAGAATGCCAATCACAAGTCGGGGTGCTCATCTCTCTTCCCCTATTTGCGGTGCCGCCTTCCATTTCCAATCACTACTAACGAATGCAAGCTCGCAAGGTACCATGTACCCACTCTGCAAGGCATCGGCCCACTTCGGCCTAGGTTTCTTCAAGGAATATCCGTCGATGGCAGATGGGAGGAAGCTGTTGCGTAACCTAACGATGCGCTCCAGGCTTGCCATGTTTTCCATTGCAATTTTACTCCGTAATAGGCTGGCGATAACTCGTCGGTAAATGGTAGCCCGTACGGCCGCCATCCCCTGGACCCGGTCCGCGCAACGACAGACGCGAGCGCTGCACTGAGAATGTGCATTGGCTGCCCTGATACCACGCCTGATGAATTCGCGCCGTAGCCCCGACGCACCTGTCATCACGAGGGACCGTGCCGGCAGATCTCTGACCCGAGCGGTCCCGGCTCATATTCCTGATGCTGGCTAACAAGTTTACCTGTCCGTCATATCCGTCGCTGGGACGATGCGTGGAGATGCTGGAGGCAAATAAATGCCCTCCCTCCTCAGCCCAGCCCAGTCAAGACCCCGGTGGGGAGCTTTGGAGACACGGCCGACGCCATCGACAGCATCTCCACGCTCCCCCACCCAGGCGATACACGGCGATTTGCACATGATCCGTGGGTAGGCCCCCTTTGTGTTTTATTAATTTAGTTTTGGTCATGATAGTATGGAATGGTGAAATGCGAGTAGTAGACGAAAGTCCCCGGGTTTTGCCCGTCTCGCCGCAAGCGATAAGCGCCCGTGACTGGCTGTCACCAGAAGTCCAGGACACAAAAATGTGATGATGAAAGCCATCCGGCCGTGGATGCCCTTACTGCTACATGGCCTCAAATTTACCTACGACTATAGGTGTCCTTGGCCTCGCTGGTTGGACATCTCCGTGCCCGTTACCAGTCCCTTTCTCACCCCCTTCGAGGGGGGTGCATTGGATGCATCGATGGAAAGGCATACCGCGAGAGGACATTCTCCTGTAGGCCACTGCGACTCGAGAACGACATGACTCTGCCTGTTATTCCATACATCTATTTCTATTAGCAACCCGCCTTGAATCGGGTCACAATTCCATTGTTCCATTGCTTAGGGTGCTTTTGGCCTTGGTCCTGTTGCAGGGCCTGTGCAGTGGTCGCCCGCTGCCGCTCCCGCATCCCACGAACCCAAAAGGGGCATCGCACCCTTTCCGTAAGAGGCACCACCACGTCAGGCAGATCAACCCATCCCCGTCCTTTTCGTCGGACCTAAGAGTGACCATCTCCCCGGTCCTTTCCTTGGACGCAACCCTCCGCCCCCTACCTGCGACTAAAAACGCATGCGCGTCAAAAGTGCGTCTGGGACCATCTCCTTCATTTTCTTCACTCTCGTCCCTGTTGCCGAATTGCTCGTCTCGTGCGCTCCTGCCAATCCACGCCGACGTAGACTGGATTGAACTCCTTCGAGTTTGTCAGAAGGGCCAGGCTTGACTTTCCTAGGTAAGTCAGTTGAGTTTGAGCGTGCACGAGTGGAGTGGAGACTTTTTTTTGGCGGAGAAGGGACCGCGCGCGCAAAGTCGGGCAGTCAGACAGTGCCAGGGAAATATTTTTTTTTCTCTGCCCGCTGGTGCGCCACCGCGCCAAAACCTCGTTTCGCGCCTCACCCGCCTACCCACAGCTCCTTCCAGCTCCCAGCTTCTAGAAAGCTTTGCACTCGGCCCAGTCGGCCAGCACAGCACAGCACAGCCCGGTGCATTTCCTCTTCCCTAAACCTAGGAGTGAATCGTCCCTGACGCACGTCACGCCATCTTCTCGCACCGAAAACGCGTGCGTTCACGGATGCTGACCCAGACTGCGCAGTAGAGCCACCTTCGAGCCGGAACCCGCCACGAGCCTTTTCCCATCCAGCACGCCGCCGACATACTCGTCGCTGCGGCATTCCGGTCTCCACACGCTACCCGTGACACCATGGCGACATACTACGAGCCTCCGCAGTGGTCCCCTGCTGGCCAGACCGGCTGGGAGCATCAGACACCCCCTCCGGCTCGCTCTGGTTTGTAACCCCCATCCCGTCCTGTCCCCCCCAGCTCTCCTTTCCCGTTGCCGCAACCCAAATGCCTCCCGCAGCTAACCGTCACGTCTCCTTCAGGTGCCAATTCTGCCATCCCCCGTGAAGAGTCGGCAGCTTTTGGCCACCAGCTCGAGGGTATGTAATCATGTCTACTCGCAGCTAGCTGCCAACGCGCCGACAGGGCGCTAGGATGAATTCCTTTCCCGTCCCTTATCCGATGGCGGGCCTCGAGACCGGATGGCGCTGCCGACCCGGGTATGCCGATACCCAGCGAGCACTTGCTGACTAATGTGCTCTGCAGAGGTCGACCGGGCCATTGACAACCTCTTCAAGAGCGGCAAAATGTTTGGAGGAGGATCTGGAGGCCGACGTGAGTCGCTGCCCAAGCCCGGCCCCGCCAGGAAGTACCCAGACTTCGGTAAGCGTGACTGGGACTGGCAGGGCCGTCGCTGACGAGCTCGACTAAGTCGCTAACCTCGAGCTATAGACGGGCGCATGGTAGGCGGCCCTGGCCCTCGCCCCCATTCCGCGACCGACTTTGGTGACGCCCGCGGCCCTCACCCGTCGTCGAACCTCCAGAACTTCTATGCCGCTCAGCGCCACCAGTCCTCGCGCGGCTCCAACGAGGCGGAGCAGATGATGCAGGCCAAGAGGAGAATGGCGGCCCAGCGGGAGCGAGAGCTTCGGAATTACCATCAAGAGCAGCAATATAATCGAAGTAGGCCGCCCTCTTCTGTATAGCATCAGTCATCCTACCACAGGCAAACGAGAAACAAGCAAAGAAAAAAATCATAAAAAGAAGCATGCAGAGCCCCCAGGGGTCACAATTACTCCTGTTCCATATTAGTTGCACCACAAGTGCGGTTCGACGCCACAGTCCTGTGTTTTCTTGGAGGACATCCTTTGTACAGATAGGCAGATCGACATATCGAGCGAATTGTGGCTTGTTGCTTGTCTCGGTCCTCATCTCCTTATACTTGGTTGCCTGACTGCCATGGAGAGAAATATGGGCTAACATTTGCACGATGTTGCAGCCGTCCTAGCTGAACTGGCGACGCCGTACAGCAACCCAAAGTCGGACCGGTCTTTGAGCCCTGGTAACATATCCGAGGAAGACCGCCGCAAGCTCATTTCCCAGCAGCAGAGCGCATTATACGGCGAGGGCTCGTTTTCCAAGACTGGTGGCTACGTCGACGAGACCGGAGCTCCACGGCAGGCCCCGGCTGGTGGCCCGCCGAACGGGCCGGCCGCCCTGCGTGGCTCCTACGAATATGCGGCCCACTCCGAAGCCTCTCCCCAAACCCCAGTCGAGGCCGCCCAGGGTTCTCAGTCTGCGGGGCAGAATGAGCGCTCTCGTGCTAACAGCAACTCGAGCCCTCAATCGAACCCGTCTGGCAGCAAGGGCGCTTTTGACATCCCCGTCGCGCACCAGTCGAGCCGCACCAGCGCCTCGTCGCCGGGCGGGTCTCCCCCGCGTCAGAGTGCCCCGGGCACCAAGCCCGGCCAGGGCTCGGTCGCTCCCATTGGCACACGGCCCTCCGTGTCCAGTGCGCCGCCGAATCCCGCTCTGAGCAAGCGGTCCACCACGCCTCTGCCCTCGCCCCTGAGCCAGGGCTACACGCCTCTGGGTAACGAAGAGGGCGGCGCCGCTCCGTCGAACCCGTCGGCTGCGACGGACGGCCCCAATATGGGTCTTTCCGGCTGGGGCCCTCGGCCCACCGGCTGGGGTGGCAAATCTGGCCTCGGCGTCCAGGCGAGCGTCTGGGGCTAATGTGTCCACATCAGGCTCGGCGCGATGATTTGAGCGCAGCATAGGCGTTTTGCACTACCGTTGCAGGCGGTAGCCTCTGCGGACTTGGATTCGGAGGGTTTTGCTGGGCATTTGACAGGAATAGCTAACATGGTCGACGGCGCAAGTGTTTTCGAGAGCAAACTTGTTTTTAGTTTGTTTCCGGGAATGAGCATGCATGCTTGGGAAGTCGGGGCGCATTTGAAGTCTTTGCTTGGCTGTGCTTTGGGCACGGAAAAACTGAAAGGGAGAGCGCCCTCTAGGCTTTTTGGGTTTTGTTTTTTTTTTGCATTTGGGGTGTTTCAAAGGTCATGTGTCTTGGGTTGTTTCCACGGATTCGCGTCATCCGGTGGGCTTGGGCGGGCGGCCATTTCTGGGCAGAGGATTTCGGTCCGCTCCAGGGCGAGAGAGCGAGTGTCAGGTTCTGGTGGTTGCTGATTGTCAGAAGCTAACTGCAAGGCTTGTCACTTTTGTTGGTCATGGTGTTGGCGAGCACGCATTTTGTTCCGAAAAGGCGAATGGTCGGGGCAGGCAGGAGTACAGAAGAAACGATTTTGGTGTTCAATGGAACAGGTTAGGTAGTTTTGTTCTCTTTTATTTCTGCGGGCGTGTTTGGTGGGGATCTTGACGTTTCTTTTCATGTTTTAGGCTTTCACAGAGGTAGGTAGGTAGTACAACGTGGCGGCGGCGGGTGGGATCTTTTTGGTATAGGCACAAGGGCGGAGACGAGAGAGAGAGAGAGGCACTATGCACTTATTTTTACCCCCCTAATTTTATCCTCTTTTCTCAACCCCTGCGCTGATTGGAGGCTGCCCTCCGCTGGATACTTGGCGCAAGTACTTGAGTCTATTGACTTGCTCTGGGACTCCGTACGTCCCCCTTTCTCTCACTGGTGCTGCAGACTCCGGGGACCAGAGGGCAGTGGTCGGTACTACGCTTAGTCGGCTAACAGAACTACTATTTACATGTCTCAACTCTGGTGAGGCCATCCATCTCCAACCCCCCTTTCCAAGACAGGGTGTTGCAACACATTTGTCAGGGACTTGATAAAGACATCGTCGTGTATGGAGTATCCAGAACGGTGCTCGATGTCGAACACCCACGATCTCGGGCCGACACGCACAGATCTAGATGTCTCGTCAGCGAGTAAAAATCCAGTCGCGAAAGATGAATCAGGTAGTGAACGGTCTTCTCGAATGGCTGACAGCTCGTTTAATCTACAGTTGCAAGTCTTTCCAAGGTTTAAAATTATACTATCCGAGCCGAACTCAACCAACCTGTTTCGTCTCGGCCCCAAGGTCAAACCAAGCACTGTGGGTTCCATTCACACCCAGGCTCTCAAGAGCCCTTGAGAGTATGGCCTGAACAAAAGCCAACCATAGCCAGGCTATCTCAGCCTCGCCGGATGGCTATCTGCCCTCTGACCAAAATAGACCAAAACTAGACCGTTTATCCACTAACCGGCTGTTGTACATACAATAACTACTACTCCCGTGTGCTCCCAGTTGCAGCAGCAGCCTCAACGGCCCATTTTTAGACAAGGCGAAACAAGTATGCTGCAATTACTCATAGCTCCGCAGGTCTTAGAATAGTACCTCCGGTCTCTTGACTGAGAGGTCTCTACGGTAATAAATACTCCCTTCCTTCCTGCTACTCTCCGTATTAAATTTTTCGTCCGCTTCTCACTAATTCGACTCCTAATTCCACCCTCAACTCCCCCACTCAAAATTAATACAACAGCAAGTACTCGAGACACGGCGAACGGCAAACGGTAAAATAACCCGGGAACGAATAAATAGTAGTGTATAGAAATATTACTAGCGCCGCTCTCTCGGAGCACCATGGGCTGGCGATGCCTAAAACTCGGGACACGTTTGGAATATTACAGTAGGTGTGTTATGGCTGTCGCTTTTGACCCTCCATCGGCGCACGCCCAACCACTAGAATCCCGCTTTGCCCAGTGCTAAAGGGAGAAGCACTTCTTCTTTTCGGCTTAGGAGAGGCTTATCGCGGAGTTATTCGCTGTAGGTCTTACGGACAACGGGCTTTGGTAAACAAAGTGGGTCGGATAAGGGGGCCAGCCACTGTGTGCGGGAAGATCTGAGAAGATATACGCACTGGCCGGGTAGCCCCTTTCTTTTGGCCTGGGCCTCCGTACCGCAACACAAAACCACTGCAAGGGCCGTTGCGTGAACCGCAAACACACGATGCCGGGTATCTCACAAATGGAAAAGAAGACTCACCATTAATTACTTGACGTAAATAAGAATCGATTGATGTGTAAAAGGGTCGCCGTCATACGAAATTCTCTCGGCAAATTGTAGAGGTAACCTGTTCCAAAAAGAAAGAAAACGGTAAATAGATATACTTGGCAGTCAAGTTGTGTCCAATGCCACCGCGGCCCTCCCGCCGTCTTTAGGATAGTTCAGACGGAAGCACAAACCGGCCTGTCTCAAAACTGAGCCTGGACCGCCTCGCCATCGCATATTAGCACTTTGTACAAGCCGCGGCACAGGCCGTGGCACAGCCCTTGGCACAGGGCTTCGAGCACACCACCAGAACAGTAGCATATACACTGTACGTCCGAATCCCCGGAATGGTGCAAAAGGCTGTTCGTTTACTTGCCTGTGTGGTACAGTACTCGTCGGCTATCTGGGCGTGTGGGGGATAGGCCGCGGCTTGCAAGACCTGGCTGCTTCGGCTGCTCGCGGGCAGTCCAGAACGAGGGTTGTTAGATGTCGACAACTCCGCCCGGACCTGAGACAGGCCGTTTGTGGGGCTTGTTTTTATATCGTTGCTTGAAACCTGGTTGGCCTCTGGAGTTTGGTAGGTATATAGCTGGAGCACCTTATTATTGCATACGCCAAGTTCTTTGCTCTCATTTTCCTAATAGTTATACTAATCCCCGAACCTACCGTCTTTCTCTCTCTTCATTCCCTATTGATAACTTGGCATAACGGCCACGGGCACTGGCTCGCTGTCAAAATGTCAAAGATGGCAGACCTAAGCCCACTGTGGATGGTGGGACCAGCGCGCCTTCGAGTACACATGGCAGATGGCCAGTTCATATGGGAGAAAGTGAGGAAGCCCGCGGCCGATATGAGGGAAGCAGAAGAGGCAAGAATGAGATTGAGGCAGTCCGAAGTAGCGAAAAATCTTCAAAGACGAGATGATGAGGTCGATGCCGCACAGAGGCTCCAGAATCTCACCCTCAACCAACATGGAGAGGCAGGTCCATCGGAAAGACGTCCTTCTTCAAGACAAGTCCGGCAAGACCCAGGCCCTAGCCTTGCCCCCAACAGACAAGCGAGCGGTGGCCGGCCGGTGGATTACGGGTCCTCACCCCAACAGCCCACTACGTTTACGCCCCCGGCTCTCAAATCCAGGACCACAAAAAATGCAGCAAACACTTCGACCATGCAGGGCGCGAGGCTTCAGGCAGTACTAAGAAGTCGCCCCGCACCCCGAGATCGCCCCGGGAGAAGACACAGGCCAAACCCGCCGGAAATCATTCATCGACGTCGAGGAGGTCGGTTCTGGCCCCTACCGTGCTCCCTCGAGGAATAGTAACACCGTCCGGGAGCTCGCCTCGAACCTTCCGAAGGTCGACCCAGACGTGATGCAGGTAATTCACGAGTACAAAGATATAAACGGCGTTGACCCACGTCGTTTAAAGCACATAAACAAGTTCCTAGAGGAAACCGGCATTAACATACCAAAGCTAAGGGCTGAGAGACTAAGGGCTGCGAGACTAAGGGCTGCGAAAAAGGGTTCTGCGCCCCCAGAGCCGATTTTAGAGGCCGAAAGCGAAGTACGCAAGAGGTAGGTAATGCTTTTTAAAATTGAGCTAGGGCCTACAAGGATAGCAAAAAAATAAGCGGCATGCGCGCGTGTGGTTTTTAAGAGGGAGAAAGGGAAAGAGGGAAAAAGGAAAAGAGGGAGGGGGAGGGAGAGAGGGAGAGAGTTGAGCAGGCGGAGTTTAATCTCTCTCGGGGATCCATCCAACTTGTCCTTTTATTGATTGCCCTACTAGCCGGGGCCGCCTGTCATTACAGACATCAGGTTGAGTCGTCTTTCTCTTTGATAGAGAAACAAACCCAAAAAGGATGAAATCGCGTTGCCTGCCTAGGTACCCTGGTACCGTATCTTTGTTCGCTTTTGCCATGCTACCATATCATGCTAAATGAAGTGACCCAAAGTGAAGTGCTTGATTATTCTGTTTTCTGATTTGGCACTCGGCCTGTCACTCATGCATTTAAGTCTGGGGAGAGAGAGAATTAAATTTGGTGCCAACTACATTTGATGAACGAGGTGAAATAGACCACCAAAACGTGTTGAAATGGAAGAGCAGAGAGCATTTGACTCTTATTGTTGCGTCTTGAAACAGCAGGATCGTCATCGTGCTGACGGGACTGAATACTAAATCTAGCCTAGGTTGGCGCCCCCCACAATCCCATGGCTCCGCGCCGCCGGGCCGGGCCGGTATGGCGGGGTGGGACCCCGGGCGGCGCGGCTAGCCCCATTTTTACCCTGATTCGTACATAAATAGCGGCCGTTTCTTCGGCTGGCCGGCCGGCCAGCCGGCTGATCTCGAGCATAGCCTCGGATGAAGGACAGGAAATGCCTGAAAAGGAATCTAGTCAATACACCTCCTCATGCAGCTACAGACTTCCCGGCCCTGTTTCACTCGGCACCAAACTGCTCTTTGTTGGTTTCAACTGCTGATGCCGCCAAGGTAAGTACTATGGCTCGCCCATCAATATAAATACTCAAGGAACAAAAGAACAGAACGGCCACATCAGCTGGCAAATATCTCCTTCTTCGCTACTTTCCGTGTCAAATTTCTCTTCATTTTCTCCGTGGTCAAACTGCGAACCTAGAGCCCCAGCACTATCCTCAACTCCCTCACCCATTCTACTACTCGATACAGCACAGATACTTGATACAACAGCAGGTACTAGTGGCGTGCCTCGTCCGCTCTCTACCTTCACCCATCGGTACATCAACAATAGCGCAAGACCGTAGATGAATATATAAGAAGTAAACCCATATTTAGCAGTGAGGAGCTTCCGCGTCTCCCCATGCGGAATACCAACCCGCTGCCTCGGGAGCCAAGGCCGATTAAAGATAAAACATATAGGGACGAATCCTCAGAGACAACGGCAAACACTGATCTACAAGGCCAAAGATACGGAACCGCCCAGCTCCGCTTCCAACAAGACCGGTAAGCCCAAGGACACCGACAATCAACGCGCGTTGGTGATGCCTGGCAGCAGCACTGCACGGGCGAGTGACGGCGTCACAAGTATTGCCACGGCCCGCTATCCTCGGTTTCTGCTTCCGCCGCCGCCGCCGCCGCCGCCGCCTGGTAGAGCCAGAGGGGCTGCGGGTGAGGCTCCGGGCGACACATCATGGTACCTGGCCGACGCGGAATCGGAAGCAGAAAACGAAAGGCATCGCGCCTGATAACTAGCGGCGGTGACGGCCGTTGGTGAAGGTGTTGAGGAGTGGGAACTACCTATATGGGAATTTAGCTGCTGGACGGTTAAAGGGGCTGGTAAGCAACGATGTCCCAACCTAGTTTAGAGAACGTACATAGCCATCCTGTTCAACAATTATAGGTAGTACTAAGTTCATCCTAAAACAAGCCCATTTGCTCCGAGCCCAAGATGATGCTCGGCGCAGAAGGTATGTATCCGTACAGTGGGTCAATCCATACCTTATATATCACCGCGCTTCTGGCTGGATGGATTCCGACTCGGGATGATTTATTTATCCGCCGACTTGGGGGCCCGGACTTTGGTCGCGGCGTCCGGCTTCGGACGACTTCAGACGATTCGGGACAATTTCACCGTGGGCCGGCGCGAACCCTTCTGTCTTGAAACCGAAGGTACGCGGACCCTACGACAACTCTTAGCCGGCCCCTCGGGCGGGCGGGGGTTACGCGGAACTTGGGTGTCCGTCCGATGTATTCCGCGGACTTTTTCTTCATGACAGAACCTAAACCCCTAAAAGACAAAAAAGACAAAAACAAACGGCACAGATCTGACGAAATGCAAACACAGGCGGATCGAAAAGAGCTGGTTCTACCTCGTTTGGTGCCAAAAAAAAAAAAAAAAAAAACCGAAGGAAATATCCAATCCAAGAATCTCCGGGTGCAGAAAGGTGCTGGACCTCATTTAAGGTGGGAACAATCCACGACACTGGGGCTCTTGGCCGAGTTCCGGAGCCGGGGCCGGTTGGGCTGTGGCGCTTCCGCCGGCCTCGGATGGCGCGCAAAAAAAAAAAAAAGCTTGAATGACCGAGTTGGGATGAATTCGAGTTTGTCCACGGCTATCCACGGCTACAGCGACCAGCCCGGCCGGCCTCCTGTCGCACAATTCAAGACAATTCACCCCGCGGGCTGTTGGTTATGGCCGGTATCGAGACTGAGGTGCAGAACGTACTATTTACCTTCAATGCAGAAGTCCCTCCAACTTGTTGAAACCCATTTTTTTTCCGGGCTGGAGTTAGGGCGCTAATAAAAGTCACCTTCGGCTAAGCTACACAGACCGGCTAGGTGGGCAGTCGGGCGGGCAAGGCTGGTCTAGCTAACAGACTACTTGTGGTGGGTTTGACGTCGGGAGGTGTACCACGATATATAACAAGGCCATCTTCAGGCCTCTTTGGTATTGGGCGTCGGTTTCCTGGGTTTATGGGTCTCCTCTCTCCCCTGCCCTAGCCTTGTCTCTGCCAAGCCATGGCCTCGTCTATGAGTACACCGCCGTAGGGTGTGTGTACGAGAGAGAGCAAGAGGGAGAGAGGGAGATAGAGGAGGGAGATAGAAACCTAGGGTGATTAACCGGCTTGGGTAGGAAACACAATGTAACCAGAGCAGCAGGTAAAGCCTCCAAAGATCCCGCTAGAATTTGGGCACTGCAATCCGGTCCCAAAATGACGGCTCTGTTGGAATTTTCAGGGCCGAGGGTCGGCGCAGAGCAGACGGCGGCGATATTATTGCGAGGGACCTTTAGGGTTCAGGAATCGAACAAGCCCGATTTGGCCGGACTGGGCAGGTGGTCGGTCGTCTCAAATTCTAACCTAAGAGTTGCGGTCTACCTATGTGGCCCTGGCAAATAGTGACAACGCACAGCAGAGGGGAGCCGATTATAGGGGCCATCGTCTCATGTCTGGGCCGGTATAGCGCGTTTGTGAGTTCAGGGATCGGGCATTCGCATCCAGAGCCTGCCCTCTGGTTGTCTCGCGGGTGAAGGCTGATAAAGTCACCATGTTCGTAAACCAACAAAGTCAGACAGGGCGGCATTCTACAATGCCAGGCAAGTAGGTAGTGTATTTTAATTCAAGTGAAATGGCGTATATGCCTAATGGCGGTGAGCTTCAATATGAACAATGTGAAAAGGGACCCGCGGAGTTAGCTTCCCAAGGCCCGGTTGGGTGCCTGGCCTGGCTAGTTGAACGGACTACTTAGCACCCGGAAATTATCACTTGCTGTTGCTTCCTTGTCGGCAAGGCAGTTCACGGACACATGCTGGCAATGAAACCGGGAGGTGTCACGTCCTTCAGGCCCGATGAGCGGATTCCATGTTCCTGTTGTGCCAGCTGTCTGCTCTTTCTGAATCCGAAATATGGGATGCATCCGGGTCTAAAGTAAGCGAAACTACTTTGGATAATTTACGAGAGAAGAATAGGAAGTTCCAGGATGCCGAATTTACCGAATTCTTAAGGGGCGACAAAGAACTCAGGGATTGGCCAGACTTGGAAGTGGCAGAAGAAAAGAGGGCGGAGGCGGCGGAGAAGGAACGCAGGCGTCACGAGACCCTCGAGAAGAGCCGCGGGACCGGTATATGGCGGAGGGATGACGACGTTTCAAGTATCAACTCGAGGGAATACGACAATCCCGTGGTTCGACGACAAGAGCGTAAGGAATTTATATCAGAGGGTCTTCCTACGCCCAAGCCCACATCTTATTCAAGTCAACCCATTTTTCCGGGAGGGTTTCCTGGAGCAGAAAGGGGCCATGGAATCCGTTTAATGGGAACGACTCCACAAAATTCGAACGCGCGTACCAATATATAGTAAACCCCGCCAATGAGATGCGAAGTGGCCGAAAGGGTTATAATCCTCAAATAGGTAAAGAGGCAACACGCCTCTTTAGTTACGAAGGGCCGTATTATGGAGGCGAAGTGCTCATGGCGCTGTAGAAAGAAAGTCACTTGGAAGAGTTAAATTTTGAATCAGCCACAAATCAAGCGCGATCGGACTTAAACAACGCCTTGCATGGTCCTGATCCCTCCCTGCCAATCGATCGCCACGCCTCTTCGGGGCGCTCTTCCAGTTCAGGGTCCAGTTTAGTGAGCTCTTCCAGTTCAGGGGCCAGTTCAGTGGGCTCTTCTAGTTTAGGGGGAAACGGAGATCGCTCTTTGCACAGGCGCCCACCAGGAGCCTTGGAATTCTTTCGTGTTGGACTAGAAACCTCGTCTCAAGCCCCTACTAGACGCTACTGACCGAGAACGGTCAACACCTGTGCGCCGAACACGGTAGACAGCACTAGTTCTAGACTGGCCGGAAGACAGATTACTGGCCGAGAAGGCCTAGCTTTCCGACAACGAACAACAAGGACGAGGCGAAGTGGCTTGCCAGTTTCGATGACGGGCAGAAATATGGACGGCCTGGACCAAAATTTGGACATAAGAAACCATCAAGATGTGGCCAGTAGTGATCTTAGTCTCCGCAGGCGGGCGGATAAGGATCAGATGGGAGAAGAGGTCTTTACTGTTTCTGTCATCTTTCAGTGTAGTCTTTGGCTGGCCAAAGCGCTACTAGCCTGTCGCTATCTACACATAAACTATGCGAGACTCTCTTGGAATTTACAAAGTTTTTGTCGTTTCTTCGGTGCGGTTTATTTACTATCGAAGAACGATTTACTGCTGCTGGACGCAAAGTTTGTGGAAGTTGCACAAGAATCTTCCTTTCCTCCGTAGACATTTAGTAACTCCCTAAACTCGACGCAATTTGTAAACTCGCACATTCCACATGTGGGACACAGTGCTATGTGACAATTTACAGTCGCACCATGCGGCGGGTAAGACAGAAATGAGGGTAAGGGGGGAGGGGTTTCCGTTTCCCCTTTTTGGAGAAGAAGCCCCTTTTTCTTGGGTTTGTTTTGTTTTTGCGCGGCCGTTCCCCGCACAACGTGACAGTATTTGAGCTTTAGTGATACGTACGTACTGTACGAGCATACACACATACAAACAAAACACCAAACACCCAAAGCATTAGCTGCAGGTATCGAGGACTTTTTCGTTTCCTCGCAACCATGGACCCTGACCGAAATTGAAAACTTGCGGTTTGTATCTGCGGTTACCTAATGTCAGTAGGTAAACAGGCGCCATTGCTTCCTGCCCCTCTACCAAAATTTTGGTTACATAGGCAAAAGCCGGAGTGGTTACCTACATACGGCCGGGCGTGTTGCAGTGTAAGCCTCGGCGGGTGGGCTTTTCACGGGGCCGGAAATGCTATGTATGGTACACCGAAGACCGAAAATGATTTTTTGGTCCCTTCAACACAGCCCGTCTTAGGCACCGCAGTTTTATTTATTGCCAGGACTGGCTGTCTTTCTGGTCTGCATTGCGATCGATGCAGGCAACTACTGACTTGACTTGTCACCGAACGACTGCAATGCAATGCAGTGCGGTGAGAAGAGTCATACAATGTATATTTTTTCTTCTCGTTTTGGGTGTTTGTATCGTCTCTTTTGGTGAAGTGGTGTGCTGTGGCCCCGCCATCACCGACGTTGCACTGCCGACGGCAAGATTGGCGCGAAATGGGTTGCCAACAAACAACCTTAAGAAATTCGCTTCTCCGGCGGAAATCAGACTGTCTGTTATTCCCTAACAGAATAACCCCTTCTATTTTTAGTTTTTAAGTTAATTTGGACAAATCTTTATCTGGTTCTCCGCGCGCCATTCAGTCGCGCTTATCGTTGGCAGCTAGTTAGCTCCCATTCATTCACCCACCAACACCCGGCGCCTTGCGGTCAGCGGGCTTGCATCCATTGAATCGGCGTCTGGGGAGTCGGCATGTGAGAGCGGTCTAATGCCGGGTTGCGGCGGGGCGGAAGCCTGCCGGTTGGCGCCATCATCTCCCCCCCCCCCCCCCCCCCCCACGGTTTCAACTTTCCGTTGTTGGCCTATGGGAAGGGCGCAGGATACATAAGACGAGGCTAAGACCGGTCTTTTGGAGAGGCGCTGAGGGTTCAGAAGTGAGAAAAACCGAGCACTGGGTCGGCGGCACCAACGCACGCCCAAACGCCAACAGGCGGCCGTGGCCCGGCGGCGCTTGCTTTCCTTTACGATGAATATTACTAAGGTGTCTCGCTCCGCCACCCCCCGCTGTGTCTGCATTAGCTCTGACTGCCGGGCCTGGATCAAATAAGGTAGCTACGTAATTCATGGAATCTCGGTGTCGGGAATAGGTACAGAATGCTGACCGGGCAGCATTGGAAGAAGCTGAAATGTAGAAACCGAAATGCGCCTTTCGCTCAACGCCGGCGGGCTCCTGCCTGCATCCTCGAGAATATGCCATACTGTACAACTGCCACGTGCGGTGTGCCATCTGAACACGTGAGGAAAATAGACCCAAATGAGAACGACAGAGCGCCAACAGACCTGTAGCATCCCCGTTAAACGCCAGTAAAAGACCAACCAACGACACTAGAGGAGCCCCAGCGCCATAATGCCCGCGTCCAAATTCATGACGTCGTCAGCTCGCAGCGCTTTCCCGCCCCAGACGATCTTTCCCCGCCCATCGACAGCCCAGGCGCCTGCCTGCTGCCACTTGTTGCCGATGGTGGTTGCAGGGCCCTCGGCAGTGGCGGCGGCTGGATCCGACTGCATGTTGGCGCCCGCCGGGCCGGATGAAGGCCGGCGCTGCAGCTGCGGCTGCGGCTGGGAGCCGGTGCGCTGGAGGTCACCTGCCACGGCAGCGCCCAGCCAGCCCTTCTCCTTGAACCCGGCGACCTGGCTGGAGGGGTTCATGACGTACCAGAAGCTCCCAGTCCCAAGCCCCCAAGCGGCGTAGATGGCGCGGTCCTCGTCGATGACGATGCGCACGCTGCGGGCGCCGCCAAGGAGGGACAGCCACTGCCTGGTGGCCTCAGAAGACGAGTGCGAGACGGCGATGCACGTCAGTTGCGGGTAGCGATCCGCGAGGGCTCGCAGGTTGAGGAATGTCTGGCGGGCAACTGTGCGGCACGGTCAGTTGGTTTGGTCTAAGGCAAACTAACAAGGGAGGGCGGCACGTACAGGCGCATCCGACACACCGCAGAAAGACCACCAAAACCTTGTTGCCGCCGCCAAAGGTGAGCTGGCGATCGCGATCTAGCGGCGTCAGCTCACCGACCTTGGGCGGGTCGGCGACGGGGATTGGGGGAGGCGGGGGAGTAAGCCAGGCCTGCGCGGTCAGAGGGAGGGCTCTCGCGCTCATCCACGACGGCCAGGCACTCTTGTCGTTGTCGCCGCCGCTGACCGAATTCCTGACATCTCCAAACACAGACTTTGCACCGGCATTCAGGTCTGGCCACGAGAAGTTGAACGAGTCGCTTGAGATGCCTGCCTTCTTCATGGCCACTTTGGTGGCGAGTTTGGAGAACATGGTGTTCTGTTGCTTTGCCGTGCGGCGGGCGTCCTTAGCGCCGGCTGATGTTGAGGCTGGCTGCTTGATTGTTTGTGCCCTTGCAGACCTTTCACCTACAATCTCACTTGCTCACCGTGATGTGATGCGCTGGAGAATTTCGGGCTGTTGTTCACTGGAGCGGTGGTGCAGAGAAGGCGATGACAAAGAAAGGAAACTTAAAGTCGTCGAGCACTGGTCGCGCGCGACAACGGTGATATTGCAATTGCGAGCCATTGGAGATTGGAAACACGTCCCATGAGCCCTTGCAGAGTCGGGCAGACCATGAAACAACGGCCAAAATGACCACGCGGAGGAGAGTGTAGTGTAAGAGTCCTGGCTGACTCTGAGACAGCCATGGTTTGAAGCCCCCCGAAAACGACCTGATGTTGGACTCGGTACGTAGCACCCCCATCCCGCCTGCCACGTGCAGAGAGCTTGCCCCTGGGGAGATCAAAGCCAACGGCCGACGAGTTAATAAACCTTGGCAGTGAGCTGTCAGGCAGTTTGATCGAGGCAATTGGGACCCTCCATCGTTGTGGCCGACGAGCGTTTGCAGCTTTGCAATGTCGGCATAATTGTCACCTGAACACCCGACCCCTGTCGCTCGAGAGAAGCGGCTTCTAGAAGCCGTAATCCAAGTACGTTGCCATAAAGTTGGCAGCATGTATATTTAGGACGGCGGGGAGAAACGACTTGCCGATTCTCCCCAATTTGCGGAGAGACGAGCCGACGTAAACGACCCCAGCTCGCTTCTGATAACAAACCCTACTGCTCTGTGGGGGAACCTCTGAGGAGCATCCAAGGGACCTTTCCCTTTGGGTTGCGCGTGTCTCCGTTGCAAGGTCAAGCTGTAGCGACTGTGGACTCAGTAGCACCTCCAAATTCTGGATTAGGGATGGGGAGCCGAAGAAGATCTGCGAAGACTGCTGGTGCATCAATCGCGTACTGTACGTATCCGTACCTACCATGGAATTTAGGTAGCTGCCTCACGTCGAGCGTAACCACGGCGCGCGAGGGGTCGTGCTGCCGTAACAAGGGGAAGCGGGCCAGAAACGACTGCCGCTGGTACTATGTGGTACAATAATAGACACACGGCCGATTGGTTTGCGTGCGACATATTATAGGTGGCATCTGGATGAAAGCCTGTCGCCGTCCCGCCCGCGTCCAAAGAGTCAAGGTAGGTTTGCGTGCATACCCCGGAAGGCCCTGCCGCAGCAGCGGGAACGGCGCTGCCACCGCAGCAGGCTAATTGGATAACCCGAGTTCTGATGACTCTGCAATCTGGATTTTGACTGCACTGGCCAAATCTCATGGAAGGTAAGGCAGTCGAGTGAAAGGAAAAGCCACGGCCGTCGTGCGGAGGGTTCGAAAAGAGGTTGTGGGGTACAAACATTACACAGAGTGACTACTTACTACTATGTAGAGCGGGACCCAGCCAAGTAGCAATGACGCGCCGCGAACCTGCGTCGAACACCTGGCATAGTCTGCGATTAGCGTCGCATCCAAAACGGTTGGAAACGAGAATTGGAACAGAACTGCGCGCACTTTTCGGCGCTTCCCAAATCTCATCATCCACTTCGTCAACGCTGTTGATGGCCTAACCAGGTTTCGTTTCCAAAGCGCCGGGGATGCTAAGACGGGCTAGAGGCGGAAAGGGTCCCGAGACTGGCGGAACCCCCCCTTGGCCCTCCCCAGTCAATGACGAACGCCGCCCCAAAGCCAAATCCCTTTCGGGTCGCTTAGCGGCCAACAAGCTTGCCTCGAAACGGACGACAGCTAGAAAGGCAATAACTTTGGATGTCAGTTCCTCACAGGATTCCAGACAAGATTCCTGAAAAGATTGCTCCGTCTTTTGACGGTTTTCTGAGTACCTTTGACGCTTTTAATTAAGCCACTCTGAAGCGAAGCAAAAGGCCTCGCAAAGGCACAACGCTGGGAAATTTGTGACCGAGAAGGGCGTGAGCAGCAGCAATAACGCCTCGTTGCTTGTCCTGAATAAGATGACATGCCCATTTCTGAGACCTTGAATGACGGAAGGTTTTGCCATCTGATCTACAGACCCGTTGCCGAGTCGACGACGTCAGATGGAGGACTTTGGGGTCTTGATGCAGTGCGTTGATGCACGACGCTAAAGCGTCCGGATATTCAGAGTTCTGCACCGTCAAGCACTTGGAGATAAGCCACAACTTCTGTTTATAGGTCTTCTTCAAGCCGAGGGGAGACAAACAGCTGTCTAAATCAGGGTCTACCAGAGACTCGGCGTGGGCCGCGAGGCTGATGTTGCGGCTTCTGCGAGGGCATACGTATCCAGATTGCATGGCTCAGCCCTACCGCCGGCCAGACCTTGCGGCTTGATTGGACCGGCCGCCTGGGCAGCTTAAGAAAGGACCGGATTGCCGGAGCAATAGGACTTTATGCACGGGGGGCTGCTACAAGCAAGCAGAGCAAGAGGGGAGTTTGCCTGTCCGCCGTATTTCATGGGTGGGAGAGCGTGGCCCTTCCTTCGCCGAGAATCCCAGAGGGGTGGGAACCTGGGGTATTTGCAGACCCAACTTACCTGGCCTCTCGCCGGCGTGCGGCACTGTCCCAGGGGTCTACCAACTGTCGGGTGAAGACCTCAGGGGGTTGCCGATTCGAGGTGAGCGTCGAATGGGGAAAAGGGAGCTCGGGAAGAGAAAATACATTGTGAAATGTCGATTTGAATGTTCGTGGTGTACTTTTTGGTTGCGTTTGAAGGTTCCTTTGGTCCCTCTGTAGCTTCAAACTCAGGTAAGGTACGTAAAGTACAGTGCCGAGTTGGTGTCAGCGCAGTGGCCGCCGCCTGCCCAGTGCTGGAGGCGAAGTGCGGAGGTATTGTCGACCGAATCGTGCCTCCAGTGGTGAGGACAGCCCGGTGAGGCGGCAGGAGACGAGCAAAGAAGGGCACAGTGCTTTCACCAACGGCAAACGGTGCCAGAGAGCTCGGGAGCCGGCAGAAGGAACAGGCACCGCCAAAGAAGCCACTTGCTCTCTCTGGCTGTTGGCGAGGTGTGAATGAACGGCCCATTACTATCTTCTTTCGGCCATCTTGCCCGCTGCTCTTGCAAGCCAAAGCGCCTGGCCCACCTCATCGTGTTGCATGAGATGCAGCTATTCAGCAAGTCGACGAGGAGCCATTGGGCATTGGGCAGGCAGACGCGGGACAAAGCGCACGAGGGCCACCAGATTGACGGGACTTCAGTCGCGCCCTTAAATCCGATGGAATCTAGGTTGTGCAAAGTTAACGAGCGCCTGTACTACGCCCGCGCCCCCAGCGCACTGCGAGCATCGTCTGAAGGAGAAAAAAAATTCAAAGTGTCGGCGATGCACTCCGAGCCTAGGTGCATGGTATTGACAATGGAAGCCTCCTGTTACACACTTGATATTGTAGTATAGACACTCTGCTGCCTGCTTTGATGAGGAATCCCAGGCTAGGGCAGTTGTGGCTTCGTTAGGCCCCGGCTCTCGCAGCGTAATCCGTACTGTGCAACCTCACGTCTGACTGGCTGAGGTGTGCTCTGTGGTGGGCTGGCTAGCCTGAGGTCCAGGGTTATTAATATTGGCACTCCTTTTTGTTAGCGAGCGAGGGTGGGTGCACTTGGCCGCAAGAGCGCCTGCTTGGAGCGCCAGTGTGTCGCTGTAGGGCGACCAGGTCCGCATCTTTGAATGCCAATTTGACCGACTTCCGCTCTACCTCACGCTTCTTCGTCTTTGCTTTCCTTGTCGGCGACCCTCCACCTCGCGCTGTTGTTCTATCGTCCACTCTGACGCCGGCCTAACATCAATTTCTCTTCCGCCCGACATATTTCCTCTGCACTTCCTCCCCTCTTCCTCTCCCTGGGCAGCTGGCATCTCGCCCGTCAGGAAAATCGTCACGCGTCCCGATCGATCGTTTCTGCAGTATTGTCACGTCTTGATTCGGCTGTATTTTTTACCCCTTGACTTTTTTTGTTCGACGCCTTCGCGAATGTCCAGGCCCTCGTAGCCACGCGCGTTCCCCCCCCCATGTTGACGGAGTTGTGCGGCATTGCTCGTGGGTGATCGCAGTTCGGTCGGTCCTGCTCCCTCACGGTCGGCTCACATCTCGCTCACGTCTCGTTCACCCTTCTCGACCCGCGACCAATCTCCTCCCCCCGGGGCGTTCGACATCTGGATTTCTGGCACTTCGGCAACGTCAACCGACGCCCGGAGCCGTTGGCACTCGACGCTGCTCGCCCTTCGCCTCGCTGCCCCAAGCATCGATCGCACTCGGTTGTTTTGCCCTCAAGTCGATCCTGCCCGACTGGAACCCCACACAGCGACGCCGACGCCAACCCTCCGAAATATCCGTGCAGTGGTCAAAGCCGATCCCCGACCCGAAAATAATTGGCATTTCGTTTACCGTTCGAGCACCAGGAAAAATTTAGGCTTGATACACAGGTTGGACATTCCCCACGAAAGGTGCAACACATGTGGCACAGTCTTTGTCGCTACATCCTCGCGCCCTTTGGGACCATCTAAGAAGGGTTCGAAGATACCCACATACCGATAACCGGCCCCTGGTTGCGCCTCGATTCGAAGTTGACAAAGGACCCCAAAGCGCCCCGACCCTTCCGGTACAGAGCAGAGTCGACATCGCCGAAAGGCAGTCACTGCGAGCACCAAGGTCTAGGACTAGGGCATTCGCGTCACGTTTTGTCAAATCTCCTGTGAATATACAACTGCTTTCTGGGTGGAACGTGCACAAACTACCGGCCAGTTACGTTCCCGGGTTTGAAGAAAGAGGCGGCTTCGGTCCCAAATTCCCTGCTGGCTGGCTTGCTGAGTTGCAAGGTCTTGCCAAACATTTAGATCTGCGATACGGACCTTAAAAAACGGGAGCCACACGGTGGCGCTCATCTTAATGGAAGACCTGCCCGCGACGGCCGAACCCTCACATCTTTACCAGACCAACCCGTGGTCGCATGCCGCATCTGCCTCTACTTCTCCTAGAGTACAGTCGCCCACGTCACCCGAGACATCGCCGGGTTATTTCCCAGCCCATCTGGATTTCCTACCCATCTTGTACCCCCACCAGTCCTCGCTCTACCAGGACAAGCTCCTTCAATACAACAAACTTATCTCAGCTAGTCGAGGCGGAGGCGGTGGCGGACTGCAAACACAAGCGCCCCCTCCGGTGCTTACGTCGCATCCCCAGCCCACGACACGGGCCAGGGCTTCCTCTAAGGTGTCGAGCAAGGACAACCACGCAAAGCAGGGTGTGCAAAGTTGTCATGGGAATAGAACAGCGAAGACCACGGAGATCGCCGAACGCGCGCACATAACATCGGGGAAGGAACAGCCCACAAAAATGTCGGGGAAAAGGCAACAATCGGAGCAGCCCACCAGCAACGGGCTGCCAGCGCGACCGCTGCCAGCTCCTAGCCATGCCTCCCATTTCCCCGCGATCCACTCGAGCTCGGTACCATCCACACCCCATCAACATGCCCGCAAGTACTCATTTGAGTCACGAGAACAATCGCCAGGCGCCACACAGAACCACTCGCCTCGCTCGGCCTACTCGGAGACGAACGGCAATGTTCCCTCACTGCGTCCGCTTCCTCCTCGGCTGGGAAGCTGCCGGTTCGAGACTGCCATCCCCTACTCGCGTCGCCGGATGCCTTACAACTTAGGAACGGACAAGTTGGAGAAGGTCGACCCGAGTCTCATCAGGAGCACGTTAGCCGAGGACGACGAGAAAAGGCTCGAGAAAGACTTGCGACAACTCTACCACAGGTTATTACCAACTAATGAAGTTGAAATTAATCGGCGCAACCTGGTCGCGAAGCTGGAGAAGCTATTCAATCAGGAATGGCCGGGGCACGACATTCGAGTACACCTATTCGGGTCGTCTGGCAATCTCCTGTGTTCTGATGATTCTGATGGTTCGTTTTCTCGGTCCATGGTGTTCTGGGCTTCAAAACTGACGAGAAATAGTTGATATCTGTATCACAACCCCGTGGCGAGAGTTGGAAAACGTGTGCTTGATCGCAGATCTGCTGGATAGGCGTATGACATTTCAGCCCCATCTCTTCAATCCGCGAGACTAACCGATATCAGATGGTATGGAAAAGGTCGTCTGTGTTTCTTCGGCAAAGGTGCCCATTGTCAAGATTTGGGACCCAGAGCTCAACTTGGCTTGCGACATGAACGTCAACAACACGTTGGCGCTAGAGAACACACGGATGGTCCGTACGTATGTCGAAACTGACGAGCGAGTGCGACCTCTGGCCATGATTATCAAATACTGGACGCGTAAGAGGATTGTCAATGACGCAGGTAAGTTGTCGTAAACTGTCACGCCTAGAAGCCTCTTCTCACTGTTGTAGCATTTGGTGGGACCTTGAGTTCCTATACGTGGATCTGCATGATCATTGCCTTTCTTCAGCTACGGGACCCTCCTGTGCTCCCAGCACTTCACCAGAAGCACCAGCTGAAGCTCCCGAGGCCTGACGGGACACGGAGCGAGTTTGCCGACGACTTGGAAAAACTGCGCGGTTTCGGATCAAAGAACAAGGAAACCTTGGCCAGTCTTTTATTCCACTTTTTTCGATTCTACGCACACGAGTTTGACTACAGCAACCATGCGCTCTCGATACGACTTGGGAAAACAATCACCAAAACAGAGAAAAAATGGCATCTCCATTCCAATAACGTGCTCTGCATCGAGGAGCCGTTCAATACGGTGCGGAACCTCGGCAATACGGCAGACGACACGTCCTTTCGGGGGCTTCATTTGGAGTTGCGGAGGGCCTTTAGTCTGATTTCTGAAGGCAAGCTCGCAGAATGCTGTGAGGAATACGTGTTCCCTAAAGAAGAAGAACGGGTATATCATAAGCCCGCCGCACAGGCGCCCAGGCCGATACTTGTTAGGAGCTCGTCTCAGCAGAATGGGGGCCGTGGTGGTCGGGGTGGGTACCGTGCGAACCGGCAGTTCAGCCGGAATGGGAACTCCAGTCGCCGTGCGTCTTCAAGCGTAGCTGCTTACGACACAAACGGGACATTCCCGCCGCAAGGGATGCCCACAACCATGGGCGGGCAAGAAATCTTGTGGTACCAGGCCCCGCACCCTCCGATGGGGGTACCTCAGGAGTTACTTGCTTCGTCGCTCAACGCCTTGGCTGCGCACGAAACCAACCTGCGATTCCAACTGTACACGCAGGCCCAGCAGATCAACCAGCAGCAAGTGCTCGCGCACGCTCAGCGGATGCAAGGCGGGTCGACGCAAGCCACGGATAGGTCCCGGACAAATTCTTTCGACAATCCGCCTTTGACAGCTCCTATTCGGCCGGAGCTGATCTACGGCTTTGGATTTCCAATTCAGCACCCGGCGTACTTCCACCCTAGCTTCACCACGTATCCATCCTCGCCTACGACGGCCACTGCGGCGGCAAACGGGTTGCCAGATTTCAGAAGAAGCCTTCACCGAACTGCGGCAACGACGGATGCAGGCGCCGGGGCCGGTAGCGGTGCCCTTAGGTCGCAATCCCAGCCAGCGTCGAGAACGTCAATGGTCGGGTCTCAGGTCATACCTGGAAACCCTGCACCAAGCCGGGCTCAGAATGGACAGTCGGCATCGCAGCAGCGGCAGGTCAACGGTGTTCCCATTCCAAGTTTTATGGCGGATGAGGCTGCCGATGTAGACTTTGACGATGCACCGGCCAAGGCGGTGACGGACTCGCCGCCAGAGGATGACGGCCCTCGTTACATTGGCTATTATGTCAATGAAACATCAAGCCCCCCTCAGAAGAGTGGCATCTTCCCTAGCCCTCCCATACCGTCGTTTGGTGATCTGGGCCAGGGTGTATCGGGACGCCGTAGGTTGTCACAGGACCAGCTTCCGCAATCGATCCTCGACCGGAGAATGAAGCGGACGTCCAGGTCGCCTTCCCCCCTGGGACATGCTAGAGCCTTCTCGGTCGGGACAAGCTCGGCTCCGCTCACTTCGGCCCCCTTCCAGCAGATAAACAGCAAGCTGATGGCGAGTCGCGGCCCGGTTGTGGTCAATGGTACGGCGCCGAACTCAGGCTCAGCCTCGAGCTCTAGCCGCCAAACGCCAAGTTCGGAGCGCACAGCGTCAGACGACGGAAACTTTGACAACCCGCTGCACATCAGCCAGGGGTTGGGTATCAGTGGTTCATGGGTGGATCAACGTGGTGTTCACCCGGCGGGGAGTTTGGAGCCTAGCCCCCCATCATTTCCAGACCGGCCGGTAATAGTGAATGGTTCATCGGGCAGTCGTACTCCCACAACGGCCCATGTTGCGCCTGATGCATCGATCAACCAGCGCTTGATGATGGGTACCGCCCTGCAATCGGGAGTCCCTTACCAGGTGGTGGGTGGCGAAAGTAACGGGATAGTTGGGTTTTCACCTCCGACAGGTGGCAGATCGCGGGTCATCTCGCGCCAACAGCAGAGTGGCATTGCGCCGTTGGACCTGGCTACGGGCGAGTTCACGGTTGCTCAAGAGCTGCAGCACCTTTCGCCTGTGTACGAGCACCGCACCCCGTCGCCAACCGCCGTACGAAGATTTGACGCGCCGCCCATTGTATCACCGTCTCTGGGCAGGCAGTCGAGGGAGCCCAAGGTGGAGGCCTCAAAGGTTACCCAAAAGCTTGTGTTGTCGAAGACGCCACCCACCGGCCCCTCGGCCAAAAACGACGGTGCGAGCCGCTCTCCTGTCGTGGACCCGAGGGTCAATGGCGCGGCAAAAGAAAACGGGCACACGCGTGGTGTCAAGAGCCAGAGCGAGGCATTTGGGCCCTGGCAAAAATCGAAGCCACGCAAGAAGGGCACAGCTGATCCGAAGAATACTGTCAATGGATTTACCCAGGGCGAGCAGTTGCCAAGGAACGATTCCGACCGCAAGGGTGGTTGAGAGTGGAGCTGGTAGCTGTTGTCTGTCACCAGGTGGCCTGCTCGAGGCCGCGCCCAATTTCTGCTCTAATTTCGAAGAAAACCCCAGACTTGGAACCGAACAAGACATGGCTTTCTTGGATAATCGTCCACGATCAGGTCCTCCCAGACCGAAAGATAAGGCCCTATATTGGACAGTTTGTTCAGGATCTCGCACTCGGAGCGCAGCAGCATAGCATGGTCGCTATCTAGTGGCGCAGAGACTTTGCCCCGGGGTTTGGGAAGTGACGATTCACCCTCACCCTCGCAGTCTGCGTGTGGAAGTTGGCGAGAAGATGAAAGAGAAGATGCCCAGAGATACGAGGCATACGGATATATGCTTTGGCTTTGCGGCGAGGCTTCTTTTTTTCTTCTGCGAGATGAAATTTCGGCATAGACAGCGGGTCGACGTGCTTGGGCATGGAGAAAGACATTTTCAATCGGGTTTCTTGTCATTGTTATGCTTATTGTTGGTTTATAGACGGGAACGGTGGTCCTCAAAAGGAAAACCTCGGAGACGAAAAATACGCCCATACCCTAAAGAAGAAGAAAAGGAAGAAGCGGCGGCCTATGAGCGATGTTACAGCATAGTCGGTGTTTAGCGGGTTTACCTCGTGGAAAGGTTTTTTTCCCCTGTCAGCATCTCCGGCTTTTTTAGTGTTGGCTTGATGTTGCTGGTCGGAATGTGGTGCAGCAACACACTGCTAGCGCATGTTGTGTATGGGCAGAGCAATGAGCGGCTGGATTTACGGATTTCGAGAGCATCGCTTCCCAAAACGGCAAGGGGGGTTTTTTTTACCGCCCCGTTTTGTTTCCGCCCAGGTTCCCAAAAGGAAAATTTTGGAACGAAGTTGGCCCCAGAATAAAAAGGCTAGAGTGGGAGGTTGTGAGAAAAGTATACACGGAAGTGATATGGGAGGGATTCTTGTGCGGCGGCTCTTTTTGTTATTGTTCCAAATTCTTTTTTTTATCACCTCGCCTTTTTTCTCTTCTTTCTCTCTGATTGGCATCGTTTGGCCTAGCACACACACACACACTCACAATTGCATTTCCGCGCGCATTACAGAGGAGCGATCTTTTTATATGGCAGGCAGGCAGCAGGCGGACAGGGTAGGGCAGGGCAGGGCAGCAGCAGCAGCAAAAGATGATTATTAGAAACTGCATAAGTAACTGGTCTCTTGTGGTCTGCCTGTCTTTTTTTATCCCTTATATTTTTTGGAGGAGGTTTTTTTCTAAGAAGAGAAAAAAAGAGAAGCATAGCCAGCCGCCTCTGCTTGCCTTGCCTGCCTGCCTGGTTCTGGTTCTGGTTCTGGTTTTGTTGGTTCTTGATATTATTGCTCAGCCTGAATGATATCATCAACATGGAAACCGGTTTTTGTTTTATTTTCTCTTTGGCCTTTTCTTCTTCTGATGATGATCATGAACGGTTTGCTTGCTGGTTGGCTAGTTGGCTGGCTGGTTGGTTGGCGCGGTGAGACCATACACACACATAAAAATGGCGCGACTTCATGGCTTGCTGTTCTGTTGTTTTGGGCTTTGCTATAGAGCTAGGTTGGGTTGTTGTTTCTTGGAGACCATGGGGGCGTTTCGATCGCGAGCGAGCGAGCGAGTGGGTGGGTTAGTGAGTGGGTGTGGATGGGGTTATATACGCACATACATCATATAACCGGGTTGTCGAAGGGGGATTCTTCACGGGCATGGGCTGAGAGTGGACTCGAGAAGTCTTTTGGTGTTGGAGGGGAGGGGGGGGAGGGGGGGGGGGGGGGGGGGGGCAGAATTCTTCAATATCTTCAACTCCTTTCCTCTCTTCCTCCCTCCCCTTTCCAACTTCTTCGGATCGATACCACAGTTCTCTCTCAGCTTGGTGTTTTTAGACCGGGGCTAGGTGCGGGTTGTTTTTCGGTCTTGTTTTTTTGGTGCTGGCTTGGGCAAAGGCGTTCGTGATAGGCGTTGGGTTCGGTGCGGTTGGGATTGCACATAAATAAATACCTAAAATCCGAGATAAAAATAAAATTAATACTGTCTATATCTAGCACAGTACGGAGTTTAAGATGTTCTCGTTATTTTATTTTACTTGTTTTCTACGTCTTCACTTCTCCTTCCCCTTTTACGACTGTCATCAAAGCCATGCTCATCCTGCGCCTTGCATACATCTAGCGGTGCTTCCCCGCCTGCAGCTGCGTCAAAACATGCATTAGCATCACCCCAAGCTCCCTCAACATGCAGGCTAGGCTAAGAACCCCCATGTTAATTCCGCTTTGGCCCTTCTGGGGGTAAGCGGAACCGCAAACGGCCTTGTCCTGCAGCTCTGAACGGGGGAAAGAGTCGACCCTGTCCACCCACTTCCTTCCAACAGCAACACTTCCGCTCTTCTGTACCACGCATGAAAGAAAAAAGAGCTTATGTCATAAATAGCCAAGGTAGTGAGGGTTGGCCAGACCGGCACGGCTCTTCCCGCGGCCACCACCACCACCAACAGCCTACTCCAGCCTAGCGGTGTGCGGTACAGAATTATCACATGGATCCACCTCCCTCTGCAGCTGTTGGGTTTGAACAGTGCGCACTCAACTCTCGCGGCATGGGAAAGGGAAGGTGGAGAACGTCTTCCCCGTCCATTTTCTTTGTCTACTCCTCGGCACCGAAGCCCGCCACCACATACCATCCGAGTCCGATCCGCATCCCGTCCTCGAGGACCAACGCCCGTTCGTTGGCTCTTAGTAAGGAATCATGCGGGGGCGAGCAAAGGCAGCAGACGGCGGTGCCGCCTGTTTGTTTATACAAGTGGGGAGGAAAGGGAGGCTGATGGTGCTTTCTTTGACAGGCCAGACGTCACGTGCGTCATCGACCATGGGCCTGGCCGGCTTCTCGTCTTTCTCAGCCTGAGCCCCCTTTGACGGCGGGCTAGAGGCTAGAGGCTAGACCCCTCCCTCACTGGAGATAAGATATGGGTTCTGCTGCAGCTAATGGCGGCGGGGCAGACTTTGCTTCTCTATGAGGACAAAGAAGGAGGACAAGACGCTCTTTTACTTTTTTTCCTTTTCGAGCTTATTGATGTGGCGTTTCCCGCAACTACGGATCTATGGACTTTCGAGGTCTAGATTCCACGGTTTGGATACAAAGGAGTGGGAAACGGTTCCAAGCTTCGAGTTCCCATTACCTACCTAGGTACCGTGCTATTGCAGATGGTTTATTTCTTATGCTACCGCTGCGGTTCTGGTCTACTTCTTCCTTAGTCTCGTATGGCGGGTAGAATTGATAGCCTTGTGCTATTTCTGGAATATATCGTGATCTGGATTCTGTGGTAGTATACCCCAGGGGCAAAAGTAAACAAACCCATCAACAACACAAGAACGAAAATAACTCATAAATTCACCGCGCGCATGTCGTTCCTGTGCCGTGGTTGCGTAACCAAACACAACATATAGTGGCACTAAGCACAAGTAGGAAGACCATGGGGGTTATGTTATTGACTGCGCATCGGTTCCAGTATGCTAATAAGAGGCTAGTAAAAGGAGGCATCGCTTCGATACAAATCCGTGCCGAGGCTCTCGCTCATAGCAATCGAAACCCCGATCATGAACACCTGCAGCACGGACTCCTAAAGACCCGTCCGTACAGGCGCCCTCAAATGGCCCAATAGACATCCACGCGGACGCTCTCGATGTGGTTCGCCCACCCGGGAAACCGCGCCTTGGCCCACAGCGTCACGACATCCCCGAGCTTGAGGTTGCGCACGAACTCACCGTCGTTGGTGCCCCGGCCACGCCCTAGGGCCTCGGGGTCTTCGCTCGGGTCGCAGTCGTCTGTGTATCTCCACGCGACGCGGTGCTCCTTTACCTCCTTGACGGATGTCACGTTGCACTGCACCTTGAGCTCCTCGACTGGTAGCACGGGGTGCTCGAAGGCGTACGCGTCGGTGGCCGGACTACGCACAACCTTGGGGTAGACGGTACCGAAGCCGTCCAGCTGCCGTGACAACTCTTTGTTGGGTTCGGGCTGCTGTGGTTCTGACGACCAGGGGTTTGTTTCCAACTCGCGCTGGTTGCTGATCCCGCCGCCTTCACTTTCGTCATTGTCGTCGTGGTCGTCCTTGGCGTCTCGGGTTTCACCGTCGTGCTCGCACCACCGCTCGAGTCCGGCCTCGAACCACGTCCAAGAGCCGCGATACGTGCCATGATCAGCCCGGGTGCCGCCCCAGCCCTGGTCGCGACTGCGGATTGTGAAGACGATCTTGCGGCACGGCTGCGCCAGCATTGTCTCTGGGGTGCCAATCAGCTGCTGGATGTGCTCTATCGAGTACTCCTTTCCCACGGGTCGCGGGGGCGGGGGAGAGTTCAGCTCCTGTTGGCGCTGGTGAGTTCGCGGCCATTTCGGGAATCCGACAGGCACGGTACGGAGCTAGTAAAAAGGTTTGAGTGTCAGGACTGGTATTACGAGGAAAAGGAGTAGATTTTTGATTGCTACATACCAGGAATGTGTTCTCCTGCCGGCCGTTGCCGCCCCTGACGACCAACATGTCCCCCATCAGGGTGTTGTACGAGACGCTAGTCGAAGTATAGGGCCAATACTCGGCGTGGTCGGCAATGGCGTCGACAACCTCGGCGGGTAGACGCATGGCCTTGCGCAACATGGCCTTGACGACGATGACGTCGAGAAGGGTGGGCTCGTAGGACTCGTCGGAAGTGCCGTCCGAAGCAGCATTCTCGCGTTCCAGGGAGGAGTGGTCGAAACCGCACGTCTGCCCGCCGGGCTCGCCGTCGGCTTCTCTGGGGAATGCTCCGGGAAATAGGAATTCTTCTGGGGGGTCTCCGGCAGGCTCTCCGGCAGGCTCTTCGGCAGGTTCCCCAGCAGGCTCCACTGCAGTTGGGGCATTTACGATATGATGAGGGCGAAAGGGCAGGTTTACTTGGTAGCTTGCCTGGTAGCTCAGCGGCACACTGGGAATGTTCCCGTGCAAGTTCGCCATTGCGCCGGTATCCAGGCTGGGCGATTGGGCGCGAAAAGAGTACTGGTAGGTGGATTGCTTGCTGCCAAGGCAAGCTGCAATTGTGGTATCGAGGCTGTAACTTGTCGCTTGTAGTTAAATCGGGGACAGCTGGTGAGGTGCTCTCGGTGGTCGTTCTTTTGGTGATTTGCAGTAGTCTGTGTTTGTGTTCTGGGTAAGGCAGCGAGGAGTGTGTAGCTGAGGTGGTATGGCAGCGGGTGTTAGTTGACGTCGCCCCCAAACCAAAGGCGACGTCAGCAATGACAAGGCGTCTGGCAGCTGTGCCACACAGCTGAGTCTACGCCCTGGCAATAAGGTGCCTTGAGCGGGTGACATCACCCCACCCCCGCGGCTAAGGGTTGAATCCGGGGTCCGCAGGGGTGCGCTTACAAAGACGCCCTAGGGTGCGCCACTAGTACTAGTACTACTGTGTAGTACAGTACACTTGCAGATCGATCCTAGAACAAGCACGTGAAATGACGAATGGAGCTGTTGTGCAACGCTTGAACAGAAGCACCGCACCGCACTCATCCAGCGCCGGCAACTGCTCCGCTCTCGGCAATGACCGCCCCCTGCGGTTAGGTTCCCCTTCGGCGTAGACTGGAAACAAAGTTCTCTGCAACGCGTTGTCTGAGGGGTTAAAATTTCCAGGTTACACCAAGGCAGGAAAGCCGTTGGATCCTGGCGCAATTGCTGCTTCAATCTCAGTCTCGACGCAAAGTAGCGCAACCAAAGTCCCAAAATGAAGCCGCAGGTCCGCATCGCATCCCGTCTTCAAGATGCTTCAGCCGCCGTCACCGGCCGGGCGGGCCCGTCGTGCAGTAATTTCAATGCCAATGCCGCCGCAGCACGGCCACGGGCACGGCCTTTGATCCGGGCCGTGGCTAAGACTGCTGCTTCTTCTTCTGCGACGAGGGCGAGGCCTTTAACCACCACACAGACAGCGCCGCAAGTGCAAGTGCACAGACAGCAGCGGCCTTTCAGCGCGCAGCCGGCGCGGCGAGGCGGCGAGGCATCCAACCCGGCCATGGCCTTCCCCTGCCTCGACGCCCTGGAGACGCGGTCGGCCACGCTGCGGAAGCAGACGCGGTCCGACGCCAGCGGGCCCGAGCCGTCGTACACGGCCGGCGCCACCCAGACGTTCCACTGCGCCGAGCCGCTGCTGCTCGACTGGGGCGGCCGCCTGCGCGAGTTCGACATCGCCTACGAGTCGTGGGGCCGCCTCAACGCCGACCGCTCCAACGCCGTGCTGCTCCACACAGGCCTGTCGGCCTCGTCCCACGCCCACTCTACCCCCGAGAACCCCCAGCCCGGCTGGTGGGAGAAGTTCATCGGCCCCGGCCTGGCCCTCGACACGGACCGCTTCCACGTCATCTGCACAAACGTCCTCGGCGGCTGCTACGGCTCCACCGGTCCCAGCAGCATCGACCCCGCTGACGGCAACCGCTACGCCACCCGCTTCCCCATCCTGACCATGCACGACATGGTCCGCGCCCAGTTCCGCCTGCTCGACCACCTGGGCATCGCCAAGCTGCACGCCAGCGTCGGCTCTAGCATGGGCGGCATGCAGTCGCTAGCCGCTGGCGTGCTGTTCCCCGACCGCGTCGGCCGCATCGTGTCCATCAGCGGCTGCGCCCGCAGCCACCCCTACAGCATCGCCATGCGCCACACGCAGCGCCAGGTGCTCATGATGGACCCCAACTGGGCCCGCGGCTTCTACTACAGCCGCGTGCCGCCCCACGCCGGCATGAAGCTGGCCCGCGAGATCGCCACCGTCACGTACCGCTCCGGCCCCGAGTGGGAGCTGCGCTTCGGCCGCCGCCGCGCCGACCCCAGCAAGCCCCCCGCCCTGTGCCCCGACTTCCTCATCGAGACCTACCTCGACCACGCCGGCGAGAAGTTCTGCCTGACCTACGACCCGAACAGCCTGCTCTACGTCAGCAAGGCCATGGACCTGTTCGACCTCGGCGCCGACAGCCAGCGCACCACCGCCGCTCGCCGCGCCGACCGCCTGCGCTCGCTGCAGGACGGCGCCGACGACGAGACCACCGACGCCGCCACCTGCGGCCTGACCCTTCCTGACACGCCGTACGAGGAGCAGCCCGACCCCTCGTCCAGCAGCAACTCGCCCGGCGACGAGGTAGCGAGCGAAAACAACAACCCCGCCACAACTCAGCAGCACCCGCAACCGCCCGCGGACCTAGTCGCGGGACTGGCGGCGCTGCAGAGCCACCCGACGCTAGTGATGGGCGTGGCGAGCGACATCCTGTTCCCGGCGTGGCAGCAGCGCGAGGTGGCGGCGGCGCTGCGGCTGGCGGGCAACGATAATGTCTCACACTTTGAGCTGAGCGAGGAGCAGAGCATGTTCGGTCACGACACGTTCCTGCTAGACGTCAAGAATGTCGGCGGCGCCGTGGGGGATTTTCTTCGGTAGTAATTCTCCCCCGAGGGGTCTTTTGTTGTGCGTGAGGAAGGAGTATTTCATGTACACATATACATACGTACATTCCGAGCTTGGCGTAACAACAAAGAAATATCAAGTCGGGAGACGCTTATCAAGGCCTTGCTCTTTATATTGTAAAATAGTGAATGTTGTACGTTGTCGCTGCGCTATCAGACATGACAGGTAAGGCATGTACCGGTTGCCTAGTATATCCATACATACATCCAATGCTCTGAGCAAGCGTGGCTATGTGGCAATGTGGCTAACACCCAGCGCAGCATACGAAGTACATGTACCTGCTTTCAGAGACATCCAAGATTTTAAGAAATGCCCTTGCGAGAAATGGACATTGGCAGTGCACGGGTTGCTTCGCTCCTCCAAGCTAGTTATATATCTGTCTAGGTTTGCTATGAACATAACGCCTAATTACTTTTCATTTTGTTAGTTACAAGACCCGCCAAGACATGCATACATGCTCACCAGTCAGTCACCTACCAGCTTCTCATTCACTTTGTATAGATCAACTTGGCATAAGTAAAACATTAGCATGACTACATAAACTGGAATCAATACAGAAGCAAACGCAAATCTAGAAACGTAAAAGCACCTTGAACAAAATAGAGAAAATAGAAGAGAAAAAGAAGAGGGTATATAAAACTCTAGCATCCTTAGGGATCGAGGACAAAGACTCGCTCTCGAAGAACTAAAACAAATCCAAAGCGAGCGAGCTATATAGTAGAACAATTATTCGCAGTTAAGACGAATTCCCAAACGAAATATAGAAGGAAAAGCCAAAAAAGTGCAAGAAGCTATGCCGTAGATCACATTAGGTTCATACAACCAGCCAGAAAACAAATCCAAAAAACAACCCCCTCCGACCACCCGCAGAGATAATGTACGCCCCAAAGTCTCCCATTCCGCCCAACCCCAAAGCCAAGATCTAGATCATTCGGCTTGACTTTTGCCGGCTAAATAAATCCCGTCCCGAAAGCATCCACCCCTACGGGTGCTGGTCCGGCTACCTCTGCCGGTAGGGGAGACAAGGGCGGCATATAAGTCGCCTTCCGTTGTTTTTGGGGCGGGTTGCGCACGCTCAGACCGCGCGCGACACCAATGCCCAGCGCCTCGGCCATAGCCTGGTCTGCATCTGCCTGCCCGGCTGCTGCCGCAGGAGCATCATTCTTGCCAGAATTGCTGGAGAAGGTGGACCCGCCCATCGCCGTTGACGGCCTCGCGTTGTCGTGTCCGATTCCCGAGTCGGAGCGCGCAAGCGGCGGCGTCCACGGCCCGGCGTCGCGTCGGAACCCACTATTACCGCCACTCCCGTTGCCGGGCGCGGGGAACTTTAAATGAAGAGGTGGGGGAACATGGGAGCGGTCAAGCCGGGGGGGTCGTGCCGACTCTAGTGAGGAAAAGGTAGGGGTGGCAGCTGGGTCTGGAGAGGACGAGAGCGATGTGGAGCCAAGCGGCCAGGTGGTCGAGTCGGGCGTGGGAGGGGCCGCGTTGGGGCCAAAGTCAAAGTTGAAGTCGAAAGCGGCGCTTTCGATAGGACTTGGGACCGCAGGGGATAACGCATTGCGGGTAGTAGGGCTAGTAGTATTGAGATGCAGGACCGGCGCAGGGCTCGGGTCTCGGGTCCAGTTCTTGTTGTGATGGTGGAGTTGAGGCGTAGTCGCGCGAGATGGCGGGGAACTGGCGCCAAGGCGGTCCATGATATTGCTATTGTTATCAGAGAGCCCGGGATGAGAACCGTTATTGCCACTGTTTTCAATAGTCAGCCCCGGAGCGGCTCCATGGCGCACAGCTCCGGATGCCGCTGACGGAGTCGTGACAACTGCCGGTGCCGTAGCTACAAGGTTGCTGGACACGCCGTATTCGTCTAGCGTAGGGCGACGGGGACCAGGCCCGCGCAAGGGCAAGCCGACGCGGATTGGACTTTTGGGCCGGGAAAATTCTGCAATTGCAAGAGGCGGAGAGAGGTGTAAGGGCTCTGGCTGGGTGAGAATGGGGTCGTCGTCGTCCTCATCATCGTCACTAACCAGATCATCCGTGTATTGGCTGCTACTGGTGCTGAAGGTTTTCAGGTGGCTGGTTTGCTGCGCGGTGAGGAGCGACTTCTCCAGCTTCTCAATCTTCATTGAAAGCCTCCGTGGTGAATACGATGTCAGAGTGTCGCGCTTGGCTTGGACATCCCGGATGATGGGTCTTGCAAATTGCTCAATCGGCATATCGTCGAACGAGGGTCTAGAGCCGGGTTTGAATGAGGACGAGTAAAGCATCGGGCTAGTTTCCGGGCTGGGCTCGTTCAGCATACTGACGCCGAGGGTCTGCGAGCCAGGGCCCCGGCTCAATACTAGGGAGCCATATCCGTTGGTATTGGGGCCAGGGCCGGAGCCAGTCGAGGCCGATTTTTGCAATCCTTGCTCGACCAAGCCGGGAGCACGAGCAGCAGGGGGGGCTTGGGGCTTGGGGCTGTAGGGGCGATTGTTCTGAAGCCCTGAACCGTGTGGATTGGCGGGCCCGGCAGTCTGAGGTTGAATGTGAGTGATCGGTCTGTAAAGGCTAAGACCACCCGGCCCCATTTCACTTGGTGTCGGCCCAGCCAGACGAGGACCCTGCCCACGAGGGGCCTCCTTAGAGGAACCGGGAGGGCCAGGAGGAAACCCCGGGGGAAGACCCTGTGGCGTTCCTTGGTGAAGACTCTTTTGGGCGGCTTGGTTTGGGAGGTGGGGAAGGCTTTGCGTAGGTGGGCCGTGCCGAGGAGGGCCATGGACGAGGAGAGATGGCGCCGGCCTGGGTGCTTGACCGTTTACGCCGTCGGGTCCGTTTGTTGGTGGCCCGTTGCGACTGCCAGGCCGTTGGTCGGTGTTTCCCCTAAACGCAGGCCCCAGCACGGCAGGCAAGTTGTTTGCTGACGCCTGTTGGGAATAACCCTGCTCCTTGGTTTGATCCCGGAATTGCTCGTCGGATTGTTTTCTCGCTGGCCCCCTAGATTGCTCCATCGACGGCTCCCTAGGTTGTGGCGTGGAGTTGCTCGCTTGTGTCATCTCATTAGACTGCTGCCTCACCAACCGCTCCAGCCCCAGCCGTGCCGTCTTCTTCAGTTGTTCTAGCTCTGCGTCTTCCTCCCCGGCTTCGTTTTCCTTCTGTTCCTTCTTGTCGGCTGCATCTGCACCTTGAGATGTGGGTATTGTCTTGTCGGTCTCGCGAGGAGCAAGAGGCGACTTTGGCGCTGGCGTGCCGCTCGGCGCGGCCTTCATGAAGTGAATGTCGAGTGGGTTCACCCATGCCTTGGTTGGGCCACTTGAAGTGCTGGGACGCGGTCCTGCCGCTGGCCGCGATCCATAGCCGGACATGGGGGCGGCAAGACTGTGAGAGGAGCCATTGTTGGCGTTAAATTTAACGCGCAGGTTCGCATCGGAAGCATGGGGCTTGAGGTTGATGGCGCTGGAAAAGCTGCCATTGCGCCCGTGGGCGCCTTTGGTGAGGTCGTACATGCTCGCTGCAGCCATGTGGGCATAGGGATTCGGACTGGGCGTGCCTGTTCGTGAGACGGAACGAATGCTGCCGTTCAGGACGCCCCTGTTGTTGACGTTGTGCCCGAAGTACTGGCCCTCACCTAGCAAGTTCTGGTCGACCTTTGTCCATTGTTGCGGCTGTTTTCCTCGGGGAATGACCGCCTTCGCATCGGGTTTCCTAGGCACAATTAACAATTCGTTCAGGGCGTTCTTATCGTACCAGTCCTCGATAGTCACTCACTTCTTCTTGTCTCCAAACTTGATACCAAAGAAGGACACCATATTGGCGGCGTAGAATTATGGTTAATTATAAACAAGACATTACTATGAGAGGGTTAGATGGAGCGGTCCGCCGTGCCCGGATAGGACTAGGAGCTAGACATTGTCGGGAAGACCAACATTAGAACACGACCGTCGCCGCCCAGCGCGGACGCCAGTCCCTTTTCACTCGAGACGGCCGCTACGAGCAGGCCATGGCGACAGATGGGCAGGCGATGTCTGAGGAGCACAAGTAGGAAGGTAGATAAGGTAGGCGCAATTGGTCGAGCACGGAAAAGAACTGTGTGAACTGCGATTCCGCTAGAATTGAGAAATAGAAAAGCAACAAAAAGGGGGCCCAATGTGGAGCACAGGTAATGTTGAACTGTTGATCTGTCGCAGGAGAATCCACAACGGGACAATGATCGACACTAAGAGAGTGACTGAAGAGCGGTCGCAACAACAGTCCAAAGGGCAAGGAGTGAGGGTTAAGGAGCGAGGGTTGAAGAGAAAGGACAGGCGACTTTGCAAGCGCCAACGAGCCAGAGCCAGAAGCTGGAGGCGTAAATGACAGACAGCAAAACGCGAAATGTGCGAGACCAGAAACCAACAAGAGAGAAAGAAAAGAGGAGTGCGCGACGAGGGCACATTTTGAGAATATCTACCTACGCGCCAGTGGAGATTTCCTTCTTGCCTGTCTGGGCGCTAGCGCTCGCCTGGCCTGGTCTGTGTCCCAAGTGATTCTCGGTTCGTTCATGGATCTCGAGCTGGGGTCAGGAGCGGAAGCTGGGATCTCCCCTCCCCCCACACATTCCCATCGATCGTCAGAACGCGGCCATGTCATGTCCACTTCTGGGACATTACTAGCACACGTGTAGAATGTTGCCCAAGTTCTGTGCGCAAATGACCCGTACTGAGGGCGACCAAATATGGCAGGTCTGACCTTCAGGACTTACTGAAAGGACGCGATTTCTTCGGGGTTGGGAAGCAGCTACCTTAGCTCCTAGGGTTCTGGTGATGGAATTGAATGAGACCTGCAGGACGCCGAAAAGGGCAAGCGTCAGGGGTAAGGCTCGCGGACAGACTGCATTCTGCACCGTGACACTTCGATCAAAAAGTGGGCAGGGGTGAGGATGTCATCCATGTCAAGCGACCCGCCGGCGGCTGCAGGTGCAGGCAGGTGCAGGCAGGTGCATGGCAGTGGCCGAAGAAGGAAAGAGCTGGTCGGGTGTAACAGAACGGTGCTGTCATCGTCGAAAACCCGTCTGGCAGTTAAGCGTAACGGCAAATTTTGACATGTCGTTCGCGTCGAACCAGGAATGGAAGGTTTGCACCAAGACCCGCGCCATCCGTTTGTTTGACTTGAACGCCACACGTGTTTTCGTCGCCTTCCCAAGAAAAATCGATAGTCTGCGTCGGGGCACGCAGAGCCCGGTCAAGCCAAGCGTGCCATCAAATTTCCCCTCCTTGACACCTGAATGGCCAGAACTGCTGGACGGCAAAGGTTGGTTGGCGGGGTGTGACATGACTCTGCAGATTTCTCCTATCGAGTTCTGGACGAGTTCCCAATCGTCATTCCTCTTAAACTTCCTTTGCGTTGAATCGCCGGCCATGTAGAGGGTCGTCCTTGAGTTTATCCGCATCGTGAAGCCGGCTGTGGTTGACCCTCTGGTCGATGTCGATTAAGTCTCGGTCACTACGGATGCCGCCACGATAAGAAACAGCGCCCACGCATCCTGTTTGAGGAGATTGGAGCTTGGAACAGAGAAGAGCAAACTTTATAATTACTGCCCGCCCCCCTTCAGCCCTAAGTGACATCCATTGCATGGCTGCGCAGGCTTGGCGGCAGTTCAGCTGCATGCCTGTCGGCCATGCCATGCCATGGCCATGCACCACTGGACATCGCGAGCCTCGACCCCTCTGTCTACCCCGTGAGTATGCATCCTGTCCGCGTTGCTTTATTTGAATACACTGCCACTTAGTTTAGCGTCCATGTCTCACTTTGCAGCGTACTTCGTACATTCCTCTCATTCTGCCAAAATCCGTACACCGGAAATACCTCCCCTTCTAAATGCAACCGTGATGGGTACTGAATACACACATTGACACTCTCTTGGTCTATATGAAAGAAATACAAGTATGTCCAAGAATCGAGTAGCGAAAAGACCAAAACATGAGACGGCAGAGCATATTGTCATGCTAAGTAACATCCTACCAAAAGCGTGCTCCCCCCTCAGCATGGCAGATCCTGTGACGACGACGATCGCCGCGACAGCCGGAAAGCGTAGAGGACGGTGGCGGTGATGCAGTAAAACGCAGCAGCAACAAAAAAGGGCAAACCTACCCAGGCGCCGCCGAGGTGCACGCCGACGCTGAGGCACTTGGCCATGAGGGGGCTGATGACCATCATGCCGACCATCTCGAGGAAGGCGATGAGGGTGTTGAGGATGCCGACGTGGTGCTGCTCGACGAGGGCATTGAGCAGAGAGCGCACGAGCGAGTCGGCGCCGCTGCCGAGCGCGACCCAGACGAGCGCCGGCAGCAGCATATGGCCGCTGGAGGCGAGGCCAATAACAAGACATCCCGACGCCTGGCACGCCACCGAGATGCGCGCTAGCCAGAGGTCCTTGGCCACGCCCGCCATGGCTAGCCGGTGCAGACAGAACCAGCTCGCCGCCGGCAGCAGCACCACGAGCGTGGCCAGGCTGCTCGCGCTGCGGATCGACAGCAGCATGGTCGCCTTGCTCCAGCTCCAGTCGTATCTCTTCGCGGCGTACTGCAAAAGCAGGTCCTGCACCACGAAGCCGCCCATGTAGTCGAAGATGGCCGGCAGCAGCAGGATGACGACACCCTTGTTGTGGACGAGGAAGTCGCGCACCTCGGGGACGCTGTCGCGCGCTCGCTGCCAGAGCGCCAGCACGCTGAAGGGGCGGTCATCGAGATCACCACTGGCCCCTGTGCTGCCGCTGCTGTCTGCCCTGCTTCTCTTCGCAGGCCGGTCCACGCCGGTTTGCTTGCGGAGCTGCAGGGTCTCGGGGTAGAAGAGGACAGCGATGTTGGCCACAGTCAGCAATGCCAAGCCGCTGCCGATCGAAAGCCACAGGTTCCTGGCCATCAGGACGCTTGCCAGCGGGCCCGAGGTCATCTGCGAGCAGAGGAAGACGGCGCCCATCTGGAAGAAGACGGTGGACCGCTCCGCCAGCGGCACGACGTCGGCCAGGAACGTGAAAAGCATTGCCTGGACGGTTGGAGCGCCGCCGCCGATCCTGCGTGTTTGAGACTATATGTCAGCACAAGCTCCGGCTCGAGAAGAGGGCGGCAAAGGTGAAACCTACAGGAGACACGCCGACGACATCAAAATCGCCCAGATCGGGATGCTGTTCGCGGCAAGCACTGCATCAACGTCAGCGAACCAGTCTTCTCCACGCCAGAACAATCCGCAGAGGTGAGCACTTACAGACGACGCAGACAAAGGCCAGGTTTATCGTGAGCCCCGTCGAGGCGATGACTATCACGGGCCGGCGGCCCCAGCGATCCGACAGGACGCCGAACGGGACGATGGTGAGCAGACTGGCCATGGAGTCGAGGGTGCCGACCCAGCCGCGCAGCATGGCCAGGTAGCCCTGCACGTCAGCGCTCTTGCAGATGGGCTCGTCGTGCAGGACGGCTGGGTCCCAGGCTGCCCATGGGCCGGTGCGGGGGTCGTAGTCGGGCGGCGGCGGGGCATCGACCTCGGGGTGCATGGCGCGGCAGATGATGGCCTCCATCATGGCTGTCAGCGGAGGCATGGCCAGGCCCATGACGGTGCCGAGGAGGAATATGATGGAGAAGCTCAAGATGGTGACGCGGGTCCGGAGCCGCGCCCTCTCTGAGTCGATGGCGGCGGCGGCGACATCGACATCGACGGGGCCGCCGTCCAGGTCATTGCTCCCCCCCGATACTTCCGCGGCCGATGAAGACGACGGGTACGACTCGTAGTCCGAGTCGGCCGGCATGCTTGTTGTGGTTATCAGCAGCGGGGTCCGCTCCGACTTGCCCGCCCGCGACTCGACCGTCTCGGCGCCGGGGCCGTCGCGGCGCGTCATAGCTGCCGCCGGCTGGGGTAGCCTGTGGGTGGTGACGTTTCTATCGCTCGACTCGGCGCCAATCGGTTTCGTTGGTTGCGTATCCGTGAGAAATGCTCCCGAAACAGGGTTGCCGTGAGCTGACGCGCAACTCGAACCCAGCAGACAAGACCTTACTGCGGATGACACAAAGAGACAAAGACAGGGGTTGTTTGCTGGGCGAATGCTGCAATGCTTATGCTATGCGCGTAGTGTCTGTATGTACCATTTCCACGCCTATACAGTGATTGGGAAACGAAGTGCACGCCCGGCGGACCAACCTAACCAGCGCAGCCGCAATGGATTGTGAACAAAACCTGGGACGTATTTGTAGATGGATATCCGTGGACTGGTAAGGAAGGGACCCCAACTGGCAGCCTGGCAGCCTGGCAGGAGTCCGAGTAGGGAAGAGGGATTGCGGCTCAGGGCAGGGCAGGGCACGGCACAGGGAGGCGGGCGGGCGGCGGTTGGCGGTCCGTGTTTCAAGTGTCAGGTCGCGATCCTTCCAGGGCTTAAATCAACGACGGGCCTTCTCTGAATCCCTTTTCTTGGATGTAGGGAATTCTAGAGGATTTGCGCGTGCGTTGCGTCTTTCCGAACACGCGGCCCGCCTGCCGCTATCACCTAGGTCGCCTCCGTTCCCGCACTCGGCGCCAAGCTTTTCGGCTCGGAAGCGGCGTCACCACCTAATCTTGCTTTTTGAAGACTCCCCACTGTATTCTGTAAATTTGTATACTCTCCACCTTGGCACCTCCTGTGGCGGCTCTCAATCACCGTCCCGACTTCGGCAGGGCATGACGAGACCAACATGACGAGCTACGTGACAAACGTGTCCGAACTATAGAATTGCAGTTGGAATCCAGACTCCCCAGTGCTATGGTGGGTGTATGTACAGGTTGCATTCTTGTGTCTGTACTGCACACGTGCACGGGATGCGCGTCCTGCTGCGCGTACATAGAGTTCCTGCATTCCCGCTCTCCAGGTGGTTGCGTCCCCAGCGTACCAGCGAACAGTGCGACCAGCCCGGAGTTTGAGATTGTGGTGGTCTGTCGCACGCACGCACGCACGCACGCACGCACGCACGTTACTCGCCCAACCATCTGGTGAGAGGGAAATTGGGCTGGCTTATTCCTGGATATTGTCCAATGCTGGCTTGGGTAGGGTATCTAGATAGTCCATAATGAGAAGATAGCACGCTAATTGCATTTAGCAGGCATCTGTGGATTATTCTAGAATATTTAGGGGCTCCATATATGGGTGAAATCCGTATTCCTGGTGAGGAAAACAGTTAGCCTCTCGCAGGAGAGTTGTTGGGAGAGACAGAACCCTCGCAAAGATACCAACAGCGCAGGCCCGGGACAGGAAGAGATAATCCGTGTGAAATGAAGGAAAAGGGGCATTGGATGCTGTTCCCGTCAAATAAAAGAATGGAGCAACCAAACCCGGGCAAACGCCTCCTCCAGCGCTTCCACTCACAAACGGCCAGCTCATCGCACAGCAACCCAGGGGAGCACGATGCGCTGGCGAGCGGCGAGCGCGCGGGCTCTCACCGCTGTGAAAGCACGGAAAAGTGGGCCCCTCACAGCGGTGCCGTGGAAAGGTATCCATGGATATGTAAAAGTTGAGCATTATCGGCCATGTTTCAGGTGATATGCGCATTTTTACTCTGCCATCTTTTTAAGAGGCAAATATTAAACCTGACAAGAGATGACCCAAGGCGTATCAAAGGTTCTCTCGACCGAGCCCCTCGTAAGTCTGTCCCGCCCTCTCACGGCCCAAGCCTCGAGTGAGCCGCATAAAAAGAAGAAATAAATAAGGCAGCATAACCAACCCTGGCGAACAGCTCGAAAGCGAGGCGGTGTGGACAGCTCTGGTCAAGTAAATCCATCCCAAACCCTTCCCCCGGGATATCCAACCGGGCGACATCTGACAGCCAGCCAGAACAACATACAAAGACCCCACGGGCACCACGCGGACATGGGAGTACGCTGAACGACGAACGAGGCCCCTGGGCAGTGAAATCGACGGCGTAGGCATTGTTGCGATACTAGAAAAGGAGTCGGGTATAGCAATTTCCCGTTGGTCCTCTGGACAAACCCATAAAACCCACGCCAACCGTGTTGACGATGCAGGGCCCGAAATCGTGCTGCAAAAGCAGTACCGCCCGCCGATTGACAGGGTCGTCATCGAAATGCCGGCCGGGCTGGTCGACGAGGGCGAGACGGCCGAGGAGGCGGCCATCCGGGAGCTGAAGGAGGAAACGGGCTACGTGGGACACATCCTCGAGACGTCGCCCATCATGTGGAACGGCAAGCTTCGCCATATCCTTGCTTTTTTTTTCCCCCGTATGTGCGTCGTCTGGTTTGCGTTATTTCTGACACTTTATTATCCTGCGCGCCCTTGCCGCCTCAGACCCCGGCTTCTGCAACACCAATCTGAAGATGGTCCACGTGGGTGTCGACATGAGGCTGCCTGCGAACCAGAACCCAAAGCCCGAGCTCGAAGAGAACGAGTTCATCGAGGTGTTCCACGTCCGGCTAGCCGACCTCTGGGAGACGTGCATCAAGATGGATAATCTGGGGTACGCCATAGACGCGCGCATAGCGAACATCGCCGAGGGCATCGAAATAGCCAAAAAGTTTAAACTCTAGACCGTCCGAGGAGTGAGAAAAACACCATCCTAGAGGAGTATAGAAAGACAGTAACGGGATAGAGGTGGAAACAAAACAACGGGTAGACGTCCAAGCCGGTTAGAGGGCGTAGAAGAATACTAGACCTTTCCTTCTCTGTGCAAGCCTTCCCACAGGGCCAACGCAGAAAGACTCTTTGCATCTCTGGCGCATTCCCTCCACAGACTCTGCATCTTGACAAGCTTGAGAGTGATCTTCTCGCCCTCGTCACGCAGGCCCGTCAGGCGGCCCGTCCACTCGCTCAGCTGCTCCCTCGGCACGCGACGCTGGTGCAGGAAGATGGGAATGTACTCATCACAAGCGCCGGGCGACGGGTACACAGCGCGGGGGAGGTTGCCATCCTGCGTCTTGGTCTCGGCCGCCCCCGCCCCATCGTCAGACGGCAGCGCTGCCAGCTCGCTGAGGTTCGTCAGCTCGGAGGCGGCGATCTCGAGCCCGAGCTCCTCGTACATCTCTTTCGCGGCGGTGCCGGCAAAGCTGCCGGCCTCGTCCACCATGCCGGCGGGGATCTCGACGAAGCCGAGACTGCCGGCGGCCACGCGCGGCTGAACGGTGAGGAGCACGTAGCGCTCGTCGGAGCCGGCGGGCGCGTCGTCGGGCACCAGGACCACCAGCATGGCCACGCTGGGCCCGCGCAAGAACACGGCGCCCGACAGCTTCTCGCCCGCGCCGTTGGAGACGTCCGACGTCAGCTTCAGGAAGCCGACGCGCTGCCCGAACAGGTCAAACGCTTGCACCGTGACAGAGCGGAGAAAGTACGGGTCCGAGTGGAACGGGTGCGAAGGGGTGTTTGTCTGCAGGGCCAGCGAGTTCTTGAGCGTCGAGATCCACGACTGTGGGCTCTGTCATTAGCTCGAGGCACATAGAAGTTACTTGGTTACTGCTATATGGCACATCTCGGGCTGCTGCGTGTACAGCCGTATCCACCATATAGGCAGGCACTTGTGCTGAGACATTTGACATACGGCAAAAGGGTAAAAGTTTAGGACTTGCTCTTGCGAGAGTCGGTCGGGGAGCGTGACGGGGACATCAAAGTCCGGGTGGTGGAAGGTCGACATGGCAGCAGTTCTAGAGCCTACGCGTTGTATGGCGAGACCGCGGGGGCACCAGCTAAGGACAGAAGCCTGCGGGATGCACGTGGGCCAGCGGCGGACGATGGCTGATCTGCTCTGGTACAGCGCCGCCAGGGTGATTGGCATGATAATAAATAGACAAATTCGTGTCAAGAGGCCTCTCACCATCCCGAGGCTGAGCCTCTCCGAGTGCGCATCTCGTGGGCGTTCGGGATTAGGTTGTTGGAGGGCTGCACTGTAAGGCCCCACTGTGAGGGGAAATTAGGGGCGGCAGGCTACAAGGCACGCTTCAGGGCTGCCAAGCTGGAATAGATCCGTGCCTCCTTCCCCTAGGCCGCTAAAAGGCGGACCCTTCCATGCCGAGAGCCGAATGTTCCAGGAGTGTCCCCCGGCCCCACAGTTGACATCACAGACGTCACATGACGAGGGTTGAATAAGACGACAGGAACCTAATTGCGTCATGATCGATCGATCAGAATAGCTCAAGTGCCGAATACAAATATTGGGCTCTCCTCTCCTCTTGGTCTTCCGTAAACCACCTGTCGCACAAAAAGTTCTAACATCGACACGACACCCTCAAAACATTCGCCGTGAGAAAACACGCCAAAAAACAACCCCCTCTCATCATCAAGTCATCAGCACATGGAACAAAGACGCCTCGCAACGGAGACGGATCATCCGACAACTCCATCGAATCCGGCCACAACATCATCCACGGTGCCGGCGAGGAGCCAGTAAGTCTGACTTATGCCACCAGAATTGTCGTGGAAAGAAGTTGACTGACAAAGCGCCCCCAAAGTCGACTCGAGACAGCCGAGCAGACAAGACAGCCCCGGTGCCCAAGGTCGAGAAGGGCGCTGGTCTCGAGGGCATGAACGCCAGCGGCGGACAGAGCCAAGGGCTCGCCCAGGGTCCAGACAGGGGCCAGGGTGGCCGGTCCAGCACCAACTGATTTCTATTACATGCTGGACTTATGAGCGGCCGTGCGAATTCCCAGAATTGCTCAGGTAGACTCCATGCTCTGCGAAACTCGCCACGTTTAGTGGCAGGTACATAGGCATCAGGGTCATTGATTTAAACGCCAATTGAGACGTTGAATTGTGCTCTGGAAGAGTCGGATGTTTCAAGACAATCAAATGTGAAGAAAAGAACTCGCGTACAGCTTGAAAGCGGCACGGACAACTATTGTTCCATCTCGCCACCGAATGTTTGCACTACAATTCTACCATAGTAGTGCCCACAGATGATCGACATGGCCAGAGAGAATAAGGGTGTTGCTCTTGCTCTTTCTACCCTCTGAAGAGTCTACTCCACAGTATTCGTCACAGCTATAGGTGGTTAGCCAGGCCAGTTTAGGTAGATCACAAGTCTATTTAGTCCTGGCCTAGTGCCTAGTTAGTTCACTTGGGAGAGTGCAATAATTAGACACGTCCGCCCTCTGGCAGAGTGTCAGGGATTATTGAGGAAGAAACGGCATATGTTTGATTGTACGCTAATCACGCTCCCACTATCTAATTATTCGATATAATTCCTAATTAGCGACCACATGGACTACCGTATATGGTTGTAAGGCACCTACGTTCGGGTCCATCCCCGTTCTCCAATATGCGGTGCCAAATTATTGTGCGAATTTCTTGTGATAAATGCACGAACTAGGGGGGGGGGCAAATCAACGACCACGAAACGACATGTGCCGATTTTGTGGGATTTCAACAACGACGGATGAGCGCGTTTTTCACCGCATCTTGGCATGATCGCGTCGGCTGAGATAATCCGGGGCAGCTGCGCCTCACGTTCGTCGCCCCAGCGGGACGACGACCCGGCTCCGCACCACGTAGGTACTTGGGCGCTGGGTATACGTCTTGAAGATGAACGCTGACGACGATGAACACGTTTGTGCCGGCGCCCTTGGTCAAGATTCTGGGGCCATCTTCCGCCCAGTCGACGATGGCACCGGGGTATTTATATTTCGGAATCTTATATTCTTCGTCGTCTCGATGGTGTTGTTACGGGGCACTGATTATTCTTTGGCTTGCACCGCAAAGATTACCGACCCCTGGCATATCTGCGCTCTGAATGTTGCTCGGTTGGAAAGGTCGTTGTGAGACTGCCGCCAAGCTCAAAGAGCAGGATGAGCTAGCTCAGGTAGCTGAGATAATTCTCACGAAAGACACATATATAGATGATGACGCAAAACCATGAGTTTCGGGAAAGGAAAGAATATATATTATTCCAATCCGAAATAGCCCTTTGCCGCTTGCGACAGTAGCCGGTATCGACTGCGCGCAGGCATGACTTGCGTATCAAATTCTGATCAGAGCCTACTCAAAAGTGACAGGGCGGGATTGCCGTCTTTTGAAATTTCTTGGTAATCAGTAGCACTTTACCTGCCTTACTTACTATCTGCCTACCTACGTACCTTTATTTCCAGGGTTGGTTGGATAACAGCTGTGGAGACAATAGGATAGGACTGCAAGACGAAGCTGCGAATGGGACTTCCCCGACTTTCCGCGGGACATTGAATAGGGATCCCGTTGAGCAACCGGCTTTGGTAAAATCGTAAAAGGCTATTTCAAACCTAATTGTAGCAATCGCTGCTATGTGCTGCGCTGTCAACATTCCATGTGTTGGGCAAGCATAATATAAAAGTACGTGGTGAATCATCTCATGTCTATTATCTTGCGGCGAGAACAATACAAGTAGCAGCGGGCTCCGGACGTGATAATCTGGAAAGTTTCCGCCTAGATGAATAGCCGCAAAGTCATCTATTGAACGCAAAAATACTAGACTGTTCATATAGCTATCTACAACCTGGAATCTTGCACAATTGATACGATTCTCGTGGAGTAGCTTCTAGCTTCTGCTCAGTTCCCGCTGCCTATATATTTCCCTCCTCCACTCCTTTTTTTGTCTCCGAATCTCTTACCTCTCCTGAGCTCTAACTTGAAAAGAAAGCATCACTTCACACATTTAAGACTACACAAGTCTCACCACTCACAAAATATCACGCCGCCTGTTAGTTACCTCGCTTTGGTAGTCAAGAGGAAAATGGAATATCACATCTCAGCCAAGCGAACACGCCTGCGAGGAATAGCACACACCACACACACCCACACACACACACACACAAAGTGACACAATGGCTTCCACAGTACAAGTCAGAGTCTGGCAGGGCCCACCCTACTTTGTTCTCGAAAACGGTAATTACGAACCATACCATCCCTGCCTTTGCGCAACAAAACCACCAACACATGCTGACCCGCTCCGACTCTGTTCCCTGCCGGTGACAGTTATCATCCCGGCCGGTGCGGCGGTGCACGACGCCGCGAAATACCCCTTCAGCGCGTGGATGCGCCGCGGCGTCCCGCTGCCGCTGCTGCGGAGCGGCAGCCTGCACTCGCTGCACTCGCTGCCGCCCCTCACGGCGGCGTTCTACTTCCACGCAGCTATTGGCCGGTACATCGACAACTGCATCCTGTTTGTCCGCGGCGTGTACAGTGCCGAGACTGGTGTGGGGGAGATGATGGATCGGGGGGGAGAGGCAGAGGAAGACGAGGAGGAAGAGGAGGAGGAGGAGGAGGAGGAGGAGGAGGAGGAGGAGGAGGAGGAGGAGGAGGAGGAGGAGGAGGAGGAGGAGGAGGAGGAGGAGGAGGAGGGATGATGATGAAGATGAGGATGATGAGGAGTTTTACAAGATGGATAAATAGATTGGCGGTGAGGGGTGTGTCAAACGGAGCCACCAGGAAGGAGAGTGGGAGCCAGTGCCTTGCTATCCTAGGCACTGTGCATAGTGATTTAAACTCGCGTGCTCCAGTGAAATCTGACGCGACCTGCAGGGCAGCGTATAGGCACCGGTCCGAGTTCTTCTAAAATCTTGCTGACATCGCGGGCGGGCAATAATCCTAGATAAACTGTCGCTGAATACAATGGAAGTAGGTAAGCTTAGTAAGCTCACTCATCACGTATTGAACCTACAGGAAAATGTTCTTTTTTTGCATTACAATACGATGCCCGGCTCACCGCAGAGGCCACGGCACTACCTACTAGGTACCCACGGTACTATTGTACTAGTTTCACAGAAAAAAAGGATCGGGCCTCACCACTCGGATCCCAATCCCATCAGTACCCGCCTCCTCCGCGAAAATTATCTGACTTTAGGCGCCTAACTCACGTCACTACCTACCCACGCCGTGAGCCCATGGCATCCGAACACGACCTCGCAAAGACACGAGCGATGGCGTCCGAAATGCGCCACAAAGTCGTGACCGTTTAACTATTCTACTCTGAATCTCAGCGAAAGGACTTGTTCCACTCACAGTTTTCAATAGAGAACAACGGAGTGTCCGAATTCCGATATTTAACCCTGCATCCATAACAGCGCTGAATAGCCCCAAGCGGGGAGAGGGAATAGATATCTCAATCACGGAATGCAACAGAAATCTGTCTGTAGGTCTAGACCCAGCCTTGTCCTAGGATAGGAACTACTCCAATCAATGCGCCGACGCCCGAGGAGGTCGGGACAAAAAGAACGCCCAAGAGAGATGGAATGACCAAAGCAAAGGAGACCATTTAGATCCCACCAGCTGAAAATGCATGCCCCAACCTGACTCGCACTAAGGGAGTGTCCGTACGAGGTCCAGCCTCGCAATTCGACTTCCACAGGAAAAGAAATCCAAACTCTACCCTCAACCATTGTAGCCATTTAACTTTCCTTTTTAAAGTTTATAGAATTCAAATTGAAACTCTGGAGCAGAACGAAAAGACAAGAAGGAAAAGCCGAGTTCCTGCCGCTCGCATCACCACGACGTGTAACTAGTCTGGGGGCCCAGCAAGCTGCCGTCGTACATGGACGAGAGGGGGCCCCGCGCATCGTAACGACCATGGCTTGAGTAGCAATCGGACGAGATGCTATAGCTGGGAGCCCCCGAGGTTTCCAGAGCCATCAAACCGGGGTTGTATGGCGGGCTGTTCATGGCTGTAAGGGCGACTGGGTTGCTGCCGTCGGTCCCGAAGCCGTCGTGTGCTCTGAAGCTGGGAGAACCCCACGCGGAGGCGGGGTTACTGGCCCACTGGTAGTTGTGCGCATTGTCGGGAATCATCATGGTTGTCGTCCCAGCCGCGAGTTCCGGCGTCGAGCGTTTGCTGATCGAAAAGGCCCCGTCTGCACAGTACCAGGAGCAACTGTCGGCCAGCGACGTCTGTGGTTGCTCCCCAAGGTCGACGTCATTAAAGCTGCCCATTATCATAAGGCGGTCAAACATGTTTGCTGGGTCTGAATCCGTCATGTGCGAGGAAAGGAGCCTTGTGGTTATCGCTGGCCCCGTAGCAGCCGGCGAGAACGACCCCGTCGTGTTGGCAGTGGACGATAGCGAAGGCGAGGGGGATAGGGTGCTTCGGTCTTGTCTCCTCCGCTGCAAGATGCTGAATCTGTTTTTGGCCGAGAGCGAAGTCCGATTAGCAAAGTGCTTGTTGACAATCTCGGTCCAGTTCCGTCCACACTCGGCCACCTGCTCCAGCAGCCTGGCATCCTATAGACGAGTTAGCGATGCTTGCTATGGGGGAAAATATAAAGTTACCTCTTCTGGTGTCCAGGGGCTTTTGTCGATGCGGGGGTCGAGGCAGTCGTACCAGCGCTTCCAGCACTGATCCCCATTTCGCGTCCCAACGGCCTCGGCTATCTTGCTCCACCGTGCGCCGTGCACCTCAACGGCCTCTCTCAACTTTTGGTCCTCCTCCCGCGTCCACGTGCCCTTCCGAATGGTGTTGGCAATACTGTAATGCCATCGCTTGCGGCAGTCTTTGTTGTTGCGCCCAGGGAGGTAGGCGGCGACTCGGTGCCAGCTGATGGAGCCATGTTTGGGCGCCTCTGAGCACAAGATTAGTGGATCGGCGGACACCAGCAATGAGATACCGATGGGTGAGACAAAGGCGGGGCAGCAGGTTATACTCACCCTTTGCGACGGCACTAGAAAGCAGCCGGTCTTCTTCTTGTGTCCAGACTTGCCGTGTCTTCTGTGCGCTTAGCGGGAAGCCACGCGGGGTATAAGTGCCAGCGGGGGTATTTGCGGACGACATGATTTTAACGCCTGTTAGTAGCATTGAGTGAGCGGGCGAGGATGGATGGCTGTGTGGGGGTAGATATGCGGGCAAGGAGAGCCTGATGGTAAAGGGGCCCTCTGATAGGAATATTTATAACGGAGATATTATAAATCTCAAGTAGGCAAGCCGCCGCCGTGTTTGCTGGGTAGCGTCCATCATGTTGTGGTGACACGTCCAGATCCAACGGAATGACGGAGGAGAAAAAGGAGAGGCTTATGGATACTGTCTTGAAACACGAACACGGACTTGCTCCTTCTAGGATTATGTCGTACTTGCTACGTTCAGCCTTACGGGGCAATGCTGCATTAATCCATGCCGAGAATGTAAGCATGCAGTGTGGCGATCGTAGACCGATGCGTGTGCATGGACGGGGTGGGTAGCCAGGGTGACTCTGCAACCGCGGCTTTGGGAACACTAGCAGGATTGTTCACCATGGTAGCCGGTTCGCTCCCAGCGCCTAGTTTCTTGTCTGCATACAAACGAGCTTGGCTCCCATCCGGGCCAAACTGTGCTACGGATACGGTGCGACGTGACCGAAGACAGCGCAGGTCAGCCACGAAAACAATCAATCCCTAGAACCATACTGACTGGACACGCAGGCGAGCCGAGAGGCCCAGCAAGAGAAAACACGGCTAAGCCAGGCGCTAAGCAGAGAGAGAAAGATGCATTAGCTAAGAATAGGGCAAGAATGAAAAGGATGACAATGTCTTTAGTATCCGACCAGTTTCGGAATTTTCCGGCCCAAAGTGGAGATTGGTTTCAAAAGTCTGTCAAATACCTTCCCTGAGCGGCCAATTAGTCCGGGGGCATTAGTTTTGGTGCGTTTTACGCTGGCTGGCAGGTGGTCTGGCAGATGATAAAAGTAGAAGGCATGTTCAATTGAACTGGAGGGTCTGGGTGACACCTGGAGGCGGCGACGCCGGCAGTCCCCATAGGCCACCGATAAGGCGACAAGACCAAAGCCCACCCCTTTGACCGAATCGAGCCCACTTATGCGAGATTCTTCGAGTGTTTTCGTGGCTCTTTCGTGTGCTCGGTGGCAAGACGTCAACTGCCCAGGTGGGAAGTCGACCGATGCAGCTTTCAAGACACGAACCGGGCCGGGTCTGCAGCCACGGCTGAACAATGACGAACAAGCTGCTGCACTGCGCGCAGTAGCGGTGAGATTAACATAATAACACCGTAGAGCCTATCGCGGCAAGGCCTGGTGCTAAGCATTTGGTTCTGCAGTCGACTACACTGCACTGCACTGCACTGCACTGCACTGCACTGCTTTGCACTGCTTTGCACTGCTCTGCACTGCACTGCGCTAGTAGCGTGCCGCATGCCCGTCATTGTGGCTGGTGACGGCTAGTCACCTCACGGCCAAGGGCAGCTCATTCGGACAGCCAGCCCAGGGCCGGCAAGTCGCACAATGCGAGTTCCGCTCTTCCGCTGTGCCACCCAAGAAACAGGAGAAAGAAGTGCGAAAATGTGGATCCAATATGGCCAGCGAACGATATTAGCGATTGGCTGTCCCGTGGGTTCCCATCGTGGGGGCCGCGCAAGCCACCGTCGAAGGACCTGGAGGTGCTAATACACAAGTTACGGGCGGGCGAGATGAAGACGGGGGGCGAGATGAAGACGGGGGGCGAGATGAAGACGGGGGACGAGATGAAGACGGGGGTCGAGATGAAGACGGGGGGCGAGATGAAGACGGGGGGCGAGAGAAGCAGTGGGTAGCGGGTATTGCGGCATGAGGTAGTCACGAATGTGCCTTCCTCCAACTCTACCTACAGGTAGTCCCTTCCTAATTATCCCGTCCCGTCCGTCTGATGTCTAGCAAGGCGGGTGCATTGCACCCTCCGCTGCTTTGAATACTATGGCCCGCCAACCTTAACTACCGTTGGCGTGCATTCAATCAATTTCAATTCTCCCGTTGACGTGATGCGCAAAAGCCTGCTGCTCCACTCCCGGTCTGCATCAATTCATCGCTAAATCCAATGCTCCCGTCCATCCTACATAACTGCCAGGCTTTCCCCTCGTTGCCATTGGCGTCTGCATTTCCAAATCAGCGGGCTGCGCCCTGCCGCGGCGTCGCGAGTCTGCCAACCTGCGGCTTTCTCGCGACTATGACTCGTTCCCCTGTCAGTCTTGAATCGCCACCCAGGGGCACGAGGACGTGGCCAAGGTAGTGCCTTCCTCCATGCCATGGTCGGTCCGAACGCTTCTGGTGCTCCTCGAAATGCCGCTGCTGTTGGTGCCGCATTCTCAATGGGGGAGCAGGGCAGGGAGCTCACCGAGGTAGTCCCGTCATGGGACGGCCGGCGCGCTGACGTGATTCGAGCCCGAGTTTTGTCTGCCGTGTCATCTGGGGGAGCTGAAGGTGCCCGTGGGGGTGCTGAATGGTCGAGCCCAGACTCTGGCGCAGCGAGCCACGGCGTCTTCACGGCTTCGGTGCAGTTGAAACAACTTAGCGGGCGTCCTGGTAGCAAACCAGACTTGATCGAGCAGTCAGAGCGCGGCAAGTAACGAGGCGGAGAAAGCTGGTTAAGGAGTCAGATCTTAGTGATGCGGTCGTTGGGTTAGAATCATGGACTAATACGGGGGCTTACTAGCGTCCTTCGTACGAATATTCAAAGTATACGGTTCGCTTTCAATTTTCGTGTAAGACACATCAAACACGGAGGATACGAGGTAGCTTTGGTCGTTGGAAAGGTAAATATCTCATGCACTCGTGTTTCCAGCGAACCCAGAACATACTCGGTCCATTCTAATATTCCCCACAAAAATGAGCTTTCAAAGGGGGTATATCGATGGTAATAATATATGCATGAGCTCGGATTAGGACGCCTAGGCATTCCTAGCACCTGGTACGGCCGTTCTCGTACGAGGCTCGTTCATGAGCTATAAGGATTAAGATAATTCAAGTGTCTGGAGAACCTAGTTGGGAGCATAAGAGCTTGGTTGAGAGGTATCTAAACTAAAACAGCCAAATGAGCGAAGTATATGTTGCAAATCATAGCACAATAATAGCCATAACGTGTGTGATAAGCGAGATGAACAGACAAGCGAGTTGAACAATTTCCACAACCTCACCACAACTACCCTCAATTACACAACCACAACACTAGGAAATAACAATAACTGAATCGGAAACAGATGAATCAGACGATTCTGCAGCCTCCTTGCACGTACGTGCATTATGGCCAGGCTTGCCGCATACGCCACAGCATCGAATCTTCGTACGAGACCCCCCTGCACCACCACCATTTTGTCGTGTTTCCTGGACCAACTGCCCACCCACAGCCTTCTGATCCAGTAGATCCTGTGCCTCTTGTACAGTAAGTGATCTTCCAAGCCGAACACGTGTTTTCTTGGCTCTCCGTCGCTTACTAAGCCCCTCATTGGCCTTCCGAAGTGCTGAGACCTCTGTACGCAAAAGAGCCACCTCGTGCATCATAGCCATCGTACCTTTAGCTAATCGATCCACAGCAGTCAGCATTGGTGTTGGAGAGCTGCCCTGATGGTTGGAAATTCGAGTTTTGATGAACGCTGACTGTGAGGCAGCCTCTCTCGGGTTTTGTGGCGTTTGGGAGACCCAAGGTAGCGATGTAGTTGGGCTTGTAGCTGGGGGTGTTGGAGTCCGAATACGCACATCCAGCTTGGATATCACCCTCTCTGGATCGTACGGCACAAGGCCGGCTCCAGCAAACCCCCCCTGGATATTCCTTTCCGTAACCGAAGCAAAAAACGCCTCTCTAAACCCACAAAGAAACTCCAGCTTGCTAATATGTGTGATGTTCATCCGCATCAGCTGCTCAATCTGACAGCCGTACGCCTTCTTCAACGGCCCAAAGCAACCAACATCCAATGGCTGAAGTAGGTGTGAAGAGTGCGGAGGCATACAGAGTGTGATGATGTTGTGCTCCCGGCAGTAAGTCTCGAATTCTTCGGAGTGGTGGCTATCGTGGCCGTCGAGAATTAACAGTCGGTATATTCCCTTCGTACGAGATGCTGTGTGGAAATCGAAGTGCCGAATCCAATCCATGCCTTTCTCATTAGTAGTCCAGCCATTGTCGGTTGTTGCGATACGCCAGGTACCCGGAAGGTTGCACTCTTGATACCAGTTAGCAAGGTGATATTGCCCAGCTAAGATAATGAATGGTGGGATAGTCCAGCCTAGAGCATTCACTCCTTGGATGACTGTAGCCCACTCTCGATTACCAGGCTGGGCTTGCTTAGCCCTACCACGGCCATCAGAGGTAGTAACTACCATAGCGGGGATGATAATGCCCATCATAAAGCCGGTCTCGTCGAAATTGTACAAATCTTCGTCAAGGATACCGTACTTGGCCTTCGTGTTGTGCACAAGCGCAAACCACTCGCGAATAACTTTTGGATCTTCGCATTTGGCCCTCTGGTAGTCGTATTTACGCGTAAAACGCGTCCGAAGTTCTGGCTGGCGCTTGACGAAGTTGTGAGCCCAGCGTGTACCGACAGAGGGCGCGTCGCGTTCGCGTAGCAATCGATTGGCCATATCTTCTACGTACGAAAGCCGGGGATGAAATGCGCGCGCACATAGCTCAATGATGTACTGAACAATCGTTTTCTCTTCCAAATCCGTAAGCTTACGCGAATTGGCTGGAGTATCACGTCGTGCAGGTTTGCCGTCGCGTCGGTTGCGTATAGTATTTACCGTGACTTGATATGTTGTTGCTGCAGCTCGAATACTGAGTTTTGGGTCGTTTTGAATAGCCCTGAGGGCCAAATTCACCCTAGCTTCGTATGAAGGAAGAGACATTTGAGTTTGTTGAGGAATTTGGTGTTTTGTAGAGAGGAGGCGCGTCGCGTCAAAAGTGTTCAACTCGCTTGTCTGTTCATCTCGCTTATCACACACGTTATATCCATGCAATAATGACGAGAAAGAAGTACCATGTCCCGACTAGAGCCCTTGCACGAATCAATTAAGACCTAGCCATAATATCCCGAGGTGTCTGATATCGACTCGGCAAAAATGAACTTGGAAGTGCGGTGCATTATAATTTATAACTTTTGGCTAATCTCCAACATCAGTTAGCACTAGTTCGGGAATGATTTCTATCTCAGTCAAGTTCTACTTGAATTCCTTAATAACTATCATGTTATTTCCAGCGAAAGACTTCACCCCAAGTAGAAAGTTATGGAAAGCAAGAACACCTAAGAACCATCACACTTTATCTACTTGGTTTCAGAGACTGGCTTCATCTTGTTGTTCCAGTACCTCGACTCACAAATGTACTAGTAACGGGGAACTTGGAAGCTTCGAAGTGCACGATCATCTGAGAAGGGGAATTACCGGGAGTCAATCGTTGCTTATTAGTACACTTGAATACAACATGCTTGATAATACATGAAGGGAACCCAAACTACCTTAGTATAACCGAGCCATAACAACAATTGAACGACTATTTAATGGCCAACCGAAGAGTTTTCGTGCAACACTAAGATAGACTGGCATGGGCCAAAGAATCCTAATTACTTAAATCAACGAGCAGAAACTATTTCGGCCACATTCCCAAATTGAAGCCTCCAACTGTGAATAGTAATTAGACACTCGCCGTGTTATCCGCTTCGAATTTAGGCCCTCCTTTCTTCACGCAGCCATGATGACTGATGACTTGACGCGTCCAAGGTACCACTGGTAGTGCTCTAGCTCAACGTGAGCTCGTCGGGGAGCCCGATTGGTTGCATGCTGCGCAGCCGACCGACGTCTGCTCCTCTCAGAGACATGCCATGACCGATCAATGATTCAAACACGTCCAACGATAGGTTGAACTTTCTCATGACTAACCCCCTCCCTCATCTGAAGCGCCGACAAGCGCCTGGAAAATCAAAGAATAATCACGGAACTATTGAGACATTTCACTCCACGTTGAAATGGCAAAGAGGACCTCGTTTGGGCATTTTGAAATGCAGCGACCGATGCAGCCACCTCAAACAGCGGCAACAGCATCATCACCACTGCCATCGGCCGCATCCGAACCCAAACTACCAGCCACCACCAATCCTGGCCCCGGACAGTTTGCGACATTCCTATCATCTCAGTACCCCGGCAGCCGGTACGAGACGGAGCCGCTGAGCGGCGGGCTGGTGAACATCACGGCGCGCGCGCGTCTTTGCGAGCCGAGCAGCAGTAGCAATAATGCCTCGCTCGAGGATGGGGAGCAGCAGCAGCCGCCAGCAAGTCTCGTCATGAAATATGCGCCGCCGTTCATTGCGGCCGTCGGCGCGTCGGCGCCCTTCTCGCAGGGCAGGCAGGCAAGTAATTACCTCATTGCATATTGCCTCTCTATCTGATTAATCGGCGTTGTCTGTCACAAAGTCGATACGGTTCTGTTAAAGGTCGTGTGTGTTGTGTGTTCCCCTCTCCGGCTATAATACTTCAATACCAATACAATAATACCTCATGCTGGCGATCAACCAGGAAGGAGACATTACCCTTGGTCACCCAGACTACAAACCATAGCCCATGAACCCCTTGCTAACACAACGAGCGCGACAAAGAACAAAAGACAGTCGAAGCCACGACGCTGAGGCTCTTCAGCCCCGACGGCCCGCTGGCGGTACTCAACGCAAGAGGGGGAGAAGGCGTCACAGTCCCGCGGCTCGTGGCGCACGACACGGCGCGCTGGGTGCTGGCGATGGAAGACCTCGGCGCGCAGCTGGCGACGTTGTGGGATGTGTTTTTCTTCTCGCGGACTAATAGTAGTAGTGGTAGCGTGTTCGCCGAGGGCGCGGAGTTCTGCGCCGAGATGGGCCGGCGGCTGGGCGCGTTCATGGCTGCCGTGCACAGCCCCGCGAGCCTCGGTGCCGTGTTGTCGTCGTTATCATCGTCACGGGGTAAATCCGGCGGTGGAGATGGCACGGCGGAGACAGCCGCAGCAGCAGCAGCCGACGCAGCAGCGATTGTGTACAGCGCAGCGGTAGCACCTGTGCTAGCGCGGCTGCAGGAGCAGGGCGGGCTCTCTCCGACGACAGCATCACGACTATTCGAGCGAGTACACAACGACGCGGTTCGGACACAGCCGTACGCCGGCGAGGCGTGCCTGGCCATGGGCGACTTCCACCCGGGGTCGGTGCTCGTGTCGCGGCCACTAACAACAAACCCGGCTGCCGATTCTGCTGCTGCTGTGCCGGTGATAGTGGCGGCGATCGACTGGGAATTTGCTGTGGGGGGCGACGGGGGGCGGGGCGTGAACGGGGACATGGCGCAGTTCCTGGCGTCGCTGTTCGCGTTGTTGGTATCGCTGCGGTCGCGGTGGGCGGGCGACGGCAGCGGCGTGCGGCAGCTGCGCGAAGCGGTCGTGGCGTTTGTGCGGCAGCTGTGCCGGACGTACGCGGCGCGCTCGGCTGTCGTTGGCAGGGTGGCGGCGGCAGTACTCGAAAGGCGAGCAGGAGAGGGCCAGAGCGGGTGCCTCGCTGTCGCCGAGGACGGTGCCATGGCCATCTTCCGGTCGGCGCTGATCTTATTTGGTAGAGAGACGGTCAACCAGGCTGTCGACCTCCAATGGGACATCAGCAACGGGCCCAGCGAGTCGTTGGTGGCTGAGATGGTGGCGGCCGGAGCGTGGTATTTGGAGCGAGCGGGAGACAGCGTCGAGGAGATGCTCCAAGACGAGAACTGGGACAAGCTGATGCACGAAGACATGGGATTTATGCTGCAGCTCTTTGGGATAGAGACCTGAACAAGCATTCGTATTAGCGACCCCTGAAGTCCGCGGGAAGATGAATACGCTACGGCCTAAAGTAGTCGGGACATGGTTTTAAGAATGGCAATTAACTATGTATTATATGCGAGTAATATGTATCAGTGAGATCATGGATCGTGTACCTATATAGGCCGGGGTATCTAGTGTTGTTTTCTATCATGTGGAGGCGTAAGAAATCGAGCGAGCGTGGATGGCATGGTTGGTGGCAGGAAAGCATGTCACCGTAATATGGCAAAACACCAGTCCGTCGTCGCCTCGTGCCCGGTCTTCAAGGCCGTCTTCATCCAGCAACGATGCGCATCGCCGACGTCTCCGGCGATGAACCCCCATCCGCAGCCTGTGCATTTGTCCAGCGTTGCACACCGATCCATGCACTGGGCCATATTTGTTGTGGTAACGTTGAGAATATCTGTCGCGCCCGAGCCGCTATAGTCGACGCCACAGAGGCGCAAGAACGACTTAGTCGAGCCCGGGACCTGATATATGGTGTTATTCGCGGCAGGGCAATCCGAGACAATAGCTGGTTTCGAGGTTGCCGGGACGGCCGTCGATGTTGCTTGCATCTGGGAAAGAGATGAAGTGGAGCTTTTGGAGCTTGTGGTTTCGGTGGTTTCTGTTGTTGTGGAGGTAGATGAAGAAGGATCCGGGGTTGCTGCTGTCAATGCAGAGCCGGGGCGTATTGTCGTTGGGGAAGGCGAGAAACTAGCAGGCGCGTGTCAGCAGCGAAAACAAGAGGCACAATTACAAGCGCACATGCGCATACTCAGGTTTGGACGGACCTTGACATGGCCAAAGACTCGTCGTTGGCGCGCTTTTTCGAGAGTCCAACGCCGACGCCGACTCCCACGGCTATGCCAATCAGGAGGAGGGCAGCCAGTGCAGCCAGCATCCAAAGCATCTTCTTGCTCAACCGTGAAGAGCTTCCGTCGCTGCCAGCCGAGCTCCAATTGCTGTCGTGGACAGCATTGCCAAAGATTGGGTAACTGCGCCCATTGTCTCCTTCGGCATCGCGGACGCCGGCAACTCCAGCGCCCACTCCTGCGGCCGCGCCATGGCCCAGCGGCTCCTTCTCTCTGCCGTCGAATTCAGGTGGCGTCGGAGTGCCCTCGCGGTAAAAGGTGTACTGCGCTAGGTTTGCATCGTTGTTTGCGACGTTGTTGGTGTCAATTGTATCATTGTCGCGGTCGTCTGCCCAATATACCTCGGGCACAGCTTCAGCATCGCCGAGTTTTCTGTGCGGGTTCGCGGCTGCTGGGCTGTAGATGGCGAGTCCGGAGTCGGCATCGGCGTTGGCGTCGGGGGCTTGCTCGGCGAAGCGGACGCGCTGGTGCGGACCACCCACAGCCAGTGGATTGGTTTGCGGAGGGTCGCCCATCGGACTGAGCTGTCGGGCGGCTCTCTCAGCAATGCGGTTCGGCTAATAGAGCTGGCCCATCTCTCGGCCGGTCTGGTTCTCTAGGGAATCCCCGTCAGGTGCGTGCCGTCCGTCCCACTCGTTCGTGTCAAAGCGTTGATTCAATAGCCAAGCTCCAATTGCTAAGAAGCCGAGTGTTGTCGCGAGGAGAAGCTGTCAGTCGATTGCGCCGGAGCGCATTGCACTGGGTGGGAAAAGGGAGAATAGAAGAAAGAGGCAACGAGAGAGAGGGGACAAGCGAGGAGTGGAGGTGTCAATAATCAATATTGAACAACCCCTGCTGGTTCGTCTTCCTACTTTGTACACTACATAGTAGATTCTGTAGTCGGAAAGATGGCAGTCTCGGCGAATACGACTTCCTGATCGAGACTCGTGAAGGCCCCCAGTCGCCAGTTCCTGCCTGGGAGCCAGGGAGACTGGGTGTGGCGTTGGCGAAGCCTCATATCCAACCCTCGCAACCCTGGCAGCAAAATGCGCCGCTAAGGACTGCCCGCTCCTGCCCGCCTCTTGCGCCTTTCCAGAACGAATCGCCAACCCCGGTCGCCGTAATCTCGTCAAATTGCCCGCCCAGAGTCACAACACCGCCGCTTGCACCACCACCGCGATCCGCGTCGTTGCGCGCTTTGGCCCCCCCTTTTGGAGCACGATACGACGTTGAATGAGCAGCGTCCCCAGCGGGCGGGGCCAAAGTGGTGCTCACGTGGGGCTCTCGGGCTCGGGCTCTCGGGCTCTTTGATACCCACCTACCTTCCCGTCATGTTGGCAGTGGTTTCCCCAACGTCCAAGCTTGAAGCTTGATGATGTCGTTATCTCGTTCGCGAATCAAGGAAATGGAAAAAAGGAAAGACGGACAAAATCGCAACCAACTAACCCGCCCATCCTGACCGTCGAACGGCCCGGCTGTGTCAGACATGAGAGATCCCACCGAGATCCTCCGTTGGTCAGCTCTCGGCGGCGTCGCAGCGGCGTGTTGCGGCGTGGATTGTCGGCAACTGAGAGTTCCCTCCAAGTCTAGTGTAAGCTAAGACTAAGAGAAGCCTTTCCTTCGCGTCCGTCGTCTGCCCCCGCATCGTTCAGTTCGAGAAGCACAACCACGCCGCCTGTACCAACTCCGCTCTGCACGGTGCCGCCGTCACCACCGCCGCCGCGTTTGACATGGACTGGCGCTCCATTTTTGCCAGATCCTCGTTCCTTCCGCAGCGCTTCCTCTGATGGCAAACACTGCTCTCTTGCCGGGTGCCTTTTTACGATACGCTGGCCGTGAGTACCTAGGTGAGGTACCTTGCGGATACGATTACAACAAGCGCGGATAGACACGGAAAGACGCGTTCTCACGTTGGATGGCTTGTTCCACGGCGCAGACGAGGTGAGGTGAGGTGGGCACCGCATCTCGGGGTTGCAAACCTAGGTTACCTTACCTAGTCGGCTGGTCCTGCCATCGTCCATCACCGGAGGTTCGCACGACTGCCGGCGCTGCTGCTGCGAACATGTGCCACAGACGTGCACGTCATGCCGCAATCCCTCTAGGCCCGTCTCCAATCATTATCCTGTGTTGGATCCTTCTTGTTTTGCCTAGCTCAGGAACGCGCGCGCACATACATTGTGTGTGGGGGGGTGTGGCTCAGCGCCCAGCTGGGGCTCATGTGACTCTGGCCTGGTAATATCATATAGCCTGGCGTGCCGCTGGAGATGGGTAGCACCGGGTCGACAGGGCCCCCATCTCGTCGACGAGTCCTTGCTCAGGGCCCAACCAACATATCAACAACATCCGGGATTGCTGGACCTGAGTGCTGATCAGTATTACTCGCTCTCGGTGAGAATTGAACTCTCGGTTACCTCCTGTCTTCTCAATCTCACGCTGCATGACACTTACTTAGATGGTCTCACAAGCTTGAAGTCTTTGACTAGCAAAACAGGTAGTCAACCCCTCTGAACATAATATGTACATCTCAAACATAGCCGCCGTAACTTTTGGATCGAGGTCGTTCACCCCGAGTTCACTCTCTGCCCGATAAGACTGGGGTTGTTGTGTAAAGGTGTGCGAAATTGGACTCGGAGACTTTCACTGTAGCACTTGGCTCTGACTCTGAGAAGTGATATCTCGTTTCCATGTTCATCTCCATCTCTCTCCCTTCATCCGCATTCTCAATTTTCAGTCTTTCCTGACCAACTGAGCCATGGTTTCACATAACCTTGGCCCGCCAAAACCAGGAACGTAATTAGTGGGTAAAGATACGAGGCAATTGGCCGAATGGCCTGTTTGATCCTTGGTGTCTCGTATAAGCAGTGCTTTTAAGAATCAAATCAAATCAAATAAAGTCCACTTCACCCATGCACCCTGGCAGGCGTGTCTTCTCGTAACGTTGTAAGCAACACTGAGCACAGGGTTTATTTTCCCGGATCTTCCGGATAATAAGTGACAACTATTAAAGGAGTCTCCCGCCGAGTGCCACTGAAATGGCGGACGGGTGCATCGTCCTCACTGCGACGGCGAGATGTGTTGTGATTGTGGACCCTCACAGCTTACACACCAAGAGCCTGGACTCGTTTGAATTAATTACCTTGCTTCGAGAAGGCGGTTCCTTCAACTCGGAGTTGATTTGAAATTACAGGGGGACAAGAAACCTTCATTTAATCATCTTTTGCTCACCTCTCACACTTATTTTTCTTCTCAAAGAAGCTAGGTATCACTATGGATAGATGATCTGATGAACCGGAGGAAAACTGTGCTGCCGTGTGTGAAAAGGGATAGCAACAAGAAAAGCCGAATGAGAAGAGCCGAAGCCTCTCGGCTGCGCTGTAATAAATCTCCGTAGCCATAGACCGGCTCTCCACGGAAACTCACACGTCCGTGGAGGTAGACTCTGCGCCATCGCCACCGGCGCCCCGTCGCCAGTACACAGCGGTGCTCGAGAACATGTAATTCAAGTCGGGAAAGGCGAACTTGTCAAAGGCCGCATCCATCTCGGCGATGGGGGCCAGGAGCGGGCCGCTCGCCGGGTCGAAGTCCTTGACCGTCTGCCACTCGCCGAGGCCGGCGCCGATGAAGATGGCGGGCAGGCAACCACGGAGGGCCTGGTGGTACGTCGGTAGCTCCATGTGGATGCCAAAGACCAGCGTGGCCTCGTCGACGAGCGCGAAGGCGGCGGGGCTCTCGGCCACCTCGAGCCCGACCGCCGCGCAGAACTCCTTGTCCGTCGGCGTGAAGCACGGCTCCTGCACCACGCACCTGATAGCCGCCGCCCGGCCGTTGCCGTTTCGGGAGTCTGGCGGGGAACACACACACGTCAGTGGCTCATTTTTGAGACTTACACTGCCTAGTCCGTATTTGGTTGGCACTTGGCTGGCAGGAAGCACCTACCTATGGTGCGGACGATGGATCGGAAGGCGGCCGTCTGCATGTGGGCGGTCCGCCGGGCAGCGAAACTCCCGTTACTCGGGTCGTAGGGCCCTGGGCCGAGGAAGACGGCCTTGGTGACGATTGGGCGGCCCTGGGCTGCCGTGGCCTCCAGGAGGATGGCCTGCAGGGACTTCCAGCACTCGGACGAGTTCCAGTCCTGGGTGGCTGCCTCGTGGTGGCGGTGGATGTCGCTGACGGTGAGCTCGGGGTTTGGATTTGGCCGGAGCCCCCCGAGGTCCAATCCCGGTTCCAATGCCAAGGTTACTGGACTCGGGCTCGCGGCGTCGGCCCCTCCCGCGGCCGGCTTTGACTTTGAGGCCTTGGCTATGTGACGCAGGCGGCCATGCTTCCGGCCGACCTGATTCCACTCGCCTTCCTTCCCTGCCATTTTGGGCTGGGTTGGGAGTTGTGGCCAGCGGGGGTGTGGGATGTGGCGAGAACACCCTGATGGCCGCTGGTGTGCATTCGATTGACTGCCGACGCGAGAAATATCCGAGAAGGTTGACGCGATAAGAAACCCGATAGGCAGAAACCCATACCGCCTGCCGTTTGTGGATTGCTAGGTACTATGTACATAGCACCAGCCTTGGCAGATAAGCAGCGCCAGATAACAGTCCAGGTGTGTGACAGGTCGGCGCGCACCACCAGGTTGCCCTGGGCACTGAAGCCACTGTAGTGGATGCTGCATCCATTCGGGCATCGTGGTGGTCCTGTCTCGGCCCAATCTATCTGACCGATCATTCACAGCCTGATAGAGTGTCATTGTCGGACATTCGAGGCATGCGTGACCAAAAAGTGATTTACCGATCTGCCTGGCTAAGATGGGATTCACGATGGCCTGTTATTGGATGCCTTGCCCGCCTTGAGGGTGGTTGTTGCTTGGACGACACTATGCCCCTGCTCCCTCAGCCGCCGCCGCCACCACCACCCCCGTGGGATTTTGGGATTCGGGATTTGCATTGGCAATGTGACGAAGATCGCTGCCAAACACCTTAATTGAACCTCGACTCACCTTCATGATCTGCACTAGTCTCTGCTCGTTTCGCGTCATACAGATTTGTTTCGCCTTGTATATAACCATTTGACTTGAACTTGCCAATTTCGAGAAGCAGGACGGCAGTCTGTTGTGCGCGTCTTATATACTCTTGGCGTGTTAGTGAACAGGATCGAGTCATAATCGACAACTTGGGGGCCGCCACAGCCTCGCGTGCCCTTGCTGCCGCACCGCCGCCCAGCACAGTCACGACGCCAAAAGAGACCATCGCAGGCTCTGGATCCAATCCGCTACCAATGGCGCATTTCCCAGACTGGAAAAAAGTGCCCATCCCCGGCTTGTCTCTCTCAGCCAGCGGCCTCCTCGCGCTCGCCGACCTCAGCACCGTCGCGCAGCGGACTGTCATCTCGGGCGGCGCGAGCTGGCTGGACAGCCTGATTCTCGTCCCGGGGCTGCACTACCAGCAGGCGGCCGACGAGCTTGGCCGGTGGCCGTTTGATGCTGCGTTCATCGACGCCGTCGAAGATGGCGGCGACGACGACAGCAACAGCAACAGCGACGGGGGGCACCCCATCACGTTCCGCATCAACAACGCCGCCACGGCCGTCTACATACAAAAGATTGCCCGCCCGGGCCAGACGGTCACGCTCGACGTTGGGTGTTTGCCCATGGGCCGCACGCGCTTCTGGCTGCGCCGGTCCCAGAGCGGCATGCACGCGGACCTGGGCATCAGGACGGACCTGCCCGACCTGGGCTGGGTCTCGCACCTCCTGTACCTGTGCAGCCCGCTGCTGACCATTGCCGCGCTCGTGCTGGTAATTCTACTGCAAGACTGTACGTTTAAGCGTGCGTTTCATTCGGTCTGGTGTGTCCTCCTAATGCAGTTTCAGGGGCTAGCACAAGGCTTTTGTGATACGCTGTAGACCTCCCACGTGAAGAAACAAGAACCCAAACCGGTGAACAACCTACTAACTCATTCTGCGCAATGTTGACAAATCTCTAGGGTGGGCGCTTGCGTCCCTTCTGGCATACATGGTCTCGCGCTTCCTCAACATCTGGGTGATCAAGCAGCGCGCCAAGCAGCCAGCGCCGCCCATACCACCGCCGAGCAGTAACAACAACACCACCGCAGCAGCGCCAGACGCTCCTCCGGACCGCGTCACCGAGTACCGCATCTCGCTTGGCGGCGGGACCACGCCCAGAAACCGACGCGCAGGCCTATCATCACCATCACCATCATCGAACATCCGGCTGCGCGGCCTGCCGGCCGACCTGCAGGCCATCACAGCCGACGCATGGCTGCGGTCCAAGACGCACGCCGAGGGCTACCTCGAGGCCACAGCCAAGCTGATCGTGTACATGGTGGCTGCCTTCTCGGGCAACGAGTCCCAGGCCGGCTCCATCGTCACCATGGCCCTGCTGCTCGCCAACGCCGCGCTGCTGGCCCTTAGCAATGCCAATGCAAAGGCACTGCAGGTCAACGGCCGCGTCATGGCACCCGAGAGCACGGCCGCGGCTAAGAAGGCTGCTACTACTACTGGTGGGAGCGAGAAGGAGAAGGAGAAGGAGAAGGAGAAGGAAATGGAGTTCCCAGGAAAGGCTGCTGTTGTTGGCACGGCTGCCGGACAAAGCGGGTACAGCGGGTCAGACGACTCGGCAGAAAAGGGGCAGGTTGTCGTGTAAATTAGAATTTTTACCTTGCGTACTTGTATTAGCTGTATCTTGTTGTGCTGCAAGGTTTGGTTGGGTGGTGGGTGAGTTCACAAGGTGGATAGCCGACCAAAGTCTTCGACAATCACCACCCAGGGGCCCGCTGGCCAAATTGTAAGGCATCTGATTTCGGTACAGTCCTCAGAAGATTGCACACTCGAGCCGCGCGTGAGTCGAAGCATTTCTTTTTGTGTGTGTTGTGCTTGGCGAGGAAGAGTCTGTGCTGGCTGTGACTCGCGTTTTTTTAACGTCTCCCCTTTTTTGCTTTTGCACTCCCGTCGTTGGTGGAGACAGCTTTTGGGTGGGTAGGCATTGAAAATACCCGTGCTCCAGGAATGGGAAAGCTACATAACCTCTAATTTGTCAAGTGACAACCTCTTCATCACCAGTCTGAAGTTGGGGGCGGTTGGCGGTGTCTCCTTTTCCTTGGCGTCGAGTTGAGTCACCACAACTTAGCCGGCAGATGCTGCCTGGCCACTGAACTCAGCCCTCAACTCCGGTTCCCTAGGTACATAAGACCTCTTCGCTCACCTTCTTTCGCCCTTTTCCTTTCCTCTTTTCTTTCCTTGCCTGCGGGCAAATATGGTCAACGAATCAATACAGAGAAGATTAGCATGGCCCCTGCACTAAGGATGACACGCTCTTCAAAGAAAGCTAGAACTTTTTTTTTCACTATGATCGCGGCCTCTTGGTTGCGACATGGAGGAAAAATGTCTTCGATAGCCCCTAGTTCGCGGGTGATCGTATTTCCCCCTTGGAGTCAAACCAAGGCTCGTAATGCAGAGGTCCCATTGCCTTGCGCATTTAGCAGCCGGCATAGAAGACGAAGATGGTTCAGAAATTCGTTCTCTTACGCAGCATCTTTCTGAAATGGGGTTGCTGAGCCCTAGGGGGGAGTAGTCTTCGAAATGAGACTCCTTCATTCGTCGGCGTCAGTCGGACACGGTCTAAAAGTATCGCGGCTATCCGCTCAACTGATATCCGAGGTATATGTACGAACAAAAGCCCCTGGTCCAACGCCAAACATTGTATAGCGTATCGTGGGCTCAAGGCACTATCCAAGCGCCGGCCCTCTGCAGTAAAATTGCGAATATGTACAGTGAATTGGCCGTTTCCCAGATCCAAGTCGAGGTTCGGATCATGGACGGGCGGCTTTCGCCTCTACATAGCGCTGGAGTGTTTGCTTTTGGAGCTCCTTCTGCTCCTTGATGATTTCCCACAGCTCTTCGTTTTGCTTACGCAACTCTTCTTCACCGGCAGCAGCCGGTGCAGGCTGCTGAAACGCGGCCATCGCACTCTGGAGAGCATCCTGCGGAAACCCGGGCGAGTTCAATAGCGTGTCGAACCTTGTCTGCGACGGCAAATACGAATTGAACTGGGCGGTGAAAGTGTATGTCCGCTCCGCCTGGGAAGGCTTGGTAACTGTGAACGTCTTGGTCGTCTTTCCTGCTGGGAGAGGCGACACCATGACGATATTAGTGACGGCGGCGTTGACGTTCGTCAGCTCGACAGGCGTCTTGTTGTCGGCAACATCCCATTTCAGTATGTGGCCTTTTGGATGCCCGGTGATGAGCATTGTTCCGTCATAGTTGAGGCTCATGCAAGACGCCGGCCCAACATCAGGCTGTGTGGCACCGAACGCTGACGTGATCTGGACGACGGTCGAGGCATCCTCAGATTGAGGCCCAAGGAGAGGTTTCTCGGCAAAGATCTCGGCCAGGTAAAGCGACCCGTCTTCACAGCCAACGCAGATAGCCCTCGAGCATGGGTCGAGGGAGAAGCAGAGAGGAAAGCTGGGAAAGATCAAGGTCCGCAGAACGTCGCCGGTCTGGTAGTTCCAGATGATGCACGACTTGTCCTTGCTCGCCGACACGCAGAAATTTGTGTCGAGGCTAACACTTGGGTTGGCCGCGAGAGCCGTAATGGCTGCTCTGTGGTTGGAAAGACTCCGCTCGGGCTCGTGCTCGGCAGCCGGGTCGAGCTCAAGCAGCTGGGGGAGTGACCACACGTGAATGCTGGAATCATCAGATCCCGTGAGAACGTGATAGGGCGTCGCGACCACGCAGGATACTGCTTGGACGTGGCGCGGAGGAGTCGACACTAGCCGGCCCGTACATGTCTGCGGAAAGGTCAGCACCAAAAGAGAAAGCAACATAACAGCATTGAAGTCTCACCTCCCACAACAAGAGCCGGCCCTCGGCTGTGCCCATAACGAGGACATCTCCAGCGAGCGTCAGGCATCGTATCCTTTCAGGGAAAGCGACGAAGGCTTCCTGGTTGCCGCGAGTTCTGGAATAGACGTGCACATATGCCTTTTCATGCTGGGCGGCAAAGACGTGCGTCTCACTGACGGCGAGACAGTTTACTGGCACAGAGCTCTTCTTGAAGGTGGACTTGATGCTGTGGGTTGGACGAAGCACGTGGCAGTAGATGCCGACGTCCTTTGCCATGGCCGTATTAGAGCTCAGTGGGGCGCCATATATGGCCGAGACAAATCCTTCGGACAGCATTCTTCTCAAGTGAGTGTCGTTCTAGACCCCTACGCAACTTGCAGCAGATGGCGTAGACACACAATCCAAGTCAGGGGCCAGTCAGTTGAGCGACAGTGGCAACCAAAAGCGAGCAGAAACCACAGCTACGCCCCCGGTTGCCTGAAATCTGTCTGAAGGAAGATCTATGACGGGAAGCCGCTAGGCCCGATATTAAACCAAGGAATACGACTGCTGTAGTTTGCGGCCGATGTGCAAGGCCAGACGGTGCCACTAGTGGCCGGTCGCTTTGATTTGATTGTGTACGACGGTGACAGTGACAGACTGATTGCGTCTGCTGCTGCGTCTGCGGCTGTGTGTTGTTATACGTGTCAAGTGAAGGCAATGGACCTAACCTGACACTGGCTCGAGAAATTCTCCTGCGGGCGGGGAATATTCCGTTTGGGGAAACGGGAGAGGAGGGGCCCGGATTGCGGTTTGTGCCCGATCTGCCTGTCGATCTACTTTACTGCTCGGGATCCGAAGGGAAATCCAAGTGCAAGTAGTGAATATGGCGGCCGGTCAGTGGATGGAATGATGTAGATGAAATTTTTACCAGGTGCAGCAGCAATTGGGACCCAAGCGCGGAAGCACTGCAAAACTCACTGGACGCCACAAAAAAAGACATTGGTCCCCTGCATCCCGCACCTGGGCTGCTCCACTTTCCTGCTCCATAAGGCGTCTTAGTGGCGCGGTGGTTGTGGGTGGGGTTTGAATGAGCCTGGCCAGTTTTGGCTGGGTTTTGGGCCCCCCGCAAGAATGACACCCCATAGTACCTCAACGGCGAGCTAGATTTCCGTCGCCCGCTTGCTTTAGGTTGAACCCGACGGACCAGGAAAGAACAACCTCGTGCAGGCGGGACAGGCGGGAAGGGACGATGGGCCCTGCCTAATAAGACTGAGGTGCGTGCCAGTCAGTGCCAGCCAGGGCAGTGGTGACGTGCACTCGCCCAAACGACATGGAAGTCTACCGCACACCACATTGCAACATTGTTGGACCATCCATTGGACGGCAAGCGCCTCCCCCTCTGAGCTGCCTTCCTCCCACTGCACCGGGCGTATCTGAACTTTTTGTTTACTTGCCGGCCGAGTGATGATCATTACCCCTCCGGCCATCAGCTGCTTCTGCGGCGAGAAGGAAGACGAGAGAGGAGGTGCGATAGTTTTCTTCTGGCGTTCGCAATCCCCACTAGATCCCCTCCACCCGACCTCCACTGACCTCCAGCTGCCACTCGAGGCTCGGGCCAGGAGTCGTCGGGCTTGGCACGCTGCAACTGAGGTGGAAAGCTGGAACGAGGGGAGGGAACCTGCGGGCTGCTGCATTTCTCAGCGACGTTCGGATACATCTCATGCCTTGCATTGTTTATACGCACCGGACTGTATGTACCGTACAGTGCAACCAGCTCTTTTATCAGTCTTATTGCTTCTGCACGAGACAGCCAGCGCTGGCCGACATCCATTTGCCATCAATCAAATCACAGCCCGGCGGCGAGCGAACAATAGTACCCGCATACAATACCAGCCAAGGGAGAAACCCCAATAGAACCCTGCGCCTAGCGTCCCATCCCCTTGTTTTGTTTTTCGTTTTCTTCCCCATTATTGTCCTCGTCCTCGTCCTCGTCCATCCTCCTGACATTTGCCGCTGCACCTGTAGCCCGGCCTGTCATAAGCTCGCTCGGCCCACAAGGCCACCAAGGACCGTCGAATAGCCTTTGCCACTGCAGTCGGCCCAGCCCCCCTGCATCTAGACGTATACTAGGCACCCAGGCTAGAACCACCTTGGTGTTGATTTCGGTCTTGGTCGATTTGGGCGTGTCGTCGGGAACGCCAGGCCGAGGTGCACCAAAGCTACCTACCTATCTTATCATCATCATGTATGTACATACACTCGTACCTGTACCCGAAAGCTCCTCTCCCGCGCCGGTTAGGATAGCTATCTACCTAGAGAATGGGTGCCGTGTGCGCTCGAACGACTAGCAAATAGGTACAATACTTCGGCCGCAAACTACCTACCTTAGCTTAGCTTATTGGCTGTGCTGTACGACGACGGTGCCGCCTCAACGGTGTTGGCACGGTATAGAGAGAGAGCTAGTGTCCACATTCACGTTCGATGTCTTCCATTTCTGTGTCGGTGTCTCGGTCTAAGTCCATATGTTTGCTTCGCTCGCCTTTCGCTGTCTTGGTCCTGGGAGGAGCCAAGGGCGTACTACTCCCTCCCCCCAGGCTTTCCACGCAATGTCTTGTCTATCCCGTGTGGCGACCAGTCCAGTCTCTCGACAGCATTGACAGCACGCACCTGGTATCACGGCATAGGCCTTTTCCCACTGCAACCGCAGCAGCAGCAGCACCCAGCCATGCCCACGAGTACTGCTAGTCTGCCGCCCTGGTGAGAGTCGACGCCGTCCTTGTATCTTCCGTCTCGACCCCCTTGTTCCCAGGGCTCCGGACTGCGGTATGAGCAGTCGGTCGTCGGCGTGCGACACTCGACCTACCGCAAGACACCACAGACTGCTCCATAGGCATGACCCGGCGTTGATGCCAGAACCCGGCTCCCCTGTTACACCCAGTCCTGCGAGTCCTGCTTTCTACCCCTCGTTCAAGATTGGCCCTGACAGGGGCTTGGATCTCAAGAGATCTTCACAAGGATCCGCCCCGCGACGATCCGTCTCCAGCATGACGGCTCTCTTCCCCTTAACCTTGCTCTCGTCCGCTGCGTCAGCGTCAGCTATGCCCGACTCGCCGCCTAATAACCCGCCGGCCGGAAGCGACATGTTGGGCGTTGAAGAGCCCGTGGCCGACTGCAACTTGCCGGAGCTGCTGGCGAGAGATCTCCAAGTGTCCGAGGCTGTTTTCCGTTCAAAGTCCATGACAGCAGGCTGTCCACCCCAGCGTCTCCCTATTTCCCACACTGGCGGCTACTACTCTTTGGAGGGGCGAGCTGTTTCTCGAACCCCGACATCGTGCCACCAGGGGCCGGTGGGGGGGCATTCATCCCATCTTTTAGCTGCGGTCGGTGACCTAACTTCATCTGTTGATGCGGCGCGCCATAGTCATAATGGGCAATTCGACTTCGGACCCGAACGCCCCAACTCGGCCACTGATTCATCAATGGGGATGGAGCCACCCTCCATCCGAACTCGATGGCCGTCCATCACTACAGCGGCCACGTTTGTGTCCGGTCGCTGTTCTTCCCTGGTCTCTCGCAAACCCGTCTCGCCTGCTCTGGCATCCTCATCAAAAATGGACCGCGATCCTAGCCAAACTTGGTTCGACTTCGACCCCGACGCTCCCGCCGATACAGAAAACGGTGGGAGCTCAGACTCGGTTTCATTCACCCCCCGCCCAAAGTCGGCCCTAGGGTTCGACGGAGTTAACGCCATGGACACGACAATGGAGACTGCTGAGGCTAACTTCAAGACTGACACTGCGACGACTACTACCCTCGTGCGCTTTCCGTTCAATGGCGCAAGCACCAGTGAACGGCCGCGGACCGCCTCGGGGCGGGTGCATATGGAAGGGCCGCGCATAGTCGAGATACAGCCGCACATTGTCGTTCCGAAGCGAAGGTCGTCGCTGAAGAGGGAACATCGCCGCGTCGCATCGACTCCATCAGCCGTTTGCAATCGCGACATGATGGGCGATGGTATGTCTGTGAAGGCAGCCGAAGATGACTTTGTGCACGACGGTAGTACGCTCTACTCAAGGTCACCCTCTTTCGCCTTTCCGCCATCAGCACAGACTCATGACAGACATAACGCAAGCTTCTCCCCAACGTCTTGCTTCCCAGATCATCCCAGCCGCGACGCGCCTTCTCCGCCGTTCTACCCGCGACATCCATCTCAAGCGAACACGATAGGAAACAGTGTTGATAGTATTGTCGACCTTGGTGAGCCGTCATATATGGATTCGTCTGTCGAAACGCCCGATATCCACCGAAAGCCACCAACCGCCAGGGTCGGCCCCTGGATCAACGCGCAACACAGAACAACTGCTGGCTTCCGGCCTTCTCGGGCATTCCAAAGCATGTCTCTCCCCAGGATTCCGTTGCCTCCCGAAGTGATCGATACTCTCCGCATTTCGATAAGCTGCTTCCCAGAGACGATGCTCCTCTCGTCCAGCCTATCGATCGAGACGATCCGGACCTACTCCAAAAAGCTCAAGCACGGAGTAAGATCGAGGCCCCACTCGGGCGGCGACGACGGAGTGTCCATGTTCTCTTTCTCGGGTTCTAGCCCAAAGTCGCCGAAGCGCTGGAACTTTTCCAAGCTCATACAACACCGGCGCCCTAGGCATAGTTTCGAGTTTCAGGCCAACCCGGCAGGGCCTAGCTTTCCCGTGGGTGCTCAAGTTCCTGTCACACCCAACTGGACGTCGATAAAAAACATATTCCCGGCGGGCTCAGACTACCTCTGCGACGCCCTGTACGCACACCTCGTGGCCTACAACTACATGAGTACGCTTTGCCCACTCCCCCCTATCCCGGTTCCCGGGCCTGCTCCGCGCTCAAGTCACGGGCTTTCCGGGTATTCTCTGGAAGACGGCGCTCGCATTCCAATGAAGGCTGCAAGCGTGCTGGGGCTGCAGACGCAGGATGAGGCGAGATCGATGGAGCACCCGAACCTGGTGAATCTGTACCTCAGACGAAGCAAGAGTCGGCGACCTAGCCTCCGAGAGTGGGAACGAAGTTCTAGCAACTCGAGCGGCGCTGGCCGGGATTCGGGCAGCAATGGCGGCACTGAAATGAAGACGATGCGCGACATACAGGCTGGGCTTGGACGGTGCATCACCCTTCTCGTCACGACCCTGAAGCTGACGACGGCCGAGTCGGGAACGGTCGAGTGCATGCTCCTTCGCGCGAGGGAGCCCGAGATTCTCGACCCGTTCATGATGCGGGCACTCTGCGAGGCTGTGCGTTGCTCCGAGGAATCTACCAGTTGTTAGATGCGTCTCGCACGTACACACAAACACGATTTGATCACAAAACAAACGAACAGCAGAGGACGGAGCATGTGCCCCGTGCCTCGTCCCCAAATGCAGATACGCCATGAATGATATTTCGGAAACGACAGCTCAGGGCTGTGTAGGATCACAGCAAGCGGGAGACCGCCGGGTTGCCTGCCCTCAGACTCATAGCGATATGGGCATGGACAGTTCGGTGGTTTCGTACAACGAAGCCGTCTGGGAGGGGGTGTTTCTGTCTGCAAACGACTAAACATATCTATCTCTCGCTTGACGGACTATTGCTATTTCGTTTTGCCTTTTTTTCCTTTTTCCTTTTTCCCTTTTCTATCTTGCTTGCTTGCTTGATTTTTTTTTAAAAAAAATCTTTGTCTTCCACTTCGCTGTGGACATGAATACGCCCGGCCTCTTGACTCTACAAAGCATTAATTACGAGCAGGATGACAGTAGATGGGACTATGATTTGGCAGCTTACCTTGGACTTGTGAGGGACTAAGAAGACGTACGTACGCGCGCATGTTTAATGCCCAGCTTTGTATAACAAGCAGCTTTGTTATTTTCTGCAACAAAAAGGCTATGCATACACTGGAGGGTTTGGAAGGGGGTGGTTTTTTTTTTGCTAGTATTAGACATATCACATAAATGCTAAGTAGTCATTACCTTATAATATTCGTTGCCTTATTATGTTTACCTTTTTTATGTTATTTTTATTTGTTTTTTTACTATCATCTTTTGAGTGTGTCCGACATGTTGTTGGACGCCTAATGCTAATGCATTAACTCGAAGCCGCTCAGACTTAAAAGGCCGAGGGTGTCGGCAAGGGTAATATCACCTTACCCTCCAATTCTCCCTTAGCTCCGTTCGGCCTCGGAGCCAAGACCGTTAGCGCGCACCCCTTCTCCACAACTCCACAATGTCGGGCCCGCTTTGTCAACTTCACTGAACCCAAGTGTTCGAGGCTCTACCACCTTTCGGGTGTTACGTGTTTTCCATTTCTCCATAGTACGGATTACGTACTTCACCAGGCTGCCACTACGTAGCCAGATTTGTAATCCTGTGAACAGTTGATTGATACCTACTAGTTGGACTCCCGTATCGCGCCTGCCTCAACTTCTGGACCGGCCCCTTCACACAGGGCACCGCCTCTCAGCTCGACTCCACCCTTGAGGTAATTTCCATCCCAACAGCTCGGGACCGACTGCTCAATTCTTTCGTTTCTCTCTCATCGCGCCTTGTTATCTTCTCGCTTGTCCTCTCTTCGAATTGGCCGAAAAGCGACGGGGGGATTTACCAGGCAGCCTGCCCAGCCATCGTGGCACATACCCGCATCGCGCCAGTAAACGTCATATGCACAAACCCCAAGCCGTAGCACTGCTGGCCCACTAGGGCTTGCGCTTGCCTTCTTCAGTGGGTGGGCCGTCTACCCGCCGACCTTCAGTCAGTACAGTACATACAACACGCACAGTGCAGTGCTAGTAGCGATGGAAGTCATGGACGAGGGTCTTCCCAATGACGGCGGCGAGCATCATCAGCAGGCTGTCTCGCGGCCCCGCGTCACCAACGCCTGCGAAGCATGCAGGGCGGCCAAGGTCAAGTGTCAAGGCAGCGTCCATCAGCTGGGCATTTGCAAGCGGTATGTATGCACATTCGTCTAGGTCCAATGGCTTTCTATCTGCGTCTCTGGGTTCCATTTGCAGCCCACGGATCGAGCGTGGAGATTCAGCCCCCATCCCACCCACGCCCCATCGTCCCCCCTTTTCTTTTGTTTCTTTCCTAACTTGGAACGTCATCTTCTAATGGTTGAGGTCTACTTACTGACTGGCACCTCGCCTTCTCTTGGCTCGCCTTCTAGATGCCTCGACTCCAAGCGAGAGTGCATCTTCAAGACGGGCCCCCGCACCCGGCGGCCTAGACAGCCACGGCGGTAAGTATCCCATCGCGCATCTATACTGGTTGGTACCTACCTAGGTATCTTGCTATCATGGCCACGGCTGTGGCGATTGCACGCCCTTTCCATCCCCCACACATCTTGTGTAACTTCATGCCCTTGACTAACACGCAAAAGAACCAACTCCTCTTCCTCCCAACAGCAGCAGCTGCTATCACAGGAGCAGCAGCAGCAGAGGCCCCACATGCCTCCACTGCCAGGCCCTTCCAAAACCTTCACCATCGACGTCCACATGCCCGAGGACGTCGAGGTGGCTATCAATATGGAGGAGCTCCGCCTCAACCACGAGGGCTTCATCGAGCGCCTCGTGCCCGAGTCGCTGTTTCAAGATGACCACACCGATTATTACCCGCAGGGCCAGTATCACGACTTTGAAACGAATACCGAGGCTCGACTAAGCGGGTCCGGCGGCTCGGTTGCTTCCCACGCCTCGTCATTGCCCCTGGGTGCATCTGCCTTGTCGACGCCCCCGAACTCCTTCATCCCGTCCTCGTCGAGGACGACGGGAGACGGAGGAAGCGGTAGTGGTAGTGGCGGCGGCGGCGGCAGCGGTGGTGCCAAAATGCGCACCCTCGCCAGCCTCGGCCTCCAGCCGCAGTTCAACCTCGACTCCGCCGCGGGCCTGCTGGCTATGTTTCGCGATGTCATGCTCGATAACTTTCCTTGCGTCCTCATCTCTACGGACGCGACGGTAGCGGGATTTGCTAAGGATCGCCCGTTTCTCCTCCTTTCTGTCTTGTCTGCAGCAAGCAGTAGTCGGACTATTCGTATGTATTTGGTGCCGGAAATGCGTCCTGCTCGCTTTTTTCCCCCCCCTCTCTCTAACCTGAAAGCTGACCACAACCGCATGTGCAGACGGCCACAGCTTATACGACGAAGAATTCCGGAAGATTTTGGGCCTCAAGTTCGTTGCCGGTGGCGATAGGAGCATTGAGCTGCTTCAAGGCTTGAATGTTTACGTTGCGTGGTAAGCACCCCCCGTCTCCTTTTTTGACCATTCTACTTACTATTTGCTTGGCAAATATGTCCGTTACTGTTCTTGTTTGCTGCAAGACACAAACGTAATTATTGTTAGCCTATTTTTGCCAGAGCGGAGGCGCCTTCTTACTCTATGCTTTGCACATCTGTTATCACATCAAATTTACCTCCTGGGTTGCCGGTCCATTGTCTATCACGTATGCGTGCTCACCGGCCACCTTGCAGGTATCCTTTCCACCTCAGACCGAAGAACAAGCAGGCTTTCCAATATATTCGCATGATTGTTGACATTGTCACCGACCTGGAGCTTGACCAAGACCCTGGCACTGATAAAGTCGGTGTAGCACCCAGTTCTGAACGACTCAGCGAGATCAGGACGTACCTGGCAAGTTACTACCTGGCATCCAGGTATGCATGCTCTCTCGTCGGTTTATTTGCAGAGCCCAAGTCTGTCATATTTCTCTCACTGTTTCCCGTGCCTTGCCTGTTTGTGGCCTAACCTGTTTTTGCTTTTTTTCTAGCTTTTCTTCATGTTGGGCCCGAACCCGCACGATGGGCTACACAAACTACACTGCCAAATGCTGCGATATCATCGAAGCGCATGGCAATGGAAGAGGTGATGTCAACCTTGCGTGGCAAGCGCGTTTGCTGCGGATCGTCGAAGAGACGAACGAGCTGCGAAGTATCAAGAAAGGACGCACCCAGAGCGACCAGCAGATCGAGCTCATGATGAAGGGAATGGAATCACAGTTGGCCGAGTGGGAGGCAAAGATGTCGCCTGAAGTGGCGTCCACGAGTAAGACGCAATTCGTGATCATCATCTTGCTCGATGCTTCGTCCGAAAACTCCTACTGACGGGGGAGCCAGTATCCATCCGCGTCGCATTTAGCTTTGCCCGCATCTTTCTCGCAGGCGCCGGCCTACTCATGACAGGAAGCCCGAAAGCGCAAAAGACCGTGTCGGTCACGTTCCACACAGAGCCACACCGACTTGTGTCCATCATCCCAGCCCTGATTTCCATATGGGACTATATATTAGGCCTCTCACCCGCAGAGCTAAGCTCATGCACGGGGATACACTGGTGTATCTACATACTGACTATCATTTTCGGGTTTCGGTTGTCATTCCCGTTGCCAGTTTGGTATGTACTCATTTTAGTTTCCAATTCTCAAACTGGGATCATCAGCAGATGCCTCCGAAGCCTAGCCGCCGCGTCGAGTGCGACTACTATTTGGGAGTTTGTTGAGGAAGATCCTTGATCCCCGGGTTTACCGCAACTATAACGAACCCAGAATCTGACAGAATTGTGCAGTCCGGATTGGGATGATGCTGAAGCGCGTCGCCAGTTACGCTTTGGTGAATACATTGACCGGTTCTGCCGAATTGGGATCGCTGTGCAAGATGGAAACACCAAGGCCGGAAAGAAAGTCGATAGCGAGGAGGCCGGCAAGAGCAAAGCTCCCCAGATGGACGCCCTAGCTGCCAGCAGGGTAGTACTCGACGTGGTGAGGACAAAGTACCACAATCGCGTCGCTAGAGTCGAGCGTCCACCAACGGAACCGGCGTCTCTGACAGCGGAGCAGCAGGCTGCGTTCGCCGCCGCGCATCCCGGCTTCGCCTCGTCGAACATGCAGGTCGACTCTACCGTGGGAGGCTGTCCCATGTTTGACGGTAGCCTCGAGACGAACTACCCGCAATTTTGGGACGACACGTGGCTGACGCGGCTCACTGCCGCAGAGAAGATTACGGCTACGCCCGACGGTGCTGCCCCGGGATGGCAAGGTCAAGTTCAAGGGCAAGGTCAAGGTCAAGGTCAAGGGCAAGGTCAAGGGCAAGGGCAAAGTCAAGGCCAGAGCGGAGAGCCGGAGTCGGATTATCCCCAGACAGGCTGCGAGCGCCGGCCGTCGCCAACAGCGACACCGTACAACAACGATCTCTGGACGACCATGACACTTGGTTGGGCACAGGCACCCGAGAACGACGATATTATGGCCACCTTTTCCGGCGTGCCATTCTGAGGTTGATACTAGTATGACTTGAGGTTTTGCAGGCGAGCACCTGGACCCGCCCGTGTGTGTGTTTGGACACATAGTTAGACCCGTGGGTAAGGGGAGGAGAGTCTATTGTTCTGTCTCTTGAATGGTGTGTGGAGTGTGGGGTTTGCTAGACGCTACGGCGTGGCTTGAAAACGAGGTTGGTTGATCATAACGCGAGTTTCATGACTGGGATATATATCGGGAACGGCTCTCTTGTGTAATATTAAAAAGGAGGATCATCTATCAGTCCACTCACTCACTCACTCTCTGACTCTTTTACGTGTCACTTACGGGCGTTGTGATTTTCACCATCCCGTCTTCATACCTAGGGCACATACTTGCCTGTTGTTATTCACCATGTGATTTTGGCCAGGAGTAGTTTTACCGGAAAGCAACTTTCACAACCCAACCCTTGATGTTGACGCCAGGATACTTGATTCGGTGGTGAACGAAACTGATATCGGCAATACTCAGTATAGACATAAGTGGAGAACCGGCCTCGGCTTCAGACTACCAAAGACCCCTGAGCGAAAACATGATCTTTGCATGGCGGTTGGCAGTAAGGCTCGTAAGTCTCTCGGCATGGCTCTACCGGTGCTGTTCAATTGTTTTGACTTTTTTGCTATGCCGCGGCAACTACTTACCTACGTAGGTAATTAATTGTCTTCACTTTTGGTATTTGGTATGTACGTTGGTAATGGGCATAAGCCATCGTCATGAGTTGCTTCTGGAGTAATTAGATGAAAGAAACCCGCCAAAGGCTCTGGTAAGGTCCTTTTGGTTGTCAGACTCTTTTCTTCCCCCTTTAGTACTAATACATACAGATGAGACGGGATATTCGGAGATAGGAGAGTACGAGAGGGGAAAAAACAAGCAAGGGCGGCATCGCTCGGTTGGGATTGGATGGATGTTGGGTATGGGGGGAGCTGCCGGATTCCAAATCCCAACAAAAACCCAAATTGGCAGCAGGATGGGTATGGTATGTGTAAAATATGTAAGGTAAGGCAGTTTAGTCGGGCCAGGTCAGCGACTTGGGACTTTTAATCATCCTCTACGTCTTTTCTTACCTTTTTTCTTTCTTTCTCTTTCTTTCTGCTTTTCACGCTGGGGGCTTATCTCCCACATCAACCCCGCCCTCGTCCCCCCACTTCCCCGGTTTTTCTTCTCTCACCTTTCTTCACCGCAACTCTCCTCGCAGCAAGCGGGTTTATGGGCTAACGGACGGGACGATGGGAGCAACGAAGGGTCGCAATCAAATCAAGGGAGGGGTTGGGCTTCGGGAGGAGAGGGATCGGGCTTTCTTTCCTGAGACAGACAACCCGAACTAACAACATGTGATGTGATGTGACGAGGGGGAATAAGACAGGCATATACATAGCCAGCGAAGTCGATTCTCTCACTCGACTCGACTCACACTTCACTTTCTCTCTCAGCCAGCCAGACGAGAACACATGTGAATGCAGAGAGTTTGTTGGTTATCCCGACCCGCCCAAAGTTTCTGTCCTGCGTGTCGAGAGAGTTGTTACTGTTGAGTGAGACGGCAGGGAGCGCCCTGTGCGCCCGGGGTATGTAGGTAGATAAAAAAAAAAAAAACTGCAGAATTGAGCCGCACGGAGACATGTGATTCGAGACTCACGCAGGTCATCAAGCCAGTCAAAGCAGCTGGGATCACTCGTTGGGCAAAGATAGCCAAATGATTGGGGACGACCAAAGTGGCCGATTCGTGGGTACAGGGATGTTACGTGCTTGAGGGGCTCGAGGGGCCGAGGGGCTTGTGGCCGTCGATAACGTGCTTGGAATCCGACCGCCTCTCGGGGCCTCTCGGGGGCCAGATGGCGGGATTAGCAGAAGCTTGTCGTGCTGGCCTAGCGGATTCGACCTGCCTGTCGGGCTGCGTTTAGCATGGAGCAAGCCAGTGCAGTCGAGGAATTGAGCGGGCCCCAAACGAATGAATCCCCGCCTCCCTTGCCCATCAGACAGGGATCTTCTGTGAGCGGGGTCTGGCGTCCGGCTCCAACATCGTGGGCTTTTCTTCTGTTTCTTGTCAACAGTCCGTGTCGAGTCTTGAAGGAAGATGTACCCGGCAAGTCACTTCTGAACTCGAAGTCTGAGGGAGATCTTGCGATCTTCCACAATTCCTTTGATGTCTTTGAAGAAAGAAGAATCGAAAAGGGCGAATTCTTCAGGGCAAAAGAAAATCCGGGGCACTTCAATCGGACGAAAACAACGTGCGGCCAGAAAACCCGCCATAATTATCTGGCGCTTTGGATCCCGCCCTTACCGTTTAGCGCTTGGCGCATTACGGATCACTTGTTGGGTTGCTCCAGCCTTCCGGTAGGGCTGCCGGAACCCAAAGAGGAAACAGGACGACCACCCCTTTGGACGCACACTCTTCGCAACTGCGGTGCTGCCACTGGAGCCGGTTTGGCCATGCCTATTCGTGGGTGTGGCATTGCTCCCTCTTTTCATCCGGGGTGTCGAGTCAAACGGCTATGCAGGCTGGGAACAGCCGGAGACCACCAGAGGAAAAAATAACGCGCCTGTCACAAAATGGTTGTGACTGCTGTCGCCTGCGATAAGTGGGGAGAGTACGGACCTAGCTGCGCTCGGGGGTCGACGACAGGCCAGGTGGGCAAGTCCTCGGCCATGCGTGTTAAGAGGTTTCCCGTACGAGAGTTTCGTACTCCATGAATCATTGCGCTGTTGTCTTCAAAAAGGCCGTTCTCGTCTCGCAGGCTGAGATATGCGACGGAACTCACGGCAGCCCGGCTTAGACCAAGACAACTAGATGGAGTCTTGTGCAGTACTGTCACAGATTATTAGCTGTTGCCGGGCATGCATATCCACAGAGTATCGACATGCGAGCCTCAGTCAGCCACCTCAAATGCGTCGTTTGTATGTCGGAAGATAATAAATGCAGGGAGCACAAAGCTCAACCCCGCCATTGTAATAGGAAAGTGCGAGGCGGACAGGGAGGCAACGGCGCAGCTTGTCGAGATCTAGATTTGACGAGATCTGGGATCATGTAAGTGGCGCTTCTGGTTAGAAACGGCTGGGATTCTTGCTGCCAGCCCCGAAGTGTATTGAAATTCTCGGTACACAAGGTACCAACCTAGTATCCGGAATGATTACTGTTTTCTGCAGCTTGGCTCCTCGTTCGCTCTTCCTGGGCCTGCCCGTGTTGTTTCGCGTGGATATGCTGATCAGATGCACGGAAGCATCGTGCTATCGGATAATATTGGTGCTTCTCTTCTGACTTTGGCTCACACTCGTGGAAAAGCTCATGTTTGGCCGGCAGACATAGAGTAAGTGACATACCTAGAGTGAGCGCACTATGGAGTGCTGCGCCTGGAGGGTGACAAGACGTGGAGGCGTCCCCGTCGGACACGGTACATTCCTATTTGCAGTGTCTCCCTGCAAGCGTAGCATAGGAAAGGTGGTAGATGTATAACTGCTCGAAGCTGCAGCTGGGCTCCCTCAACCAACGGGCTTCTGTGCCGGGGAGGAGAGGGTGACAAGCGGCGGTTGGCGGCGAAGCGCCCCCCCCCCCACATACAACACGGAAGATCACTGGGGATGCAGGCCGAAACGGTAACTTTGGTTCTAGTGTAGTGTGATAGACTGATCGTTGTGTAGTAGTGTTTCGTACGGAATAATCCACCACCCCCAGCTCCGTCTCCCCAGTCACGTCAGCGAAGGAGATTTCATTCGTAAAGTGGGTTTGGGCGAGCAAAGATCGGGCAATGAAGGGAGTGATGTAGTGCCGTACCTACATGATGTACTGACGGTGGCCGGCAAGGGCCTTGCGAGTCCGATTCTCGAAGTTTGACATTGATTGGTTGGGCTCGCCAGGTGATTTTCAAGAGCCGATCGCCTTTTGAGGAACGTGTGTTTGGTCTTTCCAGGACTATTATCCATACAGACCACATCTGCACTTTCACACCCCCCTGAACCTCAACTGGGCCAATCAGAGCTTGCCGTCAAGCCCAAGAAGCCTTCTCCGGCTTGGTTTCAGGGCACTGCATCCGGAAAGTTAACGACCCCTCACAAAAGGTGTGAGTCTCAAACGCTTGTCATGCAGCTGAAGAGCACCTCGACGGATCCAAAAGGTACCCACACCTCATCCGGTGGCCCAATCAAGCAGTGCTCTTTCAGAAGTGTTCCATACCTTGTTGATCGTTAGATGCGACCCTCCATTCGACTCACTTTGGACAGAGGGTGGTGACGCGACGGAGCAAAAACGTGAGCTCAAGCTCAGGTTCGGAGCTCATTAGTGGAGTATCCAATTCTTGAATGAACCGAGTGCCAGCCAGCACGCGAGGGCCATTGGGGATGACAGGCAGGCAGACTTCGCTGATTGACGCGTCATATCAATATACCCGATCAGATCGGCTTGCAATTCCTGCCTCAAAATCTGGCAGCCGTGTCCGTAGCATGAGACGCTTTACGGCAGTCATGTCCATCAAACCCTCAAATGAGGGCGGTCTGGCAATCCAAAGCCGAGCGATATGCCCCGCAGAAACAACAGGCACATAGCTACGTGTAGGCACTTGTTGTCCGGAAGGCGTGATGCTCGAATTGCTTGCTTGATTCCGAAGCGAAGGGCGGTAAATGAGAGCGGAATCCATCCGGCCCGCTGCTCGACGTTGCGAATTGCATCATCGTTGATCCAAGTTAGCAAAGCGCTGCTGCAACCCCGGCCAATCCACGCATCTGTGGGAATGCCACGGACCATGGATGTCAGCGCCATACAGTAACTAACGTGCGGCACTGTCCTAGCTCCGGGCTGGAGAGCCTGGAATATTTCCACAGCTTCGAAAGCGTTAATAGTTAGAGACAGTTAGGCTCAAATGGAAATCCTTCGCCCCTCAGCACGTTACGTCGAGAAGCCCCTGAGGCCAAAGGGCATGGATACCTAAGGGAGCCCGCCGTTGCTATTGATAGTGGGCTCGACTTGATTGGGGCACCTGGGAAGCCGGGCAGCAGTCACCTGGACAGAGAAGCCTGTAGTTGCAGCTGCGCACCAAGAGGACATCTGGATTCTGGAGTGGTCGAGGACGACGCCCATTCGACATACATTCGACACGACGGCGGATGGTTGCTGGTGATTGGAGAAGCCAGCGCAGATAGATCGGTAGGCGCTCCCCGAGGTACTACGTAAAATGCAGATAGGAATTGATGGCTCGACTTCTCGGCCCACTTCGGAATACAATAGGAAGAATGCTTTGCGCTTGTGCCATCGGAGGAAAACACTTGGGCCAGCCGCCCCAGAGGCCCGGAGACCCAGTGGAGACATCCCAAGTCAAACTTCCAGTGGGGTTCCTTGGGGATGAGGTGGACCCGCCCGAGAAACCCTGCCCTGACCCTTGCCCCCTGAAAACGGCCTAGACCGTCCGTCTGTGCCCGAGGTACCTGCCCTCCAAAAAAGTTCAAAAACTTTTGACCCACGACCAAGTGCTCGAGCCTGCTTCAGTCCCGTGTGGGCAGGACACTGATTGCTTGGTTGCTTGGCTCTGCCCCTCCACCTTCACCTCAATCCACCTCGCTCACCCCTGCTTGGACCCCCCAAGGTCATCCTGCCGCCCATCCCTAGAAAGTGCAATATCTTGGGTTCCATTGTCGTGCCACCTCGGCCTCAACCTTTTCCGGCTGTCGACTGCCCTGGTTTGGACGGCTGCGACTTTCTTTTGGAGGAGCAAGTCAGGTCTTGAGCAATTCGTTTCTATTGTCTCTTCTTAGAGCTACTATGAATACCTCCCGCAGCTTCTCCAACCTAGACTCCGCTCTTAATCCCGAGACGACGATCAGCCCTTCGCCGTCTTGGCATCACCCTCCAGGCAAACGCACCATCAGCAACACCTTAAACCACCCCACGCAACCGAGAGTGCCCCCAGCCGCGGCCCTCGCCTCCAGCCCCATTCCCATGCTGGCGGGACTCGATGTGGAACTAAAACATATTTGGGGGTCACTTGCTTGCATTTCACAGCCGTCCGTAAATTTTCTAGTGCATTCCGTCCTCTTCTCTGAAATACCTGATCGGCACTATTGGAGCTGTCAAGATCGAAGCGTAAAGCCGCCATCAGTTTTCTACCTTCACGTATGTATGCGTCCTGCAACTCGGGTCACAGAAACCAACAGAAAAGAAAAAGTGGTGTAGGCCAGATAACTACCTTACCTTAGTATTCCACCGGAAGCAAGTCCGGGATCCCCCCTCATCGTCTCTGAGAGGGCAGGTAACAGCTCCATATCAGCCCGCAGCTACACTAATCAACCTAGCCATGGAACTACCCCCCTCCTTTTTCTTAGCCCCTCAGCAAGATGCTCACCGGTCTTCATATCCGAGCTTCATCGAACCCACCATCTTCTCGTCCCGCACTACAGGGTGACACCTCGAGGGACGTATTTCGGCAGACGTTGCTTCTCGCTGTAGGTAGAGATGCCTGAGCATTTGAGCGCGTTTTTCCCAAAAACTCTCATGTGCCGCCGTGGCCTTCAAACACCGAAGTGGGCAGATGCGGGAAGCACGACGCCTCCCCAACTCGACCCCAGCCAGTGAGGCCGCAAGAAAAACGCCACGATCCCACTCCTTATTGGAGGGGGTGCGGAAAGAGGCGGATGAACAAAAAAATATGGCGAAGCGCATCAGAAAACCGCCCTTATTCCCCTCTGGCCACAAGGCACCTGCACCCTTGGACCGAGACAAACGCGGCTCGGGAGAGATTCCGGGAGACCAATATCATCGTTGTTGCCAAGAATTCTGGTCTTGGTGGGCGCTTGAGACGTCTGGGCATGTGCCGGAGAGAGCATGGACTGACGCTTTCGGCCAGCCTTTGACATTGATCGACAGATGCCAGCTCCCGTCCCCTCCATCCCTCCCAGAGACTCACAGACGAGACCCTAAAGAGGCACAGTTGCGCCTTCTGGTAGTCGTTGGGTCCCTTTGAGTTTTGTTTCCATTTCTGCCGCAACGAAGAAAATCTAGCCCCTCATAGAAGCTTGGCGATTCCCCAACCTTCCTACGGGCTAAGCAGAGCCGAAGATAAGAAAACGGGCTAGCCTTGGCGGGCAGTCAGTCGGCTTGAATGTGCATATGGTACCTACCCGTACGATACCTTATGGATGTCGTTCCAACGCCGCCTCCCTGTGTCTCACTTCTAACTAAACGGCTTTGATGACTTTATTGGCAGCTGTTAGTGGGCAAAGACATGATAGGATATACGCTGGAAACACCAGCGGTCAAACACGCCCGCATTATCTTTTAGCTGCCGGTGCACTACGCTGCACGAAGACCGATCTCTTGGCCCTGGTCCATACCAAAACCCCGCAGGGCTCTCCTCTCTGAGCCAATAAGTAATGTAGGTATGTATTTATTCCCTTAAAACTACCTAGCGCCCGAGGTCAAGTGCATTTTTTTAGGTTTGGATCCTGTGTGGGCTGCCCCAGCGGATTGAGTGTGGAGAGGCGGGCCATTAGACAGACCTTCGTTCACCTGGGCACATGTGTCGACGTGTTGGGCTTACCCAGGCTCACCATAGACCTTCCAGGTGAACAGGCTTCGTCTCAGCAAAGATAGAAGATGCACTGCAAAGGATCCGGCCGGATTAGTACATGTATGTACGAGAGAAGAGCAGCTAAGAGGCGCTGTGGAGGGCAAAGAGTGGCACTTAAGACTGAGGTCGAGCCTGACTGGCCTGGTTTGCAGGCCGCGCCCCCTTGAGCTTGAGATAGAGAGACAGAGATGTGCCCCGAACAGATAGAGTACCCTCCCACCACCATCCTTCTCACAAGTGGTGGTGGTGGTCCTGCCTAGGACCAGCGTTCACTATTCTTAGGCCCTGCCTCTGTCCGTCTGAGGTTTAGCTGGTCATGGGCAGCCAGCCCACTCACACCTTTGACCGGGAATCCATTGGCATGTCATGGAGGCTTTTTTTCTTTTTTTTCTTTTCTTGTTGGCGAGACACCCCTCTAGTTGCCGAACAATGTCGAAGGAGCAAGAAAGCGACCGTGATGGTTCAAAGCTGCGCAAGATTCGTCTGCCACGCCTCGTCCAAACTTTGGCAATCACCTCAACGCAGGCAAGCATAGATGCTGCCGCCAACTCACATTTGGTATGTACAGTACGTGATGTACAGATACTATGAGTTAGTTGGTTGTACGTACCTTTTGTACGCACGTTGGATGTTCACCACCTCAAGTCTTGGTTAGATGCGGGTTACTTCCAGTCTCTCCACGTCGAGCCCCTGTCACCACGTTTGCTTCCCATGGAGTTTGTCCAATTAGCGGAGTTTGTCGTGTAGTGAAGGTGCACTACGTGAAAGGGGAGCAACCATCTCAGCAAGTTCAACCCCGGGCTCCGGCTCGGCCTCAATGTCAATGATCACGCGCAACTCCGTCTGCTGTTTGGGCCGCTTATGGGAATAATAAAAAAAGCCAAATGCCTCCCTCAGGCGAACGGCCGAAACCTTGTTAGTGGTTTTGGCCGCGATAATGGGGTTTGTGCCTGGCGTGCAACCCAGTCATTCTTCATTGATCCATTAAACACGGTGCATGGTATGTACCTTATGTATGGGCATCACCTCGACAAAGTTTCCTGTGCCCGTTTCGTAAGTGTATAATAATACATTAGGAGGACTCGGCTTTTGGCATCTTCCTCCGAAAACCATCACCTCTTTCCAAACTGCCCGGCACAATCGGTTGCTTCTTCAATCGGCTGCTCGAGGGTTGCGACTGCTGCGTTCGTAGCAATTGTCGACGTTTGCATGCCCGCCTGGGCGAATGAGACCTAGGCCTCTCCACACTCCCCACAGACACAGACCACCTACTACCTGCCACTACCTGCTGAAGGTACCACAACCACCTCACACCATCTCGCTCCGTTGAAAATTGAGGTCGAAGGCTGCCACCTAAACGGCTCAGGCCTGTGCCGGCGCTTCCAAGACTTTCAATCTCACTTAGAGTCTCTTCCCGCGGCCGCGACGTTTGCAATTGCCACGACTCGCCGCCGTCGGTCGTTGTCGGTTACCTAGGTTGGGCTGTTAGTCGTCAATTGTCAGTTTGTTGCTTGTCAGCCCTGTCAAATCCACCCCTGGGCTAACTAGTATCGCGTCCCCTACGCGGTAGGGTGCGCACAGGACAGCAAGCCTTGGCGAGCCGACCTCACCGACCTGGGATGCCGGCCGGTTTTGTTGGTTTCCTATCGGCAATCGCCCGTGCTAATGCCAATTGGAGCCCACGCGACGGGATATTACCAGGGGCTGCCTGTTTATCAGGGCTATCTGCACTGCTGCAGTCGTAGTCTGCACCGTCGCGGTATTTGGGCCGGGGCGCAAGCTCTATCCTCGAACGGTACATACCGTGACGCTACATGCACTAGGTCGGTCCAAGAGGAACAGTACATGCTGTGCGTGCTGCAGGCAGGCTTGTGCCTCGCTAGAACTAGGCCCAACGGTACTTGCCCGATAACCTTTGGGGTACCTGGAAAGCTTCCCATCCATTGAGGAACCTGGAAGGTGCGCTGCCCTGGGCCGTCTCCTCGCTCGCTCTCCAAAAAAGCCCGAGTCCCAAATCCCGCTTGCGACAGCTCGCCCTCCCACTGCCACGGCTGTCCTGCACCACAAAGCCCACCCCCATCCCACACCCAACTCGTTCTCCAACCCCCCAACTTTTTTTTCCCCAGTCATAATCTTGTCGTGCTTCTGTGACCCGTACCTGCCTGCGCTGCATTCCTCCACCCGCTACGTCGTCATCACGGAAACTCTGTGTGGATATTCTGTAGCGTCCCGGCCAAGCGAAGCTGCCCGCGGCTGACAGCAGCACACCACAGCAGCAGCACCACCAGCGCTGCGAATTTCACGACTCGCGTGCCCCCTCGTCCCTGCCCGCCTGATAAAGCACTCCACCACAGCCGCCCGCTCGACGACCGACTGGCCGCTCGCCACACGGGCTGCCCTGCGACTGCGACTGCGACTACGATTGCGACTGCGACTGCGACGCCGCGACAGCTCCACGAACCCGCCCGTTCCATTCTCTCAATCAGCGCGATCGTCGCCCCGCGCCGTCTTCATTACAGGGCGACGCCGCATGCACCGCGAGGCATGAACGGGGATCACAACCCAGCTGGCGCATTATCTGGCGCGTTGGCCAACGGCTTTGCTCCGTTACCCTCGAGCCGCGCCAGCCCTTTCCCGGCGACGAGCGCGACGGCCAAGATGACTGCGCCCGCCTTCATGGCCCCCGTGCAGTCGTTCCGCATGCCGGCAACCTCGCAGGCGGCATACTCGCTCTTGCTCGCGTCGGCCAATTCCTTTGACCGCGATGCGACCCAGCCCCTGGGCACCCCGTTTTCCACGACACCCGCTGCCCTGACGTCGGCCCTGATTCGCAAACTCCCTCTCAACACGGCCGACGAGACGTTGCGCTTAATGCTGGTCTTCTCCAAGGACCTGGCTGGCGTCGAGATCCTGCCTATCGAGCAGTCGGAGGACCCGGGCTTCCGATCTGCCATTCTCAAGTTCCATACATTGGCCGGCGCGCAAGAGGCCAAGAACATGCTCGACGGCAAGTCGAATCACTCGAATGATGCCGAAATGATTGTCGAAATTCGGGGCTCGAGCCCAACCGCTCCGACCAAGAGATACACGATTGACACGGCTGTGCCCACGGGCGCATCGACGAACTCCTCATCAGCCTCTTCCACAAACCCTTCGAGGCAGGCCACGCGCTTTAACGGCCCCTTCCAGTCCATGGACAGAATCTCACCCCCCTTGACCAATGTCTATACTTCGGCAGACTTGACGAGCTCCGAGCCGTACTCGAACATGTTTTCGCCCCAGTCTCCCATCGGGAACCATCTTACCGACCGTACTCGAATTTCGGGCAAATCCCTGATCAACAATGACTCTGTTGACGACGACGACACGGGAGAGTTGCTGAAGGACCCCGTTGGTTTCGCTGAGAACGGACTCCAACGGCGACAGACGGCGCCTCACATCCCCATCTCTCGCATGGCAACACTATCGCTAAACACCAATCCCTCCACTGGACCTAGCCAGATGACCCATTACGGCCAGTCTTTGATGACGACCCAGCCTGGACATTCCAGCACCATGTCGCCAACTGTCATGGGTGGTGCTGGTCCAGGCATGGGATTTGGCCAACCGTCGCAGCCGTACAGACCGTTCCCGCCTGCCAACCCAGCTGATCAGAACCCGCCTTGCAATACTTTGTACGTCGGTAATCTCCCGATCGATACGTCGGAAGAGGAATTGAAGGCCATGTTTTCGAAGCAGCGCGGATACAAGAGGCTGTGTTTCAGGACCAAGCAGAACGGTCCCATGTGTTTCGTGGAATTCGAGGACATTTCATTCGCCACAAAGGCTCTAAACGAGCTCTACGGGCAGCCCCTTCACAACAGTATCAAGGGCGGCATTCGCTTGAGTTTCTCCAAGAATCCGCTCGGCGTGCGTTCGGGCCAAGCACCCGGCCAAAGCGCTGTCGGCTCCGTGTCTTCCTTGAATGGGATGCACTCCGGACCGGTTAACGGGTTTACTACGGCCAATGGCCCTCCACCTGGGCTGTCTGCACCTCCTGGACTAGGCATGACGCGGTCAGCATACTCACCGTCGCCCAATATGGTAGCGGGAAGAAATAACCCCTACGCGTCCCCCGCCTTTCCGACTCCGTCAAACAACCCGTGGAATCCTGTCTACAATGCCCACACCGTCATGGTGACGGGCGTTCCCTCTGGCTACCATCCAAACATGATGGGAAGATGACTTTCTTGGGAGAGTCCAGGAAACGACTGAGCCCTCAGATCGCTGCCAGCAGCAGAGACTTTGACGGTCTGTGTCCAATCCCGTCTCCGATAACGCCATTCTTGATCCGATTTCGTCTACTACGGCGTGATCTAGCTTGACATTTTCCGGTTCTTTGTCTTTTTTTTCCCTTTTCTTTTCTCGCTCTTCCGTTCCAGTTTTTTTTGGTAAGATTCCCCATAATCTTGCCTTATTTGCTTCAACTTATTCGAACCTCTTGGACATCAGACACACAGCATGGGTTTTGCGGAATTGTTTTAGTTCAACAGGCATCTCCAGCATCAATGGTGCCATTTTCGATTTACGTTTTCCTGCAATTTTCAGCGCATGGTTTGCGAGCAGGCAGGATTTGTCGTTCATGACACTAAACGATTCCCCCCTTTTTTACTTCTTTCAGTGTGGCTTATTTTCTTTGGGATTTTTACTCCGGTTTCCCTGTCCTATTCCGTGGGGGATGGGCTAGGGGGTCTTAGAACTGCTTTTTCAACCGAAGAGGCAATATCGGAGTAGGTTTTGGCTTCTGGGTTCTTCTCTTGCCGATGGTCTCGCGGCTTTCGACCTTTGTTTAACAATACATCATGACAACAAGCACGGCGCGGGGTCCAGGCGGGGATAGGGGGCGCGATGAATTTGGGCAGCCAACGGCGTCGTGTTCGGTTCATTATCATACCAGTGGAGCAGAGCATGGGTTCGACACGGATCAGGTTGGATCCGTAGGAGTTCTGGCGGGTTGACCATGTGCAATCGCACACACCCGGGCGGGATGGAAAAACGGGCAGCGCAACAAAAGAGAGCTGGGTCTTGTTTCCAAGACCCGACGGAAACATCTTGTACCTTGTACGACAAAGTCTTTTATGCTAGGTTTTCCCCAGCGGCATGGAACGAGCAAAAAGAGAGGAAAACGGGCTCGTTTTTAACTTTTTTTTTATTTTTTTTTTCATATTGGGGACAAATGTTCGGTTTTTTCTTAAGCAGCGAAAGAGAAAATTCGGGATCATCATCATCGCAATGGGGACAGCACACAACGTGCGCGCGCACGCTCATCAATGCATTATCATCATGGACACAACAACATGCACAACAACATCAAAGGGTTTACCAGCAAAAGAAATTGGGGGAAACAAACATTGGGAGGATTCTGATACAAGGGGACCTACTTTTTTCCTACAAAACGGGGGGCTCGCATCAAGATTCTCTTCCATTTCTTTGGCTTTTCTCCAACATTAGGTTTTTATTGTTTTGGGAAATGGTCATGGTTTCAGCATTTGCTCAGTGGAAAACTAACCCCCTCTCACCATTTTATGATCCTGCCCTTTTTTGCTCTTTGCTTTTTCTTTTTGGATACCTCTTTTTGTTTTTCTTCATTTCATTTCTATTGTTTCTTTTCTCATCTCTCGGATCTTGTGCCTTTTTGGGGGACTGCCATTTCATTTCATCCCTTCTTTCTCTCCCATATCCTCCGTCATTTGCGCTCCAGCTTCGTCTATCATCCCTATGTAGTTGAAGCTGGCCCAGGCAAGGGGAATGGATATGGCAATAGAAAAGAATATGAAATGGAATGGTGGATGTCTCGAAAAAGGGGCACAGGAATTCGGATTGTGTCTGTGGCAGGTGAACCTCGAAATGTGGAAATTCTTTCATGGAGGGGAAGCATCTTTGTACTGTTATCTTTTTTCTTTTCCTTTCTCTTCACATTATCTATTCTGGCTTGCTCTCTTTTTGTTTCTTCTCTCATCACATGGTTTGGCTACCCGGTTACTTGTTTTCATAGCAGCGGTGTTCCTTTGGGGGTTGAACCATTTTTTTGTCTTCCCATCATTACTCATTCGTCCTCTCGGCTCTTTTTGTCCGTCCAGTTTGGGCGGGAAGGGGGGGAAGGGGGGCGCGGTGGGCGAGAGTATGGAAGGTGTTGTCGGGGTTAGTCCGGGTAGGAGTATGATTAGGAGGTCGGGAGAAGCCAATATCATTATTTTATTTCTTGATTTCTTCTTTTATGTTGGCTGTTGATGTGCATTCTTGGTACTTCTTTCTCCTTGTTGCTGCTGAAGCTTGTTTCTCTTACAGCTACGAGAAGAAAGAAAAGAAAAGAAAGAAAAGAAAAGAAAGAAAAGAAAAGAAAAGAAAAAGAAAGAAAAAATACAGCTCAACCACTCATGCATAGGCACAGACGGGGGAAGACTGGGGCACACATAAGACAAACGGAGATGGCGTGGGGGATCATTTTTATTTTTATTCTTTTATTCTGTATCTTGTATCGTCGTATACTACGTCTAAATGGAGGTTGCATAGTCGCCACAACTATCATGAATTGCCATTAGACTTGCCGTTGAGTGACATGAAAGGTGACAACCATTCGTGTCATGTGATGATTTCTCGGTGATATTTTCGCTGCGCGTTTTTTTCTTCTCATTTTACTTGTCTATTTTAGGTGGCTACAGTCTCCCTGATGACTCCTCTTTTTTCTGTTCTTTTCTTTTCTTTCTTCATAGCCTATGACTTCCATATTGGCCGACCAGAATGCCGGCAGTGCCTCGATGCTCGCTGGATCATTTGCACATGCAGGATCAAGAGGCTTTGCGGTGTGGTATGTATGCGTGTGGTCTCCTCGGTTGTCGTTGACAAACACTAAGATAGCAAATTACACTTACCTGCCCGAATTCTGAAAGGCAAAGAAACAAACAAGGCGAGTCTGTCTGGTATCTTGAGTGGCGCTGCGTGGGCGAGCGCATAAGTGTCTAGCTGAACGCTCAGGGTCGGATTGTTAATTTGAGAAGGCACAGCAGGTCGTGGGAGCCCACGGATCTCCGGATCCGTCAAACATAAAAACAAAAGAGCGGCTGATGATGCCCCTTGGATGGCTGTGCTGCGCGCGAGGTGGCTAGCTGCTGGTAGTGTGGCATTTCTTTGTTCCTGTCTTTGTAAAAGTGAGGGGAACGGAGAGGAGAATGCGTGTTACCTTCGCTATCCCGCAAGAGAGCAGATGATGTGGAGAGCCCGGGGCGCGCATCGGCGGCAGCAATCTGCCCCTCCGTATCTCGCCCTTGGGAACAGACGTGTTAGCGCCTCAGTTGGCTCTGTAGTAGACCAGGCGAGGACTTCAAAAAGAAGAGAAAAGCAAAGAAAAAGGGCATCCGTCTTTTCTATTCTCAGTCTAGCCTCCTCTTTCTAAGCTCACAACAAGCGCTTGACGCTTGCAGAGAGACTGTTAACCAAGTCATCCTCCAGTCCGTCGTCCTTATCATCGTTCTGCTGCTGGGGGGGGCTCACGGCTGTGACAGCCTGGTTTTCGGCAAACATGCTGTACTGGCCGCCCGCGCCGGCCCACACAATCTTCTTCGCATGTATTGAGGAGTGGTTGAGCAACGTCGCAGTCTTGACCTCGTCACCCCTCTGACCAATCTGGCCGTCGATGTTGAGCCCCCACGTGTAGACCTGGCGCAATGGCGTGACGGCAACGCTATGTTCGCTCGCGGCGGCTACGAACGACGCCCAAACTCCTCCCACCGCGGTCGGGTGCTCGAGAATACTAGGTCGGCCGCGGGAGTCGCAAACCACAGACTTCTCTGGCAGGGAGTCGAGCTTCATCCCAGTGGCAAATGAGTAGACCCTGCCCCAGGCAAGGCATGTGCTGTCGTGGGTGACGGCGAGGCTATGGAAACTGCCGCCGGTGATCTGGGTGATCTTTCCAAAAACCCCGAGACCTTTGAGGGGGGTCGGGATGGGTACGGCGCCCCCGTACTCTCCTAAGTTGTGGGGCGCTCCGGTCTGGCCGGCGTTGTTGAGACCCCAGCTGGATACGCCGCCGGTATGGCCCACGGCGAACGAATGGTTGGCACCGGTTCCGATGTCGACAATGCGCTTCAGGCCGGCAACTCGGCGGGGTAAAAGGCCCTCTTTGGCCCAGTTCACAATGCGCGGCGAGAAGCGCCGCCCGAGCTGACTTTCGGTGCCCTTGCCCCATGTATACACGGAGCCGTCAAGTGTCAGAGCGACAACATGGTTGGCGCCGCCGCATACCTTGACGACGTCCTTGAGTGCTGGGATGAGAGCGGGTCGCCATTGGATCTCAACATTTGGGGAGAAGGCCAGGTCGCCCCCATTAGACTACAGCAATGTTAGTTATCTCGATACGGGACTAAAGGAGACAGGGGAGATGTTACTCGAAATGTTCCCCAGCCATACAGGAGGCCAGTGTTGCTGAGGACAAAGGTTGCGTTATCGGTGGTGGCCAGATGAGTGAAGACGACGCCTGGAGCAACGGCGCTCATATCGACTTCTGTCGGTGTCGATTCCCTGGGGTTTAGGGCAGCTCCGTCGTCGTCGTCGTCGTCGTCGTCACTATCGCCGTCGCTGGCATCAACCATGTTGTCGGCCTCTGCATCCCACGACACGTTGCGTCCGAGTGCGCCGGAGTCGTTCACGCCCCATGTCAGAATCCTGTTGTCCAGCGTGAGGGCAGCGCCGTGCATGCCTCCGGTAGAGACATGGACAACGCCAACAGTACCGGACAGATATGGGTTCAAGCGCGGCCGGCGGATGTTCCCCGATTTGACCGCAGGGCCAAGGCCAAGCTCGCCACCACTGTTTCCTCCACAGACGTAGATATTCAGTGGTACCTTGGGCCTCTGGGTGAGGGTGGGCGGCCCAGGGGGAGAAAGAGGTGGAGAGGGATTGAGAGTGTTGTTGGGAAGACCGCCCGGTGAGTCGCTGGACTGGGCAAGCTTCAAGCGCTTGTTTCTGTTTCCGGGGCCATCTGGGGTGTTGTCGTGGGGCCTTTTAGCTGCACCGAGCGAAGTTGCCTTTGGGATAGCAGGTGTCTCGGCTATCATGGTATCTGGCGGCGCATTTGCCACCGTGTTCTTTCTGGGAGCCATCTCGGTTTGGTGAAGGGAGACTGTTCCGACTGCTGACTTGAGGTGAGTTGAAAGGAGCAGCTTTTTGTTTGCTGATATCAAATATCAAAGGGAACTCAAGTAGGTAGGCAGGGAGGGAATTGGTGAGTCACGGGATACGCAGGCAGCCGCTTGCCGGTCCAAGGAATTCCGGGATAGGAAAGGAAGTATGCTTTTTCCGCAGGTTTTGGACTTCATCAGGCAGATACGCTTGTTGCCTTCATGACTAGGCTAGGTCAGGCAAAAGCTAGGGCTACTCTTAGGGACTGGCTGGAGGTCGCCAACGGCAGCCGCCTGAGTCCCACAGACCACAAGTCTACCAATTCCACAAAATGGCGATGCCGGCCACATCGGTGATGTCAACGCAGCCAGCAAACAAACCATTGCCATTGAGCGGGCTCTCGAAGAGACTGTTTGACTCCAACCGAGGCCTTGAACTGGTGCTGGCTGAGCTATGTCAGGATCACCATCCTCGTCGTCGTCGTCATCCACTCGGCCCATGACCCATAAGACGTAGGTTCGAGCCGATTGACGAATGCAGGGTCATATTGCGCAGAGAGAGTCTTTCGGCAAAGCGACCCAGAGCTGGCATCCAATGGTGTCGTTATGCGGCTCATTACGGTTTCCACGTCGTCAAATAGGGTCAGAGAATTGGGCTTGGATGAGTTACTTGATGATGGATGGGGGTTGGGGTTAAGTGTGGTGTAACAAAGACTCTACAGCCAGTTGTTGAACCCTGCTTCTCTTGTCTCTGATTGTGTGCTTCATCGAACCTCTAAAATCCTATCATTGCACGCTGCAAAGTGCACTGTATGCACGCATTTGATGTGCACTGTCATTGCGAGGAAAGAGTGAAGGAGTCAGCGCCAAGTTGCGCCGTTGAAGCTGGAGGGAGAGTCATTCCACTGTGTGGCGCAATTGGAAGCGGCAACCAACGGCCCAAACTGGGGGAGGCGCGATGCCGAATCAGCGGGGTCGAAGCGGCCACCAAGTGTTTCGCCTTCCATTTCTGGTGTCTGGTGAGAGCGACATAACCTAAGACGAGCAAGTCGCTTTCCGCGCCCGTTCGGATTTGTGGAGCTTTTCCAACGCGGCAGCGGCAAGGAGCTACGGGTACCTAAATACAGTTCCAGGCCAGCGAGCGGCAAATCTCCCCCTCACTCCCGTCTCTATCCATCTCCATCTGATGATCTCCACTCATCACGACGACCCCCCCACTCCCCTGCCGGCACCGTCTCCCCAGAAATCGGACTTGCGGGGAAGAATTGGAACCTGAAGCCTTGTCATTTCTTTTTAACAGAAACCAAACTTCCGCTCAGGAGGTGCCACTGGACCCGAAAGACAAGAAAAGACCGCACCCCAAACGACGACGTAGTCGGCGTCTTCGCTTGGCACCATACTTCTTTAGTGACCGGCCATGATTGAGAACGTGCTTGATCACGGCTCGCTGGAGCACATCCTGCCCGTGTCGTGGAAGACGCAGATCACGGCATGGCTCGCCGAGGACACCCCGTCGTTTGACGTGGGCGGATTTGTCGTCGGTAACCACGCGCGCACGGCTACGCTGTGGGGCAAGTCTCCGGGCATCCTGGCCGGCATCCCCTTCTTCACCGAGGTCTTCACCCAGTGCGGCTGCACCGTCGAGTGGCACGCCGGCGAGGGCTCCCACATTGAGACGCACGGCGGCAAGACGGCTCTGGCCACGGTCACTGGCCCCGCCCGCGGGCTGCTCGAGGGCGAGCGCGTCGCCCTCAACATCCTCGCCCGCTGCTCCGGCATCGCCACCAAGAGCCGCCGCCTAATCGTCAACCTGCGGAGTGCCGGCTACAAGGGCATTCTCGCCGGCACCCGCAAGACGACCCCCGGATTCCGCCTCGTTGAAAAGTACGGCATGCTGATCGGCGGCGCCGACACGCACCGCATGGACCTGAGCACAATGACAATGCTCAAGGACAACCATGTCTGGAGCCGCGGAAGCATTACGCAGGCGGTCAAGGCCGCCAAGGCAGCTGGCGGCTTCAGTCTCAAGGTCGAAGTCGAGGTCCAGAGCGAGGAGGAGGCCGACGAGGCCATCGCTGCCGGCGCCGACATCGTCATGCTGGACAACTTCACCGGCCCCGGCGTCAAGGTGGCGGCTAAAAACCTAAAGGAGAGATGGAGCGGTAAGAAGTACTTCCTGCTCGAGGTCTCGGGCGGCCTGACCGAGGACAACGCCGAGCTGTATGTTTGCAACGGTATGTTTGAGCTCGACCGAATCTCCGCGCTAGTTTCTACTGCTGACCACAGCCCTTCAGACGTCGACATCTTGTCAACAAGTTCAATTCACCAAGGCGTACAACACGTTGACTTCTCTCTCAAGATTAACTTGGACAAGGAGGAAGGCTCTGAGGTGTCGAGTTAACAAGGCTGCCATTACGCAGCCCCGGTCTCGCCCCCGGCTTGGGTGGGTGCGAGAGAGTGGCTAGATTATTTCTGTTGCTGTCTAATGACTGCCCCGGGCGTTCGGATGAATCTCATGTCTACTAATGTCTACTAACCGATTAGTGCCTGTAATTATATCAGCATCTAACGATTTACCTGCCGTGTTGCGAGTCTGTGAGGTCAACCTGGAGCCTTTCTTCTCCGTTTTTCTGCCTTGCTACTCATCTCGGGCACTCTGGACTTCACGTCCAGTCAACATCACATTGAGCCTCGACCAGCTTGCTGCAGCTTGCTGCCCGGTGAGGAGGCCTCTAGCCAGCCACTAGGTGCCCAACTCTTCAACCGTGTTCGTGTTTAGGCCGAGACTGCAGCCACATGGCGCGGAACTTGCGCAGCCCTAGGAATGGATCCCTGGCACATAAACTGCAGCTTGAACGATAAAACCGTTAGCCATCACCACCCCCACCGTCCCCATACCCACTCTCCCAGCCAGTCCGAACTTCACGTGCCTCGCGTCTGCATGCGTTGCTTGCTTGAGCTGTTTGACATACCGCAGCGCAGGGCATCAACACAGACTCGCTCTTTTCCTTGAGCTGCTAGACCCCCTCCACTGCCCTTCGTGCTTCGGAACCCGGCTATGCTCGCTTCTCACGTGAATGTCGCCAAGCTCGCCAGCATGCTTCAGCTTGTCTTTTAGACCAATCCGGACGAGGGTTGTGATGGTTGTGATGCTGCGCGCGATGCTGTGCATTGGCGCCTCCATGATCCGAGTGACAGCAAGGGCCAAGCGCATGTCGGTGCTGCTTTCGGTCCTTTATTCTTTTTCTCTCACACTCGCTGCCGCATCCCAACCAGAGATGATGGCATGGCTTCTTTAGATTGGCGATAAATGCAGTTTTTGGGTTGTTCTGTCCTCTTTGGCGTCTGGACTAACTGACTACTTTGTCTCAGCCCTGCACTGGTGAAAAGTTGGTGAGGCTTCCGAGCTGGCTGAGGCAAGTTGGCTGCCGGAACCCCCCGTTGCAGGATGCGGCATCGTGACAGGCTGATATCTAGCTGTCTCGGCGGGCCAGGTTGGGCATCAATCTCGTTCGTGTTTGCGAGAGCCGTTGTGAGCGCTGAATATATAAAAATGCGATCCTCAACGATCCCAATCCCGACCCGCGATGCGATAGTTTGGAGATTACTATCTTCGCCACCTCAGTTCAACAGCACGAGGGTACCTTTGCTGCTGCTTCTAGCAGTACTGGTGTCTGACACAGTTCATCAAAGGTGTGCGCGCCCGTTCCAGTCTTCCCGTGGAGTGCTGACAAACCAGCCCAAGTAGCTCTCCCGTCCATGACCAGCACCGACTGCCGAGAGGGGAGCGAGGAGGGGGGGGGCTCCAGCCTTTTCGAGGCGGCCATAACCGCGCTGAACTGGCGCACTCGAGAAGACGACCGCACGCTCGAGTTCGTGAGGGCCCTGCAGCTGGAGAGGCGCAGGAGGGAAGAGCACACGACTGACTCCAAGCTGTCGATCCAGGAGCACCGGAAAGCTGCTAAGGAGACGCTGAAGGCCATCCTCGGAGATAAATTAACGGCAAAACCACCGCCACCAGCGCCATACCCTTCTGGTGGAGTCGATGGCGAGTGTGTGTGGATGATGTAGTCCGCGACGGAGAGGTGGCTGTGGCTGGCGGGGCATGGAACGGTGGTCCGCGGTGGCTGCTTGGGGGCGGTTATGCTAAGTATGCTGCATGTTGCGCAGTTTCTGAAGTGGCTTGCTTGCCTGCCTAGCTACGTGCCTAGTTTACCTCTGCTAATTCTGTCTTGTACCAGTTTTGGCGGTTGTGGCTCTGGTCTGTGCTGTGCTGTGCTGTGCTCTACCTACTACATGCACATACAGATATACAGAAATACATTGTTATCTACCCCGTGGGGACATGCCCAGTTTATTTCTCTCCAAGAATACCTAGTGATTTTGTCCAGGCTCTTGGTGTAGCAGCGACTCTGTGGCCTGTGTTGGCCCAGTGCCCCTTGACTTGACATCTTGACACCTAATCTGATAATGATAACACGGCTTCTGTCAATGTCTTTCTCCTCTCGGGGGAGCATTGGTGTATCTGCCTACGACTTTGACTTTTGTCGTCCGTCCTGACACACACGGCGGATGTAGCTCCTTGCTTTCCGGCGCGGTAGCTAGCTCTCTCCCCATCTCTATCTCTGCCTCGTTCACTCAAACCTGCATAGGTGGGCTCAGTTATTCACCTTTTGTGCGACGAGACGACATGTGGCCGGCGCGGTACCCCCTCCCACCACCACCCATCGTGAAATCACAAGGCTTCTTTTTCTCATTTTTAGCCTTTTTAGTCCTTTTCCTTTTTTTTTCTTTTTTTCCCATAGCCGTTTTGCTTGCTAGGTGGGCTTGACCCCTACATTCCTCTCCTCTCCCCGCACACGCCCCTATTTCGTCCCGGCGGTGCGTCGCGCTGCCCGTGCGGCAATGCCAACTACCTTCCGTCTGAATGTATATTCTGGCTGCTGTTTATAGATGTATGTTTGTGTGTATATGTACATCTGCCCAATTTCGTCTTGGACCTCTGCCTGCCTGCTTTCTGCTAGAGCCAGACGGCTACCACCACCATACAAAATAGAACTACAAACGCCCAAGAGGGCTAGACTACGGGTAGCAGCAGCGGCAGCGCCGGTACTGTTGCTCTGGACTGAACTAGCGCAGTGGTACGTGCCGTATGTACGTCTTATACTGTACTGTACTGTATACTACTAGATTTGGCCCCCTTCTGTGTGTGGTAGAGCATAGCCTCGCTGTTGGCAGGGCATATTTGCTGCTCCGTAGCTCTCCCCACATTTCTCCCCTGTCTCTTTCTTGTGTGGAGTTGTAGTTTTTGCTCCGTTCTCTTCTTTGTGAATTTATACTTGCTGCATAAGTAAGTTAGGTACATTTCCAACCTCTCAGCTATTGTCCCGGGAATCGGCTATCCCTTTCCACGCCCCCACTTTCTGTCTCTCTTCTGATCTGGTCTGCCTGTTTTTTGTTTTTGCCCAGTACAGTGGATGGCTTTGAGTACGTATGAAGGATGTATTTGGACTATGGACCTGATGTGCAACGAGATGAATGGGGGACGGTAGAGCCTCAAGGCCTTGATGTTACTTTTCTTACTTGTTCCTACTACTAGCACCCTTCGGGGACCTCCGACAGACAAGTTAGTTTATTCCATGCCGAAGGAGAAACAAAAGCAAACATTTCACTTTTCCTCTTGTTTCTTTACTGCAATATCCTGCAGACACCCATGGCGCTGGTTGCACAGTTACTGGGGACAGACTCGGCTGGCAGCAGCAGCACCAGCAGCAAGCTGCTCCGTTTTTGGATCGCTTTACCAAAGGTATAGTCTGAAAACACGGATAGCCTAAAAGAAGCGAGAGATTCTGAGTGAGTGAGAGGAGAGAAAGGGGCGCGTGCTTGCCTAGCGGTGGGACGAGTTGCCGCTGGTGGATGCGTCCTCCCCAGCGAGCGTCTCTTGCTCTGATAAGGGACAAAAGACAGAAGGGGGGATGTGTCGGTCTAGCTGCCTCCCAACCGCCCCCCTCTAGGTCTATTGACTGACCTTGCTCCCCTCCACAGCGTGCACAATCTGGAAATCGGTGACCTTTTTTCTTTTCTTTGGGGGTGGTTCCACCGCAGGCCTGCCTTTCCACGTTCGGACCTATGCAGGCGCCACAGCGGTTATCGAGCAGCCAAAACTCTCACCTCAGCTAGCACATTACACTGAAGCGACTGTTTGTGTAGTAATGAGAATGTGGCTATTGAAATCTGTAAACATGATTTGTAAAAACGCAGGATGCTGTATTTCCGCCGTCTCTGATTTCTTTGGCGGCTTTGATATAGGTACAAATCGTAGCGGCAGGAAAATCCCATCTGATCAATTTGGCATATTGCTCTCTCGTGCAAGAACATGTCTTTTTCTCGCCGATGTGCCTCAATTGTAACAACCATGCTCACAAGAGGCCTCTATTGTGAAGGGTGGGTGAGAGGGGCAGAGTATGGCCGTGGAAAACCATTTGGACGACTTACCTGGTAGGCTCCGTCAGTAAAACACCCAGGTTTCCACATCCTTTGTACCATTCCTACGGCCCCGGGGACTCTGGCGGTGGAGGCTTCCAGATGTGCAAAGGTTCCGGAACATCACGAAGCAACTCACAAGTAGGGACAGAGAAGCCGCGCTGCCTGGAACCCGCCTCGCGCGGTGGTATGATGTACTGTATGCACGGAACTAAGCAGGTAAGGTAGCCGGTACCTACCTGCTCCAGCTGTACCATCTACCATGTATCTGATTCCGGCAGGGAAGCGCACCCCGCGTGATGTCTTGTCTGCGGAACCGAGTAAAAACAACGAGAGCGTGAGACTGCGTACTGGCTGTATATGTCAGAATCAAGGCAAGGTAGGCGCAGTACACTTGACTTGATGTTCCAACGAGAACTAGTCCTCCCCTTTTCCAGCTCTACAAGCCACCGATGCGCAGACAGATAGATACTCACAAAATATCAGCACACACAGAGAATCTTTGCCGGCACAGCATGGGGCATACAAGAAGCAAACATCAACAAAGCCTGCAAGGGAGACCGCCCGCAGCAAACAATGTAGACAGAGGAAAGAAAGCGGCGATGCAACCTCTAGTCGTCCGTCGTACGGAAAAGCCTCGACCCGTTCTCGACAAGACGATACTGGGCCCGAGGAGTTGAGCGGCTAGCTGCCTTGCTCTTGTATCGCTCTCCAGAACGCTCCGTTCCGCCCCGCACCGCAAGAGGGCCGGGAATCTCTCAAGAGGAGGCAATGCATCGCACATGCACACGTAGCAAGTCTCTCCCTTTTGGGTTACGGGCCAGGGGGAAATGGGGGGAAGCGAGGGGGAGATGCGCGACTCCGTGTCCAAGACCCTGCTAGCGGACCCGTGATGCTCGCTGCCAGCGTTGGCCCATCGACTCTGAAGATAGGCTATCCTTGTTGCCAGTGGGAGGGCGAAAGTGGAGAGAGCCGGAACGAGCTTCGGATATAGCACATCAAAACCCGACACGGGACGGCACACGACAACAGATCTCGAGCATCCCTCTCCCCCTATTACCCCCTCCTCCTATTCTTGCGACACGCCATGCTACGACACGACCATCTTCCTAGTCAATCGTACACATGTTACGCGCACATCGGAAATCTTCGGTGAGCGAGAGGCGCGCGTAGTGACGGGAGAAAGGAGGGGTCGAGGGCTAGATCTGTTGCCTTGCTGTCGTGGAATGGCGACACTAGTGTGTTTGCGTATGTGTCTGTGTTCGTCGTCGTGTGTTGTGTATATAAGAAACGGGAGGGAGCGTCTTCTAGCCGAGCGTCGTTGGCGTCCAAGAAACCTCGGGTTCCCTCACCCCCGCCTGTTCCCCTGGTTTCTCTTAACCAAAACAAAACAAAAAATCTGTTTCAAAGACCTCCTCTTACCCTTCAACCCCTTTTAGTCACAATAGTCTCCCGGTCGTTGCTTCTCAAGCACCCCACAGCCCCCGCTCTCCGATGGACCCCATAAATACCCAGAATACCAGCACTAACCATATCAGCGACCACGACATCTTCGGCGCCAATTCCGGCGAAGTGTTCTTCTCTGTGCCTTGGGATGTAGACGAAGGTGGGGCTCCGTACCCGCAGATAGTCGATCTCCAGTCGTCGCCCTTCTCGACCCTGGACCCGCCCGAGAACGAGTACCAGCTAGTTGTTGACTTTTCAGTGGCTCTCAGGGCACCACTGGCAGAGACTGAGCCATTGCCGCACTACGATGCCAGCATCAGCAACATCAGTAGCAGTAACAGCAGCGGCAACAACAGCGTCCAGGACGAGCCGCCAGCTCACGGCTCCAGTGCCCGAAGGGCCAGTCGACAGCCCGCGAGAGCTCTTGTGAATGGCAGCTGCCGAACAGAACACGCGGGCAATTCCGCCAACCACCAATCCCCTGACACCGACTCTAGTGTCTCGGGATCCCTGTACATGAACGTGCCCAGGTATGTACCTTATATATCGCATGCACAGGTTCATTCAGGTCCCTCTTTATTTATTTATTTATTTCTTTCTTTCTTTCTTTTATCTTCCCCAATGGTCTGTCTTTCGAATGTCTCAGCCCCTCATCTGTCACTCGACGGAGGCGCTGATCCTCGGGGGGTTTTGATGAAGCAGCGAAGACGACGACGAAGACAACGACGACACCAGCTTCATAACCACCGCGCAGCCGGCTTTTGAGATCCTAGTAAGCCGAGCCTCGGCCAGCAGCATTGCCAGGCAGAGCCCTCGAGGAGTCTGGGATGAGGAACGAGAGCGTAGCTCCATCACTCTTCCTCACCGCCCCCGAGACGATAGAAGGGGCTCGGTACATCATAACGCTCCAGCCGTAGCGAGGTCAAGACCCCGACGCGCTTGGCCAGGCACCACCGAAGAATATCCGTATCCGTCCAACCTGTTCCACAGATCGTCAGCCTCCCGTGATTCAAGGGGATAAGTAAGGGCTTGATAGTCGCAAGGGTCCCAAAGATTCCAGCGTTCGTACAAGATTTGTGGTTCCAGGACTCGGATGTTTGTTGTGTCGTGGCGATTGGGACTATCCGTATGTGCGATCCAGGTCATAAGTCGCGCAATGGGCAATGACTGACGCCCAAGTTCTAGCTTGCAATATTTCTGCTCAGCAGTTGCTTGGTCTTCTTCTCTTCCTCCCTACACTTTGATCTTTTTGGTTGTGTGTTTCTCGGAGTTATGGGGCTTTCGTATTCTCTATGCTTTATGACCTTAGTTTCAATCCTAATTCGTTACCAAGTCCAATTTCTTAGCCACACAATTGAAGCAGGCCATGCAATGACAGACCTAGATATCTTGTTCTCGCTGACAGCGGCATTTGACAAAAGACACCCTCTGTTCAAGGATATGTATCATGCCGGAGGCGATCAATCCCAAAACGGTGTTGTCTCTTTTTCGTTGCAACCTTCTCCTGCAAGCCATGCATGTGCTTGGAGTTTATTTCAATATTAGACGCAGCCAAAAACGCCAAGAAATTCATGGTAAACCTGACTTCAGCTTCTGCAGTTTGCGTCACCTTCTCGTCCGGAGATAATGACTGCAAGTTGAACTCATTGCTAGCTGAAAGATGACCAAGACATGCGATCACGGGGAGTAGCAAAGATGCATCGCTGTAATTGCCAATGCAGTTTTTGTTGAAATGAAGACTGCGGTTTGTCGAGTCTGATTGTCACCATAATTCCTCTTCGAAGCAGTTACCGCGATGTGGCGTTATTTGGCAATATTCTACAGGCCTGAAGGAGGGGCGAAGAGGTTGGGTCAGCTGAACTTCGCAGGGAGCAACCTTTTCAGAAAGCTCGTGTGTCGTCTTCTTTGTCACCAGTCAGCTGCGATCGCACCCATGGAGGTTGATATGGCGAGAAAGGGTTGGGGTAGTGTGCATCAACATAAGCTCCCGTCTCGCCTCCAGTCTCTTGTGGTACAGATAGAATTCGTTTAGGTCGACCAAGATGAGAGGGACCTCTGCGAATTGTGTGACCATTCAAGATTCTGTCCGCAAAGCAACAGTTGGCTGGCGCCTCTGAGAGCTGGTCTTGCGGCAGCCCTCGAACCCATGCCGCAAGACTGCCGGCTACGGCGTAGAGCTCGATCGAATGTGCTGCAAACCAGATGCCTTCCTGTACAGATCCGTACTGTGGCTGCTGCCGTGCCACAGTCTGGGGGAAAATCCAACAAGAAACCGGGTGCTATATTGTGTCCGGGGAGCTCACTTCATGTCCAGTCCGGACACATCCTCTCTCTTGTTTCTGGAGTCTGAGGCACATTTAACCTGCCTCTGCTCTGTCGTTCTCCAATCGCCGCGGCTATTTGCTTTCGACCTTTCGAGCTTCCCGATCGAGTATCCCGACGTCGAGCGGTGAGGAGTTGCCGGAATTGACAGGTGGACAGGAGACGCGATTGGTCTAAGCAGGTTCTTGGCTCCAACTATGACCACTCCCCCCTTCCCCCTAGCAGGACTCCTAGCGAGACTCAGAGCTCCCCCTACCCTCCAGGCCCCTTGACAGCCCTACCGTGTTATAGTGTGCTACGCAGGGGCCATCTTGGAGGTGGGGAGAATGGGATGTCGAAGCTTTGGCGGCTAAGATATGGAGTTGTCGTCAAGCGATGCGAAGTCGACCGCTTGCCCATGGGGAGCCTGGTAAGAGTTCCCTAGACACCAAACCTCGAGAGTGTCTACATCAAGATTGAGGTGAGACCTGGGTCCTGGGTACCTCGCAAGGGCTTATGGAGCTGGCGACCGCAGTCACGGTGTCGTGCCTGGAACCCCTTTCTGGTTGGTCCACGTTCCGTTCTATCTACGCACCCCCTCTCGCTGGAAGAGAGCCTCGCCCTAACTGATCGGGACGTCCATCTAGTGTTTGAGAAAATTTTCTCGGCCAAGGCAGAGACGTCTTCGATGTCCTGTGGTGCCACTCATCCTTTAACGAGCTTGGAATCTGGCTGGAGGTCCTTCTCTTCATCTTGTCGCCGGAAGAACCCCTAGGCTTCTCGAGCAGAGATATTTTCGCGTCTCGACGCTGATCCGGTTCTCTTCTTCGTATCTTTGACACTTGAACTCTGATGACTCCTATTGCACTGCAATGGGTCATTTGGTCACACACAGTCCAGGAACCGGTGAGGAGTCGGCCGAGGTTGGCGGCGATGGGCTATCGAAACATTCCCTCAGTCCAAGCCCGGGTATTGATACTGCTGGTGATCATGCAGAGACTGCACGGCTTTTTGACGACCGTGTGACAGAGGAGTGGGGCCCTGGATGTCCATTTTACAGGCGGACTGCTCCCCAACACCTGAACGACAACCGTGGGGCCCTGGTCTCAGGTAGAGGCGACAGAAGGGGTGGCCATGTCTCGAGGGATCTTGGAGACGCGACGGCCGGGGGGCGGCTAGAGATGGTACTGCAGGACAAGGAGTCAGCGATGAATTCTGCTACGCCGAATGGCGGGGAGGCATGGAGACAGCCCGGGAGCATGGGGTTGGATGTACTTGTGCCTCTACCACATGCATGCGGTGTCGAGGACTTGGTCGTCGAGGAGACCGAAAGCGGCACAACCAGCGGCGCGTTGAAAACATGGTCTATCGACGCCGAGACTAGGTCTGCGAGGTAGGTTGAGTGCTGCGACGTCGTCTGCCAGTGTGGCTGCCTGACTGACTTCCCCGGGCAGAAAATCGGACGATTCGACAGAACTGATGCGGCCAGCTGACCAGCGTGTCGAGCGAATATCGCAGGCGGCGAGGATGCACTCGACGCTAGCTCATGTCGTCGAGTACCGACTCGGTCGCTATCCTCGTCTTGCAGACACAGAACTGGCCCCTGCCGACACCATAGAAGAGGAGCAAGAGAAGGTGGTAGCTCGGTCTCTGGACCTGGCCGCGGTGGCAACAGCATCCTGTCCTCTCCAGCACCGTACCTTCAATCTCGTCTACTCAGTCGAAATCAGCGAGAGGATGGAAGATCTAGTTGAACTTTAAGGAATTTCTTAGTATATGGGGAAGGTGCGATCATCCATCCATCCATCCATCCATGCAGCGAGACAGTTGGGGCATTCCTTCCCCGAACAGTGGGTGCAATGATCAGGTGGTGTCCGGATGTCCCACCTATAACCTATTCCATGTCAGAGGAAGGAGCAAATATTGACAGATAGGGTACTGTACTTGCCTTCCAAGATCTTCCTGAATTGCCCGCACACCATCGGTTAAGTGGTGGGCCATGCCAACCTCATCTCCTTACCTTGCCAACATTACCCCTACAGATACCTAACTATTCGGCCGTTTCTTGTCAAGAAAATCGTTGTTCAGAAGTCCAAGTAATTTCTTTCTGTCATCCCTTGAAGCTGAAGATAGACAGGCATCGATGTGAAATGATATGCGCAGAGATGGGGCACTTCCATTGGGCTGGATGGACTCTGGGGTCGCTCTTCTCCAACCAATCTTCTTCTCTCTCGGCCTGCCTTGGTTCAGTGATTGTTCCAAGAGACCTGGCTAGGCCCAATATCTGCCGTACAGGTACATACATGTACCTACCTACATACATGTTGTTGGGAATTGCCTTACCTTCGGTGCCCAGGGTCGAGCCGGTGCCCAACCGAGTCTTTTTTACTTCCCTCCACCCCGACGAGATATCGGCCAGAACTAGAAACAACTAGGTACACCAACCTAGACAATAGGTTGCAGCGCCGCAGGTGGCCTTGTCTAGGAATCCAGAACCCGTATTGTGGCTTCGTTGCTAGCAAGCCGTCGAGGACTTCCTGCAGAAAACACTAGCTCCCGGCCATAGAAACCCATGGGCACACGCAGGTTGCCACCGCTATCCCTTAAGCGGCTTGTCACAAGCACTGCTAGTGTGACTGCGGGCGTCCGGGTATGCGCAGAGATATTGCGCTCTCATTTCCTGCATAGACAAACGACGAGTATCCCGTTGGGCGCGAGCTTTTTCTCCCCTTTTGGTGGGAAAATGTCAACGTCGTCGTGGGGATGCAAGGTTGGCCCACTAGTTATGCGTGCCACGGCTAGCTCCCTCCTTTCCGTCAGAGGGCGGGGATGCGTTGGGTGCCTCGAGGGCTGGACCCTGACACTAGAACCCCAGGACCCCGGGATCCAGCTACCTAGATCCCGGGAGATACTCAGTGTACTTTACACTATACCACCGGATCTGGAACTGGGGAATGGGGGTTGACGTTGGGTCGAATGTGGAGTTAGTGTATCTAGAGATTCCAGACCAAACATAGGTTATATGGTACGTACCTACCTGTATGTACCAAGGATAGCGAAAAGACCACCTTATCACGGCAAGCACTTGGTGTCCTCAAAGCAAGACGAGCTGCTGACAACTCCAGGCACACATGCCCATTAGGCACTCGCATCTCGGGCCAAATAAACCTAAGATGGCGCAAGCATAAGTCTTGTGGACAACTCAAAAGACCACCCAAGAGGGGCGCTGAGAAAGGGGCTTGCAGAGCCGTCTACCTGCCAATGGGGTCGAGTCGCGTCCGTCTGTCCAATCATTGCTGCTGGTCGGCCAGATATCGTTTTCTTTTGATGCGGGCTTGAGTGAAAACGTCTAGGGCCGAACTCTGGGGGGTCCAATGAGCTGCGAATCGGTGGAGTTCCATTATCCTCGAGACATTCAACAGATGCCTAAACCCACCGACCTGCTCTCGGGCAGACAAACGGCGAGATCATAGTCGTCCCGACCACCATAAAGGGGCATTGTTCCACCCGTCTGAGCTTGATCGCCATGTTTTTTACGTTCAGGTTTTGTCTGCAACAGGCGGGAGTTTCTAGATTAGGTTGACCAGCTGTTTCCTAGGTTACCTCAGCCGCTCCCCAAGCATCAACCACTTGGCGAGCAAGGCCGCTTCTCCGATCCTCCCGCGCAAACAACGCCTGTCAGGGCAACACTGCTCCCAAGGCAACGCATCTTTCCAAGAGACGCCAAATCTCAAACAACACACCCCAGCAAGGAACACTTCTCAAGTTAAGATGGACTCCTCAACGCACACCAACCTTGGTCAATACTCTCCCAATGCTGGTCGGCATTATTCTCTCGCTATATCTGGTGCCGGCGGCAGTCCCGGTGGCCTGGTCGGAAAAAACAGGCTCGTAAGCCAAGAGGTGGGGTCCTGCGGCCCTTTCTTCCCTGGCATCTACTACCCGGACGCCGGGGACAACCCTCGAGCCCCCCATTCGGTCCAGCCTCCTGTATACGGGGCCCAGTTTCACGGGTCAGCTGGCTTCGGCTTTTATTCCGCCGCTCTCCCCGCTCAAGCATTCATCTTCATGCCGGGCTCGCCAGCTACATATCCCGCTCCGATTCCATATCATGCTCCGTGCGACTGGGCTCCTCCTGGGCCGCCAAGTCGCTTCCCGTCGTACAGCTCTCCGAATTTTCGGCATGCTCAGCCTCCACCGCAAGCTGGTCCTAAGCTCAGGGATATTTGCTCACCCTCGACTGCTTCCGCGGCTGTTCTGCCAGCTGCTTCCGCTTTCCCCGTTTTTCCAACTCAAGTTCCTCAGACTCCGTCTGCCCAGGCTATAGCTGCTTCGGCTCTCTGCATTTCCCAAGCTACACCACCAAATCCTCGCCCGCCTGCTTCGGCTTTGTATGTCCCCCAGACTCCAGCTGCCCCTCCGGCTATTCTCTCAGCCGTTGCACCCGCTACTGCTTCCCGCACTCCCCCGGCTCCAGATCGGTCGGCCAGGGCCAGGAGATGGCAAAAGACTAGTCTCGAACTCCAGACCGCGGCGCTAGAAGACAGTCTAGTAGAGGAGAGGGCTGGTCTGATTGCCAGCGAGAAGTGTCTGGTCGAGGAGAGGCATGCCCTCATGGAGAAGGTATTTCAGCACTCCTTTTGCAATAACGCGGCAATTGACAAGTTTTTAAAGCACAAGGCCAAGGACATGTGAGTGACAACGAACGCAGCAGCCTAGAGCCTCAGCCACTAAACTGAGGGCTAGTGGTAAGAATGCCGTGAACCGAGTCCCTGCTGACGTCGTATCTTTGCCTCTGCAGTGTCGAATCCGCCGAAGATCCCTCAAAGGTGAAGAACACATGCCGATTCATAAACGGGGTAGAGTGCACTTGCCCCCCTGGGGTTCCGTTCCCAATGCCTGCGTGGCTGTGAGGTCTTTGTATTGGCGTTTACAGGCCGACTGGCGATGCCTCTTGGTCGGGAACTTGCCCACCTGCCCCCTCTTTCTCGAGTCTATGCTTATGCTTTCCTTTCTACTTTATCTACGTCTTAGAAAGGCCGTCGGTAAGTCGTGCTGCCGCGACTTGTTTGTGTTGGCTAGATCCATGACAACCTGTGATCTGAAATTTTTAATTTTTCTTCTCCATTTCTAGCTCTCCGGTTTGGAATGGTGCTCTCCAAAAGTGCTCCCACTATCACTATCATGACGCCTTTCCCTCCCAATCTTGTTTCGCGAAAACTATTACGCTGATGAAATCTTCTCTTGTTACTCTCTATTTGATCTCCGGGTCGGAAGTGTGCGTTTCTTCTCTTTACTCTGTCCTTTTTTTTCTTCTTTTCTAAAGAAAAGAAAACACAACACGCAAGCCGTCAAAATATCTGGTGATGGGTTTGTCCTGCTTCTCGCCTCTTCTACTTTCCACGGTATCCGACCCGGAAGTGTGCGTTTTTATTGGGCATTAGGGTGGGTGTTGGCCTTTCGTGTTGCTTACTAGAGCGGCTTGGATGTATCATATGTGCCGGCTGCCAGGCCGAGAAAATTGGTGCCTCATCGAACGCTCGAAGGATAGAAGTACTAGGAGGAGGTTGGTATCTTGAAATATCATGATGGATTGGAGTGGGGAAAGCAAGAGCACCGCGAGATTCTATTGCTCGAAAATCATGGCTGGCGGAATCAGTTCATTTCTTGAGGTATTGTCCTTGGTTCTTCATCGCTCATTTGAAGAACAGGTCAGACGTGATCATTTATTTATTTAGCTACGGATACTCCGCCAGCAGTTTGGTTTGCTGTGCCTTAGATCTGAGACCCCTGCATGGTAGAGGTGCACGACAGGCGGGCCGCTGCACAAGTGCCCAGTCACTGCAAGCAATTGCCTTTGTTGGAAGATGGGCTTCAGTCGTACTTCCACGGGGCAGGGTGTCCACCCACGGAAGGAGCCGCCTAAACTGCATTTCTCTTTTCTCAGGTTCTTTCAGAAGGGAAACTGACCAAAACCTACCAATCCTACTGGCACCTTCTAGCCTCATCTGGGCGCGCGCCTGTTGTCTGATCCAGCGCCTTGGCCTATTGGGGCTTTTCACCTCAACTTGGCCGAATGACTCCTCAACGGCCAGTCATCTGAACCCGACCTCAGGTGAACGTGAACAGTACTACTGACTGTGAAAGTAGGGTAAGCTGAAAGGGGCAACATAATTAAACTGGATTTACAACACCGTGCACCAGATAAGCCAACCTAAGCACCAAACTAATTCATCGATCCGTTTGCACACTCTTCCTCGCGACCCTGTCTGCGTCAACATCCTTCCTCACCTTAGCCACTCATCGTCTTTTGCCACGCATACAGCCATCAAGGTCCTCGACATAATTCGCGCCCCCGAAAAGGGCACACTCTTGCAAACGCAGGAAAAAACCCCCAAAAAGATCATTTCCGCAGACCTGAAATTAAGAACTCCAACAAAAAAAGAGCGAGAGTCAAAATCATGAAGGAGCCAAAAGTCAAACCCATCGAGATCGATGGGCGCACCGGCGAAGGCGGCGGGCAACTAGTGCGAATCGCCTGCTCGCTCGCTGCTGTCGCGACCTTGCCCATTCGCATCACGAACGTCCGGGGCAACCGGGAAGGGCCCCGCGGCGGAGGTATTTTTTTTCTTCTTATCTTTTCCTTTTCGACTGCTCATTCTAACCCTCGCACTTTGCCATGTTCCCTGCATGCCTGCCCGCCTACCTACCTACACCAATGTACCTAATCCAAAATATCGCCTCCCCTCCACCGTTTGTCCTAGCCCCTCCCCCTCATCCAGAAAGCAATGTAGTCCAAAAAGAAGTCCAGAAAGCTAACCCGACCTTTCCGCACCCCACCAGGCCTCAAATCACAGCACGTGTCGTCCATCGAATGGCTCGCGCAGGCAACAGACGCCGAGGTGAGTGGGCTAGCAGTAGGGAGCCACACGCTCGAGTTCCGGCCGCGGCGCAAGCCGTCGGAGCTGGCGGGGCGCTCGTTCAAGATCCGCGCCGACTCGGCCGCCGCGAGCACGCTGCTCATCTTTCAGGCCGTGTTCCCGTTCCTGCTGTTCGCCGGCGGCAACGGCACGTCCCCGACGAAAAGGGACCTCGACGGCGAGCAGCCCGTCATCAGCATCGCCTCTATAAACGACGATTTCTTGACGGGTGCGGCTGCGGCTGCCACTGAAGAGAAAGTAGGAGCAGCAGGCGAAGATAACACCACCCCTGCTGCTGCTGTTTCTCGAGCTGGAGCTGTTGTTGCCACTCGCGCGCCCGGCGAGCCGTACACCCCCATTAACCTCGAGATCTCGGGCGGCACCAACGTGTCGTGGTCACCGTCGTTCGAGTACCTGGACCAAGTCCTGCTGCCGGCGCTCGAGAGCGCCTTCGGCGGTGGCAGCAGCAGCAGCAGCAGCTGGCGCGTCGAGCGGCGGCTGCTCGCGCGCGGGTGGTCGGCAGGAAAACCGTCACGGGGCAGCATCGCGCTGCGCATCCACCCGCTGCGGTGCGGCGAGACGCTACGGCCGCGCGACACGGGCGGCAAGAAGAAGAACAATACCTCTAGGCGGAATGGTAGTGGCTGCCATCGTCTGACACTAGCCTCCGAGGAGCACGACATCACGGCTATCGACGTGTCCATGGTGGTGCCGGCCGACATGCACGAACCGCTGGCCGCGGCGCTGGTGGCCGACCTGGGCGAGCTGTTCCCCGAGGTTGATGTTGATGACATCCACTTCAAGCTGGTCGAGGACAGCGGCGCCGACGCGCGTGTCTACGTACTACTGGTGGCGCGGTCGGCGACACTGCGGTGGGGCCGCGACATTCTGACATCGATGCCCAAGCCGTCGGTGTCCAAGGGAAGCGGTAGCAGAACCAGCAGCAAAAAAAAGGGTGGAGCTGCTGCTGCAGCTAAAGGAGGTAACAAGTCTAGGTCAGGGGGCGGTAGTAATGGCCCCGCGGCAGTCAGCGCCGACGTCTCGCGCAAGGTGACTAAGAGTCTGTACGACGAGGTCATGGAGGGCGGTGCCGTGGACGAGTTCCTGCAGGACCAGCTAGTCGTGTTCCAGGCGCTGGCCGAGGGGCTGACGTCGTTTCCGCGCGGCGGCAGCAGCGGCGGCAGTGCTGAGGACGACGGCTATGACGGTTCCCATGACGAGGATAACAGCCGTGATGGCAATGACAGTGACCACGACGATGAAAAGGGCGATCGCGGCGAGGAGAAACTGGAGGCTGCCATGGAGGACCTCGCGATTGGCGACAAGGACATGAAGCAACAGCCGCGCCTCCGCCGCGACAAGAAGACACACAAGCCGTTTGGCGAGGGCAGCACGCATACGACGACGGCGCGCTGGGTGGCGGCCGAGATGCTGCCAGCGGCCAAGTGGTTCAACGACGGCCGCGTGTGCGGGGGCGTCGCCATGCGTCTGCAGCGGGCCGAAAAGGACGGCAGGTCCAAGTAAGGTCATCATACCGGGGGGGAGATGTGTGGATGGTTCTTTGATTTCTTTCTTCATCCGGGTTCGGTGCGGAATGGGGGGATGGGCGATTATGCATTCGTGTATAGGATGGCTGTTTATCCCTTGTCCCGAACCTAGAGGGTCTGTCTGTCTGTCTACCTCTGCCGGACTCACGAATGGGCTTACCACTTCTCTTTTCTTTCATTGTTTAGACAATAGTGATCAGCTTGAACGGACAACATGGATGTAAGAAGCAAGTAAGCAAGCGAACACATGAAAAGCGGTAGATAGCAGCTAGCCTCGTTTTTCTTTTCTTCTTTTTCTGTAGCGGAAGAAATTAGGGCAGGGCAGGGCAGGGCAGCTATGGATTGACTCGATGAGAATAGCTTTGACGACTCCCAGCATTCTCTCACAGTTTTCCCTGATATCATGCGCTCATTCATGCATGTGATCTTTTTAATATATTTGTGTGTTTGTGTGTTTGTGTGTGTATGTGTGTGTATGTGTGTGTGGCTAATCAGGAGGGGTATGTTGTCTTCCGTCTACTCTAGGAGCGGCTTCCATGGGTTAGATCTAGATCTATCGCCAAAGTGAAGTGGTTTATACCCACCACCGTGCACACACCTTTTAAAAGAGGGGGTATATGTAATCGTACAGGCAACATCTAAATCCCCCATAGTATCCCTCTCAAGATGGCGCCGAAAGTGGTAGGATCTTTCATGTAGATGCGCATCATATAGTCGCTCTATTTCTTTCGTACACGTTGGGCAAGCCATCGAGCGAACCTGGCATGATATAGTCAAGACTTTTGATGCTCCGAAATGGCTTGCCCAAGTCTTAGTGGTGTGTGCCACCGAGTCGTGCCCGTGCATCACCTGTAATGCTCGTACGCCTCGACTTCCTTCTGCCTCGCCTCGACCTTAGCAACAACGGCGGCGTCGTAGAGCTCCCCTGGAACCTTGTCGCCCTGCAGCACCTCCTTCTGGTGGCGCGCGGCCTCGTCCTTGGTCATGACGACGAGGTCGCGCAGCCTGACGTCGGACGACCTCTGCTCCGTGTCGTTGGTGCCGGCGGCGATCCGGACCAGCGTGCTGCCGCGCGGCGGCTTCTGCCACCGCACCAGAACGAGCTTGGTGGGGATGCCCGTGAGGACGCTCCGGCCGCGGTACACCTCCTCGACGAGGAAGGCGATGTCGCCGTGCGTGAGCGGCACCTTGAGCCCGACCGACAGGTTTGAGGCTCGGCCGTAGTGCTCGCGCACGAGGCTCTCCTCGACGCTCTGCACAAAGGCTAGGATGCCGTCGTACATCTTGCTCCGCGCCTTGCCGGGGACGTAGTCGAGCGGGTAGCCTAGAGAGAATAGTCAGTTACTAGCCGATGCAAGTCTGTGGTGGCTGCATACCGGTGATCTTCAAGATGACGTGGTTCGCGACCGTGTATCCGAAAACGGCGGGCATGGTGCCCAGCACGGGCAGGATGCGCACGCGAAAGTCGGGCAGGGGCCCCAGGTCGCCGACGGAGCCCTTCTCGAACTCGTCGTCGGGGAGCGGGACTAGGGCGGCCTTGCCGTCGCCCATCTTCTCGGTCGAGTAGACGACGGGGATGCCGCTGGTGACGCCTAGCAGCTTGAGGCAGCGGCGAGTGGCGCGCGAGAGGCCGTCGTCGGTGCTGGTGCCGATGTCGCCGACCATGATGCGCGTGGGGTCGCTCTTGGTGCCGGCGCCCATGGACGAGATGACGGGCAGGCCGTGGTCCCAGCAGTACTTGAGCAGCTCGACCTTGGAGTCGATGTTGTCGATGGCGTCGATGACAAAGTCTGGCTTCTGGGAGTCGCTGCCCTCCCAGCCGGCCAGCAGAGAGGGGGCGCTCCGGCCGTCGAACTTCTGCAGGCGCATGTCGAAGCGCACCCAGGGGGTGACGGCCATGAGGCGGCGCTGCAGGCACTGGACCTTAGAGAGGCCGACGTCGGCGAGGGTGGCGACGGCGTGGCGGTTGAGGGAGCTGAGGGTGACCTGGTCAAAGTCGACGAGGCGGATGCGCGAGACGCCGGAGCGGGCGAGAGCGGCAGTGGCGTGGGAGCCGACGCCGCCGCAGCCGACGACGACGACGAAGGCGCCGCGCAGCTTGTCGAGGCCGTCCCGGCCGAGGAAGACGCGGTTCCTAGCTAGCTGCTCGAGGATAAGTTCATCGTCGAAGTCGCCGCTCTGGGCGCGCTGGGCCAGGAGCTGGTTGTGTTCATCCTCCTTGTCGGGTCGGGGGAGGGGGCCGGTGCTGGTGACCTGGGGGGCTGTCAGCGGGTCACCACGGAGACTGTGAGGAGACGGAGAGTCCGGGGGTGGTACACGTCATACCGGCTGTATGAGGCTATCGTTGGCTTTGGGTTCGGGTATAGAGCGCTTGAGGCGATAGAGGCGCTCGTCGTGCTGCAGACGTTGGTAGGTGAGGAGGGCACCAGCAGCGACAGCGGCGGACACGACGGCAGTGGCGGCGAGCTGCAGCTTAGGGCTCGAGGTGAAGGAAGCCATTGCGGCCCGTGTTGTGTTGCGTTTCAGATGGGCTGTTGAAATTTCGTGCGACGCATTGCAAGGTAGGATGGATGGGATGGTGATCTATATTCGTACTTGGGTCGGTTGGTGGCCACGGGCGCATCGAATGGAAGAAAAAAATGCTGGAGTTTCGGGCCACAACCAAACGGGTCTCCAATGCCCTGGCGTCATTCCCAGGGGCACCCAGGGAGGCGGAAGCCAATCGAGTTAGCTCCCGTGCGCTAGGTTCAAGGCCTGCCGCAGCCCCTCAGTGGGGGCCTTGACCTGCTTACCTAAGGTGCATGTATCGACGGATACTCGACGCAATTTCTCGCTATGTGGAACCAAAATCGGCAGACGTTCTGCTCTTTCGCATGCGGTGCGAACTCGACTACGAGTGGAGTGACGACGCCAGCATGTTTGCGCAAACATGGCAAACATTCCTTGAATTCTCGTCCACGAAAACTTTAACAACTGTCTGTCACTAGAACCAGGTGATCTCCGACCCTTCCTTCTTCCAGGTGTGCTTCCGTCTGAAGAAAACTTTGGCCCGAGGAAGCCAAACCACCGCGATTTGGTCTTCATCTTATAACAGAGCATCATAGCTATCTGTAAAAGATGTCGATTTTTATTACCGGGTTATCAGGTAGGCAGCGGGGATTGGTATGAACTTGGACATCTGTCCTCTCTCGCAGGTAATAAAGTACCCCGCACATGTTGATACATGCATTGTACTGCACGTACATATTGTACACTACTGTGCGGGCATAGATGAGATAGGACGGCATGGACTGGAGCGGCGATACGCAGTCTGAAGTCAGCAACCAGCAAAATCCCTCTTCACATACTGCATCTCCACCGCGCTCGGCCTAGGCTCCGTTCTGACTGTTGCAGGAGGCCAACATGTCCAGAGCTGGTATATAAAGGGGATGCCTCGACTTTCTAGGCGCCTTGGGGCTTGACATGATTACCCCTATTCCCAGACACCCAAGTCAACAAAGTCGCATAGCAACCCACCCACCCCAGCACGGATACTCCCTCCACAATGGCATCGGCCCAGGGCAAGACAGCCATCATCACCGGCGCGGCCGGCGGCCTCGGCAAGGCCATTGCCGGCGCCTTTCTTGCCGCCGGAGCCAACGTCGTCATCTGCGATGTCCACGCCCAGCGCATCGCCGCCGTCGACGCCGAGTAGTCCGCGTCATACCCTGGCAAGGTCCTCGTCACGCAGACCGACGTCACCGACGAGGCCGCCGTCGTGGCCCTTGTCGCTGCCGCCGTGGCCAAGTTCGGCCGCGTCGACGTGCTGGTGAACAACGCGGCCATCATGGACGACTTTGCGCCCGTGGGCGACTGCTCCAAGGCGAGGTTCCAAGTGCTCAACATCAACCTCAACGGGCCCTACCTCACATCTAAAGCAGCCGTCGGCTAGTTCTAGAGACAATCGCCCGTCGGCGGCGTCATCGTCAACATCGGCTCCAACGCCAGCTTCCGCGGCTTCACGTCGGGCGCCGCCTACACCGTGTCCAAGGCCGGCGTCATGGCGCTGACCAAGAATACGGCTGGCTACTACGGCCCCAAGGGCATCTACGCCGTCGCCCTGCTGCTAGGCGCCATGGAGGGCACCAACATCCGCGACGCCTTCTCCCAGACCCTGCACATGGACATGTTCCAGCGCGTCCAGGCCTCGCAGACCCCCTTCGTGCCCAGCCAGGCCGCCGTCCCTGTGGCTGCTGTCGCAAAGTACTGCCTCTTCCTGACCGACGCCGACATCGCCGCCGGCGCCAACGGGTCGTGCGTCGTCTTTAATGGCAACTGGCCCGAGGCGTAGGCCGGCACTGACGTGCATGGTAATGAAAAAAAGGGGCTCAATGTAAATAAGTAGACTTGTTCTAATGAGTGGCATGATTCTCGTGCCTTGCTTTGGGATAACTGGCTCATAGTGACACCAAGCGAGCCCCTTCGGCCACATCAGTAACACTACATTGGTAAACCGCGAGGCCACACGACATCTGCCCAGTTTGTCACACCCCCATCCATCCGCAATAACTATAATTACTGCCGCCGCCGCCTTACCACGGAAGGCAGTACGGGCTCCCGTTCTGGTAGTTGAACTTGCAGTAGCTCTTGGGTGGGCAGTCGCCAGCGAACTTTGATAGACAAAAACGTTAGCGCGTCGTCTCTGTCCATGTGTGTGTGTGTGTGTGTATGCGTCTCATCACCGCCAAGGGAAAGAAAAAGAAAAGAATACTCACCACCCACGTGTGACTAACATCACACACCTGCCAGCCCGGCCGGCCCGTCTTGGGGTCCTTGGCGCACGCGTACGTCGCCGGCTTGCAGCCTTTGTACTTGTGCAGCTGGCCGGCCGCGTCGTCGAGGGCTGCCACGGCTGTTTCGGCAGTCGCGGCGTCGGCCGCGTTGGACGTCGCGATTGCGTTGGCGTTGGCCATGGCGGCACCGTCGGCCAGAGCTGTGGCGGCGAAGGCGAGGATGATGGTCAGGGGCTTCATTTTGGGCTTTGGGGGTTGTATGTTTGGTTGAGGGAGTGTGTGCGTTTCTTGGTCGTCTTGGTGTTGAATGAAAGAGTGGTTTGCTGAGCGGGTGAAGAGCGTGACATGGACGGGGGAGATGGCGTGCTTGTATTTATATCTCGTCGTCTGTCCATCTTGGCCCAAGTCCTGCTCGGCGGTTGGTCATAGGACGTGCGTAAAACTGTCTTGCTCGGTGCCCCTTTATTTCCCCTCTCTAGAGCAACACGCCTGGAAAGGCAAGACAGTTGACGTACCCCCGGCGCTGGCGAGCAGCCCCTTACTGACACGATACGGAGTTAGTTGAGGACATATGTGCCAAGTCCGAAAGCGCGCGAGGCGATCTGGCAGAGAAAGTCTCTCCTGTAGGTCTGAGCCGAAGTTTGGGGAGGCTGGTATGCGGTCTGGGTCTTCCCCTTTTTGTGTCGGCCTAGCCTCCCCTTGACGCGCAGCTTTCCGGAAGACCAGTAACGAAAGGAAGGAAGGATAAATGGATCCGTAGCAGGAGAGATCATATGGTGATGGCTTGCTCCAGCCGGTATCTTTCGATGAGAAGTGCACAAAGTCTGGACTGTCTACTCGAGCCCGACGAGTGGCATCGCAGTAAAGTTCCAACGAGGTACTTGCAGTTTATATTCTCCTCATCTGGCCAGCTCGCCTAGTTGCACAAGATTGGGAGCCATCTTGGAGTCACGGCTCTGTCTACTACTCACAGTGCAGATCTATGTTCTCTGTCTAAAAATGGGCACGTCGACTTTCCCGCAAAAGGGTGACCTCTGTATTTACGCGTGCTCCTTTTCCCAATAAGGGATTAAACAGCACACGGACCCAAACACACAGCAACCATTGTGCCTTCGCTACAGAACCAACTCTTCAAACCATATCAACAACTCATTGGTTTCTTTTCCGTATTTTTACACCCCCAAAGAACTACGCGAGGAGTAGAGGGGGAAACATTAGAGATGACTTCAGCCTCTAGACACTAAACAACTAAATTAAGAGTCTACTATGTAAACCTTGAACTGGATACAGGATATGTCCATCTACGGACGTTGAAACAACCAGCCTCACGCTCTCTCTCCCCCCACCCCCTGTGTAGACAATAGTCACAAAAAGGGCCGAAAGGAACATTCCTCCATATGCATAATCAAAATCCTTACGCGCCGCCTGTCCAGTCTCGACGAGACTGGGGGAATGCTCGATCTTCACAGTGAAATAACCTCTCATTCCTGGACTCGCACACTACACTCCTGCCTGCCTGCCTACGTAGCTAGCTACCTTAGTCACCTTAGGTAGGTACCTTGCATGGCAAACGACATACTGCACACAGAAAATTCAGACGTGAAAAGAAGCTGTTAGTGTTGGCAAGCCGCAGCAGAGGCCGGAACCGACACATCACATTTTCAGAGGTAGTTACCTACCTAGGTATGCACATGGCCCGATATTCCCTGGTTCCCTGCCGCAGTGCGCATATATCTACGCACCCACAGACGAGGATCTCTTGAGCGTAGACCAAGCGGCTGCCAGCCTTCGTCGGATTATAGCCCTGCTACGTTCACCTCCCCTCCCCCTCCCCCCTACCAGCCGCAGCAGCCTCAGCCACCAGCTCCCTCGCCCTATCCCTCAGCTTAAACTTCTGAATCTTGCCACTGGCCGTCTTGGGGAACTCATCGCACCAAAACACATGCTTCGGCACAAGGTGCGCCGAGAGGCGATCGCGCACCCAGTCCCTGACCATGTTCCTCGTCAGAACCTTCCCCTTCCCCTTTTCCTCTCCCACCCCCTCCCCATCCCTGACAGCAACACCCCTATGCACGGCCACAAACGCACCCACCGCCTCACCATACCTCTCATCAGGCACCGCGACCACGCTCGCCTCGGCGACGAGCGGGTGCTGGAACAGCACGTTCTCGATCTCGAGCGGGTGGATGTTTTCGCCGGCGCGAATCACGAGGTCCTTGATCCGCCCGGTAATCTCGACGTAGCCGTCCTCATCCATGCGCGCCTCGTCGCCCGAGTACAGCCAGACAGTCCCGGTCTCGGGGTCAGCCACGCGGACGTCGCGCGTGCGCGCCTCGTCGCCCCAGTAGCCCTGCATGACGAGATACCCCGCAGCGGCGAGCTCGCCGCGGTCGCCGCGCGGGAGGACGCGGGTGCGGTCGGTCGGGTCGACGACCTTGACAGCCGTGTGCGGCATGGCGCGGCCGACGGAGCCAGTGCGACGGTCGAACGGGTCCGCGGGCGTCGTCATGCAGCTGACGGGCGCCGTCTCGGTCATGCCGTAGCAGATGACCAGATCGGCGAGCCCCAGCGACGCGTACAGCCGGCGCATGAGCGATTCCGGGACCGAGCTGCCCGCGGCGATGCCCTTGCGCAGGTGCGTTGGCAGCGCGCGGACGCTCGCGGGGGAGACGTCTTTGGGTGGCGAGGAGAGGATCTCGAGTATGGCGACGAACATGGTGGCGACGCCGTAGAGGCCGGTGGCGCGGTGGTGCGCGGCCATTTTGAGGCTCGCGAGCGGGTCGAAGGCCGGGCTCGGGAACAGGAGGGCGGCGCCGGTGGTGGCGGTGGCCATGTAGCCGAGCACGGAGCCGAAGCAGTGGAACAGCGGCGGGGGGCAGACGATGCTGTCGGCCGGGGCGAGGCCCATGCGGTGGGCGATGAGGGCGCCGTTGTTGAGGATGTTGGTGTGCGAGAGCATGGTGGCCTTGGGCTGCGACGTGGTACCAGACGTGAACTGGATGTTGACCGTGTCGGCGGCCAGCAGCGGCGAGTCGGGCGTCACAGCGCGGGCTGAGTGGGCCGAGCGCCGCGGAACCAGGCTACCGCCTTCGAGGAGTGACGAAAAGGGCGTCAGGGAGCGGGCGGACGAGGGGAACGACACGAGAGGGTGGCTCGCGCTGTTGTCGAGCACGATGACGGTCTCGAGCGAGGGGACGTGGGGCGCGTGGACCTTGCGCGACGACGCGTCGAGGTCCGGGACCATTGCTTGCAGGAGCGGCAGGTTGCTCCGGCCGCGGCACGGCTTGTAGGCGAGGTCGGTGACGGTGCCGATGATGAGGACGCGGGCCTGCAGGTGGGTGAGCGCGGCGGTGACCTGGTTGGCGTTGAAGCCGGGGTTTAGGGGGACCAGGATGGCGCCTAGCTTGAAGACGGCATAGGTGAGCGCGGCGAACTCGGAGCAGTTTCCTAACCCGACGGCGACGCGGTCGCCCTTCTTAACGCCGAGGGAGCGCAGCGAATGGGCCAGCGAGTTGGACACGAGATCCAGAGCCTCGTACGTCAAGACGGTCTCCCGAGCGGCTGGCCAGGCGGCATCGGGGATTCCCTCGTCGGGGGCGGCATCCCGGGTCGTGGTCGGCGAGCGGCTTATCACGGCCGGCCGGTCCCCGAACCGGGAGACGACCGAGGCAAAGTGTTCGGGGATGGTGTGAGGGAGGAGCGGCGGTTCGTTAGGACCGTAGCTAATGCTCGGTGCCAGCCCGGCGACGCCCCTCAAGCACTGTCGGCTCGGCCCGGCGCGGCCCCGAGTCCGATATATCCCGAGATGGGCTCTCGCCGGCCGCACAAGCCGGGGCCAGCCGCGCCGAGAGACGGCAAGTCCAGGCAGCCGTGGCTGGAGCATGGCGACACTCGTCTCGTATTCCCCGACTCTCAACTACCCAACCGAGACGGGGCCTATTAGATGCCGGAGACGTAGTTTGGGATGAGCTCCGTCAGCATCGCTGCACGCGCAAACAAAGAAGTCTGTACCCAGGTTGACGCAAGACAATGAACCAGGAATACTAGTTACGAAGGAGTGGGTCGTCAGGACGGAGGACGAGTCTGGAGTCTCTCCATCTCCCCTCCCCAATTCTCGTGCGTGCGCGGGGTTCGACTTGTCCAAGGCGTCTAGTCTAGTGTTGTCCTACCTGGACATGCAGACACTCATCAGCTTCCATTCCAAATCAGGGATGGGACGATGCACCCGACCCCAACCGCTGCCCTGCCCTGGGAGGGGCATGCATCGTCATCCAGATGCGAAAGAATGCGGGGTAGGCGCATGATGGACATTTCCTACACTAGAGTAGAGTCAGCCAGCCAAGGCCGTCGGCGTTTCCCCATATTCCTTGGCGGCACACAGGGGCAACCCCCAGAAGTGTTTTAGCGTCAGCCCAGTTGGGGGTGGATTTGGGGAAGCTGTTGTTGGTTTCTTTTTCATACTCAGTGAGCCTTGCCCCTTTCTTTTGGCCGCCGTTTTATCAGGCCCGCCAGGGCAGCAGGCGATGGAAGGAGCGCTCGACTCTCGCCAGTTGGCTTATTAGCGTCTCGGATTTTTTGCACGGCAACTAATTAATCAATCAATTCCTTTCCACTCTCCACTCTCCACTTCTCCAGCACAATACTTTCCGGCTCCCATGCAGTCTGCCCCAAGCGAACGCCTGTCCCGCGCTGCGAGCTGGGGCTGGTGCGCCTGCAGCAGCAGCAGCAGCCCCAATAACAACACGCATGCGGGGTCATCGGCCTCGAGCAAAGAGGACCCGCCCCCGCAGCAGGATAACATCAGCGGCGCTGGCCCGGCAAGCCCGGCGTGCCCGTGCACCGCCGATGACGGCGGCGGCCCGAACAACAAACCAAAAAGACTCGGCCTATTCGCATACGGGACGCTGACCATGGACGCAGTCATGAAAACACTGCTGGACCGCGTCCCGCCGTCGCAGCCGACGGCGGCCCCCGGCTGGCGCGCCGCGGGGCTGCCTGGCCTTCCGTGAGTTCTTGTTATACTTCCCATTCCCATTCCCATTCCCATTCCCATTCCCATTCCCATTCCCATTCCCATTCCCGCAAACCACTCATCCTCGAAAAGCTACCCCGGCCTCGTCCGCGACGCCAGCGCCAGCGCTCCCGGACGGGTATACCACGACCTCACAGCACGCGAGTGGTTGGTACTCGACGCGTTCGAGGACGGCGCGTACGACGTCGCGGCCGTTGCACTCGCCGACGGGCAGGGCCAGCAGCGCGCCGTGGCGTACGTGTGGCCGGCCGAAACGCCAGCGCTCGCAAGCACGTGGACGCCCGACGCCGTCGATGTTGCCGCGTATGTGTCGCGCTGCGGCGCGTGGCGGCGGGAGTGGGAGGCGAGTATTCAGTGAGTTGGTGAGTAGCTAGCCAGGAGGCGCGGGCCGTTGGGATTCGTCGGACTCCGGTGCGATTCCGGTGCGGTTCCGGCCGCGGCTTGCGGCTTGCGGCTTGCGCAGATGTTAAAATGTTTAGGGGGCCCACATTACTATAAGTGTTTGGTAGAATTGCAGCGTTTGTGCGTGATCGGTCGAATGCAAAGAAAACAAACAATCATTCAACCATTTGCTCACGTCTCGACTGATTCCGGTAGAAATACGTACGTACATGCATGTACCCAGCCCCAGGAGCCGTCTCTCTCAAACACACTAAAATCGTCCCATCACCAACGCACCTCAGTCCTGCCCGCGACCCGTTTTCCGGGCCCGAGGCACAACACAACACAACCAACAAATATTTGTCCGCGCCGCCAGTTTGTTGAGGTCCCTGCCCCCAGTGCCCTGCGGCCGCCCGTCACACGCACCGAGTCGTGGGACAAACAGACTTCGTGGCCCGCCACAAGCAAGGCCCGTATCTCAATTGATCATGTTGGATCCTTGTTTTTTTCTTCACGGTTGTTATGTACAGAGCCCCAATCGAATAGCAGTAGTACCACCCCGTGGCCGTGGTCTCTCTCGCCAGGCATCTTTTGTTGGTATTATACACACACTCCTCTATGACCTGCCCCATCGTGGAAACCCCATTTGGGGGCATGCACCCAAAACGCCAAGCCATGCACATAGAAGCTCTTGTAGGAAAATTAAACAATATGTTACCAAAGAAGACAAGAGGAAGAAAAAAGTCGTCAGACAGATTTGGAATGAATGCGGGAAGAGCCGGTCTTCAGGCACCAATGTGGCGTTCGCTCTCGGGCTTCCAGGTGCCTGTGACATTAGGTGCTGATGTTAGCACGGGGTTCAGCGAAGAATACCACGCAAGAAAGATGCCTTACCCTCGAAGTCGTGCTTGACAAACGCCATGGGATCGTCATACTCTTTGGCGCCCATCTGCTGCACGCCGGGCGAGAAGCTCGTGATCGGGAGCACAATGACATCCCCCACGCGCTTGGCCATGTCCATGCCCGTGAAATTCTGGAAGTCGATGGGGCCGGCCGAGTGCTTCATGTCGAAGTACCGGTTGTCGTTGAAATACTCAAATATAATATCCGTCCACAGCGCAGGCCCCGTGAACTCAATCACGTTCTTGTCGACCACCCCCCGCAGGGACCCGGCCCGCTTGCGCTTGAGCGTCTGGTCCGTGATCCGCGACACGATCTCCCGCAGCACCGGGTGCCCGGGCTTGCTCTGGATCGTCCACTGGCAGAACTGGATCCTGCGGCTGTACCAGTCCTTCCAGTCCGGCCGGTCCGGGTCCGCCTCGATGCCAATCACCAGGCCGACGGCGCTCCGCGGCACCGACTTGGGAATCCACTCGAGCGCGCTCTGCAGCGCGTACGTGTCAATGTCCGAGTAGATGCCCCCTCTTGCCAGCAGGATGAGGTAGCGGAAGAAATCGGCCTTGAGCACGGGCAGGGGCAGCGCCTCGTACGCCTCTAGGACCTCGGGCACCGATGCGTACAGCAGCCGGAGTAGGTTCACGGCTACCTGGTCCGTGATGACCTCGTGTATGAACCCCGGGTGCTGCTCCGTCCACGACGCCTCCTGCTCGCGGAACTGGAACTCGCCGTGCGCCGGTGTCCACTTCCACGTCTGCCAGATGTAGGCGGGGAACTTGGTCTCGACGTCGTAGGGGAACTGGTACGCGAGCTTGTCGTACAGGCTCAGCTTCGACATGTCTTGCATCGTGTGCTGGCCCGATCGCGATGGCCTCTCGACGCCGGGCGAGCCGTGGCGGATTGGGCTGGCACTGGAAGCCTTCTGGTCCGACGATACGGCTGTCGTCGATGCTTGCCTCGACGAGTCGGGCGGCGGTTGAGTTTTGGGGAAAGTCTGGGGCAGCTGCACTGGAGGAGTTGCCATGGGCGGCGTCGATCGCGTCGTGCTGAGGTAGAAGATGGTGAGGAGCAGGGCCGCCGCCACGAAGGCGCGGCGGAACGTGAGCATCTTCGAGAACTGCTAGTGTCTGTGATCACAGCGCAGCGCCGTCCGTCAGTGTCTGACCTTGCTGGGCAGCCGAGCCGAGGAATGCGGGCGCGGTCGCGAGGCAAGCAGCTGGAGTCGCCAGCGCTGCTTTAAAGGGACCCACGCAACCCTTGTAATTGGCTTTCTGACATGAGCGCAAAGAACGCACCTGGTCAAAAAGGCATGAAACAAAACATAGGTTGGGAACAGCGAGGTTTAGAACAGGATGCGAAAAGAGGGTGTCGTGGAAAAGATTAAAAGTAGGAATTTACCTGAACGAAGACTAAATGAAACCACGCAAGCGAGAACAGCGGTAGGCTGGCACAAAGGATGGATGCAGGGTGGGCGCCGAAGATTGTGCAACAGGGGCTACTGTGGTTTCTGCAGAGGACCCTCAAACGGCGGCCCTGACGGGAGCTCTCGGCCAGTGACGACGATCTGCGCCAAGAGATGGGACAACCAGGATGCACTGGGAGGATCTGGGAAATTCGATACTAGATCGGGATTTGGCGAGTTTCAAACGATGGATGCTGCGAAATGCGAGCGCCCAGGTGCGCAGGCGCAGGCAGCTGCCACCTTGGGCAGGTCCAGGGCAAAGGTAGCGCGATAGCCCGTCGACAGACACCAGTGTGGCCTCTGGGCCAAATCTTGCGACGAACTGGGCCTAGACCTGTCAGGCCAAACCTGGCGGCCCTTGTTGACGAATGTGGGGTTTGTGGCTTTGGCTTTGGGGGGCTTTGGCTTTGGGTCTTTGGATGGCGGGGGCTCGTTGGTTGCAATTGGGACAGTTGGAACTGCCAGAACCCAAGTTGAAGGAGTCGGGACGGAAAGCACAGGACGGGCGGCCCTCTCGCCCGTCCGTCCAGCTAGGCGGTCTTATTATCCTGTCTATGGCAATTGCCTGTGGTAGAATTGCATGTCTCCAAGAGGGGAGATACAAGCATTGATCCCGTCTGTACCGTACCTCCGTGATGACGTTGGTATCCGCGTCGCCCTCCACTGGTGAGGTCTGGTCGAGTGGGGCGCCCTGACTCGGGCCACTCCAGTCGGGGGGTGTGTTCGGATTCGTCGAGGATTCCGTTCGGGCAACTTCCAACTCGGTTGAAGAATGGGCAGTACGCTGTTGGTGGCTGGCATCGAGTGTTGTGCGTATAGGTTCTTTTTAAGGGCACGAATCACGCTGATGACAGATGGCCACGGGTCTTTAAACCAGGGCGCGCTCAACCTAGAGGCTGAGAACTTGGAACAAATTCGGACAGCCCGATGAGCCACGGCAGCCGTACAGCTCGTCCGACAGCTCAGGTACCGCCCGTACAATACCTAATCTGCCTCCCTCTGCATTGTGTACGCCGTCTCCAAGGGCCACTCCTTCTTGAAAGCCTTGCAGTGCCACCACGAACGACGAGTGCGTGCGGCGATCCAGAGCTACCTTGCTCCATTAATGCTTCATGCCACGAGCTCTACGGACGGACCTCTCCATGTAAGTCGCAAGTGGGGTGCGAAAGAGGCTGCGGCTCGGATTTCAGGGACCGCACCGTTGCCGTTCGCGCAGAACGCCACGCCATGCTGATGCGTCCGCATTTCTCTTTCAGTCCCCAGCTCGGAGCGACGTTGCCGATGATACTCTCTGCAGTGCGCGCAATCAACCTCCCGGACGTTGCCAAGCCTGGCAGCCGTTTGTCAATTTGAGTCGAATGTGGCAATTCTTTTTAACGATCAGCCTTGCATACTGATTGGACGGCAAGTGGGGCCGCACATGAAACAGCGATTTGCATGGTTTGCCAAGCTGCGCCAAGCAGGAGGGTCGCCAGGGGGTTTCTCTGAGCTCTGGCCCGGCTCCAAGCTTTTGTGATTCAAAAGAATAAAGATCAGAGTCGCCATTTTTGCCAAAGTCAATGCATTTTCCAATGATGCATTATCTCGTAGGCTCCTATGAGTCTCATTGAAGTTCGCCTCAGCAAACGTGTGAATATTCTGCCTCGGAGCAGGAGGGCGTCCGTTGTTTCTCCTCGAGTTGGTTTGGTACAACCTGAAAATGGGGCACAAACGACGCCGCTCGCCCCTGTCCTGTTACAGCGCACCACAGCTGCTGCATTTCCTACACAGCAGGGCGTCGGCATGTGTTCAGGACTGAACTTCCCTTGACTGGAGCCTAGAACTACGACAGCCAGATATTGGGCGTGGTCTCTGGTCTGCCAGTTTTGCCCGATTGAGAAGGGTCTTGGTGATGCTGCAACATGCACACTCGGTGTGAAATGGTTTTGTTCAAGTGTTTACCTTCCTTGCCCAAGCGAAGCTGTCTACTACAGAGCAGAAATATTAGGTTATCCAGAAGTGGAGTTACGCAAGGCGATGCAGAAAACTCGACGCCGTGGAATCAGCGGTGGCCTCAACAAGCGAGATACCATGTCTGCGCGGTACCGGCATTGCATTCGTACATGTACGGGAAGCCGGAATGTCGTGCGTGGCTGGCTCTGAAGGCACAGCGGCATATGTTTGGGAGTGCAACATCCTCGGCTCCTTCGGTAACGAACTTGATCCTTGCTGGGAGAACCGGAAACGAGAGCCGGACATCTGGGGATTCCGTCTATACAGTCCAATCCCGAGTGGCTGTTAGAGGCGACTCCCTGAGATAGATGCTTGCCTGTTGCAACATCAGAAATGTTTCGGCGTTTCATCGGCACCTGATTCTCGGTAGTCTGATTAATACCTACACAGTACAAACCTCGCTCAAATAGAGTATATTTTTGAGGTTTGGTCAAAACATGCGGGAATTTACGTGCCGGAAATTGACACGGCATATTTACGCGTAGGGCCTTGCTCGAGAATCACCCCCTGGAAAGATTAGCCCCTTTATCAGGGGGTACTGAGAACAACAGTCAGTCTTGTCTCGTGCTGTTGGTCGTACAAGCAGCACCAACTTCCTCACAAACATATTAGCTCAACTTCCCAGCTCAATGGCCAACGTCAGCTTCAGGTTATAGAGGCTCCATTCTTTTTCTCGAGAAGGGAAAAGAGAAGAAACTTCTACGAGTCGTACATCACGAAAGCTGATGACGTGATAAGGTCAACGGGTTTGGTTATGGCCCAGAAAAGCATAATGCCGATAATAGGGGCCCGTAAAGTTTTTCTGTCAGACTAGCACCACTGCAAGATAACCTGGAAACCCTAACTTGACATCGCACTCCTCCAGCCTTCATCTCCAACCGTCCGTCACTCCTTCATCACACAGCCAGGCTAGCTGGCCGCATGCCCAGAATGCGGCGCCAGGCAATAAAATGGTGGCCAAAGAGGCCGCACTCTGAGCCCCCATCAACACCGACATCATCCAGAGGGGACGACATCGGCATTGTCATCTCCTTTCCCGCAGCGTCGAGTCCGAGAAGAGCCCACCACCTCTCGCCACTCCACGGTTTCATCCTAGGCCTGCAGCAGCAGCATCATCATAAACAACAACAGCCGCGCGCCCCAGGCAGCCTCCACATTGAACGCGCCGTGTGCCGGCTCGAAGCCGAGCGGCGGAAACACACGGAGAGGAAGCTCAAACAACGGCATCATCAGCGGCACGTTCAGGAAGCTGCCGCGCGCCATGCAGTGAGCGGCGGCAGCGTACCTGAACAAAAGCTCGCCCGCGCCGAGCCCGAACCAGGCGAGTTTGATCTCAGCCACTCGGTGAGTCGGGCGACTGTTGCGCACCCGTTCCGCTGTGCTGACTGGGACTGAAAGATATTAAAGCGCGCCTTCACGGCGCTCTCGATGCCTTTCCTGGCATATTACCTCTGGGATTCCGGTCAGGCGGCGCACTCTGCATGAACCGCAAAGCGTGTTGCGGAACTGACTTCCGTCTTTGTATCTTCAGATTGTCAGACCCCCAGAGGAGTTTGGCAGTGTCACATCTGTTGACTTATGTGCTATTTATGTTGCCATCTGAGAATTACCCTCTCAGGGGGGGTTAACGGCTTGTTGCCTCGATAACTGAGAAAACAAACAGCCTCATTGCGTTCAGTGTCCGGTTGCAGTGGATATACACCACCTGTCGCAGGGTAGGCTGACATTCGTCTCATTCTTCTATTATCAGACTTTGAACTTGCTGGTATCGTGTCTCGAAATAGACAAACCCCTGCCACGAAAGACAGTTGGCTTGTGGGATGAGTCAAGGGTGTTAGCTGGTGGCGGTTGCGTGAATGATTCACAAAAATATATGTGTCTGGCTGTCAATCATCAGTTCCGTTTGCCGATTTATGCATAAATTTACAATCCATAACTCCTCCTTTCTCAACGCTCCACGACTAATATGTACTTACATAACCCAAAACGGAGATAACTGAGCCTTCCATATCACATGTGACACTATCAAAGCCATCGACCACCCGCACACCGACGGGGAAAAGACCCCAAAAGACACGATCATGCATGTTCTTCACAGCGAGCTATTGCAAAGGATCTTTTCACACCTCGGCTACGCATCGGCCCTCGCCGTGTACCGGGTAAACCGCTGCTTCTAGGCACACAGTTGCGTCGACAGATCCAAGTGGTCGAGGAACGATGTCCTCCGCTTCGATTTCCGCTACGACCGGCACTTCTACTGGCGCATCAGCCCAGCCCCCTGTTCCGAATGCAAGGAGGAGCGCAGCGCAGATTCACAGGTCACGTCGCTGCCGCACAGCCGTAGTGGGTGAAGATTGACTGGAGAAGATTGAGAAGAACTGTGAGACGCGAATAGTCGAGTGAGCTAGAGGTTTGATGAACCGGGGGCGTGAAAGCTTGAAATGGAAAGGGGGAACAGGGTGTCGGGAGCCGGCCATGATAGGGCGTTGGTCTAGTAGATACTTTGGATATTCACGCCAACGGACTCTGGGGGATCTTGTGATTTCCCAAGAACTGGAGAGAAAAAGCAAATAAATCCCTCTCAATTTTATGTCTGACTTTCTTCACTTGGCGCCTCTCTTAATAGTTCAATGCCGAGTTGTTCCGTAGACTCTTGTATTGGTTATATTTCTCTCTGGCTCTTTGCTAGTCGCCGTGACTCCATTGCTCTCCCGCAGAACCGAATGGTTAGGACGGGTTTGCACTCACTCAGTAGCCTTGAAAAGTTTCAGAACTCTCCAACGGGGCTCAGAGAGTTAAATAACGAATATCTTGAGTGAGCATACATAAGCTGTGCCTGAGGCAGTGTCTATAGCCTCGCCCCAGACTCCTTGCAACTAGAATTGTGTTCGTCTCTACGTAAGACAGAGAATGGGTGAGTCAGATTAGTTCATTGCAACTAAACGAGCAACTCAAATGGGTGTCTGAGATTACGAAAAACCGAATCCCGTTTGAGAGACAAACAATTCCCTTTTGAGGGCGTGGGTAAGACGATTCCTCTTGCCAGCCGGACTTTAAAGAGTCCTGTCATTACCACATTCTCTCACACACATGTCCGAAGTACATAAATCTGTTGTCGACACAAGATACTACTTCAACTCTAGCTACATTTTCTCTCATCACTTATCGAATCATGAAACGGCCCATCAAGTCCTTCACAGCAGAGTGTCCAAGAACATGTCTAATCTCCATTCTGGATATTCAGTCCTAGAGTTATATTAACTCTAGTTCCTCTCACCGAACTGAGCAGACCAGACTTATGCTGAGGCAGAACAAGAAAAGCATCGGGCAGTTTCCGAGACAAGACAGCCACACAGACACTTTCTCAGTGAAGAGGTGAGCAACAACAAATGAGACGCCCCCCTGAAGTATCGCACACTGTGCAAGGAGATAAGACCACTAGCAAGGAAAGGCCGCTAATGTCGCCACTCGGCATGTAGCTTCTCGTCATATTTTCTTTTCGTCTTTGGGCTAGAAGCTGAAAAAGTGCACATTACAAGCAAGGCTCTTCTCACTAGGTAGGTAGATGCCCGGGCAGTTTGCGATCTGCGTGTCTCGCCCAGTCAGGAACAGCAGAACTGTGCCGTGTGGTCACGGCAAGATAGGTATCCAAGGCACCATACTCTGCCGACGGCATACTCACTCTTGGATTATCTGGTTGGGTTGCGATCTCAAACCTCGATCTCGACCAGCAGCCGATTAGCAATCGGCAAGCATGTACCTCCCAGCCTCCGAGCGCAATAATTAGGTCCATAATTTCCGCCATGGCTCAGGCGTCCAAGGTACACACAGTATGCATCCGGCAGTCAATCCCCTACTCCGTAGTAGGGAAATGAACAGGTAAAGCAGGGCAGGAGAGAGGGACATGTACCGGCGCGTTGCCTTTTCTGACTTGGCTCAGCTTGGCTTGGAATCCCACGTGCGCCTTCTTGAGACATTGACAGAATCTAGACTGCAATGTGCAGATCCGGAAAAGGCTCCTGTCTCCTAATAACTGGGGAGTTTTGCCTTTTTTTTCCCACCTTTTTTCTCTCCTCGTTCTATGTATCTTATCCGGCCAACCCCCCAAGCCCCCTTTTCTCATATTCTCGTCCTTGTTCTAGACCCCCAGCCATCAGGCTGGACCGGACACTGTGTATGTACATCCATATCTCCATCCATGGATGCCGCGACAGGCAAAGCAGGCCAAGACAAGGCTCTGAGCCGGGATTCAGCGCGTCGGTTAACGGGCGTGGGCGCGGTCAAGGCGCTTACCCGAAATCACGACTCCCTAGCTAATGATTACTCCCGTAATGGCTTGCCCTCCCATTTGTTGGACATGAGGAAACGTGCTGTATGCCGCTGCGGGCCGGGGCTGTCGACCCGCGAGCGCTGTGATTGGCCAGTAGGGAGGTCCTATATTAACCCTTTTCCATATGTTGGGGTGTTTTCTATCTGTCGTGATGCTCCCGTCAGAGCCTTGCGCGTGTTCCCTGCTTGGTGCCAGCCAGCCTTCCTCCTTATCTGCCTAACTTATCTCGGGGCGCATGGTGTCTCGATTAATGCCTAAATGTTGTGCCTTCTCTTGCCCCCAATGTGTCGTTTTGTCTGCCCAACTGGTCGAGAGGGCGGAGAGGGCGGCTCTGGCATATCTGAAGCGGCAAATACTAGCAATATCTGGCGCGAACAAACTCTGCTGCTACGTAATGTAGGTGCAATTTCAGTCCAAGTCCAATCTGGCTTTGTCACATTGCCGGGCTGCAAACCTGTCCCGAATGAGGCTGCCAACTAGGATGGCGTCGCGTGCATGCTTGGGCGGGAATCTTTTTTCTCGAAACAAGTATCCGGCAGACGCCATGGCTTTGGTTGCCTTTCGGCGGAGTCCTTTCAGTGGAGTGTCAAGTTTCCTGGCGTTGCATGTTGCAGGTGGGTGCTGATCGTGATGCAACCCCGCTGTGTTTTGCAAGTCCTACTGTGTAAAAGACCTGTCGACTACTTCGAGATACTCGAGAGGACGTGCAGTTCTAAAAACAGCGACAAGGCAGGCGTCAGTTGCCTTCCAACCTGCCACGAAGTGTCGCACTATGTCTCAAACTTACCTGATATTTTATTGAGGCTCGATCTTCCCTACTGCTGCAAGATCCCTCCGTATTGAGCAGCCTCATTCTTGGTCGTCGACGCGAGGTGTTCAATGGCCAGAGAAAAGAATTTCCTGGGCGGAATTTTCCCTCCGGAACTGAACTCCTGTCCGACAAGAAGGCCATGGAAGCACAACATCCAGGGCAAAACATCAATTTAAACTTATCGGCCGTCTGGCTTGGTCAGGCGTGTGTTAAACTGAAGTGGCGTGTTTTCTTAGATGCGAAGACTCGAATAAGGTGTGATGCGTTCACGGTAGAAACCGTTCTGCCTAATGGCGCCCTGCGGATGAAACTCGAAACTGGATGTTAGGACAGCAGATTAGCACACGGACCCGGGGACGACCTTCGTGCTCGTTGCCCGTGGAATGCGCCATCCGTCAAGTCAGGGTTCGACAGGTACCGTTGTCCTTCGTAAGGCGGGTAGGAATGGTCCACTCGGTTCGTCCATCCGGAGACCCATGTCTTCAAACGGCGCTGGCATATGCTTGAGCTCCCGGCTAGGGCGGGTAGCGGCACCATGGAACTGGGATTTAGCACTAAGAACCTAATTTGTTGCCTTCCAGTTCAGATGACGTTGGGTCCGTTGGTTGCCTTTTTCGAAGCCGGCCATCTACCCGGAATAAACGGCCCGTGCTCCTCTCCGGGTTCGATGCATTGCTTCCACCCGCTTCGCAGACCGCGGTAGTTCCAATACAGTGAGCGGTCAAGAAAGTCTCAATTTTCCGGCCGGCTCAGCGACTCATGTAATCATGCCGATATCGCCAAGGGGAATGACTCCATGTTGAGAGGCGGCTGTGGTGATCAGCTTTGGCTTCCTCGAGACATTCCAACCACATCGACCGCGAGGTACCACCAAAGTTTGTGGAATATCTGCCCGACTTCACCCTGGGGATGTCTAGTGAGACGAGTCCCGAATTGACCCAGTGCGTAAAGCTTGCCTTGGCGGGCAACGGGGCAGTCTGGATGACTACAGACTGCCCAACAAATTGGTCACAACACCGATATCGAAGTTCGGGCAGTCTCGAATACTCGACAAAATGATGCTAACCGGTCCAGTCGCTGTCGGAAAATAAAGCGCACAAGAAGATTCCTGTGCGCGGAAAGAGCCATGTAGTGCCTCGGAGGCCAAGACGAAATACGAATCCCTTGCCTTGTTTGCGGCCAACGGGGACTCCTCGTCACTCCGTCAACAAACCGTCATCAGTATGTAAGTGCGGTTTTCGTGCTTACGCTGAGTTCGCACGATTGTCTCCCAACGAAAATGCACATAATTCACCCTTATCTGTAGGCTCGAAAATATTAAGCAGGAGCTTGCAATACTGACAATGAGAGGAGAGTGGCTGGAAGGCCTCGAGCTGCCGTTGAACAGACGCCTAATAATCCTTGAATCTGAACCGAATTTGGGCGTTTGCAGCTGCAGTATCCAGGCGCACCAGTAACCTGGTCTGCGGTGCGAACCGGGTCTGCGGCGCCCACCACGGTCTGGGGCTGTGGGGCATGAAGCAGGACTCAGTCCTATCAAAGGTTTCACTGTTGCATTCTTCCGCATGCTACATTACCAGCTCGGGCATCTGTGGCGAGTTTCACTTGTGCATCGAGATTTAACTTGTTGGCCCGTCTGGCCGAGGCCAGCCTGGACGTGTCCCGATGTCGATCCGTGGTCTGCAAATGCACCGCAACGACGGTTGAGGCTTAGGGGTCAGGGGCGAGCTGCACAAATATTTGGATGATCGTGATAGAAAAGAGTTAAATTTTGGATCGCCAAGAGAGCCGGAATTGCCTTCACGGGATTCTGCATGACATTCATTACCTAGTGGAAGGCAGTGCTGGTTCTCGATCTGCAGGGATAACTAGGTAGGTAGGAGGCGAACCATTTTAGTCAAATATCGAAATCGAGATCGTGAATTCGTTGAGGGGGGAAGGGGACCTGTTTGTTCAGATACAATTAGACTCCCGGCCCCCCAAGCCGAGTGCCGGAGAAAATGAAATTGTTATAGTCCATCGTTAAGCCACCAGATAAGCCAATTCCAGACAACACAGCTCGTGGGGTCTTTTTCACTGCAATCGGGGCGCTAGACAGCGAGACCTAGAAAAGAAAAGAATGTTGTCTCTCGCCAACCGTTCCAGTGGGATCGCAAGTTGCAGAAATAACGCAGCTAACTAGCTAACTTTGTTGGGAAAGACACTGATAGAACAACGTTTCCCAAGCTAAGTGGCAAGGGAAGAAAGAAAAAAAAGAAAGAAAATGCGAGGAACCAATGAGTAAGCGCGAAGTTGTCACCGCCTGATCAACCTCAGCTGACGTTTGCCGAAGTTGGTGTGTGAGGACGTCGATAAACTTTCGTCGACTCATGGTGGCTGAGTGGCAAAAGCTGGGCAAAATTTTCCAATCGGTAAATCGGAGACGTTTGCGTATCTATTTGCCATCCCGTTCAACAGCGTCAAGAAGGGGACTTTGACAACAAAGGAGCTGTTATCTCCGTCAAACTTCACACATATCCCAGTCATCGGGACTCTGATGATTGCCGCCATCCTCCAAGACCGAATGGGCCTCTTCGGCATAATGGCCTCCAAGTATGTGATACCCCTCCTCGGCGACGTGAAACGCATCTGACGCTTGATATTCCACCTCCATGTACTGGCCAACCCCATATTCTTGCGATGGAGGGGCATGCTGGTCATAGAGATCATCCTCGTCTAAAGAGGTCGGGTACGGGTGGGTCAGTCGTTGTTCGGAAACGCTGGGGAAATATGGATCTGTCCGGGTGACGGCCGGATAGATGGGATGTTGACCAATGGCCATGTAGGTCCCCTCTTCCTTCACGTTATATTGGATCGAGTCCTTTCTCTTGGTTTTGCCTCGAGGCACCACAGATTGCCGAGCTTCACGGGGGCCTCTCTTTTTCTTGTCCTTCTTCAACAACGCGGCATCTCTATCGACGGGACTTGATATGTCTTCGACATGTTGCTGGGTAGTTAATGTCTCATCTATGGTCGATTGCCTGGAACTTGATAAAGTGTCAGCGGCACCCAGCAGAATTGGGTTAGACTGAGGGGTGATAGCGAGCACTTACGAAGTGGTTGAGTTCGGAACACAAACTAGCATCGAAGCCTTCGAGTCCGACCCGGAGCAATTGTCCTGGATACTCGCCGATGGAGGGCTAGTGGATAACATGAAGTCATAGCTGTCAAGTGGCAGTTTTCCAGGCTCTAGACCGGCGGCGGCGAGGGCTGCGAGGGATGCTTGTTGCTGCCGAACCGACACAGGATTCGGCGGCGACCACTGGTTAGTAACAGGACAGCACTGGCGAAGTGGTAAGGAGTGGCTATGTCTCTCCGAAGTATCGGAGAAGCCAGTGATATCAGTGAGCGAAGTGTGTTCAATGGAGCCCCGGGTAACCGAAGAAGCTGTCGTCGATACTAGTGAAAGATCACTGAAGCTGTCTCGGAACCCGTCTAAAGCGGGCCCAGCGGAGATATTGGAGTGGTGACGGTGACGCCGCGAATGGCCACGAGGCTCGATCCTGCCGAACATTTCTTGCTGGGTTGTTGTCAGGCCGTCGGTCAAGAGAATAAAGAGAGGTGCGTGCTTGGTCTGCAGGGGCAGGTCGGATGAGAGCGCTCTGCGTTAAATGGGAATTCGTCTTTCACCGACTGGGCAACGAAGGGACAGACGCGGCGTATCTCAGACGCAGGGCAAAGCGAAAGAAGCAATCCAACGACGGCTTCCTGTCTACTGGATGGAGCACAACGGCGGTAAAGAAGTCCAGATGTGCTGAGCCGGCGCTATGTTCAAGGCAACTAAACTACCGAAGCTCGATCGACAGCCTGGTCAAGTTGATTGGGTATTGGACTAGGGCTTCTTGTCTTTTGCGTCACAGTTCCGGGAGCGCTGCCATGTGTTCTGCTCTGGTCCGTCAAGCAGCTCCCCGGGAGTCGCTGTGGGGTTATACTCGAGAGAAACACGAGGCGGTGCAATATCTAGGACTCAGTACTAAGCTCGAGACGGCGAAATTGCGACCCATATTGTTGGTTCGCAAAAAGGCGGCGACCGACATGTATCGGACACGCCAATCAGTGCAGAGATTCGGTAGGCGGACAGCTCCAAGCATGAGGGTAGTTCGAACGTTGAGCTCTCCGGCATTGCGAAAAAGGGGCTTGAGAGACTGCGAATTGGGGAGCAAGCACGAAGACAGAACAGACGAAGAAGCTCTGATGATGAGGATTTAATTCGGGGCGTTGAAATAAGCTGTCTTCCCGCCAGGACTCCTTGGAGAAATATTGAAATGCCTGGTGAGTAGGTGCTTCCTCGCGGCGCGGATTCTCACATCCTCAGTGGTGTGACCACCCGTGGGTATGTTTCGAGAGGCGACGAGCGTCGCAGCCTACCACCTACGCATGCGGGTAGACGGGTAGATGCACACCAGGCATTCCAAAACTGAAGAATGATCTTTACCACCGCCTGCAAATGCAGAATCTCTTACCTACCTACATTACCCGCTCATGTTCGACATCGCGATGAAAGCCTATCATGCAGCCTGAATACTTTGGAGCAGCGGCCTACAGTGAGACCTAGACCGTCGGCGAGCTGTGTTTTCGTGAATAACGTTTAGGTGCAATATCTTACCTGGCACCTACGGTACCTATTGGCTTGCTCAGAGAGCCATGAAAGGGAGAGACACAACCATTTCGCTTTCGGGTTGAAGCCATGGGGGCATGAGGGGGCGCCTCTAGGACAGACGGAAAGTGGCTGTTCTTGGACAAGCAAGCAGCCGGCAATTGCTAACGTGTTGGGGAGAGAAGAAGGGAGGGAGACCACTTCACTTTTTGTGGGGTTGGAGTTGATGCATGTGGAAGTTCTGCAACTCTGGGGGAGGGACGAACTGAAGTACACCGCCAGCAGCCATGGGAGGAAGGCACGATGGGAAGGCACATACCAAGTTACTCGGCCAAATTGACCCGTGAAGCTGGAAGTTGCTGCCGCATCCAACGCGTCTTCCACCCCGGCTTATGTTCCTCCTACCTTAGCTACATTTTCCTTTCAATGGCATGGTGGAAAGACGACGGCCTTCAACGCCCCAACCCCTCGAGCCCTTTGTCCATCTCGCGTCGTAAGTGCATATCCGAGCTATGTAATAAGAACCCTCTGGGGATGGTTAAGGTACCCCCAGGTCCAATAATACAGTAATTGCCTCGCAAACGTCTTGGTGTCCAGTCGCCCCAATCTGTTCGTGGATCCCGCAAGTGCAGAGGCGGTTCTGTTTTAGCCCAATTTGTCCTCTTCTGCAGGAGACCAGCCAAATAAACCGAGCGAGACACGATGCGAGTGAGGCACACGCATCGGCCGAGACACGCACAACAACTTCGTCAAAAGCTAGCTACTAAGTACTCTAGGCTGCTACTGCATTCTCTTATCTGTTACCTGGGTAGGAGGTAGGTGATTTGCTTCCCCCCTTGTCTGGAGATTCACCTTCAATTCTGGAAAGCCGACCAGCAACCCAGCGCTTCGTCCTCGGATGAGACACTCCAACTCCGCAGATGGATGCACAATCCACTTTACCCCTGAATCGCAAACCTTTGTTCATTTAGACCGGCTCACCTGCTTATGATCGCCCTGACACGCTGCCCCATTCAAGACTCCTGGTAGATTGTAGGTAGGCAGCTACTGTACGATGGCGACCCCAACGTCAATCCCCGCCGTGGCTGCTTTCCAGGCGTCTCGTCTGGCGACAAAAATGAACTCGTGCATAATTACCAGCCGGGTTGCATGATGTCCAGCGAATCGAACGAGACCAAGGGCCGCTGCACTGCAAAAAGATAAGAATGAATCACAAAGCTGCTGGCCACGAGACTGTCTTCCTACGAGACAAAAACAGACATGGCGGGTTTTTGGGGGGCTAGGTGACCACCTTACTGTATCCCCTTCGTGCGGCTCAAGTGGAAGTTCTGGCTCGGCCGCAAAGTTATCCTTGCTGACAGGGACTCACCTGGTTGTGCGCGTAGAGATTCTGCCAATTGCAACCTCTAAATCGCTGCGCCGGGAGCCAATGGATGGGACCTGCGGCAAGTCATGATTGCGCACGCATCAATAGGCAGGAGGAACTGAGCAACAAGACAAGGCTCGAGCCTGGAAGGTGGATGGACGGCGGGTGTCGGGGCGCCTCTTCCAGCGTTCCCCGCGTTCTTCTCTGCACATCATCAATATCGCGATGATCTTAAGAACGGTGCTTATTGACGCCCCTTTCAGCCACCCCCATTCAGTTCCGGTTGCTTACCTAGTTTGCTACTTTTCGGCCAAGCCATCTTGAAATTTCGGTGAGAGCTGGGATCGTGGTTGGACAAGGGGAGATGCCTAGCAGAGCCGCATCAGGGCCAAATGACTATTAAAGCCTAATTTGGGTCGCACATGTCTCGGCCAACTTTTGTCCGAGGGACGGATACTCCGTACATACTCGGGCAGTTTATTGCTTGTATAAAACACTTTACTCAGCTGCCGTACCTTCAAAACTTACTAAATGCATAGGCGAGGAGACTAATAATATATCAACGGTAACCTATTTTCTGCTCTGTTTCTCTTTCTTCTTTGTCTCATAAAATTGAATGAAGGATTTGGCCTAAATTTCCCTTCTTTCATATATTTCTGTGGCTGACAAGAACGGGTTAGGGTTTAGAAGAGTCATGGCTAGGCACACCATCGTCAACATCGTCAACGGCGTCCTATATCAAGTTGACGGTGTGTCAATTGCAGCGCCTTTATTTCGAGGACAGAAAATTTCCCAATTTGTCTTAAGACACTTTAATATTTGACCAATATGGCTCAACTGGTATCGACGCAATATCAAAAGATGGCATGCTGGCCACTGCCGCCTTTTTGACCCAAGCCAATGTTCGAGCCACAGCTATACTTATCGGTCGACGCTCATATCGCTGTATGTGCAGGACTAAAATAATGAAACAGAAATAAGCCAAAGAAAAGGCCAAGCGACGACAAACTATCTATCGAGATAAGAGGTCATAGAACCAAGACGCGGAAACAAGAGAAGAAGTATAATATCGAAATGGGTTAAGTTCTGCTTGCCCCCTCCCCCCTCCCCCTCTGTTTGCGACGCTCTTGTCCCAGCCTGCCTGCTTCTTTCACGCCTTAAATCTGAAAGATTGAGCCTCAAATAATCAACAAATACTCAAGGGGACATTTTCAACTGGCAAGAGAGAGAAAACAGAGATGCGCATATGGCTGGGAACATATTTACTCTATATTTGATCAGAGAGACAGAGCTCGTGCCAGAGACAATGCCCTGGCCACGGTCGCAATCTTGGAGCCTCGACATGGCCAGCGGTTCATTTAAGCTCCAGCGATCAAACCCGCCAGAAAGTGCTTCACTAGCGGGCCGAGCCGCTGTGGGGTGGTGCTTTCTGGGGCTCGCCTAGGCTGGCCGCGATCCCACGGCCCCCGTCCGGGCATGGAGCAATTGGAATTGCCTAGTGGTCGAACTGCTAGTGGTCAGAGGGTGTCGTTCTAGCGTCCCAGACTGTCGATGCGGGCATGGACCAAGCCTGATGATACCTCAGGCGCCTAGGCTCAAGGCAAAGTTGCCCGAGCTAGGTTGTTGAGCTTCCCAGGGATGACCCCTGGGACCTCGTTCAAACAAAAGGGACAAAAGGGTGACTGCCTCAATGAGCATCGAATACTACCATGTACTGTGCACAGTACAGAGGAGCCGACCCTGGGACCGACCTATGACGCACACAGTCTTGTGTCGTTGATGAAACTGGATACGTGGTAGACTCGGTCACGGAGAGGGCCCTTGATCAGAGTGGTGCTCGGATGGCTCAGCCTCCAAGTAATTTGTCGGAGGACGCCGAGGTTTGGGAGAGCTCCCACAGCGGCCTGCCTGACCCATGCCAGCTGACGGACCGGAACAGGAGAGTACCGCGCCCGGAGCTAGGTTGAAGAGTGGAAGTCACTCTTCTCGGTCCCTGAGCAGCCAGTCATCTGCTCGTTCGGAAACGCGGGTTACCGCAATGAGACATTGGTGGACAAACTTTCTCTCCACCAAACCAGCGGATTGGCCAAGAGGACGCGGCCGCGCGTGCCGGGTACGCTCGAGCATCTGATCAGCTGCTGCCAATGGGCTAACAGTCGTTGTTGGAGAACCCCGTCGCGGAAATCCTTCCTCTTTCTCTTGTTGGGGCCGAGCACACTATAACCAACAAGAGGGACGATAAATTGGCAGCTGTGGAAGGAGCCGGGATGGGGCCTCTTTCGCTTAGACACCAAACGGAAACCTTTGCGCCATTTGGTTAGCGAAAAGGGGCAGCAGCCGCTCTCGCTCGGAATAATGTGGCAATATGTAACCTGAGAAGGACCGAACTAGCCAATCCAAAAGTATGGATTGGTCAAGTCGCTTCGAGAGGCCGCCACTGAAGCCGTCGTGGACATTGATTGAATCCAGACTTGGTCGAGAGGCAAAACCCCGCGTCTTGGAGGTTAAGCTTCAAGGGATGGGTGGATGGAGTGAGCTTACCGTCCCAAGAAACTGCAGTTCTGGTGATTGGCCGTCGACCATACCTCAGCTAAGGTGCCAATTGGGCGTGACTGCATGGAGACTGCCCAAGAAGACCATTGCCGAAAACTTCTATGTTCTATGGATATTCTTCTCGAACAACCTCCAGTCTCCGACAAACACACCCCTGTGACGTGCTGGGGGTTTAAGATTCACAGCAGCTGACAAGGAAGCGCTGGCCCGATTTCGTTTCCGCTGAGCCAGACCGCGACTGGACTGGAGAAACCCCATCCCATGGACCGACGCACTGCACAAGTCGCGACTTTGATCGCTCTTTCCGCGAGTTTCGGAAATTGGTCATCTCCATTCCAGCTGGCAGGTTTGAAAACCTTCAATGGACTGTTGGTGGTCGCCCTTTCCTCGCAAACCCACTGTCCCTCACTCTCACCCCATACCTGCCCCACAGTCCATACCCATACAATAGAAGCTAAGCCATTTTGGCTTTGGGGTTGTCGAACATGCGCTTTTCTCTTCTGTTCCCAATCTCTAATCTTCCCTGTCTTGGTCACTCCCAGTTGTTCTACGTTTCCTCTCGCCCATCTGGCAAGTCTCGACACATGGTCGCGCGGAATTCCCCAAACCACTTCTCCGGAACCACTCGAGAGACCAAAATGGCCCACTCGCATGTTGGTCTTCCAAGACGTGGTAAGCAGATCCCGGGAACTTTGCGGAAAAGTAGGCAATTCATAGCATGAACGCTAATGTTGAGCTTGTCGGTCTGTCAGGCAGACTTGTCGAATCCTCCTCTCCCGAACGTGCAATGTGCCGCGATAGATGCCGAGACTGTTTCACAACCAACTACCGCTACAAGCTGGATCGCCTTGGGTTTGAGCCACAGTGAATAAGACCACACAGATCCCCCCAATCTTCGGGGAGGGTCAGCCACTTTTTGTTGCATACCGCACCGGCCCGAAATAGGGAGTACCCCGACAATCGATAATCGACGACCGACTTCTCTCTTTTTCCATCTTTGGGACAATACCGAGATCAGTCCAGGTCCACCATCAAGATAAAGAGAAACGCTTGCAGGAAGCGGATGGAGTTCAACACCATGCCATTCAATCCCTAATTTACCGCGGCACCGTTCACCGCGACATTCTATCGCCATGCTAAATGGTCCGACCTTGGAGAAGCCGTGGCTCTTCAATCGGTCTTGAATATGGCGACCATCGTCTTTCGGGGGGGGCAACTTTAGCAGAGCCGCAAGACCTTGCTGACTATTGGAGCCGTTAGCAGGCAAACCGCCCCACGAACGCTCAGTGCCACTCCGTCGATGTTGGGACGCCAATGTCTCCTATGGCCATTGCCTAAACAGAGCTTTTCCAAATGCGTACACGATCGCATTTGTCTTTTTTTATCTACTTATCCCTGTCTCGTTTTCTCCTCTTGACTATTATCTCTCCGTCCACGGGGTTGGTAGTATTTATCCGAATGATAACCGACCAATGGGCCCATTATATAACCGAGGCATGAAGCAGCAGTAGTGTCCGGTCTTGGCCACTCAACATTCAGCGGCGAGCCATTTCGCATCAAACCACTACGATACGTGAGGCTCAGACAGTTTCCCCTGGGGACCTTGGACCCGAGACAAGTTCTTCTTGACTCATGTCCTCGACGCTTTCAGATTGACTTCCAATCTTTCACATCCCACTACATGATCCAGATCTGACGCGTCTCGTGGCGTTTCCTTTTCTTTATATCTGTTCTCGACTTCTTCAAATGCTAGTATCCTACATGAGGAAACGAACAAGTGGCCCGAAGGACCTGGAAAAGTCAAAGTCCCCTCTGCGGAGGCCGATCCATTCGGGCCGCGGACTCGAAACACTTTGTTACAAACCCAAAAAGCCAGAAACTTCCAAGGATTGACGCTGACAAGAGTTGTTTTTGCTTTCGTGGGTTGGGGGGTGTTGTCTGGTGTTCCCCCAGTGTCTCCTTCAAGCAGTAGTGAGGCATTTTCACTAGCCCTTTCCCAATATCGGCCACAAAAACTCAACCCAAGTTGCCTCGAACACCTGCTTTTTTTTGTGTGTCACATGAGTTTTCTCATTCAAATTCGGCAGAATATTCCCAAGCCATCCTTCCCTGAGCTGTGGTCAACCACTTCAAATGCTTCTAAAAAGATTTGACCTTTTCCGCCATTGGGGCCGAATTGAAGGTGCGAGTGAATTGGCAGCCGCCAACTTCAGACCGCTACAGCGTCGAAATTCCAGTCAGCAAAAGATTCACTCTTCGGGAGAGTCTCATTATGGGTTGTGCTCATCAGCCAGAAAATATTTCTATTGGGCACGCCGGCACACAGCAGCAAAAAGAGCAGTGGCTTGTGAGAAGGTGTCTTATTGCCTGCCTCTGCTTTCGAGTTTTTGATAATCCATCCTGTCGGGATGAGGCAGCTACAGATGTGGTACAACCTACCTGTGGCACAACCCGCCTGTGGTACAACCCGATCGGGTTGTGGCAGTACTGCACATCGGTTATGGTTGCTAGGATTGCAGAATTTGGTGTATCCCTCTTAATGTTGCTACTTGACGTCGAAAGTAGTTGGTTGTCTTACAGCCAAGCAACAGACTGATATATGTGTGGGCGTATTGAGTCGTCCAACCCTCCTCGGAATTTTTCTCCTTTACGCACCAACGAACGCTTACTCAATGCACCCCCTGGACCTGCCAAATTTGGGGTTTGCACCTCAGTCGAAAAGCCTGACGTGATAGAATAAGCGTGCGGCTAAAGAAACACTTCAAGGTATGTTTGTCACACATGACGTGTGCATTTCCATTTTATGCTAACAGTACTAGTCCCCAACGGCTTTGGAACACACCATTAGATGTCTGCACTTTACATTCCTGAACTCGTCTTGGCTCAACACATTTTGATCGGAAATCGAACCTTTTAAACCCCCCTTCCCCGGAATGACAACACGGCACTAGTCTTGCTGCTCAACGCAGCAGGAAATATCGTTGGCGTGACGTTGTTACATACTCTTCTTGAGCTGCGTCAGGGGGATTACCTGTCCGTGGCTTGAACTGCTTCTCCGCATATCTCCTAAATCCGATAGAGGGACACAAGACACGAAACGCAATGCCAACTAAGATCACGAAGTGAAGACATCTTTGGCTCCAATGCCGGTATGTCCCAGACTGCTCAACACCTTGGCCTAGTTCCCCCTTTAACTTGTACCACTTTTTTCTTCCATACAGGATACCTCAATTCGAAGTTGACAACTTGCTATCGGACCCTTCCTGCAGTGTTGCTTTTGCCTCGTACCGTTTGGTTCAGGGCGACGAGCCCTTGTCATCGACCACAATATGGCCCGGGTATCGAACCGGAGAGACTGTCGGAGGAGCTCCCACTCCAAAAGACTCCATGTCCGACACATTTTTCGCGCTACGGGAGGGTAGTGCTACAGCATCCCCACGCCCATAGAGAAAGCCTGGTCCGCTAGGGTCGTGAACCCATTTCTTGGTTTCTTCATGGCGGAGTTGCTCGCTAGATGGGGAGCGAGAAAGACTGGAGTCGCTATGGGTCTAATCAGTCTCCTTCACTCGAATTTCCTCAAGCAGGGTAACTAACACTTCGGAACGAGCCCATTGGATGGAGTTTTCACGAGAGTCGACGGCCGGGATCAATGCTCGGTTGTCTCCATTCTCCATGCTATTGGCATCCTCCACCTTCGGCACAACACCCTCAGCTTGACTAGGAATGCCTGGGACTCGATCCATCTCGGGCATCAATGGGAAGCCGGTGACGGTATCGTGAAGAATGGGATTGCCGCCACCTGTGGCTTGGGCAGGAATTGGCGACTTGTCAGGATTCCCGCTCACACGGTCCTTGTTTGCCTGTGCGCCATCCAGCGGTGGTGATGGGCCCCTTAGAGATGATGCCATATTGGACAATCGATGCCAAAGTACTGGCCGTCGTTCTGGAATCGTCAGGGCTGTTTCAAGGGCAATGGTCGAGGGCTCGGGTTGAGGGCTCGACGACGAACGACTATCTAGGAAGAACCAGTCAGTGTCTTTGAACAACAGCAAAGATTTCTACAACACTGCAACAAGAAGCGTCGAGTCCCGCGGGGACGCGTACCCTTTATGATGAAAAGGGGTGCTGATAAGTCTTGGTAGGGTACGTACAAATCGTCGAGAGAAAAGTGGATTGCGGTATGATTGACCGCTTATCCTTCAACTGCAGATACGGACGGTCAGCCCTGAATTTTTGGCGCCAGTACTCGACCAGTGTTCCAATGCGAAGCGGCCCGCAGATGTCGGGGAACTCAGGCCAGCAGCGATTGTTAGGTCCCAAGAATGGGGCGAGAAGACGCGCAAGGATACGGTGCTGGCGCGAAGGAAAAGCCTTGACCAACTATGGACTGGGGCCTGGATTGGACACTTGATGCGTTCCGCGATATCGACTAGTATCGGCTTCTGTTGTCCAGTAGACATGGTTGGTTCGGGCAAGTTTGTTGGGGTATGAGCCGAGTATGTGGCCTTTCGCGCTTCCACCCCATGCTGAATCCGCGTCAAGTTTGTCCGGTGCAGGCATTTCTTTACTGAACTCCTTTGGATACGATGGTAATACATTGTTTAGCCAGGCAAAAAGTTCTCAGTAAGTTAAGACTGACAGAAATCACAGGTAGTCCAAGATAACGGCATTTCCAAATTCGCCTTAGTCACCGTCTGACCAAGCCGAGCAGGCTGACCAGGGGAAATCTGATCGTGGTATGACACCTCTGCCCTGCATTTGCGGCAGTCTAGGGCCCCTCCACTCGAGGCCGGGACTCAACGGCGAGGGGGCCAAATTCTCAAGACCTAAGAACGCCCTCGGATTTCCTCCCGAGAAAAAGAACGAGAAAAGGAGTTCCTTCCCCAAAAGGCCAGGAACTATCGATGGTCTTGCAGCACATAGCGCAACAATCCCCTGGTCTCTACGGCTGAGCAGGGGACTGAAAAAAATGACAGAAAGCGGAGGATAAAAGCAATAGGACAGGAAACGAGCCCGCTCGTTAATCGACCCATCGCCCTCCTTTGGACGCCATGTGGCAGCCCTGCATATGGCATGAGGCACAGCAAAGAAAAAAGAACTGTGGGCATTATGCAGGAGGCGTTTTTTATTATTCTGTCGCAGTTATATTCGAGACCTGCATTTTTCATCACCACCTCCCGAACGATTTTCTCATCAACCGACTTTCCGGATGGTGATGTGGTCTTCTTGGCTGGACAGAAGACTTGGCTCAAACTGGTGCATTGACTAACGAGTGCTCAACACACATGATGCAGTGCACCACCGTCTCACAGACCCACCTTGGGCTGTCCACGACGATAGCATTACGAACAATCAGCGCCCCTTCTGAGAGATGTCGTCTGTGGCCCTTGCCAGGATATTTGCGGTCATTACATGACCGATTTCTGTTGCCAGGCTAGGTATCAGCTACCGTCGGCGTGCCAAAACAGGACATGTCGCAAAGCTACTTGCGAGAAGCCCTAGCCGTTGTCGATATTACGCGGCCTAAATGTTTGTGCAACAGAACTTTCCCTGGAACCTCTGCTCGACCGCTGGTTGTGGCATCAATCCTGGCAAAGCTGGCACATTGCAACCTCAACCCTGTTAGACAAAAACATGCTACTGCGAGATGAAAAAAGAACAAGACTCAGGTGCCAACTATGCCGCTAGAGTATTTGATCAGTTGCGGTACCTCGTGGCTACTTGCCGTTCAAAGTGAGGGCATGCGGGGCTGTAAAGTTTCGGCGCCCGCTCCCTTGGCTGATGAACAAGGCTGCCACCAAAATTCCGGGGGGGTTGGTGGCTGGAAGATCGTTGCATGGCCAAGGCACAAACGGCATCAGATCGATCCAGAACTCCAGAGGCTTTAGACCGTACCCAGAACACAGACCAAGCGGCAGCCAGTGCCTATGGGGTTATGTACAACTTAACGCCTCTCAGCCTGTTGCCGCCTTTGAGATCGCCACGCTTTAGGAAGCCTTCCTTCGGATGTCCTGGAATACATGCTGCTTGCTAGTCAAACAGGAAAACAGCCTCTATACTGTCATCACCAACGTATACACGCCATAAATTCATGCTACGCCGTACTACACGGATACTTGTTCCTCTGAGAGCAAGGCTTGTCGAACAGGTCGAACTCGAAAGCACTTTCCCACCGCTAACCCCAGGGAAAATCACAAGATCTGCCCCGCATTAGGCACCCATCAAATCTACAACTAAAGACACATGGGCGTGGTTTAAAGACTCCCTGGGTCTGTCTTTCATCACGCAGATGTCAATCCTCCCTGTATTTGCCTAATCTTTGACTACGAAGATCGTGCGAAACTCGTGATGTGACGCACATGCACGCTGTCCAGGCCTGTCACATCTCCTCGGGGCCGCATAATTTCCGCTTCGGGTGCCGATGGCAAGCTTCCTGGGTGCTACCGTGCACAAAACATATCAGTCTCTCGGGCACTCTGGGGGAATGTGGTCAAAATTGAAGGGCTGGCTCATTGGGAGAATTCAGCGGTCTCCCACAGGACAGCTTTTTTTTCCTAGGCGAAACCAGCTGCATCTACCAGAACGGCATCTCGTTGGTCATAAATGGTCTTCGCAGCGAAGTTTCCAAAAGGTCGAAATACTTCACGAGCCTAGGCTCTCCCTATCCATGTGCTGTACATCCTTGATTGGACAGTTTGACGATAGCCCTGGCCTTCGGATGCTGTGCGACATGCCCATGGAAGTGTTGTCTTGTCTACTGCAAGATATAGCAAGTCTGGTTGTTGAATGTGTGTTGGTGTCACAAGCAGGCCTTTGGAGAGGCCACCAGTACTGCAACTCCAGCGGCCGACCCCTGAATGTGAGGGGGTTTGGGTCACGACAGTGCGGGGTATTCGTGTCCTAACGCCCAAGGCCCAGCTAGGCCAGCAACTCATACGACACGATACAACTCGAACGTCGAACGGTTGAGTCTCTAGGAACAGCAGAATAAATGCGCATCCTAACACGTCGCGGGACTGGGTATGAGGCCCGGGACCGAGGTGTGCCAACCTTCAAACCACGCCTCATCCACGAAGGAGATGGCGACCTGCGGGTGGTCTGGTCAAGTTGATTCCAAAAAGTAGAACCGATGCTTTACCTGTTGGATTGCCAGGTCTCTGCTGGTGATAGGCCCATCGACATGGGAGTGTTTTGCCTCACTTTCCGTCCTCTCCCAATGGAATTCTCGCACGCTATGGGCACGCTGGACTGCGAACGGTTGATAATTTGAACCAATGCTGTTCTAACAAACGATGAGGCTTCTAAGAAACTCTCACCGCCCGTCGGCAGACAGCGCGCACTTTTCGTTTGCAATAAGGTGGATTACCGAAACTATGCCCAACGAAGCTATCACGCAGCACAGTCATAACCTCGCTTCAAAACCCGCATAACCCGCAATCACCGCTCGACATTCGCCAATTATCCCTCGAAACATTATATTAATCTTTCTAATGGCTTCGGCTACCTTCGATACTATGGTATAAGCTGTCTCCATTTCTACAACGGAGAAATGTTTCGGTCTGATATTCTCACTTTAGGGTGGTGTAGAACGACGGGAAAATGCGGCCTAGACCAGAGGGGGGGCGATTATTGAACAAGGCCTCCCTGGTGTGATGGCAGCGGCATGTGCCTTGGCAAACGTTGTTTCAGGGCCATCACCGATCCGTCATAGCGCATTTCGGATCGACCAGGAGCCGGCTTGAACTCCAGCTGGAGGAAGACTTCAGAATGTCAACTCTACGCGGAGTTGCAGCCGACAAAACTTGAAGGCACACCAGCAGCTGGGGTCCATTCAGTTGATGCCTGAAGAGAAAACACCACTCCAAATTGATGCTCCGGATTCTCTGTAGCTAGCGCCTTCTAGGCGACAGTTATCCCAGGCCAGTGGGTTTCTCTCACATGGAGCCAGTCAGCTCAGGCTGGTTGTGCCGCGTCTACCGTCTGTTATACTCATTGCCTTGGTGGACTTTCAAGCTCGGATCACGCACTTGTGAACCCGTCTCTTCTGGCCAGTCTACGAGGCTAGCGGGTGATCTGAACTGGGATAGTTCGAGCATGAGAAGAAGTTGAACCAGGGTGTGGGCTCTAGGATTAAACATTGACATAGGGCGGGGTGGCCCCCTCAGAAAGGCGACTTCGAAGCCGGCAACTACTTGTCGGGTGGAGAAACGCAGCACACGCGCAAATGCGAGAGTCCACCAACCTTAGACTGATCTCGGTGTCTCCAGTTAATAGCATGCCTGGCGAGATGTACGGATACGGCCCCAGTTGGATCGTCTTATCCTCGATGCCCGATCACCGTTACTATCCGCGACATATCTGCCATGCAGCTTCCTCTGCACCGTAGGGCAACCAAGGCCGTGGTCTGTTCTACCATGGCCGGGAATTTAGGGGGTATCGGCAGTGTTTGTTGACCAGCTGACCATGTGAGTGGATCACCCTGCGGTGCGAAGCGCGAGAAGCGCAGTTTCTCAACGTGTCAACTGGTCAACTCTTGCCAAAAGCTTCTTTCTAGTTGAATGGAGCTCCAGCAATTTCGAGATTCGACCAATACCCATGCGTGGATCGGACATCACATTCCATCATTCCCTCACTTCCGGGCCACCGAGGAATCGTCTAACCATCACCAACCGTCAGGGCTGGGGCGGATTGAGGTTTGCTTTCCGCTCCATTTGACTGCTCTTTCCTGTAGTGCAAGCGTCTTATTTGGCCTTATATGGCAGGAAGTATTACCTGGGTTCGTGTCACTCCAGCCCGGCTCCCCGGCTCCACTTGAACTCCTTTCCATTTTCCAATGCGTCGACATGTTTGTCTCTCGCGGCTTTCTTCCCCGTAACCTCTTACCCTAGACCTCGAGCACTACGACCCCAAAGTTCCCGCTCACCTCGTATAATGCCGCACTGACGAGCTTAGTAGTCGAGAACGAGAGAGTAATCGATGTAACCAGCCATCCTCTATGCCTAGGCACATACCCCTCTTATCTCTCTAATATCAGGTAGGTACCAAGACGGGAATCCCAACTGGCCACTTGGCCGAGGGGCAAGTGCACTACCTACCGTATAATCACATGAACCCATGACCGTGCAGGGATTTATCGCACCGGTAACTCGCGCCATTAGGTTTATCTTTACTACCCCCCCCCCCCCCCGGACCGTCTCTGAACAAAGAAAGTATTGTATAGGCCATCCATCCAACGGAAGGGATAGCGAGCCGGCAGTATTGCGGTCAAGCTAGGGCTTTGCGTTAACTTAACTACCTAGAGTCTTTATCCGAGCCCGAACGATTATCTCAGCCACCGTTCTCTCCACTTCAGGTCAATGACCCTCACTGTGCTGTTGTACTAGCATCTCCGATGGGATCCGCTCTCTCCAAGAGCAAGTCGAAGTCGGAAGAGCAAATACTCAAGTAGAGCCACCGTAGTAAGGGGAGGCTTTGTCTAGGGGTCGGCCGAGTAGTAGCATGCCCGAAAGCCCCTGTCGCGGATGGCGCTGTCGCCAACTGGGGTCTGCTTCGTCCCCTGCCCAGCTGACCCCCACCCAGGACTTCACCCCGGGCCGCCTCATGCACAAATTAGACAGCTTATTTTGTTTTCCTTCTTCGGTTTCTTTTGAGTTGTCGAACTTATCACATTTCGGGTTTGTCTGTTTGAGCGGTCCTTCCAGATTCTCATATATTGTTTCTCTCATGCAGGTGACGAAATAATGCAGGTGGCGGAGGTCATTTCCCTCGTGAGCCTTTCTTAATGTGTGATGTGGGGCAAACCTGCGGATGCATGGCATGGCTTTTGATACTGGAGCAAGTGGATGGGGAAGGACTGTCATAAGAATACTTTTTTTTTGTTGAGGATATATGTGTTACATTCCAGGGCAGAGATCAGTTGACAGGCAGGATACCATCTGGTCTGATGTCAATCAGGGGTCGGTGATCCGCCCGCACGACACTGAGCACCCGAGTCCTCCGTACCTTGTTGCACATCATTGACCCCTCGCGGGGAGGGCGCCGGAAGTGACGACATTACACTACCTAGATTGCCGGCTGTAATACGCGCCTTACGGGGCTTAGGCAGGTCCCTAGCTGGGCCGCATCGCAAGCCGTGGTCTGCAACACAGAACGGAAGAATTGGGAAGTTATTAGAGGGATGTTGGCACTATCTGCTGGTGGATGAGAAGCAAGCGAAAAGTACGGCGAGGAACTGCTCGCTGGGCAGCATGAACGCGAAGCAGCGAGCCACTAAACTCACTCGATTGCAAATCGCGGGGATCTCGGGAACTTGTAAAGCGCTCAGGAGGGTAGAAAGAAAAAAGAAAAGAGAAAGGTTGGGGCGGGGAGGTTCAAACCGGGGGGCCGGGGGTGGTTTGTTTGGTTGGCCAGAAGGGGCGCTAGTCCCTTGTAAAGTAAGCTTAGTGTTTGTTTAGGTTAGCCGAAATCCATGTGCCACTTTTTAGTGCAGTTTGTACAGTACGGTTAGCGAAAGGCGGCCCGAAGCGAGGGCCCCCCAACCTTAATTGTACTGAGCAAGTACAGTGCCCAGCGCTGTATTCGTACGATACAAACCTCTCATAGCGTTTTATTTCGTGTTCGTAACTCAGTTGTGAGCGGATGGTGGATTATCTAATTAAGCACGGCACCTCACTTTTCGACAACCCGCGCGTGATATAAATAAGATAGGTAGATGAGAATGCATTCTAGAGTTTCTAAAACTATGAATATATTATTTTAGTCGGATTATGGAGAGATATAAATACATGCCTATATAAAATGAATTTAGTTAACGTTAAGTTAATTTACAAGTGCTATTCCACTTTTGGCACTTTGATACACTCTGGCTAATAAGGAGGGGCGTGAAATGCAGCACAAGGTTTGTACTACAAACACGCAGTAACACAACTGTAACCTCCCGTGCTTATGATAGATAGATAATAGTTGGGGCATTTTAAGTTCGTGAGATATATGAGGCACGTATGTGTGTATCATCTATCGTCAGCTTATCTCTCTCCGCCGCATAGTCGGCGGCTCTGTCAAATATTACGTGAAACCGCTATATTGGTTTTAGAATGATGACGTTTCACAGATTTGGAATCGCGTACTTAGTTACGGTAGCTTTTGGTGCTTATTGAAACTAGGTAACTAACTACTTATCTATATAGACGTACGTACTAGTCGCAGTCGAATCGTAATTCATTATTGGCCCGGTGAATAATATTATAGGTGTTCTCCTTCACATTCTCTTAATTATTAACTACGGCTTCCGTTGATTCATTCTATCTCATATACAATATGTAACTCCAAAAACGTAGAAGCTTGGAGCTTTGGTGAGTTGAGACAGCTACTATATACCGATCATGTATTATAGAAATTATTTGAAGAAAAAAAAACTCGGTTTCCCTCAGGCTATGGAGTCTGGACCTTGGAGGGAGTGGCATTTTCTCAGTAGCAGGCGCATGATATCATTAAACACGTGAATAAAAATAGAGCACCATCACGAAAATTAAGAATATATTAGACATGACCATGTAAAACAGTAGTAAGTTGTCGCATGAGATAATTAGCAGCCTCTGTGCTAGCTATCTAGGTAGGTAGGTATCTATTTCGTCCAGCGAGGACTGTTGCTACTACTATTTCAGACTAATGTGTAGTCTGATGTGTAACTAAGTAGTCGGGCCAGCAGCCCCCAGCCAGAGTCCTCTGCCCAGCAGAGCAGACTCCCAGAAGAGATTCAAAGCGAGAGTAGGTAGGGGATGGGGGAGTTACCAGCCTGCAATCCTCTCTCCCTTTGGGTTATATACATCTGCCACCCGCCGCAGAAGAATCAGCACTCACTTATTCCAGCCCCCCCTTTCCCGACGCTATTGTCTACTAGAGACTGCCGGTTGTACATGTATGTTCATGGCCGGCATATAAGCCTTTTCCCTCTTTTCTTTTTGTGTCGGTAATTATAGTCTTTCGGCTTCGGCGGCGTCGAAGCCGCTGTAGCCCTAGCACCGTGGCTAGGAGTAGCCTACTCTTTGGCAGCCTTAGTCGGCTTCGCCTTCGTCGGCTTCTTCTCTGGCATACTCTTGCTAATCCTGCCCGACATGGTCGTCCGGGCCTTGCTCTCGGGGATCGGCTCGCCTGACCAGATGAACACGGCATCCTTGCGCCTGGCGGGGTGTCCCGAGCTGGTGATGTGGTGCTCTGTTTTTTTGGGGGAGGGTTAAAATATGCTTTTTTTAATCAATGGGAGAGGGGAAGATGTTTGACTTAATTACCTTGATCGTCGTATGCTTTCTCCTTCTCAGCGTCGAAGCGGCACACGGTCACAATGGTGCCGTAACGGCGCGTTTTCCCATTGACAGTCTTGGTGCTCTCAAAGAGGTGTCGGTCGTGCTGGATGACATAGTCGTGTCCTACTTTGGACCTAGCCTGGTTGTGTTAAATGTCCTACACCTTGTGGACGTGCAGGGGTGAGCTGCCTTTTTTGGCATAGACCTGCAAAGCTTTTGTTTTAGCCAAGGCGTCCCGCCCAACCTTGAGGTCGCTGGATAATTATGTGGGAGGTGTGAGAAGGGGGGTGGGGTTCGGAACTCTATACCTCTATGTCGTCGTTCTGGAGAGGCGCTGCCAGCAGCTGCTCGGACGTGAGAGCATAGTAGCCTAGGTTGGCATCTTTAATGAGTCGATGTTACCAATCTCTGTAAGATTGAGAGGGATGAGGAGACGTTTTACATTTCTGGGCGAGCTCCTTCCAGCAGTGGCCCAACATCAGTCGGTCGGTGATATTCACTGCGTAGGCAATGCAGTTGTAAACATTTGACGGCTAACCAACAATGGTGTACGGGAGTTTGGTGGGTTCTGGGCCAGAGCGGTTTTGACAGCACTGAAGTTTTTTGACATACAGGTCTAGAAAGCGGTCTTGACTGCGTTTAGCTTAGACATGGCTTCTTAAGAGTAAATAAGAGACCTTGAGAGGTTCGGGTATATAAACAATTAAGTGTCAAACAAGGATAAAGGCGCGAAAGGGGCTGGCTAGGTAGTTATTCAGAATAGGTAGATGGCGAAGTGGTCAGGCTAATTGATGTTGCGAAACAATGGTACACACGACACCAACCGACAAGGCACAGATTTAGATTACATTAGTTGATTATTATTGGCCTGGTCGGAGACTATGTTTCGACCTGTGCTGTGAACACATGATACTGTTCAGTTGTTGGTTGCCTGGGTGAACAAGTTGAGACTGGCGATTTGGAAGGCCGAAGACGCTGTTCACTGCGGCGGTGACAAGACGAAGCGGTAAACATGGCGGACAATAAGGCACTTTATGTATTTTTGGCTCTCTCGCCACTAGCTTCCCCTGGTTCCCCAACAAGGTCATGTCTCCTGCCACGCTCACCTTCACCTTTGGGTGCCAGGGTGGCAGAAAATCAAGTCTGAAACTTTGCTGGGCCCAGCTAATTACGTTTGACATGGACTTCCAAGGATCCAACACATTTCTGTTCGCAAACAATTGCCTAGAATGACAATTATTATAAACCTTGTCTTCTACTTTTTCCAGTTTTCACCAACCACCTTGATATACCAGCCAAGCTATGTCCTACTATCACAACTATTGCAATTGGTGCCCAACATAGCCATGGAGAGCTTCTTCGAAAACTACGAGGCCGAAGACCGCTTCGCCTACATCTTTGATAACTACGACTCCCAAAATCACCATTACCGTATTTACCTGGACTGGGACATGCGGTGCACTGTTACCAGGTCCACTTTAGCTCCCCATGATGACTAGTAGTGCGAGGATCATCCACTAGACGTGTTCGACAGCACCGCAAAGGATGTTGTCTAGGTTAGAGCCGGCACAGTGGAGGCCCGCTCTACCGACATTTTGGCAAAAAACTCGACCGTGATCCCCTTATACCCCCGTGTATCGGACCTCTCCCCAGCACCCAGGAGCACCCAGCCCCCAGCAGCAAGAGGAGGATCCACCGCTCCGAATTCACCGAGATCCGGCGGCTGGGGAAGCAGACAGACCTTACAACTAACCGGGTACAGTCCACGTCAGGTGGCACAGCCGCGCGAAGTCATTTCAAGCACGCCCACTTGCAGCAACTACTTAATATGCGTCATCCCCCCCCCTCCTCTCCCTTCCGTCACTAACTCCAGTCCAATTAGACCATCGACTACCTCAACCTAAACTCGGGGATCGTCCACGGCGACATGATGCCCCAGAACCTGCTAATCAACTCGACCACAGATCAGACCAAAATCTTTGACTTCGACCTGGGCTCCAAGCTCGGCTCCAAAAGCAACCGCTTTGGCGAATTCAAGTACCTCCCACAACTCAGCGACGTCAAGTACGCCGCCTTCACCGTCTTCGACATCATCACTCAGAAGCTCGGTGATGTCGAGGAAGGGCACGACATGTTCGACCTCCACTCGTCAGACGTGTTCAAGAACAGCGTCCCCTGGGTGAAACACGAAGACGTGCAGCTGGACAGCCCCGTGTCGGCCTACTACGACACGCTCGAGGCCTGGGTGGCCAAACGGGATCTGAAACAAGTAATTAACACCACCGCTGGCTAGTGGGTGCCTACCTTACATTTCGACCATGCAACGGCTGCCGGGCGCAGCAAATGCCGACTTATTTTCACACTGCTTGACGCAGATTTCTTGAAAGGGAGCGGCTGCCTGGTGCAGTCTGCCATGTCCTTAAGATTTACGGGTGCCATTCATTAAACTACCAGTAAGATGCAGGAGACGGAACGGAGACATGCTTGTAAAAAGCACGCATCGGGGGCAAGAGCCCGGATGAATATCTGATTAACCTATCCAGTATTCTCAGTCTCGTATTTAATCATCAACGAGCGTGGATAAGTGGCAGAAACACAGAAGACGAGTCCCTGGTGACGGAGTTCCTGAGCTGATTCTGTCCAAGTGATTCAAGCCCCGGATTGATTAAACCAGAGTTCAAACGTAGTGAATTTCTATGAGTACCTAGCGAATTAATAATGTTTCATCTCGTCTACCTACTCAAGGAGCGACTTCCACAGTTAGACCTAGATCTATTTGTCACTAAAGTGAAATAGTTTGCCTATGGTTATACCCATCGCCACGCACACACTATCAAAATGAGCACAATGAAGCATTTGCCGCGGTACAGCAAAAAGTCTTATGAGTACGGATAATAAATGGTTTACATATTGCAATTACTATTCGTGATCTCGATGAGTAATAACATTGATAATGGTAATCCGTAAGACACAACGTGCGAGTTCCTATTCCTGCACGAAAGACCATGCGAGATTTCAGTCCCGAAACGTGCTCCCGTGTCCTGTCATACATGCATAAGGGGGGTCCGGGCCGGACGGTTTTGGCTAAATGAGGACTAAACCATTTTCGCCCCCACCCGGCCAGGAAAGGACATCGATGGCCGGAATGACGGACAGATCGGCGGTGAGAGTGAATGTGTGAAGACTCGGTGTGTCAAAAGCATTGTGTGACGTGACCGGGGTTTCTTATAGAATAATAATAGTCTGTCACGGATGCATCGATTGCGTCTCATGTTCTTTTTTTGCCTGCCTCTGGCCTGCCTCCTAGACCGGGCGTCGTGCAAAGGCAGAGCCGCAAAATGAATGGGGTCCGGTTCGGTTCGGTGGGTTGAGAACCGTTCGTTCGTGGAGGGACGAACCGGCGAAAATCTTATGATGGGTGCACTTTACCACACCACACCACACCACACCACTACAGTACGAGGCGCGAGGGAAGCCTGGATTTCTGGTCGCCTTTTTTTACTTCTCTCGCCCCCTTCCGGTGCGAAAGAACTCTTCAGTCCATTTTCTCACATAAAATCGCTACATGCATACAATAAACCCCGGACCGACGCGCGTTGTCATCTTGATGGGGTATATTCGGTAACTAGTAGAAAGGACGAGGTTGGCGATCAGGCTCTCGGGGCTTGTTGCTATCTATGGATAGAGTATGTAGGTTGGTTGATAGAGCCTCGTGCGTGCCCCGCGATTGTGTGCGCTTGTGTGTGCGCGCGTCGTGCGGGGTCATTCCCGTCCGTCTCACGGTTCCACCTCTCTCTGCATTTGGCAGATGGAACGGCAGGACGACGGCCAAGGAAAAGAGCTGTTCTCCCTCGATATATTGCCTGTTCGTCTGCCTTGCAGGATCTTGACTGGGCCTTTGCCATAAATAAATGCAAAGCACCTATTTATTTGGTAGTGAGGTGCAAAGTAGGTTTGTGGGATGGAAAACAGCCCCCAAATAGACGCCAGTTTCATCTCCCCCTTTTACCGAGTACAATACGGACAGTGCAGCTTTCGTCTTTCTTGCGCCTGAGGAGCTTTGGCCTGGCCGAACGAACGGTGCGAGAGTCATGGCCGAGCCGTAATGCATGGCAGACAGGGTTATGCGATTTCTAGGCAGCCGCGCCCCACCCGCCCACCTCGAATCGAATTTCGATTTCATCCTGTGCGGGTTAGCTTTTGCCCACTGGTTTGCGCGCGCACAACATGGCCGATATGACGTAAGTTACGGTGTGTCACGTTGTACCGCGCCCTTCACCGAACACGGCCGTCATTTGCGCGGTCCAAAGAGCATAAAGATACGCGCGAGTATCCCTGTGCGGCGCCTTGGTGATACGGCACATCCGTCTGCATCGTGAAGACGGGGTGTTGACCCTGGTTTAGGGCTGACTCTTTCTTTACCTTCATTTCCTTGTGTCCTTGTCCTCTTGCCTTGCGGCAGGTTGTTACTATATATCCACAGCCGGGAAATCCACCGTGACCCGAAGTTTCGAGTAATGTGCACACACCTGTCGGAGGCACAGTGCGCGGCTGAACAGACAGTTGGTACACACTAATTAAGCACTGCGAGTTTGGGGGCTGGAACCTGCAAAGATACAAGAAGGTACATACAGGACGGATTGCATCTGCGGTTGCCTTTTCTCGATAACTCATTTGCGGGTCGATGGGATGGAGCCAGGCTGAGGATCCAAGATGAGTGATGAGACGAGGCTGTCACGAGCCCCCCCATTTCTGGCACTGCTGCCTCGGCAGCTCGAAGGAAAAAGCCTATTGTGGCCCATGATTCATGGCCGGCGTCTGACTGCTGGAGATGACCTTGCCTTTCTCTTCTCGAAACGTTTATGCTTCCGGAGCCACCTTCGAAAGGCAGCAGCGGGTGTCGGGGAAGTTTGCTCTTATACGCAATACCGTGCAAGCGGGCCGAGCTCCCCCTGCTGCGTACAGTTCAGCTGCTTTTCTAGCCTAACCGCTCCCGGCACGGAGCGGGCTCAGTTAATACCAAACCGGGGCGAAACGGAGAACCCCGGTCCCAGTTACGTTGGCTAGGGCAGGCACACTATTTGATCCAGGGATATTCCGTAGCGCCCCGCACTGTAGCTAGCTAATTAGCACAGAAGCTACGGAGTATGCAGCTTAGCCTGCAATAAAACCATAATGAAACTGAATCGGGATTTCAATGCGAGAAGATATACGAGTATCCAAAGCTGAGAGAGAGAGGCAAGATAAGCCAACTCTCAGATAACTTACCTAGGTATGCACATGTAGATAAGTGCCTGGTATGTACCCCAGTCAATGTGTCATCATGGTTCGTGAGAACATGTCAAACCGACGGAGTAAGCATGTGCCACCCGGGAGGAGGTTCAAAACAGGAGGGAGGACAACCCACCTTAGGCCGAAACGAAACGACGCTAGACACACACCGGACATAAAAAGGACGTGTTGCACCGAATTCAAGGCTCGTGACTCCATCCATCGCTTCATCCACACCGAAAAACAAGATAAGATTGAAAAGGCAGCAAGGGGGAAGGAAGGTCATGAACCAAAAAAAATCGTGGAGGACGGACCACCTCACCCACGGAAGAGGGAAGGGGGGGCGGCGGGGCGGAACTACGCCTAGGGCCCCCAGGCGCGACGCCACAGAAGGCGGCCAGGCGCAGCACGTTTTAAATTTGAAGGTTCTGTTCCTTTGCATCAGATCCATCAGATCCGGCACTGCGGCCAGAAAAAAAGAGGACGAGGCGCGCTCGCCCGGGCCCCAAATCTCGATTTCAGGCGGCGGTGTGGCGCGGGGGCTGGGGAGGTAGGCTGCCTGTCGTCACTAACAAAACTTTAAAATTCTCGACAAGCCCAGCCCAGGCATACTGTAGTCGGTACCTGCGCCCGGCAGCGCGGCGCGGCTTACCGCCCCCCCCTCCCCTGAAGAGAAAAAAAGACTCCGAGTAGAGGCTTCGGCGCAGCAACCTCGGGCTGTTGGAGTGGGGGGCTCGAAGCCTGGTGAGTGGTGAGGGTTGAGGGAGCCAAAAGCTTTGACGAGATGGAAGGTGTCATGATGGGGGGGGGGGGGCTGAACGTTCTTCGGCCGATCTTTTCAGCGCGATCGCTCTGATTTGTCGCCCTGCCCGGGTCGGTCACAGCTCTGGGAAGTTAACATGGGAAGCTCACCCGGCGCATTGCGTTGCGCAACTGCAGCCATGGTAGGTGCGGCGGCCAGTCCGGGGACGAGACAAGGGTGGTCGGGGCGGTGCCTGCCATTCGGGACGATGCGAAGAAGGCATCTCACGGCCGCTCCTTCCCGACCTGGAAGATGTAGATGGCATTCACCGCGTTGTGGGGCAAGGAGTCGCGATCTTGTCAAGAGACTCGAGAATTTTCCCTTACCAAACGTTTTCCGCACGGCCTGGGACTCATCAGCTCATTGTGTGGAATTCTGCCTTGTTTCATCCCGTCGCGCCTTCTAGTAGTCTATTGGGTGTCGCGACAAAACCTTCTTATCCCACTTTTGTCATTTCAACGACACACCGCATTTCCTCATTTCCATTGCTGCCCAGCGGGCACGACGAAGAGCACTGGCCAGCCAGCTCATTCTTTCCCGCCCGTTTGAGCGATTTCCGATTGGAGTTCTGGCCCAATCAAGACAAGGCGGCTGGGATATTCTCGCACTAGGCTGACAGTTTTAATGTGCCGTGGGGGTGTTGGATTTTCAAAAAAAAATTACAATGAGAAACCTTCACATAATAATCATCGCGTACATGACATAAGTGAGACGGTTGGTCTCGTGTTATCGCCTCCACTCTCAAAGGTTTCATTCGAGTTGAGAACGCATATGTATCCTTCTTTTCGTTTTAGGTCCCCCCCGCATAGAAGCGGTCCGAGCAAAGGAATTATTATTCTGCTCTTAGACAACGGTTTGCTAGCACCGGCGCCGTGGTATCGCAACGTACGAGCGAACAAACCTACCCATCTGGTGATAACAAGTAGATGACCCCAAATTCCACGTGGCGTAATTCATGCCATGCTCTGTTTCTTATTCCCCGATTGGACAATGGCGAAGCACAGTGCCATCCCATGACGATGATGTCCCATCCCGTGGGCCTTACTTCCCGTTGCATGGTGCTTTTCCCCAGGCCCAAGGCAGAAAGACAACCAGCTGTTGGACCAGGCCGTGTAACTGACTGGCCTTGACAGGTTCAGGTGACTGCGGTCGACTAAGCAAATTGACAGGACTGGCTGGCTGGTCGAGGCGGGCGGGCCTGTTCGGACTACTCAGGGCAGTCCAGCGACCGTGACCGCGATCATGCAGATGCCGGAACAACCGGTTCCTTGAACCGAAGGCTGCTCCACAAGCTCGGCAGATGCAGGCCGAAGAAGGCCTGGGTGGGTTGGCAGTCAGTGGGCTGGCTGAAGTGGTCCCTGACAGGGCGGTTGTTGCGGCTGTCGGGGCAATCAACTGCCTCTCATTGACAGACTGTCTGGAAGACTGTCTGTTGCCTGAGAAACTTTTGCCGAGTGAGTGTTCTCGAGACTGTCTTGCAGGGAGCTACAAACTGGTTGGACTGACATGGCTGTCGGTGACCGTTAAGGGCAGGCCAGTCGAGAACTGACGAGAAAATGCCTTTGAGCACATTTTCGTCTTTGAGGCCAAAGTAGCAGCAATTGTACGGTTGTCAGAAAAACTGTTAGTTTTCGAGGGTCTGTTCGGACTACTTCCCACATGCCTACAACGCAATGAAGCTGCCATGTCCTTGTGGCCTGGTGGCGATGTGATATGGCAGTTGTCGACGATCCGGGCGGTCGTCAGGGCAGGGCCGCTATTCGGGCTGTCTGGTGATTGGCATATATTTGAGTATATATGCAGGAAGAGGGCATTCCGGGACGGCAGTGTGGTGTAGCATTTCTTGCAGGTCCGGCGGTCTGCTGTTTGGCCAGTTGGCCGGTCGGCCGGACTGGGCTAGCCTGTCAGAAGGACATCGCCGTCGATAGGCTGGATTGACACAACTGTCTGGATCTGAGCGAGGGAAAGTAACGGCTTTCGGACAGTGGACAACTGGATTGACTAGGCCAACCGAAGTCTGAGGGCATCTGATTAGGCCGACAGGTGGGTTTCCCAGTCCTGAAGCGTTTTAGCTTGCTGATTGAGGTCCTTTTGTCGTTGATCTAGCTCATTTTTTCGGTCATTGAGCTGAATTGTCTTGGTATTCAGTTCATCGATCCAACGGCTGATGGTGGGTTTCTAGCTCGGTCGGCCTTGGTGGTCTTCGTCAGGTAGACAGGATGACGGCATGGTGGTTGTTTTGGCTAGGTCTACGGGTGACCAATGTGGTCGGCCTGATTGATTAAAGGCCGTGATGTGGTGGACTTTGTGGTCCTGGTGTCAGAACTCAGAAGCCGGTGGACTTGTGGTGCCGTCTACTCGAACTGGCCGGAACCCGGCGATGACCTTGATGTTTGGATCAACCAGTCAGACTTGATTATTAGCGTACTGTGTCCCAGCATAGTCGGCCTAGTTGGTAGAATCTAGCGATCGAAAGGGTATGTAATATAGTGGAAGCCTGGTCTTTCCTGGAGGCCACGGTGGGTCAATCGTAACACCAATTGATCTCCCGCGAAAGGAAAGGGATCTCTACGGATTAAGGGAGTGAGCAATAGATTTTTAAGGTAAAAATCTTTTAACCTCCTAAAATTGGACTTTAAATCTATTGACCGTGGACCTCTCTTCGTTCAAAGTATAACAAAATATGTCACTCAGATCAAAGCCCCAAATCAATATGGGTCGCGCACCAGGCCTGGTCGGGGCGGCTGCCTGACCCAGGCGCGCCCAACTTCGTCGCCTACCCTTTTGTCGACGAATAAGCTCGGCACACTAATAAAAGGTGGTTCGTAGGGAGTAAATCCGGAGTACGATAGAGAATGCCGCCAAAGTAGGACCATAAACTCCAGAAGACTTCTCAGATCGGCTATAATTATTTGCATCGACCGAGATGACTCAGAAAACACCCAAAAAGCTTCAACTAATCAAGGCCAGGTTATGGTTCCTGCTTGCCACTTAGGGGGAACACTGGACTAAACCTTTGAGGTTGCTTCATCTGACCTTGATATTCCTTCTGTAACAAAGGACATCGAATTGAATCTTTGAGGTGGTTTCATCTGGCTTTGATTTTTTTTTTGTCGTCAAGTCATTAGCTAGTCAAACAATCTCTAATAAGTATAATTACATCCCTGCCGTCGATGCAACCACCATAGCCAGAGAAAATGAAGAAAATAACAGACGCTGGGAGTATTAGGTATTCGTTGAGGTAACCGAAGCCCGTGCTTCGCCTAGCCAAAAGAAAGCATCGCTCAACAGTGCGGTTTGCTTTTGGTGTTCTCCTCGCCCCCTCACTTCCCGACCTCGTCCCCTCCCAACATCGCCCCCTCCCAAATGCTTCCCCAGGCACCTTACCAATCTCTGTCTCAAAACCTTCCCACCGTCATCCTCTTCCTCTGTGGACCCAGATCCAACCACTGTAGCTGTGAGCCCCGATCAACTTTATTGTCAGGATATTTCAGCTACCTGGTCTTGAATATGTCGGGTTAGTGGCAGCCTTGCGTCCAAAAATTGCTGTTGCGAAAAAAGACAAGCCTCGTCGCGCACAGTTTCTCTTCGCGGTGAAGGTCCACACAGCTGACAGCCTCCGACGTTAAGTGCGAGGTTAAGTGCACTCGTTAAATGGTGGAGGAGCTCCGTCCCGCGGCAGACTGAAATGTCGCCCGAAAACTCCTCTTGCACCTTCCATACTCTGACAGGGCCATCCTCAGCAGCTGGGGGGGGGGGTTAGGTTTGGTTCATCTCTCCCGCCATCGCCGCGGCCCTGTGCTCGCTGTGTGCAGAAGTGCACAATGACCGCGACTCGATGTTTCTGAAACCATGACCGCTCAAAGTTTGGCACCAAGCTCAAGCGGTTCCTGAAGCATCGGGAAGCTCGCCGTAATCCACACTGTCGGCGCTTCCAGCAGGTGTGAAGGGGATAGCATCCAGTTCAATGTCGTACTGCGGACTGACACTGAATTGATGGGTTTCCGAGTTGTACCTGAGCCACTTACCGCCCTGTGCGGCAATCCGACAGCCCAGATACAAAGCACGTTCCTTTCTGTCCTCGCTCATAGAGGGGACCTCGAAATACTTCTCATCGTCATCGATCCTCTCCTGCGACGAGAACCACTCATCGGGGAAGTACTTGTCTCCCCAGAGAAGACCCCGCATGGCGTAATCCTCGGGCAGTGGCCGTTTGGACGCATTCTCGGCTTGGGGGAAAGTCTCCCCTTCGATGCGAGAGTAAGTTTGGTATGAATCAAGGAGCGTGTTGAGCATATGAGCTGTCAGCTTCCACGGAAAACCGGGGGCCAAATATGATATGGCAGCTGGGGCAAATGTCAAATAGTGAACGAAGACAAGTATAACGTGAAGATACGGCAGGATGTTTGGGTCACCGAATCTCCGCAGCACAACGTCGTGGGTCCCGTTGGCGAGTTTAAGAGAAGCTGCGAGCTCTTGCGGTGCAGAATCTTCTGCCCAACCTCCCAGCATGTGCTGGTCGTGTGACTCGCTAGAACGGATTTGCTTGATGGCGCTGAACATGGGGTTTCTGTCACTTCCGTATCCGAGGATAGCAGCACAGTTTGAAATCCCAATATGGTATCTAGCACAAGGTCAGAATCTACGAGGAGATACGAGCCAGGAGACTGTTACTTACGCAGGCTCAAGCCATGAACGTGTCGACCGGGCAATCGTGCTGTCCAGGGAACTCAAGAACTCGTCCATGGAAGACTCGAGTTTTTCTGGCATCTTCCCGCTGAACATGATACCATGAGTCTTTACGAAAGCAAGATCAGTTGGCCCCAGTCTCGACTGCTGGGTTGAATTTGGCGCCATGATGGGGTCGAACAGAGTCATGATGCTTTCGCGTGCCGACGAGAAGGGCACGGCCACACACAGGGATTTGGTGTAGTAGTACAGCTGCTGCAGCGCATTCGGGCGAGCGAGAATGGCGAGATGGTGGTAGAGCCGTCCCGTTGTCGGGGCCTTATCCGAGGCCTTGGAGTACCAGTGCCTACTCACCGAGGTCCAAACTTCGCGGTCTCGGATATCTTCATCCTCGATCGCCATGCGGTACCTACCCAAATCTCCCAGGCATTCAATCCACGTATCTTCAAAGGCCGGGACCGTTTCGTATAGCAGAGCCATCATGGAATACGCCAAGTAAATGAAACTCAGCATATGTTCCAGGCTAGCTGGAAGTCGGTGTCTCAAAAGCTCGAGAAAGCTATGAATGCCATGTCTCCACATCCGGGCTGGCATGGCGTACTTGCTTGCCAGTCTCCTCAACGCCGGACTGGCTGATGGATGCTGCGAGGCGAGGAAAAAGTCGTGATGCTCGTGAAGCAGAGTCCGGTGAAGCGCTATTAAAGCCTGCCATTGCTCGTTGTTGAGCTTAGTGGAAGGATCATGCTTAGCATTCTGAGCGTCAACCTCGATGCATTTGCTCTCGACCAAAACGAGGCCTGCGTAGATTCCCTTGACTTCGGCAACCAGCTGCTCTTGCGAAATGGGTCTTGTCTCTGGCTGTTTTATGAGCTCGGTCGAGTCCTCTTCGACGTTAGCCGGAGTTCGGAGACTCGAGGCCTGAGATTGGTGAGTCGAGCGCTGAGACCGAGGGCCGGGGATAGAAGAAACGCGGAGGCGGTGGTTAGTGGCCACATTTGACTTGTCGTAGGACGGGGGCCGGGTTGTTTGTGCGTCATCGTCGGGGGACCACAGCCTGCCCTTGGGCGGAGGTCCTCTCTTGAAGTCTGCAAAACCATCGTCCGCCTTGGGGGTCGACGTGGGCCTTGCCTTTGGCCGTCTTGGGGGAGAGCGGCTCCTAGACCCCTCCCTCTTGAGGCTTGAAGCCGGGCTTCGTTTCGCAGAGTCTGCATCAGGCTCCTGATGCGATACGCGTGTCTCGGTGGCTGGCGCAGCTCCAGCTCCTGGGGGTGGATCTGCCACCTGCCTCCGCTGCAGCGGCCGGGCGGAAGACACCTGGCCGCCCTCACGAGCCAGCGCCGCCCTCACGGTTCTCGGACCGGCCTCTAGACTCACATTTCCGGATGTGCTACAATTAGCATTCCAAATTAGCGACAAGGTTTGAAAATCCAAAAAGAGAAGAGCCGCGTGCGAGAACGAGCTCACATTTCGCCTGCTAGCTGTGCAGCCTTCCACAGAGATTGGATCCAAGCGGCTTTATCCTCGTCCGAGGCCTTTTCTTGGAGTAATTGCACGTGGTCGGTTGCGACATGCTTCTCGAAGACTGCCAGCTCAGCGGCTGGTTGCAGCTCTAGGTTGCACAGAGGACAGACAGCCTTTTGGAGGCGAGCAGACGGCCGGGATGCTCGCCGAAGCCAGTTGTTCCAGGACTTATCGATGTCCATTTCTTGGCTTTCGGGTTCTGAAAGAGCGGGCGGCCGGTGGGTCTCTGTTCCGAGAAGGATGATGGAGAGGTCAGGAACACGCAGCTCGCATCATCCAAAACGTCTTCTGAGAATCTGTCGCGAGGGATTTTTTCCGGGAGCCTAGAAATAAAATGCGGGGTCCGCGACGCAGCGACGGCAATTCGACCAGCGGCAGAACCAAGCGCGCAAGCCAGCCAGCGAGCATAAAGCAGCGAAGTGATAAAAGGAATGCGGCTCGTTTGAGAACCCAAGCCCGATAGATCTCGACGGATGGGCACGTTGGGATGGTCTTGTAGGTCTGAAATGGTGCGCGGAACACATAGGTTGGTGGGTGCCTTGCCTACGTGAGGTGTCTCTAAAAACGGCTAGCATTGTAAAGCATGTACTTCGTGCAGGGGCTTGATGTATCGAAACAGTGCGCATCACTGTGTACAACACCCTGATGATGTATTTGCGGTGGGGCGTTAATGTGCCCTCAGGCCCCCTGCTTGGTTGCCTTCAATGGTTCGCATTTGCGGACGAACTCTCCAAAGAGCCTCCATTGAATGAGAGTGAGGCTCTGCATCCTCCCCAACATGCGAGGCCCCCATGACGCATTGTCTGCGTTGTCCTCTTCCTACAATTACAACACTTGAGGCTGGAGACGTGAATTCATACGAGGCTTTGGCTCAGAAGTGCTTCTCCCCAGGCTACCAAGGTATATGTTGAACAGTGCTTTCCCCAAGGGGCTCTCTCTGCCTTGCCGCGACAGCACAACATTCTCGCCTGTATGGCAGGGGAGGCTCACTTTAATTGTGTTGTTTGCTCCGCCGATTGCAGCTGACGCATGCGGGCTGGGAGCCTCCCGGTGTGCGCGAAGCGTTGCCGTGGGTATAGGCAGGCACTTTTATGTCCAAGCTAGGCTCGTCTCTCTTAGCGGATTAGACCTCCCGGCTGTCGCACGAGACGGGAGCCTTTCAGCAATCATGCTTCGGAAGGCAAGAGCCCATGCCTTGGCGGCGCGGCTTGCCGACGGAGGGAGAGCCGTTTTCCACGTGCCCTACCAACACAAGGCAGGTTCTGGGCCGCCTCTTTGGGCAGCGCAGCGAAAAGCGGGAACCCCCAATATGTGGTACTAATAAGGCCTCCCATCTGGAAATTTTGGGGTCCGAATGTTGCGGGTACTAGTTAGAAATTGCCCTGTCTCATTGGTGCTTGCCTTGCCTACTGCCGGCCTTACATTACCTTACCTTAGCCTTGAATTTTTGTTTGGCATCCAATCCATATTTCCAGTTTCTTCTTGTTACTCGGAACAGACGGGTAGAATATGGATGGCCCTCAATGTGTCGCCCTGCCACGCGAACTGCCCAGTTCTCTGTCTCACGTGTCCTTCGCCTTCTTTTTCGCCGCCGCTTCACTTCACTTATTGGCAGGCCTTACTTAACACCAACCTCGCAGCGGGAGCCGGGGCTATTATCGCTGAGCTGAGCCTGGGCGCGTCTAAGTGGTCTATCTGCCTGGACAGCTCAACCGCCCCAATGGCCGACATTTTCCGGCCAACCTACCTTACACCATGCTTCTGATGTGTCCCTCTTGAAAGACCACAACAAAAACAAGCCGCTTCAACAACAATAGTGCCAGCGGTGGCGGCAATGGTCGTGGTCGTGGTCGTGGTCGTGGTCGCGGTCGCGGTGGCAGTTTTTGACATGGCCAGCCAGCCGACATACCTCATCCTCGAATACGAATCCCAAATGGGGAATTGGAAATTGGCCAGCAGAACGCCACGTTCCTCGAGTGTAAGTGCACAAAAAAAACAAAACAAATCGGACTTCAAGACAACACGGGTATGGGTCAGCATTCTAGATGAGTCTGCTAGGTGTTGCTTGCACTTGGGCCTTGAACTACATCTTCCATCTTCCGTCAACGTCTCCCGCTGTCGTCGCCATATCAACAGGAGGCATCCGATGCAGCAAATAAACGACATCCCGTGGGCGTGTGGCTTAGCCAATGGCAAATGGCGACCCGAGTGGTGGCGAGTGAGTGGCGCGAGCTAGGAATTTTGTGACGAACCACAGTGGGGCTAGTGCTTTACCGTCTGCCAACCAACAACCTCGGGCGACCATCATCTGCCAGGACGGGACGAGGCGAGCTGGCGTGGCCCATGGGCTCTCGGTTGTCATCACGAGATGCGCTCTACGTACACTAACTGCTCTCAACTTGTTTCAGCTCTCCTCGCGCAGAATAAAGAGTCAAGCTATGCCTCTTGGGACTGGGTCACCCTGCCCTGCGGGCCAAATGTCTTGGAACATTGCCTCCGTCTTCCTTGTTCTCGCATTCCCTCCATTCACCGTCGAAAGGCGTCGTCTACAACCGCTGCCGAGATTTTGGCGAGGAAAAGAAACAATTAACTTGGCTCGCTATGGTGTAGCGGCCCTGGCAAATGCTCTCCGAGGCATCTGATTCGCACAAGGCGATGGGCGATAGGCGACGGTCCACCCGAGAGCCACCAGCGAGTAGGACGAGCGTGTGGCAGGTTGCTTCCCTCCAGCCTACCCTCCGGGCTGGAAATGAGTTGTCATATTGCGGCCTTGGGTCACAGTGGGTTCTGCTGGGACTTCTAGGCCTTCTTCTAGGTCTTTGATGACTCTAGGTATCACGGCTTCTCAAGATCGAAACTGCGACAAGTTAGACCGTCTCACCGACATTTGTCTTCTCCGAGTGCTGCGTTCTTTGTGCCTCGTGGTACAGACACGACAAGGCGGACGCTGTGGGCGAATGTGAGGAGCAGCGAGTGGCAATGGAGGACGGGGGCGACGGCGGGAAGCAGGCGTCGTTCAGACAGGACAAGGGACACAGTTCTTGCCGTCTCTCCAGGACTATCACGGCCAGCATCTGTAGCCGTGGCGTTTGACTCGGGCGTTTCACACATTGTGGAAGCAAAGGTACCTAATGTGCAACTTTAGGCGTCGGTCTCATGTTGTCAATCACCGCACTTGGGCATCGGGTTTCCGTGTCGGCTACCTATGGCTGGCAGCTGGCATCTTGAGATCACAAAGGCTGGAGAGTTAGGGGCCTGATGGCTGGCAACGGCCCTGGAGATGGTGTGGCCCGGGCCATGCCATATCTTGAGTCCAAATCTGCAGGTGTGACTCTTCTCTGGCGAATCTCTTCACCAGATTGGTCTCGTCACTGAGCAGCACGCCTATCAGACGGAAGGTCGACCCCGTCGCCACCACTAGGTAGCCACTATTTTCCATCACGAGCCTAGAGGAATACCCTTGGTGTGTGCAGCTGACACCCCCTCCTCCGTCTATCCATGAAGCAATTTCTGCAACCGGTACAGCAGAGAAATGTGGCATCAAATATTGGAGAGAGGCGTCTTGCTCCTGGGAAGTAACCGACGACAGGATGCCCTGTCGATATACTCATACCGGGGTGTTCCTTCCATGATCCCCAGCCTCGAGAGGAACGCGATTCCGGATTGGATACGAGCCAAACTACACAGGACAGCTGCATCGTGACATGGCAATGGTTTCCCAGCGCCTCACGCAACACATACATTGTCTCCTAAACAGAGGCCATGGCACGCAGCTTGGACAACAAAAGGGGCTAAATAGCAGCTTGTTTGGCCCATCCAACGACAGCAACCAATCGCCTGACTTCTGAAATGCGAGGCATCAAGCGTATGGTGGCTTGGTGTTGGCTGTCAGTATAGGCGGCTCTTACGGGGCCGTACCGGGGCGGTGGTACTGGGTTGGATTTCCTCGGCTCCAGCTACGCGGAACGGCTCTCACCAACAAGCTTCTGGCATTTGGCGCCTTGGTCGTTGTGCAATGCAGTTTCTCGATTCGCAGCGCTTGAGCTTGCCGCCACCGCCCACCCTCCTGCATACGGACAAGCGATGTTTGATGCCTCAACAGATGTCGCGCACTGACCTGGCGGCAGCGTGGAGACTCGGTGAACCCTTGCCAGACTGGTGTGTGCAGCATGCACAAGCCAACTTTGCATCTATCACATCGAGAGGTTACTCATTCTTGGAGGTGAGGAGACTTGATGCTCCAAGGCGACACTTTTCATTTCATTTCTCTTGCTCGGCGATTGAGCAAGTTATAGAATCCAGGCGCTATTTTCTTGTTGATGCCTTAGAAACCAGCCAGGAGGGATTTTGTGCCCCCTCTCCCCACCATCCCTTATTAGTTACTCTCACCTGCTCCTAAAACGAGGCTGCGCCATTGCACTGTCTTACTACTACTATAGGGGTATTCGGTGTATCCAGCGAAACAAGTCGTTTCTTATCTAGCTTCGAACCTCCCTTGCTAGTTTTCCAATAGACTTGTCATGATATTTCTTCTTCTATGTTCTTGTCCTGCCTCTTTTTGGCCCTTTCTTCATTCAAGCTTTTGCACACGGGCCAGGGCTAACCTGCTTGACAATCTACGGAGCATGGACTGTCCTAACTTCAATGCGCTAGCACAGCCGGGGACGACGAGACGGGCCGCTCGGTGAACGACGTACATGCATCACACAGGCCGGGCATGGGACAATTGACACCAGCAACACATGCCCTTCCTGTTCGTTACTCTAGTCCCAAGCAACAAACTAACACGTCCGCTAGGTGCAAATGGCTCCTAATCCCTGTGGCACTCGCCAAGGTGTGGAGAAGCAGAGTAGCTCCCGCATGAAGGCTCACCGCTCCTTGTAGCCCTACCAAGTTCCTACATCGGCCTCAGACTCTGCGACGTGCTCTCCGGATACCGAACTCGGTAAGGCCGTGTCTTGCTGAAGCCCCGCAATCGGAACCCGGATACTCGGGCAAGACATAAGGTATCTCTTCCGTTCATTCTGGACATTTCACGGCAGGATATAAGACATGTTATTGGGGAACATGGCATGCAGAGAAGGCCCAGTCGATATATCAAGTGATAACACGACAAAAGGGGCAGCCCGAGAAGAAGATCGCATCTCCTCTGTTGCTCCCGTTGCTCTTTTCCCCTCTTGGGGCTTCAAGACCCGACCTGCACAACACACGGTAGGGGGAAAGAGGAATGAAACTTGCATCCGCATATGCAGCGGTGCCCTATTATCACTGCCGTCCACCTCAAGCCCACTTGCCTGCTTGAATGAGTCTGTCTAACCCGTTTGCGGTTCTGCGTAGGCAAGGCTCTCAAGAGCGGAGAATTGTGAGCCGTCCCACTCCGCAGGCCCTTGGTCTGTTGCGCAGAATCCCGCGCCTCGGGTAGCAGCAGAGATGCACACCGATCTTCCAGATACGGCTGTCAGTCGCTTCCCCGGCCCAAGGCGTCGCGGTGCCCGACACACGAGGCGGCCGTCTCGTCTGACGTGGAACCAACAGCTAACCTTGACGCCTCCAAATTCGGCTGCTCACTCTCCAGCAACGTCTTGATTGGGGCAACTGCGGGCTCCGAAGTGCCCGCCTCGCACATAGGCGGTTCTTGCCGTCGGGAATGTAAGGCCCTACTGCCGAGTGGGCGTAAGTTTTTGCACAGTAAGTAACTCCTGCTCCCGTGCATCTTCTGGGGTGGTGCTTTGTCTTTGCCTGGGCGGGGAAAGGCAACCGAGACAGATGGCGTTGCCCTGCCCTTCAGAACTGCGGAGGCCTTGCGTCTTGGGCATACCGCTTGGGCCTCCGTCTCGGGCTTGTTCGTAGGTCTGGAACTCTGCAATGGGCGTAATCCCAAGGAGACGACAGCCTTGCCTCTCTCGTTTTGACTTTCACAGAGAAACGCCTTTTAAAAACGCTCTCAGAACTGCTGGAATAGGGGGCTGGAGAGTCTACATACGGGTCGGTCAAAAGAAGAAAAAGCACGTCACCGTCCAACGTCCGAAAAGCCTCTTTTTCTTTTTGTGGAACATAGTATGTATGCATGACAGACGGCAGTATGCCTTGGGCTACCCAAGGGTTAGGTGTAGTCAAACGAGCCTCCTTTCCGGTCTTCCCCCGGAGCCCCGAATCCGGCAACGGGGATGGGATTGCCTCGCACGGCATGACATGCCACCTGGGGGTTCTGGCCGCGTCTTCTTTTTCCTTCTCTTTATTTCAGCCTCGAGCAGCTCAAGTACGCCGATTCTGCGAGAATCGGCTTGTATTTCTAAGCCAAATGCCCAAATTTAGCTGGCGGATTTCTTGTCTTTAAGAGGTGGATATAGAGACACATTGGCTTTCCCCATCTCTCAGCTCCCTCATGCATTCCACTTTGTCTCGGCATCACCAACTCTGCGACCTCGAAGTAGTGAAATCTCTAGGCCCTCTCACAAGCCGTAGCACGTGTAAGCAGCTTCTAGTTGATGTGTGAAACTGCTGTTCTGCGGTCTAGTAAGGATTAAGTCATTCCAGGGATGATGCTCGCGTGTCCGGCGCTCGCCGAGACAGCAGAAAGACCACACCCACCCAACCGGCCATAGAGCAGGTAGAGACTACCTAGTCGGCAAGATAGGCAGACCTCAGCTGTCTATAGAGCAGATGGAGACGGTGCCTGCCTGCCTGCCTGCCTGGATTAAAAGGTGAGAACACTCGAGAGAGATTATTTACAAAGTTCCCGCCCCTGAATACAACCGAAGCGTATGCGTCGTCAGAAACAACCCCCATCCCTCCCTCCGTGGATAATCCCCGGCCAGTCAGTCATGGCTGGCTGTGTCGCGTGGCTTAGGGACAGAATACGTTGGGGAGTCAGTACTCCCTCCCGTCAGCAGGTGCAGCCAAAAATGGTTTCTCTTAGCTTTTTTTATGTCTTGTTATGTCATGTCTTGGTCGCCTTCTTTTAGCTCTTACTTCCTTCCTCGCCGTTGCGTGTTTCTCTCCTCGGTGTCATTGTCGAGGAGGTAGGTGTCAACCCTCGAGAATGTCGATCAGATGTGTGTATATTAGGGTGTCATGCATACCAAGAGCGTCACATGTCTTTGCTCAGGGGCAATGGCACACACCCCATTGTCCTCTTCTTTCGGTGTGTGGGTTCTGACTGGGCCGGCTCGGCTGTCTGTCTGTCTCACTCACGTGTTTATTTGCCTTTTAGCGATTTCTCAGCCGTCATCTTATTACTCTATACTTCTACTCACTGCCAGGCAAGGCAAGGTGTCCTTACGGAGTAGCCCGTATTATATCTCCGGACTGCTTTGCAGCAGACGCTCCCGCGGATTGGATCCCACTAGTAATTACATGCAGCATGCAGTCCATCGAATGAATGGGACGAGATGCACATAGGTGTAAGCTGAGCTGAGCTGAGCTGGGCGTGAGGCAGTTCATTCATTTTCTGGGCACGCTCCTTCAGCTGTTCCCGCGTACTGTTTACCTGCTAAGGAACGTATTGTCCCGTTTTACGGCTGTAACGAGCTAGCGGTTGCGCAAGACGTGGGCGCGTGTTAACAAGCCCTGCTGCCTGCTGCCTGCATGAGAGAGTGAGAGAGAGTGTGTGTGTCGGCCTAGCCTACCTGACCTAGGACCTAGCTTGCAGAGGCGTGTTAATTTATCTCTTTTTCGCATTTTCGTTCCTGCGCAAATCAGACAGCTCTATTTTGTTTGTTATTCCTATTGTCGCATGACTTAGAGTTGTCCAATGGGCATTTCTTCGGTGGAAGGGGGCGGGCGTCGTTGTAGTTTTAGGTAGGTCGTTGGTGACGCGTGGGAGAGATGGCGCCGTTGCCCCTGAAAGTGTGGGCAGCTGCCTTGTCGAGTCACCGAGCAGCCCACAGGGCCTAGGCAAACCGAACCCTGTGGCAGCCTGGCGGCCAGAGCTGGACGCCCCCAAAAACCAATCGCATCAGCTCGTCCAGCCCTCCTTCCGTTTCGGAATAGCGGCTTCCCCAAACAACCATAGGGCGCACGCCAATCTAGGGTTCTGGCGAGCAGCCCCCTCTCAGCCGAGCAAGCGGCTGACCGACGGTCCGATCGAGGGTTTGATGGCTGCCGGCGCTGTCGATTTCCCTGTTCCATGAAACCAAGCCAAGGGGGCAGAACAAGGCGGCGGTGCTTCCGCCGTCGGTCAGTCCGTTTCCCGTTTAAATTCCGTTGCAGCCGGCTTTGCTTCTATGGCTGTGGTTGAAGGCGGCGAGTGGGTGGACAGGAGGGAGGGGGCGGTGTTCCGGGTAGGGCACGGATAGGTTGCGTGAGATTCATCCCATGGAAGGGAGCGTAGCGGTGCAGGTCTGTCTGGGGTACAGAGAGCACAGTACGAACTGACTGCACTGTCACCGACCCCGTTCACTCCGTACCTACATGCCTACCTTGCCTCGTCTGCGTCTGCGTCTGCATCCGTAATGCCAAACACGGGATCCCGGTGAGCGAAGGATGTGAGAGCGGGAAGGAAGCCCGGAAGGCCGTTTATGGCGGCCGCGGCCGCGGCCGAGGCGACCCATCCGAGCACGGGCACGCGTACTACTTACCCTAGCTTTGCTAGACGGGTATGCAATGGGCAGCTATGCGCAATGGATTCCCGTCAGAGCAGATGATAAGCAAATCATAATAAACAAGTATACAGGCAGCGCCGCGAAATCAATTAACAGGCAGGCCGCCTGCGCAGACCTCGTCTTGTTTGTTGGTCCTCAAAAGAAGTGGAAAGTTCAAGGACATGACAACGCTTGTGGCGGTTTCAAGATGCGGGGTTGCGGGTGTGGGGGAGGAACGATGTTGCCCAGGGTTGTTCATTCGGAACTTTAGGGTTGGGGGCGGCGATCTCCCTAGTGGGTCACGGTATGGATTAAAATAAATAGTGGAGACGCGGTAATGCATCGTCTTGTTTGGTGGCCCGGCTCGTTCGGGACCCCTCCAACCCTCAGCTCTGGTTGATGACGACGACAACCCACTACCAACCACCACAGCCCACCTCCAGTCCAAAGGCAGGGGCAAGATCTACGCCCGGCAGCAACGGCCCACGCCAACGACCGCATTTTATCCTGTCTTAAGGTTATTTCCTAGTTATTTTTTTTTCTCAGCCGGTCAGGGTCTGAGACGACCGCGATGACGAGACCCTCCCTCTCTCAACCTCGAGTGCATGCCATCATGCAATGCAGCTCAGGCCAAGTCGTGTAGTGAAGGTGCGGGTACAATTCCGATATGCCATCTACTCTAGACCTCAGCCCAAGTGATGGCGTACGCACATGGCCTCCTAGTATTTGTAAACAAAAGGGAGGCCTCCCGGACCCGTCACCCAGCCAGCAACACGCAACAAGACGCTCGACGCGCTGCGCCCGGTATTCGCCGGGAGACCTCCCCGAACAAACACATCTCCCGCTGTTCATACTCCAAGCAGTCTAACTCGGCTGCATGGGGGCTTTTTCTAGAACAACTCGGCAGTGGTAGCAAAGGAGGAGGCATGAATGCTCGAAGGTCTTATTGCCAAAGTCAACAAGCGCTAGCGTCTCCTAGTCAACCAAACCCCCTTACCCCGATGCCAGTAGCCCCTTAATCTGAGAATAACTCCCCGGGCGTCCGCCGATGCTGTGATGCGTCGGCTCAGTTTACCGAGTTGGCTCTGCTGTCGTCTGAGAAGTGACGAAGGCGTGCCCGTTTCTTTTCTCGTCCGCCCCGTGCCACAGCAGCTTGCCCGTGTGCATGCGGTGTAAACACGCAGAAGCAAGTAATTGGTCGCCTTTTTCATGCTTGTAGATGTAAAGATATGTAGCCTAGCAGCAGCTCGCATCCCTTCTATGTCCGGATCACCGGCTAGCCAGCCTGCTGCTGCTGCTGCTGCTGCTGCTGCTGCTTCGGCCTCCGACCCCGAGGAGGTGGAAATAAAAAAGCTTGTGCTACACAAAACATGGCCCCGAGGGGACCAAAAAACTCTGCTGTGTCAACGCCCGGCGAACAGATCTCGAACAGAAACAACGCAGCCTGCGTTCGCAGCCTGCAGGCTAGTGGTCGCAGGCATGCCTCACGATCGATTAGGGGAACCGATCGTTACCTGGCTGCCTGGCTTTTTATTTAGCGAAGTATAACAATTAAAATCGAGGGCTGTTGACTGGTGGGTGGTGGGAGATATTTCTGGGATACGAAGGCGCAAAAGGAAAGAGGCACCGAAAGTCTCGCCTCGAATAAGGTAATGGATGCCATGTATCCATGTACATCTTTGCACGACAACCATGACGCTACACTGTGTAGTATTCGTTTCGTCGCCTCGTTTCTTGATTAGTTCACTGTCGTTCTTGCTCAAGGCAAAAGAAAATTGTGGAAAGGGAAGGGAAAGGCTGCAAATTCGCCCGGGAGCAGTTCCGCCGTCTAGAACGTGTACGATTACCTTCCCGGTTTTCTATCATGCCATCCCCCCCCCAACGATCAATGTCGGTTGTGTGTGCGAGTATAACGCTCCGCCTTCTCTCCCACCCCACCCCAGGTCAGATAGAGCGAGCTATTTATATGTGCCTGGGCGAGTCGATCTGTGTGTGCCATGACGCCCCGCCCTCCGGCCAGCCGAAAAGAGTAGTGATGACAACTCAACCAGAGGGGCGGTAATACAGCTGTGACGATGCCCTCCCATGAGGCTTTGGGTATCTACTATTCTCAGGCCATTCTCTCTCGGAATGGGCTGACTTTTTTGTCGTGCAATGTTATCTCCAAGGTTGGTGGTCTACGAGTCGCCTCACATCGTCACACCTACAATTGGTGTGATATGATATGTTGCGCGTGCGCGCGCCACATTCGACCCACGCATAGGTAATAATACGCAAGGTCGGATGCCAGAGTAGGTACACAGAGTTGGCACGGCAGGAGGGAGCAATCACACCCTCATTCCAGGAAACCATGGCACGACGGGGCCGAAATTCTCGGGACGCCATGTGGCCCCGTGTCAGGTCTCACCAATTTACCAAGAGAGCCTTCTCCGGCCAACACCCAGTAAGTGAGACCCGATTGGCGATGCGATCTATCTTGTCACACGCCCCCGTCTAGATACAAAGGGCCTTTACCTTTTTTTTTCTTCTTCTGTAGTGTAATCATCCCTGTGTCTGTTTCACTTGGTGACCTATCTTCTCGTTTTTTTTCGTGCCCCCCTGATCATGTATCGAGCCCATTTCGTCGTCCGAAGACGATAAAAACCCGCGAGAAAATGGGTCAACAGATAAAGCCCCAGAACTCGGTTTTCTTCTTTTCTCCGCGCGTCCCCACCATCAGGATTTCCAAGACCGTCATCCTTCCATCACCATTACGTCGTGATGGGGAAACGAAGAAAGAAATACCTCCCCGTGTGTCTCACTAGACGGACCGGCTGGTTAGCCACCTGCCTGCCTGTCCCAGCTGCCTTTGCTTGCGAAGGCCATATTCCCGCGAAGAGATTTCTCTCTTCTTGTGGAAAGGCAAAAGGGAATTGTGGCGTGTTTTCATCCTCCTCGTACGTCGCTAAGTCTTTTTTTTCTTGCCCCAGAACTAGAGAAACTATTGCCCCAGGAGTGTGTATCATACCACGACCGTGGTGCGTGGGGCTACTTGCGTCTTTTCTCTACCTTCCTTCCTTTCCTCCCTTTCCTTCCATTTTCGGGCAAAAGTAGATCACAAGTAGAGATACATGGTGCTTTTATCACGGTGGTCGGTGAACGGTAAGAAATGGGGACGAATGAAGAAGAAAATTAGGCATGTTGGTTTAGTTCGTGTCACTTTGTATATACACACGCGCAACACACACCTTGCCTTGTTTCCCACGTCTGACAGTTTTCTGTTCTGGTTCTGGGCGAACCAGAGTTTGCTGTCTACGCGGAATTTACGCAGATTTCAGTGTTGAGATTACTCGTTTCTTCCGCAGCCTCGACATAACTCTTTGGATTCTGGAGACGGTCGCTTCCAATTTGTGAAGGGTTGTTACAATGGGACTGAGATTAGACACAATGGATGCAGTAAGTCGAGGGTATTAACATCGAACCAGGTGCAGGATTGTTCTCAAAAGAAGAAGAACATCTCTTGACTTTCAGTACAGTGCCGCCGTATTACATACATAGTCTAGCAATGTCATGGAAGTCGTTGCAACGCGGCCAAGCCCAGGATTCCTATTCTCACCTCACACCGTGCATGTTCATTTATTTATTACTTATCTCCGTTCAGGAGGTACTTCCACAGTGTGAAATATATTAAACCAGTGAAATGGCAGAAGCCCATGACCATACACACACTAGGAGAATCTCACTTACGCCAGGCATAGTCCCCCGACGACAAGATCACAGCACGTAACAGTCCAGAGCAGCCACGGACAAGAATATGAAGAGAACAATAACAATAGATAAGATAGGGAAACAGGCGGGGGTGTGAGAGCAGAGAACTAGAAAGACAAAGAGGCAGAGGCAAAGAGAAAACATAGCCCGCTAGGTCCGGATATCAGACGCTTTCCAAGGAAGACACCTACCCACCCATCCATCTCAAGGGGTAATTAGATCCCCCAGCCCCTCACCCGAGCACGAAAATCACCAAGATCACGATCATGCCATCATATAACAACATACCTACCTACTACTCTGAGTTACCCTCAAACCGAAGCCGTCCAATATCAAGTCAACCCAGTCGACTCACGCCTGTCCCGTAGATAGACATACCCCATACAACATACTTTATAAGCAATCACGACGACACAGCACACATCCCTCAAACATAGGATAGTAATTAGTATTCGCAAAATTCATTTCATATTCACAACTAGCAAGAGGCAAGCAAGAAAAAAAACAAAATTGTCTTCCTAGGATCTCTTATTCCCAGGCAAACCCTTCCCATACCTACAAAACCACCCACGCCGTTCTATACAAAAACCCCTTCTTCTTCTCCGTGTTCCCTCTGCAACTGCTTAGAGACCTCCATATCGTAGAAATGACTTTCTTTTAATAATGATATAAAAATAATCGATTACATTGGCGCCTTCCACCTCATATTGATTTGCTTTTTCCGGACCTGCAGAAGACAAAACTCGTTAGCCAAACAAATCTCTCTCAACATATCAATGTCTAGATGTTAGGTTAGGTCACTTACCATTGGCCCCAAGACGGTGACGCCGGCCGTGATGGCGAGGACGGTTCCGATCAGCGAGCCCTTGTTGAAGCCGTTGCCAAGAATGTCAAAGAGGAAGCTGGGCGCGACGCGCGTGCCAAACACATCTAGCCCGTAGGCTAGCACCAGGCTGGTGCTCTCGACGGTGGCGGGCGACGTGATGATGTTCTGGACGCCCAGCACGTCGCGCTCGTGCGAGATGACGATTTTGGGGTCGAACTCGATGACGGGTGTGTACCTGATCAGGCCCTCCTCGGCCTCGGCGGGGGTGGGATCGCGGCCGACGGGCCGGCGGGGCTCGAGGATCATGCGAGGGATGCCGATGATGCCGTGTGTCTCGGGCAGGTAGGCCAGGACCTGGCGCGAGCTGATTCCCTGCCTGGTCTGCGTGACCTGCAGCGCCGAGATGGGGCCGCCGAGGATGAACGACTGGGAGACGGCAGACGGGAGAACAACGCCAGTGGGTGTGTCGATAGGCCCCAGCGACGACGAGTAGGCCGCGTCGCCCAGCGGGCCGCGGTCGTTCGCCTCGTCGCTCTCGTAGAGATCAGACACCACAACCTGATACCCCTTGTAGGACTGCGCCGAGCCGTCCTTGAAGGTGTATTGGCCGAAGAAGGAACACACCAGCCAGTTCTCGGCCAAGGCGCACTCAATGTGCTTCCCGGTGTCGACTCCCTCGTGCTTTGATGAGAACAGGATCTGGCCCGAAACAGTGTCGAGTAGATACACAGTCAGGGTCGAGGCGCTGTCATCCGCCGCAGCGACCACAACAGTGTTGGGGTTGAGGTACTTATAACGAACGGTGCGGTCGCCCAAAACGCGGCCAATCGAGGCAACAACATCGTGAGATGGACGTGTCGCGACGCTAACAGCGCGCTTGCCACTGGGCAGCGAGAACTCCCAGGCAGTAGACCCATACGCGCTTGTTCCGTTGGCCACAAACACAACACCCTTTATCTCCCCCCCAAGACCCCGCGTGACGATAGTCTGCTTGGGGGTCTCGTTAGATGGAAGATCTCGGACGGTGCCGTCTAATCCCACTGTGATAAGCCGTGGGCCTGAAGACGTCTCGACGAGAGCCGCGCTCTGCGCAGCGAGCTCGGGGCCAGGTGGTTTTGAATCGATGATCTCGCCAGTCTCAGTTTTCAGGACCACGTGGTCGCTGTTTGAGCCGAGAACGACAATGCGGCCGGCATCTTCTTGGACTTGGATTCCTGTAACGTTCCATTTCGCGCCCTTGGAAATCTCAAAGGCCCTCTCACTCCAGATAATTCTGCCGCTGTTGCCAATATCAAGCCCATACAGCATCCCGCGCCTCGTGGCGAGGATTGCAAGCTTGTGAAAGCCGAAGCTGTCCCGAGCTAGCTTGCCGTCGGCCGAGGGGACGTCAGTGCCAAGGACACTGCTTATGAGCCGCGTGGGGATGCTGTTGAGGTAGGCAAGGAGATACTCCAGGTCGGCGATGTGGCGCTTGACTCGATGGATGTAAGCCGCTAGGGGGTTGCTGTGCGCCTCCTGCTCGAGGGACTTGGCGAGCTCCTCATTTTCAGGGATCTCTGTAAATGTTGCAGCCACGGCCCCCGTCATTCCTTCAGGACGGGTCCAGGCTAGAGCGCCATTGCGAATCAAGACCCAATCATCATTGGTTGTAATGGTTGCCGACCTAATCGCAAAACCGCCTTCAGTGCCAGCCTTCTTGACGACCTCGGAGACAGCATGAACGGCACTGGCCTTGGAGTCTTTGGTCTCCAGAGTCCAGCGTCTAAGGACGCCGTGCGAGGCTGACGAGAACAGGATGAGCTCGCGCCCTGTGACGCGCGTAAAGTAGACATTCGCGCCGCTCGAGCTCGTCGAGAACGCGCCGGGCCCGGGCAACAGGGGGAGCTCGTATGCCTTGGTTATGACGTTGGTCTTGAGATCAACATGGTAGACAGCGGCGCGATTCCCAGTGGCAGTCTTGCTGTGGACCAAAAAGTGGGGCTGAGACTGGACCAGATGGGGCGCGTGAATCTCGACAGACACGGTGCCGTCAGCCAGGGCAAAGTCCTGGCGGTTCTTAGTCCCCAGGACGTTGACGTGCAACTGGCGGTGCGAGGCGTCGGTCCAGGCGACGATGGGGGCTGCCGAGTTGGCGCCGACAAACATGACATCGTCCTTGCTATGGACATCGCCCTTGGTGCCGATGACGAGCTCGTCCAAGCGCTTGCCCGTTAGGGTATCGAGAACGGTGACCTTGAGGTTGTACGCGTCCGGGGTGCCCCGCAAGCTGATGACAAACACCTTGCCTACGTTGTTGCTAACCTGCAGGGGGATGTCCTTGGAGGTCTCTCCAAACTCCCACACGACGCTGCCGTCGTTTGCGTTGAGCCTCCGCAGCACGGTGGACCTGCCGTCCTCGTCGAACAGGGCCAGGACGTCCTTGCGCTCGTTCTCGGTCATCTCCATGACCTCCAAGTCCTTGACCTCGCCGCCAAAGTCGGTCCAGAACCTGTTCCTCCCGGTGATGGCGTCCCAGGCGTGGACCGACTGGCCGAGCGCACTGGCGACCCAGCCCTCGCCCTCGCCGGCGCGCGCAAAGCCGCCGCCCTCGGTAATGGTGCCATTGAGCAGCTGCCGCCACAGTACGGCGCCACTGCTGGGATTGACGGCGCCGAGGACGCCGACATCACTGAGGGTATAGAGGAGGCTGGCCTTTTCGTCGCGTCGGGGCCTGTGGAAGAAGGTGGTCTCTTGTTGGGGGACGCCGAGGAGCTCGTAGTGGTAGTCTATGTGGCCGACCTCATCTTTGAAGACGGCGCGCACAGCCGACGGCAGCGCAAGGAGGAGCAGGGCCGACAGCTGTGGTGGGAGCATTGTGAGAGAGCTTTGGGCTTGCGAGCGCAAACCAGAGGCGACTCTGTGCTGTTCTGGCGTACAATCAGTCGAGTCTCGAGGTGGGCGGCTTACGACAATGTGACGTCCATTCCCGAGCTCTGCGATGGGTCGACGCGAGGCAATCGAGCTCTGTCGCAATCTGCTAGCTGTTCGTGCGGCGTCTAAGCTCGGATGCGCTCTTGTCTGCAGCCCACAAAAATGGTACTCGCGAAGCTTTGCTGTGAGCCGGAAATTGGAGGTGATGCTGAAACAAGCCCGCCTGCTCGCTGCGCTGCTGGAGCTGGCACTGGCATTTGGATTTGGGGGTTGTGCTAGCCCATGCTCGTCATCCGTCTCTTGGCACCACACCACTCCACATCAAATAATGTCAATTGGGTGGAAGGTGACTAACTTTCTACACCAATGCTCTTCAGCACCAAAGGATAGGTAGCATCTATGCCGGTTTACTATTTGTGTAGTGATACAACAGGTATGGTATCTAGATGTAACATATAAACAAAATTCTTTTTCCTTCCATTGCCGATAGAGACAGTCTGGCCTCCACCAAGAAATAGGCCATGATTGTAATGCACGAATACTCTAGCTTTTGTAAACTCACAGTCAACGAGCGGAAGCCAAAAAGCAAGCAACTGACACAGAAAAACCCAACCAGTACAGTTTCCGTCTTTTATTGCCTTTTGTAAGCAACGCCATGCATGAAGCTGTGCAGTAAAACGTATGTACCAGGTTGAAAGCCAAGCAGCAACGCAGCAATCGCAATGTAGGTACTTCGTACTCATAGTACATAACGCGACAAAGTCGGGACAACTCAAAGCTCTCTCTCTCTCTCTCTCTCCCCATCAACGATAATAACAAGAATAACACAAGTTTATCGCGCCGCCTTGATTCCTTCCTTCACCTTCTCATATGCACAAAAGAAAGAATCCAAGGCCTATATAATTCGCCAAACAAGAAAGAGTTCCCTCCCGGTTTCGCTTGTAACTGTATTGTGTGGATAATTATATTTTGCTCCCTTTCATCCCGCCTGTGGCTTTTTTTTTTTTTTTTTTTTTTTACAAAAAGGATCCAACTAAATCTCCTTCCACACAAACGCGCGCATGTGCGCACCCAAACCGAAAAAGAAAAAAGAAAAAACCAAGAAAAAATAAGGCAAACGAAAGAAGTCATAATCCATAAGATCATACCTCCTCATCACTATCCTCTCCAAGCAGTTCGCCCTCGTCCTCGTCCACAATGTCGTAGTCCCCTTGGCCCCTAGCGAAGCTATCCCGCGTGGTAAACGTGCGGGTGCCGCCGCCTCCACCGAGGCGCGACCAGGTGCCGCGACCGGGCTTGGCCAAGCCGGCCTTCTCGGCGCCGGCGTGAAGTGCGCGCCAGACGCTGGCGGCGACAATCGGCAGGGCGGCGATAACGGCAACGACGGCGCTGATGGCGATGACGGGGTAGCGGACCCAAGGCTTGTCAGAGTCGAAGGCAGCCGCGCCGTGCTCGCCGAGACGAATCTGGCCAAAATTGCCGCTCCAGTTGCGCCAAACATACCAGCCGGCCGCCGCCGCGATACCGACGGGGATGATAACGGCCAGGAAAATCACCAGGCCCGACGTCGCGTGCTTGCGCTCGAACTCGTCTTCGTGGTTCTTGCACGCGTGTGACGGTGACCACGTGTCCAAAGCCTTGTCGCCCGCCGTGCAAGTCGTCAGCGGGATCCTCCGGAAGCCCGTCGGCTCGTGATACTCGATCTCGTCCGGGTGCTCGCTGCACCAGATCTGGGGGTCTTGGGGCGTGAGTCCATCGACAAGTTTGCATTGACCAGAGGGGTGGAGTTCATAGTTGTAGTCGCTGTAAGCCCATGGTTGTCAGATCAGGAATTTATTCTCAAGATATCATAAAAGCGGATGACGCAATGATAAGCGGAGATAAAACAGGGTTAACCAACCATTCATAGTCCTCTCTGACGCACTTGCAGGTCTCGTTGGCATAGAGCTGCTGCAACGTGAAGTCGTTGAAGCACTTCCTCCCGGGCTTCTTGCGGAGATAGATGGATTTGTGACCAAACAAGCACCCATTCTTTGTGTTGGGGTGCTCAGGCCACCAGAGGTTATAGTCAGACTTGCCGTCGTCGTCTTGGTCATGCTTGCAGACTCGGTCGGTAAAGCCTTCAAAGTTCAGATTCAGAGCAACAAGCTTGTCGCCTTCACTGCCCCATAGGAGGAAGTTGCGCGAGTTGCCAGTCCGCAGAGTCGTGACGTCGTGGGTCGCGATCTTTTTATCCGTAAATTTATGTGGTTGCCAAGTAGCACCCTGGTCCAACGAAAAGTAGACCGTGTCAATCGGCTTGTTAGCCGCTGCTAGGACAATGACGGAGCCGTGGTCGCCCAAAGCCCAGAGCCACCGTCCTTTCTTCACTCGCTTCCACGATATGCCGGCGTCCACGGTCAGGAAGGTGTCCATGTCTTTGCTGGAGCCCAAAAAATCGCCAACGGTTCCCCATGCAAACATGATCCCCACAGCACCCTCGGATGAGAAGGCTTGGCTGCGAGACGTGCGATCTGAATACCCGTGGAGGTGCAGTGCACATTTCTCGTCACCCTCGTTAGACTCGCACGAGAAGCTGCCAAACTCGTCGTCCTTGGGAGGAGGCAGAAACGACCACTGGGATCCATCATTGTGTGTGATCTTGGTTTGCAGCTTCTTGGAGGCGCTCTTCTCGTCCGGGTTTACCACCACGTTCACCACCGAAACGCCTTCCAGCCCTTGCATCTTTTCAAAATCGACATAGTAATAGTCGTTGCAGTTGACATTCTTTATGCTCAGCACATATGACGTTCCGTTGGAATTGCTCTTGAGGATGGTACCAAGCCTGCGACCTTCGGCGGTCTCGGTTGCGACGAACAGATTGACAGCGTGGGTTGAGCTATCCAGGACCGTATATGCGTGTTGGTGGGGCACGTCAAATCCCAGGGGGAAACGGGCCTCTGCAAAGTCTTTTCCGTTCAGACTGGCGAGGGCCTGCATCGTACCCTTGCCCGGCTCCTCTCTGGCCACGACGATGAATTCGGCCGTCGTCGCAAAATCCTTGATGTTCGTGGCAACCGTTTCTTCTTCCTCTCTCCAGGTGCTGGTCACGAGAATCCACGGGTTGTCCTTGGCTTTCACCACTTCCTTCTCGAGTTTCTGGCAGATGATCTGCTTGGGGTCGCGGCCCTTGTATCGGTAGGAACTTGACCCTGTGAATTCGCAGCGTCTGACATACTCAGCAACCAGCTTCCATTCGTGTCCACGATCGTCGGAGATATATGCAGCTCGATAACATTCATCTTTGTCGCACTCTTTTCCCATCCATATCAACCAATCTTTGTGGTCTGGGTGAAAAGAAAGTTGAGGTTGACGCGACTGGTCGTCTGGCACAACTGGCACATTGAACTCGTGAAAGGTGGCTCCTCCGTTGGCGGTATAAAGGGATTTCTTCGTCTTTGTCAAGAAAAACACCATGTCCTTGTAGTATGGATGAGGCACAATTCTCCAGATGTTTTCGCCGTCGAGTGATTTGGGCTTTTCCCATGATTTGCCATGGTCTTGGGAAACATAAACCGGTCCCGGTTTAGTCTCGCTCCTTGGCCGCATAATCACAGTCTCTTTCTTATTCTGGCTAGTTTCGCCTTGATCGATGTAGTGCTTCTCGAAGAAAATCCATCCCTCGAACTTTTCTTCGTGCTGTGTAACTTTATCGGTAGCCGGAGGGGTAGACGGCGCACCGATCGCGTCGGAGCACTTCCTCTCCACCTCCTTGAATTTCTCGTCCGTATCCTTTGTGGGATTGCACGTGTTCCCGGGTATCTTCCGGTATCCCGAGGTGCCCTTAAAGGTGGCGTCCGGTTTGTCTGAGGGGCAAGCTCCGTCTGGGGCGACTATGGGACCCCTGGGGGTGCATTTCCCGTCTTCGTCCCTCACAAAGTTGTAGTCACATTCATAGTCCAGTTCAGTGCAGTCGCAGTTCTTCATCTCCATAAAGGCGTGTTTGAACTCTTGCTTTAGGAAGCACTCGGCCTTCTTCTTGCGCCGACGGAAGCTTTGTGTATGGCCCATGAGACAGGTCGGTTTCCCATCATCATCAACCCTCGCATGCCACTCTTCCAAGTCATCCTCCTTGCAGGTAGCCTCGTGGAGACCATCAAAGTCGATGGAGATAACCTGCCAACGCGAGTCAGGGGACTCGCCAATGAGTAGGAACTTGAGGCTGGACGAGTCTTGGGTGGTTGTGAGAATGTATGGAAGAATCTTCATGTCATTCGGCAAAGGCTCGTGCTCCCAGATGACGCCATGGTCGAGGGAGTAGCTAATTTCGCCGACAGTGGCAGTTTCCTCCGAGTCCTGCACAGCAACTAAAATAGACCCTTGATCGCCGAACTCATATTTGTGCGGCTTGTCCCTGGCTTCGATCCAGGTCTTGCCGGCATCGTCGGAAACGTAGAGCCTGCCATCTTTCCAGTAGTCTTTCAGATATTCACCCGTGTTTCCGACGCCCATGACCAAGCCAGGTGCCGGGCTGGAGAAGACGCGGCCCACGTTTTCAAGTTCCGTGTACGAGTGGAGATGGATTCGTTTGCCCTTGTCGTCTTTGACAGACTCAAAGGTCCTGCCATCATCAAACGTTATCTCGGAGATGACCTTTTTCCCAAGGCTCGCCTGTTTCTCGACATTTTTCCAATTGTCAACCTTGTTGACCATGAAGATGCCCTGGATGTCGGCTATCTTCTCAAAGTCGACATTACCCATGTGGTTGCGGTTGGTGTGCTCGACGTTTTCGGTGAAGAAAGTTCCGTTTGAATTACTGGTAAAGATAACGCCCATCGAGTTTGGCGGGGGAGTGGTCATGACATCGATCTGCAGGCTGTAGTTGGTGCTCTCGAGCACCGTGTATGCCTCCTGGAGAAGCCTGTGATCGTGGCTATCGTAAGGGGCAGGGAACATGGCGCGGTGCCATTTCTTGGTGTCGTCCGAGACGAAGAGGGCCATTTCGTCCGTGTTCTTTGATGCCGTGGCCACCAGCAGGTACTTTTTGATGGCGGCGACGTTGACGATGCCGCGAACCGCTTTGTCCATGTCCAGGTTAGGCTCGAACTCTTGAGTTTCTTTGGTGCGGCTGTCGCTCTTGAAGAAGTCGTCGGACACGACTAGTCGTTGGTCTGTGTAGTGGGCAAATGGATCACGCGCGATGCACAGGATGCGGTCGCGGTCGAGGTCGGCATCGCCCGTAGAGAACAGGTCCGACGACTTAGCCCACCAACAGCCCGAGGTATCCGGGCGCAGGGGCTTGGCTGTCGTCTTGAAGTCATCTGTGGTGTAGGATGAGGCATCGAAGCAGTCGAAGCCGTTGCAGATCTCGCCGTTGAAGATGATACGATCGGGGTCGGAAGCATGGAACTGCAGGAGGTCGGCAGAGGGCCACAGCGGAAAGTACGCCAATGAATTGAACTTTGTCCATGTTTTGCCACGGTCGTGGGTGCGCCAGTGCACGTTGCCATCGGTGATAATGTAAGCGCGGGCCGGGTCGTATGGGTGTGTGTAGAGCTTCCGGGCCTCGCCGTCGGGGACAGCATCGACGCGCTTCCAGGTCCCGCCGGCATTTATCGATATATAGATGTTCTTGGCCCTGGAATCGCGGAACAGCACGACATTGGAGCCGGGCAGATAGTTGAGGTTCCGTGGCTGGCTGTCGAAGGCCCTCACCTCGAACGTGGGACGGTCTTTCTTGGCCGCGAGGGGCGTCGCGACAAGGGCAATGGCAAGCAAGGCCGCCGCCTGGATAGCACCCCTTAACCTCATGGTTGGCGGGACGGCAACCTAGCCGTCATTAAGAAGCGTTCGTGAGAGATTGGAGAAGGGTGTTCGGGACGAGGTCGTGTCGAAGCAGGCCTCCTGGTGGGTGTGTTGTTTCGGCTGGTACGACGGTTGTCGATGCTCGTTAATGCGCAAGGCTAAGGCAAGCTGCAACGTTTGTCGTTGGCGCCTCTTTTCTTGGTGTATTCGTACCGTAATGATCTTCTCAACTGTAGGGATGTTCGATGGGGTCCAAGAAAGCGTGAATCGAAGTCGGAAACAGGAAAATGGCACGTCAATCGATGATGGCTGACTTGACTTGCAAGATAGATAATAAGATAATAAGCCGTAAGTTGTCTTCTTCGTCTCCTTGAATCGGCGCTGCGCAATGCTGACGCACCAGCCCGCCAATAGGCAGCAGGCTGGCTACTACCTATCTGCTGCACTCAAGAGGTGGCTGAGCCTTGCCGGGCTGTAATGCGCCACATCTCCCTTCCAGTGTCCGTCGGAACCCCTAAACAAGTATCCAAAAGAACTTGAAGCGTGCCTGAAAGGAGCGTATTATAAACCTTTACTAAGAGATATAGTACCTATCTACAGGATACTGTAGGCGAGCAATTAGATCAACGCCACAGAAACAGCACCTTTTTAAGGATGCTAACCGGGCAAACTTTACGTCCCGCTACCTACGCCGTAGCAGCGCGCCCAGAACTAAGATGGAAACACCGCTGCACTGATGATGTTTTTATGGGCTGTACACATACGTAGTAAGAGGCTACTGTCTGATTCCGTCGTCTTGTTAAATGAATACGCATTTCGAGAATCAAACTCTGACACAATTGCCCCGGCTAAACAACCGCTCGGCAAAGGTTCTCTTCTCGAAGGCCAGATATGCAGCGATCAGGGCAGAGTACATACATACCTCAAAAACAGAACCTTACGAAACAGTGAATAGGGACCTGGGGATTACCAGCCGGCTTGCGATCATTGTCACACACAGAAAGGGAAATGAAGATATGTATATATAAAAAAGTGAAATCCCCTCCAGAGTTGATAACCAACAAAAAGATGCAGACGAGACTGTGCCGCCAGCTCAAAGTCCTTCCTCGGACTGGGCCGCCGAAGCTTTGGAGCGAGCAACCTAATGCGAAGTCAAAAGCGGCCACCCTCGCACCCTACTGGGTCCGAGCCGCTTGAAGGGCGGATAAAGCACCAGTACCCCCCTCTCCCCAAGCAAAATAGCAGCTATGCACATTCAACATTAAAATACGATTCAAATTTCATCTCTCCTACTGCCACAGGAATTGAGAGATTCTGACGAGACAGCGGGCACTCCAAAAACGTCACTTCAAAAAGCCCTTCGAGCGCATCCTTTCTCCAGCTTACGCTTTACGCATCGCTAAAGACAATGATGGCTGTCTTGCCCGACTGGAGACCGACCTATTGCGTCTGTTAGCCACTGCATCTGTTACCAAAATCGAAGGTCTAACATACCGTGCAACCATCAGGCATGACCCCATTCTCGCCATAGTACTGCCCGCCCTTCAAAGCGCACTTGCCCGAAATATCACCAGTTATCTCAATGTTGAAGTCGAGAAGGGCCGTGGTAGTCGGCTTGTTCGGGAATAGCGAGATAAATGTGATCCCTTCGGCATTTTGGCCGACACCAATATTGGTGGGCGCCCAATTTCCAGCACTTGTGGGGAACTGCGAGCTTGTCCATGTGCAGGCTTGCTCAACCGCGACGTTCAGGTTGTTGACATAGTACTGAGCTGTTGTGTACTTGCCGTCCCATTGATAGTACGTCAACGAATTAGGGTTCGTAAGGGGATACTTTCCACCGGGCTGAGTGACGAGGGGAATCGCCATTCCCTCGTTGCCAGGGTAGTCGGTGCGGCAAACACACGAAACACCAGACAACTTATTTTGGACATATACGCCGCCAGCGCCCGGCTCGCAAATCTTCGGGTGTTCGGGCCTGGTCAACTCCAGCTTCCCCTTTTCGTTGCACCAAACACCACCGACGGACTGGCCAGTAACGCCTTGCGAGGTCTCGGGCCATTGCGACTTCTGGTAGCCCGGGGGGCATGCGTACGAGCACAGCGTCTTCTCCCCGCATCCGCCCGAGGTGGGCGAATGGATGTTGTTCACCTTGACGCCAGGGATCAGGTCGCCAAACTGGGCAAGTGTTGTCCACCCGTCTGTTCCTTCCCAGTCGACCGGGATGGCACCATACGCGGCTACAGACTCGAAATCACAGCTAAGTTCGCCGCTCGGGAAATCCACATCAATGCCGGCGGGGGGAGCAGCGGGGCTCGGGGTTGCAGCAGCTGATGATGATGAGGTGGTTGGTGGTGTCGGCGGTGCAGACGACGTGGTGGGCTCAGCGCTCGTCGAGGAGCTGGTCTTTTGCTCGAAGAACTGAGCTCCCTTGGCGGTGCTGGCCGACACAGTCGACACGGCCGGGGGGGGAGCACTGAAAGAAGGCGTCGACGTGCCCATGACAAGATAGAAGCCATCCTCGATGCCCTTCTTCGCCTCCTCAGCATCGACCTCTTGTCCCTCCAGGACGTACTTGGTTTCCACAGCCGGCACAACTTCTGTCACTACTACAGTTCCATCACGTTTCTCAACGCCCGAAACGCCATGCTTGACATGACGATGACGGTGGCCGTGACCGTGCGCTTGAGCGACGGTAGCAACGGCAACGACTGCCGCCACAGCTGTACGGACAATTCCCTTCATTTTTCTTGACAGCAGCGTACACTCGAGTTGATTCTATGCGGGATGCGGACGGCCTCGAGACGATGGGGAGTAATACAGTTGCGTATGGTATCGACGACGATGATCGTTAACTAGTTAGCAGATATCTGTCAGTCTCTACGCACGGTAAATCGACAAGAGTAAATCCCGCACGGGAGCTAGCGAAGCCTCGGGGCGAAAGCTTCAATCTCAAAAAGGTGCACGCAGTCAAGCAAGCAGCTCTCTACATGCCAAGGCGGTGCAGAGGTTCGAGTGGGAACTGACCTCTTGATGGATGAAAATAGGTGGGTTCCAGGACTGATCGCTTTCGGGTCTGGTGAGTGTGGTCGGTCGAGATAAGGACTGTTGTTCGCCGTGTTCTGTTCCAAAGGAATGTGGTAGAGAGCCAGCGACTCTCTGTTGGATGGAAATGCCGTTGCAAAGGAGTGAGCCGGCAAGAGATGGAAAACGAGCGGTCAACAGTTCAAAATGATTGATGAACTGAAGGTGTCGCAAGTCTCCCAGAGGTTGAGAGGTTTGCGTTGACGAACGAGTGTCGGGCCAGAGGCAGCGGCGGCGCGACAAAACAAATCCGGAGGAAAGTAATCGAAATGAGCCCCAGCCCAAGCGGTGCTAGCCCACAGCCAGCCCAAGGGGCCGTGGAGTCTGGGCCAAGGTGGGATCCCCTTTCTTGGCGAGATTACACTCAGCGCGGGAAGGGGTTAAAAACCTGCAAATTGTGGGAAGGCGCCACTGCTCCTGCAGGTACCGCTGTCGCTCGTCCATCGCTGACAGGGGTGAGCACGCCACGGTACTGAAGCGCGTCCCCTTTGAGAAAGGAAACGACTCGTCTCGTCACAATCGTGCGCACTCACCTATCGCCACATTACTGAACGCACATCGACTGTCTCACACTTGAGAGTGTTTGAGTTGCGATGGTAATTAAGCGACTCAGTGAGCTCTTGACACCGAAGTTCCGGTATTGAGGAGTCCTATGGCAAAACCTTAGCAACAAGACTCACGATACGAATGATCCACGGGCTGGACTCTTCAGCGTCCTGGGCGCCCAGCGCCTAGGCTTGGCTGCCAATCTGCTGCTGGCAAGTTTCATCGGTTGCCTGTATCCCACGGAGCACGAATACATGCGCCACCCAAATTGCGTAGCAAGTGAGCTCTGGCACTGTGATCGTCTGTCACCAACTACAATGAATGCTCAGTTGGAAATGACGACGAAATTGAAGACATTGGACAAGCTACAACAATTCTACCAGTACTTCATAAGGGCTTGGCACTCCTCTTGCTTCCCCAGACTCAGAGTCCTGTGTAGTCCTGTGTAGTCCTGGGTACCATTGGATTGGACCGTGGTGGTTGCAATGGTTCGCTCGACAGCGCTTGGGGATATTCCCGTAATTACACCCCGCTCCGTGACGAAGAGAAAGTGCGCGTACAAAAGATTCTTGCCTCTTTCCATCCTGCAATCTGAGGTCGGTACCTGACTAAACCGTTTGTAGACTAGCCCACTGCGAGACAGTTTCTGTTTCTCGAGCTTTGATCGCTGCTTGGTATTTGCGAGCCTATCTATGTATCTCGCACGCGCCCCCTTTGGATTTGGTAGTGTTCTTCCTGTGGCGAAGCAGAAATCCTCGAGCCGAAGGCGTCGAGCGCACAGAAGGTTTTAACGTTAAAACAACTCTTGGGTCCGGCCCTTTTTTTGCCCGAGTAGCTAGCCATCTGGCGAACGTTGAACGGTAAACGGACAGCGGCGTGACGTTCTGGCGGCGCAGGAGCGTTGGGAACATGGAGCTTACTATGACGACGCGCTCAGCGGTGTCTCCAATTGATGGCGTGGCCCCCTCCGACAAGTCACTGCTAGCTCAAGGATCATCTCCGGCACATGGGTTTGTTCCTGCGTGATGCATGCGTAAACATTTCTCTTGACTTCGGTCGTGGCCCGCCCGTCTGTCGATCTGCTCTCACTACCCACTTCCTCTCCGCCTTCGCTTGGAATGCTTCTGTGCAGATGCTGAGACTCTGGAAAACGAAACAACAGCATTCTGCCTGAAGTGTGCGACGGGAGATTTGCAACACGCCGCCATGGCACCAGACCAATGAGCTGTAGAGCTCGGCGAAGCGCTGGCCCTATGGTGTGGCTCAGATCTTGGATAGATGATGGCCAATTGATCCAAGATGAGGCCGAATATCACGCCTGTTTTTTTCAGCGTTCTGCTTAAGTTCCATCCCTATATATTCCCTCCATAAAACACAAGACACGGTATTACTACAGTGTTTGGATAGGTGCTGCTTGGGCAGGCCTTGTCAAGACGTCTGAACGCAAGATATCTCGCCGGTAATTGTTATTCGCCTAGCTACCGTGCCTTACCTGCTAGCGGTGTTTATTATCTATTTGGCAGTGAGAAGATACCATACCTAGGAGGATACCATGGTTACAGGGTAGGTACACGCCTGCTTGCTATCGATCAACATCCATCTCGGCCTGTATTCCTGGAAGCACCACCAGCACTTAGGACAGTGACGAAAAGAGTCGGTCTCCTAATTACCTTGCCTACCTTGAGACCATATCATGTTTCGTTACCAGCACAGAGCCTCCGCTCAGCAGTAATAGCTCAAACCACTAGCAAATGTCCGCAGCATGGGACTAGTCGAGGTTGGGCCTTAAGGGAACATATGCCACTTTGTCGGCGACACCGCTTACGGTGTCTAGACATGGCAACAACCCTCCTATTTCTTGACTCAAGCGGCTAAGGTACCTTGGGTATGCTGTATGCCCCACAGCCTTGACCGAAAGCCCTGGAACAAAGGAATAAGAACTAATTCGCTGGCTTCGTGTAGCAATACCATTGAGTTCTTGTGTAGACCTGTTCTCCACGCGTCACGGCAAGTAAGACTCGCCCAACAGATCTGCAGGGGCCCGCGCAGGACAATATATGGCCTTCGCCGCTTTTTTCCTGACGTAGGATGGCAGGCTACGGCAAGCGGTGCCGTGTTGGCTCGATAGTCGTACGTAGCTCGGCCTGCTTGAAAGCCGTCCTTGTGTGGCAAACTCCATGCTCGGCAGGCCTGCTCTCAGCCAGTACTGTGCGTTGTGTCCTCCACTGCCGGCCGACGGCAGCTGGCCATGTTCGTCGAGTTCTCGCCAAGTGCAGCGCTGCCCGAGTGCCACATGGCTCGGTCCGACGTGGTGCAAAGCCTCGCGCCTGTGCAGGCTGAGGAATATCGCCAAGCGATTGGTGTTGGGTACGGAGAAAACTCTGTTGTGCCATGCGGGTCCGATCGACAGATTTTCGGTGGATCGACATCTATAGTTCGATACTGTACAACACCGTCGGCTTCTAGGAATGCCTTGTCGGCGTCCTTCAGGGTTCAGGCTGGGAAGGGTCACGCATCGAAGAAAATAGTTATAGCTTGAGAATTGCATAATTCAGCAACTGCCTCAGGCCCCAGCTGGGTTTGAACCTCAGCGGACCGCGCAATTCCTCGGCCACTCTAGAACGCTCAGTAACTCGAGCGGGTTTAGAAGGACGATAGTTTAAGTAACACAATACAGTGTGACTAGGGGCGGCTGTGGTATTAAGAGAGGCCCCAGCATGTCTTTTGCTCGATGCTGTTTACTTGGACGAGCCCCAAAGCAAGCTGTTTCTGACAAAAGTTGCCCCTGAACACAAATCCCCAGTATTTACCTCCCAGGAGCGTCACATACCATGACCCTCAGAGCCAACCACAGATTAGATCCTAACATGACTGTGTGTTGCTGCATGATACTTCTAGTCATCCAGCTACCTTTTCCACTTGTTCCATAGACCTCGCCTTGCTGTAACAGTCGCTTCTTGCCTTGCTCTCGAGTTACGTTTTGTAAGCCATAATAATCGACTTCTAGTTTGTCGATGGTGAATTTTGAGACTACAGTATAGCTAGAGAAGATAAGTCCAAGTTACCGGAACCATTGGTACTCGATCTGGCCCTGGACATGGCCTTAAATCTGCGCCAACTTCGTCTTTCTCTGTTTGCCATTGTGGTCCTGCGTGTATCTGGACAATGGAAACACAGTTGAGCAAACCGACTCTGTCGTTGCTGTTCAATTGTTTGACTTTTGTTGCACTGCGGCAAATTCTCATTTGTGTTCACCTTCAGTGTGTGCGTGGTGACGGGTATAGGCCATTTCATTTTTGTGACAAATCTACCTATAGAAGTCACTCCTTGAGCAGACAAAACAAAATATAGCTCAGCATGAAATAAGACATCGCCTGCTTGTGGCAACAACACACCCTCTTGCAGAACTGAAGGCAAACAGACAATCTCGGTATATGACCTGACGGGGTAAGATATCTAACAAGCTCCTGCCGTCTTCTTCAAATCGGTGAAAGGCAGGGCAACTTCGGAAATTCTACGAAGCCATAGAGTACCACCGCCATAGGTAAGTATGCCACCACCATTCCACGGTAAGTTGTTCAATGCCACTGGTATCTCTAACGTCGAAATTAGGGGTTTCAGCTTGACCTCCCCTCTTCCGGGTCCGATTCTATCTGCTGAATCATACCTCAGAGTCAAAGGCTGAGGCCATGATAGTGGATAGAAACAGCTTTACAACTAATACGGAAGAAAAACACACTAACTTTAACTTCTCTCTGTGGCCTCCGTCACTGTGGTATTTTCGACTGATATTAGTTGCTGGAGCTTTTTTCTCCATTACAATGATCCAATTCAACCTTTGGCTTTCGAGAAAGTTGCGTTCGTTACCTACCTACCTATTAGCACCTGTTAGCTTTGGTTATTTTGTCAAATTTTTGGAGTCAAATGCTTCTTGTTGGCCTCTCTTCTAGGTTTAAACATGTCAAGCCTCAACATAATTATTGGTTGTTCTGTAATATTTGGACAAGAGATTGTACAAGACTGTCCTGGTCACAGCACTGCCACGGTTAACCTGGATTAAGCTTGTGTAATAAAAAGAAAACATGATCTTAGGCCATCAGAATCACGAAGCGTCACAAAAGTTTGACCATCAAACAGAGTTATGGGAAGTCATTTTGTTATAGGAAACCCCGTTTTCCAATTCGTGTGTAAAGTGTAACCCTCTAACTTTGGCTATGGTCCAATTGGGAAAGTTACGGGGAACAGGCGACCGGTCCATCACATTTCACGAGCTAAAGAAACCGTTTGCTTGTCTCATGTTCAGATTTGGGAGAGGTACAAACCGTTGGAGCGAATCGGATGGCCCGGTATGTGTGAGTGGAGAGGAGACTCGAGAGGACTGAGCGCCATCATGACAAGTAATGATTTCCACAGGGGTTCCAACGCTCGGATGTGCAGCAGTCCAACGGGCGTGAGCAATACCAGTGGAATAACTAGTAGGAAAACCAGGTCCATGCATTTTCAGTGACGCATGTTATTCCGTAAGCCAGCTGTCCCGGCACATGGGTCTTCGGCGGTCCGTCTCAATGCTTCGGACGACGAAGATCTTCATTATGCGAGGTTTAGCGCATGAGAGAGGCTCTCCAAGCTCAAGCAGGCACTTACGTACCTAAGCTGCTCATGGGCTGAAGGCGTCTTTGGGCTGAAGCGCACCTCTGGCTACCGGTACTCTGAACATCTTATACGTACAGTCCATACTTAGATCGTCATTGGCGCGGTATCTGGAGAGAATAAAGACCACGGCAATGAAATCGGCCAAAAGCCTTCCAGGCATTTCGAGGAGAGAGAGAGGCCTCTGGGGTTTTATACGAGAGGCAGCAAGAGCTACCGCCTCCCGAAAAACCGGTGGGATAAACCGCAAAGAATGAGACATGGGAGGCCTTTCGTATCTTACGAAAGTTCCGTACTGAAAACCTCAAGAGAATGGACTGTTGTAAGGGGTCGTTATTCGTTCTCGACGATCATCAGGGCTCTTGGCATGACGCTGTTCAGTCCTCACCTGTTCCTCTTATTAGCTGCAAGTGTGGTGCGGCTGAAGCAAAGCGCCACTTCCCGAGGTCGTGTTGTGCCGTCGACTGTCGAGGAACGAAGACATCCGTTAAAAACAGACATCCGTTAATAACAGACTTCTTCAGCCTACCATCCCATGGTCTAAAGCTGACGTGGGCGGGCTGAAGAAGGCAAGGTTCCCCGCTAGATTCTGATAGTAGCCAGTGGTTGATAACAGCAGCTAATCCATAAGTGTCCACGAGTACCAAGTACACAGAGTGCCAGAGAGGATGAAGCCGGGCACAGCCACTTTAATAAAGCCGTTTAGGGAATTTCCCCTGGTCGCCCAAGCTCGTCATTGTCCGGGCCGCGCGCTTGCTTCTTCAGCAGGTGGACACGCCTTACACGCCGACCACCAGCATGCCAGATATTTGAGCCTGAACACGGGCTGTTTGGTTCAATTTATGATTTCCTTGAAATATACTACTTACAAGCAAGGCCAGGCAGGAAACGATGCAGAAGAAACAGCGCAGTTTGTCGGCAGATTGAGCAATCCAAGCTGATGGCGCAGGTTGCCATCGCAAGTGTAAGTGTATGAAGTACGTGTATCGAAGAAGGGTCAGAAAATGGTCCGGCGGCGCATTGAATGATTGTGCATCTGCGCCTCACACAATGTATCGTAAGCCAGCTCGAACAGTGATTGCGGAGCGAAGTCGCAGATGCGCGGACCAAGCAAACGAGGCTAACCCGAACAGAGAGCTCTCCTCTGAAATCGAAGAACAAAAAAGCACCCAACCCACGTTCAGCTCATCCTGTACAAGGCGAAGTCCAGCGACATGGCTGCGATGAAATCGGATTGGATGGCGGTTTGATACGCACACGGGCTTGTTTTATTTCCAAGCATTGCTGTCCGAATCAATCGCGTCACAACTTGAACCGAGGGTTAAGTTGCGGCGGAATCTCGAGAGTGGTTGATGATGGAGTGTGCGTGGGTCAAACTAGAGTCAGCCTTTCACAGGCCGAGTGGCTTGGGTCTTTCGCTACTTGGGTGCTGGAGAGGGGCGGATGCAGGACAAGAGAGGCTGGAGGACAGTGGGGACCCGTGAGAGGCCAAAAGTCACCGCCGCTTTTTACTGGCTGTCGGGCTTTGTTCAACCGTCGTCGGCGATCTGGCAGCTGCGAGCCAGCCCACGCACAGCCCATTTCCCTCTTGAACAGCGCGCCCGCCACTAGCAGTGGCAAGGATCCTCCCCCCAGTCACAGCCTCCCCGTCTTCCACACCCTTGCCTGCGTGAGCCTCTTTCTCTCTCTCTTCGAGGCCACACCAGATTTCCAGCCGTGAGAGCAGCTCACCCTCCTGCACGCATGAATACAGGGTCAGCAATTAGACGAAAAACTTATTCTCTTCAGAAAGACAGCTGGCCGCGTTCCCGGATAAACTGCAATAAAATTGCGTAAGGCGCTTTACTTCTTTTTAGAACCTGGTTTCCACTGTTTTTGTTTTCTGCGCCCCGCGGCCTCTGCGTTGGCATACCTACCTATCCGCCCGCCCACCTGGCTGGCCTGCCTGCCTGGTCACTCTCCAAGCTCTCGCCACGATCTCCAGCCACACGCTTTTGACGCCTCCTAACATCAACAGCATCTCCATCCCGCCCGCTGGCGATGCGTCGCGACCGACGGTGAGGTGATCGGGTGCGCGTAATAGACTGTTTTAAGAGAGCAGCAAACGCTCACTGGTGACGGGCCTATGGCCTCGAGAGCTCCTCCGCGCGCGACGCCCGCCGGACTCGCGCTGCCCTCGCAGCCTTCCCACACGGCCTCCGAGACGGCCTCACAGACACAGACATTCGTGGCGCACAAGAAAAGGTCGCGCGAAGAGTCTTCTTTAGCTCTGGACGACGACGCTGCCGCTGGCGGCGATCTGTCGCCTTCAAAGTTCGCCCGCCTCGCCGACTTCACCCGCCAGTCGCACACGCCGGCACCCTTGACCGGCGCAGCCGCTCTCGAGGACATCAGGCGCCGACGCGAGGAAGAACAGCGAGCAGGCCCTCCGGGTGCCAGCGACAACCCATCCCAGCACGCACTGTCCGAGCTGATGTCCAGCGTTGCCGCCATGAGCCGTCCCGAAGACGCCCCCGCGGCAGCGCCTGCCTCCCACATTTCTTCCTCTGTCGAGGCTGCTGCCATTGCCGCCGCCAGAGCCCTCAGCGCCGTTACCATCCCACAAAATAACACTGCTACCTCTGCTGCTGCTGATACACAAGAGGCCAGTCCCGAGAGTGGCACGAGCGGCGCGAGTCTCGCCGAGAGCGGTGGCCAGGTGGTGCACAGCCCTGGGCCCATGGACCTCGATGCCCGCGACGACGGGCGCATGTACGCGCCGCAGCCCGAAGCACAGATGGAGGACAAGGCCGTGTCTTCTTTATCATACCCCGGTATCCTGCCGCCCGGCTCATCAATGCAGGCGCCAGACACCCCCCCGCGCGGAATGAGCCTGCCCATGTCGAGCTCGCAGAACCCAGACCTCACACCTCGGTCGCCTTCATCTATGTCTAAGAAACATAAGTGCCCGTACTGTGACACCGAGTTTACGCGCCATCACAATCTCAAGAGCCACCTGCTCACGCACAGCCACGAGAAGCCCTATGTATGCCAGACTTGTCAGCTGCGATTCCGCCGCCTCCACGACCTCAAGCGCCATAGTAAGCTGCACACGGGCGAGAAACCGCACATTTGTCCTAAATGCGACCGGAAATTTGCCCGTGGCGACGCTCTGGCCAGGCATAGCAAGGGCGCGGGCGGGTGTGCCGGCAGGAGACCGAGCATGGGCAGCTTTGGTGGTGACGACGACTATGACGGCCCCGGTAGCGCCGGCGCCGACGACTCTGCCATGTCAGGCGTTCTTTACGACGGAGGCGCCAGTGGCGACATGAATGAGGAAGAGACGCGACGTTTAAGTATGCCGAGTATCAAAGCCCAACACGTCCCAGGACAAGGCCCCGACGGCTATAACAATCATTCAAATACGTATCCTCCCGCCGGGCAACGACCTGCGGGCGGTTTGTTTCCACCAAACGTCGATCGCGGGTCGGCAAGCACGACGACATCCCCAAGCCTGCCAAACAGCCACACACCCAACACCAGCATCTCTTCAATGCCCCTGAGTGCGGGCAGCTCGTCCATGTTTTCGCAGAGCGGCATGACAGAGAGCCCCAAGCCGCTGAGCCCCTCCGGAGCACCAGTAAGCCACGCCAGCCGCGATGCTGCTGCACTCGCCCGCCATCGTGCGAGCCTATCTCTACCCACGCATGGTATGTCACCAGCCGCCAGGCAGGCCTGGCTCTCCCAATACCCCCCTGCTGACCGAACCCCACCTAAAGGCAACGCAGTCGCTGCGTCGACTGCCGGGAAGCAGCAGCAGCAGCAGCAGCAGCAGCAACAACAACAACAACAACAACAGCAGCAGCAGCAGCAGCAGCAGCAGCAGCAAACGCCTGGCCGTGGCCGCGGTCGTACCTCGAGCGGAGCCACAGCCCAGGGCAGTAACGGTGCCGGTGCTGCTGAGAACGGCGGCAATCTCTTTTCGACCGCCGATGATAACATATGGATATATTTCCAGCAACTAGAAGAAAGAGTCCGGCAACTGGAGTCAATAGTCAGCAGTAAGGCTGCGTTGATGGACAAAATCAGCGTGCACGAACAGCTCATCGCCTCCCTCACGGAACAAGTTACGGCGATGCAACAGCAATCTGCCGGGCCTCGCGACGAGTCTGTGGCTCAGCAGTAGGGATACGGAGACCACGGTACATGAAAGTCGGACGAGGTATGGCTGAAACGATGAGATGATGTTCGACTTACAAAAGCTCACTGCACACAACTATGTCGACATCCTCATCTGTTGAGGGAGGCGCTTCTGGAGCTTGTATCGCCTCATTCACTTTGTCCGGCCTCGTGTGTCCAACGAATACAGAGAAGACAGGGCAAAGAGGCTGGACTGAATTGAGGTATTCAAGCAGAAGGCAAGAGAAACATATTTTTAAAAGAAACACTCTTGTCGGTCCATTCACGCGAAGAACAGAAAGCACAGGGTCTGCTTAGCGCTGGTTTCAGGGCAAACACGGCTTCAAACGTCTGTGTTGTGGAAGTTTAAAATAAAGGGGGGGAGGGATAGAGAGAGAGACAAGGAAATGTGCGGTGGTTTCTGTTTCGCCTCCTTATCCATCTTCCCCCCTTTCTTTCTTTGTCATGGGTAATACCTCGGCGGGGGAGGGGGGGGGGGGGGGGGGCGGGGGGGCTAGGCTGGATTAGGTCGGGTTTCCTTCAATGTCTTATTTCCCGAATTATCTTTGCAGTTTTTTTATCCCTCTCTTTCTGTCTTGGTCGATGGAGGGTATTGTTACATCTATCTTTTTTCCCCTTGTTTGTTTTGCGCGATGTTGATGCCGGTTCCCTTTTCATGTACGCATAGGGGCGAGAGAGAGAAGGCTAGGGATGGACTAGTGTTGCCTCTTCGATGTTGGCAGGCAACGCCGTGCCACCTCCATGGCGCTCTCGGCGGTTTCAACCGCGGGTTTGACAACGACCTAGAAAAAGTGCGAGGACGAGAGTCTTGGTGCATGTGTGTGGTGGGTGGGCGGGTGGCGTGGCGTGGGTGCGGTTGGGAGCGCACCTCTGTTGTCTCTCTTGCAAGACGGGTTGCTGTGTACTATACCATAATATACCAAGCATATTTTTCATCTGATATCAGGTCGGATTAAACTGTCTCGTTGGAGCAAACTAGACAGGCTTCGGGGTGTTTTTCTTAACTACCTATCGTTTGCAATTCGGGCAAGGGCACTGCGCCTGGGACAAGGGACAAGAGAGAGGTCTAACGGGCAGCCAAAGCATCCTAAAACCCGTGTCTATATCTAGATACGAATATTTACCTACCTGATAGTGAACACGGAGCTGAATTCATGTTTGCTATCACCGAGGGCAGCCAATGCCGCAGACATGGATGGAAAGCGCTTCCGCATCGTATCATGTATGTACAATACATATAAGTCCCTGCCGTATTCCTTTCTAGGTCCCGTAATGAGATATCCACTGCGACGGGAGGTGCAATATGGGCGGTGCATGCTGCCGCGTCGGCCCTGACCCGAATGCTGCATCGCACAGACAGACATGTGAAGATGGATACGATAGAGTACCTGGACCAGTACATGGACGCCACGCTATCCGCTTGTCTTTGCAGAACTGACCAAGGGTCGCTGCCGATTCGATTTTCAACTGCCAGACTCTTCACAAAAAAACACTTAGCTGCAAAACGTCCACATCGTAGGTTCCTTGTCCGAGGGTAGGAAGAGACTGGTTTGGCAATATTGAAATGTTGTTATATGAAGGAGATATTTATCTAAATAAGCTTCTCCCCTGTTGTCGTCTATTTCTGAAGAACAGTGTAGGTTCTTGACATTCAGGAGTATTCTGTATTGGTGCTTGATTGGCCTCTGATAGGGAGCCGACCCCGCCGCAACGTCATCACAAGCAACCAACAGTCGCTAGAGGAAAGCTCGGCTGCCAGCGGCACCATAGAAACCTTGCGCCGCTCGCCATCCACACACACCGCACTGCAACTGCACTACCTTGGCGATACTGCCGTCCGCCCGCGCACTCCACCGAGCCATACTTGCCTTCGCTGGTGGCGGCACATACAGGAACTGGCAGAGAAGATGATGCCAGCGCCAGCCGGCCGAACCTTGTCTTCAGGAACCGCGAAGCAGAGCCAGAGCGCCGCCGTGCATCGAGCGTATTAGACTTGCTAGGTAACTAGTGCGCGCCGTCGAAACATCCCTTGATTTTGACTTTGACGGCCTGGAGAAGCACCCACTCCGCCCATTCCAGTCCGACGGCGTCGCGCTAAATATTACCATCTTTGCTGCCATGGAGGGGCCCCTATTAGGTGAGCTGCCACCGTGACTTCGCTTTGCTACTCCCTCCCTCTCCGTTACACTATTCGTACCTGCGCCCCCAGTCGAGATGGAGAACACGGATCAAGAGAACGTAGGCCGCTCTGCCACCCCGGCAGCCTCTTCGTCCAAGAAGAAAGGCGGAGGCAAGAAGGGCCAGGCGAAGAAGTCGGCCCAGAAAGCACAGCGCGGCCAAGCTTCGGTACTGCGGATCATTGACGGGAATGCAGTCTCACACGACGCCAACGGGGCCGGCCGGGCATCCACGAGCGCCACAGACCGGGACCGGCCTGCCGCCCCAGACAGCGCCGGATCGGAACAGGGAGCTGACGGCACGCCGGTGAGTGATGCGTCCCTGGCCGGAGACAGAGTTCCCCTGGAAGCAGCCGCAGGTCGCTAACGGCAGGTCGCAAGACTACCAAAGATACCCCAAAGTCGCCTGTTGCCGCTCGATCTACGCCGTCGAAGAAAGTCAATGGCGGCTTGAAGGACAGTGGGCCGGAACCCAAGACTAAAGCGACACCAGAGAAGACGGCAGCGTCTACCCCCAAGACGGTTAAACCTGAGCCCACAAGCTCTGAGCAGCCACCCCCTCCCTCTACTCAGCCCAACAAGACCACAGCGCCAGACACGGAAAAAAAGAGTTCGATGGCGACAGAGAAGCAAGAAAACAACGAAGGAGGTGAGACGCCCAAGATTGACAGAGCCCAGGATGTCGGCGTCAATGGTCACAAAGAGAAGCAAAGCGACAGCGGCGACAAGCCCAAGGTTAATGGCAAAACGTTGTCGAAAAGCCACGCGAAGGAGGCTAAGGCAGATACGGATGGGCATGGCGGGAAAGAGCCCAAGACTCCGAAGCATGATGACTATCCGCCGCTGCCCTTTGATAGTGCGCTCAACGACTGCGAGAGGCGGGAGCGGGAACGAGCCAACGCATACACTGCCCGGGGGATTAGGTTTGCGCCCTGGAACATACCGTACAGACGGCGGCTGCAGACGCTAGCGGTGCTAATCCACTCGCTCAGCATCGCCCTGACGGTATCAATTTTCTTTTTCCTCTGTGCCATCCCGCTCATCTGGCCGCTCCTGATCCCGTACCTAGTGCGCATGCTCACGTCCAAGGCGGCGACGGACGGGCGGCTGCGGTCGCGGTCGGAGCGGTTCCGGCGGCTGCCGGTGTGGCGCTTCTTTGGGGACTACTACCCGGCGAAGCTGCACAAGACGCACGAGCTGCCGGCGACGCGCAAGTACATCTTCGGGTACCACCCGCACGGCATCATCTCGCACGGGGCGTTCGCGGCGTTCGCGACGGAGGCGCTCGGGTTCGCGGACAAGTTCCCGGGCATCACCAACAGCCTGCTGACGCTCGACTCCAACTTCCGGATCCCGCTGTACCGCGACTACATCCTCAACCTGGGGATCCAGTCCGTGTCCAAGGAGTCCATCACCAACATCCTGACGCGCGGGGGGGCCAACAACGAGGGCATGGGGCGGGCGGTAACTATCGTGGTGGGCGGGGCGCGCGAGTCGCTCGAGGCGCAGCCGGGCACGCTGCGGCTGGTGCTGGCGGAGCGCAAGGGCTTCGTCAAGATGGCGATCCGCACGGGGGCGGACCTGGTGCCGGTGCTCGCGTTCGGCGAGAACGACCTGTACGACCAGGTCAGCCCAAAGTCGCACCCCAAGCTGCACCGGCTGCAGATGTTCGTGCTGCGCACGCTCAAGTTCACGCTACCGTTCCTGCACGGCCGCGGCATCTTCAACTACGACGTCGGCCTGATGCCGTACCGCCGCCCGCTCAACGTCGTCGTGGGCGCCCCCATCATGGTCGCCCAGGCTGCCGACGCCAATAGCGTCGACCCGGCCGAGATCGACAGGCTGCACGAGCTGTACGTGACGGAGCTCGAGAAGATGTGGCACGCCTACAAGGACGTGTTTGCCCGGGGCCGGCAGGAGGAGATGACCATTTTCAAGTGAGGCGTGTTTTTATGGGAATTCCTTTCTTGGCATTGTCATGCTGTTGGCTTTTTTATCTATTTATTGGTTGGGTGAAAAGGGAGGCAGTGTCTTTTTGGAGGGTTATTCTCTACGGGACTAAGGGGAGGGTTTCTGTGTGTCGGTATAGAGTCACTTGTGCAGCGTATGGACGGTATCAGCGGGTCGGACACGGGGGAGGGGAGGGTGGTGGTCGGTTTCAATGCCGAGACTATACTAGCTCCTGTCTGTCTTTCTGTCTACTGTGTTCTTCTCTGCTGGCCTGGCCTGTCTCAGAGAAAGGGTTGAAAAGGAGTTTATTGGTAGGGATATATATAAGGCAGCGATATAGATCTTGACTTTTTGTTGCGGGGAGGGGGTTTAACCGTCTTCTTTTTTGGAACCAGTGGGCTTACTACTACTACTACTACTACTACTACTACTACTACTACTACTACTACTACTACTACTGGTAGTGAGTCTCATTATACTTGTTCAATTGGGCGGTGCATGTGCTCTGTGGCTATGATATGTATCAATAGTATCCCGATGGCCGCTCTTTGACTGATTGTGATGGATGGATGGATGGGTGGACGGCGGGTTTGTGCTTGTGTGTTTGTGCTTGTGTGTTTGTGCTTGTGTGTTTGTGTGCTCGTGCTGGTGCTTGTGTAATGGGACGGGACGGGAGGCCCGCCAGCCACTTTGGAAAGAAAACCGAGACGGTGGGATGGATGGATGGATGGATGGATAGATTGGGAATGGGTTGCGGCGTCTGAAACGGTCGCGTGATGTTTCCTTTTCTTGTCTTGCCTCGTCTCCCTAATGTCATAAGCAAGCCAGCGGTGGTGTTTGCTTCTTCCGGTGGCTTGTCGCTTTTCTACTGCTCTGACTTGGCTTTGACATTCGACATTCAAGTCAAGGGAGAGAGCTGTTTGTTCTTTGCGTACATTGAAATACATTACCGTCTTTGGGGATTGGGGTGAGGCATTTGCTTAGGAAAGGGACGGGAGGTGTAATTGGCGGTCGGCTTCATCAAGCAAGCAAGCAAGCTAGCTAGCTCACCTCAGCACCTTCCTACCTGGGTTATCTTTCTTGCTCGCCAAAGCAAAAACAGCCAGCGAGGTCAGTTGCATTCTCCTCTCCTCTCCACTTTCTACCTTCAACATTTCCTTGCCATTGATTGCGAGACGATGTTTTGTTCTACCTCGATACCAATACGGAATATCTCACCCCTATTCCCATCCCATAAGTGGCAGCACTTGGACGGCGTACCTTATTTCAACTTCCCCCCAGTCACGCCCTTCGCGGGGCCGAGGTCGCGTTTGCCACTGCCCGGCAGGACAAGGCAATGGATGACCTGTACCCTATCATACATGTATCCTACATACGGTCTCCTCTCTCTGGATAGATGCAGTGGAAATGGGCTGACCGCCGTGCCACAGCCCCGCCAGTCCTCCGTGCCATATGGTGCGGCAGGGTAAGGTGTCTGTCGGGCGTGCATGCTTGCATGTGCTTTCTTGACCTTGCCTGTACTGTAGGTACGGATAGTCGGTAGTGAAAGAGAAGAGCCCAAGATGGCGGCTGCTCCAACGGCACCCGACGGCCCGACACATGACGACGGGCCCGTGGCCAGAGACACGCCCCCCGAGGCCCAGACCGACACCGTGATCGTGCTCGATTTCCCCGGCAAGGCCCCCGGGCGGCTGCATGTGCAGACGCCGACGCCCGCCCGCCCGGAAAGGAAGACGTGGTTGCCCAAACATTACGCTACCATCCTGGCCGCCCTCGTCACTGTTTGGCTCCTCGTGCTGCGTCACCGGAACCAAAAGGTGGGTGCTAGTTACCGTACCCCCCGACATGCTCTCTTCCCTCTACCCTTTCCTGCCCCCTTCTTTCTCTCGGCTCAGGCGCAGCCCTAAACTTTGTTCTTGGATCCACCCCTCCTGATGCCGGCCGACTTGCCTGCCTCCCCGTCTCGTCTACTGCCAGTCGGCCGTGTCCTCTGTATCGTGATAAAACTGGTGCCCGTGTGCCCGAGGCTGTGCCGTGTGAGGCCATGGCGCGGATCAAGCCGCGAGGCTTGTTTTCGTTCGCCTTTCACGTCTCCCTGTTGTTTCTGTCCTCCCCCCTCTCCTGTCTTGCCGTGCTGATAGCAGCCTGTTGCTCGGAAAACCAGCAGCCCCCGGCCCCCCTCCCGCCGCCGCCTATCAACCGCATCGGCCCCGTCGTCGACCTCAACTACTCGGCCTACGAGGGCCTGCGCCTGCCCAATGGCGTCAACGCCTTCCTGGGCTTGCGCTATGCCGCCCCGCCCCTCGGCCAACTCAGATGGCGAGCGCCGGCCGAGCCCCCGAGGACGCAGCAGCTGCAGCAGGCTAAGCAGTTCCAACCCGTCTGTCTCGGCATCGGCACGGCCTACCCCGACCCCGGCCACGACGAGGACTGCCTGTTTGCCAATGTCTGGGCGCCGACCGACGCCGGCCGGCACTCCAAGCTTCCAGTCTGGGTCTTTATCCCCGGCGGTGGTAAGTCGAGTCTGTACTCCCTTGGGTATCCATCTACCCTAGCTGAGAGTTTTGGGCACTCCTAGGCTACGTCTCGCTCACTAATGCCAACTGGAATGGCGCCGAGGTGGTCGAGAAGTCGGGCCACAGCATCGTCTTTGTCAACTTCAACTACCGCGTCGGCCTGTGGGGGTTCCTGGCCAGCGAGCGCGTGCGGGCCGACGGCGACCTCAACACCGGCCTGCTCGACCAGCGCATGCTGATGACGTGGGTCAAGACCCATATCGCCTCGGTAAGCCTGCCGTGTCTCTCTTATATCCGCAAGCAGTCGGATCCCGTTCTCTGACAGGACACAGTTTGGCGGTGACCCCGACCACGTCGTGATCCACGGCGCCTCGGCAGGAGCTGGCTCGGTGGCGCTGCACATGGTGGCCTACGGCGGGCGCAATGACGGGCTGTTCGTCGGCGCCATGGCCGAGTCGCTCTTCTTCCCCGCGCAGCCGTTCGTAGCAGAACTAGAATACCAGTTCGACCGCGTGGCCGACCAGACAGGCTGCAGCACCACCACAGAGCAAATATCCTGCCTCCGTGGCCAAGACGCAGCCGTGCTACAAGCCGCGAACCACGCACAGCCGTTCCCAGGGCGCTCCGAGCCGCCATCACCGCTATTCTACTTCACGCCGTGCATCGACGGCTCGTTCCTCTACGACCTGCCGTACCGACTCTTCCGTGCGGGCCGCTTCGTGCGCGGCATACCATTCCTCTCAGGCACGACGACAGACGAGGGCACCGTGTTCGCCACCGACGCCAGCAGCCCGGCGGACGTGGCGCGCTTCCTCGCCAACAACTACCCGCGGCTCACACCCAACGACACGGCGGCCGTGCTCGCGCGCTACCCGCCGCAGCAGCTACCCGCCCTGCCGCGGCACCGCCCGTGGTTCCCGACGGCCAGCCGCGCGTACGGCGAGGCGACGTTCGTCTGCCCCAGCGTCAACGTGCTGGACACGCTCCTCCACCATACTATAACCACAACTCCGGGACTGCTGTTCTCGTACCGCTACGACGTGCTCGACGACGAGAACGTGGCCGCTGGGCTCGGCGTGCCGCACATCTTCGAGGCGGCGGCCGTGTTCGGTCCGGACAACATCGGCCCCCCCGGCGCCGCGCGCGCCAGCTACCGCACGTACAACGCCGCGGTCGTGCCGCTGCTGATGGCGTACTGGCTCAGTTTCGTGCGCGCGCTCGACCCGTCGCCGCACCGCCTGCCGGGGAGTCCCGCGTGGGGGCCCTGGACTACCTCTGGTGGTGATGGTGAAACGCGGAGCAGGCTGCTGCTCGAGACTGGCGGGCGGGCGAGCATGGAGGTTGTTCCTACGGACGAGCTGGACCGGTGTGCGTTTTGGCTCAGGCTCGGGGATACGCTGGAGCAGAAGAAGAAGAGGTGATATGGTGTGGTGGATTGAGTGGCGGCGTCTTGTTGTGGATGGGAATTGTCGTTCTGATGAATTATGAGCTGGCGGGCGTGAACATGGATGGATATGATGACAGATTTGGCGGTTTGTATGCCATGCCCGCCAAATGCGGCGTTTTATTTTACGAATCTAGGTACAGTACCGTACCTGCGTATGTGTTTGTACTGGGAGGAGAGAGATACCCCTGAGAAGATACTTAAGTAAGGAAGCAAGCAAGCGTTGTGTTTCCAGTCAAGTCCAGGTAATCGAGGTGAAAGGGGTTAAAGACATCATCGCCTCTCTTCTTACTTCTATAAACCACATGTGATTCTACCTGCCTACCGGTATCCCGTTAAAACACCTCCTGGTACACGCCCACGGAAGCTAGCCTCTCGCCGTCCGCCGCCCACAGCGAGGCACAGGAAACGACGGGCCCGGCAGACCCAAACGCCGCCGGATACCGCTCGACGTCCACATACCTGACGAGCAGCGAGGGAGAACCACCGGCGCCGGTTCCGCCTCCCATCCGTGAAGGCGACAGGCTAGCAATGCGGTCATGGTTGGCAAACGCGCAGGAAGGCCCATCTGCCTGCCCTGGAGCTGTTGATGCGGCAGTCGACGACGCAAGCGTTTCAGCTACGACTGTCTGGATGAGCGTGATGCTGCTGCTGCTGCCGCTGCCGCTGCCGTCGTCGTCTCTGTCCTTGCTATCATCCTCAGGGGAGCGGACAAGAGTCCGCCACACGCACAGCGCAGCCCGCTGGGGACTGTTCGTACCAGGAACCAGCACCGGGCTGCTGCTACGAGCAACGACAATGCTCGCGGCCGAGGCGCCGGCGACGCCCATGTGGGCGTGCCACTCGACGTCAGCGGCGCGGGGGAGCTCGGTCACTTCTGCCACGAAGAGCGGGGGGGCCGAGGCGGCCCTGGTCTTGCTCTTGGCCGCAGAACCGGCGGACAAGCCAACCGCAGACCAGTCTGGCAGAGTCGCCAGCGGCAGAGCGCCCGGCTCGCCCGCGAGCGAAATGTAGCGCGGGTCGAATCTCTGATCCCACAGATCCGGGCCGGCGTCTTCGCCTTCATCTTCATCTCCGTCTTCTCCTTCGCGATCGGCAGACCAGAGGTGCGCCGCGTCCCACGCCTTTGCAGCCAGTTCCACCTTTAGGGCCATCGTTAGCCCTGGATAGCTCGACGCGCCGCTGGGGAAGTAGGCCATGGCGCTGGTCCACCACTGGACGCCCGTGTCGAGGCCGATGCGCCAGAGATGTTGGAGCGAGAGAGCCACTTGGAGTCTCAACGCTTCGTCATCGCCGCCGGCACCATCCGGCAGGGCCATGGTCGCTGGCACCAGCGGGATCTGCCCCGCAATGCTGACCAGCCTCGGGCCCTCCGCGCCCGGTGCCATATCGGCCGCGAGGCTCGCCAATGGAATAGAGACTGCCTGGCTATAGGGGCCTATGTTGGCGGGTGCCCAATACGAGCGAGATTGCACATGCAAGCCCTGTTTTTGGCCAGGCTCAAGGCCGCTATGCACGGCCAGGTACACGGCAATGTTGGTGTTTGGAGAGAGCAGGCTGCCACATGACACTGTGACTCTAGAAGGGGGGTTCGGGGCATCAAACAGCTGGCCATAGACAGCATTCACGACAGGGAAGTCGGCCATACGGCGGAGCAGGAGGGTCGCGCTGACGATGGCAGACGGAGACAGGGCAGCTAGCCGCAGGCGGTTCCGAATCTGCTCAACCAGTGACCTCGTCTCGGCCTCGACAGAACCGAGAGACGTGGCAGCACCGCCAACGAAGCACCATTGCTGCAACTTCTCGGCGTCACGACCTTGGGACTCTGCCAAGCTAGACACCACATCCTCTGTCTCGTAAACTCCTATCAAGGGGCCCACCTCGACTTTCACAGCCCCTTTCGTGGCCGACAGAGTGTCTAACACGCTAGCAAACCTAGCGTCGAGCAGGTCAGGAATTCTGACCTTGTTTTCCCTCTCGCCTTGGGAAGCCACTGTCTCCTTGTCCTCTAACTTGGCGCTGGTGAGCTTCAGCCAGGCGCTTCCGCCGCCCTCCCTGACAAGATGCCGGTTTGCTTCGTCAACCACGATGCGCTTGCGGAACAGGCTGGGCGGCCCGTCGAGCACAAGAGTCTCGAACTCGCCGCCCTCGCCGATGACGGCGCCCTTCTCGGCGGTCCCAAAGCGCCGCATTGCGCGGGAAATCTTGTCTCTGCCCGGGGCGCTTGCGACGTTGGTCCAGAGGAACGAGTCGTCGAGGCCGCCACTAGCGACCTTGACCAAGCGGGCCTCGAGGCCCACGGCAGCCATGTCGACGAGGAGCTGGGCATCGGCCACATTGGCAGGGTCTGACGACTCCGGGGCTGGGAGGACGGGGAACTTCCACAGGTATGCCAGGGGCACTAGCCCCAGCCACGTGGCCACCGACTCGATACGCGTGCGCTGGTAGGTGCTCATTATGGCTCCGGCGCAGATGGCATTAGCTTCTGGGTGCGCGGCCTTGATGGCACGGAGAAGCGGGATCATCGACTCTGTCTCATCGGGCTCGTCAGTCTCATCGACGCCACCCGCACCTCCCGTACCCGTTTCCCCAGTTGGACAGGGAGCCCGCGTGGACCCCGGCTCGGTGGTCCGTCCGTGCCCGCGGTACGAGTAGTCCTTGCCGTGCTGGGCGGCGCCACCCGCAATGGCCCGGCGATACAGCGGGATCCCGGTGGCCTCGGCATAGAGGGGGATGACCTGGTGGCCCACTGTCTGGTACATGAAGCTGTTGAGGTCTTGCTCCTGGTCAGCGTCGTCGGCGCCGCCCAGGGCCTCATTTCCAAGGGCTCCACCGGATGGACTGGGGGGGGCGGGAGCAGGGCCCTCGTTCTCGGCTTCAGCTCGGCTGGTCTGATGGCGCCCGTGGAGGCCGAGGGCAGGAGCCTGAGCCTGGCCCGGGCACTGTTCCAGACCCAAGTCTGAGCTCGCGGGAGCCAGGCGGCTACCTGGGATTGCGACATTTCCCGCGAGAGCTTGAGCCTGAGCCTGAGCCCGAGCCCGAGCTGGGGCTGGAGATGGGGCCGAGACAGCGGCGCTACCCACTGGGGCAATCGTAATAGCGGCGGCCGGGAGCGAAGATGAGATTGCTGGGGGGTTGAGCGACAGCGGCATTGCCGGATGCAGGTTAGCCAGAGCCACGACATGGTGGCCATTTGCACGGCAGTGGAGGAGAGAGAAAAGGCTGTCCTTTCCGCCCGAGATCAGCGCAATCACGTTCAGGCCTTGGTGGCTCGACGGCGCCTGGGTCTGGGTCTGGGCCTGGGCCTGGGCCTGAGCCTGGGCATGGGCGTGGACAGCAGCAGGATCAGTCATTTTTGGGCAAGACACTGCGGAGGAGGATCAGACTTCTTTCGCAGTCGTCCGTGTATGATGGGCCTGGGGGCAGGCCGGGGGAGGGTCCAAGAGCCCCGGCTCGTCTCCGGGCCCTGGCAGGATACGAATATTGCTTTTTTTTGTCTGTTCCCTTTAGGACGCAGAACAGCGGTCAAGTGAAAGCCGTCCCAAGCCCCGGTCAAGCGTGTGATAAAATAAATCAACTCTCAAAACGGCTGCAAACTTGTCCGCTTGCGAATTTGGCAAGCTGGTTTCGGCAGCAACGGCAGTCGGCCAGTCAGGCGAAAAAGAAGGCCTGTCAATATTTCGGCGAGTCATTGACCAGTCACCTAGACTCAACTTGTCACGGCCTCAGCTGTCACAAATTCCGGCCGGGTTGGATTTGCCGTTCTTGTTCTTGAGCTGCCCGGGATTCCACACACAAGAGATAAGATGGGTTCCGGAAACCGAATGGTGCCTCATGCAAGCCGGCACTTGTGGTTCGATGAGAATTTCTTCTTTTATTTCCTTTTCTGTTCTTGTCTCTCTTGCACCGTCTGTTTTCAATATCCGCTCGCTAGCGAGTGGTGTACTGTAGCAACACTAGCTCGTGCGCTCGGTAGCTCGGCGAGCGGAGCCGAGTGTTTGGTGTGATTGATGCTCGGCTTGGGAACGAACTTGAAGTTGAGACTTGACTTGAGAATGGCTTCGCCCGCCCGTTTCTGGTTAGGCACGCCTTCTACCATTTGCACAGTACAAACAGTCCACTCGGGGTGGAGACTAATATTGATGATTCCCTCCAAAGTGACAAGTCAAGAAGAGCAAGGTAAGTGCACCGCTCGAGACATGTCAAAAAATTCAAGCAAAAAGAGAAAAAAAAGAAAAAAGAAAAAAGAAAACCTCGTATGCCTATGGTGCTGAGGCGAGAAGGTGTCAACAAGTGTGATTGATGTGATGGAAAGAGATCCGCGGTTGACCCGGGTAGGTTGAAAAGGAAAGGCGGGATTGTCAACTCGTCAACAGCAGCCTGGTCATCGCAAGGGTTCTATCCTGCTAGGAGACCCACCTGCCTAACCTACCCCAGCCAGTGATTTGCCCCCACACTCCACTCCACACGCCCGACCGCGCTGGACAGTGACGCTCGCACCACAACCTTAGCCACAGAAAACGAGCTACACTGGGGAACCGGAAAGCCTTACGCCCTTCTGCACTCTGCAGTGCTCCAGTTCTAAATTACCGGCTCATCTTGTCACTCTTCCCATATCCATCAAGGTGTGTCCAGTGTCCGTTATAATATGATGGTCGATCGAAATGAACCCTCTTTTTCTTTCCATGGTTGCCGTCGCCTGATTCGTTGGGCTGTTGGAGTATTGTCCCGTACTTCGTATGAGGTATCCGTAAGTTCCATGGTCCGCAACCTGTCAGTCTGCAGGAACTTTGAGTGACGTTCTGCCAGAAAGCCCATTCTGCAACCAACCGCGCCTAGCGCTGGATTTAAACAGTCTGGGGCGTCTAGACCAAGGTCCCGTCCCGTAGAAAGTGAGCAAATTAGTACCCTGTGTCTACCGTAGCTGCCAGAGGCTATCGCTCAGAATATTTTCGGAATACATCCGATAGACACGAGAACCGCCAAGAGTGAGACACGGCAAGTTCTGCAAAGCACAGTCAACAAAAACTGACGAGGCACACGGCAAACGGCACCCATATACAAGAGACACGCAATCTTGCTTCTGCTATCGGCGGGTAGAACGGTTGGTTGTTCATTGGTCGTCGAAAGGAGGTAGTCGAGGATGCTAAGCTAGATAGATGTACATGAGGCTATTCCGACACGCAAGAGCCGTTGCGCGAGGGAACCGCACTCCCGCTGATTTGTGACCAGCACGGAACCAACTCCCTGCTCCATGGATATCCCGATAGCAATCCCGCAAAGTGTGATGGTAAATGGTTGGCCGAAACGACAGCTGAGAATCGAAGTAGAAAAACAGAGACAAGAAGCGAAAAACATCCACACGCAGAATCGAACAGGATATAGACATACAAACCACCCCGCCAGGGCCCTGGAGAACTGCTTCAGTCGGCCCCAGGGCCCCTCCCCTGAAGAAGCCACAAACAAGGTTTGCGGAAAACGGTTGAAAGGAAGAAAAAGGTGCCCCAACTGCCGTCCTCCCGGCCCAGTGAATCATGGTCCTTTCCGTCATGTGGCGGTACCTCATAAAACCCGAACCTGCCCTGCGTATACCGAGCGTTGCTTCATTGTGACAATGTAGAAAGAACCATGTGCCGGGTCATGAAGCTGCCTTGGCAAACGCAAAAACGAGAAAAAAGAACAATCCACTCAACCAACGTTAATGAAAAGTTGATAGTACAAACAAGGCAGATTGCAAGATGCCCAAACGAAAATCCCATCGCTTTTTAATTGCCAAAACCCCCGTACAAGCAAGCTGCGCCATGCGTAAGCAAAGTTTTCCCCGGTTCGCCATAGCTTCGCCGAGTGGTTTCCCCTGTATGGTGTCCCAAATGGCCGACCCGCGTAAACAACAGCGGGTGAGATCATCATCATATCGTGTCGGGCATCAATGGCGACGGCACGTTCCAGTGCGAGAGCCATCGCCATTGTGAAGAGTGTGGGAAGAAGTGAAAAGGTTGTATGTGGATTGGCAAGGCCAGTAAAACAAGTTTACTCGGCCCGCTTCCTCTTCTTCTTGCCAAGCTCGCTTCCCTCGTCAGACGAGAGCTCACTGGCGCTGCCGGGAATCTCGGCGGCAACTTGGAATAGAACCCGGCCGAGAGCCTGGAAGTCCTCACCGCCCATAGAGGGACCACCCATCATGGGGTGATGAGTGAACCCAGGGTGGAGGCCGCCAACACCGACCATGGCATCGGGGTCGTCAATCAAGTTCATGACGATGGCGCCCGAGCCGTGGGTACGGGCATGCTGAGAGAGATTGTCGGAGCGGGAAAACTTCTTACCACACTCGTTGCACTCGAACGGCTTGTCCTGAGTATGAAGAGAGCGGTAGTGGCGCTTGAGGTGCTCCTGGCGGCGAAAACGACGGTTGCACAGCTCGCAAACAAATGTCTTGGATGGATCTTCGGTCAAGGACTGCTTACGTCCACGGCGGTTGGTTGGCGCAGACATGTTGTTGGCGCCGACATCGCCCGAGGCCGAGTTAGACTCGGACGAGTGCTTAGTCTCGGACCCATTGTTGTCCTGGCCGCCGGAGGGCATCTGATGATGATTGTTCCCGGACTGGGAATCAGAAGCTGAGTTCATTGTGGGCTCGTGAGAATGCTGCCGGGCCTTCCTTTGACGCTTATCTTGGTGCTCGTCGGGGTCTTCGTCGCACGAGGTGGCAGGGCTGTGCAGGCGGTCGGCGTCAAAGCTGTCGCAGTCTTCGAAATCCTCGAGGTCTTCGTCACCGACGTAGCTCGAGTTGCCGAGGGATAGGGCGTCGGAGCTAGCGCGCGATCGGGTAGTCTGGATTGGCGCAGCCGTCTCGCCAAGATTGACAAGGCCGTTTACGAAGTCGTCCTCAGACTCGATGTCAGAGAGGTCGTCAAACGAGGGAAGGCTGTGGGGAAGCTCGGGGTTGAACTCAAAGGACGTAGCGGGAAGGGATGTAGGGGTGGTAGACTTCACAGACGCCTCGGTCCTGAGCATGAACTTGTGGTCCTCGTCGTCGCCTGCACACAGGGTAGGGAGGGCCGAAAACTCGGGGGCGAGCGTCGAGTTGACGGTCCCGACAGTCAGATGGCGGGGGTCACAGAAATCGAAATCCTCAGAAGATACAGACGGTGCATAGGGCGAAGGTGAAGGGGAAAGCGACGGGCAAGACGCTGTCGAAGAGCCGTCGCCCGTGTTGTGGTGAAGCGACACGAGCTGAGGTACTGGTGTCTGGGATTGAAGGTACACTATGAAAAGGAAATCGGGTCAGTCCAGCCCCCAATTTTTTTAGGGGGGGTTGTACAAAACGCGTAGCCAAAAGCCCCCCGCAACCGCCAAAATGGCAGGGACCACACGAAAACGCTCTGGCACCACGCCACAACCACCACCACCACACACAATTTCTTTCTATAAGCAACAAAAAAGACACACTGCACGCCAGGCAGCAACTCCAATCCCGGCTTCTACTATGAAACAAAGGGAATCAAATAGGCAAAGGGCCGAGAACTTACTAGGCGTCATGGGGGGCGAGGCGCAGCTAGACCAGTCCAGACCAGGGAAGCTCTCGATCTTGCATTCGACGTCGCGCAATTCCTTGCCCTCGATGCCATCCAGCCCCGAGAACATGGGATTCAGCGGGGTCTGGAGCATGTCGCAGCTGCCAGGGCTGCTCATGGCGCTCCCTGAAGACGAGAGCGGAGGCGTCGACGGATAGTAGTGCCCGTCGGTCTCACTCAACTCAGTGTCCAGCACAATCGTCGGTCGGTGCGAGGTTGGTTGCGGCGATGCCGCCGGAGTGAGCGTCGAGGGCATGCTGGTGAAGACTTTGGCGTGCAACTGCGCCTGCGCCTGAGGTTGCGAGCACGACGAGCTAGGCCGCGAGTACATGGGCGTTGACGGCACCGTGGGCACGACCGGGAAGACCGTCATGTGTTGCCTGAGAGCCGGGTGCGAGTGGGGGTGCTGGTGCGCAATGAAGTGACCTTGTTGCCGGCTATCGTGATGCGGCTCGGGGTTGTAAAAGAAGTAAGACGGAGCTATCGCCTGGGGCGCCATCATGCCTTCCATCATCCTTGCGGTGATGCAGTTTCTGCTACTGCCTCTATCAGCCGACGAGATCTTCGAATGCTGCTTGGCTGCTGCTACCTACCAGGTAGGATATTCGGGTGTCGGGGTTCTCTCCCAGTCGTTTAAGAATTAAGGTTGTTCGTATATAATTGTCGTAGTTATACAGACTTGTTCTGTGTGAACGTCGTAGGGTGTTCTCGGCAGTGGCCTAATGATGGCGTGGTTCGGTTCCGATGGTAAGGAATGACTGGCAGTCACGATCTACTATAGATCATGGACTAGCCGGGGGGTGTTATAAGTCTCGAGGTCCGTTGCTGTACATGAAGTCGGTCAAGGTCGTCTTGGCTGTTCTTCTCGCTACGGCAGCATGAGAGGAGGAGTAGACAAGACTTGTGAGTGGGATGGTCGATAAGGACTCAGCCGGATCGAGACAGAAGTTGTTGGTTGCAAAAGAATGGGAAGGAATGAATTCCAAAGCCTCAAGTCCCGAAAGAAACAAGAACCGATATGCAAAAGAAGAAGAAAGAGATCACGTAGTCCAGGTCGACAGATCTGCCGATGTGGGAGGGAAAAGAAGGTCAAGAAGGGGAGCCCTGGGCCATATGTAAACCCACCCAAGATCAATGGGCAAGATCAAGAAGTTGCTGGGCTGGATAAGAGGCACCGATAGGCGGTGGCTCGAGTGGGCGCGCTTGGTATGGGCCACCCTGGGGCCCTCCCCACCCACATGCGCTTCGCTTGAATTGACAAGGGCCCAGGGGAGGATAGACCAGGAACCTACCCACAGGCCAGCCCGGCAGGACAAGCCTCCCCTGTCTGCATGTCTGGGGCAAGTGGGCGGAAACATCAGATGGGGTGGAAGACTCTGGACGGAGGATGGCGCAGTGTGGTGGGTGTGTGGTGCTGCATGTGTGCCTGCGAATTCTAAATCCGGACTGGTCTGGTCTGGACGAGGGACATGGAGCGAGGTACCTGCGCTACCCGGAGGTACCGTAGAACGGGGGGTACCTCCTTCGAGACCCAAGGCAAGATGGCCCCTCCTCCTCCCAGGGTCTCCAGTGACCAAGTCCAGTCAGTCCGGCCCGCCGTCAACAAGGCACTAGCAGATGGGCTGTGGTGCCTGCTGCACACGCCAGACGACCCTGCGCCGGTGCTGAGTCGTGGTTCGCTGCGCTGCAGCGTTTTGACCCAGCACCGAGGTCGAGCAGACTGAGAGGCAGGCTTTAGTCGTCCAGTCCAGCCCCGTCAAAATGCGGGATGCCCTGGGTCGGTCGGCCTGCCTGGCCTGCCTGGCCTGTGGTTGCAGAAGGCCATCGCTCTTTCCGTCATCCACTGTCCTGCCTTGCCTTGCCCTGCCCGCTCGCAGACAGACCACTGACTGACTGCCCTGGGTGGGCGAACAGCAGAGAGGACGCCCGTCAGTCCGGCGCATCGATCAGCCTGATCTGCCGTAGCGTAGTGGTACAGGAGGTCTCGTAACCTACTACGGAATAGTGCAGAGCCTTCCGACTGACTGACGGTCTGGATGCGATGCTGCCGAGGCTGGATCAGCGCAGCGAGAAAAGAAAAGCCGTGTGGATACGAGCGTCGGCGATACTCGCCTCGCCCGCCCAGGTCAGGTCAGTCTGGTCTGCTCTGGTCTGTCCACAGCACAGGCATGGAACCTCTGGGTTGCCCACTGGCTCCATCGCCAGTCGGGTTCGCGTGTCGCCCGTACGTACAAGTGGTTCGTAATCCGTGTGCAGAGATAGTTTTGCAGCCAGCCCAAGCCCGATGAGGCAACAGGGTGGGTGGCACGCACAAGCAAGTGCCCTCGGAGTGGACTTGCACACGCCCACACGGCCAACCAACAGGAGAGGTCAAGCGCATGCATAAAGCCGGCCATTGCGCGCTCGGCGCTGCTGATAGGCCCGTGGCCTTGACGGCCAACCCTCCACAAGTCGTGCACAAAAGGCCTCCGTCAGATGTGTCGCCGTCAAGCGCGATGGCCGACGGCAAGCCAGGCACCGCCATTCGCTGCACACTGCCAGGTCGCACGCCTAGGCCCGCCCAAGGCCAGCCAGTAGCAACCGCAGTTTGTTGATGGCCTCGATGCAAGGTACGAACTCGCAATCCGAGAGGCCACCTCAACGTCCCTACTAGTACATACAGTACGTAGACCTACCTAAGGTACTCAGTACAGCGGCGACAGATGGGAGCGGCATGGCGAGAAAACGGCGTCGCGCCCGACCCTCGTCCCCCCCGTGATGCTATGTGGACCGCCGGGTGGCCCAACCTAGATACCGCCTGCAACCGCCGTCCAGAAGAACTCTGAGGTGGCCTGGGCCGCTGGCAACCACAAAAAAAGGCCACCAAAAAATGCTCCAAAAAACGGCACACATGTTATAGGAGTGGTGTAGATAAAATAAAATAAAAAAAAAGCCGACTTGCAGGCAGACGCCTACGGGTGCGGGCCATCACCATCGATCATCAGGTAGCGAGACGCGGGATGCAAATGTGCTGCCTCGTCATCCTTCATGCTCTGTGCTCTCTGTTCTCTGCGCCGAAACAAGTCCGACTGCAAAACGAGCCGGTTGGCAGTGCAGTGGGAGGGCGAGCGAAACACGCGGCGAATCATGACCGCCAGCGGCCGCGCTATCGCATTGAATTCGAAGCCCGGGATAGTCCGCCCATTGTCCCTTCATGCCTTACCGAGAGAGGCGGAGAGGCGGAAACCAGGAATCGAAAGTCTCACTATACGTGCTATTATTACCGTAGGTATCGATAAGCTAAGTCTTGAGGTGTCAGATGAAAATCCCAGGAATACGATACGTACTCAGGTCCGATCCATCATTCAATCATCCCAGAATTTCCCGCTTTGGTTGCTCCGAGGTGCAAATCGTTGTGAGGGGGGACGCTCTGGATTTCTTCGGGATAGATTGGCGCTCAAAATGTTACGCTTTTTCTCGTGTGGCGCGAGCCGCCCTCAACCGCGAATCCGCTCTCGATATTATGCGATTGAAAGGCGCCTCGCACAGAGTGCAGCAGGAGTGCAGCAGAGCATGCGGCACTCTTGTGTGCTCCGTTGGCAATAGATGTCGTGCACCCCTCCACTACATTTCTCGCGGTGCCTGATATTAGAAGGCTCGGTTTGATTGCAGCACAGAGAAAGCAGGTACAGTGGATCGTGTACCTGCCCAGTCTCGGTACATTACATACCTTAGATACCGATGCGATTGATCTTGAGGTCGATGTCAGTCACTACACCGCTCGGGCCATCTCATCGCCGTCGTGAGATGATGATATATAGTACTAAGCATCGCGCAGAGATGAATGCACCTTCTAGATTGGCAAGAAGCAAACTATACAGTTGCGACTGCCCCTTTCGCGGACAGCCACTACAATGATTACCGGCTGTCAGGAAGAATCAGATTTCTTACCTACCTTAGTGTTTTCGTCTCGGCCGAACATTTTTTTTGTCCACAAAAACAAAAAGAGCCGAACACCCATGAACAGCTCAGTCTGCCTCGAGAGGGCGGGTGCGAGTCGTGGCCCCGCAGGTCAGCCGTGACCGCGTGTCGCCCTCAGCGAATGTGATGATGCAGGTTCCTATTCCCAGAGGCGCCAACCAAATATTTCTGCCCGCGGGTGGTCAACAGCCAACGGGAGGGCCCGGCAGTGAAGAACACGGACGGAAGCCCCTCTTTTGCGGGCAATGCAGCTGCTCAGCAATTGATCAGAGAAACATGAAACACCCGAAAGGCAGCTCACGGCAGTCGATGGCGACGAAACCTAGCCAAACAGAGAGAGCCTACCTACCGCTCGCGCTGCCTGTCCGACTGAAAGCGGCATTCTGGTGAGATCGGTGGGAAAAATGCCGGCCAGTCGGATAAGCCAGTCAGAGAACCCCTCCAAGCTGCAACCACTTAAAGAACCCTGTCACTGTCAGCGTATGTACCAGTAACGAGGCGCCGCCGCGCAGATATGGTGACAGTGATGGTGAGCCCAAGGCCGCCCGCGCGCTTTGGGCCACTGGAGCGCCGCAACACCTCCAGAACGTTAGTTAGCTCAGTGTCGTCACAAAAACACCTTTCTTCTCTTTTGTCCTCAGCTTCCACCTTGGCAAGGCCTGCATGTTAGCGGAACGTCCGGGGCCAATGCTATTGCCACACAAAGGGCAACGGCCCAAGAGAAACATTTAGCCAGTCTAATTGGGCAATTCCTTCAGCTTGATGACGTTGGGGACAGGGAAGACGTTGGACAGCACTATTCCCGGCTGAAGAGCTGATGAGCCGAGGGCCTCTCGTTGGTGAGTGTGCGGGGTTGTATTCGTTAACTTCAACCTGGAACTTGTTAGCAGCAATTCCCGGCTACCTTATCGTCGGCGGTGTAGATATGCGGCCGCCGGTGAGGTGCGGAGAATGTGTTTGAGACTGCGACATTCATTGCAGCCACTGCACACTTGCTCCGAAACAATCGAACATAGCAACGCCCATCTGTTCAATATACACCTCGAGAACAGAATGCAATCAATCGGGGGCTTCAAGAGCATAGGTTTGTGGAGGTATTCCGTAGGAAGTAAGGTACCTTAGGTGGTCGGTGGTGGGTGGGACCTTTGCAACACAGCCCGTTCCGAAGGTTCCTACCACTTACGGCAGGTTCGTACTGCAAGCAGCACTACAATTGATGCTCTGTTATCGCCTCGCACCTTCCGGGACTATGGCGATGCCTTCAGAGCGCCCGAGACGCGGGACTTTCCTTCCCTGATACCGGACACCATCCACCGCCTGCATCCATCGCACCTACCTAAGGTAGGTTACCTATCCACCAGGCACCTTCTTCATGAGCACTTCTTAGTAGCCAAGGTAATTCCTTTGGAAAGACTCGGGCAGGTGCCTGCATCAGGTAGCAGCCAGGTCAACTGAAATTCGACGGTCTTGTATCGTCAACTACCCACACCTCCTTCTCTCATCCGCGGCATGACAGAGAAATCCTCTCTGGACGGGCACTTGGACTTCCGCGACAGGACCGCAAAAACGCCGGCGGCCGGCTCGGGAGGTATAGAGCGTTCCAGAGGAGCCAGTTCAGTCGGAGGAATCGGTGGGGTTTAACTTTCACACCTTCGTTTCATCTTTTCCTATCCAGTCACAGAACGGTGGGCCACATCCATTGATGATTCCATCGAACTGAAATCGTCTCCATGGAATCAGAACCCCCCCTCCAAAAGTTCAGATTCCACTTGCACCGGAGTGCACGTGCAACCAAGAACAGGCGAGGCCTTGGCACCGGTACCAACAGCATCTCGCCAGCGGTGGTCGGCCGTGCATAAAATTA